GAAGAAGTCCTAGCTATTGAAGAGGCTTCCGCAGCTGAGGAAGCTACCGCTGCCGCTGAAGAAGCTCCTCCTATAGAGGAGGCCCCTGCTGCTGAAGAAGCTCCTACCGCTGAAGAAGCCCCTGCCGCTGAAGAAGCCTCCGCCGTGGAAGAAGTCCTAGCTATTGAAGAGGCTTCCGCGCTTGAGGAAGCTACCGCTGCCGCTAAAGAAGCTCCTCCTATAGAGGAGGCCCCTGCCGCTGAAGAAGCTCCTGCCGCTGAAGAAGCCCCTGCCGCTGAAGAAGCCCCTGCCGCTGAAGAAGCCCCTGCCGCTGAAGAAGCTCTAGCTATTGAAGTGGCTTCCGCACCTGAGGAAGTCACCGCTGCCGCCGAAGAAGCATCTACAGAAGAGGCTCCAGTTCCCGATGAGGCTGAAGCCGCTCCTGAAGAAACAGAAGCTGCTGTAGTAGAAGGTGCAGTAGCGACGGGGGTAATTGTAGCTGGTGCAGCCCTTGCGGGCTCAGTCGCGACTAAGCGACGGAGGAGAACACACAGAAGGTATAGCGAGACTCGCGAACATCACTCTAAAGACCCTCTACACGGACACAAGGCAAAACTCGAGCGAACCAAAGACAAGACAGGTTTATTTGAGAATGCGATTGGCAGAGAAGTATCCAAAGCCAAAGAAAGCCAGCATCGCCGACATGAAAGTGAAGAATACAAAGAGAAGAGGCGCCTACGGAAGGAACGAGAAGCTGCGGAGGCGGCCATACGAGAGGAAAAGCGAAAAGAACGTGAAGCTCAAGAGGCAGCTGAAAAAGAAGAAGAACGTCAGCAGCGCCGAGCTGAAAGGGACAGAGAAAGGGAAAGAGAAAATGTAGAAAGAGAAAGGGAGAGGCTGGACAGAGAGGCTCGCATCAAGGCTCATAACGAGCGAAAACAGCGACGAGAACAAGAGGAGGCTGCAAAAGCAGAAAAGAGGAAAGGGAAGGAGAAAGAGCTACCAGACGATGCGGAAACCACCAGCGACACTAGGCGCAGGACAGGACGCAGAACGAGCTTTGCTGGATCGAACAATAGCGGAAGTAGCAATGCTGGAGAGATCATTCCCGCCATATTGAAGAGAATTGGAACAGGTGAGAGCGACACAGGGGGGCCCCTTCTCATGGTTAGGGTCAATGATAAACACGACGGAGCACGAAGCGCCAGCCATCGACGGCGAGAGAGAGGGAGCGACTCGGACAAGGACCGTGAGGGTGAAGTGGCCGGTGGATCTAGTCGACATCACCACCACCATCGATCGGACGCGGATCGTCCAAAAATCTCAAGGTACTCGAGCTCGAGAAGTCAAAGGCAATACCATGAGACTTCACGGCCCTCAACAGATAGGCCAGGGCTTCTCAAAAAGGTATTCGATACATTCGCCGAGCATGTACAATTTCGGGATGCTTTCCGCCCAGAACGGGTTGGAGCATGATCACAAGGTGTCTGGGGATACATCAATCATTCAAACAAATTCTATAGACTACGGGAACGAACAGGAACCAAGCGATATGGTATCAGCTGGAAGCAGGATAGGAAATAGAGCAGGGTTTTCAGAGGAGTCTGGCTAGGAGGCATGGGATGCACTCTTTTGAAGTGCTAGGTTTTCATTTGTTGGCGGCATTCGGCAGATAGGCCGATCCTTGTATATCTAATGTGTCACGAGTATGTAACGAGATATGAGTTGGATGAATTATAAGATACATAGCCTTTGGATTGATGGTCATGATCTGGGTCACAGTGCTTCAGATATCGCGTATTATCGGCATTCTATGCCGGTGGGCTTCTCTCCCGAAGCGTATTCTTATTACGCAACATTCTCCTACACGTTCGGGCCTGGTGCGGAGGGCACCTCTTGCCATCAGTATTGATTGCACTGTATCATACCGGGTACTACAAGTGCGACCGGAGCAGCTCCTCCCCCACGCAGCACCTTCTCCAAATTCTCAAATGTCACGCGTCACGACGGCCATTTCCGAACGTCGTCAACGGTAAAGCAAATCTGCCCCTCTCAAGTATGGTGGTTGGTTTTTTTTTGAGCTTCGGCAGAACAATCACGCATCCTTTCAACTGGTGGCAATGTTTGTATGAATCGCATTTCATTGGCAACAACCCTACCCGGTCCTGGTTCCTTGTGTACTGGAGCCACATGTCGAGCCTCCAGATTATTAGGCCTGCGCTCGCATTTCGACATTGCTTGACTTTGTTCGCATTCTGCCATTCCTCGCTTCTTTCATTGCAGTAATACTCTCCTGCATTACACGCCGACATCATTATGGGATCAACGGAGAAGACCTTCAGGGCGCAAGCCATCTTCCCAATTGGAGACCCGCCGTTTGTTCAATTTCCTAGTCGGAGAAGTGTTGTACACAGTACCAAAGGTATGGTAGCATGTACCCAACCGTTGGCTTCGGAAGCCGGGCAGAGGATATTGAAGATGGGTGGAAATGCTGCTGTTTGTATACAATCCTAGCGAGATGAGGATTGCCCATATTGACATGCCTTGATAGGATGCTGCTGTGGCCACTGGTAGGTTCAAATTGATTTGACCCTGGTGGACAATCCCCATGCCTAACGATATACTGCAGCTGCCGCGTTGAATGTTACCGAGCCATCTTCGACAGGAATAGGAGGCGACATGTTTTGTCTGTGGTTCGATGCAAAGACCAAAAAGGTCCAGGCCCTGAATGGTTCCGGGCGAAGTGCAAAGAATACAACGGTCGAACAAGTTAGGAAGGAACTGGATATTCCTTCCACCACCACTCGAGCCAAAATCCCAACCAAGAGTGCTCTCGCAGTGACTGTCCCTGGCGCAGCAGCAGGTTGGGTCGATACAGTGGAGAAATTTGGCAGTGGAAAGCTGACACTAGAACAAATTTTGATGCCGGCGATCGAGCTAGCAGAGGAAGGGTTCCCAGTCTCCGAGCTCTCTGCCAAATTTGTGGGTCGATGTGTTATCGTTGCACAAATTATTGAAAGCTGACTCCATGGCATTCCAGTGGAAAGAGGGCGAAGAGGGTCTCAGAAATGCGTCTCCCAATTTTAGAGAGCTACTGAAGAAGGACAAGACCGCCGAACATTTTGTTCGAGCTCCACGAGCGGGTGAAATCATGCGAAACCCTACCCTTGGTAAAACCTTCCGCACCCTAGCCACGGAAGGAAAGAAGGGATTCTACACCGGTCGGATTGCCAAATCGATTGTCGAGGTTCTCCAACAACTGGGTAGTCACTTGGAGTTGTCTGATTTGGAAGACCACTTGAACCGGGGTGCAGACGAGACGACTCCTATATCTCTGAAATTCCGTGGCCAGAACATTAAAAACACAGCAGCTCAAAGAGTTAGCAATGGGACATCAGAGGGACATTTTGTGGAGCTTTGGGAGCATCCGCCCAATGGTCAGGGCATCGTGGCACTGATGGCACTCGGCATACTGGAGGAACTTGAGCGGACCAAGAAGATTCAGACGTTCGCACTGGAAGACCACAACAGTGCTCCATACCTGCATGCAGTCATCGAGGCACTGCAGATTGCATTTGCCGATGCTACCTGGTGGGTAACGGATCCTGAATACATGCCAGTGAAGTCAGCAGAGCTACTGTCACGCTCGTACTTGGCTGAACGGGCGAAGCTGTTTCAAAAGGACAAAGCTGGGAATCACCTCAATGGAGAACCTAGTCCGGCTCAAAACCACAGCGACACCGTCTACTTTGCGGTAGCCGACAAAGACGGAAATGGGATGAGTTTCATCAACTCGGTCTACGACGGATTCGGATCGAACATCATCCCACAAGGCTGTGGCTTCACACTACAAAATCGAGGTTCGAACTTCGAACTGGGCCCGGAAAACCATCCCAACATTTATAAAGGAGGAAAGAGGCCTTACCACACTATCATTCCAGGCATGCTCACGAACGGGGAAGGGGCAGAGCGACAGCTTCACTCGGTCTTTGGGGTCATGGGAGGCTTTATGCAACCACAAGGTCATGTGCAAGTCCTCTTGAACATGGAAGTATTTGGCATGAACCCGCAACAGGCACTTGACGCACCTAGGATCTGCCTGGGCGCCGGCCTGCCGTCGGCAGCGGGAGAAGACATGAGTATGGGCACGATTTACATCGAGGAAGGCATCGATAAGCAGGTGGTCAAGGCTCTGAAGCAACTGGGGCACGATGTCGAGGTGGTCGGTGGTTGGGGCCGAGGTCGGTTTGGAAGAGGGCAGATTATTAGGAGACACGTCGATGAGGAAACGAAGATTCCTGTCTACAGTGGTGGCAGTGATTTGAGAGGCGATGGATGTGCTTTACCTGCATAGGTCAGGTCCTCACTGTACTTTGCAGAGTATCGTTAGTCATTCTTAGCTACGTTAGAGCTCGTAATCAGACGCGGCATTATCGAGTTGCAATGCCTGCGGTCCAGATAACAGGAACGATGTTGAAAACTCTCAACTGGCGCTGGTAGCTGTCAGACTCTCGACCACCTGCGTGCATAAATAGACATCGACCTGCCTTATGGGGAAATGCCTCCGGGCGGGGAAGGCGTTATCTTAGGTACAGTACGAGTACGAGGTACAGTACTATGTACCCTTCCAGGCAACTTGGTTGGCTGAGCGTTAAGTGGCTCCCTTAACAGACCTAGTCGACGAGGCGATCTGCAGGAAGGGGACAAGCTTCTCGAAGCATGGGGAGGGCTGGAGGGGGCTTCCTCCGGACGCCCTCGGGCGTCGTCGACGGTCAAGTCCTAAGCTAAGTTGGGCTAAGCTAGGTTGGGCTAAGCCAAGTTGGGCTAAGCCAAGTTGGGCTAAGCCGGCTAGCAGCTTGTATCCGTACTGTATCATTTCGTCTCCGGCTTCGGGTTCCCGGTGTCGACCGCTCCATGTGAATGGTCAGCTCTAAGATCAACCGTATATTCTCGAAGCCTTCCCTATTCAACCTCTCACGGCGCACCGAGGGTCTTTTACTGAGGAAAGATAGAAATGACTACGGGTTTGTATCCTCGCACAATCTACGTCCAGTTCCGGTCGTTCCACCAGTCGTGGCAAACAACCTCCAGCTACTGAGGCAACAAGGAGCTTATGCAATGATAAAGCTACTAAGTAACTTGAACCACCGAGGCATTATGCCTCGAGGTGACTCAACTAGCACGATACGTGGGCTGCTCCATCTCTGGATCTCTGGATCTCTGGATCCTCTATCCACGCAAGCAAGCACACGCTCGTCTGAATCATCTGCATCAACTGGATCAACGAATCGTTCCATTGCAACCACATATCGCCCCCCGGCCGGCTTCCCAGGATTATCCTCTACCAGGGCACCTCGGCCACCCTTGCATCTTCCTCCAGATAACACTGCGTCATCCTCCTGAAGTTTACCTGCCGTGGGCCTTGTACGCTTCATTTCCATCCTTCACAGCGTCACATTCATCTCCATAGTATGCCGGGCTGCTTGCTCTGGTGGCAACCAACCCTCCTCTAGCTCACCTTCTCTGCATATGTCGGCTCTCGCCTGTTGCATCCTACGCGAGGTCGAGTCTGCTGTTGTCGAATAATCATCGCTTCCCGTGCACATCCGTCGCTCTGAGGTGGGTCGCTGCTGCATCATTGAAGCCCAAACAAGGTAGGTTCCTGCTTGGAAAGTGATCAAGCATCACTCACTCTGGGCTTGGAGAGAAGCTTGATTGTTTCCCTCTTTTTTTTTTGGATTTTGATTCCGCTCTGCTCAGTCTTCATTAACTCACTTCACCCACCGACGGACGGGTCGATTCCTGTTTCTCTTTCGCAAGCTGGTCCCTCCTCATTCCAATCGCCTGGTCGTTGCGAACATGAAGTTCTCAGTCGTTGCTTTGGCCTTGGGCCTTATTCCCCTCATCTCTGCCAAACGAAGTGGTCAACATGTTGGAAAGAAGCTTCCAGAGATCAAGAGGAGTTTCTCCCCTCGAGCTGCTGCTCCTGCTGTTCCCCAGCCGAAGAAGCGACAGGCTCCTTCCTTTCTGACTGATGCTACAAAGAGTGGGTTATCACACCGAGCCCAAGAACAGCGCCCTACTAACTTTGATTTAGAATTCGCTGTCAACGGCTCTGCGATTCCAGAAGTCGACTTTGACATTGGCGAATCATACGCCGGTCTCATGCCCATCTCTAATGCCACCGACGCATCCGAGCTCTACTTCTGGTTCTTCCCTTCAATAAACCCTGCCGCGAGTAGTGAGATCCTCATTTGGTTGAACGGAGGACCAGGATGCAGTTCACTTGAAGGCTTTCTTCAAGGTGAGTTACAGCAGGCATCCAATCATCCTTCTCTTGCTAACCCTTAATCAAAGAGAATGGCCCGTTCTTGTGGCAGTATGGAACCTTCAAACCAATTCAAAACCAGTGGTCCTGGACCAACTTGACAAACATGGTTTGGGTCGAGCGTCAGTTGTCCCTGAATGGTATTGCTACGGCCATTACTGAAAATGGCGCACAGAACCTGTCGGGACGGGATTTTCTCAAGGGACGCCAACTGCGACCTCAGAGAAAGACGTGGCGGAACAATTCCTTGGCTTCTTCAAGAATTTTGTCGATACCTTTGCCATGCAAGGATACACCGTTTATATTGCCGGAGAGTCCTATGCAGGTTACTACGTTCCATACATTGCGGACGCGATGTTCAATGCCAACGACACCGATTACTACAATATCAGCTCCATCATGATTTACGATCCAAGCTTGAGCTACGACGTGGTTCAGCAGCATATTCCCGTCACCTCTTTTGTCGATTTCTGGGGCCCGCTACTTGACCTAAATGCCAGTTTCGTGGCCGATTTGCATGCCCAGGCGGACGCATGTGGTTATACAGCCTTCATGGACGACTATCTCGTGTACCCTCCCAAGGGTCCTTTACCCACTCCTCCAAACTATGACTTGTCCAACGACACATGTGATACATTCGATGCCGTGTTCAACGCCATATCACTGGTCAACCCGTGCTTTGATATCTACCAAGTGGCAACCACCTGCCCATTGCTCTGGGACGTCTTGGGATTTCCTGGCTCATTCGACTATGTTCCCGACGGGGCCTTCATCTACTTCAACAGGACCGATGTTCAGAAGGCTATTAATGCACCGGTCCAAGAATGGCTCGAATGCACCAGTGTCGACGTTTTCGTCAATGCGACCGACAACTCTGACCCTTCCGCTCTGAGCGTTCTCCCAGGCGTCATCGAAAAAGCCGACCGAGTGATAATCGGCCACGGCCTTCTGGACATGATCCTCCTGTGGAACGGCACATTGCTCGCCACACAGAACATGACCTGGAACGACGCTCAAGGATTTTCCACCCCGCCGTCCCAATGGGATGACTTTTACGTTCCTTATCGCACATCGTATGAGAATCAATTGGGTTCGCTCGCGGGCGCTGGAGTCATGGGTCAATATCACACTGAAAGAGGCTTCACCTTGGTGACCGTCGATCTTTCTGGCCACATGATTCCTCAGTATGCACCCAGCGCAGCATATCGACAGCTGGAATTCCTTCTCGGTAGGATTCCCACGCTGGGGACCGTCGGTCCTTTCACAACGATGCAAGGCGAGAGCTATTAGCTCAGCTGATGCCACCAACCTACCTAGTGAGGCTATGAGAAAGGTTATTTCTAATGATGAGCAACTTGACATGTCATAAGTGGTGTTTCTTCAGCATCCTTCGTCCGAATCCTTTCCAACGCGTTTGTAGTGATGATATAGTTAATACCCTGTGAAGATGTACTAAGTTGGGGCGGGTAAAAGAGATGTCCATCCACTTTTACAGAGTGAATGCATGATGGAGGAGAAGATGTGATATATTCTTCCGAATTTGGAAGTCTGAATTGCCTAATCGAGAAATGCCATTGTTTTTGGCCGATCCAGCAAACATTTTTGATGTGTTCTGTCTATGTAAAGCGCGTTTGCACTTCCCTGGGGACGGTGAATGATTGCGGAGCGAAGGGACAATGGGACACCCTAAACCGGAACTCGGGAAATCAATATTCCGAATGCCTTCCACACTGTGTCGACACTCGGAAATAGGACGACTCAAGCCAGATCCGAAAGGCGCTACACTAGCATCCTGCTCAAACGCAGATACCTATAAGACCTTATGATGAGGCAGACAACATGAAGAGAAATGCCACCTCAGATCCCATTGCTGGATCGACCCCATGATCGGCAAAACCCGCTCTCAGATCTAGATCTAGTAACTGTACCTGTGTCCGCTTGACAGCCACAGATTCGACGGGGGCTTTGGGCAGGTTCCAGGATATGATGACGTCGATCATTTTCTACACCCCGTCATGACTTCGTGTAGGCCTATCCACCACAGCACAAATTGGCACAGGTGATGAAACAAAAATAAAGATGCCTTTTAAGTGAGAATTACTTCTGCTCATAGGCTCATTTCTATGCCATGCTCCATTTCTTTCATCGAGATGAGCCAGGCCACTCCTTGAATGGACAGCGCTGCGTTCAGACAAGACGTTGAGCAGCAACAACAGGCAAGCTCTGCCAACGCCAGCAGTACCATGTCGCAGAAACCTCTCAACGCGAAAGATGGCCGGAAGAAGGTCCTAGTCGTCGGTGCTGGGGCTGGCGGGTAAGTCATCAGCGAGACCTCTCAAGGCGCTGAGTATGTCCATTGCTCTGTGGCCGCTAATCAGATTTCCCAGCATGTCGACAGCATACCACCTCTCGCAACACCCCGACAAGTTCGACGTCACCCTGATCGACGCGGTCGACTACTGCGGCGGACAGGCATTCTCGATCCCACTCGACAAGGAACGGCACGGCGCCAGCTGGTTCAACCAAGGCGTGCAAGGCGGAAGCTACATCTTCCACCACACGCTGACCATGTTCGCCCGCCAAGGGTTCCACGCCGACCCGGTCAACCTGCAGGTGTCGTTCGGCAAGGACAAGACCTTCTGGACGAATGTCTTCCCGACAGAGCTGATTGCACGCCACCAGAAGGAAGTCAAACGTCTGGTGTTTGCTTTGAAATTCATGCGCTGGTTCGAGGTGTTCTTCGCCCTGATCCCGCTCAAGTATTTCTTCAAGCTGTGGTGCTTCTCCGACGAGTTCACGAATACCATTGCCTTACCCATGACAGCTCTATTTCTGGGCACAGGGAACTATACGCCTGAGACGCCGACCATGATGCTCGAGCGGCTGTGTACCAGTCCCACCTATGGGATGTGGTACCCTCCCGATCCACTATCCGTTGCCTCGAACATGCCTCCGATGGTAGTGTTCCCCAACTTCAGCGAGTTCTACTCGATCTGGCGCAAGGACCTGCTCTCACGCGGCGTCACCGTCCGCCTCTCCACCGAGCTCGTCTCCGTCCTCAAACGGGGCCAGAAGACCGGCGTGCTCGTGAGTCTGAAGAACCGCACCCCCGCCCCGGACGGCCACAACCCAAACACAGGCGAACCGACCGCCAGCGCTCCCTACAAGGAACACTACGACGAAATGGTCCTCTGCGTGCAGGCCGACACGGCAAAACGCATCCTGGCCCAAACGTCGACCTGGCGCGAACGGAGAGTCCTCGGCGCCGCGAAATTCTCCAACGACGTGACCATCACCCACTCGGACGCCAACTACATGAAAAAGCACTACCAGAACTTCCACTCGGACGCGCTCGCGGTCGACGGCCTGAACGGAGAATCGCAAGCCTCACGGAACGAGTTTGCGCGCACGCGGTTCCGGCCCATGTACTACATCAAGATGTACGACGCGGACCAGAGCAAGCTGGAGATGTGCTTCGACACGACCAACTACCAGGCGCAGTTCCCCGAGAACGTGCCGTTCGAGGACCACGTCTTCCAGACGATCTACCTCAACAAGGAGCGCGACGGGCACCTGTGGTCGGACGGCGAGATCGACACGTCCAAGATCATCCGCACCGACTGGTGGCACCAGCTCTGCCACAGCTGGACGCACTACGTCTTCGTGGTCCCGTGGCTGATGTTCCTGCAGGCGAAGAGCCACACGCGCTTCGCCGCGAACTGGACGCTGGTCAACGCGCACGAAGTCGCCATCATCTCGGGCCTGGCTGCCGCCGTGGACCTGGGCGCCACGTACCCGGAAGACCTGGAGAACGATCGGTTCGCCCTGCTGGCGTTCAGGCTGTACTATCTGCTGGTCTACGGGAAGTGGTATCGCAGGCGATACAAGGACAGCGCGTCGGACGTCGCGGCGCAGGGCAGGGCCTGGGCCCAGGGCCTGTATGGCAGCCGGTACTCGGGCCCCGGCGTCGTGGAGCAGGAGAGGTCGACCTGGAGGGAGGAAATGAAGGTCGGCAGGAGTACAGGCAACTTGGCGCCCGAGGGAGGAAATCCGGATGGTAGGAGCCAGCCTTGACGGATCTTTTTTTCCCGTGCCTGTAAGGCTTGGGCATGAGGTGAGGTGGGCTGAGGCGAGCTGAGGTCTTTACACTCCAGAGGATGTGTATGGCTGAAAAGGTTGATGTTAGCATGATACGCCCCCAGCTGGCTATGCGGTTTTTTCCATGTCGATAGGTAGGATCATCGAGACGGTCTAAGACTGCAGCTATCCATCTACTGGCTCAATAAATTTTCATCGGTGTTCGCCCGAACCTCCTCCGTGCCCTCGCGCTACGGCGTTACCTTCCAGGACAAAGACGACTCGCATTTCATGGTCAATGACCATAAAACGGATCAACCGGCTTACTGAAGGTTTGGTTCTGCGGGGGACTTTGAATTCTCTGTCCAGCAACTACTTCATCCGATTGTCAGTGTATATCTTGTGGGAATAGTAATAAGACCTGCTTTCATGGCTATTTCATGAGTCTTCACTCCACTCAATTTGCGATTCCAACTACGAGTGACGGCCCGCCCCTCTTTAGATGCATACAGACCAACCAGAGAAGCCGATTCTCTAATGGAGGATATCTGCCTGTGCGCTTCCGGCCTGTTGCGGCCAAGGCGTTGATGTTCGCAATTCACCTAGCTGAAGAACTTCTTGTAGCTCTCCTTCTCCTTCTTGATGCTATCTTGCAGGGCCTTCTTCGTCTTGGCCAGTTCGTTCTTGATTCCCGCATCTTCGGGTGCCAACTTAGCCGCCTGTTCGAAATCCTTCAACGCCGAGTCCAAATCCTTGGTCGCCACAAGAGCTTGTCCTCGTCGGAAATACACTTTCGCCTTGTCTGTGTCCTTTGCGTCTTTGGGAATTGCATCGATGGCAAACCCTGCCCATTTCTGAGCTTCATCGTATCTCTTCGACTTGTTCGCTAGCAAGGCCGAATTGCTGTTCAAGGTGAATCGCAAAAGGTCAAGATTGGTCTGTAGGTCTTTTGGATCGTTGTCGTTGGCTGCTGGGTACTCATTAAGATACCGAAGAGCTTTCTGGTACTTTTCGATACCCGTCTCGACATCTCCGCTCTTGAATGCCTTGTTGCCGTATTCCTTCAGATCCGATGCAATCTTGTAATATTCCTCACCCTTCAAACCTTCACCCTGATCATCTGGGAAATCTTCATATGGGTCACCGGTCGAATCTGGTGCTTTCTGAGTGGCTGTACTATAAGCCTCTCCATCGAGTTGACCACAATCTTCGACCACCACATCCTGTGCCGGTTTGTCTGATTGTGTGGGCAAATTCTCAACCTTCCGAACAATGTTCTTTCCGTTGATGACCTCGCCATACACAACATGTTTACCGTCGAGATGGGGTGTAGGGACAGTGGTGACGAAGAATTGAGAGCCATTTGTGCCTGACTAGGCGTCAATACAATGTCCAAGGGCCGACGCTCCAAACCTCTTACCAGGACCAGAATTTGCCATTGACAATAGAAATGGGCGATCGTGCTTCAATTCGAAGTTCTCGTCATCGAATTTCTCGCCATAGATGGATTCGCCTCCGGTGCCGTTAAAATTAGTAAAATCACCGCCTTGAATCATAAAGCTCTTGATGACTCTGTGGAAGATCGATCCTTTGTAGCTCAGAGGTTTGCCGGATTTGCCCTTGCCCTTCTCGCCTGTACATAGCGCACGGAAGTTCTCGGCAGTCTTGGGAACGACTATGAAGCAGATAGATTAGTCGAGGGAAAAAGAGGAAAGGTGGTGGGTGTGAAGCGTACCATCGTTGAACTATTGGAATGAGTCAGTTGTGAAAGAAAGAAGCGAAAGGGACGGCTTACCAGCTCAAAGACTACGCGACCTTCCTTCCTACCACCGATGGTGATGTCAAAGTAGACACGCGGCCTTCCTGGAATATTGTCAGATTGGTGGTCGGGTGCGAGAGAATCCCACGTGGGCCTTACCACTCTTGGAGTCTGCCATAATGTGAGCGACGCTAGCTTTATACTAGAGAACCGATAGAAGCGTGGAATAGAGTTGAAGGAGAAATGAAAGGTTCAGGGAATGAGACCACTTGTTTGTCGGTAACCTGTGATTTATTACCTGCCCACACAAATTCCAATGTTTCTTGAATCTTCTTTCCGCAGCCGCAGCCTTGGGAGCGGTCACGGAGATTCAGCCAATTGTAAGTCCAGGGTGCCTGGTGAGGGGTAGGCTTTGCTTTTTGGTCATGCCAAGAGTTGCCAGTGAGGGGTAGTCACCTGTAAAGAGAAGGTGTACCAAGCGTCACTGGAAGAGGAAGGTATGACGAGGCGCGTATTCTTGCCACGAGGCTTTGCCCCAGCCTCGTTGTTTCTTACCTGTTTGCGAGTAAATTGTCAGCGACAGGTGGCAAGTGCCGTGCCTTGTCTTCACCTGACTTCCGTGACATACTAGGTAGAGAGGCTTCATGAAGATCATCAATCAAGGAGTCTACAAGTTCGAAAAGTTGGTCGGGTTCAATATTGCAGTGGCTTAGCTATCAGGTTCGTCGGTTGTGAGCTGTCAAATCACAGTTGGGACGCTGATGCGTGCTTGTTAAAGACATGTCTCACGCTTTATTCACTGGCACGCTCGAACTATCAGTGCCTCTTGCTCATATGCGAAAATGCAGCATGGCCTACCGCCTCTGTCTTACCCATATTTACCAAAGTCATCTTCATAGAGACTACTTCTCCATCAGCAGTCAATTATGACGACTTCTTTGACGACATTATGGACACGCAACATCAGAAACGCTCGCTGGCCGGTATTTCTTGACGGCGCGAGACAATGGTCTTGCGCCTGAAGACTCCATGGATACAGCCTCCATTTAGTCCATCTTCGGGGTACTCGCTCGAAGCCTTTGGTCTAACAGCTCTCACGAAGGCTTGGGTGGAGCTAGCCTAAATATGCTCCTATGAGACCACGCATTGCCAACTTGTTACCCCGTAATGTGGGAAACTCTTCCCAAGAGCTCGAAACCTGTTTGCCCAAGCACGCCAAACGGGCAACTACCTCACGAACCCGAGGGACAAGGGATCAGAATATTCTCCACTTCAACTACGGAGACAAGTACACTCTAGAGAGCCTAGGCGAAGTCAAGACATTCGAATTAGGAACAAGCCCGCTGGTAGCTCGCCATGGCTTTCATGATCGCGCGGCTCCGCCGTCCGCAGTTCAGTGCAGTCTCTTACGGCACTTGGAATCTCGAAAGCAACTGTCTGGCCGAATTCCATGTATCGCGAATAATGCACTACTCAAGATCGTTGCCCAAATGAATCCCCACCCATCGTCAGAAGAGGCAAGTTTACTCTCTCCTCAATTTCTCATTCGCCGGTGGCTCCGAACGCGATTCGGACTTGGATGCTAATCGACATAGCAATCTTCTATCTTCGTCTGCCGTCCACACCATCATGCCAGGACTTGGTTTCCACTCAAGCCTTCCTTTTACATCAACAAAAGGTCCACGAGCGGTACAATCGTCTGGCCACGTTTAAAGATCAGCACTACGCGGAGACAGGTTACACGGGACCGCCTTTTCGGGGAAATGCATCGACAGATCTAGGCGCGGACCGATATTGTTCGCGTACTCCGCCACTCTATATACTGTACATCGATCTTCCACGTGTCTGCTGATCGCTCTGGATCACCACCAGCATTCTCGACATGAGATTCGGGACCTGTCAAACATTGTTGTCATGCGCAAGAGACCTTTCCCCTACCTACCAAAGCTTCCACTTAGACCTCTGTCTTACCAATACACATCTTGCTCAAAAGTTGCGTTCGCTCGTCACGACGGATGGGTTTAATTAGAAAACCCTCGCTTAAAACCCACCCCTCCGCTTCGCCTAAGGAAAATCATGCACAGTGGGCCGCCAGCGCGCCACAACCGAGCGAGACACATATACAACCACAGATACGCTTCTCCCACCCACGATCTGGTCCTTGGCGACAGAAAGGACGACAGGATGTAGAAACTCACAAAACGCCATATGCATCTATGTCTCAGAAACGGGCCGTTTGCCTGCCTGGGGAGCTAGGTGCAAACTCAAGGTTAGTCTGTTGTGCCACACTTTTTTATCTAACGTTACCCAACTCTCCGAGAAGCGGCCTAGCTAAGCTCAGTTCTGTCATACCCTAGGCGTGCGTTTGACCAGACAGCCAAAACGACAATATGCTCTCCTGCATCCCCAGGTTTCTAATCTGGCCAAGCAGTTAAATTGGCTTTTCCGCAGCACTTCTTTGTCTTTTTAGGGGTGCAGCTCACTTGCCCTTCTTCATTTCGCTGTTCCCGAGAATGTGGTACAGCTTCAGCTGGGGAAATTATTAACTTTCTGGAACCTTGTCTGCCGCTGTTCATATCGTCGACCTACGAGGGCTGCAACTTACGCTTGTGCACGACATGCCCTTGTTATCAGCGGTGAGGTGCTCCGCCGCATGTCGCAGACATTTCTTCTCTTTTCCAGAAGGAAATTGGATGATTAGGGGCTCTCATGAATTGTGTGTAGCCGGCCTGTCATGCTCTCGAGACCCATAGCTCTGTATAGTTCTGCCACATATTAGCTGGCTATGGATTTACAGTGATCCAATCATTATTCGTCAACACCCATGTGCAGAAATTCATGCTTGGACTGTCGCATGGTGTGCAGCTGGTTGGAATCGTTCATGGGAGAGAGCCTGAGGTAGGCGACGTGAGGCCAATGCAGGGTCTCACTGGCCCTGCTGGGTAAAAGCCTAAGGCAAGGACACCCTGAGCACCGCAGCAACACCACAAGACTTCAAACCCTGCGTCTGGATGCAGGGTACAGGAGGCAGGCTACTTTATGTAAGAGGACAGTCTCTTACTAAATCACTCCCAAGGCCCGACCCCAGTTCCAGGGGCCAGCAATACAGCGGAGCAGCCAGCCTGATCAAGGGCGGTGGGAATGGGATTTTGATATGCAGGCTTGGAAGAGGAATGAGAGTACAGTGGAAAATATGCAAGAAGAAACGGAGACAAAAGGAGAGCATGCCAGGGCATTCCATTCTAGACCAACTTTCATGTAGCAACCGATAGATGAAGCTCCTCTTCGTGGCCTGGCCATATTAACGGCATCTCCGTGCCATGGTCCATAAAAGTCACCTCCCTCTTCATCCCCTCTCCTTTCTCCTGCAGACCATCATTTACGGTGTGAAACCCGCGAGTAACACACCTAAGCACAGCCCAGCGCGTTTCGACGATAAAACCCCAGCGAGGAAGTGCACAGACAGGAAGAGTCAGAAAGTAAAGTCAGCGACGCCCCCTGCCTGACGTACCTGACACAGTGACTGCATGCCGTTGATGTTGGTGGTGCTCTTGATGTTGACTGAGCCAGAGGAGCAGTAGCAGAACGCACTTCACTTCCCCCGTCACTCAAGAGGAGTAGCACAGCATGCTCAAGCTGTTAAGGATATCACATGCCACATGTTACATTACACTGCATAGTCATACAGGCAGATTCTTCGCCAATACTCAAGAGGAGAAGGAGGAGGGGAAGGACGATTATGGGCACGGGGAGAATGATGAACTCACCTGAATCCTAATCAACTCACCTACAGACTTGCGTGGATCTCAGCAAATTACACGAACCAGCTCGTGCTGGTGATACACACGCACATACACAGGACGCAGAGGTAGGCGGGGTTTCGATTCAGGCTCGGAAGGACACTAGGTACCAGACGGTGAGAACCCCACATCAGAACGCGACGACCATGGGACCAAAGCGAGATGGCGTCAACTTTCGTCGTTGCGTGGACGCGTGGGCGGATTTTGAAAACTAGTCCTTCGGTCAGGGTTCAGAGGGGATTATCACCGGGTGAAGTGCTGCTACTGGCACATGCAGGTGCCTGTGACTCGTGGCTGGGTGTTGGTCGTCGGTGAGTTGACGGCCGTGGGGTTTCTAGGTGCGATGGAAACAGAGAAAGGGTTGTTGCTGTGGTCTAGGATGGACGATGGGGAGACGAGCAGACGAGGATGATCCATACCTAGGTATGGATTGCGGTACCGCCAGCGTTCAGTACTTAGACTATCGACACCAGAGCCCCGTGCGACGTTCTCAGCAATGGGATGGATGGATGTACATGGGATCGGTATTGTGATGATGGCACCGCGATGAGTGTCGTGTTGTTTGTTGTGGACGGCAAGTTCTCCTTGATACCCGTGTCGTGGCCTACCTACTCGAGCTTTGCTTCATCTTGATCTACCCATGTGGTTGCCGTTTTGGCGACTCTTGAAGAACCTGTAACTTGCTAAAGATTTCGCCTTTAGCCTGTCCCGATTTCGTCTCTATGGGTGTCGAATACAATCGATGAGCCGGTTACCTTAGCTCAAGCTATACCGCCAACGGCAGATTGGTCGCCAATAGCAAGCAGTATGCATGCGGAGATCATTTCATGTTGAGGGACCCTGCATCATCGCTTCACAGTACCTTACTCACAGGAGGTAGACTGCTCAAAGCTCTCTCACAACCGTCGTGGACTAATCAACACTTGATGTCAAAGAACCAACACACTCAGACTATCGACCTTTCAGTCGCGAAGATCGCAGCGAGAAGAGACGGCATGTCGGTACTTCAGAATGCCGTGTTATTGATCTGTGTGAGAAACCGTAGACCTGTGAGGATCTACGCAGCTAGCTCACTCTCCACATGGGCCGCCAAAAGACGTCAGACCTCCCTTCTGGCAGCTCGGGGTCCAAGCTCTCGCGCGCCTAATGACAAGAGCCAGGAACAAGACTCTGGGTTTGCTTTTGCCACAAAGCACAGACCCGAAATTCAGAGAGAGGCTCGAGCGCCCGCGAAGAGGACGAGACTCGGGGATCGGGGGACTCGGGGGACTCGGCCGTTCTCCGTATGTCAGGGCACGGGTTTAAAGGCAAGGCCCAGCTCGCCCACCGCGCGCGTCGGTGGTCTGTGTGTTCCTTGAGTTGGCAAAGCCTAGACTCATCCGACGTGGTGTGGGGGATGAGGTGAGTGCCCGTCCGTGCGTGCACAGAAGGAATGCGATAGCAGGTACGAGAAAAGTAGTCACCCCTTGCATGCAATAGCAGGGGAGCTTTGAAACACGTGCTTTTTGAATGCGAACATGGCGTACGCACGCAATAGAACGAACGGCATGCATCGGCTGGACTTGAGGTCTAGACTCTGCTTGCTTTGTTGGATGGCACAGTTCTGAGCATCGGCCTGGTATGCGAGGTCACTTTGCTACAGACACCTTCCAACGATTGTTTGGACGAAGCCCTGAGGAACATGATGCTTCGCCTCGAAAGGGGATCGCTTTCATCAGCGATTACTGAATCGGGCCATGTTGCTCTGAGAGACAGCGTCTCAAAGAATTCAGCGTCGTGGCTGGGTCATGGCGCGTCTGGGTGACTCCAGCCGGTAGCTCATCGCATTGGAGTAACTGTCGTCACACGTCTCAATCAAGAGACGCTCTTCGTCGTGTTTACGCATGGCTCTGGCAGAACCAGGCATCTCCTGGCCTGGAATGTGGTCGACAAGATGTGGCGATTCTCACATGAATGCAACCAGCGCGCAAAGGTTCATCGGCGTTACTCAAAGGCGGGGGCGTGCGTGTAGTGCTTACGACTCGCGGTCGAAGTATTTTCTTAATGGAGGCTCTCGCGATTCTCCCCCTGCTTTGCTTACCTATGCGACAGCGCTGAATCAACCATGTCAGCAACACATCCAGGGAATGACTGGTAGTCACAGATGAGAAAGAATTGCGCGTAAGATGTCATAAGCCAAGCGACCAAGGTAGGAGGGAGTTAGCTTAGCAAAGCACCACCAGGCTGAAACTCGTTTGAACTCCCTCAACAGCCATGGCCCACCCGGGGGATCCATATCTTTACGCATGCACCCTTGCGGTAGGCTCCTGTTCCTCCTCGCCAATCTGAAAGCTGTAGCACCGTCGGCGGTTGTGCCTACGCGCTGAGTGAGATTTTCTTGTGGAAAAAGCAGGTAGTGTCTCATCATGGATTGTTGTGTTTGGTCCGCGGGTCTCAAATGCTGGCTAGTTAGCCATCTCTAATGAAGATGAACAAAAAGGTTCAAGGGGGAGAGAAATCTCGAGTCCCCGAGTGCCCAGTAGTAGTTGATAGTTAGAATTTTCATTTTTCAGGGGCCAGGTGCCAGGTGCCATGCTCTAAAGGGCGCGGATTGCAGGGTCAGCCCCGGGGAGAGGGCCTCCCACAGACGAATCGTTATCACTATCGATAACCCCCGACAAGGGGCTTACGCCCCTCAGTAACCGATAAAGTTAATGTTGACCTGAGCTGTGCTCTATGTATTCCCACAATTATCTTTGTGGTGGCAGGGGAATCGCGATCGCGAGCCAATATACGATGCAGATCTGCGAGAACCAGATCCATGTAAGAAGTATAAAAAGCAGAGTTTTCGAAGGACGAAGGACGAAGGACGAAGCACTCGGCCCAAGGATGATTGGGTGTGAGGGTAGACATTCTAAGAGGCATTTGCTTCTCCCGAAAGTTGCCCTCTGTCACACTGTGATTCCGTAAACAGCAAGTGTTTGTGTTCCTGGGCTGGGGTCAACAATCAAAGAAAGCCCCGAAATGCGGAAATAAAAAGTTTGGGAAGGCCGGAAGAGGCTGTGAAAGGAGGAGGGAGAGAAGAGACACCTGGTTTTGAGGCGTTCAGAGGATAACTCTATCGGTATGCCCGCTGCAAGTCCCGGCAAGCCACAGAAGTGCAGAATCGCCAGCTGCGTTAAAGCCACTCTCAGCTGTCCTACCGCAGCCGTATGATTGAATGATCACTATCGACAGCCAGACATTTTGGCTTTGCGAATCAGAGGAGGACGGAGATGCCGTCGAGGGCTGAATAAGTTTCTCTGGCTGAAAAGCTCGTATTTTGGTTCCTCCTCCCAATGATGTGATCATGTCTAGTTGGTCAATTGCAATTGATTGTTGACTGATTGTTTTTGACTCGAGGCAATGAACCAAACGACACTACCCTCTCGTCTATCCTCGCCACATTGGGGCAAAGTGGGGCGTCTTGAACAGACATGGACGTGATCGACACCTCCAACCACGTGGAGGGATTTGCTCGTCTCGGGCTTGGAGATGGAAAGTTTTAGAAGGTATAAGCTTGAGGGACGGGGGACTGGTAGAGAGTTCCACCTCCCCCGATCCCAGGGAGTAAACACGATTCCCAGCTTTCCCTTGTGCAAAGCTTACTCCATGACCAGTCTTCCAGGTGTTAGGGACACGCACCCGAAGTCAGGGAGGCGAGTTTCTGCCAAGGCTGGTGAGCAATAAATAATGGTCATCGTCGGAGACTTAGGTACGGGGTAGTTACTGGTGGGCTCTTTTGAAGAGTTTTGTCGTCTGATCAAACGGAAACCTGGTCCCATAGACTTTTTGATCTGACGCAAGGATTCCTGGACTCAGTCAGGTTGATCACCAGGTGGGAAGATGTTCTGGTGGACGCCTCAGCCATATTCGGGTAGTCTTTCCATTCAACAACCAGTTTTTCTGGCGGATAAATGGCTCGGCGTTATAGGGAAGTCGACCTTACTAGACTGGATCTTACCGCCGACGAACGGCCAGGAAAGCGAGGGGTTTTCCTCAAACAGGGGAGCATCACGAGTGAGAATTGTCAGGCTTACCATCTCGGTGTTTTCCGGTTCGCAATGGTGTGCGTGAAATTCCAACGATCCTCGGGCGGGGTCCTTTCTTTACGACTAGACAATTGCGCAAGCGTCAGGCTTGAGGATGTGGGTATTGCAGGTCGAACTGCATTGTGTGCGCGCGAATAGAGTCCCTACAGCTTGTAATAGGGCCTTACAGTGAACGAGTCCTGCACAGTATGCAGTTAGCAAACTCTTGGTTATAGCAACTTTTGCCATGTATGTACTAGACAGACCATCGCTTTGGCGCTTTGGATATTGGAGCCCTTGGTTTGGTGCAGCTAAACGGGGAACCTAATCGCCCCTCGCAGAAGGAAACGGGATCAGATGGGGGGTCCCGGGGCTCATTGGATCCCAGGTAAGCCCGGAATTGTTCTTGGAGCGGGAGTTTGATCGGTTCCAGGCCTCTTGACTGAACCAGACTCGGAACCAAAACTCAACTGGCTGTAATGCGGAACGTGCATAAAGACGGGACATCTGGGGTGGACCGGTACCACACTTCTGAGAACAGCCTGTTAGCTGCTGCCCATGGTACGAGGTCCAAGATATCCTCCAGGTGCCTACCCTCGTCCCCCAAGCGAACCCGAAATCAGTCCAACCTGCAAAGGATTGTTTCTTCTGAGTGGCCAAGTTGCCTCAGGCCAGAAGTGGTCAGCACTTAGACCAGACCCGGGAAGAAGGGTGGGAGGGAGAGGACGGGAGTGATCAATCACAAGCCAAAGCGACGGCAAAGACACGGGGAGGTGCAGATATGTGCGGGATACACGATTGATAATTTGATCAGAAAGAATGAAACTTGTGTGCGTAGGTTGGTTTTCAACTGAAATCAGTTGAATTGGATTTCTGGCTATTTCTGGCTATTTTTGGTATTGATTTGTAAATGTGAGAGTCGAGCATTACTCCTCGTACTCGGCACATTGCAATTGATGGCTTGCTGGGCCTTTCTTTTGTCGTGCGTTTGCCGTTTTCCCGCGTCTTCCAGAGACCGGTAATACATTTGCCATCAAAGCGTTTCCTCAAATTTTCCATGCAAACCACAAGGGTATCATAACACATACGAGTGAACTTTCACTGCCCTTTCAATAAAGCGGTTTTTGCCTGCGTAACAAAAAGTTGAGATCCATCTCAGCACTTGAGGGATCTCGAAGAAGTAGAATGTTATATTCCCTGGTGAAGCCACTCGAATTGGGGCAACCACCGTAAAACGCCGATCATGGGGTTTCCCGAAAATGCGCATGTCACCTGATTTGACCCGATCATCATTCCCATATCTAGAGCAATCATCATGCAATTTAAACAAAGGAAAAGCGGGGTCCCTTTTCCAAGGCCCGAACATCCTCCCAGATGTTATTAAGCGTCTCGACGAGAGGCTCGGGCAGGGGACCATGTTCAAGAATGTCCATGTTTTCTTGGAGTTGAGAGATTCTGGAGGCACCAACGATGACAGCATCACCGTACTCGGCACCTAGTTGAGAGTGCCACGTGGTCCATCGAAGAGCGGCAGCGTGGCCTGAAATGCCGTATTTCTTGGCTTGTTGTCTGACAAGCTCTGCAGCGGCAAAGAGGGGATCGTGGAAGTAGTCACCAGCATATTTGGCACCTAGGGGGGAGGCAATATTCCATCGGCTGTTCTTGTCTTTGGTCGAGGCTCGTGAGACCTTGTTGGAGAAGAAGCCACAAGCCGAGGGGCTGTATGCATAGAAGGCAATGTTGTGTTCCCGGAGGACGGCAAACAGGCGCTCCTCACCACCTCGGCAGATAGGATTGTATTGCCCTTGGTAAACAGACGGCTTGACAAAACCATTCTCTTCGCAGACCTTGATGACTTGTTCGACTTCTTCAACCGAGTAGTTGGATAGACCGAATCGCTCAAACTTGCCCTCGAGGTAGGCCTTGTTCATTGCTTCGCAGGTCTCCTTGAAGGGAGTGGCTCGGTCGGGTGCGTGCAGGTACATGACATCGACGGCATCAGTGTTGAGGGCCTCAAGGGAGCGATCGATACTCATGGCGATGTTCTTGGCTCGGTGAGATCCAGGCATAAAGGATGAGACCTTTGTGGATACATTGGCCCATTTGCCCAGTCGCAACTCCTCCTCACCCAACAGTTTCTCGCAAGTACCACCACGACCAACTGGATATGCTCGGGCAGTATCGATATCTGCGTAACCCCGAGATCGGAAGAGTTGTACAAACTTGGAAGCTTCTTCAACAGTGGTGATTTTGGCGAGGGGGGAAAGTTTGGATCCGACCGAAGCGGTACCCAGAACCACTCTCAACGGCGGCTTACATTGAACAGTCTGGACCAGAGGAGAGGTGATTCGCTCGGCGTTGTCAAATGTGCTTGCTCGTGACCGGTTGGGAGTGACGGTTAGATCTGTGGCATCGGTGTCGTCTGATTGTTGGGAGGAAAAGGAATGTGCTGAGCGAGATGAAGTGGCGGAGTTCAGTTCGACTGATAACCTCTTCTGCTGAGCGTGGTGAACGCTGAGGTTGTGCATGTTTAGTTGTGGGAGGTTTTCGAGTTTCATTCTGAGGGCCGCAGCCATGGAACCCATATGCCGATCTTGTGACATGGTAGGGGATTGGGGATAGTCGTAGTCCGCCATATTGAGGGACTTGGGAATGAGTGGGTGCGATAGAACGCTGCTATCTGTAGTATTCCAGTATATGAACGTCGAAGATGAAGTGCTGGGACAAAGAGATGCCTCGACGGGATGGAACACAGTCAGCGGACGGGCAATTTGCGTCGACCAAGACTGACAAAGGAAAGTATTTGTCTTTTGTACAGTCAGCGGGGATGGTGTTGCTGAGAACAAGTAATGGTAGTATTGGCTGGGATCTGAGATCAATGCAGATGTGTTAGATGGTGGTATACAGGTAGTGTGGTGAAGATAGTAGAAGGGTGGAGGGTGAAGCATGAATATGGAGGAGATGGAGTATATCAAGCATGAGGCACAGGCCCTGTATGTCGGCCTTCTGAAACGGGGTCCTCCCGACTGACAGGCCCAGTTGGGGGAAGATGGTCGCCACAATGGTTTGCGTGGACTGAATGCGTAATTCGCAATGGGTGGGAGACGTGACCAGCGCTGCCAAGGGCCTCTGCAGTCTCGAGCATTCTTTGCAGTGCCAGGTGCCCACTGCCCAATCCCGGGCTGCCCCCCTCGGCGTCCCCTGGGCCCTGTCCCCCTGGTCCACGCCTACGAGGATGCCACTGCCTACGCCTGCTCAAGCCCACATCCACCACCCCAGGTGACACGGAAGCCACACTCGCCGTGGTTCCACCATCCCTTCTGTCAATCCCCTGTCACTTCTCGCTTAGTGGCCTTTCCTGGTCAGCAGGCGTAGCACTCATGACCCCTGCCCCCTGCCCCCTGCCCCCCTGTCCACAGTCCCTGGTGCAAACTCTGTGCAGAGAGCGTCGGCTAAAGCTGACCCCCCTGCCTGACGCATCCAAGCGCCAACGCCCATGACCCAATGCCCAACGCCCATAGGCCATAAGCCATAGGCCCTTCTCTGCGGTTCACCCACCCGACTCGCGGCTTGCCAATGGCCATGCCTAAGCCCACAGCCCACTGCCCAGACGGCCGCCCCAGGACTACTGACGAGGACAGCTGCTGAGTTCTCAGCCCACGCCCAAGCTGTGTTTTCGCCAGCCCCGGGGCTGCTTCAGGTCAAAGCCCAGCACCAGCACCAGCACCAGCACCAACTTGTCTTGGTCTCCCTTGCGACTCGTCACCCACACTCGCTACTCGACGCCAATCGATTACACTGGTCTTTGATCTCGGCAGTCCTTCGCTGACTGTTCTCTATCAAGGTCCTACCGTACTGTATAGTCAGATGCCTCTCCAAGAGTTGAATACACAAATTCGGTCGTAGCAAAAGTGTGGCTTTGCAGACGGGTTGACAGATTCTTTCCGCCTCCTACTCTAGCAATCCAGGGTACTCCGTACGCCTCTCGAGATCCCTCGTACAGTAGAACCATCCCATCCGTGCCGATCATCACACGTTCCGATCATCAGGACATAGCGCGTACTCCCGACAGACTCCCGCGTCTGCTTTCCCTGTTCTGTCCATCGAAAGCATCCGGCTCTGGGTGGGAATCCCCGTGCTCCAAGGCCTACCCCGTTCCTGGCCATTCTACTGGCGATCAATACTAACTCAAAACCCGGCCTGTGATTCTCCGACCTACTCTGTACAGATGTCAATACCGAGTAGTGGCGACCTGCTCGACGCGTTCAGAGGTCACGTCAGTGAGATTAGTGGGCCAGCCACGTTATGGAAACCCATTCGAGATCGCTTGCTGTCATCTCGTGTCTGCGTCTGTATCGAGCAAACATGGGATCTCGGCTCATGCAGAAGAGATGCAATCACAACAATAATAGCTCAGATGGTGGTGTCTAATGCATCTAAGAATAATATGCTTTGCTCCCTACATGGCCCTGCGACTAGGAGGTACCGATATAGAGATCGCTCGCTCTTCGTCTCTGTATAGAAACACATTTCTTTTAGAAACCGTCCCGATCATTAAGGCCCCTCGGCGCTTGTCGTGCAGTACTACTAGCAGTGGTATGCACACTCCCTTCATCTTTCGGCAGGCACTAGTCAGTACTCGTCGTCACTAGACAATTGATTGACCTCATGCCGGGGGTTAGTAGAGGCCACAACTGAGACCACTGTGGAAACAGGGTCGATCAGCACAGTCCATCCCTCGTACCTGGTACATGCTCGTAGTACGTCTTTGGCTATCGAGCTGGCTTGAATTTTGCGTTTCGAGACAGGAAAGCTTCCTCCACGCCATTCATCCATCATTCATGCCACAACCAAGGCACGGGAAAAATCAGGTCCCAGGGAAATTGTGTGTGTGCGGTGCTGTCATTGGTGCCTTGCCAGAATAACTGGTGCCAAGACCATCGGTGGACGGCGCCCCGACTCGCCGACATACCGACTCGCCGACCTCCCCCTCCCTCCCCCTCCCTCTTGCCATGCCATGTTGCCTACAAGACTGGACAGGATTTGCTAAGCAGACGAGTCACTCGACGCATCCAGGTGACTTGGATGACGGGATTAAAATCATCTTCGAGACACCTAGACCAGCCTCCCCGTCAAATGATCCAGCCCTGGTCAACACTCAAGAGTCATTTCAGTGCTGATGATGTGTTGCGTGTGGCTTCAATCTTGGCTTGCCCAAGCATTTGATTACCTGCTGCTTGCGCAACAGCCAAGCCTGGCGCAAGAAAATTTCCTCTCGCGTTATTACACCTCGATGTGGCGCACTCGATGTCTGGCTCCAGGACTATTCGTATGTCCGACTTTGTGAGGAGTCTAGGACTTTGGATACCTTTCGCGACAGAGCGCTGGAATGCCGAGAAAACACCCTCAAGCGTGACTTGGGAGGCGAGTTTCGATGGCTTCAACTGCATCAAACGTCATCGGTGCAGATTCTTTCTGCCCGGTTTTTGACTGCAACCTCGTGCTTTAGCATTTGTTAAGCTCTGTCGTCGACAAGACGAATTCCAATTCGGTCAGTGAACGGATTCACTATCCTCGTTGCGTGATAACATCCGTCACTAGCAATGCGGATCACGGTACGATGTTTCTACTCATACTTCGCAAGTGAACCTGCCTGCCTACTACCACCTAGTCCCGACAACGTTGAACTTTGCAACCGAACTCCCCCGCCCTGTTTTGCACAAGTCGCCATTTGCCCCAAGTTCTCAATTGCTGGTGGCGTTTTCTGATAAACACCCAGATTGGCGTCGGCGACAACGGCGAGAAATATACCGACTGACAGGTTTTTTGATCTGTTTGGCTGGCCCGCTTATTGGGTCGGTGGCGCCTGGGAAAACTCTGGGGAAGCCCGCTTGACACCCAACCACACCACCTCGGCGTCCCGGCGAAAAACCAGGATCAAGCCTGGTTGGTAGTACTTCGATGGAAATTAGCAAGTGGCAGTTTCGGAATACATCTCAGTTTCGACCTCTTGATTGATTGTTGTGTGGACGGGGAACTCACATCAAATACTACTAGTACGGGTTACAGAGTGCATGTTTACATGTTTCTACTATTGCTCAATTTCCATAATGGTACACGGTGGCTTTCACATGCGGGTACATGTTCAAATTCGCAAGGCCTCTGATTTTAATCGGCCAAATTCCCACCACTGGCTGGTCCTAAATATGTTCGATGCTCCGAATTTCCGAAATATCGTCCAGCACAGTCGACGCGTACTGGATTTCGTGTTGCTAGTCGTTCTGTGCCCGCTTTCGTTTCTTGGTCCAGCGCATTGAATTAGGCGCTCGTGGTCTCAATGCTGGCCGCAAACAACAACACTAGTAGTTGCCGGAAACATCATTGATTACAAGGCGTCTGGTGGCGATCGGCTATGGAAACAGAAATACCGCGGCCTACAGCGTCTGGATGACTCTGGCCTTGTCTCTTCTACCCGACGTAACAAAGACAACTATTCCTAACAGTCAGAGTTTGAGAACGTCGCCTGTTGAAGCGGCAGCAATGTTGAAACTATCGGCACTGAGTCTGCGCCTGTCCATCCAGAAACACTCCTAACAAAAATCAAATACAGATCGCGGAACGCGTATCACATCGAATAAGCTACTCGTGGAAAACAACTTTGAAGCATCCACACAAAAGGTGTCCTGTTCTAGGAATTACGGTGGCAAGGTTCACACGGCCGCTGCCAACACACGACGGGACGGGTTTCCGTTCTTCGTCCACAGTGTGCAGACGCAATAATAATTCAAACCTGAGGCCAGAGTCCAGTCGCTCGTACCCCGTATCCGTTCGCAGCAGAACTTATCCACTCCTCTCTGTTCGGATGCTAGAACGAACGGGCTTGCATGAGCTTGTGTGTGGATTCCGAGTATTGTCCTCGATTCTCGGCTATCACCTGTCTCATCAGATTCTTCATCGTTCTTGGAGGTTCTTTTCCAAGATTGCCGGGTCTATGAAACAACCCAAGGCGTGGGTTGCTACCCAGGTACCAGCACAGGGTCTTGTTGTGTTGATCAGTGGAGATGCAAAATAGACCCGGTATTGAATGCTCCGTACATTGTCACTGTGATGCTGATCCTTTACTGTACGAGTACAATCATCACGACCGCCCTTCCCTGTCACGACCCAAGAGCCCACGACTCTCTTGCCCTGCTCTCGGCGCGGGGTGTAGAGGGAAATCCAGGCACGCCTGGTGGACACCCAACCGTGGGAGGCGCCAGGGTGAAAATCACAGCATGCTAAACCACAACGGGATCTGGCTTGTGTGGATGGAGGTCCATCGCTCCACCAGAACCAACGTTTCAGCCGCTTTGCCGCGGAAGCAGACCGGGGCCCTCGGCCCAATCATGACCTCTTGTCAGGCTTGCGGTTCGAGATTGCCAGGGCTTCCCCCGGCTCCACAGAAGGAAAAGGCTTGATCGTGTTTGTTATCGATAGAGGAAGCCAGAAATCGGTTGTCAAAGGGTCCTAGCCTCGGTTCTCGTCAGATTCCGGACATACGAGTACTCGTAGCTCGGTTCGGTATGGGTCGTTTGAGAGGTGTGTTGTATTATCAGTACGGAGTACGCGAACGACCTTTCGCACAATAGAGCCGTTGGTCTTGATAGACCTTGATGTTTTCAGCATACAGCAGTACACACGCGTAGTGGTCCAGTATGGCCGCCGTGGCGAACAGAGAGTCCCATTGAACATCACGGAGAGGTCAAGGAGAGATCTTCAACGGAGCATTTTTCCACCTCCAAAATAGCTATTGTTCAGTCATCGGCAACGGTGCACTGGTGTGATGCATCTAACCATTTGATATCCAACCAGACATTTGAACGAATTCAAACATGTGTACACGTGCTAGTCGCCCTGGCCCTCGGGGGTTTTGGAAAATGTTATCACTCTCTTGGAGATATCACCGAGGCCCCTTCACGCCATCATGGGACTTCGACAAAGGGCCTTGCATACCGAGCATGCGCATCTTTGGACGACCTCAACGCTCCAAGCATATTTCATCGAATCATACAGGGTATGCTTTTCACATGCTCTCTGCCACTATGTTTCGGATGCCGGCCGGGAGGCCTCTTGTGTAAGGTGAGCTTCTCCGTGTAACCCTACTCGTAGATTTCCTTTCGCCCCCGGCGCGCCTCTTCAACCTTCGGACCCGGCCAACGACAACATTCTACAAGCGCTGTGCGTGCCTGGCTGCCGGGGCATTATTGTTTAAGGCACTCACACACTTCCTCACGTTGTCCAGATCCGCTTGCATGCATATAATGCCATACGTTACTCGCAAGTGCTTACGCTGTGCAGCCGGAAGGAACTTGAGGATTTCGAGTTGGTGGATTGGCTAGACATCCAAGAGATCTGCATGAGGTTATTGGAGATACCATTGCTGGCCAGCGACCTGTTGCCATCGTGAAACTGCCCCCAGTGGGAGGTTGGCACTTCTTTCTCATTCGCAAGCACGAAACCGTTCGAGTGAAACGTCTGATACAGCCACTCAGCAAGTCTCCTGGTCGCTGACCACCACCCCATTACCCCATGATCTTCGACTGGATAGGAAGGTCACGACCGTCTCAATTTTGAGGCTCTAGTCTCGATGCAAAGAGTTGAGAATCCACCTTGTGAGCATACCAACACGCTGATCGCTGATCTGGCCCTTGCTTGAACGAAGTTGCCTGCTTGCTGATCCCACATGGTTTCGAACACGTCTTGCGAGAATGCATTCTCTGTCTTCCCTGACAATCCCAGTCTCTTGATGCCGAACGTTCATCAAGCTATGCCCTCGAAAGGGAAATCCTTGGTGGTAAGAAGCGAGTCGTGGGTAAGCTCAGAAACTATGCCCAAACAGGTGGAGAGCAGTTCATCCCCCGTCTCCTTTTATCGATAACCCCAATGATCCTCGAGGCGCGATTCATTGCGGAACCATCGGTCTCCAGTGTGTGCATTTCGCCCCCAGGCCAAGAAGCAGCAGCGCTTCACACTTTACCACAAGCGACACTGAGACGGCATCCGTTTATGGCTGGAGCGACAAAATGAAGGAGCCTCTAAGTTAATAACGAGTACTCGCCAGAAGGTCCTAAGTAAGGAATATGGAAGCGCCAAGGTTGGAGGGCGAAGTCGATATCTCAACTCTCCAGCAGGGTACAGATAATCCTACACAGGCCAGCAATGTCCTCGCCGCACCAGAATCATAAGTGGACGGCCCCCTTTCATCACTAACTAGCTTTCCCCGATACTCGCATATGGACCCAATGCCGTTAATAGTCCTTCCAACTAGCATGACTTGAATTAGGCATGTCTTGGTATACATATCGTTGCGAACACATGGATCAGCCCACGCTATCACCGTCTAAATAGAGGAGGCCCTACTCCGTACCATGTGCGAGGTACTTGCGATTACTACACATCTAATTAACTAGTATTCGCACAGCCTCGAGCGGTCTCATTTGTCGGTCTTCGGCATCCACGACTTCGCCCGTCCACAGGAATGAATCTCAATGGCCACGTATTCTATACCCCTCTCAGACACCACATTCAGGCCTCTCTTTACTTATCCTGCACCTAGTGGAAGTCCCCCAGAATGATTCAGGCCCCTACGTTAGATGCTCTCTAGCGAACGGATTGGCCGGACATTGCTCTGGCCGAGTCTCCGGGACTCACCTTCTTGGTTTGGTCGCCCCATGCAAGCCATTTCATTGTGGTTGCTGAGACTACAAGGTACTATCTAGTCAAGCGCCTACTATAGTTAGCACAATGCGAGTCTAAGGATATGTTAGCTCCACGCTACTTTTATCAACAGGCTTTGAAATAGCATGTTGTTACTATGTGCGCAATTCGCTCCCTTGCAGGCTATCCTAAGGAACAGGCCGAGTACTAATTATGAATGCCTCCTGGGATGCATGCGCACGCGTGTTGTCTCCGTGACGAAGTAATGAGCTTGTTTCCGCGTGGTATCTGTCAATTATAGCCATGCCAAGTTCTATGGCACCGCTACTCCGTCCACGCTCGGAAGAAGAGGCCCCTCTTTGTTTACCGATTGACTCCTGCGGGTATGACGACCATTAGGCAAAGCACAGATGCCTCCTGGAGGTGGTTCTGAAGCCAGGGGCTCACGCAGCATGCATAACATACCGCGAGGATGTCACCGTCGAGGGCGCTACCTAGATTTCGAGTCACCAGAGGCCGCCTATCCATCCATCTGCCTCTGTAAGTCTTGCCTACCTTGGCTGACTAAACCTTCTCGAGGAAGGGGTGGGTTTGGGCACTTCATCTCACCCTGCCTTGTCGATTATGCTCTCGAGGATCAGTCAGCCTTCTACAGCCAACCTCCCTCAGTCTCTGCCCCGAATCGGCTGTGGCGCCCCCCCCATGAATCTTCTACTGCGCAGGGCTGTGTGCACACGCGGGGATTCTACACATCGCTCGGACGTAGTGCCGCATCATTACGAATGGATTTGAGCACCCCGAAGCGAAGGTAAAGTAAGTACATACCTGGCCGAAGGCGCCGAACCGTCGTTCGCACCGCGGACCTGCGGGGCCGAACGACGTACATGTCCACAGACATACATACTGTAGTCGATATTACAGCGCTGGCATTTCGGAAGACGTGTATCTCTTACACCGGTCGGACCTGCATTTTCCATTTGCCTTGGGTCAGCAAACGCTGCTTAGGAGAGAGAGGGTGGGCGTGTGCGCCTCCGCAGACTGGGTTGTCCGGAGGGGCAGCCATCCTGATACTGAGGCCAGTAGTATTCGGACGCTAGAATACCGTACCGCCCGTGACCCAAGGCTGCGAATCTCAGAAGGGGTCGTCGTCCTCGGCGCCGAGACGGACGCGAGTAACGAGACGATGTTAGGGACTCGGGTCGACATCAGATGGATCTCTGCAAGGGGAGAAATTGGCCACTTAACAGTTGTACACGCATGTTGTGTACGAGCTACCCTATTCTGACGTAGTATCTCTGTCTATGTGAGGATAGTTTTACGCCATATACCCAAAGTCCCCGACAGAAGTAGGCATCGAAATAATATTCCGCCGACAAACGACATAATAATTCCCAGGTTTCACCGAGATTCGCGCCAGAATTGGCCAACTGGCTTCCTTGCGCCATTTGGGCAATGGGTGATCAGTAATTCGATCCAGCCCTCAACGCCGAGGCGAAAGAGGCCACGCTTTGCCAAAGTATGCCTACCGGTATATGACTGGGAGATTGGCGCGCGTGAAAGGCCGAAGCGGAAACCCAACGTGGCGAACATAACCCTTCCCCATCGGCCCCCGCGGAGGAGTGAGCATCACCTAACCACACCTTTGAGCTGAAGTTGTTTGGATATACGAGATACAGCATGGGCAAAGCAATGAGCCAAACGAAGTTGACCTGCCAGTTAGCACTCTGTACCCACCTGCACGTAGGCACCGAGGGCGAAGGTGAGACAGAGGAAGCTGGTGCGTTCCCGCTTACCGCAGCCTTCTTTGACAGCTCTATGGTTGATAGCTATCAAGCCTGCCTGTGCTGACCCGCGCTGACCACTTTCCCGCCACCTCCATCTCATGTCACCACGTATCCTGTGTGCATATCTGCATGGACGTCTGCCTGTTGCATCCTATGTACGCATGTATGCCTTGAGACTACGAACCATGCGCGGCCCGATCCTGAGTATGCAGGCCGGCGGAATCCGTTGGTGGGTCCTGAGGAGACGCCCCGGGAGAGGGGGACGCTGCCCTCATCCGCGGGTGTCGAAGGGACGCGACTATGCGATCCTGTGTGAAAGAGAAAGTGGAAGTGCTCCCCTAATGGAAGTAGGTAGGCAGAGGCACAGGCAGAAATGGAGGGAGGTGAGATTGAACAACACACGGCATCATGGCGTATTCTGATCCATTTCACGATTGTTCTGTCTACCTGTGTACCTGCCTGCCTGCCCGTCAGCACAGCCCAGCCCTTCGCATCTCCCTTTTGCACCCTTTGAGGCTTTGGGCTTCATGCATGTAAGAGGGATCCAAGAGATGCACGCGTGATGTCCGCTGACTTCCAATCGGGCGACTCTTGCTTCTAGGTCGGCACAGTATATACTTCTGTCAGCTCGATGTGCACTCAGTCAATCGACTCGGTTTGGTTTGGCCTTCTCGTGTTGTGACTTGGTATCCTAATCCACGCTGCCAATCTCTCCTTTTAGTAAATGGACCCTCCTTTGGGCCATTCCAACGGGCTCTCAAATGGAGTATCACCATTTTCAGTAGATGAACAACGCACAGCGCAAAGATTCTTCTGTAAGGACCGTCGTGTGCTGCGCCTGCAACTTCGCCCTGAGCGAAGAGATGGCTAACGTGCGGACAGGCTACGGCTACCAGCCAGAGGGTGCCCGTTTGTATTGTTTTCTCACCACGTTTCATTTCTGTTCGTTGTCCTCGTTACGCTGTTCCTGAACATTAGTGTGTTTGCCACCCTGTTGACCTCCTTCTCGCAATCCATGCTGCGAACACCATCCTTTCGTGCCAGGTAGGATGGTTTCCGTGCAACATGATGTGTCCCATGCTTCACGCAGAATCCAACTTCGCTTCAAGCTCAGCCACCCTCTTCAACAATGCGACTTCGCGGATTGCCGTGGCTGACTGCTCTTGAAGCAAGGTTACGACTCGGTCGCTGAGAGCTGCGGTCTCGCAACGGAGGTGTTTAACGCTCTCCCGTAGCATGTCTGCCTCGACGTACGTGCTGTCTTCGACCAGGCGTGGCCGTTTTCGCAGATTTGGCTTGATCGCCATCTCACAGGCTGCTTGATCACTCTTGGAGTTGAGGGAGCTTCGATGAGGGGATGTTTCCAGATCGTTATCCTCGAAGAGGTTGGATACGCTATCTTTGTACGATCCATCTTGGGTTGCGGGGTAGATCTCCTGCTCGTCGTCGTCGTCATCGTCATCGTCGTTGTCATCATCGTTGACTGCGGAGTCTTTCTTGTCAAGAGCGTTGGAATTTTCCACGGATTCTGTAAGGGCCTCGAAGGCGTCTCCGACACACGCTCCAGGTTGTGACATGAACTGAGAGCGAGTGTGAACAGCTGGTCTTTTCGCGTTGTTTGTGGTCTCAAATGGACTTGCGGCTTTCATGCTCGACTGGCTTGTCACCCATTTCGAAACCCGTCTTCGGGTTCGCGAACGTGCTGAGCTCTGCTGAAAATTTCCCTCACCACGACTCATCTCTGTTGCCATAGTCGCAGCGTTCTTTTGTCGTCGTCGTCGCAAAACATTGTTCGGATGTGTTTCTCGGGTTTTTGGCGGCTCTGATTTGACGGCCACTTCCTCAATTCGATGATCTTGTGGCGACGCAGCAAATATTTTGGTAGGCCCGCGATATCGGTACATCGAACACGTCATCTCGTCTTCGACGCTGAAATCACTGGTTGAGTCGCTGTCGCGAATCAAACTCGCATCATATTTGCTGCCGCGCGCTATTTCATCATTGCTCGGAGTTCTGGGCTCGTCCTCGTTGTCAGAAGTTGTGAAAATTTCCTCGTTATGGTCAGTCTCGGGCTCGTCACCAAGACCTTGATCACTTGCGGTTTCATCGGTGTCTCGTTCCTCTGTTCTTGCCATATGATCTGGATTGAACTCAAGGTTCTCATCAGAACTAGCCTCTTTGTTGGACGAAGCTGGACTGCTTAGATCCGTTGCCATAGTCCGCATCCACTTCGCCGCATAGATCACCATCCAACACACATGACAGCCACGAGTGATTGTAGGCCTCTCTACGCCGAAACCGTGGGTATTCCAATCACCGTTTTCTAACCCCTTATCATGGCGAATCACCATATTTGGACACACTTCTTTAGCACCGTTAGGTACAGGGTTACTGTGACCTCTCCAGGTAACACATCGGGTAATTTGAACGTTTGCCTCATCATGATTACAGAAGACATATGAACGAAGGTAATTGTAGGGTGGACATTTATCAATGTGGTAGAAGCACATTTTGAGAAGATGGAGGCTGCTGTTGTAAAGGAATGCCGGGTGAAACGGAGGGCCGAAGGATTACAGGAGGTTGAGATCGTTTTTCCAGAACGTTGTGGTGTTCAAAGGAGAGTGATCGGAAGTAGTGGTGAGCTAGATGTTGTTGAGCCAGTTCTGGTATGCGTCCATGGAGTCCATCAGAGGTCCAAGGAAGTAGACGGACCTTTTCAAAATACTTGTGGCAACGATCAGCAACCAGTATCTCATCAGAGTTGTGTTTGTTGCCAACGGAGTCTAAGAATCGAGAAAGGAGATAGTTGGGTTGCCCTCTGGTGCGGTTTTGGAAAGTCGAATTGGATACAAGTGAAGTCCATCTGAAAGTAAAGTGAGGACTCAATCCATCACTAACCACCAAGTGGATGACCCTGAACGTCCAGTTGAATACAAATCCCGAAGTGAAGAGGAGTCTCTATGAGATTGAAATTTTATTCATTCCTGATGAGTCAGTGGACGGCGTAACAATGACGTTCTGGATTAGCAATTTTGATATATGCACAAGCAATGGCTGATTTGAAGTATCGCCGTTCCTATTCTCCATGCTCTAAACTTCAAAATAGTCCTCCTCAGGATGAGCAGGGACTCAATGCTCAGGCTCAGATTCAGATGTCGATGTCGATGTCTATTCCAAGATCCATGCTTGCCAATATCTCATCGTCCATTGCCGCTTTTCTGATGGTGGGAAGCCCTCCCTTTTTCTTCTCTGCCACAGGCTTGAAAAGGATGGGATTAGGTGTCGAGCTACGTGGAGTACCGTTGGAAACTGCCGATGGATTCGGCGTTGCTGCCCGTGAGATGCTAGCTGCGGCCTTTGGTGTTCCAACACCGTTGACGGGTGTACCAGTCCTGCTGATATCACTTCCTTCGAACAGCTCATCAATACCAGGCGCAAGATGCTTTTTGACTTTTCGTGCCTTCAGCTCAGCCAATTGTGCCTTTCGAACGTTCTCGGCATTCAATCTTAGATTTCGAAGATTTAGCTCAGCCAATCGTTCCTGCTCCTTGTTGACGTAGGTGTTCTCTGCCCGTGAAAGACTTGTCCCATAAGCAAGCTTCATCGGTACAATATTCGCAAGCTGATGCTCCAAATCTGCTACTCGTTCATCATTCCCATCTGCGACCGCTTGGTCGATTTTGGCCCGAATAGCATCCTTTTCCTGAGTTCTGTAAATCTTCTCAAGAAGATCGTTTTGCTTCTGGAACTTGGTTGAAATCTCGGGGTCTGTGAATCGATGATTCAACAGTCGGTTGATTTGGTCGAGTTTTGAGTTAATGAGACCCTTTGTCGGCATCTTCAAGTCATCGTTGGCCATTGTCGATCTGTACCGCCGCCATTCATCATCAGTGAACTTCGACATGGAGCATTCGAGAAAAGACCAAGGTTTTTCAGCCTTTCCATGCCCAGCTCGTATGTACATATCTACAGGGAATGGTTTGCCATTCGACCCAATCATTGCATATGGTTTCCCCTTGGTAAAACCTTTGATCAAGCAAAGTCGATATTCGTTGACGCCAGGAGTACGACCGGGACCAAGACACACGCGGGCATAGCAGTCGGTGATGGCTTCTTCAAAGCCGGGAGTATAGCAGACCTGTGCAAAGTTGTCACGACCAACACGAGCTCTCTGAATATCAGCTAACTCTGCAATCGGGTCATCTTTGGGTGGTGTAGGTGTCCGTCTCCTGTACTTTCGATCATCAAAATCGTTATCACTCTCGCCATCTGCATCTGCATCGCTGAAGTCATTGCGAGGGGAGGCTGGTCTTCTTGCGAATCCATCCTTCTTGCGTTGTTCATCCCTAAGATTCTTCTCGGCTCGTTGAAGTTTGTAGGCTTCGATCGCACTGCTTGCTTCACCGGCACGACCACCGCCCACTTTGGTACGTTGTCGAGTACTCTTTCGCTGGCCATCATCCAAATCAGCGGCGCTAGCTTTGCGCTTATTCTTGGCTGCAGTTTTTGCTTCCTCCCGAGCCCTTGCAGCGACCAGGCGACGCAGGGTGAGATCTTGTTCGTGTCGTTCTACTTGCTCACTCCGTTGTGCCAAGATCTCTTCACGCTCAATTTCTGGTAGGGCCTCGATTTTCGTCTTGTCTGCCGAGTCGTAGTAGAGTTTCTCGTATGGGAAGATAGGTTTCTCAGCTCCTGGGCTAAAATTGGCCTCTGAATCAGATTGGGACATCGACGCGGATTCGGAATGTTGTGACAATGACGATCTGTGGGAGATGTCAGTTCGAGCATATCATTTGAAAAACTCGGAAAACTCACAGGTCATCTTCATCATCCGAGTAATTCTTGCGCCGTTTAGCACGCTTCGTAGGCTTTGCGACGCCTTTTCGAGCCATGTCTGGGGGTGGGGATTCTCTTGATGGCTTCTTGGAGCGGGCAGGTGAAGGAGATTTGCGCTTGGGGGACGAAGGCATGCTCTCTTCGCCAGAGGAGTCGCCTCCGGCAAGAGCAAGAAGTTCCGCATCGAGGTCGGCCATGTTGAAGGCAGTCTTGTGGCGAACAGTGAAGAGTGAAGTGAAAATTAGGTGACAGGCACTGCTTCAGAGACAGGACTGGATATAGGATATGCGGTAAATAGCGGTTAAAGATTAGAATTGAAATTGATTGAGTAGAGATGATGGTGATTTCTTGCTTAATGATCAAGCGGGAAGGGGAGTAAGTCGTTTCAACTCGAAAGGTAGGAGATGACGCAAAAGACTCGGTGGTTTCTCAAAAGAAGGGCGGGGAAAGATGCTGAGTCCGGGAGAGGCAATCGAATGCCCGAATGTGAAGCAAGTGGTAAAGACCGCATTCAAGCACAGTGGGTAATGAAGTCCTGGCAGAACCTTGAATGGGAACATAGTGAAGACATGTTGTTGAGTCACACGAGTCATGTCCTGGGATAAAGGGAGTGCTACATGACTCGGCAAAGTCCGCCGTAGCTACCACCTGATTAGAATAAGGTAGAGTTCTCGGTCACAATGAACATGTCAAACCACCGAAGGAACTTCCTGTCTTCCTGAAGTTATTGCTCGTTGCCTTTGTATCTTCATCGTCCAAGATGCGTCAACAAGGGCTGTTGTTGTTATCGCATCGACCCCTCAAAGTCCCTATATCATGCAGCCATCTCCCAGCATACCGGCAGATGTCTGTACAGAGCACGAATTCCGATACACAACACTCTAAAACCACCCTCTCAGATGAACAAAGGAAGTTCCTCGACAGTGCTCTTCGTGTTAATCAAGCTGGCGAACTTGCAGCCACCCTGATATACACAGCACAGACACCTCCATTGGTCAAAGCACATCCTCAGCTGCGGCCACTCATGAAACACATGTATGACCAAGAAGCTGGACATTTCAAGACATTCAATGAACTGTTGGCCAAGCACCGTATCAGACCCACTGCTATGTATCCTGTCTGGCAAGCAGCTGCATCCATTCTTGGTTGGACAACAGGTATGATGGGAAGAGAGGCTGCAATGGCATGTACCGAAGCCGTGGAGACAGAGATTGGAAACCATTACAATGGCCAAGTGCGGGAGCTTTTCCGGTGGATGCAGGAGCTAAAAGAGAAGGGCGAGGAGCTAGATCCTGAGTTAAAGGTGCTGATTGATGACATCAAACGCATCCGAGATGAGGAGTTGGAACATCTGGATCATGCCCTCGAGAATGATGCAAAAGAGGCGAAGCCATATGAGCCTATCACCGATATCATCCGTTATGGTTGCCGAAGCGCAATCTGGATAAGTGAACGGGTATGACTGGGCGATATCGAGCGAGAAAGAGCGCCTATACTCATTGACGCCACAATTCAGCAACCACATGCGATATTGACCTCAAATCCAAGTCTATAATTCGATCTTTGCCAGGGGTGATAAACTGGCACAGCTGCATCTGGCAAGAGATATTATTTCATCTTGATCGGCTCGACTATTTTCTGGATAATATGGGAAGAGCTGCTTGCTTGACTGAGTCCTTCTCACGACGAGTGATCGGCTCTTCCTTCAGGTCAGAGCTTCCAATTTCGCCACGCTCCACTTTTGGAAGAACGATTGCTGTACATGAAGCAGCCCTTGTTCGAGGTTTGCCAGTCTCCTTGGACTGAAAATACTCCTCACAGAAACGACAACGGCTCATGACCCAATCTTCCGACATTCTCCAACCTGGGCACGTGCCTGTGATATTCATGTTCAATTGCCACTCTGTACCCGGCTTGCAGCGCTTCAACACTTCCATCACGTGCTTTTCATCGCATCCGAAAGGAACCACCAATATTGACCAACACATTTTGGGTTCCCAGGGCAATATGATGCAGTGCTGGTCTTGAAGGTTCGTCAATAGTAGGACAAAGGAGGCTCATGGCAACCGGTGAAACAGGTGAAACGGTATCTTTCCAATGTCTGCGAGAAATTGTCAGTGGGCGAATCATAGAATGGGATTTGGCGCCTTACACAATATTTAGTGTCTGACAAAGCCAATGGAACCAATGAGCACATTGATCGGAATGTTCTGGCTCAAGAATGGAATAGAAGTGGGCGTACAAGCTCGGAGGAAACGTGGGAATTGGTGGGAGAAATTGCTTTCGTGGATGGGATGTTCACGGCTTGGTCGACAAGGATAGCTTTCAGAGAGAAAGCTTGCAATTACAGAATCAGATTGAAGAACCAAAAGTGCGACGTGTTTAAGGACCATGCACTCCAACCTAGAGAGGTCGGAGGGGTGGAGGGTTCCTTCACTCATGGCGCAGTCGTGATACAGTCAGTATCAGTGGTAAGGTGTACATCGGCAGGAGGAGCTGATGACTGATGGCTGCTGGCTTGTCACTGCCTCAACTCTCAACCTTTCACCTTTGTTACTAGGTATCTTTCTGTCCCGCAAGTTTTCATCACACCCAGAAAGCATTAACCATGAGGCACTGGGCTGACTCAGTACTGTATCATTAACTGCCTTCATCTTCTCTCATTAAAGAGGAGCTTGATTCTCTTCAGCAATCATCGTCCTTTATCCCATCACTGTCCATCACAACAATCAGTTCTTAAACTACACCATCCAACATCGCTGCTCCATCAACATGTGCCGATACACACTTTCTACCTGTCCCTACCCAGACCATGATCCAATCGCTGCCCTCATATTCAATCCGAATAAAGCTGAAACTTGGCATGCTTGTGACGAGCCAAAGCCGTGGGGCCGGTTGAGCTGCGGCAACCTCAGTATCGAACATCCAGCATATCCTACAGCGACCGCTATATGTCTTCTACCTACTCGTATCCTCGCTCCACGATCCAACACTATCGAATGTGGAAACGAAAAGCGCGAGCGTTCATTCATTGACGTAAAACCAAGCTCGTCCCGCACCCCTGCCATCGCTGCAAACGGAGACGAGGTCAAACCCCAAAGTGCTCAGTGCCTTTTATGTACCACAGTGCTCAAGTTGGTCTCGACAAAATCCAAGGAACTTCAAAATACTGCACGTCAATCTCTGGCAGAGCTCGAAGAAGCGATGAGCAACAATGCCGAAGTAAGGAAGATGCAGAAAGCAGTCATGGACAAGATGATGGAATTGGAGACTTTGAGACGTGAGACCTGGAAATTGACACACACTTTGCTTGTCAAGGAAAATGACAAACTCAATACAACAGGCCAAGATCGAGGCTCGACGCAGTACTCTTGCGATTGAGAAGCCTTTAGGTTGGCATTGACTCAACAAGCCTGCGATCTCACTAGAATGGAAATTGTACAGATTCACGCACCAAGCAACTTCTAGTTCTCCTCTCCATAGAAGAATTGGTGGGACGGGCCACAACGAAAGGGTTATTATTTGCGAACACGCGAACTTGCACATGAACAGAAAAAAGCATGTCACGTGTTGCTGTGCTGATCAACATAGAAACTCGATAGTCATCATTGCTGGGTTTCATATTGACCTCGATCGATTTTATGTTTGCTTGACATTTGGTCTTGTTTGTCCAAGCATAACGCTATGCCAATGGTCATGAGTTCCATCTGACTAGCAGTTTTCCTTGTCTTCTCTTTTTATTGTTATGACTGACCAAGCCCAGTCTTTCTGGACACCACAATCTAGGTTTTCCCTTCGTTTAGGTTGTAAGATGCAAAAACGTTCCATATGTTGCTGGGTGGTACGCTGTACAGAGGTAGGTGGCTTGGTGAACGATGACGATGACGATGACGTGTTGTGTTGTGTTGTACCCTTCTCCCAAATGACGAGAATCCTGCTCCTTAGTATCTAGTGCCCGAGTAAACGCCCTTCAGGCAGCATTGCCTTGTATTGTCGTCGAGGTGTAGTGTGACTAAAACAGTATATGTACAGGCTGCGGATGAGATGATCCTCATGGGAGGCTCAAGTGCGCCAAATAATGTGTTGTGATTTCGTGCGATTGGGCCCCGTCTATTTGCTCAACCATGCTGCTCGGTTTTGTGCCCGTTTCCTTCCCAAGGCCGTGCTGGTTGGGTCTGAAGTTGCCCACATCCATAGCGCCATGGGCCAGGCAGCTGCGCCGAAAAAGCCCATAAATTGTAGACCGTGCGTTGTCGCGGGAGTGGCTGATACTTTCCAGCAAAGAGGAGTCATCTTGGTAGATTTTTGTTTTGAGAGTTCGATATTAGGATGTAGTTGGGCTTGCTTGGCGGGATTCCGAGTGTTGGAGGTTCCAGTTCTGTGCTGCTGATGTGTTTCGTGGTGTGGTGACTTCCTCCTACCAAATCCTCCAGGGGCTTATGTACTAAATCCATTGCCATATCGTGAGCCATATTCCGGCGAAAGCCGCAGCAAAGTTGTAGGTGTCTTTGTTGTAGCTCATCGATGGTCACGCCAGGTTGTGGTGTGATGATTACGGCACCCCTCGCATCCTCACCTGATCACACCACGAAACCCTCACCTTGACGTAGCAACGCAGGAACAAACTGAGACGACAGCTTGGAACTGGTAATAATCTTTGCTAAATGAAGCAATTAGTTCTTTTCATATCACCTTACCTTGGTCATTGCCAATTTCCTGCCTCGACTGGCACTTGGATCCGGCATCAATAACATGCCGCTCTCTCGCTCCGTTTGCCTGAGTTTTGGGAGCGCTTGTCTGGTTGTGATCGACTTGAAACTTTTCCTCATATTGACATTGTTCACGAACACACAGCTAGATATGATTTCTTCTGCGACAGAGGCTACCAAAACGATTGCTTCAACGTGAACATGCTCTGGACAAATTCCCAGTTCGAGATTGGGCTTTTCTTCTTTCGGTTGAGACGGAGAGAGAAGGTAGCCCGAACGGGAGGATGGTCACCTTCTAACCTAATCTGGTGTTAGTGTATGCTAAATTATTCCTAGCCTGCACTAAGTAGCTGCATGAATAAAGAGGTGAACTTACATCAGCCAAGACCCTGCCACCTCATCCAGGATCCCTTTAGTTGGAGCCTGGCATCGTCAAGCTGACATCTTGATGAGGTCAACAGTTAAGTCAAGGTATCAGAGTTGGCCACTGACTGATAGACTCTCAATTGTACTTCATGTAAAGGCTTTGAGTTTTCATTCCATCGAAAATGTCCGAATCAGCTCCTGCCAATATCACCTCGCGGATGGCCAAGTTGAATCCTTTCTCGAAGTCAAGGCGTGAAGTTGATGATGAAGATGTAGGAGAAGAGATCGATTCTACGACTGTTGCTGGAGGCGGCCACAGCGCTCGCAAGAGCGATGTCACCAAGACCCAACTTAAAGTGAGCCGAGCCATCAGATCGTTTCTTATTGAGGAGAAGATCCTCTCAAAACGAGAGGCCGACCTCGACTCGGAGCATCTGAGTGACGGATTAAAAGCGTTACTCAACAAGCCGCATATCAACGTCCCAAAAGAAATCACCGACAGGGGCCACCCACTTCCCGACTACTTCATCAGTTCAAGCCACAACACCTATTTGATGGCTCATCAGCTCTATGGCACTTCATCCGCTAGTGCTTATGAGACCGCACTTACCGCGGGCGCACGCTGTGTGGAAATCGATGCATGGGATGACGATCAAAATGAAGATGAACCCAAAGTCACTCATGGATACACACTCGTGTCCAATATCCCCTTCCGTGCTGTGTGTGAAACCATCCGTGATGTCGTTGATAAGGAAGCTGCAGAATCCATCAATGCTCAAGGATATCGGGCGGCTCCAATTTTGCTGTCTCTCGAAAACCATTGCGATGCCCATGGTCAACTTCGTCTGGTCCAAATTATGAAAGAGATTTGGGGCGACAGGCTTCTTAGCTCAGCTGTCAGACAGAAAGGGCACGAGGAGCAGCAGGGTACCGGTGATCACGTTCGCCTGGATGAACTAGGTTCTAGGATCGCCGTTATAGTTGAGTATCATCTTCCAGATGAGCAGGATGACAGCAGCGATTCGAGCTCTGAATCAGAGAATGACGAGGAGAAAAGCGCACGGAAGGAGTATAAAGACAAAAAGAAAGCTGCTGTCTCGACAATCATCCCTGAGCTTGCGGAACTAGGTGTCTATGCTCAATCAGTGAAGCCTGCAGACAATTCATGGTATGATAAAGTTGAGCTCACGAACAGTCCTCATCATCCCTTGATCAACCTCTCGGAGTCCGGCCTGGTATCGCATATGCCGACACACAACGACAAAATCGCCATCAACAATTCACAACATCTGATGCGCGTCTATCCAAAAGGCACTCGCATCTCGTCAAAGAACTTGAAGCCAGTCCCTTTCTGGGGAGTTGGCGCCCAGATATGTGCACTCAACTGGCAGACATTTGGAGCGAGTATGCAGCTGAACGAAGCCTTATTCAGTGGCTCCGATGGGTTTGTGCTCAAGCCAGCAGCAATCCGAGCTGGCGGGAATGGCAAGCTGAATACAGGCCGAAAGAGGCGATTGCGACTCCATCTCGCAGGGGCAACAGATGTTCCAATCCCGGCCGACCGTCAGGCAGACGATATCAAGCCCTACGTGACTTGTTCACTTGTACATCCAGATGACCTCGAGGACAAGCCGCAGAAGAAGAAGACAGCTGGATACAAGCAACACAAGCTTGGCCTTCTTCACAGAGGCGAGAATCCACCTCCAACAGACCCCATCTGGAACGAGAAGCTTGAATGGAATTATGATGACAACGAGCTGGTGTTCCTTCGTATCATCTTGAAGAGCGATGATAGCTTTGCCAGGAACCCTATCTTCGCTGTCGCAGCAGTCCGCCTTCTCTACGTGGCGCCTGGTTGGAGATTTATCCGATTGCTGGATTTGAAAGGAAGAGAAACAAGCTGCACTCTGCTTGTGAAATTCGAGTTTGAGGATATTTGAGGTCGATCTCTGTGTTGAGAGAGTCTGAATGATGAGCTATCAGGCTCGTCAAAGCACGGATGGCGACATTCGGGCCGCCATCAAACTCCGTTTCACGGGAGCGGAGTTTTTATCGACCTTGAATCTATGCGGATCATACGAGAAAGGAGAATGAATGAGTAAACGAACGTCACTTTGATTCGTCGGATTTCAATCGGAGTTACTCTTTCTTGACCCTTGTCTTTTCCAGCGCTGCTTACACTTCCCCACTTCTCAAACATGATGTCTCAAGAGACCACGCTGCCATGCACAAGGTCTCTTCCGTTGGGTCTCCTCCATTCTAGGCTGAATTCGTCTCCGTCTACATCTGGGACCAAGTGTTGGCTCCTTCGTCATGCGCTGGACTCAAATGATACCCCATTCAGTCAAATCCCTCAGACCAGATTTGATTATGAGCTGCTTCATGTGCCTACCAAGTGAATGTCTCCCCAACCCAACCTTCCGAGATCCCCCACAACTTCTGTGCGTTCTCCAGGCTCGCGGCGTACGCAGGAACTTCAGTGATTTGGCAGTCACTCATGAACGCTCCACGGCCATCGCTCTCGGGAAGGCTCAGTTTAGGGTCAGTTGCGGCCACCAATGTGGTACTGGCACCTTGCTGCAAGCTTTTGAATACAAATCCAAACTTTGTCTCCAAATTTGGGAGCAATTTCTTGAAGCCCTCATCAGCGTACCTGGTAAGCTCGGTCTTGATCTCACCAGGATTCACACTGATGCTTAGGACACCGTGCTTGGCATAGACTTTGTCGTTGAGGCCGATGGCGAAGAGAGCATTGGCGGTCTTGCTGGCGCCTATACGCGACATACAGCCGCACAAGGTCAGCTTACTAGGCCAGTGTTCCCATGAAGCAATCAATCAATCAATCATCCAAGAGCTGCAACGGCAGGGCACAAAGGCCGCTGGCGCCGTCTATAGGCAAAGAAAGGTTGAGACTCACCATAAGCCGGGAAAGCGAGATACCCATCCTCTTCATCAAAGCTCAAGTCAAAGGCCCTCATCATCGCGAAGTTCGGTCTTTGATCCTCTGGTAGTTGTGAGGCCTTCTTCTCATAGCGTAGATCACCGAAACGAACCCCTGATAATCTGACTCCTGAACTACTGAGATTGACTACTCTCACCGCGCCTTTTGGTGCGTTCTTCGCCGCGGCGATGAGCTTAGGGAAGATCAGGTTAGTAAAGAGGAAATGCCCGACGTGGTTCGTGGCCATGGTGATCTCAATATCATCTTCACTAAACGTGCGCGTGGGGATATTCATGATCCCGGCATTGTTGATGAGCAGATCCACTGTCGGAATGTCTGCCCATCCGAGAACTTCGGCTGCAGCAGCGTGGACGGATTTCTGGGAGCCCAGATCGATTTTGAGGGCACGGAGGTCGATGTTTGGATACTTGCTACTGAGGGCATCGATGCATTCCTGGATTTTAGATGGCGAGCGCCCTGCGAGGATCAGGTGCGCAGGCCTCTGTGAAGCAAAGGCTTCCGCGGTGCTGTAGCCGATGCCCTGCTTGTTGACGCCAGTGATGATGATCGTGCGACCTTTGATAGCTTCCGGAAATGCTGCTGCCACTGTGAACGCCTCTGTCTCCTTGCCATACTCGGCATAGGTGGTGGCAGTCATGTTGTGTATGAAACGGGTAGTCTTGAAGGTTCTCTGATCAAGTATATAGAATAGGATTCACTTGACGAGAAAGAAGTACTTTGAAGTTGTGAATGATGAGAGGCCAGGCGTTGAAATGATCAGATTGTTGCTCGTATGCCGCGAAAGACACAACGCTTCCCAGTCTGCACAACAGTCTCACTTCTCTCTTATATACACGGCACTGGTTGAGTTGCCTCCACGGCGAAAGGGAAATGCTCTGTGTCCATGGGCTAAAATACCAGTCTTATATCCGGTACCTGCATGTTAATCCTACCGCTAAGTGGCTAGTTAGAACTTAGCCGCCCCACCGACTACCTAGAGTGGATACACCCTGGTCATCCCACCTGGGTCTATCGAGCGGAGCGTTATTGCTGTTGGCAAGCAATCGACTATTTGGAATGGACAACCGAGTACGTTTGCCTCCCTTCTTTCTACCAGTGTCTGCCGTAGACAGAACTTGGAGTCTACCCTGATATCCGACTTGGTTTAAGGTTGTTTCCAGATGCATGTCTAGATGGGTATTTGCTCCTAATAGACAATGTTTCCCAATGCGGGAGCCGTTGTCCTCGAGAAAGACGCCTGATGTGAGATCTATGAGTATACGAATGCGAATGATTAGTAACGTAAAGGGGAGCGATCGACAAGCCGCCCGGGTTGGCAGGCAGATCTAGTACTCACATACTTCACGCCACACTGGCTGCCTTGTTTGAATCTTCGAGGCCAATCACTCGTTTGTGCCGCGTTCTGCGGCTTGATGAATATCCTGATTTGATGATGTACTGTTGACTAAAGGCCAGAGATACGAATGCTATGCAATGCTACACGAACAACGGTGGTGATGATCCCTTCTTCCTGGCACCGGAAGCGGAGGTACGTCCTAAACACGAAGGTTCTATCGCCGTGAATTGCAAAGTGGACATTAGTTTCTGACTGTCTTCAGCACTGACTTGTATGTGGTTCTTCACAAATGTCTCGCTCCTCCCAGCCTAGGCTGCTGCTTTGCACATATTCCGCTCCACTCATGCCAACAAGAGCCGGCAGTCTACCCTCCCGGGCCATCGCTTGTCGCTGTTTGGTTTTTGAGATATTGCGGGCTGGCGCAGAATAAACCATAGACCTAAGGGGTAGTGTCACTAATGTCTTTGAAGATACAGGTCATGCGCATTTCGTGCAAGCCGAGACACGTTGTGCATTTGTTTACTGTCGCGAGTACTTATAGCAAATTTGTGCAAGTGAAGAATAGGTGAAATTAAGACTCAAGAGGATAGACTAATACATGGCGCATTGACGTTGACGGGCGGTGCAAACTACACCTGAATAGGCAAGGCTCTCCAACTAAGATTGGTCCGAGAAAGGGCGAACTCGGACGTAAGGTGAGTGACTTCGATTCCACGGGAAATGGCATTGAAAATGGGGTCAAGTCAGGGTCTGATGTCTGTCCTGGTGGAAGCGAGACCCAGCAGCAGTGAATCAAAAAAGTGGCGGCAAAGAAGGGAGTCATACAGGACGCCCCGAAGTATGCCTGTTTTCGACTCTGGAGCACATTGTTAGGGAGCATCGTAGAACGATACGAAAGAGATGTAAGCTCTTCGACATCAGACAGAATTGTCACCACCGCATCCTTGCCGGCTTCGGTAAGCTGAAGTTAGAGTGGCTGCTTTCACCCTTCACCACTGGGTCAATGTGCTATAGGTGGAGAGAGCCTCCCAGGGAATTCGCCGCGGAAGAGTGTACACAGTGCCGATGTACTGAAGAGGCCAATTGAAAGATCATAAGGAACAATATCACCGGTGCTGGACCAGCTGTGAACTCCCTCCGATGAAGCTGGGGCTGGAGTTACAAGGGCTTGAGGTTTGCTGGGTCATCGACAAGTCGGTCGTGGTTTTTTCATCATCAGCTGTTGGTGATGCATTCAGAACTGTTTCCTGTGCAATGAAAGGAACATTGATAGACAGATCCCTAATTCATTGCATGCGTTCCAAATTTCGATGTAGCGACATAGAATGCCGCCACCCACGGATTCGATCAATGAATTTCTGTTCCTTGAACCGTCGAGACATACAGCCCGGGAGGTTGAGAGAGCTAGGCGTTTGTGATAGCAGGCAGTGTCTAAATAGATGCGAAATTTTAGTGTTTCTCGGGTAGGAATCCTACTTAGGAACCTGATAGATCTTCGACTAGGTTTGAACTAATTGGGGCAAACCAGCAGCGCTGATGCAAAGATAGGGTTTTTTTATGGACCACTTCAGCGGGAGGCGAGTACTTAGCAATAGAGTTGGGACAACAACAATGTGTTACAAGTTCCAACCAGGTGATTTAACAAAGGCTCGGAGAGGTTTGAGCAATCCCGAGGTCCTACTTTCCATGACATGCATGCCAAGCTATACGGAATATATTTCCCCCGGCCCGACGCAAGGAATACTTGCAGCCTTGTATCGCCTTGCGCAACACAGATCCAAATTCAGTATCCCCTCCAGACTACCACGTCATACAGCAAAACACGAAGGCAGAGACCTTTTGCACGAATATTTTGCGTAAGGATGCCGGTCAAGCCACTTTCGTTCAAAGGCGACGCAAAAAGGCCCAAAAAGAGAAAGCAGCGCAGTTACGAAGACGAGCACGACTCAGGTCCTCCCGCTACAGTCGACCCGGCCGACGATGACTCCTGGACAACACCCGACCAGGCATCTGACCTCACAGGCCCCACACTCATAGTCCTACCTACCACTCCACCCACATGCCTTGCATCTGACGCACATGGAAATATCTTTGCCTCGCAACTGGAGAACATGGTCGAGAGCTATGCAGAGACAGCTGAGCCGCATGATGTGAGACAAGTGTGGGTTGCCAGCACCGTGGCCGGCACCGGGCAAATCAGCTTCAAGGCAAGTCATGGCGGGTATCTGTCCTGCGACTCGATAGGTGTCCTGGGCGCAAGACGCGAAGCACGAGGCGCGGAAGAAGGGTTTGTGGTCGAAGGCGCCGAGACGGGCGAAGGTCGTCTCCGTTTCAGACTGCGGACTACGGCGTCGAAGACTGCGGACGGAGATCAAGGCCGGCGCTATCTGTCTGCGACGGTAGAAACAAGTTCCAATCCCTCGAGGGTGGACGGCGAGGATTCGATGAAGAAAGTATCCATCTCAATACGTGGCGACGGCGAGGCGGAGTCTGACACCACCCAGGTCGTGTTGAAGATGCAAGCAAGGTTCAAGCCACGTCTGCAACAGCACAAGGAGACCAAGGCCAACGAGAAAGTCAGCCGGCGTGAACTTGAGCAAGTTGTTGGGAGGAGACTTGACGATGACGAGGTCAAACGGTTGAAGCGCGCGAAGAGGAATGGCACCTACTACGAGGAGATCCTTGATGTCCGGGTCAAGGGGAAGCATGATAAGTTTGCCAGCTAATCTAGGGGTTTCCGGCCTCGCGCAGAGTGAAGCAAGAAATAAACCTTTCGATTGCCCCTTCAGAGCTAGCTTGCTACCGCAGGATGTGTCCCTGGAAGAGATAACCGAGAACAATACCAACTCTGAGACGACTAAATGGCGATTACCACTCACGAAATTGCAACGGAATGTTCATCTACTTTTGCAACTCTGCTATCCCTGTCGCCAAGTTCGTACACAACTTGCAAACGACAATAGCAACATCAACTAAACAAAATATCGCCTGTGTGTCCAAAACCAGCCTCAGGTATCATCATCATCATCATGTTCCATAACACATGATGCATTGGAAGGTATCGTTGTCCAGCACAGCAGTTTCTAACCCCACCAACGCTATGCTGCCCAAAAGAACCAAGATGAATCATCACATATATACAACAGAAATTCATAAGTCATTCGTATCTGGGGATTACACGACCGACGACTCGACGCCCTAACAGATCAATCAGTAAGCACACGGGATTTATGCCGGACAAAACTCACATAAAGGTCTTGAAATGTCGGCAGTTCGTGCTTCGTTAGCCTGTTGGTCGTAAGATTGCACTTGTTGGCGTGCAAGTCGTTCTCGCCGCCAGGCTCTCCTGGCAGATATGCCTTGTGACCGCACTTCTGCAGGCATCTCCTCCAACTCATCTTGGGTGGGTCGGCGTCCTACAGGCTGTAGTGCGGATGCTACCCCGTGCGCCCCACTAGCGCTCCCATTTTGGGCGAGCCTGTTAGGGGCAGTGGACATTCTTCGTACGGTACTGCGAATTGCGGCAAGCGGCGTAGGCGAGCTGCTGGGGTTGGATTCTGGAGGAAGGGCCTGAGCTATTCGTCGCTCCCGCATTCGTCTGACCAGTCGTTCCCTCCGAACCATCAAATTAGTCACAATAACAGGACAATATCCTGCAGGAAGCGCTGATTTCTTGCACATCGGACATAATGAGCTATTATCGCGAAGGAACGGATCAATGCATTCAGGATGGAAGATGTGGTTGCAGGGAAGCTCTCGAACGGTTGTTTCACCGTTTACGAAGTCATCAAGACATATCGGACATGTTGACTGCGTGAACTGAACTTCTCTTGGTGCGGATGAAACGCCAGCAGTGGTGTCATTCGGCTCTGGCTTGACAGTATTTTCAGTTTCTCCTGCCTCAACAGTTGTCCCTTCAGCTTTGGGAGTGAAGAGATACTGTGGCATCTTATCCAAAAGGTCCTGGGGCACATTGAGCCTCTTGATGCCTAGGGCTTCGAGGTCCACTTCGCCATTCGCGACACGACGTTGTAGTGCGCGGCGTTGCCTGCGTTGCACACAGTGCATCAAGACAGAGGTCACTAGAACCACCGCGAGCAGAATGGCCAGTACAATAATCAAGAAAACCCAAAGTGACGGGATACCGCTGGACTGACTGATGTCCATCCTTGTGTACAATCTGACTGTGTCGTTGGGATTGTATAACTGTACGAGCTCCTCACCGAATGGAGCGGAGGACATGTTTCCAGAGTATTGTCCTAACTCACCGAGAAGGTAAGCCCCAAGCATCCCCGGAAGGCCATAGATGGGGAATTGATTGGCGGATTTCCACTGGCCTCCATCGTTAAGCGACCACGAGGCATCATTGACAGGCGGAGGCTGGTTGCTTTCGTTGTCTGGATGGAAAAAGATGGCGCCTCGGGCGTTGTCGAAGCGGATGACTTCCAGGTAGGATTGTACGCAAGCAGGCTCGGTCCATGGTGCGACTGCAATTATTGGATAGTTTCCGAGGGGTATATTCGCGCGGGTTGTCACGTTGGCTGGTGCAAGAGACTGGGTTGCATTGGTACATGGTGTATCGGTTGGAAGCTGGGGATAGTAGAGTAGGCCCTGTATAACGTTCCATCTCTGGGGATTGTTGGCCAATAGGGTGCGTATAACACCAGAGGCTCTCAGTGAAAAGCCATAGGCATCCTGATTCAATTATCAGTCACTCATCGATTACCTGTGTGACTAATCTTGCTAGGCATACCGTGACTATCCGGGCGCCATTAGAATTATCGTACTCAGGGTTTGGGATAACAATGGCGACCACGCCAAAGTCTGAGACAGCTACAAACATCAGAATACGTTCATGATATGTAGAATGAATGCAACTCACACATCGTGGCTCAGTGCCGGCCGGCCGCGAGGACGAGTTAGCTGGTCAACGTCTCGAATGCATGCTCAGGGTACTAGTGCGAGGCTGTTGGCTTGGTCCGGGGAGTTGCAGCGGTCAAAGGGTGTTGTACAGCTGCCGACAGAAGGGTTATGGGCGGGTTACTGCATGGAAGATATTGCAACAAATATTCTGGGAATCAACAATCGAAAAGTGGCACAATGGAGACGACAATGTCGATGAGATGACCGAAAGACTAGTGTCGAGGAGGGAGCGCAGGAAGGAAGGTGGCGGTTACAACGCGGCTGGTCTCCTCCCCATGGGTCTGACGGTCTTGTCTCAGCTTCGTTGACGCGGAGTCTCACGTTCGTGCATCATCACCTCTGGGTGCTTCGCCTCCCCAAGCTCGCCTATCAGCCTCTAAGCAGCCCTAAGACGAGTCCATTCGTAGGTTGAGCGGGGCTATTCCCGCCTGGGGATGGCTTGTCTGGGCACCAGCCTTGGGGCTACAGACTTTGGGGAAACCAAAGCTGCTCAAGTGGTCCGTGAGCCGAGCATCAGCATTTGGCGGCATTTGAGGTTTTGGCGGATATTGGCTTGGCGTCACGTGATCTAACTCTGGCTCCGACTACAACTTGCCTCTCAGGCCCTACAACGGTACAGACACACAGCGCATCGAATTGGATCGTCAACATCAATTCTGATTCATCCAAGACACGCGACGCGTCTTCACCTCAATATTCCTGCACTTGAACACTTCGCAACTAATGCCTAGGAATTTGAAGGGCCCAATTCAATCCCCGCCGACGATATGACCCACGGCCGATCTCCTTGATTACCCTCCCACGCATTCTTACTCTCGACATATTAGCCACGCCGACCAGTCTAAGTCAAGATGCCTTCTCTCGCCAGTGCAGGCAAGGGCAAAGGGAAGAAACAAGATGCTCGTCGGTCTCGCAGTCGTAACACAACCCCGAGTTCAGTCATTAGTGCTGGCACGGCTCCAATCGGCGCGACGACAACACCTCTGCTGGACTTAGACTTGAACAAGTTACTGGTCCCGTCCAAGCCCAATTATGCTGAAGCCACCGACTATCTCGACAGTCATGGCGCCAAGGTCGAACCCAAATTGTTGCACGACATTATAGAACAATTGAAGCACTTGAGTGAATCGGCCGAGAAACGTATTGAGTCCTGTGAAAAGGCAATTCGTCTCATACACGAACAGAAGAAAGAATTGGAATCCGACCAACAAGATAGGGAGCGCCAGGCCGAGCATGCCCGTCGACAGAAAGCTCGGAAAGAAGAGTCGCAGAAGAATACCAAAGCAAAGAAGCGGAAGGACAGAGCAGAAACCCTCGACAGTGTTGAGATCAAGCGTGAAGGTATGTTCCTTATTTACCCTCACCTTCAATCTATCAGCAGTGGCATAGTCGGTTGGCTTGGCGAAGTCTCCCCTCGAGCTATCAATTGCCTCACTGTTGATGTGAGGCTGCCTCGTTTCACTTATCACTGACTTTGTTTGATAGATGAGCCTGTAAAGGTAAAGCCTGGTCGTGCTACTGGCACTCCGGGCCCTGTTGATAGCCCTTCTCCGTCGAAGAAGACGAAACTAAGCCCAGGAACTTCATCCCTGTCAGAAGTTGCCGATTCTCCAGTAGCTGCCGCTGCCAGTGCTCACCCATCTCCGGCAAAATCTGACGTATCAATGTCTGATGCAGAAGAGAACCCCGCCAGCCATGGAAAGCCTCCAATCCCCCAACAAGGATTTTTCCCGGATCCGCTTGCCCCTGATCCAATAATATACCATATTCGCGATATCACACCCGACATGTCGGATACTGAGAAGAAAGAAATCTACAGTGTCACTTCGTATCCAAAAACAGACCTCAGTGATCAAATTGCGGGCGTTCCACCTGATAAGGACTTCAGCAATGCAAAACCCAGCAACCAAGTCACTGCCAACACCTTCCTCACCTTCGTTGAACCTTATGTCCGGCCTCTCACTGAGGAAGATATGGCATGGCTGAGAGAACGCGTAAGTGGCACAAAACCTGACCAAATGCCCAGACTAATTCTGGCACAGGGCGATCGTGTCACTCCATTCTTAGCTGTACCGCGCGGCAAGCGTCACTACACCGAGATTTGGGCTGAAGAGGATGGAACCGTCTTGGTGGACAACAGCCATGACAAACTCCCAGCCAATCATCCTAGAGGGAGTGTCGAGCAAATTAACGATGACAACCTTTCATCTGATCAAGTCTCGACTGGACCTCTTGCAAGCAGACTCCTTTCATTACTTAAGTTCGAACACCGTCCACCCACGAGTGAAAGTGCAAACGGGGTAAATGAATTGAACACATTTATGGACGGTAATGACACTATGGACCTAGACGGACTCACAAATGGTCACGATAATACGGAGAAACCTCTTGCTCCTGCCTCAGCTATAGCTGATATGACAGGTTCAAAGTCTTCAGCTTCTCAACGACTTGATTACGTCCAAACCGAGGATCGACTTAAAAATGAATTGCGCCATATCGGATTTCTTGGACAAGATGAGAATCCTGATTATGACGCTCACCACGATGATGACATCAGCGAGAGAATGAGATTACTTCAAGCAGAATTACGCCGAGTCATGATCGTCAACGGTGCTCGAAAAGCTCGTTTGCTTGATCTTGCCAAAGAACGCCTTGCTTACCAAGAATACAGCACAATTCACGAGGATCTTGACAGTCAAGTGCAGCAGGCATACCTCAAACGAACTAGAACTCTTGGCAAATCAAAGAAAGGCGGTCCTGGTGCCAACAAGCCACGGCCAGGTAGCCATAACACAGCTGGTCATGGCACAGCAATGAGCGTCAATAGAGCGAGAGATATTGGTGACAATGCTCGCATGCTTATGGACCGACGTAAGCGTTGGGAGAGTTGCATTGGTCCGGTTTTCAAAGACATGAAGCACGGTATCCCCGAGCCTGGAAACAGTATCTGGGATCCGAAGATCATGGAGGCCTACGAGAAAGCAGAGATTGAAGCACTCGATGAAGAGCTTGCAGAATGATGACACCCAGTTGGTGTTGCTGTTTTGATATGCAACGGATGATGAAGCTGAAACGCCAGACATGTGACCACGCGAAGCACAGACCAGAAGTCCAGGACATCTGCATTCCGCTCCAACTTTTCATCTCCGGCACTTGATGATGGGTTAAGAACAATCACGACGATCGACCATGAGCTTCATCTAGGCTTACTCTTGCCACAATTAGTATTAATCATATTTAATACCTCCAAGGAGATTCTTCATGGATATCATTAGCACAGTCGGTTGTTGGAAAGCAATGGGACTGCAAACTGTCCCATTTCCAGCATTAGCTGCTTGGTATGTGCCATCCGTTGCACAATTCAAACCATTATATCAATGATATTGCCTTTGCACTACAAATTGCTCTTCTCTCACTGGTGCGTCCTGTATTCATGGCCATCTAAGATTTGCCCGTATACTCACCTCGGAGCATCCCTAACCATCATCCCAGATAAGCACACCTCTACCGGGCTATTGAAAAAGGGCACAGTACTCGGCAACTTTCACATAGACTGGACTGTCGGTGAACAATCATTCACACCGGAAGGCAAAGGCCGCAATGCAACGGCCCGCAGCCACATGAGGCGACCATGTAGCTGGACCGAGTTCGGTAGGAAGGGCGAGGAAGGCCCATTTAGAAGCTTATGTGCAGACTCATTCGGCGAGGAGCGTAAAGAAGGCGATAGTATGTCCTTCACTGCGATATCAAGCCCGAGAACAGTAATTGCTGCATTCGAAACTAAAAGTCCGCAGAGCCAATTCATCGACATTTCTCTTGAGGTCGAATCGGACATTTTTTGACATCGACCACGCGTGTAAAGTCCAGCGCTCTCCCAAGCGTCACCGGGCAAACAATTCTTTGGGCTCACCAGCCATTGTACATGCCCCAAATTTCCAATACGCTCCGTTCAGCCGCGACACCCAATTCCCCATGAACGCCTTGGCCACTTTTGGGACTTCTGGGAAATCCTTCCAGAGACCGCCCTCAAAGGTTCGATCCAGGTTACATAAATAAAATGGGATCCGTGTCACCGCCGAGTGCAAAGTGAACTTCCCAATGCTTTGTTTGTCCCACAGTCTGTTGAGGTGAACTTTGTCTCCGTATTTACTCAGAGCGAGGAGCGAAGGTATCTCGTCCGCCAAATGCTGGTGTAGGGTAGGGCCGAAGGAATCGATGATGGATCGGAGGTGGGGACCGGAAAAAGAGCGCTCTCTGCCCTTTAGGGAACGCAGATAGGATGCATATTCCTCGATTCCGTCGGAGAAGATTTCTGTCGGGCTCCCGGGTTCCTATTTAGCTTCACGGCATCGATACAAGATGGGGAGATGGGGAATGCAAGGAGAATGACGACGACCGGTACTGACTATGCTGCTCAACATTCGCGTCCATGATACCCTTCTCGCCTGCTGCCTCCTCAATCCAAGGGAAGAACTCCTTCTCCTCGCCGGTATGATGTGCATCTATCGCGTCATACCAGCAATACGCATAGCCCACGAAGGCCTTCTTATCCCCGTCCTTGACATATGGCGCTTGAAGATATATCGTGTTGAGAGACCTCAGCAGCAGGTTGTGGAAGACCGCCATGAAACTCGCGGCTTCGACGTACTCATCCGTATCGGAGTCTGACTAAATATCCCAGCTTGTTCATCAGATCTCCAGATAGGGCAGCATAGGTACTAAATCAACATCTCACGGTTAGATTCTTACGAGGTTCTGCGTGTACTTTGGCGTGGGTATCATCGTGAACGGCCTCGACGCCCATTCAAGGGATTCAGACGGGAGTGCCATCTTGGTCGGCGTGAGTACCTGCGAAGCACCAGGAGCCCGATCTTTGGTCACAAATCTAAACAGTAGGAGAGGAACGGCAGAGTACGCTGCCAGCAAAAGTGCTCTGCGAGGTGCGGGTGATACCCGCGATAACAACATTGCCTCGAGCCCAGGGCAGATTGTTCAATGAGTGGTGTTCTTCAACCAGGTCTTTATTCTCTGGCAGGTCCCTTGAGCAATTGTCCTATCGCCGAGGTGATTGCATCCGTATTCGTATCTGTACTTTGCCCTTGCTAGAGCCACTGGTTGTTGCTATATGCACAAGATCTAGGCTCCAAGCATTTTCAGTGGTCGTTGATGAAGGGTGTCTTGGCCTCATGAGTCACGGTGCCACTTACGCTTGGCTCGACCGCTGGGTCTCCTTTGAAACATCTTGCTGGGAGCTGTAGCCGTCGAGAATTTGCGGTCTGTGAGGATCGTCAATAAGGACGGTAAGAAGAAGAGACGTCAACGGTACTATCTAGGCGGTCCGCTAATTAACTAGATCAATAGTAACCACAGTGATTCGTACTCATAGTCCTTAGCACCATTTCACCTAGCCACTTCCACTACCTCCCTGTGAGCTATCTAGTCTCTATGGGAAGGTAGCTTGTGGGTGATTTGGGCAGGAGACTTGCGGTGATTTGGGTAGGAGACTTTGCTAGAGGTGATTTGGGCAGATGACTCGAGGTGGTTTGGGCAGAAGACTTCGGATAACCCGATCCGAATCTTACAAGTGTTGCGCAAGGTGGACACTCTTGGTAGTAGACTTGAAAACATCAGTAATGCTGATGCGTGTTTTCAGTACGTCGTAGGGAGCACCATGTATCTGTGCATGAAAAGTATCCGAGAAGATACCAAGTGTGTAGCAGCAGCATTCACCATGCGCCGTACCCGTATCCGTATGGAGTATTCGTAACCGTGTATAAGACATCTCCGATTTGTACTCGGAACACAATTTGCCACAATGACTAAAGAGTCCGGACACAGTTAGAACGTCGTCCCCACCGAAACAAGCGCTACATGGGAACAAATACGGAGCGTGGAGCCGTACCTAGATAGGAGCCTGTTCAAATGGTTCAATCAGGCACAAGTCGCCCGAGGAGACGGATACATTCATTCATAGTACTCCGTACTCCGTACTGTGCTCCCTCGTGAGGTACCTCCAGAGAAGATACACCGTTATACACGAATACATTATGATGCCATGGATGTTCTGGAAGAATATATTCCCGAGCATTCATCGCTGGGGCATTTAGCGAGAACCAACCTCGTATGCAGGCCTCGTTCCTTAGGCACCCGCCAAAACGGATGCCTTTTAGCCTAACTACCTTCATAGTTCAATTATAAGTACTCCATGGTTCTATGTGTTAACAAAGTGGTGCCAGGTCTGTCAGGCACCACGGTTTTAGATCTTCACTGATCCTCAATTTCTCCCCTGAGTACGTCCACCAACCACCGATCCCGTGAATAATACGGCGTTCTCCTCCCACGTATCCGTTTAGCCTTTTATTACGACTAAACTAATACTAATCGGGACTATCCCTGTACCGCAAAAGGACAACTTCGTCCATATTTCTTCTCATCAATGCCACGCCTTCCATTCTCCAAGGCCTGAAGTTGACGATGCTGAACGCCATTCAAACACAAGCACCTAACTTCACATAAGGATGAGCGCTCCTGGGGAGTCAGGCCCGTCTACTGAGCCGAAAGTCACCTCTGATGCAGTCGAGGAAACCGTCCTTACCGTCGAGGAGAAGAAAGACGAAACGGAGAAAGCTCCTGTCAGCAACTACTGGGTTCGCTCTTTTCAATTCAGCACATGGAATGCATTACTTACCGCTTATAGCGCATCATTTCATTTCGAACGAAGCAAGATGGATTTGCTCTACTCGTTGGACTTGGTTGCGCGGCTGGGTCGGGAGTTGTAAGTCGGATAAAACATCAATGGGAAGGCCTTTCCACTGACACCTCTCAGGCACTCCCGCTCATGAACATTGTTTTTGGACAGCTCGTTGGCGATTTCAATGGCTACTTTCTTCCCAATACCACTGTCACGGAAAGTCAGTTCAAAGCATCTGTCAACAGGAATTCGTCCGTTCCATCGATTCAATACAAAGGCTACATATACTAATAGAGCGGTGCAGACTGTATCTTGTTTATCTGTTTATTGGTAAATTTGTGCTTACCTACGTCTCGATGGTGAGTTCACAGAGTCCCTCATATCCACGCACCCAGTGATAACCCCACATAGTTCTGCTTTCGGACGACCGGGCTTCGAATTTCTGCGAACCTGCGACTGGCTTACGTCCGATCACTGTTTTCGCAACCAGTTAGGAGGATTGATGAAACATCAGCAGGCATCATTGCGAATACTGTTACCTCATCCGCAAACACTATTCAATTGAGCATCTCAGACAAGCTGCACTCACTTTTCTCGTCATTGTCCCTCACGATCGCTGCCTATGTCATCGCATTCAAATATTCATGGGCTCTTACATTGGTAACGAGCTCAGCGATATTGTTTGTGCTCATTGTTTACAGCATCACGACGCCTATAATCATCAAACTCGTGCAGCAGATTGAGAAAGCAGATGCATCAGCCGCGTCAATAGCAGGAGAAGTATTTAGCTCGATTCGAACTGCATTCTCTCTGGGAGCAGAAGCCCAATTGAAGGAAAAGTACTTTGCAAGTGTCGAGGTCTCTCGCGAGAAGAGTCTGAAAACATCTCTTCACCTTGGGCTACAGCTTGCGCCAATATTTCTCGCCATGTATTCAAGCTTTGCCCTTGCATTTTGGTTCGGCATCAAGCTCTTTCGCGATGGCCATATCAGCAGCGTGTCCACTGTTGTTACGTGGGTAACCTTGTGCCTTGTCTTTCCCTCACAATACTGATCTTTTTGCTAGCGTTTTCTTTTCCGTTCTATTGGTGGTGGCTATCTTGGGTACTTTGGCTGCTCCAATCATGAACATAACGAAGGCGATTAGCGTGTCAGGCACATTCTTTTCTATGATCGACGCCGATTCTGTTTCATACGATGGCTTGGATGAGGCCGAAGTATCTGCACATGAAGATATCGAGTTCAAAAATGTCTTCTTCGCCTACCCCACTCGCGCAAATGTCCAGATACTGAAAAACTTCGACGCACGCTTCCTGAAGGGCAAAACAAATGCGTTAGTTGGCCCGTCAGGCTCAGGCAAAAGTACGATCGTGGCCTTGCTGGAGCGCTGGTATGAAGTGCGCGAGGAAGCCAAGACCGACGAAGAAAACGCTACAGAGACTACAATTGCGGCTGAAGATTCGGTAGAGAAGAGCCAAGAATCCAAACCAGAGATCATACTAAATCAGGGCACAATTTCGATTGGAGGCGTTGATATCAGCGATATAAAACTCAAGTGGTGGAGGTCGCAGATTGGTCTTGTACAGCAAGAACCATTCCTCTTTAATGACACCATCTTCAATAATGTGGCATTCGGCTTACTCGGCACTAAATGGGAAGATGCTGATATTGCTACCAAACGGGAAAAGGTTGAGAAGGCATGCGAAGAAGCCTTTGCAGATGAGTATATACGACAACTTCCAGAGGTAAGCACTGTCACCCCTGGATACTAGAACTTTGCTGACCTGGCTCAGGGATATAACACTATGGTAGGCGAGAGTGGAATCAAATTGAGCGGTGGACAACGTCAACGTCTTGCAATTGCAAGAAGTATCATCAGAGAGCCAGCCATCCTCATTCTTGACGAAGCTACTAGTTCGATCGACGTTAGGGGCGAGAGGATTGTCCAAAAGGCCCTAGAACGCGTGTCACAGAACCGAACAACGATTGTCATCGCCCACAGACTCTCGACCATCCGCAAAGCAGACAAAATCATCGTGATGCGAGATGGTCGAAGTATGGAAGAGGGAACCCACGATCAATTGTTGTCACTGCCAGACGGGATATATGCAGGCCTTGTACAAGCGCAACAGCTCGAGAATGAGTCTGCCCCCAAAGATGACGAAGTGGACGAAGCCGACGACTTGGATACTTTAGTGAGGAAGGGGACGATAACGTCCTTAAAGCAGGGTGTCAGCGACGAAGCTTTCTCTTACAAAACAAGAGGCTTCTTCAGGTCTTTTGGACTTTTCCTTTACGAGCAACGACGCCATTGGAAGCTCTATTGTTTGGTCATTCTTGCTGCTATGGGAGCTGGATGTGAGTGTTTGACCCCGGATCATACATGCTTCGATGACGATGCTAACACCGTCCAGCCGCATTCTCCCTGCAGTCGTGGATATTCGCAAAACTCATCGAAGTGTTCCAGTTCACGGGCGCAAGATTGAAGGAACGAAGCGAATTCTGGTCGCTAATGTTCTTCGTTCTTGCTCTCGGTATCTCGGCGTGTTATTTCAGTTTGGGTTTTGCGTCTAATCATCTCGCATCTGTAAGAACCATTCTGAGATATCCTACAAAGCGAAGTTGGCTGACATTCTGAAGAATATTTCGACATATTATCGCCGAGACTATTTCCAAAACATGCTCTCAAATCCTGTCTCCTTCTTCGACGAAGAAGAAAATGCTTCAGGAGCGCTAATGTCTCGGCTATCCACAGACCCCAAACAGCTCCACGAACTAATGGGCTTAAACGGGGTGTTCCCTCTGGTTTCGATCTTCAACATGACTGGTTGTATTGCGATAGCGTTCTCATTCGGTTGGAAACTTACGCTCGTGACTTTCTTCTCCGCACTACCTGTCATATTTATCGCCGCATTCGTACGGGTTGGATACGAGCTCAAGTTCGAAGAATGGAATGCGCAAGTGTTCGCCCATAGCTCTCAGTTTGCCACTGAAGCCATTGGCGCATTTCGTACGGTGACCTCCTTGACCATGGAGGATTCTATCATCAACAAATACTCTGATCTCTTGCAAGCCCAGATCCGAAAGGCCACGAAAAAGGCATCATATGCGGCGCTCGTTTTCGCGTTGTCAGACAGTATCGACCTTTGTGTCTTGGCCTTGACTTTCTGGTCAGTATTATTTGAGTCAGGCTCTGCGATCTCCGCTAACAACACCTTAGGTATGGAGGCCAATTACTGGCTTCTAAAGAGTACAACCCTGTTCAATACTTCGTTGTATATATTGCTATCGTCCAGGGTGCACAAGGTGCCGGACAGTTCTTCAGCTTTGCACCCAATATTGCCCAGGCGTCTGCGGCTTGTAACCGTATGTTGAAACTACGTGCTGAGGTCGGCTACAGAGTCAGGTGTATGGTTACTGGCAATGCTCTCGTACCATCAGATGTCAAGACAGGCGCAAAGATCGAATTTACCGATGTTGCTTTCAAATATCCGACGCGCGAGAGCCCCATCTATCGCAATCTGAACATTTCAATCGAAAGCGGCCAGTTCGTTGCCTTCGTCGGCCCCTCTGGCTGCGGTAAAACGACAGTGATTTCGCTGCTGGAGCGATTCTACGAACCTGTCTCCGGGTCCATTCAGTTCAACGGCCAGAACGTCACTGGAATCCAAATAGCATCCTACCGCAAAGCCCTGTCGCTGGTATCACAAGAACCACGGCTATTCGATGGTACGATCCGAGAAAATCTCGTTCTCGGCCTCGACTCAGCCGAAATCACGGATGAGATGATCACCAGCGCCTGCAAGGATGCCAGCATACATGACTTCATAGTCTCGCTGCCGGATGGCTACTCCACGTCGCTGGGTATCAGCACTCAGACCGCACTGAGCGGGGGCCAGAAACAGCGCTTGTGTCTAGCGCGAGCACTCCTACGGAATCCCCAGCTTCTCCTCCTGGACGAGGCGACTTCGAGCCTCGACTCGCAGTCGGAGAAGCTCGTGCAAGCGGCGATCGAGCGCCTGGTCGGGCATCGCAGCATGACCGTCGTCGCGGTGGCACATCGTCTGGCGACTATCCAGAAAGCAGACGTCATCTTCGTCTTTGGTGAGAGCGAGGTCGGCCGAGGCTCGCGGATACTCGAGCAGGGCACGCACAATGAGCTCTTGAGGAGGAGAGGCGCCTACTGGCAGATGTGCCAAGAGCAGGCTCTCGACCGATAACGGGATTTATCTGGGGCCCAGAATCGGCCACGGGCAAGTTCGCCCTTTTTACTTTGTCACATAGGCGGGGCGCGGGCCGGGGAGTTTTATCTCTTCACTTCTTCTTTGAGAGCGCTGCGCAAGCTGCTTGCCCGTTGCAATCGTTTGATTTTCCCCTCCTACATAAAATCTATAACAAAACTTATGTGTATCATGTCGTGCGGGAGACGCGACTCCGAAGTCGCGTGTGATGTCCCATTTATCTTCCTGTCTGGTCCGTCTATCCACTAGTCTACCGTAAGAGTACTCCGTACCTAGGCGATCAAACCTGGTACTTGCTCTGCCGCCAACCATTCTAGGTAGTGGCTTGTATCCAGGTAATACTCTTGTGCAAAACCGTCAACCCAGGATGACCGCTACAGAATCTATGCTCTCTATCAGCGACTTACGCCACCATCTATGCCGACTCTCTCAAGGACCCAGAGCCTTGGGAGTCCCTTTGATAGCCCTCCCGCTCACGTGATCTCAGCCGGCTAAGCAATTCGATAGTCACCTCAAATATCTTCGCATTCTTTCCTGCCCGAGGTGGAGCCGTGGGCGCGCAAGGCCGAAATTGAAACCGAACCTGAATTGCGCTTGTGCCACGACGCAAAGTCCTCGCGGGCACCAGGATGAGAATCAAGAGTTGCTGCTGACGCCGGCACCTTTGTAGGAGCCAAGGCCGCACGCGGGAGGGAGATCCTCCGAGTAATCAGCCGAAGTTTTGAATAATTAATTAGGATGGGAGAATCCAGCCCCCACCAGAACTCCCCCCAACACATGATCCCAGATCCCAGATCCGTGCCCAAAAAAATTCAGGCCGTGACGAGGTTGACTGTTTCGCAAATCTGACGATTCCAGAATCTGTAAGAGGGAGACACGTAATTAATACATTGTTTTGGGCTTCCAGGTAAGCCGGGATGTCTCCGATGCTTTTGGGGAGAATAAGCGGTCTGATCGGCATTCTCACCCCCATTTGATCGGGAGGAATCTTGTTGGCTAAGTCCCACATTCCCCTTTGGCGTCTTTTACTTGCCAGAGCCATGGTGAAACTTCCCAGGCAAACAGGGAATGTCTTGGGACGGCTATCATTGAGTGTCTTTGCATTGTATTCCGTGATGTGGATTTCTTGGAGCAGGTTGAGATCTCTCTAGCATTAAACCGAATGCAACTCTTTGCAAATTTGAAAGATCTATCGATTTCAAGTTGGCAACTGTTTCATCGGAAATATGCTGGTGGAGGCGTCCTCGAGGCTGTCCGTTGTCCTTGTCGCACTAGTGGCTCGGGCGCATTCGACAGCGATGCATTAAGCTCGTCACCGTCGTCCACTTCGTCGGCCTCGGTCTCTAAAACACCAACAACTACCTGGTCCTTCTGCGTCTCCACGTTCTCATACTGCGTTGTCACTGTGATCGGGATGTTTCTGGTCACCTTGTACTTCGGCGCGCCCTGAAAGCCATGAAAGGTTAATGACAGGTCGAGCGTGTATGACCGAGCGAAATAGTTCCAGCATAGAGATGGTTGCGAGATTGCATCAGGTACGGAGAGTTCGAGTGCGGAAGCCGCGACGTACGATGTTTGATTGGATTTGCTTTTGCTCGTGTCGGTTTTTTCGTACACTGGCAGTGGGCGGAAGAGGATATTGGACTTTTGAGTTGACGTGGTTGACGTCCTGTTGATAACCTCGCCGCGTAGGGGTATCCGGCTTTTCGCTCTCACCGGGATGATGGAAAAGCGGTCACTCACCTGCCATTTTGTGTCGACAGAGCATTTGAGTGATTGGCGACCGTCAATGGATGTGGTTCCGCCTGGAGGAGTGTGGATTTCCATCGCCACCGCGATAGGGATGCTGATCTGTCGTTTTCCGGTTTTCAGGTCTTGGATAATGGTGATTTCGGGCTCGTAAATGGAAACCGACAGTTTGGGGCTCTTTTGCATCTTCCAACGGGCTAGTAGATCAGGAGTGGCGCCGATGGTGAGTGGCTGGCCGTTCCATAACGAAATATGTAGGTCTGGATATAGTCCTGATATTCGTACAGGTTGGTGGAGGGACCCGACTTGTTGGCCACGACAGCGAAATTGTGCCTCGATCCAGTACGAGACCTCACATTCACCCTGAACGATATGCCGGTCATTCATCGCTGTCGACTGAGTTACGCTTGTAGATCCTTCGATAGACGTGGTAAGGGGGAGAGTTTTGCTGAGACCTGCACTTGCAGATGCGTGGGTCGGAAGCTTGAAGAAAAAGTCCACGTAGTGTGCTTGGGTAGAGTGCTTCGGGTTTGAGACGGTATGCGACCGGAAATCTCCTGCTGATTTGATATCCGTTAGAGTAATAATATCCTCCAGGCTAGTTTGTCGTCCTATGCATGATGCTATAACGCCTGAAAGTGCGACATTAGATCAGAACTAGACAGTGTAGTGGATTTTGTATTACCTCGAAAGCATAGCTGCACAGTATCAAAAGCAAGTTGTCGCACAGAATCGTCAAAGACACTCAATCGCCCACTAACTCGGCGTCGATCGCTGGGAGTATTCTCCTCGCCAGCAGGCGATGAGATCTGTAATTTGGCATATATCATCATTGCACGTTGCGAACGTAGAACAACCCAAACCACGCAAAATAGTCTCAGTGAGAGGTGACTGATTTCCTACCCGAAAGGACGAGTCGGGAATATATGGCTGTTTTGTTGGATTGGGGGTGCCAAAGGCCAGCCTGGATTTGGGTACACATATCTTAACCTTTCCTCTTCGAATTGTTCGACTAATCAGATGAGCAAGAGCAAGTGGCTTATCGAGGCTAAGCTAGACTCCTCCCGAGAGCCGATAAGTCTATGGGGGTGGACCTGTTTGTCCTGTGAAGTTATCGCCGACTTTTTGGGTTTCTGGTGCCCGCGTTCAGCAGGGCTGGATGTAGTACGAGCGGGTCGGAGTATCCCGCTCCTCAAAGCACGCCTTGTCCATGGCAAAGACGCGCAGCTGACACTTGCGCGAGTCCTGTTTCTAATTGCTTTTGTCGCGTTTTATAATCGCCTGAGATCGGTTTGCGCGATAAGCAAGCTCTGCCTATTAAGATGAGCTCGCGACCCAGTTGGCATCTCTCTCCCTACGCAGGCGAACATTGGAAGGCCAAGATAACCTGGCGCGTGAGTCGCTGCGATCAGGTCAGTAACGGACTCGTTTCTCGCCTTGGTGCCGTTTTCGAGGGAGAAATGAAAGAGCCAAGTGGGACTAGTCAGTGTCTACCCCAAGATTGGGCGATCTAACGTACAGCGATCCATGTGGGATCCAAGGCGTGTCCCATCCCCAAGGGCTGGAGCACGAGGCAGATGCATCGAATGCGCCAAAATGAGGCCCCATCAAACATGGAGGCGCAGAAAGCAGGGAAAGCCAAGGAAAAACCTCACGATTAATTTTCTAGTGCCCGCGGGAGAGATCAACTAAGTCCGTTCGGCACTTCGGCCCTCGGTTGAGTTGTTGATGGGACGGACCCTCAAAGGGGTACTGCGGACCTTGGGGTTCTTGTTATTGCCCCCCTCCAGTCCATTGACGAGCTCGCGCTGTTGGACTTTAAGTTCGTACAGAGCGTGTATATTCCCCCCCGGATAGTTTTGGCCCGAGGCGAAGACCTCGCACGAGCAGTGAGGTATCCAATGGAATCGATTAGCGAACCTTGGGGTTTAGGCTAAAGCTCTGAAGCCGCTACCTCGGGAGCTTACTACGGGCTCCAGAGTACGAATACATTGGCAAGAGATGCAGCTGTACGTACCCACTTGCAACACGAGCGTGGCCCTGGGAGTCTGGACAGCCTGGTGCTGGAGCCCATTGTTACCTAAATAGTTCTAGCGTATTCTCCAGATTGTCACCACATGACCCACATCACTGAGGCCGGGGATAGGCACTGGCTGAAGATATGCAACCCCACCTCAACAGCCTTGCCTCTCGCATCGAGCTGAAATGTCGTACAGAGGCAGGTCAACAACAAATATACCACATGTCTGCTCTATAGCGCACGGACGTGCTGGGCTGCTGGACGTGCAAATTAAACACGAACATTATGCGAAACCTGAGTCGGTCACGCACGCTGAGCGGCCGCGATACGAGCATTGAGTCAATTACCATTCCAGTCATCTTTCGAGGTGCCAGCTTCGTGTTTGAGTACTGGGTGCGTAGGATACCTCTGACTAATAATAACTCCTTTTGGACGCCGACTGCTGATAGAATAATCATTGTACTTAGCACCAGACAAGCACTGGCGTTCCCTCTCTAAATCCAGATTCAACATCCCGTGGCTTCGTCGAGATCAGCCACGCCGAGATGCTTGTTTGGACTGTTGCTTCAATGCAGTCATCCTGCCCGCGACGCACGTTCTAAGTTAGTCAATCCACACAAGGTTGTGTGACACACCTTGTCCTCTCAATTCCCAAATGCGTTTACTAAGCAGAAGCCCTTGGACTACGGAATGTCGAAGCACACACACTCGATGTACACTTTTGCTCCTCACATATTATAAGGCTACGTAGGAGGTTTGCCACACTTATTGGGTGGGTATGCACCCAGGTATGTCCTCCTTCGTCTGCTTACTCATGCTAGACAGAGAGTACAGAGTCAGGATGTGATTACTACTCGTAAGTCGAAAATGCATGGCTTTCCCCACTTCCCCTCCTGATGCACCGCCGCATAACCTGCCTCATCAGTCAACGCCAAGATCTCGGAAAGTCTAAGCTCACCAGGCATGTCGAAGTTGATCTGTCAGCCTCTATCATTCAGGTCCAACACATCTACAACCACAAAACTCGGCCGGGCTAATCTCGAACCGCGTCCAGGCCGTTCGTTCTAGATGGTGCTCTTGACCGTGTTCGAGCTCTCAAGCTCCGTGTCTAGTGCATACCATGGCCGAGCCAAGGATGTCTCAGTCATCTTCAGAACCACGGAGGGCCTGTGAAGAATGCAATCGCAAGAAGACAAAGTGTGATATGAAACATCCTGTCTGTGGCCTCTGCTTACGCACTGGGAATACTTGCCATTTCCCCTCGAAAAGGAAGAAGCCTGTCTCGCGCAAGCCTCAACTGAAGGCACAATCACGCCAAATAAGCGACAGTCTTTCCAAATTGGTTCAAGTCCTTGAAGCTGCATCTCGCTCAGAGGGCGAAGAAGGCCAATCACATGCTCGTCCGTTGATAACAAATTCAGTCCTTCGAGACTCACTTAGAGGATTTCTAGCAGAGATCGACTCGTCACAGAAACAGGTATCTAACGATTCTGAATCTCTTACGCACCATCCGCATATTCCATCATCCATTGAAGACGACGAAGAAAGCGAGGAGAAGGAGCTTAAATCCATTGAAGACGGCTCCGACAATACTGTCAATCACAGAAGCACTTCGATTACTGACCAAGACGCGGAATCAGGCACCCCGCCCAATACAGGGAAAGGGACTGCTGAGATTACCTGCTCCATGGCTGTAGATTTGGTCTGCCTATTCTTCGACAAAATTCAACCGTGGCTCCCTTTATTACATCGACCGAGATTTCAAGCACATTTTGAGGCAAAAATACTAGTCGATGGAGATGTGATGAAAGGCCTTTCTCCTGATGATGCGCTTTTGTTCTACAGCATGTTTGCGCTCTCTGCGAGATTCTCCAATCATCCGGCATTCAGCAGTGTTCCCACGTTCAAAAGAGGTCATTGGTTTGCAGAACAAGCAAGACGAATCTACACCCAGGCGCGTCCAACACAGACACCGTCTGTGACATATTTACAAGGCTGCATTCTACTCGCAAACTACTTCTATACTTCTGGTCCAACACCCCAAGGATGGGTTCTAATCGGAGTGTGCGTCCGTTTGGCTTACGAGTTGGGCTTATCAGAAATAGATGATGAAGATTGGACTCCAGTCTCTCCTATTGGAAATATAGACAAGGAGGAATTGAGACGAGCTTGGTGGTTAGTATGGGAATTGGACACCTTCGCTTCATGCGTCTCCCGGAGACCGTATGCAATTGACCGCAAGAGGATGGCAGTGACGCTACCGATCTCGGATGAAGCTTGGTTCGCAGGAACCGAGATACAATCAGCAGAGTTACTTTATCTTCAAGGCCAGTCTTGGCGATCTCTATCCGGTTGCAGTAATCAAGACGAAAGGGCTTGGTTCCTCGTGGCGAATCATTTCATGGCCACCATACACGATCGCTTGCAGCAACGACAAGATGTGTCAATGGATGAGAAGTTGACATTGCAGAATGAAATTGTTTGCTTTAAGCTAGCACTGCCAGCAACGCTTCGATTGGAAGCCGAGAACTTGATATTTACGCCAGAGACATTCGCAAAATGCAACTGGGTGATTGGCATTCATCTAATGCTCATGACTATATCTTTCATGGTATCTGGAATTGCGACTGCCGATGCCGATGATCGTAGCGTCTCAAGTGCCAACAACACAGTGTTGCCGTCATTGCGGCATCGGGCGATTGAACTGTCAAAAATAATAGGCTTTTGGGATGCAAGATACATAGCACTTGCACACCCTTTCCTTACCTGCATGACCCTACCAACATATGCGATTGATGGAGAGGTATTGAAGACGCAGCCTCTCATTGTCACAGCGCATGACCTGGCGAAGCTTGTCCTAGGCCATTTTAGTGATAAATGGAAGCTAGGTTGTGTTGTTTCGGGTAAGGCAATGTCAATTTACATGTGCTTATTGCTGACGTCTTCTAGAAATCGCAAAGATGCTGGAACGGCCTGGTTCCCTAAATGTCGAAGAGAAGCAACTCGCAAGAAGATATGCGGTGTTTTTCCGCATGCCACGGCTCACAATCAATAGCCCGGTGGGATCTACAAGCCAGAATTATGGATATGAGGTCAATCAAACCAGTGCCGGCGATCCTTCCCAGTACCTAGGAGAGATGATCAGTCATCAACAGCCCGGCCAAGCCCCAGACGAATACCCGCGGTCAGTAAGCATGTCTGACAAAGACGGAATGCCCAACTTTGCAGCATATGGACAACAGAACTTTCCGAATCTTCAAGCAAACATGTACGATGAACAAAACGACCTTGACTTTGGGTTTGCTGAATTTTTTGGTGGCTATCATGACCTCGACTTCATGCAGCCACCAATCAGCTAGGCCTCCAGCAACTGGATCTTCTTTACAGAAGAGGCTCACGGCTAACAATCTTGACAAACTACTGCACCTTCTTCTACGTCAGAAAACACTTAGTGGAATCCACTGCATTAGCTCGGTTGAGGTGCAAGTTGTCATTAGTCGAGATTCGAGAGTAGTCTGAACAAGCCGAATCTCATCACGTGACCGGCATTGTTGACGCACCGGGTTACACCGATAGCTTGTGTCGCCATGTACACACTACACGGAAAACCCGGTGATCAACAACTGGCATAAAGACACGGGGCAAGCGGGACAAAGCACGCGGGGCATACCTGGGCTAATATGATGCCATAAATGCCTTGAAGTCGACATATGAACCCAGCCCATCTCCGCACCAGCCATTTCAGTATCAAGTGCAACTATCCTCCAAATTTCCTCCTAGCCTCCTCATTCGAAAATATCGGCAATGGCGATCAAGAAAGTGCGTGTTATTCGACTTGCACACGTAACATACCAACATCCCGACCTAGAGAAAGCTCTGACATTTTTGTTTGACTTCGGCCTTGTGGAAGAACATCGAACGCAGAACAAAGTTTACCTCCGCGGCCATGGAATCCAACCTTTCCTTTACGTTGCTGAGCAATCACCTGACAGCAAGAGACATTTCATTGGAGGCTCTTGGGTAGTTGACAAGCTCGAAGATTTGGAGACTGCGGCTAGCAAGCCTGGTGCCACTCCCATTCAAGACAGTGACGCCCCAGGAGGTGGTCAAATTGTCACTCTCACTGATCCTAACGGTTTCAAAATTTCATTTGTGCATGGGCAGAAGCTACGGAAGGAAGAGCCTTCCGCAGTCCACCTCGAACAGAAATCCGACCAACTTCCATCAAACACAGCTGTACAACAGCCACGCAAGGGCACCTTTCGAAGATTTAAGCAAGGCGCAAGTCCAGTGCACAAATTAGGTCACTATGGGTTTGTCGTTCCCGGTAGTAAATTCGATAGCACACTATCATGGTACTTGGATCTTTTGAATTTGAAGCCATCAGATGCAGTCTTCAATCCACAGACAGGTAAAGAGGAAACAATCTTCAACCACATTGACCTTGGTCAGGAATATACCGACCATCACGTGAGTCTGACACGGGACGGGGTTGATCTTATGATGCTAACAAGAGAATTAGAGCCTGTTTTTTGCCTCGGGACCTGAAGAAGCTCCACCCCATGTACACCACTCCAGTTACGAGATCAATGACTTTGACACTCAGACCCTGGGCCACGACTGGCTCCGTTCTAAAGGCTGGACAAATTGTTGGGGCATCGGAAGACATGTGCTTGGCAGTCAAATTTTCGATTACTGGTACGTCTTCATCAATCATACTCTAGCTGCATCATTGACAATAAGGCTGACGCTGGGTATACAGGTTCGATGGCTCGGGCAACATTGTAGAACACTATTCAGATGGTGATTTGGTCAATGAAGACACGCCTTTTAGCAGAGAGCCCGCAGCAGCAGATACTCTGCATATTTGGGGACCGAACATCCCTTTAGGATTTTTAACAGGGAGAATCGAAGATGCTGGCAAGGAGGCTCCAAGACCACCGGATGTGCTGAACTCGACACCTGCTCAACTTCCACAGGTAGCAGCTTAGTCAGCTTCAAGGAGTTGCCTAATAAAACGTGTCCCTTTGCCCCATAGGACATGATTGGTTACGCATCCGCCTTAATGTTCTTGTGTTGTGTTGTGTCATGCTCTGTCTCGTTGTCGGATATAGCTCGTTTCCAACTAAACTAGTTCTGGAAATAGCTTGCTTCGAACCCGGTGATACCGGTCTAGCAAAGTTTCGAGTTGCACTGCAAGATTTTAAAGGGACCGGAAATTTACCTCATTCAGCTCCCCTGATGACCACAATCCAATGCTTGGTCTTGGCGTAAGGCTGCCAGGATTCCAGATACAGTAACTATGCCGAATTCAAGAGATAATTCAATCGACGTCTGAAGTTGGTGCAATAATTAATTTGGTCACTTACAGTCTCTACACTTACCGTGTCCTTGATCGACTCGTTGTATAATTGCTTCTTCAAACCGTCCAGATTATCTATTGCAGCTGCGCCTTTGCAACACGTTTGCCACCTCTCCAGGATTAAATTATCACTCAAATGCGACCGCTTGAAATGTCCTGAGAGCTCCTCATGGATCATACCAAGGCGTTAAGCCAGAGCACATGATATACAAATCAATTGGAGGTTGTCCGGGTTTGATAAAGTATCCAACTTGATGGCAGCTCGCCTCTTACGAAGGACACTGATATCATCCTTGAGACTTAAGGGGTGAGGATCGATCGAGAAAGCATCGCCTTTTCAATGCATTATGCACATCCTCTTCAGGACATGTCCGGAGCTCTGCCTTCACCAGACTCTTCGATTCATCGAAGGAGGGCGAAAAATAGCATCTCTCTCCCCTGGGACAAGGCACCGGTCATTGCCAGCACCACGAGATGGCAAGACACTCACTGGATTTGGTTGCCCCGCTGGCGCTGCCTATCAAAATAGATGTCCTCAAACTTCCTCGGCTCCCAAAGGACTCTCGTCTCGTGTCAACCCTTCTCAATCTCTCGCAGCAACCAATGCGAACAGCACGGCGAAACCGTCTCGTCTGGCCTCAATACCTGAAAACGTATTTCTAGAGCCTCAAAGCCCCGCAACCATAGTACTGGTAGACACCGAGAAAGCTTTGAAGGATATGCTTCTCAAAATACAGGGTTTACCAGTGAAACCACCTTCCCTGTACATCGACGCAGAAGGCCATAACTTGGGACGAACTGGAAGTTTGGCACTGCTTCAGATTCTGGTTACCCCGCTGAACAGTATCTTTGTTGTTGACATTCATGTCCTCAAAGACGCTGCTTTTACTCTATGCACCGATGAGAGCACCATGACTTTAAGGAAGATCCTAGAAAGCGATGAAATACCTAAAGTCATCTTCGACGCTCGCAATGATTCAGATAATTTATTCACCGAGTATGGGATATGCCTTGGTGGTGTACGGGACCTCCAGTTGATGGAATTCTTTTCGAGACGAGATGCTCCGGGATTCACGGTGTTGGGCCTCGCAAAATGCGTTGAGAGGCACTTGTTTGCTTCTCCAGATGTGATTCAGAAATGGAAATTGCAGAAGGAAAGGGGAAAATTACTATTCAACCCGAGGTTTGGAGGTTCACCGGACGTGTTTACAAAGAGACCACTATCGAATACCATGTTAGCATACGCTTCTGGCGACGTTGAGCACATGAGTGCATTATATCACAAATATCGACGGAGACTGCCTCTACGTCGCTGGAAATGGGTCCTTGAAAAGTCACGCAAGCGAGTATTGACATCGCACGCTCCTGCCTTTGCGTTGGAGCATGATAGAAGATGGGTTGCCCCTAGTTGGACTGGAAATTGGGATCATGATGCAAAAGAACCTGTCTCAAACTCTGATAAAGGCAATGCTGAACCAATCTCTCCCTCTCCTCTTCCAGGCACCTCCCTTACAAAGACGCCTCAAAACGACGCTTCGGTGGTTCTTACAACTGCAAACTCAACCGTAGAAACACCGCCTCGAATATCACAGCCCCTTTCAACTATCAAGGGACCATCTCGTCAAGCTGTGGCTTCAAGGTCACAGCGGTTGATACGCCGAATATTTGACATGTAAATTTATTGGTTGCGAAGCCAATTCGAGCTTCATCATATGACATGGCAAGGGAATGTCTTGTATGTAGCGTCTGATACTCTACACCGAACAAAACCTCCACCGCCATCAATCGTTCGAATATGCATCTCCTTATCAAGTTATAGGTTATTGCCCAATCGATGCCTGGTCGGGGTTTAGCCCTTTAATCCTGCCTCCGTCGGCCACTGATCAAGGCTACCGTACTCGGTACAGCAGCCTTTTGCAAATCATCATACGCCCGGGTCCGCCCAACATAAGTTCTCCGTCATCAGTAAGGCCCCAAGGGACCCACTGCATAATAAGCTTTGAGCCGCCATCAATTAGGCATAGTCAATTTCCAGGCTCAGGAAATCAGTATTCTTAGAACATCTCACTGCCTTATTTCGGGGCGTGCTCCAGGTTTCAGTATGCATACAAATCAAGATCTCCGAGGCCTTGAGACCAATAGTCCAAGATTAGGCCTCCAGCAAGAGGGATGTCGGAGACATTTATCATATTTTGTCTCCGAGCTTGACTACAGCCGTCTTATAAATATTTACAAGTGCGTGTGTACACTGTATCAGCGATGTATCACAATTGGAGTCTCGAAAGGCGAATCAGGGAATCAAAATTTTGCTAGTTTCATTATTGTTCCCTTCATTTTTAAGCCAAAATGACCCAGAAGACGCATATCCTCTGCGCTCCATTTCCAGGTGCCGGCCATGCAGTCAACATGTTCAACGTGGCGACCACAATCGCGAACGACGACATCACCGCCCACGTCTTGGTCCTGAGCAGGAAGGATGGAGAGAAGTGGATGCGTGCCACCGGACAAGACCATAACCCTAATGTGCACCTGCGAGTTCTTGGAAATGGCCAGTGGGAAGACTGGCATCCGGAGGAACCAAGGGAGCTGGTCATGAAAGTCCGCAGTGCCGAATTCAATCAAGCAGTGCGCGAGATGATCGAGGAGATTCGCCGGCTTTTCCCTTCTGATAGGACGACCGCGCTTATATGCAATCCTCTCATGGGAGGATTGCCGGAGATGACAAAGGAGCTTCAACTTCAACTCCATGTGTTGAATCCCACTGCTGGTATGTTCCTATCCTTGTCTGACTACAACTGTGTGATCCTTCAAGAATACGCCCTCATGAGATCTTGATGGAGATCGAGCCCTGACTCCGAATTTCTTTGATTGCTGAAAGCCATAATGGATGCCCTTCGTTCCAGCCCGTTGATACGATGTAGCTGACTTATTGTTCCCGGTTCGTCGAAGCCTACATGATACGACTTGGTTCCCAACATCGTCCCGACTTAGACTCAAGGCGAAGAGTACTCCTTAAGGGAATTGGAGGCTCAATTGAGGACCTCGAAGCTGAACCCGACGACGTTATGGACTTTGCTGGCCCTATGCTGCAAATGTCGGGCGTTACATTAGCAGCAGCCCAGGGGATGATATATTCGAACACAAATATTGGACTCGAAGGCGACAGCTTTGAGCAGAGCCATTTACTTCCTGCACCCTTCGAGGACAAGACAATCAAATACATGATAGGACCTATACTACCACCTTGGTATGAAAATGCTCTGGATAGAGGAGCGCGCCCCAAACCAAGACTATCTGCCATGAGTGACGAATGTATTCAATTCATGAACAAGCAGGCTTACCAATCAGTCGCATATGTGGGTATGGGCAGCCACATCGAACTCACCATAGATCAAGCCGCTTTCCTCGTTGAAACACTACGCAGAACTAATACTCCCTGGGTTCTCCTTTTTCGAGAAGGCACCGAAGAGATGAAAAGGAGACTAGGCGAGGGCTTTACCGACGGAGTCGTCACCGCGTGGGCGCCGCAACAAGACATATTCCTCCACCCGGCCCTCAAATGCGTGATCTCGCACGGAGGGTTTGGCACCATGATCGAGGGAATTTATGCTGAGCAGCCGTTCATCACAAGTCCTGTCGCATCAGACCAGTATATCGACTCGAGAGTCATGCGCCATCTCGGGATGTGCGTTGGTACCATTTCAGAAAACCATTACGAGCCAATCATGGGTAGAACCAAGCTTACGCCTTTTTGGCCAGATGACGGCGGGAAGACGATTCAAGCCTTATTCGACCGTGTTTTTGGCACCACTGAAGGAGAAGCAGAGCTTGACAAAGCGAGAGCCGCATCAAGAGCTCTAAGGAAGCGAATTGTTGAGGCGAAGGCGAGAGATGCATCGACAGCCATGGCTAAGTTGAGAGCCACTCTAACCAAGTAACAGTTGGATCTATCGAAGAAGGATAGCCATTGTCAGCAGGATTGGTCGATCTGTTTTTGATGCCCCTGATAGATCGATCCTCTAGAATCTGGATTCAAAGTAAAGCTTGCAAGAGTAAGATCATCAATCTCTAGTTGCCTTCACTCCTCCTTTTTTGGTCTTTTTGACGCACAAGAATTTCAACGCAGAGCCCGATATTTGACTGTTACGGGCCCATTCCTCAAGCGCCAGCCCAATGACAGTTCAGCCGCTAGCAGGAATACGAAGCGAACGTGGGATTGCATTCGTATTAAAGGCGTCGGCAATGCAACCCGTGGCAGATCTATGAAACAACGGCATGGTGGCTCATAGTCACCACCTAAAAAATTATCTCATCTATTCCACCTCAGGTGTGATACATATGTCACTGGCCCAGGCCCCCACCACGCCGCAGCCTGTTTAGAAGTGCCGACCCGTGAAGGACGCCCAAGGATTCCGAAAACCTTGACGAGATACAGCAGTGGAGCTTTTTCCTGTCACGCTGTCTCGATCTCCATGGGTCAACCGGGGTACTCCTTTCCTTAGCGAATCATTCGGACATAGATTAGCGCAGCCTGCCGGAGTCGCCCCTGAAATGACAGCTGTCTCTAGGTGCCTTTCTGATACTTCATTCCTAAGGAGACTTTCTTTTCCTTGTTCAATTGGGGAACAGGAGCCGGGCAGGATTATGGGCGAACTTCGAAGCTCACCCCATAGTAAGAGTTCGGATCTTACAAGGAGACCTTTGAACAGTCATATTCATAGCCATCCGCACCCGCTAGGCTAGTGAAGGCCCTAGCAACGATCGATCAGATCTTACAAGGGTGGTAGATTGACTCAAACCCTATCGAGTACGAGGCATTCATAGGCCCAATTGTCGGTGGATGTGATTAGTGTCACACGAGTGGGTAGAAAGTTAAATTTCGACGGAATGCTCGGTTACGGAGAATGTTTCCGCAAGCCACAGCGAGCTCAAGCCTAGGCGAGTTATTCACTCCGTCCATGACGCCTTGACTGAATTTCATGCCATCCTCAATCGGACCCATGGCGGTGTTTGAGCTCGATCGAATGTTTAATCATGCTCCAAAGCAAATCCTTTGGCAATTGATGAACTCTGGGTAGATGAGGCTCTAGTCCTCCCGTGGCGATGTGATTGGCGCAAGGCATTTTCCCGGATCTTCGTTTTGGGTCGGTAAGGGGCAAGGGAACCATGCAGCCTGTCGAGCTGCATGACGAGATCCCATGCACCTCCCGTCAGATCCACCAAAGACGGGTCGTGCAGGGCAGGACTTGGTCAAGTAGTCATATCATGGGGCCATTAACCGAGAACGATGTAGAAGGAGACACCCCGCTCTGGGACAGCAGTTCTTCGTTGGCCCTCTAGTTCGAGGGTGGGATAGATGCTCACGTCGTTTCGGCGCTGGCTCATTCCGAACCTCACTAGCGGACGCCTCTTAACTGAAATCTCTAGCTGATTGCTTGTAAGGGCCCTTATCAATGTGGCCGAGAAGTTTGAGATATTGAACACGGCTTCGGTCATTCCAAGATGTCAAGTCTCTCCACGCGTGGAAGAAAAACATGTCATAATTAATGCAATAACAGCGCGACATATCGATTCAGTCCTGTCCGCGAAAAGAGGACGTATACACATATCACCCCATACCTAAAGACTTGAAGAGAATCGAGGTCCAAAATGGGGCAACCTGCTTGGAACGGCCAAGCTTTGATGAGATCAAGCCCATGTCAGTGGAGTCTGCCATCATTTCAAGAACTTCTTTCAACCATAGGAGCCGAACTACATCCAAACCCAGAGTCACTCAGGCCAGCCTTGGTCCTCAACAATTTCACCAAATCAGCCAATACAATACCCCGAGTGGAATGTAATGCTTCCGCAACAGCAGCGGTCAATCACCACGAGATCCCATCCTATTGCAAACTGAGAGCTACAAAGACGAGTGATGCAGTACCAGACGTCCTTGCAAGAATGGATCTACCACGTTCCCCCCAAAGATGTATCAAAACCGAGCAGATCTCTGCTCCTGGTCCCAGCCTCACCCCGTGCTCATGCGAAAGCAAAGTTGGGCGAGATGCGAACCTGCTCTTCACTTCGGATGAGCAGATAGCTCTCACAAAGTCTGGGAGGCAAAGAAAACGTCTGCAGAAGGCTTGTGATACTTGTCGAGAGAAAAAGGTACTTGTTGCTGGCTTTTACGTCTTACATGATCCTGATCTTATCCTCAGGTGAAATGTCGACTCCGTCTGCCAAAGTGCATGTACTGCCAGAAACGTGGCTACGAATGCAATGCTGAATCAATGTCAGTAGCAGACGTCCCTTGTCCCTTCCCTAACTCATAAAAGCTTCCTAAATACTAAGAGGATGTCAGAATATCCTTCAGCCGGGCGAGCACAGACTTCCGTCTATCTGAGAAGTCTCTCGCCCCGACGGAGGAGGTTTGGGCCAAAATATCATCACCCCACATAAATGCTCCACAAAGAGTTGTTTCTCCTCAGGAGGTCTCAGCATCTGAGTCTGTAGTATCATCAATACGAGCGGCCAAGAAAACCCTGGATGGCTCACGGACAACGAGGGAAGAGTTGTCTAGTGCAACTATCGGCCAGCACGCACGAAGGAAGACTATGTTACTCCCATTTCCAGCAGCGCCTCTTAATGGTACTCACCAAAATACACCAAACACTAAGTCAGAAGTCTTATCACGGTCTCCATTGATGGCAACAATGACTCCTCAGTTTTCATTACAAGCAGATCCCTTTGAAATTGATCGAGAGTTGACGTTAGATTACATTGAAAGGTTCTTCACTTTCGTGGACAAGCAAATTTCTTTAGCGATACCTAAGGCTTCGTTTGTGCCATGGGTGAGAAACTGTAAGCATAAGTCCCTGTCGGACCAGATGATGATTTACGCAGTCATGGCGGTTGGCTCGGTTTTTGTGGAAGATTCGACCCCACATACTTGGACCTCTGTTTTGTCAGAAAACGTGCAAGAAGGAATAAACCAGTGTGGTGGCATCCTCACGTTTCAATTGGCGGCAACATATCTCCTATCAACGTTGTTGGCCATCTCACGAGGGGAGTATAAGCGAGCATGGAATTCCTCTGGTTCGACAATACGCACGATTCTTGGCCTGCAGTTTAATACGGAAGCAGGCATTTCTGCTGCATCAAGAAGTGGAGCATGGGAATCTCTCTTCGAGATCACCACCCTTGTTGATTGTAGGCGAAGATTAACGTGGTCAGCTTTTATCATTGAATGCTTGAACGGATGCTACACAACCCCTTTTCTAACAGCACCGTTGTCCGACTATGACTTATGCTTGCCACGTATTGGAAACCCTTTCCAGTCAAGAGAAGCGATCGACCTAGAATCACTCAGACCGTTGGAGACAGCAGAATGCAATCCAGGACCTGCGGACCGATCTGGAGATCTGGAAACTTTCGGTCATCTGATACAGATAGCAGCAATGTTTCATGAAGTCGTTAAGTTTTCTTACCACCAGCAATACCACCGAACTTCAGCAGATGTCAAGACATTTCTGTCGTTCTACGGCGAAATTGAAACACGCTTGAACATCTGGAAGAAGTCTTTGCACAAGGCTCCAAATCAGAGTGGAAAGAAGTTGTGCTTTTTCAATTTACAAATATTATACCACTACGCGAATCTACACTTGCACCGCTATGTTTGTCATGCAGCATTGGATCCTGTGGCCAACGCAGGACATGTTAGAGCCGCATACTCAAACGCTCACCAAATACTAGAACTCGTGCAGTATCTTAACAGCGATGAGAAAACGAAAAACTCACTTACTGACTTAAAGATCACAAGCCCCTGTATCGAATATGCAATCACAACGGGCCTGGACGTCCTCACCGCAGCCGGGAAGGTTTCGGACTTGATCAACTCTGGGAAAATCATGTCGGTGATCGCAAGCGGTCTCGAAGTTCTTGACGACCTGGCCAGGTTCTCATATAGTGCTCAGCGACAAAGGGACTTAGTAAAGCGCCGGCTGACGACGATGCTAAAGGTGATGACACGAAGATCGTGGGACCGGCGAAGGGCGTTTTATTTCAAGAATCCAATACTGTTGCGGTACGGCATGGATCAGGATATTGTATATGGTATTACGAGACTGGAGTACATCCAAGCTATGGATCTACAGGATGGTATTACTGCGGACGACTTCTTCGAGTTGATGGAAGATGCATAGAGGGCAAGTGTACAAAGATGTGCTAAAAGCATTATTACCACAGCGTTGGTCATGAAGTGCAAGAATAAATCGGTACATTTTCCTTGATTGTGAGGAGGTACGCTTCGGTGATCCCCTCCGTGGGAGTTTGGTCCGCAAGTTAGACTATCATAAATGATTTGACTGGTAGACCCGTCCATTTTAGGGATAGGAGAGCAAGGCTGAAATAGTATCACGTGGGTAGTCATGTGATCTGCAGTCGATGGCTATGGTCAATTTAGACCTCCTACTGTAAGTACTGCATACTCCATCTCCAATACTCTTTCTTCGCTTGCGTAAGATTTGGCTAAAGCCCAGGAAAACCGCCCCGTCTCAGCGTAGTAATCAAAATCTCTTCTCTCTTCTCTCTCACGAATCTGTCGCCACATCCAATTAGCCGCAATGAGCATACTGTCTAGTGGTATGCCGTAGAATTGCCATGGAATCTACGTGCCCCAGGATCTTGGTTGATGGATTGCGAAAATCTTGTCAATGATCATGGCGACTTCTCAATCAATAATGTCTTTCTCGGCCGAAGACTAGAGGTCGAAGAGGTGTTTCTCTCTACGCAACCCGCCTCAGATTCGCCATTTGATTACACTGTTTCATGTCCGCCCCCGAATTTCTTCTTGGCAGCCATGCTGTATTGAAATTGAGCTTTGCCTTCGTCTCGACTCTCTGCTTGCAAGCAACACAATTCATCATCTCAGAAAGCAAGAGCCGCCGTACAAACTATCGCCTTGTCAACCGTGATGTCGAAGGCTCTCTTCGAAGAGCTTCCCACAGAGATACTCGAAGAGATCTTTCTCAGATGCCTGAATGGTAATCTTTTTGTGGCGTCGCCCCGGATAGCTCACAGGCTTTCTGGGAATGATTCACTTTGTAGAACTGCCTTCGCGGTTGCGTTTTACGCGCATCAATTGCACGACGTTCTCGATCATCTGAGTCTTTCGTAAGTGCTTAGTTAGTGTACCTCGACCATCCTTTTCATGCTATTAACCAGTCTCACAGTTTCATGATACCACTGCTGCCGGATCCAGTTTCTCCATGGATGGCCCGATCTATCACTAAGGCAGTGCTTCGTGCCCGGTGGTGTATTAATTCATGGGTACTAGAGTTCTCACGAAACTTACTCAGTGCTGCAGTCGATCGTCTATCGCAAAGGTCGGACCTTATCTCTTATGCTCAGAGAGTGATTCAGAACTATAAAGTCGATTTATCAGATACAAACTCGAGAAAATTCTGGTCTGCCCATAACGATCGTCGCAATGAGGTAGCCTCTCTGGAAGGCTCTCACCCGTTACAACTTGAATTTACCACCGCCGCGGAGGGGTCTTCCATATTCTTCGCTGATGATACCGATGACGAGAACTCAATCACAATGTTTCAGTTCACGATGACTTTTTGTGGTGCTGGGTTAGAGAGACACGAGTGCCTTAGTTTTCTCGGCATGGACGGGGATCGGATGTTCCGGGTCGCGGATAAACCATTTTCTGAATACATGAACCTCCTAATATGCAACACTACAGGGATCAATGACAAGGAAACTGAGCGGTTCTGGACAGACTTGGGTCGGGTTTACCGTGGACCGGTCGGAGACGACTGGTATGAAGAGTGCGACCGCTTGTACTGGCGGTTTAACTGGCGCCAGCAAGTGGCTATCGACTATTTTCTTTCTCCAGAAAATTCGCCTTTCAGAATCCCTTCTCTTACGTTTCGGCGAGCGGCGGTGTCTGACTTAAGGAATCGACACTGCCCTGAACGGCGAGATGGGATTGGCCACCACTTCAGACCATGCTTTATTCATTTCATTTTCGAGATTGACCCGACATCTCTTCCACGAAAAGACCCAATCGTGCTCCGTTGGGCTGTGAGAGCTTGTGAACGCATCAGGCACTTCGGAGATGCTTACCAAAGAGACCGCATAGAACATCGAGAGCATGGTGTATATGATGAAGGTGATTGGGAGTACCAATCAACACGCAGAAACCAGGTCTTTGCGAAGTACACTTTCGACGTCGAGGTCCGCATGATCCGCTACATCAAAACAGGAGAGAATCCATATCCGCCTGACTGCCCAGCTCCATATCTCCACAATCCAATAACGCAGTTGGAAGCTACTCTAGTGCCTGGAATCGACATGGCAGGAGATGACGAAAATGATATTGTGGAAGACGACTATTCCGATGAGGAAGAAATAGCTGCTTTGAACCGATGGCACAGAGAGCAAATTTGCTTCGGCCCGAATCCACCAGAACTCGGTTTCTTAGACCATGACGACTACCGAGACCAGCGTGTGATCGAACACGATGGCAATGATTCGGATGCGGGTGCTTTAGAGTCATGGGAAGCCGATAATTTAGGTGACCCCGCCCCCGAGCAGGATTGGGACGTCGAAGGGCCACCGAACGTGTTCGAAAATGGCTCCTTTGAGATACAAGTGATCAATGACCCGGCAAAGGATCCCCATGTCGCCCCGCTTCTTGATCCCATTGCTACGGAATTACGACAACATGGCAAAGTGTACTGGTTATCGGCAAACGACTGCCATCTTCCCTCTCAGTTTCATAGCGATTTCAAGTGGTATAAGAAACGGTGATGAACCATTGTTTAGGTCTATGCAGTGAGGCATGGACTTGAGTGTGCTGGCTCGGGCATCGTTGAACATTTCGAGGCGTTTAGGATCGAGAGCCACCTCTCAAGCTCAGATATCGTGAATTAGGAGGTTGCTTGGTTCACTATAGTGTTGATCAAAGGGAATCCAACTTTGAACATTTGGTGACGATGTTGAGAAATAGGTCCTATTCATCTACGCTTCCTGAACAGCACAGAGATCGCTCGTGTATGGATATTCTTTGATTCACCGGATCAGCCAATTTGGAACGCTGAAATAAAAACCTGGGGCTTGGTAGAGCTAGAAATGAAAGGATAAACCTCAGGTGCCTGAGACTGTTTTATGCTGTCTTTAAACCCTGTTATAGACGTCGGGGTCCTTTGGCATCGCTGTTGATCCTTTCCCATCAGGATCTCCTTTGGACATTCTGCCACGGCTAGTCCTGTATACACCCCTGCTGGCATCCACAATTGGATTTATCCACATTGCCTCACCAGATTCCTTGTTCCGGACAGGGCGAGTAGTTGCACCCAAGCCGGTTAGTTGATAATTTACATAAATCCCTTCCCAGCCGGAGCGCTCGGGCAAGGCAAATATTTCGTGCATAATACCGATATGTTTGTGTTTCTTGGCTGTGTCGTTCCACCATTGCCACGTATCCTTGTGGATTTGAGATAGCGCAAAACGATGGATATCTTCGACGGACCGCCAGTAGCTTATCGTAGCGTATTCGTTGCGTGAAGATCGTTCTCCAGCGCTGATCCATGATGACATACCCATCACTGTTTGTGCATCCAAGTCGAAGCGTCAGTATGTGAACATTGAGTTTCAACTGACAATGAGGCGTGGAATAGCTTACAGCCGCTCTCTTCTCTCGTTTCTTCAAGTTGTGCTATCATATCACGGAATCGATCCCCAACTTCTTTGAATCCTATTCAGTGGCACTGTCAATTCCATTCATGGTGTTGCGATCGAAAGCGCCAAGTGGAGATAAAGAAAAAGCTCATACCATCGGCTAAGAACCCCATCGGAGAGTTCGATCGTGTACCCAGAATCATTACGGCGCCTGGTCCATTGTCCCCAGGCTTTCCATTCACCACTTCCGTCTCCTGTAGACTGGGATATGCCACACTCCACTTGCCAGCAATCACGCCGTCCATGTAGACGTTATACTTCAATCCGAAATGCATCAATAAGACATCCACAATGCCCCAACCGAAGAGAAGTAAAGCTGGAAAGGCTGCGTGGGAGCGTGGAAATATGAAATAAACGCCCGATTGAATGACGCAGCCGAGGAGTATCCATGTCGAAAGGTTGTAATGATCTCGAAGAAGCTGACGCAGGAAACTCCGCATCAGTAGGCATTGTGAGACATGAAACGCTACCTACGGCAATTGTTGTCCCATTTACTGGACCAACTCCAGTTTTCTTTTTTGAGAGGTTTGCGCCGACGCTATACTGGTAGGGCGGCTTCTCCTGCGAAGCAGGAAACATTGTCCTGAGGTCCATGCTTGGCACAATTTTGGAGGGTGGCACTGTGATTTATGTTGTGCTGTTTCGGCGAGTTTGGACGCAGGGCGAGATGGTGAATTCCTGTGCAGAGATGACCCGGCAGGACACCGCTGGCTAATATATGCACTCGCTGCTGAAAGACGGGTACGGGATCATGTTCGGCCACACGAGACGCAAATGAAATACACCAGAACCATTGGGCGAAATGAACAAGGACTTGAAGGTTGCCTAATGGGAAGGCGTTCAGCTTTGAGTTACGCCACACGAAAAGAGGTCGAGCTGATTGACGCCGGTCGAGAAGCATGATTCTCTAGGGCCTAACCTTCGTCTAAGCGACGGCAGCCACAGATCGAGGCATTCTGTTTGAGAACAGCGTTGGCGTCCAAGGCAACAAATCATCTTTTGCATGTGGTTCGAAAGGACCAATGCCCCTCACACCAGCTTACACATTCAGGCTTAAGATCATGCCTTGCCTACTACTCGTAAGATCTGGAAGATAGCATGGGGTCGTCGCTCGTGGCCGCTTCGACAAAGTGTGCTTTCCATTGAAGCAAATCAGGAGCCTCATAGTAATGGGCACCTAAAGATGATCGGCCGTAGCTCATACACGGCAGCTATCGTTTAGTGCTGGCCAGAAAATAGGTGTCCGAATGCTTAAACTTCCAACTCTCTGAGCACAGCTGAAAGGTCTGACGCGTAACGGTCCATTTCAGAGCTTCCATGTGATGGGACCAGAACTCAAAATAATTGAGATATTGCCGGTTTATCTCTGACTGTGCCGCAATTTGTTGACTCGGATGGATGAGATCATTGATACTGTCGGGCTGAACGTGATATTTGTTATCACGCCAAGGATTGTAAGACCACATCAATCATGAGGCTTGGGAAGCTTCGCTCTGAGTTGGCCCATCTGAAGATGAACGACCTCGTCCTCGGCACTGAATCGATATCCTTGGACGGGACGCTGGCAGGACGGCTGGTAGGACACAAAGCAAGCACTTGCCATTTCAAGCACCTTTTAAAGCCCCCATGCAGCAGCCATGAAGGCTTGTCCTGGCCGCTCATTAATAGCAGTCTTGAACCCTTGGCTGGTTGACCTTTAGCGTGAGTCCAGAGCGCAGCAGATCGATAATGTAGGAGCTAACATCTCTTTTGGAACGACTAGTACCCCGTAATCAACTGGCGGATGGCAGTCGATTGGGTCATAGATGTACCGAGTCCACTCAGCCGCCAAAAACTGACTCGTACTTGGTAGGAGGCAATTTGGTTTTGCGTGTGATATTATGTAATCGCGGGGTAAACAGCTCACTAGGTGAAACTCACCCACACGACAGTACTCATGATAAGATTAGATCATTCTGTGGAACACGTGCACGCGTTCCCACATCACTCACCATCTACCCTGCGTTGATAATGAAGCGAACACTGACGACTTCCAACGATGAGCGTCAACATCGATGCGCTCTACATCTTTGACGAACACAAGTATGCTGTTTTCTTTGCATTAATATCTCAACCTGCTAACGAGAACAGTGAGTGTGTCCTCGAACACGTTTACAACGGCCGACCACCGACGGCCAACCTTCTCATCTCCAGCATTCTAAGCCGAGCCTCTCCTCGGCCTTCTGTCCTCCACCTTTCAGATCTTGCTCCATCTGCGACCGCTTATTCCGTAACCCAAGGGAATCTTCTTCTGGTTGCAGTAGCTCTCAAAGATGCGCAACCCCTTGCGATACTAGACTTCCTCCATCGACTTATCGATGTATTCGAGGACTTCCTTGGAACCCCCCTGTTGACAGTCAAGATACAAGACAATTATGAGATCGTCGCGCAACTACTTGGGGAAATGTGTGATGGCGGGGTCGTCTGCAATACAGAGCCCAATTCCTTACGAGAGTTGGTCGAGGTCTCTTCGTTGATTGGGAAGTTATTTACTCAGGTTGGCTTGCCAGGGTATGCTCCGCTGTTGTCACAACCATTGATATCTGCTGAACCTCCAGGGCATCTCCGGCTCTCGGTCCACAGAATTCTTTCGCTGCAAGCCTTCGTCCGACAGTTTCACCTTCTGCAGGACCTGCAATCCCCTGGAGAAAGTCAAACGTGCGCCACACGTCGAACGAGCTTTATGTCGACATTATAGAAAGTTTGTCCGTCATCTTTGCTCCGTCAGGTCGTCCTATTTCAGCTCGTTCTCATGGTGCCATCGCATTCACAGCTAAGATATCTGGCGTTCCGGATCTCCTACTGACATTGAATGCTCCGGGAGGTACTAGTAGTGCCAAATCTTCAGGAATTGCTCGGACCATGCAGAACCCAGTTTTCCACCCTTGCGTACGGCTTGCACGCTGGAAGGAGCACCCAGGGGAGTTGTCCTTTGTGCCACCGGACGGCCGATTCATGCTAGGCGGGTATGAAACAGATCTAATGCCAACAAACTTAAACAACGATCAACCGCCAAGCCAGAGCGATCGGATATATCTCCCAGCGACTGTTGATTTACGACCAGGACTCGGTAGCTCAGGGACCGAATTTGAAGCCAGATTGACACTTAACAACAATTTCCCGGGGGTTGCCTCGTCAAGCAAGCCCGGCACCTCACGGTCAGCATCAAGTACTGGGCCATTTTCTTTTGGAAGTGCCAATGCGGGCAATTCCAGCGCTCCATCGCTTGAAGCCCTGGTTGTGACAATACCGTTCCCACGTGAAGTTCGCAATGTCACAGAAATTAAACCATCTCGAGGCGAAGCTAGCTTCAATGCATTCGAGAAAGTAATTGAGTGGAAGGTGCCTACCAAAGACGGCGCATCGATCAACGGAGTAGCGGTCTTGACAGGAACAGTGACTGGGCCACTAAACGCATTGTCAATTGCCAATGACGACAACGATGTGGAAGCGTCCGAACTCGGGAAAGCGAACAGCGTGGCAGGTTACTATGAGGAAGATGCCGTTGCCGATCAGACCGACCTACAAGATGGGATCCGATCGACTCCTGCAGCCGGAACTTCAACGGGCAACGGGGCCAAGAAATCTCAAGCGAGTAGGTTGCTCATGCCGCGGTCGATCGCGGTTTCTTTCAATGTCAAAGGCTGGCTCCCCAGTGGCATCAAAGTCGACGCGCTTCTTGTTGACGTCAAGAAATCCAAGGGCTTGGGTGATGGCGTTCGGCCTTACAAGGGTGTCAAGTATCTCACCGTCAGCCGACAAGGCATTGAGCGCAGGATCGGGTGAGCGGGGTAAAGCAACAGTGCCTCGTAATAATGACGATTCAAAGGAACAGAAGACCAAGGAAAGACGTCCCGTTAGGACACTACACCGCACCGAAAATCGAATTCTTTTCGAAGAGAGAGAGAGCTCAAGAGATCATAGAGGGCATAGAGAATTACGTTGGATCAATCCGCTCTAGGATGACCGATGAAGTATGTAATGCCTAAATGAAACATGCTCGTAACGCTAAATAATATGTTGACTTGGGATGAAACGCCAGGACCGTGGTTGTGTCGTTATGCTCAATAGCAACAGAAGAAGGAAATTCGTCGACAAAGATACTCCATGGCAGAATGACGTATGTTCATACATGCCAGATGTACTCGTAAATGCACCTTCTGATCCTGCGGCCATGTCTCCATGGGCCAACGGAGGTGGCGAAAAGAACAAAAAGACGTAAGAAAGTATAGACTCCGCCCGCTCCCCCATAAGGTGTGAAGTTGTTTCCGGAGTTGATGATGCATTTTTTGTAGGGCCCCTGTGTTCCCATTATTCCCCTGTCCCCATGTTCATGCTCGCAACAGCGCGGAAAAAAAACCCAGAAGCAGAGAAAAGTTGGCTGGTAGACCCCAGGAACTCCACGCCAAAACCAAATTGAAGGGTAGCTGGCGGGCATACCGAGCGCTTGATCCCCAAGATGCTCAGGAGCAATGCGTCACAGATGCAGATGGGATTTTGGGATCGGTTGGACTTAGTAGCCGGAGCCCAACATCTTCTTGAAGCCCTTCTTCAGGTTGCGGTTGACGTAGTCAGCGCCAGACTCGCTTGAGGTGGAACCCGACGAGGCGAAGGATTCCCTGTCGGTGCTGCGCCGCCTCTGGCTGGCCCAGCCAGAGATACTGCCGACATTGTGTTTCTGCGAGGCTGAAGAGCCCGATGACGACGACGACGACGACGACGAGACGTTGCCGGCGCCGCCGCGTCCGACGTGGTAGACGGGGGCGGCGTGTCGTTCTTGCGACAGTTGGCGCTCGAGCTCCTCGTCAAAGGAGAAGATGGCGCGCTCGGAGCTGGGGTGCACGTTGCCGGCGCCGCCGCGACCCGTGGTGAATGTCTTGGGTGGGTTGTAGTGTGTGGCTAGGTTCACTCGTGCCGCCGGCCCTGATGCGTCGCTGCCGCGTGTTACTGAGCTCGGTGCCTTTACCCGGTTACCAGCTCCGCCCCGGCCTGTGGTGAAGTAGTGGGATGCTGGAACCGATGGATGTGGCTCTACGATTGAGTAGCGATTTGACGATGAGATGGAAGACATCGTGTGTTGTATCTGTGATTGGTTGATTGGAGGCTGTGGTGTTGTTGGGAGACGACTTGGGTCTAGTGTGGTCAGGTGAGATCAGGTGATATGGATTGTGTGGTGGTTGTAGTATGGTGGGTGGAAAGTGAAGGACGAGGTATTGTTGGATGGTGTATGGTCAACTGTTTTATCTGATGAACAACGAGCAAAAGTCCATTCAAAGGTCAAGATAGGGTGTGGGTGGGAAGGGGAGCAGGGGAATATATACGGGGATGGTGTGAAGTGCCTGAGTGAAACTCTCGAATATTCTCCATGGATTGCAAATTTGCAACGGTGGCTTACGATGTACGGATGTGGTGACACAGGCCGTGAAACCCAGAAAAATGCACTCACGAGGTACATCACCTTCTGCAAAGCCTGCAAGGGTTAGGATGGATTCACGACCGGAGAGGGGCAAAAGCAGAGGACCAACGGCGCCTGAAGGGCTACAAAGACGCCAGTCATCAAGCTCGAGTGGAAGGAACGGGCGGCAGATTACACGATGAAATCCAGCATCTTCTCAAAGAGATGCCGTTAACTGCAAAGCGCGAAACATACAATGGTGCTGTAGAGGGGAGGAGAGTGGAAAGAGGTTGCCGTTAACTGCAAAGCGCGGAAAATTTCTTGCGGTGTCCGCCGCAGCAACAAAGAGTATCCAGATCAGTAGGCGGGCCGTGAGGGCTGTGATGACAACACGACCTGGTGCAAATTTTTTCTTGGTCACGATGGTCTGGGGATGAGGCGAGGAAATTGAGGTTTGGCGTCATCTGCGCTGAGAATAGGTGCTTAGATCACCCCGGATTTGCAACAGTGTGGGCTAGCACTCTAGCTTACGAGGGAAATGGCTGGCAATTGGGCTGGGGCCGCTGATGGCGAGACAGGTGAAAAGGATTCTTGGAGCCAAGCAGGGTGCAAATTTGCCATGATGGAACGTAGCCACACGAGCGGAAATGTGCACAGATGGAGCACACGTGATGGGAGAATCGCACAGACTACAGCTTTAGGTGTCATGGGTTCGATGGTTGCCAGGATTTATGGCCTGGAATTGGCTGGAATGGTAATTCGTTAGTCATGCCGAGACATCACGAGCCTTGTCCTCCTTGTCCTCCCTTGTCCTCAACGCCACGCGCCGCTTCCCACCAAACTATGGGGTAATAGCCTGTGCCTGACTTGGCCTGACGCGAGGGGACGTGGTTTCCTGGGGGTAATGGAAACCTCATCGAACTCCATCACAATGCTGCCTTTGATGCACCTCTGAAAAACTCTTCACCCTCCTGCATCTGGACGGCGCAGGCCAGCCCTTTGTCGTCCCCAGCATTGTGATTATCCTGTTGTCCTCCATGTCCCCATGTCCTCTGCTATCCAATCTGTTCGTACACGTGTACGGAGCCCTTGACCCGACCCGGCGCAAGGAACAGACAGGTACCAAACACTCTTGACGAGTAAATCCATGTCCATTCCGCTGCCTCCTCCGTCGGAGCACCCCTGCTTCAGGGATTCACGCCCCCAAGTTGGGGCCGCCCTAGCAACCCCCCTGTCTGGTCAGAGTGTTGACGTGCTAGCACCCTGTCATTGGCCATCCCCAGATTCCGGACCTTTGGTCTCCTCGCATACCGGACATCTCCCTAGCCCAACGATGAGATCAGCAGATGGTGCTCTGACTCTGACTGACTCCAACCCATTTGTCTTTTTGACCTTGCCATTGGCTGGGTCCGATAGGCTCTCAAGTGTCCGTCCAGATGGCTAACTTTGCAGTGCCTCGTGGCTGTCAACGAGCACGAAGGTACGGATTCCCCGTACACCGCCAGACTTTATGGTCCATAAACAGCCAGAGTCCAGCCAGCGTCATAGAGTCGGTCGGTGCTGGATGGTGCTGGCTGCTGATCGCGGTATTCTGTACGAAACGACGATCAGGTGAACTTGGTGTGGATGATGTCTGGGTTCTCATGCCAGTCGTCAATGCTGACCCACATCTACACCACGTTGTTAGTGTCATTGCACCTGCATTCGCTTACCCGCTGAACGCGCTGTCACTTACCTTCCTGAATGTGCTCAATCCCGCCAAGATACTTCCACCGATCCAGGTGGTATACTTCCTTTCGGGGGGAGCAAAGATCTTAATTCTCATGTCCTTGACCGCCAGTCGTTGCATCTCATACAGCAGTCGGTCCGGAAACCCTTTACACAATGTTGTTCCACCGCTCAGGACGACATTTCCAAACAGATTCTTTCGAAGGTCCATGTCGGTTCGATTGATAGAGTCAACCACCATTTGATGCAAGCCCGGGTATTCTAGCCCGATCAGCTCAGGCTCAAATAAGATTTCAGGGGCTCGGAATCTTTCTGCACCGATCTTGATCTTTTGACCGTCGGGCAGAACGTAGTCGACATCCCTCTTCTCATTCTTCCAGATTCCTTGAGACCAATCCTTCTCTTCTTTCCTAGGATCGAGGGCCACGTAAGAGGTTTTTTCCTTGATTGTCCTTACGATCTCCTTCTCTGAACTGGTGTGGAAAACGTGTCCGTTTTTCCTCAACAACAATTGCAGATGCTCTGTGATATCTCTTCCTGCCACGTCAATACGCCGGGTCGCATTGGTGATAGAGAAACCGTCGTATACTGGGACAGCGTGTGTAACTCCATCGCCACTGTCAAGAACAAGACCCGTGGTGCGACCGCTGGCGTACAGACTGAGCACTGCTTGGATGGACATGTATATCGCAGGGACATTGAATTGCTCGAACAGAATCTGAGCAGCGGTCTCTCTGTTTTGTCTAGGATTTAGGGGAGCCTCAGTCAGGAGGACCGGGTGTTCTTCACTCAGTGTCTTCAGTTCTTGTTCATAGACGTAGGTCCAGATTTTCTCCATATCATCCCAATCAGTGACTATCCCATGTTCGAGAGGGTATTTGATTTTAAGAAGGCCTCGCAGTTCCTGGACCTTGGGGCCGATGAAAATGTCCCCTTCGAGTGCGCCAGCCAGAGTCCGCACGTGCTTAGGGCGACCGACGTAGGAAGGGAAGTAAGCAGCTGGGAGATCCGAACCAGCAAAGCCGGCTCGAATAGTACCACTACCATTGTCCAGTACCAGTGGCACGTTGTGGAGGCTCCCACCGTCTGCCATGGCGAGAGAGTAAAGGGATGAAGGAGGTAGATGACCCTTTACATGGGCCTGAAGTACGTCAAGAGGTTATTGCAGTAGTCTCGGTGAGCTCATTTCTTGAGGAAGAGATGCTGGAAGGGTGAAAAGCGATGAATCGTAGTCACAGCAATCCAGGAGTCGCGTACACGGAGACTGCGCACCAGAAACGCGGTCTTGCCAAATAATAATTCTGCCGCTTCTCACCGCCCTTATGTACACGCTTTTGTAACTTAACATTCCTCCACCTCCCACTTCAACCCATAACATCTCTTCCCTCACTACTCCTGCTGATCAACAACTATTTTCTAGTGTGTTACTCGTGTAGGAAATCAATCAATCAGACGCAAACGCAAGTCCAGTCCATCAACGCACGTTACATACAGTTATCTTCAAGATGCCTAAATATAAGTATCCTACCGCAATTTCTTCATCCATCTCAACTAACAAGCCTAGCACTCTTCTGCGACTACTGTGATGTCTACCTCACGCACGACTCCATGTCCGTCCGTAAGGATCATAATACTGGTCGAAATCACATCAGAAACGTGGTGGAATACTACCAACGTAGGTGAAGCATGCCTCCAGAGATCTCGTCAGCTAACAAAGAGGAGAAATCGGCCATGAGAAGGCGCAGTCTGTGATTGATTCCATTACATCCTCATATGCCGCAGAAGGCCAGACAAATCCAATGCTTCAACAAGCTGCCGTCGGGTTTCCTCCGCCACTGCCAGGCTTCCCAGGTTAGTGCAACAATATCTCGCCCAGCTTTCGAATCATTAGTAACCCAGAGCAGGCATGCCGCCACCGCCATTCGGTGTTCCGGGTGCCCCTCCCTTGGGCCCTGGAATGATTCCTCCTCCTGGTGGTCGAGGAGCTCCATTCCCTCCGTTCCCTCCCAATGGCATTCCACCTCCAAATCTCCCATTTCCTCCCCCGGGAGGTTTCCCTCCAAACTTCCAAATTCCTCCACCTGGCGCACCAGGTGGCTTCCCGCTGCCTGGCCAACAAACTGCACAGAACGCTCCTGCTCCTGGTGGTCCGAATCCTGCTGCTGGATCTGTGCCTGGCCAAAATCAAGCCCCTGGAGCTCCTCCAGACTTCCATGCAAGTGGTCCACCTGGCATGGGTGATAATAGGAGATGAACAGAAGACAGTCTCAGACGAGAGTTTTAACGACACATTTTTGGCATCAAGAACATTATGCACTGCTGGTTGGGTGGACTGAGTACGTTGAACCGTTCCAAAGCCCCCGCGAACGCGGAGATCATACCGGATAGCCTTCGGTGGCAAACGACTGCCCAGTCCTCACTGAAAGCAAATCACTTGACAGCAAACCAACGACAAGTCAGATGATATCAGATCTCTCATTTGGTACCTTCGCATCGACATTGCATTATCAAAAAGGATGCTCCTCGTGATCAAGGTCGAACCTGCCAATATCGTGCGGGTAGATTCTGCCCCATCTGTCCCCTCAACGTGACTGGCAGGTGCATTGCGACAAACATGAACTCATAAACTCTTCAGACCTTCACTCAAGACATAACGCGTTCGCAACATGTCACCATGCCACTCTCTCTTCATCTGTATGAATTCTTGTCACTAACATGCTATTTACTGACTCCCATCCTTATTGTCCTCGCCCTCACACTCTTGATCCATTCTATTCTCAATCTGCATCAGCATCGCAGACAGCGAGCCCTCCAGATCGAGTCCACTGCCACCACACCTTGACCCAAGTTATCCCGAATCACGCAATTGACTCAAAAAAGTGATGCCTGAGTCAAGTTCGTCCCAAGACCTTTCAAACTGCAACGAATGCCAACCTGCTAGCCACGATGCGATAGCAGGAAATAGGGCTGGGAGACATTGTGACAATACAGATCCTCAAAGCCTCAAGAGCGTCCGATGTAGTCGCAAAGGAAGCAGGGCACACATAGATTCTATTGACTCAGAACCCGCCACACATCCCAGAACTCAGTCTAGATATTCGACACCACCAAAAGTACTGAAGTCGCCAATCTCATTTGCACGACCAAGAAGCCTACAGCAACTCATCGCGGAGGACAGGGAGAAGTATGTACGAGCTCGCAAGTTGCAAGATGCTAAGGATCTCAAATCAAAACGCGACGCTCAAATCAAAGCCGAAAATGACCAAAAGAAAGCGGACAAGGAGAGGTCCAAGCGATACAACAAAGAGAAAAAGAAACGCCAGGCTGAGGAGAAGAGAAACAATATGAAATGGGGCGGAATTGTTCGAGGGTTTGATCCCAATGCTGGTCTTCTTCGGTCTGCTGCTAGCGGGGAAGTTTTACGCTCTTCAGTAGCCAGGCGTGGAAGAGATCAACAGTCTGATGACTCGCTCGTTGATATACTCCATCCCAAGCTTGACAAAGGCCAGACGTGGGGTGTTGAGCATGGATCACTAGGAAAGAAAGGGCGGTTTGGTCTTTCCAACTCCAATAATGGTTCTGGCTCTGGCTCTGGCTCTGGCTCTGGAGGCTTCGATGGGGGCGGTGACTGATCTGGTGAGGGTGTTGGCGATGATGGCTCCTTAGGTCCCGCACCGTTATCCGTGGCTCGATCCCTTCAAGCATGAAGCACAACAAACCCTCAAGAAGGTGGTTCAAAGTGACGCTGATTACTAGGTACCTATCAAGCTTCCATAACCCTAACTAATTCAAGCTGGAGCATTCAATTCCTTTTCAAACCATATGGACATCTTCCTATTTTTTTTTCGGGGGGCTTCGATTCATCTGGCTTGAATCATAACGTGCGCCATGCGGATTCTCTTCCCATCGATTCTGGTCCCCTATCATCTGCTGGTCTTATGTTATATCTTTTACAGTGGCCCCGACTCACCAATTTTGATACCGGGTTCACAAGTCTTTAACCCCCTTTCCGCCCCCCACCCCCGGGGGTTCCACAAGGGGAAAAAAAGCTGTCTTCCACTGAAAAATGACCTTGATTTTAGCGCCATCGCATCATCGACTCAAGAAGCCTTCCTCTATCTCAGCCCCTAAGGCCTATTTGGAATGCTCAATCGCCTCGTCGAAAATCCTCTCAAGTACCGTCACCTTCGTCGTCCGTCCGCCCAGCTTTCGAATTCAGGTATTCATTTCTACACGTCCCATAGCAGGAGCACACTTGTTAGTCGATTAATTCACCACTCGAAGCAACCCAAAACGAGAACCAACACCAAACCAAGACAATCACCCACCACTTGATTCTTCTCTTCCCAACAAAAGTCAGACGGGAGAAACAAAATTAAAAATAACATACCTCTCCTCAGCCCAGCTCATCAACCCATACGCCAGCAGGAACGGGGGCACGACATAGAGGAACTGGCTCCTCGAGCGGCGAAAAGTGTTGAAGATGGCGTTGTGGCCGGCGTGCGCCAGCGGGCTCAGCCGGTTGCTCGATAGCCGGTACGTGATGATCCCGCGCTGCACGGGGAGCGCTTTGTGTCCGAAGCAATATACTGGTTCTCTGGGGGAAGTCAGGACTGGGAAGATGTATTGAGGGGGAGAGACGGGTGAACGGAAGGTGATGCATGGGGCCCTAACGAGGCCGGCAACACAGAGAGAGAGAGAGAGAGAGAGAGAGAGAGAGAGAGAGAGAGAGAGAAAAGTAAGCGACGTACTTTGGATTTCCCTTGGGAAGGTTCTGGTTATACTCCATGGTCGGTCGCGGCTGGCCACTTCGCTTTAGGACAGGGATCGTCTACGGTGCAAAGAGTCTTAGAAGGATTAGTACGAGTATTGATATGCTATTCTGCTGTAAAGTGTATTGAGCTGATCGATCTCGGCGATGAAATGGACGGCGGTGAAAATACTAGCTGCAAGGACTGCCACGGTGGTGGGATTTCTCTAAATTAAATATATGCTATTTCTTGGTCTACATCCACTCCTTTAGCTGTACATGAAACACTCTTATGAACGTCGCTCGCTATGCTCGGAGCATTGAATACCCTCACCGACCCTAGTGTGAGGTCCATTTTTCTTTGCGGAAGTTAAACCCAAAGCGGTGGAGAAGAGTGGGGACGGGGCTGTGGTTGCGGTTGTGGCGACAGCCTTGCCGGGGAAGAGGCCCCAAGAGAGGCCAAACAGTTTTCTACGCGAAGGACTAGGGGTGTGTATCAATTTTGTCTTGTCAATGTTCAAGCTGGCGCTTTGTTCTATCTTACCGAACCGACGAGCGAAATTTTGGATGAAAAGAAGACTGTTGATTTGGAGGCAGCTGGCTTTCCACGCCGTAGTATGCCACGAGGAACAGCCTCTGCAGCATGCCGTCAAACCGCGGCCTGGGAGAGGCGCCGCCGTCCTCGATGAACTCGCACCATGAGACGAGGCTGGACTCGTTGTCAGGCTCCCCCGGTCCGGGGCCTGTGTGGCACTCTAGCGCGGCATTCCACTCGTCTTCAGTCGCTGCCTCCCACAGGCCAGTGCGTGCGTCGAAGGGGAGGGATTCCACGAATGGCCTGTACGAGCAGCAACCCGTCTGGAAGTACTCGATAACGCCGGAGATCCACGGGAGCACGAGGACTGTCCTCCGGCAGCTCTCTGCGATCACCCATGCTTGCCACGCGGAAAGGTCCGTGCTGAGGTGTTGGGGCAGGTTGGCTTTGAAATGTTTCTCCCAAAGAGAGAGGAGCTCTACGGCTGCTCCCAGTTGTGGAAATTCCGGCGGCTTCCCGCTCCGGAGAGCCTGAAACATGGCGGCGAAGATCACGGCTATCAGGACGTGGAGTTTCGAGAGGAATTTTGTGAATGTCAATTTCTGGACGTCCTGGGAGAGTAAATGTCGGATTTTCGTATGCAGTTGGGTAGATGAGAATGCGTCATTTGGCTGAAGATACTGTTTGTCGGAGCGTGTAGGTGGGGCTTCTCTCGCGGACTGATCACTGGACAGGATCTGAGAATGGGCGAATGGCGAAGTATGGCCTCGAAAGGTAAGGAGCGGGATTTGCATGAGGTGCTCTAGGACCAGAGAGAACGTTTCAGGATTCTTCATCAGAGTCATTTGGTGTGTGAACCCATTAGCTCCGAAGCCTGAGATGGCGTGTTGATGCGCAGACTCTATCGAATCGAAGATGCGAGGGCGTTCGACTGCAACTGCCATTGTTTGGGCGGATGCATGGCCATAGGGCTTTGTGGCCTCGTCTGATGAATGCATGACTGGTTCGAGATCATAGCTGCAAGCTAGACCCTTTTCCAGGCAGCGGGGGCACTGTGGGAGTTGAGGCGTACACCGTCGCTTTGCGGTCGAGCAGGCGTGACAAGCTTTTCTTAGGGTGGGTGGCATCCTAACTTGGCCGCCCGAGTGAGTGAACCTGTGGCCGAAATCACGGAGCAATAACTGAGGGGTATTCCAGGATATGCTTCCTTCTAGCGAGTTGTAGTAGACCGGCGTAGGTCGGGAAAACTCCTCGCACTGAGAATGAAAGATTCGAGGTAGCAGAGGACGTGGCGCTGGTCGGCTGGGAATTGAATTGACCCGCAAGGCTGAGAGAGATGAAAACTAGTCTGCATCAGGTTTAGTTTCCACTACAGCGGGGCAAGGCTACGCGTCACTAAAACTGACTCCTTACGAGTATTGGGAATCGCAGTCGAAGGGATGATATCAAAACCCACTTGAATTCTGCCATATTACTGGTTTGACACTGTCGCTGAATTTCTGGTCTACAGCATAATGTACAGTCTATATCTAGCCTAATCTTCACGCTTACCTTGATCATAACTCGTCGCGTTTTCGCTCCGGTACCTCACTTCCTCGAGCGGTCTCCACTTGAGCGTCTCGAATGACCGCTGCGATTTCCTCATCATATATCGTCCATTCAGGGACCTGTCTTCTTGCCCGATCTAGCTTGGGTTCCTTTGTTTGTGGGTTATTGCAAAGATCAATCGTTTTTGCCTTGCCCAAACTTTCATCGCTGCACCACGTTTCGCACCATAGCCACTCTTGGGGTAAGCTATGGATTGGCAAATTGTGTTGCATATGGTTGGGTAAGTCTTGATCGAGGTTACTCAGACTATTTGGGTCTGACGAGAGGGCTTGGTACTGCTGTCTGAGTCGGTCACCTGCAGCAACTTGTCGGAATCGCTTCAAATCAACCACATAGAGCGCTGAGATATGATATGGCTTCCCTCTCAAATATGTCTCCCAGTAGCCTTGTTTCCAGAAACGGAATCCCTCCATTTCTGTCCTCGAGTCGCACATGGGAGTGAATCCGTATGGCGCACCTTTCAAATCCACCTTGTTCAATTCCATCATATCAGTTCTCACGATTTGGTCAGCATCGACGAAAATGACCTTGTCCAAATCCAGGGGAAAGAGTACATCTAAGAAGAGAATCTTGTAACCCCAGATCTCCCGTTGTTTCTCTTTTTGACCTCGAAGCCAGTGGGGCCATTTGTAAGTGACCATTTCATATTCAAAGCCATAGTGTTCTGCAAGATGAGGAAGGGTGGCTTTGAAGGATGGTGAGAGAAACTGCTCAATGAACCAAAATTTGACTGTGTGTTTGGTATGCTTCATAACAGATACCATCATGATGTTCAGCATACGCTCATATAAATGACCGGATGCAACAGAAAAGATATTGACCTCGGCATTGGTGGATGTTGCTTTTGTGAGCCCCAGAGATGACAGTGCTGACGAGGCAAATGATGCACCCTTGCTGAAATAGTCCATGGCTCCACTTGCGGCTTCAAGGACGTCTTCTTCCTCCATTCCAGGCTTGCGAGAGAGTCGAGGGAAGAGTGTTACCCCTTGGAACGAGAGCAGTGCGACCGAGGTGGTCTCATCACCAGGATGGGCGGAATATCCATTTTGCCCAACACTGTCGATGTTGAATATCTTTGACGATCGACCCGGTTTCAAAGATATATGCCAATAACCCGGGTTGGCTTTGAATTGGAAGTACCCTAGATTTGCCATGACGATTGTGTCTGTGAAGTGAGGCTCATCCTCGGTCCCTAGGAGCAATTGTACTCCTCGAGGTGGTGGCCCACTGGTCACATCCCTGGCATGGCCTTCAATGAGAATGTGTTCCAGCTCGTAAATTGCATCGACATTTTGGCCTTCTGCTAGGCTGCTGAGCTTGATATTGTCTAAGTCGTGGATAGAGTCTTGCGGCGCAACAAGCCAAGAAGGAGGAACAATCATCCCAAGATTGAACAATGTATCTTTTGGAATGCCTTTAAAGAAAGCCCCAGTGTTTGACAGAGACCCGTTTGAATCGAATGCGGGCTCTGCACTTATAACATGGCGGAGAAATCTTTTCACTGGAAGCTCTGTCAATCTGTCCTTTGGGTTCAAAAAGATCTTCACATTGACTCCACTCAGTTGCGATAATGTTTGAATGATAGGGATCCATTGCTGCACAAGTTCCGAGGCTGGGTCAACTACAGCCACTACTTGCACACTTGGGTCCTCCGAGTTGGCGATATTGATGGCCGTGTGAGTGCTATTCCATCGTTTGAAGCGGTCCATGCGAATAAGCGGGGCGGATTCACGCATCCCTTCTGGAAGATCAGATTTCAAGGATCGAGCGATCAAGGAGGTAACCTTTGCCAGATTCAGAGCATCCGTAAATTGTTGCTCCAAGCCTAGGCTTGTAATCGCAGTAGTAACAGGAGCAATCCTTTCGGTTCGTTCGAAATCAAGTAAAGCTTCCATATCTACCGAGGTAAATGTCATTGACAAGGGCCCAATTATCCTGCCATTTACCCAAAGGCCGTTCTCGCCTGGAGAAAAGCCAATGTCATGGAGCAGATCTCGTTTGCCTGCCCAATATTTTTTACAAGCATGGATAGCGTCATCGGCCAGCGTCGGTAGAGGCTGCTCTCCCCCAAGCAGATCCCATAACTTTTCGATATGGACATCCCGCCGACCATCCTCGACCATCGAAAAGATATGGCAAGCAACTTCAGATGGTGTAGACTCAAGGACTGGGTTGTGTAATATCACCACATCTGTGTGTGGCCGCTGATGCTGCAGTGCGATTGCCTCTGAGAGTAATGCCAGGCCATCGGCGGAATTGAGATCGATTGACAGGAGAAGATGTACACGATCACTCAATAAAGTAGCTTCCCAACCAAGAATCCGAGGGAGGTTAGCAAAATCTTCAGCATAAGTGACAGCCAAAGAGCTAACGTCGGCAATTTTGACGTCCTTGGGATCGTGAGGGAAAACCAATTGATTTCGGCGAGGAGTCGCTTCAACCAGAAAAAATTCAGGCACCGATGAGTCCTCTAGAATAACATCTTGATAGACAGCTTGTTGAAGTAATTGGAGATCGGCGTAAAGACGGGCGCTCATCAACTCGAACCAGTTATCGGTCCGTGGCAACACAACACCGTTTATCATAAAAGGAATTGAAGGACCTTCAATCGCAAGTCGCTCAGTGTAGGAATCACGAGCATCGAGACGCCGACGAAAATGCTCAGATTTCAAGACATCTTCGAATGACAAGGGTTCTGAGCCTTCTCGAGGGTTACGTTCCTTGGTAACTGCGACGAAGCTTTTTTCGGCAGCAGACAAGGACAGTTTCTTGGCTGAGACAACATCTGAGAAGAAGTTCATCAATATTGCCAAGCCGTAGGTGTCCAGGATGTAGTAAGAAAGCTTTCCATAAGTGTCTGCAACCTCACCAGTACCTACAGGTACAAGAGCGATTCTCAAAGGGACTAGCCTTCTGACCAAACTTTGCAAAGAAGTTGCTGCGAGTTCTATATCCTTGAGATCGTTCATATCGATTGGGACGATGAGGTTATGGATGTCCCGAGCGAGCTGTGGCAGCTGTCCTGGATAAACTCTCTGGAAAAGAGAATGTAGATTCGATGGCCATTGTGCATATCTTTTGTCCACTTCGAGATCATTCAACCACATCAACACCTTCTCGGTCCCGGATTCGGTCTGATCTCTCCAGTCAAATCTTTGCGGAGTTTCATTGGCCTGAGCCTCTGCGATGACCTCACTGGACAACAGGCTTATAGCTTGAGAGGAAGTTAACCCAATATCTTTGACACTAGCAATGATTTTCCGTTCCCGTCTCAGGTGGTCCAATAAAGAATAGGCATTGATCTGACGAGGTTCGATTTGGACGCCATTAATCCAGAGAACGTTATATCCTGAAGGTAGAAATTGTTCACGATTGGCGCGATGCTCAGTAACAAATTCTTTACTAGCATTTGAGGCGGCAAGTAGAGATGAATACCTTGGAAAGTCGCTGGAAATTTGAAGGAGAGTGTCCAGCGGATTGGTACTGGCGGCAATAAAGCTGGCTGCATTTAGTGCTAGATTAGCAACTTCTGACGCGGTCAATGGCTTCAAGTCAGTTAGTTCTTCCTCCTCAGCAGTCTCAAGGGATTGTTGTCCTGGATCTTTGGAGTCGGACTTTTGAGCATCTCGGTCGTCAACAACAATATAGTCAGTTCGCTTCAGAACCAGCTCGACCCCGTAGCCGCTAACGTAGAGAGGCTTAGACTCGAGTGAGGTCGAAGGCCGATATCGCACTCGATATGAAGTCTTGCCATCACGGGCGGTCTGGCTGACCACTTGATGAAATTGGCCGAACAAAGGGTGGGTGATGTCAGCGTAAAGGATGGACGACGGATTCTCAGACGACTGGCCGAGCACACGATCAAATGGAAGCTCATCATCGACATTGGGTAGATCTACCGATTGTTGAGAGCGATCCAGGGCGGGCGAGCAGTATTGTTGTCCATCCAGGTACACCCAAACAGGGCAAGCAGCATCCTGTGCGGCAGGTAGATGAGGCTGTATTGATGTGTTGTAATATTGAAAGTGAGCCTCGACTCTAGGAGCGGCGGCATGAAGAGCGAGAGCGAATTTAAAGGAAGAGAGTGATTCTGGGTCAGCAAGATGGCCACCCTGCTGCAGAATATCAATGAACTTGTTGTACAACTCTTGCTCTGATGTCAAGTCTGCAAAGGCACCATCGGCAATGCGATCGAGCAGTGGGAAATAGGAGGAGGAGTTCTCGAGGGCGGCAGTTTCTCTAGAGCGAAGTTAGGCGGTGCACTAAGAGAGGAAACGGGAGCATGACGTACAGCAACTCAACTAAATAAGGGGCTGAGGAGAACGATGCTTTCAGGGCAACGTTGACGGAGGGACCACATTGAGACAAAGTGCTGAAGACGGATAAAGCCAGGGGAGCGGTCACCAGGACCCTCCAGGGCAAATTCAACGGATGCATGATAGCAAGGCTGAGTGAACAAGGAGTTGAAAGAGTGACAAGATTGGAGGTGAGGTTGTAGTCTCGGATCGACCAACCGGGGCCTTATGATGGAGTCTGCATAAGAAGGATGAAAGGGAGTATCGAGGAGGGAAACTGGAACTTGAAGAGGCTTTACGACTGAACGGTTGACATCTCGCTCGGTGGGCGCATTATGAGTTCTGATACTTGGGGCATGAGGCCAGAGTGGCTGTCGTTGTTTGGTGTCTCTTAACTGTTCCAAAAATTCCCCCGGAGATGACAGGGTTACCCAATCGGGATCGAGCGCATGCGGGGAAATTTCTCCAACCTGTTATCGGATTAATATTATTCCGATCCGTTGTACACCTCGCCTGTTACGGAGCAATCGTCGTTGTAATAGGTACCATTTGATATTGACTTACTGCGGGCAGAATTTCTGAACCGGACACTGAACAGTTGTCACTCATTGTATTTAAACCGAAGCATGTGTCAATCCTGTTGCGTATCCTCATACTATCGCTGCTGAGTTTCGCGTTCGGCTTCGAGCTGTCCATTACAATGTCAACCGGACGTGGCTAGCTCCACTGCAGGACGATAGTTATCTCGCCCAACCTGCCTATCGAGACATCGACCTAACCCAGCGCAGCTCTCCTTGACGTGTAGATCAACTGAGACCACCTTAGCAAGGATATATTGCAAAACCGCTACCTGATCACAAGGGCACCGTCTGCCTCTCCCCATGGGTCAACTACTGGTATTTTACCCATGCAGTCTAGAAGTGGAGAGCCTCCGTCTTCTCGGGGCATGGTAAAACATCTGGCGCCAGTGCTTGACATTTACGCACAGTATTTGTTCAGTCAGGATTGGTCTAGGCTCAGGTCGGATCGCCAGGGGTTCATCGAGGCAGTGACTAGGATTCAGGACTTGGGAATGCCCAGAAGCCTCGATCACTGATGTTTCCATGGCGTGTTCTGAATTTCAACAACCTTATTTCTCATCCCTTTGTGAGAGATGACCGAAGTCATTGATATCGTCCAGCCTGGGTGTCAAATGACCTGGCCTCCGAAAATCGGTACTCCATTTTATGCGCCAAAATATCTATGCTTGAATTTTTTGACATCTTGGGCGGATGCTCTCCTTTTGATGTGTTAATGTCGACATCTGGAGGAACCAATTGCTCTGGGAGCGGAATGGCATCGCAACCCGCACAATCAATGATTGGCCTTCCAAAATAATCGAACAGTTACAGGCTTTCCGGATATCTCCTACCTCTTTGGTCCTCGCTTTCCCGGACAATCACGACTCGAGCGCTACAAGTGTCAGTACTCTATTGTGGTCACTGATTGATGGGGATCTTCCATTGCCCTTTCTGACAGTCCATAGAATTACTGTACGGCGTTATACGATCTGCTCCGAACGCTGTGGTCAAAAGCAAAGCGTCGAACCCGAACTTTGCTCCAACCATAGCAACGTGGCACATCTGACTTACCTGAGTTAGCTCGTGTACACTACTGTACTTCTTCGAACGAAAGCATCCTGTCAGATCGGAAGGGACTTGGACCATAGCGCTAGTTTTTAATCTCCACCCAGTCAGTCCTAGAACACTAGCTGTTGCTACACTACACCCATCTTTCAACACTCAGTCAGAGCTTATCGATGATTCCAGTCAGATATGCTGCCCCTCAAAGCCACCCCACCTCCTCATTTCCGCCTTTCCCAATACTTCAAAACTCCTTGCTGTACTCCACGGTGCGTGTACACTACAATCTTTTCAAGCTCGCCTCAAAATCGATGGGATCCCGGTATCCTTGAAGTCAACACCATCATTGATGATCTGCGTCAGACCCTTTGCAGAGAGGAAGATATGTAGCATTCCTGCGCCGTTGAAGCCTGCGCAGATGAATTGATTTCGTCGGCCAGGAACCACGCCGATATGAGGGTATCCATCAGGAGTTGTACCCATGACTGTTGATTTCAATTTTCGAAGCGGTTAGTGAGATGCTCCAAAACTAGAAAGAGACAAAGACATGGCAAACCAACAAATCCAATGTGGACCACAAAATCGAAAGGCTAGAAGAACTCACTCCCCGTCCAAATCCGATCAACTTTTGCCCCGGAGACGGCCCAATCCCTGTACGACTCAGTCATGAGCCGTTCAAAATAAGCCGTCATCTCCTTTTCCATCGCCACCTCGCTGTCGTCAACCGTCCCTCTGATCAACTCTTCATGAGATCCAAAGACGCAATATCCACCACCGAAAATAACCCCGCCGTCAGGTCTGTGGACCAGGTAATCTTGCCGAGTGCCACCGTACGCGAGGTTGTAGGTATTGACTCTCTGCTGGATCTCCTGAAACCGGCCAATGCTCTGATCTCGCCTCACGACATGGCTCGCTGTACCGCGTACGGGCACGATCTTGTCCTCGTACAGTTCCGGCAACAGGGCGGCGGTGTAGGCGTTTGTGGCGAAGACGACTTTCTTCGCTCGGATGCTTCCGCGCGATTTCGTGGAGAGGATATAGTAGCCTTCGGCGTCGGGGGTCGAGGAGACGGAGTCGACCTGCGTCTCGGTCTGGAAGTTTATTTTGTCGATGATGCTGGAGAGCAGGCCGGACACGAATTTATACGGCCACAGTTGTGCAGCGGGGACATTGAGCGCCGCGTAAGCTCCGGGAACTCCTGTAATCTGTCGTTGCGCCGAAGCAACGAGAGCAACATAAGTCAGTCCAACGGATCAAACTCCACACACACAACTTGCTCCCTACGACACGACCCGGGCCCCTGGAGACCCCTGAAGCAAAGTCACCTCACTCACCCCCTGCAAGACCTCGGCACTGCCCTCCAAAATCTGCACCTCTCTCCTTGCAGTGTCCACCCCCTGGCCCGTCATCTGCCTGACCATCTCGGTCCTCTCCCGTGCCAACTCCCTCTCCAAGAACACATCAAAGCTCCTGGTCATGAGGAAATCACAATCAATCGCTTCCTCTTCAATCACACTCTTCAGCGCCTGGATCTGCCTGACCTGGAATGCGACCAACTCCTCGGCAGCCCGGACGCCGCCACGCCCGTTTGGGAGGGACGCCGCTTTCTGCATGTGGATGGACGCCAGCTTGGTGTGGCCCCCATTGCGGCCTGTCGCGCCGGAGCAGAGCTGGCGGGCTTCGAGGAGGAGGATTGACGGGCATTCCTCTGGTCGTTTTGACGAGCCATTCTTGAGCAGATGATATGCGATACTGACGCCGGACATGCCGGAGCCGATGATGGCGATGTTGACTCTGCATGGCAGCTCCGGCGTTGAGCGGTGCCGGTCTAGCGGACTGAGTTCGGTGCGCCAGTAGGACGTCGTGGATGTCGGATGCGGGAAGGTTTTGCTCGCTGGGAGATGGTGGACGGGCGACATCCTCTGTTGTTGACTTGTGTGATGCGTGAAGGTGGCTTTCAAGGTCATGTCATGAGATACGCGACAATGCAACCCGCGGTTGGCAGTGTTCCGTACTCGGTACGAAATCGTCCAAGACACCAGTCTGTTGTTGCAAGATTTTTGACATCTCTACCCTTATATATACTTCATACTACTACGGATGGAGCACTCATTCTTCCTCACTACCACCTTCTCGATCGAGGATATGTAACTTGCCCTCTACTCCGGCGTGACTAACCTGACTATTCCCCCCAGACCATAATCTTAGCAATCCGGCCCTTAAAAGGACGATCAGACACAGGTTCGCCTCGCCTCGCCTCGACCCACACAGGCAAGGCACGGAAAGTCCAACTACTTACCCAACCACGACCAGTCCACTGCGAGCATCATTTCACGACCAGCAGTAGATAACGGAGATTTTATGTCGAATCCTCCTGCTGGTAAATGTGGGAACGCTCGTTGGGCCTTTTGTACGCGGGGCGAACCCCACTCAATACGCGGTGGCCTATTGTGGAGTGTGATATTGTGTCGATCTCGATGATTGATTGGAAAGGGCGCATTACATTGCATCAGGATACGCTACGCTATCAATGACGTAAATTAGGTGTCTACAAGGCATTTCTTAAGGCATCACTATTCTTTGACGCCTAACTCGCTGTAAGTGTCCATGCCATAGGATATGATGCTCAACGCATGTGGCGATAACCGGTTTTTCCAGAATAGGATACCATACCCCCATACAGGTGGGTGTTCTCTGGTTGGTATAATATGTAGAGCAGAATCCAGGGATCGATGGTCAGGTTAATACCCCATGGGGGAACAGGATCACTCGCTTTCTGTGTCTTCATCCCCACTCTCATCCTGTACGATATGCGCTTTCCTTTTCGACCCAAGGATTCTGCCATTCGTCAATTTGACCTGGCTACTCTTGACCCGTTGCGCCACCTCATTGATGCTGTTCATAAAATCAAAACTCTCATCGTTGACTGAACTCTGCTGCTCTTCTTCAGATTCATCCTTTGTGTCCTCATCGCCACTTTCTTCATCTTCGTCTTCGTCTTTGTCTTCGTCGTCAGAGTCTTCCTCCGATGTTTCATCTGACTCTTGGCCTAGCAAAAGATCTGTCTTGTTCGTTTCATCGACATCGCTCCCTGTTCCTTCACTGGAAGTCTCATCCTCGATTTCAGATTCATCAGCCATGGCGTCATCTTCGGCTTCGGATTTCTCGACCTCAGTCTCTTGAATCTCGACGTGATCGTTAACGTCATATTCAACTTCCACATCCCCTGTGCTATCATTTTCTGCTCTGTCTACCCCGCCATTCCGCAAAGAGGTGATCTCTTGCAGAGGTGATCGAGATATTGCACGGCGTTGTATGGAAATATTAGGTGAAGGCCTCTCCTGTGATTGTGATTGAGCCTGATACGAGGTAGGTCGCTTAGAGCCGGACTGCGGTAGTTTGAGAGCCGATGTGTTTACCTGAGTCTGTTCAAACAATTGGCTTGATCCAAGTGTCTTTCCAGGCGTCTTCTTTGTCAAAAGCCTGCGGCTCACATGGGGTGTCTCTGTTGTTCCATTTTCCGAAACCTGGCTATTCGACTCAATCTCCACCGGCTTTGATAGTCTTGCTTCTCTCTTGCCAGGAACAGCGGGCTCTTCTGACATATTTTCAGAACCGGTGTCATCGTCCTTGACGTATTTGGATGAAAGCGGTGAACGTTTACCAGATCCAAGACCTGTACCAGCAAGACGTTTTTGCATTTTGGAAGGGGCGAGAATCCGGCTGGCACCAGGGGTTTTCTCCAGTCCAGACACAGGGATCCATCTTCCATCTTTCTTCGTGCCATGCAGAGCACGCCAATGATTTGAGCATTGCTGTGGTGTCCTGGTCTTCATTTTCTCGCTAACTTGTACCCAAGGTATGGTCCATTCCTTAGCATCTGCAGTGACTCCAGATTGCCTCCTGATCTCCTCCACTGCCTTATTGAGCTTCGAATTCTCGGACCTGGTCCATTCACCCGATTCGACTTTTGCGTATTGAAGCTTGTGTCTCCATCGTTGAGAGACGGCATCTTGCGTTCGCATCATTATCTTCGCAATCTTCGACCATCTGGTTCCCATCTCCTTCACTAACCGAATAAGCTCCCTGTCATCATCCTTTGTCCAATTGAGAGAGCCCTCGAGGTTTTGAAAATTACGCTCACGATACCGGAGCATTGATCGCCTGTTGCGATCTGGGAGCACACTGAAAAATTGATCCAGGAATTCCTGTCTTGTGATAAAGACACAGGTCCAACTTTCTGATTTCCGACGTTGAGTAGTGGCCGTCATCATGTCATTAAACTGTGCACCGGTGATGTTGTTTTCTTCGCAGAACCTGTCCTTCCAATTGTTCAGCTTTTGAACCTCGTGAGTATCGAAGGCACCGACTTGTCCCACTTGGCCAGCGCCTTTGCTACCATGGCTCTTTCCATGGCCAGTCTCGCTCTCATGTCTCGCCAAGGCCGGCTTGGACACAAACTTCTTAGAACAGGTTCGACATTTCAACAAGTGCACATTGGGATTTTCGAGATGATTCTTGAGCGCCTTTTTAGATCCAAATTTAGTGTGACAGGTTTCACATTCGAAATTTTTGTTCATAATAGTTCTCAGGGTGTGCTCAGTGTCGGACATCTCGTCACCAGAGGTTGCAGCACTATCACCACTATAATCCGAACCTGAGTCTCCGTTGACTCTGTCGGCTGGAGTCGTGGGAAATGTCCTTTTGGCAACCGAAGTTGCAATCCCGGAAGGCTGTCGGGAAGAACTAAGAACAGCATGACTTTTAGAAGGAGAACTGTAATCGATTCCAGCCACAGCTCTCCCCTTGCCATTGGTGGTAGTATAGCTGGAAGATCGGATGGAAGTTGAATGAAACGGTGCGTTCACAGGTCCACCATCGCTGTCCTGGTCTCTCTGCTTTCGTATCACCTTTTTACGCGTCAAGCTTTTGTTTAGATCATGTGATGAAGGGCCGGCCTGACTAGTGCTCGGTATGAGAACTTCGACTATCTGCTGCATCTGTTTCGATGGTGGTTTTGGGTTGGGAATAGGGTGACGGAGTTTCAAGCCTAGCTTGTAAGGTTGAGCCCAGCCTTCGATACTGCTTTGACGACGTAGTTGTAGCTGTGGAACTATCTTTTCAGTGACTTGTTGAGCCTCAACATTTGTCGCAGAATTTGCGGACGAAGGTAGCAACCTAGACGATGACATGGCAGTCTCTTTTCTTCTTTTCCTCGCTTTAGGGGTATCTTCGGTGGGATTTGAGGTTTGAACCCTTCTTTTACGCTTCTGACCTTGCGTGGCCACAGGTGTCTCTCTGATGCGATCTTCGAATGATCTGTCTTCTAGATCAAGGCTGGCTGGCCGTTCAGAGATTGCCTGCTGTGCAGGAATTATTTCTTGAGCCTCCTCAACATCAGCTTGATGCTCCTCAATGCCATCGCCAGCCTCAACGCTTTCGCCATCCTCGTAAATGCGAAGTTGACTTTCTTCTTCTTCTTCGGCGACCTCAAATTGCGAGGGTTCCAGCGGAGTGGTGTATTCGACAGGGTTATCCTCCTCCATTCCACTTTGGTTTTCTGGAGCACCACTTTCGACTTCAGGTTCAACTTGCAAGGGCTCATCCTCCTCGCCAGCTTCAGCAACCGCGAGTTCCAAGCCATCGTGTTGCTCCATATGTCTCGTAAGAGTGTCATTTCGACCGAAGCTTTTGTTGCACACGGCACAAGTAAACGTTTTGACATGGCTTTGTGCATGCCTTTTCGCGCCCTTCAAAACTGAAAAAGTCTTGGAACAATGATACTCTTCGGCAAACGGGCATAGCCACCGGCCGTCGCGTTTGATTAGAGAAGGTGGATCGAGAGTAGTATTGGCTTGTAATTCCACCTCAGGTTGAGACATTTCATTGACGGCGGTGAAGCCGTTGCTTATTTGCGGTTCTACGTCAGACTCGTGCGTTCCTGAGCTCTTTAGATTAGCGTTGCCTGGTGATTGGTGCTTCGAAAGAGGGGATCTCTTCATGTCGACAGCCTCTGGTGACTTGGGAGGCGTGGTAGGCTCATCTTGGTCCGAGGGAGATGAATGGTCTGTAGTATCGGGTGAGGCACGTTCTCTTGCTTCTTGCTTCTTGTCCTCGATTGATTCTCGAACTTTATGATCACCATCCCATCCAGGGGCTTCAGCCGCATCACTATCGTCTGAACTGGCATATATGTGAAAAGTCTCAGGTTCGATTTCCATCAATTGCGAATTCTCAGGAGGGCTTTGGCTCAAAGGTTGAACCTGTTCGGGCACGGCGATGGTCGGCTCATCGTTGCTGCTGTCATTGTAATCTTGTCTAGTCTTCCTCTTCTTCCGCCGTTTTCTTCTGTTTGAAAGCTGCGACTCGGCTTGTGTGGTCGGCATCCTGTTCTCTGGGGTTGTCAGAGGTTGGGAACTAACATCGGCAGGGTCGCGGTCGTCAGGAATCTCATCTAGATCGAAATCTGGACAATAGGGTGTTATTAATCAGAGCAGGGTGATTATGAGGTATTGCTTACTCTCTTCGTCCACGTCTGCAGTGGGCTCTTCTGGCCTGGCTTCTTGACTCTCGTTGGCGCCCATGATTCGAGTGAAAAATGTAAGTGGGGATGTGACCAGAGCATTGTACGGCAGAAACGGTAAGAGACAAGAGGCTGCGACCTTGGAAGGTGTGGCCAACAGTCACTCTTGAAATGGCAGGTGCGACTGCACTGCAAAAATCGCTCTTATCTTAACCTCACTGCCATCTATTGAAATATGCCAACTGCGTCCTATCGCGCTCGCAATTCTTCCAACGAAGTCAAGAGGAGCATCAAAGCCTAACAAAGTGGGGTTACTACACGCTTAACTAGCCTTGCCGGGGTGGTGCGTGTGCACGAGAATCCCGCCTTGTGCAGGGTCCACGGTCCTACAGAGATGACATCTGCGGATTCATCTTCCCTCACAACCTCATCTCATTCTTTCCGCGGTCGAACATCACTCGTCCTATAATGGTGCTCCTTAATACAACCTCACGAATACTCTCCGCGATCTCATCCCTGCCATCCTCTGATCGCTCCTCACTAAGCAATCTTCCTACCACGATCGACGCACCCATCGAGCACAAGACCCTTCTAGCGATATCTCGATGCTCGAGGCAATTTACTCTCAATGCTCTGTTACATGGCACCCATGTTTATATTGCCCCTCCACTGCGAAAGTCCGAGCCGTCCCCGCAGTATGTTGCGCTCATGGCCCGCCTACGCAAGGAGCAGGAGAAGCGTGAGTACGCCGCTTTAGTATCAAGACGGGCAGTTGAGCAGGCAGACGTCGAAGCGGACGGAGGCAAAGATGACATCAGTCCCTCATTGGTACTCAATATCTTGCTTAGCGTTGTCATGTGTGCTGCTACCATGTTATATTTGACCAGATGGTGGCATAATGACGGAGTTCGAGTCCTCGTATCGCTAGGTACGGGTCTCGTGGTCGGTATCGCTGAAGTGACTGTGTATGCTGCTTACCTGAGGAACGTCCGGGTCAGCATAGAAAGAGAGAGAGCCAAACATGAGAAGAAACAGTTCATCACCGAGTTTCGGGGTGATGAGCCAGGCATACCTCTGGATCATATCCTCGATGAGAAGGAGGAAATCTGGGGTCGTGGAAAACATGGTGGTATGAGAAGAAGAGTACGGGAGAAGTGGGAGAGAGAACAGAACAAGAACGACCATTGATTGGTATTATCAAATGATAGAAGCATTTTGGTATCAAGCCATCAATCACACCCCAGTCAACCTGATCAATCTGTGGCTGTGAATTCATTCTGGTCGTCTCATGGGTCAAATCTAAAACAGATGTTTCGCCGCGCGCTCAAAAGTCATAAATCCATCTCTTGAACCAGCTTTTGGTCCGTTTCAACTCGGCTCTTCTCGGTTCCAGCAACAATTGTCCAGAGCATTCTTTTCCAACAAATCCATTGTTGGGTCCGTCTCGGAGGAATATTTGTTGACCTCGCAAAATCGTCGCCTTTACTTGTCCTGTCATTGTCTTACCTTGATAGGGGCTGCACTTGTTGCGGAACAACATCGTGCTAGGCTCCACCACCCACTCCGTAGTCTCATCGAAAACACAAACGTCAGCATCAAATCCGATTGCCAGTTGGCCTTTCTGTTGCTCAAGACCGACCTGAGTTGCAGTGTTGACACAACACCAATTTACTACATCCATAATCGCATCATCTTTCGACGTCAAACCTCGGCGCGTCATTTCACTCCACAAAATGGGTAGGCCCATACCAACAGATGAGATTCCACCCCATGCAGAGAAGAAATCACCTCGATCTTTCTCCAACTCTAATGACTTGGCTTTATCCTTTGGTAGGGCCAAATGTCCTGGAACGTAGGACGGAAGAAGCTTGAGATCTGGCGTGCAGGGTGAATGATCTGAAACCACTGTCTTGATGACTCCCTCTTCCAGGTGTTGGCATAACTCTTCCCACAGTTTGTCTTGATTGGATTTCGTGCGGATTGGCGGACAGCATTTATGTCGAGTGTCACCCAAAGGAATCTGCTCTGCCGCCAAGGAAAGATAATGAGGACAGGTCTCAGCAGTGATATTGATCCCCTGGGCTCGTGCTTTTCTCAATAGTGGGATGGCTTCCATGGCTGATAGGTGAACGATATGGAGTGGCAGGTTTGGTGCCAAGTGAGCCAGTGATAAGATTTCCTCGACGGCATATGTCTCAAAGGCTGGTGGTCTCGAGGCCAAGAACGTGCTATAAGCGTTCAATGGGCCATGAGGTTGAAGAGGCGGCAACGAAATTTGTACATCGTCGCCAACCGAGTCAGAGATTGGAGGGATCATCTCGGCGTGAAACATGACAGTTGTGGGCTCATCTGCAAGCTCCGCAAAGACCTTCTCAATATCTGTCGAGGAAACAGCCGGAAACTCTTCCACTCCGCTCTCAATTAAAAATCCTTTAAACCCCTTGACTCCTTCTCTCACCAGGGCCTTAAGGTCACCTGAATTGCCTGGGATAATACCTCCGTAGAAGCCCACGTCCACCCAACATTGTCCTTGTGCAGCCTTGATCTTTTCATGGAGATTAGCCACAGTAGTTGTAGGCGGAATTGCATTCAAAGGCATATCCACTACAGTAGTGACTCCTCCAAAGGCTGCCGCCTGTGTGCCAGTATAAAATCCTTCCCATTCTGTCCTACCTGGCTCGTTAAGGTGGACATGGGCGTCGACCAATCCCGGGAGTAGTATATGAGGCGAGTAATCCGTATATGGGGTATTGGGTGGGAAATCGGACGCAGGAACAACCGAATCAAACGTCGATGTGATCTTTCCCGTGGCATTGGATATGACGATAGTGGCCGCTGAGATCCCTCCCGATCGGATAGCGCGCGAGGACGCGATTACGGTAATTGGTGATGCGTCTATCGTGTCTGATAAGGCGTTGGGCGGAGATCTTGGTGGTGTCGGATAAGGATGGAAGGTGTCTGATGTGCTATTCATGGCTAAGGATGATTTAGCGCTCGCAGATAGGCTTTGCTATAGTATGGCGAAAAGACAAAAGGCATAAAGAGAGTATCTAGGTGACCTGGCTGCATGTGCAAAAGGACTATGGCTCTTATCAGTCAGGCGATAAGCGATATCTGCTCCCTAGATGCCGAGTATATGTAGTTTAGGTGTTGATAGCAGTGCAAGACCGGATTTGAGCGCACAAACAGGGAGAGCAGCAAAGAGAAGCCATTTAATAAAGAACACAATGGGCAAACCTGCCCAATGCTAACCAAACCTTCGCGTCAAATCGGACTCGTCAAGTCCATCTTCGGACGTAGACGAGAATCCGGAGGCCCAGAGAGACATTGGGGGATAGTGTGGAGTGGAGAGGGCGGCCGAGTCCGCGGGCAAGATTGAGGGATAGCAAACACTTCTCAGCGCTGTCATTGGCAAATGCAGCATGGGCTCTGGTGCTGAGGCGCCGGAAGGGTGTATCTGTTACTCGATCAGATCGAGTATAGATAAGGAGAGTTGCGGCAAAGTTCTGGCTTTGGAAATTGCGGGTGTTGAGTGGTGAGGTGAGGTGTGGGTTGACGCATTTCGTTATCGTTGGGAATCCAGCCATGTGCGCAGTTCCACGGTTGTCAGCGCGAGAACCCCTGCGCCGGTCGCACCTGCCTTGCCTGGCCCCTTCCGGATGCGATAAAGTTTATTGACCAGCCTAATCCTTTTTGGGCAGAGGCTAGGCTGGCGACTTCTTGCGCCTATTACTCGATATAGATCCTCGTTTACTCGATGAAAACTCCTGACTGGAACATACGGTGTCATCGATTTGTAAACGCAGCCGATATGCGGGACTTCAGTGCAAGGCTCCTATTCTCAGTAAAAATTGTCTTCAGCTGTGACAAACCTTGCACCTCTGCTCCGCGTATTTCCGCGGGGCCAGTTGAGACGAAGCCAGTTGCGAGTAGGCCAAAGGGACTTAATGGAAAGTCACCACCTTCATGTGGCCATTGTTGTCGAAGAGAAGTACCGACTATTCTTCAAGACAACTAGTAACCGGGCTCTTGTCACCTAATTTTGGGCAATAAAAAGGGAGCCAGAAGGGCGTGCACGGCTTTGCGGCGAGCGTATTAGTAGTGTATATGGTGGTGCATTCACAAGCCACAAACACGTCTCGGTCACTGTTATTGAGCTTGTTCGTTGTAGGCAGGAATAACACACCTTGACGGCAGCAAAAGCCAGCAACGTGTGCTCATAGACATGAGGACTCGATGATGACAAGAGGTCCAAAAAACCTCAATAAGGGGTGATTTTCCAGCTGATGGATCGGCGGACTCTACGGCAGTGCCACCTGACGAGTCATGTGGTCTGCAGAACCGGAATCTAAAACGGTGGAGCATGTTTCATTAGAGAGCAAATGCACTCCAAAATAAATGGTGCGCCGTAGAGATTATGTAACCGCACCTTCCAATCACCGAATTGAGCCGAAAAGCAAAATCGATGCCAAGATTTCGTTGAAGGCTACACTTCATTCTCCACATCTTGTCGGTCAGTGGCTCCTCATCGACTCTATGAGAGGTTTTGGTTCTTCAGACCTTGGTGAACAGAGAACGCAACCTCACGATCGGGAAGACTCAAGCATTGTTATACGCCTCCATTGAAGAATCCTTAGTTTCAGCATGACAGACGAGCTCGAGGTATGATCATCATCTCACTGCAACCTCAATCCTCTTGCTAGAGTTTGCTAATGATCAATAGCAACGGCTCAAAAGCCATGCACGTGCCTTTGATAGTTTACTGTCTCTGATCCCGGCAAAGCTATACTATGGAGAGGACGTTAGCGTATGTATATACCTGGTCGGCTTGCTGGAGAAGACTCCTACTCACAACTCGCGCAGGATCAATGGCAGCGCAAAAAACAGACACCCGAGCAAAAAAGAGCAGCAAAAATGGCCAAGTTAGATCCGGACAATTGGAAGACTGCCAAAGATGTCATGGATGAGAGAGCAGCAGCCGCCCTGAAACGAAAACGGAATGACGAAGACGATGATGTCGGACACACTTCAGATGCCTCAAATCTAGAAACGTCGCAGCCCATGCAGGAGGAACAAAGTCAAAATATCAAGAAGCGGAAACTCGAGAAAAGGTCAGGGAAACAGGGGCAATTAGAAACCCAGCAGCCAGAGACAGAAGAACAGAAAAAGGAACGGAAAGCGTTACAAAGAGCAGCAAAAAGAGAGCGTAAGCAGGATGCCAAAGCCAAAGCCAAAGCCAAATTTGAAAGGCAACAAGAAAAGAAAAACAAAGCGAGCATCGAAAACCAGCCAACATCGGGCTCCACAAAGACGCAGGATGATCTAAAGCTGAAAAGTCCCCTCGACCTGGGAACCCCGCTCACGACGAAAGACTCGGTCTTCGATGATGAAGCAGCGACAGCGTCCTCGTCAGAAGATGATCATGCAGAAGTCTTTTCTCCCCCACAAGAATCAGGAACGTCATCTACCTCATCGACATTACCACCATCCGAAGATCCAATCAAGATAACTGCCGCTGCTGCTCCAAAAAGTGATATTTTATCAAGTACTTCAGGCGCAGAACAGAGCCCGCGTGAGCGGTTGCAAGCTGCAATCTCACAGCTACGCGCCGAACGTAAAGCTGGTGGTGGTGATGGACAGACTCCCAAGACTCGGCAGGAATTGCTGGATCAGCGACGGCGGAAGGAAGAAGACCGGAAGGCTGCAAAGAAAGAGCAAAAACGCAGAGAGAAGGAGGAGGAAGCACGGCGCCAGGATGAAGAGATTGCGCGACGTTTCTCTCCTGGAGGATCAGGCTCTTTGCTTGCATCACCAAGGTCCCCCATGATCGGCGACAATTCCTCAAGTTCAAACATCAATAACAACTTCAGTTTTGGAAAAATTGCTTTCGATGATGGCACCCAGGTCAACCCTTCCAGTTCCGGAGTTCTTGAACGGCGCACAGGGAAAGCTACTGCTGACACTGCTTCGGCGCTGAAAGCAGCACAGACCAAGAAAAGCAGATTGGCCGGGATGGATGAAGAGAAGCGCAAGGAGATTGAACAGAAGGACATGTGGCTCAACGCAAAACGGCGTGCTCATGGAGAGCGTGTCCGCGACGATACAAGTTTGTTGAAAAAGGCCCTGAAGAGACAACAGGGTCAAAAGAAAAAGAGCGAGAAAGAATGGCACGATAGACTCGAAGGTGTACAAAAGGCTCAGGAAGTGAGACAGAAGAAGCGAAATGAGAACCTGACCAAGCGAAAGGATGAGAAAAAGTCTGGAAAAGGCAAGAAAGTCAAACGGCCGGGTTTTGAGGGCAGCTTCAAGGGGAGAACGGGTGGAAAGAAGCGGTCATGAGTGACGACAACTTCATCCTCGATAGGATTTACTCGGGTGTTGGCTCGATTACGGGAAAGGCCGGACAAGGAAAGCCAGCCCTTGCATGGTTGTCGTCTTGTATACGCAAGAAGTTGTTGATAAAAACCAGTTTACCTGCATAGCGAAATGAGATGAATGATGAGAAATCGCTCGAGACTATCGTTCTACATTCAGGAACAAGCATCTATCCTTCTGTCTAGGATTTTTAAGACCAACCTCTTCCAAAGTCCAGCCTCGTGCGATGCTCTAGTCACTGCGAGAACGGAACTCTTCTTCTGTACTCCGAAGTATCTACCATCCGCCACTAACGTTCTCACATACCATCCCAAACATGTCCCATCAACCGGTTCGCCGCGTTCTTAACGTAATGGGCTGTTGCACCAGATGGATCGTTCAAGTTGGAAGCTGTGCCAAAGTGTTCCACGAATCAACCTCCACCGTCTGTTCCGCCGACTGAGCCTAGTGTTTCTTCTGGTGGGCCAGGCACGACGATGACTTGATTGAAGCTCAGCTCATTCAATATCCCAGAATTGAAGGACTGGGGCGATGATAATGGGACACCGAGGACGCCTGCCACGTCTTCTAGACTGAACACTGCCACGCCAGTCTGACCAGTGGGGATATTGGTGATCTGACCGACACAGAGTCCTTCAGGCTTGACGCATGGGCTCACCTGGATGATTGCCTTCAGATCTCCATCAACTTTCTCCGCGATTTCACTCAATGTGTCGCCGGATTGGATTGCATATTGGCTGAGGAGTGTGCCAGTAATCTTCCCAGTATCAAGAGTTTTGTCCAAATCCAACTTTAAACTCAACGAGGTATAGGAGCCCTCCATATCTGGCCGAGTTCTCCCAAGGTTTTCCCTTCCTGGTCTAGAAGCTGAAAGCTGGAGTTTCGGGCACAGAGAAGGAGGTCTGGTCGTTCCACAACTGGAGCCAGGCCTGTACAAGCAGCGATATCCATAGTTCTTACCTGCGCTTCGAGATTAATTCCAAGAACGTCCTCAGCAGAAGAACCCCTGCCCATTGAGTTCGTATTGCGAAATTATATACTAGCCTGGGCGGTTTATCGAGGCAGAGGCGCGGTCAAAGTGTGGAGCTATTAAACAGAGACCTTGGATCAAGCTACACAAAGAAAGAACCGGTATCTCATTTCTAAATTCTGCGGATTTCCATGCCCCACAAGCATAGGCTTTTCCTGTGCAAAGCTTTCGCTGCCCTCTTCGGACAGATACTCGATACTCGATACTCCCCGCTTCTGAATAGGACCTCTAATAAGCGATGTCCCATGATCACCTTACATGGGCATCAACAGGACCCCAACGATGTCTTCGCGGCATTGGTCTTTTTCTTGAAATCGCGAATATTGGCGGGAATGATCCACTCGTCCGGGAAGTCCAGATGAGCGAGCGAATTAATCTACACAAGCAAAGTTGGACGCCCATGGCACAATATGGATTGGTCGAAGCTTGGAATGATTCAAGAGTCCCACTTATCCCAGTGATTACATCATTAAATATGATTTCGACGGGGCAAGCCTGATTGTCCCCGTGAGAATGGCGCCAAGTTGCGAAGCGGCCTCCATGCCAGCGTACTTTCCCCACAGCCTTACCCCCGCAATGTTCAACAACTAATCTCGCAACAAGGCTGAGTTTTGGGTGGGGGAGAGGGGGGGGGACCGCACCGCACCTATAACAGGGTTAAATAACAGTCCTGGTCCCTCGCATATCTGCATCATGCTGACTTCCAATCAATTTCCTACAACCTCGCATTTCGTATTTGTTACTAGAAATCATGCTCTCCGTGATTATACTGGTTGCGGTTCTCGTTTCCGTAACAAGATCTTGTGTTCATCGGGATATTAATGTTCAACATATCGATGCCAATATACAAAGGCGGTCAGCATACCCACCTCACAAGACGTCCAAGATCGGGATTTCAAATGTAAACATATTTCAAGGGACTCACTTTCGCCGAGGTGCTCTGGCCATAGCAGGTGACCTTATCACGTTCAACCTCAGAGGGGTCAAGACATGGATCGATGGCAAAGATGGCTTCCTAATCCCCGGACTCATCGATAGCCACTGCCATCCAGCTTCGACCAGCGACCTGCAACGCCTGAGTAGCTACGGCGTGACCACGGCCTTGAACATGGCGTGCGCCAACTATGCTCTTTGCGCGTCTCTGAAGGACCAACCAGGTCTAACCTCATTCTTCACCGCGGACCATGGGATAACGGCACCAAACACGACACATGCCATCGTATTCCAGACTCCACCGGAACTTCTCATGACAGATCCATCACAAGCACCGGTTTTCGTCGAAAATGCTTTCAGCAATAACTCCGACTGGCTGAAGATCACAGCGGAGCCAAACGGTCTTAGCCAGGAGTCACAAAATCGGCTCGTGGAACTAGCCCACGCCAGAGGTCGGCAGACGATGACACATGCGACGATGATCCCTTTCTATCTCCAGGCCATTGCATCGCATACAGACGGAATCCAGCATACTCCAGGCGACGGGACAGTCACACCAGCCATGGTCAGCGATATCCTGACCAACAACAAGTGGGTCACGCCGACCACCATCCTTGTCCAGGCATTTCTCAAGTATCCAGAGGCGCTGGCCCTGTCGACTTATGACAACAACTCCTGGCCGCTCGTGATCCAGAACGTGAGGAGCATGTACCAAGCGGGCGTCACTTTACTGGCTGGCACGGACGCTATTCCATCGGATGGACCACTCCCAGTCTCGCATCCGCTGGGCAGTACCTTGCATGAAGAGTTGGACATATTTGTCAACCAGGTTGGAATAAAACCACATGAGGCCCTACGCGCGGCGACGCTCCTCCCGGCTCAGATGCACAAGCTTTCTGATCGCGGGATCATTGCAGAGGGAAAGCGTGCGGATCTTGTTCTCTTGCGATCGAACCCGCTGAAGAGTATCTCGGCTACCAGGGATATCGCGAGGGTTTGGAATGGTGGGATTGAGTTCACTCCTGTCGCGGAAGGCTGAGGATGGATATTTATGGGCTTTATCCATGTGTGCTGTACGGGCTCTGGTTTCCAACGGCGCTGGATGTCCTTGCGGCCATAGTACTTGACATTAGACTGAAAAGTCATTGTGATTTTACTCACCTTTCCTGACCCCATTAACTCCCCTGAGATCTACCGCTTAGTGTGATGAGTAAATGCTGCTTAGGGTAGCAGAAGCGAGTGTTGATTTCTCCCTCCCGTGTCTATCAAGTAATCAATAAATGAGCCTGAATGTCTAGAGCAGGCTCACAGTTACACACGTGATATTGAGTGACCCTGAATACTCCAGGCCCTCCAATTGATCCTGCAATCATGTCCTTGTCGAACCAGGACATATTTGCGAGTCTCACCCAATTGGTATGGGTCCACCGGAAGCCTAACGTCTCGCGAATCAACCCGGCAGCTTTCCAACAGCAAACCATCCGGATCCCTTTGAATGCATACGAGGTAGTCGGCTAAGCAATATCTAATCATGGCTATTCCTCGTATAGCCACGGTTATCTGTGAGACATGAGATGACTTGATTTGCTTCAATAATGTCGACTTAGAGTGTAAACAAAAGATGTAGTGCTGGGACGCGATTACTGATCGCCAGGCCTGTGCCGATTCGCCGAACGGCCAGGCCCGAGGCTGATACTTTTGCAGACCCTGGACAAAACCGTGCCCTTTAGAAATAAAAGCGCTGTCTCTTCATTATATGGGAGGGGAAAATCAGACTCGAACATTTTCAAAAGCTAGTGATTATGTCGAACCCACTAAGCAGCATCGCAGTGCCCCAGAGATATCGCACGTCCGCGAATCGTCAGGTACTGATATCGAACTATCCAGAGACGGCACCTGGAGTAACACCGATCCAAATTGTGACGCTTAACCGACCGGAGAAGCTGAATGCATTCACAATTGAAATGATCAATGCGCTCGAGGAGTTCTTCACCGTTGTCGATGTCGACGACCGCGTCAAAGTCATCATCTTGACTGGTGCTGGACGAACGTTCAGTGCTGGAATTGACCTGTCCATAGATGCCACTGAACGCAAGAACCCGCCGACCCGTGAGCTGAGAGACCCTGGCGGCACGCTGGCGCTCTCGATGTACAATTGCAGTAAGACGATTATTGTGGCGTACAATGGTTTGTCCGTTGGGATTGGCATGACTTCGACCCTGGCTGCTGCTATCCGGTGAGAGACTTATCCTGCTTTGGCTGGGTAATGAGGCAGGAACTAATATCCAGACAAAAGCGTGGCCAGCGTTAAATCCGAGTTCGGCTTTCCATTCGCACGCATTGGTCTCACAATGGAGTCCAGTAGCTCCTTCTTCTTGCCACGTATGGTCGGCTACAGCAATGCGACGTACCTTTTGACGACGGGAGCAAGACACAAGGCAGAGTCCAGCGTCTTACAAGGCATCTTCGCAGCACTCGTGCCCGAGCCTCAAGATGTCTTACCACGTGCTCTTGAAATTGCGAAAGATGTTCTTGAGAACGTAAGCACCATGGCCGCTCACTTGAACCGCCAACTTATATGGAGAAACGCGGATTCCGCCGAGAAGGCTCACTTGGTTGACAGCCCGTTGTTGTATGACATGTTTGGCTCGAAGTGAGTTTTCTCACGGCATTGGACCGTCTTTCGATCGTTTTCTGACATAATATAGGGACCATCTGGAATTCAAAAACTCTTTTTTTGAGAAACGCAAGGCTAAGTTCACCGATCTGCTTTCAGAGGACGCTCCTCGTACATATCCTTGGTGGACGGAGCTTTCCGTCTCCACCAAACCAAAGGCTCGGCTTCAAGCAGACTCAAAGTTGTGAGCACCTGGAGTGTTCCGTAGGCGTCTCATGGTGTATTTGAGATGCTTGAGGTTTTCACAATTCCTGTTGTGGTCAAGGAGACAAGTGGAGTTGCTTGACAGCTGGGCAAATTTAACGGGTATTTGGATGGAGCAACCTATCAAATCACAGTGTATCAGTCAAGGGAGGATCATAATATATGGACTCTGACATGTGATTGTGACTCGTTTGGGATTCACGCATGCGCATGCGATCGAGCCATCCAAGAGGGCTCTCACTTCGTCCGATGCTCTAGCCTTCCGCGGAGGATATAAAGCTCGCTGACACAGATTAACTTTCCAATGGAGCCTTGATGCAGAGGAATTTCCTGATGGAATTTCCGGGATTTGGGCGAGCCTTAAATGGCGCACAATATTATATAAGACGCTGTCATTCGGAGGACCTACTAGGGAAAATCCTGCAAGGGGTGATTCCGCGAATTGACTCCCAGCTAACTTAAGAGCAACTTACCTCTTCCTCCATTTCTCTTTTCCATTAGTGACAAGAACAAAAGAAACACCAAGATCCACTCCAATTGCAAGACATGTCAACCCTCTCTATAGAGGGAATGACATCAGTGTCGAAAATGCTGCCAGCTGCACTCTTATCCGTGCCTAAGCGTCGTTGGTGGGTATGTTCCACATCCGGTAGAGAGCAGGGGTTCTGCTGAAACATCCTCTACCACGACTCCACGAGACATGGCCCGAATTCTTCGATACTAGAAAGCCCGAGCATCCGCTACGGAATTTACACGAATGCTCGAGATATACAACAGACGAAGTGCTGGCTATTGACAATGAAGCTCTTCGTAATGGATACTGATCTTCAAAGTCACTACCAAAAGCTCGACACGGGTCGAAAGTATCGGAACAAATCCTCCCGCACTCATGGATATCCTTGCCGAGACCTGATCAATGCCGAAGTCGATGCGAATAGAGACAGAGAAGACCAACTATCGTACATCGCCACTCATGCCCAGATATCGAAAGGCTATGGACATCCAACGGTGACGACTTATGTACAGACCAAGACCTGACAGGACAACTCCATAGAATCGAACATCTGACACTGTTTAGCTAACAGCCATTAAGCACGCTACGACTACTCGTTCATTACACCCACTTAGGTTGGAGAGGCTCCGGACGCAACAAAAACAATATCTGAACACTATTCGGAAGTCGACCATCTGCTCGACTTCGCGAACTTTCAATTGCTACCTCAAGGACAACAACCACACTGGGAGCCTGCAGGCCCGTCCCTAGCAACAGGAGTGAGGAATATATTGTCGAGTTTGACAGTTACTACGATCCTTAGCATCCTCAGAATTTCCCTTTTCCTGAGAAGTACGTCTACTCCCTCTTAGGATTTCTTGCCACTCGTTCCAAACTATACTTTACCTTCCACAGGTTGGCCCAGTCCGTGATACTTGCATTCATCACATTCGTCGCCTCCCTCCGATGGTGGTGGGCCATGTATATCTCCAGCATCATAGGGTGACTCAGTTTCGGCCTGACGTTGTTCTTGATCGAGTCGTACGCACCAGCGATCCTGGTGGCCAAGGCACGCCGCATCTGCCGCGAGACTATCTAAGAACTTTGCCATCCATGCCAAACACGAAGAGATCGAAGTCGATTCCAGGGAACTCATCAGCAACAATGTCTCGCGTCCGGCCAGGCTGCTCGTCACCGAACCAATTGTTTTTTTTCTTACGCTCGACATGTCTTTCGTGTACAGATTGATCTATCTGTTCCTAGGAGCCTATCCAACCGTCTCTTAGAAGTACACGGCATGAACGTAGGCGATGGCTGGCTTCCATTCATCGCGTTGATCATCGACCAGCTGCTCGGTGGACTCTACACCTTCCTGCAAGGCCTCAGCTACCTGATCAGCAGGTACTTGATGTTCGCCGCGTCGTGCATCGCCGCCAACTCTCTGCTGCGATCCTTCTTCGGCCCTGGCTTCCCGCTCTTCGGAGACCAAATATTCAACCACCTGGCATCTAGAGGGCGGGCACCCGGCTTGATTGCTTGATTGTTTTCATGATCCTCATTCCTGTCGTTGTTTAACACTATGACGAGAAGACCCATGGCTGGAGCAAGATGTCCGGCAAGGGCGGTGCCCATTGTGGCCATGGGAGCAGTAGATCGTCGAAGAAGGGTGATGAAGAGGCCGGTGAGGGTAGAAAGGAGATTGATGTTTGAGCATGATTCTTGTTCAATTTGTTTCCTCCACACACGGTGTTCGTTGCTGGAGACATGTCTGCTGATTGTTTTTGCATTCTTCCAACAGACAGCACAGGACAGGACACGGTTCTCGGGGCGGGCTAACGAAGTGGTTCTTTACAACCTAGCAACTAAATGTACAATGATTCGGGCTTGCACATATACCCCATCGTTTCCACGATAATGGGCACACGATAGAACACACTCATGGGAGATGAGGAAAGGACTTGGCAAGATTGTTGACAATTTTGATTGAAATATGCTTTTCATGGCAGAAAAGGAAAGATGGATCCGGTGGATCTTGATAATTAAGTGCAGATAAACGAGCATTTCTTCATTCTGCATCTGGCTGATTGTCTCTTACAGACCTGTGCTAGCTAACCTGCGCCCCGGGTATCATATGCAGTGCAACGTGGTCCTACCTCCCATAGTAATGCAAATCGTGCAATCTAATGCTGAGTCTAGCGTGTCTCATTTCGTTTTCGTATGTCCGCGACTCGGTGGTCAAGCTTATCCGGTATGCCCCCTATCCAAGCCAAGTATGCAAGAAAGACCTACACTTCACAGATCCTACAGTATGCGCTATCCAAACACCTCCAAGGTGCAAATTTTTCAACGGGCAACGAACGCCCTCTCCTCCCTAATGCAACGATCTCTGACAAGATTCGATCTATCGTTGACTTCAGAACCTCATTGGGGGCAGTAATGTAGGCGGGCGATTTTAGATGGCTCATGTTTGCATCTGCGCTTCTGCCTGTTCCAAGAGTTCTAGCATGGCCGCCTGTGTCGATGGTCCTGGCCCGTCTATATCGTCCCAAGGCATACGGCGCTTCCTTGATTTGACATATGGTGGTTTCGATTCTATGACAGCAGGCCGAAAATTTGACTGTTTCGATACTGCTGGTGAATGCTCCTCAATAGCTTTCGTCGACAATGAACACACCTGAGGCGAATTTCCCATACTGGCTTCTACCTGCTCGGCAAAGGCTATGAGTTCGGACTCGTCGATTTCGTTAAAAAAGGCGCTGAAACTTTCGATGAGCACAGCTGGCGGAGGCTCTTGGGTATCATCATTCGCAGGGAGAGCAGTGGGTGTATGCTTCTCCTTGTTTCGGGATTCCTGAGGAATAAGTTCAATGGTAGACATTGTATGATCGTCAGGGCTTAGATTCGGCGATGCCTTATCTCCCGACTCACTAAGTGGTGTGGCTGAAGAGTCATGTCCCTCGCCGATATCATTCTGTTTGTCGCAAAACTCTAGAAATTCATCATCGTTAAGGCCATCAGTGAAATCTTCCTCGATACCATGGTCACTTTCAGCGGCTGTAAAGTCGTTGACCCCTGGCTTTGGTTGCGCATTGAGTTGCGAGGGGCGTACCTCTTGAAGAGGAGATGAATGTTTATGCAAAGGTCTAGGCGGTGTGAGAGAATGTCTGACATCAACGGACTCTGGATCCTGACACGATGCTCTGGGACTCAACAAAGCATCTGAATCACTAGTGTCTTGTACTCTACAAGTGCCATTCTTCGCCTCAACTATACGCGTCTCTTGACGGCTATCATGCTCTGGCTCTAAACAATCCGATAATTTGTTGTTGGCATTGTCGTCAGATTTTCTTGTTACTTCATGACGCAGATGTGATGCGGGACCAATCGCTGTAGGTGGTTGGGCAAAGAATTTGTTTAATCGGGGTTGACTGGCGTTTACTTTCCCCCAAGTGTCCTCGACTGTGATGCGGCCTTCCTCAAGCATCTGTCTTTTGACTGCGCGATCTCTTTCTGCCTTGTCTTCGCGTTTGCGTTTGTTAATTTCTCTTGTCTGCTGCTTCTCTAGAGCTTTTCGTCGCTTGTCCTCCTGCGCATCTTGTCGGTCGGCGCGTGCCAGCTGTGAGGGTGTGAATTTAAACCCGGTATTGTCTTTCTTGTATGCCTTCTTTGCCTCTTTCAAGGTCATAGGAGGCTTTGGAGCCCATGGCATGATCAAAAGAGTGAGATGGAGGCTTGATCATGGAAGGTGCAATTTGTTTTGCAGGGGTTGATCGCGCCTGGAATTTGGAGATCGATGGGGCTTGAAGAATGCACGTCACACCCCGGAAAAACTAACTCCCGCGCGTGGTTCGTATTATACGGTAGTGGGGTAAATGCAACAAACATGAGGGGACAAGGCCGCAAAAGTTGATGTTGTGGAAACCCTTTTCGGCCTGCCTCAAACCATCCCCACAGATATGCACTTTGGACTATGCTTATGTTTGATGTGTTGAAAACAAGGCTCTTGGTTCAACAACCTGGATCACGGATCTTCGCTGCCATTACCTTCGACATCAGGATCCTCGCCGTCAGAATCTGTCTCCTCTATGGGAAAGGTTAATATGGCTGCGATCCCACCAAGGCCCTCAAGTCTTCTGCCACTTTCATGGTCACTACTCAGTACTCTTACTTCTCCTCCTTCAGCCTCCCGAACCTGATCTACGAGTCGAACCCATCTCCGTCTCGTTCCTATGTCCTGACTTCGGAATAGAGCATTGCTGATGAGAAGCACCCCACCCCCTCGACCTACCGCACCTTTGTCTACGGCAGTCTCAACTTCCTTTGGTCCATACCAAGCTCTGCCATCATCCTTGCGCAACAATGCATAGAAATCATCCATTAGCGAAGTCTCTCGGGCGTATTTCGTGTCTTTCAGCCTGACCAACACTTCTGGGCTCTTCAGGACTTCGTTCAGACTATGCAAATGACCGGAGCTGCTGTGAATAACAATGAAGGCTTTCCGCTTGACAAGGTCCTGCAGGACTTTGTCTCCTTTTGTGGCTGCAGTTTCATTGATCTGCTTGAGGAATCCGGCTGCCGTGAAGCCTGGGCTGGCAAGCAAGATCGGGAAACTCGTGCTGCTATCCTTTCCTTCCATTAGGCTTTCCAACTGTCTCATTAAGGTGTCCAGAACGGTAGAGAAGAACTTTGACAGGCCGTTATCGTGATCGGCAGATCTACCAGCCCCTGTACGTTTGCGAGGGACAGTGACCTCAACCCTTTGTTTCAGTACAGTCTGAAACTGTGTGATGAAGCAAATATTTGCAAGGCCTTCATGCATCACGACAGCCACGGCTTCAGTCCCTCGTGTTTGATCAATCGCCTCTTCCAGTTGTGCGCGTGCGACACTATCCCAGCCAGCGCCTCCATGGATGCCTTCGACTTCCTTTTCCAAGGTAAAATTGCGTTGCAACTCAAGATCAAGTGTATGGAATTGTCCAATCTTTGTGAAGCGGTTTTCTCGAGCGATCTGCCCAGACACGTGCAGTTGGCCAGCCTGCGGATCGAAGTCTAAAGATTTAACTCGAATGGTAAGGTTTGTATGTACTCTCTGGGAGGATGTTGAGCCAGTTGATGCCGCCTCATTTGTGACTCGACGGATTGCAGAAGCGGTCAAGAGATCTGTCGGTCGAATGAGGTTGTAAGCATGCCACTAGGAACTTTCAGATGGAGATATTTGGTGAGATCGTGCGTCTTACCATGTCTTCTGGCTCTTCCGGGCACAGCGTGATGGTCCCACTACCGTCGTTGTCTATGTGGCGCTTGACAAGACGCATGTTGACTTCGGTACACAAAGAGTCAAATCCCCCTAGGAGTGACGGTCACCGTTGCAGCCTTGATCCAGGGACTGGCGATATTGGCCGCTAGGAGCCTCAGGGGCGTCGCGTCGACTTTCTCTGTTTGTGTCTAGAACCTCACCTGCTATGGGTTCAAACCACCAAGTTAAGGCGCAATGAGTCGTGGTAGGTCAAATAATGGCAGGGTATGTAGTAATGGCATTGCTAGTTAGTACTGAGGACTTCCAGATGGAGGACTGAGTGCGGGCGCGCGATCAAGACTGCACGTTTTCCTCCGCAGAAGGTATCACTACGTCTTGGCTGCTTGGCGTAGACGTGACTTGTGACTGGAGGATGAAGCTATCACGATAAGCTGCCTGCCGAGGATGGCTTGTCTAATCTTGGCAGGCTAGCCGACTGTGATGCCCTAGCTGGGGTCTATCCCAGACTTCATGAACATGCACACCTTGTTTCTCCCAGTGCATCTGGAACCTTGATAATGACTCTTGGCTTTGCGCAAGTCACATTGCCCATTTTATTGCCAAATTCTACCTAGCTGCTCTTGATCGCTGGGCACTCTTGCTGTGCTTTTGGCGTCACCGTTAAGGTTTATGTCGATTGCACATCCGGTAGGTCAATCTCTCTCCATTCTCAAGGCTTTTTGAGAGACCCACAAGAAGATCATGAGATTTCCCGGTGTTGAGCTTGAACCTGCCAAAAAGGGCAATGATCAGATATTTACGAGCTCCCGGAATATGCTGCGGATAACACAGTGGCCACGGGGCCTCGAGCTTCATGTCTTGAAAAGCTCGATGCCTTCCTTGCGTTAGAGATTCTCTCCTGGGCATTGGACATTGCAATTGTCATAATGGAGTTCCTTCTCCTCTCTGTCTTCTTGCTTCTGTCTTTGGTTTCCTCGAGGGGCTGCGTGGCAGCGCCGACTCCTCGACAAGAAAGCTGTAGGCGGACGCAGGTTGCTATTCTGTAAGGCTCATTCATGTTCACAAGCACCAGAATCCTCATGGAATCAGTGGCGGCGGTGTTGCCGGAGTTACTGCAGCGGTGAGTCGGCGCGATTTATAGGGTTTCCATGCCTGATCTAGCTTAGCAAGCACTTTCGAACGCATCGATCGATGATTTTCTCATTATCGAGTATCTCGGGCATCTCGGAGGCCGTGTAGCTCACACAACGTTCGGAGTGCAAGAAGACGGAACCCCATATACCATCGAGCTAGGAGCAAACTGGGTATCAACACCGGTGCTGTTGGTGTGGAGTAAAGCTAAGAATCTACAAGGTCCAAGGACTTCAAAGTGGAGATGGTCCAGAGAACCCCATCTGGCGCTTGGTAGAGAGACCTCAATCTTGGTTGATTTCCTGTTCGGTCATTGATATGGACTTAGGCACAAAAGTACGATATCAAGAATACGTGAGCAGCCTCGGAACAACCCACAGGCCCAATGCTGAGTTAGCACAGATACTCCGACTATGAAGTCATGGAAACCTTCAATGAAACCGGAGCAGTTGATTATCTCCCCCTGCTGGCCGACCTTGATGACGCCTACGCGCAATTAGAGCAGAATACGGGAGTGATCCTCAGTGAAGGTTTGTTGGATTACACGGTGAGGGCCGGGCTTAGCTTGGCCGGTTGGAAGCCTGTGAGTGGCTGTCTCTACGTCCCCTGTTGAGTGATTCATTATACTTGAACAGAAGCCAGCCGTTCGAGGGAGGATCTGTTCCCTGACTATGGCAATGGACCGCTAATCCGCGGCCACGGCAGATGAAAGACCCCCAAATGAGTGTGCTTGAATGGTTTTACTTCGACTGGGAGTAAGTCTTGTCTCTTGATGATTTGCAGTTACACCGTCTGAGAAATTTTCATAGGTATTCGTATCCACCAGAAGTGTCCTCTGCCCTCTTCACAATTACCAACTACAACACGACATTCTATCAGTACAGTGAGGAGAACAACTTCGTAATGGACTCAAGAGGCTTCAATGTCTTCATCAGGGGTGAGGCGGCGGAATTTCTGAACTGTACCGAGGAATTTGACTGCTCCGAAGATCCTCGAATGCTCCTCAACACGATTGTGACCAATATCTCGTATTTTGACGATGGTGTTACTATCACGAACGAAGATGGATCTTGTATCGAGGCTGAATACGCCATATGTACATTCAGTGTGGGTGTTCTACAACATGAGGCTGTCACATTTGACCCTCCGTTACCCGACTGGAAACAGAACTCGATTGAAACTTTTCAAATGGGTACGTATACAAAAATATTTATGCAATTTCCATCAGACCAGGTCTTCTGGAATACAAGCAATCAGTTCTTCCTCTACGCCGACCCGCTCACAAGAGGATACTATCCGGCATTCCAGTCGATCGATTGTGAGGGCTTCCTGCCTGGCAGCGGCATACTTTTTGTGACAGTGGTCGAAGAAGAGAGCTTTACCGTCGAAGCACAAGACGAGGAAGTCACCAAGCAACAGATTCTGGAGGTCCTTCGAAACATGTATGGCACAGAGAACGTGCCCATGCCGACGGCATTTATGTATCCGAGATGGAGCCTTGAACCATGGACCTTTGGCTCTTATTCAAACTGGCCGATCGGTGTGACTCTTGAGCAACATCAGAACCTCCGAGCCAATCTTGGAAGACTTTACTTTGCGGGTGAGGCCACCAGCGCCGAGTACTTTGGCTTTCTGCAAGGAGCATACTTCGAGGGCCAATTTGTGGGGGAAGCTGTGGCGAGTTGCCTGAACCAGGATGGGAATTGCACGGATTATGCGCGGTATGAAAGGCTTTACGGCATAACACAGGCAACGGAATATAATGCAACCAACGGGTGGCATGTCACGAGCTTCCAGACGTACGGACTTGAAGACTAGAACTGACCCGCTCTGATGTCATGGCGTGCACTTGGATTTGGTGTGAGGAGGATTCGTTACTCCGTACGGGCCTTTCGGTAGTTATATGCCTGGTTAGTCGGTCCGTCTTTGTGGTATCAGACAGTTTCCAAAGAATATACATTCACCCTTCCCGAATTGGTACTCGTAATGGTCGAATACTAAGGATTGATAGTGAAAATGACTACAAAAAGGTACTGTCACCAGGGAGATGGCTATTGAGCACGATGGGTTGCTGCAGTGGGACGTTTCTCTCAGTCAAGTGACAAACTAGTGGGTTAGTGCACGGAGGTAGAGGCAGCCGACGCCTATCAAACGCCCAGAAGGACGCGTTGGGGACCCCACAGGATGATCTTAGGCGTGTTTAGCAGGCTGCTAGTAAGGGCCTGATACGTAACTAGTGGGCGCTCCAGCCACCGCCAAACACAGCCTGCCGCACACACTGTCCACCGCCGATTGATTGATTACCTGCAGACTGCAGGTGCTTTGCATCAGCCGCCGAGCACCCACCCACCTGCCTGCCACCTGCCACCTGAGGAGGCTGCGGACTCTGCTCTTCTTCCATGCATCTTGCATTGCACCATTACCCATCATTACCGTTGCCTGCCTCTTGACCAAGTCAACTGAAACTCACAACAATCCCACCCTCCTTCATTTACAGAAGGATTTGCGCTGCGATTGCTTTCTCATCTCATCTCTCTTCGTCGCTTCAAGGGTGCTCTGTCCGCCTCTCTACACAGCAGTGCCTGATCTTCAGCTGTCATTCCACCCGCCAAAAACTCGACCGTGCCCCAAGCTTTTCCTTGAGAGCTGTCGTCTGCCTACGCATTGCGCCATCGCCTCATTCTCCAGTTCAACCATTCTCAGCTGCCTTTCAAACACCACTGACAGCCATGGGTTCCTTTGTATTTAGATGGTGAGTACTCTGCGCACCGCTCCTGGTGCTCCCCGCGCAGGCCCCTAAACCGAGTGTGTCTCGCTAGCTGCAAGCGCTGACGCTTGTGCTGAACAGGCCGCACCCCAACGCCAACGACGTTCATGTCACTGGCACGTTCGATGACTGGTCCAAAAGCGAGCAACTAAATAAAGTTGGCGAAATCTGGGAGAAGGAGGTTACGTTGTCGGAAGCAGACAAGAAAATACTCTACAAGTTCGTGGTTGATGACGTCTGGACCATCGATACCACCGCACCCCAAGAGGATGATGGCCATGGTAACCTCAACAATGTTCTTCATCCCGACCAGATCAAGACCAAGGCAGCTGTTGTTCCTGAAGCTGTAACTACCTCTAGCGCCGCACCCACCAGCACAACCGCCGCACTTGCCGGAGGGGTTCCGTTGGAATCGAGGAAAGAGGCATCAGAAGGTGAGCTGCAACTCGACCACTGAAGGCCCATGTTTTACTAACTGGGAACTCCCCAACCAGTTACTCCAGCCAGCGAATCTGCTCTTACCAAAGAGACTAGTGGAAGTAGCCCGCCAGGAGCTTTCCCGGAGACACCTATGAAGGAGCCAGACTCGTTCGGCGTCAGCCCTCTCCCAGCAACCAGCGGAGACTCTAACCCAGTCAACGTGCCCGCCGGCGAGAAGCTCCCACCTCAATCAGATGTGACTGCGAACACACTCCAGTCGAGTGTGACAACGTCTAAAGAGGATTACGAGAAGGCAGGACAAGAGCCAGAATCGTTTAGCGTGAACCCTATTCCCGCATCAGTCGGTGCAGGAAATCCTGTCGATGTGCCAGCAGGAGAGAAGCTTCCTGAAGCAGGACAAGTCACTTCCAACACGATTGACTCCACGGCCACCACGTCCAAAGAAGACTACGAAAAGGCAGGCTCAAGCGTCCCTTTCCTTGGAGGTGCGCTTGCTGCGGTAGGACTCGGAACAGCAGGAGAGGCAGCTTTGTCGTCCAAAAAGGAAGAGAATTTGATCCCCGAATCATCTCTTCCCATGGGCGCCGACGCAGGCAAGACTCTTGACGCAGGCCCAACCATCACTTCAGCTGCACCAATTTCTACCACCGCCGAGCTAGCTGGAAAGGTACCATTGGAAGAACGAAAGGAAGCCATTGTCGATGATGTACGAGCCACCACTGAGACCGTGCCCGAAGTTGTCAAGGAGTCGATTGCCGAGGCGCATGTGTCTCCTGAGGCGACGACATCAGCAGAAGCAGTAAAGGAGAAATCCGAGGTTGAACAAGAACTCCTGAAGAAGATCCCAAGTACCGATGGGGCTAGTGAGCCAGCACCGACCATTGCTGCTGCCACGTCAGAAACCGCACCCGCTGCGACTGCTGCGACTCCCAGCTCACCAAGTGGTCCAGCAGGGACACTAGGCACCAATTCTAGCGCAGCAGCAGCCGTTGCCGATGGTACAGATGCGGCGGAAGCCCCTACGTCGTTGCCGCACACAACGGCACCAGCCGAGAAGACGGAGGGTGACAACACTGAATATGCTCCTCCACATGCATCGGGATCTGCCCCGGGCGTGTCTCCAGCGGCGGCAGCCGCCTTGTCGGACGGCACTGAAGATCCTACCCTCCTTGATGAGCCTGCGGTCCAATACTTGAAGCAAAATGAGGCCGCCGCCGACGCCACCGTACCGGAAACCAAGGTAGGCGAGGCAGCGGCTGCTCCAAGCACGACTGAGACACCCAAGGATGCGGCGAAAACGGAAACACCTGCTGCAGTGGCTGCTGCTCCCGAGACGAAGAAGGAGACTCCAGCGGCGGCATCCAGTGCCACGGAGACACCGAAGAAAGCAGCCGCTACGACTCCCACCACCAGCCCTGCAACAGGGTCAGCAAGCAAGGAAAAGAAGAAGAAACACCGCATCAGCTCATTGTTCAAGAAAATCTTTGATTAAACGAACAGCAATTGAAGCAGGGGAAACACAGCGACCGAGAGGCAGATCACGGAAGGCAGGGGAAGGGACTTGGTGGGTCGCATAGGGAAGGGGTTCGCAGGTAGCAGGAAGTAGGTATCGTGTCAGCAAACAACAGGACATGCAGGGGGAGGTAGGAGTGCATTGCGAAAGCATGGCGCGTTGCTCTGGGCTGGACAGCGGATCCCATTGATTACGGATTTGAACGTGTCTTGTAGATATCCCCATCAGTTTTACGTTCGGTTAGGAGAGATGAGGCTTTTGGGTATAATGGTAATCAATTCTTGGTTGTATTGTAATACAGGACGTTGCCCGGATAACATATGCATGGGAGGTGAAGATGAGGGGACAGTGCTCGGTACGGAGCACCTGGTAATGATATGTAAGTGAGGAGTGATAATGATAGGGGGTGACTTTGAACTTCCAGAATCGTTCTCGAACTTCTCGAAGGCGGGAAGCAGTCGGTAAGGTGGGCTGATCACGATCGCCCAGGGAATGGATCAAAGATCACAGATCACAGTCTGCCTTTCGCTACGAGTACGTTTACCCTTGTCGTTTACGCAGGATGGAGTACGGAGTACGTTGACGGACTAAGAGTCGGTTCTTCTCTTTCTTCCAAGTTCCTCGTGCCGTCTCAGAGACTCGAGAGATGCTGGGAGCTCTGGCCGTCCGGGTCTTAGACTCCAGGGAGCTGCAACACCCGCATTTGCTGGATGCTTCTGGTGGCGTCCGCAACCCAATCATCAGCTGCAGGGGCTCGCCTTGACCGCCAAAAGTTGGGAAAGATGACATAGCTTGCTCCTTCATTTTCTGTCTTACTGGTTGCCGGGACTCTCGGGGGCGGGCTTGCTTTGAGGGGTACATACTCGCAGCGATCGCTGTTGAGATGGACACGGGCAGTAGATAGGGACAAACAGCAGAATAGCAGCCCGGCTGGAGAGACAAGAGGAGAGATGCGAGAGCTTCATCCTTCCAGCCACCGATCTCACGACGCAATAACAGAGAACTTGCGTTGGTGGAAGCGGTTTACCATAGTATGACAACAACCTGTACTTGATCAGCCTCTTCTTCCGTGATAATAATTCTGTTTCCCATGCCCATGCCCGTGTCGTTGAGCTTGGACCTTGGACCTTGGACCTTGGACCTTGGACCTTGGATCGATCCGCCTCCACCCTTTTCTTCTCTTTCCCCTCCCTGCTCGAGTCAAGTCAGGTCCAGTCACAGGTGAATTCGATTCATCCTCTTCCTTCCATCCATCTCCATCTTCATCTTCATCTTCATCTGCATCCTTATTCTCCTTATCGTCATCGCCCATCTCACGCCAGCTTACAAACAAACCACCACCGACAACCTTCAACCCAAAAAGTCACGCCCGCACCGCACCGCATCTCGTCTCCCCCTCTATCTCCATAGCGTCATCTGCGAGTCAAACCACTCCTAGAGTCCTATCTCGCCCCACCCTCCAGGCCTTACCCTTCCCTGTCCGGTTCTTTGTCTCCACTGTGCACCGCACTCTGCCACTCATCCTCAAACCACATGCTGGGATAGGCATCTCGCGAGTCACGAACCAGAACCTCCCCATCACGCAGACACAGGCCACTCCCAAACGGATTGGGATCCGCCTTTTAGCTTCATCTACCTGTCCGGTGTGCAGTGTGCAGTCCCTCCAGTTCCACTCTTAGGCCTTTGCTCTGCTCTGCCTGGTCTTGCAATTTGCAGCCCAGCCAAAAACAGCCGCCTCCGAGTCCCCAATATCCCCCACATCTCGAACCTCACTCAGGCTCCGCATACCAATGTCCCTCCCTGCTACTCACCAAGCTATCGTTGATGCTCTGATTCAAGACCTACAAAAGGCAAATACCAACGACCCTCTTCAATACTGCGCCAATTACTTCCACCAAAAGCTCGAATCCGAGCGCAGCGCTCACTTACCAGCCAAGCTCGCCACCCATTCCAGCACCAACGGCAAGATGGCTGATACTGCTGGCCCTTTTGACAAACGCAGCCCTTTCGGTGCAAGCACAAACCCACACAGCATAGAAGAGGAGGATGAGGAACGTGATAGCTTTGGCTCCCCCACCAATGCCACCTTCAAGTCTCCTCGCGGAGCCGATCGTTCTTCCCCCTTCGGTGCTTCCCCCTTTGGTGCTGCAGCTGGTGGTGCCGCTGCCGGAGGCTTGTTTGGCAACTGGCTAGGCTCCAGTGCAGGCGAAGAGACAGATTCATCAGCACAGCAAGCTCCAGCAAACTATGCAGCTGGTCGTCGCACCTCGGTCTCGGCCGAGTCCATGCAACCAGACGCTGACTCTGGCAATTGGAAACCTCCAAAACATCACAAAAGCCCCGATCAACTGGAACGACTCAGACATGCAGTTGCCGGTAACTTTCTCTTCTCGAGTTTGGATGAAGAATCCTTCTCCTTGGTCTTGGACGCCCTGGTCGAGAAGTCTATCCCCGCCGCCAATATCAAAGTCATTACTCAAGGCGATGAAGGTGATTTCTTCTACGTCATCGAGTCTGGCGACTTCGATGTCTACATCAACCCTAGTGGAACAGTTGAAGCTGGACCTGACGGTTTGGGTAACAAAGTCGCAACCATTGGACCCGGTGGTAGCTTTGGTGAATTAGCATTGATGTACAATGCACCCCGGGCTGCAACCATCGTCAGCGCAGGCAAGGGTGGCCTGCTCTGGGCTTTGGATCGTATCACTTTCCGCCGAATTCTGATGGACAACGCCTCCCAAAAGCGGAAGATGTATGAAGGTTTCCTCGAAGAAGTCCCACTGCTCTCAACTCTCAAGCCTTACGAGCGTGCGAAGATCGCAGATGCATTGGAGACTGTCAAATTCAACGAAGGCGAAAATATCATCACAGAAGGAGAGCCCGGAGATGCTTTCTATCTGCTCGAAGCCGGAGAGGCATCGGCCTTCAAACACGGAGTTGCGAAATCTGTCAAGGAATATCATCGTGGTGACTTCTTTGGCGAATTGGCATTGCTAGACGACAAGCCTCGTGCCGCCAGCGTCGTAGCTAAAACCAACGTCAAAGTGGCCAAACTGGGTAGAGATGGATTCAAGCGTCTTCTAGGCCCTGTTGAGGGCATTATGAGACGTGAAGAGTATGAGGGTGCAGACCTGGATCCATTGAGCCAACAGAAGACTGTGACTTAGGAAGAACTGATTGGAAAGTTGGAACTGTGAACACAGATGCCATGACCTCACGGCAGGTTGACGAAAGAAGAAATGAAAAGAAACTGAGATCCCGTGCATCTGCGGAAATACCATGCATGATTTGGTGGGAAGGGATACCAGAAATATGAGTATTGATTACGGTTCGTTTCGATTGTTCAAAGGGGGTGGTGTTGGGAGGTTTCGTGTTTGGTCCCCAATACTGACTTGACAAAGAAATGGTCCAAGGATACCTGGCGTGTCGATATACACCTTTGGCACCAAAAGCCGCGGTGTATCGAGATCGCTGTAGCTTGTTCATCTCGTGAAGAGTCTCAGGTAGCTAGCAGCTTAACAGCCTTTGGCAACGTTACTGATGTCTTACCTTGGTGCTTCAGTCTTTTCGATCACGGGGTGGAATACGATGATGCGTGGCTCCAGCATAGAGTAGCCGGCTCACCCACTAGTCCTTGTAGATCTCGTCTCAAAAGGCTCTCAAATTCCCATTTCGGGCTGTCCGACCCCGTCTCATGCTCATATAACCCAAGCCTCGAGTACCATATCCGTCCAAAAGGATGTCTGACCTCCATTCAGACTCCACTCACCATGCCAGATTAGTTTGCCCCCATCAGGAATCTCTCTCTCCCGTACGGAGTAAACCAATGACATCAAGGAGCCGATGCAAGGGTCGTTCATACGTATGGAATAACATCTAGTTGATCTGCGGGTCTAAACGCCTCTGACTGACGGCCTCCGAGTGATTTATGGCATGTAGGTTGAGAGATGTGAGATGGAGGAAAAGGGCCGCCTTCATATAAGAAGTACTGTCTCAAGGCTTTGCTTCGCCGCTCACCCACCCATTCACGCCACTTCCTCGTTCTTTGGCTTTCTTGGAATCTGATGCTCGCTGTCGGTCTGGGTCTGGGTCTGGGTCTTAAGTTACAGATTCAATTGCCAAGGCTTGATAGCTGTTTCGTCCGGTAAGGGCTACCTCATTCCAGCTTTGTTATCACCAAGGCCCGTACCTGATGCACACCGTCCCCGATCAATCAAGTCACGAGTCACTGTTGACTACGACATGGCTGCTACGAGTCAAGGGTGCCGTGTACGACGACCTCAACCGTGGCCGCGGAACATTCTCGGCCGTAGACGCTCTCCAAACTCGGCACTCCAATTTCTTAGAAACCTTCTCGATCTGTCTCCACACGTCATTCGAAAAGGCACAATCATCATGATTACTGAACACTTCAGCCCCTGGCGACCCGTCCTTGGTCGGTCGCTTGTACCCCGAACAGGCACAGGTAGGGGACAGGTACGTGCTAGGTGCATGATTGGATTGACCAGGATCGACCAGGCTTGCTTTGAATGCCCGTCTGGAAAAGCAGCATGGTGTCGGCTCCAATCATAGCAGGACAAAGCATCCCTCATGGCAAAGTCGCCCTGGTGCTAGCGGCATTACTCACGCCGTTTTACGCGGCTTTTATTCAGCTACGCCTTCCCGTCCGAGGCTTGCTGTTGATCCTTCTCCAAAGGTTTGATGTTCACTAAACACAAAAGCCCACCTGCGATCAGGATCCTTGGGTTATTGCCGTGGCGTTGCGCCCATATGCCTTCCTCTGGCCCGTTTATTGAACGAAATAGGATGTTGCAAGGCCATTTTTCAGCACTGCTTTTTTTTTTCTTTGTTCAGAGTCTTTGCAAAAACGTGCGTAACGACAAATTCTACACGCGATATCCCTAGCATAGCTACGGCGTTTCGCCTTGCTTGATAATACTCTGGATGAGGCGCCACTTCGAGATGTGACAGGAGGCTGTTTGCTGTTCCAGTCATGCTCGGTTCGGGAGTATAAAGCTTCCTGCTTGGCGAGTTGTGTCTGCTTTTACGTGAACGAGCTATTCTAACAGAAAACTCGGGTACCCTTGAGAAAGTTGAAGGCCTTTAAGCATTTTTACTTGCTCATCCTCTGCTCACTGCTTGAGCATCGGTTGTGCGCTTGTGGACTGGCTGTGAAGAAGTGTCCTTGAACATCTTCATATTCTAATATCTGACCTTGGGCCTGATTTCGCCCTCCCTCCGTTATCTTATCCCTTCGACCATGCAAGGAGAACATTTTGACTCCGATACAGAAACAGAGAAGATGTCGGCACCCTCAGACTCAAGCTCTGCTCTGTCAGCCTCGGTGCCGATAGCAACGACAACATTCGACCTCGAGAAAACAACCAGTAGTAGACCGCAAGGCTCGAGACACGAAGCAGCCCTAGATCGAACCATCACATCTGCTTATGATTGGACTGGCCCTGATGACCCTGATGACCCATTGAATTGGTCTCTTGCGAAGAAGATCTATCATACAGTTATTCCCGGACTCCAAGCCTTTGTCGTCACCTTTGGATCCTCTGTCTACACTCCTAGTAAGCATACCAGCTTCTCCAGCGAATGATCTGTCTGCTGACCACTGATAATTTCGATTCCAGGCGTTCCTGAAGTCGCGAAGCACTTCGATGTTAGCCTTACCGTAGCTCTCCTTCCCTTGACGGTGTATGTACTTGGGTTAGGATTCGGTCCGACAATCTCAGCACCTATATCCGAGAGCTGGGGACGCCGTGCGGTCTATGTGTGGTTCTTCCTGCCGTCCCTACTGTTCACTATGGGCGCTGGGTTTTCAAACACCTTCGCAGGACTTGTTATCTGTCGATTTCTAGCCGGTACGGTAGGCTCAGGCACCCTGGCTGTCGGGGCAGGTTCGAACTCCGATCTCTGGGCACCGATTCATCGGGCGGTCGCCAGTTCAATATTCTTGATGGCTCCGTTCCTAGGTCCGGCCCTTGGGCCAGCTGTGGGTGGATATGTCGCCATGAAAATGAATTGGCGATGGACGCAGTGGCTGATCCTCTTCTGGGGTGTTCTAGCTTATGCCATCACCCTGCCACAGAAGGAGACGTACAAGCGCATCATTCTCGAACGGCGCGCGAAGAAGCTCAACGTCCAGGGCCCACCGTCGCTGGTGCCTCCTGGTGTGAACAAGTTACGTTTCATACTGGTAGTGACCATCGCACGGCCCCTGAGAATGCTCTTCACCGAATCCATCGTCGCCTTCTTCTCTGTCTACACCGCCTTCAACTTCAGTGTCCTCTTCGGCTTCTTCGCCGCCTTCCCCATTGTTTTCCGCTCCCCTTATCCAGAGATTCAAATCTACCATTTCAACACCGGCGAAGCTGGCCTCGTCTTCCTCGGCATCGGCATCGGCGTTGTGCTGGGCACCTTGATCGCGATCGCCACAGACCGCCTAATTTACCGCAAAAAGACGCTCAAGAGACAGGCTCAGGGCGATTTCATGCCACTGCTGCCGGAAGAGAGGCTCTACGCGGCAATGCTGGGTTCTTGCTTGCTCCCAATCGGGCTATTCTGGTTCGCGTGGACGTCGAGGGCCGACGTCCATTGGATCGTCCCTGTTCTTGGAACCATCCCCTTCGGCATCGGCAATTTCCTCGTCTTCTGCTCTTGCATCCTTTACCTTATTGATACCTACGGTCCCCTATACGGTGCTAGTGCTGCTGCTGCCAACGGCCTCCTGAGATATGCTCTCGGCGCTGTCTTTCCGCTGTTCACTGTCCAAATGTGAGTCATACCGCTCCCTCTCTCTCCAGCCCTTTATGCGATTCTTTTCCTCGAGACTGACAAGCTTTTCCTCTCCAGGTACCGGGCTATGGGCGTCGCTTGGGCCACTAGTCTCTTTGGATTCGTCACTGTCGCTCTGCTGCCCATTCCCTGGGTTCTGTACAAGTATGGTCCGAGGATCCGGATGCGGAGTGCCTTCACGCCGGGCAAGTAAGTCTCGCGACCCTTTTATGGTTTTGACCTTCCACGCCTTATAATTCGGAATCGTTGGTTTATCTCGGAAGGGGCCATCGCCGGCGTTTATTTCCATGCATTGTCTTTCGCACGCCGCATCTGTCTATACCTTGGGCCAGTTTGGTAGATGTGGATTCAGCATGGGCCTTGGATTGGGAAGTGGGGTGTTAGGGTTTTGGTTCGGGTCTAGACAGCTAGAGTGACGGGGCTCTGAGCACGGATAGATGTGGAAGCACGAAGGATTTCATGCAGCCGATTTCACTCTCACATCTACGATATCGCCGCCCCTGATTTTGTCGGACCTGTCCCAGCATCACTGGACGGTGTGTTCGCTTTCCGTATCCACCTCACCAGGTCAGATAGCTCCGCTTGTACATACATTCGCTCGCCTAGTGTACATGATATAGATCTCTCGCACACACCTCGACGTGAAAAAAAATCATACTGCTATCAAAAAATACGATGCCTGGGTAGTGAGCAGTGAGAGCTTGGGCGGAGAGTCCGAGGCATGCGCATACTTGCTCTCCGCAAGGACGGATAGGTCCGACATTATATATCGACGTCGAAGGCTGTGTGGCCTTTGTGTTATGATCGTGGGGCTCGGACTCTCACACTTTCGTGGGCCGCATCAGGGCAATACGATATACCATGATCCTCAGCCTCGTGCTGTGGGCCACAGGCTGGCAGGACGCTCCCGTGAAACCTCTTCGGGAAACGATGGGATGATTGAATGGGCGACTAAGCTCGCGGGGCCAGGACCGGTGAAAAGCGACCAGGTATGTAGTGACTACCGTGATACAGTGATACTTGTGGAAGCTGGTTTCAGAGACAGCAGACAGCAAATTGATCGGGGACGACGGAGCGCCGTAGTATATGTATGTACAATGGAAGCAGGACAAAGTTGCAAGACACGGGTTCGCAATGGATGTACCTAACTCGCCGGCCTTTCTTGATCTCCCTCCCTCCGACTCCGTACATATGAAGCAGACAGATGAGGACAGAAGCTGATGCGCCAAGTCCGCCGAGGCTTGGAAGCGTGAGCGAAAACATGGGCTATCGGGCCTCAGAGAAGGACTGGGAGACGCTAAAAAAGCAGTGAACTTTGCGGACACCGGTTTGCTGAGCCACTACGCTCTCCCAATCAGAGCAGGCCCAGCGCGGCCTGAATGAGTTAGCCCCCCGGCGGAGGCCCCTATGCCTTGAACTTGCGGGAGGCGCCAAAAAAGCAGTGCAGGTAAACTTAGGCATCAAATCCAGAAATACTTGTATCTGGTGAAGGTCTCCTCAAAGTCTGGCATGGTACCACTGGTGTCTGGAACGCCTGAGAGACGCTAAAAATGCAGTGCTAGGACACATAGTCAGGGCAACCATTTGGTCTAGAGGGGCAAGGTGTTTGAGCTTACTCGGCATATTGGAGTTGTAGTTGTTGGCCTGCGTTCACTGGGCTGCTGACGCCTTGAACTGGTAGAAGGCATGCAAAAGGATGTGGGTGGATGGTCGACATCTTTACTGTTGCCAAATGGTCCTTTGGCATGAATCCACTCCCAGTTGCTGCATTTTGAATTGGAGTGAGACGCTAGAAAAAGAGTGTTCCTAGCGATCGACCACCGCGAGACCCTGGGTCTTACATAGCTCTGGCAGGAGCAGATGCGAGGCTGCGTAAGAATCCACGACCCTCCCCGTCGTGAGTACGGTGGTTTGGGCGTCTCCTCAAGGGGCGAGTGACGCTGAAATGGCAGTGCATCCGTGATGCGGCCTGGCATTCTTCGACGTACTCGACTAATTTCTCATGTTTTAAAGCTCAGAGTGGTTAGCTTATTGACGATGCCAGGATATGTGTGCAGACAAGACAGACATCTAGGATCACCCAGCCCTTCTTCAAACAGGAAGCCACTGTGCCATTCACTGGCAGACCCGGTGAATAATGGAAGGGGACAGTCAGCCACTGAACCATATCAATGAACGCCCATGCTTAGCTGAAGGGATGGAAAGATTATCTGAGTATCTGTACACATACCCACTACAAGCGTGGTCTTTCGTCTGGATCTACTGGAGGTCCCCGATTAGACTCAGTAATTTGGGGAGGCCGGGGCTCCTTTGAGAAGGTGTATCTCTGATCGGAGGAGTAAATTGGTAGTGGGAACTGCTAAAGGGCAATTCATGCGGCCTTGCCCAATCTCGTAGTCCTTATACCGAGATGTTTGACACCCGCAGGACATTGGTGGGAGAGTCTGAAAAAGAAGTGCATCTCGAATAACGTTTCGGAACACATTACTCTGGCTCGGGAGCCATAACAGTCTCCATCACTTCACTCGCCCTAACAGGTTGAAGTGCGAAGCACCTTGCAGGGGCTGTGGCATCTTGGCATCCTCTGGCGAATCTGGCATCCTGGATCAGGTTACTGTGGCCGAATTTGTACCAAGTACCCGACACGCGCTCTGTGGCTAACAGAGGGAGCTCTAGAGACAGAGTTCAAGAGACTGGATCTGGGCTAAAAAGAATTTTAACGAGAGTTCGGGCGTCGGCTTAAAACGAGTCCAAGCTGCAGTCCATTACCTTGCAGAAGCGTGCTGTGAGCCTTGGAACAGCCACAGACTTCATTGGCGTGAATTGGTATCCGGCTCACTGCTGAGAGGGACTAAAAAAGCAGTACAAGGATGATTTTTGCTTTTTGCCAACACATCATGAAAAAATGGACGGGGATGACCCTGAAACTGCAATCCTAATTTGTCCAAGAGGGTGCCTCCAAGAGCTGTAGACTACCATTTGCTTTGGACATCTGGGCGAGGTACATCGTTGATTCGTTTGAGAAGATTGAAGGGGACTCGATGCGCGTTCGGAATGTTGGTTTCTGACAAATTACGTAACGGTAAATCCCAGTCTTCCTGGGACCATTACCAACCTGAACTGTGTTGGTTCGGCCGACACTTCACTCCATATCAGACACCCTCACCGAGTCGACAACACCGATAAGGGCCTACTCACTGTAAGTCATCAAAGTGACCAGACTTGAGACCGGCAAGCTTCATTTTAGCTATGATAACTCCTGCTTAATGCTTTGGTCGTCCGGTTCCTTTGACTGACCAGGCATATTCGCGATACCGCGCTTTCGTAGCTGTAACTTTTGAATATCTCCTTCGACTGTATCCCTGACAATGTAACGTGTGACTTGTACAGCTTTTCGTTGCCCGATTCGAACTGTGCGTCCTATGGCTTGAGCCTCCACAGTTGGATTCCATTGAGGTTCGACCAGGAAAACTTGGCTGGCAGCGATAATATTCAAGCCGAGGGCACCTACCCCTGTCGTCATGATGAGCACTCTAATTGTGAAATCGGTTTCAAATTGTTGCAGGGTCCTCGTTCGGTATTCGAAGGTATGTTCTCCGTCGATTCGCAGGAAGGCTATATGGCTATGGTGTAAATGTTGGCTGATCAGATCGAGGGTTGTCGTCCAGCAGGTGAACACAATGCTCTTGTCGTCCAACGAGGTTTGCATTAGGTCTTGTACGAGTGCAACCATTTTTGAGGAGTAGCCTCCCGGCAGAAAATAGCCTTGCTCGGTGGAGGCTTGAGAATGAGTTATTGTTGGCCGGCGCAAAGGTGCAAAACTTGCTTCACACACAGGGCATCCGTCACCCGAGCCAGCTCTGCATTCCTGGCACAATACATGTGCACAAGTATCAGACAGATCAAGAGCTCGATTTGAGAGAATTCCTGGAACCATCTCGGCACACCCAGCACACAACACCTCTCCGTCACTACCGGCAGCGGTGAGGACAAATTCGCGGGCATTCCGAGAATCGCGAGAATTTCTGCTTCTGGCCCAGTGGAATTGATGCTGAAAGGTTCCATGGTTACAAAGCAGCCGTAGCTGGAGTTGAGCATGAAACATGGAGAACTTGTTCCTGCTCTCAGAGTCACCAGCCAGGTTCTGGAGCGCCCGCATCATATCATGTTTCGTTTTATGGTACTGATTGCGCTCGCCTTGAGAAAGGAAAACGTGGTGTATATTTTCAGTGGATTCTGCGAGGTTGAGGTGCTCTTTAGTGCGCCGTATACACATTGCATCGAAAAGGTTCACTAAAGCCCGTCGTCCATCGGATCGGCTTCTGCCTCCCTCTTTGAATGGGACGGAGATAAACTTGCGAAAAACGCCTAATCGATCGAATGGGAATATTCTGAGAAAAGCAAAAAGCGAACCAAGGTCATCTAGGTCATTCTGAATAGGCGTTCCCGTCAGGCACCATCGAAATTTTCCGTCCAGTTCGGCCACACGCTTGTGCAAGGAAGTAGTCATCCTACGAATGAAATGCGCTTCATCAAGAACAACCCGATACCATGCAACGTCTGATGCAGTGGGAGCTGACCTATTGTGATCAGCAATGAGAGTGTGATAGGTTGTCAAAACGATGTCGTAGTTGGCCATTATCTTGGGATTGGAAGGCCTCCCACTACCGTGATGGACCAAGATCTTCAATTGCACATCCAGACGATTAGTGATTTCGCTCTTCCACGTCGCCAACAATAATGGAGATGGCACGACAACCAAGGTTGCTCGTGAGAGTATTCGCGTTGGAGATATTCCTTCAGCCAGATGGGTACCAGCATCATTTGACCAGGAAATTGCCTGGTTAAGAGTCCTGACCACTAATGCAAGCACGCAGAAGGTTTTTCCCATGCCCATCTCATCAGCCAGAATACCGCCACCAACCTCTGTAGGGAGAGTTCTTGATTTGATGCCTGTGACTTTGTGGTAATACCAAGTCTCGGAATCCTGGGATGCCGGTTCCCATAATTTAAAGCCTTCTGGAATTGGACCAGATTCTCTTTGTATCATGAAATCAAGGGCCTTTTCTTGGTGCGCGAACAGCGCTGAACGGAGTCGAGCGTCCCCGGATATACCCTTGAGATGCAAGTCTCTGGTGAGCATAGAATACATTTCGTTGACGGACTGCTGAAAGTTGGTATCTGCCGATGGTTCCTCGTCCTCGGGGGCAATTTCAAGATCCACTTGGTCATCATTTGACTCAAGCTTGAGGGTGTGTGGATTATCATATGTTGTATTTGGGTTCAGCCAGTCGGGACGTTGAAGCCAGACTCTCTCATTAGAGAGTGCGCGACCAATTCTTTCATGTTCAGAGGAGCTTCCATAGACATTGATGTTCAAGGAAGTGTGTGCATTCCTTTCTCGAGTAGCGGCTGCAATGTCCCTAAGGCAATCAGCTTTGAGTACGCACCAGATTCCATATGATAGTGATAGGACACTGCCCTTAGCAACAAGCACCTAGGCGTTGATGCTGAAGCAGAAAGAAGAAGGTAAGGGTGGGGATCTCAGGTGGTTAATGGGAGAGAATTCAGCTTACTCGAATATTTTGCGTTTGTGTATCAAAGCTTCCAAACGGATAGTTTGAGACTTCACATGGTCCTGTAGAGCCTCATATAAATGCATATTGAGCTGAGCAAGGCGAGTCCCATCAGGGAGAATGACGAAAAGTTCATCGTCAAGACAAATCACCTCCAGGAGGAAATGATTTCGCGCTGGGATCATGTCCTCGTTGAAGTAATTTCGCGTTGGAGTCATGTCCCCATTGAGCTTACGGTAAACTTCGGGCATATTACCCTCAAGCTTGGCCTTTGCTCGGTAGATCTGAGTAATCGCCATTAGCCATTTATTGTGACGATAAGATGTTAGCGATTATTGGATATCTGAATTTCCTGTCCGATCCACCGGATTTGGACCCAGAGACATATATCTGAACAATGAATTTCTCTTACATATGTAACATTAAGAATTTTGCTGGACTCACCATTCCATAGCAAATCTCATAGCCTGGCTGGGGAGATTCGGCACTAACCGTCGGCATCAAGGTGGGGATGTCCAGGCTGTCAGTAGCGAAAAACCCAAGGTCATGGTCATCGAAAGACCACGTTTGAAATGCATCATGCGTGTCATTGATAGGAGGCAATATGTTTTCGTCGAAGGTGAGTTCGGCACCACCGGCAGCATTGCCAATATCAACTCGAGGAATTCCGACTACTTCGTCCCAGACAGTACCCCAACTGTGGGTGTTATGATGATCTGCTCGAGACAAGTGTCTATGGTCAGGAGGAGAGCGTGATGGGTCCTGTGCGAATTGTTGGCTGTCCCAGTCAAGATTCAACGTCTGTTCAAAGCTTTCCTCTCCGAGGGTTGACGTCTGATCAAAGTTGTGGAAGGGACGCTTCAATGATGTCATGTTGCTTAGCGTGCCTGCTAATTACAGGATGTTGACTTTTGGTCAGGAAGAACCCAACTGAGTTTACTTTAATCAGCATGGAATCCTACAAATTGATAATCTCGTTCCAGCGAGAACTTTCACTTTGACTCAACTGACGAAATGTATGCGCAGAGGGGGTTGCGCATCGCTCGTAAGGCTGGGTGGTTTGCGGCCTGCATTTCGGCCACTGCGGCTGAGACTCATGCAACAACCCCTGCCTCCACTTTGTTTGCCCTGGTAAAGAGTACTATGTTTGCCTTGGCTTTCGCCGGCCATCCGGTCTGCCTTGCGCCTTGCGTGTTGATCGAGACCATTGCAAGTCTCCTTCACCTCCTTCACGCACAATGCGGCCATCTCTAAAGCTTTCAATTCTGCGGGGCTGCTTCAGCACAGCCGGACATAGCGCAGATTTGTTGACTGTCCCAGCCTTACTATAGTATTACCAGCAGTACCAGTCCGCGAGTCATCACCTGTGCTAGCCTTACCAATTCTACTCTTCCTTGAGTGTTTCCACATCAGAAACTCGGAAGCCTTGGCATTGAACGGCTGACAATCAACTCGTCCTCCACTCCATAGTAGCTCCCGTGCTTGTTTGACATTCTTCCAAAAGACTTCAGCCTGATCATTAGATTCGACTTGAACAAAGCCGATATTGCTGAGACAGAGCGCGATACATCCCACAAACTTCTACTTAGCTTTCTGAGAGGATAATGGCGAATGCAGGACAAGCCCCGCAGGCTGCTCGAGACCCATTTGCAGTTGCTCTGGATGAATTACTGATCAGGTTTAAAAACCGGCTCACAGCTACCGAGTTGCGGAAGTTCAAGGGAACAACACTCCAAGATGTCAAGAAAACACTTGTCGACATTGAGAAACGTCAAGAAACACAACGGGAGTTGCGCAATCTGACCCGAATCCGTGGTTTCCTTGATGCCATGGAACAATTTGGCAAAGTCATTGAAGTGTTCACTAACTCGTCCAATATGGTTGCTTTTATCTGGGGCCCATTGAAATTCCTTCTACAAATGTCCAGTACTTGGGCGAATTCTCTTGATCGAATTCTAGAGGCATACCAACAGATTGGAGAAGTCTTTCCTCTATTGCAACAGTACGAATCGCTGTTCATACAGCATACAGAAATGAGAAAGATCTTGGTTTGGATTTACAAAGACATCCTTGAATTCCATACGCGAGTAATCCGTTTCTTCGACCATCCCAGTATGTTCACAAGCTGTCTCTTCATACACTGAACTAATAGTCTCCTCAGTCTGGCGACAACTTTTCCGATCGGCATGGAACGATTTTACCGCTAACTTTGACGGAATTTTGAAGAATTTCAGTCGACATAACCAGTTGATTGAATCACAGTTTCTATTCCTACATGCACGCCAGTACGAGAGCGATCGGGGCACTACAGCGACCCACCGCACCGAACTGACTTCAAAGCTCAATGCACTATCGCAAGAATTACACAACGCTCATTCCTTACTTCAGCAAGCGGAGGAAGAGCGCAAGGCCGAGCGGCTACACGCAATTCAAGAGTGGATTGGTGGGAATCATCCTGGCGTAGTTCACGAAATGATACTTGAGGCTAGAGCTGATTACTCTAGTACTGGAAATTGGGTCAAAAATTATGCTGCAGTCTCAAGTTGGATCAACGACGACCTTCCTCGGTCATCAACATTATGGATGCATGGTATGCCGGGCGCGGGTAAGTTCTTCCTGTACTTGCAGGCAAACTTGGAACTGAGTCTCTTAGGCAAAAGTGTTTTGGCATCAATCATCATCCAAGCATGTATAAATCACCAACAGCATCGTACAGCATACTACTACTGCAGGTCTGATGACAGTAGCACCTTATCTTGTCTAAGCATATTAAAAGGCCTTTTGATGCAGCAGGTCCATTGGTATCCGAATCTCGTATCATACTTTCGAGAGCAACGCTACCAGAAAAGCGAAATCACCCTCAGTCTGGAAAGTACAGCAAGGCAGCTCTTCGAGACTGTTGCTTGGGAGAGAGATCGTCAATACATAATCCTCGATGGGTTGGATGAGTGCCTGGGAAAGGACAGGAAAACGATTCTGTCGTTCCTGATGGCTCTCATTGCGAAGATTGATGCGAAAACACCCTCAAAATTTCGGCTGCTTGTCATTAGTCAGTCGGAATCTGATATAAGGAATCTACTGGAACGTGCCCAACAGTTTGAGATCAAAGCTGTTGACAATGCAGAAGATATAGCAATCTTTGTGCGGACATGGATGATAAAGCTCCGTCAAAGGTTCGAACTTGAGGATGGGGTCTCGATTTCTCTCGAGAAGAGGATATGTGCACTTGCGAGAGGTGAGCACTCCTTCACGACGTGTATTCGGTCCCTAATTCTCTGGAGGTCAATTCTTGTTTGCTAAACTTGTTTTGGAAAACTTGTTTAATCAAGCAACGCGCGAAGATTTTGAAGCTGAACTGGACACGGCTCGCTTTCCAAAAGAACTATCAGAAGCGTGAGTAGAATGAATTATCTCTGATCATTTTCATTCTTTCCAAAGCCTCGGTTGTGAGCAACTCAGCAACCTGAAACCTAATTGTTAACCCGGGAGACTTGACAGATATGACCGCATAATTGCCCGGATGAAAAGAAATCTCAGCAATGGAGAGTGGAGGCTTGCGACAAGGCTCCTTGGATGGATGACATGCGCAACTCGATCGTTGAAATGGCACGAGATGCAGGGCGCAATGTCGATATTCCCTTATAGGGGAACAGTTGATTTCGTCCGCGGCCAAGCACGTAAACATGTCCATGACCTATGTGGAGCACTTGTCACCGTCAGCGGTGGGCGAGTTATGCTTGTGCACGCCACAGCGAAATGGTACGTGAACGACATCTTTTATCTTGTCATTTGAAGGCCAGAGTTTGTGGGAAATGCCGTGGTTTGAAATCCGGCAGCCCTTCAATGCGAAATTGGCCCTTGCAGAGCTGACTGGCACAGGTATATCTTGGAATCCCAACACATTGACATTTTAGACATCGAGTTTCAGCTTGCAACCTTGTGCTTGCAACACCTTTGTCTTCCTTGCTTCGACACAGCAGCTAACCCACAACATGACCTTTCTCACTACATCCTTGACGGCTCCTTTGTATTTGCAGATTACTCAGTAGCAAAGTGGATGGAACATCTCGACCGCATTTTCGGAAAACTGGTTTCCCTTACAGAGCCCAATCAATTCGAAAAGCATGAAGTTGTGATGCAAGAGCTTTGCGAGGCCGCTCATGAGTTCAGCACCAGGTTTTCCAAAGATCTTGACCTTGACCGCACAATAGCTGATCGTTCACAAAGAGATGTGATGATGAATCCGCAACTTTGCGTGGTGTTCGATAATTTCGAAGATGGTGGAACGGTTTTCCAATCCCTATGGACGCATATGGTGCTCCATCGCCAGAAACCCTTCGCGAAACGGAATGAAATTAGCTTGAATACACTCGCAAAGGCGATGATTACGATTCGAGAAGCTTTGGAAGCCATATCGAGCGACAAGGTTTTGGAAAACGAGACACTCGATAAATTGTGGTCCCTCTATGGAAAGAGACTGTTCAAGTGTCCAAAGATCAATTGCTTTCATTTCCACGAAGGGTTCATGGATAAACGAACACGCGATGAGCATGTCCTGCGGCATGACCGGCCATTCCACTGTCCTGAACCGGACTGCAGTACTGCTGAATTCGGATTCGGCTCGGTGAAAGACCTAGAGCAACACAAGGCAAAATTCCACCTAGACCCGGAAGCGAAGGCCGACATGTTCAAAGACATTAAGCGTCCGACAATGAATCATGCTAAATATGATTGCGTGACATGTGGCAAGAGTTTTGTGAGGTTGTCGATATTGAAAGATCATAGACTGACTCATAGTGGGCAAAAGCCTCATGAGTGTCCACGCTGTGGGAAAGCGTTTACGAGAAAGAATGATTGCCAAAGGCATGAAAAGATTCATGACAGGCGCAGCTAAGCTCTGCTCGATGTCGCTGCACTGGGCTATGGAATTGGCGCAGGCGAGCCCTTGGCTAGGCCTAGCCTGGGTTGATCGATAGGTGTAACTGCACTTATGAGTCGCATGCTACATACCTCCGCAACTCGACCCGCTGTTAGCCCCTGGCGTCGCGGTCGCCGAAAGGTGAGTGGTACCCAGAACAGATGGCTTCTTGTTTGGTTTTGTAAATTTATGCTATGGGCGTGAGAGGTGCATGGATCTGGCGTTCAAAATGTGGCCGCTCTCGCGGTACGGCACTTGTCTTCGGGGTCTCTTGGGGTTACGAATGTCCCAGCGTCTGGACTTTTGTTTTAGACTCTAATGCTCGAGTCCGTCCTTTTTTGCCTTATGCAGAACATGAAACTGTCGGGATTTCATAGACTGATTCGATATGCCCACCGGATGAGGATGTGGAATCTTTAGGAGTCTGTGCGACATACTTGACACGCGAGATATGACAAAGTATAGGAGGTACGAGGTATTGGATAAAGCCATATCCAGGCAAGCTATAAAAATGCAGTGAGTCATGTTCTGCCTGGTACATTAATATTGCTTAGCATTCCGCATCGTTGGTCCGAATCCTATATCTAGCCTAGATGTCCGAAGACTGACTAACGGCTATCGACTCGTGGCTCATATATGCTGCTGCATTCAGAAGGCTGACAACAAAGTAAATCAGGTGGGATTCACTTGACTAGGACGATGGCGCAGCAGTCCTTCAACCGATGAACCTTGTGCGGTCTTACCGTCCCGTAGACGAAAAATGCAGCGTAGCCAGCTCCAATGCAATCCGAGGAGGCGTCTTCAGACAGACTTGAACACAAGAGGGTCTGCCAGCCTCATTCACTGCTCAGCCAAGCAAAGTCAGTCCTCCGTGCTCCGTCCACTGCTAGGTACTACGTAGCTAACTAGTCCTTCGAAACCAAAACTATGGACGCTGCAATGTGATTAGACGGCTTGCAAGTACACGAGGGAAAGGAAAAGCAGAACTGGAGATACGCTAAAAAGGCAGTGCAGATGCACAGCCGCCCGAAATCAAAAGCGAGCCTGTACGGAATATGCATTACAGTATCTAGTCCCTGAATAACCCCCCGGAGCCTAAAGGACCAAGCTCTGGATAACTCCTAAATTACCTTTTAGGTTAATTGAATTTTCAATTGGTACTTAGGCCTAGGCAAAATAACCTAGCTGCAAAGTGTGAGCCCGAGCTGAGGGCTTGATGAATGCGCATCTATGATATTGGCATGGCATGCTCGGCCAGACATGATATATCAGCCTTGAGGCTCTGGCCTGTAGACCTTGAACCGCACGCTCTTGAGTTAGTTATACGGCGTTTGTGGAAGAGCAAGGAGGCCATTAGATAGTTTGGCCTTATATTAAGGTGCAGGATTGGAAAACCCGACGTCGATCACCTCTGAATGAGCGGCGGGTGTGAATAACTTTGGTTTGGGTCTGGGTTCAAAGAGCGCCACTAATGCGCATCTTGTACATTAATAAGATTAACGACGCCGTTGCAGTGGAAGGCTGAGAGCCTGAGATGGTCATAGGTCTAACTGCCTAGACTCCACCAACAGGAGCAAAAGGTTTAGATTCAACGAATTTTCCCTTCATATCACCATACCTGTCTTCCCAATCAGCATCGGCGAGGTCTAGGCGCTGCACCTTGCCTTTCGAGCTCAGGTCGTAGTCTCCTAAGCTCATATAGATGGATATCGGCGCGACGGCGCTTTCATAGAAGAACATCATGTCCTTCACGTCGTAATAGACCCGCCAAAGAGTGGGCCAGACATCGAGGCCCTTGTTGATTTGACTTTCAGGCACAAACGGCACGCTGACAGCTCGGATCATTCCCGCCGTGGTTGCGACCGCTGTGACCAGGTCGCCAGATTGAGGGACCAAGCCGTTGTAGTATGATAGGCGAACAAAGCGGTCTGAAAGCAAGGCAGTTAGCATGATGTTACGTAAATTCGATAGATCTGAAACATACCTGAAGGAGTACCGGTTCCCGGTAGTGAGTAATTGGACATAGGTTTCCAATAAGCCGCGATCGCGAGCTGTTCATCAAAGGTCGGGTCATTCGTCATGACTGGATATTGTTTTCCTTGGTGCATGACGAGTTTGCCATCCAGATATTCAAGAATTAAGTTGTCGCCCGACTTGTCCGAGAGCGAAATATGTCCGACGGAGGAAACCCCTGGGACCAATGTTGCAGTTACAACCTGGATGTCCATTTTTTGCAGTGCTGTTGCGGCTTCGTCGACCGTCGAGTACATGTCGAGAAAGTATTGGAGCCAGAACCCGATGGCAACACCTGGGCGAGAGGCATTCCGTTGTCCGTAGTCACTGGGGCCGAGATAGAGAACGCTCCCTGTCAATGCTTCGGTGTTGATGCCATCGATGGCCACGCTGTCGTACATCGCAGTCACCATTGAACCGTATTTCGAAGTCCACTGAAGTGAGTTGGCACCGACTGATCCGTTCCGTTGGAGGCCGGCAGGAAACGTGTATATGCTCGCGTTTGTTGAAGCGACGAAGTCCATGGACCTCCCGATAACGAAGCGGTCATCGACACCGGCATTATAGGTGACTCGAGAACAGGCTTCGACTCCGAACCTGGCGAGAAGCGCCGTGGCGAGGCACAGGGTACTGAAATACATTGTCAAAGATATCCCCAAAAAAGGAAAGAAACAACTCTGCGGATAGGTGGAAACGTAGGGGTGTAGATAATGCCATTTACAAAGAACGATGTCTAGCTTCTTATACAAACACTTCTTTTCTAGTTCCTGGCGTAGCACACGTAGCAGACCCTGAGATTCTGATAGTAACAAGTCTGCAAAAGTCTGTTTTAGATAGTCAATGGGTGGCGACGTTGTATTTTGCCCTCGGTTGCTCCATCAAATCCAATCTTATGTCGCAGAACCAAAGCAGCGATGAGATACTTAGCTAGATAAAAACAATGGTCGCTCGAAGAGTTCAATATTGACATCACTAGTATCTTCGACGCACGTGCCATCCAAAAAGGTCCAGGTCTGGACTTTAGGAGGCGAACTGCTGCACGGACTCCTTCTTGGCCCAGTCCACGCGTGCTAGACTGAACGGACACGCCATCGCCGACTTGAACGGTGGGTAACCCCAGTTAATTGCCGTTCTTTCTATTTACAGACCCGAAACTTTGGTATATCGTTCTGGACTTAATTACCACATGGCACGTGAACACGAGACGCATGTAATATATGTAGTACTCTTCACGATGGACTATTCACTTAAGTTTCTGTGGCCCGTACCAATGGTACTACTCGTAAGTTTGGGACTGATAATTAGCCGAACGACACCCCACACTGGAGCCCCAGGAACTAGGAGAGGACATAATGATCGATCCACATTTGCAAGGAAGAATGAATATCCCAATCTGTAATACCTTTCCTTGGCTATACCACACAATGCCCCCCCTCGTCAAAGGATGCCACGAGGATTGCGGTGAAAGGCCTAACAGTGAGGCCTTCGATGTCAACCGAAGTATGTACGAGACCATAGCTGCTAATATGCTTGACTGTGGGTTTTGGGAGCCATAACTTGGGTCGGCATGTGAGATCACGACGCGGCACTGTAATGAAGCTGGCTTCTTTTACCCGCTCTTTAAGTGTCAATGGGCCGTAGACTCTCGACCGAATTGCAGCGCCATAGAGGGGAATAAAAAGTAGCGTAGTTGCCTTTCGACTGACAAAATGCCCCAACCACGTGCAATTCCAAGACTGTTGAGGCTGAGGAGCACGAAAAATGCAGTGCGCACTTGGAAAGCAAATGGCAGAGCAGAGCCTCTGGAAGAACGCTGTGGCAATGTGCGGAAACAAAAGACCGGAATACACCAAACAAGCAATGGACTACCGACTGCCTCTCAGGTAGTAGCGAGGCGATACAAGAAGTTGGAAGCTGAGAGACGCTAAAAAGGCTGTACACTGCAGGATCAGTGACGCTATTCGCCAGGGCCAGAGAATCAGGGACTGATAGTAAGTGTGGAGAATTGAAGAAATTCGAGGCTGATAGACACTTAAAAAGCAGTGACGATCGAACTCGACCCTGACGATGCATGAGATCTGATTGGAGGCTAGACAACCTGCAGGCAGGGGGGACGTGCGGCATGATCTCACCGGCCTCATGGGGAGCATACGAAACCCAAGAGCGTTCGAGAGCCTGGAGACACTGTACCAAAGGCAATGCTAGAAAATCACACATGCTCGCGGGATGTGCCACCTCGTCCCCGAGAAGATATCGACCTTGCTGATCGCTACTCCACAGTGCAGGAGGACCAAGAAACTCCGAGAGACACTAGAAGGGTCGTGGTGTCAGCAATAAAGGCTGCGGCAAGGCTGGACGACTGCGCGAGACAGCGAGGGCTAGAAAGTCAACGTAGGCGTGCATGACAATTTTCACAAGCCCCAACGAGGTAGCAGTGAGCCAGAGAATGCAAACAAGCTGATATGCGCAACATTTGGTTCTGAAAGCGGTCGTTGAAGAGGCCGACGACACTCCACAGGCTGTGATTCGCTTGGAGGTGGTTGTAGCCTTAGGACACTGGACGGGTAGAGCCATATACACGAGTTTAAGATGTTGAGGAGTGTTTAAAATGTCCTCCATAGTGATTCCGCCTTTGGGGGCTTCTGCGTGTGCCAGAGCATCCGTACTTTGAACCTCGTAAAGAATTTCGAAGGGCTGAGAGACGCTAAAAATGCAGTGTTTGGTCGGAAAGATGCGTTTTTTCTGCCTTGTGCTCTGCCCTTGACAACGAACTTTTTCTTGGCGGAAATCTGCACGATCACGGTGAAAGGCATCAAAAAGTGTGAATCATTCTAGATGGGTACATTTCATTACTATACTTGCGTCTCGTCTCGGGTTTGGAACTGCAGTGAACAGAAACAGGCTTGTTTCATCCACGTGTGACTGCATTTACGTGCAATAGTACACAAGTACAGAAGTACACATGCACATGAACGCGGCACACTCGCGCCGCTCTGATATGTCGGTCTAGCACCGCGTTTCCTTCTTATAATCATACACGGAGTCTGCAAAGGTGAAGAGAAACGCATCAAACACCAATTCCAGGCTTAGAAATCGACGGTCGGGCATCTCCAAAACAGCAACAAGAAACAAACCCTCGCTCGCTCGCTCGCTCAACTCCTCCTCCTGAGCCCAACACGAGAACCAGCACGATGAAGGCGAACCCGGAACCCGAGGCCAGCCCTGCTCTTCTTCCGTGATAAGATATACTGCACTGTCGCGGCCCAAGACAATCGAATTGAACGAACCTAGCGCTTCCTTGTCCCGCTCCCATTCCCACTGCCGTTTCCGCTCCCATGCCCATGCCCATGCCCATGCCCAATTCCGAGCCCAACTCCGTTCCTATGCCCATCAGTCAGGAGGAGCGTGCTTGCACCCTCCAGCTCAGCCGGTGGAGCTTCCAACGCTGGATACTGCGGAGGAGGCAAGATACCGTCGGGTGGGTTTTCGGTGCTCTTCCTGACTCGCTCGCGTTCCAGCTCTCGCCTGAGTTCTTCGTTGACCGCGTCGCGCTCTTCGAGTCTTTTGCGAGCTCCGCTGCGATCCAAGAGGCGTGCTTCCCGCTCCTGCTTCAGTCTCCTTTCCAACTCCCTAAGTCGGTGGATCCATTTCTCATGTCCTGGGCCTCCTGGGCCGCCAATAGTGATGGCGGTGCTAAGGCTCCCCAGATCTGATCCCGACGCTGTACTGGGAGGTGCCGGTGGCGCTTCCCTTGGTGGTGGAGGGAGCGCAAAGTTGCCGTTAACCGGGGCATTGAACGGTCCCGCAGGAACCATCAATCCTCCCCGCTCTCGCTCACTTGGCGTCAAACCGGAATTTCGACTGGAGATCGAATTCGAGCGCATCGACGTGACCTCATAATTCGTACTGGCAAGATGTTCAACAATGCCCGTGGTATGATGTCGCTGCAGTTCCATATTACGGCTGCGCCTCATGCTTGATGACCGGGTCGGAACTCCAACAACCCCATTCACCGCACCATCAACGTTTTGGTTGACGCCCTCGCCAGACATCACACTTGAATAACCAGAAGCCCGACTTTCATTTCGATCTCGTCGCTGATGCATGTGGTGGTGCACTTGTTGCTGTTGCAGCAGCTGGAGCTCCGCCTTCAATAGCCTATTCTCTCCCTTGAGCTTGCTGATCTCAGGTGTTCTGCCCGACCTTGGTGTCCGTGGTGCATGTTCAGCATTGCTATGGAGCTCCATTTCGCTCATTTTGAGCTTCATCTTCTCCCAGCTCTCTTCGATCCTTTCGAGCTTGCGAGTACGCACCTCAAGGGTTTGCTCCAAGGCTTGATACTCTTTGTACAGTTCTCGTTCAACTCGCTTGATCTTGTCTCTGAAAGTAGAAAGAGTTCCTTCCACCTGCTTGGCAGCAAGTAGCAAGTTTCGACTGAAACCAGGCCAAAAGAGCATATTACCAATTACCTCTTGTGATGGGAGATTGCCATTGATAAGACTGTTGTTATGGGCCCAATCTGGACCACACATTGCAGACAGCTTCTTCCAGAGATTGAGTAAGATCTGATTTCGCTCAGTGAGCTGCTCCTTGAGCTGAGCCTCCATCTGTGCCATACGTTTCCTGTCCGTCTGTCGTAATCCCTCCAATTCAGCAATTCTTGCCGATGAATTGGTGAGTGCGCGAGTTGTGGAATTATGGCCTTTATTCGCACGCTCAAAGTCGATCTTGTCTTGTCGTCGACCTTGTTTCTCTCTCTCAAACGAGTCTGCTAACCTGCGGCACTCATGGCTGGTAGACTCAAGTAGGGTATCACGATCAGCGAGAAGGCTTTCGCTTTCCTCAAGTCGACTCTTCACTGATGCAAGCTCCATAGTAGTCTGTTCGAGGTCTCGGCTCATTCGACCGACGGCTCCAATCAAGCCCGTTCGAGTGGCATTTGGATCGCCGATGATGTTGCGCAGGCTCTCCTCCAACTCGGTCAAGCGATCCTTAAAGGCGTCGGCCTCGATGTTACGAGATGAAAGAGCTTTCCGTACTCGTCGAAGCTCATCTTTCGTCCCAGTAGCTTCGCGGTTGAGGTCATTGATGATTCTCTGCACATCCTGCTTCTCTTGGCTTGCCACTGTCTCTCTTTGAGACCGTTCTTCACTAATCCGCCGTTCCAAATCTCGACTCTTCTCTCTTTCGGACTCCAAGTTAAGGTGGACCTTCTTGAGAAGTGATTCAAGATCTCCAATTTTGATCTTGTCACCGTCCTGCTCTTCACGAAGGAATGCAATCTCATTATGACTGCTCTCCTGTTGAACTGTCAGCCTTTGGATTTTGATTTCGGCCTCAGCAAGATTCTTCTCGAGACTTTCAAGCTCCTTGTTAGCGTCATCCAGCTCGCCCTTGACAGACTGGTACCGCGAGAGATTTTGCTGAGCATCTTCTTCCAGTCGAACCAGTCCCTCCGAGGCTGATCGCATCTCTGATTGAAGCGCTTTGACGTTTTCGATTTGATCCTTGAGTTCTTGATCAAGCCGATTGCATTCGTCCACCTTGGCGTCAAACTCGTCTGCCATTCCGTCAATTTCACCCTGGAACTCAGACTTCAGACTCTGGAACGCAAGGTCTTGCTCTTCAGCATCTCGGAGCGCATTATCGCGCTCTTGAGTAAGTATGTGGAGCTCTTCATTGAACTGATCAGCATCTGCTTGCGCCTGAGCATCGACCGCATCCAGCTCGGCAAGGGCCTCGTCGAATTGGCCTTGCAGAGTCTGATTCTCAAGTTTGAGTTGGGAAACCTCATCTCGGAGTTCATTGATCCGGGTCTCGAGGCCCTCTCGTTCTTGATCACTCAGTCGGGAGACGCGAGTCCCATTGCTTGCACGTGAATGCGATCTCGCTCTCGATGCAGACCTGTCAAGAATACTGTCGCCAGCAACAGACCGCAGACCTCCCAATCGGCCAAGCTTCAAATCCTCAATTTCCTGATACAGACGCTCTTTCTCCTTGTTACGGGATGTCAATGTCGAAGCTTGGGCTCCAATCATCTTTTGGAGTTCTGAGACTTCGTGTCTCAGTCTCTCGAGCTCGGCGTTCTGTGCGTTTGCTGCCTCAAAGCTGCTAGAGCGAGAGACTACTGAGCTGCCCATCCGTGGTTTCCGAGACAAGGACTTGCTTTGACTAAGAGAATCACTTTTCAGTCTTTGATTTTCTTCCCGTAGTCTCTTGTTGTCTTCTTCGGATTGTTCTCGAGCAATGGTTTCGGCTTCAAGCATGTCCTTCCACATGTCGCGCTCTTCTCGCGAACCGACGTCGGAAGTTGCAGCACGAGTATCTCCAAGCGATTTGACCATTTCAGCTAGTCTTCGCTTCTCTGATTCCTTCGCTAGATTTTCCGATCGTAATTTCTCAATCTCGATCTCTGTAATCTCCACTCGTTCACGAAGGTATAGCACTTCTTCTTCCGCGGTCGGACTCCTTTCTTCATCGGTTCCGTAACCTTGGTCTGCCGTGGGAGATTCTCTTTCACCGTTTTCTTCGAGTTTTTTCTGCAGCTCTCGAACTTGCTTTCGTAAATTATGATTATCCTTTTCCAACCTCAACCGATCGGACTTTAGTTGTACATTTTCTGTGATCATCTCCTTGATACCGTCTTCAGACCGTTTCTGAAGTGCTTGGTCTAGGAAATGAATCTTCATCTTCAAGTCGAAATTCTCCTTGCCTAGTTTTTCGACGGTGCTGCGATGCTCCTTCAAAGTTAGCCCTCGCTTCGGGCCCGGCGTCATGCCGATGATGGTGGCCTTTTCCGGTGAAAGGTTTCGTTCTTGGCGGTATTGTCGAGCAAAAGTGCCAGGCACCTCCAGATCTCGAACATTATTCGCGATGACAGTATCAGTAGGCATTTTGAAACTGAACGTCGAAGCCTTGGGAGTTAACAGACCTCCAGCTTTGTTGGATCTGGGGCTTTCCTCTTCCAGAGTGCTTAAATCAGGTGCACCGGCTTGTCGTTGTTGGCGATCGTCATCACTCATACTCGAGATGCCAGACATCATGCTCCCAAGACTGGCTTGCCGAGAAATGGTATTTCTTGTTTTCCGCTGAGAATCGGGCACTGCGCCACCTGATTGAAGGGCGAAATCTGCTCCGAGAGTGGCGTCACTAGCATCCGTATTCGAGCTTGCCATTGAGTCGTAGGACAAACGGGCCTGAGATGATCGCTTGTGGAGGTATCGAGGCCTTCTAGATGGTCGAGAGTTCCCATCGGACGACTCCTGCTGTCCATCGACACTGCCTGGCACTTCTAAAAAGCGGCCATTGTTGTCAGGGTGTACGCCATCCTTCCTAGGGGTGGCATCAACATCTTCCTGCGAAACGGCACTTTCTCTGTCAGCGGAAGGCGCATCTTCCTGCTCGTTAGCGGTCTCATAGCCACCTATTGTCGCCAGAGACTGAACCCTTTGTAGTGTCCGCGCCGTAGCAGCAGCGGTTGGAGAGGAAGACATGTTTTCAAGAGCGGAAGTATTAGGGGCGAGCGGTATAGCGTCTTCGGTGGCATCCATGTCATGAAATTCTTGCTGTTCAAGCGCGGGAGTTTTATAGCCACCGGGCGGTGTGCGAGGAGAGTGGACTTCGACGCGGCTAGGAAGGAGGAGGCTTTCGTCGTCCTGGTTGGCATATGATATTTGGATAGGATGGGGCTTCTTTCGCACTGCAACCTTATTGTTCAAGACGCCAAACTGGTGAGTATCATCAAGGGGAAGGTTTTGCGAGCTCTCGTTAGTCATTTGGGAAGGGTCGGGGTTGAAGCTCGATTCGATGTCCAGGAGTTTTTTGTTCATGGCGCTTTCGTCCAAAGTCATATTAGCTGGTAGACCGAGGTTTGTGTTTTCGTCGACTGGCTGCAGAAGACTGCTTGGATCCTGCGGGCCTGAGGGGAGCGAGAAGGTATGATGGGAGTCACTGTACGAATCATTGTTGACACTGCTTGCAGGTGACACGTCGTCCTCCTCGTCTGGATCAAAACCGCCAGGAACTCTTGACGAACGGCGCGCTGTCTGTGGCCGCGAGGACAGGATTGAGGACGACATGTTGTGTGTGGGCCGACCTCAGTGGCAAGTCCTACTATTGCACACGTACGAGTAGATTGAGAAGTCTTCGGCTGAAGTGGTTCGAGCCTTTGACGGGACGTGTATTGGACATCTGCATGTGTGTGGAGATAAACCCGGACTTTTGACGCGCGGGATGACGAGGTGGAGAGAGGAGAGCGCGTTGTTTTTTATTGCCTCGTATAGATGAGGTGTTCAGGGAGGCAGCATCGAACCCGCAAGATGTGCAGTTTGATGGTGGATGTCAGCTATGTTCGAAAATACAGCGGTATTCTGTGGTAGTGATGGGTGCAGGGATGAGTGGGAATGTGAATGTGAGGCAGACTGTAGACTGAAGACTCTGAGTGTTCCAAAGTCATCTGGTGCGCCTCCACCTCCCTGAAACTGAGACTACGAGGACGAAATGCGGAAGGACAGAGGAGGGAGCACCCCGGGCAGTTAGGGTTGCTAGGGGCCCCTCGGGCAGTACTAGCCACTCCACTCAGCCACTTTATTCGGATTAGCCTTCGGAGCCCCTAACCGCCTTCACTGAGCACCCGGGTTCTTAACTAATGAACACGGTTAACAGCACCTTTACCAGGCACATATTCAGACCCTAGTCAGCGTCCCGACTCGTCACAGTTAAACGGCCACCCAAGAGACGGGCAACGCCCCTCCTGTCCTCTCCTCGCCGGCTTCATCTCTCGACGCCCAAGGGCCGCCATCTCCAGAAATGGACACGCCATCTGTCCATCTTGCAGGGAGTCATCCATGCTTCACTGCTTCAGGGGCTGACGCGCCCTAAGCGAGGTCTCCCTTGCTCTTAGTGTACCAAAGTCGAATTGGGCCATGTCGAACTCCTATCAGGTGCTTATCATCATCAGTCATCAAAGACGGAGTACGGAGTACTCGGTACATACAAGTTACGACGGACTCGATTCATACATATCATTGTAGCACAAGCTACGTACCTTCTACCCAGAAACCCCCTTTCCCTTCAGCAGCTTCATAAGTCGTGACTCGTAATATGATACATGTAGGAAATTGCAAGCGCTGACAATAATACTTTGTACTCCGCCGCATCACTCCTTCCATATTACGCGAGGCTGGTTCTATGCATTCACTGCTCTCGCATCCATCTCAGCACGGACTGCCGCATCTTCCTGCTTTCGCAGAGAATAAATCCGCTGTTTCGTGGCCTCTGCATTTTGCAGCGTGTCGATATATGTCCGGAACTTGACGATCTCACGGAGCAAGTAACTGCTCTTCTTCTCCCAGTTGTTCATTGCCTTGTTCGCATTCGGATGCTTAGTCGTGAAGGCAAGAAGCATCAACCCCCGAAGCTCATTGTGCTTCGATAACTCTTCTTCCACGTTGCTGACGTATGTCTGCAACGCCCTTAACTGGTCCACCTCAAGTAATTGTGAGGCAAACATCGACTGCTGTGGAGGGTTCCATTCCTTGATCTGGGCCTTGTCTCCTGGAAGCTTAGCACGCACACCACCGACATGGTCCATGGAGCTCCGCATCGACATCTGAGTGCTTGGTCGTGCATTCAACCCGCCGTTATGGGTAGGCTGAGACTCAGACACCATCAGAGCTCGGTTGACAACCTCGTCGCTCCAACCGTATTCCATGTTGCTGATCCCACCCATCATGGGCTCTTTGGATAGACGGGCACTCCAGAAATTGGCCGTGTGGACAAATTCCTTGACAATGTCTGGGGTTCCAACCGAGAAAAGATGCACTGCACCGGTTGGTAGACTCAACGCCCACACATACGGTCTCGCTTTGGAATACCCTGGCGGTGGCAGTGAGCTTGCAATAGTATGACGAAGCATAAACTTCCATACTTCTTCCGCATTCTCTTGCCAATTGCCTCCTCCTACAACTGCTCCTGCCCGAGGTGTGCGAGCCTTGTTTCGGAGTGACTTGGCCGTCATGGAAAATGAGAATAATCTCATCCATCCTTTCTCGATCACTGCAAAACAATCATTCCAATTCCGGTCTTTGGACCGTTTGTCCACACCCTCCAAGTGACATTTGTGCTTGACAATTCCTTCCTTAGCCCAAGGTGCGCCACAGAGCTCGAGAGATTCATCCTCAAGCAAGGCTCCGGCTTTGATATTCTCCTCTACTGGGAAATCCATTTGATCATCTCGAATAATTGCTTGACTTAAAGCATTAGCAAACCCAATCGAGGACTGGTAATCGTTGTGGGTGGCCTCAGTACCCAGAGAGTCCACTGACATCGATGTTAGTGTTTTACCAAGGGATACCTTGCTCCAGGTGCTCGACATCGATGGACTCCAGGCGGACGACTGCTCGTCAACGCTGGTTCTACTAGAGCCAAACCCGGGTGCTGATGGCAAACGAGGTCGCGATCTTGCCTTGCTGGCCCACCTAGCACCAAGAGACTTACTTTCGCCGCCTAATCGTCCACGCTGTGTATCAGAATGTGCTTTGCTCAAGACACTGGGTGTTCGGCGCAGCATATTCGATCCAATGGTCAGGAAATTATTGGATGCATTCAAATGCGTATTCGGGTCGATCGGTGAGCCAAAGAGTGGTAAAGGTTCCTGTGCGATTGAACTGTAGAAAGACCTCAGGACGGACTCCATCTGCATTTCCCAAGCTCTTCCAGGTCCTGCATCTGGGCGGCCTTCGGGCCTAGCCTCAGAAGTTTGCTGATCGACATTGCTGGTAGGATCCATGGATTTTTTGGGAGTCCGACCGCTGCTCGAATCTTCGAGAGTAGACATATTCATCCTTGAGTCGACTGAGAGTCCTCGTGTTGTCTCATCAGTACCGTTTACTTGAGCGACTTGCTTGATGGTGGGAAGCGCATTCCGCACAAACTGCACCTTGGTCATCTTCTGTCCAATATCGGCAAGATGCAAGTCGGTGTTTAGAAGCAGTATTGAGTAACATATCGTATGCACCACATCTGGTGGTGTTAGCTATTGAAACAATTCATATGGTGTTGGACTTACCACTCGATCGAAAAGCGTGTGCAGGGTTGCATTCGCACCATCGTCTTGCAAAGGAATCCACCACTCTGTCCATTTGCTGGGTCTCACCCTTCAAAGCAATGCGATCGCAAAGGCCTCGCAGCGATTCCAAGATGTCCTGATTGACCCAATCAAACAGTTCCATGTATGCTTTCCGCACATGTTCACGGTCGGGGCCGGCTTCACCAAGCCAGGGCCCAGCATCGGAAGATTCGACTTCGTCGTCAGCGTTATCAAAGATCTGTTGGGCCTTCCTTTTATGGTCTTGTATCTGTGCCTGAGAATGGCCAGGTCGAAGCGTATGTGATGGAGTCACCAAAATGCCGTTGTCAGGCGCCTCAATGATGAGGGGCGTGCTAGGGGCGGATCTATATTCACTGAGATCGGAAGTAGATTCGACCACCGAACTTTGGCGTACTGGTGCCGATACTGCCACCTTCTGGTTTAGAGTTGTCTTGCTGCCATGATGCTCACCAGTTTCGGCATGATGAGTCTGCGACTGAGCCATTCCTGTGGCTGATAAAGATGTCTTATCGGATTTCCATGATCCCTGTCGCGGCGTTGTCTTTCTTGGATCAGGACTTGGATTCGGCAGAGAATTGTACGACCCAGAACGCTCAACCCGCAGGTCGTTGGCAGATTGGCGCTTTCTAAAAGCTGACCTATCGCTATCAGAATGCTGAGTAGTATCAAAGGATGATATTCGTGAAGACTCCTCGGTGCTGCCGGTGCTGCTGCTATCAGCAAGAAAAGAGTCCTGGTGGGGAATGCGCAAGGTGGATGGTGGTTTTTGGTTGGACTTCAAGGTCTTGTTACTACTATGCGACTCTGTTCGTGCGTGGCTCCCCGAAGGATTATCTGACTCCTTTGGCAGCGCAAATGCAGGAGGTGGTATTGGCTTCTTGTAGTAGCCCTGCATGGAATTTGTTCGGCCGTGACCGGCTCCTGGGGGCGGTTCCTCCCCCAAGTATGGATCCATAAATGCTCGTAAGCTGCTGACGGGACTTGTTTCACTGGTTGGTTCTGCATCTGCCTTTAACTCAGCATTCAAAGTCAAGGGAAGGGGAGGAGGGACGACGTTCGAGAACGACTTCTTTCTCCGGCGGAAAAAGGCCGAAGATTTCTTCGTAATGACGGGCTGGTTCTCCTTGTTCGCGGAAATATCTGTGGAGGTTCGTCGAACTGCTGCCCGGGGACCTCTCCCGGTAGGGGTGCTTGGAGGCTGGTTATCATCTTGTACGGGGGTAGATCGACCATGCGATTTGTGTAGGGAGAGGTGTAAATTGAGGCCCGAGTCTGTATGAGCCACAGGATTTTTAGATGAGCCGAAGACACGACGAAAGAACCCCGGTCTTGGAACGGGCGTAGATTCATATAGCGGCGGCCCATTAGACTTGTAGTCATGGGCAGCTGTGTTTAGACCAGGTACACTTTTCATGGTGGGAAGCTGTGGCAAAGCATCATTCCTCAAGGTGCCAGTCCCTAATGCAGCTGACCGTCCCTTTTTTGCATAGGCGGATTTGGAGGATTTGGAGCTGTTCTTGCGAATAATTGGCAATGCTGTTATACCAGCAGGTCCTTCTCGAGCTTCCGGGCCCGCAAATATGACAGGCATGGGAGCACCGTCAGCGTCCACACTTGGCTTTGTAGCACGGGCGACGCGTTGTCTGGTGCCAAAATCAAAACTCCGAGAGCGTCGATTGCCCGGTCCACCCAATCGGCCTTTGAGACTGGCAAGATGGCCGAGATCGATGCTCGAGGAGTTGCTGCTCCCAGTACTCTTGCCGCCAGCCGAAATATTCTTCTTCCGTCTGGCATGTCCGGGCTGAGTCGCTCGCTGGGCGTCATACACCTTGGAGCGTACTGAGTCCTCATCTTCGCCGAAGATACTCGGTAGTCGTTGGACATTTTTCTGATATCTCACACTATTGCGTGCAGGGATGCGAGGGACAGTTTCTGGAGGCTTGGGCATGCTCCTGAGGTCATGAACATCTCCTTCTGACGATACAGACGAGGAAAAAGTGTGGCCTCTCTTGCGGATTTCTTTTGCCCCGGTGTCATAGCTATTGCTACGAGGCGTGTATGGTGAGTCGTCAAATGCGCCACTGGAGAATTGATCAAGGGACATGACCAGATTGTCCACCATCGAAGCACGCAGGATATGGTTGGAAGAGAAGGAGAGGTCGTGGGGATCCTCGACCTCATCAGCCTCTGGGGTGTTGTCTACTGACGGGGTATCGGTGAAGAAGGTACCTGACCCTGCCATATTTCTCCTTGTCTGTGCCCCATAGGCTGACTGCGAGGGATGAGAAACCTCCGTGGGCGACGAGGGGATCGAAGTTGAGGCCGAAGGCAGATCGTCGTGAGGCTTGACAGGTTTGTAGGATGGGCTTCGAGGACTTCGCGGACTGCGAGGGTGTGGTGTTGTTGTAGGCATGGATTGGACCGAAGTCATGCTGCGCTCTATATATGACAATCGGAATGGGAATCAGTTGACGTCGGTGGGCGGTGACGTCTGAGACAGCTAGCAGGCGGGATGACAGCTGAGTGTCGCACGAGTTGAGGTCGGCGAGATAGCGTTGATGTGCTGGTCCACTAGGACATTATGTTTTGGTTTTTTGGAGAAGTGGTTTCAACGCAAGCCAAACACGATCAAGGTCGCGTCGCTGGGTTGAGGAACAGACCAGAAGCAGTGAAGAAGTGGAATCGAACGACCCCAGAGGAGTGACTGTAGATGCAAGCTGATGTGCAGCTTATACGGAGTACGAGGTACTGGATGCAAGAGGAAGGAATATCTGAAATCCAATTGTACATGCAAGGGGTAGGGGGTGGAAGTTTGGAAGATGCACAGTCGACAGGGATGTCCCAGATAGACACCAACTGGCTGCTACTGCTAACACGAACACTAACACTAACCCAGGCCTGCTAGCCCCAGGCACGGAATCGTCTCCCTATAAGGCCGAATGTCAGACTAGGGCCTTGAGATGCATGTCCAGCGGGAGAACCAGAGCGTGCATTGAAAATACAAACATGACACTCGTTCCAAACAAGAAGAGAACAGGAAGTGTTGAGCGAGTATCACAGCTCACTCTCTAACTTATCTCATCTGAAGAGGTTTGATGCTGACACCATATCGTAGAAGCTGTCAAACTCCTGCCTGCCAATACGGCTGAGGCTTTACCCGAGACAGCATCCTCCAGTCGATGCTAGCCTGACAGAGGATGTGCTACTCGCATGCTGATTATAACATCAATATTTACGCACCTCCCTAGCCAGGAAATAGGTGGTACATATACTCCGAGCTGAGTCTATATCAGAATTGGTAAGGAAGACAATATTACAAAAAGCCCCTGTAGTCAGTCAGTGGTTGTGCAGGTTCTGCGCCCTAACTCGGCGAGGCCTTGACCTAATCTCTAGCCACAGCTGCCCCTGGAAATGCTCTTGCCCTCCGAGGGCCCCCCACAGGGCCACATTCAAGCCTAAGGAGCCCGAGGGACCTGCATTAGCCCCTCCCGCTACCGAACGCCATGCCCGCTTCGTGCTCGATTCGGGGACAAACCTAGCTACCAGCCTACAGCACCACTCGGATGGAGGTGTGTACCTGTACCCCGGGAGCTGACCTGGGTCCATCAACCTGATTATCATCAACCCTCGTGGCGTGTATTTCTCAACACATGGCCAAAGACTTGAATTTTAGTTTGGTCGCGCAGGATCCCACTGTGGCGATTCAACTAGGGTCGGCGCAGTCTCCTCTGCAGTCCCTGCTCGGCCGGATTTTCGTTTCGCCGGCTGCACTCCAATATAGTATGTGCCTCTTATCTGTTCGTTGGCCTCGTAGGGCGGTGGATCGTCAATGCCAGATGTCTCCAAATTCACAGACAGATGTGGTAGGGCTCGCTGGAGTGCGGGTGGCTGTTGTGCCTCGAAATCAGCCCCTGACGCCCAAGAACAACCATCTGGTTCCCACAGTTGTGAGATTGATTCCCAAGATCGTACAGACGAGCCATATCACACCCCAGGCCAGCATAGGCGACAACAAGAATTGGGTATGATGGAGAAAGTGCAGCGCGTTATACCCCAAGAAAGTGATCAAACTCCAGTATACTCCCGCAGCCAGGTATAAAAGATTGGCGAAGAAGGTCGAGGCGCGATTCTGATGGTTGATGACCGGCATCAGGATATACTGAACGATGTAGAGCAAAACGTATGGAGGGAAGAATGCCCGTATCGACACATCAAAGCAGTAGCCGAATTCCAGTACCTCCGCGCCTCGCGTGCCTCCTGGTGGACCAAACAGTCCTTGCTGACGCCTTCGACCCGGCAACCCGGCGATTCCTGGTCCAAGCAAACGGCCCACCACGTAGTATGCCACTGTCGAAATAAAGAGTGATCCCGCTAAAAAGTGGATAATGACAAACATCAGGGCCAGCTTGACAACCGACGAGAACGCAGGCGTGTACGCTAAGGACCATGCAAATGAAGTGAGGAGGAGGAAGAATGACAGCAGGTACGTAAATGACGGATCCGGTCGATGCCAGGTATTTCGTGTCTCTAGACGTCTCGTCAGTCATCCTAAGCCAAACCAGGCCGTGTCCAAGGCTCTCACGTTTATGATAATATATTGACTTGAACACCTTCTTCGGTGCAATTAACAGATGCGTCATCTCCCAGACTGCCATCTCAAAGTCCATTTGAGGGAACTTGAATAGCCTGTACACAACATGTGTCAGCGACCCTTTCGATCCATACACGGCTGTCTGTTCAAATACCTTTTGAAGAATCGAGGCATTCGGGTGTCAGAGCGCCGCCTGTCGGTTGTTGCACCGAACTGCCCGCCATACTGACGTGGGATAGCAATGCGAGGACTGCTCATCGGATTAGACCAGACAGACCTCAAGGACAATGCGAAGGAAAAAGGGTGTGTTTGCGTCGAAAGAATCAATGTCACAAAAGTAGACACGGACCGCCAATTCGACTGAAACTGCGCAGTTGACCCATAGCCGTTAGTACGAATGATCCTCCGTGTGATAATGTAGTGCGGACCAGATGCCCAAGACTTGCATCGAGGAGGCAGTGATCACGTGATCGCCAGTCACACATGCGCCGGGTGGCGCCCACCCAGGCGCTAGACAGTTTAAGTTGTAGTGTAAGACAGATCGTCATTCCACATATAACGTTCTCATTATAAAGGCAATCCAGGTAGCCTTCTTACGTTGCTAATATACACATTGTTTCTCTAACGGGTCAATGGCTCATCCTTGTCGCATAGCGTCATTGGTCTTACCCGTCAGCTGGCCGTTCCCTGGCTTTTGGCCCAAAAGACTCGCCTGGTCTGGAGACGATACGACTTCCCTTAATAAGTCTACGTCATCAATTGCAGCAACAGCTTCGTCTGCAGTTGTTGTTGTTCCCTGATCGAGGGAGCTAAGCGGAACATCTATTTCACCATCCACACCCAAAATTTCCTGTTTGATTTTGGACGTTGCGGAGTGGTTCAGATCCTGGACGGCCTTCCTTATATCATTGCGGTCATACTCATACAAACGATAGTCACCCTCTAATAACGCCCGTAGGACAGACTGGCCTCTGGTCGGAGTCGCCGAGCCTTTGGTATTGGACGTCTCTTCTCTTTCTTGGATTTGTGTTTTGTCCCAGGCCTCCATTGCCAACTTCAACTGATGGCGCAGGCGGACCAAGGTTTCTTGCACATCGCGAATCCTCCAGGCTGACTTTCCAAGGTTGTTCGTTGGGTTGGCTGGATCTTGAAAGACCAGAATTGATGGAGATGTTTTGGCACGGGTGATCAAGTGCTGTTGGCCTTGGATTTCTGTCGTATAGAGCCCACTGACCGCTGCTGCCTTTTCAGCTGCAGCGGGGCGGTCTTTATCTTTGGAGAAGAAGCCCAGGGGTCGGGTAGATATACCCATCGTAGCAAAATCGATCTCGCAATACAGGTCCAGGAAATGAAGAAGATGAGCTCCAGAGTTAGTAGGCGCGGACTTGCCCTCGGAAAGCTTGAGAGAAGCAACAATCATGTTGAGGAGTGGATATGAGGTCAGCCCTCCGTGCTGACCATTATGAAGATCCCGCATATGCAATACTTGTCTCATGACCTTGAACAAACTCCTCAGTGTGGGAAACTCTTTCATAAATGATCGCACATACTCGGTGCTATCGAACGTTCTAGGCGTGGATTGAATCTGAATTGGAAGCCCTGTCTGACTGTGGCGGCAAAGCAAAATCGGAACCACTGCTTTCTTCACGTACAGGACCGTCTCTATGGGGCATTCTCGATTTTGATGATTGGTTCTCCATGTGCGAATCGACGAGCTTATTGAGCGTAGGATACGATCAGGTTGAATCTGAGCTTTCATCGATGATGGCGTGATAGGTAGGGAAACATTGACGTCAATGTCGGATAAGGGATCTGCTGTGCCAGTGGAGCGCGATCCAATGATGTCGACATCCATGTGCTTGTTGGTAGCCTTGATCACACGTCTCAGATCGCTAAATGCGAGCTCCGCAGCATTTTGTTCTTCTTGAGTAGGAGAAACATATGTCTCAAACGCTTCGATCTCTTTAGACAACTGCTCTTCAGCTGAGAGCCAGGGCGAGCCAGACAGAGGCATCCCAAAGTTTCTAGTCCATGGGAGTCGGTAGGCGGACGGAATGATGGCATCCTTGTCCAACGCCCATTGGGTGGTAGTATCTGCAACCGTACCTTTTCTAGTCGAGCCAGGAGTCAAATGGTTGCGCAAGCTGCGGGAAGCAGCCCTGGGGAATTGGTTCGCGCGGTCATGCTTGGGTTTATTCCAGTTCACTTTATTTGTTGGCAACGAGCTGCCTTTAGAACCATATTGTAGCAGGAGTCCCGGAGCGCGATTCGCTGCACGGTAGGCATCGACAGTGTTTGCAAGGCTGTTGACATCAACGAGAGGGTCAATTTCTATAGAGGGTGTCTTGGTTGTGGAGGGGCGCGACTGGCCATGGTAAAGGACGCTCAGCCGAGGCCAGCTTCCAATTGAATTATTCGAGGCAAATAGCCTGATTGCGGCAGGGCGACAGAGAAAGAGAGCTCTCGTCTGAGTGTAGAGGTGGTCTGAGGGCATACAGCATAGGAGAAGCCGGAATAATTTTTTTTGGCTAGAGCAAGGGGTTTTAGGGTGTATAAGGGAGGGTTTAAGGGGTTTATAAAGGGAGGAAAACCAATGGCGGAAGTCGAGGCAGCCAGAGCCGATACTGAAACACAGAAGCCTGTGAAGACAAACACTGAATGAAGTCGAGATTTATTTGTAGAATCGATTTGAGATGCAAGAGATAGCCGGCAGCTTGAGGGATGATTCAATAAGCTAGCTCGGGAAGCCATACCATAGGTAGTTAGTGTTGTTGAAGCTAGGTGGCTTGGCAGCGGTTAAGAAACTGTGTGATAGCTGAGGCAAGACTTTGGCTTTAGGTAAGGTCTGGGCTGTAACTAAGCCCCCACATGGCTGACACATATGCTAAAAGCGCCTAATTTGATTCCTTGTACCATACCCAGAGGTTACGGGGTAGATCCCTATGGTAGGTCCCTGTCCGCTGACTGTGTGATCAAAGGCAACCGGTGCTGCCTTACCTAAGAGGTCTTCGCTACTATGGGCAACTCTAAGTTGACCAAGTGGCTTTATCTCTAAGTTTATAACCCAGCGTCGGATGGTTTCGACCTTGGAACGAATAGAGACTCGAGGCCTGTTACTACTGTACCAAGTTGAATCCATTATTATCCCGGATCCCAGTTCTAGCCGCCTCTTTCCCGGACGAATGAGATGTGATTCATCGTCATCCTTGAGCTCCTCCACCCAAACCTGTCAATCTGGCCGAGCACATGACAGAACTCCAGTTCCATACATAATCAAAAAGAAATTCTTAGGGACCAGCAACATCAAAAGCTCAAGGCATGTTCTGGTCCATCTGTCCCTCCGCTCTCCTTCTGGATAGACATTCCGACAATTACCAGAGCAGCGTTGGGTTGGTCTGATACCTATCTTCCGGCTGTCTCCTTGAGTCCTTGCGCCTCTGTTGGGTGTGTCCGTACCAGACTGCAGCCCAAAGGCCGAGTCCAACTCCGACGCATTCCCACTCCAATCGTTCCTTCTGTGCTTTGGGGGTGGTGGCATGAGCTGTTTTCCTGATTTGTTGATCTGTTGATCTGTGGACTTTGTGAAAGGATTATTTTAAAATTACAAGGTATTCTTTTCTCCTCTCTTTTCGAGCTGGTTGTGCCGGTCTCGTCCAAGATTAATGATTCTTCTTGTTGTCAACCTTGACACAGTTCGATTTCTCTACTTCTCACGCTCCTTGACCGGCGTTTTCCTATCGCCATCACCATTTATGACAAACGAACACACTTCTGACATATAAATAGACTATTTTTCTTCCAACTACTTCAGGTCAAGCTTGATACTTATCCTTGGATCATAGTCTGTCAAGGATGGCGACTTCTGCGGACAATGCCTCACGCGATGAAGCTAACCCTCCAAGCCCAAGAACCAAACCTATGGTGAACATTTCCAGCAGCGGTCAAGCTGCTGACTCTCCAGCATCACGACCAACCAGCTCGTACTTCTCTCTGCCTCAAACATCTCAGACCAAGGATCATGCTGCAGCTCCTGCTTCTCCCGTGGATGTTGCGAAGGGAGCCAGATCCGGAAGAGAATTGCTCCGACGGCTGAGCCTCGTGGACTCATATGGAACCGAATCGGTTGACATCGATCCTCGTACCGCTCATCCGGGACTTCGCCTGAGCGGAAATGTCATCAGCGCGACCTTCTGCATTCCCTATCAGCTCACTCACGATCCAAAGGGCGGTTGGGATCTCTCCTCTCGGCGTGGAACCTCGGCTTTATTTGACTCGTTTGCTTATTTATCTTCCGATAAAACAGCATGGAATCATACCTTGGTTGGTTGGACGGGGGAGATTCAAACAAAGCCTTATGCTCGTGCCATGAGTATTTTGCAGGATGAGAATGCCGCGGCCGTGTCCGCAACAGCAGCTCATGCCTCGTTGCCGATCAACAAATCAGCCGCCCCATATCCTGTCAATGGAGCTCCGGCAAACCCTCGAGAACAGCACCCAGATCATTTGAGTCTCTCGCGTGCAGATAGGCACCAGTTGGAATCCATCCTAATGACTCATCCCTCGGGGAAAACGCTTCCCATTTGGCTAGGCGATGGCCCCGAAGCTGAAAACGGCGATTTTCAGTTCAAGGACCAAGCTCGTTGGCGGAAGTATGCAGAACATGAGCTATATACCTTATTCCACTACCGACAGCATGGTCCTGACGACGGTCGCACCGAAAAGAGCTCGTGGGCGGACTACGTGCGCATGAATCAGACATTTGCGGATCGAATCCTACATATCTACCAACCGGGCGATATCGTGTGGATTCATGATTACCATCTGATGCTACTTCCTAATATCCTTCGTCAGCGAATACCCAACATATACATTGGATTCTTCCTTCACATTCCATTCCCCAGCAGTGAATACATGCGGTGTCTTCCCCGGAGGAAGGATGTACTAGAAGGAGCTCTTGGTGCCACCATGGTCGGATTCCAATCCTTCAGCTTCTCTCGACACTTCAACTCCTGTTGCAAGCGTATCCTTGGCTTCGAATCAAGTTCTGCTGGTGTCGATGCATATGGCGCTCATGTTGCTGTCGATGTCTTTCCTATTGGCATTGACGTCGCCTCCGTCCAACAACAAGCCTTCCAGGATCCTGTCATCGAGCAGAATATGGAGGCGCTCAAGAAACTGTATGCTGGGAAGAAAATCATTGTGGGCCGCGATCGACTTGATACAGTCAGGGGTGTATCGCAAAAGCTGATGGCATTTGAAATCTTCCTGGATCGGTTCCCTGAATGGCGTGACAGGGTCGTTCTTATCCAGGTGACTAGTCCAACGAGCGTTAAAGAAGACAAAGTTGATGGCGCTCACAAGATCGAGCACAAGATTTCTCATCTGGTGTCAAGGATTAATGGTCAATATGGTTCGCTTAGCCACTCGCCGGTTCAACACTACCCGCAGTACTTGTCCTCACAAGAGTACTTTGCACTTCTCCGCGTGGCCGATGTAGGCCTTATCACGAGTGTCCGTGATGGTATGAATACTACAAGTTTGGAATACATCATCTGTCAAAAGGACAATCATGGTCCCCTCATCTTGTCAGAGTTCTCAGGCACCGCCGCTAGCCTAGGTAATGCTATTCACATAAATCCCTGGGATCTGGGTGGTGTGGCCGAGGCTTTGAAGGAAGCTCTTGAAATGCCGGAATCTCAAAAGGCTAGCGACCACCAAAAGCTCTACAACTATGTTATCAGTCATACCGTGGCAACATGGTCGAACAGCTTTCTCAGGCGTTTGCTTACTAACCTGACCTCCTTCGCCCAGAGCGATCTCACTCCGGCGCTTGATCGCACTCGCATGCTCACGCAGTATGCTTCTGCCAAAAAGCGTCTTTTCATGTTCGATTACGACGGTACATTGACACCGATTGTAAAGGACCCTAACGCTGCGATCCCTGCCGATCGTGTGCTCCGAACACTGAAAGCTCTGGCGGCAGATCCACGAAACAACGTCTGGATAATATCCGGCCGTGACTCGGCATTCCTAGAAGAGTGGATGGGCCATATCAGTGAACTGGGGTTGAGCGCCGAGCATGGCTGTTTCCTCCGCCGGCCGGGCTCCGACAGCTGGGAAAATCTAGCGGCCAGTATGGACATGGGCTGGCAGAAGGAAGTCATGGACGTGTTCTCCTATTACACAGAGCGCACGCAGGGATCATGGATCGAGAAGAAACGGGTCGCACTGACCTGGCATTACCGACAAGCTGACCCTGATTTTGGAGCGTTCCAGGCGCGAGAATGTCGCAAGGCACTGGAGGATAGTGTAATGAAGAATTGGGAGGTCGAGGTGATGTCGGGTAAAGCCAATCTGGAGGTTCGCCCGCAATTTGTCAACAAGGGGTTCATCGCCACGAGGCTGATCAATGAATATGGGTATGACGCTGGATGCCCGCCGGAGTTTGTGCTCTGTCTTGGTGATGATCAGACTGATGAAGGTGAGTTACATTATCCAATACAGGCAGTCCCCCGCGAGGTTTGAGCTTTTTTGTGCTGACTCTTTCACCCTGTAGACATGTTTCGCGCGCTCCTGAAGACAGACCTGCCGAAAGAGCAGGTCTTTGCATGCACAGTCGGAGCGAGCAGTAAAAGGACGCTCGCAAGCTGGCATCTACTCGAACCCAGCGATGTCATTGCGAGCATCGCAGCGTTGAACAAGCAGGAAAATCTCTGAACTTTTGCAACGAACGTCAGGTGGTAGGACGAATGATCGAGCTTTGACATCTTTGGGGGGTCTTTATCAGGCTTGTACGTGAAGACCGTAACAGAGGAGAGTTTTTGAGGCCACCCTTTCATTTCAAAACGAAAGATGCACTTCTCTTTGGGACACGCATGAGGGAAATCGACCTGGGCAACGACGGATGCGAGATATTGAATCAACGGAAACGGAAAGATGAAACGACCGGCGGGTTGGTCGACATGGCGGCAGGCAGACAAAAGAGAGCGCCTTCACTACTCGGTATTGGCATGGACCATTCATTGATCTTGCATAAAATGTTGGGTAATAGGTATTAGACAACATAAAGATGCGAGTCTGACAAACAATCCCTCATGCTCATGTTCGATCGTTGCGGGTAAGAGTGACGTGCTCCCCTCGGGGGGTCGACCAACCCACCAAACCGATCGGATAGTGACATACCACCGAGTACCTGCAGCGTCCTTTCATTTGGACTAGCACCGTCATTTCCTATGTATCAAACGCGTCGATCCGACATATTGCGGCTGCAATGCAAAGCCCACGAAACAATTCTCTCAGCCAGGACAGTTAGAGTCCGTTAGTATAACGAGTGCAGAGCATACTTTGATGCCTCGTACCGTACCGGAGTGTATGCAACGGGCAGTGAGCTGGTCGATGATGGTCACCATCAGCATCATGTCAGACAGGGCTCAGCACTCAGAACTCTGGGGTGAATGAAATGGATCGAGCTGGGTCGAGTTGATTTGCATGGTACAGCATGTATATCGCAGTTCTCCCCATGACGATACGAGAGATCGTCGGGAACTGCTCCGGACTGCCACACACACCCCTCAGCATCCAACATTACACGAGGCGGCTGATAAGGAATAAGACGGCCCATCCCCTTTTCGATAGGGTACGAGTAGCTTCCCTCGTCTTATTGAAGTATCAAGTTGACAGGTCGACGAAAGAGTTCTGTGGGGGGTAGGGCAGAAAGGGCCCAGGCTGAGTGCGAGTGGGCGTAGATTTCGACATACAAATGTCATACTGATATGTTTCTCTGACGCCCATGGTGTTTGTATTGGTAGTCCTAGACTGAACATACCTAGAGATAGTGCAAAGAAGTTAATTATTTTGACCTTCCCAACTACGATGCACCGGGTATATCCTTCTCCTATTTTGTCGGAGAAGCCATGGAGATATTCATCATGATGGAGAGAAGATTCTGTGGAAAAGGACATATCCGGTGGGGAGGGGGAATATAAAAATTCCCGGTTATCACGGCTCAAGGGCGCCGCCCGGGGAGGAAGATCAGCAAATCGCGCGTAATCAGCGGGTTTCAAGCTTCTCACCCCCTCTTCTCCCTCGCACTTAGCTACCTATGGTCACCCTATGGGCTGGCCGAGGCCATCCAAACAGGGACCCAGGCGGAAAATGGGGCACTTAAAACCTTGTCTTAGGGCGTATGTACTCGAAGATATCGATGTTTGTTTAGGATCAAATCTTTAGATGGTGTAAGCGTTCCTTGTTCATCACAGGTGACTAAGTTCTCGAATTTTCCATTAAAGGGAAAAATAAGACGGAGGACCTTCGTCAATCTTCCTTGAATCTCAGCCTCGAGCTAGTGCGTCCTGCCGTTTCAAGAGCGGCTCGTTGACGTAGGTGGTACCGGTTGACAACAGCCCCAAACCAGGTGTAAGAGACGGATTAAACCAGTGGGACAGACAGTACATTGATTGCTTGTACCGAAGTGAGAAAGGGAGCCCACTTGCAGGAATGAAATCATCGAAGTGTCGACCTTTCTTCAGACCTCTGATATCAGAAATATCTTCATTGATTGATATCAAAATATAAAGTCTCTTCCAATCTAGCTATTGCGATTTGTTGGACTACTGAGGGCGCCATGAAGAACGAATTTGACGCTGAGAAGGCGGATGGCATACCGTCGAATGCGTCTCGAGCCCCAACCAACGAGGAGCGAATACATGAGCCTGTCCCTGGAGAACCTCTGGAACAGACATCTTCTCAAGCACCACCGGCGACCACATTTCTCACCAAAACGCTCTCCAGAGTGCGTACCAGGGACAGCATTGATCCGGGCCCACCACCAGATGGAGGATTTCAGGCGTGGTTCCAAGCTTGCCTGGGTCACCTTGTCATCTTCAACTCCTGGGGCTACATCAACAGCTTTGGCCTGTTTCAAACCTATTATGTGAACGTGATGCAGATTGGTGGCGAAAGCTCTGTGGCTTGGATTGGAACCACCCAGGTGTTTGTTTTGTTTGGCATTGGGACGTTTAGCGGCCGAGGATTAGATGCTGGATACTTCCGGATTCAGTTCATTCTGGGGAGCATCATATATGTCACCGGAATGTTCTTGACCAGTCTTTGCACGCAGTACTACCAGATATTCCTTGCACAGTCGATCTGTGTGGGAATTGGACTGGGCCTCTGTTTTGTGCCGACCCTGGCTTTGGTAAGTACCTACTTCCTGAAAAAGAGGTCGATGGGTCTAGCCATTGCAGTGACGGGCTCAACCACGGGTGGATTGGTATTTCCTGCAATCGCAGAATCGATGCTCCCTTCCGCTGGCTTCCCCTGGGCAATGCGGGCCATGGGATTTGTACAGATGGCCCTGGCAATCGTGACCGCGATTTTCCTCAAGGTATGTTCAAACCTCCGCAAGTGTGCGAGCGTTGATTGCTCACTGTTAAACCAGCCACGCCTCCCTCCCCGAAAGAGTGGCCCCCTCGTGGAGTGGGCAGCATTTCGAGAAACTCCATACACGCTCTACTGCCTTGGGACGTTCTTATACTATTGGAGCGTGTATGTTGGGTTTTTCTTTGTGGGTAGCTTTGGTAGAAATGTGCTGGGGACAAGCCAGTCGACGAGTATCAACTTGCTCATGGTATTGAACGGAGTTGGAATTGTCGGACGGACAGTCCCAAATTATGTGGCACAGAAGTGGACGGGTCCTTTGAACCTGATGCTACCATGTGTTGCAGTTGCTTTCATCGTTCTATACTGCTGGATCGCCGTGGACTCAGTGGCTGGATTGTGGGTTTTCACAATCGTATACGGCTTTGCTGCACATGCTTTGCAGGCATTATATCCTGTTGTACTTACCAGTTTGACGTCTGACCAGAAAAAGGCAGGAGTTAGGGCGGGGATGGGATTTACAATTGCGGTAAGCTGGCCCGCTTTTGCCTAAGTGATGCCATGGGCCTGATGCTAACGAAAAACATGAATAGGGGTTCGCTGTGCTAACAGGCCCACCGATTGCAGGAGCTCTGGTGCAACAAGCTCAAGGCAGTTACCTTGGTCTTCAATTGTTTTCCGCAACGAGTATGTTGGCTTCAGCACTGGTGTTTGCGAGTGTCCGATGGTCTGTTGGGTGGAGACCGACCAAGGTGTAATCTTTTGATGTTTCTATGTCGAGTATTGAATAGATAATTCCACATTTCTTTAGGCCTCGCGAGTCCTCATGAGTCGAGAAGTAGTAGTCATCGACTGTTGCGGTAGTATGTAGTAAGTGGCTCACATGAATAGGAAGGATTCCTGACATACTAGGAGTTGCTCCCAGGCAGCCTTGCGTTATTTACGGAGGCCGTGATTCGATGAATTGGCGAACCCGTGCCAACTCACAATCCAGCACAACACAAACCAAACCAGAATGCACTCTGCTTTGTGTGCTTCATCCCACCCTCTGTTTTGTTCGGCGTGGCTCTGCAAAGAACATTTTTTCCTCCGCCAGGAACTCCTCTCTGTTGAACAACAACCCCTAGGCAGATGTGAGTACCTCGCACTTGGTATATTTTAACTTGCGATCCTAATTACGTCATCGTTCCTTCCCATTTGGTGCGGGCAGAAAGATTCTCTTGCCCACTGCGCTTGCACCTGCGTTGCAGACCAGCACCGCTCTTTCCTCCCGCAGTCACAGTCCCAGTCACATGCTCAACTACTTTTCCCTTCCCTCAGTCTTCACCGACTGCATAACTGATTCCTCCTCTCTAGCATTGCAACTCTAGTCACTCCACGGTCCCTTCTGTGAAATTCCTTGGTGACAACCCTGCTCTACGGCCACCACCCCCACCAGCCGTCGTGTTGCCGCCCCAGTTTCTTTCTCTGCCAATTTACCGCACTACGATCAAGCAGCCACCGATACCCAGTCTTCTAGAGACTCGAACAGACTTTACGTCCTAAATTAACATCATGGCTCCACGAGGAAGGGGAGGAAAATTCTCCAAGCCCTCCAGAGGAGGTAGCCAAAAAAACCCCCACCATACCCCTCTATTTCCTAAAGATCAAACAATAACATTACTCCCTTGATCTAGGTGGAAAGAAGTTCTCTCGCGATCTACAGCCTCTTGACAAAGAAGGAAACCCCATTGGAATGTGGCGCGAGCCCGGAAACGCAGAGGAGTCCTCAGAGGAGGAGGAAGACGACGAGTCATCCGAAGAAGAAACCTCCGATGACGGTGCTCCTGGCGCATCCTCCAGCGCTGTCACCGCCGGAGGAGAAACCAGCCGCGAACAACGCAAAGAACAGGCGCGCCTGAAGAAACAAGCTGCTATCGCCAAGAAAAATAAAAAGGCCGCAGAGGTAGGTGACATGCCCACGAGCTCTGAGGACGAGGACGAGGAAGAGGACGACGATGAAGACATGCCTGCCAATCCCAATCACACTTCAAAGGCCCGATCCCAAGCACGCGCCGTCACAGGTGTCAGCGGAGAAAGTGATGCACCCCGAAAAGCAGACAAGGAGAACCTGAGCCGCCGGGAGCGTGAAGCTCTCGCTGCCCAACAAGCAAAAGAGCGCTATCAGAAACTCCACGCCGAAGGCAAGACGGACGAGGCCAAGGCGGATCTTGCCAGACTGAAGCTTATCCGAGAGCAGCGTGAGGCCGCGGCAGCCAGGAAACAAGCCGAGAAGGAAGAAAGAGATGAGCAGGAGAAGGAGAAAGCCGCTAGAGACGAGAAGCGACGACTAGCTGCCATGGGCGATGCGTCGAAGAAGAAGCCTACCAAGAAGTGAGAGGTGCTCTCTAGCCGGGCTATTCTCGAGATGTTTGGGGATTCAACGGGTGTTGTTGCATATGAAGACATGATTGATGAGGTGTTCTCTCAAGTCCACTACTCCCTAACTAGCGTATACGACATACTGTGGTGTCAAAGAATTCCTCATTCAACCCTCTTTTTCTCTCTATCAAATGCTCCCAGTTTTGGAAAGAGACGAAAGAAGCACAGTGAGGTAGAGAGGGAGGAATGGCCCACCTTGTTCATTTTTGGCTCAGGTTCTTCTCCTGCCACACCAAATAAAGCACGAGCATTACGTTTCAAACAGAAGCATTCCAATATTAGCGACTTCTAGTTCCGCTCCATTCGATTACATTTCAGTCAATCTCTGCCGGGGACAAGACTCCGCCCCCTTCTTTGCTCTTCACAGTTACTTGACTTAATACATATTGCAACCTGGAACACCTTTGCTTTGCCCGATCACATTCAATTTCCCTTAACCTTGCCTTTTCCCTGCAGTTTGATTCCATCCATACATTGACAATTTCCCTGGTATTCATCGGGGTGAGCAGACGAAACTCGCTCAATTCCTGCCCCCCCCCCCCCCCCGGCCCAACACATAATCGATAAATTCAACAGACTCGGTAGTAGCACCATAGATGTCACATTCTTCGTTTCGTTTCGTTTCGTTTCGTTTCGTTTCGTCACTTCATTCATCCATCTTTCAACAAGTCGCGGCTGTTGTACATACTCGCCTTCAATTTGAATTCATTGCCGCTAGCGATATCGAGGTATGTGTATGCGTCGCATTTGTAGTAGATCGGCCTCGCTGCCCCGGGATGGTCGCCTCCGTTATCGAGGAGGCCGAGCTCGCGTATGGAAAGCAGCACACGCTTGACGTCATCCTGGTCCGAGAAATCGTACGTGTAGATGCAGATCAGCCGCTGGGCTGCTCGCTCGGGGGCTTCCTGGCCCTCGGATTTTGTGGCCACTTTCGCTGCCACCCCGAGCTGGCCACCCCAGGTGGCTTGGGCGACAATGCGCCAGACGCGGTCGACATCGTCGGGTGTTGGGAAGAGCATCCACTTGCCGTCCATAACGTGCTTGTCTTTCGCGAGCACGAAAATTGCACGCTCCAGTTTCATTCGTTCGGGTCGGAGGATACGTGTGATGGTGGCTGGTGACTTCCCTGGATTCTTCGTCTCAACTTCTTCTTTGCGCGCAAGGTATTCTTCCAAGAGGTTGAAGCCTGTTTGTTTAAAAGCACCGATATCGCCGGAATCAGGCTGGTTGCCTTTCGATGGATATGGATTGGCGACCCAGATCCAGGGTCCTTGGGATCGTGGGGTTGTGGATGGAGGTACGCGTTCAAGAAAGTCGTTCATAGACTCGGAGAGTTGTTTGGCTGTTGGAAGGCCTTCGTAATAGTTGACTGGCTTTTGCTGTTCAGAAGGCTTGGGGACCTCATCTGCTGGTAGGAGAAGGTCGAGATCCATTTGATCAGTATCGACCTGCTTCGAGCCATGCTCACGCCTCACAGTTTCGTGGCCATCCTGTTCCACCAATTTCAATGTCTTCGCCTTTGCTCTGGTCTCTTCCTTCTCCAGCTTCCTGGCACGCCTCTTTGCCACCTTCCTTCCTTTGATTGCGTTTACTTGAGCGTTCCATCCATGGATTTCCCAGTGTTTTTGTGGATTGTATGTATCGGCCAGCTTATTGTATCCCGATACTGTTTGCGAATCTCCTAATTGTCAGGCTTTAGTATTTGGCTCCACTTATGGACGGGCCGGCGCGAGGAGCCGCGAAGATGAATCTTACCGTAGAAATCAGATTCCTCGCTCAAAAGATCGTCCGCAATTGGACCCAACTCCTCAGAAGTTGCACTGGTGGAAGATGGTTCCTTCTTCATGGACCTTTCTTGGTGTAAAGCCATCTTGGTGGATATTCATGGAGTGCGATCGCTGCATGGCAATTCAACAGAATGCAATGCTAGGAAGAAGTACAGCTTAAAGCTGTCGGTTAATGCGCGCGCTGGAAACAATGGGAGGCGCGAAAGAGGAAGAGAGTGGTGAGGGAAACAAGGCAACCACGACTTTGGGACAAGGCTGAAACACTAAATCCCCAGCCACCATGACCGGGGTCTTTGAATCTTGAATTATCACAAACTAGGCTGCCTTGATCATATGGGCATGGCAGACTGCTGTCGTCTCCTGTCAATGCTCCAGTTTCCTCAATCCTCGGACATATGCGATTAGGCTTTGCGCCGGTTTGGCTGCTGACACAGAGGCCGGTGTCTCCCACAACACTTCTTCATAAGTGTAGCTTTCCAGGCGTTGAAAATAAGGTTCCGTGACCCAGAAAGTTGTCAACTTAATGTGGACCATTTTTCAGTGCATATCACACTGACGGCATTCTCCTTGACCGCAGCCATTCTGATCCATTGAGTCCAGATCTGATGTTGGTGGGGGTTTGTGGTCAGGTTGGAGCATTCCAAAGTTGTCTGTCGTTTAAGATAGCCCGCTGAACGTCGCTGAATCATGATCGTTTCAACCATAATGCGTGCAGCTCAATTCCGAAACAAACAACGTCATCCCTGGTCCACAAGCCCAAAAGCCGACATTGTACGCCTTCTTTTCCTGCGCAAACAGCATCATGCTGGACTCCTTGTACTTCTTCTCCGGCCTTCTCCCAATAGTTCGACTCGTCACCATAGAGTAGGAGCCATCATTCGCAGTGAAGTTGAGCCCTGTCGTGGCTTGCAAATAATTCTCAGGGTTGAAGTCTGGTGCACGTACTCTAGCTATACATTTATAGTAAGCGTTGGAATATTGCGGCGTCCACTCTCCAGTCATTCGCACGCAGGTGTTCACTGATTCGTCAGGGAGGTAAATAACGGTGTATGGTGTGCAATTCTCCAAGTTTGTATCGTCTGGCTGGATCACCGTTGTTGCTCCGATGGAAGAGGAAGAGTTATCGAAGGAGAGGTCAATAAGGGGTTGGAAGACATGGTAGTCAACCGCTGGAGGTTGTGCTATAGGAACACATTCTCCAGTTGCTGTAGGTGACGTTGGAGCTAACGATGACACTGTTGGGAATATGGTTGGAAGAACTGTAGTCGACAGTGTTGAAGAAGGTACATCCACAACTCCAACAGTGCTCATGGTGGAGGATGTGGTTCGCGTGGTAAAAGTCATGAAGCTGCTTTCGAAACGCGGTCGCTGGATCACGCCTGCATTAATGTTGTACAGTTGAGAGCTCGAATCCTCCCGTACAGCCTCAACGGCAGTAAGATATGAGCTCGGTAGCGAGCGGTTAGCGCCCAGTGGAACAGTGACTGTAATAGGAGTACATTCTTCTCGAGATGCAGAGACCGTCATTGTCTCAATCAGCGACTCTGTGACTGTGATCGTCAAGGTGGCCTGTTGCAGCACTCGCTTTGCGGCTTTGAAGACAGAGCAGCCCAGCGTCAGCTCTGCTTTGTAGACATCGCAATTTGAGCCAAATTGATGGTCGAAATCAGATGACAATGGCCTCGTTGCAAGGAACTGTGCACAAAACGAATCCGCAAGCACAGCGTCTGCCAACAGTCGGGAGTATAATAACTCAACATCACTGATGTAGAGTTAGTAGGGAGCGTTCCGATTTCTTGATTTTACGAACCACAACGTTTGTGCCTGACAAGTGCTCAATATGCAACATAAAGCAAGCCAGATGGTAATGCGTAGCATTGTAATAATTTCGCTTGAGAGCAGAGAAACCCATGCACTGGTTCAGTGGGAAAGCAAGTGCTGGCTTATAAGACCGATCTGAGGCAAGCATGTGCACGCCCAGCCTCCTATGGAAGATCCTTAATATGGTCTATGCACAATTCGGGGGTTGAGCCCCGGCTAGATGGAGGCGTGCAACTGTCAGGCTCTATCTAGATCCATCATCAGATCTGCCACCACCCTCTGCGACCATGGCATTGCAGGCCGTAGTGGCCTGTGTGACAGTTTGACTCGGACTCAGGAGTGGCACCAATTCATGAGGTCGGCGTCCATGCCTTTGTGTGACGCGAGTACGATGTGACATTCAAAAAACTAGGAAATTAAGGGAGATGTTGACGGCACGACTGACAGCTGCCGTTTGCCTCGCCCAGCCACCCACCCCAAGCACGTGATCAGGCTGACGCTCCTGTCATGGCTCCTGAACTGGACCTGTACCAACATAAAACCTTCAACTGTCTTGGATCCTGAACCAGGCCTTCACGCCCGAGATAGATCAAGCTTCACTTGCGTCATCGTTGCCAGAGCAGTATCAACCTCCTAACACTGCTTCCTCCGGCAGTAGCCCTTCCCTATCGTCGCTCCACAGGTGCGGTAACCCCGGCTTTCTCCACGTCAATGGAGTCCTGGCTAACCTCCGAACTCTCGCTTCTGTTGATCAGGGTCTCAGGTGCCTCGACTATACCTCGTCTCTTGTCCCGATGATGAAGGTATTGGCCTAGCATAAAGAAAGCCCAACACATAAATGTGAACACAATGTTGACGCTGCATCCCTTCTGCCAGCGTGGCGCTGCATAATGATGTTAGGGCGCAGTGACTCATTTGTGGCTGAAAACATCATACCTTCAATTACGGGGAACACCACGGTTGGATAGAAGGAGTACACCGCCCATCCAAAGGTCAACTGCATGCTGGTCAGTGTGAAGTGTAATTGAAAGGAAGGGTTGATTTACTGACCATTGCTCCAATTGTTGCTGCTCTCGCCTCAGCATCGTCCTTCATAACCACATTAACCCAAGGTAGGAGAATGGGTGTTATAGCAGCTGATACGCCCAGCAGATAGTAGCAAGCAACTAGAAACGTCAGCAATGCCTTGCGCCTAACGGGTTCAAGATTCCACTTACAATGAAGTCCCACGGGAATGTTCCATATCAGCAAGCATACAATTGCAGACATGTAGATGCTTTGTACAATCGAGAAAATCGACCATAATGGATATACCATGCATAGCGATGTCGCAACCACAGCTGTTACCACTGAAACACCTTGTGCTCCGGTAGGAATTGTATTTATCTGAGGCACAGTGTAGTTGCCGTATTTGCTGGCTTGATCTTTAAGCCAGAGTGCCTTCTGTCCATGAGGATATGATGATGAGAGGAAGCTTGCCAGTACGATCAGCACAGTTTGCGGACGAACGATAAGCCATGGTGGGATAACTTACAAAATGTATGCAAAGACAGCCACGTAAAAGTGCCATCTCTTGAAGATTCGCTTAACGGCTCCAAGATGGAGTTTCTTGCTAGGAGCAATACCGGCTCCAAGCAGACGTATGCGCGCCAGATCGTGCTTTTGCTCCGTCAACCACAAGGGTTTCTTACTAGATGGCAACCCAGGGAAGAGGAAGTACCCGGCAAACGCATTGGTAGGGATATAACTGAGACGCTTCATAAGCTCCTGGCTGGTAATAAGTGTTCCCTGGGAACGCCTTACCTCCGTCTATGACGAACAGCCATCTCCAGCCGGCCATGCCTCCCTCTCCATTGAGATTCTTGTATGCAGCAGCCTGTAGATAGCCTGTTTGCAGCAGTTAGTGTGATTGAAAGTCAATGTGAACAACAACTATCAATCCGCTTCACACATTCCGGGAGATTGGGGAGCAGTGAACGTACATCCAAACATCACAGCCACATTGTTCGAGATAAACCAAACCCCAGTTCGTTTAAAGACTTCTCCAAGCTTGTATCAAGAGCCGAGCACATATGTCGTGCCAGAAGCGACAGGTGTCTCTAGAAGGCCAAGCAAGAATCTTGTTCCATAGATATCATGCTCATTCCTCATTTGCGATTGGCAGAAGGTGACGATGGACCACAGAACTTCCATTGTCGGCAGATACCACCGCGCAATCTTCGGCCTAGAGAGCAGCAGAAGCGACGGAATTTGAAATACACGATAGCCGCAGTTATAGAAGGTCCCAAACAGGGAATATCTATCTTGCAAGGCCGATACGTAGTTTGAGAATGCGTGGAGATGGAGGCCCACTGGTTTCCATATAGGTGGAGTTCTTCCTTCATTCCTGAGACATACGCATTATTGATGTTCGAAGAGTTGAGCCATTTGAGAAAGACTTCTAGAATCAGTTTTCAGTTCTTTTTACAGGTTGAGGGCGCGATGTCCACACGAAAGAGCAAAACGACAACAAGGAGGCGTCTTGCTTTCGCAGTAGCTTTCGTTCTTCCTTTGGCAGATGAGAAGGATACCAGTCGACAGTGTATTTCAAACTGCGTAGCCACAATCGATTCTGAACTGGAAGTTCCTTGATCGGCCTGAATTGACGTGGTTGCTCTTGATCAACGACGTTCTCACTCTAGTCACCATCGAATTTCGTTACCATTAGGACAGCTGGTCAGTGATTTCCAGGAAGAGATTGAAGAATAGTTGTCCAATCACTCCTTGACCCAGCCTGCCAAAGGACAGAAGTCGAGGTAATGATATAAATATGGGAGCTATCCAGGACGAAAAACAGACCAGTGCTCACAAGTCATGCACAATTCATGGGCAAAACCCCGGTCTGGCTTGGGTTCTTCCCCATGGGGGTCCTTGGATCGGGCGTCGGGATAAAGCCTCTTTACAGGATAGTGAGAGTCGGATGATCCATGGGGGAGTTTGATAAAACCTTCGAGAATTGTAGAGGGATACTAGTTTCGACAGACAATAATCAAGCGGCTCGGCTTCAAGTGCGAGTACAAATCTAGACTTGTAGGCGAGTTGGGGGTACCCTTCTCAGCCCGTACTCCACCGAATCACGTCGAGGTTCGACATCATGATTATCCCTAGATGAATCGGAAAATCGGGACAATTCCAGATGCGACTAATGAGCACACTTGATATGCTGCGGACTTGGACAGAGACCCCGAGCAAGAACCTATTCAGAAGATCGTCGATCTGTTTGGATACCTAGATGAACAATGGAGTGCCAAAACTTCGAATTTACCGCTGATAGTCATCGACTGAATATCATGTGGTCTCTTCCTCATTACCTGACGCTTGACGTTGAAATCGCAACCAGCGAGACCATTCTGCTTAGGCAAGGAAGACAATGCAGCCCGAGACCGAGTCCTCCTCTCCTGTTTCTGAGGAGCCAGTCTCTGAACTCGACAGAGTCACCACGATGTCAAGCGTGAATCAACCGCCGAGTTCCAATAAGAGACTTTTACACTGTGCATCGTCAATTTGTGGCCTGGACATTAGCGATCTATATTCAGAGAACGTCCTAGCAAAGATATTGCAAATTGCTGAGCGAGGCTTGAAGCTCCCAGCACCTCTGGCGACCTACCCAGAGTCAGTACCACAGTAAGGACCTGAAGATGGACGATACAAGCACTGAGAAGCACGCTTCTGGACCTGTGGCGTCTTTTCTGGAAGTATCTACGCTTTAATTGAGCGAGCAGCCAAATCCCCAGCACAACTCAGCACTCCTGAGTGGTATCGCTCGAAAGTATACAGTGATCTCTTGACTTGCGGTCGGCACTGGTCTGTAGCACTGCAGAATATGGCTAGTCGGACTGATACCCACGATATGGGCTTTATAGTTCAGCCTGCATTGCAACGAGACTGGGAACTGACTGGCAATGTACAAAGCCTGCAAGCCGTCAAGAGAGCAGCCTACGCCCTTGCTTCACGCTACAATGCGGACATAGGGGCAATTCGGAGCTGGGATCAAGCGGTCAACCATCGATACAGCATCAGCGATATGAATGATAACTTCCTTGTCATCATCGATAGTATGTGCAATCTCAACCTACTGTATTATCTCGGCCATCTGGAACAGGATGCAATGCTCATAGATATCGCAACGACTCACCCCCAAACTGTGCGGAAAACCGTACTTCGAGAAGACCACTCGACTTATCATCTGGTAAACTTCGACCCGCGCAGTCCTGGCAAATTCAAAGCCAGAATGACGAACCAAGGCTACAATGACGATTCAACATGGACTCGAGGCCAAGCCTGGGCCATTATGGGCTTTGCGCAGACATATCTGTGGACGAAGGATGTCATATTTCTCCACACGGCAATCGCCTGTGCAGATATGTTTTTGGGACGACTAGCACATGCTGACAAGTTAAAGGGTCATCACAATCCTTTCGACCCCGTATGGGACTTTGACGCACCCCAGGAAGATCCAGCGGAGTCCCTCCGTGATTCATATGCAGGTGTTATCGCGGCCAACGGTATGTTGCTCATCCATCAGGCACTGCAGGCCATCTCCCGTGATTCCAAAGCACAACTTCCTGCGTCGTCCACAATCCCCAGCGACCACGACTTCTTAGGGGCTGCTTTGTTGATCATCCAAGACACGATTGATCTGTGTCTCGAACGAGATTTAGCCTCTTTATCGGCTCCAGCTGAGTTGGGTACAGATGATAAACTAAATCAGTGTATGGTGCTGAATGCGAGAGTGAACGGGAGTTCATTTGATGCCATATTGCGAAACGCGACCGCCTGCTACAACGAGCATGGTTTTATACGATATTGGGATTATGGTCTCGCCTATGCTGACTACTTCCTGCTGGAGTTCGGGAATAAGCTCTGTAGAATGGGTTTCTGTTAGCATTCATATTACCAGAATAGAATATTGGTATGCGTATGATGCTAGACCAGGTATCTCCCTCGGATGACTTTATCAAACGTGCGTGTAGACCATTAGTACGTGACAGAGTCACAATTCAAATACTGGTCGGAATTTTGTTTCGGTCGTCCTAGAACGTGTTTTGCATTTTGAGGTTATGGCTCTGTCCAGCTGCATGCATTGTTCATCCATTAATGTGTCTGACAATCGGAAAAGAGCATCCGGATTTTGCTGGTACACTCCTGTTCCCTCACTATCGGACAGCGCGTCATTTCTAGGAGAAATATAAATCAGGGGATGTACATGTTCTGCATTGGACAGTTCTTGTACACCCAATATTGGAGCTTGCTGTCCGTGGCTGCAGACTTGGCTATCCAACACATGTCTTATGGAAGAGATACTGCGTTTTGCTGTACAAAGCCAGTAGCTTGGATAGATTGAGGGGAGGTCATAGCCGTCGTGCTTGGTGGTGGTACTTCTGGGATATGTTTAGGCCTCTTTGATCGACGAGTTTGTGTCTCTTTCTGTGTGGATGTTGGTATTTCCTTGAGAAGTGGCAAAATTCCTGGTACTGGCCGACTGGCTTACCTGCTTCGCAATTGTCGCTGCAGGTATGTTCACTGGTGTTCGTGGTGAATGTCCCAGATTCCTGCAAGAGTGGTCTAGGAAATCAAATTGAAAATCTGAATTTTCCTGACACTTTGATGTAAAAGTTCCAGATACCTCGCGTACTGACCTGCTACATCAACATCAACTTGTCTGCGACAAGCTTGTCGGTATTCTTCGGAGTCAGATAGGCACATCCATCGAGCCGACATCGTCCAAAGGTTCGAGATCAACTAGTTGAACTCGGGTGCAACCTACTGCTTGGACGTTTGCGCAATCACTGTTTGAGCTCAGTTAACATGAGCATTGAAACGCTAGCCCAAACTCGCCTAACAGCGCTTTAGCAGCCACAAACACGCAGAAGGAAAACTGTGGGTTCACGAATGAAATGGGTGTATATTTGAGAAACTTGCCTGCAATGTGGGATGTCTCCACAGCAGCCAAATGGCAAGTCTCTGCGCTACACGCACTTGGTAACTGCATGAGGTTTGTCCATTCCACGGGAGGAAATGCAATCGGATAATGCAAAAGAATCATTGACGTGTTATGCGTAAGATGAGCAAGGGTAAGGTTTGGGTCCATGTCGACGAAAGACTTGTCTTTGGAGATATTTGAATCTTTCCAACGGCTAGGGAGAAAGACTTTCCAGCTCCAAGAAGTCAGTACAGGAGATCTTACTATTCCTGTTCCACTTACTGCACTGATCATAGATCCAGCTCTTTGAAACGTGTGAGCCAATCTACGACATCTTGTCGGTTCTGCTAGTCGATTCTTTGTAGTAAAAAGCATGTGATCACCTGGCTCATTGATTCGGTAGCATCGATACAGTATGCAAAGGCGCCTAATTTTGAAGCATCGACGGGCGCTGAACTGACTGTTGCTGGTGAAGTTATGACCAGGGGGGCATCCGATGGAGGCTCATCCTCATTATCGTACTGCGCTGGAACATGAGCAGTGAGGGACATGCTAAGTTTTGCGAAGGATCGATTCCAGAGCCCGGAAAAAGGGACATGGTACCGGAACTTCCCTCGTAAAATAGGGGCCATCGGCTGGCAACCGCCGGTGGACATCTTCTGATGTTAAGCTTGTATTCCATCCAGTGCAAGCCGAATTCTACCTTAAGAAGATCAGCATATGAGCACGACTCACAGAGAACCAGGATAATGTTTCTGACCTATCGAGGAGAAAAATGCACTAGAACAAACGTCTGCGAGATTAAAGCTCTGTCCAGTCGGGAGCACGTTCTTGCAGAGCTAGAGGTTTCATCAGGACCCGAGAACGAGGGGTTGCTGGCTCAACAGTCAATTGCAAGAAGTCCACGGCTCTTGTCAGAAGCGCTATCGAAGAAAATGCATTCATGGACTTCCCACTGTTGGGCTGACCAAATTGTTAAAATGCCAAAACATCTCCGGTTAGCCAGGATATGTCGTACTCACATCGTCGAAAAGAGAAAGATAAGAGCTTGAAGGCTTTCTAATGACACCTCCGACATAGCTTGTTTCATCACCAACATCTTGGAAACTTCAATCTGCCTGTACGCTTCATCATCGCTGAGAAATGTTTTCCTTCTACTGAGCCACCGTAATCCGGTAGCCACGATGGCATGCAGCACAAATGACGAATTTGGGGCTGATCGTGGGCTTTCTTACTTCATTCTGGCATCGAGCCTTGTGAAGATAAGGTATCCAATGGTGGAATGAGATGCAGAATTCGTCGACTAGTTCTATGAGGATATCTTGTGAAGGTAAACGTTGTCTCACATCCTCACTATGAGAACAGAGGAGAGATGACTCTAGGCACAGCTGGTCAGCCTTCCGCTTCAAACGGCCTCCAACACCTAGAGATAGGTCTTGTACTGCATGACCGGTCCTAGAGAGTTTGCATTGCCTATTCAATTGTGGAAACTTGTCCTTCTGAGGACTGGGAGGTATGTCGATATCAGTCTCGTCTGAAGGGGGGAAGCTGGATTCGTGCCCTTCCCGAATTGAAGCGTTAGCTGAGGTATATGACGCCCGAGGAACAATGCTTCCATCCAAATTAAATCTCACGAAAGGCACACCGTTGTAGTCCAGAAGAATCTGCTCGAGCACAGCTAAGATTGGTTAATCAACACGCTATTCTGGCTTGCTATGAATCCATGAGCATACCCACGCGGATATTGAGGCTTTCAACAGCTCCAGATTTAAGACCTGGCTTCTGTTTTGAATCGTAACAGCACTGGAGGTCTAAGAAGGTACTTAGCACATATCACATCGAGTGATACCTACCAAGAGGCGGGGGTCGTACCCAGGCGAAGGCAATGGTGGCAACTAGGAGACTCCCGAGAGCATCGAAATTTTCACCTACGACATGAAGAGCAAGCGGGCAGCTCATCTAGCTCATCATTCGGTCGATCAATTTTCCAAGATGAGGTGGTCATGTTGAGCCTGACACTTTGGTACAGGATTGAGGGAACATGTTAGCTTGAGCGAGACGGCTCGTTGAATCGGAGTTTATGTTCCCGCTGCATGTCACAGCGCGTGCAGAAGGATTTCTCGACCCAGAGACACGACTACGGCTGCAGTTATACCAGAACGCGAGTGAGTGTTGAGAGACTCACTGCAGAGCAAGGAAAGAGGCAGGTGCAACGACAGCTCATCGGGCCACCGAGATTTCGGGGGAAGTGGCTCCGCCCGGAGAAACTCGTTCCTTCAGGAAAGGGTGTCCCCCGTCCTCGTTGCAGAACGCCAGCTGCGTTCCTCCCCCCATTGCCCTCCCACCAAAGCAATGCCATAGAATATGATCACAGGTCTGAACCCATCTGATGAATATTTATGCTTCGTTGTGTGACTTCATGTATATAACCTTGTTCTTGAATGACACGTTTTTGATATCAGTCAGGTAAGTCCGTTCAAGACCCTGTCGGGGCGTGTAGGACGTGACGCATCATCGTCCTCAAATGCCACCGCTTACTGGCTTCTCGGATAACCCTCTCATTACGAGAGATGATACTCGGGCTGCCACGCTCGAACTATTGAGAGCATGCTGTCGTTATCAAAGCCCGGGCCGCGCGCGAATTCGACTACCTTCAGCAACTAGAACCCACTTCGACGAGACCGCCGCGCAGTTAGAGGGTTACGCACGACCACTTTGGGCTATTGGTGCCTTATTGAGTGGCACAGACGGCACGAATGACGATGTCATATCCGTGTCTGAAGATTTCGCTCGTGGGCTAGCTAATGGGACCGACCCTGCCCACGAAGAATACTGGGGCCCTATTGTCGTGAGGGATCAACGAATGGTTGAAATGGAGATCATTTCCTATGCCTTGCTCGCATCACCGGAATTATTTTTTAACAGTCAGACTCCAAAGGCAAGGTCAGACATCACTTCATGGCCTTGAGTCGATCATAGGCAAGGACAGGCCCCCGACCAATTGGCTCTGGTTTCGTGTGATGATTATTTTGGCACTGCTTAGAGTGTGTGGACTCCCTCAAGCCAAGCTTCTGCCCTTAATGGATAAAGACCTGGATGCTCTGGTTTCGTTCTATCTTGGTGCGGGTTGGTCCAGTGACGGTAAATGGAGCGATGCTGGAAAACAAGCAGATTACTACTCAGGCTCATTCGCGATACAATTCTCTCAGCTCCTCTACGTCAAATTGGCAGCAGAGATTGATCCAAAGCGATGTGAGGCCTATCGTGAACGTGATTGCACATTTGCAAGTCAATTTTCCGGAAATTTCAATCAAGAGGGTGAGTCATTGCCTACTACTCATGATAGCCAGCGACACTCACAGGCCAATGTAGGTGCAGCGATACCCTTTGGAAGGAGTCTTACATACCGATGGGCAATGGGGGATTTCTGGTTTGCGGCTGCATATGTAGATGTCAACTTTCCTGTCCCACTGGATGAACCGGGAATCGTAAAAGGCCTTCTATTCCGGCACCCGAGATGGTGGGCGTCAAAGCCTGATATTTTCAATGTGGACGGTACCCTTAATATCGGCTTCCTCTACCCCAATATGTACATGTGTGAAGACTACAACTCGTCTCAGTCTTTGTACTGATGCATGAAAAGCCTGTTGGTCGTTGCCCTTCCTCCAGAGCACACATTCTGGACCTCACAAGAGCTGTCGCTGCCATCTAGCACAGCTTCGATCTCAACAAAAGTTGAGCCTCCCATGCACATCATCTGCGATAGTGGCTCCCATCATTTCTTACTCTCCTCTGGGCACTTCTGTCCCTGGCCTTTGAAAGCTACTGAAGCGAAGTACGGAAGGCTTGCGTCTTCATCGCATTTCGGCTTTAGTGTGCCTACAGGAGCTCTCATACAGCAGATGGCACCTGATAGCACTCTAGCCCTGAGTTTGAATCAAGGAGAATCCTGGTATAGGAAGGAGGTGGAGACCTTTGCAGCCGCACTTTAGTACAGCCACGTTTGTGAGCGAGGACAAGACTCAGGAAATTCCAGTTTTGGTCAGCTCGTGGAGGCCAAGTCGTCACGCAGACTTCACGGTAAAGACAGCTCTGATAGCACCTAGCAGTCGATGGCCAGATTGGCATATCAGAGTTCACAAGTTTCACACCACCTCAGGCCAGCTCTTGCCGCCGCTAACTACTGTTGTCGAGGGAGGATTTGCCATCGCAGGGAGAAAGGCATCTGATGGCTTGCCAATTCCACCAACGCCACTCGGAGATTTCACCAAAATGGAAGACAGTCGGCTGCCATTTGAAGCTGTGTCTACAGTCGCGCATGGCTCTCTGATCTGTTCCAGTGCTGGCGCAAGTGGCATTCAGGATCTTCGACCGTCTGGTGATATGAGTCTACGAGAGGGCACGCTCTTAGCCTCGCTTCCCACGCCCTCGATTCTCAAACCAGACGCAAACACTAACTTGATATGGCCCCGGACCGCGATCCCTACGCTGACAAGCCTGGGACCCGAAGAAGGCAATAGGGGCCTGCGAGGTGCTCTCTTGATTACTGGCGTATTCGCAATGGCAAAGCAATGAGTAGACTAGTCGAACTATGGCGAGACTCACCCAAAATTCATCTTGGAAAACAAGTAGGGCAATCAGGTGAATCGTATATCACCTTCAACCGGTGGTAATGTCAAAACAGGTGAACAGCTTTTCAGCATCCTGACAGTCACACCGACTTCATGGCTGGGGCATTCAAGCGCAGATTTGGTTCTCGCTCACACGCACTTGCAGCCTGAACTTCTAAAAACAGAGACATCGAAAACCATTGTCACTTCATACTCAAGTCCAAGGACAAGCTCTGTCTTCCACCGTGCTAGAATGCTAATTGATTGAGGTTCTTGCCGCCAAAAGAGGGTGACTACTGACAGACTATCTACGCCACCGTAGCAAACTTGTGCTACCTTATCTACGGCGGAGCTTACAAATGCCTGCGCTATGGATTTTAGCGTCATAAAGCCTTGCCTGTAGTCTTCAATGATGACTTCACATATCTCACACACATTACTTGTGAACTTTGGGTTATAGAATTAATTGATCTAATCTACTACTTGCTGTCCCTTCAATTTCCTCCAAAACGCACCAGCTGTGATCCTGTCTAGTGCGTGGAAAATGAAACTGCAAAATTCAACCTGGAAGGCCGTGCAGAAGATATTGACTGCCGCCCTGAAAGATCTTGTGTGAACCCTGATACACCCAGGAGCGCGATCGTTGTCTGGATTGCTACACCAGGTGAGGATCTTCCAGTGTCGCGCGAGCACGATAGTGAATCCATCGAAGCATGTAAAGAAGAGGAAAGATTCTGTCGCCTTAGATCTGGTTCGCTCCCTCAACAAAACCGCACCTGTGAGTTTTTCCCATTTCTTTGTCTCACGCAAACACCTTTCTTGCAGGCTGCCTCCCCTACCCTCCTGATGCACTACGGCGCATCATACCTCTCACCATGAAGTTTCACCAATTCGCTGGTGTCCTTCACGGCTTGCGGGCCAGAATGCACAAGTTCCATGCACAATTGAGACTCATGCCTAGGCCTGTCCACAGTCAGTCAGCAGCCATGGAAGAAGACGCCGAGCCAGAGTATATCTCTCGCACTGGCACCGAGGAGATTGACACAGTCGCGGTTTCACCAGTTCATCCTGAGTACATGGTCACCGGGACCTACTCTCTTCTTGCCAGCGAGGAGACCCCAGAGTACGAAGCGCAGGTCCGCAAAGGCTCGCTTGAAATCCTGCTAGTGACCCACAAATGGATGCCTAGATACGCGGGCATGCTGCCACCTAATCTCGAGAAGATATCCTTCTCTTGTGCCATTCCTGACATCCACTTTCACCCCACCGATGGCTCGCTACTCGGCGTTGCCACCAGCACTGGATACGTTCACTTCTTCCGGTTCTACAAGCACGGTGATGTTCTTGGGCGTCGAGTGGACGCCAGACTCCTTCCAATGGGCTTTGCAAAGGTTGCGGACGCTGATGAACACGGTCTCAAGCCATTAGTCACCCAGTTCACTTGGTCCCCTGAGATCAGCACCCACGGCGTCACGGGTATCGATGATTTCCACCGCGCAGGCCTTGCATTCACTTCATCATTTGGCAACACTAGTTATGTCATCGTTGAGATTCCAGCAATCCGAGACGTGTTCGACCATCGTCTTGCAAAAGAGGTCCCAGAGCTCACGCATATGTCTGCGAAGCTCCACAAGCATGAACTTGAGGCCTGGACGGTCGCCGCCGTTACCCTTCGCTCCTCATATGACACCTTCGACCGTTTGGTCTTCAGCGGCGGGGACGACTCTGCATTGATGGCCACGTCCGTCCAGCTCCCAAACACTACATCGCCATCCTTCAATTACGATGACGTCTCCATCAATACAAATCTGCTCTGGAGAGATCGCCGTAGCCACGGAGCAGGCGTTGTCGCAATCCTCCCACTCCCAGCCATGCACGTACCGCGTGACACCGGGATGCACGGTAAGAAGGAAATCCTGCCTCTGCTCACGGGCAGCTACGACGAGACACTACGCATATTTGAGATCGACATGGTGTCGTACCGGCCCGTGCTGCAGAAAGAGATGAAGTTTGCTGGTGGCGTGTGGAGACTCAAGGTCTTGGACGAATACAGCACGATCACGACCGATCAAGGCGAACTGATGCTCCTAGAGCACGAAGAAGAACATACCGCGCTGCGCACCAAGCACTTCGGCGGCCAATTGGAACACCACACGTTGATAGTCGTCTCGTTGATGCACGCGGGCGCGATGATCATCCGAGTCACGTACACCCGCGGCACGGACCTGTCAGGCTGTTCCTGGAGCATCACGCCGCTGCAGCGATTCCGCGACGGACACGAAAGCATGGTCTACTGTTGCGCCGCCCGCCTGGAACCCCCCCCGGTCTTGTTCCCACGCTTCAGCTACAAGGCGGTCCTGAAATCCAGCAAGCCGAGAAGAGAGGGTGACGATGACGCCCGATGCCCCACCTACACCGTCGTCAGCACCAGCTTCTACGACAAGAAGATTTGCACTTGGAAGTTCATCGATCGCTTCAAGGGCCGTGCTCAGCTGAAGCCCATCGATTGCACGAGAAAGAACGATGACACAGTTGGTCGTCGGGTATTTCAACAAGCTTGAGTTCAGGCTCCTCAGACAGGAGATATCAGATAGAGGGGATGGCGACGACGATGATGAGCTTTTGGACGTATGGATCATGGAAGCAATCAAGGTCTTGAATATTAAGGACCACCGAGAATTGGGGTAGCTGGAACTATCAAGAGTTCGAGGTGGAACCTTGGAAATGTGTCGAGGTGGGACTGCATCTGCTACAAGAGGAGAGATGAATATTCAGCAGTCGCAACGTAGACATTAGACAATGAACAAATGACTGGGCACTGGAACTGAGAATGAATTCAAAAAGGAAGGCAACAAGATAATGCTCAGCACTTGCTCTTGATAGCGCATTTCAGGACCAAGGGGCTGCTTGACTAAGTCACAGGATAAAGACTTGCAACAAGAATCTCATCTCATGCAAATTCTATGCTCTGGAAGTCGGCCAAATCTTTGTGGCCTCGAAACACCATGCCGGGCTGTGTATGCTATGAGTACAAGTGCTGATCAGCTTAACTGACGTTACCTCCCCTAGTCCGTGACTGGGTCGCATAATCTACACGATCATCTCCAGATCCCTGGCGTACCCGACCATGTGATTGATCACTTCCTTCTGATCACCGTCTTCGGCTTTCTTCGCATCTTCTAGGCCAGGGAAGTAGATCCGCCCGTCTTCAAGACTCCAACCTTGCTCACTTGCGAACTCGGTGACCGCACCCTCAGAGTCCAGGAAGAGGAGATTCTTAGCTGAGGCAATAGGTAACGATGGATACGAACGGGCCGCGCAAGACGCGATCTCGAGGCGAATGGTGTTGATTAGTATCTACAAACCGGTGATTAGTGACTGCACAATTTTGTGGCGGAACTTGCAAGCTGCTGAACTTACATCAGAAAACAAGGCAAACTCTTCTCCGGGCACGTCTCGACCATTTGTCTTCCGCCACACTTGATCGTAGCTTCCCTCCATCAGACTCCGCTCCAGCTCTACAGGGTATCTTATGAATTGATCTTCTTCCACAGACGATCCTCCATTGGCGCCCTCCGCCACAATCAGAGATTCAAGCAGCGTATGGAAACCGGCATAGTCACCCTGACTGAGTAGTAGCAGTAGATAGAGCCCTGTTATCTTCGATCTCTCTCTTGAAGGCGTTTGCTGGAGGCGGGGATAGTCGTAGAACGGCTGTAACTGGGAGTAGTATCTGACGAAAGAAGCTGGATCTCGCGACCGGATAGACAGGAGAGCACCGACTTCCAGAATGGATCGAGCTGTTGCTAGGGTGGGTGCAGGTGTCTGCTGTGAGGGTATTAGTGCGTCTTGTTGTAGGAGAGCTAGCTTTGCCTTCTGGAGTTGTGATTGCACGTGCGAGGTGTCGCCATGATTGAGGGATTGTTGAAGGGAGTGGAGAATGTTGTCAAGCGAGTTCGAGTATGATCCTGTTGCAGCAGGCATCTTGACAGATTTGGGGAACCTCGGAATGCCTCACTCTTGTACGATCAGGCTTCGTGTTGTGTCTAAGGAGGAATGTCGAGACAGCGACGAATGGCGAGAATAGCAACGGCTGGTGAGGAAGAAACAATATGGTGAGCTCTCGCACTCGACGAGATCAGAAGGAGAAATTGAAAGGAATGTAGATCACTTGCGTAGTGGCTCTAATGTGGGAGGAGTTCGACGTTTGCACAGGCGTCTATGTTTGCAGTCTGTCTATTCAATAATACACATACTTGTACTGACAGGCAGTTGGAGTGATTGCGACTCTCCATCCAGCCTGCGCCAAGTCCTTGCCGCATTAAGGTCACCCCAAGATCAAGCACAACGCTAACCAAATTCAGATGTTAGTCTATCTTAACGATTGAGCAGAGTTATTAACTTCCAACCGCTGACTGCCTCAATAAGTTTTGTCCTTCAGTCAGCTAAAGCCGTTTCCACTAATTGAAAGCATTGTCAAGGTCAGAAAACAAGCTATCCCACTCTGGCATCTGGAGAACTGGGCCAAGTTGCACATAGTCTCTCCAGACCGAGTCAAACTCAGAGGGATAACTCATTGGATCTTCCAGTGTTTCCCAAGGGTTTGAAGTATTGACCCTTATGCTTTCAGTTGTCTGTAGATCCTTATGGGGTTGGTCCATTTGAGCATTTGATGAGCCAACATTGTTGGTAGTATGAGGCCGATTGAGCAGGTGGACCTTGTGCCTCCGAAGAACATCTTCCAATGACTCCACGAACTCACCAACCATTCGAGATCGACTTTTGGCTTCTTCTAAGATCTTCAAAGCCTCAACTACCTCATAGTGTCGTTCCTCATCATCTCCGTGGCCTCTGTTGAAGCATAAATCAGTCACTAGAACTATTGTCGCCATGAAGATGTGGTGACATATTCCTGTGAGCTTGACATCTGAAGCGAAAACAGATCCAGGTTCCAATTCCACTGATTTCTTCAACTTGATAACACTGCGCGCTGATTTGAGTGACACTTCCCTGGAAAAATGATACCCCTTGTTGATGGAGCCTCTGATAAGAAAGGGTTGATGCAGCTTACAACGTCTTGTCAATGCTATCATTCCTAGCGCATATCTTTGAGCACGCAGCTGAGGGTACTTGAGCATGACTTCTTCGCTACTCATCCGACTCTGTTCGTCAGTTTTGAGAAAAGTTGGTAATTCTTCCAGGAATGCTTCAAATCTTTTGTCCAGTGCAATGATATCTTGGTAGTTTATTGGCGAGACCTCCACATTAAGTAATGGCATTGTATCTGCGACCCTGCGGCATAAATCGGCCAGGTTGATACGCTGTATGTAATATGACATAACAGTTGGAGATGAAATTGGCTGGTCAAGACTGGGATTCTGTCGTAGGTCCTTGTCATCAACATTTCGCGGTCGTTTCACAATCATATGTCGAGGCTGCATATTATAGGTGCCTTCTTGGGGGCCGCCGCTCAGTGATAGAAGCCTGGGATTAACATCAGCTGCATCCCGAGCAACAGTGGCTGCTTCCTCAAAATAAGATGTCAAATTTAAGAAAGGAGGATACCTCAGACTAAGTCGTGAGACACTTCTTGGAGAAAACAAAAATGAAAGTTGTCGAGATAAGGGTTCGAGCACACTGACCAGTCAGTGGCAACAACATGCCAGAATATTCTCCGCTTCATTTCGAGTGACACAGGATCGGGTTGTGATCGAGAGTCCGAAATCTGACTACTTGGAACGTCGATTCTGTGGAGCGACAGGTCGCGTGCAATGCAAGTAGCCGAAGCAAACAGACCACGAACCCTAGCAGAGAAGCCTTCGAGATGATATAGGAGAAATGACAGCAGTATTGTAGCTTGGATGTCCTCAATCACGCCTTCACATGTTCGACGCGCTATTTCCAACATCTCCAATGCAGAATTAGTCCAGTACAACGAGACTTGAGACGCATCGGAAATCGAAAGGTCGAGTGGAACATCGTCGAAAAAGAACTGATATGTCGCCGCTGCACTTGCCAAAATGGCTAGAAAGAGGGCAAGCTGTCCGGGTACGAGTTTTTCGGCATCCTTGATATTTGAATAGATGTCGTCTACCATTATTCGAATTTGCGGTACATATATGACATGCTGGAGACTGTCGATATAATGGACGTACATATCAAGAAATATGATTGCATCTAACTTCGGCGGTAGACAGTAAGCTTTGTATCCAGAATGCTTGACCGGCGCTTCACCCAGAAGTCCACTAGATCGAGTATGGAGATGGAGTGCCGCTATTTCTGGGGCAGGAAGGAGCTGGATTAAGAAGCAACTGGACCGTGGCCCTATCCAGGAGTTTGTATCACGAGTGCCGGTACCCTCAAGTGATTGAACAACTTCTTCATATTCAGAAGCCCAAGGAGAGGCAGTTTTAGGGAGCATTGCGATTTCACATGTTGTCGATGGGAGTTCACTTGAGGTACGACAATTAGAATGAGACGATCTAAGCACCAGCTCTTCAAGCCGTTTCAGCCGCTCCAGAACGGAGGAAGTGGTTGTATCCCCATGAGAGGGTAATCGGGGTTGGGAATCTGGTCATTCACTCGGTCAGAATCATGCGTTGAACTCCAGTGGAGTTGAGGTTGGTGGTGAAAGAGAATGCAAACCATGAGAGTGCATCACTTGTACAGAGGTATTTAACTGCCGATGACATGTCATATCGAGTAATCTTCATCAGTTGGTATCTAATGCTTATTCTTCGTCCGGTCGATCTTTACCTTGCTGCATCCCAAATATCGCCTCGGGTTATACTGGTACTGAGATAAGAATGAAAAAAGACTTACGCAGAGTTGGACCATCACACTCGAGGCCTCTGGCAGCACAATTGGAACACGGGTATTCCCGATTACATTTGAGCTTCTTAGAACGACAAAATCGACATGATACTGGCTCCTGTCGAGGCCTTTTTAGGGGGTTGGCTGACATAATGCTAGCGGCGATGGGCTAGTCGTCCGTGGCAGATCTGGACGGGAAGAATACGGAAACTGAAAGGATATATCTCCAAGCCAGGGATTTGACATTTTAGAGCAGCCTCAGCGAACTAGATAAAATAATAGAGGGAGTTTTTCCGATGTCCATTGTGTCAGAACACCTACTCGTAGGCTGGAAGAGTGAGGTTAGATTAGGCCGCCCGCTTCCTTCAGACCGAAATTCAGGACGTCTGACAGCCCCTGTTTATCTTGCAGTGGGTGAGTCTGGGTGACTCATTGTCTTGTCAGACAGGCTGGCTTCTTCCGCAGACAGCCTCGTACTCACTAACCTGTTCTGAGTAATATCACTAGATTCACTAATTACCGGAACCCATACATATCAGTTTCCTGCCCTTCCTCTTTCCACTATCTTCGTCCTCGGCGAAATTGCTCCGCAGACAGTGGCATGCCAGTCATGCTATTCGGGAAGATTTGCAGAATAGAAGGTGAACCCTTAGTCAGGGTACGACGCCTGCAACGCTGTCCAAAGCAAAAGATCTACGTTCCTTGCCAATCGCAGAGTTCTTGCGACATTCCAAAGCGTGAGAACTCATATCGATTTCTATGAACAGGTTTACATGTCCTCTCGAGCCTGCCTGAGCATACTGATTCCAATTCTTATCAGCTTCTAGGTCCTCATTAGCTGAGGCAACCGCCAAGTAGCTGCTGATATCAGGGTCACGTTGGGTTCGACATGAAATGGGAAAAGGGTTGTGAGGATAGGGGAGTGAGCAGCTCGGCATAATCTACAAAACGTTCTTTGCGAATCAGTAGGGCGCGTCAACGAAGTACCTTGTTTTCGCAAAGTGCTGATGGTGCCATGCGAAAGGAGAATCAAATACACAGTACTCCTTCACGTGCTAACTGTCACTCACAGATGCAAAAGGGGGAACCTCGTCTTGGTCGGGTAGACTCATAAGCGAACTCACCAGCATGTGAGATGAATCAAGATGCGAGCGCTATGAATTGAAGAGAATTTTCGTCAACGTATCCATACGTTACCAGTGGAAAGCCTTATGTGATAAAGACAAGACCTCAGGTGTTGTCGACATAATGCACAGGAGAATTATGTTGGGGCGATAAAAGTTCTCCACGCCGTCAGTAGCGGCGGCGTGCCGAACCTCCGATAATTCTCGAAACAGGTAGTTAATCCGCCACAACTGAAGGGGCATTTATTTTCTGACAACGACTTTCCTGTCCTTGTGCATCGAAAGAGTATAGCGTTTTCTAGACAGCGGTCTACAATGGGCAGGATCCTTGAAAGTGAGCCATACAATACACTACCTCCTTTTCGTCTTCTCCAGAAATATTGTAACGGCTACAGTCTGTTTAGACGACTCTTTACACAACCAGCGAGTTTGAAGACGACATTATACTCTGGCAATACACGGTATCTACTCGTACATTCACACACCCACCCACCTAACCTCCGCCCAGAATCGATCAGCCCTTGCGGCCGTTGACAAATGTGTACTCGCAGACACCCTACTCTCACCCCTGTCACTCCCTGGCTCAAATCTCCTCTTTAGTGGCGCTTACACAACATCACACATCCCAGTCATTGCCAGATTTGGCAATACAGCCGTCCGAGAGCGGCAATTGACCTGCAATTTCATGGCCCAGCGCTGGCGTCTGGGATGAACCTTTCCGCCTCTCTGCTGAGGTATGGCGAATCAGAATTGCTGATGGTGAAGTAGTCCCAGGGGCCCCTGTCTAGTTTACCCTATGTTGGAAGATTCATCCACAATGCACGCTCTGAGAGTCTAGATTTGTACTTCGTACATGGCCTAGATACTATACGGCGTGGTATGAAGCTCTGAGGAGAGAAATGAAGGATGTCTCCGTTCTCTTCCTTCTTTGAGGTGGGATTCGACCACCGGGCTATGTCATGTCGTCTCGAGACTAGATTGTGGCTTAAGAGCGGTGGTCTCGAAAGTGCCACGTGACTAATGTTTTAAGGCGTGTGGACCATATCTGCTCTGTACCATAGCCGCACAGGCAATGATCTGACAACGGTTGCAAATTAGTTCAGAGTTGGAATTGCCACATATTAGGGAAGATATAGAATGGCTTGAGAAGCCAGATCGCTGCGGTCTGATGGCTTGGGAAAAGTAATTTACCGAACAAGATAACACTTCCTCGGCACCTCCTCGAAAGACCCTTTAATATTGGAGCGGCGCAGTGATGGGCCGCACCTCATTTCCTGACTCTCCTAGCATGCCTCACAAGGTTTTCAATGACACCTTCAAAGGCCTCCTTCTCTTTCCTCAGCCCATCTCTCCGCTTGAGCCAGTATTCCAACAACTCTGATGTCTTCTCAGACGTATCCTGCAACAGTTTCACATGAGCTTTTAGCTCTTCATCTGTGAATCCATCCAGTTTTTCGTCTGTTGTTGCACAAAGCCTCTTGACCGAGACAAGATCGAGTTCTGGCGGCGGTAGAGGACCCTTCAGACGCTTTGGCCGGCTAGGGCGGTCTTTCGTCCCCGATTGCGTGCTATCCACGGACCCGGTTGACTCATTTGTGGCTTCTGCTTTCAACCGAGCGACAGAGCCGAGAGCCTTGTCGGATTCAGACTTACGCGATGATGGTTCTAGATTGATATCTGGAAGTATTAGTTTCTTCTGTTTGGAGGGAGGCAATATCTCGTCCAGGTCCACTGGAACACCTAAACTGACGAGAAAGAGCCGCCTGATCCGAGATTGGGTCCAGTTGGGTGGTTGGAGAGGCGGTGGTGTGACAAGTTGTTTCCATAATGAACGAGAGCGGTCTGATGGGAAAATTGGTGAGCCTTCTGGAACAGGTACTTGTTTGGGAATTGATGCAATATTGTCGGCGGTCGACATAGGGAACATTGCGTCGAGATGTAGCTGTGTCGCAGCAAGAAGATCCGGTAAGGATGATAAAGCGTCGAAGTCAATCAGAGGCTGGAGGCAGCAAACTATCAGCACAGACATATGAAAAGCAAAAATGCTAAAGAATGGTGGACTCACGAAAGTCTCGGCAGGTATGGATTTGATCTTTGAGGTAGATACAGGTGGTGTCTTCACAGTATCAGCTTCAGCTTCAGCTTCAGGCCCCTGGAATCCTTCATCGAAGTCCCCAAAGTCGTCATCAGCTCCAGCCTGTGCACCTTCCTCAAAATCATCAAAGTCGTCCCCAAAGTCGTTGCGACCAGTGCCATTCTCCTCCTCGTCCTCGTCCTCATCATCATCAGCGCTACCATTTCCGTCGTCATCGTCGTCGTCTTTTTGACTTGTCGAGATCTGTCTAAAGCGTCTCATCGAACCTTCGAGAGGGGGTGACCCTGGATGAGGTCAATGGCCCTCCTGAGTTGTGATTCTACACTGTGGGTTTACCTTGGTCGGTTGGCTTCTCCCGGAAATCGGGGGACGCGGCTAAAGCTCGTTTCTTGTGTGCAGCCGTTCCTGGGAGATCACCATGCACAGGCTTGTCATCCACAGGGGTGATTATGGTTTCGGGAATGGAAAAGTTGGAGCCTGAGCGGTTGTGCTTGGAAGTGCTTTCAGAATCTTCGGAATACATTGCCCTCTTCCCAGGAGCAGGTGTTTTAAGTATCACATCTGGAGCAGCATCCATTTGTCTTTGAATATATGCAGCAGTGCCCGGTTCTTCGCCATAGCTTGTATCATCTGGGTCTAGTTTCTCCACTACCATGCGAGGAATGACCGAGCCGCCGGGAGTGGTAGGAGGCTCAAGATATTGACTGCTTCGTTTACTTCGGAGTCCGGCTTCGGGGGAGAGAACTTCGACCTCATCGGGTACAGCATCAAGCATACGCTTTTCGTAGGCAGGAGTTCCAGGAACCTCGCCGTAGCTTGGCTCATTATCGATCCGTTCTACTCGCGTTCTGGGAATTGGGGAAGCAGGTGTGACAGGTCTGGACCTCTTTCGGCCTTCAGATGCATCAGAGAAGTACTCTTCGCCGTCTGAGGAGACTGAAAGACCTTTAGCATATGAAGATAGACGGTCAATGGTATGGCTTACGCTCATGGGCACCAGGGTCTTGCAATTCAACACTCTTCCTAGGAGGTTCAAGGCTGTTTCTTGAGACCGGTCTTGACATTGTACTTCTATGGAAGTGTAGACGGCTGCTTTAAAACAGTCAAGAGAAGTTAAACCAGATCATCAAAGGTCAGCCGAAAGAGGGAGGAGGGAGGAGGGATGAGTACCGGGGCTGAGAGAGGCGGGCACAGGCAAGCAGTGACAGCGGCAGGGCGTTGGTTGGATTTCAGGATGAGGTTGGCATTCCGCTCCTTTGGGGAGTAGCGGCTGCAACTTTACTTTTTGTCCACCGCGCGCCTTGCCTCCAACCTGCCTCTACAGGAGCGCGTCAAACCTGGCCCTCAGACTCTTCGCCAAACAATTCAATCCTGGCAACGGAGTTCGCGTCCAGCAGCCATTATCCATATTCTTCGATCCACCTCATCCATTTCAACTGATCGACTTGGCTGCTGCCACATCCCACCATCTGCCTCTAGAAGTACATCACTGCTGCGGCAATGCCCATTTCCTAGATCAACCAAAAGCTACACATAAAGATGGCATCGCCCTTCAACTTTGGCGCGTCAGCGTCCTCAAGTGGTGCCTCCGCTCCGTCGTTGTTTGGAACAAGCAAACCATCAGGTGCTGGCGGCAGTTTGTTTGGGAATACTGGTACTTCTGCCCCTGCGACTGGCAGTACAACTGGGTTCAGCTTTGGTGCGCCGCAACAACCCTCATCAACAGAAAACAAGCCTGCATCTCCTAGCATCTTTGGGAGTACAGACACTGCGAGTGCTGGAGGCTTCAAATTTGGCCAAAGCAAGCCGGACGAGAACAAGAGCGGCGACGCCCCCAAATCTCTCTTCGCTGGTTTTGGTACTCCAGACAAGTCCTCCACGCCCACAACCTCTGCACCCTCATTATTTGGCTCAACAACTCCTGCTACGTCCTCGGCCGGTGGTCTGTTCAGTTTTGGCAACCCTTCGACCACTCCTGCTGGCCCTCCACCATCCACCACTGCATTCGGGGCAAGTACTGGTGGTGCTGGCTTATTCGCGCCCAAACCTGCACAAGAGTCAAGCCAGAGCCCCTCCTTCAGCTTTGGGAAACCTCCTGCCACGGATGCACCATCAAAAGCACCTGCGCAGCCCGCTGGGATATTTGGATCTAAGCCTGCTGGAAGTCCCTTCAGTTTCGGACCGCCATCCAAACCATCAGATAACTCTACCACTTCTGCGGCAAACACTTCAGCCCCACAATCAAAGCCTACTTTATCCTTCGGCGGTGCAGCTTCATCTACTGCCTCATCCTCCACCCCACTTGCCCCAGCTGCATCTCAGCCTACATCTTCAACACCACTGTTCGGTGCGCAGCCGCCTGCACAAAATGGATCAGGACTGTCTTCGAAGCCATCGGCGCCGGAAATCGGTGGAGCCACCAAGCCTTCTCCATTCGCACCTACCCCTACACAGACATCTGGGGCAACGGCGCCTGCAGCGTCAGGTACTGGCCAGAAACCTCTTTTTGGAGGGTTTAATCTAGGTGGAACTGGTTCAAACCCTGCTGCCACTACCACTGCCCCGACCACCACTACCACATCAAGTGCAAGTCCTTTTTCGTTCCCAGCTACTGCAGCACCCTCAAGTTCTCAGCCAGCATCCCAAGCTCCGGCAACAGGTGGCTTCAGCTTTGGTCCCAAGCCGACCGCCTCCACCTCACAGCCAGCAGCATCAACTAGTACGTCTGCACCGCTGTTCTCCCTTGGAGCAAATACAAGCACCTCCACCACACAGCCTGCCACTACTGCTGCAGCAACTGCATCAACGGCGTCATCCGCACCTCCTATAGGCACAGGAGCGATTGGTGCCCAGACATCGACTGCAGGACCTGCTCCACCGGCACAGTCTCGTCTCCGCAACAAAACCATGGACGAAATCCTGACTCGGTGGGCCACGGATATGTCAAGATACTCCAAGGAGTTCAAAGACCACGCGGAGACTATCGCTCGCTGGGACCAGATCATAGTGGACAATTCTTCCAAAATTGACAAGCTGTATGTGCGTACGCGAACTTGCGAGCGGCAGACTATGAGCGTTGATATGCAACTCTCTGCGATCGAGAACCAGCAAGCAGAATTGGAAAGTTGGCTGACCAAGTATGAAAATGATGTCGATGAGATTTTGGCCAAGGAGAGTGGGAACCCCAGTGAACTGGGAGGACCTGACCAAGAACGAGAACGAACATACAAACTAGCGGAGAAACTTGGAGAGCGACTTGAGGAAATGGAACGTGATTTAGCAAGCATGGTGGAAGAGGTGAATGCGGCGAATACAAGCTTGAGCAAGAATGGGAAGGCGGATGAACCAGTAAGTCACCCGACCCATGGATACTTTACACGCACTAACAACCAACAGATCACGCAAATTGTGAAGATCCTCAACTCTCACTTGATCCAACTCCAGGCCATTGATCAGGGTACAGCTGCTCTCCAAGAGAAGGTCGCCGCTGCTCAAAAGTCTGCCAACAGCTTGGGTTACTTGAATGGGTCAACGGATGGCAGTGGGGGCGCTGCTGTTCAAGACTTCTATCGCAGCTACATGGGACGTCGATAAAAAAAAGCAGGAGCTCAGGACTGTCTGAATTTTTACACAACCAAGCCAGTGCAGGATAGAAGCATTGTCATGAGGTCTATTGACCGGGGGGCTCCGGAAAGTGTAAAATAAGAACGAAACTTCTATGTTTGTTGGAAACACGCTCAGAGGAGAGTGGAATTATCATTCAGGTCCAGCAACGCTCTAGACAAATTGGGACTGCCGGGCGGATGAATTAGACGATTTGTGCATCGTAGATGTGGTCCCAGGGGTACGAGAAGTCCATCCACGCCGGTTATTTTGCTTTCCCTCGACCTCGCCCATGCCGCTTGAGTGGCCAGATCACTCCGGTTTAATGATGCTCGCCACCAGATCTCTCATTCTCCATCTCTTTGATGTGTTGGTCCAGCTTGTTGAGGTGCTCACGCTGAGCTTCAAGCTTCTCCTTCAGCTTCTTGATGCTAGCATGGAATGATGGGTTAGCCCAAGTATGTCGGTGGAACGGCCGTTGATAATGGTAGGTGGATAAAGTAACTCAGCATGGTCGTACCTTTCCAACTCCTTATCTCGAATGTATTTTGCTTCGCTCGCTTGCTCACGGCGAGTGAACGCATCACTGGTCATCACCCTGTTAGCATTACGCTGAACGACATAGTCTCAGGGGCATCGTGAGGGATGGCTCTTGACGTACCTTGATGCAACACCACCTGGTCTCGTGGCACCAGTGTCTCCTTCAGCTGCCCGCATGGCGACTGAAGAGAAAGATCTCCGAACCGCGGGGGCGGCTCTGGCGAGCTTGATTGCTTGTGTTCGTAGCATGATAAAGCAGAGGGGCTGGAAAAAGGTCGATTGGTGAAGTGCTGAGATTGTGAGTGTTCGAGTAGTAGTAGGTTGGTTGTCTACCTGCAGGCTGCGGGAGCTCGCTTGAAGTCGTCAGAATAGCCCTATGACGAACGAAGCTGAATGTCACGTGGTTTTCACCAACACAACCCACAGAGGGCACGGATCACTCAGCAGCAGTCAACAGCGACAGTCACGCTTGCCGAAAAGGAGATGGTAATATCAATCATTAAGTACGCGTTTGTTTGTGCTAACAATAAGGCTGAACGCAGGCAATTTGCAATAATGAAGAGGTATATTGTGTTGCTTGCAATGATGCTGAAGAATTTCTCATCGACCTGCGTCCAGGTGTTTGGGTAAGTGAATCGACGAGATACGCAGTCCCACGAGCAGTGGTAACAGAACATTGAATGGCCTCAGTCCACCATGAAACCTGGCAATGGCGAGCGTTAAAGCTGAAACACACGAATGACTGTGGCTGATTCAGGTTTCAGAGTCAAAATTGGATCGTGAATCTCCGTCTCCGTGCCTGTGGGAAGAAGAGGGCAGTGATGGCTCGCCATTCTTGACATTATTGATACTGGGCATGCGTCACTGTGAAGGTCAGATGGCGCCATCCCTGATCGGGACAAGTGTTGCACTTTCCCGTGGTTGTGATTGCCCGTTGAAGTCGTTGCCCACTGTCAATGGGGCGCTGGTTGCTCCTTCCCTTTTCCCTGCCTGAGGCCTCTGGGTTCCCCTGTCCGCTCCTGCCCACTGTCCACTACTGTCCCGTGTCTCCTACTGCCACTGCCTGCGTTCTCTGCACACAACACTTCCACTTCTACTTCCACTCCTCTTCCAATCCCACACAACTGCCAACTCATTCCACCTCTCTTGTTCTTTTCCACCTCCCTTGTCTTCATCTACCGCTTCGTTCGCCCTCTGTTCTTCTTCCTCTCTCGGTTCCCTTTTCAAGGTAAGCTTTCCTGCACTACCCGCTGCATCTCAGCCCACAACAAGGGGTTCCTGGTACCCCACGTCTTCCGCCGCGATCAATCTACCTTCAAATGCGCTCGAGGAAATCATATGGATGGGCGCAAGAACAATGCCTTCCTTTGATTGCATGTGGTCTTGCTGTTATACACACTTGTTCGCCGTTGGCCAACCTCGATATGCCCTTCCTCAACACAAGCTCGATAGTTGACGTCAATCCCACCTTCCAACCCTCGCTTTGCCTCCATTTCCAAAACCGACCCTGTAAATGGCGGAAGGGAAAGGAAGGGCGCGGCTGGCTACCATCTTCTTTGTCGAGCTCTCAACCCATTCGTTGCCGCTCCATCACACCGTCTTTTCCATGCGTTGATGATCTGCGGTTTTTGTCTATTGCAGAAATACATCCGCTAATCGTTCATCATAATAGGTGTCCATTTATCTATCTCATTCTAAGTCATACGTCACAAAATGGGTGTGGAGGAGTCTGTCTACCTGGCAAAGCTTGCCGAGCAAGCTGAGCGATATGAAGGTGGGTCTCATTTCCCCTGCGCCTTGGATCTTTTCTGATACATCTACCATAGAAATGGTTGAGAACATGAAGGTCGTTGCTTCTGCAGACCAGGAACTCTCTGTGGAAGAGCGAAATCTTCTGTCTGTTGCCTACAAGAACGTCATTGGTGCTCGCCGTGCCTCCTGGAGAATTGTCACATCCATCGAGCAGAAGGAAGAATCGAAAGGCAATGAGGCTCAAGTCAAGCTCATCAAGGAGTACCGCCAAACGATCGAGAAGGAACTTGGCAAGATTTGCGAAGACATACTTGAAGTCCTTGACAAGCATTTGATTGCTTCTGCTCAAACCGGCGAATCCAAGGTCTTCTATCACAAGATGTAAGCAGAACCTCACTTTCTCTCGCGCATAATTCCGGAGCTAACACCTCAACAGGAAGGGTGATTATCATCGCTACCTCGCCGAATTCGCGACCGCCGATAAGCGAAAGGAATCTGCCGACAAGTCCTTGGAGGCTTACAAGGCTGCTACCGAGGTTGCCCAAACCGATCTCGCTCCCACTCACCCCATCAGACTTGGTCTCGCCCTGAACTTCTCAGTCTTCTATTACGAGATCCTCAACTCTCCTGACCAAGCTTGCCATCTTGCCAAGCAAGCCTTCGATGATGCTATTGCCGAGCTTGATACTCTCAGCGAGGAAAGCTACAAGGATTCCACACTCATCATGCAACTGTTGAGAGACAACTTGGTAAGTCGCTCTAGTCAGATTTTGGCCTTTGTTTCCCTAACGGAATTGCAGACTCTCTGGACCTCATCTGAGGCGGAGCCACAGGAAGCTGCGGGTCAATCGAGCGAGCAGCCCAAGGCAACTGACGACACTGCTGCGCCAGAGCCTACCGCCGACAAGGCCGAGTAAGCGGGCAGGGTTTTGGTTCTTCTGAGGCGTCATTTGTGATATCCCAGGCTGTGCTAAAAATGGAGATTGCGTGGGTGGTTTTTGAACAGCTGGGGCACATTCAAGTAACCTTCGATCTTTCCTTCCCAAATACTCCCCCTGATATCCATCAATTGAAGATAGGTTTTTGCAGATGATAAGGCAGACATCTGCGGGGCAGCGGTGCAAACCGATTAAACCAATGAGTCAGCTACTCTTTAGACAAAACTTCAGACACAAAGGAGAATAGCAATATCAATCGGATCATAGGTCCACGTTGCCGCCATTCTACGTGTTTTCCAATTTCCCTATCCCTAGTGTACTTTTCCTTCGGGCGTAAGGCATGGACTTTGTTGCAGGAGTATGATGTCGGCTCTGCTTTATGAGTGGCACAGCATACCGTATAGTAGATATGGGAGAGGCAAAATCGACACAGACCGAGCTCAAGCACGTGCCTCTGTCTTCGAACGTTCCATGTAACAGGCCAACCTCTCATTCTCGAACTCCATATGGGAGCTCATTTTGGCTGGGAGAATCAGCACTCTACCCCCACACAGAGATAATTCAATCCCAATATCCAGCACTATGGAGCTGGCAGGAAAGTGGCAGACGGGATAATAGAATTGCTTTGGTATACTACGTCCCTTGCACGCTCGACGGCTTCCTGAAGGTCCTGTAACACGCCTCGTATAGAACTGTACTCACATTGACTATTCCTACCTCTTAGCCGCCGAGGGGTTTCTCGAATGGAAATGGCATGGGATACAGACGGCGCTCGAAGCAATGTAATTGGCAAGATAGTGCGACTTGCTCCAGCTCTCCACCCTCCCTCAGGTGTAGGTCAGTACTGGTCTGTAGGTGGCCAATCTTGTAGCTTGAGAGCTGTGGTCACCGTCACCGCGACGACGAAAAAACGACGGGGTCATTGGTCAGGAGAGGGTTCCTGTATGTCTAAAATATTTACGTGTACGTTTACGCATATACGTGCGGAGTATATGGACCCGCATAACCTTTAACCGGATCTACACATGCAACGGAGCGAATGCGAAACGAGATCGAGACATTCTGATGTACATGAAATATATGAGGTGAAATTTTCAGGGGACGCACCATCGTGGTTGGAGCGAATGATGTTCCACGTTGGGACATGGAAGGGCTTCAAAGAAGATCACGTCAACCGAGCTGTCGGGTTCATATTGACACTTCTGATGATGTTGCCTAGAATTGGGGCTGATTGTCCTATTTTCTGCGAGTCTGCCTGCCTGGTCGGAAGATATGGTTCTGTACATGTTGATTGGATTGTCCCATCTGTGTCTCTCAAGACTTTCCCTCAGTGAAAACGCGTTCGTGAGTGGCTGAAGACGCCATGTTTGTTGTGCCATTCACTCTCTGCGCCATGCAATAATGATACCCGAGCCAACGCTATGACTGATTCCCTCCAACTTTGAATGGTACCTAGCGCAGGCATGCCTGCTCTGCCCGCTTAACCTCGCGAAGTGTACTTCCCATCTGGATACTTCCTCAAAAACCCCTCGCTCCGCTTGCCGCTGCGGGTCATGTACCAAGCCGTCTGCAGTAAATCATCCTCAGTCTCCTGGCCATTGGTCACGTGCTCGAGTTGCTTCTTCAGCTTCAAGTAAGTGAATGTGGTTGGGATGGGGTTGGGCCAGCCGTCTTCATTGAATGTCCAGCGTTTCCTTTCACATGGGCCTTCGAGATCGAGCACCGCGTAGCCGAAGTCTGAGGAACGGTAGCCATTGGGTGCGGTCGAGTCGGGGATTAGTTCGTCGTCGAGAGCATTGCGATACTCGCCGGTGCAGCACTTTATGTACATTCCTTTCGCGGTGTTGCTTGCGGCGAGGCAATTCTCGAGACGCGTGTGCTCGGCCTTGAGGGCCAGTCGGGCGGTGGGATTGTCTGAGTCGAGAATATCTTTGATATTTGCAAGATGAGTTCTGGCGATGTCGTCTAGGTGGGAAATGGCTGTGAGCGAGATGATGACGATGTCTGGATTCTCAGACCGTGAACAGCCATCGGCGTGGGCAAAGATGATCACTGGCTCCGCGGTCTCGAGCTTGACGTCCCTGGTGACACGGGTGTAGTCGCCATGCAGGAGAGTTGGGATCCATTCGGGGGGTGTTGTTATAGCGCAGATCTCAGGTGGGTAGACGAGATGGATGTCCTGGCGAATTTGATCGAGAAGATCCTGATCAAAGCGGCGGTCGTTGTGTCTGCGGATTGTTACCTGTCAGTTTGAGGTTCGAACTTGGAAGCATAGTCGTAGACTGTAAGCTGCAGCTGTACTCTAGCTTTGGCAATGGTAAGGATAGGGGTGGTCAACGTGGCAGAGGAGTCAAATGGATAGTGGGGAAAAGCTCACGCATCAACATGCTTCTCGCAGAGTTCGAAGGTCACGATGAGTTCACCATGACAAGTTCTCAGCTCATAAGCTCTGGCGCAGTTGGGACAGACATGATAGATGCAATTCTGGTAGTTGAATTCTACAGGCCGAGCCTGTTCGGGATCAAGCAAGTACGTTGCAGATGTTGGAGACATGGTGGTGAGTCTTGTTGTCGATGAGGTGAGGGCGAGGAAAGCAAGGACGAAGAAGCACAGCTTTATAGAATTAGTAACCGACCCTGAGCAGTTACAATGGTCGATAGCGAGGGCACTCACCACTTGTGTATGTATCACGACCTCAACCGCCCCTGGCGATGAGGCGTTCACCAGCCCAGAGCCGCTTTCTGTCCTCTGATGAGGACCAGATGGCCTCCATTCTCTGCCACAAGGGCTTCAGGTCGATCGACTGTGGGATCGACTCCACTTTGAGAATGACGTGCTCTTTGGTGCTGGGCATCTCTTGTCTAAGTGAATTTTGATATGCTCCATGGCACCTCCTAAAGTAAATAGAGGTCCAGAGGTTCTCCTCGCCGACGATGAAGTAGTCGGTCGGGTCGATGCAGTTGCCTGTGTGGAAGACACTTGTCTTAGAGACTTTTGGCTGTAGGTTGACTGGAGTGCGTTGAAGTTGTCTCGCTGGCGTCAAGGACTGGTCGAGACTGTTGGAAAAGGGTCAAATTTGCACACAACCTTGCTCGCTTGGTTTCACATACAAGATGCGGTGCCAATGGCACGTGTCTCCTGGAAAGATCTTCATGCTTCCGTCACAGAATCCCTTCAGTTTTGGCTCCTCACACCCATAGCATATCAGTTTGCCGTCGTACTTGCGGACATCGGGATTCCCTTGTCTCGGTGGCTCTGCTGGAGGTTGTCCGGCGGGATTCTGGGGGAGATCCATGGCACTCGGGAGGTCAGGGATGTGTTTGGGTTGGCAATGATGGGTCTTCCTGGTCAAGAGGGTGTTGATGAATCGATACAGGTATCAGTGAACAGTTCTGCCTCGATGGTCTATTGCATTGTGAGGTAGGTGAAGATTGAATGGTACAACAACAACCAAGCAGCATGAAGATTGGTCGGGAAAACAATAGGCCGTTTAGTTCCCCTTAACAGCCAGCCTCGAGGTGTTCTGTGGCTGACTGGTTGGCTTGACCATCGTTTCAGCGCTTCTCAGATAGTGGCATACAAGAACAAACAACAATAGCACCAGACACACAATGTCGATGACATGGACAGCCCACCATAGTTTGACATTTAATCCGCACATCTGGATATCATATTTCCATTCTCCAATTTCGAAGTCGAACCAGGCACTGAGCAGGCCTGCATTTCCACCATAGTCTCCCATCATGCTTCGAAGTGTGATTTCACGCACACCAGTATGTGATTGGCTCAAGTTGGCATGGGTGTAACGAGTAGCTTTCCATGTGGTCGTGGGCTGCTCATTTCGATCAGTCATACTAGTGTAGGTCGACTCTTCTGGGATAAAATGCCAGGTATCACAGCCTTCGTGGTCATGTCCATTCAGTATAAGACCGTTTCTTCCTCTGCCACGTGCAGGAGCATCCATATTACCTGTCATGCCAAAAAGAGCCTCTAAAGTCCCTTGTCGACTTACATGTTCGCTGAGGTGGTTCTGCTCTTTCACACCACGAGGCTTGTAAACACCACCCCCGTCATCGTCGCCCCAGTAGTCAAAGTGTGGAGCATCAACACAGACCCCTTCACTTTTATATAACGGAAGATGCGTCAGTAGTAGAGTGAATGAGAGCCGGTCTTCCACTGGGCGGAGTCGTTTGGAGATGAGCGAATTGATATAATCGTAACCCTTACTTTGGATATCCGTTGACAGTGCTGGGCCATCCAAGACTAAACTGTTCAGGACAATCAGGTGAAGTGATGGCCAAAATTGCGAAGCATCTCCTGAATCATCTTTGGGCTGAGGATATTGAAATCTGACATCCCAATCAGCTTTTCCAAAGACTCTTTCAAACCGCTCCATCCTCCTCTCTGAGACTTCTCCAGCATAACCAATGTCGTGGTTTCCAGCAATATTGATGATTCTTGTTGTCCAAGCAGCATCTGTCATGTCAAAGACATTTTCCCCATCTTGTTCCGCCATGCTTGTGATCTCGTCTTGAACCCGGTAGCCGTTTTTGAAGACTCGATTCCAGTACCTCCATCCCCGCCACTCGAATTCTTCATCAGTGACCCACTGACTTCCAATCAGATCTCCGAGAACAGTGACATGAGTGGGCTGAGACCACCAATGGAGAGTTCGATAGATGTGTCCCAGGTAGTAGTCGTTGCCAAACAAGTCCAGGCGTTTCCGTGCTTCTTGAAGCGCATCTGGGATGTCCTGAAGGAGAACTTGCCGGCTTACCTCTGAGATCAGAGGGTATATAGATGTGCCATCTCTTGCCCGAAGCTGGCCCCATTGGCGACTCAATTTCGCAAGGAAAGCATTCTCCGGCGGTGGAAGAGAGCTGTCACCCTCGAGCTGAGGATCAGCTAAGACAAGCAGTCGGAAAGGAGCGCGTGAGGATTCAACTGCCGTCTTTGATGTCTGAGCAAAGGGCCAGTGTTGACTGAAAGTCTGCGACAAAGCACGCAATGAGGACACATCCTTCGAAGGGAAGGTACAGGTGTGAAAAGCAACATAAAGATACAGATATGTGCTCAGGCAAAGGGCTAAGGGAACGAAAAAGCGCAGCAACCTGCCTGCAAAGGGGATTATGGACATTGAGCCATCAGAAAACATCCAAGGAGAACAAGAAGGACAGCAAGAAGGACAAGAATCGTTCACCAAAGAAGTTTGGAGGTCAGGCAAATGTGGAGAAGATGCGCGTTAGAACAGGGGAAACGCAGTGGATCCTGAGCGGGTGGGCGCCTCGAGGTTGTAACCTGGACCCCGGTGTGTGGCGGATTTGTTCCTCGGCACGGCTACTCATGAGTCGCAATGCAGGACGAATGGGGAGCATCTGATGAAAGGTAGACAGGCTTTATCAATCAGCAAAGTTTGGAGATTGACTGGGGAGATAAGGACGTATGTTTAAGTGAGGACTTTCGACGTGAACTATCCCTAGGTAGAAATGCGATGAAAGGCGCTAATCAGCCACGTATTTCCAGTATTACACCATACGTTCACTCTGATCCAAGGCATATGAGGCGAGAAAAGGTCTGCTGTCGCGTTGGCTATGCATTTGAGCAAAATCCATAGGATATCCAAGAACGGTCGGTCATCATTAGATTATGTCCTGGTAAAGAAAAATGTATCTATACATAACGGAAATGGGATCATCCACCATCTTGACCATTATTATGTCGCTACCTTTGGCTGTGCATCCTCAGCGGTGAGCTTCGATCCACTGAGCCGACTCGTTTCCAACTCCAGGTCGAGCTTCGAGTCTTCAAAGTCTAGTCCTTGTATATTCAAGCCACTTTCTTGTGGATCTCTTTCCTCGGAAGAGCTGGGTGTCTCTGCCATTTCTGAAATGTTTTCCGTTCCCTTTAAGGCTGGCGGCCGCTCCTTTCTCGCGCGTGCCTTGGCCAGGGTGATTGTGGTTTGCCGATTCGTTGTTTCAAAACTGGAGAGATCGTGCTCGATTGTCGCTTTCATTATCTCGCCCATCCACTTCCTGCCTTCGTTGATATTATCTACCTGGAAATAGTACACGGTTGGCTTTGTGAATTGAACAGCTCTTGAGGCTCCGGCTTTGGGCGGTACAAGTTTGAAGTAGAATGGAGCACTTCCACTGGGAGTGCGTGGCGTGTTAGGCAAGATCTTTTCCGGAGAGCTCCCCCCTCCAACCGAGGGAGAAAGAGCAGCCCCAGTCAAAGTTGCATGGATTGTGATGATAGGGTCGGAATTGGCCACAAGAACTTTGTGCCCCGAGATATCAATTATACCCTGTTCTTCCGTGTCAGTCTCGGAATAATAATAGGACAAACGCCGGCCACGAAGTATAAACAAGCGAGGTTTCCAGCTTGCCATCAGTCCGGCTGACTTCTTCTTCATCCAGCCATGGTGGTCACAATGCTGGCGCGCTTCTGCTGGCGACAAGTGCAACAGGCCACGTTTGTAGGCACTTGTTTGCTGTTTTGTTTTAGGCTTCGTCCTGACAGCCATTTTGGTGTGGAGAAGAGGCCCGGTTGCTGCTAATTGTTCACCTGTGCTTTTAGACAAAGTGTCTGTACTGTCAACTTCGAAACTTTTCGACGCGATCGAGGGCGTCTGTGAACCAGCCGTGGATGCAGTAGGTGATTCTCTTAGCGGCTCCGAGGTAATGTTCAATCCGACTGCAGCTTCCTTCTCATTTCCTGTCACAGCTTCAGAGGCAGCCCTCAAACCTAAAAGTTTTCTAGCTTTTTGCGAAGCCGTCCACGGCACGGTGGTTGATATTGCTGGGGATGGAACACTGCTGTTGACTCTGGGAGATGACAGAGACGACAGGTTATCATCTTCTAAATTGGTAACAGTAGGTGATGGAGCGATAGGGGACTTTGCCAGATTGAGACTTCGGGCACTAGCCGAGCGGAACCGACCTTTGTAAGTCCTACTGTGGTATGCTTTGGCGGCTGGAGACAGAGCAGTACTGTTACGGTCTCTGATTGAGTCGACACTGCTCAGGCGAGAATGTCGCTTTGTCGCGACCGACTTGCTCGGTTCATCAAGCAGACTTGTTTGCCGAGAGTGAGATGGACTGCCAACAGAATCTCGCTTTCTAAGGAGGTTTCGAACTTTTCGGTTATCAACCTCATTACCACTGAAATATCCACGATCGAGGTCAACATCAGCGCGGTCGCCATCGCATGGAAGATCGGTGGCGAGGTCCAAGCTTTCTCGTTTGGTACCAGTGTTTAGTCTAAGCGATGGTGTACTGGTCCCAGTATTTGCAGTCGTGGCATTGCTCATGGACCAATCACGATCAAAGGAAGTATTTTTCCTATGCGAGGACAAAGTGGTGGATGTAGTTGAGTGTGGATCATGATGGGCGGTTTTGACGACTTCAATGGAGGAATGACGTCGAGAGTGGGATAGTTCCCGGATTGAAGCAGCCGAGGGCCTGATTGGACTTTCTGCAGCCATGGATGCTCGCCATGGGGATGGAGGAGTCTCAGCACCCAGATTTGTGCGTGCGAAAGAGCTTGGAGACATGGGAGGGTCTCCAGATAGATGTGCATAGGATGCTGGTGGGCGAATTGACAGGCCAGGCTCCTCCATCAAGCTAGGAATTCTGGGGAGAATGGTATTGCCGGACAAGGCTCTAGAATGCATGCGAGTGACATCTTCAGTGGAAGTGTTGTGCTTGAGGCTGCCTTTCCTTGAGTCCTGAGAGCTACGAACCTCAGCCTGGAATTCACGGATTTTGTGCCATGTCTTCAGTCGTCTACCCATAAGGCCAAAATCATACTCTTTCATGTTGAGGAAGGATTGGTCCATCTCCAATAAGACGTCGCCAGTGATTTCCTGTTCTTGGAAGATATCACAGTGTTTGGAATCGACCCCAAGAGATCTCAAATGGTCAGCTGTCTCTTTGGGATCCCACTTTTTGACCTGGGCCTCAGTCAACGGAGGATTCTCCTCGCTGTCTGTCTCCGGGCCTGTAACAAAGGAGTAGGATGTCGGGTCGAGGTGGCTGCTATAGTCACTTTCAGAATCCTCCGTGATAGGACGAGGAGGGGCAAGGCTCTGGCGTGGAGTACTTAGGTCGGTGATGTGCTCGTCTATGACGCTGAGTGTTTCGTTCATGACAGGGGAGTCTTCCCCGCCGGAGGACCCAGAAAGAGCTTGTCCAATACTTCTAGAGACTCCGGGAAAATAAGCGGTAGGCGCGGGGGGGATAGAAGACCTGGTCGCGGTGGTTGGATTTGCCATTTGACTGTAAACAGGTGGAGAAGATTCAGTGACAATCGGAGAAGGAGCAGATGTCTCGATCTTCGGGGGGTCATTTTGTTTGACAGCGGTTGTGCTCCGAGAGAGAAACGGAGTGAATTGGGCGGGGAGTTTCGCAGTATAGACTTGCACATACGTTAGCCTGAGTGAAAATTGTGTGGTGATATGGTGAAACCGTACCTCCGGGAAACAACCCGGTTATGCCCAGACCCAAGTGTCGTCCCAAGTACCAGCCATCACCAAAGCCATTGTCCAGCTCAACCAACTCAATATGATCAGTCTTGCGAAGGGTCAATTCATCCGGGCTTCTGGCGTCGAAGTCATCTAAAATATTCTTAGCATGGAAGACGAGTGAAGGGCTGAGGGGCGCATGTGCGTACGAATGACAACAAGAACGTCGCCAGGCGACAGCGGAGCGCCCTGACGGTGAGGAAGTTGAAGGGTCATGTTGTGGAGTTGTCAAGATGGAAGATCGGTTAAAGCAGAGAAAGAGAGAGCGACACCATGTAGAATGTCAGATGTCTGCATGTTAAGAGGAAGATGAGAGAGATCGAGCGGAGGGGAAGGTGGGTAGCACAGTGAGGTAAGGATATGGCGAGGGTGAGGACGAAGGCGACGTCGAGCCTGTGGTGGTTGAGGTCGAGGTTGCGCGAACCGTTCTGGGGCCTGCAGGCGTCATTTAGAGCATGAGGGCGGGACAGGACAGGGCTGTGGCACGCGTGAGCAGGTACAGGCTGAACAGATTATGGACAGAAACCTGACAGGAGACACCAGCCATCAAGTAGGATTGACAAGAAGAAGAATAATGAACATATTGCTAGACCAACATGGATCTACCAACAGTTGAGGGATGCTGGTAAAGACGTTGAAGCGGCTTGAACCCAAAAAGCCCGTGCTGCACCACGCTCGATCCAGTTTAGTGGTATTTTTGACTTGGCACTGGCGCTAGCGAGGCTATTAGTGGCTAATAATCAAGCACGGCCAATAAGGCAGTGACGCACGTGATGTCTCTCTAGTGCACTTTCGCTTTCTCCACATCTCCAATCCATGTGCGTGCGAGCCTTGTTAGCACGAGGCTGACTCTTGTAATGGTCAACCAACTTTGTCACGCAGTTGACATTGCCTTTGACAACTGCCCACACTCTCGACGACGACATGGGACATGATATATACTTCCACAAGGACACAATGCAATTGAATTGTATGTTTGCGAAACCCTGCTCCGCGCCATTCTTCTCATGCAAACATAAGATGTTCATGTGCCCACCACCACATAACTTCTATTGATACTAACTCACCATGCCGCCGCCGACTACCAACTCCTTGAACGCAGACCTCACCATCTCGACTACGACTTCAAACCTATTCCTTGGCACTCCCCAGCGGTCATGGATGCCGTCGTCCGATGCTCAATTACAGCTTCGCCTACAAGTGCCCCATCCACCATCGAACAAACAAAACATCCAGAAAGATCGATTGGGGCTACTGCTATAGTCACACTGCCGTCAACCCCGCCCGCTAAGGCTATCGATATGTCATACTCCACAATGCCGGTACAAAAGCCTCTAGTCCAGGCACCACTTCAGCATGCATCTATCGTGGAACCTCCACTAGATCCTCAGCCTGCAGCTAGCCCAACGATTTTGCCGATTCTCTCTCAGCCGCCCGATGCCCAAGTCATACACGAGAATTCCATTCACGCTTCTACCATCGAGCAATTTACCCCGGTTTCAACTGTACCACAGACTTCATCGCATCTCCCAACCATAGACTTCCGTTCAGTCTCTCATGGTGAGCTGTGCAGGAAACGCTTAAGCGCTATTCATGATGCTGAAGTTCGACGAAAAAGGCGTCGAACCGCCGATTCAACGCTCTCAAATAGAGTCCCGGTGCAGCTGCCAACCCCTCACAACTCCCCAGTCCCAAAGACTGTAAACCCTCTACTTGGGCTTTTTGATTCTGACTTGAAAGCCCTCCAACTGATGGGGATCAGAACAGCCGACTTACCTGTCTATGACAACCAGAGGCTCGCTATGCTCCGCGAGGCCTGTATAGCCCATGACGTTTTCTACATCATGACCCATGCTATATTCTGTGCTTGGAGCTCGAACAGGCCGGAGGTGCTGAGGAACATGGCGTTGGACGATAGCCAAATAGGCGGTCTCGCTATGCTAGAACCCATCCTCGGACCTCAACGTCATCTTACCAAAGAAGTCGCGAACCTATTTCTCCGATTTCCAGATATCTCCTCCATATTGACCACGGCACAATCGTCCATCCAGCTCCAGAAAGTCAGGTCCTTTTTGACCATTTTTGCCACCCGATTCACTCAAGTGCGAGCCACTGCTTCGACGCGATGCTATCCACCTTGTCCTCAAGAGCTCGAAAATTGGCTTCATCTGCCATCACCAATTCTACAAAAAGGACTTTATATGTCAATCATTCGGAACCAGTTCCCAGACCAAAATTACTTGAGATACGCCGTGGACCTGTTTGAACAGGAATTGATCTCCCCTACTTCATACAGATCGGAACAACATATGTCTGAGATCTGGAGTTCCCGTTTTTCTCAACGATACGGATCTCACACCCAAGCAACAGCTGTTCAGCCTCAGCTGCATCCACATGCTTTCAGGCGACAATTTCAGATGGCATCGCCATACATTCGTCCTGTGGGTCCTTCTCAACGCAGTATGCCCTCAGCACAGAACCCTCATCTAGCTGCTTCGCATCCAACTAGGAACGGGGTTTATCTTCCGTTTATGAACCAGCCTCCGACCCTGAATTATTGGGTGGTTCCATCCTCAGTTCCTAGTAATCATCCTATTCAATCGTCTTTCTTTACAGCCGCTCTCCCTTCTCATGTGATTCCTGAACAGTCAGTTCCGGCGTTCAATGTACAATCCACTGTATACACAAATTCTGTACACGGTAACCCGCCGGGGCACGTTCGACAGCCACCCGTCTCCCAGCCTTTGTCCAACCCCAGCCAGCAGCTGGCTCCGGCCCATCCTCAACCACAAATTCAGCCTGGACCTGAAACAGACCGATTTTTTCCTACTGATCACAGGCATGTATTGCCAACCCTCGCTCAGCCAGCTCCAAGTCGGACCGCAATTCATCAGGTTGAGACGCATATTCCTGATTTCCTCCTAGAATCTGATTCTGTCAACAGGAAACCGCTGCGGTATTATCGTTACATCGAGCAGATCATCATCTTGCCTCGGTTCTTTGATATCAACTCCGGGTTGTTCACGTGGAACCTTGAACTTGCTCCTGCGCTAATAGCAAACAAAGTCCGCAAGATTGCTACCGATACGGTATTTGGGCTCACAGAGCTACAGGTTTCGGATGGGTCGACTCAGTTCCGATTGAAGTGTATAAAACGAAAAATATCGGAACGATCTGCGAGGTGGTCCGATGAAGAGGCTGTATCTGCTCCTACAACGTGGCCTATGTGTTTGTCGATTTCCGTCAATGGAGATTTTGGAGTTGACTTTCGACGTAAGGCTCATCATGGACTTGACCTCAGTACAGATGTCACGGATCTTTTACATGATGGGCCAAATGAGATTAAGGTTTGCGTTACCTTCACCCCTCAAGAGGAGAGTGTTGTGTATGGTATGTGTCTTGAGATAATTCGCATTACGAGCCATCAGACGGTAGCGTCAATGCCGCAGACCATCCCGTCACAGCAGATCAAGACTTCGATTATGAGTGCCTTGTCACGAAAAGACAGTCAGGAGGACGACGATGATCTACTCATTGCGGACCAGCTTATGAGTATTGACCTAGTAGATCCGTTCATGTCGACCCTGTGGGTGACACCCGTCCGCGGGAGGTCATGTCAACACCGAGAATGTTTCGATCTGGAAGCATTCCTCTCAAGCCGCACAGGCCGTGTGAAAGGTTGCTCAATGACAAATCCTGACCAATGGAAATGCCCCATATGTAGGAAAGATGCACGACCTCAAAATCTCATCATCGATGGATTCCTCCTCGATGTACGAGAACAGCTGGAGGCCCAAGGGCTGCTAGACACAAAGGCAATCTTGATTAAGGAGGACGGAATTTGGCAGGCCAAATCTGACGCGCCACCTCTCACCCGTTCAAACCGCAGCGGTAATGCAACCACAGGGAAGCAAGACACAGAGGCAATTCCGAGCCCAGCAAAGTTGGACAGTGTGTCCTCGATCCCTCAGCAGAACATCGTCATTGTGCTCGATGATGCCTAAGCCTGAATTGCTTTGTCCTCAGGCATGGACTATTTCCAAACCCCTGAGAAGAATTACATTAACTTTACGAATAACGACATTTCGCAGTCGTCCCTGTCTTTGATTGATTTTCTTTTTTAAAGCGATGTTGATACCCACTGCTAGCTTATTGCGGAAGGAGCCGGATTCTGCTTCATTTCAAAATGAGCGTCTAAGCGGCACACCAGCAAAATTTCAAGTGTGATTCGGCAAAGCCGAGGAAGACAGTTGTAAGCATTCGTATACTTTTTGCTGTTTATACGTCAGGACGACCACGAGATGGTCACATTGCAAGACCTTGGGGAACCTGAACAGAGCTGAGCAGGCAAGGTAGACTAGGTACATACCTAGTACATACGTGGGTACCGTGAGTAGGAAGGGAGCTTGAATTGCTACATACCTTGTTAGCTCTGCCCACAATCGCTAGTTATAACATCGCACATTACTCGCCGAGGCCATTAGTAGGCATCTGGAGTCCCTCAAAGCCCAATTGATGCCATTGACTCAGTATTCCTCTCAATTCCAGCGGATGTCACCACAGCTCTAAGACGAACGTTATCCCGCCGGGGTCGAGCAAACTTGCCAGTTTGCCTGGCGACACCGAATGTCTGGGAGAGGGTCTAAACAGAAGAGTTCACAGCAACCATCATCGCCCCAACAAGGCTAGGGGCAACGCGCCTATTCCGCATCCTAATCGGCTAATACGCGATTGACGCGAGCTAGGTCGTATACTCCGTAGTACTCCGTACTGCGTCCTCGTTAGCGTAGCGAGCAGTGGATAAGCCAGTCGACCCAGTCACAGACTCTTATCCTCTTTAAGATCATCATACCTCGTACTCCGTCCATCCTCTCAGCTTACAGTACTTTCCACCTTCTTACCTCGAAGTGCGCTGCTTCAACACATAGAGAAACAGCACCGCCATTGTTGTTGCCACTACACTGGCTTCAACGTCAACTGTCACACCGCGCAAGGGGACAACAACCACCCCTCCTTCGACTTGCCGCTCTCCAACTCATTCTCTTCGAGACCCTCCAGCTACCATTCATTCCACACCCGACCCTCACCCAGTCGCCTTGATCAAAATAGCTTAGGACTAGGGAATCTCGGTAAGCGGGCATCGGCGATTGAACAAAGTCAACGTGATCCGATTGTTCTGCATGCGAGAAGAGGCGCATCCGGCCTTCCATACCGCCATCTCAATTCCTTCGCCCCCAGGGAGTGTGGACTTTTGGCGATAGCCGAAGACATGCTAAGTATCGGATCGAGCTTACGGTGACCGGCACGGCACATAGATGCGCTGCCCAGCTTCATCGCAGTCCTAGGATATCATACGCCAGGCCATGGTCTCGAATAGCCAAATCATGGACAATCAACGTCAACAGTATATTCCAGGCCCGCCGCCCCCTCCAAATCAGAATCCACTGGGTCATCTACCCCCTCCGCCGCCGCGACCCTATCCACAAACCAATCTACCTCCTCCTCCCCCAGGCCCGCACCCCAATCATGCCTTGCCTTTAGGAACTGTGTTTGGTCTGCCTGGAACAGGATGGCAGCAGCCCTGGGGACGATCGGGCATGGCCCAGAGTATACCACCTCCTCCGCCAATGACACCAATGAGCCATCACCCAGGCCAGAATCAGCACCTAGCATACGGTATGCGACAACCTTCCCACCTTAATATCCCCCCTCCACCTCCTCAAAACGACAAACCTATCCTCTCTGCCACTTTTATTCCTACCGGCGACTCGTTCGGTCCCGGTGTTGGAATTCCCCCGCTCGACGACTACTCAACTTATTCCCGATACGATGCGCATTTGACTTCCGAGCCCTCCGTTTCCCAAATGGAAACAAAATACAGCGACGGTACTGCGTCGCATAGCTATTCATATCCCAATCCTGCCCAGCCGAATCCTGAGATTTCCAATAGAGAATCCAGAGCCGCTTCGACCTCTTCGCACAGACCCTCTTTTAATTTGCCCTTGCGAGACGTCAAGGAACCAATATCGCCAGGACCTCCGACGGCAACCCTTCAAAACCCACACCCCAGTGGCGATCACGGCAGACAAAGAGCGCACAGTGCCGCAGTGACGGTCAGTAACTCGACTGAGCTGGCTTCTCAATGGCCACGAGATCGTGTCCTTATTTGGCTTGCTGCAAATGGCTTCTCCAACGATTGGCAAGAGACTTTCAAGGTGCTCAATTTGCAAGGCTCAGAGTTCTTAGATCTAGGGCGTGGCCCAAATGGTCGAGGTAACCTCAGCATGATGCATCAGACCATCTATCCCCAACTCGCAAAGGTTTGCTCCGGCAGTAAGACAGGATGGGATCAAGCAAGAGAACGCGAGGAGGGAAAGAGACTGCGAAAACTGGTATCTCGATTGGTCGAACACGGGGGTGAAGGCCCTTCTAGTGCTGGCCTGGGACATCGTCGCCGCGAATCTGGTATTCCAAGTGCTTCTACCGATGGGAATCTCGAAAATTCACCCCATTTACCGCGAGCTGAGTTCGGTAGCAATCCGGGTACAGCGGGTCCAGAAGGCAGCCCCGGAAAACAAATGCCACCACAGTTCCCTCCAGGCATTGGCCCTCGCAATTCTCAGGGCCGAAGCAGTACGATGCCAGTCTTTAGTAAACACAGCAGTACCTCTAGCACACCAAGCGAAAGTAAACCACCAGACAACATCCACGGCGGCAACCGTGCAGACTTCACTCGGGGTGTATTGACTGGAATGAACAATCGCGGCCGTCACAGTCCTAATCTCTCTGGCGATATGGCTACTGGTTTACTACCAAAAGGGATCGAGGCGTCGCCAAACGCGAGTCCAGGCCTCGGAAATGCTGTTCCTGCCTCGGTATCTAGCTTCGCTCAAACTTACCGCCCTGAACACTCGAAGAGCAATAGCACTGATTCCATGAACAAAGCTGTCGGCCACCCTCGATCCAATCCCAATACCCAGGTGCTACAGGACGCGCCAAGGAATATCCTACCGTCCGATGCGTTGCCAACCGGTCGATTTTATGCTGATAGACGTGATGCCCAAGAGATGATCAGACCATCTCCTCTTGATGCCCATCGCACATGGAGCAGTGAACATGGTCCAGGCCCTGGTGGCAAAGATCAGAGCAAGGGCTTCCTTAGTAAATTTATTAGGAAGAAGCACGAGAATGCACCACCTCACAGTGATGATCATGGCCTCGAATCGCCCACTAGCCCAGGATTGCGGCAAATGTTCTCTCGACCTGGAGCTAACGGCAGCGATTCTGCACTCATGCCGCGGCCGTCATCGGCGACGGCACTTCCAGAGGACGAAAAAGCCCTGTATCCCACACGGCGAGCACCAGCGGTTTCCAGAAGGTATGTTTTTGTCACACCTGACCATTGGAACTTCCGCCTTGTCGACGTCACCGACGTCGAAAGTGCTATCGCTTTGCGCAGCCTCATCTGTATTGAGCTGGGGATTGCCGATGCTGAATATGCCCAGATATATGTCACGGAGCCTGGTCAAACTGAACATGAGAACGCCTTGTCGGACAGCCTTCTTGTTGCGGTCCGAGGCCGCACAGATAATTCAGGTAGCTTAAAGCTTTATGTTCAGAGCTCGTCATTGTCTGCTGGGCCCGGAGCTGCAGGTCAATCTACTGGACTCGGAGTATCATTCGCGCAAAGAGGCCAAGGATCCACTAGCATGGTCAAATCCAACTCGTCCGGTGGGGCCAACCTAGATCAAAATCCAATGGATCCGGAGCTACAGAAACGTGCCGATGAATACCACAGACAAAATGAAGCAAAATCAAAAGCTTATTGGGAGTCTCGAAGGGCACAAAAGGAACAAGGTAATGGCACATACAACGGCACTGCTATTAGAGGTAATACAGTCATCGATTTCGATAGTCCGAGGATGTCTCCGTTTGAGGATAAGAAGGTTGACAGTCTCGTTCCTGTAAGACGCCCTCCAACCGCACCAGCCGAGTCGACTACCTTGACCAAAGTCAATTCTCTCCGAGCAAGGGGATCCGGTACGAGATCGTCATTAGACGCGCTTAAGCGCATCTCTGATCCCATTGCCGAGGAGGATGTAACCCGTGGAAAGAAGAAGTCCGCGAACGCCACTCCCTATGCAGCGGGAGGCATTGGCGCTGCTCTAGCCAATGTTGGGAAAATGGCCGGTGCGCCCGGTGCTGTTGGCAGCCAAAGCAGACAACAGCATGACAGAAGTCACGGAATGCGAACAGATGATTATGACTCAAGAGGCAATAATACCGGATTTAGTCTTCCCTCGTACGAGAATCGTTCTCGCAATCCCGCAGGAAACACTGTACTGTTCGATACTTCACCACATATCAGTCCGACGAGCGATACGTTGCCTCGTCCAGGCCTCGTGTCGAGAAAGTCATTTGGACCAAATTTTGACGTTGAGGACAACAATGTCACATTCGCTCGTTCACCACATCCGCCAAAAGATGATGACTCAGATGATGACTCCGACGATGGACTCTTCGCCATTCCCATATCCAATAAGTCACTTTCAAAGACTGAGTCTCAGAATATTAGCAGTAAAGACCAACGACCGGCTTTGACGGTGGATACGGATCAAAATGCAGGCAAGAGCGTTCGTTTCAAGTCACCAGGATCTTCTAGCGGTGTCTCCTTGGGCCAGAATAATGGCGAAGAGAGCGCAACTGCCAGTGGTGATGGATACGATCGTAGTATGTCTGATGGAAGTTTCAGCGGTTCGGCCCAGTCACCGGATGATCGTATGAATCGACGAGACTCTTTCATTAGTGATATCTGGGCAAATCGACCTGCAGTGGAGAATGTCGTGCATCATCTTGACGAATTTTTCCCTGGCGTTGATCTCGACAAGCCATACCTGGAAGAGAAGGGTGAGAACAATGGTTCCCCCATGAAATCCTCTGACCATGACCCTCTCGACAGCCTTCAACAGAGGGCTAGGCAGGTAACATTTGGAACGGCTGGTCTGGATCTAGAATTCAAGAGGAAGAACGACTCTGATACCCTTGGTTCTGATGAATCGACCTTGAAAGCAAACAACCGTGATAAGATTGCAAGCGTAGCTCAAAGACAAGTGAGCAGAGCGTCTGGTGGCATCACTCGTATGAAGTCCATTCGCGAGGTTGCACAGAAACGAAATGATGTGAGGAGAGCTCCATCAATTGCGCAAAGAGCCGAGCAAGCCAACTCGAGCAATATTCCACAACGCCGTAAGAGCACGAAAATGTTTGGCGCCAATATCGTTCAGATCAAGCCAAAATCCGGGAATAGGCTGTCCACTCTTGATCCAATTCCTCAGGAAGACGTTCCATCCGATGAGACACACAAGAGGCAAGCCACTTTCAAAATTATCCGAGGTCAACTCATCGGCAAGGGCACGTATGGCCGCGTCTATCTCGGGATGAACGCGACTACCGGTGAGTTCTTGGCCGTCAAACAGGTTGAGGTCAATCAGAAGGTTGCAGCTCATGATAAAGATCGAATCAAAGAAATGGTTGCGGCTCTGGATATTGAGATCGACACTATGAAAGATCTAGAGCACCCAAATATCGTGCAATATCTTGGTTGCGAACGAAAAGAGTTCTCCATCAGCATCTACCTTGAATACATTCCTGGCGGTTCGATCGGCAGTTGTCTGCGCAAGCATGGGAAATTTGAAGAATCAGTAGTTCGTTCGTTGGCACGGCAGACGTTAGAGGGATTGGCCTATCTACATCAGGAAGGCATCCTCCACCGTGATTTGAAGGCTGATAACATTTTGCTCGATCTTGATGGTAGTTGCAAGATCTCCGATTTTGGCATATCAAAGAAGTCAGACAATATCTATGGCAATGACGTGACCAATAGCATGCAAGGATCTGTCTTCTGGATGGCGCCAGAAGTCGTGCGATCACAAGGCCAAGGTTACAGTGCCAAAGTTGATATCTGGTCACTTGGTTGCGTGGTCTTAGAAATGTTTGCTGGGAAACGACCGTGGAGTCGCGAAGAGGCAATTGGAGCCATCTTCAAGTTGGGCAGCCTAGGCCAGGCTCCCCCAATTCCTGAAGATGTTCAATCGACGGCAACTATGGACGGGCTTAACTTTATGTACGATTGTTTTCAAGTGTGAGTTATCATGAGCGACATCCTTGAAATTTTCAAGTACTAACGCATGCCACAGCAATCCTACCGACCGACCTACCGCGGATACGCTCCTTCGACATTCAACTTTCTGTGTCCCAAATCCCTATTTCAATTTCTACGATACAACCTTGGCGGCAAAACTCCGTAACGTGGAAAGTACTGCTCTTGGTTGAGTGATGAACACGATTATCGTGATGAAGAAAATTCAACCACTTAGCTATAATGAGACTCGCAACCAACAATACACAAGGGGCCAGCATTCAGGATGAACAAGTGAGAGCCCGTCATTAGGAAATTAGGATATCCCCCACTTGGTTGGCAATCCCTTTTTGAGTATCAAAGACAGGTAATTTCCAATGACGAAGGATACGACAAGAGGGTTCCACGGTTGGATGTCTTCCTGTTCTTGATTTGGAAAATGAGAAGCATGAAATCTCGATAGTAATTAATGAAGTGTTTTCGGACCATTTTCGATGTTGTTCTAGGCGAGGGAGGGGGCTTATCGGCAAAGTCGAAAAGGAAAAGGAAAGGCTTTGCGGCGAAGGAGGATATGGACTGGACATGTGGACGAACAAATGGAAACCTGCAGTGTCAGTCATCTCGATGCCCTGAGAGAGCGAGACAACGATGGTTTATGGAATGCACTTACCGGATTGTCTTCCTAATTTTCGATCATCTCACATTCCAATGTCCGCTCAACAACCCAGCAACGTCTGTTGACTCATCCGCTTTCATCCTGCATTACATACACATACAGAGGCCCACTTTGCTTTTCATTTTACACCATCCTCCTTTTTCCTCGCGAACGCCGCATGCAGTACAGCCTAGTCTTCATCCTGCTTGCAGCAAATCCCCTTATTGCTGGTTGCTTTACCTGCTTTTTTGTTTGCGATGCTATCTACTATTCAAGCTGTCCACTTCATTGACAGGCAGGCAGCTTTGCTTCATTCAAGGCGGATCGTCCATTAATTGATTGTCCTCTCCCGAGTTCCACTGAACCTCCCCTTACCAAGACCTTCACCTCTCATTCCTTTCCACCGCTTCGCCTTCTTTTATCTCTATCTCCATTGTCAGTCGTTCCCTTCCTATCCTACTGCCTTCCGCTATCTACGGCATACAATCGAGCCCAGGTCACTTGAGATTTTTATCTCAGCCTGAACCACAACCACGATCGATATTGCGAAGGCACACTCCAATCTGACGCGATGGCTGTAAGCGGGAACCCCGGTCTGGCCGGGTTGCCTCTACCTCATCCGATTTGATGACCCCTGCTAACACCCCCAAATACAGATAATTGAGGTCCATGGTCGTCCATATCCCCCTGAATATGTACCAGATCGGGCGTTCAGCAGCTCTAGCAGTTCGACAGGGCCCAGCCATTCTAGCTTCAGCCGTGCCAGGTCTTTTCCACCACAGTCTATCAAGACTTCCAGTGCAGGATCTTGTAAGGCCCCCTCTGAAGATGGACCAGACCGCACCTTCAGCAGCCCTAGCGGTTCGACACCGCACACCCATTTTAGCTTCAACCGTTCGAGCTCTTTTCCACCAAGGTCTATCAAGAATTCCAGTTCAGGATCCGGTAAGGCCACTACCCTCCGTAGCGACATAATTCCTCCCCGGTGTCTCGCTGCACCAACACGTCAAAAGGGAGTCTTGCAACGATCTAATCTTTCCCTTTTTCAGAATTCTGACATAACCAATCATTCTAATACTCACACAGAACGGCCAATCAAACGCTCATCCTCATCTTCTTCCATGGAGGGAAGCAGCCCCAAAAAGAGCCAGAAGGCTGCTGCCAACCACCGGCCCACACCCGTAAGCCTCGGCCGACCACGCCGCGAACGCAATGCTCCAGAGAGGTACAGCCCGGGCTTCCTCCCACGCCAGGAAAGGATCATTCAGCGGAAGGCCGAGAGGGCTACCGAGAAAGGGAAAGCGTCCAAAGCGTCCACCACAGTCGGGGTCAAGAAAGCCTCCGCTGCTAAATCAGCTGCCGCGAAGAAAACGGCTACCGCCGCCAAAGCTTTGAAGGAGGCCGCTACTACCGCTACAAAGAAGAAGACCACAATTACCGCTCCGGCCGCGAAGAAGAAGACTCCTGTGGAAAAGGCTGCTCCCAAGAAGACGGTTCCCAAGAAAGCTGCCCCCAAGGCTGCACCTCCCACCAAGAAGAAAGCGACGACATCGAGCGCCGCCCCCGTTCCTCCCAAGCCGACTCACAATCGAAGCACCCGCGCTCAGAGCAAGCATTCTTAATCTTGTCCAGCGGACGAATCGGCAGGTATTTATTGAGTCTCGGCGGAATGAGAAGAAATGGCTGGAAAGGGGAACGGGCTGTTGAAGACTAAGATGTATTTACCTATTACTTGCTTCATACATGGCAGTTGTCGTTATTGCAAGGGGTGGCAGCGGTGTGCTTTTTGGGTTGGTGCGCGCGCGCGCGCGCGTGTGTGTATGTGTGTGAGAGAGAGAGAGAGAGAGAGAGAGAGAGATGTGTCGCTGGGCAGGAGGGGGAACAAGGCTGAGAAACGGAAAGGGGGCCCCGAGGGCGGTGATGGAAGAATGTGTCTCCGAAAACTTTGACGCGATCGTGGCAACGTGGCAACGTGGCACTGCAAGAAATGCTGCAAAGATGCAGGGAAAAAAGAGTGCGCAGTTCTTCTAGGGACTAGGGTCTAGGATCTGAGCTAGTTTCTTCTCCTTTCTTAACGTCTGTTGTTCCTGGTCTGTTTGGTTTTCTTGATCTCTTTTATCATGATCTTCATTCGATAGCTGATTGGTAATACCTAATCTACGTGGTGAGAATTAAGGGGTGAGCATGAGTCTTGGTTAATTGGAAGGAACTACTTTCCCCTGCCGATAATTTGAGCAAGAAATTCTACTTTTGTTAATAGGTTAAAAACATGAAGAGCTGTTTAGATGTGCTCGATTCTGCTTGTTTGATGAAGCTCGTCAGAATCTCGCTCCTTAGGAGGCGATCAGCTCTAATTTCCCAGTTGAAATGAGCCAGCTTTCTAATCAGACATGCATCGATGTCTGGCTAGGATGGCCCATCTGGATGCCCTATCAAAGGCTTGGTCAAGACTATGTAGGCGCTCGAGAAAGCAGACCAATCATGTAGAAAGATATGTAGCTTCCATCTCACACGCACATCAGATCGATCAATCAATACTCTCCCAGACAACATCGACGCACCACCCACCCTCAGCCTCCGCACTACCATCGCGGTTCGATCCATCGACATCAGCATCCGCAACCGGCACCGATCTGCTCCGGAAGCTACACTTCTCCAGTCCTTCACCAGAGCCATCATCATATACCACCTCTCTGACACCGCCTTCCCAGTCCTTAATCACGGCATCCCAGATGGACTTGACCTGCTCGTCGCGCTTGGCCATCCAGCCGTGCACGATTTGTTTCGCCTGGAATATCTCACCACACAGGGCCCCATTATTACAATTAGCACGACCATCTCTCGTCTTAGCGGCCGCGAGATCCGCGCACGCAAGGCCAATGCGTCTCCGGCCCGCACGGATTTTGGCATCGAACGCTTCGTGCGTCATGCGCTGCGACTCACGCGCCAGTGATAAGGTGCAGTCGAGGCACTGGCGCGGGGACGTGAAGAACTGGTTCACGACGACGGCTTCTCTGCGGGTGGCATCATCAGAGTCGGTGGCAAGGATGTGTTCTCGAGAACCACGGGGCGATGGGGATTGGCTGGACGATACTTGCGTGAGAAGAACTGGAGGGATGTTCGCTGGTCGAGGTGTCGGCGGTATAGTGTGTGGACATGCTGGGAAGTGGAGCGTCGTGCCGAATGGGATGAATCCTGGTTGCGTGCCAGAAGCGGAGGGGTGTTTAACTTCAAGCGGGAGATGAGAAGCGGAAATGGACTGGGAGTGTTGGTCTGCTTGTGATAGCGACGATGAGCTCCCTCTGGCCTTCGATATCTTGGCCTGTGCTGTGAGAGTACTGCTTTCTGGCTTTCGGGTGGAAAGCTTTCGGACGAGTTTCTTCATCTTGGAGAGAGCGACGCTCAGTTGAAATATGGCCCACTTTTCGGTAGCCCAAAGGCTGAGAATGACCGCTCTCTCGAGGAAAGAATCTCGTGCCTGGTATGCTCCTCGTAGAGTTCTCAGTCGCCTTGGACTGGTCAATGTTTGATCTTGTCGGCTGGAAGCTTATGTGGAGGGAGTCTCGAAAATATTGTGCCTTGTTTCTTCAAAAAATTTGAATTCCCAGTGACTGATTGATGTAGAGGGAGCAGCTGGAATAGGTCTAGTAAGGGGTGTATAGACTCGCTGCCTCCTGATGTTGCTTTCACCGAAGCTATGAAATCCTTCTCAAAGGTCAGCTAATCTGTCACAGCCCCTTTTCACTTTCTACTCTGCTTCGATGTAACAAATTCCACAAGTTTTCTAGAAGGAATTCTTCGAGAAGTCTTTGGAAAGGAGTGTACAATCAGTGGCGTATTGGTTTGACGAAAGCAGAGTGAGACTCGACCGCTTTAATGATGTGCGTGCTGTTTCGGTTTCTTTCTCCTCTTCCTTGCTTTTATTCGAGAGAGGGACAATGAAAGAAAGTGAGACAATAGGCCCAACGGCACTGCCAGTAGGCTTATCCATTGGATGGTTCGTTGGATGGGAGCTTGTGGTCTGGTAAATATCCAAATGACGGCTCAAGTGACGTGGGAGACGACGCTCGTCAACCCATATCCTCCGAGTGGCTCTTCTCAGAGTTGGCGAGCCTCAAACGAAACATCTCCTGCGTGCAGATCGCGATAGTGCCAGATCCGAGTGTCTTTGTTTGAACCTGCTCAGTCAGATCGCCGTCTTTGTCGGCATCGTAGCCCAATCGGATACGAAGCGTATGTGATCATCCGTTTGCAGTAGCAGCCACCTGCAATTGTAATTGTTCTCCATCCCCAGGTGAAAAGATGGTGAAAAGAGCTCCAAGATGACGACACCCTTCCGCTTGCCACCATGGTGTCAAGATTGGACATTTGTGCCGTAGCTCCCATCTTCTATCCTCAGTCTTTCTTTGTCTGACTTGTCTTGAGGTCCGGAAGGGATTTCGAATCATATGAGGAATCTCGGGAAAGTCGCCAGGTAACACATATAGACTCCCGCAATACATGAAATGAACAGTGTGAAATCTAGTTTCCATTGAACCTTTAACTCTTCAAAGACTGGCAGTGGAGCGCTCAGTCCGCAAATATTTGATATCGAAACAGGGAGAGATCGTTTGCGAATACGCTTCGAAATCTCCTCGCGTTGGATCAGGGTATCATCGCTTTTCTTCCAAAGTTCATAAAGCTGCTTGTTTCTCTCCTCGCGCAGTATGATCAGCTCCTCGGCCGTTCAAGGCCAACACAGAGAAAGCATCGACCGCCATACCACCATTCCATACCACACTCATCTGATCGGTGGTGGAGAGAGACTAAATGATTAGCCATTGAAGCTAGAACCCCAGCTTTCCGCCAATGAATCCCAGGGCGGCTTGTCTCTTCTGCTTCGCAATATACTTATTCACCCCATCACTCCATGACTCACTTGATTCGGCAGCACGGTCCATGCTATCACCAGCAAGACCAAGATTCTCTGTTCGTTCTTGGATCTGGCGCTGCATGTACTCCCAGTAACCTTCTTGGCTAGGGTCTTTCGCGGGGGCTTTCCCTGTTCGCGCGGCCTCGCGCTGTCGTTGGAATTCTGCGTCTTGTGCAGCACGGGCTTCTGCGACCATGCGCTTGGAAGGCGGTCGGCCCGGCCCTCCGATCAGTAGGTCCATGTCTGAAGGTGTGATGTACTGCGTGCCCGCGATCCACTGAAGATTGCTGATTGTAGGCCGAGGCGGGACAAGTTTGGCTGGGTCATAAAGATGATCCACACTTGGAGGAAGCGCCAGCCCAGCGCCGAAAACATTTATTATCGCAATCTCGCTCGGTCCAGACCAGCCAAGAATGTCACCTGTTGGAGTGACGATAGCTTCGTTGAATCGTTTGGTGTCTAGGATATGGTTCACCCGAGTACTGCCGATCTCTTTGAGGGCGGGGATGGAGAATGCACGAGTGTTGCCATCCCCAAACACTCCAACGATTGCATATCCTCGGTCTTCGTACCGAGCTACGGTTGCAGAGTCACAAAAGTAATTGTCAAAGGTTTTGGAGGCGCCTTTGGCGTGAGCAGGACGGAAGATGTGGGCTGAGGAGGCCGTAATGACAATGAGGACTCCATCAACTCTGCGACCTGATTGGAGGCCTCCCATAGCATGACCGGTGGCTGCAGCAGGCGACCCGGCTGCAGCATCGACTGGCGATATTGAAATGACTTTGTCTTCTGAAATCTGTATGACTCCCGCAAATTGTGCTGAATATCTGCCCGTTTGAGAGGGAAGAATCTTGAAGGTCACAAGACGGCCTCGGGATGTGCCGACAAACAATGCAATAGAAGAATAGTCTATAGGGTCAGCACTCAGGTGGCGAGGGCGAGAGAAGCACTTACCATCGCCTTCGAGCGTCATTATACCAAACTCTAACACTGTCGGGTATTCCTGGGATGATGTGGATTGAGAATTGTTTCGTCTGATACTGACTCTTTTGCTTTTTCCGCCTGATAAGTCGCTTAGCAGAGCAGAGTGAATAATTGCTGGTCCGCGAAGATCAATCAACGTGACCCCACCACCGGCATATCCTGCGGCGACAAAACCGACGTCTGAATGTCGTAGGGCTGTAACGGGCCCTTGTTGGTCATTCGTCATGGTCAAGGGTAGCAAGCCTTCTTTTAGGCCAGGATCGGCCCGTGGGGTGATGTCTGTCATTTTGCCGGGTCCTTCAAGCGGACCAGGAGGCATCGAGGGTTGGCCAGCATGCTCATTTCGACTAAGGCGGAAAATCACAACCTCGCCAGATTTCAGGCCGACCGAGAGTTCTCCTGTTGCACCAGACATGCTCATCTGTGCCACATCAATTTGGTCCCATCGACCTACCGCTTTTCCGAGATCAACCTGGATCACGCTGCTGTTCTCGATCGAGTCACCATGTCCGGCATCCCAGATTCGGATGGTACCATCAGCATGTGCAGCTTGAACGATATTTCGATTCTCATGGCGCTTGAGAGGGTACCTCCCTTCGGCGCCACCGACCAAGATGTTTGGTCCATGTTGACGAACCTCTCGCATACCAAGCCATCGAGTGCGATCGACAAACGCCAGAGCGGTCTTGGTGACAAATGGATGGACAAAGGATAGAGATACGTGAAGCTGGTTGCTAGAACTGATCGGATGCCCAGAGGGAAAACTAATGGTCACCAGTTCTCCAGATGCCAAGGATGTCAGGACTGCTATGGGATCATGAGAACCCGCGAAGTGAGGAGAGGCGCGAGGGATAACCAGGAAAGTGTTGATAGAAGCATTTGGTGGAGTAGGAAGAATCTGGACTCTCTTAGGATTTCTGAAGTGGCCTGCCAGGAAGTCCCAGGAAGATGTCTGATAGTTGGGAGTCAAGCCTAGCTCGATAAAGGTCAGACCTCTTGTCGGATTTGTCGTGGGCGACCCGCCGGCCAGAAGGAGACCAGTATCATCTGGGTTTTGTTTGGAACACCAATTGATTTGAAAGTAGGGTTCCTTCACTGAGGCAGGGCCGGCCTTTGATGTTTTGCCAGGGATGTTGATGTCTGTCTCCTCGATCGTTCGTGCATGAATCACTCGGCCATCTCGGGGATCCCAGAATACTAGGCTCGAGTCATCGTGGGCAGTTAGGATAAAAGTGCCGGTGGGATGCCATATAGCATGCGTCAAGCGTGGATATTTGACGGTGTCAAGGGCTCTGGGGTTCGCGTCTCCGCCGCGAGCGCCTCTGGGGACCTCATATTGGAAGAACTTGAGGGCTTTATTCTGCTTGAAGGAGTAGATGACGGCCCCTTCAGAGTAGCCGATGAGCAGCGAACCGATATCTTTGGGGTGGAATTGTAATGATACTATTGGGAGAATCCTTGCTCTTGGGTTTCGTTCCTTCCAAAGATTCGGAATCTTGAAGGGTGCCATGGACTCCCGGTCCAGGTCGTAGGCAACAATCTCTCCTATCAAATAATGTCAGCCATGTGACACCAGGGCTGTAACAGCCGAATCGTGGAGCCTTAACACCCACCGTTGGCCAGTCCGGACAAACAGTAGTCCAGACTAGGATCTGACACAAGTGCGACCACGTGGCCAGGAGGAGCGTAGCTTGCAATCAAATGGTTTTTCTCCAGGCTGAAAACACTGACATCATTTTTACTGTCCATAACAATAAGTTTGTCGGCGCAGAATTGGAGGACTTTGATTGAGGCAGGTCTCGGAGGGGTCAAGGTTACGCAGACTCGCTTCTGGCCAAAGATATAGACTTTGCCTGGGCCGTAGCGGGATTCATCGGTACCGACAGCGAGGAGAGACTGGACGGGATCGTAGGCCATCACGGTAATTTGGGAGTTGATTCCATAGCGGGCGAACTATAGCCTTGCTTAACGGTACAATCAGGGACGGCAACGGGAGCAGACCTACGTCGTCTAACATGAAGATACCCGGCGTGATGCCGAATGAGAGATCATTTTGGATGCCCGCCTGCTTGCCTCGCAGAAAATGGTGGGCCATCCTTGCTAGAGACGAACTTGAAATGCAGGAAGTGAAGTATCGGGACTGCAGTAGAGAGTTTTTCACCCGTAGGCAAAGGCTTGCATTTAGCGATGCAGTTCGCCAAAAATGTGCCACACTCCGGACGAGGCAGGTGCGGGCACAGTCGCAGTTAACGGTCGAATTTGGGGTCGCCGTTGCCGTTTCAGAGGAAAACGCGTCATTGGCTTGGCATCATGAAAAGGACAGGAGCTAGGATCCTCCCGTAGCTCGCGCCGGCCTCAGTCACTGGTCCCGCTTTGGGTGTCACGACAAACCTACGTTGCAGGACGTCATCATACCATCGCCATCCACTAGGCAAGTACCTTACTTTCATTCGAATTATGGGTAGTTACTTAAGGGGGAAGGGTCTCTGGCTCGACTTTACTCCAGTTCGGGAGATTGTATACGGCGCAGACACTTCGAGGAAAAGCAAATCCCAGCAAAGAGAGATGATGTTGGCTGGAGTAGCCAGCAAAGCGGCTGAAGAGGATTTGATCTCTGATCCCGCTGGCCCAAACTTCAGTAATTTTTCGACGCTGATTCGATATCGTCTGCTATTTTGTATGCCCACAAGAGCTCAGGATCAATGCTATCATCGCCCAAGTTGAGACCGTCGTGCTGCGGGAAAGTGGCTTCATCTGGAAAAGATTGCTGCTGCCACAGGTCTAAAAACCCCGAATTGAGAACATCCTCAAAGACCATGTGGTGAGAGTCGCCTTCTGGGCCATCATTGAAGCCCGTCCCCGTACCTTGACTCTGGTTCACAGCGCTCCCGTTTTGATGACATCCGTGCTTGGGTGCTAACGGAGCAGAGTGCTTGATCGGCAGTGCGTCAATGGCATTCCATCTTGCAGCCAACTGCCTCAACGACGATATCGCATGTGAAGCACGGTCGGAACTGTTCTTGGATAGCCTTTCCAGCGCATTAAAACATATCTTCAGCCTCGTGATAGACCTTCTGCGTAGGCCTGGATCACTCGAGGTCGAGTTAAGAAGGTGGACGGTTCCTGCACTCAGAATGTGGTGGGTTAGAAAGAAAGGGGCACTTGCGATATCAGCGCATCGCAAGACAGTGCTGACGAGGCGAGTTATTGTCGTAGCAGCTGCATTCACGGTATGCATTGCCGATCGTGCCACGACAGTTGATCGGAATTCAGAATGTAAGTAGGGTCTGTGAATCAGGAGTTGAGACATAGCATATGAGATATGCATGACAATGATACTGGGCCTGTTGGTGGTCCTAGTTAACTTCAGGACGTTGTGCATAGCTTTTCGAAATTCCAGTAATTCTGCTTGTGCATCACCCAGCAGCTTCACCCGGTGAGACATAGGGAGCGTGCTGAACTCAAATACATAGCTGGCGATTGGTCAATCTAGAAGGCACAGAGACGGGGACAAGTCCAAGAGGAAGGATGCAGTAGAGACTCACATTTGATCCATAAAGCGGTCATGGATGTGCCACAGGCGACACTGGTGCTCAAACACCACCTCGTCTAGGTCACGATTTCCGACTTCAGAGCTTGCTAGCAGAGGGACATTGACACGCCGCCATGGAGTGGTGCAATATCTTCCCAGGAGAGTGGTAGCAATCCGATCAACCAAGAAATATGACCAGAACGCTCTTAAACGCACGGAACTCGTCAGAACCTGTTGTGGCGTATTGTCAGTCAGTGATTCAAGGCTACTGGCGTGGAGCGCTAGATGGGATGAAATGGCCCCAGCCATGCAATTATACATCCATCCCATGTTGTAATTATCTAGGGTAAGCTCGTTGACTGCCAGGATCGAGAAGGCGGTGACCAACACCTCACTTGGAGATGTCCTAGAGCAATAGAGTGCTAAATCACTTGCGGCAACGACATTTTGTTCGATTATGTTCTCTGCAAAGCCATCTGCACACTGCATTGCTCCTGAAACAAGGATTGCATGACGCACGAGTCTCTGAGTCTGTTCGGATTCGACAGACGCCAGGAGAATGTCGATGTTACCATTCGGAAAGAATTGGAAATAGGGGTTCACTTTCTCGAAGAATAGTGCAGAGTAGTAATCCCATTCCAATTGACTGTACGTTTGGTTTGACGATGACGTACACATAGCTGTGGCACTGGTGATTGGCCGTCCTCTCGATATCGGCATTCCAGGGATATTGAGGCTGTTCGAAGGCCCGGTAAATCGAGCCTCGCCGTCCTCATTGATGTCCAGTTTCCATATTACGGCGGAAAGTTCGTCCAGAGCAGAATCTGTTTTCCCTGCTGCGGTGAGAGCATCAGTTTCCACATCCTTTAGAGGCAGCGATAACCGTTGCCCATCGTCCAAAGACGCAAACATAGGCGAGGCAAAATGGTCTGAGCCACCGTTGAAATAGCCATCCTCAGCAAACGCAGATTCCTGATGAGAGTCCCAGGATCCCAAAGCAGATTCATCATCCAAGTTGCTTCTGCACTGCAATTCCAACAAGGCGATTCTATCTTCTAAGGACTTCACGTAGTCTTCATCCCAATACTTCCGCCTGTAAAGATGTCAGCGGCCAGAATGCCTGTAGGAAGGATAGCTTTAGCATTGTACTTCCGTGTCGCTATCACGTCAGCATAGACGCATTGGCGATTGTGCTTCACGCACAAGGCGCATTTAGGTCTGCCACCATCGCACTATTATACCGCTTGTTAGACTTTTCGCTCAAGGATACGAAGGGGCTGTTTTACTCGACGCTTTCCCTGACGACACGCATCGCAAGCAAGGCTTATCCTTGCCTTGCCTTGCTGTGCATTGCTCATCGAACGCGAGCAGACTGAAAGAAGTAGATAATAAAGCAAAAGTTTAAGGTATCTAACTAGTACCTAGTAGACAGTTGAGAAGTAATGGGAATGGAGGCGGAAAGGGTCCAGTAATATGGAGGAGTTAAATAGCGGGGTCAGGAGGCTTATCTTTACAATGTACGATTTCCTAGGCCTACTCTGGAAGCCATTGGCAGAATCAAGCTTTGTTATCAAGCTGAAGGCTCGTTAGGTTTCCAATACTGATATCTGTCTCTTTACTACTACCTACAACAGATATCATTCTTCATTTTCGTTTTTCGCTCATTGAACCACTGTAGCTCTCTTGATTCTGCGTCCAATCAGGATCGAGCCTTGTGGCTCCACTATTTAGCCCAAGCCCTGGCCCTCTTCCCATAGATATACATAGGTATTGTACCAAAGAGCGTTAAACCAAGACTCAGTGAACCCCATGTGAAGAAAAATCCTCTTGGCCCATGGAAAGCATAGTAGTCGTTCAGCATGAAAGTCAGTCCGAATGCGAAAGATGACTTGACCAGCATTGCCAGGCCGAAAACTTCTCCTGCCTCGTCTCCGAAAACGTCATTGGAGTATGCAACGATAGTTGTACAACCTGTGCCGATCGCGAAGTTCAGGCTGGCAAGGAAGAAGCCGCAAACTATGGCAGAGCTTCCATTCGAGATTGCCTGTCCCAGGCCAAAGACTCCAACGGCGAGGGGCACGATGCAGCTCACGAAAATGGTCCAAAGCCTAAACTCGGGCTCATAGACGCCCCCGTTCTGATGACTGAGCCGAAGGGCGACGAAATCGCAAAAATACCCTCCTAGCACAGTTCCCAGAAGGCTGCCAATCAAAGGCGGAATGCCGATCAAATTTCCCACTGCCGTTGGTGTCATGTTGTATGGGGGAGCAGCAAAGATTTGGGAAGCAACAACGCCTAGAATGATCACCCAGCTGAACATTACTGACCAGATGATGCAGGCCCATATCGTAGCTGGATGTCTCAGGAGCCGGAGAGCCCTGATCATTGAAAGACCAGCATCTTTGAAGCTCCCTTGCGATGCCGGGCAAGGATGTAACGTGCTCTGAAACGTGATTGGCAACATCTCCAACTTCCCGATCTCTCTCACAGGCGGCAGAGACGACTGAATAGTGGCCGAATCTTCCCCAAACCCACTCTTTGTCGCGTTACGCTCAGATAACTTGGCGGCGTCGGGGTCTTCATTCCCAACTACTACTTCACCCTCGATCCCATTGCGATCGAAGGAGGTCTCTGGCATACCGACTAGGGTTGCACCCACTAAAACTCCAAAGCTAATAGCCAGGATCCAGAAGGCCCATCGCCATCCGCAGGCGACAATGATGCGACTGCTAATTATAGGAGCCACGTTTATCGAAACGATAACAGCAGCATTCCACAGACCGACTCGGAAACCCCGCTCGTGGACGAAGAAGACATCGTTTATCGACGCGGTTCCTGAGAGGCTGAGGAAAGAGCCCATACCGAGACCTTTCAGTAGACGTCAGTTCAAGAGTCAATTCAGGAAAAGAAAATGATTCAATACCTTGTACAGTACGTGCCCCCAGCAGACTGCTATACGACTTCGCACCACCTCCCCAACAACTCGAAGCCACAAGGATGACGGATGTGAGCAGGAATACTGGCCTCTTTCCGACTACCGTTGCTAGAATCGGGTAGAGATAAGAGCTCAGCCCTAGGCCCATGATGAGAGCGCCGTTGAGAAGTGAGACTTTGGTCAGCGAAATATCGAGGCTGGTCTGTATAATGCCGAATGCAGGCACAAGCACTGGCCCGAGAACCCCGTTGAGGCATGACCCGAAGATTATCACAAGGAAGAATAATTCTTTGCGAACCTTAGACCAATTAAGAGGATCTCGTGGAGAAGACGACGGAAGTGGACTAAGATTTATCTTGCCAAGTGCTCCAAGTGTTGAGGATGCCGAAGTGGTCGACTCTAGAAGCACAGTACCAACTGGAAAGGGAACCTTCTCACTCTGCAGAACCCCGAAAGCCATCGCCGACGAAATTCTGTGTAGATGAAAGTCTGGTGACGTGTGGAATCGACTCGGAGCACACGACAATGCTCGCAGGTGTAGTACCCCTTTTATATACTTCCTAGAACCTATATCTGCCACTGCCGATGCTCAATGCCATGATATGTTGCGAAGTTAAAGATAAGAATCGCGAAGCACTGGTTGGCAACGATCCTTGGTTTGTTGGCGGTTGTTGCGGATATGGAGGGCCCGCATGATACAGTATCGGGGGCCTTGGTGTGCGGAAACAGTATCTTCCGCAACATCGCAGAACAACCCGCAAATGGTACAGAATCACACCCTAGGTAGCGATGTCCCAGACTACATCACTGTCGCTGTAGACTGCTCGAACTCTCAGAGCACAGGAACCAAATCTCTTTATCTTTCCTGGCAATTATCTGGTGATGAATATGAAAGCAATACCAGCGGACTCGAGTCAGGTCCGGGTCGCTGTCACCCAAAGCGAGCCGAGTTGGCTGGACCTAGGTGCCAGTGTACAGAAGACTTGCGACTTGATTCGAGAAGCAGGCCAGAATGGTGCACAATTGGTTGCATTCCCGGAAACATGGATACCTGGATATCCTGTATGGATCTGGTCAGTATTCCTCATCTAGCCAACTGACTCGTGAGCCCATTTGGTGTAAAACATGCAAACGCTAACAACAAGGTCAAGGGATCGGCCAACTGATCCTGTGTTCCATGCCAAATACATCAAAAACTCACTCATTGTGGATTCTCCCGAGATGAAATCGATTCAAGCCGCAGCAGCAGCGCAGGGAATATCAGTGTCGCTTGGGTTTTCTGAAAGATTGAAAACCACTCTCTTCATCTCGCAAGTCAGCATTGATCCTGCCGGCCAGATCGTGTTGCACCGTCGGAAAATGAAGCCAACACACATGGAAAGAACGATCTTTGGGGATGGATGTGAGAGTTCGTTGAAGAGCGTCGTGCCACTGCCTTTCGGGAGGGTCGGGGCCCTTGCATGTTGGGAGCATGTCCTCCCACTGCTAAAATTCAACACCCACCTTCAAGATGAGCAAATTCACGTTGCTGCGTGGCCACCACTATTTGAGCCTTTTAGCCAGGGCGAATTGTGGTCTATGACGAGTCCCGGTAACTTGTCTCTCTCCTCGAAAAGGGCGAACAAACTAACATTACTAGGCGCTCGAACAATATCATCGGCATACGCTATCGAAGGCGGATGCTTTGTGCTTCATTCCACGGCTGTGATCTCCCAACAGGCGATCGAGTTTTTCCGAACTTCAAACGCAGCACTTTTCAATACGCCTGGAGGTGGGTCGTCTGCAATATTTGGACCCGATGGGAGGAAACTGTCACACGACTTACCAGATAAGGAAGAGGCTATCTTATATGCCAATATTGACTTGGATGAGATATTGAAGGTCAAAGGTTTTCTGGATTCATGCGGGCATTACACCAGTCCCCATTTGTTGTGGCTGGGGGTCAATGATGAGGCCCAAGAATTGAAAAGGGCTACCTAACGGTGCTGTGTGTGAGCTTGGGGTGCCGGCCCACCCCACACTTTGTCTATGTGTGGAGAAAATGGACAAGTCGGACAATTTAGCACTTGATACTTGACTTTGCATACCTGATATTTACCAACCCAGGGAAGTGACTGTGATACAGAAGCTCGCCCCAGTGTACTCCGTATGCTGCTCTCCCCTTGCAAACAACAGCAGTGACTTGCCCAGCCACTACAACTTCATGACCCCTCTCTTCATCAAGATCTGGACTGCTGGCATCGATTCACTCATAATCTCAGCCCTGCGCATCTCAAATCCTCCATGGACAGCAATATCCTTCTTCACATACTGGAACTTGAAGGCGCCCGGGATTTTCACATCCCACTCTCTTCCCTGCCCGTCCTTGACCTTCTGTTCGCCTTCGCTTGCTTGTCCAACGCAGTTTGCGAACAAATAAGCCTGTCCAAGCATTTCGTACCCTTCATCCGTCTCCCAGGTGACTAAGAAATAAGGTTCGTGGAATTCGCTCGTGAACGGAGTGTAGAGGGCCTTTGATTGAGCCCATGCTTCTTCCGCGTCCGTGAACTCGGTGCCATCAGGTTTGACCAAAGAGAAGTCAGAGGTGTGCCAGTCATAGGACTTCTGGTCCCAGTTCGCTCGAGCGTTGTAAGCAAGGGTGTAGTCTTCCATCCATTTCATTGCTGGGTGCTTGCGAGTTTTATCATCCCATGTTCCAACATGGATAAAAGCTGGCTGAGTGGGGAAGGAAGACATTGGCGCTCGTAAGAATGGGTGATTGTTCTGGGGTATTATGAGTAATTATCTGGGAGTGAGCCTTGTTCGTGACTTGTGTGAGGAGCAGGCCCAAGAACAGAACGGTGGGACAATAACAGAACATATAGCATGAAGGAGCGGTGCCTTCCCAGAGCCATGCATAAGGTGTCGTTGCCTACTGGCAAGAACACTCGTACAGCTGAGCCATTTCTTACCACTTACCTTTTACGTCTACACCCTGACCAGTCAAAGTTGAACGAGTGTAGTCTGATACGGCGTGGGAGCGAGGTCACACCAAGATATCAACAGTGTGAACCAGCAACAGCTTGATCAAGGAACGCCACAAGCAAGCAGCTGCACACGTTTAAGGCAAGAGCTCCCAAACACCAAGGCAAGGGAACGGTAACACTAGGCTCTTGCGCCTTTCCCCGCATCTAGAGAGCTGAACTCCCTGCAACTACCGATACGGGGATGAAAGGTTGTTCACGGTGTTGTAGAATCCTCTGGTACAGTCCGAATATATTCGGCCCCAGACGTATTTTCATCTGTTGTTCGAGGAAACCGTTCGGTTCAGTCCTTGCTATTGGCGAGGCCACCGGTTTGAGTTGTGGCTCTGCCTGATAGTCTGGGGTCTGCTGAACTGAGCATGAACCGGCGAAGGCGACGCGTAAGCGAAGACGCTACAGATGCAGAGTATTGATGAATCCGTCTTGTAAAATCTCCAGAAAAGCGTGATGGATAAGGTGGACTGAGACTGACAGGCCATCTAAGTCGGAGAACTCCAGGACAAGTTGGGAGACGAGGTGTTTATCAACAAGGTGGAAGCGAAGGCACCCCCGGACAATCCTAAGTTCCGACATGGCCGCCCGTGACTGCCAGTTTGGTTCCCGCGTACGAGTATAGAAGCATTCAGGAAAATACATTTCTTGAGCATCAGTCTGTTCAACTCGCTTCACACAACCTCTCGATGCGTCAAGAAACGAAAAATTCGCTTATATTCACATACCATTGGACATCTAACCTTTTTTTCGCTTCTTAATCGCTAAGACGGTACATTCGCGCCCTCAGTAAGCGAGAAAGAAGCGAAAGTAACCAGGGAAGTCCCAGACACAGAGTGAGATGGACGGGCCTCGTACGTGCATTGGCTAGACCCAAGACATGGGTAAGTTGTGAGGCAAGCAAACCGTCAATAGTATACAATATTACTGATATGCTTAGCCATGATACGCCAACGCTATTGAAGGCGTTTCAAAACCAACCTAAAAGCTGGGCAAAGATTCGAGAAGCGAGACTTTGTTTGCAATTTTGTCTCATTAGGCGAGCACATACGACAACAATACTTGGTCGGGTAGAAACCCTCAGCCTGAATAGGGAGTAAGGAAGAGCGGTGGAGGCCTTCATCACATCTTCCAGATGCAGCTGCCTTGAACAAGCCACGGTGAGATAGACCAGCATCCCTTCGCTTGGGAAATGAGCTCCAAGAAGAAGCCTTTGCTTCGTAAAGAATGCGTGGCCCTCCATAAAGGGCACGATGATGACGCGGACGCATCAGAATTCAGTGATTAGGCACAACGAAAGACGTCTAACCCCGACACGAGGCAATGCGGCCTGCATATCCGAATGCCACTATAGACACAACCTATTTAACCACCTAGACAGACTAGACGTCTGCCAGACTGCCACCTATCGGAGAATAATCCAGTTAAGCGAACGCCCAAGCCAAGTCATGTCGCTTAATTATCACGATTAGGAAACGATGCTCCGACACTACCGAGAATTAGTTGCCCTACATTCGACGGAGTAATTACAACAGAGTGTCCGCATCTGCATCTGCTTCGAGTGTCTGCCATATGCGAGTTATTCCCATTTACACTGGCAGCGACGTGCAAGCTCTTATAATACGAGACCATTCGATCCGTAAGCGAAGGATTCAAACCTAAAAAATAGGATTCGTGGGAGGGTCCGCCATTACAGCGCCCATCGTCAGCACAACCATTTGGTAAGCGAAGATGTGGCTTGGGCAAGCAAGGAATGGCTCAGACGACGTGTGGATTGAAGCCTCGTCCACACGTGCATCCACCGCGTTTCCCCAATAATGGAATGCATCTCGTCTACACATTTGATTCCTCTTTCTAGGGCACACCTGACGCACGCCAACTCACCGCTGGTACGAGAATGGCTGGGCTGCTGCAGACCTAACCCGAGATCAAATTCCGCACCCAAGCCTAGGCCTCGTGTCCGGATCGATCGCAAGCGACTACGAAGAGTACCAAGTGTTCATTCAGCTTCAACCGTCCCCGTTCAAGGGCGAGGCCGGAAATTTCCTCGCCATGTCCGGGTTATGACGGCCCATCACGAGCGAGTACGAAGCATCAAGGACCGAGGCCTGTGGGATGGTCTTCTACTCGTAGACACGGCTGGACCTTCTCCAGGTGAGGCTAGATTCGGGATTTTGGCAACCTCCACAAACTGAGTCCGAAATGCTGCTTAGTAAAGGGGCTTCAAGGATAAGGCTGGATCCATTCCTACCATTGCAGGTCCTGAATTTTGATCCTCCTCAAGCGAGTACAACACAGCACAAAACATTGCTAGTAGTGCAGAGCTTGAACACAAGGCTGGATATATACATTCCATTCCATTCCATACCGCTATAACCGGCATTGCACTACCTAGTATGCCATGTACCGGTTTTTCAAACATGTTCGCAAGAGCGATGGGAGACACGTTTCCCCCGAGACCCATAGATACATCCGAGAGAGGATCTACACCTACTATAAGCTATACAACCTCCGGCCACGCTGGATCCAGGAAGAGTAGCTTACCTTTTTAACGAGTTGATGATCAACAGGCAATCTGTGTATCCCCGCGAAACCAACAGTACGAGGTAGTATATAACATATGAGATTGTACCAAGAGAGAAAAATAGCTCGCTGCAATTTGGACCCCCCTTTTATTCACATGATTACTCTGATGTATTTATTCACATAACCCCCCTCTCTGTCCATACCTAATCCACACATACACACGTACAACATACATACGCCAGAAAACCTAGAAAGAAACCAACCGCATTGCCGGGATCAATGCTAACGCAAAGACCCACCAGGCAGGTAGGACAGACGGTAGGTCAAAGCATTATTAAATTATGGTACAGTCTACAGAACAGGCATTCCTTTCTTCCCGCGAGCCGCGCTCGTTGCGAAAGTAACTCAATATCAGTGAGAAAACTCCACTGGTCAACCCGGCGCAGTGGGCTATCGCTTCTTCGAGAGGATCTTGGTGATGGCATGGCGGATGGTGATACCGGCCTTTTCGATTTCCTTCCTGGATAGGCCTGTGGTTACACACACCTTGAGCGCCGGAAGAGGTGTATAGATCTCGGTCTTGGAGGCGCCTGTCGGGAGTGTTTTCATGCGTGTGATGAGCACGTTTTGTGCGAGGCACTATTGGTAAACCAGCGAAAAATGTCGTCAGTGCGAAGGCCGAGGAAGCGACAGACAGCTGGAAGCCGGAAGCCGAAAGCCTGCTCCGTTTTGTTGGGGGCCAAAGGGAAACGTTGAGAGGATCACATACCTCATCCACAATATCCTGCAACAGCACTTTCTGGTCATCCAATGTCAATCTCCTCGACGAGACAACCTCCGGCTTGAGCACGAGCAACATGATTGGATTCTCAGGGGCACTCGTACAGTACATCCAGTCGCTGCGCGGATCCAACTGCAACCACATAGTCTTGAGATTCTCGCGTAGTTGAGACAGATGCTCGGGTTGAGTCTGCAGCATCATGAGGGTCTCGCTGGCGGTCACGGCCGAGATGGCAGGCAGGGCGGCCGAGAAAGTGTAGGCGGCTGCCGACAGACGTTGGTGTTCAACAACCACGTCTGATCCGGCGCAAAAGCCACCGGCTGCAGCGAGCGGGCCAGACATAGCACCGATGAGCATGTCGACTTCAGCTGCGTCGACATGTTGGTGTTCGGTGATGCCCCGTCCTGTGCGGCCGAGGACTCCAAAGGACCACGTCTCGTCCAAGATCAAGCGGAACTTGTACTTGAGTTTTAGTTCGATCTAACAAGTCAGTAGGATATTCCTTGAAGTTGCTCTTGAGCTGTAGTCTCGTGCTAGAGGTGGAAATCAACCCACAATCTTTGGTAGATCGACCATGTCACCAACATTCTCGAACAAGCCTTCTGTAATAATAAAACGTCTCGTCAGCGGTTTCCTGGCTTGTTCTTTTGTGACCTTGGCCAACACCCTCTGCAAATCTTCCATATCATTATGCTCGTACCAGCGAATCGTACTCCTGGAAATCTGCATTCCTTTCCTGATTGCGTAATTGACCGCCTTATCCGCCACGATGATATCACCTCTCTTGGAGAAGGCCGGAATCACACTGGATATGGTAGAGAATGCCTGCGCATAGATGATGCACGCCGTAGTGCCCAGGAATGCGGCGATGTCGGCCTCAATCTTCATGTGCACGTCCTGCGTGCCATAAAACCCCGGGGGGCCGCATGGACCGACTCCATAAGTCCGCAGTGTTTGAATCGCCCGCTCTTTCAGGTTCTCGTTCGAGACGAAATTGTAGAAATTGTAGGATGCGAGATTCGTCACGGTACGTCCATTAGCCAGCTTGGACCGTGGACCGCTGGGTCTGTCGGGGCATGAGGACTCAGCTTGCGGTGGAAAATGTGAACTCTATTGGGAACTTACCCAACGATAACTGGTCTTTTCTCTAGATCTGCCTCTTCAAAAGGGGTCGTCTTCCCCACGAGAGGCTCGGGCGTCCACTCGTCGACCAGGTCATCAATTTCCTAAACAAATCGCATAGGTCAGCGGCGGGCATCCGGTAGAATATCTGTCACCCACCTCATCTGATAACTTCACATAATTCGGCTTGGTGGAGTATTTGGGGGCAAGCAGGTAGCGTATGGCAAAAAGGACGAGGAAGAGTTCAACGGCGGATCGAATGGGATCGTTCTGATAACTCGATTTCACGTAGCGTAAGAAGATGGCTGACCCTGGGAGTTTATGGAATTGTTCTGAAGTCGAGCGGACTAGGGTGGTGAGATACTCTTGAGCGTCTTGAACATCCATCTTTGCGACCACATTGAATGTTGAGAGGCAAGAATGTCAGAGAAAGCCATGTGGTATATTCCCCAAGTGGTATGCTACGGTTTTTGGCGCAAGGTGTCGCGGAAGTTCTATGGTCACGTGATCATACTCAGGGGGACGCCAAATTTCCGACTCCTCCGCCTTGCAGACTCCGTCACTTGCGAAGTTGCGAACTGGGCAAATGTCCTTCCTAAGCGATTCTATTAGGCCTAAAATGGTCCAAAGTCTCCGGTAGTGGCAGGAATTCAAATGCAGCGAGTACTGGTAAATAATAACTCCTTTAATTTTCATGTACAATATGAGTAGTTCTAGAGAACAAAGAAACTCCTAACATCCACGACCATTGACGCCTTTCTTTAATGTTTCCCTAACTCAACCCGTCGCAGAAGCTAACCATCTTTGTGGGAAGGATCTGAAAAGGCGAGTGTCTATTGCCATTTCAATCATTAGTTTGTTTTCCGAACACAGGCCAACAAACGATTGCACACAGGTCAATCACGTGCCGCAAGTTGGCAAAAATCCCCATCCAGCTACAGTTGTGTACAGTCCACGCAAATGGAGCAGGTTGCCTGGCAAAGGTTTACCATCCGACGAATCTACCACCGCCGGAAGGTGAACAAAGCAGAGGTAGCTGTTGCATCTCCACCACCTGTTGCAGCCGTAGCATCGCCGCCACCTGCAGTTCCAGTTGCGGCGGCGCCACCATTGCCGAAATCGACCAACGCAGAACCAGTAATACTGGAAAAGGTATCGTTGTTGTTTTGGTTGGTGGGCTGATACAAGTCCATAGGAATTGACGGCAAGGCGGTAATATACTTGCGGACAATCACCGGTCCAACGATCAATGCGAGGAAGATAACAAGCAGGAGGAAGTAGAGAATTGCGTAGCGAATGACACGTCTCTTCCGCAGGCGAGATTGTTTAATGGTATAAATCGGTGGGCGAATTTGGCGACTGAACAAGGTTAGCATGCAGGAAGGTTAATCGAGGGGAACACATACCTGGGGCGCAGCCAGAAGAGCATGACGGAATGGAATTTGTCCACATATGGAATGCAGAGGGCTGGAAGCATGATGAACATGATGAAGTGACCAAGAATGAAATCCGCAGCGAAAAAGCCAAGCTCGGTAATCTTGCAAAGGAATTCACGAGCGGGTTGGGACATTGAGTGCCAGCCCATGGAGTACCATTTTCCTGTCCACCATGCAATGTTCGAAGAATCGGCCTTGAATTCTCGAGTTAGGCACAGGGCAATGATCAGCTTGAAAATGAACCGTTGAAGAGCGACAGTGGCAATCATGCCCAAAAGTGCTTTAGCAAAGATCCAGCCCTCGAGGAAGAACATGACCTCCCAGAATGCGAAAAGCATAATAACCGCAACCGCGTGAGCAATAGCAGCAAGAACGGACCCAAACTTTTTGCAACACATACTCAGGACAGGGCCCATACAACATGCCATGGCGAACAGAACTGCCAGAGTACCAGCGTTAATGGCAATAGGGGCGAAGGCGACGATGCCAACACGAATTAGAGAGTTTGTTGCAGGCTTGATATCGGTCGTAACGCCGGTCTGAGCATTGATAAACAGATATGGGATCAAAGTTGCGAGGACAAGTACGAATGGACCGACAACTTCGCTGAAAAAGATGCTGGTGAATCGAGCTCGAGGGACATCTCCAGACAGCTTTTCCGACGGCGAGCCGAGGACCTTGCGCTTGAAACCAGTGAGGCGTGTACGTGACAGCCTACAGAAAGCAATCCAAGATGAGGCGTGAGAACGAGAGTTTCCACGGGACAGCCATCGGAGATAATCTCTGTAATCGATGAAGAAGTCCGTCCAGGCAAACTGGTGGGGGTTGAAGATGAAGGGTGAGATGCAGAGACCGAGTAGGGACATCCAGAACCATAGAAGCCAAGCCCCCCAAACAGTGATAGTAGCGAAAAGCAACATCATCAGGGAACGGGCGCCAAGGTAGATGGATGGCCCAGCAAATCTCGAGTACAACACACCGAACGGGATACGAGCAGTGGCAAAGCCACGACCAGTTCCGATGTAGCGAGCACCTCCGAATGACAAGTCCTGTTGGATCGAGCTAGCATAAATCTGGCAAACAAACACTTCAAAGATGAATGAGAAAGATGCGAAATGTTTGGCCAGACGGGTAGCAGCACGCCAGACGCCACGTTCCGTCAATTCCTGTACAACCAAGGGGACAAAGGAGATGAAGAAGACGATGAAAATGGAGACGATACAACGTTCGACCCATTCCATAATTGGTGTCAGATTGGTACATCCGGTAGGTCTCAAGGGATCGGTTGGGGGAACATTGCGGTTGTAGAAACAGGTGATGGTCTCATGTTTGAGGGCACCGAGGTTGATCATAACAAGCATGAACATCTGCACAGACAACATGATGAACATGTTATTGATGTGAAAGCCAGGGTGGGCATAGTAGAAGGACAAGAACCGATCAAGAGGGAGTTGAGTTCCGAGGTAGTAGTACTCGCGGGAAAGCATCTGTTCACCCATACCAGTACCAATCTTGGTTGTAAAGTTCAGAATGGAGCCGAACCCGAGATCCCGACCCTTGCCACACTGATAGTATTCACAATGCTTGATGCGACCGCCACGGATCAGCGCGTTCATTCCGGCGTAGATATCCTCGTTCAAGTGTAGACCCTTCTGTGCTTTGGAAACACCACCACGAGTAGTCATGAATATACCGTTCAAGAAATCAGGATGGCCGTAATGAAGCTTGCCGCCAATCTGTGCTAGGGTACGAGCGAAAAGTGTGCCGAACGTTTGTTCCTTGCCAGCAGCAACATCACCAAGAACACCAATGTTTTCGGAAAAGATATATTCGCGAGCACCGAGGATAGCAACTGGATTGAACTTCGAAGGAGGAAGTCCAGGTGTGTATGGCGAGACATTATCTGTGGTCATTTCCTCGAACTCGGCCAAAACGCTTCGAATCTTCAAGCATTCCTCAAGGTAATTGTCTTGATTGGCATCAATGAGCTGAATGTATTCGCCGCGGTAGAAGATGATGGCATGATTCTGGTTGTCAGATTTACCGTCACCAAGAATTGGGTTGCCGGAAAGTTGCACTCTAAACTTGGGTCGACGCATTCCATTCTCGAGGATTTCAGAGTGACCATCGATTAAGGCAGAATAGAGACGCGGTTCTTCGCCTTCATTCGCCGGTGGCTCTTCATCGAGATAGGCAATTTGAAGATCAGGGTACGCGCGGAGCAAGAATTCGGTGTTCTCGCGTTCTTCCTTCTTGAATTTGGCATACCGTTGCATTGACACGACAATCTTGAACTTGCGTCTTGCCATGCGCTCAAGCTCACGCTCCAGTTTGTCCGAATTGCCACCAAACATCTGAACGACTTCGGGGTTTTCGACACGGTACAGAAGCTTGATTGCTCTGCTGTAGTTCATGAAACCTGAGATAGTACGATACAGGGTCTGTGAGCGAAGCGAGGCCCAGATACGAGTTCTCAAGGTATACTCAGGAGCGGCAGATTTAAAGCCGATACAGTAGAACGGAAGATCGTCGATCTTGCTCTTTGCAGTGTCCTTTTCAGATTTCTCGTAATCTCCGTTGAACTGGGATGTTTCATCTGCCAGAATCTTTGTGTCCTTGACGAAGCAATCCCATTCGTGGGGATGAAGTTGCTTCAGGTATTCGAGAAGAGTAACGCGGGAATAGGGTTCGTCCTCACGGATGATTTCCCTAAGAGAAAGCAAGATCTTCTCACCGTAATGTGGAATAAGAACAGTGAATGTGGGCATGTTGTCCACTGGTAGAGGTTCTGGAATCGGAGTGGAGAGAGACTGCGCGAAGAACGAGATACGGCGCTCAGCTTCACTCTGCAAGGGGAAGAACTCAGTCTTGAAAGAATGATCTTCTTGCGAAACGAAGAAGGTCGGCGCTCGCAGAGTTCGCTTGCCTTCCTGTTCCGAAGGAACCTGGTGGTACAGCAATTTTTGCACATGGTCAATGGCCAGAAGGTGCTCTCTGTACATGGAGATGACGATGGCATTCCAAACCTGAGAAATGAGTACCTTGGGCTTGTACTTGATTTCCATGTCGGTGGTCGCCAAAACCTTGGAGTAGATACGCTTTGGCAGACGAGAGAAGATGTTCCTCCATGGGGTCCAGATAGAGACGCCCAGATAGAAGGATCGAGCAACTGAGAAAACACAATTCCAGATGATGTACCAGAGATAAGTATCCAGGAAGAAAAGAATCAAGTCGGTGAAGAACATAAGACCGAGCAAAATCTGAGGCTGATACTTGCAGAGGTAGTCCTTGAGAATGGCGTCACCAGCACAATTGCGAATCTTGGTGTACGAGAGGATCTTGATAGGATCTCTGAACGAAAGGGTCAAAAAGAAGTATGATTCCGCCAATTTGGCGGCAAAAACCATGATCCACAGACCATAAGACATCCACATATCGTTCCCTTTGAGGCGTGGGTATGAAGCAGTGAAAGTCTGGCTCGCAACGTATTGGCGAGAGTTTCCCTTCATATAACTCCCAAATAGACCACCGAGAGGCATAATGGAAAAGAAGAAGAACGTTGCGAGCGCGATCAAGAATTGCACCACACCCAAGATCAGCGAAATTCTGGATGTTTGGTTGAAGAAGAAGATGTAGCCACTGGGGGCAACATTCAGAACCAAAACTCCTATGAGAAACAAGAGTCGCTTGGTAAGATGCTGAGCGCCGGCCCATCGACGAGGAACATAAGACCATTCTATCAAAGTTGCAATGACTTGAATGAGAGATGCGACCGCGCCACCAAGCGCCACCACCGACCACTGCACTGGGGTATGGGGTTTGTTGTTAAGTTGTTGCTGATAGTTCTTGGTGTAGAGCGTGGGAGAGTTGAAAGCAGTGTAAAACCAGAAAGTTGTCAAGTGGATGACCCAGATGCGGTTGAAGTTGACGACCAAGTGGAACCAGGATCTTGTCTCCTTATATGTTTTGAAGAAGACTTTCTTCCAGTTTACCTCTTTTAATTTGACATACCGTTCAGCAGGAGGAAAATCGACTATGCGGGACTTATCTTCCATGACGATTCGCTCAATACCTTCGGGGTACCAGAAAAGCTGGTTGATGTCATCATAGCCGATAACATGGTTATGGTCTCTTTCACGGCGCACATACTTTCCATCTATGATCTCGTAGCATTGATCTCTGATGTACGTGTACAAAGGCGTGACAATCTCGTTCAGATAGGTGAGTTCCTCCACGGGCTCAACTCGGTTCTGGCAAGCAGGTGAGTGCAAATAATCATCGGCACACTTGAAGATGAAGCAAAGAGCTTCAGGCATGAATCGGACTTGGTTCGCTTCGCCCCAGCAAAGCAAGTACAAAGCAATCTGCCGGGCACGATCATGCTGCGACATCTTGTTCATTCTAGTCTTCCAGCGATAGACGGCTGCCTCTAAGGAATTGTCGCCTTCGAAGGCTTCGAGTGTTTGCTCTTCGTTTTGCGGGTTGTCTTTTGCCTTCTTGGCGGCGGCTTTGCGTGCCTTGCGAGTGCGACGATTGCCTTTACCCAGCTTCATGTTTGCAAAGCCGACTGCATCATCGAGGTCGAGGTGAGCTGCAAAATACCATCTCCTGTAATTTGCATTGTCACCGCCAATGTAGTCGGCATGAAGAGACAACAAAGCTTGGTTCGGTGTCATTCTGGAGGCACGAGAGTCGAGGAGGGTCATCATGTGGTCGTACATGTTGCGCATGCTGTCTCGCTGGAACCCGAACTTGGCTGTCAGATCCAAGAAGATGTCTTCGATTTCTTCCTTGGAAAGAGGGATTTGGGCATCAGAGGTCCAGGCAGGATAAGGCTCTCGAGATCGCTGACCGGCCGGTAGAGCGTTGCTGTAGTCCATGCCATAAATGGGAGTTGAGGCACCAGAGGATCGGTTTCCACCGTACGAAATTTGGGAAGATGGTGGTCGGTATCCTCGGCCGCCCTCATAACCGCTATTGTATCGCTCGTCGCCTCTCCCGTAGTAATCCATTTCGGCTGCACGAGCCATATCAGATCTCATGGTGAAGTCGCTAAATGTCTCCGAATCTTCCTCTGAATCGTGGCCACGGCGTCGGGGTCGTTGACCTTGGTATTGCTGTCCTGCAGCTCCTTGGTCATAGTATTGACCATCATAGTAGTCATCTTGGTAACCCTGATGACCCTCGTAATAGCCTCCATCGTTGTGGTAAGGGTTTGATGCATCTGCGTTGTAGTAGCCACTGCGAGCATGTCAGCCACCTTATTTTCTCTTCACAGAAGGGACAAGGATAAACTCACGACTCATCATAGTATCCTTCTCCACCATGTTGGTGTTGATTGTAGTCATATTGATCATGGTAGCCGCGTCCATCGCGTCCATCGTCCTGGTAGTAGGCGTCATTGCCCTGCTGTTGGCCATAGCCATCGTCATAACCACCCTGCTGCTGCGGGTGCTGGGGATGGCCAGACATGTTGAAAGGAGGCTTCGAGATCTAAGGTATTGTCAGAGCACGGTCAGGTCAGGGGGTTGGAGATACAGGCCCACCGCAGTGGGAGCTGGTGCCCGAGAGCGGCTGCGTACACGCACCTCACAGAAGTCCCATTAACGCCAAATTGTAATCTTGCAGGTGCGTTCCAAGGAGTTTGACTGTGCGGCTTCCTGAAATGTGGATTATTAGGTATGTGCAGGCCGTAAGCAGTGAATGTATTTTCGGCGGTAAGCCTAAGGAGAACCGTGCAAACACCGGCGAAGTAGTGTGATGAAAATCTGAACAGAATGAATTCCAAAGACACTGAATTAGGTGGTAGTTGGGCTCCCAGGTGAATATCGTAAGTGCAAGGCAAGTGGGAGAAGTGGTGTAAGCTGGGTGTGGTTGTTGTGAAACGAGAGTGAAGGCAGAGTTGGTTTGGTTGCTGAGCCAATGCAGCTGCAGGAGACGCGCCCGTTGGCAAGCGTGGCTAGCTTTTTCTGTTCAAGGCGACACACTGCTTACTCTACGTTTGCCCTCCTTTTGTGAAGAACTGATTGACCGTGACAGATAGACCTCCTCTTCACCTTCCTTGATCCGCAGCGATTGAAGCGAAAGAAGGAGAATATGATAAGAGAAGGAAAGGAAGGGACGTTTCGTAGGGAAACCAAGGCTGGTAAGGAAAGGCAAGAGAATCAAAAATTCAGGATTTTGGAAGGAAGCTGGCAGTGGCAGCCGGGACACACTAGAGACTAGGAGCAGGAGGCGTGCAGGAGCTAGGAAGCCAGGGAGGGAGCCAGGGAGGCAGTCAAGCTTGTTTGAGTTAGGGTCAGCAGGGACCCAGGCAGAGGCATGAGGGGAGGTATCAGGAGCCAGGGCGAGCTGCAGGCGAGAGATTGAAGATTGACAACAGGTGGGTTGATTTCGGGGACAGGGGCGGACAGGGCCAATGTTAGAGAGCGCCCTGGCTTACCCACATGCACTGTTGGGACTGGATGGATAAGGAGGGTCAAGACGGGTCGAGGCAGGCAGGTCAAACAAGGGGGGCAAGGCACTAAGCGCACCAGGACGCCAGAACCAACAACGACGGCGTCACGGCAGCGGGCGGACATTACGAGGGACGAGGAGGAGCATTACGAGGGGCAGCTAGGGACTTGGTTGGGTAAGGCATCCCAGATTCCCAATGGTCTAGAGCCCCAAACAAACCCACGGGCCACGAGCCACGAGCCACGCCACACCAGGAGACACCAGTTCCCAGGCCCACGCACGCAGCCCTCGGGTATCCGTCCATTACACTGCGACACCACCCACAATTCTCCTTTTGAGCCCCATCCGCGTGCCTAACTGCCCACTCGTCAATGACACTAGAATTGCGACACTTTCAAGGGCGTCATCCATCCACTTTCATAATACTTGGCTTGCACTACGGACTCAGTTCCCGCCCCGTTGTCTGGCCTCTGCAGGCCTGCAGCATGCAGTGCTATCTCTGGCGACGCCTCCCGAATTAACACGCCCTGTCCGTGGCTGCGAGGTTTTTATCGAGGTTGTGGCTATGCACTTTGCATAATAATCCCGTCAATGATCAACCGCCCTCACGATGTGCATGTCAATCAGACCCAATGCCGCATTCTACAGTGGGCTCGAAGAGAGTCCAGAATCGCCGTTGACAGAAATCGACCGACAGATTTGTTTATGTGCATGTTGTCAGCTGGCTCATCAGCAGTGCAACAGTCATGCAAACCCGTGTTTCATGCTTTGTTGCAGATCATGATCCATCTCGGACATTTTCTCCATGCAATACTGCGGGTATCCGATGCCCACCTCCAGTGAGTCGGTGACACCAGATAGGACTCCATCACAAATTAGAACGGGTGACTTCAAGTCCTATCTTTGCGATGATCAAGTCCTTGATTCGCATTCCTGTGTCGTGCACATTTCTCGACCATCCATGCGCTGACAAAGACCATACGGCACGGAGCTCGTTCCTCCCCAAATGGTATCGACTCGATGTAGCGGATCTCATTTGCGGGCGAGGCGCAGTCGTTTGGGGTACGTATTCGTTCATAGTCAAAGCAACCATTCTCGTAATGGGAAGGATTGCACGGAGTTAAAGGTCGATGCTTGTCTCAGTCGTCCCTTTGATTGACAGCGCATAATTCGGGCAGTTCAATCCCAAGAACTTCCACCATTTATAATATTAAGATTGGATTACATTTGTTGCTGAAAGGTCTTGATCTGTACCAAGTGTGGTCGCCGGTAGTTTCTAGTTAGAGCACGGCCGTTCCCTTTGCACGAGGCAGAATCAACGATCAAACATCTCAGAGGGGGCTATGCTTCAGTTCTGGAAGCTTTTCCCAGATGCAGCTTGCAGCATGGTTCATAATTGGTGTATCTAAATGCCGTTTGTCTCGGCCAAGGCTGACACTTCCGGCAGTGACTCTGCTTGTCTTCCATCCCACTTGCGTATATCACGGTGTGTAGAGAATGTACTGGTACCTTCAGCGCTCGGGAGTAATGATCACATGGTGTTAAGACGTACGAGCAGTAGTGGCTCATTACTATTGAGTTCGGCGTTGGTTGGGCGTGCAAAATCTTTATCATATACGGAGTATTTTGTGGGCACTGCGGATGGCAGATCATCAGCTATTGATGCCAGTGGAGTCCAGGCTTTAACCAAGGCTCATACGAGTGTACTACTCATGCGATGTTCCATCCTTCAACCACGGACAACCTATAAATTCCATGAGTGACAGGTTGAGGACAGATGCAGTCTGAGTACTCCATACCTTGCCACCATCCCGCCCTCCTCTTCCGCGTCGATCTCCTCTGTAGCTCGTCATCATACAATGGTCGAGCAGCAAGTTCTTCCACTTGAGCGATGGGGTTTCTAGTACGTACCCGTCATCGGCAAAGCAGGGAATGCAAGTGGACCTTCCTCGATTTTGGCCAGACAAGCTTTGGTGGGAAAGTGTAAGACATGGTGGGAGGGGCCACCACGACTTAGTCCAGCATTGGGGCTCTAGTCTAGGAGATCCTGTGGCAAATGCTAATTTAAGGTTGTCCTCAGCCAGGGGGTGCTTCCTCTTTGATCAGAATGAAGCCGTTAGCATGAAGCACAGAACAGGTTAGACGCTGATGGGCAGCTGTGAGGGTTGTTATCATCATTGGTGCATAGAGTAATAGCTGCTGGTTAGTGCCACTGGCGCCCCTCGATCTCAGGTGAACGAGCACTAAGTTATCACTCGTAGAACAGCCGCCTGGAAATCAATGCCGTCTGGAAAAGGGGGCAAGCTTGCTTTCCAATCAGGTTTCGATCAGCCACCTTTAATTTCGTCAATTGTCAAATGAGGCCTCCCTCTAGCCTCCGAGACATCCATTGCGGAGATGTCGAGGGAGCTGTCCGAAGATCATGCGATTGTGGCCGCCATGGTGAGACATGCAGCCGATTATCCAGGACTATCAGTTCTTTGCTTTGAGCGATTCGTGGCGAATGGTGATGGATCAACCACATTTCAAACACCTACTCCATAGATCCTTAGATGCATTGGCAGCTGGAAACCTTCACCTGAGTCTTCCATGATGGAATGAATTCGATGCTCTCGTGGGTGCAGGTGCGGAGGCGGTGGGAGGTCGAAGAACCACACCACCAACGTGGTCAACCACCACGAGACAGCTACTAATAATAAATGATGCTCATCTGCTGCCAGCCTGCCACTGCCACTATCGTTCTACCAGTATCGGCTCCTGATGGACAAATCCCCACAACATCCCGTAAGTTGAATTCCTGAGCATCTCCTCTACGTATCGACGTACGGAGTACAGTAATAGTACTATATATCTATATATTCATACATTCTTTTCACCCGCCTCGTAATGCATTCTCATTGAAGGGCCTGAGGGGCTCTTTCACCTCTGCATGCACCATAGTTCCAGAAATGTGGTCTAGGCTGGCCAATGTTGGTCAACCGATTGGGGGGGGGACGCGTGTCGCTCCTGTTCGTGTCACTTTCTGGTCCAAAACAGTTGTGCGGACCGAATGTCAGTGCTTGAAAACAGATCTGCGACACCACATGAAAACCAATGCGGATGACCATCTCACTCTGCAGCCACGCCATCGTGTGTCTCGATCAGGCTCATATCAGCGTCAATATTGAGCACTTGGGTGCATGCACATTATCATCAGACTCGACTAGCCACTACGCGTACATACCACGTTTGCAGCGAGAGTCCGCCTGCACAGCCCCCCAAGTCACATGTCCATAGGCCTCGAGCGAGGAGAAGGGTGACCTACGGACAGGGTGCATACCAGTGAGCCAGTGACCAACCGCACGCGGACGACCGAGTCCTCCGTACCGCATAGCGAGTAGTAGTAGTCGGAGCCAAAGGGTAGCCCTCGCAAGCCAAGCTACCCTCGCCGCCGCGTGTTATGCTGATTTCCCCTTCCACCCTCGATTGAATTCTATCCCTGAACTTGCTCCTTACCTTTTCTCCTCCCCAGTCTTTGTCCCTCTTCATCCATCCGTTTGATGCTGTTTTTCGCCTGTCTTTGTTCTTCACTTTCGTGACACTCTTTCCACTAACCACCTAGGTCATATTCCGTCCCTCGCTCCTGCTCGACCAAGGCAGTAATTGTTCAATTTACGAGTGCCTCCGGGAAGGTTCACCTCTCTGCGCAGTTTCAATCTTCATTTCCTTCCAACTGCCACAATCCTGCCACTGCGTGCTCTTTTGAATCGCCTCTCAGGCTCTTGATCATCTGCACCATGAAGAATTTCACTGCTGCTGTCACGGCTGTGGCAGGCGTCGCACTCTTTGCAGAGGCTGTTTATGCTCAACTGCCCCCTATTGTCATCAAGGTTGGTCAACTCTCCAGGCCCCTTCGGGATAATGACAAACTAAGTCCTAATCAAACTATACTTCTAGGGCTCCAAATTCTTCTATGAAAACAATGGCACCCAATTGTGAGCGACCTTCCCTGAAATACATCCTGGAAACAGACTAACTGTTGCAACAGTTACATGAAAGGCGTGGCCTATCAAGGTGAGCTGAACTTGCGTCGTCCGGCTTCCGAGTCCGTGTCTGACTGTCTTGAAAAGAGGAGTTCCTAGGAAATGGCAGCACCTCCACCACCAACGGCTCAGACAACTATGTAGATCCTCTTGCCGACGCTGCCAAATGCCAAAGAGACATCCCATTCCTCAAGGAGTTGGGCACCAACACCATTCGTGTCTATGCCATTGACCCCACCGCAAATCACGACGAATGCATGCAAATGCTCACAGATGCTGGCATCTATGTTATCGCCGATTTGTCCTCTCCTGGCAATTCCATCATTCGAGACTCCCCCACATGGAATGACGACTTGTATGCACGCTACACCTCCGTCATCGATGTCATGGCCAACTACACCAACACCATGGGTTTCTTTGCTGGTAATGAGGTGTCCAACAACGCCACCAACACCGATGCAAGCGCCTTTGTCAAAGCTGCCGTTCGGGATATGAAGGCATATATCAAGCAACAAAACTACCGCGCCATTGGTGTTGGATATGCCACAAATGATGATGCCGAGATCCGGGAAGACCTGGCCAATTACTTCGACTGCGGTGACCGTGAAGATGCCATTGACTTCTGGGGGTACAACATCTATTCGTGGTGTGGCAACTCCAGTTTCCAGGAATCAGGCTTCGATGTTCGCACCCAGGAATTCGAGAACTACAATGTCCCTGTCTTCTTCGCCGAATATGGTTGCAACGAGGTTCAACCCCGTAGATTCACCGAGGTCGAGGCTCTATATGGACCTGATATGAATGGAGTTTGGTCTGGTGGCATTGTCTACATGTACTTCCAGGAAGCCAATGATTACGGTGAGATTCGTGCTCTACTATCCGCCCATCTATTTTATTAATCAGAACAAGGTCTCGTCACCATTGATGGAAATTCCGTCAGCACTTTGGCTGATTTCAACTTCCTCGCCACTCAAATCGCCAATGCCAATCCCACCGGTGTCAACTCGGCCAGCTATAACCCTACCAACACTGCTGCTGCTCAGTGCCCGGATGTCAACAGTGCCTGGCAGGCGTCATCTGAGCTTCCACCTACACCCAACCAGGAGCTCTGTGAATGCATGTTCGCCGCCTTGACCTGTGCGCCCAACAATGTCGATACCGAGGAGATTGGTGATCTCTTCGGTGTGGTTTGCGGTCTGTCCGATGGTGTCTGCGACGGTATCACGGCCAATGGCACATCTGGTACTTATGGCGCTTATGGCATGTGCAATCCAACCCAGCAGCTCGGATGGGCTCTCAACACCTACTATGAGAGCCAACGATCCAGTGGCAATGGAGCCAATGCATGCGACTTCTCCGGATCAGCCACGATTCAGACTCCAGTTACTCCAACTGGAACTTGCCAGCAGCTCATCCAACAAGCCGGTAGTGGCGGCACTGGAACAGTCACCTCAGCACCCAGCGGTACCGGAGGTTCCGGATCTGGTGGCTCCGGATCTGGCTCCGGAGGTAGCTCCAGCTCCAACGCAGGCGTTCCCGGATTCTCCAGTCCAATTTACATGGGCTTCATGGAAGTTGCATTGTGCCTCTCAATCGCGGTAGTGTCTGGTGCGGGAATGATCTTGTTGTAAACGTACGTGATTGGTAAATCGGTGACATTACCAGACCAGGTTCATATGGGTTTGCACAATGATCCCCTTTGATATAGGTTTCTAGAACCCTCGTCGCGGGAGCATGTAATTTCAGCATCAGCGGAGTCTCAGAAGCGCTTGGGTAGGATGGATGCTTTCACTCTTGAAAAGAATTAAAATACCATTTTTGTTTCTAGAAAGCGATCTTGTAGAGAAATTCTTAGTAGTAGGAGTGGTCTCCCGTCACACAATGCCCGTTGAACATAGGCATAACTCTTTGTCAGCGCATTATAGCGTTTCTAGCAATCCTTCAAATCTTGAAACTGCGAGAGGGGCTTCCTAAAGTTTGTACGAGTGCTTCGTACGCATCTTACGATGTACTCCGGCTATACTTCGGGAGGGGTCGGCAAGGCTGTCGAAATATGGTTTACCAGTGTCTTTGTCCTGAGCAGCAGTTGACCTCAGTCCGTAGTCATTCGCATCATGGCTATCACTTCTCCAGAATCCTAGTTCCCTCTCAAGAGGTCTTGTTCCCATGCTTATAGCTGTGTGATTCGCGCAGGCGCAGACTAGTTCCTGGAAGCCGTACAGGCAGCAGTAGGTGTGTTGCCTATTCTTCGCGGGGAACCCAATATAAAATCTGCAAAATCTAGCAGTCAATACCACCGTTTCCGATTCAGACCCTTTATCACGATCAAATCTTCAACCTTCAATTTCGACTGTCAACGCGACTACTACTCGATCTACCATTCTATTGTCGCCCAAGACCTTCTCCTCATCATGGCAGCCACTTATGGTCTCCGAGAGCTATATGGTGGAGCCATTACCGTGCAACTGCCTGTCGAGCTCATTGATTCAAGGTACGTCCATCATGTATCACAGCATTTTGATTGTTAATATCGTTGAACTTAAGTACGGCTCTGCCGTATGCGTCCTTCCACCATCTTGTTTCGCGGACGAGGCCAAACACCATCCATCTATGATTAGACGATCCAGAGGCCCCCAAGGAGAGTCTTTATGTACCGCTGTTCGCGTTTGATATTTCCCACGATATTCCCCGGCATTGGAAAGCATGCGCTGGTCACAGCATCCCCCTTACAGTCTTCTAACACATCATTTACAGCGACCTCCGTCAAATTCCCGATCATCAAGAAGTGTTCCTGTCCCCAAGCAGCTTGACGTCCATCATCTTCGAGATCAACAACTATGTCATCGCGCCGGACCCAGTCACTACATCGACCACCACAACGTCAACAGCCAGTGGTATCGTCACCACCTCGACCACCACTGCCGTGTTCTCCGATGCTGATATCACTGCAGAACACGATACCGACCTCGCCGCCGCGGCATATCATTTCACTGACGTCATCTCCCTACCGGATACCCTCGCGAGTCCCCTTGGCCTTGCACAGAAGATCACCATGGCATCGCCCAGCCTCGACAAGTTTCCAGCATATGTTCTTCCCGGCACGATTATCAGCTACGAACCAGTCAGACGACCTGGTCCAGGACAAAACCAACCACCACTACCACCACCAGCAAACCCTGCAGATTCCGCCTCTCCGTCAACTACAAACCCCCCAGCTGCTTCATCCCTCGAACATCAGCAACAACTCCTGATCAGACTACAGCCATACGAAACAGATCTATGCGTTAGGATCAACATCCCCATGAAAGAAATCGCCAACGACGAGAACGAGCTGAAGCACGAGGAGAGGTTCGCCAGCGAAATCTTAGAGCACATAGTGGCCACCCTCGACGTTAAAGATTTTGGACTATTTGGCGTTTGATGACCCAGATGCATTCGCGATCTCAATTGAGTGGATAAGAGCGGGAACTCGGTAAGAAACGAAACAAAAGAAACTAGAAGAAACGACCTTTATTCAAGTCATAGCGCGGGGAAATATGTTCTGGGCTGGGCTGGACTGGACTGGACTGAAAGACGATGTTCTGTGTGGAACCAGGAAATTATCAAATTATGGTCAAGAAGGAGGAAAGGATGGAAGGACGCGATTACACGTCTGGGACGACGGCTTTGGAATCTGAGGGTCGGGGGTGGGCAGTGACTTCTTTCCCAAAGATCTAAATCCTCCGGGGGACCTTTTGGGGAGATCAACCGAATCTACAGACCATTCTTGCCAGCCAGGAGGGACGGAACGAGGGATTGGCTACCATCATGGTCTAACCATACCGTCCCGACGAGCTCCGGCACAGGAGTCAAGAGAGGATTCACCTCTCGGCGACAGGCGGGACATGGCACGTATAGATAAGCAAGCGACCAAGACATTGGAAGAAGGAAGACAAAAGAGATATAGAACGAACTTCGCAAATGGGACTGACTCCCTGACCCCGATCGGAAACCCAGGGAGACTTTTAGATAGAGACCTACCTAACTGCGGTAGCACCAACGAGAACACACGGCATCAAAGCAAGAAGCGAGTAGCGAAATGGCAGAAACCGAGCAAGACCCTAGTGAAACGCAAACAACTCTCACACACAGGTCCATGAAGAGAATGGATGGCTTGGATGGGCGTGGAATAAGAGGTCTTCCACCCTCCCTCCTTCTACTCCTCCTTCATGTGACTGCCTGCGAGGGTGGTTCATTTACAAGGAGTGAAACAAGGGCTTTAGGATTGATTGATTGACTGATTGATTGATGGCTTGATGAATTGTTTGGGGAACTGTGATGGATCCTTGATTCACGAAGTAAACAACTGGTCGACAATTCACTCGCTAATCTCGCCTACATGTCGTCGCCCTTGGTCGATTTCAGCTAAAACAAGCCAGCCTCTCTGTTCTCTTTTCCCGATTCAATAGTACAAGAAGAGAAATTTCTTGGAGGGTAAACGAAACGTCGCACCCATAGTACGCCGAGCTATACAGTTTTACTGTACAGAGGATTTTTGTTCCTGTCAAAGCCACCAAAGAAATATGGCCCTGCAGGGTTCGGGTTCTGGTTCTGGTGTCCCCAAAAGATGGCCTCCTCACAGTTTTCCAAGCAGCAATTCTAGCAATGTTGTATTGTTTTACTGAATCCAACCAGATCCAGCACTGCTTCCCCTTCAAGTTTTGTTGTTCGTCTGTCATTTATTCAGTCACTTAAATCGACAAGGTACCCAACAAGGGAAGAGGCAGTGGTATTCTGACTGCTGCTGCTGCTGCTGCTGCTCGCTGTGCGACCTCCAGAACTGCTGCGTGCGCCGGAAACCTCTCTGTCTCGGAGCTGCTTTCTTGGGCTAACAGGGGCTCGGGGCTTAGGACGGACCTGGACGAGTCTGCCCTTACACTTCCCACAGCGATGCTTTGCCGTGTCAATACTCCTGCTGTGCCTGCCATACTCGGCCCCGCAGCCTTCATCCTCGTCGATATTCAAGAATTCCATCGTCTTGGTCTGCTCGCGACCAGCGCACACCCACAAGTACTTATGGTTGATGGCGTAGTTGTGCTTGGTGGTGACCTCTACCTTGCGCCACATTGCAACCTCACTCTTTCTCAGGTGGTTCGTCACTTTCGCGGCCCAGGACTTGAAGCTCGCGCCATGCGGCTGGTCGCGTACGTTGCTAATCATGAAGTTCGTCAGGTGGCAGAATTCGTGCGCGAGTGTGTTGACCAGCCGGTCTTCGCTGTCGATGATCTTCTCGGCGAGCTCGATACTAGCGAAGTGCTTAATTTCCACCCCTGGTCCTTCTGTGACTCCTCCTTTGATGGGCGATCCGGAGATTTTGCTTGCTGTGCGTCTCCAGTTGGCGCGCCCGGCTGTCGATCTGAGGGTTTTGGACCAAATGATCTGGACACCGCCGGTGCTGGACGCCAGGTTCAAGAGCTGGGATTTAGCTACCTTGCGATCAAGTTCGTGCAAGAGATCAAGAGCCAACTTTTCCTTGCGACCGTCAAATTCCTTCTTTTTCGCGGCCGCGGCTTTCTTCAGCTCCGTCAATCGCCTCTTCTCCTCTTTCTCAGGGCTCTTCAACGGCGATAGTGATCTCGACTTCGATTTCCGAGGTGAATAGTATGGACTTGGAAGTGAGTTGCTGCTGATGCTTGCTGAGTTATCATTATCGTCCTCAGAGTCAGAGTATATTTGGAATCGAGCCAGTCCCTTCCTGGGAGATTTTGCTGGGGACATCTTGGGCAAGAACTCATCGTTCCAGTCATTGATTACATTCTGATCCCAAAATGTATCCATGCTGGGCCGATGGGGTGAGCGAGGGACGTACTGCCGCTTTGAAGGAGACAGCAGCTTTGAAGGTGAATGAATTTTCGATTTGGGTGGAGTCTTAGGCGGAGTTCTAAATTTATTGTGATTATCATCACTCAACTCGTCTTCGACATCACCTGTCCGTACAGCCTCGTGGGACTGTGAAGGCCGCATCTTCGAAGGAGGAGTGGCTGATGTTTGTGAAACAGGTGGAGCAAGCTTTAGAACAGTTTCGAAATCTTCAAACGGACTTAGGAAGCTAGGCACAGTATTCGCGGGTTTGATGGTGTCGGATGAATGGGGATTCAAGATCGGTTGTCGAGATCGTGTGCTTGGGTCAAACTTGGGGGAAATGTTTGGGGACGAAGTCAGATCAATGACTTGGACATCCGTACTTTTCGCAGCCCTCGAGCTGTCCTCATGTACATCCAAATTTTGGAACGCATCGGCGAGCCGATCTGTAGAACTTTCCGTTTTCTCTTTGTCCGAATCATCATCAATGCTCAAAAAGCTCAGACGTCTTCTCGTAGGAGAGCCGCGAATAAGCCTTCTCCTCGGTGGCGCAACCGATGGAGTTGGATTCCTGATCTTGGCCTCGTCTTCGGACTCCGAGGCAGAAGAATCATGATAACTCAGTTCAGCATCATCATCAACAATGAATCCACTAAGATCAGTGTCTTCTTCATCGTCGTCATCATCACCGTCCACGGAATCTTCGTCATCGTTGCAGTGTGCCTCCTTCAAAACGAACCTGCTCGTGTAACTCGACATTTGAGTCTTCTTGCGTGGACTCTGTCTAACCTCGGATTTCCGTGCCGCCTCCGTCATGAGAGACATCATGGACTGTTCCCCGTTACTGAATATTCGGCAGCTTCCGACTTTGGATTGTGCTGCAGTTGGCCTTGACGAAGGCGGAAGCTGCTCTTGCTTGGCTATGGCTGATCGAGGCAAGAGTAGTGAGTCCACGTGTGGGATTCTCAACGGGCGATTCTCTCTTGCTGGTGATTGTCGATTATTCGAGGACAAATGTATTTCTGTAAATACTGCTCTCCTGGATACACCAGGTACTGGCACTGGCGGCTGCAGATTCGCGGCATTCGTCGGAGAGGCCCCTCTTGTTGTCGTCGGCTGCACTGATGCTGGGCTGGCAGACTTGACAGGGCCAAGATTGCATGGTTGTTTCTTCTTCTCTGGTGAGCCAGAGGAAAATTCAGCCACAGTTCCCTTCTTCCTAGGTGACCTCCGGAGATTGGAGTTCGTGCTGGTTGCCATCAAAGGTTTCGGGGCGAGGATGGCACTCAGCTCCGGGAATTCATCCTCGGAGGAATATGAAGCCATCCTGTATAAGACGTTCCTCTCAGTAGTGGATTTCCTTTCCTGCTCTTAGTCGAGCTAAACGAGATGTAAGTTGTCGTCGCTAGAAACAGGTTTCTACAAAGATGGAAGTGACATTTGAGGAATGTTTACCTTGCCTGATTAGGAACTATGCTTGGCGCAAGAAGCCACCAGACAACCAGTCATGGCAACCAACCACAACAGCTTTCATTCAACGACATACGAGTATGTAGTAGTAATTGTGTCAAGCCTACTCCGCTAGCTTTCAATCTTGTGCAACAGGTAGTAATTGGAATATTGGCCATGATCGCTATACCTATATAAGTGCAAAGCGTGCCGAAGTGGGCTGCAAGTGTTAGGTGCAGGCGCGAGGAATCGGAGGTAGTCAATGGCTTACATAACCATTATACTCCGAGACGGATGGGTGATGGGAATACAATACAAGTTCAGAGATCTACTCGCCCATGCAGCCTCGTCGTGCAGAGTGGTGGCTGGGCACCATGATTTATTCCATGCCCGTCGTACTACACTCCAAATTTGAGCGAGCGTCTCCATCTCAGTATTCATCAAGCGGACTCATCAGAAACTATAGTCGATCACCAATTGTGTGCCCCTTTTGCAAAGATCAATGTTAATGATGATTGATGACCTATCGAAACGGTCGGGTTCGATTTGAAAATCGGTAGACCTCCCCCCGATCTCCCAAAAGAATGCAATCATATCAACACCACAATGGCCAAGGGTAAGAAGTTCTTCATTGTAGGCCCTGGCTTCATCGGTTGGAATGTCGTGGATCGTTTGATACAAGAGCCATCAGGTGACTTGACTGGTTCGACGCGCGGCTCACGGCCAGCAGTTACAACAATCTGGCGCGGAGTTCATCATCAGCGACCTGTGCGATAGCGTCACCACAAACACCAGACCATCCAGCACGACCTCATCTTCCTCGCCGCAACGGCCAAGCACCTTCGTTTCGTCGAAGCCGTCCTGGCAGGGGTGGCAGAACGGGCCAAGCAAGGCAAAAGCGTCATCCTCACTCACAACTCTGGCACATCGGTCCTCAACGACAACGCCAACGGCGAGCTCGAATAGTTTGAATTCTACCAGGATAACAATGGCGAGCAAATCGACTCTCTGCCAGATGATGCACCACACCGAGCCATCTACCTGAGCACCGTGCTAGCCCAGCAAAAAGTCGGTGACAAGGCTAAGACCGCTATTATGATTTCCCTCGCTCAATCCACAACACGGCCGACTCTCGATCGAGATCCTTGTACTTACACGTTTCGACCTGAAGCATGGCTACACGGGCCACATCGGTAGGGGCGTTGTCATGGAGTCACAGATCCACGTGAACGACCTGGCTCGTGGATACGTCGTGCTCCTGCACCACATTGACACTGCCTCCCCTGCAGAATCCCTCGACAATCCGTACTTCTCCAGTGAAAACAGGCGCGACATGTCATCGAAGGCGATCGCCGGGGTGATCGGTCGGGGGCGGACCGGCAAGATCCAAAGTCCCGAGCCGCGAACCATCCCGGAGGAAGATTATAAAGAACTGTTCCAAGAGCTCACGGGGAGCGTCGTCGGCTTGCACAGTCGGAGTCGTGCTGTCCGCCCGCGCCAGCTGGGTTGAAAGCCTATTGAGCGGAGTGTTGAGGATAGTTATGGGATGTTCGAGTTGCCGGCATTGTTGAAGGGGTAAACGAGAGAGCTTATGCTCGTACTGGCTAGCCAGCCGAGGTCCTGTCCCGGATGCTGTGCATGAAGTTCTCACAGAAAGATGCCAGAAGGTGGGTCTCACGCTGGTCTGATCAACATGGGACATTCTGCGAAAAGGATGCTGCCTAGATCAATCTCGATGGGCGGGCATCCTTGTATTTCCTGACAGCCTGGTCCTAGGAGGCAGCTGGCTTAGTTCCACCAACATGTTAGATTTATTCACACATTCTGATCCCCTCGGTTCACATTGACCATTTCGTAACTTGGACCAGCATCGACATTTCGGCCGCCCTGTCCATCGCGTACATGCGGGTCATTTCCTTCGGCCGAGCCGTTCGCAGTGGTCTTCTTGCCAGGGGTAGTGCCGAAGGATATGGGTTGCAGTTCCCGGTATCTACATGCCCAGACACCCAAGCTGACCATGAGTGTGGCACTTGCAGCCTCGAGGGCCCACCACAAGAGATTTGTTGGGATGGATCTCGTATAGAAGGAGACAATGACGAGGTGGATAAAATGAATGGTCAGGGCAAAGTCCGGCACCAGTTTGGAGCGGGAGACGAGAAGAAGGATGGGAATCACACTGGAAGGGCGCGTTAGATGCGGGATTTGATGGAATACCAAACGGGGAAGACATACGTTATGAATCCAACAATGACCCAGAGGAAACCGACAGTCCAGCCGATGGTATTGTCGCCTCGAACACTGTTCCAATCGAAAATCAAGGCCAAGGAGAAACTCTGACCGAGAACAAGAGTGGTGAATAAGATCAGGACAAAGGCAGCCACGTAGTAAAAGAGTTGTAGGAGCAGGATAGAGCGGATGATTTTCAGAGGAGGCAGTTCAGTCAGGGCGCCTGCGCGAGGTGGCTTCCGCCGACGGGGCGGCATTCGCTTGTGGAGGCAGAATCGTCTCAATTCTGGGAGATGTGTGTTATCATCGTTGTTGGATGCTGGGATTTGTCCTGAAAAGGGAGAGGAAAGGAGTCCTGCAGTGGAAAGAATAAACTGATGGCAACCTGGAGATGCCACTCTTTGACGTGAGATCAACGGAATCACGTGCAGTCCTCAGTCATCGTGGGTGGTGGACTGTGGTTTCTCCAATTCCGACCTCCCGCTTTCAATTTTGGGGGACTTTCGATTCCCTGACGAGTTGCATCTAGTAAATACCTACATAGCTTCCGAAGTTTGATGTTTACCATTTTGAAGGGCCCGAATATAGCCTTCGAATAACTCACAGACCTGCCCACCGACAAGTTCAACGACCTCCACCAGATCAAACTTATACTTTCTTCCCACCGTCTCCTTCAACGGTTCGATCCTGAGTTCTACCACCATGGGCTGGCTACCCACATGGCTCGGAGGATCAGCGACACCTTCCCAACCGGAATCCGTACGGCCAAAATCTACCGATGGCGGGTTCATTGCGCCCGACCGCAGCGCCCGAGAAATCTGCTACGAGTCAAGAGACCTCTTCTTCGAGTGCCTCGATAAGAACAACATTCTGGATGCAATCAAGGAAGATGAAAAGGCCAGGAAGGTCTGTTCAAAGGAGGTCATAGATTATGAACGCGATTGTGCGAGGAGTTGGGTCAGTTATATCCAGTGGCTTCCCCACCTTTCGGATAGATGTTCTTTGCGGGTTTTGGTGGCTGACTTGGGTGTGCGTGCGCCTAACAGATCAAGTACTTCAAGGAGAAGCGGGTAATGGAATATAACCGCGACCAGACGATAGCAAGGATCCAGCAGGATGATGCCAAAATGGCTGCCAAATCCAAAGCCGAAAGAGGCGGGAAAGGGTGGTTTGGATGAATGCTGTGCGCCACTGTTTCCGCCACCGTCGTTTAGGATTTTCAGATCTCAGGTAAAGAACTTCACAAAGAAGTGCCATTACGACCAGCGATTCCGAAATCTATGGCGCTATTGAATCTCCTTATTGGCCGCGGCTGGCGTGTACTCAAGACGCACAGCTGGGATGAGGAAGGCTCTTCTCATGCTACAAATAGAAGCTTGGGTCAGCCGTGTACAGAGACGCCATGTGTATTAAAAACAATAGAGGGAATTGCATAGCGTGGTCTTTTGAATTCGAGGCATGGGTCATCCGTCATCATGGCTGGCTGAAGAAAATGGAGTTCTGCAGCTCCATTCATATGCCTATCTATAAAATTAATCTTCACTCAATTTGAAGAAATGCGTGTACTTTGCGGTTGCTCACTTCTTTTCTTCTCCTTAGCGCTGCAACAGGCCGACAACACTCCCGACCATGACGGCGGCCTCCCTCTCCCAGTTTTCCACCACTTCTTCCTCGGCCTTCCTGGCGCCTCCTAGCACCACACTCCTCGGCAGCTTGGAACCACGCAGGACACAGTCTCGTATCTCAGCGCGGACCGTATCGCGCTGGCTACGCAGCGTGCGAGCTGCGACGCCTCCTCGGTTCAATATCTCCGAGACACGGGTTGACAGGGATGATGCCAGTGAGCGCCAGAAATAGGAAGGCAGGGATGCAGTGTCTAGTGCGCTCAACAGTAGTGACAAAAGGGTCTCAGAAGACGCTGAGGACGACGAAGTTGACTTGTCGGCGCCGTCCAAAGAGTCATCATCATCTTCGCTGCTGTCATCGGCAACTCTCTCTTTCGTAGTCTCCCGCCCGGGTGTTGCCAACAATGGGTGGTCAGGGGCATGAATTCCGCGCAGCAGCACCTCCAACGCCACGATGTTCTGACATCTGGCGCTCGCCTCCATCAACGCTCTATCTAGATTCGGTAGCTGTCCCAGAGCCCGCCCTATCGAGGCTGAGCTGGACGTGATCGCGCTCTGTATGTAGCCTTGAATCGCACGTAAGAAATACTCGGGTTCGAAATCGCTCGTAGCGATCTTTGCCCCGTCGAGGCGCGGCGCCGGGGAGAGATAGTAGAGTATGTGGACCGCACTGGTGAATCGTGCGCGACTGTCTTCAGCTTCGCGGTAGGTTGGTCCCGTGTTCCCTAATGCGCTCGTGCTGGTACTCATGCTCGATGGGCCAGATGAAAGGGTGCTCATGGAGAATTCTCGGACCACTCTCCTAGCGTAGTCGAGAATGCGAGCCTCGCCGTCTTCAAACACTCTTCCACGCACAGTCTTGACCAGGTTGACTCTGCCGAGGTCGTTGCCGTCTTTGCCGCTCATGGAATCGCGGAAGGCGAGAACAGTGAGGCTGGCACGGACGAGAGCGTTGTGGTCTTCTTTGCCGATTCTGGTTCCGCCTCCCAGGCTGGACTCGGCCAGCACGACTTCTAGTTGGCGTGCAAGGCCGAGGACCCTTTGCACGCCCCGTCCGAGCCGGAGGACCTCCCAGCTACGTTGTGCCGCCGTCTTGGCCTCGACCGCACGCTGGTGCCGCTCCAGAACTTCCTTCTCTAGCCGCTCGTAGCTGATTGCTAGCCGGGTTCGTTCGTCGTCTACCCGCGACAGGATTCGTTGTGCCGCTTCGTTCTGCGTCGATGTATATGTCAGTATTTCGAGTGCGGACCGGGATGTAAGCGTGTGAATGTGCGAGTCAATCTCTTGCAGGTCAAATAGTACTCGTGAAAGTGGTGTTGTCAGGTCGATGGAGAGGTCAGAAGGGTTGTTGCTTGCCAGTACTAGGTTGTTGGCGTGTGTATATGGTGAAAAGTCGTCCGATGTAAGGAGGTCGAGGTTGATGTAGGGTGATGTCGCCGCTGTGCTGGTATTTGTGTTGGTCATGATGGATAATACAAGTCCAACGCTTTTACAGAGAAAGGGATATGGGTGTACCCGCTACGTACGCTGGTCAGATGTGACCCGGCTTGTTGATTGACGCAACCAGGTGGCTTTTGGTAGTGCTCAGTCGAGTCAAGTCTTTGCCACCTCCAAGCGCGCCGGATTATATCAAAATTTTAGAAGTCATGGAAAGAGATTTGGTTGGTTTTCTGGTTACTAGCCTAACTATTTGTGTTTCGCAATCAACTTGACGTGGAAGTGGGCTTCAGTGGAAGCGAATTTACGAAAGATACTCAGGAAAAACATCGGACCGAGACTGAGCTGAGAGTCACAAGGCTGTGAGCCCTGATTATCTTGGGTACGCATTGTGGCAACCACAGACCTCCTACTTTCAGGATCTCGCGGTCTCTTACATAACCAGCCTCCGTTTCACCAGGCCTGCGACCGCTTCAAGTGGTATTCTAGGTGGTTCGGGCATTTCCGATGTTGTTACGATGGGAGGAACCCACTAAGCTGAGAGCACAGACGATAGATTCATCCAGTACTATCTCAAGGTACCACCTGTCTCTGAACGCTACGTCGTACTCTATTCCGAGCATTCCGAGATCGTCTCTAATCTTGATCTCTACTATATAAACATTACCAAGTGACTACCGAACTATGGTTTATACTTTGTGAAGTAGAGACTACCAAACCAAATCCTTAGTCATTTGGCCTGAGGTGGAAGACTGGGTGGAAGTCATGATTAGGACAGACAGGTGTGCTAGTCCTGCTTCCGGAGTGCTGTGCAAACAATCCTATGCAGCTACATGCCCCCACGTGGTGGTCAAGATGAAAAGCAGGTACATTATGCAAGCATGCAAGACTGCGAACTGTGCGACATCCGACACGTGCGCTCTCATGCGAGCCCGAGCACATGCAAATTCAGGATCTCAGGCAAAAGGAGTAGGAGGCGAGCAAGAAACATTGTCGCTGGAATGGATGTCCACAAGTGCGGAATAAGTGGTTGACTGAAAGGTTGCATTACATACTACATACTCGTACCAAGCATGTCAGAAGGTCATCTGATATCAATTGGCGTCGTGTCTGCACGGGGACTTGTGCACCAACTAATAGTTCGCAATGGCACGCAGAGATTCGTCCGAGTTGAGCCACGAAGTACCTGGTGCCTGGATCCATGCGGAAAGAATCAACGCAGACTTTGCCTTTTGAGGGTGGGGACCAGCCTAATCTCTCTCCACAAACGGGTACCTGAGAGGCCAGTGTCGACCACGCAGGGCGCACTTGATGGCTCAGCGACCATGACCCTGCCCTTGCCTAGTAATTGATTAACTAACGAGGTATATTTCTGCATTCAGCGGAAGCCTAGAGGGAGGAATACGCATGACCGGGTCCGACGTACAGTACGGAATACTCAGGACCCGAGAAGAAGGGCGGCTGGGTTGGTGCCTTGATGGGGGAGTCAGTGAGTTGATGATATGAGAATGACGTGCCGTGTGCCGTCTTTTCTCGTAATCTGCTGGGGATGCATGGGTCAGCGTTGAGTCAGAATGAAAGCATGCTCATGTGGTTGTGGTTGTGGCTGTGAGGATGGGATGGATCATGGCAGCCGAGTGGCAGAGATACTCGTGTGCGAGTTGAGGGCAGAATGGAAAAGGTGGTTTCATCGTGTGGGTTAAAAATGGATCTATCGTCGGTGCTAGATTCGTCCGGTTTACAATCATGGCAGTAATTAGTGGGATGACAAAAGGGTCAAACAGTCAGTGTGAATACTCGTAGAGCCTTGGTGAGAGGAATGATGAAGGATCAATTTTAGGCGGGGGGGGGTGGGGCGGTTGGCGAGGGGCAATATCGATAAAGATGGAGGGAGGGGGACGGGGAGGGGGAGGGAGAGGATGCCCTGACTGGCTATGCCTGTTGAGATGGTACAGGGGTAACGTAGAGCGCCAGCAAACAGATGCACTGCAGATGTCTCGTAGCCTGTAGCTTGGGCCTTGTCCTCGGTATGTGGGTGTGCAGACCTGCAGGCGTCGGGTTTGCACCCTCCGCCCTCCACCAAAAGTTGTTTTTTAAGCTCTAAGCCGAGGGAGAGGGTGGGTTTCTCTAGGCCCGTGGATTGTCCTTCTAGCGGCTCTGGTGCCTTTTTCCGGCTATGTTCGCTGACCACCTCGTCTTGACTTCAGATGACTTGGATCGTGCAGCTCCATCCGCTTCAGCCCGCAGCCCGAGCGCTGCCAATTAGTCCTCTAGGCAATACATTGAACCAACCACAGCCCCCAAGGCACAGGAACCCTTCCAAGAAATCCAACGGGGCTTGCGAAGCAGACTGCGACATGCCCCTCATCGCAGCCGAATGACTTGGTGGGCTGGACAGTGACCGCAACGATTGATGATTTTGGCTTTTTATCGATCGACTTGCTACCAAGTTAGTTAGGCCCGAGGGTTCGAGGGGGCGTTGCGTGGCGGCTACGCGTGCACGTTGATACCGCAATGTGAGCCCATTCTTGGAGTTGGGACTCGTGGGGAGTGGGCAGACTGGGCAATGGGTACTCCGAACAGGGCACAGGGCACTGGGCACAGGGCACTGGGATCTGCTCCAGGGCCGAGGGGCTAGCAGTAGTCTCTGCCTATCATGGCCATCATAGAACTTACAAGGTGCTCCTTCCCCTTGCCTGCGCCTGCGCCTGTGCCTGTGCCTATCCTGATTTCTCCCTTTCGAGATATCCCATTCCTGCACCTGCTGCACATGCACCTCATACTCCGTACTGTATGTACGACGTACTCCGTACATCCCGTCCTCTCTCCTCCCAATGACATCTTTGGCTAATTCATCTCTTCTATCCTCTATCTTGGTCCATTCGTCTCTCTTCCATCTCATCGTTCCATCTACCTGGTACCGTCTTCCCCTACGTTTGCCGCTTGACGCCACCTGTTCGTCCTTTCTATTCCCACACCGCTCCGGGCTGTCTGCAGTCCAGTCCAGTCGAGGCGACAGTCCACCTCGGTGCCGCCCCCGTTCTCCACACCTGTCAGGGATTGCCTCGTACCCATCGCCACTGGCAGCGCCTACGCCAACGCTGCCATTTCACCCGAGTCTGCTTGCCGTCACGGACAGCCACAAACACCATTATCACCATATCCAGAACCATCATTGTCAACCACTACCACTCTATCTCTCTTGTCGCAGCCTTGGGTCTATCATCCTCCTCTACCCTAAAACCATCTGTTAGATCATCCTACCGTCGTCAGCTAGTCTTTCTTCGCCAGGCGCCATTTCGGTTCCTGACAACCCCATGGCCTGTCCACGTATGCAGCCTTCCTGAACCCTCTTCGTCCGAAAACCCCTACCTTATCACCGTTACTCCAGCCCCTCCGACACTGTCCGTTGCCACGCTCGAGTCCTTCTAGCCACCAACCTACCACTCCTCAACCATTTGCAACCCTGCTTTTCCTCACTCATATCACGGCTGATCAATCTATCCTCCACTCTGTTTCCGGATGCGAGTGAAATCTGTGGCGTAAGGCCGCAACCCCTCGGCTCCTACCACGTCCCATAAAGGCCCTCCTCAACAGCAATGGCCGCCATATCCAGCCTCGTTTTGAGCGACAGTTTACCACCAAAGGACCGATCAGAAGAGTCGGACACCCCCACAACTCCTAGGCCGAGCCATTTTCCTATCATAATCGCCGACGGAATCCAGTCCGGCCTCGGCGACCCTTCATTTAGGTCATCACAGCCTTCGAGTCAAGGTCCCCATGAAGATGGCCCAATTCCACATCACGAACATACGATGGACAGGGGCAGCAGCGATGACCGAATGTCCGTATCCATGGACATGGACGACGACGATGAGCAGGATGGCTCCGATAACGACGGCGAGGCAGGTGACGCAGACTCTGCCTCTCGTAAGAAGAAGGGCCAAAGATTCTTCTGCACCGGTTATCCCCCCTGCAACTTAAGTTTTACCAGAAGTGAACACCTGGCCCGTCATATCAGAAAGCATACAGGTGAACGGCCATTCCAGTGTCACTGTAATCGCAGATTTTCTCGCCTGGACAACTTACGCCAACATGCTCAGACCGTCCACGTCAACGAAGAGATTCCGACAGATTCTCTTGCCGCGACAGGAACACGGTTCCAGCGACAGATTCGCACCGACCGTGTACGGCCCACTGGCCGTCCACGCACCGGTACTGCTGGAAGTTCTGGAGGTCATAGTCGCGGCCATAGTCGCAATCTCTCCGCCTCCAGCGTGGGTTCCACTTCTTCGAACTACAGTCTTGTTACAGAAGCCAAACGCAGGCCTCCGCCCCTTCTCATGGCAACCGATTCTTTGAATAGACCAAACTTGGGCATTGAAACCCCGCATACTCCTCCAACCCAGTATCGCGGATTTGATGGAGCGAGCACCAGTGGTTTGAGTACACCAACCTCCGCTAATTTCTCAACAACGACTCCTGGTAGCCCTGGTTTTTTGTCTTCGATGGGCTCTCCAGTGTCCTCGACTTCTCGTGGAGGTGGTTTTCTAGGCTCGAGACCACCAACGCGCCGACTCAGTGTGCCATCCGGCCCCAATCCATATCAAAACCACTACCCTCCTGGCTATCCAATGACTTACATAAATCAGATGGGACCACCAAGTTCTGGCGCGTCATCGAACTCAGGCGCTTTGGCCAGCCCTACCTCGACTTCATTTACAATTGCTCCGGGACAATACGTGCCACCAGGAGAGGACTGGAGAAGGCGGACATGGCACGCATCCACCTTTCCAGCCTCCAATTTGAATTATCACCGTCCCGCAACAAGTGGATTGACGTATTCCCAAACACCTGACGCACCTCAGCCAGCTTATGCCCAGCATGCCACAGCCGCGGCAGGGCAAGCACCTCGACTTCCAGGTATCGAGAGCTTTGACCATGTTCAACATCGTCCGTATACGCCACCCCGTCGTCAACCGAGCCCGATGCAACTGGATTCCATACCAACGGATCCCCAGCTGTATGCTTCTGCCCCTCCTCATGATCCTCGCAATCGTCAGGGCCATCTATCGTGGGAAGGTCCTCGCACCAGCCAATATCCCGAACTTGATGACACAGTAGACAAACGTCAGGTCACCGTTACTTGGGGACAGCAGACAATTAACGAGATCCAGAACGTCGGCATGCGGCACCAGGAGGGCCATCCAAATATGGACATGGGGCCACCTACGTCGTCCATCAACCATTCCCAGCAGCAACCAGGCCTGGTACGAGAGGTTCCGGATACCCCCGGTTCCGCTAAGCAGAGTAAGAGGCAGGCTTGGTACAATGGACCGCTTCATGCTGCTCGAACCTCTCCAGAAGATTCGAGCAGCAGTGATGGAGTCCCTACCCCAGGAATGACGGCTGTCGAAGTGCATCCAATGATTATGCATAGCAGTGGGTATATGGAACCCCAGCAGGGACCACTTGCTCCCGAGGGGCACCAGAATGTAAGTTTTTACCAGAACAGAGCAAGGATTCCAAAAGCGTAGGCTAACCCTTCTAAAAGGCGTGTCTTGCGCCTTCTCCATATATTGAGGATAGCCGTCATCACCGAACGGCCTCCTTCCATGATCGTAGAGGGGCTGGCGGTGAAATGAATCGACTTGAAGCCCTGGTTGCAGTTGCTACCAGTGGTGAGAACGGCGGGCGCTGATAAACCCCTTCTCGAAGTCGAAAGTGTCGTGAACGCGATACTGCTCGTCTTTCCAATTACTTTAATCGACGATGAAATGTAACGATGACGATAACGAAGACGTGGAGGCATTCTTGTGGCACGCAACTCTTCTAGTCTTTGAATCATGACGGCCCGCCTCTCAAAGATACCCATAACGACTCTTCTTCAACATGGTTTTACATTCGGTTTTGTGTTATGTCGGCATTTTTGTCGCTAGATGATTACTGCTATAGGACTTCTATTCACGTCTGCAAGCGGGAGTCGGTATAATTGCTTGGTTTGTGAGGTATCCTGCCCCACGGGCACCCACGTTTCTGATTTTGGTCTTCCAACTGGGGCTTGAGAGGATGGGAAACTCAATCTCTTCGCTCCAGGGGTCATGGATCCCGGCCACTAGAGACAGCACACGACTTTTCGATCTCCGGTGGCCGCACACATCTCTTCTCGACGTGCTTGATCTCTTTGCATCTCTGGAAGGTGGCATAGAAAGGGCCTGGATCTGATGAGTTTGAGCGAAGGCACCTCAGTATATCTTGCTTGACAACTGCTTAATGATGACTTCTATGACGAACTCTACACCCGAGACCTGATTTGCGCAAGTTGCCTACGGTTCTTACTTTTGTGTTTTCCATTCCTCCGGTTACGAATGAGGCTGACAGAGTTCTGGTGAGGTACTCATTGCCAAGCTCATGAATCCAACAGTAAAAGGACATATCTACCTCTTCCCAATCTCCTCCCAAGAGTGTTTTTCACTGCGGCGGGAAGCCACTGGTGATCTACGACGAAAAATGAAAGTTTTGGAACTGAAAAAAAGGCCTTGTGATATGTGACTCGCCTTGTTTTCCCTCCCACGTTTCATTTACCCCCATTACTTCTGATAATCCAGCATGACTTATTACCTCTTTGTCATTGCAGGCCAACGCATGCGCCTCTTAGATACTATGATCACTCTGGGTGGGGAAGGCTGGCTGGCCCTCGGGCCAAGTTGACTGATGCCGACGTTCTCTGGACACGAATCTCAAATGGTCGGTGGGCGTTGTCCTACCTAATCTCGGGTAGTAAGCCTAGCCACGAGTAGGTACCCGATCGATTTGAAAGCGCATGAGGGTCACTGAGTAGATAATGACCCTGGAAGAGAGCATGAATTACTACCTATTTCAACCGAACCCTTGCAGACGACAGTTTGCATCTCACCCAGACGGAATAAATATCGTCAACCCTTGACGTGCAGCAGATCTGGAAGGCGAGACGAGGGTTGGCAAGGTAGGCGGATCGTGAGCAGGGCTCGAGCAGCCTTAAGGCAACAAGATCTGTTACTGACTGCTCATGTTATACCATGATGCACTTTCACGGAACAGATTTGTTCGCCCTCGGTTAACTACGTTTTCCCGGCCATGATTTCAGGCCATGAGACCAATCAGCGAGTGCAGGGGCAGGCCAATACCTCCACAGTAATGATCCGGTCGACGCGAGTGTTTCTGGATATGTTAGTCTCTCAACAGGCAGCCGCCTGTAAGAGCCGGACGAAGACTACAGTGAGAACGAGGCTGGCTCGGGAATATCACATCATGTGAGGAGCCTAAAGACAAACACGGAAAGAGAGAAATGTCGTTGACGAGGGAGGATACACGCGTATCGCATCGCTTTCGCGTGCCGGTATTGAATGAATGATGCTTTAGGTATGGTGATGGCGAGCTCAATATTGGATGGTGAATTCTGCCTGCGAGTGATGGGAGGCGAAGAGAGAAGGGGGGAGGCGTGTTCACATTCGCCGGTGACCTGCTCCTTCACTTTTTCACGTTCACGTCCCTATCTGATCTGAGGCGCAGGTCCCGGTCTTCACTCCAAGTTCAACTTCATCTTGAGATTCAACCTCAAACCTGCCAACATTCCTTCAACACTTGATAAATTTCTGGTCTTTTCCTCTTGTCTACTTCTTCGCTCCTCTTCTTCCCACCCACGGTCATTCATCATTTCTCTGCCGTTTGATATACGTTCTTTAACCATCTCTCCCTTTCGCGACACTGATCACCAGTCTCTCTCACTCGACAGGCGTCCCCTCGTCTACTTTGCTGGACTTGAACACAGCTACACCCGCAGCCCGCTATCACGCATTAACAGGCGCTGGCTGTTACTTCCTCACAATGAGACTCACCAACGGGGCTCTCCTACTGGGAGTGGTCTCTGGATCTTGCGAGGCTGGCCTTTTGCGTCTCCGACAAACTCAAGGGCAGGTGGACACTCCTCCAATCTGATCAAAAGCACTAATTGTCCTACCACAGTTCAACTTGTTCTCCTGTGACCATCTGGCAGCCTGTCCTCATCACAGAAGTCGTCACAGAAACAGTCACCGAAGCCCCTGGCACAGTTACCATTCTTCAGCAAGACCCCTCGTCGGTTGCTCAGTCTATGGCTTCGGTTGATACTGTACAAGTCCGGCAGTCAAGCCAATTGAATCCAGTTTCCAATTCTGCCAACACACAAAACCCCGTCTTTACCCATTCTGTCCATGTCTCTGGCTACGAGGCTACAGAGCTTCCCAACGACGGCAGCTCAGTCTTTTACATGTCCAAGGGCCACTCAACTACTGATTGGAGTTTTACGCCTTCTGCATCAATCGTCGCCGAAGTCACCACCGTCACTGTTTCGCCTCTGCCTGCACACCCAACTCAAGAGAAAGGGCCCTTTACCAATACAACCGCGGGCCACATCCCCTTCTCCAGTCCTTCAGCCGGCTGGAACTCGACAACCAAGGAACCCATTGCAATTGATCCAACCGGTACCAATCCGACCTCCGTCATCCCCGGATCGACACTGTCACCGTCCGCATCGGAGCCAATCTACTCTACAAACATCATCAGTGTCGCAGCAGTCACTACAGAATTTATCTCTCCAACTGATTATTCTGCCCCAGCAATCACTCAGCCTCCCTCAGCTGCCGACTATGGACTTATCCCTGCCAATGACTTTGACACACCCGTCAAGGCACTTGGCAATGGAAACTTGGAGAAGCGACAGACTTGTGTTCTGATCTATGCCACCATTGGAGGTCAGCTAGCATCATGGTGCAACAACTGGTCTGGTCAAACGGTATTAACATACACACACTGGGACACAACTGGTAATTGTCTATTTCATCACATTTGGCACTTGCTTACTTATGATCAACAGTGACCCCGTCTGCTCCACTTCAAATCGACCCAACCTCGTCAGGTCCCGTTTATCCAATCCCAACTGCAGGATGTGGAGAGTATGGGCCTTTCCGCATAGATGTAAGAATAAATAAGCCGTTGATACGATTCCACTTCACTGCTGACCTTGAATCACTAGTTCGACGACCTTCCCGTTTTCTCTACGACTGATAATGCAACGACCGATTTCCCACCCATCTGGAACCCCTATCACCACTTTTATTGGGGAGCTGGCTGGTCGTTTGTTCCTCCACCCAAAGATCCTTTTCCACCTCATTCAGGAAGTCGACTGGCTCAATTTGTCCAATCCTCCAAATTTAATAATACTGGCTCACCGAACGCTGGTCTGGTTGAGCCAAGTGCCTTTGGATGTGGTCCTCGCAACTACAACAATAACTACTGGTTCAATGCTCGTTCAGCTTGGGTTGGCTGTGACAACAATGCTACATCCGCCGGCATTACTTGTGATTTTGTTGCCACAGGCTATCAGTGGGACAATGTTACACGAACCGAGAAGGTGGTAGTGACTCAACACTTTACCGTCCCTCCATGCCCTGATTTCAATAATTGCCGGTTGAGGCCCATCAACTTCAACTACCAGTTTTATCAGCTCAGCAGATTGAGCTTTTATGCCAATGTCAAGGGCCAGATCAAGAGCTTTTGGGTGGATGATCTCGGATTGAGTTGGTTCAACAATACCTGCGAAGCTGGTCTAGCACGTATTGGTTCTCGAAAGACATGACGACAAAGAGAGAATGATTAGTCGGGCCATGATGATTGGGGCGCGACAACGGAAGAACGAAGAACAAAGGTTGGGGGAGCATTCTGGCTGTGAAGCGCCATCAGGAGTAATAATTTGAGCTGAGTGGTGGAATCGATGTCGTTGACATGAAGATACCGGGCTTTACGACTGGAAATCCCCATTGCCGTGGGCCAAAGTATCAACGGGCACAAAAGCATGTAAGGCACAGCTTCGACCACCTTCGCACAATGGCGGGCAAGCGAGTACCGAGATCGTGAAATCAGCATCGTGGGATGGCGGGTGGAGATTCAACAGAATCGATTTCAATGATCAGAACCGATATCACATTTCGTCCCGTTTTGTGGGTCCGCTGTCATCATGTGTATCCATTCCATGATGTGAACTGGAATTAGGGAAGTAGTGAGCTTTTCCAAGATTGTCTGCCCACTTTGAACGACGCGTTTCTACGTAGCAATCATTGCTATTGGGCATTGACGTTGGCATTGGCACAGGTATTGGCGTTGCGCGACTTGGAGGAGGCTTGCTCTCCACAACTCTATCTCTCCGTTTCTACGATATGATGCCTAGGTGTGGTATGCTATAGTAGAATACATTGTAAACCGTCTATTTCTAAAGCGTGTCTGAAGGAAGCGGCTGGAGTGCTATTTAGCACATACGCGCTTAGGATAGGGTGAATAGGGCTGCCTGACAAGCCTTGCTGGATTTTTGGTTTTGTTCTCCTGTTGGCTATGCATGGTAACCGCAATTTCCAAGACGAGGCGGTCGCCTACCGGGAGAATACGTGAAGGCACTGCCCCCGCTAGTCAGATGCCGAGCCACGTCTGATGATCGCGGTGCTCGGTACTGTGTCTGCCAAAGAGAACGACGACTTTGGTTGTTGGAGGCAAGAGATATGGCATAGACCTCCAATATGAGAAGAGATATGACATAGGCTTCCAGTATGAGCGCCGGTGGCGCTGGGGGTCTCATTGATGGCCGGCCGGCTTTGAGTCTGTCGCGTGCAGTGGGTGGACTGAGCATTGGCTGCATGAGGGGAGGAGGTGCTATGTTAGGCAGTCAATACCACTGGATAAACCACTCTATACTTGACAGGTGAACCATTCTTCTGCCTCTCTTCTCCAGCAGAAGCAGCGAGATGCGAGGTTTGAGAAAAGCATTGACTCTGCGATGCTGGCATCGGTGTTGAGTGATTGAGATGACATGCCCCGGAGATTGACGTAAATGAGGACGCAGTCTTAATTGGTAAGGGACAAAGTCGATGAGAATACCGATCTCTCCTTTCCACCTCATCCAAATCCTGCAAATCCTGCAAATGGATTTCCACCCGGGCCGCCACCGGAGAACTTGAATTGTTGGCCGCCAGACTGGAAGAAGAACTGCTGGCCTCCTCCAAAGGGACTGCCTTGGAACGGACTTCCGCCTTGGTTGGCCATGGGATCGTTTGGATCATCACCCCTGTCAAAGCGAGCCTTCAACTCGGGGTCGTTGAGGACTTCGTACGCCTCGTTGATCGAAGCCATTTTCTTCTCTGCTTCCTCCTTTGATTCACCGCGTGCCGCGGCTTTGTCCGGGTGGTAGATCTTGGTGGCTGTGCGGTAAGCTTTGCGGATTGTGCGCTCGTCTGCATTCCGTGGGACTCCAAGCACCTTGTAGTAGTCCTTGGTCTTGGATCGCTTGAGGGCGACCTGAGCTTCCTGGATTTTCTCATTGATGAGGTTCTGCGAGTCTGGATGGTTGTCACGGGCGGTGTTGAGCGAGGTGATGGCGGCTTCGAAGCTCTCGTTGTCCATGTGCTTTTGAGCTTGGTATAGTAGGCCGTAGAGAGATGTGGGGTTCAGATCCAAGGATTCAACACAGTATGCCTTTGCTTTCACCAGGGATTTCATGGAGACGTAGGCTTCGCAGGTTCTCTCTACACAGATCGAATAAAGATCAGATGATGCCTTTGCGTGAATGGTTCCATCGGAACGATGTTGATCGATATTGGCTTTGAGTTCTGCAAGTAACCCCGTCTCGTCTTCGGTGCCTTGGCCGACCAACAATTTACTCGCGGAGTTGTACTGCTTGTTGCTGATCATAGCTTGAAGCTTATCAAACTGTTTCGCTATGACCTTCTCTTCGCGGAAAAGCTTTTTGCAGGGCTTGGAATCTGGATCGGAGTGTAGGCATTTCTTTATCTGAGCAAGACCGCGTTCAGTATCACCAAGACTGTAGAAGAGCATGGCTGAAATCTGCAGATGAGGCTCAATGGAACCGGGGGCGATGGATAAAACGTGTTGAAGATCACTGACGCCTTCTTGTACTTCACCACGTTCAAATCGACATCTGGCACGAAGTTGACGGAGGGATAATGCTGCGCCAGCGGTCATAATGGCAAGACCGGACTGATTGATACATGTTTCTAAATCACCGCTTTCCTCTGCTTTGATGGCAAGATAAGCGGCTCCCTCAGCCTCCTCGACTTTTGCCAATTCGTCAACTCCCTTTTCACCAAGGGCGATATAGTCTTGTTTGGCAGCCGTCCAGTCTGCGTTTCTAGCCCGGAGCTTCGCTCTTTGCAACAAGGCGCCGTCAAATCCGGGCTTCAACTTTAAGACGCTGTCAAAGTCTGCACTGGCTTGTGCAGTACGGCCGAGAGAAAGATAAATAGCGCCGCGTTGGAATATAGTAAGGTAATCGGAGGGTTCCCTGGAGATAATAGCATCGAAATAATTCAAGGCGTCATGTCGAGCACCGCGTCCGTTAGCTTCCTTTGCGGCAGCCTTTAACGATGCTATTGGGGTATCAGGGCTGATCGCGATTGAGTCTGCGGCGCAGAAAGGAGCGAGGGATAACCCAAGAAGGGTCAGGAAGACTGCGCAATTTCTCAGTTGAAACATCATTATGGCATAGTTGAACAGTGGTCTTTGAAGAAGGATGTCGGTACAAGCCTAGAAGAAAGAAAAGAAGTACCGAGTACTCCCAATAGAAAAAACAATTGAGGACAAAAGGATGGACCGAGTGAGGCTGTCGAGGAAAGGCGATTGGGGGGCCGATGTTCCAGAAGTCTGGGAGCGGAATGCAACAGCCTGTCCTTTCTGTTCTTCCTGTCCTTTTCTGGTCCTCTTGAGTCTTGCCTGCGTCATGTCACATGGCTTGGCATGTATTTGATCACGTTTCACATCCCGCCCGTGATTTGAACAACCGCGACCACCTCGACGACATCAACGTCCTTGTAACTCAAATGCCAGGCGGTCATCCGTGACAGGATGGAGAATTTCAAGCAAGAATAAGATCATGACTTAGAGAAATGCACCTCGAGCATGCCATCCATGGCAGAAGGCGTAACCTCAGTCCTTGGTGAGGGATCTCCACACCGAGCGAGGAGGGCATCTCTGAAGATCCTAAGCCGCAATATTGGGAATGTAGTTCTCGGCAATCTTTTATTCGACACATGGTATTACTCGCCGTACCCTGATAATATCATTCTGGGGCCGCACCATCATGCTACCAAACACATTACCAGCACCGCCACCACTTCGGATCTGAGGAACGGAAGTGTGAATACCCACGACCTGAACAAGAACGAACCGCTATGTCGTCGACTGTACGTATGTCCGACATGCTTTCGCTACACGCCCGTCGAGCGTGACTATCTACAGCATCTGCACCATCATCAAGCACGTCGCGAACAAGGTCTGGAGACACAACCGGTGCCCGAGAGCGCATTCAAAGTGTACGAATTCGAAGGCTACACAGTGTGGGAAGTTGACGGCGACAAAGAAAAGCTCTACTGCCAGAACATCTCGCTTTTTGGGAAGCTCTTTCTTGAACAAAAGAGCGTCTTCTTCGATACCAGTGGTTTCAAATATTATGCATTGACCTACACGCCACCGGAGCCCGTCGTGTTGCCGCCGACCAAAGGTCGGGGCCGCAAGAGAAGTTCGTCGGTGCTCGATGATGACCTCATCGATCGGACCCAAGTTCTGGGATTCTTCTCCAAGGAGGATCTCTCATGGGATTCGAATAACTTGGCTTGCATTCTCATCTTTCCACCATTTCAGCATCGTCAGTTGGGCCAGTTACTCATGGCTGTATCATACAAACTCAGTGGATGGGAATGGGAAGGAGGGGTGATAGGGGGGCCAGAAAAACCTCTCAGTGCGATGGGCCGCAAGAGCTACCTGAGATTTTGGTCAGAGCGGATTGCTCGGTTTGTCATGGGACAAACCGCCGACGCTGACGCAAAGCGAGTTTTCCACAAGGCACGAAAGAAGGCAGTCAATCCAAGGAAAGAAGAAATGACGGTCAGGGAGATTGGCGAACGCACTGGCATGTTGGGAGAAGATGTTGTCGCAGCGCTCACAGAGATGGGGATATGCGCTCCACTTGTGCCCAAACGGAAGAAAAAGATTTCAAGCGAAATGAACGGTATCACGGCGGTGCAGGGAGAGGGGGAATCCGAAGAAGTAATGACGATGATCGTCCAGAGGTCCAAGGTGGTGGAATGGGCGGAGAAAAATGGAGTTGAATTGACCAACGTCGTGCGAGAGGAAGGATTTCTTGGGGAGTGGGCTCTGAGTGATCTGGAGGAATCCGGCAGCAACGGCAGTGGGGAGTCGTCCAGAAACAACGACGATAATAAGGATGCTACTCCGAGCGAAAGCTAGCGAAATCAGATCTGCGAGGAATGAGGGTCTCGACTACCCCGTCCTCTGTAAGCAAGGGAAGGCCGGAAAGGGTCGAGCCGACGATGGAGGATTCTGTCTGAGATTGCAAAGAAAGTGTTTGGGTTGAAGGTTTCAGGAGACAATAGTGTACGAGGGAGTGAGCATGGATTTGGTGTTTTCAGTATAGAAACAACCACAGGTGGGCTGGGGATTACGAGACTTGATCCATTTAGTTCAAGTCTGCTCTTTGCTGAGGTGTCTGAAGCTTTCCCTGCATTTACTTTGACCTGACGGGGTAATTCCCGTTAGATGGGCTGTTTTAACAGGCCGGTTCGGGCAAGCACGAGTAATAGCACAACTGAGACACCCAGTTAATGCTTGACTGAGGTGGATATTGGAAGAGCAAAGTTCCCAAGGCAGCCATATTCGGACAACGATCTCCCCTGGTGTTCCATGGTTTTGATCCCAAAGCAGAGTTGACGACTCTCTAGTCGGTTCGGAATCAGGTCCGACCTAGACCTACCTCAGTTGGTACCATATATTCTGAATTCGACAACCCTGGGCCAAGCTGTCCTAGCAGGGCAATGATACATAACCACGAACCCACTAACTTGCCTAGCGTGTTGATCATGAGGTTTGGCATATATCAGCGATCGCCACCAGGGATCCTGGTGTCGCCTGGTCATGGGCCCAGACTCTGGTTCTTGAGAGCGAGATGACAAGTTGTGATGCATGTATGACAGGACGAATCCAACCATAATGTCACAGGCTCGGGGGACAAGTCCGTGCCGCATGAACACAACAGCATCATAGCATGTTTTGGAAATCCTGCTTGCTCACCGTTTGATGCCAACGTCACTGCCTGGGAAACCTCAAGCCAGCGAAATTACCGAAAAATGGAGTGCCGCTGCTGATTCACAATAGATTGCATGTCTTAGTGCTAGCTTGTTGACATGAGGGCGTTCATCGAGTCCTTGTCCGTTGTGGCAGAACGCAGTAACCGAGCCAGGCTTGGAGGTGCCAGTGATGGTCCATCACAACAATGAACAGGTAAGCATTGAGCCTTTGTCTGTCGGCGGCCGTTTCGGGATGTAGCCTGGGAGTTACTGCAGCAGGTGTTCCTGCCAACTGCTGAACCCCTCCTTCCCTTTGCAAAGCCCCTCGCCCTCCGCAACCCCGTCATGCAGTTGTCGATGTCAACAAGACATGGATTGTAGCTCAAGTGTAGCTTTAGACAGCCCTTATCGATGCCCCCATCGACAACAGCAGCGTTCAACCCTGAAAAAAAAGCAGGCAAGGGTTGTTACTGCTAACGGCTCAGCATGAGGATGCCGTTCAAACTCGAGACAAAGACCGAGAGGGCGCATTTGAGTTTGTCGAGTTGCTAGTAAAGCTCTATGGGTTTGAGGTGTTCGCCTCGAGAAGTAGCTTGGGAAGATTCAGAGCCATTGCAGCAGAAGCGAGGTTCCGAGTCAGACTAGGAAAGACGGTCTGTGATTCCGCGGCAGACGGCTGAGCGGCGGTAAACTTACGCGCAGAACTGCGATTTGTTGGTTCCCCTGCGTCGAGAGACGACCAACCGCAATCAGCTAAATCATTGGGAATGCCGGGACCAGGATCAACAGGGATTAAAACCGTTTTGGGAAACGTGGGATGCAGGAACGGGAAAGCCATCCCTGCACGCAGTGAGCCCGGCTTCTGAGCAAGGGGGTGAGGTTCGACGCAGCTTGAGAGGAGGAAACGGCGAGAGGGACAGGGAGTGCGGGACAGGTTCGCGCGAAGGGCAGCCAGTTCACACAACGCGAAAGCGAAAGGACGCTCGCAAACACGTCCACCCACGTAGGAGAGTTCTTGAACGCAAACTTCGACGCGTCTATAAGGTTCGTTCAAAGTAAATCATGCTGGGATGTACGAGTACGAGGCAGGCCATCTTGCATCAAAAAGCATGTGGTACAATTGTGAAAGGGGAGAGCAGTTCAGGGTTGTTGTTGCACTCGCCAAAGCTGTCATGTCGGACAAGGACAAGTACATGTACTCGTATGGATGTATAGACCGAGTTCAAGTAATCTCGTAGTCCGTATCTGCTAGAAGCCCAACGTGTGTCAGTCATGGGGAGGAAGTTAGTGGTGACAGTGACAGGAGCCATTGGTCTGAAAGAAGCGATGATGTTGTGATTGCTCATGCAGTGTGTGAGTGTCAAGGTCACTGTCAGCAGGGTCTAATATTGTGACAGTATTGTTGATACCGTCCTTCGCTCTCGGTAGATGGTGGGGGGTCCCAATCAGTGCCTCGTAGTCGTACGAGTAGTCTCTCATAGTCGAGGGTGAGAAATGAGACAAGTACTCCGTATGAAAATTTGAGAAAGCTCCCACAGAGTAGCAGTACGTACTCGTAGTTCAAGGAGTGGGGGAAGGGTCGGCTGGAAGACATGGTAAGAATTTGGTGATGGTTGAGTGGATGCTTCGAAGCCATTATGGGTCTGGTAGCGTGCCATTGCTGCGGCTTTCCCAACCTCGGGGCACAACGGATATTGTGGAACCTCTCTGTTATGAATCAGGGCGGTGACTAGCTGGCAGCTAGCAGCTAGCAGCGAACCAGGGAAGCTGGTCTTGCAGCCGACTTGCATACAAGACCTTTCAGGAAGCCGTCTTCTCGTGGGATAGTGGCACTCTCATCCGGTGGTACGGACTAAGGACAGTAGCTACGAGTAGAGGGGTGAGTGATAGAGGAGTTGAACAAGCCTCGAAATCACGCAGGATAAGGAAGGGAAATGAGTTCATCACGATTGACAGGTGGATGTGAACGCGAACCCGAGCGTGACATGGGGCGTGGACCTGGACATTGAACGCGAACAAGAAAGGAGGCTTCGATGGTGGAAGTATGAATTAGAAACTGGAGAAGGACTTGCATGAGACATAAGAGAACATCACCAAAAGGCCTCAACAGGTTCGGAGTTTTTGCGCTTTAGACTTTGAGCCCTGACGCCGCAAAGAACCTCCAGGCACGCGCGCCGAGTTCCACGTATCTTGTCCCTACGAAGTACAAGTGCGGACTACACAGTCCCTCTAGGGAAGCTACTGAGCCCTAGAGGGACGTAGAGGGCTAGCGTTAGTGCTAGCTGGATGAACTGTAATAGCAGCGGGTGCAAACGAGGTGCCCCGAGCAGCGAAAGGAAGGAATAAACTCCCCATTAGGGAGAGTATTTCGTCCCTTTTAGTATCTTGGCGGCGTTGAGTTGTTAGCGTCGAGGGAGTATTTCACAGACCGAGTGCTCTGTCCGGAGTTCGTTGTAGCGACTACCTCCACCCTCGACAAGCACCCACAAGGTCGCACGTATAACGGTCGGGTACCGAGTACCTATTCTCTAGCCTACTTCCCCTAGAGTGTCCCCACCGCATATCGCCTTCCTGCCCTAACAACGCTCACTAGTTAGTGCCTCGCAAGTCCCACGTCCCAAGCCCCAAGCCCCCAGGCCCCGAATCTCAAGTCCCTTGCCCTGTCGGTACAAGCCCTGCGCTGATACCCTGGGCCCTGGCCCTGGCCCCCTGGCTTTTCTCTCTTAGCCCTGCTCTTCTCGGTTTCTTCTAATATCTACTGCTTTTGTATCCCGTCCCATACCAGAGCTCGATACTTCACATTCACACTACTTCCACAACCGTCGACTTCATACACTCTCTGCAGAAGCTGAGACATGTTCCTACCTTGACTTACTTCTACCACTCGTTTCCCCTCCACCTCCATCTGTGGCCACGACATCATCACCATCCGTGACCCTTTCACTACGTCCAGCCTTTACCACAGTGCCCTCTTGGAAGCTTCACAAATTCATCCAGACCCTCCCTACACCTACCATAGTTGTTCTGTCTCTACCTACTACGAGGTACAGCTTTCCCCAACTCCAATGTTAGACACCCCACTCTCTCTCGATCTTCTATATCTGCATAAGAGCTTGTTTTGAGACGCACGGTTCACAACCTGTTCAATCCCTCTCGCATTGACCATCCACCACCGTGTCACGTCCTCTTAACCTTTGTGTACGAATTTCCTGTCTTTGGTAAACAACTGGGCGCAGATCATCCTCTACCCAATGCTGGACACTTGACCACAACAAGAGCGCCACCGTTTGAAGTCTGAGGAACACACTCAACATCTCCCCATCCGTTCATCATTTTCGTTTCACCTGGAACCCCCATTCTCTTTGGACGAGCACCGGAAGTACAATCTACGCCACCAAGGTCGATCGACTGGGGAATATGGAAAGCGTCTCTATGTCGGATGGCGACTCTCAATCCTACTCTCAAGGCGCGGCCTATCCCTGGGTCCTCGAGCATCTGCTCACTTATCCCGGGACTTATGAGATCCCCCTGCGAACCATGTATACTCTGAATGCCACCACCCAAAACCCCCAGCAATGCTCGCCTCTTGCCGTCTCTCCCAAAGTTGCCGGCAATGCTTTTCCTCGTCAGCCTAATGTTGCCGTGGACGACCCACAATCTATGACCACAGTTACCGCTGCTGCCCAGCTTCGAGCAAATCTCATGGCTCATATCTCTCAATTACCCTCTCAACCAACTTCACTACCTCCCAGCTTCATCACAAGCTTTGTACGCCGCTGTTTCCCTCCCGAACTGGACCAGGTCGACTTCCCCCAAGCTCTGACGGCAATGGACTACCTCAAGGACCTTGAGATTCGGAGACGTCGAGAGGTGGTTGCGGCACTCGACAAACTCGGCATAGACCGAGAAGATATCTCGCATCGAGACAAGATTGCACGAAAATACCCCGGCGTTCTACGCTGGGTCATGGACATTGAAGACAAAGAACGTAAGGTCGAAGCCCTTTATACCCAGGTCTACATTGGTCTAAGACGCTGGACCCTGATCAATGAGCTTTCCTTGAATCCTTTCAATAAGTCTAACTGCATTGCCATGCTCAACACTCTTTACCCACCGGTGTCTCCCACTCAATTTGTTGCACCCACCGCTCAACTAACCCCCCAAATTCTGTCGAGTCAGCGGTCTGGATTCTTTCGTTACATTACTGCCGTGGAAAAAAGCGGTACGTCTGTTCTGAGCAGCCTAATTGACCAGAACAAGAAACCTGGAGAGACCACAGGATGGACCAGCCTCCGAGATACCTTGGATAGCTATGTTCGCATGGCTAACAGTGTTATTGATGAGTGCAATGAAATTACTGGACGTGGGCATTCTCCCACGAGCTCATCATTCAGCTCAATGCTTGAGTATGACGATGAGGGCAGACGGAAGATTGATTCAGCCATCTCTTTTGGCTCGGCCAATTCGTCTAATCGCAACTCGGGCCAAAGCCATGCTACGCGCCCCAGTACAAGCAGCAGTTTTAGTGTTGGCAGTCAAGCAAATGGCCACAGCCGTCAGGTATCAAGAGAAAAGCAGAACTTAGACAAGCCTCTCCCTTCGCCCAAGGACGATGAGGAGACAGTCACTCAAAAACCATCAGGATCCACTCTGGAGCGAATCGCTCGCGAACTGCGCAAGATCAAGAGTCGTAACACTATCAAGGATGAGGTGCAACGACCCAGAACAGCGTCGGTGCCTGCAGCTACAGCAATGATGGAGGTTTCCGAACCACCAAACACCACAGCATCCTCCAAGGAGCGAGGGCTCAGAATGAAACGCAGCATCCGCCGAATGAGATCACACACCAATGTTTTGGATGTTGTACGTCCACAAAGTCGAAGTGATGAACACCCAACACAAGTCGTTCCAGACTATGATGCAGCCTTGATGAGAAAGCGTCGAGATGAATGGGAAGCACATCAGAGGTCGGCCAGCAAAGCAACCATGGAATCGGAGTTAATTTGATAATGCACCGCACTGTACCAGACAATGAATCAGCATGGAGAGGATGATTTGGCTTTTTTTTCCGGTTTGGGAGGCGTATTGGACGCGGCTACTGTTACCGCAAACGAAGTGCTTGATGGAGATCACCAGTGAATGTTTAATGACACTGCATGAAGAACGACAAGAAGTCAGAATGTACTTGGATTCAGGCGCAATTGCAATTGCAATTACCTTGTGAGATATTGGTTTTCAGACATGCACAGCTTCCACGAGCAAAAATGTACTCTTGAAGAAGAAAGGGGAGCATGCAAATGCAATCGTGTGGAGCACAAAAGGGCTTAGACATTTATAACCAGGCCGGCGGCTACAGATCCCACGTTGAAGCGATCAGAGATACTTAGGTATTACACGTCATGTGGACACCAAATGAATTCACTACAACCTCGAAGTTCAATTCTTTCGTGTATTGCTAGCATATTTTCATACCGTTCGTGATTGCTTCCCGCTCGTTAATAGTAGCATCTGCCCGGGGATACACCCGGCGGGCTGACCCTTGGGGGAAAGGTTCAGTTGCGGTCGGATAATTGAAAGTCCATTTCCGTGTACCACTCCCATTCCAACTTGGGCCTGTCAACCACGTCCACTCACAGAAATCCCCACAGACACCAGCGCATTCAACAGTGCAAATAGACCTCCCAGCGAAGCTTTATTGCAGGGACCTATTCACCGACGTCTCTCCATCGTCCGTTAATCTTCTACAGAACGGAGCCAGCCCAGCACGACATATCCCAACCTGGCCCTCCCAGAAATCCCCGAACTACCCACAGTCACTCGCCTTCTCGAGTGATAGGGAAAAGGAAATGGACGCCGCAACCACCAACCCGCGGGGTATCCCCGTGTTCCCGTTCATGACGAACGTGTCGGACTACGTCAAGTCGATCGACGACGTCGAATCCACACTGACGCGCTTCCAAGAGATGGTGTCCAAGTACACATTCATGCAGCAGAACGTCGAGCGGCGGGGAGCGGGGCTGCGCGAAAAGCTGCCCGAGATGAAGCGGACTCTCGAAGTGGTCAAGTTTTTGAAGAAGAAGCGGAAAGACATTGCCCATACGCAAGCCAATGGCGGTGAGGACGAGAGCGAGGACAACGGCTTGGATGAGGACGATGACAACAAGAAATTTACATCAGACGAGATCGAGACGACATTCAGCCTACAAGACACGCTGTACGCGAAGGCCAAAATCAAGCCGGCCGAGATCGACGACGTGTACCTGTGGCTCGGCGCGAACGTCATGGTCGCGTACCCGTTGGACGAGGCGGAGGAGCTGCTGCAGGGCAAGCTGGACAAGGCCAAGGACAGCCTCAAGGCCGCGGAGGAGGATCTCGAGTTCCTGCGCATCCAGATCACCACGCTCGAGGTCGCTGTCGCCAGGGTGCACAATTGGGATGTTGCAGAGAAGAGGAGGTTGAAGGCCGAGGGCAAGCTCAAGGACACGGATGGGAAGGAGGACAAGGAGTAGGGGACTGCCACTGCCACTGCCACTGCCACTGCCACTCCTGCTGCTTCCGCTACGACCACCTGTCAGTCTGTGCTGGCCGAACCCCCTTTTCGAGACAATTGGGCTATACAAGACTCTTGTATTGGCATTGGCCGTCATCGCGAAAGCAGGATTGGGTCCTCTCCTGGACCCATCATCAAACGTTCATGGCCACCCAACCCTCTCAAACTACATAGGATTCACGACGTCGGATTGCTGGATAGAGATCGAGAAGACACCGGTGCTGAGAGTACCTCATGGGAACTACTGCCCTCCGGAGTCTTTCAGTCTCAGTGACCGCACTCGTCCGGACCCAGACCAGATCAGCGTCTTTGAGTGGGAGGAGTACGAGTATCGTTTGTTAGCTTGTACCAACATATGCTGAACCACCTCGAGGCTCACTGCCGCATCGCATCGCATCGCATCGATCCCTGAAGCCGGTGGATCCTCCGAAACAGCATCGCTCGTAAGGATGATGAGAGGAAGAGACGGAGCTTGCCCTTTGTCTTCTTTTTGACCTCGTGTAGATAGGAGCGATCCCCTTTCGTGGTTGAGATCGTGCTGTAGAAGCCAGCCAGTTCTCAGGAACGAGCCCTGGCTCCTACAGAATGCAAGAGAAAGGTCGGGTCTTGACAAAGCATGGTTCTCGGGTTTATAGGCTTGCCGTTGTGAACCACAAGGGTATGCAGGAATCAACGAGCTTCTTGACCGTACTAAAGCAAAGTGTGAAGGTCCATTAATCATTATCATTTCCCAGAGGTTCCACCATGCTTAAGTTCTTCCATGGTGGCCATACAACAGACCTACGTTTCTCAGCCCGACTCCTCATAAGCTTCGTCCGCACAATCCCGTCCCTCTCACTCTCCACACAATGTAATGTAATGCTATAGTCATCATCGTTCGTTTCTCACTTTTCCTTGCTTCGGGCGCGCTCTCATCCACTCATCTCATCGTACCAGTATTACATGCGCTATGCTTCCCATGCAATCTCATGCCATGTCATACCAAAACAATTCGTCAGTGTCATCAATCATACAATTCTCTCTTCCTTCTCCCAAACATCTTCTTTATTAATTACGAACTCCCGGGGTAACCCTCCGTTCCCGTTTGTAGTTGTCTCATCCATAATCAGAGAAACAGGAAGCGTTATCTATTGCTTGGGGCCGTTTGTGTCCACGCCGGACCATAGCTGCAGTCATATGAGTGGCATTAGGCGTGACCTCATCTGGGGAACTTGGAAAAATAGACTCGATGCCCTTACGCTCGGTCCTTCTCGGTTTCAAAGTATCGTCGTTGAGGAAAGAGGATAGGTTCAAGCCCTCACAGCCCTGAATAAAGTCGTGTGCCAACTGAGTATTAGTGACGTCGGCCAGGAACCTGTCAGTGGTAGAAGACGAAGCTACACTCAGACCCGGCCTATGATACCCAGACGATGGAATCGGAGAGCTGAAGCTTCGTAGCTTACGAATGGTTCCTGCCCCTTGACTGCCATCACTCGGAGATAGTCGAGCCGCCTTGAAACTTGCCAAGAGAGTGTTGCTGCCTTGCATCACATCTGACGGCCGAATGCTTGCTCTCCTGGAGACATGTTCGATACTGTTCGACCTGGAACGTCTCTTGTCATCTGTCTCACGCAGCATCTCGCCGGGACCTCGAATAATAGCACCTCCTACTGCAAGCATGATCGCCACGCTGAACTTGCCCCAAAGAAATAATGATTTTCCCCAGCTAGCTTTTGTGTTTTCGGGGCTCGTTTTCTGCTTGTTCCGGCCCTGCGAAGCATTGGCTGGTTCGTCCGAGCCGCCGTTGAGAATATGGGCAGTGCGGCTCCTCTCGTAGTTGACCCTGTCATCGGAATCCTCCATGCTATCCAGATTGGAGCAGTACTTTTGGGCGATACTCTCGCCGTCGTAAGCATCCCAATCCCACTCGTGGTAGTTAGAAATAGACGTCCGGCGGCTGATGAACAGGCCAAGCACCCACCAGCTCATCTTCCCAAATACTGCCCAATTTGATCGCCATGCATTTGCTATAACGCGTCTGGCAAGTGCAAGTGGATCTTGCTTAAGTGTCTGAATGTATGTAGTGTACCTCGACAAAGTAGCATACACTGTCTGAATCGTTATTGCAGCCAGTGGTTTTGAGGCTATACTCTTGTGTTGAAGTAGTTCGAGTGGGCCGCGGATTGTGTTACTCCCAGCCTTCACCATGTAGCTTGATCGACGCTGGATCTTATCTCCCGGTGGAGTACGATCGTTTATCGATTTGGGAGACAAGACTGGTCGTGGATTGGCGGCATAGGTTCCTGGGTTGAGGTTATTGCGAAGGTGATCCCCGGCTAGTGGAAGCTTCACATCGGTCCTGGAATCTGCTTTCCGTCGCTTTCGTGGATGCAGAGGAGACTCTTCCAGATGTGATCTTCCCTCTAAATACACTTCATCAATTGACCGAGACACTGCCCTCGAGAACAGTGGTCTCGGGATTTCCACTGGAGAAATGTCAAGATCGCTTTCTTGATTTGGGCGGTCGGAAGTGTACATTTCGGAGGCCCGATCACTTCTACAGAATTCTCGCTGCTCCGCTGCAGGATGTCCGTGGTCGTAAATGAGATCAGCACCAGCAGAAGGAGTTGGTGTGGTCTTTAGTACCCATGAGGTGATGCGTGGGCGAGGTGACTGTAAAGAAATATCTGCACGGGCGTGATTTGCTTTAGAATTGGTGGTCGGATGAGTCCCCTGGCTTAGGCCTGGATCGTCAGACTGGCGAGGTTCAATTGCTGAATCGCGCTCCACAGTCTCCCCAAGTTTGGCGAAGACCTCATCTAGACTTTGAAATGAAGGGCCAGCCGCCGATATTGCACAGTCAGGGTAAGAAACAGACGTAGCGATATCCTGATCAACGTCACCTGGTTGCGAGGAGCGTTCGCCCCGATGAATCAGCCTCGACTCGGAGTCCACAGATGCTTGAGCAGATCGCTGAGGTGAAGTAAGTGGCGGTGGTGAGGGCAGATTGCCATGTTCAGCTGTGTAGGTAGGTAGTAACAGTGGTTTGAGTTGTGTAGATCCTGGTATGAATTTCCGTGGCCTCCTCTTGGAAGGCTGTCTGACGTGTAGCGACGGTCTTTCTCCATTGTGAATATAGCTTGTGGGAGGCAGTTCGGGACTACTCGAAACGTGAGAAGCCAATGTGGATCGTCTTGAAGTAGCCTGGTTTATGGAGTGTGTGCACGATTCTCCTAAACCCGAGTCAACTGAGTGGATGTCATCGTTCGCCTCTGTGTCCGCAGTACGTCCACCACATGGACTAGAGACAACTGGCGACGACAGGTTGTACCTGGCAAAGTAGTTTGCGGTTGACCTCGGAGATATGAGGACGGACTGAGGTCGACTCAAGGGTGCGGATTCGAGGGGGGAAGACGGCACGCGAGGTATGATCAGAGACATTGGTCGAGCGTTCCTCCGTCTTGGAGTGGGCAGTTCGACTCCATGGTGGCTCTTTGTAGGTGAGAGGGCCAGCAATTGGGTTAAGACCTCGTTACGCTTAGTCATGCCACGATTCGTAAGCTCCAAGGATGATCTCTCATCTTCAAGTCTATCAATACGGGCTCTCAATGCTTCAAAAGATCCTTGGTCGAGGCGCAATTCTTCTCGATTGTACTCCAATTCCTGGATGATGGCGTCCTTCCGCTCGACGTCCTCTTCTAGATCTCTAACCTTTCGCTTCAGTCGAAGCTCATTCTCAGTGAGACGTTCAACGGTGTTCCGTATCTCAAGTTCAAAGGAGGATTTAAGAGTTTCGACCTCCTTCTTTAATTGATCGTTCTCCTGTCTAGCCTTCTTGAGCTTTTCTTTCCAGGGAAGATGAGTGTTGGGCGAGTACATTGCATCTTTGACCATCTGTAGCTCATTTTCGATGTGTTGAATGTAATCTTCAGAGTTGAAGCGATGCTCAGCTTGCGAGGATCGCCGACGGGCAGATGTGCGAAGAGAAGCATAATAGGGAGAGCCAGCGGAATTGGGTGACGTTCGCTGTAGGTTAACTGAGACCTCTCTGAGACCCATATCGGTGGACGAACTCTCAATTGAATCAGTAGAAAAGGCTGGGGCCTCAGATACAGCGTTGCGGTTAGCCAATGACGTGTTCTTGAGGTCTGATGAGTCCTTGAAGACGGGAATTGGAGCCCGGGATTGCGAAGAGCGCTTTCGAGAAGCAGCAAAGTTTGCGATTTCGTTCAAGATTGTAGAAGTTGGAGACGAGCCGGTCAAATCACTGGTCATGTCGGAATGCGACTGGGTCTCATCGTGCTTGACGAAACGAGGCGAGCAAAAGTGTGGAGAGTCGTTCTCCGATGATCGAATCACTTGAGGGAATGTGATTGCATTGACGGACAGCCTCTGTGCAGAGAACCTAGCATGGCGGGTCTGTAGCAGTCTTTGCTGACGAGTATGAGGAACCGACTTGGGAGTAGTATTCGAAGGGTTCGGGGAACGATCGCGGATTGAGAGAGCGCTGATGGATTTGGATCGTGAATGGAGGGTATTGGTGGAGGATGCCGGGTGAGCATTCTCCATTGCAATCGACAGGAACTACGTTGTCATGTGTATAACGAGCCGACAGAATGGTTCGAGGGCAGCAGGGCAGCAATGCATACCATTGGTAGCAGTTGCAACGTGTGTGGGATGCGGGCGAATGAAATGCTGGAAATTGAAATTAAAGCGACATTCCGCAGACCTCGGTCAACGAGGTGGAGGGAGGAAATTGATGGATGCAAGTTGTGTGATGCACGCAATATGTCGGTCTAGCAGCAAAAGGAATGTGAGAAGGTCAATTTGTTGTAAGGACTGTGGTGAAGAGAAGTGAACTGAAGCGTTTGTAGAGAATGTGCGCAGGCAGGAAGAAGGACGGTGAGGAAGGAGCGAAGGTGAGGTTGTTGTTGTCTGCTGATGCTGCGCAGCTGCCCGTCAGTCGTTCTTGCCCTTCTCTGGGTTTTTTCTGCTCGTGCACCCCCATGTTTACCTTTTACTCAACTGGGCCTCCCAATGACCACCAGCGCGCGCGGTGCTCGTCCGCAGTCATGGGCGCCCCTGGCTTGGATCGGCTGACCGCCTGACAGCTCGATGTTTAGCGGTCTTGGTGGGGATTCTGGTCATTCTGGTCATTTGCGAGTCTTCCCGAAGCTCCAGAGAACCCTAGAGAACCCCCCGAAGGACCCAAAAATCAGTGGTGCCTGGCCGAAACAGCCGAGGTTGTCGGGCCTTTTGGGCCTGAGCAAGGGACATCCCGACGCGTGCTCACGTGCTTTCTCCGTTCTGGCCGGCGCCGTGTCTCTTTACAGAACAGTTCGTAGACCCTCTTTGATTGCGCGACGACTACGAGGACGCTTCCAGACCTACATCCGCCCTGTACTCCGCCCCTTGATCATGCCAACCATCTACGAGTGCAGGTTCGAATGCACTGTGATTTGCAAGCTAGCGTATTCTGAAGTTGGCGTCACCGCATTGGCATTATTCTTCCGAGCTAAGATGAATGGTAATATTCCTCCCTAGCTACTCCGTACGGCCTTTGTTCTTGAAAGGGGTTGCAAGCCTGGTACACTGCCTGGAGAGTTCCAAGGGCGAGGCCCTCGTACGAAGCACCTGAATACGCCAGAACGGTTTTCACTGACTTTGTTTCTTAACCACAAGTACGAGGCAGGCTGTACCTCCATTGTCCGTTGACAAAGCAGGGGACAACCTATATTCACCTCGCACAATGACCGTCGCCAATCCTTTATTAAAACAATGCTGTGCCATTTTGTGTGAATAGCCTATATGTTAAGGCTCACCTGGTACCCTTGCTTCTCTCTCTCCCCCCTTACCACACTTACCACCCGTACCACAGAATCTGTCAGGTCCGTCCGGAACGGGAAGCGTCAGATCACGTGGAGCACCCTACATCCGAGCCATAACTACGTCTTTCAAGTCTGCACAAATCGTCACACGATGTGCAAGCAGCTCCAGTGGGTTTTCGCGCTCTGCGATCTGAGAATTTGCCCAAGACGAGGTAAGGCAGCAAAAATCATCGATGTGAAGCTATGTGAACTGTTTACCCACCACCCCCCTTTTCGGTCTGCCTTCTGGAAAGTCGGGTTGCCGTATTGTACAGCATCCGTTGAACGGCGCGAGATACCTGCTAAGTGCTACGCTTGTTTTGAAGCGGCAGAGAAAGCAGCGGGTCGAGGTCCTGGATCGTGGCACGACTACATAAAGCCCATTGCTGACGACCTGCAAGTGCCAGAGTTTGTGTGGTTGGTGAACATCTCACCCTACATTGACCCTCTTTTCCGCGCTGTGGATTGGAAGCCAAAACCTCGACGGGTTCCGCTCGAGAGTAGCGAGGTGAGTCCAAGGTCCCAGAGCCCTTTTCCCAACACCCCAGCTGGTGTCTTGAATGGTGAATATGACGCCCGAGACTGGAAACCCGTTGACAAAGACCGCCAGATCCGCCCAGTGAATGCCCAAGGCGACCCACCCATTGCCTACTGGCCTCGCCCAAGAAAGCCGCCTGGAGACTACACCGGCCCAGCAAGCGAAGTACCTCTTCAAGTGGACCGCGGCACTCTTACTCGAGGGGGCTGGGTGTACTGTGCTGAAAATGTCCCCTTACCAGAATCCATGAAACCACTCCCACGCGAACCCTTCACCCCAAAAGCTGAGGCAAGCCATCCTCCAGATCACGCTCCCAAACGCAAGACCTCAGGGGCCGGATCGGACGAAGACTCTCCCACGAAGAAACGCTACAAGAAGCCTGACAGCAAGGTGTAGTTTTACTGGAAACCAGGAGCCAGAGTGAGCCAGAAGGTGCATGTAATCCTCATGTCTTACCAAGCGGCTTTTATTTTTCCTCTCACAAAGCTTCCCGAATGAAAGAATTCCCTGCTAGGCAGGTAGTGAATGATTGCCCCCACCATTACGATTGATGTCGGTTGAGTCATGAAGTGTTAGGACAAAAGGATTCCCTGCTAGCGCTAGGCAATGAACGAATGATGGCCTACACAAATACCATTCGATGCAGGAGTAGGTTGAGCTGATTTGCGTTGGCAGGACTGATTATTATTGTATCAACCCTAACTAGGTAGTAGGCTGGTCTATTACTACAAAGTAATAAAATACAGGAACTTAGCCCCTTGACACCCTTAAAACCAAACCCCAAGAAAATGGATAGAGGGTTCAATTCCCATCCCCTCAAACATTATCCTTGGTTCGCCCGGCGTCATGGCACGTGCAGCGAACAGTGCCGCCAGCACGAAACACCAGTACTTGGAAGATTTGCCATTATACGTTATACACTAGGTAGGGTCGTATTGAAAACTGTCGTGTTATGCGTATATCCTCTTAGTTTAATCCGTGTCGCTTAGCGATACAATAGCTATGACCACAGTCCCCTCGAGAATGATATTTACTCGTCACCGACGAGAATATCAAGGGCACCCTTGACAGCCTTGACATCGACCGAGTTCCGCTCGCTGTCTCCCTTTCTGCCGACCATACCTCCAAGGACTTTCTCGACTGAGAGGTCCTTACCCTCAAGCGTAATGTCACCGACGATGCCACGCGCATCGACTGTGCCCTGGAAGTTCGATGGGTAGGTGATGAGCTGGTCGCCTGCGATAGAGGTGTGGGAGGCCTTGAGGAGGCGCTCGGCGGCGATGGAATTGACGTAAACGCGGGCGTTGCCCTTTGCGATGCGGGTGGTGAGCTCGGCTCGAGGTTCGGCGTCTTTGAAATCGACGCTGATGTAGATGGAGCCCTTGGCCACGTCGATATTGGTGGAGTTGTAGACAGCGAAGCTGCCCTTGAGGTAGCCATCCCCAAGATGGACTTTGGAAGTGCCCTCAGCGCCTGAGCTGATGCTTGGGATGTCGATGGTGACGTTGCCCTTTGCGACGTTGATGTCGGTGGAATACCTTGCCTGCGTCAAAGATCCACGGAGGGCCCCTTCGGCGATGCTGAGTGTGGTTGTGTTGGTGTGCACCGGACCTGGCTTAACGAAGCCTTTTGCGACTCGAACAGAGAACTCTCCAATCTCGAGTGACTCGGGAAGATCACTGTAGTCAACCATGTGGCGTGGTGCGTTCACTTCGAAAGCAGGGATGCCGAAGGTGCCGATGATATTAGACGGGATTAGAATCTTGGCCGAGGCGTAGATCTCGAGTTTGCCACGGATGGGAGTGTCAACGGTCAGATAGCCATCCTCTTCCTTGACACTGACAGCTCCATGCTTGTCGCGCTTGTTGGTCTTAATATCAAGGTCGATGACAACTTTGTCTGAGAGCTTGGACGTCTCAAAAACGACCTTGCCAAATGCCTGGGATCCTTTGACGGTGAGACCAGCTGCATCAGCAGGGTCGAGTTCGAAATGGGTTGTTCCCTTGTAGGGTTTCCAGCTATCGATCGGTGGGAAAGGGTGTTGATGTCCTCCGTCCTGTTCAAAATCACCCAGATGGTTTTTGATGCGATGACATCCTCTCGAGACCCCAGTGGTTGCAGGGCCATGAGTGAACACGTCGAATAAGACAAATGCAGCGAGGAAAGCGAGGAAGATCTTCAGTCTTCGTACGAACGGGCTAAGGTGTTCCTGTCTCCTCTTGACTGGGGTGGTGGCTGGCAGTGGAAGCGGCTCCAAGGCCTTCTCGTCGGCATAGCCATTGATGGTGGTCGACATTGTGGTTGTTGGGGGTGTTGAATCAGTTGTCAAGTGTGCAGGAAGGAGGGGTTTGTAGAGAAGTGTATGGCCAGTATTTAGAAAGAGATGTTTTGAGTGGTGCCTAGAGCCCAGGAATATGGTGGAGGTTTGAGGTTCGACAGGCGTGACATGTTCAAGAAAATGTCCCCGTTCGGTGATCGATGAGGTCATGTCACGTCACACATTAGAACTCATTGCCACCCGCCAATTATTGGTCATGGCTCAAACCACACGTGCATTTCTCCAGAATATGGCCTTGGGGTTTTGCTGATGGTTAAACTCTCTTGCACCAAGATGCTACATTCGAAACTTTGCTGTGTGCGCAAGGCCAGTGATCTGTGGCTGCTGGGGAGGAAGCTTCCAGATTGACCAGTGCTCTCAGTGGACTAATCATCGTTGGCCATAGACCAGGACAACGACATGAACAAGGCTTTCCTACACATAATCCTCCATGCTTACCAACCACCCGGAGTGGCTGTTTGAGGTTTAAGCTTGCGCTGTCTGGTGCTTGCGATAATCCTGAAACTTCCTGGTTGGGACACGGTTGATAAATAATTCGTCGAGCTCTTCGTACGATAGCCCTGTAGTTTCAGGCTGACAAAGCCAGAGGTATATTAAGCAAAGCACGCTGAGACCTCCAAAAATGAAAGCCACTTTCGCACCCAGGTTGGCCTTGTCTGGGTTAAACAGATATGGAAGCACAAATCCCCACATAGTCTAGAGAACGCTGTTAGCACGTGCTTCCCAGCTACTAGGGCAGTAAGATGTACTTACGAAGAGTGCACTTTGGAAAACAAAGGCAAGAGATGCCGTTTTGGCACGAAGTCGTGGCGTTGCGGTCTCAGTCATGACGGTGAAAGCCGAGGCGCCAATGGTTGCGTTGTAAAGATAGCAGTACAGCAAAATTAAAGCAACAGTACCCTTGATTGTGCCGGGGGTGGCCACCACTGCTAGGGCTCCTGTAATCAAAAGCACGATCGCAAGTAGTGCCACACCCCAGATAGTCAAGCCCCTTCTTCCAGCTCGATCAATCAGAAACCAGGAGCAAAAGTTTCCAAAAATAGAAAGGATCTGTTGAGTAATAAAGAGACGGAAGCTCATTCGAGTACTGAAGCCGGCAAGTTGCTGGTAGTACGTGGAATAGCTTGCAACAAACACCACTCCAGAAAGTGCTTGGATCGACGAAGGAGCGACGGATATGATAGTCCGTCGTAAATTGGATCGACGGAAGCAGTCGATATAGCTAGCACCTGAAGTCTCCATCCTTGATTTCTCAAGTGTATCGATAATTGTCTTGACTTGTCGTTCGGCCTCAACCTCACTGTAACTCAGTCTCTGAAGCATTTTGAGCGCCTGACTCGTTTTGTCGCGACCGACGAGCCACCAGGGTGATTCTGGCATGAGTGGGAGCAAAACGGCGGACACTACCACAAACCCGTATTCGGAAACAAATCCAGTTCGGTATGCCCAGCGAGAATCCTGTGTTCCTGCGTAGTTGACCAGGATCGCAGCACATAGGCCACCGAAGCAGATTGCTATGGGTGCACCTGCCGTGATAACACCACGTAAAGCTATGGGGGCGACCTCTCCGATGTAGGTAAAGGCCATCGTTGTAAGTATTCCGGAGCTGATTCCGTTAAGAACCATTGCTCCAAAAAAGACTGAGTTGGTCGTTGCTACCACCTGCAGAGTGGTCGAGATAGCTTTGACGAGAAAGCCCAACCCAAGAACAGGTTTGCGCCCTATTTTGTCTGAGAGTGTAGCCGATCCCATAGCTCCCAACACACCCCTAAACTGTGAGTCAAGATCAATAGTATGCTAATTTAACCATCACTTACGCTGCTGAGGGAGCACCGAAATATGCAGACTGCCATGCTGCCGGAAGAACATAGTTGCCTTCATATGGGCTACCAAAATCCTTTCTGAAACGAGGAATTCCCAGAACTGAACCACCCGCAGTATTGATGTAGTTCGAGCTGAGCAATACCCAGACGATATACATACACCACGTGAAGGCGGCTGGATGGGCCCGGATAGCCTGAAAATATGTATCATCTCTCCTCGTACGAAGAGAAGAGCCTGGACTTTGGATATCTGGTGCTCCTCCAACCTCGACTATTGTGGAGGCATTGCGGCCCTTCTTGAAGGCTTGATCTTGAAGACTGCCCATGGTGGTTGATTGATTTTGATAACCTCCTGGAGGGAAGCCCACCACGTCGGTCTGTGGTTAATGCAACTATAGATGGCAACTTGCTTCCCACCGTAGTCGTCTGGAACGATTTTTGGAAGAAAAACGTCTTGAGCCGAGCGAGTGTCGACATTTATGCCTTATCTAAGCAAGAGACCACGACCCGAGGGGCCCACCCCGTCGTGTCGACTTAACCAAAAGGTTAGTGACATGCACCTCGCTTATGAGCCATGTTCTCGAAAGTTGAGAGGCGAGGGCAAATCCTCATCTCGCTTTACGGGTAGGAGTTCGGCTGAAAGAAAACCGGGAGTCAACCAGTGACATGTAGGCCTAGTGACCTGATCTGGCCTGGCCGCGATGCCACCAAAATCGTGAATAAGCGGTCTCGCCTCTCTCCAGAATCTGGATTTAATCCCTTGATCGCAATGCTTGATTGTGGATGAACCGATTGTTGAGTCGCGGCCCCTGCTTAACGGAGCATATTGTGCAGTTAAGCACGGGTCGGCGCCGAGGTTTCTTGCCTCTGGTACACACTACTGCAGCCAAGGATGATTAAGGCCAATGACTACTCCGTTCTTGGAACCCGTATCCCAAAAGCGCAATTTTCTTTCGTGTCCTGTGCTTATTACTCTTCTGGTACGTACCTTGTACAAGCATAATTAACCAACAGGCTGCCCACAAATTGCTCGCTGCTCAGCCCACTGGCTTTTGGGTCCCGCAGCGGCAAGAGTCGAGCCACTTAGGCCTAAGTGAGTAAGTACCTAGGTAGGTATCTAATTAGGTAGGCTCAACTGTCCACCGACTTTTTGGCACTGGCAAGCGATGCCGCCCTTCTCTCATGCTTGCTGCCAAAGGCTTAGAAGAGTAAACGGGGGAACTTAGCCATGACAAAGAGTCGTTGAAGAGGGTTGATAACCCAAGACATTCTAAGATATGAGCAAGCGCCGAAAACCCCTGCCGCTGCTTTTCATTGTTCAAGATGCGCAGACTTTCAGTCATCCTAAATCATTGGCAGAAACACGGGCAATCAGTACCCACGTGAACAGCCGCTACAGGGAATGGAGGAAAACCTCTCATAGAGATCTCCTTCTTCACCATACGACAAATGCTATCTTGACTTCAAACCCGCCAGTTGAAGATATCGTTCCTGCGAATGATACAAATCAGGTCACAGACGATGAGATCGACCGGTTTTTCGCAGAATACCGAGACCAATTGATGAAAACCAGCCGTCAATGGGTCTACGGTTCCTTCGATGCAGAATACCTCCCAAAGAGAAAGGAGAAGCTCAGACTGCCAGAATATCTGATCGTTCCCCGATTTTCAAGGCTTGGTAGCCAGACGTTGGATCCTTTCGCGCCTGATTTCTTTAGACATGATCCTGAATTGCGGTCAAACTTGTTCTACTACATAAAGATCATTAGGCCGTTTGCCATCCATCTATTGGAAGACTGGTCCTGGATCAATAATCTATCTCAGGTGCAATCGTCTCCAGTGTTGGCATATGCTGTCGCGGCGTATGCATCAGTATTCCTGTCAGGCTCCCTTCGTGGAGGGCCTGGCGTAGTACTACCTCCACCGGTTGAGAAAGGTGAACACCCTTTGTGGCAGATTCCTCCGTGGCTTCGGCTGCAAACAAGTTGCGTGGTCGAGTTGAAGGCGATACTGAGCGACCCATCCAAGGTCGATGAGTCATGCTATCAAGCTGTCATATTCTTGTTAAGGCTTTCGGTAAGAAGATTTATACTCAACGGGGTCATTTTGCTGCACCGTCAAGAGCAGAGAAGCTTTGACTGGCTTGAAGCTAACGTTTCTTCCATCCTCAGATACTTCTATCGGATGGTGAATCAGGGAGGATGCACCTCAAAGCCCTGAACAAGATTTCTGTCATGGTCAATCGCGAAAATATTGATGCCGACAAGGAAATGGCCGTGTGAGTTATGGTTCCTTCTTGTTGAACCTCTGCTCAAGCGTTTATAGTGTCGCTGATCAGTTCTCTAGCCACAAGATCAACATTATCAGTGCATTTCTGCATAGCCCATCAACGGTCATTGCCAAAACTCGACCAAACAAGATCAACGGCCGTGTCAGAGAAGTGGTCAAGCTTGATCGAAAGCTGTGGACATCCGATCGGGAATGGTACACCTTCTGTGCGGCCACGGAAGCACGAACTCTCACCTGGCGAGCCGACAGTCCAAGCGGGCAGTTGATTCCAGTGACAGCTCCCGCCATAACCAGGATGGACCAGAGCAGTCAGTACCTACCTGACAACGACCTTCTAGAAATTCAGCGCTGCTATCAGATTGCCCTTTTCCTCTCAATCTACCTCAACAACATCTCCTTCAACACTGCCGCGACACGCGTTCGCTCCAACGTCTTGGAAATGAAATCAAGGCTCTCACAAATGGATATCTCCGTAACCACCTGCTTGTGTCAATGTACAATGTTCAATCTCCTAATGATTGGCGCGATGGCCACACGGGGATTTCTCGAACGAGACTGGTTTATACGCAACATAGCCACCCATTACATCGATGTAGTCCGCATCGATCATGTATATCGACTACTGGCCGAGTTTATCGACCCTCTGCATATCGTCTACAACGCTGTTGAAGACACATGGGAAGAGGTGATCAAGTTCAGGTCATCCTTCTCAGTCGGCCCACAGCCTTGGGACATCCCGAGCCCGGATGACATCTACGAGATCGAAAATTTGAGACCAATGAACTACTCACCTGATTTGTCGAAACCGATCGAGTTGATCGAGGTGGAGGATTCAGGTCTCGACTTGAAACTGGGAATTGTATAGAACGCTAATGATGGCATTACAGGCATTGTGGCATATGTACGACTCGAACTGTCGCGATTCTTCTCAGACTGGTTCATATTACATCTCATAGGACACGAAGGGATTTCAAAGTCATGCTTGCAACCTTTTATTTATCACTCGGTTGTGCCCTGGATCTGGAGTTAAAGGTTACCTGTATTCGAGTCGCATCTTATGATCGCAAGAAGTCATGGAGCCGGATGCCGCCTCGAATTGAAGCCTGTGCAGGAGGTGCAGCATGGCCCGAACGACGCCGTAAAGTGCATGTTGCTACATATTCCATCATCCGAGATTTATCTCCTATGGTACCCCTTAGGTGCTCGTTATTTAAATTGACGAAGAGGACGGGATATGTAATCTCGCAATAAGACCCCGAACTATCTGTCCCTCTAGGGACACAGATAGATAGGGACCTCTCCAGCTACCCGCCAGCCACGAAGGCCAAAGCGTCGCAGCAGCCAATGACGTAAAGCCCATTGCAGCTACGTAATCACGAGACAAAGGTGGACGTCAATAAAGATCAGGAATGGTTTAGTAGGGACGGACATCACCATTATGGCCATGTCCTCTCCTCTGCTTCCACAATAATAACAATAAGCAACCCTTCACCTCGTTGCGTCCCTGCCTTCCCCGGACGACCCACAAGCACCACCGCGTAATGCCAGGCTGCTGTTGACATTTGATCTCTCGTCCTGATTAGGAATTCAATACCAAAGCAGGTGCTTGAATATTCACCACCACCATGAGCCTCTCCAAGCTCGCAGAATTTGGCACTCGCCATGTCGCCAAGGGCATCGGTAGGCTGGCGACCGAGGTGATCGAGAGCGGCAGCGGCAGCTATGTGACGATGGCGGGCGGGCGCAAAATGCTCGATTTCACCTGCGGCATTGGCGTCGCCAACCTGGGCCACTGCCATCCCGCCGTGACAAAGGCCGCTCAGACCCAGGCTGGGAAGATGGTGCATGCCCAGGTCAACATTGCCTTCCAACGACCGTATCTAGAGCTCATCCAGTCGCTCTTACCGCTTATGCCGCACAAATCCCTGGATACATTTTTCTTCTGGAATTCCGGTTCTGAGGCGGTTGAAGCCGCCGTGAAACTTGCTCGACATGCCACCAAGAAGCAGAACATCATCGTTATGCAGGGATCATACCATGGACGCACATTCGGAACCATGGCAATGACACGGTCGAAGACCATCTACGGCGAGAATTATGCCCCGCTCATGCCTGGAGTCTTTGCTGTGCCCTTCCCTTACTGTGCACAGTGCCCCATTGCCTTGCGCTGTGGTGGAAAGTATCACTCTGACAACTGTTGTATGGACCCGGTCGACCAACTGGAACTCCTCCTTCAACGAGAGACTGCACCGTCAGATACGGCGGCTATCTTTATCGAGCCCGTTCTCGGTGAGGGCGGCTATGTGCCCGCCGTCCCCGACTACCTGAAGCGTGTGCGTGAAATCTGCGACAAGCACAACATTCTCCTCGTTGCAGACGAGGTGCAATCAGGGTTTGGACGCACGGGCAAAATGTTCGCTATTGAGCACTACGGCGTTCGACCGGATATCTTGGTCATGGCCAAAGGGATTGCCAACGGTTTCCCACTGTCTGGCATTGTCTCGCGTAAGGAACTGATGGACACCCAGAAGCCTGGCTCGATGGGCGGCACATACGCAGGAAACGCCGTGTCGTGTGCGGCTGGAATCGCTGTGGCAAAGGCATTCAAGGACGAAAACATCCTCGAAAACGTGAACGTGCGCGGCAAGGAGTTGCTCGGCATGCTCCAGAAAGCCAAAGCTGACCATACTGATATGGTCTACGATGTGAGAGGTCTGGGATTGATGCTTGCATGTGAGTTTGTCGGGGGGGGAGGATATGCGGCAAAGGTACAGGCCAAGTGCATGGAGAAGGACATGCTGATCCTGACAACGTCCATTTACGACACTTTACGGTTTATACCGGCGTTGAATATATCCAAAGAAGATATGGCCAAGGGCTGTAGCATCATCCGGCAAGCCATTGATGAAGTTGCTGGCAGCTAAGCTCCTTCGACGACCAGTGGAGGCGTGGCTGTACTTCATTGGTGTAGATATAGCATAATGTATTCAAACGCCGTCGTTGGAAGGCAAGCAGGTAGGACTTGGTGGAAGATTAAACCCTTCCCAGGTCCAGTGGCGACGTTGGGAGTTGGCGCTCGCTCTCGAATGTGTAGTCTAAGTGTTGTGCCCAAAATAATGTCTGGTCGTATCGTGCAGTTTCTCCCCTTTGGCAGATCCTGGCTCCAATCTGGAGCAGGGGTCGGGGAGACTCTTCACCCTGGGTGACCCTCTGCCCGGAAACACCACTTGGACTGATATCGGCATGATGGAAATCAGGTATCCTGCTGAGCATCGATGTCAAATCGTAGACCGCCATGATCTCTAAACCTTCCCAGATTGGGCAAGCTCTCTTAACTCCTCTTCACACCGTCGACACCGACAGTCGAAACCCCATTCATCCCTCAACTTCTTTCTCCTCGCCCGCACATCGAGGTCCCTCTCATCGCCACCAAGATAAGTGATGCAGAGTTCTTCACCTTCTCCCACACTTTCTCCGCCCATCTCCTCGCCACTGGCAGCGGCAGCAGCAGCAGTGAACACCCAGACCCGACCTATCCGCTCTTTCTTCACATTTGGCCTGCATGAATGATTGAAGAACGAGGCCTCGGGCCAAATGCCCCGGCCGAGGAACTCGCCGCTCTGCTCACCATCAGAGTTGCCGGCGGGCCGGATGGAGAAGGCGTTGTGCGATGCTCTCGAGGCAATCTCGTGGCATAGCGCCGGTCGGAGGAATTTGAGCAATGGCGTTGGCAGAATGGCGAGGAGGTGGTGGTATGCGTTGATGTATCCTGGCAGTGACGAATTCGAGGCGTACACCATTCGGTCGTCCGCCAGGGTCATCAGATCAGGGAATAGTTTTAAGACCATGTGCGCACCAGGGATGGCGGGAGGTGCCAGCTGTTGCTCGTCGTCGTCTTTTCCGTCCTTGCCGTCATCTGCCGCCGTGCCTCTGGCGGCGGACCGTTTGTCTGCACTGAGAACGGCGGACAGGATATATGCAAGGACGTCATGGTCTGCCGAACCTTCTTCCGCCGTCCTTAGGATTCGCCGATCAGATTTCGAAGGTTTCGTTGTCGTCCTTGCAGCCACTATCTGCTTTCCAACAAGGCCGGCGGCTTTCCAAACCGAGATGATATCCTCTTCTGTTGTCGGCGGCCTCTGAGTCCCATTTTCACTATCGTCTGACAATCCCACCGTAGCGGCTTGCCCGTTACCCCGCCGCCTTAGCTGTTGTTTAGTCGCACTTTCGACAGCGCTGTGAGCAGCAATGCCTATTAGTCCGCAGTCACCGTCCCATTGTTTTTGACATGCCTCCGAGCAAAAGACAGCTCCAGCCTCACCAAGTCGATATTTCCATTCCCTACCTCGATCGTACGAGAAACATTGTGCGCACACCTCACGACGATATGGTCGTAGAATGACGTGCGCTGTCGGCGATGCTGCATGTTTGGGATCATCCGTTGTGGACAACAGATGTGTTCCTGGTTTGATGGATTTTCGAGCGAAGATCGCTCGTCCAGCCAGGGGCGTGGACTTTAGTATGTACCAGTCAGACTCTGGCAATGGCCAGCCATCATGACACATAGGTTTTTCCAATGTGCTATTATAGATTTATCGATAAAATTGATCAAAGTGGCTCAGAGTGCACATCGAAGCGTGGGCTAAGTTGACGGTGGCGCGAGACTGTCGGAAAAAATATTCTCACACAATCGAGGGCACGTGACAAGGCTGGCAAACCTCATAAGCACCGGCTAGTTGTAATTTATGTATTCTTACTCAGGAGCATGGATAGTGGATGAATATGCCCAAGCGAGGATTTAAATGAGCTGCTAGCCATATCATTTCCATGCAAAGAACACGACAAATGTGAACGTTATGACATTGTGTCCTTGTGGAGGTACCCGAAGGGGGAAAGGACGCGGGAGCTCTCAGTGCTCTGAATACTTCACAGTTTGAGAGCTCTTCTATGATATGACTTCGCCTGATTCAAACTAAACGACGACACAAGTTGTGTTGTCACTCGGGCCGCCAGCAGCCTTGCAAGTCGCAGCCAATTTTGGGTCTGGAGTTGTGACATTGAAGTAGGCAATGATCTTTTTGACAGTCAACCTAACCTCGGTCGTGCTTGGAGTCCCACTCCACCAGTTGTTCCCATCTGCCCAGAGCTTCAGCTGCAAATTACCACCGAATTTTGGAGTGTTGTGCCTGTTGGAGTGCTGCAGTCTTCCGTCGACATAGAAATCTACGCCTTGTTGCGGGTGGCAGTCGAAGCGATACTCGTGGAAATCCCCAAGATGAGTGACCACCTCATTGATTGGAATTGATACCGTTGCGTTTGGTATTGGAGATCCATTGCCAGAAAGTGAGGGGTGAATAGTGTAGTTGATTGTATTGTTCACGATTGATGTGCCGGGTGTGACAACCTCAATATCAATCTCAGAACGGTCGTCCTGCAAATGAAAACGTCAGCAACAGCAAAAGGACCGATTATGAAGCATGCTGTTAGGACTAACACGATACCAGAAAAACCCTGCACAGGCTCCACCGTGGTCACCCTCAAGCTTAAATACTGTTCGGTATGTGCCATGTGTCATATCAAGCCTTCTTGATTGGATTCTAGCCATGCTAACTGTCCGGTACGCTTCGAAATCTGCCTGACTGTAGGCTCGTTGCTTCATGACGAGGTGTTTATTAACGATTTCGACATTCTCAAAATCGTACTTTGCATTGAGGCGAATGGTGGGATTGTCCGCGCGCTGTTCGAAGTCATAGATCATCCAATCACGATTGAAATTCGCAGCGTCTGGATTGTTCAATGCCGGTTGGGCGTCAGCAGAGGTGCTGAAATCGTTGGAGAGTCGATGGGTGTAGATCGTATTGTGCGCTTTGAATCGCCAGCCACAAGGACATGTTACCGCCGACGAACAGACCCAGAGACCAATAGTGAGAGCAAAGATGATGTGAAGATGCATAGTACCGATGTGGTATATAAAGGCTGCAATACGGTTGGAAGTCGAGTTGATGTTGTCGGTAAGGATTTGAACGTTCAAGCTGCGCAAGTGAATCGATATGAGGCGACATGTTTGTTGTCAAGGATACTGCTTTGCAGTGGCAGGTCTGTGCGAAACTCTTGAGACATGGAGTAGGAGCCATGGCATGATGCTGATGCAGTAGCTTCTGTTCAATATGGTTTGTACCTGCCTTCCGGACCAACTTTCGATTTAGGAGCCTTGGGTGGCGGTATAAAAGTCGGCGTAGTTGCTGTCTTTGTGAAGGCAGCGACACGTCCATCCTCTCCAGCGGTGAATATAACTCCACTCTAATGCCGGTCAGAGTACTCCCGAGCAGATTTAGGCGTTGGACTTACATTGTCATCCGCAAAAATGGAGCGCACGATCTCTCCACCATGCGTCCCTTTGAGGACTATTCGTTCTCGAAAATCAAGCTGACTTCCTCGTTGAAGCTTTACGAGGTCTACCTGAGCTTTGCTGCAACATGATGTTAACAAGGGGAGCATGTCTTGAGATAAGAACTGACCTGTGAGAGCCGCAAGCGGCGACATAATTTGAGCCGGTTCGGAAGATATCGAGAACGTACTCGCAAGGCACAATTGGCCTGAGGTCTCCTAGCAAATCTGGTGCAGGTCTGTCGGTATCGGTGTCATCAAGGGTAAGCGAATGTAGCGCAAGATTTTGGTCTGAGCTCAAAGCATAGAGGTCGTCTGATCCGAAAAATCCCGCCTTGTGCACCGGCCCGTGGTTGATGGCCTGGATGAGGCTATCATCCTCCTCTGTAATCTGAGTGTCAAAGACACTGACCAAACCATCATCGCCACCGCTTAAAAGAAATCGTCCTTGAGAGGGATGAAAGTCCAGCGAGGTTATTTCATCGTTGTTTTCTCCATTCTGCCAACGCAGCCGGGCTTGTCTGCGGTCCCTTACGAATAGTCAGTCTAGTTGGCAAGCTGATTGGCTTGCTGCCTTTGTTTAGCAGCATAGACTACATCACCTACCATACCGAGACGGTGGTTTCGGTGCCTATCGCAAGGTCCAGGCCTTTGGAAGCCAATGCGTTTATAGATTTACCTGTCACAAGGATGGTGAGTCGAGTGGTCGGACATGGAGTGTCGGAACGGCAATACCTGTTTGGAATTGGGCCGACGGCTGTGGAGTGCGGATATCAAATACAGTAACTACGCCATCGTTGCTCGCACAAACGGCAGACGTGCCGTCGTCTGCAGACACCAAGGATGTTAGCCCTTTGAGGCCGTCCTGGGGAGTAAATATCTTTGCAGTCTGTAAGGTTGCTGCGTGTAGTAGAACAAGCTCATCTGCGGATGTGATTGCCGCTATGCTACCTCCGGCAACTGGGACAATGGTAAAGACATAGACGTCGTTTTTTTGCGATGGGGAGCAGGCAGCGGCCTCTAGATAGATCTGAGGCATATTGATTCCACGGTTTATCTCATCCTATTTCTGGCTGCGGATGGCGTTTGCTACCGAACCACAGACACTGCAGTTTCAGTTTCGGGGAGTCATGAAATAGGTCTGACTGGTCACCTGCGGGGGACGTCGCGGTTAGAGTGTAGAAACCATCATTGAGGATGCACGAGAAGTGTGTGTGACAGACTGACCCTGCCATGCATCAGTGAAAGCCTCAAAATAAGGGACGGTGGTCCAGAATCCATCCAGTGAAGCGCCTAACCCTAAGGCTAACCCCGAAGTGCAAACAAGCTTTATTTAATTATTATTTATTATTGTTAACTATGATTATTATTATTATCTGGGCTTGGTTGAAGCCATTTTTGGACCACAACATCTTGGTTCGGCTCTCTTTCACTGCTCAAGATTATCACTCTCCATTCGTGTTCCCACATACACCTCCTCGCTCTATTGTCTAAGGGGTTTTGATAGGAAATCAACCAATCTGCACTAAAATAAGGAAAATCATGAAACAGGCGCAGGTGAGTCGAACACGCGGACGATCGAAACTTGGGTCTACCAGCGAAGCACCCCGTATTTCCAGGAGAAGGGTGGACGTTTCCAGCCAAATATACCGGACATATGTGCATATGCATCTCATGCTATATAGGTTCCCACTTAGAACATCGCGTGCACACTGACCAATGCGGGTGGAGGAGGCAGCGACCAACAGTGTACCCCTCTATGGAGTTTGGAGCCCTAGCAAAGATATTTGATAGTGGCACATCGCTGAACGAGGCCGGTTGGCATATCAAATGCACGGAACTCTCTCCTTGTCACACATGTACTGCCAATGACATGCGAAGCGCGATGTGTGTGTCTCCGGATTTGTTATAGCTCAGGGTTTTCCAAGCTGTCGTGATCCTACACCGCGAAAATCATTGGATAACCATTAATTTGTATGTTTTGGTGACGTGAAGACGAAACTTTCTACGCAACGCCTTACGCCAGTAAGTAGTTAGCTGGCGTGCGAGCAATTGAGAAGCACGTCGGCCGCTCGATCTCTAGACGGCTGATGGCTGAGATTGTCTGCTGAGATTGAACAGTACAGGCACCGGCCACCGACGAGACAGATGAGGGAGCACTAACGGATTTCGTCACATGATTTTGTGTCGTTAAAAAAGGTGGGCTTGAGTTGTCGACTGCTCGCCCAAGTCAAACTGATTTCCGTATCATTAACAAGGGAATTTGAGCTTTCACCAATGCAGCCTTAGGAGGACTGACAGAGCTCTGCATAGCAACAAGCGCAAAGACATGGCCCATGTCTGCTCTCAGCACAGGCTAGCTAGAGATGAGCACAAATGGATTGGATTTTTGCAATGGTTGATTCTCTGTACAGGCAGCGTCGGAAGATGGCTCGTGGTGATGCTGGATGTAAGCCATGTTTGTTGCTGGGGTCGAAGCGAAGCGTGAAATACGGATACTTGCTCGAGCCTCGCAGAATTACCACAGATCGCATGCATTTCTCGCCCCAAGAGTCCAAGACGTGCATATCTGCCGGGCCCCATATAATTTGTATGCGTTCTACGGATGGAAACGATGCGTGTGGACTACGCTTTTACAGAAACCTTTGAGGCACCCCTTGGCATGAAACCACAGCCTTGCTGCTTGCAGACGTGCATTGGCGAGATGAAAAGGTAACCGTGCAGCTGTAATTAGCTTAGGTACCCGAAGTAGCAAGTTCAGTCCTCACTCCTACTTCGTCGGGAGTACATACAAGGCCAGTCCGATAAACAATTGGAGTGGACGGAGTACCTGCTCGGGATTCTGCTTGGTCGATGAGAAGGTGCTGATCGGTGGCTTGCGAGTGGATCTGACGTCCTGAACCGAGATCAATCCTTCATCGTCACGGTGTGAACCGAGTACTCCTGGGTCCTGGGTCCTGGGTCCTGGGTCCTGGGTCCTGGGTCTTGGGTCCTGACAGACGAGGCACCGAAGTACGGAGGACCTCGGACTCGGCGCTGACAGACAAACGAAGGATGTCCTTGAATGTGATGAAACATCGTTTTCGGGCCCTGGACTGCCTCTCGAAGGGAGACCGATGCACGACATACAATGTACTGGAACCTCAGCGCACATGTCAAGCTTTACCCAGGCCTTTGGAAGAAATGTCGGTGTTTTCAAACCGATTCTGGGTCTTACTCAGAGGGAGCGCAAAGCGAGTTGAGGGTAGAAGATCCAGGGGAGTGGAACGGCCTGAGACAGGTGCGTTGGTGTGGGCTCCCATGGGCCGTGGGCTGCGGTGGACGTGCTTGGCCACCTACGAGGACGGATACATCGTACCCTCATCCTCCGAGAAGGTGAAACAGTGCGCTAGGGGAGAGGCTATTTACCAGATTCCCATCGCGCTGGACTGGTCTGAGCTCGAGCTCAGGCTCGAGCTAGCTAAGGGTGCGCTTCGGCTCGGACATTCCCCCTACTTCTTTAGACGCTTCTCTGTGAAACGGGGGGCTTCAGGACTCGCGGTGTCTCCCCTACAGTACGAGTAAGCTAGGGAGGGTCGGCTCATCACTCGTTCCGGACGGGCATGATCCTGATTTCTGGGAACCGAGCCGCTGGATCGGAGTGGGGAGTGTTGGTCCTTTGCACCTGGGGCTGGAAGTGCCGGGCAGGCCACCCATCCCATGGATCGTTCGGTGCAAACAGGTGTTCTTCCTGTGTGTACAGTAGGAGGGTGCCAGGGGGGTATGGACAACCCTTCTCGACGGCCATAGTATGGCGTATGACGAAGCCCGTGTTCGACATTGAGGCAATTTCAACCCATCAACATGTTATCACAACGACAGCTGTCGCCTGATGGTTGCCTGGCTGGCGGCCGCCGTCTCCCTCACTTGAAGCCCTCTCTATCACTCCCGGTGCAGGTTCGAGCTTTTAGCCATCTGTCTTGGTTGGCTCGGATGTTGAGCCTGGCTGCTGGTTAGGAGATATCTGTCTGTCTTGGTCGTGTGCTGAGATCCAAATGATGATGTCCTCATCCACCAACCTCAAGCGTCACGAAAATGAACTTGGTAGGTACGAGGCCTTTCCATGCGTTCGAGCGACATCCCAAGGCTCCCGATGCAGCTTCGAAGCATTGGTGCGCTGTCAACATGGTCCAAGCACAACCCCTGGCCCTTACACATGCAGATTGGCCAATGATCTCCAGTTCCTCGCTCACCACCATGGATTGGATTCTGCGCGCGAGGCCCGAAGCACGCATAACGTGCCAACGCATTTCAATTCAGGCCCTTGGGAGCAGCAATGATGCATCAATCTCGCAATTCCTGAACAATGCCTTGCGACTACGGAATACCTACGCTTGGGCGATGCAATGGTGCGTTTTTCCCCGGCTGTGCCAGTGGGCTTAGTTATGCAGCACTCCATCCCTGGTCTTTTCCGCCCACTGCCGCGCAAATTGCACTGGTGGCTCATGAGTTCCGCCATCGGTGAGAGCTTTGCTGTCCGATTTCGTCTGCAATTCCCACAATCAGCTAGATAGTTAGATTAAGTTCCTTCGGACGTCCTGTGGATGGTTTGGCTATTTAGGCTCGGAAGCTCTCTTTTAGCCCTGGGTCCGTTGCCAGCCAGTCTCGCATTCCCAGAGTTCAACCAGACCTCGGACCCAACAGACCTGGACCCAGCAATTCAGCAAGATATAGTTGGTGGCGCCAGGGAGAATCTCTGACCATTTTGTCTTGCCAATGCGACCCACAAACCGCCGCACTACAGACCACAGACCACAGACCACAGACCACTACGAGGGTACTGTTCACCGTGGCTCTACCCTCTCCCACCCTCACTCGTGGTGCTTGTCTGCCACCCATGCCACACCCTTTGCCCACTGTCACCCAGTTTTGAATGAGGTTCATGCATGATCCACTCCTATTACCTCACACACTACTGAAAAAAATCAATTCCTCCTCTCGGTCTCCCAGTCCATTTCTAGAGGCTTCTTTCCCTAAGCATTGCCTCTAAATTGTCCAGGGACGATTGATAGTGTGAGAAAGAAGGATCCGGTCGTTTGCCTCTGGATTTGCTCTGGTTCTTATGTATGTTACGCTGTTCGGCTGCGAGGTGGGTTTCCTCACAAGCTTGCTAGCAACCATATCCACCTGACCGCTTCGCGCCCTGCCCCGGTCGAGAAACAACATGCCTATCCATCTCTCTACTAATTAGACTGCCCTCCGTAGTGGGACAGTTCTAGGCGGGTTCATCCGTGCTAACCGTACTTGATAAGTACAAGAAGAAAGTGTCCCAAGGTCAGACTTTTACGTTCGCAGCCTTGAGAGCGCATCTTCTCTTTACTTCATCATTACCTGATTTTCCTTGCCAGCCAACTCATGGCTGTCGTTGGCGCCGATACATATGAGGAATTTGGCAGGGAGTATGGCGCATTTAGAAGGCAAGTGACCCCGTTGAGCATCCACATTGTAGACGCTGACTCGTAGATTTCAGAGATCAATACCTAATGCCACATGATGAGCGGGAGCGCGACAGACTCGATGTGATGCATACCATGATCAAAGTTCTTAGGGGACAAACGAATAGAATAACTCACCCTCCGATCGATTCGTTAGTAAGACGGCCTGCCTCTTTGGCTGATTTCGATGATCGAGCACGAGTGCTTGATCTGGGCTGTGGCACTGGCATATGGATGCTTGATATGGCCAAAATCTACCCAGACGCACAGTTTGTTGGTGTCGATATCCACAACATGGGTCCACCGACTTTGCTCCCCAACATATCGATCCGAGCGCCCTGGGATTACGAGACTATCTGGGCCATGGGTGAACGGTCGTGGGACCTTATCCACTTGCAAATGGGACTCGGTAGTGTGGGCGACTGGCTCGGGCTCTACCGCAAGGTCATCCAGCATCTGATCCCTGGAAAAGGCTGGTTTGAACAAGTTGAGATTGATTTTGAACCAAGGTGTGACGACGGGACTCTGCCGCGAGGCCGCTTGACTGAGTGGTGGGAACTGTTCGTTAGGCCTGTGTATGATGAAGCAAAGCGCCCACTACATTATGACGGCCATCGGATACATCGAGAATTACAGGCCGCTGGATTTATTGACATCCAACGTACATCATACCAGCTCCCCTTGTGCGGTTGGTCACAACATCCAGCTGAGCGTCGCGCGGGCATGTGGTGGAATATTGCACTTTCGTCCGGCCATGAAAGCACGAGCGGACTTGGAATGGAAGCGATGAGTCTCGCCGCGCTCTGCAAATATGGAGGTGGATCCTGGACTCCCGAACAGGTACGCCGGCTTTGTGATGAAGCTTTGCAGCAAGCATCTGACCCAAATATCCATGCATATAATGTACTACATGTTTGGTGGGCAAGGGCTCCTGAGCTTCAACAATCACGCCCATATTAACGACTTTTTTGGACCAATGTTTCGTCCGATGGCACCTTGATTCGTCTGATCATGGACACTCGCATTCTCTATCTAAGACGGCCAGCTACATCCACAATCGCTGCAGAAACTGTGCCTCACAAGCCAGGAAAAATCTGCGTACGGTGTACCTAGACGAGTATGAATCTGTGCTGACGCGCGGGACTCTATTAATGAAGGCAGTCCGACTGGGAAAGGACTGCCCTGATATTACTCGGCATGTCTGCAAACACAGCCTCATTACCCACCCCTTTATCTTCCGCCTGGACCTATCACTTACATCTACAGGGCGACAAGAACCGGCCCACTGGATCGGACAGATGGAATACATGGGAAAGGAATCTGATGATTGCCAGTATACTCAATGTCTGAATGTTTCATGACACATGGACGACTCATTTTACTAAGCTTGTACACGGAGAATGATCCCCAACGCCAAGGGCAGGCAACACCACACTATGGACAGCTGAAGAGACGGACGCACGACCCTCACTGCCGTAGCGACTACTTCTGATCGCCAATTATACCGTGTGTCGTCAGAAGTCATCATTCACAGCAAAGGGTAATCATGCATACGCAGCAAAACTGCCAACTCAAATCTTTTTTAGAACAACGGCCTGCCATTGAACCAAACTCGTTTATTAGAAATATGGTCAATTGGTCGTTGAAGGAACATGCTCTGTGTGTGTGTGTGTGTGTGTGTGTGTGCGTTCTCTCTGGAACTAGACGGAAACCCCTGTCCAGCAGATACGCGAAAAGGGAAGATTTGGCCAAAGAGCCAGGATGCCTGATATCACCCACTCTCTCCGATGACAAAGCGAAACACATCATCCAATGACGCAACACAGTGCTGGAAGGTGAACTACGTTTTCATTGAAGAACGGATAGCATGTGGAGGATGGAACAACCAGGAACAACCAGAACATGGCCTGTTTCAAGGCATGTGTGGGCAATGCAGAACATATTTGTTGTGCAATGACGATAAGGACGGCTCTTTTTGCTTCGCCAGAATTAGGCCTTTTCAAATGCGTTGAGCAACCGCACCATTTCAGGTTCCCGACACTGATTCACCCGCTGGCAGACAACAACCCTTGCAGAAGAATCCGAGTATTTGCCGATCGGTGTCTGCTCCGCTCCGCCCCTCCCTCCCTCACAAGGGCTACTCCCTCGCTGGGGAGATTGATACATCAGTCAAGGGAGAAGCACTAAAAGGGCAAAAGTGTGCTTGGACATGACCCTCAAGATTTGATAACATATTCATCACAACCGGCGCTGTACAAATTACACTATTTCAGACTCCTTCAACACGAAACGCGCGGGTATGGTACCTGCTGAAAGTCGGATCGAAAAGCAGCGCAATAGGAGAAGTTATCGCCATTCTGCCTTTTCATGGGCCTTTCGTCAAGGTTTTAGGGTTCTGGCCCATAGTGGCAACGGCTTTGGACTTGTGGGAACCTGTTCCCCGTCGTGGGGCCGCTACGAATCTGGTCAGAAACAACACCAAACAATGGATCCGTGCCCTGGCCGACTACAGGCGCCTTTAAGCGTCTAACATTCGGCAAACTGTGAAGGGACGAGTTTGCGTGCGAAAGGAGCTCTGGCTCGAATTCGTTGGTTACTTGGAATAAATGGTCACACACGCCGAGCGTCTGGTCTTATCTTTTGGACGGGTTCAAGAACAACTTGCGAATAGACAGTCGCCATTTACTCATTACACATAAGCCTAAGGGAGGTGATTGTGAGAGTGACTGAGTCTATATGCATTTCGAGTCAAAAAAGGGGGCGGTGGCTAGTTGCCATGCAATACATGTATCACATGAGGTCAGCCGTAGTTGAGAAGCCGTCATATATGAAATCACAGTCATACTTATTGATTCGCTCTATCCCAGCATTATATCATTTGGATAAATTGTCAGATCTAATAGACTAGATAAGTTATTCATTAGCTTGGATCCGCTCACAACTTGATGCAGCCAAAAACTTACACAGGGTCTTCTGCCACCAGGTATTTCGTTCGTTGGCCGTTGAGTCCGCGACCACACTATACCCATCGTCTTGAATCTTCAGGACGCCAGTCCCATAGGTGGGAAACTCCGTCGCTCGTCCCGAGCTTGGTACACCGTGAATGGCAAAGGTTGTGAGGTACTCTTGTAGCTCTAGAGCTCTTCCTGGGGCCGGCACGCGGCTGCTGGCTCCATTGAAGAAAGTATAGGGCACATCGTCTGCGTGGAGTGCAGGACCGATCGAGTACTCGTATGCGTAGCTCGCATTGCCATACGCGCGACTTATGGCATTCGCGGTGTTTTTCAGGATGGCATCGCCGATGTATTCGGATATCCTCTCCACGGTGTCGGTGTAGCCTTGGCTGCCGTCGTAGATCGGAGGGTACAGCGTCTGCAGGATGTGCTGCACTATATCCGAGGATACGCTAGGAAACTGTGCTCTGATTAGCTCCTCGAAGAGCCTTTCGGTCTCAGCGTCGGTGGAGTTCTGGAAGCCAGGATTCACGAGAGTGAGCCCTTCATTTGTGTTGTGGCTCACTAAGACCTCAATATCCTTGAAGTGAGAGCCTTGTACGAGCATTCTTGTAGGGAAGTCCGGCGCAAAGAAGCCATCAGGGGTACTCCCATATGCGAATATGCCATATTTGCTTGCTGATATCTGTTTCTCGTTGGCTTCGATCAGCACATCGGAGGGCAACATCCGAGCCTCCTCAATACTCGAGACATTGAGAAGTTCGAGGAATGCGAGATGTGCATCTTCTTGCTTCTTGGCTCCAGGCTGAGGTTGGCTGCCAGGGGACTGCACAATAGCTCGAGAAAAGAGAGGAGGGCCGTTCAAAGCACCGAAAGCTGTGAGATGGTGCATAATGGAAGCGCCACCAGCGGACTCTCCCATGACTGTAACTCGATCTTTAGAACCTCCAAAGAGGTGTATGTTATCCTGAACCCACTGAAGAGCAAGATGCTGATCCAGGAGTCCTGCGTTCGCTGCACCATCTGCTTGGAGTGATGGACCAGCGAGAAAGCCAAACGCACCAACCTAATGGGAGTCAATCACACGTGTCCATGAGTATGGAGGGCAACGTTACGCGATAATTCATGGCAACATAGATGATACCATCTCTCCCATTGGATCTACTTGCCTCGATCAGCCCAGCTGGGTTACCCCAGAAGTCCTTCGAGCCAAACACAAAACCCCCACCATATATCCACACCAATACTTCAGCTTGAGGAGTTTGGCCTGAAGAAACCGCGTCCCAGACCTTCTCTGGTACAAGCACATCAAGTACCAAACAATCTTCTGAAACTCTTGGGTCAGGTGGTGGGGGTGGTTGCGTTGCAAGCGACCCCCACGCTGCTCCTTCGTCGAAAGACTCTCCCAGAAGGTACGCTTGCATGAACTCTCCGCTAATGGTTATCCAGTCTGGATAGGCCTGTGGGCAGATATGCCCGATTGAGCCATTATCGAGCATGGAGCTCTTGCTTTCTATGGCAAGGGGAGCGCGGAAGCGCCGATCTCCTGTTGGTGGCAAGGCATATGGGATATTCGTAAAGTTAAAGTAGCGCCCCGTTTCCTGGTTCGCAAAGTCAATAGAAAGAACAGTGGTCTTGAGTTTCTGGGCCACACATTGAATTCCAGAGCTTGATGGAGTTGCTGGAACGCGATCAGTCAATTTGGCTTCATTCATCTATTGTATCAGTAGTACTGACATATCCGAGGTCAACGATTGGGAGTTGCGGTGAAGTTTGTGTAGGGAGCGCCGATGCGATCAGGGCCCAAGGGACGCCCGCGGCAAGTTTTCTCATGCTCACAACATACATGATACGACAGCTGAACACTCTGGGCGCAAACAACGGAATCCGGAGGCTGGGAGAACTTCAGATGGACACATTGGAATCATAATAAAGGAGGGTTGTTTACCCATCTTATATGTTTTGCCGTTGTGGCCCTCACAGCTGGAGAACGACGGCAAAGATCATCATCCGTGGAGGTGGAAAGGAGGCTGAGAGCTTTAGCACGGACTCTGTCCTATCAAGCATCATTGATCGAGGAGAGCCATCCCCATTAGTAATGATCAAGGCGAGGGTCTCATTGTTGCGGGGTTGATAAGTTCTCTTCTTCCTGGCGGTACGTCCATGATAAACACACTCCACGGACGCCCGCGGACCTCGTCCGGCCAAAGATTTGGACAAGTTTCTCTCGCCAATAGTTGGCTTTCCTCAACCGCTACTTCCTAATTAGCCGGCACGCGAACCCTGGAAGGTTAACAAAAAGCTCTCTGATCCTCCGCGGAGGTCGAATCATATCAGGACGAGGCAGGGTCTGCACATATTGATCGAAAGTGCCACATTAGCCACAGGAGATAGATTGCGACACTCCCAAGAGTTAGTGCAAGCCTGCTTGTATGTAGGAGGTCAGCAACGGTATAAAATACTTGGGGGAAACTGCACGAAGGAGAAAAAGTGTCTCCACCTTTGTCTATAGGACAAAACTGGGGCAGAGTCATCGTAAGATAAGGGCTCAGTGAGATGATCATGAACGTATTGACATAGGTATTTCGGAAACTCTTAGGCGCCTGTGCTTCACTCCATCATAGTCATTTGAAATTTTGTTGATTTTCCGCTTAACGGACGGACAAGGATTTTCGTTGGAAGTGTTATCTGATGCTTGGAAAGTGACAGACAGCAACTTCCGATTGCAGTGCTCTGTTCTCTGCTCTCAATGACGATAAGCACAAGAGAAGTGCTGGCTCCATTACTGCCCTTTGCAATATCTCATGAGCTCTACCGGCCAACCTAGTGTATCTTCTCTTTTCTTGACCTTGGCCGCAACATCCGTCCCCAGAATGCGATATCAACGTTGCATCCATAAGATCATTGCCACTTTTCAACCAACCAACTTCGTCCCACTCTAAGCAAAAGTGCTCGGCCTGGAAGAAGTGAAGAGCTTCTTGGAAGAGCTGGTGCGGTGGGGAAGAGGGAATTTGAGGTTCTTGGAAATCAGCTGCTTGATATATGGTCGCTTAACATCATCCGTGCTGGTGAGCTCAACGACCTTCAAGATCTAGTAGCAAGAAGTCATATTAGCGCTGAGTCAAACTTGTGCAAGAAGTCTTAGTTTGAACATACGTGGACGCTCCTGAATCGAGCACGATGTCTGGCAGCCATGTCCTGGTACAGTGCCTCGACAGCATCAGTGCGGCTTAGCTCTCGGTACTCCTTGTACATGTTGTGTGTACCCGAGCGAGAGTCGTACCGGATCCAGATACCGAAGTTCTTGACCTTGAGGGGGTGCTTCTCATGGATGACATTGAGGGACACGATCTCGCCAGTGGATTTCTTAACCTTTCGCAATTTCTGGAGGAAATACCAAAATCGGGATTTGGCGACCACGGTGTTGGGTGCGAAAATACGCATGCGGTAGAGTTTGGGGGTTGGGTTGTTGTCAGTTGGCAGATGGCGGCCAATGACCTGGTATTCTTGGAGACGACCTGGAAGCGAGATTGTTAGTCTTTCGTTCTGTACAGCTTCAAGTGTTGTGGAATTGAAATCTCGAAATGCCGGGGAGGTCGAGGTGGTTTCAATTGGACGCAGTATTCCATTCGATGAATTGTGATCGGTGTCCATGTCGATTTCGTCTTCCTGGCAGGTGCGGCATTCTCCTTCAGCCTTGCCCTTCAACAGAATACAATCATCCATGCTCTTTCATCCTGACAATGGCCAACACGAACGTCCAGGGAAAATATCTCGAATCGCACAAGTCGGGGTGGTCGGACGACGTTGGAAGTGAGGACTTACCCATCTGCGAGGAGTCAGTAAGCATTGTCATATAATGGATCTTTCACATACCTTGACTGTATCTGACCGATCTCAGATGTAGTTGTTGTCAACGATGCTGGTCGCTTGGAAGTTTGAAGACCGAATCTAAGGAAGTCCGTTGCGCCTGCAGTTTTGGGTGCCAAGATTTGAGGGTTGTGTGTGCTTGGCATTTAAATCAGACTGAAGGAGCTTGCCGCTTCCGATTGGTCAATTGTTCAACCTCGTACTTTCCCCATCATAGGCGGACAACGAACCACTCGGAACCAGCAACTCACCGACATCTCTTGAGAATGATCTAATGAAATATTATCAGCTCCCTCGCTAGAGATCTCTACAGATGGGTAGTATCTTCAGGGACTTCCAGCAGGCCCAGCGGGAAGGGCTCGGCGGTCTTTTGGCTTTGAGCCTGGCGCCCATCAACACCCCCGAAGAACCCAGCCGACTGAGTTCATTTGCTCAACTAAGCAACTATCAGACAATCTCATCAGATGTGAGATATCATCTGATTCAAGATCGCAATGCAACCAAACTCCCGAAGGCGGAAGCAAATGCATGGGTCGACATTTTTGTCGCTCTCTGGAAAACCGTCAAGGAATTAGTGGCCATTCAACGGGATGACGGGAATGGTGATTGGTCGAAAGCGTTCGAAGCCTACAAAGAAGTATGCAATCTTCTAGTAAGAGGATATACAAACTTCGGCTTTCAAGCCTGGACCGTGCCATGCCTTAGTATCACAGGCAAGTACCTCAGGGTTATAGCCATCAAAGCAGACGCCGAAGGAAGAGCAAAAGACCCTCATGGAGACGTCTTTGCGAACGGCTTTTCGGACGATATCATGGGGGATACCAACAAAAACGAGAAGCTCGAAGCAGCAGCATGGACAATCAACCGCATGTTTACCGTTTGCTTAAGTGATCGGTCGGACCTATCGGAGTCGCGAAAATGGGGCATTTACAGCACTACCAACCTTCTTTTCAAGACCTATTTCAGGCTCAACTCAATTTCCTTGACTAGGAATGTGCTTCGTGCTTTGGAAGCCACTGGTGGTGACCTACCCGAACTTGACCGTTTTCCGAAATCCCAGAGGTGCACTTTTAAGTACTACCGTGGAGTCATCGATTTTCTACAAGAGAATTACACTGAGGCGGAAGACAATCTTACAGAGGCACTGAATCTTTGTCATAAGGACTCCCTGAGAAATCGTGAGCAGATCCTTACGTACCTCATACCAGCACATGTTGTCAACCACCACCAGCTTCCCAACAATGCCATTTTGTCGCCTCATCCAGTTCTACAACAGATCTTCGCTCCATTGTTCGCAGCCATTCGTAAGGGTTCTCTTGCATCTTTCGATGCTCACCTATCAGCTTCGGAGCCGGAACTGGTGAAAAGGCGGATCTACCTTACCCTCGAACGAAGCAGAGCCATCTGCATGCGTAACTTATTCCGAAAGGTGTTCCTAGCTGCAGGATGGGAAGAAACCAAAGATTCAACGACCGGTGAAGTGACAGGAAAGATTCGGCGAACTAGGGTTCGTATCGAGGAATTTGAGGCGGGAATGCGCATTGGCTACAAGGGAGCAAATGATGTGATAATTGATAGGGATGAGGTTGAATGTTTTCTGGCAAACATGATCTATAAGGTACGTTGCAGATTCTCAATATTTGGTTTGCGTCCACAATCGACTGGTCAAAGGCAATGGATATAATGCGTCCAACCAGCGAAGGCAACCACTGAAGAATGAGCTACCTGCTTTGATACACATTTAGTGATTTTGTGTTGAGAATGCTTCACAGGTGGGAGGCTACAAGATCGCACGCTGACCATTTCCCTGCTAGAACTTGATGAAAGGTTACATTGCACGTGAGAGAGGAATTGTGGTCCTTAGCAAGGCTGGCGCCTTTCCTGGGACCAATGTGTGACAAACCACCAAACGAAGTCAAATCCATTGCAAAATACTAGCTATGTATTTTCTGGCATGGACCATGCCAAGCCACCTGGAGCAGCCTCTTCCGCTTGGGGCGACATCTTACAATCAAGGCTACTGGCCTGAGTTGCAGCGCTCTCAACCGTACAGACAATCGGTCAGTTACTAGCATGATATCTATATCCTCTAGCACTGTGGTTCGAGCATATCAACCCCCACCATCAACCCTGTCAAGCTCTACCTTCCCAGCACTCTAGTGCGACATGTGTACTCTAGCTTATGACTGATTCTGGAATCACACCTCTCTGTGGGACAATGTTCAATAACACAAAGTCTGACAGATTGCATGGGTTCGAAGAATTCAAGGTCAAGAGATTTGAAATCGATTGGTCAGGAGTCCACCTCGACACCCTAAGATCAGTTGCCTAGTCTGGTATTCGGTTGGGACATGCATTAGCTCCGGTCTTGAGATAGAACGACAGAAAGTATTCTGGACCAGGACGAAGGGCCTGAACCCTAGCACAAAACTCTGAGAGAGTCAGCGAAATTTCGACCTTGACTAGCACTAGTTACTGCGGCCTGTGAAACTGCGTGCTATCTATCTACGAATATTTACATCAGCTGGCAGTTTCCCCCCAGTTTAGTCACTATGACGGTATTCACACCTCCATCTCCTTGAATCCTTTGACCTGTCCCAACGGTCAATCAATCAACCATCCGCTTAAACTCCCCGAACAAACACCAACAGCGCCTATCCTCATACACTGAACTCTGTCACATGTCAGATTTCTTCAGAACCCCAAAAAAGGCATCATCTGGGTGGGATGATAGGACCAAGTGAGTCACCTCGCCCAAAGATTCCAACTTTTCACTGCCAGGCATCCATGCATGGTCGCCTGGAACGGGACTTGACCCATCATGACCGCGGAGGAAGGCAAAAGGAGGCTGAAATGGACAGGACACACCAAAAGCTCGGGCCGGGGTTGCCGTCCAGGGGAATCATACCTAGATGCCCGGTTGGCTGATGAGAAGCCCAATACGGGGATCAGTGGGTGTTGCCTTTCGCAACGAGAGACACAGGGATTGAAGTGGCAGACTCTGATTGGACAGGGGCTTAGAAGCACATTGAATGTAACGGGATAGGTTTTGACGAGTCGCCAGCAAACACCCTGCGTTCCGTAGGGAGTCGTAGGGATGGACTTCGTCGAAAACCAGCTCTACGAAAACGGCTATTATTGCCCTACGACTGCACAATCATGATAAGAGCAGTATGAAATAAGGAGATCTCTACGAATTGAAGTGAACATTTCTCATTTTGATTCGGCTCGTAACTATTTGATCCTTGTGATATCAAATGTGGAAACGAAAAAAAGAGATTACTGAGCTGCTTCTGCATCCTGACAATTCGATGCCTTCATAAGAGGGCTATAACGTTTTCTCTCTTCTCGTCAAGCCCCCTTTAAGTGATGATAGGAATGATCGTCCATATGGGAACAGATAGATGTCCTCCGCAGCTAAATTCTGGTTCCTGACCCGAAAATGGATAGTTTTACAAAGATGTGATTTGTTTGGTTAGTATTTAGGTCAAAACGAGAAATCCAACTCCGTGAAGGAGAAAAGTCCAGGCTTGGAAATGCCCACGGCATGGTCTTCTTTCTTCTAATGGTACAATCCGAGAGTATGACAAGGAGGTAGGGCGAGTATCGCAAGGTCGAGATGGAACGTTACAAGCGCTGGCAGTCTTTTGAGTGAGAAACGCAACAAAACATACATAGATTGACACCCTCAAGGAAATGCTTTGACAGTCTGGTGTGAAAAACGACAGCAGGGCGTGCGTGGACATGGTGCCTGATATACTCGACCTAGCGAGTAAAGGGTGAGGCAAATGGCGAACGCACCGTTTTGAGGTCGTCCTTTTCGAGAGGGAGAGGTTAGCTATCCCCTAGATTGATACCAAAATGAAAAGGACGAACAAGCAAGGGACTCACAATATGGTTGCACATGGCCACAAACAAATCGAAGAACAAGGTGCCGCCCTGTTGCATCTCGACCTTCATCGTTCCGCTCTTCTTGAAGTTGTTCCGACTGCGGATGATGAGAGTGAGGTACTGAGCTCGAAGCTTCGAGTCGGTATCGGGAGTATGCTCATATGCCCAGCGAGCTGACGCCAGGATGGTTGAGATCTGCATACCTTGTCGCAGGCCTTGTTTGCGGAGGGCAAGGCGCTTGAGCTCTTCAAGACCATATAGCTGAGCTGAACAGCTGCAGATGCATTAGTGTGTTAAGGTATAGGTAAGGTGGGTGGCGAACTTACTAGATGACAGTGTCTCTCATCAGGATATGCTTGGCTACTGGATGATAGATGGTGGTCTTGGTATCGTTCCCCACATCTTCCAGTTCCCAGGTGTCCTTCCTTTTGTTATGTAGGAGCTTTGGATAGTAGTCTCCCTTGTAGAGAAATTCCAGGACAGCAGAGAGTATCTCAGGATGTTCCTCAGGCAGGTTGATTCTCCTCTCCTTGTTGTCAAAGAATTGGCTCTTGACTGCGGCTTCGAAAAAGGAGGACCGGCGGAGGACATCCTCATGACCAGCAAAGATTCTCTGCTCGCTTCCGACGCAGATCGTGATGATGGCAGAGTTCAGAGTACTGATGAAGAGAAGATCAGCTTGGGACTATTGTATTGCCTCTGGATTAGATGAGGACATACCTGCCTGCTGCCGTGCTCGGTTGAACATGCTCTTGTCTGGTTGATTTGACAGAGTCGGCTCTTTGCAGCCCTCGAGAGACAGAGTGCTCTCGAAAAGATGATTTGGGAGGCTTGGTGGACTTGCTGGTACCATAACGAGATGAAAAACTGTCACTTGGTCGATGGTTTCTGCCACTAAACATCTTGTCTTGATGACTAGTGAATGCAGAGTCTTTTGAGACAGGGCAACAGCTCAGGTGAACCCAGAATTTGAATCAAAGAGAGGACAGACTGCGAGACAACTATTCAGCGGCAAACAGATGGGCAGTGTGTTCCATGGACGATATATTTGAGAAAGTTGAGTAATGCAATGCTGCCTGACTGTATGGTGGCCAGCCAACTCTGAATCCAAGGAGTTGAGAAGAAGACATTTTGAGGGCAGAGAGAGCTCCTTATGTTGCTGGGTATGGTGCCTGGGTTGCGACCTAGACCGGTTGTAGGGTACGGAGTACAGTACGAGGTAGTTAGCTTATCAGTGCAAAGTTGAGGTTAGTGAAGTCGGAAAGGCCAACGCGTGCCGCGTTCTGCCTGGTCTCACGCTAAACCCACGTCTTCATGTGACCGATGCAACCACTCTAGGGGTGCCATGGAAGCCATCCCTTACCGGTACCACCCACCCATCGATCATGACTGGCCTGTATTTTCTGTGAGTCAAAAATGGCTGTGCTCCAACCTGGTGCCCATGTATGCTGCCAATCTGGGAACCTGGGGGCTATCCCCCCCGTTGAGTCTATCCGAAGTAGCTCTGCCCTAGGCTTTTGCCACTCGATCTTGTGCTCTTTCGTGGTCAGCTCGCCGTACCAGAGATGAACGTTGTATCCAATCAAGGCACGAGCGGACTTTCCTGTCACTCAGAAAGCTCTCACATGGTAAATGTCTAATCTTTGCATCAACTGAAAAGATCCTTCTCGCATGGAAACCAAAAGAATCGAAGTTGACCGGATGGACTGAACTTGGCCAGAAGATGAGGGTGTGGGATATCATGCATATCAGCGGGGTCGGAAGCTGGATTTGAAACAGAGGCGTCGCTCGACTTCATGCAACTAGGGTCTGTACCTGCAGCTGTGATACTGGGCCTTGTTTCCCATTTGTTACGTAGTTAGTGTGCAGAGGGATAAGCGAGCTCATCAACAGACTACGAGCATCTGTTCACTGGTACTCCGTAGTTGTCTACTCCGTACTCCGTACTGAATATTCTCTACGAGAGACTCGAGTCTTCCTCACGATTACGGTCCCAAGTGCGGATTGTTAAAAGAAAAGGCTGATTACTGAGACATCACCATTAGACAAGTACCGGCCGTAAGAGGATAGGTTCTGGCACTCGGAGTGAAGATGATGAATATGTAGATGTTGTGTCATCAGGCCTGCCTGATGCGAGATCAGAGGACCAGCAGAAACTCGGCATTTGAACAAATTACAACATCCAGCGCAGTATTCTGACTGCATGTCACAGTGAACTCCATGCGCCTAAGACCGGCATGCGCGCTGCCATGGTGCAGACTTCACCGCCTCCAGAGTTCGTTTATATGGTCGTAAGATTGAGGTTTGAAGGTGATACAACAGCATCTATTGCGCCGTTACAAAAACACCCTCCTTGCATCTTTCGGATGACTTTCGATGGGACAATAAGGACATTTGAATTTGGCGCCCTTTGAGAGTCGCTGTAGCGATTCTTGAGCGATTACATGACAGCACGGAAGCATCATCGGCGGATTCTGGTCAGTGGTCTGTTCTTTTGAGACTGGGCAGACAAATATTGAGTGAAAGCGGTAAGAGGGAGGGAGTGGGGTCTCTACAGGTAGCTCGTTTTGTGATGTCCACTCGGTACGCTTTTGTTTTTGTATTGTCTGCAATTTCATGAGGGTCGGTAGAGCCATGGCACCAGCCGTAGCGGCGATGTGTAAGGGCGAGTCTGCGGACAACTCTAGCAGAGAGCAGAATTCTCTTGTGAAAGATGCGGCAACATCGTGCCAGGATGTAGAGTTGTCGAACCTGACCTGATACGGCGATTCTTCCAAGTTCGAATAAAACGGGATGGCACCCATGAGTTGTTGTATTTCAACCAAATAGCGTCCACGAAAAGATTGAAACTCGGTCTGTGCATACTGAAGAGCTCGCATGGGTCCGGCAAACTCATATTGATCATCTTCTTGACGTTCCAGAAACAAGCTGACATATTGCAATCTGCAAAGCTCAAACTCGAGATTGCTGCCTCGGGCCTCTAATGATGCTGCGTTAATCCGAGCCCAGTCGATAGCTGGCTGTAGGTTATGATTTTCCTTGAGCTCGCCGAGAATGTGATACATGTTTGCAAACTGTGTCTGCATATTCTCTTCCGATGTTTTATCAAGACCCAGCGGATGTTCCATCGGTGCGTCGAATCCCAGATGTCCTGCGGTCTCTTGTTGGATGTTCTGTCGTTCAATAGCTTCGGTGTGCAAGGTGGAGGCGACCTCAAAAAGACCTTCCCGTAGCAGATGGAGATATATGGCTCGATTAATGAGGGTCGGATGGGAGGACAGGGCATCAATCTCGTTGCTCGGTATCTTGTCTTTGAACAGCTTATCCAAAGCTCTGCTGTATTTGTTGTGCATTCCGTGTGCATCCTTCAAGCTAGAGAACATGCCATCGAAGGAGGTCTTGACTGGGTTCTGGAGCATAGTAAGAGTGATCTCTCTCGTGCTGGGGTCGTCGGCGATGGAGTCTCTAGCCTTCTGCAGGGCCTTGATGATATCATCGACATGGCCTATAGTCTTCGACTGCTTACTGATGGCCCAGACCTTATCATGCTCTTTCTGAATGGCGTCCATACTGGACAATGTTGAATATGGTACTCCAGTGTCACCTGTAGGAAGTTGTGCAGTGATTCATCCTCGTGGGCCAGGCTTGTAGTGGGCTGGAATCGTAGATGCTGTGACTTGCTCGCAGGAATATGGGTGCTGCAAGATGTGTCAAGCAACGATAAGAGACAAAGTGTCGGAGGATGTTGGCTGGAATAGATGGATAGTGATAATCATGTGCTTCAAGCGCTGGTGAGGTCACAAGATGCGGTCAACGGGAGGAGTGGCTTGAAGAGCGCACGGCGGAGCAGAAGGGCTCTCGCGCAACACGGCGTGGTGGCACTGCCACGAATCCACGTTTAACCTTGGTTCAACCTCATCACCGTCGTTCAATTTGTTAGTCAGTTGCAAAGTACAGCGTTGAGTCGACGAGTTCAACCCAGTCGGATTTCTTCCTGCTTGACTTTGACAAAATGGACACGAGAATCATATACGCTCGTTAATCGGCGCTGTACCACGGCTTTCTAGCGGCCTGTGGTCTCTGGACAATGTCCTTCCATTCTGGCGGCTTGGTGATGTCGTACCATCAACCATCCTACACAAGCTCTCTGCACCAATCAACCAAAACGAGCCCCAAGGATGGCGAAGATTCACCCACCCATGATGGCCAGAATCGAATTGGAACGAGTCCACGCAACGATCGCACGGCTAAGCTCGGCCGTACTCGAAAGCGCTTTGTCTTCCAAGACCCTGTAGCCTTTCGCTATCTCGAGGAAGATCCGGCCACGGATGCTATCGAACGATGGAGAAGGCTACAGGGCTACGAAATGTACGTGGTGGAACAGTGGGCGTGCTCCAGGACTCATCCAACCTTTGTTATTTGTACCTACAGTGGAGATCCGTCGCATTCCATTCTTGTCAATGTTTTATCGGTACCTAGTGACGAGAGCACTTGGTCTCCGAGACTGCAGATTTACTTTCAAGCCGTATCTCAATTTCATGCCAAGGAGATGGAGACCCCCTTAGGAACCCTCATGGTGACTAATCTCAGCGGCTTTCCATCAGCGCTGACTGTCATTGCGGTTCCGGATGGTGACGTGAAGAAGCACAGAAATGAGTTTATTATCAATGAAAATCTGAAACGAATGGGATGCTCAGGAAGGGCTGCCATCAACTTGCAACCACCACAACCGAGTACTATCGCTAAATATCACCACCTCTACAGAACAAGCGAAGCTGTCCCACTCTATCAATCAGTCATGGAGCTTGTGCGTACGTGTCAGACTGCATTAGTGATATACGATAAGCTTCAACAAACATACGCTGACGGCTTGCTATGCGACGTTACCGAAAAAGCTGTTCAAGACTGGTGGACGGACATTGGCACGTATTTTTATAATGTACAGCCCAGCGACGGTCTTGGTCCTGCCACGGTGGCTGCAATTCTTGGCCTGCTAATTGGGGCCTACAACAGACTCAGAGCATTCGGATCACCTGTTGGAAAGGATGCGTTGGATCTGATTTCTATGAAAAGGGCGATAGGCCACTTCCAGAAAGGGCAAAAGATGGAAAGGTCTAGAAGACTCGATCGAGAAACACTGGACCGTCTTCACAGGGCAACTGCGAAAAGCGCTGCGGGAGAAGGCTGGACCGTGCCCAAGGCAGTCAAATCCACAGTGGCAGAGCTCAGTGGAAAGGGAGGCGAGATGGTGATGGGCATCGTTGGAGCCCGAGAGAAAGCGGGGATTTCTGATGCCGAGACCATGGATATCGAAAGGTTGTCGCGGCTGGTGACAGGCCAAAAGATGAAGTGGCTCTGGCAGGGGAAGCCTGTGAAATCGGCAGATATGTTCAGTGCTCCTTCCGATGATCTCAAGGGGCGGATCTTCAGCACCGATGACCAAGGCAATTTTCTCTGGACTGCTAACCATCACGACTCGATATCTGATGGTGGTACACTTGAACGCACCGACACGATGGTCACCAATCAAACACAAGATGGAAAGTCTAGCCGGGGACGCATTCGAGATGCAGTGGGAGGACTTAGGACGCATACTCACCGGTATCCAAGAGAAGGGGAAGAGGCCTCGGATTGGATAGAGAGTACTACTACGGGCGGTACAAAGTCAGCGAAAGATCCCCCCGGGCATCGCGACCGTCAGTTGCGTCCAGCAATCGGTCGGACTCAGACGGATCCCCTGGCTTTTGCTATGGCCTTGCGGGAAGCAGCGGCTACATCGCCTAAGAAGTCCGACCGGCAATCCAACCGTAGTGCAGAAGAGCATCAAAAACAAATCTTCTCTCATCGCGAAGTCCTCAGGCCTGCGCATCAAGCTGAATCCCCAAGGAAGAAGAAAATGAACGCAGAAATGGCAGATCTCCGCAATGAATTCAAAGCTGATATTTACCGCAACTTCTCCGCCGAATTACCATACATGGGCCCCCGGAGTCGAGCGCTACGGCGATCTCAGAGCGCGATTCAAATGCAGGTGCATGCAGCAGATGATCCTCGAAAAGAACGAATGAATCGACAATTATCGTTCAGCCTACTTGAGAATGCAGTACTTGACTTTGGAAAACCGGTCATGGACGATGATTACAAGCAGAGTCCCATCGAAGGTGACTTGACCAATGCTCTCACTCAGCGTGAAACGGCCATGGCGGCGGCGCAGAAAAAGGCCAAACAGATTCAGGCGATCCAGCAAGGGCTCGTGCCGTACACAGAAAATACTGTGGCACATGTGGAAAGCCTGGATCTTCTTGCGCACCAACATCTGGAACAACTTAACGAAATGTACTACAGCCGACTTGAAGAGTATCAGTCACTTTCGGCTACGTCGTCAGATCTGGTTTCTCAGGAGAAAGCAGCGCTGACCGAGAGTTTTCGGCGCATAGAGATGCTCGGGGCTAAGCTGGACTATGAGCTTGGTTCGGTACAGTCTCGCTTGCAAGAAGTAGAAGATGGTGTTGACGATTTCGAACGTAACGTTATTGCTATAGAGGCCAAGGTCAAGGAACTCATCGGTGACGAAATCGGTAAATCGGTACCTTGGTATCAAAGACTGTTGACCTCGATCGGATCACGAAAATAAAATGGGGCTGGAAGTGAACCAAGGGTAGGCCACCAAGGGGAGAATACTGATATTTAGCAAGGTGTTTTGGAAAGGGCTTCCATGTGGCATATTGAATGAAAATATCGCATGGGTTGTTTGTATTAGAATGGAGTTTTCGTATCGAGGTAGAGCTGCCTCGTTTCACATATGCAAGGCGATGGCCGTGCTCTTCGGTCCCCCTTTGCTAAGGTATCAACCTTTGGTGTTCAAGTAATGTACATTGTCTTTCCCACGACCTCTCATGGAGCGACATGGCTCATATTGTGCCACCAACGCCGTAACGGATGACGCTATCCGATCTTTGAAAGGATGGATTCTACCCAGATGGACCAACGAAGATTGATTCCATCTTTTCCTTCCTGTTCTCAATCCAAATCCCAGCCAGTACAAATACCAATCTTACATGCCGAACATGCCACCGCCGGCAGCACCACCCTGGGCACCAGCAGCAGCATTCTGCATCTTTTCTGAGACTTTGATGTTGACTTCGAAGAATTTGGCGACGCAGCGGTCAAGGCAGACGCTCTCGCCTTTGCTCAGATCGGCTTCGCGATAGTCGGCAGGAACACATTTCTTCAGACAGGATTGCGTTAATCTGCTTATGGTCAATGAACGAGCTCACTTTCGAGGCAGTGTTTATATGTATACCTGCTAAACATGTCCGATACCATTTCCATTTCCGTTTCCACTGCAGCAATCTTTTCGGCGGAACTGGGCTGGGGTCGCCCGGCACCGAAGAGGAAGGACATTGTGGGCGGATGACTTCTGTGGTGGAAACTGGGAAGGATTCGGAAAGGTCAAGAGTGGTATAGAGTCGGTCAACAGAATGGGTGAGAAAGTAGATGGTAGGAGTATGTCCGTTGCAGTTCAATTGCGATTGTTGAAGATTTGAGGTCCATGTCACATGATTATCCCGAAGTTCTGCCGACAACATTTATGTCAAGTAACGCCTGCACGAAGCACTGCTACAACTGCCTTGCACTGGTAACAAATTAATTATTTCTCCCACACGGCCATCCACAACACCTGGAACCACCTATGTTGCTGTCTTCATGTCCAGACTGCTAACATGGCGGGCTTGGCGATCACCTATTCTCCAATTTGCAGAGAGGTATGTCCAAGAGTTCATATCGCCAGTTCACTCAATCAAAAGCTACACCTTGAACAAACACTGCAAATGCAGACTTACCGCGGCTAATGATGCTTGCTTCGGTCCGCGACGATCACTATAAGGTTTTATGTCGGAGTGGCTATGATTATAGCCTCCTCTTCTCTCGCTCCAAAAGCCTTGCTGCGTCCAAATCCAAGTGCTAACCACCATTTCGATAGAAGCCTACAATGCCCGCGGGCATTGCCATCAGTTCTTCCGTCCGCAGAAAGGTGTGTCCAATCGTTAATATGCCCTTTCCCTTGCCCATAGGCCACACTATGAAGAGACAATGCAGAAGAACCGCTGCGAGTGATGCTGGCTCCGGTCTGCGATGATCACTACACTCAAATTATATCGGAATGGCTATGGCAATCATTTCCTCTTCGCTCGCCCCGAAAGCTTTGCTCCATCCACAAGCAAGTGCTAACCACCATCTTGGTAGAAACCCACAATGCCACCATAGTTCCATTCTCAGCGCACGTCAGCCTCCATACAGATGTTTTGTCAACTCCAGACCACTGCTAGCACCTCAAAAGACGATTGCGGACCCACCCCTCCGGTCTACGGGTGATGAGATCCAGAAGAGAGCAGAGGAATTACATGCTTCAGGCAAAGATCCATATCCGCGCTATACAATAAGCTCCTTTGGACGCTCGGCCACAAGTATAAAATCCCTCATCGCCGCTCTGAACGGTGGTTCGACAGAAGTGCCACCATCAGTATTGGCATCGGCACGAAATGGTTCGGCTCACGTCCAAGGTTAGGAACCCACAAGAACAGTACGCTAGCCGACAGACTGACAAAATCGAAAGTTTTGGGAAGAGTCTCATCTATTCGCACCAGCGGCTCTAAGCTCGCTTTCATCGACATCGTTGAAGATCAATTGAAGCTTCAAATTGTGTTGTCATTCGCCACTCTCGAGCCTTTTGGCGTTTCTATATCTTCATTCAAGCATCAATGTGCCTTGATCCGCCGAGGGGACTTTATTTGTGAGTTCTCTACACCATTGTATCACAAAATTTGCCGCTAAGGCCATAAATTTCTCAGCTATACATGGTTACCCACCATACCGAGCCTCAAACGGCCAGATCTCCATCAAAGCCACAACTCTGCCAGAACTCCAAGCTCCATGCCTCAACCGCTTTCCCGTCGAAGAACGAGGCTTCTCAACCAGCGAGTCGTCCAACACTCATTTTCACGAGCGCCACGTCGAAATGCTGACCGACCCGTCTGTCATTGAGACCATCAAGGCACGTGCGACCATCATCAAAACTCTTCGCACATTCTTCGAGTCCAAATCATTTGTCGAGGTCCAAACACCGATTCTCTCAGGACAAGCAGGAGGCGCCACTGCTCGGCCCTTCTCGACCATCGCCACCGAGTTCTCGGACGGAAGAGATCTCGCACTGCGCATCGCCCCCGAACTCTGGCTCAAACGTCTAATCATCGGCGGCATGGATCGCGTTTTCGAGATCGGACCTAGCTTCCGTAACGAAGGACTCGACAAGACGCACAACCCAGAGTTCTCGACCTGTGAATTCTACGCTGTTGGCCATGGCCTCCATCAATTGATGCAATACACAGAGGATCTCCTCCACCAGCTCGCTCGCGCCGTTGGCGGCCTAAACTACCCTCGACCATCTAACGCCAGCTTGGTCCTCCAATCTGTCCGGGAAGAATTCCAAATCCTCGACTTCCTCCCAGCCCTAAGCCACGCACTAGGCCGGCCCCTACCAGACTTGCATTCTCCCACTGCACGAGAAGAATTCCTCGCGATCTTCCAATCCAAAGATCTCCCCTTACCCCCCACGCCGACCCTCCCCCGTCTCCTCGACAAACTCTCGTCGATATACCTGGAACCACAATCCCTCAACGGACCCCCGACGTGGATCATCAACATCCCCAACTGCCTCTCCCCACTCGCGAAATCCTACCACTGCAACACCACCAGCACGATACCCCCACAAGAAGTCGCGGCGCGCGCCGAGCTGTTCATCAACGGCAAGGAAGTCGTCAACTGCTACGAGGAAGAGAACTCTCCTATCGTCCAACGCCGCAAATTCCTCGAGCAACAGCTCTACGCTCGCCAGTCCTCCCCCGCCTCTCCCTCGTTCCCCTCATTTTCTTCGTCTCCAGCAATCAAGGACGAGGAAGTAATGGCCCCCGACGAGTCGTACCTGCAAGCACTGGAATGGGGCCTCCCGCCGACGGGCGGCTGGGGCTGCGGCATCGATCGCCTGGTCATGCTGTTCACAGGGCGCGAGCGGATCAGCGATGTTTTGACCTTCGGGAGCTTGAGGCATGTGACGCATCGCGTCCAGGGCAGAGACAAGGAAACGACCTCTCTAAAGCCGCAGGAGAGCACACCGTAGTGACCCACGTCGTAGTCTTAGCATGAGTGTTGCTATTGCTTGTATCAATATCTATAAACGGTTAGGAATGCATGAATATACAAGACTTTTCCTCGGAAATTGACCTCCTCCAAGATTCTTGCCCTTCCCTGTATCACTCATACTAGCTACCAATGTTAGTCATTGGCAAATGCAAATGTCTAGGTAGGTAAGTAGACAGGCAGGCAAGAACGGGGGAGGGGAGGCGAGAACAGCCTTCTCTTGCAAAACCCGATGTGATGCAGTATAATAATCATCAAATTGGGCTCACTACATAGACAAGTAACCATTTGGTGTTGGTCGGTTGGCTCCTTCCCATCAGCGAGCAGACTACTTTAAGCAACCAACCACAGGTAACTCGCTAGGTACTTAAAATAAGGGGCCCCAAGCCCCCTTTTCGAGTCTCAGCCTTACACAAGCCCCCAAGCCAAACAGCCTCGGCCTAAAAGTATAGTGTGCTGTCGAGCCTGTACATCAATTATGTGATGCTGTGTCTGATCATTCAAAGGCGCGGAACGTGGAGGCGGAATCCAAGAAGTAAGAAGTGCAGAACTTTATTTTGCCAACCACTGCCTAGCAAAATACCATTGGCGAGGCATGTGTCTATGCAACGGCTACATCAGAAGTCAAAAGTGGGTGATTTGCGCCCGAGTTCCTTCAAGTCGCCCATGCTGTGCTATAGAAAATCATCATCAGCGCCATCATCATCGTCATCGCCGTCATTGTCGTCGTCATCAATCGTAAGAGCTCCTGAGGCCAAAATTCTGCGAATGCGTCGTTTGTGGCGCACGTGCTGTGATTTTAAATTCATGTATGGACAGAGTGTATGTCATGTGTTGGCGGCCCTTATGTGTGCTCCAGCTCCATAGGACCATAGCGTGATGAAAGCAGCTCATGACCATCAAAGAAGAACCCCCGGTTCATCTATCTTGTAAATAGTGAAGGACGGTACCATTATCAGCAGAGCTCATTCCGATCCTGCACAGCGGAGTGGGATTATCTCTCCCCTTCCGAGAAGCAGTGCTCGAGAAGTAATCGATGTAAATGCAGTATAGGAAGGAGCTCGCCGCGAAAAATTGCCGTGGAAGGCTTCGGAAAACATTCGCTTAGGATCAAAGGGCTCTGTGTCCCTTTCCTTTTTCCGGCGTTCAATCTTCATCGGAAATTTCTCCTGCATGGCGTCGACGCTTCCTATGAGTGGGTGCCGGTGGTGGGAGATTTTCTCTCAAAGGCCCTTGGCCATTCTCCACGCGGACCATCCCGAAGCGATAGATTTGGCGATCCAATTTCAGCACCTCGTAGCCCACGACCTTGTATAGCCCGTCGTATCGATAGCCCTGGACGGGTTTGTGCGTAACAATGTCTGCAAGTCGAGACGATCGGAAGACGCGGACGGGTCGTTTGGTTCGTGAGGACGTGATCAAGGCTTGAGTCCCGGAAGTCGGGCCTCTACCGTTCCTGTTGAGATGCGTCATCCCAGGAGTGTGTGACTGGCGATCCTTGATGTTCGTTGCCTCCTCATCGTCCGCAGCTCGGGCAAGAGCTGTGCCCATATAGAAAATCGTGTCACCTTCGTCAATATCTGCATAATAATCCTTCTTGCTTTCATCATGATAGCCCATAACGACGCTCTTTGCACCTTCTCTGGCCGTTCCATAGATACCAGAGATGGGCGGTGCGTGAGCCCCGTCACGACGCATTTCTGCTCGCGATCTCCACGTTTGACCATTGACTAGGTGGCCGTGGCCGAAATAATCTGCACTCCGTGCATAGGGCCAGTGATCATCGGCGCGAACTAAGCCTCTTTCTTGATTTTGGATGAGGCCACGGCGAGCTACCACGCTCAGGTCACCGAGTTCCCATTTGCGATAAATGATCGTCAAATTCTCGACGATACTTATGTGCACTCTTTTGCTCTCTCTGAGGGTTGCATAGTCTTCGGAAAGGAACTCTTCCAGCCGAGTAAGGACCATAGACTCCTGGAGCACTTCTTGGGTCACAGAATTGGTTTGGGCTTTCAGGATCCATGCTTGTAAGTTTTCGAATTCCCTGCGAATAGCCACACTCTTTGGGGGCCTAATTTCAACTCTATGGAGGATCTTGAGCAAGTCCTGCATCTCTTGGAGAGTCATGTATTCTTCGTCCTCAGGTGTCACATTTGGCGGGAGGCTGTCGAAGATATGTAAGCTGATGTTACCATGTGGGTCGTTCTATAGAAAACTGGAAGAGTCTCACTTACCTAGATTGTAAGAACTCTTTTCGCTCACTAATCCAGTTATCCCAGGCCTTTGTTTCCAATACGAGTGTGCGGCAATCAACCAGCTCGTTAGTCTTCGCCTCACAATTTCTTCCGACTGGGCAAGTGCATCGAGGTCTATTGGACTTATCTGGACCTGGAGTCGAATTTGGGTTTGGGTGTGAGTGTGGGCTTGGCCCATGCTCCACATCGGCAGGAGAGCTAACATCTGTTGGGCGACCTGTTTGTTTTCCATCCGAGCTAACGAGTGTTCGAGGCGACCGCTTCTGGTTCGCAGAGTTGTCGATATTTGTTTCTCCACGCCGATGGAATTCAAAGGAAGGTAAAGAGCGAACCTCATCTTCTGCGGTGTCTTCTAACTTGATACGCCTGCCATCAGTCGTGAAAACAATATCATTTCCGGAGCGCTCTTTCTTGACATGATTGAACTGTGAGCCACCAGACTTTTGTTCGTTGAACCTCTCCTGGGCAAGACGGCGACGCTCATCTCGTCGCTGCTCTGCGATCCGGCTCAACCTCTGTCTTTGATTTTGCAGTCCCTGTAGAGCTGACATATATTGCCAAGGGTTCTGGTATTCAGCGTTCTCCAGATCTCGGGAGGCTGAAGAGATATGGACACATGAGTCTGAAATTATAGATGTTGGGAGCCTGAAGTCATTCTGGTGATTTAGACTCGGTGAGTTAGGAATGGTGCATTGTGATCGCGGCAAGGATGGGGGATGAGGTGCGATATGAGGCCGAGGCTGAGGCCGTTGAAAGCGGCTGCTGCCCTGGCGTCTAGGCCCACTTGGTACAAGACCCACCCCCGACACGAGCCTCATATGGCCATCGTCACGATTTTGCAACGACATAGCAAGTTCGAATTCCGGAATGGTGGTGCATGAAATGCAGTCAGAGGATTCAATGGCAACTCTTATAAATGTGAGAGTAGTTGATTTGTGGTAAGCTCATGCCAGAGTCAAGTGTGGTCTGGGATGAGTAGAGAAAGAGCATATCGCGACGAGGAGATGCTTGAAAAAAGCAGCTTGCATGCTCAGGCGCTCTGTGCAACATGCCAACAGAGTAAATCAAAAGTCAAGAGAGACGGGGAAAGGAAGAGTAGATAGAAAAATCAAGAAGAAGCGTGGGTGCGAAATCTTGAATGCACCTTGTCGCGTAGTCAAGTGACGGGACGAGGGTGCACGAAGGGGGGAATATTTGGCCGTTTAACCTAAAACATGATCTTGAATTGTGAAGAGACAGTGAGAAACAAACCCGAGTCATAGTTGCAATGCAAGTCTAAACGACCATGTGCGAGTCTTCCCAACCGGCTGGCCATGGATGATGGCAAGACCCAGAAAGGCAGAAAATGAGATTCTACGACCAATGTCAAAGTTACTCTGTAGAAGTCGTCGAAGAGGAATAGAACTCACTTTTATATAGCGAGCAGGGTTGAGTGAATCCTCTTGGCAACTGGCAAGGCTGAGCGTTTCCAGGCATGTGCATTCCATTCTAGGTTTAGCGTCACCGTTAAGTCAACCTCACCAGCAAGTTTCTCGTCAGGGCAACTCTCTTCATCTTCGCTTTTCGCTTTTCACTCTTCACTCAAAGATCCTAGGCCAATGCAATGTTCTAAAGCCTGGTGCACATACCATCCAGTAAGGCGCTTGCACCATGCAAATTTCTTACAATGGTTGCGGCCGCCGCCGAATCTTCGAGCTGGACCCCATGCCCATGTTCAGCGGCGGAACTTTGGGTTGCAATCGATCCCAGCTGTCTTTCTGCCTCCGGTGATATTTGGAGGCCTTTTAGTGACTCTGTGGACTTATAAATGCTTGATGATGGTGATTTTCCAGAACAAGATCATTTACATGCCTTCTGTGCCTCCATTTTCGCGCTCAGAAAAGGTCCGCGATTATGCGAGCCAGTGTCTGCCGTTCACATGGAGTGAACATGACATCAAGGCCGCCGATGGGACTGCTATCAAAATTCTGGAGAGCGGGCCCAATACTGTTGCACTACAAGCACAGCAGCGACGACGTGTGGTAGTTTTGTATCTGCAAGGGTACGTTCCGACCGTGATTTCTCTTTGACAGGTCAACTAATGTAAATAGAAATGCCAGTTCATTGCCACCTCGTTTGCCATATCTATCCAGTATATTGAGAGCTTGGACTGGCAGCAAAGCTGATGACCAACAATATACGATTGTTGGGTTGTCCTATCGTGGTTTCTGGAAATCCAAAGGCAAAGCTTCTCAACCGGGGATCGAGCTCGATGTCGAAGCTGCCCTGAACTGGGTGTTGAACCGATATGAACCTCAGACCAAAATCATCATCTGGGGCCAGTCGATCGGCGCTGGCGCTGCAGCCGTTGGTCTTGCGAATTTCCTGAAAAGTCATCCGGGCTCTCATAATCGCATCTCCGGTCTTTTGCTGGAAACGCCTTTCGTCGACCTCAAAACCATGCTCGTGGCGCTTTATCCTCAGAAGTTCCTGCCGTATCGGTATCTCGCGCCCTTTTTACGCTCGACTTGGGACAGCAAAGGTGCCCTTGAAGACATAGGGAAGATCAAATCCAAACTAAAAATGTTGATCGTAGAGGCAGGCGATGATGAAATTGTACCAGCTGGACAAGGAGCCATCCTTGAACAGGTGTGTCAGGAGCATGGGATGGAAGTGGATAGGGCGACAGTTCCGGGAGCTCTGCACACAGAAGTGATGATGAAGCCTCGTGGTCGAAGTCATATCATCAGGTTTCTTAGCTCGTTCTAATGGTACGGTAGGCAAGGATATAGTTCCTCGGGCGTCTCTGCATGTCTATCAATGTAGAATCTAACCCGGGACCCTGAGAGACGGCTCCACAACGAATAGGACGTGGTATAAGCATCTGCTCGCAGAAGCAGATCGTGTGGAACACATTGGGTCGGCAGCGATCAAATCGTCTAGGAAGAAGGCCACCTTGTCCACCTTCAGTAGTTTTTGGTCATCATCGCTCTTTCGGACATCCCATCTCGGATCTAGGAAAGGGTCATTTCCACTACGATTTTCGAAGATGAGAGACTGGAGTGTCGGCAGATGGCGATCCTTCAGAGCTCGTTGGAGCTCGGCCATCCGAAGCGACTCCCAGGGGGTGCGTGGATGTGTTGAATAAATATATATAGTCCTTGTGAGAGTGGGCGGAGGGGTGGCGGTGGCTAGATTGAATACCGCATTCAGATCGGTCCTACCTCTCCGCAGCCTGGTCATCAGCCGATTGGATAAATTAATCTGCTTAACCCCGGTGTTATCCACCAGCCAGCCGAGAAGAGCCTCGTAGGCTTCGGCATTAATGGCGTCGTGTTGGCTGCTGTAAATGTTGACAGCGGCAATGCGGGCTAGATGATGCGGGTTACACGATGCAAATAGAACGTCTAAGCCGGTCCGAAGATTGAGCCTCAGGCTCGGGCCACTAAGTGTATTGAATAAATATGGGGGAGGACGTAGCGGGGCCGTGTTGAGAACTGCTCTAGAATAGAAGATGGGGACGGCCCGTTCATAGATGGACTTGGTGAGTAGGAAAACACCTGGAATCCCCGAGGGGGAGTCAGGGCTGGTTGGCATACGATCGGTCAAGCGCTGGACGCAGAGATGTTGGACCGGAATGGCAAGATCCAAGATTTGGAGGAGGATTTCCTCAGGCAGCTTGATGAGGCTGGGCTCATCATTGTTGGTAGTCATGAGGCGGAATTAGAAGTATGCTGACGATGTGCTGATGTGAGGGGTGGTGTATGATGACGGGGTTTGAAGTGTGTCTGGGACAAGAATCAGCCAGCGAGCGATGGCAGATGAGCCTCCTTGGATGAATGGGATGGATGGGATGAATTGGACGACGAAGTCAAGTGAGTGTCCCGGTCAGGCCGCCATGCAGGGGAGTCAAGTCACAAGCGAAGGTGTTCATGTCAATATCATAGGCAGAAGCATCAAGACCAGTGGATGTGTATATGTGTGTGTGTTGGGTACCTCCAGACATGTGGCCTGCCACAGAGTGGCGCCTGTGGTATCACTAACCAACTTGGTTGAAAAATGGCTCCGTCTCAGCAATCCCGTTGAGAGAGAGGAGCCTCTGGGCCTCGAAGAAACGTCTTGTTATGGCATGATTTTGGAATTAATGAGCGAATAATAGGCGGCAAGGAAGGGGTCCTGGCCCTCTGTGTGCCGCTTTTGTGCCTGTTCCTGTGCTTGTGTGCGCAACGACGGGTAAAATTGGGGCTTGAGTCACCAGCGACGAGAATAACGCGGGGTGGCACGGGTCAGGCTCAAATAGACTGCGAGACCTCGGGAGGTGGGGGCTACGGGGGGCAAAGGGAGGGGTGCTTGCGACAGGCAGACAAAGGTCTCTGGTCCCTGGGTGGTTGTGCTAATAGTTGGTACAGTAGGTAATGGAGAGGCGGTGAGAAGCGAAAGGCTGGGCGTGATCAACCCTATCAACCACAGGGCCGAGCGGGACCTGGCTCTTGTTTGCCATGCCTACTGTACCCTTAGGCGGCTCGCATCCACCGTCCCCGGTAACCCACCACTTATCATCTGCCCTTAGCCACCAGCGCCGGGCATGAACTGCTTGGACTGCTGCGGACCGAATCCTCTTGTGAGGTCAATTGCTAGTGGGAACCAGGCACTACCTCCTAGTACTGTACTCTGTAGTCACCAGTCCTCATGCCTGCTGGGGTGACTGCCAGTGCTGCTCAGTCACTCGCACTCACGACTCAGAGTCACCACACACACCACCACCGTCCTCGCTGCTGGGACTGCGAGTATTGTCACCATTGACTTCCTTCTGCCCACCTGCCGTTCCTCTCGCCTCTGTTTCATTCACCCAATTTGTTTCTCTCGCACGCATCTTCTCTGTGTTTCTATCCTATCGCCTCCAATCTCATCTTCATCACTACTCGGATTATTGCGCTTGACCATGAGCGCGACGACCCACCGCTTCTATCCCAATCCATATGCTGTGATATTTCACCGCATTTCTCAACACTCAACATGGATGCCAACCAAGCTGGTGGTCACGGCTTTTGGAGGTATCTGATCAATCCTCAGAAGCGCGCGACACCACAACTCGAGCAGCTCTGCCTCGGTATTGCCAAAATCATTGTACGTTCCTTGTTGGACCGCATATGCTCCCCGCCGTCTGCTGACTGCTTGACTCCGTAGCCAACCCTCGAGCCTCGCTCCGACTCTGACCTCCTCACCCCGCAACGACTTGCCCTCTTCTACAGAGCAGTCGGCGGCAACTACGACTCTCTCTTCCTCAATACCTCCGAACATGGCCTTTCCTTTATGTATACCACTCTCGGCTGTTTCCACAGCTTGCAGCCTACACAATCTCCCTTCGACACTCCCAAAATACCTTGCCTGACTCCCACCGGCTTCGCTCGCTGGTTGACCATTCAAATGCTTCTATGCCCTGAAGAGAACATTGTCTTTTTGCAGAAATCCGTTCAAGTCTGGAACATTCCCGGCCCAAATGGGACTATCTTCCCCAAATACATCCCCAGAGAAGCCTTTCCGACTCGACCAGACGAGGAGATGGAGAACTGGCATAGAATGGTCACGGGCAAATTGAACCAAAAGAATTACATGCGCCGCATTCAAAACTCCCCTTACCAATCTCCTCATCCAGAAGCCCATGACCGACGGGATGGCTATTTCTCAGGCGGCCAAGTAGGCAAGCCATCGCGGCTCTCGCGAAGCAGTTCGCGTGACGATCAGACCGCCCTCTATCGGAGACGAAGCAGTGTCCCAGACTTTGTCTCTCCCTCAGGCGAACGTGGCTCTCACTGGGAGCCGAAACACCCTGAGGGTCCTAGGAAGGCTAGAAGCCACTCCGCCCAACGATCCCCTGCTCCTCCAGCCCGTCAACGATCTCACACTGCTAGCGGTAACCATGCCAGTCAACAGTCCGCACCAAATCCAAATAGCCCTTCCAACAGAAGACCTGGCGGAAAAGCCGATCAGAACGGCCGACGAACTTCTGGATACAACACTCACTATAGATCACCCGCACGCACTCCTTCAACCGTCGACGAAGATACGGGCAGCGAGGCAAGCTCCGAAAACTCGCAGGCCGGCCCTCGTCCTCGCAGACCTGGCGAAGGTCGCCAGACCCGCCGTTCTAGTCTTTGGGTGCCCTCAATTTTCAGGTCGCACAAACGTCGTCATTCATCTGATGCAAGCTACCGTGCGCCTTCCAAACATACACAACCTCTACGACCCGAGCACTACCGTGCGAGCAATCCACAACCTCTACAACCTTCACATCCTCATCGTGGAGGCGGTGCCCCTCAATGGCGTGAATCTAATTGGGATACCGAGGTACCGAATCCAAAGCCTGCTTCGCCTATGCAAGCACAGGTACATCCAGATCCACGTGCTCCAACTATCCGGTATCCGGATCAAAACAATTTCGGACAGCCATTAACCAGAGAAAGCAGCAGCGGAAGCGGTACAGATCACAGACACCGCACATCGGACTACGAAAGAAATAGTCACCGAAGAGGGCACGCTGCACCGCCTCGAATTGCGACAGTTGCAGGCGTCCACGGAAGACAATATCCCGATGCTCTGAGTCCCATTGAGAGACAACGGAATCATGTCAATTCCCGTGGTGGCGTGGCAGCCGTTGTTTAGACGACCAGAAAGACGGTGACCAAGGCTGCTGGATCGGATTGACTCAGACCGCCTTTCTACGCGGGATCCTTCTATACTGGGTTTTCTTGGCAACCCAAAACCTTATACCACGACACATTGGACAAAATGATGTTGACGATGTAATGCACACACACGAGTGACGAGACGATAGAAATAATCGCAGGAGTGACAGGTGTTTTGATTTGATGTTCCTGTTGGTGGATGTCTCTGAGAGCATTTGCGTGGTGTGGAACCTGGAAGTAACAACAAAACCCCAGTAGCACAAGCAGCAGCACCAGCCACCGCCTCACGGCAGGCACGGCAGAGAAAAACCTGGAAACGGTGTTTACAAGAGGGCTAAGCTCCAGAGTCAGGTCAATATGACCTGCCTATATGGGTTTGGGAGCCGGGAGGGTGGTCCCCTGATGAATTTACGATCTTCTTGGATGAAAATACTCTTGCGAATGGCTCCTTTTTTCTTGTGAGGATCGCTCAGCTCAGTTCAATTTCTAAACTTCTGCTTTCTGTTTGGCTATTGGTCCGCACGAGCACGTAAAGCTTAGCTCCGTCCTTACTTGGTATTCAAAATATGATTGAAAGTACTCGACGCTAAATGGGCCGGAATCCCTGCCCCGGCGTGCATCAAGGATAAATTCATCCTGCAGCCACAATCTTAGCGAAAAGCCTACGAGGACAGAGCGTAAACTTGCTTTACCGCCAATCCCTTTCCGGGCGGCAGCTAATATCTGGAAATTCTACGAGTGCAGTAGTTGACCCTATCAAGTAGGCAGGCAAAAAAAGGCAGCCGAGCGACGGCAGCAGCCACGTTGCAACCGACACGCCCCTTTTACAACGACGAAACACCGTGAACTAATTATCCCACAAGCGGTCGCTCCCACACTTCCCGGGACATACAAAAGCCCCCGTTCGCGGCGCAGGGCTTTGCCCCTCAGTTGCGCCTATTGGTAGCCTTGCTCCTACGTCACCAAGTAACAACAAACTCACTGGGTAAGGAAACCTTCAGAGAGGGGGACCCTTTCTAGGATTTGTACAGTACGTCGCGGTTCCGTTGTTCGCATTGCGGGTTGCCACGAAGATGGATACATATCCCTTGGATAGCTCGGTATCTAGGCGGTTTCTGTGTGTCGGTGATGACATCGTGGTGCTGATAGAATAGTTGTGTTCTATTTTGATTGCGAGAGATATATATTAATTATATATTATATATGCCCCGAACTGTGCTTTGTGCCTTACCGTTTTCGTTCAGGAAAGGGAGCGAGGCCGCTTTAATCTGACACGTGACAGATGCCCGGCAGAGCACGGGGGAGCGCGCCGGAGCACTGGACGACCCGTAGGGAGCTTGTCTAATGCCATTGCCTGTTCTTAGAAGCTATTAGTTCGGGCTCAAGGGCCCCCTTTGGGCCTCGACTATGAGCCTATACCACTATACTTATACTCAGCGGCGAATCTTAACCTCTCCAAGGTCCATTTCCGTTTCCAACCTTGAGCATCTCGCTATTTGACCCGCGTTGTAGTAACTCAGCTATTTTCAGCTGTAGCTATGTAATCCTAAGCTCGGCTTAGCTAGCCCTAAGGTACGCCCTAAGGAGTGTAAGCACAGCCCTAACTCTTTTAAAGGTTCCAATAACCAATAGTACTCATCCTTTCGCTACCAGGATTGAGGCGGTTTCAGGCAAGCACCGCTGTACGGGGAACGTTGGAATGGAGTGAACAGTCCTGACCTCGTGGGCATTGATTGGCCGGCCTGATAGCAGCGTCCACATGTGGCCAGTATCTATCATCCCGCAACCTTGCGCTGCTCCTTTTCCTTTTCCTTGTCTTTCTCCTTCTCAATGTCGATCGGCCCTGGTCTCGCAAACGCGGCCCCAAACAACGACAGGATGTTATTCGCCCTCAGGTACATCATATAGAACAGGGTAAATCCCGTCACCACCAGCTCGTCCCTCAGCGCCACATTGCTGCTGACCTTGTCCCCCAAAAATTCCAAGTGGCCCAGTTTGCGCAGGGCCCAGATGTTGACCGAGAATTTGGCCACGGGATTCTGCGCCTCGTCCATACATATAAAGTCCCATCTCTTCAGGCCACAGCTGCTCTTCCAGTTCATGGGCACGGGGTTGTCGGGGTCGTCTGAATACGCGTACGACAGGTGCGTGTATTGCGTCTTGAGGCGTTTCAGCGCCTTGAGCGTGCCTGCGTGACCGTGGACTTCGTACTTTGCGTTGATCGACACCACCTGCAGTGTCCCGGTGCCGATGACCTCCTTGTCGTCCGCAGACTTGAAGGTGAGGTGCGGTGATCTGAAGGTGCTGTAGTGCACGTTGTAGATGGGTTCAGACGGGTTGGCTTGGTCGGTAATGATGCTTCGGAATTGCTTCCATGAGAAGTCCACCTGGAGCGTCGGTGCTGGAGGGGAGGTCTTGTCGCCGGTAGACTGGGGGATTTCGTGTTCGTATTCCATTGTGAGTGGGCTGTTGAGGAAGAACTTGGCTTGTGGTAGAGGGTATGGTTGTTACGACGGTGGTGGTCGTGATTGTGCTAGAGCTCAGCGAATGATGGGTTGTCTTGATGACTCTTTGTTTCTTGTACAGGGATTTGTGGCAACTTGCACGACATCCAGCCATCGAGACCTGCCTGCACTTATATAGAACTCCTCGACAAGCCTCCTCGTCCCATCTCATGCCTTCTACCTTGTCCGCCTCGTGCACCTCGTGCATGCAGATCAAACCATGGCTGAGTTGAGTGTCTAACCGCATTGGGTTGTATGCGGCGCTGGTCTTGGCCTACGAAATCGGCATTTGTATGAACATACTGTGATTATGTGATCGGTTAGCCTTGGACGGCCTCCGTTTCCACCGCCCACTTCGAAATTCTTCCAACGTGCCATACCGAGGGACCCCCCCAAAACCTTACTCTGTCATAGTGAGCGACCTTCTCCGTCCTGAATGGGCCTATTGTACCGCACACTTTCCATCGGCGTCTCTCTCTCTCTCTCGTGATCCCCCGTTACATCAACGCTCATCCCAAATCCGAACCTATTAATAAATATAGCATTACACCAGCGTGAGTCAAAACGACGTTATGGCAAGCGTGACTCGTTCGTCAAAGTGAGTCCAATTGTGCTCCATGGTGGTAAGAGGCGTCAGCCTTGCTATACTTCTACCGGATGTACAATCCAACCATAATCTCGAGATAGCACCGAGAGAAAAGGGAAGAGCGCACCGTCCATCCTCTCAAAAGCAAACTGTCCTTACACACTCCCATCTTCGCCCTCTCGTCCTTCTTGAATCAATCGACATGGAACCGGCAGGAGCTGTGGGGCTGTGCGGACGTTTATCCTTGACAGAGACCCAACGAAATCGGATAGGGGATTTTTGGCTAGGTGAGGGCATAGGGCCAACCACTGCCGCTTAGGAGTTGGAGAGCATGGAGGGACGAGCTGCAGGTCTGCCAGGATATAGGGATGTACAAAGAGGATGGGTACCTGGTAAACCCTCACTCCGTCTTGTAGGCGACAGCGATGGAAAAGGCCCAACTGTCTTTACCATCGGCCAGCGCGCGAAACTCTCGATCTTCCTGTCATTTGAGTACCTAAGCTGTATGCAGCATCGATTGGCCTGGTCTTATCGAAGGGAAGAAGACATATAAGGTATGAGCGCCAGTAGCGAGTTATACGACGTTCTTAGCTGTTAGGAATGCCTATGGCGGCCTTCTAACAAGGATATGACTACTACAGGAGGTCCGTGAATACCTCGCACTTTATGCGAGATACTGTATCTAGTCTTTTGGAGCGATCCTTAAGGGCTTACGGACCTATCGTGTCACGGGATGCCATGGAATACATATATATAGTGGATTGCCAGAGATATCGACACTTCGTGTCGATACTCCACGTCTTTTTAGCTTAATCGCTACGGGCTATGGCATCCGCTCTGACATATCGCCTGACATTAGCGTAGTAAAGGATGAGCTAATGAGATTTATTCCTAGGGTATTTTCGCGATACTAAGTTTTCTAGTATAGTACTTATAAGTACTATTTACTCGCGGCTTTGTACACTAGCAGTGTAGTAGTTCCTAAACGGCGGACCTAGCTCTATAGTAAAGATATTACAAGCAGCTTCTCTTTCCTCTCTCTATATTTTAAAAAGTTCAGCCCACTCGCGTCAATTCAACAGCGTAGGAGTATATAATATTTGATTGTTTAGTAACGTTAACGGTTACAGATAATGCGCTCGAATAATACTATCCAATATAACTATACAAGCTTGACCGAGTGGGTGGAGGAGAGTTCTAAGTAAACCTACTTAGGGTTGTCCCTTAAGAAAGCGGAATCTGTGGAACAGGGTTTGTGTGTTTTGGGGGGGCGCGCATAGAACCCTCATATAGTGACTAATCCACGAGAACCATTAGCGAAAATAGCGAATAACATTGGGTATCGAACACTCAGTACTAAGAACCTATCGACTAGGGGCGGGATCGCCTCGATTTCCTCAAAGGTTAGGTATTCTTAGAAGGCTCTATCAGCGAGGGCGATAGCCAGTACTAAAGACAGCACTCTTTCGCGTATAGCGGCTGTATATCCTCGTACATTCTATGCTATGGCCTGGTGGAAGCTTAATATTACAAGAATACCCGTATCAAGCGGAGAAGGAGAAATCTTCGGTCGACCGACCATTTGTGCAGCTTATTAGTGAAGCCTTTCGCCCAGTCATGTTTAATTAGAACGATAAAATACGGCATCGCTACAAAATACGGCTGCTGTCGTTCGGTTGAGAGGTTGTACCTTTTCTTTAATACTATTTCGATGTACTAATTAATACGAAACTCTCAGCTTCGTCGACGGAAGTGAAGTAGAATGTTCACCGATTCCGACACCCTGTGGGGGTCTTTCGGTTACTAGCCATCGCTTCTAAGCGGCGCTAAAGTCGGTCTACTTGCCTTTATGTAGCACAGACTCATGCCAGTCTTGCTCTCCTTTACAATACCCTCTATGAAATGCTTCGTAGACCCCAAATCGTAGATGAAAACACTAGGATCTCGCCTTATCTACCTAATTACCAAAGTTCACCTTTGTTAGTAAAGCCCAGCAAGACCCTTAGGCGGGCGAAGAACTTACTCGTCCTAGGATAGCCATTTGATCGTAGTTCAACTTAGTCCTAGATTTAATAGGTTTAGTGACCGGATCACTAATTGTTCACGTCGGCATTCCCAATCGGCTCCAAGCCGTTCTCCTCCGCTTCATTAAAGACTTCGGCAGCGGTTTTCTTTCTCTTCAGCGTTAGGAAATCGCGAGTAGGACAGGAAGCGCCGAGAGGAAAGGCAAAAGAAGACGACTCGGGAGGGAGGATTAAGGCACGACCAAACGCCAGGAAGGTGCGTTTAAGTAGTTGGAAGACCGGACAGAAAGAGTGATTCACACGATAAGCGGAGGGAGGGTAGGGGAAAATCTAAGGACCCTGAGAAGGAGAGGAAACGGAAGAGAGGGGGGGGGAGGACGAACGAGAGGAATGGAGGAGAAGACAGCGGACGAGGGAGCGATTCGACTAAAGTCCTTGGTTCGAGGTACGTCGGTCGTGCTACTATGATAGATATATGGGAAACATTGCAAGTTTGTTTATATGGGCTACTGTGGACTGTGTTGTGTGCACTGTAGTTGAAATCCCGGACTGAGGAAGGAAGTCAATGTCATGACTATGTATGCATTTCAGGGAGAATATATTTGCTTTGAACTTCTCATGCACCATTTTCTCCTTCACATGGTCACAACATTTCCCGTTCCAGGATTCAGTCAATCGCCACATCCCATGAGAAGCCAGCTCCGCAGTTCTTCTCTCTCTCTCTCTCTCTCTCACGAGCATGTCAATAAAGGAAGAACCCTTGACCCAAGGGCACCGTCTCCGCTGGCTCAGCTTTCATCTCGACCCCATCCGCCTCGACGATATAACGCTCAGGATCGACCTTCATCTTGGGCATGGCATGGTTGAACTTCATGTCCTTTTTACCGATGTTGCGCGTGTTCTTGACGGCTTCGACGCGTTTCGCGAGGTTATACGATGGCACAGTGCCTGAAGTGATGGATGCCTGGGATACGAATGTGACACATGTCGAGGGCACGAATGCCGCAAATTGCGTGCGTGAGATCACCGGCTCGACTGTTGGGATGGAAGCATTGGGGTCGCCCTGTTCGCGTGGCATTATCAGTATATGGGTTCTCAGGTTTTTTGGTAGTGAAGGGCCAAGGACTGGGAGCATGGGAGCCAGGCATGCTCATGACCGTAGGAGGAGTATGGGTGAGGTGAGAAACATAGGTTATGTGATGCCGAGGCTGTGTTCAATAGGGGGTGATGACGGGGGAAAGAAACCCATCTACTTACCATCATTGCACTAACGATCATTCCGCCCTTGATGATCGTGCTCGGCTTCGTGCCAAACAGAGCCGGCCTCCAGATGACCAAATCGGCCAACTTGCCCACCTCAACACTCCCGATGATGTGGGAGAATCCTTGCGTAATCGCCGGATTTATCGTATACTTACTGACGTACCGCTTGACTCTGAAATTGTCCGCGCCTGTACCCTCGTCTTCAGGGAGATAGCCTCGTTGCTGCTTATTTTTATTCGCCGTGTTCCATGTCCGCAAGACGACCTCTCCACAGCGGCCCATGGCCTGGCTATCGGAGGAAATCATGGAAATGGCTCCGAGATCGTGTAAGACGTCTTCTGCCGCGATTGTTTCAGCACGGATGCGTGATTCTGCAAACGCAACGTCCTCTGGAATGTTCTTGGACAGGTGGTGGCAGACCATCAGCATGTCAAGGTGCTCGTCAAGTGTATTGCGGGTGAAAGGTCTGGTTGGGTTGGTGGACGAGGGCAGTACATTATCGTGCTCGACCACGCTGATGATGTCCGGTGCGTGACCGCCACCAGCTCCCTCCGTGTGATATGTGTGGATTGCGCGTCCCTTGAACGCGGCGATAGTTTGTTCCACGAACCCGGACTCATTCAAAGTGTCGGTGTGAATCAGACACTGGATATCATATTCGTCGCAGACAGACAAACATGAATCGATCGCCGCAGGTGTCGTGCCCCAATCTTCGTGTAGCTTCAACCCACATGCCCCTGCTTCGGCCGACTCACGCAGAGCAACAGGAGAACTATCATTGCCCTTCCCTGTGACTCCAAAATTGATAGGAAGGTGATCGAGAGCCTGAAGCATATTCTTCATATACCACTTTCCAGGAGTGCACGTTGTTGCACTTGTTCCAGCCGAGGGACCAGTACCGCCGCCGAGATGGGTAGTGATACCAGACGAAAGTGCTTCGTATGCCTGCTGGGGACAAATGAAATGAATATGCGAATCGATGCCACCGGCTGTAATTATTGAACCTTCTCCGGCGATGACCTCAGTGCCATTGCCGACAATCATATTTGGGGTCACGCCATTCATGGTGTCCGGATTGCCTGCTTTACCTATGCCTGAGATGAAGCCATTCTTGATGCCAATGTCAGCTTTGTAGATACCGCTCCAATCGACGATCAATGCATTGGTAATGACAGTATCAAGAACGTCTTCATCTTTCCGATTAGACGCCTGTCCCATGCCTTCGCGGATGGTTTTACCACCGCCGAACTTGCACTCTTCGCCGTAAGATGTCAAATCCTTCTCGACCTGAATCCAGAGGTCCAAGTTGGCCAGTCTCACCAAATCACCAGTTGTAGGCCCAAACATGGTAGCATAATCTGCTCTTGTCATTGAGGCGACATCAATGTGCCCCAGATCCCCAGCTGGTTCAGGGACGTTAGCAAAGCCAGCTTCCTGTAGCTTGCGAGAGATGTCGTCAGCTCGAGATATATCGACGACACCCGAAGCAAGATTGTTGCCACCATGAATCGTCTTGTTTCCTGCTATCTCAACGAGGCTGACCGTCTTGGTATCACCAGGTTCAAATCGAATTGAGGTTCCGGCTGGAATATCTAAGCGAAAGCCGTATGCTTTGATTCGGTCAAATTCGAGGCGAGGGTTTGTCTCGATGAAGTGATAGTGTGATCCAACCTGGTTAGATCTGGGTAAGTAGTCACCACGCAATACATCATCCAAATTGCTGGCGGAGACGCACCTGAATTGGTCTATCGCCCTTGCTGGTGACTTTGAGTTTGATCCTCTTTCGACCTTCATTGAGTACAATTCTTCCCTCCTTCGCGGTGATGACAGCACCGGGTTGATTCTTTGTCTCATACTCGCCCACATCAGCCAGTGGGAAAGCATCTTTTGAGGGAACGGGCAGAAAGCTTCCATACAAGGCTTTCTCGAGATCGCCGTCATCCGAAGCAATGGGGTCATGCACAGTGACGAGGTAAGTACCCGTCTTGAATGTGCCTTCCACCTGGATTGTATGAAGGGTGGTCAGGACATCAGGCTGGACATGTCGTCGACCCAACATTGTCTTCCCAATTGACATGAGATCGGCGACGGTGTGGTTGCCATCTCGAATGAGCTGTGACGCGGACTTGTCAAATCCTGCTTCATACAAAAAACAAACTTCTTCTACTGACCTCTTGCAAATTGTGGGAGATCAGACCCTAATAAGCAGGTCAGTCTGACGCGGAATCGCCTTGTATATCATCTTGAACGTACACAGGCCTCCGTATAATTTAGTTTCAGGCCCCTGGCAAGTCGTCTCTGCGCCAAAGTGCCCACTTGCGTGATGACGAGCTTATCAAGCTATTCAAGAGAAGGACATCAGCATAAAAATTCGTGCGCAAGGAGCCGGTCGCCCCACTCAAGGGAACTTCCTCCCTACCTCTTTTGGTATCAACAACATAGTAGGCGAAGCTGTTCAGGTATCACGCCCTGTAAAGTCTCTGTGCTTGATATGTGCAAGAAAGCCCCTAAACGGGTTCATGGGCCTGGCTATTTAGATATGCTTGACCTTCTGACGCCGTTATCTCTGACATTTGATGTGAGATAATGCTCCGGGCACGAATTAGATTGCGACCATGGATTGCATGGACGCGGGGCATGGGAGCATTTGTTTGAAGTGGCCTGAGCAAATGATAGTTCATAGAGCGGGCGGCGGTGCGAGGGGGCTGCAGCCTGCAGCCTGCCGCTTCCCTGCTCCCCTCCAACCCCACCACCCAGCAGCTCAGCTTCTAATGTGCTCGAGAGTCGAGACCTTATCCTACGCCATTGAGCCGCGCGCTTTTTGGCATGATCGACTCTGGCTCGAGACCAAGCTCAAGCTCAAGCTCCAACTCGAGCCACTTCATCCTAAGCTTCCCACTGTTGAAAGCGGAGAACATCCCTGTTCCGGTATATCGGAAGAGGGGAATTTGGTCTTCTCACATGCGTCCAGTCAAAGACGTGAGTTAGAAATGTATGAATTCGTGTATGATTGATTGTTATTTGTGTAAGCCTCTCCATCCCAGCCATCGAGTTAATACTCGTGATGAAGATGCCTTTTCATTATGAACATGACAGGAACCCATTTCCTGTACTCGAGCTCTGGAAGCAGAAGGCAGCTGTTTAGTTAGACCCCGAACCGAAACCCCCACAACCATGATGTCCCTATTCCCATAAACAACCCAGACAGCACCATCTTACAACCCAAAAGCTCTTTGGTCATCGTCAATTTCATCATTGCCAATCCTCACTTTTTCGACTTCCTCTTAGTCTTGTCGGTCTTGGAGGCTGAAACTGGAGCTGGTGAGGACTCCTTCTTGCCGCCCTTCTTGGTCTTCTTTTCAGGAGACTTGGCGTCGGCTTTTGGCGTCGGCTTGCTAGGTGTAGCATCTTTGGTCTTGCGGCGCTTGGACTTGGGCGGGCTGGGTTCCTTGACTGGCTCAGGCGATGACTCGTCAGATGATTCAGCGGCCACTGGCTCCTCTTCTGTCTCAGCTTCGGCATCGAGACCGACAATGTGGTCCGGAGCCTTGCCAGCTTCGACAAGTTTGGCGGCTTCTTCATCTCCTGGAACAGGCTGGCCAGCCTTGTATGCCGCCATCTTGACGCGATAAGCAGCCAAGTTCTTCTGGTACTTGTCATCCCAAACCTACAGAGGATCATTAGTAGCTGCGTCACTGTATAGCATATGCCATGACGTACACTCTTCTCTGCGGGACTCATCTCAGTCCATCTGCGAGTACCCTCATCTGCGACCTCTTTTGGTTTGGCAGAATCTCCCAACTCTTTGGCAATAGTTGCACGAGCACTCTGCATATACAGGAAGTATGGGGTTAGGGCGCGTTTTGGCGCATTGGGATCATGTGGAGTCCTCTTGCGCTTCTTCTTTCCGTCGGCTTCGACCTCGACTGGTGCTGCACCACCCGCACCAGGAGCGGCTAGAAGACCTGACTCGGTCAAAATACTGGTGAGGTTGGCATCGATAGGAGTGAGACCATGTTTTCCGGGTGCAAGGACAGTATTTGCATGTTGGATGTAGGCGCGAGAGAGGTCCTGGACGCTAGACTGAAGAGTTGCAAGAGCAACGATGACCTGATCATGAGAGTGAGCTATTGCATCCTAATCATTATGAACGTGTGCAATAGTTTGGGCAATTGATAAGCGTCGAGATGAATGTATATCGAGCAAAGCTAGCGTGGTCTGATTTAGGTGGTGGAGATTTTGTGCCTGCGTGACGGGCAAGCGTGATGTTGTAGGTAGTTGATGCATTTTGGTTCGGTGGGCGAGTGTTGGATACGCGACATGAGGGGCGGTGACATGGTGTTGTGGTGGTGGAGGACGTATAGAGCCTTGTGGCGGGGAGTGGCAATGGAGGGGGAAGGAGCAGCAGCAGGTAAAGAATGGGAAAATGTGTGGCGACTTGGATGAGGTCTTGGGTCTGGGACATACCGAATCTCGCGTGCGCTGGAAATCAGCAATGTTGACTTGAGTGGTGGCAGACTCGGGGTCTGCTTGAGCAGTCTTCTTCGCCATTGCAACGGTTGGGGATGGGAAAATGATCAACTAAGACAGTTCACGATGTTGATGATAATAGGGCCCTGTAGAGTTGCAAACTCTGAGGCTAGCTTTAACTAATGAGTGCCTGGGGGGACGGTGAGGTTTGGCGGAGGATGGCGCGGCTGGGTGCGAGATAAAGAGAGGCGAAGAGGGCACAAGCGACAAGCTCAAAGATTGAGATCGACGGTGTGTTTTGGGGGAGGTGGGTGGAAGGTTGATGGCGGAACACTCGGGTGTAAGAGAAAAAGAAGGAGTAGGGGAGCGAGCTACAGTTATTGGGGGGTGAGCCTGGTATAAGTGGGCGAACGAAGGCAGATTGGGTGCTCTGGATCAACCCGCAAGCCCCTCGGGCTGTAAGTCGCGGCAGCTGCAGACTCTGATCATGATGGGCACCCAGCTGCAACCCAAAAACCCATCCCCACTTGCACCCTCCGCGCTAGCCATACTTAGGCGCCTCTAATTGGACCTGCTTAGCTGTATCTTCCTGCACACTTCCGACTCTTCACCCAGAGATGCCCCAATAAGCCCGATTTCTTTAGGCTTGTTTGCCTCGCAACCCTGCCTTTTCTGCAGGCTAAAACGCCCTAACTAGCAACCACTTTTGCCTGCTAAAATATGAACCCCAAACCCTCATGACTGACAAACGGCAATTTCTTGACCTGGTTCTGCCAGTCCTGGCTTGATGAACTTGTTCATGCCCCTTCTGGGGGGAGAAAGGACTCGACATGACCCGGACAGGAAACACCATGACAGTCGATAATACATGAACCAATATCACCCCCTTCCTGTGTTCTGACATGAACGAAAGGTTGCGCCTCTATCGGCTTGAACAATTATGTATGTGAAGCATGTTTAATGTACTGAACTCGATGGGTGAAGATCTATCAGTGATAGACTGGTAATTAAAGGTGAAAGCCTGGTGGAAAATGAACCTACTACAAATTTAGGGAGAATTGCACTGTACAACAGTGGGCGTGCCAGCCAGCAACCATCCATCCTACCTCCGATGCCGAATGCGGAGGGAGGGCCTCTTAGCAAAAACTCTGATGGGCGCCTCTGTGATCCAGTTGAAATCTCAGAGGGGATAAAGGGCACGTTTGCTGCTAAAAAGCATCAGGTCAGACCACCAAACAGGCACTCCTCAAACAGAAGCCCCACGGCCGAGTTGCATAAGCGCTCCTGGGCATCAGTGCCCCTAGCACTTTTGCGTGTCAGACTGACTCGTTGTGTTATGGTCACCGACCAGTTAGGTAATGGGATCAGGGCCAGTTTGGGGAGCCTTCCCTGCTGATTATGACCAAGAGGTGGGTGGATTACGCGCTTTTGACCTGTCAACTAGCCCCTCGGCCCTTACAATTTAGGCACACCCGCATTACTGTCGGACAAGCCCAATGCTGGCGTCACATGTCCGACTTGGGACGTGCCTACTGAGGGCTGGGTTTGGAAAATCTTTTGCCGCAACTGCCGTTCCAGACGCCGGGGCCCCCAACGCCTACAGTAGATTGGGCAACTTCATGGTGTCTCGCAGTCATCCCTGGTTCCGGTCGTTGTTGTTCCACATCTACCTTCGCTGCTCAGTGCTTACGGCCAGCAGTCCCCCGAACCCGCCATGGGAGAAACAGGTGCCTTTCTAAAGTCTCCGATGCAGGCTTGGTCAGTGACTTTGGCCTCTCCCGAGCTCCCTCAACTTTTGGCCATCGAGCCGGGTGCCTTCAAGGGTCTCTTGCTTAACTGGCGATCACACCTTGCTGTTGCAAACCGGGCACGCCCAACGAGAACATGGTCGGCCAGGGGCCCCTTGGGTGTGGCCCGAACCTCCCCACGCTCAATCCTCCAGTCTTTCTGGAGCCAGTACAGGCACCTACCCTAATTACCACTCAACTGTTGACCAATTCCCCAACTGGAAGGGAAGGTCTGTTACGGATGCTCTTCATCATCTCAGCACGCGCGCTCTCACAACTTATTTGTTGTCCTCACTCTCGATGTACCTGCATTAGCCTCCAGAAGTCCCTCTTGTTCCATCATCATTTAGTAACCGCTTTGCGGCAACTTAACCTGGGTATCGATACTCAGCCGTGAGCCCCAGAGGTCATCTCACGGGCAAGCTGCCCCAAGCATATCTATCATTGCCGCCAACTACAGTCAAGTTAACCACATCAGAGTTCTACCATTGTTCCCCATTATGCTCCACTCCATAATTGCCTCGATTGCAATTGCTTGTGCACACCTCCCTCAACCATAATGTGGTGCACTGGTTCCGGTAAATATGTCGTTGCAAAGGTGGACACACAGATTTCGGCCCATCAGACTCAGCCATCAAATCCGCGACACATCTTCAAGGCATAGCGTGGGTCAATGAATTACAGTCCCCGTCTTCGCAAGCCAATTGCCACTTTCTTTAAATCAACCAGCAGGATGTAGGTATGTAGGCTGATGTATTGGGGGCATTGTGCGCAGCGGTAATTTGTTGACGCCAACGGCCTTACCCTAATAGTAGCCAACAAGCCAGCAGCACTCCTCTCTCGAGGACTTTGTCGGCATTCGTACTCCATACCTCGTACGTGGCTCTCCGTGCCCCGTACTGCCCAGATCCAGACCAAGTCTGACGCCATCCATACCTGAAACTCCTCAGCACCCGCTCCCCTGCACATAGCTGAACAACTGAAGCTCCCCAACGGCGGACAGACCAAGTCTCGGACACGGATTGTGCCCCCATGTCCCTCATCTCGGATGCCCGTAAAGCTCTCGTTCCTTGGCACTTACTCGCACAGCAGCACGCGGTGCTGAACACTTACTCTGACCAGCGCAGCCGGCGGTCCCAGCCACTCCCCGCTCACCATCCCGCTCCATTCCCTCATGCTGGGTACGGAGTATTTATTCACGTCGAGTATGTCCTACACAGGTATATTCCACATAGTCTGTCATTTCGCTCTGAGCACTTCGAACCATGCTTAGGGACCTTGCATAGCACGAGAGAGAGAGTCGTTTTCAAAGAAAAGTAACTGTAACTTAGTTATGGACTGGGCCAGAATCTTTTTCACATGTTTCTTTTCCGCCAGGTCTTCGGAAAGTGTAACCCAGGACATGTATATTCAGTGCCGCGTCTGTGTACAGATAGAAACATCTCCGAATATATGTCTTGGGAATTCCCGGGGGGCTCTCCACCTTCCCCAGAGGGGCGCAGAGGGAATATTCATGTTTGTCTTGATTTTTTCTTCTCTATTCTTTTCGAGACGATCTATCTCTTATGAATGTACAGGGTCTCCCAGCGAAACATCAAAAATCTTACACTGTTGACGTGTCTTGCTAATTCCAAAAGTCCCATTTCCCCCTTTAGAATTTATAGACCTGGTCCTTAGTGTACCCGAGCTCCTTCAGGATACCAGACAAGTCACCCTGGTCGGTAGGACTGACCTTCGGGCCACTGAGGGCCTTATACAGTCCCGGCGGGCCACAGACAAAAACCTTGATATTCTCGCTCTTGGGGTCCGGCAACAAAGTCTTGAGCAGATCCTTGGTAATAAAGCCCTTGCCATGTTTCCAGCCAGAGGACGGGTTATCGAGGGTGTAGTAGGCGCGGAAGCGCTGGGGGAACTCGTTCTCAATCTTCTCGAGCTCTTCTTTCAGGAGGATGTCCTTCTCGCTGATGTTGCCGAACACGAGCGAGACCTTCGTCTTATCCTCCGGGTTGCTGAAGATGGCGCGGATCAGCTGGTACATGGGCGTGATGCCCGTGCCGCCTGCGATCAGCGTGATGTGGTCGTGCTTGTTGGCCGCCCACGGGTATTTTGGGATTGGACCCTTGAAGGACAGGGTGTCGCCGGGCTTCAGTTCGTGGATGTGTGTGGACATCGGTCCGTTGGGGTAGACTTTCACGATCAGGTCGAGGTGGCCTTTTGCGTCTAGAGAGATAGGAGAGGAAATGTTAGTAGGGGATCAGCTGGAGAGGAACGAGTCGCGTGGAATGGGCATTGTGTCAGCGAGAGATATACCTTCGCTGTTGACGGGCGTGTATGGCCTAATCGTAGGCTTCTCATCATTGGGTCCCTTGAATTTTGTGATAATCGCAGCTGTCCGCCTCAATCTTGTCAGCCGTTTGTCGTGTCTTGACCAGAGCCTCTCAATGGTGTAATGGAACTTACAAGCAACAGTCAAGCCAGAGACATGTTCGGGATCCGGCAACTCAAATTTGAGGACCTTTGTGTTGTGGTTGTAGTCAACGGCCTCAGCGAGCTTCAGATCAATAAAGCCTTGATCGCCGCCGGTGAAAGTCTTTCCCACAGGAGCCGCGGCTTTTGCATCTTCAGCCGGCTTAGGAGTAGCAACGGGAGCCTTCTTGCTGCTTCCAAGGAATGAATAGCCCAGGGCTCCTGCGCCGATTGCAGCACCACCTACGAGGAATGGTGTGGAAGAGGAGGACGACGGTTTAGGGGCTTCGGTGGCATATGTGCGGACACTCTGGAGGAGGCGATGGTCAGCGAATTTAAGCAATTGATGTGAAATGGAAACGCTAGGCAATGTTGGATGTATGCTTTGCAGCGTGCGATTTGAAATGCAAGCTGCAGAACAATTATTAAGCTCGAAGCGGGGGGAAATACCAGGCGTAAGGGAGCTGCACATCGCAGCACTGAACGGGCCAACATCTTTGCCTTGTCTGCTGGGGATGGAAGGACAGAATGATATAAGGAAAAAAGAGTTGAAAGAGATGAAAGTGCGTGGAGGAATCAAAGCGTTTGTACAGCCGAGCCGCGTGAGACTGAATTTGATATATACACAATTTGACCCAACCCAGATGCGATGGGGTCAATTGGAGTCTGGATTGGGGAACGAGTTGGCACGAAAGAGCTTCTGCGTGATGTTGGTCCTTCCACTAGTGGCACTAGCCGCAGGAAGGAGCTCAATGATGATGGCGCTTGGCGGGTGAGGGAGTCGGAGCTTCGAGGTCCCCAGCCCGACTGGGTGCCCGAGCTGCGAATAGGGCTGACCTACGGAGCAGTGAAGGCCGGATAAGGCTGCCAGAAAATCCTGGCAAGGCTCCCTTGAACAGAACGCCCCAGGGCAAGGTAGTTGGCTCCAAGCCTCCTTACGTAGGTAAGCATCTACCCATGGGTATAGACCAAATCTCATACATCTCATAATTCTTCCTCTTCTTCGTCGTGGCCTTTCCGACCAACGCTCCTTAACGGATACCAATTCCATTCGGTGGCGTCACTCTCATCTAGACAGCGTTTGGCTGCTATGTATGCTTCGATCCGAGTCCGTCTCCTTCCAGCGTTCTCTTCTGTTGACTGCTGCTCCTCCACCATCTTCTGGCTTTTCTGTTCTGGATCAGGCATGGCTTCACTTCCATGTATTCCGTCGAAGACCGACTGGCCTATGGAATCTTCTTCCGAGTCAGATTCGATCACTATCAGATCTTCCACGCGGTCAATCTCCTTCGAGGACGCCCGAGTAATCTCCCATTCAGTATTTGAGTCATATGCATTAACATCAGGCTGTCGTCTTTCTGGTTGATGTTCGGAGTGTTTGAACTTGGTGTCATTCGCGTTCGCCTTTGCGCTTCGGTATGACTCTCTCTCAACGTCACTCTCTTGTGACGCGGTCTCTTGACTGTCTCCCTGTTTTCGTTTCCTCTTGCCACCAGCTGGCCCTTGAAGTTCGGCTATCTTCTCAACTTGGAGGCGAACATTCCCGTCGTAGAAGAACCTCTTTTCTGAGCATAAGTCACCGAAAAGAGACTCCATACTCATATCTTCAGTCCATCCTTCAGTATCCACCGTGCAGGGACATATATCTTTAGGTCGAAACTTGCTGACTAGATGACGAAGTTCGGCATATGATGAGTGTCGAGAGTAAGGGAAATGAATGGTCCTGGTCGGGTTGTCTTTGCCCGGTCTCTCGGTATTTGTTGGTGCTGGGCCTTGCGAAAGTGATTCCATCCATTGGGAGGCTTTGGCTAGTGCTTCTTTCAATTCTTGAAGCGAGATGTTCTTCTCACCATCCGCTGCAAGAACATCTTCGAAGCCATCGAAAGTCAAGTTGTATCCGCGCACTTTTCGAGATGGTTCGATCATTTTCTGGATAGCTTCTGTGCTGATCTTGTCCTTTAATGCTCCCTGACAAAAGGCGCCAAATTGTTGCAAAGCGGCGAGATCATCAAACGTAAATCCCAAAGTCTGATAAAGGTCGCCCCAACCCCCACCAGCTCCAAGCTCTCTGACTTCAGTGCCATCTTTGAGTCGGGAGATGATGGGACTGATCCAAACAAGGTTCTCTTGATTCTTTATCTTTGAATGGCACGGCGTGCCTGGCTCACAACTGTGAATCTTGATCGCGCTGTCATTGGTTTTGGTTAGGCACCCGGCATGGTATGCATTGCCCAGGGTAAAGCCAGTCAATGCCGGGCCTTCAATGAAGCCAGTCTTGTCAGAAGACTCACCGGAGCCTAGCAACTTGATTTGGTATTCTTCAACATGGACACGAGACTTCAAAACATCGGAAAGAGCAATCCATACTTTCTCATAACCAAGAGTCCATGATCGGAAATAGAAGAGAGTGTCGGCGGGGCATTGTCTGACCTTTCGGATCAGCTCCATAAGGCCGTCTGCCTTGGTAGGAAATACATTGTATGGCTCGTCATGAGTTGCGAATGTTGTGTCAAGATAAAGACAGTCTAATGTCTTTATGCCGCAAGTATAGGGCAACAAGACCGGGTTCTGGACTATTGAATTGACCCACCAAGGTTCTGCACGTATGTCCCCTGTGTAGACGACAGCCTTGTGATCGGCTTCGAGCAAGAACATGACTGCACCCGGGCAATGGTTGGCGTCGAAGAGAGTGACCCTCATCCGGGACTTTGGTCCGAGTTCGATATCGATAGGTGCTTGCAATGGTAAAGGTCTAAGAATCGACTTCAGGTGGCGATAAGTTTGCTTCCTAGCCTCAAGGATACCTTTAGCGTAGTTGATTCGGTGTGGATATTTTTCCATCTGGAGAAGAAGTTGTCTCGTGGTGACCGAGCAGTAGACAAAGGGCATCTTGACGGACTCCAGGCCCAGCAGATGGTCGCTGTGAACATGACTCAGGAAGAGGGCTGCTGGCTTTGGTTGTCCTGGATGATATCTGAAATAGTCGATTCTGATAGTGGGGAATTCCTTAACAATGCCATCGAACGTCGACATGGTGAAGGGGCATCCCCAAGGCTCCAGCCCCTCCTCTGTGGGTTTCCTGTGCAAGGCTGAGATATGCACCCCAGGCGTGAAGTTGGAAGCGGGTAAACTACGGGATTACTTAGCCTGTCTTAACCGCGCCCCGTATCCGAGCAGCCAGTCATCAAGCCACTCGGCTGACCTCTGTAATGGCTGTTTGGAAGTCCGGAAGTGTCGACGGTGGAGCAGCAGCGGGCACATCTAGCCGGGATGCTAGGCCCAGGGTGCAGAGACAGAGACAGGTTGGGGCGTTACAGAAGCGAGCTTATTTGTTGGGCGGTCGCTGCAGAACCAGAGTCGCTAACTAGCTGGGCCAAAGAGGACAGGGCTGGACAGGCTGAAATGGGACCTGGTCGGCCACATACGGGCTGTGGGCTGCGGGCTGGGCGGAGGATAGAGGTTGAGGTTTTGCAGGCCACCTGACAATGCGAGATGCGAAGCGGGTGGATGTTTGGGTTGTTGGCAGCCACTACTCGTACTCCATCCTGGCAAGTAGTGATGTGGCACGCATCATCTGGAGGACTGCTACGGAGTGCTATAACAGACTAAGTCAGTAGCACCAGAACCCATTGACTCTTGAGTTGCTGGTACTACTCGTAGGGGTGACTAGGTCGTTCATATATCCAGGGTCTCGCTGTGGTGATGGGAATTCACGAGTACTCCCTACTATCTCCTAGACTTGCCGGTCTTTCTTGGACTCTTCTCGTAATGGTCTCATCAACTAGTTAGTAGTTCCTGGCTGCCTCTTCCACTGCTCCGTACCTCTGGGAACAATTAATTGCCTACAGTAGGTACTCCGTGCTCAGGTACCTCAGGTCCGTCCAAATCGCTAGTTCATACCTAACTACCTGAATACCTGACATCTGCTCGTGGCACTGACAAACGAAACACCCGCCCTTGTCTCACTAGTCAGTTAGACGCTTTGAGTTACTACCTCAGCTAATTATTATTTAGAAGTTGGCCCCAGTGGGAATGGGCGGTAGCGGTACCTGAACTCAAAACGAAACCGATCATTCCTGCGCCGCCAACGAATGCCTCTGGGATTCTAAGCACCACCACCGCCAGCAGCAGCACTGGCGCCACCACCACCACCACCACGACGTCCTACTCACTTGCTCCGTACTCCTCCACCACTTCATCCTCCACCACCACCCTCGTTTTCAGACTCCCATGTTTATTCCAGATACAACGTTGCTCCCTGCCGCCTGCATTCCATCCGCCCTCATCCCTACCTGCCAGAAGTCTCCGTTTCTCTAGCCTCACTCATCCCCACAACTCTCGAAACCGTGCCTCGAACTCACAACTAGTCCCTTCACCTCAACCTTTTCATCCCACTCACAACAGTATTCTCGCCCACTCAACATTCAACACTCAGCCCACGAATTTGCATTTGCATTTGCTAGAAGGGTTGAGTATACCCAGATCCACGAACCTCCCACACCTTGGCGCAGCCTGACCCCTTCACAAGCCCGTTCCGAAAACAAGCAGTCGTCGAAGGGAGCTGCGAGAACAGCCGTTTTCAGGATGCGAAAACCATGCATTCCCGACTTGATCTACCACAAAACATTTCCTCGCCCGAAGCAGGGTGAGCCGGCCTCCTTCTATGCTCATATTCAACGCCACATAGTGGGGGAGGTTCGGGTGGAAGTCCAAATGTACTATGGAGCATTGGACACCCTGGAGGCTCAGTATCCTGGTCTTGACTACACATACCCTCCGCACCGTCGTCGAATGTCCCGCTATCCATGGCACCGCCGCCTTTTCCGTGTCTTCGACGAGCTAAGCTTGACCAACGACGAGATCCTAAATCTGTGTCAGTGGGAAGGGACCAGAGCTGCCAAAGAAAGATATGAGCGTGAGGCACAGACCGAAGTCAAGACCACAACAGCACACGACGTCGTTGCCGCGCCCAGAGGCTCCGGTCCCAGAATGATCATTGAAGGCTGGCCTGCTTCATCATCTACCAGCCGCTCCACAAACAGTCAACCGGTGGCACAAATCGAGGCGAACCCAGACTCCGATGAATTGAGCAAGACCGAACAAGATGTTGACGGGTTGGACTGCCCTCCCGCTCCATCGAACGAGATTTTGGACCTCTTACGAACGGCAATTCAATCTCGCTCAAGCCTTGAATCCAGTGTAGCCACCACTCAGGCTTGGGAACAATGGCTTAAGGATGCACTAGAACGACATGAAATGGACATCGATTCCGTCATGACAGCGTTACAAAGCATCGACCCCGAGCCTGCTCAGGGGCTAGATGATCCAGACGCTCTCTTGTCACTTCTCAACACCTCACCAACCCCAGATCTCTCACCCTCCCCACCTGCATTATCACCCCCTGATCATCGAACATATGACGAACTTCACACGATGGTGGACCAATTGCAAACAGACAATACTCGGCTTGCAGCTGATAATGCCGCTCTGGCTCTATTCTTGAGGAGAACCCAGACGGAGGCAGCGAGATAGAGGAGATGATGGTCCGCTTGGACTGGTTACACAACCACATGCACACCCTGAGCGATTTCACGAGTGGAATTCTAATGATTTTAAACCAAAAAGTATGAGCACATGGGACGGGAGATATTTGGTATTCAGGTGCTACCACGGCGGGCAAATTGATCGTCCACTTTCCAGCGTGGCGTTTGATGGGTAATTGTGCGTGTTATGCACTCTTAAAACAACTAGGACGATGTGAGGGACGGGAGTTAACTTTTGCACTTTCTCGTGCGCAGCGAATCGAAGTGGGAAGGAATGGTCTTTTAATTATGAAGTCTGCGCTCTCATTACACGACGCACGATGACCAACGGCCGGATATAGAGGTTCTTGATCCAGGCAAAGACTGAAATGTTTTGCTGATGGAAGGGGGAGTCTACAATGCAATAGTCCGCGAACTAGACCCAGGGATTACTTTTTATTCTACATCGTCAGGGCAGAGTCAGAAGAAGACCCAGACGAAGGGGAAAAGTCGTTACATGAAAGTTTCACAGACCGTCCGTCCTCTTTCCTCTTCTATGTCCAAATCCATGTCCAAATCCCGCTTGGCCTACAGTTCAGGTCGTAGTGTTCTTCTTCACGACGCCCCTCGCAAAGTCCCCAAACGTCAGCCCCGTCTTCAAATCGACGACTTCCCCCAAATTCGGCTGCGTGAACACGGCCAGCGTATTCCTCGCGATCCTCGCGTTCGCGTCCGCGACGTTCCGGGGCTCCACGCCCTTGACGAAGTGCGGCACCGCTTTGAACCGTCCCTGTGTGATCAGCTGCAGCGTCTCGCCGGTCTGGAAGGCCAGGCTGTCGCGCGGGATCGCGACCTTGTTGATCTCACCGGTCCGCGAGAGTATGTACAGCCCGGAGGTTGGGTCCGGCGAGGTGGGGAGTTCGCTGAATTGCGAGTGTGCCGGAGAGGCCTCGTCGACGAACATCGCGGACGTCAGCCCCGTCAGGCACCCGTGGTCAAGGTGTGTTGTGCACCAGGTGTCGTCAACGGTATCAGTCTGCTGGTGCTGCTTCTGCCGCTCATCGTCCTTCCTCGTCTGCACACCACCGTCCTCCGAGCTAGGAAAGTAATGCAACAGCCGGGCCTTGCTCGTGCGACTGCCCCGGACGACCCTCTCGAGATATCCGGTCTCATACCCGTCGATCTCCTGCTCCGCGTAGCGATCACACGCGCGCGCCACCAGCACCGCTGTGTCGATGATCAGCCGGATCAGTGCCTCGCTGCTCGCCCGGAACCCCAACACCTCGCCTTCGTCCGGCCACACGCTCGCGGCCGTGTACTCGTCAAAGCCCGGGAATTTCTCCCTGTCTGCCGCGAGTCCTGCATCTTGTCCTCTTTCCTCGTCGGCCATGTCGCTGTTGTAGAACGAGCAATTAATATAATAACTCCCTTTCTTATCGTCCACGACTCCCTCGCGCAGGCTCTCCTTGCCGTGCGACCAGCCGACCAGGTACTTCGCGTCGGCGTTGGTCAGCCGCTCGAGTGTTCTGGGAGGCAGCGCCGCTAGCCGTGATGCGTTCGTGAGCACCGTTGTGCGTAGAGACGCGAAGTCTGAGGGGAGGCCCGTTACCACCAGGATACCTAGGGAGGACGGTCCGAAGGCTTCGAGAAGCGTCGAGAAGGGGATCTGGTTCGACTGCAGGTCGGACAGCGAGACTGTTACAGGCGTTGCGTGCTTGATTGCCATTTTCTTTTGGTGGCTTCCGACTAGCCTTGATAGGTGGTGTTTGCTAGTTGATGTGATGTTCTTGCGAGTGGAGTGTTCCAGTCAAATCTTCCGCTTGCGACGGCGGCTGGCAATGGCGATAGCAACGACCGATAGAGTCGAAAAATCCAAAAGCGAATATATTGCGATCAACAAGCAAGTACAGAACAGCCACAATGAAGAACAGAGTTGAATCTCACTCGTGGCTCAGTAGTGCTGCCCTCGGAAAGAATTCCTTGACCTCTAACTACCTCGACAGCCATTGTAGAAGCCCCGGGAGGCGTGACAACCAAATGCAACGTTGTGTTTATCAAAAATCATAACCCCACAAGCAAGGCCCGGTTATCGATGGGATTGGGAGCGCTTGAAGATCTTCGGCGTCCTCCGATGGATAGGAGGATGGGAACCTTGGAGGACATGAACCCTTAAGCGGGGGTCCGGAACCTACATACTCGTACGAGTACAGAAGGATTGGTGTGCCACCGTGCCAGTGCCATGGTGGCTTGAAGGGTTTGGCGACCTCAGGCCCAAGGGGACCGAGGTTGGTCCTGCCCCTCACCTATCAACAGTCCCCAGTGGCATGCCCTTGGGCGCTGCAATTGATCCCTGATGCAGATCAGGGCGGGGTGCCGCTGACAGTCGAGGTCGAAGGCGGCAAAAGTAAAAATAAAATCCCAGAAGTCTTGTTGTTGTTTAGTTGTAAAGGGCAGGGAAAGGGAAGTATTCTTTCAACGTAGAGCATCATTTTCATTAAGCGTTACACCATTAGGGACCACATGCCCCTGAGGCTTCGCGAGGTTCGCCTAGTCAGGGCAAGCGCTATGTACACCATGGCCCTGCCCTTGGGTCACCGTGCACTATATATACAAGCCTTTGTCTCTCACTACTTCTTCAATCCAAACCCTTCAAGCAGGCTGGGGAAGTATGGAGTACCCCAGCCAGTCACAGCATCCCAACCCTGAGTGGCGGGGAACCCTGAAGTGTTGCAACCAGCCGAAGTACCATTCGTGACATCGGTGAACAGCTTGTGTCCATGAGCATAGAGCCAAGGGTTGAGAAATCCTATCGGAGGTCTTCCCTCTGTGATCAAGGCGTCGTTCAACAACGCGAACACTGCGGCGCAGATAGGTGACGATCCGGAGGTTCCAACCAGCCCAAGCGTACTACCGTTCCAGATGGTTGGGAAGACTTGGCCGATACAAGAGAGATCAGGGTATGCGCGGCCTAAAGAGGAGGTCCGTCATGTTAGTATTTGACGCTGTTTGACATGCTATCGTCTCGGCTCCGAGAAAGTTGGCTTACCTGTTTTATTGTAGAACCCATCATATAGTCCGTTAAGGCCGGCGACGTACCCATCAACAGCGTCTGCCTGGTATTTTGGCTGGGGGAAATAGTTGCTGAAGCCGGCGCCACTGGTAAAGTATGCTCCTGAACGGAGTTTCCTCCATGCGGCAGACTCCGGGTAGCCCGTGGTTGCGCCTACAGCTGTTACATAAGGACAGTCTGCAGGGAAGCTGGGCATAAACATATAGGTTGAGTTGTCCACGTTGCTGTAGCACGTGTCATCCGCTCCCACGCCGTAGTCTCCGCTCGAAAAGAATAGCGACACGCCTCGAGCACCCAGTTGGGCGAATTGATTACATACTGCTTGCGCATAGGCTTGGCTGACGGTCTGCTCATCGTCGCCGTACGAGGTAGAGATCACCTGAGGAATGTCTTGCTGCGCTATCACGTAGTTGGCCCACACGAGGAAAGGCTCGTCACTGTTGTCCGGAGTGTTGATGTCGGGCATGAAGCTTGGATCGCGTCCACCTGTGTGCCAGGCCGTAAGCGGTGTGGGATAGCCTACTCCGATCATGTATTCAGCGTCGAGATTTGCCTCCCTGTCCAGACCCTCCTCGGAGACGTTGGTGCCGTTGTCAATGACTCCTCCATCAATGGATATCACCTCAAACTCATATGCGTAAGCCTGCGCCTCGGGACGATACTTTCCGAGGAAGATGCTGATGTCGGATCGATTCGTTGCTTCGTCGAGGTAGTTGGTGTGACCCATTTTGTTCACGCCAGCAGACTTGGGAGTGTAGTCCAGAGTTCCATATAGAGTTCTGATGCAATCTGGTGTAACACTCGTGAAGTTGCAGACGGCAGCGACGGTAGTATTGTCCGGGAGGGGAACAAGCGGAGCTGGAGACCAATCGTCGGATACCACTGCCGCCTGGGTTGTACGCCTCTTGACTTCATTTCGCTTCTTGTGACCATCCAGCCTGGCCCATGAGTTTGTAGGTTGAATGGTGCTGATGTGCTCATGGAGGTACAGGGGAAGTGAGTAGCCCTCTGTCCGAACAAGGGTGGATCCGTCGCGGTGCTCATAGACCGAATATTCGGTATCAAGCATCTCCTCTATCATGGACAATGGTAGAGTGACGTAGAGCCAATCTTTGGCAGGGCTGTACTTCAGATGGTGGGCTCGCACTCCGTGACCTTCCAACCAGTCGTGCACGGCATCTGACGTTTCGTCGGAAGGTTTTACCAAGTCATGCACCTCCTCGGCGGAAAGGTGCTGTCCATATCTAGGATGGAATGGATCAGACACTAAGATCCGATTCAGTAGGACGAAAGAAGATGTCGCTCTTGTTGTTGGGGCTTACCTTCGTAGAGATGTCTCTCAAGCTCCGAGAAGCGACCTTGAGAGAGACCTATGGAGAGACTAATCAGATGATCACTTGGAGCTGCTCCCAAGTTTGTCCATGCTCGTGGGGTAGGATGGAAATCCTTTACAGCAAAGGCGGTTCGTCGCGTGATAGGATTAGCCAGGGAGGTTTGGAAACAAGACAACAGCGAGAGTGATGCCACCAAAGCGGTGGAAATCCGTGCAGCAGCAGCCATGTGGAAGCGGTCGCTCTCAACCTGAAGGAAGTGCAGTGGTGGAGAGGATGTGAGTAGAAAGACAATTCGATCAACCTGGGCCGATGTGACCTTCTTGTCTCTTTACACGAAGCGGGTAGAAGGGCATCGCGCCTACCTCGCACAGTAACTGAGCATGCGCTCTTGCCTCGAGTAGAAGTCCTCCGTACACAACGAGGGCTTCAGTGGCTTCGGGCCGAAGACGTCATGTGGGATCCAGGGCTACATTCCAACGAGGTCGACTTGCCCAGATGGAGAAAACTCCGAGAGATAAACATACAGCTGACGTTGTATCGAGCGAGCTTCAACGGTGACTAGCCTTTGCATTGGGCCGGGCAGAGGGACGATCTCTTCTCTCTGTAAGCGCTGGAGAATCGAGAAAAAGAGCGCGCTGGGGAGTGACAGATCGCATTGGACAGCTTTATGATGAGCTTCTCCTTTGAGGTTAGAGAAACTGAGATAGCTGGGGCGATGGACAGGGTTGGTGGAAGTGCCCGAGAAGCACCAGATAAGCTTCTGCAGGGTTGATGGTGGCATTTCTTGTTCAGTGACAAGCAATGTTGATCCAATGCTACCCTGCCTCTAATCGACGACACGGTAAAGCTCGACCTGCCTGATTTGGAGTTATCATTCCGTAAATCTGCCAAAAGAACTCGTGATGGTGTGGACTAGCTGGCGGGCATGGTGGCAATCTTAGAGCCATGATTGAGATGAGCAGTTTGGTGTTCCTGCAGAAGAGAAGCGAGGGTGGACCGGGTGTGAGACGGTCCTCACGAGTCCTCCATACGAGTAATGAGCGACCCAGAAAGCCATTGTCACAATGGCTTATAATTAGACGACTCGTCTGGCCAAATTGATAAACACCAGTGCACTTTTGGCTCAGGAACGGGGCGGATAAACGCGGCCAGCAGGGTCCGCTGTGGGTGCCCTGTACCATCCATGTTCCTTACGTACAGTTGTCAGTAGGCACTCAGTATCCGTCCTGCGTAGTCACGTAGAATCAAATCACACGTTGGCCTCGGCTTGTGTCTGCCTATTGTCTCACCTTCTCTCTATTAAGCATGTGGGTACGGAGTACATCGAGAAGGTAGTGTCCAAGGACTGCTACCACAGTAACTCGCCCGTTGGCCACCCGATCGTCTGTTCTCTCGAACAATCTTTCCAACCCGCGAAGAACGAGTCGAAGACAATGCATGTCCAAGGCTCCAGGTCGTGTTTGATCACAGCGCAAACCATGGCTACACTGCATCAATGGAACTAGCTTTCTGCCGCCAATAACTTCATCCAGTGTCGTTGACAAGGCCTCTTTCGTGTGGTTGTGGTCCGAGGCAGACAAAGAGACAAACACTTGATCGATAATCCCAATTCGCCGACCCTCAGGCTTCTACAGCGTCCATCCCTTTAGCTGGAGGATTGCGCAGGCGTCTCAGCCTGCTCAATCCCAATTGTGTCCCTTTGAGGACCCAGATTCCTGAGCTGGGCGCACAAGAAACCAAGAGGCGATATCTAGGCAGCTGTTCGCTCTGCCTCCCTTGGCTGGCTCAGACCCGATGGACTTCCTCTCCCCTGTGTCACCAGTTTTTCAACCACCACAGCAATAGCAATGGCTTCTTTCAATTCTTCGCTTCCACGAAACCAGATCATATCTGCCTGGCCGATAGGAGTCTCGATTTCGTGTGCTGCCGTCGTTTGATATACCTGTTCCTCGCTTCGGTTGCAACAGTTCTAATCTCTTCAAATGGAAATGCTGCCACGGCATTATTTCATTACCTTCAAGCCAGCTCGGCCTTATCCGGTTTCCTAGCGTCAAGTTCCTGCCATTATGTGTAACCTCTTACTTCCCCTCTGTCCTTTTATTCTACATTCCGTCCACACATCAACACAACCTGGGCAGCAGTGTGGCAGAAGCCCTTCAGAAGCCCAAATTCTGCACTCTTATCTCTCTAAGAGACCATACGATAACCGCACAAGTACGTCGAGAGACTATCCTTCGCAGACTCAGACAATCCCTTTAGCTCAGAAAACCACCAAGCTTTACAAACGGACGAACTGGCATACATGCTCATGTTTCTTTCGTCGCGTGGCGGTCCTTCATCCAATGCCGGGCCCCAGTCGTCCAACTTTTGGAATGGCCTACAAAGCTTGTAAGCGATGCTCAAGAGCTGCGAAGACAGTGAAGCCAATACGCATGGGCGGTATCGGTGACAACGGCGATCCCTATTGGGATCGCTGCACTTTTGCTGGCGAAAGAGGGATCTTTGGGCATGGCGGCAGGGCTGGTGACGATGGAATTGGCGGATCTTTGAGTTTCTCATCTCAAGATATGGATACGGCTAGGGTTGCTTGGAAAGTTGACTCTGTGAACCCCAACGATAACGGTGGTCAACAGGTGCAGCATCATGACCCTCTATCTCGAGGAAGCGAGTACCAGACGTTTCACCAAACCCTTGCAGACCATGCTGAACAGCGAGCAAACCGAAGCAATGGCGAATACAAAACGCATCACTTGGAGCGGGCTTCAAGCTCAGCACATATAAGTTACAGCGAGGGTCTTGACAGATATCTTGCTGATACTTATGCCTCAAAACTTCGCTTGAACTCGTAAGCTTTCGAATACCTTGCACAGCAATTTTGAACATCTTCAAATTGTCGGCCACAGGGCGCTGAGGCAGATATCGAAGACGGTGGGGCAACGTGCGAAAACCATCGTCGCCACAACACACTTACGAACGATACACCTGGAGAATTCATGCTTGAGACCTTTAAGTGTATGTGCTATTAGCCTCCACGGTAACTAATTAAGACATACGACTGTGGAGAAACATTAATTTCATGTCTAGAAGCTATTTGCATCCTTTGTTTGACGTTTTCTCTTGATAATGAGCCGCCATCAGACCATCCCTAGACCCGGAGAGCCTTTACTCGGAGCCCGCCACCAGGTGCTGACGCAATAACCTAAGATATCTGTACCTCATCGGAAGGTGATAAAGTGCAACACGTCTCATTACGTACAGCCTCTTCTAGTCAAACAAACAGACTTGAAATATCACAAGCTCGCCTTGCCCTGACTCTCGAAAGGCAGGGCCAGCACCGCGATTCCAGCAGCGATGAAAAGCGCACCAGAGGTATACACCGGTGCGACCGTCTTGAGATTCGCAAATATAGCAATAATCGGCGCCATGATGCCAAATACGCGATTTGCCGTCGCCGCCAGCGCATTGCCCGTCCCGCGATCCTTCGTAGGAAACACCTCCGGCGTGTAAGCATACAACACGGCGTACATGATGTTACTGGTGAAATTATACGCGCAGTTCCAGCCCAGCAAGGCGTCCGAGGTCCTTGCTGTTGTGGAGCAGTATAGGAATACCCCCGTCAGCACTGTGGACAGGGTGAGAGTACCTTTCCGGCCAAAGCTTTTGATCTCGACCATTGCACCGCCAAGTAATGCCCCTGGTATGCCCAGTACAGCGATGATGGCGGAGTTTCGGTACGTGATGTATGTTGAGCCATCTCCAAACTCGGCACCTCGAATCGCTTGTAAATACGGGAGGTAAGCGTTGTACAGCCTGTGAGGAGGATGTATTAGCTATCGAGCACAATCAAGAATGTCACAGGATTATGGATATCATACGGGTAGCCAAGCCCGATAAAAGCCCATATTGTCATGATCAAGCCAGTGCTCAAGGCGAGCTTCTTGGTCGCAAACAACGCCTGCACATGCATTAAGTTCACTGACTGCAACTTTCGCTTAATGGCCGCCCCAGTACTTGTCTGCTGCACTTGCCCGTTCCCGAGAACCTCGCATGCTTTTAGATCCTCGATCGTGAGGGTGCTGGTTTTCCCATTGCGGCGCGCAACCTCATGGACAATCCTGACTGCTTCTTCATCGTTGCCCTTTCCCATGTTATATTTGGGAGATTCGTAGATCGTAAATAGCCCAAATCGAATGAGGAACATGATGAATGTCATTCCTCCCACAGCGAGAAGGTAGTACCTCCAGCCCATATTTCGGGACCGTGTACACGTCTCATCTTGCTGGCAGGTCAAGTTCCCCAGAATCGGCCACGCAATCAGCGTTGCAATAAGCTGTGCGATCGCCCAGTCGACCGAGAGGACGGTCAGGAGGTATTGATGAGTTCCTGGAAGAAATTCAAGAAAGATGGCACTGTCAACCTTGAAAGATATCAACTCACATCCTCCAATCATGAGCCATTAGCATACTTACAGGAAGGTTTCCGCCGACGCCGAAGGACCATAGAGCCGCGAAGCATCCTATCGCCGCGAAATTGGGCGAGCTGGCTGCTATAAGTCCGCTGTGAGGTCTGTAGTTAGCCAACCGTATTGAACCAATAGACGACTATCAGCACCACCACCACCACCACCACCACCACCACCACCACAACAACATACAAGACAGAGATGATGCCCAAGGTCAGATTAAATGCCTATTCTAGTCAGACATCAAATGGTACTCATCAGTAAGCCAGAACGTACCCATTTTCGTCCCCATAGATCACAGCCAACTGAATTTTACAGATATCAGCCACGGTTTGGAAAACCATTACCCGAAGGCCGTAGGAGGTAGAAAGGCCTGAAGACAAAATCAATCACTTACATCCCCAAAATATTGCGCCCGCAAGCAAGCCGATATTCTGCGAAAGAGTCAAGAGCGGTGGGCGGGTAGGTTTGAACTCATTTGCGACTGCCGTAAATATGAGCGATGTAGAGATCGGCCAAAGGTTGTCCATTCCATAGCCAAATCCAACGACGATGAAGAGTTGCCATTGATACCGCCTGAGAGGAGAGCTGTCAGCGAGCAGGTTACGTGTCGCCAGAACTTCGAGGGACAATAATCCATCGTCGATATGTCGACGAAGATCTGTTTAGACATGGCAGCTGCTTACCCCATACCAATATTCTGAATGGCCCGGTTTAGAACGCGGGCTTTGGCTTCGTAGACAGGATCAATTTGCCCCTTGGGAATGGCACTGGGGTCATCAACTCCCAGGGCAACGTCGCTGCCGAGTCTGTTGCGGAAATCATTATTACTTCTATCTACCACCGTTTTGTCGTCGGCCATGGTGAGAAGTCGAGCTGGGTATAAGAGGCACTGATCGACACACAACTCGAAAATGAGAGAAAGTAGTCTCAGACAATCAAGATTCAGCCCCAAATATATGGGCCATGATCTTGTACAAAGGCAATGAGCAATTGTATCCGCACGGCCTACAAGAGGTTAGAGGCAGTATTGCACCATTGCCCAGAGTTCCGTAGGCATGGATCGATTGGATAACCTTATCAGCCATAGGTTTTCGAGGGGGCATCAGGCTGGCTTAGTGGAGCCATGGGCTGCCGATCAGACGCTAAAGCCTGCCAGTTTCCTTCGATAATGACGTCGAGTCCTGAAGGTGAGCTTGTTGAAGAAGAGGCCGTCCCCAATGACAGTCTGTAGCGTTTAGAAAAAGAAAAGCTTCATGGATGGACTAGTTGATATCTGTGGGCGTCCCCAGCCCGTCATTTACACGAATTATCATTCGCCCTTTCAAGTAGCCAAGAACTTGAAGCTGCCATCATGGAGTCGCAGGACTGGCGTGCTCGCGGGATCTGAACCTCACCTAATACGCTCCATCGTTCCTTATCCAGCTTGTTAAGTCTTTCCGGTACCTGGAGGCCGATGGGGCTTAATCCTTGCAGAGTTACTGTCCACATAGATGGCATCGTTATCCTCCAATACACCCTTCACATTTTCATAAGGCATATATTTACGGCTGGTCGGAAGATTGTCAACCTGGACACCCGAATAGTTTGATTCAGGACTGCAGACAGTGCAGTTCCTAATTTGGCTAACACTAACCTTGTGTGGGGTTGGGGATCCCGTCGCATGATGCCTCGCTCCCCTTTCTCCGCCAGCCTTGCACGGGGTTTGGCTCAGGAGGCATGCCCATTAATTTCGGGCGTGATCCCATCAATCTAATCGCTGCATCCTAATTTCTGCTGGACTATTGTGGAAAAAAAGTCCTCTCCGGGACGTTGATGACATTGTTTTTATAGCTGCAGCTGCTCTGGTCGTCACTGCTGCTATCGCAAATCCCGCCGAAATCCCGCTGCAAGTCAAAGCGAAATGGTCAGACTACTCCAGACATGCGCTCAAGCCTCGAATGGAAAGGGGCACTATCAGTGTGATCCAGATGCACTCTTTAGCGGCCAAATTGGCAACGACCTATTGCGACAAACCAGGGATCGACCCTTTGTTCTGGCCAGTCCACTGATGTGCCGGTCTCACTTCAACATTCGCTTGTACTCCGTCCCCTCTCCCAGCCTCAATCTTCCTACGAAAGGATGCGCAAAAAGATGCTGCCTTCCTCATGTTATGTGGATTGGATACAATACTGACGGCGGATACATCACCCACAAGTTCTTTGTCAAATCCTCAATGTTGAACAATATAACGAACTGGCATCATCTATTGTCAGATGGCTTTCAAAAGTTTGAGTCTCGTGTTGATTACTATTATTTGAAAATCCATGGTGGAGCTGCGCTCGATGTTTACTGAATATCACGATTGCCTTTCACTCTCCGTTGAAAGTTTCTGAATCGGTCTCTTGTTTCTCTCCCTCCTCTCCTCCGATACTGTTGCCTTCGAAATCTAGGTGTCGCTAAGGTGATTGACTCTGAGCGGTACGACCTCCAAAAAAGGACGAACTCATCCTATCTCGAGGTAATAGGTACCTCGACAGCACCAGCCGTGAATAGGCAGCCGGGAAACTACAATGGCTGACCAAGTTGCGGTGCTGCCAGTCCCAAACTTACCCCTCCCCATACTCGCCCAACCAGAAGACCTCTCAGAGGAGCTCTCAGAAGGTCGCTCAGAAAACCATTCAGAGAGACTCGGCGATTGGGATTTCCGTGACCCGTAAGACCTTTTGACCCACCATTTAGATCTTGCTGACATCTGTTTTACAGCAAGCCCGACGAAAACCCCATGATTAGCTACAGCTCACCAACTGTGACACTCCTTGTCGGCCCAGAAAAGGTGGCGATGATGGCCCACAGAGCGTTCCTTACAAATTACGATGGCTTCTTTGCGACTTGTCTCAAAGATGATCGCTTTGCGGAAGGTATGAAGAACAAGATCAGTCTCCCGGACGAAGAGACCGAAAAGATCGGCAAAATTCTCATGTTTCTGTACACTGGTAAACTGTGGAGCCCTTTGCCAGACAGTGTCGCTTGCCCATCGAACACAGAGCTCGTTGAGTTCTACACACTCGCTGACAAGTATTGCCTCAAGGAGTTGGCCAATATCGCTGTCAACTACGTGGGACCTGGACGCTGGTGTCAAGAGCCCTTCCCTTGGTCCCTATTCAAGCGTTTGAACGATTCTGTGCTGCGAGGTAGTATGATGTGGTCAAAGTTGGTAGAATGGGTATGCCGAGAGATCCTATCCGACCACAACAGCGATGAATATTTAGGAGAGCTTCGCTCAATCGTTGACGGTCTTGGATCAGATCCTTCTGCTGCCATTGATTTCCTCCGCGAGATCTCGGATATCAGGACAGCAAGAGCAGGAGCAGTAATAGCATGGGCAGCAAGTGAAGGAGAAGCAGGAGCAAGTGCACACGGCTGGGACAACTCTCCTATTAGCCACAGCGTCCTATATGCTGATCATGGGTGTTTAATAGAGCTTGACTCTATTCTCAATGCCGGCTTTAGACTAGAGATCGCTATTACCATTGAACTCCTCCACGGTATCTCAGATCAACGGAAAGCAACATTAAATGAGCATTCCTATATGTGGTGATTCAAGAAACGTATGATTTGGCTCAGTACGGATGGCCCTGTTTTTCTGGCCATGGAGAAAGCTCATGAATTCCATTAGGTAGTCAAGGTGATTACGAGGCGATCTGGACTTATGCAGGTCTAAGGCCGTTTTCAAGAGGACTCATGTTCAGGCTCCGTGAAACCCAGCAGGAGTTTCGTACCCTCTCGCACCTTCAGTGCTCAGAAGAACGACGACTGTATTAGCATCAAGGAGCTTTGAGCTTGAGTCCGAAGCAGCCAATTTATTCAAGGCGCAAAGGCTGGCAGCTCCACATGGCCCAGGGTTCAACCCACGGGATTGAAGGTAGTTGATGGCATCATGGCATACCAGATCTGAAATCGTGACGCTTGCATCCACCCCGTTTCTCAATATTGGCCACGATATCGGTGATACTGTCCCGCAGTTCATACCATTCATGATGGTGGCGCTGGTCTCAATTGTTTCCCATTTACCCGACCACAGGTTATCATTCAGGCATGCTGCTGTCTCAGGTTCGACCGTCAAGACTGCTATATTCCTTCCATCAGACTTGGCATATGCGACAACTGCATGTCCAAGCGAGCCCACTCCAACAGGAGTTACTAGAACTGTTGCTTTTAGCCCTTGAGCAGCAAGTTGATGTTCAGTCTCGAAAAGAAGAGTCAAATATCCTTCGACAATCCACGCGGGGATTTCTTCATAGTTCTCAAACGCGTTGTCTTGGATCAAGAGCCCGTTCGTTGTTGCCTTTGACTCGTTCGACGCCCTAGCCACGGCCTCATCGTAGTCTCCAGTGATTACAGTGACATGTGCGCCTTCGCTTTCAATTTTGCCAACCGTGTCCGCATCGGCAAACTTTGACATAAATATTTTTACTGGAATGCTGAGAATCTTTCCCATCCGGGCAACCGCCCGACCATGATTCCCCTCCGTAGCGGCGAAGAGAACGATCCCGGATTTTGTAGCGGCTTTTGATATCTCATCGAGGTCGGTATCCAGGGTCAGTCCAGTCTGTGATGCAATGGCCCTGAATGTGCCCCACGACGCCCCGAGGATCTTGAAGGCTGGTAAGCCCAAGCGACTGCTCTCGTCCTTGACAAAGACGGCTTTCACCCGGAGCGCCGTTGCAGTATCAGGTAGATGTACAAGCGGGCTCTCTTGATACCCAGGAAGCCGGCGGTGGAATTCTTGTGCTTGGGTGACGCTATCCTTATAACTATGAGACCAGGTCCTGGCGGATGGATTGATGTAGATCTTCGACATGACTGCGTATGCTATTTTCGTCGCCCTCCCAGGTCAAGCAGATAGCTACTGGTCACTACCACGATTATTGTGGCTAGGAAGGTCTAGAGTCTGTGAACCCTCGGATATTTTTATTCGCATAGAAGCTGAGAATGTGACAGGGCGTGCCAGATCCACTTCAGGATCTATCAGTGCTCATGCATATTGCTCAGGCAGCAGGAGCAGAGCTTCAAACTCGCCCCTACAAGTAAAGGGCCCAAAGGATCGAGCTTGAATTTACTATCAGGTCAAAAAGGTCTCGAACAAGATTTCAGCTCCCCGAAGTACTTCACGTACCCTCCAGTTGATAAGCCGGGTATGTGACTAAAAGCGGACGCCAGCCTTGCTGACGTCATTTTAATTGTTAACGCGCTAAGGCGAGGCGCCAGTGGGAGTCGCGTTGAACCTCTTCTCAGACCTCAAGCTGTTGACTCTGCCCCATGATTTCTCAAGATATTACTTGACAAACTATCTGCAAATTGAACCAATTAATGCTATACCGCGTATAGCTGTAGTGATCGTATTAGGCTTGGTTAATCATGCCCTCCTTATCCCATCTTTTAACACAAATACCACTTCTGGGCTCGATTCTACAGTCAGGACTTGAAACAGCTCCCTCAGTCCATGTTGGCCAACATTGCCCCCATCCTGCTGGTCTTTCCTGCCCTTTCCCTCCCCCTAGGACCATCGACACCTGCTGCATGAATCACCCCTCGGGTCATTTTCTTCAGACACAATTCTGGGATACATCACCTGCCCTTGGCTCTAACACATCTTGGACTATTCACGGGTTGTGGCCCGACCTATGTACCGGAGGATTCGAGCAATTCTGTGATTCCTCACGTACAGAGGATGGAATCCGCTCAATTCTATCTTCGATCGGAGGTCCAGACTGTGAATTGTTGGAATTCATGGATTCATATTGGCTGGCAATCGACGGCCATCACGAAAACCTTTGGGCCCACGAGTGGAACAAGCACGGCACTTGTATCTCGACTATTGAACCCACTTGCTATGGGGATAATGGTTTACCCCATGCAGACTTGTATGATTATTTTGTACAAACCACTTCACTTTTCAGGACGCTTGATACATTCTCCATTCTCGCAGAGGCCGATATTCTCCCGTCTTCGGAACGGACGTATGATCTTGCGGACTTAGAAGATGCTATTGGAAGCTCTGCTCACGGCTTTCCAGTAACTTTCCGCTGTCGTTCGGGAGAGTTGGACGAGATTTGGTACCATTTCTCTGTACGAGGAGCACTACGGAATTCCAGAAGCGCCTTTCCTTCGGGCGGTATCCCATTATCCCCGTCCCCGTTTTTGGATGCAAGCACAATCCGAGAACACTTCATTCCAACCAACCCTGACGGCGCCAAGTCGAACTGTCCTGCCAATGGAATACGATATCTGCCCAAGCATTCCTCTAAGTCACCTCAACCGCCCCCAACGAGACCCAGTCATATTACAAGCTCAACGAACCCTTCAGCTACAAGTACTCCATTTACCGGCAAAGGCCATCTAGAGGTCCATGTTGTGGGAGGCTCTGCTACCCCAGAAGTCTCCGAAAGGAAAGGCTGCTTAATTAGGAGTGGACAATGGTATACATCCGGTACCTGTGCGGTCTATCTCGCACAGTCAGATGTCATCGACCCAGGCCACCACCCACTCTTTTCCCTGTCATCGTCCTTTTCACCCTGTTCTGTCAATCCCTCTACTCACAAATTTGAATGTACCAAGTCATCTGTTATTCAAGGAATCTTTTCCTCTGACTATAGCGACCGCACAGTACTCAGTTACAGGAATAGCAGCAGGTTCTTCGCTGAAGCCATGCCCGCCAGATTTGAAAAGGTAGATGTCTTTGCAAATGACGATGGCGGGAGTAGGCAGGTTGAGCTCGAAATCCAATGGGTGCCTTTCTAACTTCTATCAATGTTTCGGACCAGCTCCATTACAATACCTTGCACTTGTATGACAAGGCACTTCATGACCCGCAATATGAGTGCCGTGTCCAGATCCAGGGCCATGGAACGCCTGATCGACAGAAACTACGGTGGAGCACACAGTTACTACATCTCCGTCTTGCTTTAGCCATTTGTCATACTCAGCAGGATACCCAGATGTGTAGCACCCTGTAGTTTCCAAGCATTTATGGAGCCGCAAATCGAGCGCCGCCCAGCCCGGTTAAGGCACAATAAATCGAGGACAGGTTGTGAGCGATGTAAGCTTCGAAAGGTCAAAGTGCGTTGTTTGAAAGATATCCATCCTATCCTTCAAGATTCTGACTAGTCTACAGTGCGATGAGGCGAAACCGGCCTGTGCTTTTTGTAGACGGCATGCAGAGACGTGTGTTTACAATATTTTCACGGCCCCTGTCACTGTTTCTGGGCTGTCCGAATGGAAGAAGGTCGAGAAAGCTTTGATTGGCGGTGAGGCTACAAGCAGTACCCCAGGCAAAGGGGATTCAAGCATGGCTGAAAGCCACATAGTAGCCGACATTTGCGAGATCGTCGAACATCGGTCAGAGCGCATGACTCAGCTCGAGCTCTTGCACACTTTCCACAGTCACATATGCACCCCATTCAAAGTCCCACAAAACCAAAATGTCGAGGCTGTGTGGCTATCTGATGTGCCTAGGATTGCCTTTAAGAATGAAAACCTTTTATACGCCATGTTTGCTATCTCAGCAACGTTTGTGCTACGTTCACAGCCCTTGAATATGGATATGCAGATGCGACGCGATAGATATCTAGCTCTAAATCTGCACTGGCAGCGAAAGGCTATCGATGAGCTGAGTGAACTAAATGCGGACGCTGTCTCATTTACGGCGTTGTTGATCCAGATAAACTCATTCGCTATGATGCACGAACGGATCAACCCTCTATGTGGCTATGAAGCCGTTGTTGAGTGGCTCAAAACAGGTCCTGGTTCAGGGCAAATCTTTGCGATGGCTGCCACTGTGGTGAGACAAAACCCTGATAGCAAATTCAAGGCACTCATGAACGCGAAACCCGCTTATGATCCTAACATCGAGCATCATTTTCGCCATCCTATTCCGCCTCAGTCACGAGGTCTCCTAGATGGCCACCTCGCCCAGGTCGAAGGACTTACGTCTGACACACGGGAAGTCTACGAGAAGACCTTGCGCTACCTAGGAACAATTAACGAGTCCATCATCGAACAAAAGCCCAGTTTCTATGCAGCGCGGCAAATCCAAGGATTTTCATTGCTCATTCCAAAGGTCTTTGTTGAGTTCGTTGAGGAGCGCCGCCCGCTTGCCTTGGTCATTCTCGCCCACTTCTTTGCCATGATTGCACTGGTGCAAGATCCGCCGTGGTGGGTCGGGGATGCTGCTGTAAAGGCGATCAGAGCTCTTTCGGAGGCACTCAATGCTGGTGGTGAAACCATGCCACAAGAAATGGAGTGGCCGTGCAGCGTTGTTAGGAATAAAGGGCCACACTGAATGAGCGGACATTTCCTCGTTTCCATTTCTAGGTACCTCGCAGTCTCGCTACAAATAGCTCAAGATCTCCTAATACACAATAAAGATTATGAAGCCCATTTTATTGCATGCGCCAGTTGCCCTGCTGCCCCTTCAACGAGATCTGAGCTTGCATCATCTCCGCCTCACTCGGCAGATTCACAATCATCATATAAAGGACGTTTTTCTTGAGGACGCTCCTGAGGACTCCTCGGGTGCCACCCAGTTTCTCTTTCTTCCCATAGGTTTGTTCCTCATCGTCACTATCCCTGGGCTCTTTATTTCGATTAGCTTGCGTGTTCCGATTATATTGATAAGCTCCAGCATACTGTTCTGGATGATTCGTATAGCGGGGGGGAGGAAAATTTGGGGGTTCGCTGTACCCTCCGTACGGAGAGGGGGTGATGTTCTCGTGGTTGCAAACTAACGGAACCCGTCTGTTGTCACGGGGAGCTCTGTGCCCCCCTCCACTTTGCGGCATAGAAGGAGAAGGACTGTTGCTGTCGTGGTTGACATCAATACTGCTATTGGACGACATTTTCTCTTTCAGGCTGGAGGTGCTCAGCTTGCCGGCTGTCACGAGTGCGAGGATGTCGCCACTACTTGCCGGATGGTTAGGGTCGGAGAACCGTGATCGAAATTGTGGCCTTGGACCTTGCGCAAGTATAGACATCGAGTTTTCGCTTGCCTGTCAGGGACAACGATCAGCCTGCTTGCACTCGCAAGGCGATTGCTCGTAATGGCTTGAAAATGGGATCGAAAGGAGACATGCAAGACTCACCCATTCCGCTTGCGCTCTGCGATCCTTGTAATCACTAACAAATGAACCAACGGCCTTCATTCGTGCTCTTTTGCCTCTGGCGAGTTCCTCCAGTTTCGGATATACTAAAGGGGCAGTGTCCATGGCTCCCAGATCGCCAAAATAATCACCGCTTGATGCCTGCAGATTGTGTGCTAGTCTCTTGCGTGTGCCTTCTGAAGGCACAATCAAAGACGAGGCGATTGTGCCCGCGACATGGTTGTTGACATTGACAGCCTTGCTAATGGAGGAAGCACTATCTGGATCATGGGTCATGATCAGACATTACAATCCACGAGGTCGAAAGAATGAGTCGTTGATTTTTTCGAGGAAGCTGTTTGTCCTGGATTGAGCATGACGTTAACTACTGCCTTTCTGCGGCCATAAATACAAAGAAATGCAATAGTGTCAACACGGGAGGACTCACTTGGACCAAGAATTTAGCTCCATAGCGACAATCGTTGCCTGATGTATGCCAATTGCCGCGAGCAGCCCATATATGGATGGAATGGGTGCGAATTCCAAGCCCACAGCCGCAAGATTCATCGTCGACAGCAAAGGATTCGCCTGTGTGGATTTTGTGTTCTGAAGCAAGAAATCGTCTGCCAGGCTATTCGGATGCTGGGTCTTGCCCTGTGGCACTGGCGACGGCGAGCGGGAGCGGGGCAGCTTTTCCTGTTCTTCGTCCAACATCCAGACTTTCTCAAGATTTGCCTCAGATAAATGAGCTGCGATGTCACCCTCGGCACAATGTGAGCTCAAGGCTTCGTCCACTGCTTGTTCAACTTCCACTGCCCGATAAATTCTGCCATCCACGTCTGTAATGAACACAGCGTTTTCACCAACAGCCTCTGCTCCGCCTGAGTAGCGGAAGTCTTCACTGCCTGCTTCTCCAGCCTCGCGTGCAGCCTTACGTTCTTTACGAGCTTTGATACTCTCCGATGCAAGCCCAATGCCAGCAGCGACGCCTTTGACGACTCCGCCCATGGTGTCGATCAGCGCGCCTCGAAGGTGCTAAGGGATTGTCGTTGAGAAGAAGGCCAGTGGCGAAGATGGGCAACGACATCGATAAACAGCGACTTGAAAGTACCTTGCTTCTTGTCTGAGACCGCAGAATGACTCCATGGCCTCTGATTTATATCTTTCAGTGTAATGACGAAGGAATGTGAGACATGGGAGTAGATCACATTGAGCTCAAGGACTAAACCCATACCCATGAGCCATGATCCTACCCAGTTACAATGCGGCTATTTCCTGTGGCCCTTGCCCCTCCCTGAGGGCAAGGCCAAAGTTCAGTTAATGGAAATCACAATGACGAACCCCAGCCGCATCTATGCCTCGAAATCAGCCAACAAAGCCTCTTGCCCATTTCAAGCCTTCGCGAAAGTCTCCTGACTCATCGACAACTTGCAAGCATCCAAGGTCAGGCGGCCAGCAACGCATGTGGTTGACCCTGTCGAAAGCAGTGCATAAGACTCTATGACTGAAAGCCCCCCCCCCATCCCACTAGCTGGAAGAAAAGAGCCGTTCAATAAAATCTTAAATCTTACTCTTGTCAAGGACGGATGGATGGATGAATGAATGAATGATTGATTGAGGTTCCATTTTTCATAACTCCATCTCGGCTCGGATTCGCCAAATTTCCCCGATGCGGTATTTTATATCCCAGCAATTAATTATCCCTGGCCCCGCGTCTTTCAAAAATGCCCTATCTAACTACTAACTATCATAATTAGTTAATATCTTGAACTCTGCTCAAGACCGTGCCTCCGTCGTTGGTAATATCCCGATCTCCGAGGCCCGCCAGCGGCAGCAATGATGTCTTGAGCCCGTCTCCGGTAAAACTATTTACCATGCTGTCGTTATAACCTTTTACGCAAATAAGTGGACCCATCATGTCCAAACTCTCGCGCCACGTAACATTCATTATGGAGCCTTGCGACACCAGAGATCAGAACCTCGTGTTACCTACCGAGAAAGGGCTTGTGGGGTAATGATGCACGAATTTAGTCTTTCAGGCGCTCCACGCCGCTCACGCGCGGGTCCGAGCCGGCTTCGAGACCTGACTCCCTGAACCACATAAGCATTCGTTAGAACATTAGGATGTCGCGACAAGCATTTCTCTAAATCGACGCCCGATCGCTTGTAAATCAATGCCCTCAAGCAGTCTGACATCATGCTTGCTAGCTCTGTCTACCTTGCAGTCCTTAAGGATAGCATTGATGGTCCCTACACGTCATAGGTCTGAGACAAGAGACCTTAGCAATATAAGCCAGGGGCGGTAGTTGAGATATCCATTGGCCTGGTGGTTTACCACGTATATTTTCATCCACCGCTTTCGATTCGTGGTCGTCCACCAGGCAATTACTTGTTGCTCGACAAGGGCAGATCTTCGTGACTGTCCGACGACGCTAGACCTCCACCAACCCGCCTCCCCATCCTTCTCATCTCTCTCATTCCAACCCCAAAGAAGTTCTTTACGATCTCTCCGCTGACCTTTCGACGGCCCTTCTGCCCTTCAGCTGGAAAGCTTGGCTGAGCGTGGGCTTCGATGTGGGTGCATGTGACCGCGTCTGACCGGAGCGATGATGTGACCTCATCTTTCACTCTTGGGAGAGCACCGATACCACGAGTCCCAGTATCAATCTCAGATGCCGTGGTAGCAAGTGAGCAAGTTTTCCCCTGTCCCTGATTTCGCGTTGGTGTTATGGTTCTCAGTGGATGTGGCTGAGTGGTTGTTATCTCGCCATTTGAGAGCAGCCTGGCCTCCAATCTTCCTCTCACTTCGGCCACCCTGCGAGCAGCACGGTCTTCTCTTTCCTTCCATACCAGTGCCCGTGTCTCAGGGGAACAATCAAAATAGGAGGTCTTCCGTCTATGGCTCGAAGACTCCGCAGTGTTTGCTTGCGGGATGTGGCGGGGTGTTGGTGCTATCGACCTTGATCGAGCTTGAATCATAGGGATAAGGGACGCTAGATGCCCGGTTGTCTTACTCTTCGCCATCCCTCCGCGACCATAAAACAGCTTGGGACCTGCAGCAAGGGTTGCTTCTGCATTGATGCTTGACACTCCACTTGTAGTGGATGTTGCGGTTTTAGGAGATGATGGTGCGATCCAAATTTTCGTTGGATTGGAATATGATCCAGAAGGTTTGGGTAGGCCAGTATGTCCTGCCAGTAGCCGATGCCCTATCAGTTGCGCAGTTGTATGGTTTCGACTTCGTCCAACATCTTGCAATAACCGGGTCTCAAAGTCTGTAAGGCTTTTTAAGGCCTCGGTGGTCTTGCAGTGACGAGTGAGCTCAATGACGGCAGTGTCAATTATCAGTTTCTCCCTACTATCCCAGATTGCCTCGACTGATTTGTTGTCTGCTGGCCCTGGAAACGATCTTCTGGTATTGAATTCTTCCATCTTAAGACGATCACATACACCCACAAAGCGACCTGTCCAGTATGGAATGGTTTCGGCTTGACATACCTGGATTGGAATTAATCAATTAGTCTGAGCATCAGCTAAGGACCCCTAGCACGGACAACACTTACATCCTTGGGGCTTAAAACCTCTTCCCTCGATGAAGGAGTCTTGGGTACGTGGTTTAATGTATCAGCAGCCTCCCTCACCTGTGTGTAAGGGGGTGACTCCAGTGACCGGTTTGTGAAGGTCGCCCCTGGGAGTTGAAGATTTGACAGGTCGCTGTCAGGAGCTCTTCCAACGCCGGATGTAGGAGGCAGAAAACGATCATCGCTTGCAGGTACATCTGAGATTCGGGACTTCAAAGAAATCGGCGTCCTCAGTGCTACAGGAACTTTGCCAAGTGCATTTCTCATGCGTGTACAGTTCGCTGCAGCTTCTCTCTGGACCTCCGTCATGAATCTCATCTCTTTCTCCGCCATCCTGCTTCCTTGAAATACCTTTGAACCATCAAGTTGGTTCTGGGAGTTGTAGTATGATCGTAAACCATCTGGAATGGCCTGCGTTGGCTTTCTTGGTGATGGTGTCAAAGCTGAGTGATTCAAGCATGAAATGTTTCCCAATGTCTGACTGCGTGGCAGAGGTGGTTGGATGGGTTTCATCAACCTTCCGCTCGGAGTGAGTTCACGAGAGGAGGCGAGAAGACTACCGAGGGTCCTGGACTTTGGCAGACTTGTGTTCGCCGGGCCCTTTGTAACATATGAAGGCAGACTTGAATTAGAGTTCGCAGCTGCAGGTAGGGACAAGGAGGAGACGTGGCAAGTATCGCTTTGATGCCATGATTTGCGGTGCAGATGCGGGACTTTGTTGTAGGTTTGGACGTGCGGGAGATAACCCGCATTCCGAAACCGGGTACCTGAAGGTGTTTCACGGCGCGAGGTGCCCGAGGTTGGCCGTGGTATGGCTGAAGCAGACGATGGATTTCTCTTGATCTGGTATGGAGTAGATTCCATGGTGGAGGAAGAACAAGGCAACTTCATATGGGTACACTGATCAGCATTGTTACTTGATGAGGATAGTGCTAATGCTGAAGGCGGCGGAGGAGGAATTGATGGAGGAAGCACACAGGCCAAAGCAGCCTCCTCAGGCAGCCTTTCGAAAGAGAATCGAGGCAAGAACGGCACACTTTCCGACGTGCCTGCCACATCCGTCTCGGAGGACGGTTCATCATGACTTGGGCTTTCCATTGCAGCCTGTCGTCCAAGTCGCTGCAAGGCTTAGTCCATTGGTGGTCTCTAGCAATCTGATCTCCCACCCGGTCCTCCGGTGGGCTAAACAGGTCTTGGGCTGCTGCATATGTGTAGCCCATGCGGAAGGACAGCCAGTTCATCAACAAACACAGAACAGTGTTGGCGCAGTCTCTCATTGAGAGTAGAGCTGTAATCAGTTTTGCCAGACTCAGAAATCTGAATGTAGCCTTATCCACCTGTGCTGTTGCAAGATCCGACTGAAGGACACATGACAGCAAATTGATTAGCGTGCTCGTAGTTGAAGCAGTCCCCATGTTGTGACCTTGCTGTGGTGAAGATACAGCCTCGTCTTGGCACAGGGGGGTGGGTCACGAACAAGGCTCTCTCAAGACTGACTCTTGAATTCTTCAGCCACACTAGTATGAGGTCACCCGTTATAAACAATTCTCCAGCAGAGGTGAACATGGCGAAGGACCATAACATGTCGCCCTTAATCGCACTCGAGAGCAGGATACTGGTAACAATTTGAGAGACAATATTCAGCACCTCGGTTGCAGAAGACTAGGTATCTCCTGAACGCCGCAGGGTGCACAATTGCTTATGTAGCCGAACCCAAGGACCGAACCCACAGTGTTTTTGTGCTCTGGCATATGTTGATCGCTCCAGTAGTATACAGATAGTTTGATTCTTTCCACATAGTCGAACCAGCACGCCACGCTAAGCACATCATGAAACTCAAACGAACCTCCGCCTCACAGTGCTTGGACTGATTGGAAGAATCGATTGCTCATCAATTTTTCGTTGCTCTTGACCATCGATCTCATAAGCTTGAGTTTCTCGTCCTTGCTCAGATCTTGGCCTTCAACTTGCTCTTTCCACTTCTTGAGCATCTCCTTCAGCTGCCTGCTGCCCTCCTCGGCCTCTTCCTTTGAATATTCTTCTTTCTTCTTTTGTCCATTCACACCGGTGAAGTCCTCAAGCTCTTCAGCTTTTCGTCGTGCCATGTTGACAACCTTCTCCGGGAACTTCACCAATTCTGCCACATGGATGCCAAAGCTTTGATCGCTGATGCCAGGTTCGACACGGTATAACAACGTGACTTCTCGCCGCTTCGCCGACCCTTCTGCTTCCTCACTCATGATGACATCCTGTTGATCACCGACGAAGGCTACAACGTGTAAATTTTTGACGGCTTTGGGAAACTTGTCAGCCAAGGCCGTAAGTTCATGAAAATGAGTTGCAAAGCATCCAAATGCTCCAATCTGGGCGACGATTTCTTCACTGATGGCCCAGGCAAGTCCGAATCCATCGTACGTACTTGTACCCCGACCGAGCTCGTCGATGATGATCAACGAGTCTCTTGTGGCGCTCTTCAATATGTTCGCTGTCTCGAGCATCTCAGCCATAAACGTTGAAACTCCTTTCAGCTGCGAATCTGAGGCTCCCACCCGCGCAAGAATACAATCGAAGATAGTCAGTTCTGCTTCCGAGCAAGGGACGAAACACCCAATTTGAGCCATGAGTGCAATGCAACCGATTGTACGGATGTAAGTCGATTTGCCACCCATATTCGGACCTGTTATAATAAGGAATCTCGAATTATCGCGTCTTAATTCAACGTCGTTGGTGATGAAATTCATGTCGTCTTGAGCTTCCATACAGGGGTGACGTGCTTCTCTCAGGATGGTATCACCAGTTCCACGCATATGCATCTTTGGACGAGCATATGCTGTAGGAGCATGAACAGAAACATGAGCCAAGCTCACCACAACGTCCAGATGCGCAATGATGGCGGCAAGCTGCTCAATGACAGGAGTATACGATGCCGCGACCGATACAACCTCGGCAACTAGGCCTGTTTGTGTGCGGTTGTACGAGGTAGACAATTGATCATGCTCACGCCGCAACTCTTGTAGAGCTTTTGTCGTGAAATAGACGCCATTTTTCTGTGTGGAGATCTCTTGATACTGGCTTTTGTTGCGAATGCAGCTTGCCTCGTTGCGGGTAAGTCTGAAGCAGTATCCATGCACTCGATGATTTTCAAGGAAAAGCTTCTTGTCCAGGTCTTGGTTGAGGTCTTTGCCCGCCCGGCGATGTTCAGCATCCATCCCGTGTCTGATTTTGTCAAGCTTTGCTCTGATAACACGGAGGCCATCATCAAATTCAGGCTTGATGATGAATTCATGCCGATCAAGAGCATCCAGATCGACCGTCGTTTCTACCATTTCTGCAAGCTTCCCTAGGAAGTTGGAGAGGTCTTTCAGTTTCTTAGTATAGTACTCCTCCAGAGGCACTTGGTATTGTTCATCAACGACTGTTTCCAAAGCCTCAATGAAGCCTGGGAGCCGAATGACCACTTGGTAGGTACGTACGACATCTTCTAAATTAGCAAGCTTGCGTTGAAACTTCTTTGCGAGGCGATAGAGGTCTGGGATTGAGCGAAGATGTTCTTCCTGCATTGTTTGGCGCAGTTCCGTATCTGTCACGAATGCCTCCACAAGGTCCTGGCGTTTTTCGATCTCGGAAAGAGTCATCAATGGCTGTTTGAGCCACTGTGCCAGTAAACGACCCCCAATTGGAGTCTTGCAGTGGTTCAAAAGTCCAAACAGACTCATATTTTTGGATCCATCTCTGGGTCCTGGCATGAGATTGAGAGCTCTTAATGCGGCTGCATCCAATTTCATGAATTGGGTGAGGTCATGCTGATATAGCCGGTACTGACCAAAATTGCTAGGATCTGTCAGAACCCCGAGGTACTTGATGAGCGCTGCAGCGCTACCCATGGCAAGCTTGAGGTCGCTCTGTGGCAACAAGCCCATGGCGTTCTCGCCTTTCAGCAGTCGAGCAAGATCTTGTTCGATATCTTTGATCGCGTAGTCGGTTGCAGGCTTTTCGGTGACGGCAATATTGCAAGCATCAGCGATTTGTCGTAGTTTTGCTAACTCGGGGTCTTTCTTCTGACCAGCGGTGGCAATCACACATTCCTTGACACCGAGCTGGATAAGAAGGCTTTCGAAGTTTGAGTATAGGTCGTTGTCGAGAAACTCGCTCACGCCGAGTTCCCTGACGCTTGCGTCTGCGAAACATACGCCTACATTTCTGGCCTCACCTGCTTTGGCGCTGATTTTCACAGCCAGAATTACGGGTGCACTTTCTCCCTGACTGTCGAGGCCGCTTCCGAGTTCTTCTTCGACCCCCTGAAGGTTTCCCGGACTCGCTTGTCGAGCAAGTTTCCAACTCCCTTTCCCGCTGTTCTCCCAAATTTCCACTCTTTTCCCTAGCTTGAACAACACTTCTCGAAGGAGGTTGCGGAAGACAGTAGTCGACAGAGTCACACTTGGCAAGGCGTTGTCGCTCCTTCCAAGATTTCTAATTACGGCGGTGGTCTTGTAGACTGACCTCGCGATGAAATCAGCGTCGTCATCGTGTGCAGAGTAGTAGTCGCCCCGATCGAACACTCTAATAGTGCTGGAGGCATCCGGTTTGGCAGGTAACGAGCGAAAGGTACGGATGAATCCGCCCTCATCATCAACCTGAGAAGTTTGGTCAGTACAGAGAGACAAATAATGAAAAGGGCTGATTACCTTGAGATCTGGTCTCGAAGCCATATCTAAAGCTGTTGTGTAATTGGAGCCGTTGGGTGGTTCGTCTCAACGCTGCTTGCAAATAATTCATGCCTTCCAGCCTTGAGCCTGGGAACGCGTTCCGCGTTAAGTGGGTTGTAACTTGGGAGTCGTGACGCGTGGTCTTGGCAGGCGCTCGCTTCCCCGCGAGAGTGCAAGCTTAGGTACCTTACTACCTGAGGGACTGAGGTTGGCAGGGTTTGGGATTGGGAGAGCGAAATGGGGCACTAGACTTCTGCACTGCAGTCAGTGCAAGGGTCTGAATTCACGCAACTCTTTCGTCAATCCTCCAGGGCACTTTGTAGATCAGAGCAGGCGGTCATTCGAGGCCTTGCCTTAGGCCTGTAGCAATTGAAGGGCTGTCTCCCTGGAGTTCCAGCTTGGAACCCTTCTGGTCGTGGCCACCGTTGTCGATCTTGCACTGATCGCCTCCTCGAACGGTCATGCGTTCCCACGGCCAAATACGGCCGTCCTATGACCAAAGCAAGCCTGGCACAGCGCTACCGCCATCCCAAGCACCATACGGATTACGGAGTACAGCAAGCCTCCTTCTTTCCCTCTCTTGAGTCTCGAGTCTCGAGTCTTGACTTGTCAAGCCTCGTGGCTTCCCAACACTCGCCTCGTGCTGTCCACCGTCAGCTGCCATGAAATCTCCTCTTTCTTTGTTTGCAGTTTCTTCCTTCTTGTTTCTTCCATCATCAGTCACCTGTACACATTTCCAAGTCAGCAGCCCTTTCACTTTGTCTGTTTCCTCCTATCGTTGTCTCTGTATTCTATCACGGACTTCCATTGCACGTACCATCATTCAGCCGTCTTCCAAGTCGAGAACTGCTTCAACAATGACTAAATCAAAAGGCAAGTCAGCTGCCGTTGACCGTCATGATAAAACCGCCCATGAATCACCTCTCGAGGCTCGGTCTCGGAAAGAGGCCAGCTTTGCCGACATTGAAGCCCTCTTACCGAAACGTTTCACAAAATCAGAAATGAGTTTGTTCGACAAAGGCACAAGTGAGAAGTTCTGGTCTCTTAGACTTAGTATTTCGGCTGACACCGCCCTCAACAGGCGTCCTTGGATCCCATAATCCATTTGGCAAGAAAGCCAATCCTAAAGACCATGAAGTCTGGGTTCTCAACAATACTGCTTATCGACCCTCGCGTGCGGGCAATGAGACTCTTCAGCCCTGGGAGGCTGAATTTGTTGCCGGTTTCTTCCAAACTGGCCGAAAGGACATTACAAAGACTGTTAGCACAATCGCTGATCTGATCGGTCTAGATGGTAAGGCGGGATCAGATCCAGAAACCAATAAGCGAATTGAAGAGCGCCTCAGACCTTTTGTACAAGCCATTGCACCTGCTCGCTCTGTGGAAATCTCCATTCCTTGTGCAAGCCCATCCAGTACTCCTCACAAACGACTCCTCGGACCGTCCAACCAAAATGGAATCAGCAGTCAAATCCTACCTACCGGAGGCTCCAACGAGATGGACGGAAAAACAATCACGTCCTCGAGTGCAGGTGACCTCTTTCCGAACTTGAAATTCAACACCCGTTTTGCGGGGCCTGAGGGATGGGGGATTCTATCCGATGTTGACGATACAATCAAGATCACGCAAACATCTAGTCCTGTTGGAATTCTGCAGTCCACGTTTGCCGATGTCCCCAAGACTACAGAAGGCATGCCAGAGTTCTACAAGGTCTTGGAAGAATCGTTCGGTTCCCCAGCATGGTTCTATTTGTCTGCTTCACCCTACAACCTTTACCCGTTCCTCTCCAAGTTTATCCCTCAACATTACCCCGAAGGCACGATCGTCCTTCGTGATGCATCTTGGATGTACCTAGGGGGGCTTTTGCAGTCTTTCACTGAAGGCGTCAAAGAGTACAAGACAGACCGGATCTCAAAGATTCGGTCATGGCTGCCAGCACGCAAATTCATTTGTATCGGCGACTCTACGCAGTCTGACCCCGAGGCATATGCGGAGATGTATGAAAAGTATCCTGACTGGATCAAGGCTATCTATATCAGGAAGGTGACAGATATTCCTCATATGGAGACCAAAAACAAAAACGAGAGATTCATCGACGCGTTCAGGAACGTGCCTGATCATGTTTGGAGGGTCTTTGTAAAGCCTGAGGAACTGGCTGATCATGTTAAGCATCTGGCAGGACAGGCTCACTCTGGTGTGGTTGGCTCAGTGTTGGGTATGTAGTGCCATACCGCAAAAAACATGAAGCAAGCGGCCACGCCATCGAAGTCCCAGAGCCATACTCCTCAGCCCCGGACGCCTGAGGCAAGAACACCGCGATCCCCAAGCCCTGCTCAAGTGGACTTGGGTTCTGTGGGCAAAATTCCGTTGCAAACAGGCAGAGGCCTCTCATCACCAAAAAGATGAACAATTTGACAGTGAGACCAATTTGCTAGATTCTGCAGACTAGGAGAAGGAAGACAATGCAGAGCGGAGCTCAATATCTTTCGGTGGGGTATGAAGGTGTATCATTATCAACAATTTGTATCCAGCCTTTGTTGTTGGGGCTTTACCTGGAGCCATAACTATGATGAGCGAAGACTACCTGTGGTGGAAGAAGAACGATATGACTCTTGAATCTCTCGAGGTGTTTCGCGGGTGCCATTGGGCGTTAAGAAGGTGATCACTCTACATCCTTGAAGTACACGAACTCACACAATAACAAACTAAGACCACGCTCGAAATTCATCATGCTTCGCGCATAGTAGGGAACGTCAGGCAAGGATGTGCTCTCCCATCCAAGTATGTATTTGACCGTGCACTCCGTAGGCACGACTACTCGGAGGTCGTGGTCCAGAATTTGCTAGGAGCGGGTGTGGTCGATTTTAGCCGGGTTATCTTGGCAAACTCGCCACAACCTGCCGCCTTAGAAATTGATGCACATCCTGCGGGTGGCTGCGAAATTCATTTCCGATGGAGACTGCGACATCTAGGTCCTCTGAACAACCATTCGGCGACCCTCGTACTCGAGAGATCCGACAACATGCCTCAAGGCTTTGACAAGTGTAAAGAGCGATCGGCGCATATCGACGAGATCCTTAATGGCCTGAATCGATACAACCCTGAGACAACAACGATCTTCCAAGAATATGTCACCCAACAATGCGAAGAGAAATTCTTTGACACATATGCGTGCCTTGCACTACTGAAATTGTAAGGTCGAACTCCTTCCCAGCGATCTGCTAGCGATCTGCTTGCTGTTACATGATGAAGAGATTTTATCACCACGTTTCCTATTACCTGACTTGTCCTTCGGGAAGAATGGAGATTGGAATTATTAGCTCTATCTGAAATTGAGCATACACACGATTGTTTTCAAAAAGTTGGCGATGAAAACCAGCAGTTAACATTCTGTGTGCTAGATACCAATTCAATCCTCAATTACTGCATCCAGAAACCGTCACAAACATCCTTGTGAAAGCTCTGACAGTATTCCCTTCGCCATCCTTCTCACTCGCATTGGCATTGTTGCCACCATCAACTATTCCCTATAGCCCCGGAAATACCTCCATACCCACTACAGATCTCACCGAATCGATACAAAAGCTCACGAACCTGAATACCCTCCTCGAATCCGCACAATATGACGCCTTTTGGTCCACGCTAGAATCAGATGATCTCTATGCAGATCTGTATGCGGATGTGGCAGGGTTTGAGGATCTTGTGAGAATCAGAATCGCAGGCGAGGTGGGGAAGACTTTCCGACAGATCGACTTGGGAGTGTTAAGTGGCTGGCTGGATCTCCGAGGAGATAGCTTGACCAAGTTTGTCCAGACTGCTTGCGGCTGGCGAGTTAATGGTTCCCAAGTCGATATTCCAGCAAATGCAGAGAACGAAGCCAAGAGCGAGATCAAGGGCGAGAGAGTGGGTGTGGATATGTTCAGCAGAGTGTTCAGGCGAGGCTACGAAGCTCCTGCTTAGGGTGGCTGGCCGACGGAAATGGTGACATGAAGAGAGGAATATGAGGAATGATTGGCGCTCATGTTCAACTCACACATGATGCGTGAAGACGCGCTCAATTCTACGACCGAAGTGACATGAGGATATATCCCGGGTTGGGTTGTTCTTCCAATTACAAAAACGTGCCATCATGGTTATGCTGCAAATAGCTGCATTGAGCTTGCTCATGTAGGTCAGACCTCCAACCATGACATGTCTTGTGCCATAAGTAAGAAATGCTCATCGTGCTCAGCAATGAGCAGATAAAAGAGGCAAATCAAACCGAAAACAATGATGATTTTCTATTGAGTACAGCAGATCACCGTTTTGTACGAGCCATGCTTCCCGACCAAGTTGAGACGACTTCAATTTTGCTTGTACCTCATCCTCAACTAACTAACCAGAGCAATCAAGAGCGTCGGCATCAGACAGGTCGAATGGATTGGTAGTCCCATTTCCTTTAGTGAAGGGGGAGAAGGGTGTCCATATACACCTGAATTGACTAGTCAGGCTGGGAATATCTAAATGGATCCCTGTATCCAACAACCTTGCCCCCGGGCCCTCAGCCTTACCCCTTTTATTGGCAACTTGCCTTCCCTTACATCTCTCACCCAACTCATAATTACTCAATTGCCACGCAACAGTCACGAAACTTTCTCCAAGGATCATTTCAAAAGTGTTGCGACACATTGCGAATGATATAGCATATTTCATTGATAGGACGTTTGAGGTTGGTTGTTCCACCGGTATTGGACGTGTGGTAACTATGATGCACGCATGGCGCTGGGTTCCCCAAAGCCAACTGGCATGGTCGAGGAGTCCTTTCTGCAAAACGAGAAGTCTACCTAATGCATTCACTTTCCAAATTCTCTAAACAATGTTCCACGCACCGAGCCCCGTTCGCAACCTTGGGTCCTTAACTCGACGTCCCCCCCGGCGGAGAAGACCGACGATCGAAACCTCGAAACCGTAGGTGGAGTACGAGGTATTTGAAAGGCTGAAGATCTGCGCCGCGAGTACGAGGTAAGCGAGCTGCGTCTTGAAAGCTAGTACTTGCGTGCATCAATGTAATATAACAGCCTTTCGACCCAATTATTCTCTGACTTCGGGCATACGTTCGGGGCGAGTGAGTTAGAAATCAATGGAGGTGTCGTGTCAATATTTCGGTTGATCTCCGGCTTAGTCGAAGCTGTTCAATGACACAATCCAATCCAGAAACCACAATGACGGGCGACGAGGATGGGTCACCGTCTGAGCGGTCGCCTCTATTGCACGGCCACGGGAATGGACACGAACGACCGAACGTGAAAATCACCGGGCCGGCGCTCAGCCCCGTGATTGAAGATGTCACGTCGACAGGCTCGTCATCGGTTGACATTGACATTGAGAACAACGCAGACGGTGAAGACCTCGCACGGACATCATCCATCGACTCCCACCGCGAGGCACAGTTCACAGGGAACGCGGACGCGGCGCGGCAGATGCTGTACATCGTTCCCGCGGTGTCGGTGGGGGTGTTCCTGGCCGCGGCGGACCAGACGATCATTGTGTCGAGCTACGGGCGGATCGGCAGCGAGCTCGATGCGCTGAACCTCACCAGCTGGGTCGCGACCGCGTATTTCCTGACGCTGACCTCCTTCCAGCCGCTGTATGGCAAATTGTCGGACATCTGGGGCCGCAAGGCGTGTCTACTGTCCGCGTATACAATTTTCGGGATGGGGTGCCTCTTCTGTGGCCTCGCGCGGGACATCAACCAGCTCATCGCCGCGAGGGTGTTTCAGGGCGTGGGCGGAGGTGGTATGACGACCGTCGTGTCGATCCTGTTCAGCGATATCGTCCCCCTCAAGGACCGCGGCATGTGGCAGGGGATCATCAACATCGTGTATGCTGCCGGCGCCGCCTCTGGGGCACCTTTCGGAGGCCTCGTAGCAGACTATCTAGGCTGGCGATGGTCTTTCTTAGGCCAGGTCCCGCTGTGCATAATCGCTTTCCTTGCCGTGCTGTTCTCCCTTCACCTACCATCACATTCGGACCAGAACTGGCGGAAGAAGTTGGCCAGGATCGATTTCCTCGGCGCAATTGTGCTTGTCGCCGCTGTGTTTGGTCTCATCTTTGGCATGGACCGTGGGTCGAACACTTCATGGGTGAGACCTATAACATACGGCCCCATCATGGCCTCGGTGGGCTTGTTCGGTCTCTTCATCCACGTTGAACGCCACCTTGCGAAGGAGCCGTTCGCACCGGGGCACATCATATTCAACCGCACCCTGATTGCCAGCTACTTATGTTGCGCCTTCAGTTTCGGCGCTTGGCTGTCTATTCTTTACTATCTGCCGCTGTTCTATCAAGCTGTTGACGGCTTCGGCGCTACAGGCGCTGCGGTGCGACTCCTCCCTGCGATTGTAGCAGGGGTGTCCGGCTCTCTCTTCAGCGGCATGTGGATCAGGTGGTATGGTCGCTACTACTGGCTGACAGTATCCGCCTACGTCCTTCTTGCGGTAGGGATGGCGGTTATCCTGCTCTTCAGTGGCGTGATTCTGAACAACACGTACATAATCTCGGTGGGGACTGTGCTGAGCGGCTTTGGCAACGGCATCGGCGTGACGTCGGCGCTGATTGCCATCATCTCGAACGCAAACCCAAAGGACCAAGCTGTCGCGACTGCCTGCTCCTACCTGTTTCGCTCCCTAGGATCCGTGATCGGTATCTCCCTGTCCGCCACGGCCATCCAGCAGCGTCTTAGGGACGACCTTGCTGTGAGGCTCGGCAATAGCCACGACGCCGCGGAAATAGAACAGGGCGTGCGCCGGAGCCTCGATTACCTCAAACAACTGACGCCCGAGCTGCGCCATATCGTCAGATTGTCCTACGGCACCGCCGCCACTGCCGGATTCCTGCTGGCATTAGTGCTCTCGCTGGGCGCAACTCTGGCGAGTGTCTTTATCAAGGAGCAGAGGATTAGCCGTTGAGCCTGCCGGTTGGGGCAACAGGGTTGAGACTTGAAAATGAAAGGGGTTATAGAATATTGGAAACGCCTTGGAAAGCCGCGCCGGGAGCTACGCTTCTGGTAGCAGCAGACATTTTTAAATTAGGAAACTAGTGAATTCACACAATTCCACCACTCGCGCCATGCTTGTGAATAATCTAATTAAAACAGCCCTGAGAGTGTTCTGCTTCGAATTATCATAGAAGAGGCTTCCTGACCATGAGAACGCATACTCAAAAGTTATAATTGTGGGCGCATGCGGGTCCTTCTGCGGTATTTGTAGGTTCTGAGCGGGCTGTTCCATGGTCCTAGAAGACTCAGCCGGTGAGCATAAGTTATATTTAGGATCTCTCGACTCAAACGGACGACATTTGGTTGGGAAAATCGCGGTGTTCGTCTCATAATTGGATCTCGGTACCTGTAACAATGCTGCATGGAGAATCAAATGTCGTTATCGTATAATCGTCCATTTCGGCTGAGGCTTTGATCAGTATCAACCAAACCTGGTCACTAATACCTGGTGCCTGCCGAACTCAACCATAACATGTTCTCATCTATCCCATGATTAGGACTTCGCTTCTCCGTTCTTGACTGCCCCATTTGTAGCTTCTCCATTCGCTGCGGTGGGTATTTCTATCGGACCGCCTGGCGAAGTTGGGAACCTCGCGGTTAGAACCTCGACACCATCTTCGGTGACAAGGAGTGTATGCTCAAACTGTGCGGACCGGGTTCCATCCGCCGTCACCGCTGTCCAGTCATCCGGCCAGGTTTTGTCCTTGTACGTACCCAGGCAGATCATGGGCTCGATTGTAAAAGTCATTCCTGGTTTACACTTGCCAACCGCCTTATTCTTGGCATAGTGTGGCACATTAGGCGCACAGTGGAAGAGTTGGTTGATGCCGTGACCACAGTACGTTTTCACAACACTGAGTTGCTGAGACTTGGCGTGTTTCTCAATGATGTCGCCGAAATCACCAATCTTAACTCCTGGCTTTACATGCTCGATCGCTTTATCCAGACACTGGCGGGTCGTCTCAACCAGGCGGACATTGTCCGGGTCAGCTTTAGATTTATCCCCAACATAGTACGTTTCGTTCAAGTCACCATGGAAGCCTTCGTGGTAGAGTGAAACATCAATATTCAAGATGTCCCCGTCTTGTAGTACTCTTTGGTCTGGAATTCCGTGGCAGATGACTTCGTTTACCGATGTGCAGACCGACTTGGGGAAGTGATTGTAGTTCAGAGGCGAAGGGTATGCCTGTAGTATTGGTCAGCGGGAAATTCTCTTATCTATTCTCCGACAGCCCAACCTTTCGCTCTATGCAAGCTTTATGCACAACTTCGTCGATATAATCTGTGGTAACACCGGGCTTGACTGCGGCCGCAGCAACGTCAAGTACTTCTCTTGAGAGCTTACAGACTTTACGCATTCCCGCTATGCCCTTCGCATCAAGTATTTGGACTGTATTCTTCTTGACATATGGATATCTTGGCATGCCATCCTGTGACCATTCCGGATGAGGTATCGACTTAGGAACTTCGCGTTTCTCTGATAGAGGATAGACTGGTCTCAGAGAGCCGGTAAATGGATAGGTGGGAAACGGGTTGAAATGACCGCTTTCTGGATCAACTTTAGAAACGACACTCGGAGTAAAGAGATTGCGGAGAGGGTTCGTACTCTTGTGCAGGGTTTTATGCTCTGCCTAAAGAAGAGAATAGACCATGTCAGCTGTGTGTGCATTTGGTGTGGTTGTCTGAAGGAGATCCACCCACCCAGCTCCGCTTGAAGCACTCTTGTGAGCAGAAGAAATTGTCCACACCCATTTCCTTGCATTTGGGGCATTGCAACGTTGACGCATCGTTTTCACATTTGAGACCAGGACATTTTCGAGGCTGTTCAGCGGCTTGGTCCATCTTTGCTACCAGTAGATTCTAATTGTATTGACCGAGGCAGCAAAGTTCGAGTCTGTACTTATGCACCTCTGGATTCGGCTTCTCTTGATCTGAAGAGATGCGTCGTGTTACAGATTGAAAGTGGCGGGGTACAGCAAACTTTTAAAAAGTCAGAAGCCAGGTAATTCTCCTTGTCGCAAGTCTAACTTGAAGAAGAGGAAAGTAGGCAAGAAAAGTCGAGGGAAACCTCGAACGGGTTCGTTGGAGACGTTGGTCCACTAAAGCGGCTATTGTTTGACGGCTGTCGTAGGGATAGTCTTCTGCCTAGGTACCATGCCGCTTTAATGCGATCAACAATATTCTCATCAGGCTGAACTTCAGCCTGGCCACTGAACTATCAAATCCTTGGTAGTTCATTGCTCTTGAATGAGATCCAATACCAAGCCCAGAAGGAAGCCTTCTAATACATCTAGACTGAAAGAGCCTGGCACGAAACAGGGTATCATTGGCGTCATTCTAGTTCAGATAACTCCGTACTGGACCTGACCATTCTTTCCATTTCTCCACCCGAGTGAGCCAGCCTGTGGCTAGGCATAATCTCGATGAGCTTGGCGATGATGTCCATAGGTAATCTGATGATGTTTGCCAAGGTGGCCTAGATCCTCTACAAATGCTCTAGTTCTGGTGGAGACTGCACAAGCGTTTGACTGAAGCTTGATCGGCGTAAAGGGTCTGATTTCGAAGGAGCCACACTGGATGAGCTGAGGCGGATTACCTTGTGGAGCAACTGAATCTTGATTGCCGGTGCGCACATGGTCACGGTCGGTGCTTGACTGCCTTTTGGTCCTAGGACATGTAGATTCGGACGCGATAAGGTACATTGTGCTGTTTTGTCCTTTGGTCTTCAAGCAGGTTGTTGCTGCTGTTGATCCTCGCCTTGTTTCCACTCGAATTCTGCTTGAGTCAGCATCAAATATGACAGGCTATGGGTTGAAAGCTACTTTGACGGCACATTGGACAAAGACCTCTTGCAGATTCTTGATTGATCCAGGTGAGAAGACAATGCTAGCACTGTCAGTCCTGTGTCAGTCCCGACGCGTCACGACAACCTTACCATGTGAAAAGAGTGACCACACTTGCCCATCAACAGAGTACACTCGTCACCTGGGAACCTGCATGTGGGACAGGTTCCATCAAATTGAACTCGGCAAATGCCACAGACCTCATCCTCTGGCAGATTCCAGCGCCAGGTGGCCACGGCATTCCATGTCTTGATCTTGACCTTCATGATTGTGGTTGAAGCGTTCGGCTGGCTCAACGAGCAATGAATACTCACTGCTGCAAGGCAGAGATGCTGTGGCTGAACGGCAACTGACGCGTCGACTGCTTCTGTGTTAACATTTATTGAGGCTGTCGAGCAGACTTGAATGGCGGAATAAGGAAGAACAATTTAACCGATAATATTCCGGGCGCTCTCCCCCACTATGTCAGTTGCAGTCTTGCCGTCTTGCAGATGCGGATCCAGCTTCGTCTCCATCTGCAAAACTAAAAGCTTCCAGTCCCTATCTCCCAAGCTCCGAATCCACCCAGTCACCACATTACAAACTTGTACACGCTTCCAGTTGCATGTGCAATTCTCGTCTACGGGCTTTCTCTATACTCTACGTCGTTGCTTAGTTGCAATCGAGTCTGAACAGGCGACCTGCTTTATTCCCACAGACTCCTAGCCATATCATGAAAGTGCTGGAGCAGATAAGATGACCATAATCGTTGCCTCGTCGCCGATATGGCGTTCTACACTTTCTCGTCCCCTCAGCAAGATATCTTTCCTGCAACGCTGCAAATTCTCCTCCTATATCGTCACGCCTCAAGAGCTCAATCAAGCTCTCAGCAAGAATGCCCCTAGCACCATCTCAACCGCACCGAAAACTATCCCGATATGCGCAGCATGGTTCATGCCCAATGACCCTGAGAAGAGAACTGGCCTCGAAGCCTTCATGAAAAAGCGGATACCTTCAGCTAGATTTTTCGACATTGATGAGATCAAAGACTCTGAGTCTGAGTATCCGCACATGCTCCCCACTTGTGAGGCATTTGCAGACGCCATGTCACGACTTGGAATCAAGAGAGACGACGAGCTGGTAGTATATGATACCGAAGAATTAGGCATCTTCTCTGCTCCTCGAGTTGCTTGGACCATGCGTGTCTATGGCCACCCTAAGGTTCATCTACTGAACAACTTTCGAATATGGGTCAAGGAGGGCCTACCAGTGGAGACAGGGCCCCCCGAAGTGCCAAACATCACCAAGTATCCAGTTCCTAGCTACAATACCGACATGGTGGTGAAATATGCAGAAATGAAGACAATCGGCTATGATCACGGCAAAGAAGGTGCTGAAGAAATCCAGATACTCGATGCTCGATCTAAAGGTCGTTTCGAAGGCGCTGAACCTGAACCACGACCCGGGTTGAGCTCTGGGCATATGCCTGGCGCCAGTAGTGTACCATTTCAGGAGCTGTTAGATCCAGAGACAAAGGCTCTCCTCCCCGCAGAAGAACTTAGAAAAGTCTTCGAGTCCAAAAATCTCGACCCCAAGAAACCATTCATTACCAGTTGTGGTACTGGTGTCACGGCAGCCATTATCGAAGCTGCCTTAAGGGAAGCTGAGTTCGGGTCTGAAAACGATCGTAGAATCTACGATGGAAGCTGGACGTAAGTCAAACAAAACCCTTGCCATTGTAAAGAAGCGAAAAGCTGACTTGTTTTGCAGTGAATGGGCCTCAAGAGTCTCACCGTCAAGCGGTCTAATTCAAAAGAGCAATTCTAGTTGATGTTTTTACACATGGACTTGGAGCACGCATCTTCCAATCTTGCAGAAAAAGGAGTGTATGAAATCAACGTCGATGCTGCATTTTCGGTTTTAGCGCTGGCGTACGGCTTGTGGGCGCCCACGTTTGTTCTGATACATGTTTTTGTTAATGCCAATGAACATCAGTGGCTTCAAGCTAGTTCCGCTAACAAACTTACTCTTGCCATTATCCTGACTATCTTGGAACGTTATCACATGTCAGCCATAACATTCTTCAATAAAGTGCGCTTTGAGCTTTATGCTCTACTCAACTCTGCTCAGTAGCCGTTCCTCATGTAAATTGATAAACCTCACACTACAATGCGCCGGATAGATTTTACGATTGGATTTGTTTTGCGACTGATGAAACCTCGAAAACTTGGGATGGTATAAGAGGAAGCAGGTCATGACACAAGCTGCCAAAGATGCAGCTAGATTTTTGAAGAGTACTCTCCGTCTCCCCCGTTCGAAATTTCCGCCCCGTATTCCTCCTGCGGACCTTGCCAAACTCCTTCCCAAATGTACAGACGATCTGTATGCCTGGCAGCGCCGGGAGCGACCCAGCTCGAAGCCATTTGTGCTACATGATGGCCCACCCTATGCAAATGGAGATCTTCACGTTGGTCATGCACTCAACAAGATAGTCAAGGACATTATATGTCGATCGAAGTTGGCGGAAGGTAGACGCGTCGATTACGTACCAGGTTGGGACTGTCATGGATTGCCCATTGAGCTTAAAGCCTTGGAGCACTCTGGTTGGGAGCGTGGACAAGGGGTTGATCCCGTCAAAATCCGTAAAGCTGCCAGAAAATTTGCACACAAGGCGGTCGAGAAACAGATGGCCGGTTTTCGTTCATGGGCCGTGATGGGCGACTGGAGTAATCACTGGACGACTATGCAAAAAGACTTTGAAATGCGGCAGTTGTCAGTCTTTCAATCCATGGCAGATCACGCCTTAATATACCGAAAGCACAAACCCGTCTACTGGTCTCCCTCTTCAGGAACTGCTCTTGCGGAAGCGGAACTCGAATACTACGACGAACATGTATCAACAGCTGCGTTTGTGAAATTCCCAGTCGATGGTTTGCTCCCCGGTATCGATGTCGATCAACCCGTCCATCTATTAATCTGGACAACCACTCCCTGGACGATCCCGGCGAACCAAGCGATTGCAATCAATACCACACTGGATTACTCTTTGATTGACTCACCGAGTCATGGCCATCTTCTCGTAGCAAGCTCAAGAATACCATATGTGGAAGGCATCCTTGGTGAAGTAGTCAAAGTTTTGATAGACCGATTTTCGGTAGATCTCTTGCTGAATGCGACGTACTCCGGCCTTGCTGAGTTCGGGAGTGATGCAAGGAATAGGCCCATCTATCATGCAGACTTTGTCTCAGCCGAAAGCGGCACCGGTCTCGTTCATTGCGCTCCCGGTCATGGAATGGACGATTACGAGGCACTGCAACCGTTGATCAAGTCTGGCATTGTCAAGGTGAAGGCCCCAGTGGATAACAGTGGTCGGTTTGACGAAACCGCTTCTCCTCTCCAACCCACCCTTCTGGCCGGCAAAGATGTTTTCAAGGCGGGAAACCAGTCGGTCCTGAGCATGCTTGCTTCAAACCAGTTGCTTGCACACAAACATAGTTTCAAGCACAAATATCCGATCGACTGGAGAACCAAAGAGCCAGTGATGATACGAGCGACAGCACAGTGGTTTGCTGATATCTCCAAGATCAAAAGCGATACGCTGAAAGCATTGGACTATGTGACCTTTGTGCCGGACACGGGCGAGACTCGTCTTCGGACCTTTGTTGAGAATAGGAGTGAATGGTGCATATCACGACAGCGGTCGTGGGGGGTGCCAATCCCTGCAATATACCACAAATCAACGGGTCTACCAGTGATCAACCAGGAGAGCATTCAGCATATCATCCACACCATCGAAAATCGTGGAATTGACGCTTGGTGGTCCGATGCTGCAGACGACCCTAACTGGATAGCTCCAGGTCTGAAGCCAACTGATTACATTCGAGGAACGGATACCATGGACGTCTGGTTTGACAGCGGGACGAGTTGGACATCGATGCTAGACCCAAGCGCACCAGGAAAAGCACAGGCAGATATTTGTGTCGAGGGCACAGATCAGCATCGAGGCTGGTTCCAATCCAGTTTACTGACCAAAGTGGCATATCAGAAGTCCATGTTTCCCGGAGTACAAGCATTTGCCCCTTTTGATACCCTCGCAACTCATGGTTTCACGTTGGATGCCCAAGGGAAGAAGATGAGTAAATCGCTTGGCAATGTGATCGCTCCTCACGAGATAATTGCTGGCTTAGAATCACAAGCTAAAGTGATCTCGTCAACGACGTCCAAGAAACAGAGAGAGGTACATTCTCTTGGCCCTGATGCTCTTCGTCTCTGGGTGGCAAGTAGCGATTGGAGCAAAGACGTGGTTATCAGCCAGATTGTTGTGAAGGCAATCCACGCATCACTTGACAAGTACCGTGTGACGATGAAACTACTGCTTGGACTTCTAGAAGACTTCGATCTGGACATGGCCGTCCCTTATGAAGAGTTGTCTGTACTAGATCGAATTGCTCTAGTACATCTCCATCGAGTATCCAGTACAGTGCAGACAGCATACCCCGACTTCGAATTTCACAAGGCAGTGACTGCTATCAATCGATGGGTGGCCACTGATCTGTCTGGGTTTTATTTCGAAGGGATCAAGGACATCATTTACTGTGATTCACCCACGAGTGTAAGGCGCCGCAGTGCACAAACCACGCTTCATCACGTTTTGAGCCACTTTCAACAGATGCTGGGGCCTATTACGCCACTACTCGTGGAAGAAAGTTGGGCACACACACCTGAAAACTACAAAGAGAAGCTTGAGCATCCCTTGAAACGAATATGGGCCAAGCCTCCCTTAGAATGGCAAGGGGGAGAACTGAGCGAATTGTTACCTCAGATAACAGCCATCAACACAGGAGTGAAAGCCGCACAAGAAAAAGCGCGCTCTGAAAAACTGATGGGGCAGTCGCTCGCGTCAGATGTTGTTATATATCTTCACCCCACCGTCGATCTATCACAGATACCCAGCGAGACTTGGAAGGAGATCTTTGTGGTATCAAGGGTGGAATTCATATTTGACGGGATGTATGAGTCCAAAGCTACCACAGACGCCGAAACAGGAGAGGCTTCATGGTCGCGTCAGACGAATTTCGAGATGCCTAATGGCGCTCTGTCTGGAATTGCTGTGGTGAAGAGTCCTCATAGTGAGAAGTGTGCGCGATGTTGGAAGTACGTTGTGGATCCGGCGAAGCCCAAAGAGGTGTCGAGTGCAGGACAGAAGGCGGAGCTTCCTTTGTGTGAACGATGTACCAACACAGTGGCGGAGATTGTGAAGTAAAGACGGTGTATGAATAGTCTGTACCACTATTCTCCTCTGATATACAACCTTGGGATTACCGCACGAGGTAAATCTAGAATAGAATCTCCTAAAGCGGCGGCATCGGCATCTAAGGTTGGCGGGAGATTCGCTAACAACATGTGGTGAGTTGGCCTTATTTACAGTAGAGTACGAGGTACCTCGTCCTCTTGGTCTACAGAACAACTTGATGCGGTCTGGTGGCCACAGGGCTTCCTACTGTTCGCAAAGGTTGAGGCCAGACGCAGTCAAGCTTGATCTGCATACAGTGCTTCGTATTTCGACTCCGACTAGACTACTGTAGCTTAGCTGCAGAAGGATCGGCTGAGCAACTGCGAGTACCGTTTGCGGGGTAACGTGCTGCGTGACATGCATGACTACAAAAATCAATCGAGGCTGCACTCTAGCACCATAGAGCACCTGCAAGCCATTTCCTAAGCGCCGTGAGGAAGAAGATGCGGTCGATTGGAAGCAGCTGATAAGTGGTTATTATGCACTACTCCTAGGCCCGTAGGCATGTGCTTCGTTTTATTGCAAACTCGGTCAGAGGAACAGCTTTTGGGCCGTTATTGTTGTGGCCATTTCCATTTCCAAACGTCATGAAGTGACGTTTTGTGCATAGCTTCAACTACTAGCCTCGGTGGATCCGTTGAACTAGGGTACGAGGTACCGATGGACATGGAAAGCAAACCTTCCATGTTGCAATATGCACTCCCCCACGGCCTTAAGTCGTTGCCCTAACCTAAGCAGACATTAGACAAACCCCTGAAAACCTGTCTATCTCTTGTAGGTGTTGTGGATCAGCAAAAGAGGACTCCGAGAGGATTCCCGTGGGCATTCAACTGCCCTTCAGTGGGCGCAGCATGTGCATATTATCTCGTCATAGCGGCGGGAGGTCCCGGCACTTATGACCTTCTAGGACGAGAAATCGTGGCTGGTGAAGGTCTCATTGGACGGCAGAGACATGCCTGCATCGGTCTGAGCTCATCGACGTGCCTCCCCCTGCCTTCATGGTCAAATTATGCCCTGGGACCCTGATGGCTCCCCCGCAACCTGCCTACACAGTTGGTACCAGCTGATGAGAAACAAGGCCGGTTAAGAAAAAAAAGAATGAGGAGGTGAGGAGTAAACCGCGCGTGTGCCCACATGACTTTTGGTAATGAACCAGTACCATTAAAGTGCAAGCAGGAAGGAACCAACTAGTAGCATCGCTCCTGTCTACTAATGACAATTACCCCCTCCAATAGTGACATTCGTCCTTTCCACCCTGGACGTCATGGACCCGAGTGACTTCCTGCCTCGTTTCACGGTCCTCTTGTACTCTTCCTTCCCATTTTCCTTTTGACTGCTGCCTTCTTCCATCCTCATCAGCTCTTGTTGCTTCCTCCAAGCAATCACAACCAACTTCCTTTCTCCTTGGATCTATCCTCCACGACTCCAGACACAGTTGTTCTGTTTTCTCTTGGACTGCGTATTGTTGCTTGTCTCCGTCACTAATATCCTTCATACAACGTCGTTAATATGATCGTCCATCCAGACATGATCAAGTCGGCAACTCCTACCACTTCGGTGGCCCCAATTCCCACCATTGTCCCGACTCGTCCCATCTTCGTCAATGCCGGTGACACTGGACATCGAACCCTCTGGTTAGATGCTCAATTTTGTTTCCACACAAGACCTTACTTGCTAACTAATCTGAAGGGTTGTCGTTGTGTTAATGGGACTTTCATCCCTGGCCTTCTATGCCATGGCATTCCGTGTACCAGTGGTGAGTTGACAACGTTAGGCTATATTTCCTGCCGGAGCCCAGACTGATGTATTCCAGCAAAAACGTCTCTTCCACATCTTGACTGCTTTCATCACCACCTTTGCATTCCTTTCATACTTTGCCATGGCCACCGGTGATGGAATCAACTACCACAGATACACCGTCACCGAAACCCACAAGAAAGTGCCAGATACCCACCAGGACTATTTCCGTCAAATATACTGGGCGAGATATGTTGACTGGACCGTCACTACTCCGCTTCTCCTTCTCGATCTTGCTCTTTTGGCTGGCCTCAGCGGGGCCAATATCCTTGTTGCGGTGGTTGCCGATGTCATCATGATCCTCACTGGTCTCTTTGCTGCCTATGGTAAGACAGATGGCCAAACGTGGGGTTGGTACGCCTGGGCTTGCATTGCCTACATTGTCATTGTCTATCAGCTTGCCTCTGCTGGACGCACCGCCGTTGCAAACAAGGACAGCAAGACCAAGGCTTTCTATGGCTCCATTGCTGGATTCACTCTCATCGTCTGGACCATCTACCCAATGTGAGTAGCTTGACCTGGAATCAGCGTAACAAAAGCTTACCGAATAACAGTATCTGGGCTCTTTCCGAAGGTGCTCACATCATTTCAGTCGATTCCGAGATCCTCGCTTATGCTGTACTTGACCTTCTTGCGAAACCCGTAAGTCATTTAGGTCCAATAGAAGGCTCTTATTAACTCTTCCCAGGTCTTTGGCTTCTGGCTCTTGTTCACACACGACAGCATGTCGAGCACGTATGTTTTGAGTTCCTACTAGATCAGAATAGCCTGACTAATTGATTACAGATCTCCCTCGCTTGAAGGATTCTGGTCCAATGGTTTTGGCAGTCAAGGCGCTCTCCGAGTTGGTGACGATGATGAAGCTTAAAGGACTAGACTGACCCCATCAGGTTGGCGATGATGACTAGGTCAAGCTCGGGTCACGCAGGCGAATCCACACGGTGTGCTGGATCATTTCAAATAACCTACACATACGGTCGAACAATGTTGAAGAATGAGGAAAGGGAGCAGAAGGCTGCAGGACGACGGGCTGAGATTGTGATTATGGTGACCAAATGGACAGGTTTGGTGGGAGAAGATGGTGACGGTGCTCATTGGCAACCAATGAAACACAACGTCGAATGAATTCCTTTCTGGAGGCTGGCCCTAGAGGGAACAGCATTTCCGAGCCCGACCAAGGTTCGAAGAATCACTTGTACAACAATCACTCCTTCTTTTGCATGAATCGAAAAAGCATGAGACTGCATGATACAAGGAATATGAGTTTTGAGAACGATCGAGATTCCTGAGCTTCTCTGCGCATTCTGTCCTATGTTACGATCTGCGTATAAATGGCTAATCGCTACAGACTAGGGCATGTGTTCCGTTTTGTTCTACATTTCGTGAGCAACCTCGTGATCGGTACATCAATACGCCAGCTGATGACCCCTGTACTACATATACGGGAGAGCAACCCCCGAATGCCAAGGCATAATGATCCTCAGGTTCGCGTCGTCAATCTTTCGGAGGTTGTCCATAACATTGACTTTCGTTTCTTCATGCGAGGAGAGACCTTCATCAGTCGAGACTTGTGAAAAAAGAACTACCGGCCGAGAGGAGAGCACTTTCTTCCCTGGCATTTGCAGTTTGTATGTTCAGAATCAGCCTCGAGCCCGACTATTCTTCTATTCTTCCCTTGCCAAGCGGACTACGTGTAAGTCAGCAGATAATTCCTTCGGAGACCCAAATGCCGACAACTTCATGGACTCCCCCCCAAACAAGTTGCATTCCTTGGCGGAGCAATCCCATAGCCCCGAAGGGAGGCATGATCTCCTGTCCAATGATTGTCCCAAGTGCACTGGCTCTATCTTAATATCTCGGCCCTAGCTGTACCGACATCCCACCATTACCTCTCTGCTCTGTATCCCTGATGCTGCTCACCACAATCAATGAGATCCGCGAGCAGTGCTTGGGTCAGCGAGACCCCAGATCATGGGGTCCCCGTACACTCACAATTCAGGGTTGGCCTGACAGCCTCGGTGTGTATTGCACACATTTCATGCAAGGCAAGTTGCATTGAGGTTGGTGTATGAGCCCAGTCGGAATCCCTGGTACAGCTGGTATATATTGTCAATGGTCCTTGGCCCATCCGGATGTCATGTTATCCATTCACCCAGCCTCTTCTTCTTTGAGAAATATCAATACTGCACTCGACTCTAGGAACGTCCTTCAGCTGGTCGCGATATAATGGCCTTCTACAAGCGCAAGATTACCGTTTCCGACGGGGAAATCACCAATGCCGCTCATCTCACCCTGAGGCAGTCCTTCCTCCCTAATTGTCTTGGTACGTGATGGGGAGCCTTTTGGTCACCGCACTGAGGAGTTGCTCAGTTAGAGGGACGGGTTGGTATCCTCTGCTTGATTCTCGCTAACCCCAACCTTTTTCTTAGTGACAATCCTCTTCTTTCTATGGGGGTTTGCCTACGGTCTCTTGGATGTATTGAATAGTCATTTCCAAACGACACTAAACATCACAGCTTCTCGCTCATCGGGTCTCCAAGCCGCGTATTTTGGCGCTTACTTCTTGTGCCCGTTGACGATTTCGGGCTGGATTCTAAGACGTTTTGGCTTTCGGTAGGTGCAGTATATATCGAAGATTTCCCTCTTTCCCACGGGGTGAAATCTTTCCAAGCCATCGTTGACGTGGACTGCTTTGCAGAGTCACTTTCATGACTGGTCTCGCTGTCTTAGCTGTTGGATGCCTCCTGTTCTGGCCCAGTGGTGTCAAGAAATCCTTTGGTGGATTTTGTGGCAGCATGTTTGTCGTGGGTGCAGGGCTGAGCACTCTGGAGACCGCCGCCGATCCTTTCCTGGCTATCTGTGGTCCGCCCCGATACAGCGAGGTTCGTCTGAATTTAGCTCAGGCGGTGCAGGGTGTGGGCAGCTTCGTTGCGCCTCTTCTGGCCAGTCGGGTGTTCTTTGCCCATACTGGTGAGTGTGATACTCCTCTAATTGCGACCTTTTGCTGATGTCTTTTTGCACAGTCAACAATGACCAAGGGCTGAAGAACGTGCAATGGACGTATCTGGGAGTTGCGTGCTTTGTGGGACTGCTCATCATTCTTTTCTTCCTCGCCCCTTTCCCGGAGATCACAGATGCCGACATGCATCACCAGGAGCATGCGATTGCAGAGTATAATCCCGGACCTCTTCGCAAACAATGGACGTTGTTTCTTGGCGTGTGGTGCCAATTCTGCTACGTTGGTGCTCAAGTGGCGGTTGCTGGCTACTTTATCAATTTTATCAAGGAAACTGGTCGATCTGCAGCCACTGCATCAGACCTTCTAGCCGCAGCTCAGGGGATCTACGCGGCGAATCGATTCATTGCTGGGTTCTTGATGATGATCCCAGCCGTCAAGCCTCGTTACATGCTTGCGCTCTACTTGTCCATGTGCTGTGTTTTGGCACTCGTGGCAGCGCTGACCCGCGGAAGCACATCGGTGGCATTCCTAATGCTGGTGTTCGTGTTCGAGTCATGCTGCTTCGCGACCATCTTCACCATGTCACTACGTGGGTTGGGCAAACATACCAAGCGAGGGGGTTCGTGGCTAGTGGCAGCCATTTCCGGCGGGACTGTTTGGCCGAGTATGACAGGGGCAGTGGTGACAGCTAGAAACGCTCACATTGCCATGTTGATTCCCATGACTGGGTTTATCGTCGCCATGGTCTTTCCCATATATGTGAACGTCTACCAGAAAGGGAGAATGGACACTCATAGGGCAACTGAGGTTGGACTTTTCCAGCCGACGGAGAAAGAATTGGAGCTAGAGAGGAACCAGAGCACCAGCGAACCTCAGCCAGTCGAGATCCGCGAGGATGGGAGCAACTTGAAATGAGCAGCTAACCTGACCAAAAGTGTGGAAGGATGGATGTATTAGCACTTGCCAGATGAGGGAGAAAGTGACGGTGAAAGTAAGGGTTGTTGATGACTGTGTATGTAATTCGCTGCTTGAATTTGATTGATTACTGTATCAGCGTGGATCATCTTTGTGGCATATATCACCTCTCATTTACCTACTCCGTACTTGGGCACCTAACCTAGATATCTATTCTACCCATAAGCGCCCTCAATAACGGTTTCGCTTGGCAAGGCTGAAGGGGCGGGAATGAGGCTGTGTTTTTCCTCGGTTTGATTGCGTGACTAACAAGCACCCGTGCACCACTGGGAGTCCCACCGGGGCCACCGCCGCTGATCTGCAGTGCCTCTTTCAGCTCCGAACAGACCTCGACTTCTCAAGATTACTCGTACACAACACTCACTCATACACAACAAACATTCAAACCATAATACGCAACACTCACTGGACCTCTTGTATTCCCTATCTATCTGCCTTCCTCGTGATCTATTTCCCCGCTGGGACGGAGGGTTTTTCACTGTCCGACCGAACCGAAGTCTATACATCCACATTTTCACATCCAGTCCCGAGCCCGAGGCATTTAACTGCAGCCTGACCTGGACCTTCTCCCCTGTCACACAATATCGAATATTATATATGCGGACATCGATCCCGTTTTGACTTTCAGCCCCTTTTGTTGTCATTCCTAGTCGCTCCAGTCCAATACAAACGCATGACCTAGGCCTGCGGTGCCCGTCGGTCAAGATGCGAGTACAGGAGATGGTTCTAGACAATGACTCAAGCGAGTCACAGGATCTCTATGAACATCACTTTTCCTCTATGTCCAAATATTCTCGATCTGATGTTCGATTTCCTCCCCTATCTACCCCTCGACGGCGAGCACCTTCAGTCACATCCATCCAGGACATCAGCGATCAGCCGCGCGCCAATGCGAATGGGCAGTCTGTAGGGGTATTGACCATCAAGGCGACCAGCACACCCTTGCAGGAGATGGACCAATTGAACATTCAAATGTGGGATGATTCTCATGCGCCAGAAGATGCACATCCAACAGAACCCTCGAATTCTCTCGAGGATTTGCCCCTCGAGGTCCAGGGGAGGATCCTCGACCACATATTCGGAGACATGCATTCTATCTACGCCGGGTCCACATCGTTACGAGGCAAAAGTGTATCATCTCTCATGAGACATCCAAGAAGGAAAGCTGTGTCCGATCTGTCTCTGGTATCTGCATCCTGGAGGGAATTGGTCCAGGAACGAATCTATCGCCATATCAAAATCAAAGGCACTCGGACGGGCCTTGATGAGTCTAAGGAATACTTCATCAACCATCTGCATCTCACTAAACACGTCCGCCATATCGAGTTCTGGGTTCCCGTCTGGGGAGATAGGGCCTCCTTCGACAATCGCTCGCTTGACACCTTACTCCCGGGGGGCAACGACCGAGCTGCCAACCTCCAGCTCGCATACCAAGCCAATGAAAGCCTCTTCCCTGCCAACGATCTATTGGGCTTTAGCTTCAAACTCTCAGCATACAGCGCCACATTGTCCCAGATCTTCTCGCATATCGCCTGCTTTTTCCCTGAAGCCCGTGTCTTCACCCTCGAAGGCGGCCACTGCAAGAAATCCAACATGATCAGACACTTCCCCAAGATCCTCTACCCGCCTCCAAATCAAGCGTTGGAACCACTCCCCAACATCCGCACCTTTGCCATGCGAGGTGCCTGGAACATCATGCGTGAGCGCAAACACTGGCAGAACATCGAGGCCGCGCTTCCCAATGTCGAAGAATGGCATTGCGGCTATGCAAAGCCCCGACCGGAAGCCGACACCACCATCAACGATATCCTATACGACCTGCCCATGCGTTTCCGGCACGTCAACATCTCCCTCGACGGCATGTACAGCAAAGACCCCACGACACTCGGCTCCTCCTCCTCCTTCCCAAGCCAACCACATCTCTGCGAACGCCTCGGCCGCGTCCTGCCCAACCTGGAATCTCTGTCCTTCACTGGCAAGATCTGCGAATGCCTGTGGAGCTCTGCGCTGTCTCAACTCCAATCCTCCCGGGCCGAACACCCACCGCGCCTGAAAGCGCTCGAAATCGTGGTCAAGTCCTGCTGCCGGCAGCGTGTGACCGAAACCGACCCGGAGACGGGTGAGGCGGTGGTGCACGAGCTGGGCGGCGTGATCGCCGACGGGGCGGGCATCACGAATCTGGTCTTCATCCGCGCGTTTGAGCGGCTCGTGCTCAAGACCGTCGAGGCGTTGCCGTACCTCCCGAACCTCGAGTACGTGCGGATCCGCTTTATCGACCTCGACAGCCCGTGCACGCTGCTGAATCCGTACTGGCAGCTGGAGAACGGCCGGGTGTATGGCATCTGGAACGAGGAGATCGTCGATAGGCTGAGTGAAGTGCGTCCGGGATTATTCTACGAGGAACTCGGCGATGGCATCGAGTATGCGGGCTGGCACAAGAGCCATAGTGGCTCCAGGGCCGGCAGCGGTGATCTCAGCCAAGGAGCTACGGGTTCGTCGTCGGCGATGTCGAATCACAATAGCACCACCACCACCAACAACAACAGCAACACCAATAATGGGAGTTCCTCCGGTAGCGGTTCCGCCGGGAGTGGCAGCTCGCTCTATCCCAAGTGGAAGCCCCGGAGCATCAAGACAAGCAGCTACAAGATCGTGGCCGAGGCGAGAGGGAGCTGAGCTGAGCTGGGGTGACATGTCCGTTGTTTTCGTTTTCCTCTTTTGCCTTCTTGGGAGCGGCGGCGCAAGGTGTGCGGTGGGTCTGTTGGGTGGCAACCTGTGTCCTCTATTCTATCATTCTACCGTGTGAAGCTGGAGGTGCAAGTCAATGGCTAAGGGAAAGGGAGAGGACAAGAAAAGTGGCTGCCTTGTTGGAGTAAATAAATACACATCACAGAAGACTTGAGCTTAAAGAAATATGCACGAATGACAGGACGCAGGTGAGCCAGCTGGAGATGGGCACTTTGACCTCGGATCCAAAGTAAAATTTCTACCTTCTTGTGTTCTCCATATCCGTTCTATATCTGTCCCTATTGATCCATGCAAGGTCCAGGTTTCTGCTCCCCTCCCTTGAACTTCCAGTCCACTTGTCATCAGCTCCCTGATTGGGTTTCTAGGTTGTGGGGAAGAGAGATGGAAACCAATCAATTGCTTTTTAGAGTACGGTTTCGTGGCCCAAGATGCACGGAATTAAGGGAGCTGGTGTCGACGTTGCTTGCCTTGCGAGGACGAGCAGTTGAAATTGGAGATGACAATGTCGATGGTGCCGATTTGGGTGGCTTTTCCGGTGTTTCGGCCAGGGAATTGGATCCCGCTCCTGAAATAACATCGGATACAACGACGCCTAGGATCCAACAATTGACCGCGAAGAATGCTAGGCCTGCGGAGAAAAGGCCTGGTACAAAGGTACTGCGCCCTAGAAACTCGAGTTGGTATCCTTGTTGGAGCCAGGCAGCTTGTCCGAGAACCCAAAGCGCGAGTGCGGTGCCGCCCAGAGAGGGACAGGTAGTCAGGGAGGATCGTGGTAGGTAGAGCGGGAGGAAAATCAGATACCACAGAAAATACTGCGAGGTACAAACTTTATTGAATGTGACGAATGCTAAGGTTTGAGCCAGCATTGTCGCTGGTAGATGCCGTCTTGACAGGGCCACAGGGATAAGAACCGTCGAAAGAAGGAGTTGCGGGATGAAAGCGATGGATTCGAAGGAAAGAGATGTTGGTTGAGCAGGCGAGACTGCTGAGTGGGCGGAGGAGAGATATAGAAGGGCGTTGTAAGGAGAGAAATTATGGCGATGGTCGATGCGAGTAAAGTGATGTAGAAACGTGTGTTTCAAGAAGGGTGGTCCGTAAATATTATACATGAGAATGTTAAGAGAGGTGAAGGTCGACAAAGATGTAGTGAGAAGTAACAAGCGTCTTGGGTTGAGGAATCGTAGAATATTCTGAAAAGATGTCGAGGGACTTGAAGAAGTTGGACCGCTTTCCAAAATCCACAGCATACTGACTCCATAGATAAATGGGTATATCTTGAAATGAACACTCAAGCCGAGGAGGGCACCTGAGAGAGCGATTTGTCGAGTCTCAAAGGCACCCAGCAGGGACATAACCAGTACGCAAAGTAAACCCTCGCTGCTCCCCCGAGTGCTGATATTGGCGACCATGGGGTTGAGCAGCCAGACACTGGCATATTTCAGGGCGTGCGTTTTGTCCAGTCCCCTCTTCTCCAGCAAGGTCAGAATAAGCCAGCCCGCGATCAGATCTGAAAGAGCGAATAACGCTTTGCCGAAGTGAAACCACAAGCCTCCCCAAGTGGTTGGCAATAAGATCCACGCTAGTAATGGGGTGTACCTATATGTGGCTCTATCATATGGTGAGGAATGATTTGCGACTGCGCGAGCTGCATCGGTGAAGACATAGTAGTCGATGTCGGTGTATTTCAGAGCCGAGACCGAGTCCTGGTAGATACCATAGACCAAGAGAATGGCACGTAGGAGGAAGGCTGAGAGAAAGACGGCCGTAGGTGAGGACAGTAGAGAAGATATCAGGGATGGCATCTTGGTGGCTGCATGGCGGTGCTCCGAGGACAAGCTGTACTAGTGAGAGCAGGAGGTTGATGATGTGGTGACCGCGATGGAGGTAGTGTTTGCAGAGGAACACTTCTAGCGGCAATGACAAGGATAACGGCAATGGTTGTGACAATGTCTGACTTCAACTGGGTTTCTACAATGCCAGCGTGTGGTTGAATGTCGGCAAAATGCAACGAGGTTTGGAGTTGGTGGCTGCCCGCACGTCAGGACCATCGTCCATCAGGCTGAATGCACTAAGCACTAACAAGGTTAGACAGCTCAAATTTGTCTCGCCGCCCTAAATTAATATTCTGTCTAACCACTTAAGGGTAGAGAACAATCTAGTCTTCGGCTCCGATGAGGCTGAAAGTCATTCCAGGCCCAGGCAAACCTACTTAGGGACCCCCATACTCGTCACTAGGTAGATCCAAATGCCGGGTACCAAGAGAGATCACAGCGGCATGGAAATCGGATCTTCCTCAGAGAAGAGCTCGCCCTTTATACCTATCTTTGAATCTTTTCGGACAGAACTTGATGAGCACCATGATCGAAGGGAGAGAATAATCAAGGCATCTCGAGATATCACGGCACAAAGCAAGAAAATGTGAGTCCATTCGTACTCGTCTTCAAAGACCGGCTTGTGCTGACAACAACAGCATCTTCGCATTGCAGAGGTAAGCAGCCATGGTTCACTCACTTGGTGCCCTCCACTCACTTCCCAAATCAACCAGAGCCCGTGAGTTGGGAGGGCCAATACATGCATCAATCTCCAACCAAACTTCTCCGATGTATTCTACGATCAACGACCTCTTCCAGGGCATAGTTCCTGACTTGATGGGCGTCAATGGATACCGCTATCGGTCTAACATCACGGGCGGCATCCAAGAATTCATGGAAGCAGTTCTCTTCCATCATTATCTCGAAACACAACGTCTTCTCGACTACAAAGGCGCGTCACGCAGGTTACCAGAAGGCATCATGCTGACCTACGAGGACTATGTCCTTGGAATCTTTGACATGACCGGCGAACTCATGCGTTTTGCCGTTACTTACATGGCGACCAATGGCAAGCTGCCCGGCACGAAGGGAGGAAGTTCTTCGACGCTGACCGATATGCAATTTTTGAGGACGGAACTAGAAAACATTGACCCGGTTGGAAGTTATGGTCTGGCCAAAGAGTTCAGTCAAAAACTCAAGACAACCAGGATATCAACGGAAAAGGTAGAAAACGGGGTTTACAGCATGATCGTTCGGGGTAAAGAAAGACCCAAGGGTTGGAGACCGGACACTTCAGTCTCGGATGGATCTAGGGAAAGTGAGCCGGTGGAGGGTCAATGACTGAATCGGACTGGGATTGTGTCAGGTCAAATGCTGGGCTATGTCAAGAGCTACTGAAGCATCTGTAAAGGCCATGTCCTGCTTAGTCCTCGATAGGAACCTCCTTCTCTTCCAAGATTCCCTCCTCGACAAGTCGATCGGCTGTGGGTCTACGTTGGATCTTCTGTTCCAGACTATCGGCCCGCATGCGCCGGTCCAGGCTCTTCTGGCTGGCCTGGAGTGCTGGGGCGGCGAAAGAGTTGGGTAGGATGTTGCCTGCATGAATGTCAGAATCGAGATGTATGGGTGAATGGGAGTGTGACTGACGTTCCACCAGTTCCTCCCGTTCCGGTCTCTTCTCTAGGTGTTTCTTCAGGCTATCGGAATGCTGCTGACGCTCGAGCTCTACCTGTTTGGCTTGCAGGGCCCTGAATAGATGATAAGTCATGGAGTCTCGGTATAGGGGCATCTCATCTCTTACGGAGCAGCATTGGTATCGAGGAGGATGTGGCGATTCTTGAGGTCTTGAGCCTCGGGGCGGTGTTGCAAGTACTTTTCTAGGGAATTGCGGCGTTCAAGTGGGGAGATGGGAGACTCGTCGACCTTTAGGTCTGGAGTGTTTTCGGTATCAAGAGAAGTGGTCATAGTTGTTGGTGTTTGCTGGTATGAGGCGAGTGGAGCGTAAGAGGGAAGAAGCAGGCAAAGCCAGAAGTCAGCTGCAATATATGTTACAGTACGAGGTTTGTAGTTGGTCAATGGAGGGTCGTGCTTTGTTCTGATCCGAGCTGAACTTGGTTGGCAGTTAGCACCCAGCGCCCTGCAAGTTACTCGTTAGTGACTGCCAGGCAGTGGTTGAGTGGGTGGCATGGGGTGCATGTGTTTGTGTCTGACGTCGCACTGGGAACTACCCGCTGCCAACTCCCACTGCTCGCTGCCGGGGGTGCCAGGTCACAGGCTCACAGGGCAGTTGGTCAGCGGCTGCCCACCTTGTTTGACCCCCGGCCCTTCTCGATGTGCCAGTGTCTGCCCTGCTGATCCAATCCCACTTACCCCGCAGCATGCCTAAAGCGGCCCACCACTGTGCCTAAATTCCCCTTAGCTTGTCAGTCTATCTTACCTGGAGGGCTGCCCACGAGTCAAGTCCAACCCGCAGGAACTCCACCTCAACGTGAACGGGATGCGCCTTGAGGCCGAGGCCTTTATAGCTACAACAACCCTTCAACTGTCGGCGCCCACTGGTGCCACCACCACTCGTTTCACTCGTAGGCACCTGCAGCCCATCCAGCCGCTAAACTCTCACTAATTCTAGGCGGCAGTGAGCGCGTCAATTTGGCGATTCACATTCACAATCCATCGCGTCACATTACATGTTTTACCTGCGCACCAGGCACCTCTCAGTCCTTGTCCACAGTACGAGGTCGTTACCTCAATGCCCTGATTCTTTGCTCATCCTCCATCACCCCTCGATCTCGACCTCTGCCATGTCATCAGCATGTGGATTCTTGAATCCAATGGAGACTTCCTCCAGGGAAAGCGAATGTGGCTGAAGCCTGGTCAGAAATATCTCTTTGGTCGTGTCAAAAGAGAAGGCGTTCGTTTTGCCATTGATCATAAAACTGTCTCAAGAAAACACTTCATAATTCATGTCGACCCCGTCAAAAGTGGCGATGTCGCCCAGATTCATGCAAGGACCAAAATTCGCATCGAGGACCAAAATTCAAAGACTGGCACCTCCGTTAATGGTGTACTCATCAAGAACTCCGCGAAGGAGTTGAAAAGTGAGGAGAATTCTGTCAGGCCCGGCACATGTCCTCATGAAATCATCATCAGGTGGCAACCATGTGTTCTGACATTCAACTTGCTGAAGAAAGAGGTCAAGTCAGGTCTTCTGAAGCTGAAGCAAGCCAGGGTGGAGGCATTTGGTATAAAGGCCACCAGCGACTTCATCTCTGAACATACCACCCACGTCGTGGCGAACAAAAGAAACACTGCCAAAGGACTACAGGCCTTGATCACTGCCAGATATATCGTTTCTGAATCCTACATTGATGCCCTGGAATATGCCACCACTCCAACCAACCTGAGTCAAGAAGAAAATCTGTCTCCTCTAGAACTCGACTTTGACACCGCCTGGCCCAATCCCGATGATCACCTGCCACCTCCAGGTAAAGAACCTACCGTTAGGCCTGTCGCATTCTATCGCCCAGATCCATCGCGAACCAATGTATTTGAAGGTTATACCTTCGTCTTTGGTGATCAAACTCAATACGATAATTTATTACCTGTCGTCACCAGTGGCCACGGTAAAGCAATTCTGTTCAAGGTGATCAACGGTGAATCATCCGGAGATGATTTACTGCAATTTTTGCGCGCTGCTTCGGGCAGTAAGGACAACGACCATTTTCAACGCGAGGATGGAGCGGGTGTCGTTTTGGTGCGGTGGACTGGCAAGGATGATATTCAGGAATGGACAAACAACCTAGTCAATGAGGTTGCCGTGAAAATGGACCAGCGTGCTATCGATCAATCCGAATTCTTAGACGCCATCTTGGCCAATGAGGCAGGCCAATTGAAACAAATTATACCATTCGAGAGCACAAATGAAGGACGAGTTGCTCCGCCACCGTCCGCCGCCAGCTCTCTGACTAATAAAGAGCACTCTGAAGCCGAACGTAATAGCTTGCCGGCCCAAAAAGCTACCAATGGGCGTATTCCGCAAAGTGCCGACGCCTCAGCTTCGAGGGAGAAGCCTGTTACGGAGACAGTACCTTCCCAAGCCGTGTCCGAAAACATTTCGCAAGTCAGTGTCGATGATGAGCCAGCACCTCGTCCATATCGAAGACCTCGGTTCACCCAAACCAAGAAATTCAAATTCGATGATGATTTTGACCCCGATTCAATCGCTGAATACAAAGAAGATGACCATGTGGCTGAAAAACCACATATTTCGGACCGTGATAGTCCCATCAGGAACCGAGATCAGTTATCAATCATAAAAGAAGAACCTCAAAGCACTTCCAAGAAACGACCGCGTCCTTCCGCGGAGGAACCCGAGGACACTTTCGCCGACGAGATGGATGATCTTCTCCCAGCCGCCACTGCCTTCAAAAAGCGCAAATTAGCTGAAGCCCAAGCCAACGGACAGTCTCCCGTTGTTGGAATAGTAGAACCATCACCAGTTCCCGCCAAGAAAAAGAAGAAAGAACGAGAACTTGATGTCCGCAAAGCCCTAGGTCTTCAGCGAGAGGAGGAACAAGAAGCTGCCCGACGAGAAGAAGAGTCTCTCAGACGCGCAGGCGATATCGAAGACACGGGACCCGCACATCTAGTCGAGGTTGTTACCATGGACCTGCCCGTGCGCGACAAGACCAAGAAGCAGCATTTGCGCAATGGGGAACTCGGGGAGTCCTGGGATCCGAGATGGAACGGCCGCAAGAATTTCAAAGGATTTCGTCGTATAGGTGACGCACCGCAGCGAAGAGGCCATGCTTCCAAAGTCATCGTTCCTCTCGTCGAGATCAAGCGCCAAACGTACGGGATCGGAGAGCAATACTGGGATAAGTCGCAGGAAGAGAAAGATCTTGAGCGTGAGAGGAAGCGGCGGGAAGAGGCGAAGATGCATAGAATGCAAAGCCAGGCTCAGAGGGCAAGTGGCGCAAGTACTGCGAAGTCAAGATCCACCGCAAGAGTCATGTTGGACGACGACGACGACGACGACCACGATGACCCTGACGCCGATGATGAGCCATCGACGAGCCCCGCCACAATGCGTCCCCATCGCGAAGCTGCAGAGATCCTCGACCGCGAAATTAACATCGACACCCCTCGCCGCACTCGTGGTGCAGACAGGCGGGCAATGGTGGAACTCGCCCCAGACGTGGACGAGGTTGAGGATGAAGACGTAGAGGACGACACTACCCAGCGCATCTCTCAGACGCAAAGAGCATTATCCCGGACACAAACGCAGACACAAGCCTCCAAACCTAGTCTTCCGTCGGCGAAGGCCATGGGAAAACGCCCTGCCACAGCGATGTCTCTGACGGCAGCTGCGCCAAAGCGGCAGAAAACCCTCCCTGTGACCGTCATCCGCGGCAGCGACAGCGAAGAGGACGACAGTGATGATATGAAGTTCAAATTTGGAAGTCGTGCGCGCAGGGGGAGGGGAGCGAGAGGCAGAGGGAGATTGTGACTCTACTAGGAAATTGTAGAGAAACGCTCAAAGCATCAGCATAGAGAATTTAAGTAGTGCTTATACTCTATCTAGGTGGGTGATCAAGTGAGTTTTGGTCGAACTCAATTTGTATGAGGTTTGTACGTAACATATCTTTGTACGTAACTTATGCTTCTGGACGGTGACGGTTGCGGAGTTACTGTACCTATATGCCAATATAACTGCTTACCGCCAGTAACTCGGTGCCTGGGCTTTGAACAGGGTATTCCAAGCCTCATCCAAGACGGCAACAACCTCTTCGGGCAAGGGACCCTTTTCGATGACCTCTAGGTTGGTCTCCAGCTGGCTCAGACTACTCACACCGATGATAATACCGTCATTGCTCCCATCTGTTGACTTCAGCAGCGAGTGGTGTCGCAGCCAACGCAGAGCAGTCTCGATCAGTGTTAGGTTATGCTTGGTCACCACTGGTTCAATCAACTGTAAGGCCGAGAAGTACACATCTTTGAAATAGCGCTCGCGGTACATCTATTATTGTGAAGTGGAGGACGTGATTAGCCTTTGGTACGAAAGGGGTTCAGGGGATAGGGTAAGTCATGTCTCGAAATCCTGGGGGTAATGTACGTGGGACTTACCTTGCCAACATTTGGGTTGACGCTTGCGAAACGGCCTGTGTCGGGGATTTCCTGCTTGGATTTATACTTGCCGCTAAACATTCCTCCGGCGAGCTGGATGTAGAGTCAATTTTTGCGGTATATCTCTTCGCTAGGTGGAATGAAGCTTACCGGGTTATAGACGACGAGGTCCATCTTGTATCTGGAAAGAAAAGTGATCAGCGTCGCAAAACAGAGTTGAGATCAGTCGTACTTTCTCAATGCCGGAACAAGTTCTGTTTCGATCTCTCTTGTGATGGCGTTGTACATAGCCTGGTATATCGTTGGCTTGACCAAACCCCTTTCATTTGCAATATTCCATATCTCGGCGACCTCCCAGGCTGCATAATTGCTCAGCCCGAGTTGCGAAAATTTACCTTCCTTGAACAACTCGTCCGCAGCCTTCAGTGTGACGTCAAACGGCACTGATCTGTCGGGAGCGTGCAGGTAGAAGATATCCACACTGTCTGTTCCCAACTCCTTTAGGCTTTTCTCAAGGGATGCGCGCAGTTTCTCGGGACTATGATCGCCGGGTTGAACTGGATAGCACTTGGTCGCGAGAGCAAAACCACGGTCCTTCCACCTTGCTTCCCGTGTGAAAGCTTCTTGGTCGCCTGAAATGTATGTGCGTGCAGTGTCCAGCTCGTTATACCCTTGCTTTTGAAAATAGTCCAGGTTCTTGTTGTAGTCGTCGAGACTGGTGATACGGGCACCTTTGGATTCGCTGCCGGGTGGACCAAAGGTCATAAGACCCAAGATCACACGCGGCTTACCACCGATAGAAGTGGTTGAGGGAATGAGAGGCATGTTGCGATAAGTGACTGAGGAGAATGTACGCTGTTGCAGTGGTGCGGGGAATATTCTGATACTGGCGCGAATGCTGTATAGGATCGTGGATGCAACACGTCTTCCAGGACGATTGTGCATGTGAAACCAGCAGCAACCACAAAATGTATCCTGTTGAAGAGACAAGTTCGGCTGTACGAATACGCGGGGTCATGGAATGATAAAAATTGTCTGAGGCAAGGTGTGGCTCGTTGACATGTTGAGCGTCAGTCGAGGCGGCTTCCCCACGGTCATTTCCCCGTGTCGTCATCGGGGAAGGAGGACGAAGGAGCGACTGCCACACGGAGCAGCGCCGAAGCACATGGTGATAAGTCCGCCATACCAAGTATATACCCCACGAGAAGGGTATCGATCAAAGCTTGGTGGTAAAGCTTACATGTTACGGAGTATTTCATTTGCGATGAACGCCGAAAATTCCCTTCAAGGGCCTATCTGGAGTATGCTTCGAGTCGAGAGAGATGCACCAGTTCGACCCTGAAGAAGCTGTGGACCCATCGCAGTAAGAATGCCGCAAGTTCGGTTGAAGGAGCACGAGACGATCCCAAGTACTCGGTAGTATACGCAGCACAATGAATAATACCAACCACCCAATACCGAGTATTCGTGGACTTCCATTCCTGTATCGGCGAAGGCCCGAGTCAAAAGAGCAAACCCATCTTCAAACCAGTTGCATTCGTAACCGCTAACATGCGGATCCAATGTTCAAGTTCCAGGGCAATCAGGGCGGCACTTGGCTGCAAGGCATCAAGCCTCTCGTCAGGTTCAATATCCCGTCTTTGGGGCACCACTCAACCATGTAACACTTTTTGAGTACTGAGTCGATAGCCTCAGGCTTTAGCCTCGCTTTGAAGCCGAAGCGAGAGGCTAGGTGGAGATTGAGGAACCAGCAAGCGGCTTAATTGAGGGGCTCCTGGGAGCTTACCTGGGGCTCCCAGGCTCATCTGGTTCAGCCTTGTGGACGAAGTTGTGTTGTTGGAAGTGCCAGGACTTAGCCACGGGGCATGAATCAAGATGTCTCTGATACTGCCGAGCACGAGGCACAAGGCACGCTGTCCTTCTCTTCGATTAGGTCAACCAGATCAAGCCTCATCGCAGGAATGTGTAGACTGCAGAGGAACACCCAGGTCCATATTTAGATCAGCAGTCTAAGATAGATCGAATCACCAGCACGAGGCCCGGGTGACAATACCATACGGTAACGATGGCTGCAGTAGTACGACGCCATCGTATTTCTGCCACACAGGGGACGCTTTGAGGCGTGTCTAGAGACTCGTCCCCTCCACGGCCATCCATCCATCGATGTCCTGGTGCTCCCTGCTGCTGTCGACCGAAGGACGAGGGAGACACCAAGTGGCCATATCAAGTCTACGACGTTGCTTTGTCTGGTGCTAACGTGACAAGTCTCGTTATGCCCCTTCTTGATCCTTGCTTGGCTTCTATCCACAGCGGGAACCAGGGCTTCCCCTGTTGGTACCGCTGTTGCGATCGCATCACACTTCTCTAGCTTGAGCTGGGCAGAGTGGAATAGTCATCCATTGCGGGTATGCACAACCTGACTTGGAGCCTTCTCTAACTCGGCCAATTTTCCGACTTGGTTTGGGAAACGTTGAACCTCTTCTTGACACTCAATCAAGCTTTACCTATTCACACAGCCTTACTCTGCCAGACAGTCGACTACTTCGAGGATTTGAAGGAACTAGACCCTCGGTTATGGAGGAACGACCGCCTTGACTATTGAATGAGGAATGTGCCAGCTGTGATTTCTACTTGACTTGAGCCTTGCTCTCGTTTTCACAAATGGCTCAAGTCAAAGATGATCTGCCTTCAACTCAGGCCGATCAGGGCTCCCTCCATGTCTTACAGCTCTTCGATTTTAGCTATACAGTCCTGGCATTCGACGAACGCCTGATCCTACACTTGAGAACAGCCGAGCGAGCCAATGAACAAATTCAATCGGCGAGGCTTCTGCTCCGAGGCCTTGGAGCAGAAGTTTCGATACCCAAGAAAAAGTCCATGGAAAAAGCCATCAGTGAAACCGAATACCATGCTCGTATCCTTGCTCAAGATTTAGATCCTGCAAAATCCGAGTCTTCCTCACCTCAGGACGTCATTAACCAGTCTCGGCTTTTCTTGGTGCTCCGCTCCGACAATCAAGAAGTCTCCAAAGATTTGGAAAGCCTTCACAATGCCTGTAACGCTCTCGACAGCATTATTGAGTCATGCAAATCTGTCCGTGCCAATTCAATCAAACGCAAACCACTTCACTCTCCTGTAACATCATTGTCGCAGACTTCGCTGGTGGTATCAACCCCAGCAATTAATGTTGATGTTGCTGATGCGGAACAACCTTCCATGACGCAGCAGACAGAAGATTTTCTCGCTGGATTACCGCCGCTCGACGCAATCAGGTTACTGCATCATCGAAGGACCTCAAGACTGAGGAATAGGAGTAGCAGTCAGCTAGCTAAAACCAGTGAAGCACAGTCAGAGCAAGCTACCAACGACGCCGCAAATACCTTTGAATTACCAGGGTGGCCTCCGATACCGATCCCACCCCCAACGGCACGTGGATATGTGTTTATTCCAACTCTCACTCCAATGCCTGAGCTTGAAGCACCGAGCGAGATCATCGCTGTTACAAAAGTCAAACCTGACTATGCTAACGATCTCAGAACCCCCATTCTTGAACCTGGTGTCCATCGAGTGGAAGGAAATGATGGTGCTGTCAATAAGGACACTGATAAAGGGGTTCCTCAATCTGCTGAACCCGTGGGCATTTCGAGTCAATCCCCAGATCAGACTCAGCCTATCCCTTCTACTTCGAAAGGTCCGAATCGCCCCAAGGAGCCAGCTCCCTCGTCGGATATACCGAACACGCTCGAAGATGTTCCAAGTCCCCGTGCAGCCCGTGCGCCTCCTCGTAGTTCAACCATTCAGGACTCAGAATCAGAAACAAAGCAAGGCGCGAGTCACCGATCCTCTACGACATCAGAGCGCCCACAATCCCTAGTTTCATCGGTACCGGGAAATGACAGTTCTGTCTCTGCAATTACCCCGTCGACTTCAAAGTCTTCCCGAGTATCTGACCCGTTTGTGGGAAAGTCTTCAAGTACCCGGAACAGGCTGCGAAAGGCACCTTATGCACTGGCAAGCAAAACTGCGAACGTCTTTCTCGCGGACAGCCCTGGTCCAACCCAAAATTCAATTCCCTCAAAGCTTTCAGCTGAACGACCTGAGGAGCCACAGAACAGTCCCGCTAAACCTACACCCATTCAGTCCAACCAGACTTCGCAGGCAACCGTCCGCGATGTTCCTTCTATTGCCGTCAAAACTCAGCACCTTCCTGAAAAGGGGACAAGCCAGAGTTCTGCTAAGACTTTTCTAAGTACGGCACAAGATGCAAACCAATCCACTACCTATACACCCACTTTAACATCCTCTCCGCAGTTTCAAACGACTAAATCATTTACAATTGTTTCTCCACCGGTTTCACCAAGCAGAGAAGATTTTCAGCGGGAACACGAAAATGCCAAGCGTCTTTCAATAACATCTACGACCTCTGCACCACCGTCAACTAGTCATCCACCTGTAAAGTACCTCCAGAGTGCTTACTCAACCCAACAACAGATTAACGATGTCAATAAGACCCGACTGCTCCAGGAGCAAAATCGCACTTACAGCCTCCCTGAGACCACCCAGCATAGGAAGAATTTATCAATGGATGAGCGATTGATGCCCCAGAGATCTCAAACAAACCCTCCTGAAACCAACTCCTTACAAACTGGAGTATACTCATCTAAATTGGCAAAGGACCTAAGGGACGAGCGAATAGCTTCCCCATCGAATGTTCCAAACACCAGCGTAGCAAGAACTCCGATTCCACCCTATCCCATGACACCGATTCAGGGTCCAGTGCGATTCTCCCACCATGAGCAGATGCCATTGGCTGCTACAAAATTGCCATTTCCACCGATACCGGGCCCATCTCGCCAGCTACAGCCACAGGACCTGCGAATACAGCAATCTTCGATATCTCCCCCAATAGCAGCTTCAACTTCGTACCAAGGGTCTTTTCATTTCCAGACTCCTCAACATAACATATCAAGCGGTGGCGGAAACCTACCAACAACAGACTTAGACCCACAAATATCATTTCAACCACAACCGCAGTCTGAACCCGGACCTCATCCTTACTCTCAAGCTCAGCTTCTCCAACCTGCTCGGACTCCTTCACAGACTGCTCCAATCTCAATGCAGCAACAGTTCGTGCAATCCCCCCAGACTCAGCCCCATCAGGAGTCAGTGCGTTTCCCTCAACTACAGCGGCAACCGCCACCGCCACCGCAACAGCAACAGCCACAGCAGCGGGCGAATACCCTACCGACCCCGGCACCCATACCGGCACCGGCACCACCAATCCCACCGAAAGTCAGTCATCCATCAACAATGATCTCAGAAGCCGACCTCAGCCGCGAACGCAGCGTGTCAGGCACCAAATCCACCATCTCATCCAGAAGCTCCACCTTAGGCCTACCATCACCGCAACCGCAACCGCAACATCCACATCCCATGAACTTTCGATCTACATCAAGCTCGACTCTGTCCGTAGGTGTGGGGATCGTGGGCGACGGTGGTGGCGGGGGAGGCGGGGGAGGAGGATCAAGCAACAACTCTGTATTGGGTGCCGGCCCAGCTGTAGGAATGGCTAGAAAACGTAGCTCTTGGTTGACCAGGCAGGTTGAGAGGGCGGGCTTGAAGTCGTTTTGAAGGGTAACCACCCACAGCGACATACAGGACTTTTCATCTCCCGGTAATTTTGGGGGTATTAATGGATGCATGTAGAGCTGGATGAATCTGAGTGGAAACAGATTACCCTTGTTGTATTATTTCTCAAAGAGTGTTGCATATCACCAGGCACCAGGCTGTATTATATCGTAGGTATTTGTTTACCCAACTCTGCTTTTCGCTATGGCCCGCCTTCTCTGCTTCAAACACGAGGGTCGTCAAGTTCCACTGGACTAAAAATATGAGGTCGGTCGTTTGCACGTCATCTCAATGGGGTGTAGCAATAAAGGGTCAAGTAAGCCGACTCGGATACATACATAGCCGGGGACGATGAAGAAGCTCTTCCAAGCAACGAGGGACGAGGGCGAGGAAAGATGCTACTGCTTCCGCCGAAACACACTGAGGCCCCTGACTTCCCTTCCATCGTAATTGAAGGTGAAAGTTGAAGTCTAACTCGCCTAAAGCGCCCGTGACTATATCGGCCTCTTGACAAGCTTGCACAGGACCTTCTCCGAATTCCTCGATAAACGCTGCGCACCACCGCCAGACGACACCTTTACGAGCGCAGGGATGGTGACGAGCGTATGTGGACCAGCACCGCTACTCGTGGTCTCCTTGTCGCTCGAAGCGGCAGCGGCAGCGCCGTCCCAGCGCAGCTCGAAGGTCTCAGGCTGGCTGAGCAGCCAGATGGAGAACTTGACGGCCGAGTCGAGCACGTCGGTGAGATGCTGCGTGCGGCGCGCCTCGTCGTACTGCGGGTCTGCCCACAGTGAGAAAACCTGTGTGAAATGGGAGGCGGCCTCGCGCGTCGATGAGGAGGTTGTGCTCGGCATGCTCTGCGGTGTGGTCCGGTAGCTGGCTGCGAGTTGCTTCAGGCGTGCGTACGCGGATGTTTGAGCGCCTGAGTTTGTTAGCAAGGGAAGGAGGGGTGGGGTCTTAGGTTAGCGTGGACGAATACGGGCCAGAAGTGCAAGAATCATAACTGTGCTTGTTTTGGGGCGCTGTCGATCTCCAGGATAAGGTAGGCTGGGACTGGGGATGAAATGGGAGTGGGAGTGGGAGTGGGAGCTTTGTAGAGCCCGACGTGCTACGTACCTCTTCGTCCCGCCTGTTGCGAGGGTTGCTGACTTTGGACTTCTTGTAATAATGCCAGAAGTGGAGTGGGGAGGAGGCTTCGTCTGCCATTCGAAGAGGTCGGATCGATGATGGTGGTGCTGATCTCGTAGGAAAGGACATGTTTTAAAATGGTCGTGGTACGGGGCGACTCCTCGAGGCGTGCCGCCAGCGGTGCTCCGAGGAGTGGTGTATCGTATCGAGATAGGGCGCCTTCAATCGCCGGTGGGATCATCGGACTGGCGTCCTTGTAGAAGTTCTCGGCGTGCAGTTCGATTTGGTCGTAAACCGTCGAGAATCGTGATTGAACAGTCGCATCGTCGGCTTGCTGCGGCAGCTGAGATCCGCTCGCAGCAGATCCTGAATCATGGTGGACTGGAGCAATTGCTCCCACGAGAGGAGCGCCCTTCTCGATAGAGTTAGGAGCGCTGGTCCCAGGTGTTCCAACTCGTGCCTCCCCATACGGTGCCGTCCGGTTTCGAGATCGCCTTTTGCCGGCACAGAATTTCCATACGAAGAAGGCCACGATGGCGGCGACAACGGCTACAGCGCCCACGGCGATCCCAGCTTTTGCTCCTGTTGATAAACCGCCACCGCTGCTCTCGGCCACAGGGCTACCGGAACCGCTGGCATCGCTTGACGGTATTGCCGCAGTTGCTGATGAGGAACTAGTTTCGCTTGATGCTGTTGGGTTTAATGTACCACTGGACTCAGGAACAGTAACGGTCGCCGCCCAAGCTGTAGTGACAGTATCTGTGAAGGATGATGATGATTCTAATATGGTCGTCGAGGCTTGTTCCGGAATGAGCTTTGTGCTAGATTCAGTGACTGTCAAAGTCGCAGAAGTGGAAATAGTAGGAATCGAAGTGCCGCTGTCATCTGCGGTCGGTGTTGTGGCAGGAGAACCATCTGTGGGATCATCTGCACTCAGACTCGTACGCACGTTCTGGCGTTTCCACATTGTAGACAAATGTCAGGTTCTCTAAAGCAGGACTTCGATGCGTCGATAGAAGAGGCCAGTAGAGCCTGCTTCCCACCTTTTGGGTTCAGAGAATGCTGTTCAAATGATAAAGCAATGTGCAATCAAAATGTGTAGTGCAGCTGAGTGCCCTAGAAAGTGTTGCAAAAGGTAGTGAGGCTGAAAAGAAGGCCAGGGTCGCCCAGGGTTCATGGCTGGGTCCTTTGTCCTTCCCCCATGGGTATGCTTCCGTAACAACCGTGAGCTACGAGGTAGATGGGGGCGTGTTCGTGATGGTTCGTAACGCTTTGTATTGGGCTGTGCAAGCAAGCCGCTTCCAAATGTCGGACAAGACACTAAGCACGTTGGTCCCATTCGCTCATGCAAGCCAGCTTAAGCCGTGTTGCGATAGTGTCTTGGTATTCATTTTCAGCCTGATCAAGCACTCACGCCTGTGCCTTCATTTGAGGGAATGACTGTCATTTAGAAGTGGGCGTCTTGTGTGAGGCATCTGGAACAGTTCCCCGTCGTTTTCACAACGGGTTCAAGTATGCGGATTGATTAAATTGAATCCAGTCTCAAGGAACACCTGTTGAAAACCTGCTGACCAAGACAAATGTGGTGAGGCTGGAAACCGAGGATCCACTTATTTACTGTGGGGCGGATCCAATTGGCGAGGCTGCCCCCGGACATGGACAAGGGGCAACACGAGGGGCCTAAAGCCAAGGGGTCAAGAACAAGCGTACTACTGGAGGTGTCTTCGCAATTGTAGATGGGCCCCATTCTGTCAAATGAGATCGAACCGTTCCGTTCACAAGTTCGAGTTATTTCTCTCGATTCTGGCTGGGCGCCATTTCTGCAATGTCTGCATCAAGCCGACCCAGAATGACAATTGCACGGTCTGCAAACCTTCCTATTTCAAGAATTTGCAGGCCTAGGTGGATATCCGCACCCTACTCAGAATTGGTATGCTAGCCAGGGCCAAGGCTCATGCACTTTTCTTATCCCCGTGAGGAGTCAGGACGGGGTCGACAAGTAAACAGCTTCTTGCAGCCAATGATCAACTTGCTCAGTCCCGGTCCTATTCTAAAGAGCGACCCTGAGAGACCATTCCTGACGGCTCCAGCCTCTCTCGACAGAGTACCGAGGAATATCCATCCAGGGCCTTCAAGCTTTACCCCAATTGCTCCGTACAAACTACAGCCTTTGCAGGCGGCATAGAGACCTCTGTTCGTCTCTTGAGTTGCACGAGCCAGCGAGTACCGAATCCATAGAACCTAGAGGTGGGACGGAACACTGTCCGTTTTGGGGGGCCGAAATTGGGTATCTTAGCGGTTCCTCGCCTTTCAGCCTCATTGTGCTGAAGGTCGAAGGCAGGTGCTTCCAAACACTGCAAAAGCGACAGCTTCTGGCCGTGGATCACTTTGTTTCTCTCTTGACACATCTAGTTGCGCTATGGCGATGATAAATGAATTATCAGCAGGATCCGGGGAGCGGACACCACCTGATATGGTGATCGGGGTGGATTTTGGCATGACACAAACTGGTTGGTCGAGACTGGGTCATCATTTGATGCCATGGCTAATAGCATTGCAGGAGTTTCATACTGCTCAGCGCCATGGACAAATCCCAAGTCGTTTCAACACTGGTCGGGAAATGTCAATGAAATCGCCAACAAAGTCCCCACTCGGGTTGCCTACGATATCCACACTGGCAAGCTGAGATCATGGGGATTTGGATGTGATCTTCGGGATCCAAACTTGGACGTCGTCGAGCACTTCAAGTTGTATCTCGATCCTGATTATAAGGACGACTATGCGGACATTAGTTGTGTTGATGCTCAGAGGTTCTTCTACGATTTTCTCTTCCTCATCCATGAGCATGTGGCGCATCATTTTCGGATGCGAATTCCCAACTGGAACCGAATGAGGGTCGAATGGATCTTCAGTGTACCAACAACATGGCGCGATGCGGCATTCATCCACGGCCTGGAGACTCTGATCAAGAGCGCTGGTTTTGGCAAGGATGGAAATCTCCATTCGTGCAGAATCACTCTGACAGAGGCTGAAGCTGCCGGTATTTCGGTCGCAAGCCAGCATCTCGAAGTAGGGCAGTGTGATCCCCATACATGGGCCTTTCGACTGATGAGCAACAGAAAAACGATGTGATTCTGGTCTGTGATGCTGGAGGTGGTACAACTGTGAGGCATGGGATTGTCATTGTTAGATCATTGCTGACCAACCAATCCAGGACGTCAACATACTCAAACTGGTTTCGGAAAAAGGTCAACCACTTCGATTAGATCCATTGTCAAGAACCGAAGGTAAAGTATCCGCCGGTCTTCCGCGAGCGTTAATACTGATAAACTCTCCCTAGGGAAACCAATAGGATCAGCTTTGATTGATATCCGCATCCAACAATTGCTTGAGCGATACTTGCAAAACATCGCTCATCTATTGACAAAACCTCCTTCAGAGGTGGCTGAACAGATGATGATCGGCAGATTCGAGAGATTCAAATGCAACTTCGGAGCTCCTGGCTCAAATATCCCATACCTGCTTCTGGATGTACCTGATCTTGCTCCAGGACAGTATATTCCTCAAGCAAATGTAGTCAATTCTCAAATCCGAATTACATCGTAAGCTCACATCACGATGTGTGAACGAATTGAATTGACTCATCGGGGCAGGGAAATTCTGAAGAACGTTTTTGATGAACAAGTTGATGCGCTAGTGGCTTTTGTTTATGACCAAATCAAAGATCTGCATTTTCGTCGACCTGGGGAAAAGGTGGTGAGTATGAGCCCCAGCTTTTTAGTCGAATCGTCCATTACTAATTGTGATCAGGACTATGTCATTCTGTCAGGAGGTCTAGGGTCTTCGCCCTATGTCCAAGACAGACTTCGATGGCAATTCAATGAGCAAACAACCGCGAACCTTCCAGCAGCAATAGGACTAACCATCCTCGCGGCCGAAGAGCCTCAGCTTGCAGTGGTGCATGGCCTTGTCCTGGACCAGGCTCAGCAAGTGTCCCAGACTTTGAACCCTATCACGTCCAGATTTGCAAGGGTTAGTTATGGTATCGTTGTGAATCAGCGATACGATCCTAAGATCCATGAAGGCGTCACTCCTACCAAAGACCCCCGAGACGGGAAGAAGTGGGTAGTGGATAGAATAGAATGGTTGATTCGACAGGTAAGCCGGTCCTTCCATTGGTGTCAGCTGTTGTGCTAATGGATGGTATAGGGAGAAACGATTCGTCCAGATGGCTTCATTAAACGGCTGAGGGCCAAAGTCGACCCTTTGCAGTTACGACAACCGTGGCATGCACATTTTGTGATGACAACGTTACCTGCCACACAATTGCCGACGGCATTATCCGATCCTCGAGTTCAGACAGTTTGCGTGGTACGAGCAGATGTATCACAGACCAAACGAATAGTCAAAAACGGACACTGGTACAATCTCTCCCAACGATATGAACTCACACTTCTGGATGTTCGGATTCTTCCAGGATCGGCAGATCTCAAGGTGGAAGTGTGGAACGATGGGAGAAAATTGAACGGAGAAAATGACCAGGTGGAATTTAAATGGGAAGACCGATTAGGCACTCCGGCATGGCACTCGTATACGCCGCCCCTGGATCGGACGTTAAGCCCTTTGAGTCCAGCGGGAAGTCCACAACAACAGTCACCTACTTCGAATGGCAATAATTCGAGCCAACGACTGAGCAGTGCCCCTTCACAACAACGATATTCGAGAGCATCGTATGGTTGATTTCGAGGGATCTGATGACATCAATACTGGAAAGTTGTTCACAGTCGCGTTCAACGGACGACCTCCGTGACGTGCCGATACAGTCAGCATAAAGAGCCAGTTCGAGGGTACCAGAGACCACTGTGTACGGAGTATGAAAGACGCTCAATCTTTGGTCCTCTCACTCTTGAACTTACCGAGTCTCTCAGAAGGCCAGGACCACAGCGTCAAGGGACCCGGGTCATGACCTTAATAGAAAGGCCAAAGCAAAAGCAAGAGGCCTTGGGCAAGCATCTCCAGCTTAGGGTGCCCTCCAAGTAGTGAAGTAAGAGACCAAAACAAGCGACGCCAGTGTATAACTCTGAGTGTAACTCGAACATCGGGGTGCTACCGAAAGGGCCGACGATATCTCCCTCGTGCTGTGGTGTTAGTTGATGGATATTCGATTTTCCTACCTGGCGCCTGGGGCGGAACCACGCTGAAGAATCAATTAACCACTTGGGAACTCTCTATCATCATCTGAGGACTGGTCTTCTCATTTGCATCTGAAGATTGTTGAAGAGCTGGCTAGGGATGCCCTTGGTTGATTGTGGGTTGAAATATGTCAATGTCTTGGCACGAGATTACTCCGTACACTGGAGATGAGAGCCAGCATTGTCATGAGGTTAGTTGTGGTGTGAGCGGGCATCACAAGCCGTGAATTGAATAGATGGGCCATCCTCGATCTAAAATATGCCTGCGAGTACATATTCAAGGTGTCATGGATTCGAGGAGAGTTTGGTGGGTGGCTCTGGTGAGTGGCTTGCTTATATACAGACATACTCTGTACACGGTCCCTGAGGCCCTTTCTGAGGCCCCGGGGCCCTCTCGGCTACTCCGTATTTGTGGCCCCTTGATTTCTCCACGTTTTCGTTTCCCTTGCGAGAGAAGCGGGCATGGCACCGTCCTGACTCCGGTAATGCTACTGGGTGGCTACTGTAGGCTTTCGCCTCCGGGTGCCTCCCGGGCCCCTACTCGTACAGCCCTGGAAAACCCTTGCGCAGTGGCAGGAATACGTAACTGGTCGAACTTGGAGCGTTCACTAATTAAAATATCTACGCCCTGCTCAACACCCCGTCACTACTCGTACACACCCTATCCCATTGTATATTCTAATGCTGCCTGTTTCTTACTTGCTTATCTGAAACCTTCGCGGAGACTTCCTTCTTGGTGTTTGCTTGGGGTCTTTCAGTTGGACCGACAGCGACTTCGACTCTGACTTGACTGCGTCCGTGATCAAACCAGCTGACCAACAACCATCATCCCTTTCCCTTTCCACATTAATACCACAATTTCCCCAAACCGCATGGATGACACATTCCCATAGCAGCGACTCTACAACCGGCGACCTGATCTTCACTCCCTCTGCCACCGACTCGCCCTTCGATCCTCCTCAACGGAACCCCAAACCCAACCCGGGTCCGCCCAGTCCCTTACGTCTGTCCTCTTTACCTTCCACCATCAAGGACGAGTTCCGACCTGCGAGACAAGAGGACCGTGTACATTTTGACCTGGATGCACCTGCTCAGGATCCCTTCTCAGACGACGAAGCAGCCGACGATAATATGTCAGGGTCAGGGCGGCCTTCCATGCATCGGCCTGCACCAGGTGCCCATGCCTCCGAGCCCTTGCTAGGAGAAGACAAACGATCGTTCAGTCGAGGAAGACCAGAAAGCCCCGGCGTCTCGGGATCGAACCGGCCAGCCTTCACCGCACGCAGAAGCACCTTTCGGTCGAGGTCGCCCTCCTACGCACAACCGCCTGATCTCGTGCGCCGGAAGTACATCTACGCCTCCTTCTTCCTCATCCTGTCCCTCATCTCCTTCGTCGTCCAGACCGAGACCGCCGTCTACATCCAGCACGAGCTGAAATGGAACAAGGCATACTGCATGATGTACCTGACCCACGGCTCCTGGGTCTTCCTGTGGCCCGTCCAATTCCTGATCATCCGCCTCCAGAAACGTAAACTGTCCTGGGAGGCCTTCTGGCGACGACACAAGTACATCCTGAGATCCACCGCCCAGATGGTCGTCTCGCAAGACCTGTACCTCTCGCCCGCCACTACCGCCCGCTCCCCATGGCCTTACATGATCAAAGCCACCGCTTTCATCACCACCTTCCTCACCATGGCCGGCGGCTCGTGGTACGTCGCCGTCAATCTGACGTCCCCTTCCGACCTGACCGCAATCTACAACTGTTCCGCCTTCTTCGCCTACGTCTTCTCCATCATGCTACTGAACGACAAACTGCGCTTCGACAAGGCCCTCTCCGTCGCGCTGGCCATCATCGGCGTCCTGGTTGTCGCGTACGGTGACAAAGACGACTCCACGCCCGGGCCCGGGCCCTCCAACCCCGGCGCTGAGAAGGGTTTCGGCACCAAACTCATCGGCAACCTGGTAATCGGCGTCGGCTCCGTCGCATACGGCTTCTACGAGGTCCTGTACAAGCGCTTCGCCTGCCCGCCTGAAGGCTGCTCGCCGGGCCGCGGTATGATCTTCGCCAATACCTTCGGCAGCATGATCGGCCTGTTCACCCTGACCGTCCTGTGGATCCCGCTGCCAATCCTACATATCACGGGCCTGGAAGTCTTCGAGCTCCCTTCACGGAAAGCTGCTGGCCTACTTGCGGTCTCGACGCTGTCAAACGCCGTCTTCTCCGGCTCCTTTCTGGTCCTGATGTCGCTGACGTCCCCGGTGCTCAGCTCCGTCGCAGCCCTGCTGACCATCTTCCTCGTCGGCATCACCGACTGGCTGATCACGGGGAAGCCCATCAGCCTACCCGCCATGGTCGGCTGCGCCCTCATCGTTGTCGCCTTCGTCATGCTCAGCTATGCCACCTACCGCGAGATGAAGGAGGACCAGCTGAAACGCGAGGACAACGAGGACAAGGTCTTCGACGATGACGAAGAGGATGACCTTGAGGGCCCGGACCGCAGCAGCAACGATGGCTACCGTCCCAGTGGCAGCAGGACTGCTCTACGAGGGAACCGCCGTGGCGACCATGATGACGATGATGACGATGATGGCAGTGTGGATGAGCTGGGCCGGACCAGACGCGGGCGCAGGGACAGCTAAGATTCAGCTTTTGGCTTAGATTGATTTGATGTACCATTGGGCTGTTCTACGTACCCAGGGCGGTTTAGACTTGTTCCTTGATGTCGGTTACTTTCTTCTTTTGAGATTTCACGAAATCGAACGGACGGCCGGCGGCGACGAGAAAAGGAACGCCTGTATGAGAAAGATATAGAGAGGGGGGTAGAACAGGACATGGGACGGAGCCCACCGGCCTCAGTCAACTTCCCTATGCACGCCACTCCCTGCTTAGGTGAGAGCTGAGATTTGGCACCCGGCAGACGAACGACCCAAAGACGTTTTGATTTCTGTTACATTGCTATACAGGCTGGTTGAGGGGTACAGGACGCACGTATCGTATCCGTGCATTTTTGACGGCGTTGCAAACAAAGGGCGGCGGGATGGGAACTTTCCATCGCATATATTTATTTCCCGCCGTCAGGGCCGGGATAAGCCTTGGCTGGACTAACTAGAGATAGCAACACCTACAGGAATTGTGGAAATGCAATGATCTTATTAGACCCTCCATATTCTCAAGACTGGGAAGCTTCTCATATGACGATCATTAGGCTTGTGCGCCTCTGGTACTTCATGGACACCATCCAACGACCATCGCTATGCAATCGCGGCCGAAATGCCCACTTGAAACGTCAAATCACGTAAAAAACAGTCGCTTCTGCTTCCTCTGCCCATCACCGGGTGCAGGATCCTTCCGTTTGATTCCATTCTCGCTCCTCCGCTTGGCAGAAACGCTAGACCCAACCTCTGGAGACGCTCGGCCCGATTCTACGGAACTCGCTTTGCTCAAGGAAGGCTTGGGGGGTGCAGCAGTTGTGTCGACTTCTGCTTGAGCAACCGCCTCCTTTATCGTTTGACGGGATAGACACAAATCAATATGATCGTTAAAGTCCTTATCGTTCGCAGGCTGAGGGACCTGACAGATGGGACAGTCCCATATTTGGCCTTCCTGGACACTTACCGTCACCTTTTGCGCATTGGGGAGACGACCATGTTTCGCTGGCGAGTTGGGCTCACTGCCATACTTATAGCGGCCGAACGGTTCATGCCAGTCGGCACCAGACGGCGTAGAATCTTCCTGCTCCGCCTGCGGTTCTTGTTCTTGACTTAGACGGTGCAATTCTTCCATTTCGTCTTGTCGTTCCTGGCGTGCTGCTTCTTCAAACTCTGAGTCCGGCCAAACTTCCCACTCTCCATCCTCTGATGTGAATTTTCCAGTGGACGAGGCATTGGTTACCCTTCGTCGAAAGAAATCTGGTTTATCCTTCTTAGTGCTCACAAGATGAGTACAGCGAAGGCCCATCAATCGAAGTCGAAAATCAGGCATTTCTTTCTCGAGCTTGACGAGCATCGGAAGACTATAATTGTAGAGATCGTTTGCCATATGGACGGCTTTCGGAGGAGCAACTTGTCTCGTGAACACTTCATATGTATGGAGCTTGATCTTGAGTACCAGGGTGCGGCCCTTGACTTGGACGCGAGCCATATCTTTTTCGAGCTCCTCTGCAGTGTGGCGAAGTTTTTCTCGAAGTTCCTGTTTACTGCTGATGTCACGAAATGTACTTTCAGTACCAACACTCTTTCGCTCATACTCCTCTGCAGGTTGAACACTTGTACGGCCCAAACCAAGATAAGTCTGCATCAAGAACTGAAAGGCCTTTTCTCCAAAGAGCCGGTTTAAGTAGGCTCGATGAATGTAAATGTCTCCACATGTTTTGACGCCAATTGCATCGAGCTCTCGCTCGAAGACACGGCCTACACCATTGACCTTGCGAGTAGATAGACCGGACATGAAAGCCATGACAGCAGCGCGGTCATTGGGGACTCGGAACTGGCCATTCGGTTTGTTCTTGTTGGAGCAGATCTTAGCGATCTTAGCATTTGGGGCTATACCAGCGGAAATGGTAATTTTGCATTTTTCATGAACTTCATTTCTCAGTTGCTGGATGGCAGCTTCAGGATCAAGGTGATGGTTCTCACAGTACTCAGTTATGTTCAGATAGGCCTCATCGATACTAGAACTCTCGAAGCGAGGATCATATTCAGCAAAGATGGCTCGGACCTCTTTTGCTTTGGCCGTATATTTGTCAAAGTTCAATGGTAGACAGATCAGCTCTGGACATAACTTCTTTGCAACAAAGCCAGCCATAGCACTACGACAACCATACTTGCGGGCCTCGTAATTGCATGTGGTTAACACGCCGATACCCACAGCCATCGGCTTTGTCTTTAACTCTGGTCGGTCGATTTCCTCGACGGCAGCATAGAAAGCATCACAATCAATGTGAACCACATACTGCGACAAGTCTCTTGACAGCTCGAGTGAAGCAATGTAATCATCGGCACGACGTAACTCGGATTTGAGGTCAAGCTTCTCCAACTGCGCCTTTAATTCCAAGATTCGATCAATTTTGACAGTCAAGTTCTGGTCTCTGACTTCCTCATTGTTGAAGAACTTGGAACCTTTCGAGGCTTCATAGATGATCTCTGAGACCTTCTTCTGATCAACAGCATCCTGGCCAGCCTTTGTCAAGGAGGGGCCAAGGAGAGAATGTTTGAGGGAGTGGTGTTGAGAGGCGGCGGGATCTTCGTTGAGGTAATCGATTTGATCAACGGTGAGGTTATCTGCATCATCTAGAACCATTTCGGTTGTAAAGTGGCGGTCCGCATTCTGTATCCGATTCGTGTGAGGACGCGGTTTACAGACTGCAATCTGCAGCTTGTGGTCGAGGGGTGGTTCGTGTCAGGATTCAGGCAGGTGCAATGGACTAACGTAAGGCTGCAAGACGCGGTTGCCAGAAAAGACGAGGCGTGGCTAAGACGCGGGGAAGGAAGGCGCGTGTGTGGCTTGAATCAATTAAGCGCACCTGCCACCCTTCTGCCTGCTCCGACTCCGTACTACATCATCGCGCTCGTTAACCAAACCAAGCGACACTAAACCCAGTTGGGCCTACGCAGCCATCCCGGAGGGATCTCCAAAGCAGACCACTGTCAACATCCAGGACTCCATGACCTGCCTTCACGACGCCAACGCTTGTCACCAATGACTTGACCATGCTTCAACACCGCTCCGAATCCCCTCACTGTCGCTGTTATGCGCGAGCGGCAACCTCAACAATCTCTTCCTCCTCGCTCGACACGGCCCCCCTTCCCGACCATGCCCTCCGATAAACAAACCAAAACATCCAATGCTTCAAAACCTCTCACCCCCGCTCTTTCTTCCAACTTTCGCGCTGGAAGGCCGGCAGTGGCCCCTAGACTAGCTGGCTCTTCTTCCACCAGTACCAATACCAATACCACCACCAGTGGCCCGGCTTCGGCGACATCTTCTCCTGCGTTGAACCCCCGTAAAGAGCCCTTCGTCAGATCCAGATCTCCTGGCAAGACCGAGGGTCAGACTACTCCCCTCAGTCACAATGTCACCCCTAGATCTGGCGCGAGGAAGTCGAGGATTGGTACCGAGTCTCCTTCTACACCAGCTCCTATGAGGCTGCCCACCACCACCGTTCCAAAGAGATCTCCAGTCGACGATGGTCCACGGCCATCCGCCGTTCGATCACCCGGGCTGGGTATAATAAATCCCCGGCTCAATATGAGTACAACAGCCCTACCAAACCCGGCTACTTCTTCTCCATCAGCTGTCACTTTCCACAGAAGAGTATCCGCAGCAAAGAGCATGATTGAAGCAACCAAGGAGTCCACTAAATTCTTTCATGCCAATGAGGTGAAATCTCCAATCAATTCTCCAATCGCTGATGATGGGTCTCGACTGCCGCCCACCCGAGGTCAATTCTTTGTTGGTTCTCCACCGTTGCCCGTTATGCCTGCCGCCCAACCATCGATCATGCCAAAGGGAGACGAAGACAAGGATACCAAATTTTTCCGAGCCAACGATGTTCCCCAGCAGAGTGCTCTCAAGCGCATTCCACAACTCCCTTTACCAACAGAACAATCGAACGATGGTCTTACAAGTCAGACCCTACATCTTCAACAAACTGCAAGTAATCAAACGTGGCGAGCTACGCCCCCTTCTTCGCCCAACAAATCACAAAGGCCTTTCCTACCACAACCTGTATCTCCGCGAAAATATGTTCCACTCAATAAGGAGCCTACACCCCCACACAAAACACGATCTAGCATGGAAGGCCCCAAAATCACCAACAACAATGCTGGATTTACTTACTCCAACAATCTACCTGGGCACAGAAAGTCTACCAGTGCTGGTTCAATGACAGCAATGGCTGAGAACTGGACTGGTGATTCAAGAGTTCCACTTCCTCTTCCTCTAGAGCCACGATCGGCTCCATCAGGCTCCCCCTATATGGTGGGAAGCAATATGCTTTCCCCCGAAACGCTGAGCCCTAGGTCCCTCAGTCTCGCGTCATCAAACACCGTTCCTACCTCCATCACCAGTGACACCGATTTGCCAGATGTTTCCAAACCGCCTGCTTTGTTGACAAATCTTCCCGATGCTCCCATTGAGTTGATCACTTCTCCATCTCATTCTCATGTGGACGATGCTGCAAATGCTCGAAGAGAGCGCAAAGTTCTTGACCTTGAGATTTCGAATTCTTCCTTACTGGCCATTAACAAGACCCTGGAACGGGAACTCCGAAAACAAAGTGCCGAGCTGAGACGTTTTCGGCGATTGTCCAGGTCCGGGAGATTGTCCATGGTGCCCACTGCAAGGAGTGTTTCTGGCCAGTCAAACTTCAGCCTGGGCACAGTTACTGAATATGATGGCGATGACCAAGTTTCCTCCGAGAACGAGGAAGATAGCGAGCTTGATGAGCTTGACGATGAAGATGACTCCCTAATATCCAATGATTCGGGGTCTTTGGTCAGCCAATCTGCTCGTTCACGGCAACGTGCTAGGGACGAGAAGCGACTGATGCTTGACCTGTCGAAGCACCAACAGCTTCTTATTGATTCACAGAAATTGAGCCAGAGCATAAAAAGATGCCTGACGTGTACAGAGGAATTGATCAGGGATGGAAACAAAGCTTTAGACTATAGAGTTGGGATCGGCGATGTCAAACTCGGTGGCAGGGTGTTGAATGATGAGGAGCTCGATGAGCGAGGATTTCATACCGGTGATGATGAAATCCAAGCAAGGCAAGGACTCTTGAGCCCCACTCTTGCCAAAAATGAAGTGAGCGAGGTACAAACCTGGGCTTTTAGCAATTCGATCGGTCAGGATGGTGGATTTCCTGCTCTCGAACAGATGACGGAATTGTTAAAAGATGCCGAAATGGTGCTGAGCCATCAACCGGGCATACCGATGCAATCAGTCGCACAACCAGATAGTGAACATTGAGGGAACCAAGTAACGGAGGAGCTAGAGATTGATTTGGACATGACGACTTAATGATTGGCCGACTATACCGCATACTACATGCACAGATCCGAGGCATGCCTTGAATTATTTTCATTTGTCGAGATTGATACGGATCTTAGGAGAGAAAGAGAGCACAGGGGAGTACTTCATCGGAGTTTTTCTGGAGAACGGAAATCACCACTTTTGCTGGCTGGCTGATTCAGCTACTGTACAATGATACCCGCACTGGCGACAATTGCTTGTTTATTTTGTTTTGGGGGAGGGACAGGGAAGAAGAAGAGAGCGAGAGCCGGCAGAGGACAAGATTCAAAGAATGTGGGACAGAGGAGAAAGAAAACCCCAAGAGAAAAGACACATATGTATCTCGTACAACCGAATCAGTGGCAGAAATACCTTGGAACATGGAAAGAATAATTCTCGACCCTTAACCAATTCCAATCAAATCAGTGAACATCGTGGGGTGCACGTGTCATCTGTTCACCCTGTAAGTATCTATCTAGCGGTGCCTGCCTAGTTATACATAAGCAGGTTGGATCACGCTTGATCGTCAGATCAGGAGCTTCGTCATGTTGCGCCAGCCCTCCAGGGCTTAGAAGAACGAAGCACAAGCCAAGTCACAGAGAAAGGGAAGCAAGGAAGAAGCACGCCGGGTCATAGAAAGAGAATCTGTGTTGAACTTGTTCTTTCTGAACTAGAGATTGGGGGTATTAACGCGAGAAGGAATTGTGGTTGCGATCGGGTTCCAAGGTTCCAAACAGCTTCCAATCGGTAAGAGGGGTGGCTTCCTTTCGCTATTCTAACCAACAAACACTCGTGGACGCATGAATGCATGCATGCGTGAACGCATACCTGCCTCTCGCTCTGTTGGCCCACTCCTTGCTTCTATGAAACTCCGAGATTTATATGATCAGTGGGAGTAGAGTGGACGTTTCGGGCGTTGCGGAATCGAGATGGAGTGAAAAGGGAGATTCAGCCTACAGATCGTGAGATGTCCGAACCAAGTGCTTGGCCTTTCTTCAACACGGCCTTTTTGAGAACAGGGCCCCTCCCCTTCCTGAATGGATAAGAGAAGTGCTCTTTTCTGGAAGATGGTGGGGTCGTGAAAAAGCGAAGTCATTTTGACCAGGCGGCCGTCCACAAGCTTGAGTCAATCGTTCAGTCATCAGTCAGATGAGCGCCGCAGGGGAAAGAACACCACCAGGATGAGGGACGTTTTGGTCTACTATCGCGGCCGTGGACCTCCTATGTAGCCGACGAACGGGATGCTTCAGCTGATTCTTTGTCTTTGTGTCCAAAGTGGTGACGATGGGGCGGAGCCTCAGGTTCTTTCTCCTTCTCCTTTTCTTTCTTCTTCTCCTGTTTCTTCATTGACTCGGCCATCAATTGCTCAAAGGCCATGAAGTCGCCTTCTTCATCAGGGTCGCGTTCAGCCTGTTGTGGGGGAGTCTCAGTCAGCAGGTTGCAACATTGATGGGGGACTATAAAGGGTTCATAGGCTTACCTTTTGATATATCGTTCCTATGAGGACCAGAGCATGTGCACGCTCGATGCGTTTCTCCAGCCTGACGTTCTTATCGTTCAGTACCTTCTCGCAGACTTCGCGCAGGATACCCTGAATCTCGAACCTCGAGCCACGCCATGCTGCAGCGAGGATCTTGCCGGTCACTTTTCGCTCGTACTCGGCTTTCTTCTCGTCAGTCCAGTCTGCACCACCTTTCTCTTCTAGCTTCGCCATTTCCTCCATGGTGAGCTGCGCATCTATCGCAGTAGATATGGTGTTCCAGGTATCTTTAGCAAGAGTGCCCTTGTCCTTTAAGCGGGAGAAGAAGCCTGAGATGCCTAGGAATTTCTGGGACTTCAGGAAGGAGGTAGCTTTCTGAAGATACGTTTGACCGACGGCATGTAGGATTTCAATACCAAAGGATTCCATCTTCAAATTTTCCACTTCCAGTCTCGTCTTTTCCTGGAATGCATTGGTGACTTCGGGACCTTTTTCGGTCTCGGTCCATACACTTATGCGATCGACCAGTTTCTTTGCTAAAGTATCCACTCTCTCTTCGCGCTGTTTTCGTCGTTCGCGCTCATAAGCTTCGAGCTTCTCGCGTTGTTCTTTTGTGAGCCCGCCTTTCTTTTTCTTCTTTTGTAGGTCTTTTTCCTCTGGACTCAGTCCAGCAGCGTCCATTCGGGCGTCTTCCTCAGACCGATCCATGATAGCTTGCTGGCCCATGTATCGTCTTTGCGGTGTGCTGGTTCCAGATACTCCAGCAGATGACGTGGCGGGAGCATCTTCGCCTGCAACATAGGGAGGCGGTGGAGGAGCAGAAGTGCTTGCTGTTGATGTGGCGCTTGCTCTGGCTTCCTGTTCCTTCTCGCTCAGTCCAGCACTGAGACCGGCTGCAGTGGCGGCGGTGGCCTCTTGTTCCTTGGCATCGTGGACATTCAATTTCTCTTCGGCGGATTTCGCAAGTTCCTCTTCTTCCATTTGTTCCATTGTGATGTCCATGGTATGTGTCAGATCCTTCAGGAGAGAAAGTTCACCAATAATGTCGACGAAGGCATCCCCACCAAAGATCATGGAGAAGAACTCGGCGGGATCTTCGAAGCCTTCCCTCGGCATAGCCTTTTCTTTGCCATATTTGTCATAGGCTGCTCGAGTATCTCTATTAGATAAGACTTGATAGGCTTCGCCAACAGCTTGGAAACGTTCGTGGGCAGTTTCATCACCCGGGTTTTTATCGGGATGGGTAGTTATGGCGAGCTTTCGGTACGCTTTCTTGATTTCCAATTCTGTCGCATCTGGCTTGACGTCCAGTGCGTCATAGTAAGAACTGTCAACAACCATGTCTACTACGTCTGCGCTGGTATCCGGTCCCAAGGATTGTTCCGTTCGAAGCAGAGATGGATGTAGACTCTCGATTCGTTGGAGAAGGTTGGGCTGGTGCGTGAGGGAAAGCGGCTAAATAGAGGGAGAAAGGGATATAAAGAGGATACAGGACAAACGAAATGTTGTGCTGAATAGTGACTGATATGGCGGAGTGATAAGATTTCAGGTGAGTAGAGGAGACTTGAGCAAAATGCCGCGTGTGCCCGGGCCCAAAGACACTTGGACTACAGGTATTAAGAGACCATGTGAAGTCATAGCAGGCGCAGGCCGCAGCCTTAGGAAAACTGTCTCAGCCACATTGCGAATTACAGAGGCTGCGAAGTGTGGCACACTGGCCCCTTTCACGTGCAAGAGGCGGCGGCGTTCGGATACTCACGTGACTCAGCCACAAAGTGGGATATGCTCCGCCATAATGTCAACTATCGATCAATCCATTCCCCAGCTCCATCGTACCATTCGGCTTCCCGTTTCTCCACACGAACTGGCTCGTACTTCGTGTTCTCATCCCAACTAGAAGCAATCCTCTAGACCAAGCAGAGTGCGGTGCCGGTGGTGTTTCCAAGATTCCAAAATCCAAAGTCCACCTCCTTTCCTGCTTGAATTTTTTTTATCGCTCTCTGGTCTCGAGTCGCCGTTTGCCCTCCAGTTTCAAGCAAAGCCAACCCGGGCTCTGTGCGTTTCCCCTAATAATAAAATACGGACAGGGCAGGATGCCAAAAACTTCAGAGATTCTGTACTATTTGGTGCATGTGCAGGAACTGCGCTCCATAATCCAATGGTGAGAATCGCCAAGCTGTGCTGTCCTGCATGTCCCATGTGCTCACGTGTCGCAGGAAAGTCTGGCACAATGCTGTGCATGAGCGCGACGAAACCAAAGAGTCCGAGACGACCAAAGAATGCTTCAAGTACCTAGACCTGACCAGTCGAAGTTTCTCGGCTGTCATCCAGGAACTCCACCCGGAATTGCTGCTCCCTGTTTGTGTTTTCTATCTGTGCCTACGTGGCTTGGATACAATCGAAGATGATACGTCCATTCCTGCAAAGACGAAAGAACCCTTACTTCGAAAGTTCCACGAAGCCCTCAAGGTTGAAGGATGGCATTTCGATGGGAATCGACCTGAAGAGAAGGATCGAGAACTGTTGGTCAATTTCGGGTGTGTCACGGCAGAATTTAGCAAGATGAAGCCTGCATATCAGGAGATCATAACCGACATCACTCAAAAGATGGGGAATGGTATGGCGGACTATTGCTTAAATGCCGAGTTCAACGAGAAGGGAGTGAACACAGTAGAGGACTACGATCTCTACTGCTGGTATGTTGCGGGGATTGTTGGAGAAGGTCTGACCCGAATGTTTGTGGAAAGCAAGTTTGGCAACCCAGCTCTGCTGGAAAGGAACCACCTACATCGTTCTATGGGACTATTCTTACAAAAAGTGAACATCACTCGAGATGTGAAGGAGGATTTCGATGACCAACGGCGATTCTGGCCAAGAGAAATCTGGTCGAAACACGTTGACAACTTTGAGGACCTCTTCAAGCCGGAGTACAAGGAACAAGCACTGAACTGCAACTCCGAGATGATTTTGAATGCATTGGACCATGCTGATGAGTGTTTGTTCTATCTGGCCGGGCTGCGTGAACAGAGCGTGTTCAATTTCTGTGCGATCCCGCAAACGATGGCTATTGCCACACTGGATTTGTGTTTCCGGAATTACGCTATGTTTCAAAGAAACGTCAAAATCACCAAAGGGCAGGCTTGTGGGATTATGATTGAATCAACGCAGAATCTTCAACTTGTTACAGAAGTATTTACACGGCATATCCGATCAATCCGAAAGAAGAACCGACCGCAAGACCCCAACTATTTGAAGATTAGCATTGCATGTGGAAAGGTGGAGCAATTCATCGAGTCTATTTTCCCGACGCAGAAGCCGGAAGAGGCTGCAGCCATCGCGGCCGCAGAAGGCCGGCCGACACCGGTTGTAAGGGAGAAGACGGCGGAGGAACAGGCAGCGGAGAGAAAGGAGATGTACATCTTGGTGGCGGTAGTGTTAGGATTTTTGCTGATGGTTGCTGGCACTATGGTAAGTACTGTGTCGTTCGTCTGTTGCGAACCAAAGCTGACATTACAGGTTGCTGTTGCGTGGGCCATGGGAGCACGCTTCGATCTTGCATTTGTCGAAGTGAAGCAGACGTGGGATCAACTCTGGGGTGGCAACCTGACAGCGGGAGCAGGAAGCAAGCCACTGGGCTCGAACTTGAGCAGTCACGAGGAATTGTGATCATATCGAAAACGAAGCGGCCGGAATAATGAGGAATTCGAAATGAGACCGTACATTAATTGATACAGTACATAATCCCTCCAAGAATTTGGTGTTCCAGACCCGCCAGGAAAAGAATCGAGACGATGGAGAGTATGTGATGAAAATATTCCCTATTTATGGGACATTGAGCTTGAAATGGAGCTTTTGTAAGCAGCTCATCACCGATAGCACGGATGTCAAATTGCAACTCAGTCTCTATCATTGACTGTTGTTGTGCCGAAGATGTGCTGATATTGACGGGAATCCGCGACTTGAATATTGACAATTGGCAGGCCCGAGATCATTTCTTGAGGTGTCTTGTTACCTTTTGAGCCGACACATCCAGGTGTATGGTAACCCTAGTCCCCACGTCGATGGTGTTTGACCTGGCGCTTCGTTCGGCTTTTCCAGGGACATGATTCTGCCGGGAGCGCTCCCAGACCCACCTTGACTGCCAAATTGGTTCTCTAGGTCCATTTTTGGCGCTCCGTTTGTTATCGCTTACCGAGTCACGCATACTAGGTACGAGTATGAACCTGTCTATATACCTCTATAATTGTTATCTGTGGTGCCCAGAATAGTGCGGGCATCGAAGTCACCATAACAGGCAACCAGCCAAGCTTCAATGGTCCGGACTCCATCGCAAGCAGGGCCCTCAAGTGGCAAGGCGATGGTAAGCTGGCAATGAGCCTCCCGGGTTATGCGCTATTGAAAGTAGTGTGTACTGTAGGTGGAATGGTGGCTGACGGGCGGTGAGAGTGAGAGTGAGACGTGAGGTCTTGGTATCCGGCCATGGCAGTCCTTTTCGTCCAGCCGGACGAGAGGCCCTCGTCACGCTGCAGAAACAAATGGCGGGGGTCTACTAGATACTTACATTTAGGTAGGTGCACGGAGGCCGACCGGGGGTTGAAAGTCTCCTGTATGTTAATCTGGGAGGTCAGGATGCCTCGCAAATAGTTTCCCGCTTTACAATCAGGATGAGTTCAAGTCAGCAGAAATTGAATTACCAAGAATGAGAAGATTCTGATAGACTGACCTCTTGGATGGAAGGAGGGATAATGGGGAGGAGGCTACGTCATGTGGAAATGATTGAGCCACCAGCGTGGTTGCCACGCGTTGTGACCGTCGATCGAGATTGAAAAGGCCAATCGACGAGTTACGCGGCCTGTAACTTTCTGGTTCTTTCCTGGTGTTTTGGGGTTTCTGGTCGCTTCATTGACGTCAATCAACGGTCATTCAGTCCAATTACGCCCTGGTCATGATAGTATTACCTCGTAGTGGTTGGGATGGTACTGGTAGGAGTGGCCTGTGGCCTGTGGCACGCCCCTGGGTGCCCCTCTATCCATAGCCAGATTTGGCTCATAGAACCGGTGCCTGAAGGTGTGTCCCGAACATCCGTACGGAGTGGCACCGGTGGGGAGGATGCCTTGTTAGTTGTACTCTGTATGTCCCTCGTTTCTCTCGTTCGTCTTCTCCCTTACCACCGTGCTTTGACACCCGTTGTCTTACCCCCTTGTCCTTTTTGTCTCCTCCACTCGTACAAGAAGGCTCTTGTTCAAGATCCAGAGAATCAAGCATTGGAACCTTCGGCAGCGCGCCAGTCGCCGTGCCGGTTGGGCCTTGCCCTCAACTGCTTGTAGTCCCTTCGACGTCTATTCTTTTCTTCGTCGCAGAAAATGGCCACATGACCCGGGTTCGTGTGTTGGTGTTTCTTCTATTTCTCCTCCTCCTCTCGTTACCCTCGTCCGCGTTGCTCTCCCCAATTGTGTAGAGTTCACATTTTTTTGACTTTTGCCTTTCCAATCCTTCCCATCCACTCCTGGAGTCCTGGTATACAACCCCTACCCTTACCCTTCCCTGGATTCTAATTGCGTTCTTTTTGGGCATAGCTGCCGCCCGATGACTTTGGCTCTCGAATATCGATGCACATTCCCATCAACTTGTCTGTGCGGACGACCGAGTAACTCGCACCATTCCCATATCCACTCTAGTCCAAACGTCAACTAACATCTTCTGAGATCGAGACTGCGCCGGCAGTGAACCACGCACTGCTTTACCGCCTCCTCGGATGTACGACTGGCTTTGGTGATTTTAGTTGCGCCCTCGTCCCTCCAGCCTCCAGCTTGCTGCCCTGAACTTGAACAGAAGAACCTCCCTCTCCCATTCCCACTCCACCCCAGCTTATCCTTATTACCTGTTACTGCTGTTGTCTCTCCAACTCAACCTACTTATCGTTGTTGCACATTTTCCTGTCTGCAGCGCTACACCATGTCTGCATTCTGTATTCCGTTATAGCTGATCTGTTCCTCCAATCGAACACAGACCTGCTTTTCGAGATTATCAAGCAACCAATAATCACCCCGCCTGGTAACCGGTCACATCCCTTTTCCGCGCCCGAGAAGTGTATATCTCTGTCCCGTCGCCGCCTTTCTGCACCCAACCCTTCCCATTACCGCTTTAGTCGGGCAACATGGCGGAACAGGCTCTAGGTTTAGGCTTGAGCGCTGTTCCCGTTGTTCTTAAACATGGCGACAAAGTCTGGGACCCTGTCCAGCACCGATATCGAAAAATGCGTGGGAAGATCCCCGGAGACGATCGCGACCTCCACGATCACCGCGCAATGGAAGAAAAAGGACTTGTGCTGCGACGTCGCCGCGATGTGAACTCGGACGAGGAAATTGTTGAGGTCGTCAGGCACAAAGGTGAAGTCCTTCATAGGCGCCCACACCGCCACGATCGAAGAGCCAGTTCAATGGACAATCGAGCCATTGCAGCCGGTGCCGCCGGAGCTGGAGCTGGCGCCTTAATCTCAACTCGCGACCGCCGGAGCGATGACTACTACGATTCTGAAGGCTCCGTACCTCCACGATCTCGTATACGAGCAAAGTCGAGCTCTGGCAGATCTCGCCGTCGCCGCGGCTCTTCCAGCAGCTCATCCTCCTCTTCCTCATCCCTTGACTCTTCCACCGAAGAAGAGAAGAAGTGCAAAAAGCTTGCCCGCAAGAAGTGGATCACCGCTGCATTGGCCAGTGTTGCTACCATCCATGCTGCATCCAAAATTTATTCGTCCATCGAAAATCATGACAAGCGTATTGAAAACGTCAGGAAAGGCACCCTGTCACCCGAAGAAGCCCATAAACAGCAACGGTCGGCACGATGGCAGGATGCTGCGGCCATCGGTATTGCTGCGCTCGGCATCAAGGGCGCTGTAAGCGAGTGGAATGAAGTCTCGGAGGAGCATAGCCACCACAAAGAAATGCTGCAAGCACGCGAAGAACACCACAAGAAACGAGTAGAGCGAGAGCGTCGACGCCGAGCTAAAGAAAACGGCGGCTATTACAAGGGACGAGATGGCAATTGGTATTATGACGGACCTCAACCACAAGGCAGCGAGAGCTATCGTAGTGGCAGTGTGAGAGGCCAGTACGATGACCGAAAGATGATTGAAGATTCGAGCCGAGAACGAAAGATGATTGAGTATGACGACGATCGAGGTGACAGGAATAAACGTGCGGTGAGTCGTGGTCGTTACGTTGACTATTGAGCTTTTGCATTGATTTTTTTTTGGTTGGGTGAAGACCTCGACTGTTTCCAAGGCCCCGAGAGAACGAAAACTGGAGAAACCCCGAGATACATTCCTCAATTTTGGGGGTGATGTGGTAGAGGCTCTCATGAAGGGATGATTCCCTTGCGAAGCCCTGGATAGAGTGAAGTATTTCTGATATATATTATGAAAGATGCATTGATGTTTTGGATCTTGTATGACTTCCTAAACTTGGACCAAGAGTTGGATGGGCAGCCATGAATGAATGACAAGCTAGAGAAGCAAGCCAAAGGCGCGAAGAGTTGCAAAAGTCATGATTTTGTTATGAATAATGAAGAAATGATGATGACCGAGTATCTGTCTAAGCGAGATACTACTTAGGTAGTAGGTGACAAGAATTTCATGTTGGGTATCATGCCAGTCATGGTATCTGCATCCTCCTGTTCCCCTGCTGCCTCATATCTTGGACTAGGCACTCCGTACAGTACGGAGTACTATCTTGGTGCCTTGGGTAGACAACATGGGATAATAATATTCCGGGTCAGTGCAGCACCGTGCCTGCCTTTTAATTAGAAGATAGCCGATTCCATATAGCGAAGGCGGGCATGCTGTCTTGGCATCGGTGGGCAGCGAACATTGGCCGATGCTGCAACACCGACTGACTGACAATACATAGCCACTAGTAGTGCCTTGTCCATCAAACAACTGCTGCGCTCCCACCAGCAATCAGTCCCTCGCAATTCTGCTGCCTTGGTGAATTTCATACCCACGACACTCCTCTTCTACTCTCGGTTCCGTATGTCGTGAGGTCCTGGTCTCTATCACTATCCACATTAAACACTCCAAATGGCCGAACCACCCATTGGTACGTCCCGCCTCCAAGCCCACCGACACCACCAAATTCATTCATGCTGACACCGGTCCCATAGTCCTCGATGGTGGTACCGGCTTCCTCAAAGTCGGCTATGCCGCTCAAGTACGTCTATTGTCAATTCCTAGAAATCCCAGACGACCGATCCAACTGACTCTCACTTCCCCACAGAACTTCCCCGAACATCAATTCCCCTCCATAGTCGGCCGACCCATCCTACGTTCGGAAGAGCGGGCTGGAGATATCGTGGTCAAGGATATCATGTGCGGTGATGAAGCTGCCGCTGCACGTTCAATGCTTCAGATCAGCTATCCTGTATGTGCTAGCCCTGCTGCTGTCGCCATATTACTTTCGACCAGTTTGGCTAACAAGATACCCCCCTCCGCCCTCTTGAATAGATGGAGAATGGAATTGTCAAGAAATGGGACGATATGCTACATCTATGGGACTTCACCTTCAATGAAAAGCTCAAGATCAATACCAGTGGCCGCAAGATTCTTCTAACCGAGCCCCCCATGAACCCGCTCAAGAACCGAGAGCAGATGTGCCAGGTAATGTTCGAGAACTACAACTTTGGTGGTGTCTACGTGGCCATTCAAGCCGTCTTGGCTCTTTACGCCCAGGGTCTGTCCTCTGGCGTTGTCGTCGACTCCGGCGACGGGGTCACCCACATTGTCCCCGTCTACGAATCCACCGTGCTCAATCACTTAACCCGTCGGTTGGACGTTGCCGGTCGTGATGTGACAAGAAATTTAATCGCGCTCCTCCTCCGTCGAGGCTATGCCCTCAACCGAACCGCAGATTTTGAGACTGTCCGTCAGATCAAAGAGAAACTCTGCTATGTTTCTTACGACCTCGCTCTGGACCAGCGCCTCTCTGAAGATACCACCGTCCTGGTTGAATCCTACACTCTTCCAGACGGTCGAGTGATCCGTGTAGGAAGCGAACGGTTTGAAGCGCCGGAATGTCTCTTCCAACCACACCTTGTCGACGTGGAGCAGCCAGGCATCGCAGAATTCCTGTTCAACACAATCCAGGCTGCAGATGTAGACGTACGTTCCTCGCTGTACAAGGCGATTGTCCTCTCTGGCGGTTCGAGCATGTATCCTGGTCTCCCGTCACGGCTAGAGAAGGAATTGAAGCAACTCTGGCTTCACCGAGTACTCGGCGGCAACCCCGAACGCCTCAACAAGTTCAAGGTCCGGATAGAAGACCCCCCAAGGCGGAGGCACATGGTCTTCCTTGGCGGTGCCGTACTCGCCAATATCATGGCCGACAAGGAGAATATGTGGATCACAAAGCAGGAGTGGGAGGAGCAAGGCACAAGAGCCTTGGAGAAATTAGGACCGAGAACGTGAGATTCCAGAGGGGAGCGTCGCGTCGCGTCAGCCAGCCAGTTTGTTCTTGTCCCTCCGGTCGGCGCAAATGCACTAGCAGATGCCAAGAAGGCAACCCCTTTTTGCGGAATGTGTGAGCAAAAGCATAGTGCGAATGGATGGTACAGGTGTACAGAAGAGCGAAAAAGCGGCACCACTCGTGGGAAGTGTGATTGGATTGCTTGACATGACAATAAAGGGCCGGCCGGCCTGCCTGCCTGCCTGCCTGTTGGCGCTCAGGCATGGCGGCGTGGCGGTGTGGTTGAATGATTGAACCTCGAATGACGAAAATATCAAGACTCCCTCAACAGAAGAATTAAGAACGACGAACGAAGAAGATGAAAGATTTATAAAACTCAATATTACAACAAAGCCCCCTTAATCCACGTTTGACCAGAAACTTGCTTCTAGCAACCTCAGAATCCCCTCCGAACAAACAATGCTATCTTACACTAACTCCCTGGTGACCATAGTGTGGCGCATGCATACCTACTACTATGCATACCTAGGCCGTACGTGGTCGTGTAATCGTAGTTCAACTCATAAAGCCAACTGCAGACTGCAGACTGCAGACTGCCTCCCCCGCGCGGTGCTTTCTCGAGCAGCAGGACCACCCAGTCATGGCCTCTCAGCCGACATGGTTCGAGCGACTCGACTCGTTAATCTTAACTGTGTAAATGGGCAGTCGTCGGTCACAGGTCTAGGTGCCGGGAGTAGGCATAGCACAAGTGACAAATCCGTGCATGGATGGTTATGTACAAGGTTATATACATCTACCTAATGTATGTATATATATATATAGCTTGTTCGATCTGCAATATGTTTACATGTAGCTTGTTCGATCTATCTCCATACACCCAAGTCATTTGGCATTCAACCATACCTGATGTCTTGCATCACGCTACCGTCGATTGCTAATCTATTCCGGTCCCAGCTTCTGACGACATACAGCGCCGGAATAGGTTACTGTTAGGTATTGAGATGGAGACGAAGCATCTCTTTGTGTGTCTCTGTCTCTCACGCATTCGTCCGTGCTACCGAGTGATGATTGGGAGAAAATGCGCTGATTCTCGTGATTAAGCCACTCGCTGACAAGAGGGCTTAAAGATCGAATCACCTACGGCTTGCTTCGTCTGCTTTGATTTGGTGATCTTCGAATGGATACAAAATCCATGATGCACCATTGCGCCGTCGTTTCCAGGGCAAGAGAGCCATGCGTGCATGCACCCATTCCGACAAATGCCGGGGGGGGGGGGGGGGTAGAAGCCTTGACACAGTCGACCACCAGCCGAGACTCGCGGCCAGAAGAGAAGAAACAGCCATGGAAGAACACCCTCCTACGGGATTCTCACGTAGGAAGGCCCGAGCGAAGATGCTGTGAATACTCCTGCGACGCCTCTGCCATCCAATTCCTAGAAGCACCGGTCGCAGCAGGATCAGGATAGGAGGAAGAATCATTGTGGTGTTCGGCGCCGCCAACACCAAGATCAACGCCCGACGACGACATACCTGCGGTGTTGAAATCCATCAACCCGTGGTTAAACGCGGTGTCGACACTGTAGTCGCCCATGGTCGGGTCAATATACATGTCATTCTCATCGAGGAATGAACTCCCATTTCCGAAGCCGAATTCAGCCATCGTCCATGGAAATTGGAACTGCTCGCCCCACTCGCCCGGGATATTGCCCATTGCGCCTGGTGAGTATCCCAAATCTGTAGAGGCGGGCATCACCACGCCGGCGATTTCGGGCTGGCTGGCGATGTCATTCTCTTCTTCCTCGTCATTCCCTTCGTCTTGTTCTCCAACCACGACTCGCGGTCTGAAGGGTGGGATGCTTTCTCCACTCTCAGCAAGCTGCTGTTCAAGAGCCGAGCTTTCTCGGGAGCTTTGCGAACTCTCATTCGCGGTCGCCAGGGGTGCAGCTTGCATTCCCAGTGTTCTCTCCGTGCCGATCTGGCTGTTGGTGATCATGAGCCCGACCAAGAAGCAGGCGGAGTCAGCAATGGGCCAGATGTCCCGCAGGCTCAACAGTGCTCGCACACATTGGTGGAACTGGTGACCTGGAAGATCTCCCAAGGACTTTCCCGTCGATTTGATTTCTACGAGAAAGGAGGCAATGGCCGGTAGCATGAATGCGACCGATATGGGCGGGAGGAAGCGGACCAAATCCTGTTCACGCAGAGATTGGACCATCTCCGACATTCGCTCCGCCGCTTCTTTGACACGGGGCCGTGATTTCTGTTGGAGGAAGTTGGTCAGAGATGTCGATGGCTCCTTGGCCAGTGTGGTCGGTCGATGGAGAGCCTCCAAGGCCATCCAAAACATCATGTTAAGGACCGATCTATGAAGATGAAGAAATGATTCGTGCGGGTCTGGGTCCAGATCATACGTCCTGATTTGGCAGCTTACAGGGAGCATTCGTTGCCATCGGTCAAGCTCGTCTTGTAACTCGAAGACTTCCTTGGCCTCGAAATGTGATTTCTTGGGTGAATACAGCATGATGGAGTCCGCAGTTGTGCCGGAGAATCCTTGAAGCACATACAACTTTCTGATGATACGGCCGATGGTGGTTAAAATCTTGATTTTGGAAACACACATTTCGGCGAGCGCCACCCTTATTGACCTACTCGTGAAAAAAGCACATTCGCGAACCGCTCGGACAGAAGTCTCGATTGGCTCGATGTCAAAATCTTCCACCGTGAGCATCGGCAGTGCGGAACTCTCGTCCTTGAGACGCATTGGCTTCCGCATCGAAATCGCCATGACTCGATCTCGGATATAGCATGCCCAGAAGATCCTCCTCCAAAGTTTGGCCGTCTTAGCATCCTTTTTCGCGAGTGTGGACCTTTGATTCAAGCCGCAGCTCGTGGCCAGCGAAATGCACACACCCAACCAGTACCATGGGTCTTTTAGATCGTTCTCTGCGACGTACCAGTACGCGAGCAGTAAGATCGTTTGGATTGCAGTGGGCCGGTCGGCTTCCCAGTCAAAGTCGTATAGGAGCTGGAAAAAAAAAAGGTTAGTTACTTATCAGCCCAGCCTTTTGGCATGAAAAGGGAGGTCGTCGTTCGTTTACCTTAATCTTGTTATAGAAATATACGCGGGCGGTACGACGGTCAGCGAAGCCAGCTTGGTTCAGGTACTGCTGGTCAACAAACGCTGTGCCTGCGAACATGACGGCTTGAAACAGGAGGAGGCTGATCGGTGAGCCCCCCGTGCCATCCAGAGCACTGAGGAAGTCCTGCAAGTCGATGATAGGAAGATAGGGATAAACGTATAAAATGCAAGATCGGAGTAGCTGATCACGCAGCTCGTCGTCCGGTATGGAGAATGCTCCACGTCGATGTAGAAATTCAAGGTCATCGGCACTGAATTCTCGCGATGGTGGTCGAATGTAGGGGGGAAGATGAGCGAACGAGAACGGTCCCTGAGTTGATGCCGGCGTCCCCGTGGTACCACGGCGACTTGATGGTGGACCGGCCAGATTCAGAACTGGCGTAAAAGCAGGCGGAGATTGGAATTGATTGTTGAGATTTAAATGCACGACGGGAGAGCCGTGGTCTTCCATGTCGGAATGTGTTAGCTAGTTTGTCCCTTGAGAGAAGGGGCACTTCGAATGGACCTTACCATGGCTGGACTGGCTGCGAGGAGCTGAGATCGCGGCAGGGAGTGTCGCAGGTGGTGAAAAGGCGTGAGAACTGGACTGGGGAGTTGGAGCGGTACGGCCTGGCTGAGTCTGAGGAAGCAGCGGCACCGAAGTCGTTCGATTGAGTTGTCGTTTCTGAAGGCGATACTTCCTGCTCCTCCGCGACTCGGTGATGACACACTCAATCCCATCGATACTGCAATTGTGGCACGGAGCGCCTGATTTGACCAGGTCGCATTTCACTTTGCGTGTTCGACAGTGGTGGCAGGCCTGTGATGCTCGCTTCTTTACAGGCTTTTCAGGCTTGGAGCCTGCGATTGAAGAGGGCTCGTCCAATCCCATCGGGAATAGTCTGGCAAATACCTTATGGCAATTTACAGTTGGGTCGTGAACCGTGGATGTCCGGGGATCAACGACTCTGCTTCAACGACGTCGTCGATGTGGCCGAAAGTGAAGCTGAACCATGGGCCGAGGTTCAACTCCGTATTCGGAAAAAGCCTTGGCCGAATTGAGATGTTGATCTTGAGGTCGACATCAAACCATCAACAGATATCACCAAGCATCAATGCGCATTTGGAGAGACGATGCTAACCAAGGGCCTTGGAGCTGACATGGATTTGATGTGGTTCTCGCCCATCGCCATCTTTTTCCGAGCAGCGGTTACGAAAGCATAGGGCGGAGAAGTGAGGGATCTGCGTACCGAGAGGCTGGTTGGTAACACTCATAACCCGTCAGAAGATTAGCACAGCCGCTAGTTTCTGACAAGGCCATCGCGGCCGATCATGGGCCCGGCCTGGCCTTTGCTACTTGGTTTGCCCAGTGGTTTGCTTGTTTGTGCGTTCGAAGAGTACCATCCGTACCCACACCGACAATGGCGAGGAATGGCTCAATTGATTGATGCATCGAGTTTAGACGACCGAATATCCTTTCCGAATCCTCAAGCGGGTATGTTATGTACAAGACATCCAAACATCAGCTTCCGCCCTCTCCCTCAGCAGGCCAATTGCAGACCATGACCCAAGAAGGGACGCCTTGGACAGCCGGTGTCCTCTCCTTAGGAAACGACTCCAGATATCTGACGACACGGAAGCCAAAATACGCATAGACATCCCTCGCCCGTAGGTTGCCAGCAATGAGCCACAGCGGAACACCTTCACTCCTCGCCCTCGCCACAAACGGCTCGATGACCGCCCTGACCGCGCCTTTGTCCTTCCTGTCGGGGTCCCGCGCCATGAGCGACAGGCACCAATACTTCTGCTCGGGCCCGAGGACCTCCGACCTCGCGCCCTGGATCTCGCGCGTGAACTGCGCGAAAGCCGGGCGCTCTTTCTCGATCTCGAGGAGTTCGCCCTCGCTGAGCATCGGGGGCGTCGCGGCAGGGGGTTCCCAGCACGCGACGGCAGCGAAATTCGCAGCTTCTACGATCAGCGACCCAAGCGCGACTTTCCTCTCGATCCGTTTCTCGCAGGCCTTGTGCACGAGTCCTGTTGTCACGCATGTGAGAGTCGGGTCTTTGTCGTGCTCGAACAGCGCGATTAAGGCGTCTGATACCGATGCCCGGGAGTAGATGTCTGCGAGTCGATACCGGTATTCCTCTGTTGTCGAGATCGTGGTTGGTGGTAACGAAGCCTGGCTACCGGCCGGGCCGTTTCTATTCTTCGCCAACGACGGGACCGAGATGTTCTCGCTGGTGAACGCGGGCCCCTCCATGTGATGTGTCCTTGCTCCTGTACACACTTTTTCTATTCGCATTTGTAGCTGTAGTGAATGGGATCAAGATGCTAACATTTGGCGGGAACGCGTCGCTCTCAGGAATGGCAGGACGACAAACTCGTTGTTGCGATACAACGTGAGCCCAATGTAGCTTTGGGGCGGGTTGACTGTGCTGGAAATCAAGGTAGTGATTTAATTTCAAAGCGACTGAATTCGCCCACACAATTCGGGGTTGGAAGTGTCGAGCGATTTATGACTCAACGCGACCCTGATGCATGGTTAACTAGTTTGGTCAGTGTGCAGATCGGATCCCGGCGACCACGGCCCTGGTTGACTTGATATGGCCCTGCATTGGTCAGCCTCGTCGCTGTAGCATCTTATAAAATTCATTGGATTTTCTTTTCCTCGTGAACGATGACCTCCTCTAAGCATGGTTTTAGGCATCCCTATGTCGCAGAAAGTCTAGGTAAATATTCAGGGAGATGGTGGTGCAGTAAAGGAGACAGCTCGCATGAGGCAACGAGTTCGAGGCAGTCCACGCATCCACTTGACCTTGTTTACTCCTACGACCCGGAAACTATCAGTATTTTGGCTATTCTGGATGGAATAGCAACCAAAATTGCATCCAATTCAATCAGATCCTGTCGTTTCACTTGATGGGGGGCCTGCGCATTCAACATGGCAGCCGCAATCCCCGACCCCTCGGATCTTCTGCGTTCCACCAATGACTCCATGATCATCACAGCCTCTCAGAACAGTGTGCGCAGCCGCGATTACTTCAAGATACGAGACATTGTCTTTGCATGGCATGTTACTCTTAGAGCAATCCTCATCCAGGACTACGTTGATCTGAAACGTAAAAGAAGTCTGCAAGAATATGTCAGCCAAGCATGGACGATAACCATGACCGATGACAAGATTGCTCACAGTGGACAGTGGACACTGAAGATGTCTTCGAATTGACAGCCAGGCTGTCCGGATTAACGAACCACGGAGATTTATGTTGATACCAAGGCCACCCCTCCCAAGGCCGCAGATATTCGTATTGGTTTTGGTCTCTGTGGTACCTGTACAGTCGTCGCCAAAAGTCCTCGTTCCACACACTTCTCGGAGAATGGGAACAAAGGTCCAATAACTACAAAAGGAAGTACTGGCAATGGTAGGAATGGTAGGAGTAGACTGGCACGAAGCGACGAGTGGACTCCAGTAGTCGAATCCGCCCGTAGCCTAGGAGCACAGTCATTCACTATTGCACTTGCTGGAGCCCGCTAGATCAGGATCAAGACTTAGCCCTGCGTTGAGTGTGCCTCCCAAATTCCAGTCCAAGGTGAGGTCTCTGTTCTCCAAGTACACCTGGAGGTTCTCAGGGACGAAGTTAGAGTCCCCAACGCCAGAGTAATAGCCTTGAGATAAATGTGACTGTTCGTCACCATAGAAGAAGCGTGTTCGAACTTGACAGAAGCTGTCACAGACTTTGTTCCTTGTTGCACGTATATACGACAACTCACCACTTACGTCCGCCTGTAGCTTCTTCCTAGGGGCGCAAACATCGTCATGATAGGTTGTATGACTCTTGAGTCACCCCAGTGGCATAGTTCCTGCGTCGCCGTCGATGAATGCAGCAGGTCCACAAGGAGGAAAATAGTGAGGAGGATGATTGACAGAACGTGGCGCTCAAGGCTCAAAAGTCGCAAGGCCGAATGAAGTTATTCAACGAAAATCAAATAGCAAGATTTGTCTGTACCGAGAACTTTTGAGGAAATCTGCATCTACCAATCACCCCTGACTCTTGAAAGACTTATGACCATCGAGTAGGACTCCCCTTCAAACCATGCGTGGCGAGGAAAAGGGGTGTCTGCTTTAAACATCACCTACCACGTCTGCGTCTGCGCGTTTCCGGAGAAAACAAAGACTGCAGGGTTGTCGCGGGTCGGGTCTGGTTGCAATCAAATGCTGGTACCTACACAAAGAAACAGAGAGGTTTAGTCCTGGCTTGTTCCTGCTACTTCTCAATATGCCAGAAGATGAATTTTTGTCGCCGTGACTCACGACAGAGACAGAGGCAATCATAGTATGTTTCACAGTGGAAAAGACTGCCACTCATTGGCCTTACCTCAGAGCCTTATTAGAAAGAGAGAGGAGAATGGATCGCCTGTATAGAAATCTCAAGGCAATTGGACCATCAAGAATGAGCTTCCCTGACTACAATTTTGCTTCATCGGACAGGCAAGGTTGATGTGTAGAATGAAATCCTTCATACCCTAGTCCAGTGTGACGGCTGCCAGCAGTGAAGAGAATCACAGCACATGGAGTCGACGTGCGACCTGTCGCAAAAATGTGACGCCAGTGTATCTCCAACATGTCCAGCCAAGTGCTATCATGCACTTTCTTCAGGATCCTCTCCAGCGCCCGCTGAGCATAGTGAGTCGATGGAGCCTGTCATCTCCGTCGGGCTGTTGTCCAATTTCTCAAACCATATTGGCAGAGCTTGCTACGAGAAAGAACAAGAAATCGTCGAGACAAGAGCAGTTGCATTTGTCACGTTCTTGACAGCAAGGAAGATGCATCTGCTAGCGGCAGTCAAAGGAAAACCCCTACCAATCTCACCTGGAACCTTGAGTGTAGCGAGAGTATCTCGGAGAGATTCAGAGTGCCATCCTCGGCAATCTCAGCTCAAACACAATCTGATGATCTCTAGAATGATCATGTAAGGCTTCGATGGATTGCATAAAAGTCAAAGCTTCTCAAACGAGTAGGTGACGTCTCCTTTTCTGACACGCTCGCTGCGACAAAGTCCCGTACGATGGGTATCAGGAAGAAGTAGATAGACTCTGCGGACGCTATGAAATTTGGAAGCAGATACTCGCAATTTCGACAGCGCTTTCTAGCGGTCAGGGCTTCGTTTCGTGCCTGCGCTATGATAGAGATCGTGCTGCTTCTCGAGGGAGATAGACGCATCGAAAGTACCCCACGACAGGAAGCCGAAGCCTGCTCGTAGCGTAGAGAGCACGTTTGGACGTGGTGCAAAATGTGCCGATCACCGTATCGAGGTCCAAGAAAATCGTGTAATTACACCTTAGTATCTATTTGGAATAGGACAAGCGGCCATCGGCTATCATGTGTGTGTGAGTGGATCAATGTGAGGATACAAGCTCTCCGTTGCTTGGAGTCATGAGAACAATCGGTTCCAGCTAGCGGTCTTGATTGAAAAGCCCGCGGAAAAAAGACTCCGCATCAGCATACCTTGTTGCCGGAAAGGATCCCGTTAGTGTGTATGTAGAAAGATTCTCTCGGACTAGTCTACCTTGCAAAGCGGCGGCCTGCTAGACATTAATCGCAGGATGGACGGCTGCGATGCTCCGATCAAGATGGACAACATGAGTATCATGCAGCAATGCGGCCTAGCCAGCACTTGAGCGCCTCGTAGTGAAGGACCAAGTGGAAACACCACGCGGAGCCTGTACTCGTACAGATGGGGCCAGCCAAGGCATCTTGATGGGGTCCCAGGGGTAGCAAACGACCCCATCGATGCGATTCTTCCATTGGCCGTTTGCATCTTGCTGCTTATGGTAGGCGTGGGCTGACCTCGACAAGGACAGGGGCAACGCATCGCATCGGCTGGCTGTGAAGGAAGGCCTAACGCCTAACGACTCTGCATCACGATAGCTGTTGTTGGCTAGCTCCCCGCCCGTTGAGATGGGATGGGGACGGGGCAGACGCTCGATCGATACCGGTTTCGACATGTCAGATCCTGTTTGGGCACTACTGCAACTTGGAAGCAAAGCCCATGACCAGATGGACCCAGCGGATTCCAAGGAGACAAATTCTGAAACACTTGATCAGACTCACCACCTCGAAAACCCCCCACAACATCTGCATCACCAGGAATCTCCTTTCTCAGACCAACCAAAGTGAAGCAACGGCTGGAGAAGCAAGGTATTCCTATACGAAAAAGCGGGCATTCCGTCCACGTGCCTATTCGATACATGTCGGATCTTTGTATCATTATGGAAGGGCACTGGATGGAAGTGTCGTACTAGTACTTTGGAGACCTCCCGATTCAACCGCCTCGTATCTGGAATGCTTGGCCATCGGCCGACCTCCAACAAGGATAGCGCTGGAAGTGGATTGATTATTCAACCACTAGTCGTGCGATAGTGCGATAGTGCGATAGTGCAATAGTGCAATAGTGCAATAGTGCAGCATGGGAGGAGCAAGAAGAATCCTTGATGGACACATTGGTTCCGTGCGTGATATTGATCTGCCGGCTTTGCAGGAAGGTGTTAAGTCAGACCCAGGACATATGCAGGGTATTCATAGCCACCCCCTGTCTGTCACAAGCATCAAATTCTGAGTAGAAAGATTTCGCGGCCATCTCGAAGGTACCTTGCACGAAGAACAGAACAGTCGTGAAAACCCCTTCGCAAGAGGTACGAATAGATACCCCCATAGCAAGGCGAACCCCTCTCTCCTCGACCTAGAGAGTTTGAGACTCAGTCAAGGAGAGAGAGGGAAAGTTCTCAAGACCAGTTGTGCAACTAGGGACCTTTTCATCGCATGAGACAGGAACAAGAGAAACACTAGCTGTCCGTGAAAGTTTGGGTACCCAATGACTGAACCAATGAGGAATCCACCTCATCCAGTAGTCCACCATGTTGAGCCAACGACGAATGCTCCGTACTCGCCATGGTCAAACGATACACAGAGACAGGCAGACAGGCTCTACACCGAAGCCTAGAAACTAGAGCACCTTCAAGGCCGAGATGTTTGCGAAAGCCGCGCGTTTCTCCTTTGACTTCTGGTGTGCTTTGCAAAAGTGCTCGCCTGTCCTAAGCGAAAGCAAAAGGTCCATGAAGATAGCGAGCAGATGAGACACCTCCGCCACATTTGATAAGAGGGGGCCTTGAAACAGGGCTAGGGTGCCTGCGGAATCCGGCCTTGTTTGTACCAAATGTGCAAACCCTTTGCGTGATAGTCCCGATCGATGCCAACCTCACCCTGATATGGAATAGCAATCGACATGTCTGGAGAGAAAAGGAGACAGGGGTGCGCTGTAGGAATGGAAGAGCGCCCTTCGCTCCGCAAGGAAGTGGTTCGAGCGCGGTTTGGTTTGGTTTGTGCGAGAAAAAGGACCCGAGCTAAACTAAAAATCTCGACTGTACGGAGTACTGTACATCGCAAGCCCGTAGTGAGAAAAGCTTTTTCACTCTTGGTATTTGAGCGATGTCTCGCCTCGGACGCGCTTCATCTCGGTTACAAGGCCAGATGTACAGTACGGAGTAGAGTTTGGACAGTTGGACGCGACAGAGGCAAGTCGAAGAGGGCGATCCTCGATCACGCTTGTCCCCAATCGTTCATGACACGGTCTCTAGTGCGCAGGGATAGTGAGCTATCAGAGAGGATCTCACGGTCATCGTCTTGCCAGACGCTTTCCGATGGATTCCTCGTCCTCCATCCTGTACATGGGGTCAGACAAGCTGGCAGGATTTGCCCGATGTCTGTGAGTGGAGAAGCGAGAGGGGGGTTTGGTCAGCCTACGGAGCCTTTGGACAGGAGGCAAGCATGCAAATGGCAGATGATGGTTTGTTTGTTAGCATCCCAAGGCCTCGTGGGTGTTGACTGTTCGTGGTTGAGGCCAGACGACTGCGTGTCTCACGTCAATGAGCTAAGACGGCGCAATAGGCAAGGCAATCCGGATCATGAGCTTGGGCCCAAGCATTGTGTTTTCTGTGCCGAGGGGTGTTCTGCGTACGTACAGAGCACTCCGTACAAGGTACCTCATACCGAGTACGGAGCCCATCGAGGCTGTTCATCTCCCTCGTCCGCCGTCCATCGGTGAGTGACAGGGGCAACCTCGACAATCTGAATACATGGCGTCAACTTAAATTGGGGGGGGGATTAGAGTCGGAAGACACACGACGCCTTAGGGAAACCAGCGAGCCTGTTGGCGTTAGATAGAGAAGATCGAAAGTTAGGCAGCGTCCCCGAGTCCCGAGTCCCGAGGCAGGGAGGGCCCTTCAGTCACCAAGAGTTTTGGCGTCAAACTGTGGGTGATGTTTGAGGTCAAACGGGGGCGCGGAAGATAGACGGGTGACAGCCGCTGAGGACGAGAGGGACCCCCCCGTCAGCGAAAACGCAAGCTAGTCGATCAACCGTTAGCAGGGACACCATGACAGTGTCGCTGTGGGCGCTGGGGCGCTGGGGCGCTGGGGCGCTGCCATCAACATCGTATCTGGCGGCATCTCGAAGCGTCCATCGGGCCCGGGTAGGACAAGCAGCAAGGCCCAGGCCTTAGCCTCCAACGTCAAGCATCGAGTAGTTGGGAGATTGGGAACACAATTGGCGGGATGTTCCTCCAGTGGAGCCTTTGGGCTTTTCAATCTAGCGTACGAGCACGAATACGTAACGGCACGGAGATGATGTGGAGGGAGAAAGACGGCTGGCGCATCGCTTTGATGCAGGCCACAGTGGCCCAATACGGGAGGACAAAGGACAAACGAGCAAACATCTCAGTGGGATCCAGGAGAACGAGGAATCGAGGACAGTAATAGCGGATGCTTCCTCCATATGGGTTGGAGATGGAATCCCTGCTGGCTTGGGCACCCGATCGATGGTGACGTAGTCGGCGCTATAAGAGTGGATAGTGGAAAAGTCTCATGTCTATCAAGATACTCGTAGACAAGATCAGGGCGGTTCGGCCCAACCAATACTCCCCGTTGGTAGAAAGGGCAAATATCTAGTCGTACGGGTAAGTTTCTTACAACATAGCAGAGTTCTCCTTCCAGTCTAAATTCTTCTTCTATCGTAAATTGAACGCTTCAGTCCTACGCTCCTTGCCCAAGTACTAGTGGTTGATCCTTGGAACGCTCTGCGCTTACTCTACGTTCCCCAGACTTCCCTTAGAGATCTCGAGTCCATGTATGACGGCTGACACTCTTGACTACGAAGTGTCCTTTGCGGAGCAAATCGTTGAGGTCAAGTCTCCCAAGCACTGTCCTCACTCCCCTGTCGCAGAGACTCGGTGTTACGGAGTCCTCCTCAACCGAACGTTAAGACCTGTTGAGGCAGCAGGAGACTGCATAATACCACAATACTGCACGCATTTTATTGCGAAGGAACCGACCCGGGGGGCCTCAACCGCGCTCGGTATGAACCGGTCCCATGTCATGGGTCATGGGTCATGAGTCATGAATGCTAATCACCTGCTTCACATCTGATGCTGTCTCATATCCAGGCTGCTGCTGAACCGGGGATTTTAGAGCACCAACATGTTTCTTGGATTGACAAGATTTCATCAGGAAATAGCCTCCCGTTAAACGCAGCCTGCCTGGTTCTGGTCCTAGTTTTGATTCCGAGGGTGATTGTGATTGTGATTGCGATTGCGATTCTGGTCAGTTCTCGCAGATTGCTCGCTTTCCGTCTCTGCCCGTGTAAGGCAGTCTAGCCTGGTTTCCCTTGGAAATTCCTTTTCGCTGTCACTTTGTATATCGTACGAGTAGGTCATCATAGAGGCCGGTATCCTCACCAGGTTCTTGGTGGCTTGCCGCTTGACCCACTCCTGGACAGACTTTCACGGTAAGCCATTTCGAGCCCGAGCCCGAGCCCGGTCGGGGGAAAGTGGTGATCGTCAAACGGGTGCCCAAGATCAAGGGTAGATGTCGATCTCGACCTCTCCCGAATGATCCATTTGCGGTCTTGTCCCTCGCAAGCCGATAGCTACCAGGGGCATCCAATGGGCCCTGGCCCCAGACGGGCCACAGACTCATCCACCGACCCAAAAGGAACAGCCCCAGTTTTAAATGAGTACGAGTAGATTCAGTATGGCTAAGACTCGAGTCAAACAAGAAATTCGAGTCGTGCAAGAGGCACTTGTTGGCGTGCCGCCATGACTGAGTCAGGTCCCGTGCCGGTCTTGGAGGCGAGGGCCTGTTTGGAGATGCCTGTATGCAGTCGAAGTGGCCTGATCAGATGGCCGTACTTTACACATGTGATAGATTACGCGCCTATTGGATGTCGGCATGTCTCGATTTAACTTGCTGAGTCGCTTCAAACCCGAGTCTCCACCGCGAAACTGTCGCCATTCTATAGTAGTCATGAAAGACTCGCAAATCTGCCGCCTCCGCTCATGAGACAGGGTCGGTTTTGATGCACGACCCTTTCTTAAGGATCGTCCCCCAGTGCAAGCCAGGTGGGGACCAGCTATTCACTCTCGCAAATCTCGATCCACAATCTGGCAGACGCTCACTGCCTGCATTCCGCCTCTCTCGTCGCTGCAAAAATGCAGACACCTGGCGAGTGGACGGACAAGACGTTGGTTTGCGTTTTGCTCTACCGCGTCAATAATTTAGAAGCTCTCGCTTAGTGGGATGCCCTGGTTAATCAGAAGACACACCAGAGCGCTTCCGGGAAATCAATTCCATCTCGCCCGTGAACACGGGCCCCCGGGGGGGGGGAACCTCTATCGTTGGTAAGCCTGAGCGGAGTGTGGTGCCCGCGCGCAACGAGATATGGGAACGGCTGCGTTTTGCGGTTTGCTTCACTTGGGGCGTTGGTGCAAAAAGTAGAATGATCTCTGTTGACTTGACCTTAGTCAAGTGATAGACTCCCCTTTGACACAACGGCGTTGGCACGACACCGAGCCGTTGTGGAAGGCCAGAACATGAAGACCACCCTCATCATCCTCAGCCCAAAAGCTTTCAATATACAAGCACCTCACCTGCCCATTTTATATGTTGTGCATTTCTCCTAGCTCCTGCTCTTTCCCCGTCGTATGCCGCCACTAATTCCGTTTTCAACACTAGAAATAACAATATCTTCAAGACATAAATCTCTGGTGGAACCAAAATGCTCCAAATGCCTCTAATAAGGCTGCCGTTGGGGGTATCGAATAATCCCGCAAGTCGTGGGCAACGGATTTTTGCGCCCATGCTCCCGTAGATGACTCCAAATAGATATCGCAAATGTGCAAGAATGGCCGTTGCCTAAAAGCCTTTTGGTCGCTCTCGTTTGCAAGATGCCCTCTGTACAATCCCACCACCAAATACATCGCTTCGTGCTTCTCGCAGGAATGCAAGATTCAAATCAGACAGCCCTCTCGCCAACTCCTCAGTCGTAGGCCGAAATATATCCAGAAAGTTCCAATGACCTAACCCATTTAATCGTCATCATTCGTCCCTTGAAAGAGACGGCGTACATTCCAACAAGTAGATTCGTTGTCTTCGTCAACTCCGGCCTCGATCATTCTCTTCCAGTCCTTGGGGGCGCCTGTCTAAGGTCGTGTCGAATCGAGACTTTTGGGTCGAAGATTAGAGCCGGTCAGGGAGGCCGCTTTGTTGACACCCATCTTTCGTGTTAGCTTTGCATAGTGGAGACCACATGCATTGCACAGGGTACGGGCACCGTCAGGGCCTCTTCGCCATTCCGGCGTTTCAGCCCGGTTGCAACTGTGGCACCGACCCGGAGGGGCGGCCTTCTGAACGCACTGACTGTTAGCAAGAAATCATCACCACAGAGGGAGCACATACTCCACGACGTTTCTTTGCATCGCCGCCTGCGAAGCCAGTGCCCTTGTACTCATCCGAAAGATTCTGGTAATCGTCCTCCATATGATTGCCTCGTGCGAGCCGTGCACGTTGTTCGGTCAGGGCGGTCTGCTGTGCTATTACCACTTCTCGTAAATGCGTCAGGTTCTCAAAGATGCGATGTGATTGACGCAGCATATCATCGACCTCGTGTAGTCCAGGAAGAGAGTCTTGGAAGTAACCGTTGCGATTACTCTGCTGATATCTTTGACCCCAGATGCGGGAGAAATCTAACGTTCGAGCAGACGCTTCACTGATCTGGGCACGTTTAGCATAATTCCAACCGAGGAGAAGAACAGAAGAAACGCACCTCGTTCAGGCCCATCTCAGCGTCAAAGACATCTAGGTGCCGCTTGACAGTGTCGCCATATGGAACTTCATTGGCTGGTCGAGAATACGGTCCTCGGTGCTCCTCGGGCTTTGGACCAGCAGAGAATTGGAATGGTTCTGATGCAGGAGGAAAACTCGGAGGTGGACCGTTGCTATACGGTGGAAATGGATATGCGGATCGTGGCTGCTCAAAGGTTGGAGGGGATCTTGGCGGTTGATTTTCATTATTGTTGTTGAAGGATGTATTGGCCAACGAAGAGGAGCGGAACGTTGCGGCTGGGTGAGATCTTGGAGACCCGGGATAACCAAAATGTTGTGAAACAGGCTGTCGTGGGTCAGGATTGGATGTTGGCGAAAATGATGGTCTGGAGGACTGGATTTCCGGCTGATTAGAGCAGTTCTTATAAGACGGTGCGAAAACATCTTTCAACACAGGCGGTGGCCCTGATGGTTGGGAGAATGGGTTCAGTGGGCCCCGGGGAGCATCTGGAAACGGCTGTCCCGCTGCGGCTGATAAACTGGCCTGGGGGGCTTGAGAGGAAGCGGACAGAGGTGCGGTAAAGGAGATTGACTTGTCTCCCAGAGCCTCGTGAATAGACGGGAGAGACTTGCGTAGGCCAGGAGACTCCTTCTCATCCCGGGTGGAACGTCTGGTGGTAGATTCTGGGGGAGAAATGTAGCCAGAAATACCGGAGGCGGAGCCAGCTGTTGAAGGAGCACACGAGTAAGGGGGTGGAGGACCAGAATGTGTGGTGGTGGGACTGGATAATGGAGCTGTTGAAATACTCAGACCGTTCATCAAGTAATATCTTGAATGGTCGCTCTTGTCGCCCTTGAGGTGATCCAGGTCAAGATGGCTGATTGATGGAAGCGTATCTCTGTTTGGTAACACTGTTAACATATTGGTCTAGGCAAGTATGTGAAGAGCGCAAACCTACCTGGGCCTCGTGCCAATATCCATGGCTGCCATTGCGAAGTATCAAGACACCGCGGTGGTGGCCTTCAGTATAAGTTTAATGGGGAGACGAGCCAGTAGATCATGTGGGCGGACGAGAGGTGAGGACCTCTTCTTTTTTAATGTATGTTTCCGTGCCGATTTCAAGATCGTCTGCCGTGGCGTAACGCAGAGTCTTGAGGCTGGTGCCTTTTCTGCCAATGGTGCAGCCGGGTATGCAAAATTCGAGCCGATGAACGCCCTCTGCTCCTTACTAACCACCCTCTGGAACCTGGCAGACAACCGGCGATCTCGGGCCTATGCGTATGGAGGGAGGGAGGTTTCCGAGTTGAGAAGGATAAATAATCGGTCAGTGGCTTAAACGGTCGTGCAATTGAGTCCAGTGCAGAGTTCCTTTGCGTGCGGGAGACAGGTCGGCAGCGAGTAGAACAGCGAGTGTATTCAGAATAGAGATTTCGTCGATTATGGCAGACTATTTGTCCAGCAGTAGTGGAAATGGTGGTAATCGTAGTGACGAGAGATGTCGAGGTGGCGGAGACGAAATGTCGGATTGATTGAGTGTAGAGTGTTGTGAAGTTCGGGTCGAGAAGAATGGATAATGAATGGTGACGGGATGGTGGAAGGGAAAGATGAAAATGAGCAAGTCTTAGAGCGAGATGCAGTTGCGGGCGGAGAACAGATCGAAAGATCGAGCGCTAGTCGACGAGGTTAATCCGCTTGCAGGGGCATCAGAGGCCATAACTTACGGAGGACTCTTACGAGTGATGCGGTGGGCGGTGGGCGGTGGGGCCCAAAGACCATCGGCTCCTGGGCCCTGGGGCGCTTCCGCAATGGGGACTTGATGGTGGGAGGTTATGGGCATGGGTCATAGACATTAGCAGGCACGATAGGCAGCTATGAAGCAAATCCTCTCGTAACTTAGACACACCGAGTCAGTATGATGGGGGGCAGTCCGTAGCGGGTAAGGGACATCAGTGGGCTACTGGCCACGGCTGAGACTGGCAGGTGGGTTCCTAGCAGGTAAACGTTTGGGCGTCGCGTCGGCGGTGCAGATTTTCACTTCCAAGCTACAGTATGGGTGTCTAGCTCTGGTTCTGCCACGGTGGGTAGGGCAGTCGACAGGCCCATATGGACAGGGGACAGGGGGCGATACCTTGTCCGGGCAAGTGACAATCGAACAGGGGCCATCCCCTGCGCGAAGATCATGCCCGGGACTGCTCTGTGTTCTGCGTCGAGAGGGCCCGTTCGGCCCAGTCGATTCATCCCTCCTGGTACAGTAAGACCGGGGCTGGTTCGAAAACCATCCACCGGAAACACATAGAAATTGGAGAAACAGTGATCCGTTGTGACAATGATTGTCAGGGTAACTTTATCTATCGGTACTCCGTTCTGTAGGAGCCGGAGGGAGTTAGCAGTGCCTAAGGAGTCACTTGAGTAATTATTACGGAGTACAAGTATCGCCGCACCAGGAGTCCAGGACACAACCTCCCACCTTACGTACCGCTTACTCTAAACAGTATCCATCACCTTGATTGGCATCGACTTCCAAGGCTATTGATTATTGTCATCATCTGTCTCAGTGGGAAATTCAGGTGCTGGTATAACACGACACGAGCTCGTGGCGGTTGTGCTCCTCTGACTGCGCACTTAGGTACTCCGGATCACATCCATTGCTACCAGGACCAGCCTCTGAGCCTCTGAGCCTCTGAGCCTGGGGAGAGTCTAGACTGGAGACCACCATCTTAGTGACTGAAGGAGAAACATGACTGAATCTCATGTAGAAACCAGAAACCAAAAGCCCCGTAACAGGTACTCCGTACTAGCCTGGTGGGTCTCTTGTTGCGCAGCATCACCTACCTAGGTAGGTACCTAATAGGTGCCTAATAGGTACCCAGTCCTCGTAGGTTATCCAGTAGGTATCCATACTACAGAGTACTAGTACCGGTTTTGTAGTACTTTGGCCCCTGGGAGTGCATTTCCATCATCATCAGCATCAGCATCATCATCATATCATCATCCATCATCCACCATGCCTCGTCCTCTGGGCACATCCTTGTTAAGCGAGGCGCCTCATCCGCACCGATAAAACCATCCACCTAATGTCCAACCCCGTTAAGCCCTAACCAGTTCGTCACTACTCGTTCCCTGCCCGGAGTACTCCGTCCTTGATAATTACTATCCTCCCGCATCTAGAAACCATTGTGCGGCACCATCATGTACGAGTACTCGGTCCATTCATCCATATGAGCAGGTACCTCGAACTCCATGCATACCCAGTTATTATTGCTATCATTCTCCAATCACTGCACACAGCTGCCCACTTCGAAACAACATCTGTAACCCATCGATACTCCAAAGGCCATCCCCCAGTTTATCCTTGCTCCTTGACCACAGCATTGTTTTATCATTCGTTGTCTCATCAGCGCATGTTATCGCACAACATATCCTCGTACAAAGTTGGAATCAAGGAACAATTCGGACATGCCGGCGATGAAAGCGATGAAAGCGATGCAGCGTCTCCGAAAGCTCCGCTGAGTCGCTGGTTCCGGCACCGTGGTCTGATCAAGCTCCTGCGCCATACCTGCCCTCCCGAGTAAGAGTACTAGACTAACTCACACTGTGGTCAGTCAGCTTGGGCGACACGTGGAGTTTAATTCTATCTGCTTTCTTGACCCTACATACTCCGTACTCGGTACTCCGTACGTCGCATCGAATCTCGGCCAAAGTCAGATCTAATGCTGACGTATCAGAACTACCAGATCTCAACACCCTGGAGCCCGTAAACCTTTTGACGACGTGATCGACTGGTCATGATCGGACAATCTCACAGGACTCCATCAATCTGACAAGCCACCATCTAAGACTACCACCTCACTCCTCCCATACCTGCCCCATATTCTTAGTTTCACTCTATTGACTCAAACTTTGTCGGTCAGGAGCCGTGGATCGACGACAATTCTCGGTTATCTGCTATTGACCGAGACCAACACTGCCACTAAAGTCTTGGGCATACGAGGTCCAGTAACTCTTACATGCCCAGGTGTAGAGATGAATTGATCACGGCTGGCGTCCGATGAACACGAAGGATCGCTTCACTCGCGAGCCTGCGATACGAAAACCAGTTGAGCTTGTGCTCACTAAGCATCCGCGAGGCTCGTCACGTATCTCGCTCTCACCACGCGCCCCAGGTTGACAGGAGGAATGGGTCGGAACTCAATATGAGGTCAGTACAACGCCACCCGGCCATTGGCATCGCATGCAAGAGCGACCACGCCGTTGTTCCTTCTGGTAGCCTTGGATACGTTCTACAGCACGTTTCCCATATTGCGGAGGGGCGCAGTTGACAGCTGTCAAGGACCCTCCTCCCATTTCCCTTCACCAAGGTCGCTTCCCGTGAGTACCGTCAAAACTTGCACAATCTCGTTCTCATGGTGGCAGCCATGCTTGAGTATGTGGTGAGAAGCCTCCCACACGTTGGCATGTTCGGGGTACCGGCCTTCTCGCACTCCGCTCTCCTTGGCCCAGGCTGGTGAATGACACCTGCTCCATCGCCGCACCTACCCGATTTAGGAATGTAAAGAAGCTTAATCGGTAAAAGGTGCGCAATGCACGTCCCAGGCTGCCAGACGCCTTCCAGAAACACCACTCAAGTCAATCAATCAAGGTCAATTCCCAATCTCGCTTCTTAACTTCATGCTCCTGGGCGTCTGTTAGCCGGCCTGCCAATGTAAAACGCGATGCCCGCCCGAGATCAAAACTTTGAAGGGCTTCACTTGTCAAGAAATGGCCGTGTAAGAAGTTAAGAACCCACTGAGAGTTCTGGCGTTTCAGTAGCGCCACGCCCCTACCGGATAAACGGTTACGTGAATTACCCTTCCGCCCCTTGACCCGGCAGCAAGGCATAAGAATCCACCAGATCCACGGAAGAATGTCTGCAATAGACCAAGCACCAACAATAATGGGAAAATGGATACACATCACAAGAATGACGATGTTGGATTCTGCCAATGGTGTACTCTGTGCTCCGGACGGCGTGCATATGTATGGAGTACTCTGTACCTCGTACGGGTGCATCATCTCAGAAGTGGACATCGCTTCGTTTGTTCTTGTTGCGTTCTAATGGAATCGCCACTAACACGTGGCGGAGTGAGTCAGATCGTGATCTCAGCCTTGGCATAACCCCAAGCGGTATAGGGCCACGAAGTGTGGCAAGTGGTGACGAGTCGACTGCCACCCTTGGGGCGGCATCTTCCTGGTGCTTCAACGCCCGCGCTGCGGACCTATGGTTCCCGGGGAGCTATCCGTGCCCAGCCTAGGCTCCCCTCGGGTGGTCGTCTTAACGAGACCCGACAGCCAAAGGGGGCATGAGGCCCTGCAGGTTCCGGATATGCCTGAGTCTGTGGCCCATCTCTCCGAATACTGCAGCTCCATCTCCATCTCCATCTTCATCTGGGTCTCACCCTCCTCAGATCCAACTGCATCGCCGATCAAAAAGATCTCCTGCATTCTTAGTGCCGCTACGCTCGACACAAGCTAGCGAATCTGGGATCATTCCTAGGAGTGTGCCTCACACCTCGTACGCATGCTCCGTACTCCGTACTGCTCCGTACAATGGCTGTAAACTATCATGCAACCGACGTCGCACAAAACTGTGCACCAAACAACCACTCGACAAGACAATCGAACCACTTTTTGTGAAAGGCCTTGTCCTTCATTATCCTCACTAGCACCTGATCATTTCCTTTCCGATGCCACTGGATCACCTGAGACACTCAAAAGGCTGATTTGATCACAGGTGCACGTCCCCCCATCCTCCTACTGCATCCGCTATGCAGCCACTTTCAACGCTCGTGCAGAAGCGATGCATCCCAACCATCGCCCACTGCCACTCGGATTGGGCGGTAAAGACTTCTCCTATACCGCGTACCTCGTATGTGTCCTCTGAATGTCCGTTGCATCGGTGACATAGCAACTCGCACAAGTGGTCTCGAAGGTGAACGACTATCACAAAAGCGACCATCTGGCTAGCTTGGGGGGAAATGCTCCACATCTGCTTTCACCGGAAAAAAGGGATGCCTTACGCTGCTCACAGTCCCCCATTTCGGTGTCTGTGTCTGAGTCGTCTCGTGCCCACCAGCATCGTTTGAGGCTGTGTGTGTGACAGACATTATTCTCTGCCAGAGTGTTTCGGACCATGGGCTGGTTTCTCCTCGAAGCGCCGATGCACATCTCCATTCGCACAGAGTTCGAGTGACTCGCCTATTTCTCGTCTAGTCAAGACGGAGGCCGTGACTATGGCCTTTTTTGGTGTTGATTCTGGCCAAAAGAGTGCTGGCTTCTCGTCTGCGTCAGCCACTCGGGGCATTTAAACCTACAGAGTTCTCCAGCGAGCCTCGGAAGCGATGGGGCTGAAACCGTTTCGCCTTCCCAGAGGGCACCATACCACAGTTTGTCTCTGCCACCAAAGGCCCCTAAAATTGCAAAGAATTCCGGTGCCTGAGAAGACAATGGTTCAACAGCCACGCACTGCGACTGTCCTTGGTTACGAGTAGTGACCATGGCAAGCAATCGGAAGACTCCTGTAACACACGCATTACGCCACGCACACGGACCCTGGACCTATATCGAGATGTTGCAGTTCAAGCTGCATATGTCAAAATCCAAAATACCGTTGTTACCCCAGGAATGCTCGCTCCTATCTGGCCGCTATTGGTACAACAAAGAGCCGACTTGTATGTACATCTCTCCCCTTCAACCACCGGCCTATCTACAGCTGCAGCGTCACGCAACGTCCTTCTTGCAGTGGTTCTCCAACCAGAGGTTGACAAACAATCACAACTTTTCGTAAAACATGAAATTTCTTAACATGCACTACGGAAGATTGTCACTCCTTTGATGCAACTCTACAAGTCTGACACCGCTGATCAATTCGTAGAAGATTGCATTCTATTCAGAGAGGAGGCACTCCCTGTCAGCGGTGATCGGATGTGGTGAAGACTTGGCCGTAGCTTTCTACGACTAACCCTATCTTGAATTACAGGCTAGGCGCACCTTCCTAGTCTAAGAACAAATGTCACTTGCACAGGTAAACAGGACAAGCCATGGATGTGCTCAGTTTCTAGGTGGTTGGGCAAGAATGGGGATGGTTTCTGCCTTATTTTACTGACAGCCGCAGGCAAGTCGTCACCACTTCTGGCGAGTCTTCCTCGAAGATCGTCTCCTTCCCCTGTCTCAAAACAGCTGGCTGCTGTAGGCCAGATGGAAACGTCTCAATCAGCATCTTCTCACTTCGGCCGTTGAGAAATCAACCGATTGATCCGGTTAGAGTATCTCCAGCGTCCCCGGGAACCCAATATGACAGCGGCTTCCTACAGATCCAACCAAATTAATTGCCGAGCTACTACAGCAGGATCCCAGGCTCGCAGACCTCCTCTTAGGGGCGAGATCAACCACTCTCCCTCCATGTATCACGAGAGTGATATTTTGGTGAACAATGCCCGGATATGGCCAATATTGCGATCTCGCTTGTGAAGGTCTCACAGATCTGCCCCAAATGCGTGTAGACTGGTCTTGGACGGTGATGCAGGTAAATCCTGCATGTGAGAAAGTTGTCAAAAGTATCATCGGGGTCATCTCAAGCCCAGCTCAGGACGACTGGTCGAGTCTCAGGTAAGCCTCCAAAACTCGAAACTCGTTTATAGACTGCAGAGTCACCAAACCAGGAGGACGAATGACAAGAGTCTGATTTGATGGCTGTCCTTTGATGAAAGCACAACATGAAGTGAGCTATCCTTGCACTGTCCGATCTCCGAAAGGGGGTGCTCATGCTCCGCGATATCCGGTCCGACATCTACTGTACTCCTAGTTTCGGGTAATAGTAAGAGTTTTTTTTTAACAAAAAGAAAGGAACAAAAAGCACAACGCAGAGTATGCAAGCGATCGTAATGTCCCGCCCTTCTCCGTGACAGGAGAGTCTACCATGAAATTTTCCGAAACCTAGGGAGATAGAAAGCAGCACAGAAAATCTGATGGTGAGGCGTCGTGTTTGGTATACTCTTCGGATGGAATGAGGGTCGTGCTCTTATAGAAAGTTTTTCAACGCAAGGAGCCAACCCAATCTTATCCGTTCAAAGAGGCTGGCGTGTCCAACGCATCTCTGTACCTGAGGATGGTTTAGTAGGAGCGTGTTCCATTGTCACTCTGAGCCTGTTTGCTTCAGGAAACCCGTCGCCATGAGCCAATATTGGGACCAAATTGGCCCTTTGATTGCCAAGAAATTTTGGTCTCATGAAGATATGATATTTTTGAACTCCTCAAGTTGGTCTCTAGGCCTCAATCGACCCGTCGAAGATTGTGCTCGGTGGTCCAATAATGTTTTGTAGTGCCCATGCACATCGCACATATATCTGTGTGTATTATGTTTCACATTTTCCCCTCCAACGCCATGCCAAAGCGAAAAATATATCACAAATCGTTACCGTTGCCATTGCCGTTGCCGCTAATTTGAACACGTTTCGTGGTCACCCACCACAATCGATTACCGTTTCGGCGATGGAGGAGAGGGCTTATGGCCGGTTTTCAGCTCTTCCCAGAAAAGGGCCAGGAAGTTCTTGACCCCTCTCCCTGCTTCTTTCTCGGCTACGCGATATTCAAGTCAACGAGCTAGCTCTTCTATTTCGATCTTGTCCTGGTCTCCCTAGTTCATGTGCGAGGTCCTGTTTCGCTTTTCGGCAATCTTGTGCTAGATTTGGGAAGCGTAAAGAATTGGGAGGGTAGGACGTACGATTATGTGTCCCACCATAATACTCGGGCGGTTTGCCGTGTTGCATTTGATGAACGGTCTTATGCACGCGTTGTACGCCTCGGTGGAAGGCAGGACTTCTCAACAACTATTTGGATCCAAGTCGTCAGTCAAACTCCGGTCGTGAGTGAGGCGGCTCCAGCATACAGCAACAGGGCGAAGGGGAATGGGGCGCGAAGGACGGGCCATGGTTTACCGTTTCTACCATTCGTTTCTGCGGAGTTTTGCTGTGTCAGTCGGGGTGCAATATATTGGTTAGGAGCATTAGTTAGACGGAGGGGAGGAGGCGCATACCTCAAGCAGCCAGAACCAGGACATCGTGGGCAGTGTAGGTATTACCGTCTTAGCATGCGAAGGGTAATGGTTAGATATATACGTCTGTTATATATATATATATATATGTACAAGGTAGTTGGGCGTAGACCGTTGGGCGGAAGCTGGCAGTTGATGAGATGCTCGATGAATTGCTTGGAGTGGAAATGGATGATGATTTCAATATCACGTGTGGCTTCGAAGACAAATTCGGAGCGGCAAAGGAGAGAAGGCCAAGTGACCATGAATTGGCAGGGCGATGTCAATACCTGTATTTGCAAAACTCATGGCGGAAAATGACACGGGCAAACTCTCTACACTAGTGCTGTCTGACTCGTTTTTCGATACTCTGACGGCCTCATGACAATACGGCTCCTGCAAAATGAGGTCAGCGGTTGGGACTCGTCCTCCAGTCAGCCTCACCAACTTCCATGACTTTCCCAGTGATTGGAACAGATACTGTAGCTTATCAATAAGTCATATCCTGAGCGACGAGGCTACCCATTATCCTCCTCCCGAACTTTGACGCTCAACTGCTCATTCCATCCAAGTCGTTTCTATCAAGACAGAAGGGGCCCTATACGCATCACCGAATCCCACGAATAAATCCCGCTTGAGGTTGGGGGCCGAGCAGTCAGCAGCGACAGTGATATCTCTCTTCACGGGTGGTGCTCTGACAATCAAAGACCTGACTCTTCTTATGTTTAAACGGGCAACAACGACAGTACCCTTCCTGTGACACTCTTCAATTACTCGGCAAGCGCCATCGGAAGTCTAGCACACACAGCATTGTACAAATAGGCCACCTCGGATTCGGGAAAACTTCCATTCTCTCTCAATCTCTATCTCATCGTCATACCGCCATACCACCATTGCAAATATCACCAGGCGAATCAATTCTCTGTAGCCTCTTCGAAACGCTGTTCCATAGGCACAACGACCGTCTCAAAGTTTTTCACTGACAAACACGGCGCCGCTCCTCCAGATCCATCGGAGGAGGATTCTTCCAGTTCAACCGGTCCTAACAAGCGACCTTCATTATTCCACAGGCTACATATCCATTCATCGAGTCGACGAGCTAAAACCGTCCCCAACCTGACCATCCGGCCAACCACCTCCTCATCACTTCCACCTTTCTCCTCAGTTGAGAGCCGCCCTGGCACCTCTCATTCCGATGCTGCAACCATTGCTGAGATAAGTCAAATGATGCCGCGGTCGCTACACATTAGCAGCACACCACCAACCCAGTCCATCAAAAGACAGCGATCCCAGGAGAGTGGAACCAACGTTTCATTATCTGGACAAGTGGCTTCAAGTGGTGGTTCTGGTGCCTCTACTGATCATGATGACTTGGCCAAGACTGTGTCGGTGAAAATTCCTTTCTACTTGAACAAGACTCCCTCTGGTAGGTATCTATTCTAGGCCGCAGGACCTTACGTGAGTTGAGATGCACATAGCTAATTGTTGTTTACAGAAATTTCGGCTACTTTTAGTGATCTAGAGTGGACCCAACGATACCGCCTTACCCATGCTATCCAGAATCCTCAATCATCTCCTTATCGGGTTGATAGATCACTGAAGGTCATAGCCCGCAACCGGTATGCTAACGTGCAACCATGGGATGCTCTTAGAGTCCGCCTGAAGAAGCCCATCGGAGGTTCGGATTATGTCAACGCATCTCCCATTACGCTCACTAGTCGTGGATCAGAGCCTAACTCTCGCACTGCATCCACTGCCTCGGTATCGAAGCCAGACTCACAGCGCATTCAGACAAAATATATCGCAACCCAAGGGCCGAAAGAAGGACAGTATTCCCACTTTTGGCACATGGTAATGCAAGAAACGCCGGGTGATGTTGGAGTAATCATAATGCTGACCCGGCTGTACGAAGGACACAAGGAGAAGTGTGCCCCATATTATCCTGCTGACTTGGAAAACCCAAAGATAGTGTTGCCAGCATACGAGGACAGTGTTGAGGAAGAACATGATGGAGATCAGGACGATGGTGACCCTTTCCTGGACTCCCTTCTATTGAGCGCCGATACTGATAGTCCACGAACAGACTCGGAGACTAATGAGGATTCTTCAGATGGTGAAAAGTCGAGCGAAGAAGCGAGAGGCTCCGGGGTTGTCACCCTCTTGTCGTCTACCTACGATCAGCGACTCAAGTCTGAGGTTCGAAGGCTGAGGTTGACTGTTGGGAACGAAACCAAAGAGATCTACCACTATCTCTACAATGGATGGCCAGATTTTGGCAAACCAGAAGCCGATGATCGCTTGGCTCTGATCGAGCTTATCAATGTTTCGAGAGGCGTTGCCAAAGGTTCGCCGAGGATTATTCATTGCTCTGCTGGTGTGGGTCGGACAGGCACTTGGATCGCCCTGGACTACCTTCTCCAAGAACTTGAGGCTGGAAGGCTGCTTGAGCCTTCGCCACGTCATACAATTGCTGAACCCTCATCCAAGGCGAAGGCAACAACACCACAGAAAACATGGGGTCGCAGTGGCCCCTCAAAACCTAGTACACCTGATCCTCCGGAGGAGGAGGATATTATTTGTGAGACTGTTAATTCTTTACGCGACCAACGAATGATGATGGTCATGAATGAATTGCAGTACAGTTTCCTCTATGAGGTGCTGAAAGACGCATTTATTGAAAAGTACGCCGAAAAGGAGACTGGACCCATCATCATCGAGGTTCAAGAACCAAGCCCAAAAGTTGCAAGAAAAAGGAGCCCATTTGGTGGGATGTTTGACGGTACATATTCTGGAAAGGGTCGCGGTGAAGACGACACAGTCTCCGAAGCGGAAACGGAGATCATAGAGAGAGAGAAACTTACCACGAGTGGTGATGCGGGCATCACCACTCCCGATGTTGCGGACATAAACGACCCATATTCGGCTGTAGCACCGGACACGATTCGACAGGGAATGGAAAAGACCAGACAGGACGATGTACATGATCACGAGGTGAGATGACCCAATGTGCAGATCGAACATAGAATGGGGCTGGAGGAACAGCGTGGCTGTAGATGGGGCTTACAGGATCAAGAAGCGTCCACCCTCTGGGCGGTTCAATTGACTAGGATACATCCGAGTCTACTGCTGGAAAGAGTGATGACGTCCTGCGCGCGGAAAAGGGGGCATCCATCATAGGAAGGGAAGACAATTGCTCGGCATCGGAATGGAGTCTTTGCTTGGAAAATGACGGCTGTATTTCAGAACCAAGTCCCCCTTTCCAGCTCAGTGGGAGTAGAATATGACGTTGCTAGCTTGTTTCGCTCCTCTTATAATTCCCACACGAATAGACTCCTGGACGTGCATCCTTTAAGAGGTGGTTCACACCAAGCAATTGACCCATAGGTATATCGCTTGAAATGCTGCATAAGGAAGAGACTATCAGATATTTCTACTACTCCTGAGAGCGTGTTTGGCCAACGCCGAACAGAGAAGCTCTATTTAAGTCCTAGCATTACAACGTCTTCTACTTCTCCTCATCCACTATCTCTGCATCTAAATTCACTCTCTCCCCGAGCTCTCCAGTCAAGGCATGGAATCCAAGCAACCTCTCCCATTCCATCCTATTCTCTTCGTCACACCCCACATCCTCCCGCTAACTACTTCCGCAAATACTGACCTTGCGCCGGCGTTTGTCTGGCTAAACCTCCCTGACCTTCCCCGCGGTCCGAGGCACGAGACACCAGCTGACCCCAGTCGCGACGAACAGGCCTACGAGTATCGGCTGCAGGACCTTGACGCCCGCTTTGGCGGCGATCACGCCCGTCATGGTCGGGAAGAGTGAGCCCCCTGCTTGCGCGAGGACGAAGATGAAGCCTGGGTTTGGAATTATCATCGGAGGTTGGGATGGGAATGGGAACGGAATATTGTTTGAGAATGGGTGGGTGCGTGGTTCTGGGAGGAAGAGAGATGGAGAGAGGAGTCCAGAAGGGTGGTTTGTTGAGATGTTTGAGGGCACGGTGGGAGACAGACGGGCAGGATAAGTGGATGTCTTACCGAGTGCAGTATGCTGGATGGATTTCGGACATAGCTTTGAGGCAACTGATATGCCCTAATAGTTGTCGAACTAGGCGTGAGCAAATGACCTTTCAGGCTCGCCGGGTAGGGGGAACGATGATGAGAGAAGGGCAAGCGAAAGAAATGGGGACCAACCGTAGCAAAGAAAGGGCCTGAGAAGAAGCCAAGGGCGACATAGACGACCACCCCAGAGATGAGGTTCGGAATAAGCCAGAACATGAGCTGCAGCGCGAGGCAGATGACGATGTAAAGGAGGATCATCCTGCGCTCGCCGAAACGGTGTGTTGGCTCCGCGAGCAACAGGCGGCCCAGGAATCCGCCCCCGCTGAGTGCGGCGGGCACGTAGCCCATGGACGACAGCGAGCCGGAGCGCTCTTGCACTAGGTATTCTACCACCCACCCGGACACGGTGATGACGGCGCCAAGGTAAAAGAAGTAGAACATGCTCAGGAGCCAGACAGTGCGCAGGCGCAGGGCTTGCTTGATTTCTTGAAATGCTTGTTTGTTTCGAGCTCGGGTGGTGTAGTTGGTGGCGGCATTGACGTTGTCCTCCGTCTGGGGCGAAACCACGGCTTCTTCGAGTTCTGTGCTCTCCTCCCTTCGCCCTGTCGACTGGTCTTTGCGTTCCTTCCGCATGTCGCCACCAAAGGCGATTAGCACAAAGACAAGGTTTATGGCTCCGAGGCCTGCCTCAACTGCATATGTAAGGTACCACTTAGTATGAGAAGCCACGGGCGTGGCGATCAAGGGCCCAGTAAGACAGCCTAGCATATACATTGCGTGGATGAAGCCAAGCCATCGGTGGGCGACGGGGAGGCTGGCCACAAAAGTGTTGGAATAGCTATCCTGATACGCTTGGCCCAAGGCTGTCAACAGGAATGTAATGGCAAATAAGGGAAACGGGGGATTCCAGAACCGCAAGAGCTGCGCCACCAACTGTAATATTGCGCCGAGAGACAGCGTCGCACCAAGTCTCAAACGAAGTGTCGTCGTAAGATGGGTGTTCGTGAGTGCAGATAGCACCCAGCCAATAAATGTGGCCCCGTAGCTGTTGCGGTTAGTGAGACGAACAGGGATATACCAACCCCAACCGGACAAGGTCGGGTCGATGAGGAAACGGCATACGTGACTGTAACCAGGCCTGTGCTGATGTTGTACCTGCGCAGTATATACGGAAGCAGCGGTCCAATAGTACCGTCGTTCGTTCCAGCATAAAAGAAGGAAAAGCCAGCACAAGCAAGTTTCAGATAAGGCCGAGCCATCTTCGGCGGTGGTTGGCGATACGGCTCATTTTCCAGGACTGGCTGAGGGGCATCTTCTGGATGGGTTCCAGGGTCCCATACGCCCTGCTGTCGTCGATTCTCTGTCATGGCTCACAACATTGAATATGCAAGAGTTTGAAATTGGAGCATCTGCAAGAAACAAGAAAGTGTAGATGTTGAGTGGGAGGTGCTAATCATCCTGACGTCTATAGAACGGACCGGTTAATACTCGGATGTCGATATCCCCGCAAAAAGGCCCGGCTCAGTGTGGCCGGTGAGTGCAAACGGCGATGTTGTCTTTCTTGGCCTGATCACTGAGCAGAGTCCTATGAGAGTAGACAGGGTCGGAAAGCGGGGTTTGTAGCTTCTACAGTAAGTAAGCAATGGTGCAACACCTCCTATGGTGGAGTGGTGGGGAACATATCTCGATCTTGCTCAAGTCGAAGGAGAATTCCCAAAAAAGGAGAGTAGGCGACGACGTACGCACCAGATTGGTAATTTCCCCTCGATGCTTTGTGCGTAAGAGCGAAGGAGACATCTGTGACCGCTTGGAACGAATGCTCTCTCACCCAAGATTCCAGAATCATTGAAATAGGCCAGGATATAGCTGAGGCTTGCCTATTATTCTTTAAATCACTCGAAGCATACAAGGCTCTTGAAGGCAACAAGAACGACAACGACCATGCTAGAGTCCATGCCTAATTTCGAATGCACCAAAAGTTCACACGGCCTTGCGCCCAGTAAACCAGTAGTCGACACTTTGGTATCAAGGCAGGCCAAAAGGCAACCTGATGATTCTGAGGCTCTGACTAGTTGGCTCCTTCTGCCGTTAATGTAGCTTTCGCTGTGTGACTCTGACCTTGGAATATGGCAATGCAACCTGTTGGTGGTTGCATACTGTGTTCTAGCCTGCTCAGTGACACGGCAACTCTCAAATGCTTCTTGGTTGCATCCGTCTCCCAGTTGGCAGAATGAAATCATATCACAGAGCGTTGAAAGAGAAGAATGGCCAGGCTGCTTTGAGATCTAAGTTTACCTTGTATGATCCCGGATTCCGTTGTACACACTATGAAACTCAGCCTTGCGCGCCGGTGTGATCGGATTTCAGATAGCCGTTGAACCAGGGGCTGGTGGGAATTTGGAAATGACGTAGGATGTTGTGCCACGTGACGGGCACGTGACCCAGGGGGGAGCGGACAACGCCTCAGGCTCCATCCCAGACCTCCTATTTTCCGCTTTGTGACACTCCCAGCTTCAGCATCAACCCCTTCAGCAAATCCGAGCGTCCCAGACTAGACTCGGTTCATCCTTCACTGCCAAGGGTCCGAGGAGGTCGGGGTACTTAGTCTCAATCTCCTACCGCCAATTCGACAAGCACTGTCACAGCTGCCGCCCTCTTACAATTCCACACGGTCCTGAGGGAATTTGACATGGTCCCCAGGCGTCCAGCCAACGCTGGCATTCACGCAAAGCCAGATTCTTGAGACATGATTGCTATTACGGCAGCGTTCTCAATGCCTTTGCACAGTTTGTCTTTGGGCTCATGGAATTCGTTGGGATTCGGATGGCCAACTGCGAAGGGCCGTTGAATCCCCGTTCTAGATTGCCGCCAGCAAACACCCGCTAATGTTGACGACTAATGCGTGAAATATCCGCATCTCATCCCAGCACGATGACGACGATTGTCACATTGATAATTCGCGTCCAAGGGAGCCACAGGCAAGTTTATTTCAGGCCGCACGTTTCGGTGGGTTGAGGCGAGGAAGGCTAAGCTTTGGAAGCGACCCCTGGCCTTGCCCGTGAAACCCAATTCAAGACACCGCGTGCATCAGCTTCGAAACAAGCATTTGGCGTGCCAACCATCCGCATAATCTGCAATGAGGGAGGTGTGTATTAAAGAAATCTTCCAAGACTTGATCCTGTCCTTGATAGATCGAGTTCTTCCTCCCTCTGACCATCCATACCCATTCTTCTTTTCATCTTCATTCATTCCTTTGCTACCGCTGGCCGGCCAGTACACGTTCTTTTCACGAGCCAGACTCTCCTTTCCAACAAACTTTTGAATCTTTGGACCTTTCCCAACCGAGCGTTTCCGAATTTCCTGTCGATCACCATGCTTGTCAAGACATCTACCCTCGCCATGCTGATGGCTGTGGCCTCAGTTTCGGCAAAGGCCAAACCACAGTCGATCAAGGTCCAACCAGACTTTGGTTTCTGCGTCCCAACCATGAAGTTTCAAGGAGGACTCGGAGGACGACCCGCTGACGAATTCGCCTTCCGCGCTGTCGATCCTGTCGTTGCGCAGGACTCGAAGTCGGCCATGAATCCAAGTGAGTAGAATGCAGAGCGAGCCTCCACAATTTGTACTAATCCCAACATAGACACTATCACCGCTCAAATCTGTGGACAACTCGCTACTTCTTGCGAAGCTAACGACGCCGCTGTGGCGCTCTGCAGAGATGCTCAAGCCCAAATTGAGGCACTGGGCACTCGTGACCAGACTACAGCCGATAACTGGAACGACATCATCACCAGTGGCGCCACCCCAGCCGTGACACCCGAGCTCAAGAGACGTGCCGAGAGCCGACCTGAGAGGCGACAGATCGAGTTCATCCCTTGCTCCGCTGATCGATGGATCGACGAGTGCACCGGTTGGCCCAGGAAGAGAGATGAAACCGTCCAAGAGGCAGCACCCGTCAAGAGAGACGAGGGAATGCAATACGCACCTGTCAAGAGAGATACCACCGCCGACAAAGTCACAAAGAGAGCAATCCCGTTCCGACCTTGCGACGCTGAACGATGGATCGACGACTGCACTGGCTGGCCTTAGATGTGTCATGCCCATGCTTTAGTCTCCATTCCCCTGTTTCTCGTTTCTTTTTTGAACCGGAAATGCCCTCTCGTGTGGCGTGTTCAACTACCCAAGAACTTCTGCCTTTTAAAGAAAATCAAATCACATCAAACCCTCGCGGGAAGATTCTTAAAACAAACCGTTTTGGAGGAGTTTCTGAGACCCGAGATCTCATGGAGTAGTTTAGGCTGGGGCGTTATCCGCACATGTGCAGTCAAAAATCCCACACGTGCCTTGTGTATTCTTACGAGTTGTTCTGTTTTACTCCACACACATACTAAGAGTGGGTGGGGGTGGGCATGGTGGATATCGATATATTAGCCCAGGGAAATTTCGTGAAACTACGAATAGAAAATGACGAAGTGCCCTTTCCCTTCCATAACGTAGCGAAGCCTTGATGTCATCACGCAATTGGCGATAGCACCTACATAAGTATTTCAGATGAAGCGAGATGCTCCCTCAGGCAGTGCTGAGAGTGGTGGGTGCGGATTAAATTTGGAAATATTGACAACTAGATGGAGATGGTTCCTTGTACCAAGGGATGGTGGTATGGACGGCGGCCGCCAGCTCTCAGCCACACACTTTGACAGCCCGACTCAGCCTCTGCGCTCGTTCTTCGCGCATCGAGTACTTGGTGTGCCACAGCACCTGGACACTGACGAAATCAATTTCTGATATGCTGGCCCTGGCCGATCTCAGCCCTGTGCATCGTGGTCCGCAGAGCCTGCGACGCAACACTCTGGACGAGCCCACTGGCGTCAAAGCCGATGATAAAGGCATCGGTCGCCAAGTTAGCGTAGATGTAGTTGTCGACTTGAAGCCACAGATCATTAAACTCGGACCACCAGTCTCCAGTGACAGGCTCGCCGTTAAAGCGCGACACTTCTAGACGGTAAGCGAAATAAGTAATGCCGGCATCATCGTAGGTGAGCTTGGTCGGGAAGAGGCGGAAGCTGCTGTATGCGGAGAAGAGGTCGTTGGCCAGGAAATCGACTCCGTTGCTGATCCAGCCTGTCACGGCGACCCCTGGGCCGTCGTCTACTGTGAGTGTGATCGACGAGTTGGCGTCGTTCGATTTGAATGTGCCCCTGAAGGCTTGGCTGGCTTGCTCCTTGGCTGCGGCATCTGCGGCTTGGTACTGAGGCGCCAGAGGGTTAGCAGAGCTTAGGGAAATGGGAGACGGTTCCATTGGCGACTCACAAACAGCTCGATCACGGTATCTCGAACAGGAGGTACCTGTCTGTTCGGGCTGACACCTGCTGCCATCACCGAGACTCCAATTTCGAGATCTGGGGCAAGTCCAAAGTAGGTGGAGTACTGTCCGACGTCGCCTTGCTTACAGTAGGTGTCCACAATTCGCCCTGCATTGATAATCTCATTCGAGGGGATCTCTAGACGATAGATCTCGAATGGAGCCTAGCAGAGGATTTTCCCTGTTAGCGAATGCGTTCCGTTGCACGTGGATTGAGACCTGACTTACACCGACGGCAGATGCCCACTGAGAAGTAAAAGATCTGGGTTTCAACCAGCGCCCGGTCAGAGCACGCGGCAAATGGGTGCTTTTCAGAATGGCCTGTCCCCATGTTCTCAGATCTTTGGTCGTTACATATTGACCCCCAGCCCTGTGATAAAGCACGGGTGTCAGCAAATTGATCAGGTTCGAGAGAATAGCGGTTTTCTCACGGAGATAGGAGCCCTAGATCGTAGGTGAACAGTGCAAAGGAATCGTTGTAGGGGATGACTGCATCGACCTCACTGGTCGGAGGCCGAGGATAGGACGAAGTTGCGCCCAACTTGTTGTGGAACACGTCAGTCTGTCCTTCATCAATGGTGCGTCCCGTGATCTGTTCGTAAACCAGTCCGAGCAGGAGATACGCCAGATTGGAGTACGCTGGAGTCGAATAGGATTTGAACGCAGGTGGATGATTGACGATGCCCTGCAACGTTTCTGGGAGTTTCAATTAATCACGGTGAATCTCCAAATACATGGCAACCTACGTTCGCGCGTGCAGCTCGGTTGAGGTCCGTAGAAGTTGCAGGGTGGGAAATTTGAGTGATCAATCTCTGGGTATCCGACGGCAACAATCTCATCAACCGACGGTTGCCCCCATGTCTCGATGGAGAGATCTCCAAGTACGTCTGACACATTCTTAGCCTGGAACCAAATTTCAGCAAGGATTTACTCACAGTCCCGGCCGATGCCCGACAATTGAGAGGCGAGGGCGCCAATGGTCACCTCACTCCAGTTGGTTGAAAGTATTGGGTTTATAAAAGGTGCGCTAGCGAGCTCCGGCTGACAGACAGCAAATGAGTAGCTGTATATTTCGACGAGGGAGATCAGTGACTTACGATATACTTCGTGACCGGATCCGTAAAGATGTCGTCTCCGATATCAACCAGGAACGTGTACACCGTCATGAGTTTTCCAAGACTGCCACTTCTGTAGATCGTGTCTTCTGACAATTTGCCCTTGGTGTAGGAACCATTTAGACCTGGAGCTTCAAAATGGAACTCATACAGAGGTTTGGCATCAAACGTATTGAAAACCTGTAGGGAGAACGATGTTGTCTCAGTGTCGAATGGCCCAAAGGTGCTGTTTCCAGTCGCAATTATCTTGTTGATGGCCTCCGTCGCCTTTGCCGCCGCGTCCTCAAAGGCTTTGAACGAGCTGTTCTTCGCTGCTTGATAGACGGGTCCAAGGGTAGCGAGGTCAGCTTTGGGAGGGACGACAAGGTCGGCAAAGGCATGCAAAGCCAAGCTGGCGAACAGGAGAGTGCGGGTCAGAGCCATTTGTTCTTCTCTTGTGTCGGTGAATAGAATCAGCAAGTATCTGACCACTTGAAGCTAATAACTAGAGCTACACCGTCCACGGCAGTCTCGTATTGAATGAGAAGATGAACGAGCTGCTAGAGTGGACATTTCAGTTGGGAGATGTTGTGCTTTCATATCTACCGTTTCCCGTGGAGCTAGAGTGCGAGGTGGACGATGTCCAGCCATCTTTGCCCAAGGTATTGCGATATCTTCGAAGCCGACGTTACCATGAAGTGTGTACGGGTATGTAGCTCAAGTTTGCTTGCAAGCGATTATATGCTATGCTTCCGTAACTTGCGTTAGCCAATCTCTAGTCTTCTGGAGCTAAGAAACGAACACTGGGACTAAGTTGAAAAGGGGGGAAGTCGGAATGAAAAGCGGGGATGACCGGCTCTCTGTATGCAATCACATGATCAGGCTGAAAGACTTCTGCAATGTTCAGTGGTTGTGGTCCTGGATGGGATGCCTGACACCGATGATCGTAACGTAACGCAAAAAGGCAGTTAAGACAGAGTTCCCCTCCCACCAAAGAACCCCGGATGCCGATCGTGCTTGCTATCAGTGCCAAGATGGAGAAGACATCCCTCGTAGCTTGATACGCTTATGATCTAAACTCTTTCCTGACTGGTGACTCTCGTACACCATGGCCCTTTGATTGGTTCGCGCACGGCTATACACGGTTTAGCTGCAAGGGAGCGGCTTATAGGATGTATCGCATACTAGACCACTTTTCTGGCTTCCGTGTCCATCGCTTTAAGCGATCGTGCAATGCACACACAACGTGCTCGATTACCCAGTTCTGCGTTTGCCACTCCACCTGGGGAGCATTTGATGCCGTCGTATACCTTGGATCTACATTGGTCCTTCCATTTGTCTCGCAAGCCACAGTGGGATTGAGTATCAGCATAGATATCCGATATGCGGTTAACTGCGGTTTGACCGTCAGACCAGATAAGAAACGGTGACACTCAGAAGTATTTCATTCCTCCGATCACCCTCTCTCCACCTTGTCCCTTGTTCTCTACTCGCCCCGGTAAACTTGATCACAACTTTTCATAATGGATGCTAAAGGCGATATTGCTGAGGTCCATGTTGGAGGCGATGTCGTTCGATCTAGCATTGGCAAAACTGATGGCATTGAAATCGCGAACAACGGCGTGGTGGTCGACCATGGCCTTCACAGAGCGCTGAAGCAGCGTCATCTGCAAATGATTGCCCTGGGTGGTGTGATCGGGTGAGTTTCGCACTTGCCATACTTTTTTAAATCTTACGAGGCCAACAACACTGACAAACCCTCTATCAGAGCGAGTATCTGGTATGGAGTGGGGGCCTCGATAGCTGCCTCTGGGCCGGTAAGTTTACCCTGCCAGCCCTGCGAAAGGTGGCAAGACATTCTCGACTGAGTTCTGAGATTTAGATTGGCTCACTGATATCCTTTGCCGTGATTGGCATTGACGTCTTCTTCGTAATGCAAAGCCTTGGAGAGCTGGCTACGCTTTACCCAACTCCCGGTGCGTTCACCGAGCTGGCGGGTCGTTTCATCGATCCTGCTTTTTCGGTCGCCCTGGGTTGGAACTACTGGTACTTGGTAAGTGATACAAGGGAATATCTCTATACAACTCTAGGATCTCTCTAACCTATCCATAGTGGGCAAGTAATATCGCCGCCGAATACAACCTCGTCGCCATCTGCCTCAGCTTTTGGACAGACAAAGTGCCAGTCTACGGCTGGGTTTTACTGTCCTGGGCGTTCTACCAGGCAATCTCCCTCTTTGGTGTCATTGTGTACGGAGAACTCGAGTTCTGGCTCGCGTTGTGGAAGATTTCCTGTGTGATGGTCACATATCTCCTGGCGATCCTGGTCAACACGGGCGGAATAGGTGGTGATTACATTGGCTTCCGGTATTGGAAAGACCCAGGACCATTCGCAAATGGTATCAATGGCTTCGGGCAGTCGTTTGTCCTTGCAGCCGTATATCATTGTGGTACGGAAATGGTTGCCATTACTGGGGGTGAAAGCCGCAATCCAAGCAGAGATCTTCCGAAGGTCTGTATTAGCCCTTAAACTAAGCGCGAAGACGAGGGAAAATCTGGCTAACAACCCTTCGGAAAACAACAGGCAGTCAGAGCCACGATGTTCCGCGTGGTCTTCATCTACATGGGTATCATGTTCTTCGCCAGCATCTCCGTGGCGTCCAACGATGACGGTCTCCTCACTTCATCCAGCAGAGCAGCCATGTCTCCGTTCGCCATCGCTCTTAAGCATGCAGGCTGGAGTGGCGGCCCCCATCTAATCAACGCATTCATCTTCACCGCGACCTTCTCGGCGACGAATTCCTCCATATATATTGGGTCGCGCACGCTCTACGCGCTCGCTGATCTCGGACGTGCACCGAAATTCCTGCTCAAGACGTTCTTCGGCGGCGTGCCCGTCTACGCAGCGATCGCGACCAACCTAGTCGGACTTCTGGCACTGGTAAACGCAGCCAGCGGCGCGGCGCAGACCTTCAATTATCTCATCTCGCTCTCTGGCGCAGCCACCTTCATTGCGTGGGGAGGCATCGGCATCACGCATCTCCGTTTCCGACGTGCCTGGCACCTCCAGGGGCATACCGATGCAGAGCTCCCTTTCCGAGCGTTTCTGTACCCTTACGGTGCATACTTCATCACGATCCTGAACATTTTCCTGCTTTTCATCCAGGGATACGGAACCCTGCTGACGCCCTGGCATCCCGTGGACTTTGTCTTTTCGTACCTGGTCATTGTGCTGTTCTTGTTCATCTTCTTGTTCTGGAAGTTCTACAAGAAGTCTAAGTTTGTCAATTTGAGGGAGGTCGATCTATTGTACGGCCAGAGGCAGTTCTTGAGCAATGACAGCGAGGATGAGGAGAAGCCTTCGCTCTTTACCAGGGCTCTTCGCTCTGTCAAGAACAGGACGAGCGCGTAGAGAGCCACTTTAAATAGGCCTGAGTCAGTAAAGTACTCGGCGAGAAAGAGACAGAGCTTAGACCACAGTGACACGAAGGTGTGAGGAGCATGCGTAGACCATATTTTACAGCGGTAGAATATAGCTAAGTCGATCATTTTCAGACCTGGGCCTACCAGTTCCCGAGTACATAGGACCATTGAATGTCCGAAATGCTATATTAAAAAAGTACCTCCAATTGTTCCTTCCGTTCCAAGTTATCCTGCTGCGGTTGAAAAGCAACCACTGATGGGCAACGTGTTGCGCCCTGTTATTCTTCGGAATAAAAGGTCGCTTATCCACGGGCGTTGCATGGTGGGGCGATAAACCCACTCTTCAGTGGGAATAAAACTCTGACGATATCCATCATTCGGCTTGGATGCCAATATATGGTGACTTTATACGAGGGTGGCCCGTTTTTAAGGCAACCGATATTGAGGGTATATAGGCGAACTTCTGCCAAGTTATGATTGTCATTTCTCCATCCTTATAATTAATGCTATTGAGAAACCCAGGATTACAGTCTAGAGTGGTCGAGAAAAGACATGTCTTCCAAACAGTCATTAACAGCTAGGCATAATGCAGACAAGCAAGGACGTTCAAAGGGGTTGTCTTTGCCTGCTCTCATCTCTGGTATCCTCTTACTAGGCATTGCAGTCCTCTGGCTAGCTCCCAGGAGCTCTGGTGGAATACTCCAAACTATTCTTGGTCAGACGACGTCGGAAGCCGCAGATGTGCGTCTTGACCCGCAGGACTATGCAGGGCGTGCCCGCCAGATCTTGCGAAGCACGCCTTTGATTGACGGCCACAACGACTTCCCATACCTGCTGCGACTCCAGTTACACAATCAGATCTACGATCGTGATTTCGAGACCGAGGGTTCTGAAAGCCAGACAGACTTCCAGAAAATGAAGCAGGGTTTGATGGGCGGACAGTTTTGGAGTGTCTTCGTTCCTTGCCCAGAGGATCTCGTCCCAGGCGTGGATCACAATGATCCAAACAAGCGTGTCCCCGATCTGAACGAGCCCAACGTTCGTATTAACTCCTCAATAGCTCACAAACGACTCTTATGGGAGAATGCTGATTTCATTCGTAGTGGGCTGTGCGAGATACCCTCGAGCAAATTGACATCACCAAGCGATTAGTTGCAGAGTACCCGGATTCACTGGAACTATGCTTTTCACCTGAATGTGTTCGAAGAGTCCACAAGAGCGGGAAAATTGCCAGTATGATTGGAATTGAAGGTGGCCATCAAACAGGAGATTCATTAGGTGCTCTCCGCCTGCTCTTTGAAACCGGTGCCCGTTATATGACGCTGACCCATAATTGTGACAATGCTTATGGCACGTCATGGGTCAGCATGGATCTGAAGACCGGAAAGGATGCCGGGCTGACAGATTTTGGAAGAGCCTTCGTAATGGAGGCGAACAGATTAGGTCTCTTCGTCGACTTATCGCACGTATCCCACCAGACCATGCGGGATGTGCTAGAGGTCGCAAAAGCACCGGTGATCTTCTCGCACTCCGCGGCTTATAGTCTTCATGGCCATCTTCGAAATGTGCCAGATGATGTCTTGCGAAGCTTGAAGCAGAATGGTGGCGTCGTGATGGTGCCTGCAATATCGCTTTTCTTGAATTCTGAACACCCTGAAGAAGCAACGGTGGAAGATGTCGTTGATCACATTCTCTGGATTGCCGATATTGCTGGCTGGGAACATGTTGGGTTAGGCTCGGATTTTGACGGATCTACCTTATTCGTTAAAGGTCTTGAGGTATGTGTCATCTAATGGGTTGTGTCTCGCTTTCTCCGTCGCTTTTACATTTTGAACGGAGCTAATTTCTGGCAGGATGTTTCGCAGTGGCCAAATCTGATTGAACGGCTCCTTGCTCGAGGGAACGTCACCGATGAACAGGCCAAATTACTTGTCGGCGACAATCTGCTGCGTGCTTGGGCCGAAATGGAAAACGTTGCCAGGGATAGCCAGTTGGGAGGTGAGCGGCCGCGTGAGGAGACTTGGGAGGGAAGATTCTGGGAGACCGACGCTTTCGATGTACCCAAGATATTTCCCGAAGTCAAATGAGGGTCGGCGGGAAAAGGACATGGCAATATGCAAAAGCCGAGCCGATTTAGAGATGCAGGTAATGGAAAGATAAATTAGTGCACTCGTTGGAGGTCTTTCACTTCACTGTTTGCAACGGTGCCCACAATCTCCTAACTCCAGGACCGGGTTCGACTCACTGAGTTAGGGGTATGATAGAATGTCGTAATGGTAAGGAAGAACGATCCTCCGACGACCTTGAGCGAGCAGTCTCCCAGACTTTGCCACAAAGTTGTCCATGGCGATATTTCAAGACCAGGTACCTCTCGGACTGTTGCTGTACTTCGTCCCAACTTCCTCCAGCCTTGGTAAAGGGATAACTGCAAAGCTGCTCAATATACCACTCAAATAAGGGTGTATCTCGTGCTGTGAAGGCGCCAACAACCGTTGCCCATGTCAGGAGCTCTGGTTGCCTTTCTCCAATGCCGATCTTGTCGCATTCGTCAAGGGCTAACATGAGCGCTTTCGAGGCAGTCGCATGCAAGGGCCATTGTGCGGATGAAGGCTCAATAGATTCAGCCATATAGGTGATGATGGCTAGACGACATAGCTTGTGGAGAGGGTCGCGATGTAATGGGAGTGACAAGGCATCGTGCTGGAGGTAACGCCTGATAGCAACAAGAAAGTTGAAATCCATTCCACTCTGGGGTCCCTCCTGGAGCATCAAATCGAAGCTTTCGAGTAGACTGCAGATCCTTGTGGTCAAATTGAACAGGTCCTCCCCACCGTCAATTTCCAGCAAACATTTGAAGCCGTTCTGGCGAGATGCAAACTTTCTCCTTCTGTCAGGACTCCACTTTGCACAGATACTTTGTATCGCAGTGGTCGTGGACACTGGTAGGGGGAAAGTTGGCTTCCTCAGTGTACCTAAGGAATCTTGGACATCAATTCTGCTCCCAAGTTTAGCTGGGTTCAAATTGAAAAGGACCTGGTAAAGTTGAAACCTACACGTTGATCATCCCACGTAGATCCTCAACCATAATGCTCTCTAGTCCACCTTTACGCTTCGTGAATAACAAGACTGCATTAATATGGGTTTGATCCCACGGCTGACTCGAGTAAAAGTCATTATCATGGGACATTGTATCCTGCGCTCGTGGTCGTTGTTGAGGTGGTAGTGAGGAAGAGTGAACCCCAAGGATAGCAATTGACATCAGCATTGCGTCGCTGATAACTCCGTTGGATGTGTAAAGAGCATCTCTAACATATTTAATCGTTTCATGATGAGAGTTCAGACGCAGAAATTCAGTAGAGTGGTCACCTGATCCGAAGAAGAGCTGATAGCAACACCCTGCATATGTGATGGCTTGGAGCAGGTAAGGTGCTTCCATTGCGAGATGCATGGTAGTTGACCTCCATTTCTCAATGACTTGGGGTTGACTAGACGATGTAAAAGCAGGCCACTGATCCTTGATTGCTGTGGTAATTGATCAGTTTCTTTGCAGCTTGCAAGGGAGGTCAACGAAATGCGTGGCTCACGAACCGAATTGTACCAGAGACAAGGCTTCGCTCGGAAATCCCTGAATACACAGCACATCGAAAGGATCAATACGACCAGATGCTGGCTCTATTATTGGAGACGCACCTCCTGAAGATGTGGAGGAGGAGTGTTGGCTGCTTGAAGGCGTTGTGATAGCTGCAGAATCTTTGGGAGAGGGCTTGCTTGGAAGAATCTTCGAAGAGATACGAGACTCCGATTGACCATCTCTCCTTTTGCGCCTTTGATGGTGCACGATGGCTGCGTGCCGGTGCCGACGAAAGACTTGGTCTTTCTTGTCCACCGTTCCAGCTGGATTCCAGATCAGGAAAGTGGACGGTGCATCCTTGGTGTCGGACATGGCTAATGCGGTGGGTCATGGCACAAAAGTACTTCTGCCGCGTATGGAAGCGAACCACACGGAGATGAATGGACTGCTAAGCATCAGAATCACGTATTCAATGCGCCCTTGAAGTGCCTTGTCATGTGAAAGATTATTTCAAAGTGGTCAACCTCCATTCCAGCTGGAGATTTTGCTTTTCCCACCGAGCTCGTGTTGGGGCAAGCTTCAACCCGGTCTGGACCCCGCCTTTACATGCCGGGCTCGAGCACTTCGATATCTGATGCTTGAATTCAACAGATCGCATGAACTGGTATATCAGAAGCCTTCCCCCTGTTGAGATGAGGGTTCAAAACTAAATATAGAAGTGGGCATACATAAGAGAATGGACAGTCTTGGTCGATGGTCAAATCCCTCAGGAACTCAGGATGAAACAGGTCTGCACCTTCTCAAAACGGACGCAGATGCAGGAGCCTTGCCCCGCCCTTTCCGCCGCAAACATCAGTGGAAGGCACGAAGGACACAGTGTTACTCTCCTGTCTTCTAGAGGAAGGATATCCCCAGCTCGGTACGTAGAGAGTTTCCCCACACCCAACACAATCCGGGAACAGCCCTTCAGCAGTTCAATATGAGGCTTGTGGGCATGATAATGTCAAGCCCCAGCTTCGGAGACCTCTGAGATGTAGGCCATGGATGGCAAATGAGCTTCACATTTGCTCATCCCATGCTGAGTAAAAAGGAAATCTATAGGAACTTCATTGCTTTTGCCGCTCGCACGTATCCAGAGCTGTCCCCAATTCCCAGAGTCCTTTATGTGTGCTGTCTTCTATCGCGTCCCTTCTTGCTCTCAGCTCATTGCTCCATGCCATAGATCATACATCATCGCATCAAATCGTTAATGAATATTTGCTCCACTCAGTCCGAAGCCAGCCATTCCTGGAGTTCTAGATCCCTCGGATTCAGCTTCAGGAGCCAAGCTGCCTTCGATTCTTCGTTTGGCCTCTTGTCTATCCTGAAGGGTAATCTCGCCCTCATCTTTTTTCATGTCGGGCTTATGCGGGCCCACTTGGGGTGAATGCCCTATGGACATGCCAACTCGAATCTGTCAAAGGGTAACAGTATTAGTAAGGAGACTTGCACAAAGACCCAGACTAGGTAAATTCGGCCACTTACCAAGGTCTCCAGAGCTTCAGAGCTGTTGTCAATCAAGTCGTCATCATACACCATTCGGCCCGGTTCGAAAAAGAGCAATATTGTGCTTCCCCCGAATTTGAAATACCCAAGCTCTTCAGCCCTCTTCACCCGCTCACCCGGCTTTCGAGTGATGACGGTAGATCCGACCATCATCGCTCCAATGCAAATAAACATGACTCGCCCATGGGCAACGGAGTCAATAGGGACGAGTACTCGTACATTGTCACCATACACGTCGAGAGCTGATCTGATGGCCATGGGGTTGACGGTATAGTATTCCCCCTCAATCGTCTTTGGTGTTCCAAGCGTTCCGTCTACCGGAATGTGGAAGCGGTGGTAGTCTTGCGGTGCAAGCCGGAATATTCCCATGCTACCGCCCTTGTACCGCTTTGCTTCTAGGGGGTAGGCATCGCCAAACAGTTTTTCGAGACTATAGTCTCGACCCTTGACCCAGATTCTCGTCGCGTCATCGATTGTGTTGAACACCACAGATCGAGAATCTGCGGGCGAAACTATGATTTCTGGTCGATCTGGTGCACTGCACGGTCGAGCATTTGGCTTCAAGGCACGATAGAAGAACTCGTTGAAATTCTTGAATTGCTCGGTGGGCAGCAGGACTTCGGACATGTCCAAGCGATGGAAGCTAATGAATCCTTCGATTTGGGCCACTGAAGCCGGGTCATCGAACTTCTTCCCTTGCTTGATGGAGAGTGATCTGAGCATCTTCTTGATTCTCTTCTTCTCCATTTCGCGGGCTCCCAGGGCTTTATAGAGCATTCGGATGCCAATTCGGACATAGACCGACATGCGCTCTTCATTGATTTGGCCAGTCAGCCGATCTTGAACAAGGATATTCGCGCTATTAGCACCCAACTTGTATCCTCCGTAGCTAATCTTGGTGATGACTTTGGAATACCATTTTCGTTGGGCTTGGCTCTGGGTTACAAAGCCACCCATGACCAAGTTGTTGACTTGTCTCCAGTCCGAACTAGCACATGTTGCAATGTGTGTTATGATGTCGGCTTCGGTACGTTTGTTCAGCTTTGGCTGGTGGCAAATTGGACATTCACGGATTTCTATCACGTGCTCTTCGTCATCTCCTTCATCTGAAAGATCAGGTCCAAGCAGCCTGCCTTCCTCACCTGCTGCACCAGTGGCAGGCTGTTGGATTGTAGGAATGGATTGGCGAGTGGGATCTTCATTGGTTGATGGGGTAGTGCTTGTTTCTGGCAAGGGTGGTGATTCGGTCCCTTTGTCATCTTGTGAGACAGAGGCTGGCTGAGCAAATGGTCCCATATGTGTTTTGATGTGTTCGGCAAGAGATTTTTTCCCATTGCTCTTCTCGAGTTGTTCTTCAAGGCAGATAACAACCTGGTCGAATGACAAATCGGTTTCTCCGATATCTGTATTTTCCGGTGCAAATCGCGAAAAGAAGGAATCTATGGTAGACTCCTTCAAAGTTGAGCCCAAGGTATCCAGCATAGCGGTCAATTCAATCTTGCTAATGTGTTTGTTTTCATCAACATCATACTGCTTAAGCATTGCGCGCCAGAACTGTTGTCTCAGAGCGGTATAAGGCAGGAAGCGCGCTTTGATAAATAGTTCCGGCTTGTGCTTAGCCTCCCAGCGTTCTTTATTCTTCAACTCTAGTGGAATGGTGTAGGAATTCATGCCAGGGTCTTCTGCTGGTTGGGCCCCTCCATTGTCGGCGGCAGTTGGGACTTTAAGTGAACTGCCAGTGTCTGTCGGCGTGCTTGTAGGAGCGGGAGTACGAACACCCTCGCTTCCATTCATACTCGACAAGGATGCCTGGGAGTCGTCTCGCCTGAACACTGGGCGGGCGAGCTTTGAAAGACTACTGGCTGACGACGTCCGAGAAAGTGGAATTCGGAAGCGAGATTTGCCTTCTTTCTTCTCCACGGCTGGTGAAAACTCAGGTGGATCTGGAAGATCAAAGAGTCCAGTGACGGGATCTTCCTCTGGCGCAGCTTGAATGATATTTTGAATAGGGAACGAAGTCGAGGCTACGAAGTCGTTACCTGATAGCTTATCGCGATCAATAATAGTAAAAGTGAGAGAGTAGCCGGTCTCATGACGCAGGACTTGGAACACCATTTTCTCGTTGAAAATTGGATTGAGATTATGGCGGATCACTTTTGTCCTCAAGATTTTTCTACCCAATCCAGCGACAACGAAAGGGTCCATGTCGAAAGAAGTGCGAGTCATATTGCGTTCGGGTGGTAGGTCTGTTACCTTGATAATCTCCAAGAAGATAATACCGGATACATCATTATCAGCACCAAGAAGGTTATAGGCCCTGGCAGCGATCGATTTACGCCGGAGGCGAGCTAGTCGTTTCTTTTTCTCCTTTTGTGCTGCCACGGTATCCTTCTGCGAAGTGCCGGCGTCGGCATCGGCATCGGCATCGGCATCGTCATCCAAGATGTCAGCATCGTCCGCTTCATCTTCAACAATTTGATCGTCAACATTGGTGGATACACGAGAGAGATCGTCATCTTCTTCCTCTGAACCGAGGTAAGCCAGAAACTTCTTGCGGATCTCCTCTGGGCTAGCTGAGGGATTTGCGGAATCAACAATGGAAAATTGGATGAGAACCTCGCCTGAAACAGTGCTTGACTTTTTCCCCTCCCTTCTTGTGGACTTTAATCTATACCACTTCGGCTCTTGTTGTATTTGACCATTGGAAAAGATGTCTTCGATCGGAATGTCAAATTCTCCCATGTAGTCTTTGCCAAAGCGATCTCTGTCCCAGCAACTACATTCCAGTAGAGGGACGCCAGTCAAAGGCATATCAAAGCATATCTTCCATTCAGGATTCAAGTTCTTACTGATTGTGGGTGTAGATTGTTTTGCGTTCCCGAGAGTAACGACAAGATACTGTGCACGAGTGAGAAGAGTGTGTTGGATGGCAAGAGAGTACATACAGGGTCAGAGGTGCCAGACCTATCCTTTGCGGCCAGGTTTCGTGCCTGTTGAGAGTTAGTGGGTACATCCTCCACAGCCTCAGGATGCGTTAACCTTTATCACATAGATCTTGAGGATTAGGGGCTTCTGTTCGGATAGAGTGGCTGTACTGGCTGTACTCCCAAGTCTTGGTGGACTTGGTCTTCCATCTCCATTTCCATTTGAGCCCGTACCATTGTCTTTTTCTTTGTGCTTCGAGCCTAGATGGCTAATACCTCGAGGAAGAGATATGTGGACCATGATGAGTTTGGAGAAGGGCTGTGGCTGGTGGTAACTGGTAGTGAAGCAAAGTACGAAGGGGTGTTTCAGGGTCGTTGTCGTTGAGGTTATTCCTGCGGTATCCCAAGACCGAAGGTACGGGGAGCGGGCGGGATAGTGGCCCCAGCTGAAGGATTGAGCCCGAGAATTAGCGGCGGAGATGAACAGGAAAGGGGCGTGGTTTTCCAGTCCTAGACTGCCATGAGGGCGGAACCGAGACTAAACAAGATTCAAGGGCAATTTCGAGAGGATGAAGCAGTTGCTGTCTGTACAATGAAGTGGTAGCTGAATCGAGGAGGAGAGGGTTGAGGTATGATGGCATCGGCACGTTTTTGGACATTCGAAGTGTGCAGGGCCCCTCATATGGGTAGCACTCGTAGTGCCTGGGTACCACGTTGTGGTTAGTGCCGGTACCCGACTAAATCGTTAGTCCTGCTCTGGAAGTGGCTTTTGTGCGTGTAAGGTTGCGTTGTCGACCAAATATAGCTGGACACAGCGCGCTAATAAACGCTAATCAGCACGCTAGCCGTTAAAACTCAATACCCTGGGCACGGCAGGCACATACGAAAACGGAAGCCACGAGTGGAGAAGCAAAAGGTCTTTACCGTTTCTCCAACGTCCATCACCAATGGTTCACGTATGCTCTCCATCACCAGGATCCATACTGCTCCAAGGGACACGCAATCCCATAAAATCCTTTCGACTTGACTGCTTGACGGTAAGGGACTGAATGGGGTCATTTACTATGCTTTGATGACACCTACCAGAATGTTGTACACGTAATAGTCAAGTACTTCATGCCCACCCATACCTCGTGTCGTAAGTTCTAACTGCTAAGTCCTGACTCCTGACACCACCTTTCGTCCCACCGCCCACCGCCCACGCAGCCAAGCTTGCGAGACTCCGGCTCTATCCGTTCAGGGCAGAATGCTGAGCCACTACTAGTGACTACCGAGAATTCGTACTTCCCAAGCCTGGTCAATTTTGTGAATGTTGGCATGTGGCGGTCCCAGAGTCTCTTGGATACCTAACATTAACATTAGGTATCATATATGCTGAAAAGCTATTACCGGTGCCACCGTAGGTGTGTCCTTTGAATCTACCTTCTCCCTGCAAGGATAACCGACCCAGGCACAAGGTGTGGGGTATTATTGTCTTGAGCTGGATGCGTCGGCCTTGGATGTAACAACACGCGATACCCAGCATGAGGTTCAACGATAGCCTTGATTGCAAGGAGCATATGGCGTACTTAGGTATGGAAACTCGTCGATTCATTTTATTTCTTCTCACTTGTTTCCAACGCAACTGTCGCTCTTGAAAAATCAGCCCAGCTTGTTAGGGAGTTGTTGCGACAAAAGTGGTAAGGCGGGCTTGGCGGCGGCATGATGCACGTGACTTTCAAGTGTAATGCAATCCATGTACTGTAAACAAATCGAGGGCAGTCCGCCCGCGGTTCAGCATTGCCCTTTACAAAACCTCCATCCCATAGTTTGTGGCAACCCTCGGCCAACCCATTCACTCTTGCAGTCTGACTTGTGAGTCCCTCGCTACTGCAAGACTTATGAGAATGAAATATCATTCAAGTTGAGCCGACCGTTCGAATGCGACCGTCACCGTGCTTGACGCGAAACATCCACGTCCACCCACCATTAGCTCTACCACCTCCCAACTATGCTCGTCGCGCTTCAGCCTTTACAGCCGCTCCCGATATCACCGAGTCAAATGTCTCACCGACGCATAAGCACACGACTGCAACAAAAGGACGATGACCGAGTGTCTAACAACCGCGTTCAGGTCAATAGCAACGTGAAGCCGTCCAAGCCAACATCAGAGTCCGGGCGCATACAAGGAAGTAAATCGCAAAATGAAAAGAAGCGCAAGATGAGTGAGCTATGCGTTGATGATGCTTAGATCCTGGTCTAATTTATTCTCACTAGATTATGACGAGGATGATGACGGGTTTCTATTCAACCGAGTCAAGAAACCAAAGGCCCCCCCCCAGGGGACAGAAGAAACACAATCAGCGTTATCCACACAAGCAGCCGCGCCGAAGTCCGATCCTCTAAACGAGAAAGCAGTGCAGCCAGCATCAGAGGCAGCCAAAGCAGTAGATAAAAAGAGGAGGAAGAGACTCTCATTTTCCACGCCTAATACGAAAGCAGATCCTTCAGTACGCCGCTCGAAGCGTCTGTCTCGCGAAAATGTCGAACGTGATAAAAGCCCGTTACCCCGGGTCGACAAGTCGGCAAAGTCGAAGCAAGTGAGCAGTAATTCTATTGAACAGAAGAGCTCGCCTGTGAAAGCCAAGGGAAGACCACCCAGAGAACCTGTGGTGCAGATTCCAACCCCTTCAGAATCTCAGTCTCAGTCTCTTCCGCCGCAAACTTCGCAACCACTACCGTCACCCAACCCCCAGCCGCCATTAGAATCACAATCACAATCAGAAACAGAAACCGCTCCGACACAGGAAGCGGACCATTCTGCAACAAAAATAGCACTGCCATTCGCCGATACGCCAGTCATCAAAAGGAATAAAGCAATGCGGGAGGGCAAAAGCGGCAAAGGGGAAAGGAGAAGTAGTTTAGGGCTTCGAGGACGGAGGGCGAGCTCCCTAATTGAAACGGGCAATTCTAATGGTGAGAGTCAGGATTGCGTTCTCGAGCATCTATACTAATGTTGTGGCAGCTCTTCCTCATAATGAAGTAGAATCCCCCGACTTTTACAAGCATATCGAAAGCGAAGGACTTCTGGAACCACGGCGCATGAGACAGCTGTTAACATGGTGTGCGACCCGAGTATTGGATGAGAAGCCGATGGGAACGGATTTTGAAGATTCAAGCGCTCGTTCTGCAGGTTTGCAGCCCACGTTCGTGTCCAGAATCTTTGCTGACCTCTTGCAGCTCGCGTAATTGAGGAAGAATTACTGAAGGATCTGGCCAACCGTTCGGAGCTCTCAGACTGGTTCAGTCGAGAAGACGAGCCGGTACAGAAGAAAGTGCTCCCAGAACGGGCGAACCCCAAAAATATTCAGAATGCTGAGAAAATCTCTGAGCTAGAAGTGCAAATCCAACGGTGAGACTCGGAAAGGGATTTATAGAGGCAAGACTAATGAAAAGTAGGCTTCAGTCAGAGAAAAGGGAATTGGAATCTCTCCTGCGACCACCAAGCCTTAGCCTTCCTCAGCGACAAGAACTCAATGACTCGTCTGGCGATTTGCCAGATAGAGCATTCATTTCGGACATCGACAGCGCGGCCTTGGACTCGCTGCAAGCCCAGAGTACGCCTTCGGACCAACTCTTTGAAAACCTTCACAAGCTATACGACTCTCTGGAGCCGACAGTTGATGCATTCGCAGATGGGATCCACAAGATTGCACAGTACCGCGACGCAGCAGACAACATGGCTGGTCGAGTGCTGTCTATATGTGCCGAGGGGCTCGCCAAGAAAGACAAGGAAGAGAGGAAGAGAGCACTTGCTGTTGGAGAGAAAACTCCGCCGAAGGATCTAAGTGCAGTACTACGAAGTCTAAGCAGAGCGGACCGATGATGCCAAAAAGACTCCAGCACCTTTGTATATGACTGAATGTTTGACGAATGAGACCCACGTAATGGGCTGGTCGGTTTAATGAGATGGAAGCGATATGCTGGTCGGAGTGTGCAGTGCCATACGTGTCTGGCATGGAAGAACACCCCTGATCATCTAATCTGTCGGCAATGATACCCCGTTTCTTTCTGCCTGAACAGACCCTGGAGAGAACTAATCTTGTGAGACCGCTGCTGCAGTTCTGTGCCCCCAGCTTATACGACGCGCGCCACACACTGCGCCACAGAGCTTACCACCCAAGCCACATTTCAGTGTGCCCTCAGGGCAGCAAGGCGTTCGCTGGTGAGAGACCCTGTCAACGCGTGGCAAGTTGAACTCGTCCTACTCTCAACATAAGCCGTCCGTTACAATGTTCAAATAGAAAGACCCACAGCCCACCACCACCAGATGAGAAGACCACCTACGCTGTAGGATCCAATCAACTATTCGGCAGGTTCGTATGCCCTTCCCCTCAAGCCGACACTCTCTGCAACCAGGCCTCCAGTATTCCCCCCTACGCTCGCCAACCCCAACATCCTCTCCAGGCATCATTGCTTCCAAGCCCAAACATAATCCGCGCTCGGATTGGGGTCATTAAACAGCGCCGGATCAGGGTTATCGGCCGCGACAAGGCGACAAGACCAGGGCGAGTCTTGGAACGTGGGATCATCCAGCGTGGGCGTCGTGTAGACGATCGCGAACTGCTTGACGCTGTATGAATCGGCCAGGCCGGCGCACCACCGATTGGCATCGTTGGCTACCGAGCAGACATCCGCGGGCCCGGCCCATGCGCCGTCGGACCCAGTGCTCAGTGGCAAGTCGGCCAGCTGCATGCTGTCGCTGCACCCGAGGCCTGAGCCGCTGTAGTACAGGTTCCAGGCGCCGTGTGCGGTGGATTCCTTGAGTGTCTTGCAGCTCTGCGCCAGGCTGGCTTGGCGCCGGGCGAGCTCGATGGGTGCGAAGGCTCGCGGTGGATGCGAGGATGCGCCGTTGTCGCTGGACGGTATGGGATTGCCGCGTGCAGTGCCTAGTCCGGCCGTGCGGAGGACACCCAGGAGGAGGCTGAGGTATGTTGGGGAATACATTCTTGTCGGAGGTACTGTCTGTGGAAGTGATAGCAAATACAAAGTAGCGGACGTCTCTGGGGCCTGGAAAGCAATTCTGTGCCGACTGATTCCCCATAGGTACAACGTTACATGGCCGTGGCTTCGAATGTTACACCAGAGGACCATCACTGGTCTGAGCATAGATCCTCGGGAACATCGTTCTCCAGGCCGACGTGTGTAATTGCCCTGCCGTGAGGATGGTGTTCTCGATTATTTCCCATGCGCAGTGGCCATGGACAATGGGTGAGTCGATAAGACCCAAGATACGTCCGTGCACATATCTATTCAATGCAACCCCTAAACCCACAGATATCGTTTACCTCAATTCAGCTGAGCACGGCCCGTGTGTTCGGTTCTAGACTCTCCTACGACTTGAGGACTAGGAGCTTTACTTCAGCAAGATAGCTATTTTAGGATGGCGTCGTGTTAGCGGGCGCATGCGCCGAATGGAAGAATGTCACAGAAAGATCTGAGAATAGTTTGGTCATACTACTCTGTTCGGGTTTATTGTTTACGGGTTGCTGAATGGAGAACGATAGCTAGACTGCTCAGACACTATGTTGGTAATTGTATCTTTTGCTATACATTCAGCACGAGGTTCCAACTAGGTGCTAGTTAGAGTCATCTCCATAACTCGACAGGCAAGATTGTGCGCTTGTGTTCCATTCTATCTTTACGGGAACGATCACAGCGTCTCATTCACGCTCGCTAGCTAGGTCAACCTACAATTTTATCTCGCGTACGAACTTATATTTCAGACGAGTCGCGATGAAGCAAGCTTGCCCACAACTGCGGTGCCGATAGGCACTGGCAGTGTAACGGCTGCTGTGGTCATTGTTCGGTCTTTGATGCGCCTATGGGCATTAGTGTCTGGCTTGATAAATGAACAGGTAATGGTCTGAGATGTCAGACGATGCAATGACGGTGACTTGAATGAGACTTCTTAAAGGGCAGTTTGTATCAAGGGGCCCGTTGGATGGACAACCAGCCAGCTCTTGAGCCCTGAGAGAGATATATATATGACGATGCGAAATTCTGCAATTCAGTAGTCGGTGATCTTAAAAAGGGGCATGTATAAGGGGCCATAGAGCGAATCAGAATATGACATCGCGTCCGCTCACGACTCCTCGTTTCCCGTCCCTGCCATCGTCATCAACGACCGACTCACATACCCCGACTGTGGCGGATGACGAGCGAGTGAAAGGACTCGTATCTGGCGACAGTCAGGGTACAGCACAGCCCGATGGATGAGGGGAGGGTGCCAGCTTCAAGCTGGAAGAGCAACCAGTGCCTTGGATCCTGCAGCTTGGCAATCACGTTGATCCAACCATCGTGTTGGCTGATGACGTAGCTGGCGAGTCCGTGCGCGTTTCCTGGCGAGGAAGCACCAGGGAGGGCGCATTCGAAGCATTCACCCAGAACCCAGGAAACTCTATATTACATCTAACTTATTCCTTAGATGAACCACAGCCCACCATATACCTTCTCCTCAGTTCCAGTCTTCATAGCTACCTAGAAGTCGCAAAAATAAAACACCTTGACAACTCCATCAAAGAGTTCCCTCTTCGCAAACACCTATCATAACAGGCGTCTTCTCACACACCTCGACGCAGACCAAGTCACACAACTCTTCTCTCGCTCGTTACCACCGACAGCGACCAATTTACCAGACCCTAAAAATTCACTATGCCTTTCTTGTATACTAAGAATTGGGGTGGAAGACGCGCGGGCGGCGGGGTGACCGTCGACAGACATGGTGTTCGCAGAAATCCTTTCCGCTTTTCTCTCGGCCGGTTCAACTGTTTTAGATGAGCACTGTTATGACGACGCGGCACTGTGCAGGCCAGGCTGTCCTTGGGGTTGGGCCAGAAACACGATTGATTGAAGCAACATGACAAACGAACCTGAGTTTTATATGTTCATGACGGCAAAAGAATGGAAGCATCACAGTACAAAGTATCATGATTGGAGCGTCAGCAACAGGCGTTGGGTGTCCCTTAATAGTGTTAGCTTTGCAGAAAGTGCTGTATCAATGCAATCAATAATCAGCAAATGAAAATGTCCCCTACTTCCTGGTACCACGCGTGCATCGATTGGAGTGCTTTGCCCCAGGCCCTAGGTCATGGAAGGCGCTAACGACACAAAGTTTTGGGTGGGAAAAGTTTTTGGCCATGGATTAAAACCTGGAATATCATTTACGCCGGCACCGCGTATAGTCGTACAATTTCTGGGTATATCTCGAGTTCATGGTGAGTTTTTTTGGCCTGTAACATGGCTTCGCCAGAGTCAGAAACCCGAATTCAGTCCACTGCCAATTTCTTGGGTAAATCTTCGCTTCCAACCGAGCTGGTCGAAGGAGTCACCTTAGTATTCCGTCCACTCGTGGTTATATCGTCTTCGTCATCCCATGCATCGTCCGGGACATTCTCGTCCCAATTGTCCAGCTCCTCCTCGACGGTGCGGGTGCGGGTGCTTGTAGCTGGGACAACGCCTGCTTCCAGATCCGATTCTCTTGGGTGTCCTAGCCCTCCGTTTGCTGTGTCACCCAGCTCCAGGCCATCTTCTTCGATACCTTCACCTGTCAAGGAAGTGTATTTGGCTCTGCGTCTCCTGTCGGCAGCGCGCCGGTGGTACGCACTAGCGAGACCCAAGGCGGCGAGGCTACCCAGCACATTGGCGAGGACATCCCATGCATCGAAGTCTCGGTCGTTGGGGAGGAGACCTTGGGCAACTTCACTACCAACACCAAGAACAAGTGTGCAAACAATCAGAGTCACATGGATCACACGTCGACGAGTGGTGTCAAGAATGAAATAGAAGGTTGCTGTGAGTGCAAAGAAGCAGATGAAGTGTAGAGCCTTGTCGGATTGCCGTGGTATATATGGTTGTGCGGCCGCGGGTGTAGATGGAAGGGATGAGTGAGGCAGCAGGCCGAGAGAAGAGGAAAAGACAAAAAGGATAACGAAAGCGACTGTTGGGTTGAGAATTAGTATACAGATATAGAGGGTGAAGTTGAGGACCACTTGCTGGCAAAGGGGAAACGTATGCGCATAGCGAATGGGATGATGATGGTCGTTATTGTCGTCGTCGTGGTTGAGCGCAGGCTGCTGCGAAGGTGTCCTTGAGGGTCGAGAGGGTGTCGGAAGTGCAGCAAAGGTGCCAGATTAGCAGATGGCCACCGATTGCTAGCTGTTAGACATTGAAGGCCATTAGTAAGTAGGTGATGAGCAATGATTTGGACAGATGGTGTTGGCAGCAGAGATAAATCTATCGTGGTTGGAGTGGCATGGGTCCGAGTTGAAGCAGCAAGAAGTCTAGAACGGCTGTACGAGAATATTACGAGTACTGGTACCGCATCGACACGGATACATTCACCAATACGTACTTCACAGGGCATCCAGCCTGGCACGTGCGGATTCTGGTTATTACCTAAGCAATTAGTCAGTGGGGATGGGTGGCGGACTGAGTGGTTCTCAGAACGGGGGAACCGGAGCTGTTGTGCGCAGACACGGGTGCTGGTACTTGGTACAGGCGCAGGGGAACAGTTCTGGGTGTGGGCGTGGGTGCAAATAGGCTGGGGGGGGGGACCTCGGGCATGGGCCGGGTGAGCATAAGCGTGGATGGACGTGACACTTGGGAGGAGCATCCGTGCCAACTACTCGTATGCTAACCAACGACCTACGGGCTGCGGCAACTGCGACTGCCACTCCTGGGAGGTCCAACTAAACCTCCCGCGCGATTGCTACTGTTACTGCGTGCGGCCTGGCCTGGACGTTCTTTCAACCTCATGCGTCCGTTTCTGCGCGCTCCAACCTCAGATTCACCACATCTTCTCCATCAAACAACTTTCCCCATCCATCTTCTATCGACTCAATTTCATCAGCGTTCGATTCTACGCCCTTGATTGCCCATCTCCATCTGGTTTGAGACCTGCCCAGCCCCTTGGCTCGTCGCCGCTGCGTACCTGCAAACTGGAGCAGTCCGCACCCCTCGCTCGCTACATCGGGGGTTGGCATCGGCCATGTCCCTCGCATGGCCGCCCCCAAACAGCCAGAAACCTCCAGATGATGAATCTCTCCTCCATGCAATCCACCGCGACACACTCAACGGCCTTTTAAGGGCCCCTTCCCGTCCTCATACTCCCAGTTCCTTTTCTAGACTGCGCAGTCTCGGGAGCGGTTCTCAGTCGGGCCAAGCCCCGGATCCTGAACCAACTATCGATGAGGATCCCCAGATTATCCGCTTTCGCGCATTATATCAGGAGACTGAATCCAAGTTCGCGAACCTATTCGATTCTACAGGTCAAGTCATTGTCCCAGAGCGATCCTCTATTGCGAATGCACTTTGCGATTCCTCACAACCCGAGCTCCCGATTGCCTCGATTCCTGCCGTCGCTCCTGTCTCCAGGAAAAGGAAACTTGATGATGACTATGATGATTATGACGACGACGATGATGAAGAGGAAGATGTGTCCAACGCATCGCCCCTGAAGGACAAGCCGAATAAAGTCCAGATTGTCGCAGATGCCACCTCTTCACCCGTACCGCGACACGTTGTCGTCGAATCGTCCAAGGCCCCTCTGAAACCGCCCGCCTCCCACAAGGAATCTGCCGAAGATGCGCGCAAAAAGTTGGAAGAGGCCAAGCGCAAGGAGATCGAGACTGTCCAGTCGTTGTCCCGGACAATGTTCTTCACCCTAGAAAATGACCGCGATGCCATGCTAGACCAGCAACGGCTTGACGAAGCCGAGCGACGCGCAGAAGCCGAGGCGGAGGGTCATGCCAATCGACAGAACGCATCCATGCAACAAGGTAGCCTTAGTAAAGCCAATCTCGGCGCGTCGAGCCTGACGTTGAAAAACCTCATTGCTCTGCTTGATGAACATCGCTCCATGGTCCATGCGACCGAGTCGGAGTTGCGTGCATTGATGAGTGAAGTTCGCAAGAACAGAAGCAAGTGGGCGAGTGAGGACAAAGTCGGGCAGGAGGAGTTGTACGAGTCGGCCGAGAAAGTTCTCACCGAGCTGAAGGCCCACACCGAACACTCAACACCCTTTTTAAACCCCGTGAAGAAAAAGGATGCGCCCGACTACTATGTCATCATTAAGCAGCCTATGGATCTAGGCACCATGACGAAGAAGTTGAAACAGTTTGCTTACAAGTCAAAGAAAGAATTCGTGGATGATCTCAGCCAAATATGGAAAAACTGTCTGAAATTCAACAGCAGTTCCGACCACCCTTTCCGCAAGCATGCTCTTTTCATGCAAAAAGAGACCGATAAACTCGTCCCTCTCATCCCCGATATTGTAATTAGGGATCGGGCTGAAGTTGAGGCAGAGGAGCGACGCCAACAGATTGCCAATGGTGAACTGGATGATGGTGCAGAGGAAAGTGATGATGAGCCAATCATGAGTTCTCGAGGCCGCAAGGCTCCCAAGAAAAGTGCAAAGAAGGTTGGTCAGACTTCGCGAAAGGCTCCACCTGAGACCACCCCAGTTCCGGAAACAAAACCAGTACTTCAATCCCTCAGTTCTGTACAAAATGGCATTCGTGCAGAATCTGAAGTCGAAGGTAGTCAAGGTCAGTCCACTCCTCCACCAGGAGGCATTTTGACCCCTGTCGGTGCCCACGGCCCAGGCAGTGTCATCGGCGCAGGCAGCGAGGCGCTCGACATGGACCTGCCTGGAATGCCCTCCCAGGCTGCCGTGCCGGAATACGAAGACGAAGAGTACAAGCTGTGGAAACAAAAAACCAAACGAGAACGAGCTATGCTCGCTGCCGCCAGGCACAAACTCTTCCGTGGCGACAAGTTGAATCCGGATGAAAATGCCTTGCTTCGGACTAAAGCAGGCATGCGCCGTTGGCAAAGAATCCAAGATGAGATCGCGGGCAGAGATATCTCGGAGTCGAATGGAGAATCTTCTGCCCGAGACAAACTTCAGGGTCAGTCACTTGCCGAGGGAATGGAAGTGGAAGAAGAGAGCCTTCTTCCAGATTATTATGACACCATCGCCGCAATACCCGATCTCCAGTCTCACCTCAGATGGGAACAAGATACCGAAGGCCATGTGGTAGAACATACTGAAAAATACCTGCGCCTGTATCCGCCGAAACTCTTCACCGCGCCCAAGAGCAAATTCACGACTAAAATGGAAGCAAACATGAGACAAATGCAAGAGACTCGCAAAATTGTCTCTAAAATTGGTGTAGTCAAACAGATGCAACTTCAGTCACAAACCTATCAGAATCAATTTCAAAAGTTTCAACCGGAACCTTTTGTCGAGCAAGACATTCCAAACCATGTCGTCTCTGATGATGGACCTTTGATGGCACCATGGGTCTGCAAAGCAGCTTTTCAGCGGTCTCTCGGTAAAATCTTCTTCCATGCTGGTTTTGAAGAGTTCCAGCCTTCGGCATTGGATGCCATCACCGACTTAGCAGGAGACTTCTTCAAACGCCTTTGCACAAGTCTTCTCAACTACAAGGAGGATTACAAGATCCCCGTGGCAACTGCAGTTCCTGCTACTCAGGGTCGGTCAGCAGAAATTGAGACGAGGTACCACAATCCGTACAGTAGGGAAGAAGCCATTGTCCATTCGCTACACTCCAGTGGAATGACCATCAACGACTTGGATCTCTACGTGAAAGAGGATGTTGATCGTGTAGGCGCCCGCCTCATCACCATGCATGACAGGATGAAAGCCCATTTGGCAGATCTCCTCCGACCGGCCTTGACAGATGACACGGCTCATGGTCAAGGTTCCTTTGCTGATGGTGGCGAACAATTTGTTGGTGGAGATTTTGCTGGAGATCTAGACGAAGACTTCTTTGGTTTCCGCGAGCTTGGTCTTGACAAGGAATTTGGCATGGCCAGTCTCACAGTGCCCTTCCATATCCTCCAGAACCGCCTTGGCATCAATAACCAACAAGCAAACCCGGTGGATTCGGCCGAACAGGTGTTCAAGGAACCTGCACGATGGCCTAAGGTCAATGTCGAAAATATTGAGGATCAGGTCGGCTTGGTCAAGAGCTGGTTCATGAAACGGCTGCACGATAATGGGGACCGACCATTGACCGAAGACCTCGATCTGCCGCCTAAGCAAAGGCCAGGCTACGGACGAGCACGAATTCCCGCCAGTGGCAAAATAGGTGATGGCACTCTTAAAAATAACACTAGTCCTGTGAAGAAAGCCGCAGCCGCGAAGAATACCCCTGCTGCGAAGGCAGGCACGGCAGCTACACCGGCTGAGAAGGGCAAGAGAAAGTCCATTGTCTCAAATGGTCTTGTTGACGGTTCTCCTATGGTTAATGGAGTTGCGAATGCCAGTACGCCTGGCCCAGGTGGGGATGGCAGTCCAGAAAAGAAAAAGGCACCGAGCAAGATGAAATCCATGCCCGTGGAGAAACTTGCCGATAAAGATCAAAGCGCACTCATGCCAGATAGCAGCCTAGATGCTACACCTGAAGTCAATGGCGCGACCAAGGTCAATGGCATTATGGAGGACGGTGATGCCAGTATGATGAGCCCGGAGAGTCTGTAAGCCGGGAGCTTACTTATAGGACGACTATGCTGTGCGTGCAGAATAACACAATGAAAGGCGAGAAAAGAGAGCACAAGGTTTGCCGTCAATCGGCCAAAAATACCCATGTCACATAATACTTTTTTATGATAATGCGTCGGGGAAGGCGATGGGTCGGAGGGCAATAGGACGAATCCCTGATTAGATGCACTTAGGAATGGTAAGAACTGCATATATACCGGTTACCGTAAATGTGTTTCTGTCTTGTCTGTGTTTATTTTCTCATTCTCGGCGATGTAGGGCATTATGGACAGCAAGCAAGCAGGGAGTGGGGAAAGAAGGTGAGACATGAATTTGTTCACCAAAACCATATGTCGTTTCTCCCTTTTCACTTGATATTCTTCTGAGTAATTAAGAGTACAGAATACACCTTGCGCAGTCTAGATAGTAGATGGTTGGTGCCTTTGAACCTCTGCAATTGGACTCGCTACCTAGGTATGGCTATCTACCTTTGTTCCTCCTGCTCGCCCTTATTCAACGTCAATTGCTTATGGACTATCTATCCAGGCTCCCTTGATTCTGCCTCTTCGCATTCCTCCTCCTCTTGCCACACATATGCATATTAGGGTTTGTGTGAGCTGAAGGCTAGGACCAGATGATGTCTTTCTTGTCTATCTATGATGATTTGATAAACTTTCGCTTTCTCTCATCGTGCTGCTAGTTAGAGTATGAAGTCTCCCCTCACAGAGCCTCACAGGCGCGCCAATCTTAGATGCAGCTTTGCAATTTCAATTTTCCAATGCATATCAATTCTACTATCAATCCTGAGAGACCTGAATCATTCGATTATTACGAGAAAAAGCTTCGCACGGTGGCTTGACCATCAGGTGACAACGTCTGCAGAACTTGGTCTGCGTTGACTCCGGTCTGCGTGACCATTTGCTTAGCACTCTCAGCAACCTTCTTGGCTGTTTGTCCCTGAATCATTTCAGCTTCAAGTGCCAGAGCAATGTGGTGGAAGACTTGTTGTGCCTTGGCAAATACCACGGGGTTTTGCCTATCAAACGTGTTAGTAAGAAACCCATTGGCTTGCTTCGGTAAGAACTCACTGGTCTATTAGCTGCGCAAGGAATGTATATGCATAGGGCGCAGCTTCTTCATCATTAGTGATTGGTAGGGTGTCGATCCACTGTTCAACCACTTGCTGGGGATTCGCAACTTTTGACGAGTTGCTGTGTAGAACTTTGGCAATCGCAGCACATGCATTCTCGGTTGCGAAAACATCGTCCTCACTGCGAGCATTTGGTAATCTGGTGATTTGCAACAGAGTCTCCACGCTGGCAGCAACAAAGTCAGACCATTGTTCGCCACCCTTTTGTGCAGCAATACCGACACCATATGCAGCTGCTTGACGATTGGCCGCATTCTCATCCCTCATCCCATTTATAAGTGGCTGAATGATGTGATCGCTGTATTGCCATGATTGTGTTCCACAAAATTCAAGTACGTCATCCATAATACAGACTGCCCATTGACGTTGGGTGGGATCAGAGGAGGTAATGAATGCATCATAAAAGGGCATCAATCTTTGCCACGCAGGTAGGAAATTGACTCCCATATTCTTGAAAATCGTGTGGAAAGCCTTGTTCATGTCAGAGAGCAATGTCTGGTCGTCTTCAATGGCATATTGAACAGAGAGCGAATCGTCATCATCTTCAGCACCTTGCTGTGCTACCTCAGCCTTTTCATCAGCACGATCTTGTACTCGCTTTTGGTATTCCTCCAGAGTTGATTTGACCGACTGAATGAATTGTTCAAGGTGTTCTTGAGTCAATGAGTTCTTGCCAACAACCTCAACGCTTTCGTAGAAGCATTGGAACATCTCGGCGAGAGTATCGATCGAAGGCTCAGCGCTGAGGATCTCAATCTCCTTTTCGCAACATTTAGCCCATAACTCTCTAAGTTCTGGTGATTGGTCGCCATAGCGTTTCTTGTAAGAGCCCAACAATGCAGGAATCAATTTGGCAGATGCAACACGAACTGGATCATGGAAGAAGAATGCAAGGCCAGGGAGAGCAATACGTTCTGTGATATCAGCAACGTAGGGCGCAAAATCTGCTTCCAAGATCTGTGCGTAAATGGTGATGAGCTCAATGGCAGTGTTCTTGTCTTCAAGAGTTGAGGTCTTGATGCCAATGACTTTGCCCTTCAATGGTACCAGCTCCCAACCATCCTCCTGCTCGAGGGCATCCTCCTCGTTGTCAATGAGTTGAATGTCGGCTTTGGCAGAAGCAAGCTCAAGGAGCGGGGGCATGACCCCAGGTAAGTAAGGGACAAAATCACTGCCCAACACACGACACATTCTACCCCAGCAATGGAGCAAGTATTGTGCCTGTGGGTCGTCATCATCAGTAATGCTTCCTTGAATGTTGCCCAGCGTCTGCACGAGATTGATGCCATCTTGACCCATCTTTTCCTTGCCAACCGCGAGTGCTATCAGGGTCGCACATTCCATTGCCTTGGCACGCAACAATCTATACTCCTTGGACTGTTCGGACTGAAGGACACTAAAAAGCAGCGGCATAAGAGTGTCGTAGTAGCGGACAAAGGCACTTTCAGCAGAATCGGCAATTGTGGCAATTGTGGACAGGGCTTGCTCTTGCACATAACGTTTTGGTGACTGCAGCAGTTGCAGGAGGTGACTGAGGAGCTGATCCAGGTAAGGTTCGAGAATGGATTTCTCGGCCTCTTCACAGAAATTGACCAAGGCGGCGGCAGCGTGAGCCTGAACGCGGGGCTCTGGAGCCTCCAAGACAGGAATTATGTTGGTGAGAACAACTTGGTGATACTTTTCTTGCACAGGTCCGGCAAAATCTGTGCTCATCTGGCCCAAGGCATTACAGCCGGCAAAACGGACACGTGGGTGAGGGTCTCTAAGCGAGGGCACGACCAACTCAAGCACTTTGTCCAATTCCCCGATCATCAGGTCTCGGCAGCCCTCAGAGATGGCAGAAATGGCCATCAATGCAGCATGTCGGTCTCGCCATGAGGCAGAATGCATCATTCGTGGAAGCCAAGTGAAGGTTGCAGGAAGTATAATGTCCCCGCCGAGCTTGTTTGCAAGTCGATCCATGCATTGTTCACCGGCAACATGATTAAGATCACTTTCTTCCATGTCGAGATCCTCGGTGGCATTCCATTCGGCGGCATCATCGTCGTCCACCCCGACATCAGTCATAAGACTGAGGCATTGAGTGACCATATCCGTGGTGTAGGTTGGGTCCTTCTTACACATAGCTGGAGCCCACTCAGCAAAGGTAGCCATGAGTTCCAGGGCATTTTGTCGGCATTGATTATCAATGTCCTTTTCTTGAATGACGGAGACGGTGAACTTGACGAGATTGCTAAAGAGGTTTTTGAACATCTTTGGGGCGGCTTCGGCAAGCTCAATCAAAGAATTGAAGGCTTTGGATAAATTGTCGGTGTCGCCCGCCTCTTTCAAGGGAGGAAGTATGTTCAAAATGTCGGGAATTAGGGCGTAGTACTTTGGCTGTGTCTTCTTGGTGATGGAATGGAAGAAAGAGCCAAAGGCTTCGATCGCAGCAAGGCGCACCTAGTAGAACATCAGTGGATGTATGGACTGTCAAAAGCGCAAAGGTCTTACATCAACGCTGCCGTCTTTGAAGCCCTTCCCGAAGACCTCCTGGACTGCACTTTCGTGTTGCTTTTCGATGATGCCAGGCATGGTAGCAAATATTCTGAAGGCACATTCTCGCATACCTGCATCATTGGACTGACTTGCTTGGAACAACGAGCTGAGGAGTTCCATCCATACCTCGCCTATGAATTTTTCGGTTAGTGCTGAGCCGGGTGCATTTAGGAGGGTGGTGCATACCATTATCAAGGTATTGCCTTGCGATTTCAGCGATTGCATCTCCGACCTTGTTCCTGACGGAATTCACCTGCTCTCTAGCCAATCCTTCTAGCAGCTTGGAGCGGATCGCGCCTCGAGCCTCGCCGCTTAAAGTCAGAAACAGTTCCTTAGATTCGCCGGTGGTGGGGACTTTTCGTGTTTTGGACGACTGTTTGCGAAAAAGGACGGCAGCAAACGACCTTGTCTGTGGGTTGTAGAGTCAGTGACTGTATCTCGCACAAGGCATTAGAGACCGAGCCTACCGAGGGATCTTGGGAGGCTTGGATCTGCTCGACAAGACCCATAAGCAAGATATCTGGGCGATTGGGAGTCCAGTCATTATTCAATTGTTCTTCGGCTTGAGAGCGGAGGGCATTGTCGGGAGAAGAGAGGGCCTGGAGGAGTTGGGTCAAGGCTCCCTGCACCTCGGCAGGGAGAACAGACATTGTGACGGCTTAAATGCTAGGACATGCAAATGCAGCCCTCAACGAGAGATCTATCGGGGGTGGTGGTAGCGGCTTAAAGACGAGATGGATTGTGGGCGCAGGGTTAGTGGGAATCTTTTTTGTGGATCGTCGCAGAGGCGGAGGAGTGAGCTCAAGGCGAGGGCACGTGGAGGGAGAGAGACAGAAGAGACCGATCAGGACTTCAGATCAGCAGTATGGGAAAGATAGAGAAAGTCTGCGTTGGGCGGTTGAAGTGAATAGGCGGCAGAGAAACACAGAAATCAAATCATAATATTTTGGGATGTTGTAAACTTGTAAAGGGCAGGGCCCCTCGGGCCTGGCAGTGGCACCAGCACCTGCACTCTGTTATCGATTGACTGGCCATTGAAATGCCAGCGCCGGTGCGGGTGCTGGCGCAGGTGCAGCTCCATCGCTCCTTCCTCGTCCAGACCTCGAAGCTCGAGTCACGTGTGAGGACGCGCCCCTCGGCCCCTCCATTCGCCCACAACCTCGCCCCTGACGCGTCGACCTGTTTCATACACCTTTGCAGTCATCAACTTCCATGGATCCTAGCCGTGGACTCTCCCACGGCAGCCTGGGATATTATATGATGAAAAAGTTGATCTACGTCGATCAAAATGACGTTTGTTACAGTAACCATATTGTATTATATCATCAACCACCAAGAAGTTGAAAGTATTCTTCTTGGGGGGGACTCGCTTTTCAAGCTCAACGCACCCACAGCTATTCGAATAACGGCCACCCAAAAGGCCAAATCAAAGCTTTCGTGCAGATGAAACACACCCCGGTACTATCAAACCCGAGCTCCACCTACACTGGAATTAAACTTGACATTGTTGAAAACTGCTTCACTCGCAATACTCTGAATGGCATGAATATCAATGCTAAGCATTACCGTTGGTCCCCGAAAGCAGATTCCTTTCTCCTTCATCTAGCTCTGGCCTTTCTGCCTCGATGCGTGGCAAAGGCAAGCTGTACTTGGGAATGCGTGACGCATTCATTTTGATGGAGATGAGTCGCCTGAGTGAGCTCTTACGCGGAGGATGTGGCCGTGCATCGCTCGAGTCGATGATGCTCTGAATGAATCTCGACTGTGGTGAGAGAGGGCTCCTGCCTTGATCCTGTGTCGATGCTGCAGTCGAGTGAGCATCTTGTTCTGCAGATCCAGGTTCCACGATAATTGCTTCCTCCTCTTCCGCCTCCTCAGCTTCACTGCCAGGCATTGTGGCTGGTGGATTGCTGGTCAACGCTTCGCGTTGCACCACGCTCGCTTCTTCAGTTGCTTGATCTTCTGCATTGTTGACCTCACAACGGGCGACTTCCTGCACTTCTTGGGCGTGACCTGATAGTTCGAAATTGTTTCCGGTTACAACTGTCGGCCTGTGTTGAGGCATGGTAATGTCGTTAACGCTTATCTCGTCGGACTCCTCTTTAAGCTCCTGCTTTTCCAGCAACTGACGATGAGGTATTGCCGCTGGTACCTCTGCAAGCAGTCTCGGAGAGTCTGGCGTCCCCGGGTTCATCGCCCTCAATGCTTCTCGCTTCTCAACACTTTTGTCATCAATCAAACTCTCTACAGACCCGGTGTTGAGTTTGGATTCAGGCTTCGATCCTAAGATGGGAAGCTCATCATGATGATACCCTTGATTGCGTGCCCACGACCCTGTTGGACTTGGGGCACGACTGCGGGCCTTGGTTTTGATCTCCCTGAGAGCAGCATGCTTGTTCCGCTTCCTATCTGGAATCATGAACTTAGCCCAACTTTTCAACCCGGATTTCTTGGTGTCCTTAGGTTCAAGATTATCGTACGGTCCCGTGCAGTGTGACCCCACCACCCGGTTCACCTCAACACTTTGAGCCACCAGTGGTGAGCTCTTGCGGGACCGAAATCCGCGGAAAAGACTCCTGGGGCTTTCAGCAATAGCTGCATCCCTTCCGACAACTTTGCTATCATTCTTGACCATGGAGCCAGTACGCAGATTTGTCGAGATTGACCTAAGCGTCCTCAGACTTGCTAGTCCTTTGTCTTTGGAGGAGCCATCGCTACCATTAGGAGACACTCCATAAAGCTCGAAACTTGTCAATTGTTTCCGAGTGAGCGACCTCCCTCTGAACAAAGGCGAAGAAGTCCAGTCGTAGATCTCAGGATAGTCATCCGAATCATCATCTGCGTCCTCGAGATCATAAGTAACTCCTGGTGGGAGAGCGAAGCCATATCTTTTGGTCCGGTAGCTGGGTGATAGAGGCAAATCCTCGATTGATGACGATGAAGGTGACCGTGTTGCTGGGGACGGGAACAGTGGCGAAGTTGCTTCCTCACCAGAGGCACTATAAGAATCAAAATCGACATTGACCTCGACATGACTTTCAAGTAAGCGCTTGTCGTCGTCTTCTTCATGGTCTGCATCTCGTCCATCGTCCACTCTCTTCCCCTGTGGTGAGGAGAGCATCTCAAACTGCATTTCTTCCACTTCGATCGTGACTTCGCTGTCCCAGATGAGGCCTTCGCCGCCGTCAGGATTCACAGAAGACGGTTGTTCATCCGTAAGTGACAGAGGTTGTATTTCCAGTTCACGAATGAGGCAGTCCTCGCAGATTTGGTTGAGGAACGATCTCTGCACGAATGCGTGGTGAGGGCAATTTTGAGGTTCGGTTGGTCTTCCTGGCCTCGTCACCTGTGGGGATGCTGTGCTGGTGTTGTCGAAGACCCTCTGTTGTTGCCACTCTTCAAGCGAGTATTGGATATTCGGAGCGAAGCATGGTGAGCGGTTCCTTCGATATGAGCGACAGAGTAGACTATGGTTATAGTGACAACCGCATTCGCGGTACGTCCAGACTTCAGTTATGCACATTATGACGACCCCTGAACGAACACGATCTGAGAAGTCGAACTCGAACCTGGAGTGAAGGAGTGAGACTGTTCTCCACAGTGCTTTATGACATTCTTAAAAGGGTCCCTAGCAAATTGCGATGTCAAAGCCTTGACCACCATGAGGCTACGGCGCACGTCACAACAACCCGTTGACCATATGAATAATGTTATTGTCATATCAACTTTCGGCGCTCACTTTAAATAGACACCCAGGGCCAACAGGTCAACACGAGATGTAGTCTCTACCCCCTTGTGCGACTTGAATTGTCGGCTCTTGCTTTCCGGTCTGCGGCTGCCTGCATGAATTGGCTTTTCAGCCAAGTTCATCCGCGTCGAGGCTTGAATGGTGAGACCCACGTCAAAAGGAGGCGAGGTTCTCAAGTTCAAGATTATTTGCCATCGTTTTCATGACCGTGTCCATGTCCTTTTAACTGTTTGAAGCATCCGGTGGCGTGACCGCACGTGGGACTAGCTTCGACAGTTAAAGCTTTTGGAAATTAATCCAACACTCATGCTCGACCATCTTGGGCATGGTCTCGTCATGGAAGACCTCAAACCTACTTGTGATACCTGGCGACGTGTCCGGGTGTTTTGCAGATGTCCTGTACTTCCGGTACAGCGCAGCCATTAAGGTGAGCATCTCAGCGTTGGCCAAATGCATCCCGATGCACATTCGTGCACCCGACGAAAACGCCCAGAAGTACCTGTTTCGAGGATCTGATTCAGGGATAAGCGCTCCAGACGGTGTCAGCCATCTTTCTGGTTGAAAGCTCAATGGGGATGGATACACAGTCGCGTCCCTGTGCAAGCAGAATGGGGACATTCCGACAACCGTGCCAGCGGGGATATGGTACCCATCGATCACAGTATCAACAAGTGAGCTTCGAGGCTCAAATGCCGGTAAGGGCGTGTACAAGCGTAGTGATTCGCGAATGACTGCATTGAGGTAAGGAAGTTGGCTCAAGGCGCGTGGGATGGGAAGTCCTCGATCATCTACAGAGATGTGCGACAGTTCTTCCCTCAGCTTATTTTGAATGGCGTCATGCTGGGGCAGAGACAGAGCCCAGATCATGAACATCAAGGAATCAGATGTAGTGTCAATACCCGCAAGGAGGTGATCAGAGCATTCAGAGGCGATGTCTAGATCGGACATGTTGGTTGTCTCTCGAATTTTGAACAGGCGACCGATGACCGTGGTCTCGGCGACGTCTGCCTTCTCCGCCGCTGGAGCGTTCTTGAAGCTGTAGAATGCATCTAATGCGTGCTTGCGAATTCCAGAGTATGTGAATGGCTTCCTCATTGGCAACAGGCCCATAGAGTTGAGTCCTTTTTCGAGCAGGCCTGTTCGAGTAGTGACCCACGAAGTCCAGGCTGGAAAATGGACAGCAAACCATGCCAGCCTCCTCCTTGCAGGATTCAAGATGTCTGCGATCAATTCTCGATTAGGGCCCGACAAAGCTCTTGTCCCACCGTGTCGAGAGCCATAGACGAATTCAGATATGGCATCAAAAGAGAAATAATGAAGACTAGAGAAGATCTCACTGGCGGCGGCGGGTTCTCTTTCCACGAAATCGAGAAAGCCAGCCACTTTCCTTTGCACCAGCTGGGAAAAATCCGTACCCAGCACTGTCTGGTTTGCATAGATGTGACTGACAAGTTTCTTTCGCTCACGGTGCTCTTTGCCAGAAGCAAAGGTGAACAGGTTGGGGCGGCCGTAGGCATCGAACATCCGGTAGAAGGAAGTTCTCTCGAACCCACTCCCGGCCCCATAGATTGTTCTCAGAGCTGTGAGGCTGTTGAATGAAACCTCATTGGGGCCAATTCGAACAACTGGGCCGTGCCGTCTATGCAGGTCCAGTGTCGCATGAACGGAACGTGCCCTCCACGCATCGAGAGCCAATCTATACCTGGTAACCCTGTATAGCCAGGGCCCTGGGATCTTGTTGAGCTGCGGGTCACTGGAAGACCAATACAGGAGGAATAGAATGGTACCCAGCAAGATCCCGGCGCCAATGGGCACTCCAGTTATAGAAGATACTATATTCACATTAGTCTCGTTGTCAGCCACTCCCGCCAGGGCGACGATAACTGACCTTCGGCAAGCATGTCTGCGGCTCTATCAATTAACGAGATTATTTGATCGGTTATCTCTCTCAATGTTGAGCAGGCAACAGAAACAATTCCAGATAGACTCAATGCGGCATCTCACCCACTAAATCAACTTTACCTTCAGATTGCAAGCCGTCTCGGCCTGGCCTTTTGAGCGGTCTTGTCCGTGAACCTTCAATCCAGCATGTCAAAACACAGCTTGCTCGCTGGTTCATTGCCAGAAGTCGTTGCTAGGCATTGTAAAAGCAATCCTGGCACGCGCGCGCACATCTCCTTCCCATCCATATTGACATCTTGGCCGTTTAACTCCACAACGCCCTGGATCATTGGCTTTTGCGCGTTACGGTACGTTTTCAGAGCGATGAGTTGGGATTGCCCCGGTTGTCCAGACCAGGTAGTCTTGGCCGGATTGTATGTCGGGTTGTCCAACACGTTCGTCTGTTCGGCCATTATGCAGGGCTGGATATGTGCCTGGGTAAACAATCAGATATCTCGGTTCTCTACCAGGAGAAGAGCCGGTTCTAGGGCGCGGAGTACGGCGGGCGGAGTTCACCACTAGATAACAACAACAGTCAAAGTCAATTGCCGATGGATGTTTTGTTCATTTGTTGCTGCCTCCTCTATTTCTTACAGGGACCGGATCTAAGTTTCTAGGCATGATCATTAGCGGATTCCGGGGACGTTGGGTAGATTCACGACTCTCTTTCGAGCCACCCCGTCATGGAGTCCTACTGATATCTACGGCTCAGTAACTAATCAGAATTACTATTCCCAACTGAATCTGGCCCGGTCTGTAGCTCCTGATAAAGCTCTACCAGGATCACCCTGTCGGATCAGGCGATGGTTCTGCTGAGGTGAAATCGCGCCAGGTTTTCGGTCTTCTGCTTGGTTTTGGTGCATTCATCCCGCGGAACCTGGGTCTCACATACCCGGTTATGATGGGATGAGGATCGGACATCACCTCGCACTACGAAGCATACGGAGTGCCGTAGCTTGACCCCTTGGCCCTTACGCACGTGGAAGGTGCAAGTCCGAGAGATGCTGAGAAGTCCATCTGGTCGGCAAGGGCCATGCTCGCCGCTCGCGTCAGCATCTGCATCGCACATGGCAGAACCACCCGTCAACCACCCGTCAGGACCCCGGCTGGCTCCTCAGATGTTCGAGAATAATGCCGCAAATGTCCTTTCTTCCCTGCTGCTCTAGCTTATCTCGCCAGGGAACCCAACCCACTGGAGACTGCAGATGCCCCAGTCAGGTTGCGGAGGGGACAGAACAAAGAATCAGGCGATCTGAAGGTGGCCAAATTACAGCGAACAGGGGCGAAGGCTGATGCAGGCTAGGAAATGCTGAGGTAGGATTGTCGCTCATCGAAAGAATGTAGGTTAAGCCATCTGCAGCTAGTCCGAGGCTTCATCACCTCTGGGCCGGGCTTATCGCAGCCTTTTGCGGGCTTGTCATGCCTTGTCTGGCAGGCTGATCCAGCCCAGATACGAGAATCCAATCACAAACCAGGTCGAGATGGAGCACCCCTGACTCCCCGAGATACGTAAGTGGAGGACGCATGGTGGGATGGCCAAGGCCTCAGGCACTATGAGGAAAGGTGCCGGCGGAAGCCTTTCTTATCAGACGTCTAGGTTACCGATACGCCTCGTCTCAGTCCTCCACCTTTCAAACTGTTGCTGGCAGTTGCTCGCACATCCAAAGGCATGTTACCCTTGCAAACGAGGTCACGCTACGTGGAGCAACCATGCAACCTTCAATACCATCGCCATTGGATCCGTCCCAGTACCGAGAGACGTATAAAAGACCTCCAGATTCTCGCATCCTCCTCGAGGCTTCCTCCTCTCATCCCCTCTCGGCGCCAGACCTGACATTCGCAGACCCATCCGGTATCCATCTCGGGTAAGGGCTCTGTATACTGGTTCGAACTTGACCAGCGTGGCCATTGAATCGTTACCCCCCTCAGCCGACCATGTCGAGCTCACCCGTCTACTCAGACCCTGAAAAGGGTGTCGAGCCGATCAAATCATACGATGGAACTGGCCGAAAGGCCTCTCTGACCGTGCGAAAAGCCTCAGTCGTAGAGTCCATCGTCGCCGCCGATCTACTCGACGAGCGATATGCTACCACTCAGCGAGGTCTGAAGAGTAGACATGCTCAGATGATTGCCCTGGGCGGAACCATCGGAACTGGGTTGGTGCCAACTAAACACCTGAGTCACAACTTCTTGCTGACCTCGAATTCTTAGACTCTTCGTTGGGTCTGGCTCGGTTCTCGCCAAAGGTGGCCCTGCTTTCATTCTTGCAGCTTATTGCATCATGACTTTCTTGGTCTACTGTGTTGTAACAGCCATGACCGAAGTTGCAACCTATCTGCCAGTTCACGGTGGCACGATGTCTTACTACGGCTATAGATATGTCTCTCGATCGTTGGGCTTTTCTCTGGGCTATCTATACTGGTATGCACTGGGTATTCTAGTGCCCTACGAAATCACCGCTGCTGGGTTGGTCATCAATTACTGGCCCAACGACGTCAACATTGCCGTGTGGATGACAATCATGACGGTTGTCATTGTCGCTCTCAATTTCATGCCCGTCAAATACTATGGCGAGACCGAATTCTGGTTTGCTGGCACCAAAGTGATTCTCATGATCGGCCTCCTCCTTCTGTCCTTCATCCTCTTCTGGGGCGGCGGTCCGAGCCACGATCGACTCGGCTTCAGATATTGGAAGGATCCTGGAGCCGCCCATCCATTTATAAAGACAGGAGACGCTGGACGAACCATCTCATTCTTCTCAACACTGGTGTCTTCGGTCTTCCCTTTCACCTTTGCGCCCGAGTTACTGGTGGTGACTGGCGGAGAGATGGAATCCCCACGCCGTAACCTTCCCATCGCTTCCAGACGCTACTTCTACCGTCTAGTCTTGTTCTACGTCCTTGCGGTACTAGCCATCGGCGTCACATGTCCCAGTAATGACACAAGGCTGACCGATGGCGGAGCCGGCGCTGGCTCTTCTGCATTCGTTATAGCCATCGCCGACGCTGGAATTTCGACCCTTCCCTCGATCGTCAACGCCGTTATTCTGATCTCCGCCTGGTCTTCTGGCAACTCCTTCCTTTACATCTCCAGCCGTGCTCTGTACAGTTTGGCAGTCCAGGGATCCGCCCCAAGGATGTTCAAAGCCTGCAATCGCTGGGGTGTGCCATACCTCGCCGTGGCCGCTTCTTCACTTTTCTGCGGTCTCACCTATTTGAACGTAGCCACCAGCGGTGCTATAGTCTTCAATTGGTTCGTCAATTTGACCAACACATGTACGTATTTATCGCCCTGTCAAATTTATGACGACGAACCATTTCTAACTTTGTTGCGATCTAGGGGGCATGACTTCGTGGGTGTGCTGTATGGTCATCTACCTTCGTTTCCGGAAAGCCACCGACGCCCAGGGTGTCGAACGCCCGTTCAAGAGCTTCATGCAGCCGTACGGAGCCTACATCGCCGCCGTGATGTTCACGCTACTCTGCCTGATCAACGGCTTCACTGTCTTCTTCCCCGGCCGCTTCTCCGCGACCAATTTCTTGACCGCGTACATCGGCATCCCCATCTTCTTCGTCATGTACTTTGGCCACCGCATCGTCTTCTGGCGCGACAAGTGGGCCTGGTCGCCCGAGGAGGTTGATCTCAACACCGGCCTCCAGGAGATTATCGATGCGGAGACCCCTGTCAAGGAGAGAAAGGGCTTCGCGAAGATTTGCTACCTGATCGAATAAGCGTACGAGGCATGTTTTTTAGGTATTCGGTCCATAGTGTCCGTACAAAACATTGTGTTCTTATTTCTCTCTCTCTCTCTATCTCGGTCTTATCAGACACATCGTACGAGCTGCATGTCCATTAAATTGAAGTCAAGATAACCTCCCGCCTCATATCCACGCAGCGGATACCTGTGACTAACAGAAACTGCGCATGTCTGGTGCCGCAAGCCGCAAGCCGACTTTGGGTCGTGATCGACACGATGCGATGCCGTCATGCCATGTGCCCATGGGCCCCCGGGGACTGTTTCCGCTCCGAGTCCAACTCGCCTCTCTCTCACTGTTACTGCAGTCGGTTCGTCACCACTATGGGTAAATAAATGCACATAACTAGGATTTCGGAGTACTCCGTACTCGAATCACCCATCTGACCTGTCTATCCATGAACTCGCTTTCTTTCGTTTGCTTGCTTGCCTGCACGCATATGGCGTTCGAGAAAGCACATCTCGATCTTGTCTCACTGGCTCATCCTGCAGTGGGCAATGGGCAGTGGCAGTGGCAGTGGCAGTGGCAGATCAGGACAGGGCTCGCTTCAACACCCCCCCCTCTCTCATGTTGCGATTGTGGGTAACAAACATGTCCTCTCACCTCACGTCTTGTCCTGACTGACCCCACTCGCTTGTTCTGTCGCTGTGCATCGGTTTCCAAATGGCCGACGTTGGCACGCACCGGTGATATGCGAATCAAGCGTGGTCGGTCACAGGCAGCACTGGCAGCAATGGCAGCACGCAAACAGAGCAAGTGAATCAAAGACCGGACGTCACACGTGTATAGATATAGCACACATCGGAGAAGCAGAACGCCATCATGTTATGATATATCCAAATTTCTATAATTTCCTGATCCAAGTATCAACTCTCAATTGGGGGTTATATGTATATATACAAATTCCATTTCTCCGTTGGTTATATTATCCTGAAATCCAACCCAAGCTCATAATTTCCAACAGTAGTACGGGAAACCAGTGATCTCTAACTGGGGGTATAAATGTGCTGGCATCTGATAATGCTCAAAGAAACAGTCAAAAAGACGTACAGCCTCTCTCATAAGAATGTGATGAGCAAATGCCGGCGTCTGTGTCGCCTATGTGCTGAAGTAGAACGCCTCCACCGTCGTAGGTATCCATGAGAAATAAAATTCGTAAAAGTCGCCGGCAGCCATCTCTAGAATCTCCGGCCCGTTACGCCATCAACACGATCGTATCCTTCAAATTCTCACCATTCGAAGCACAGGTACGTCTCCGAGATCAATTCCATAGCCAGCTCTCAACGGAACTCCTTTTCTGGCTGCTTCCGCCTTACCACTCACGGACCTCGTCCCGGCCGATCCGCCAAATCCGTTTTCACGTTCATAACCGAAACCCATACCACCAGAATAACGACCGAATTCGGGTGCTGCCTGAGGAGGATCGAGATGTTCTGGATGAAGCTCTTCAGCAAGAGAGGATGCTTGGCTTCGAAGGCTCGGTGCTTGCGAGTGGGGACGTGATTGATACTGCGGCCCGCTTGTACGTGGGTTAGGGAGTGGTCTGCGCTGAACAAGGCCGCGCGAACTCGTGGGACGTCCACGACCGGTCTCGCTGTCATTTGTGGAAGCCTCCTGGTGATAGCGGCCATCAAATCTAGTATTCTCCTGGTAGTGCTCTTCACCACGAGGGTGGTCATTGTCTGGATAATATTCTGCATGATATGGTTGATAAAAGGCTCCTTGTTGTTGATGCGAAGCGGTATAAGTCTCTGGAAAAGCACTGAACTCTGGCCAACCTGCTCTTCCTGGTTCGCTCCGTGGCGGGATCAGAGGGTAAAGAGGCTCTTCAACATGATGCATCGTCTCTTCAGCCCCTTGAAGATATGTAGCTTGCTCTCGAAGTGCTTCGCCAGCAGACTGTCTTCGAGCTCTCCAAGTCGCCGCTTGAACGGCCCACGGGTCTGGGGTAATATCAACAGGTCGAGGCGAGTGGGATGGCGGAGGCGGTGCAATCACCTTGTCGGAAAAGTCCTCCTCATATTCGACATAGACTGGGCGTACATAAACCGGATGGGGTGAGTGTGGTGGAGGTGGTGGAGCATAATCAGGCGCAGGAGGAACCGAGTTGACATAAGTTGGACGAGGCGAATGGGACGGAGGCGGTGGAGGGGGACGATTAGGCGCAGGAGGAGCTGGGTTGTCATCTTTGGGTCCTTGTGATTGCATCGAGGAAGTTCGATATACCGTTTGGAGCATCTCCTTGGTGATTGGCGGGGCTTCGCCGATGAAGCTAGCTGGACGAAGGGTCTTGCCAGGAATGCCACCCCTATCATTAAACGAAGGCCGCCTTTCAGCAAAAGCCTCGCGCTGCTGGAGAGACTGTCTGCGAAATTTGGCAACCGCAACAGCCATTCTGTCATCCATCATGGACTTGGGACGGGATGCTTTCACATGCGGCTTGGTGATCCCCGGAAGAGGGTCTAAAACGAAGTTCTCGTGGGCAATTGTGTATGGACTGCCACCTAGTGAGGATGTAGCAGTATTGGAATCATTGATGATAGCCAGCGCATCACTTTGACTCAGATCAGAAACACGTCTCGACCCTGAGTTGTCTTCCTTCGACCGACTAATCCACGATCGGGGCCGGCTGAGAGATCTTGGGCGCCGTGACCGATCACGTGCTTTTGATGGTGGCTCAGGTGAAGGAAATCTAATATCATTCATGGGAAGAAACATAGTCGACGAGCTCGCTTGAGTATTTAGCTTGGCGTAGGTCTGTTCAAGCTCGGGAACTTCCTGAGTTCGGATTCGCAGATTCTCCATGGCATCTACAGGAATCGCTGGGACAGTCTCTGCCTCAAAAGATCGAACTCTTGTGATAGCGATTTTATTTGAATGTTGGCTCTGCGCGCGTTTCTTCTGAAGCTTCTTGCGTTGCTTCATAGGCTGAATTGATGCCTCGACAGTAGAAGGAACTGCTGGTGTCGAGCTCATTGGCATGACAGCAGGACGAAGATTTGCAAAAGTAGGCACAGTGGGCTCTGTTTTACGTGACTTGAGAATACTTGGCCGATGTTGCAGCTGGGATGGCATAGTTCGCAGCTCAGGCTCTGGTGGACGAGCCACCACTAGAGGTGCAAGCATTGTTCGCGGAACAGCAGAAGCAAAATTTGCCATGCGAAGGGATCGCAGAGAGTTATTTGAGCTATAGCCGCTGTCAGATTTGTCAAGGTTAATCTGAGGCTGAGGTCGAGCGGGTGACTTTTGTACTCGGAACTCGACAGCTGATTGGAAGGGCGCATTTTGGGTGAAGCTTGGCTCCATCGCGGAATACCAGCTCATCACGCTATTCCGAGGCTGATCACCATTCTCCGCCGCCTCAATGGGAGGGTCAAGCACCGTGGCCAGTCGCAAACTTGGCCGTCTTACAACCGACCCGGTGTGTGAAAGGCTTGATACCGTCCGAAAACTAACCGGTGACGAAGGAGTTCTTGCGTGCATAGATTCAGGAGAAGGAGGTCTTTGCAAAGACGTCATCGAAGTAGACCTTTGCAAATATGGAATTGACGGGGCCTTCTGCAAAGAAGTCATTGAGGGCGTCTTGTAGAGAGAAGTCACCGACGGACTCTTCTGCAGAGAATTGACTGATGGCGTCTTCTGGAGGGGTGTCATGGAGGGAGTCTTCTGCAAAGACCCATCAGATCCGAGTCGGCGGAGCGACCCTGGCAAAGAGCTGGAGGCATGCAACATATAGGGACTGAGAGGCAATTCAGCCATGTATTCCTTTGCCATTATGGATGCCTGGTCGTCATCCATGTCTAATGGAATCTTGGTTCTGACATCGATCTCTGACTCCAGATCAGTAGTCTCTTCACCATCGACCACGACAGTCTCCCAGCTGAAGGTTCGAAGCTCCTTGGCTGCATTGGGTGTTCCGACGCGAATCGGGTCCTCGATCGGAATGGTCTCGTGAGTGGCCTGGTCCGCATCACCATACTCGCTCGATACGTCTCTCAGCGTCTTGGGCACGGCGAGGAGATGCTTAGAAACCTTGGACATCTCACTAAATGCAGGAGACGCTCGTCCATTCATGACCTGCAAAGACCCAATTCTGAGTCCTGCGAGATGAGAATAGCTGAGATCCGCAGGAGTGCCGGCTCGTCCAATCATGGTTGGAGGCCGGGGTTGCCAGCCGAGATATTCGGACCCTACAAGGCTTCGCTCGTCTGCTTCTTGAATTGGGTCCTGTTTTGGCTTCAATTCGCCGAAAAGGGGAGCGGATGGCTTCCTTGTGGCAGCACCAGGAGTGAAGGAAGCTCGACGAGTTGGAGGAATGGCAGGGGAATCAGCGATCCTGTCCACTGAAGAGTTGGGTGATCGAGCTGCCGGTTCGACATTTTTGGGATCGGCACGCTCTTTGCTCGATGACCGACTCAAGTCAGCCGAGTTCTGGGCAGAGAATCGTCTCAATAGAAGCGACCTTCTCTTCTTGGGCTTGCTCGCAGCGGATGGAGATTGCCAAGACCCTTCGGACGCTGTGGGAGCTTTGTCGAATTGTCTAATCATCTGTGCGACACTCAGCGTCGAGGTACTCTTAAGGGCATCTTGCGGAGATAGTCTGTCCGTATCAAAGACCTCATTTCGGATTTGTTTTCTCAGGTCAGGCTTGCTGTTATGAGAAGACAGTTGGCCACCACTGACCAGTTCTGAAGTACTCGGACTGCGGCTCTTTGTGACGGATTCCTGCAGACTTGTGGTTGATGCACTGGTTGAGACCTTGCCATTGGTGAGTGGTTTTGACAAGCGATGCCTTCGACGAGGTTCTCGGTCTTTTTCATCTTCTCTCCCTCTCTTGGCTTCTTGCTCATCAACAGGAGCAGGAACGATCTCAACCTGGACCACAGGTTTCCGTCTCCCAAACAAAGCCATGTTGGAGAACCTTCAAAGCACCTCTGGCAGCAGACGCTCGACTGGAGAGTGCGAGGGATGGTGTTAATGAGGCGCTATGACCAGAGCCATGCCGAAAAGATGCTGGAGCTAGAGAAGAAGGGTAACAACCGTGCACGCGGCTGGACGGCGGGGATGGGTCGCAGCGGCGCGTGACCTTGCTGTCTTCGAGGCTGAAAGCTTTTTGACAAGCGGCGTAGTCAGTGCAGGTGCTGATCGTAACGACTAGATCAGAGATATATAGTAGGTAGTGGATAGCAGCTCAGCGAAGGACAGTCAGTCAAGTCAATGACGAAGGAAATAACGAACGACGATGAGGGGGAAGACGACAAGGACAGCACAGGCAATGACGACAAGCAGACGCGTATTAAGAACCTGCACCGGACCTTGCGACTCGGTCATGAGAGCTTGTCCTGCAGGATGAAGAGCTCACGGCATGGCGAGTTTCAAACAAGCAGGAAGCAAGCAGCTGGACGCGGGCAAAGGTCGTGATGGACGAGGCGGAGGCGATAATCGACCAGGATGATTGATATTGCATGATTGGGGCCCCCCGGCCCCCCGGTTCTGCAATCTGTACGGCGGACGAGGGATTGATTGGGTGGAAAGCGAGACAGGTAAACATGTTGGTAGCCAGGGTGAGGGAAACTCAATGACAAGCCACAAACGACGCCCGGAGAGGACGGTTTGTTAGGCGTGGAATAGGCATTACGAGTGGGCAGTGAGCACCTCCGGGGGGATGGGAGGGGCCCATACAGAAGAGTCAGGACACAGGACTCGTCCGGAGGAGAGTTCCCGACTGCATGCAGTGTGCACTGGTTACTTGGAAACTGGGAACCTGGGCTGTCTCCACGCCTACCCACCCTAACACCAGGCCCACCACTGCACGAATTCAGATCGCGGCACAAACTAAAACCAAGCTTGAGCCACGACTAACCTCCAAAGGGAGCCTGTGACGCCTCAAGCGAGAACCACCCGGTATTGGTTTTGGGGGCCACCGGCTCTAACCAGCTAGCCGTTCCTGGTGCCTCCCAGGCATTCTCCAGGCCTCCTCTTCAGAGGCCACGGTCCGCTGTCCATGGGTCGCAGTCACCATGGCAATAGCCCTCATATCATCGATACTCTGCGGAGGCAATGCCAACAACCCGCCCAAGGCCCAAGGCCCAAGGCCAAACGCCAACACGACCGCACGCCTAAGGTAGTCAGTCCCCTCCGTGGTTCACCTGTGTTTACCGAGTCCACAAATCTCGCTCCCCTCGCTCGTCAGGTTGCCCAGCTTCGTTCCACAGAAGTTCAGACCTCGCCTGCAGTGCAAATCTCCTCGAGGATCATCGATGGGATCATCGATGGGATCGGCATTGGAAATCGAGCCTTTAACTTAGGCGAATGAGAATCTCTCAACCACGAGTCCACGACTCTATGAGGCGCAGAGAAGAACTATGGTGGCTGGAAGTCCCCATCCGGCTGCATATCTGTCTGGGTGACACATCCGCCTCTTCGAGTTTGACGCACCTGTCCCAATGTTGCAGAGTGAATGCATGGTCCGGGAGTCCTGGCTGTGCGTAGTCGCTTGCGTAAGCTATTTTTATGCTTTCAGTGTCTACCAGCGTTTGGTGGTTTTGGAGACCCACGAGGTAGTCCATACGAGCAGTAGGCCTCGCAACTTAGAACGTTGAGAGGACGCCAATCGTGCTCGCTGCTTGGACGGCTTTAAATCCGGGATGGGTACGTCCTCCCTCCAGCACCGCCCGTTTGGCCCTGTATTGTTATTTCAAGAACGATAAATGCAGCTGCACATGCACATGCGTTGCGCTGCGTGTGACTTAGCGACATTGGTAAGTGGGCACACGCACACCAGCGATAATGCGTTAAGAACGAGGTACGGGGAAATTGGAAGCGCAGGTATTTATCAAATTCGTAGGGTCAACACCTGGTTACCAACATAACAAACGCACAGAAAAACAACTACCGTTCAAGCACACGATAAGAACTTATTACGGAAACACGTTTTCAAGATTCGATCGGGTGATCATCATTATTGTCAGCAGTCTACTTGACGTCCTCCGTACCTAGGGAGGCGAGCAAGAGATCCGCTTCCAAGGTACCAAGTACTTGTACATACAGAACCCACTCACACGCCGAGCTGCAACATGCCTACGCAATGAATACCACCCCGGTGGGGAAAACCTGATTGAACACCGCCCGCTGTGCTATGCTGCAAGTTATCTAAAATGCTGATACATCCAGAGGGTTCCGATTGATCCATTGCATCCATGAGTTTTTGGTCCTGCTGCCCGTGTACCCAGGTAAGTATGGATGCGGGATGTCCTTCTAGATTTGTTGTTACAAAAATATCTCGCCAGAGCCGGCGATGGGCTTGGCCTTTTTGGGTCTTTTGAGGTTTTCTTCTTTTTCTGCTTTACTCAATGTTGATGCGGCGGCTCTCGGCAACAGGAGCCTTGGGCACAACGATGCTGAGAATGCCGTTCTTCAACGATGCCTTGACAGCATCCTGGTTCACCCGAGCTGGGAAGCTGAAGCTTCGAGTGAATTCTCCGACATGGCGCTCTGAGATCCACCGGTGACTTTGTGGTGTTGCTGGCGTCTCCGTCTTGGCTGGCTCTGCCGTTGGTGTAGCTGCCGCCACTTCGGTACTCCCATCGGTGACGGCAGATGCGTTGGCTGGTTCCTCGTCTTCAACAGTAGCTTGGTGAGATTTGACGCTGCTGGTCTCGGACACGGGAGTGTCTTCGACGGCTGCCTTCTTCTCGGTTTCGACCGCTTCAGGGCGGCGACCAGATTCCGTGTGCGACTCGGTGCGGCCCTTGATGGTCAAGGTGTGCTCATCGACGAACTCGATGCTGAGGTTCTGCTGGTCGATGCCAGGGAGTTCACCCTCAAGTGAGTATGCCTCCTTGGTCTCGTTGACATTGAAGCGGGGATTGAATGGTTTCCGTGCCTGGCGAGATGCTCTCTGGAGTTCGTTGAAGGTCTCGTCAAGTAGACTAAAGAGCGGTGCAACCTCGTGGCGAGCGGGAGAGCATGGTACGGGAGCGTAGGCGATTCTGGGGAAGAGAAAAGACATCTTTCTTGATGGAGTTGAAGTGAGCTTGATGATGTTGGATGATGATCGAGGAATACTTCTTCGAGCTGAGTGCATGAGACTTGTTCTTGAATGATGGTCGAGTGCTGGAAGTGCATTTTCGACTAGGACTTTATAGGCATTCATCTTGCCTGATAGAAGATGCTAGACCGAGCGAGTTTGATGAGCAAGCAATGATTACCTAGAGAGATTCAGACATCTCGGTATTGCTGGACGCTTCTGTAAGACGCAAGCATACTCGTGCCTATTCTCGAATGCTCCGGAAGTGGCGATACATTTCTCCGAGTGACCATGAGATTCCATTACATCACGTGACAGAGCTGTCTGTGAGAATGAGACATCTCGAGTCTTGCCACGTTGGCGCTCAGAACCAGGCGTTGGTGAGATCTTTCGTCTTGATATCGGGTATCTGGCCTCAGATCTAGGAATCCAAATGCTCAATGAATGTCCTTAACTCCGGGTGACGAGTAGAGCTCGAGTTTCCGATGCCCCATTCTGAGCAAGGTCTCCACGGCGCCAAAATCCTTTTTGTCGATGTTCTGGTTCTTACGAAATTCTCGCCTGTGGTCGCGATTAGATTCATGTCCCAGCCGTCCTTCCATCTTCGGGGAAGAGCATGTTACTCACCGGGCGGCATTGCGAAAGTTCTGCCTTGATGCCTGGAGGGGGGAGTTTAATTCGTGCTTCTGGCGACGGTAGCTACCAAGGACTCACCTCAGGCTTCTTCATAGCCTCGCGTAGGCATTGTCGATATAGTTTCAGGACCTCTCGCTGCAATCCTGATAGACGCACCGCCATTACGACAAATGGAATGATGGTCACGCCTCACAGTAGACTGAGGCGGAGTGAAGCTATTGGAGATATTTCCGGTCCGTGTCATTTGAAATTTGTCATCTCGCTCTCAAAAAAAATTGTAATTAGCTGCCATTCCACATGCTGGTCCGACTGAGTCCTAAGTTCCACAGCCATTCTTAAAGGAGAGTATACTGCAATTGATCTCCTAGAATAACAACTTCTATGTTGATAGTATAGACTATTTGTAGAACGAAAGTTCATGCGAATCTCGAACTTTAAAAGCATGCAAGCCATAGCATGGTACATTGCTTAAGTGCATACAATCTGAACCTCCCTGAAATGCATTCAGTGTAATTTATATTCGGCGATTCCATCCCTTCCGCGAAGGACGCGATCACGGAGCTTTTCCAATACTGGATGCTAATCTGGGCCAGCTTCCACCGGCACCTTCGACGACTTTTGCTGCCTACTGGTGGAAAGAGCTACTATTTTGAAACAAGGTACCTTGGTGGATGGACTCAATAAGCCTTCAGTCACGAGGTTGGATAAATCGGTATATCCGCCGCTATGCTCGCTACATCATTCCGACATGGGTCTGCTTTGCTTACATTTTCAATCCGAAATGCCAAAATACATGTGCTCTCCCTTGTCCTCATTCCTTTGCGTCACAACACTGTCCCAGGTCGCCCAAAATGGTTGTTAGTCAGCGGCCATATTCCAAACTCGGTACAACCACCGGTCCAAACTTCACAACATTGCCATAGGCACCCTCACCCTGGACAAGGAAATCTGCTGCAAGACTCAACTTCCCCGATCCCCGACTCATTCCGGTTTGCCCAAACGTGCCATTCACAATCTCCGGGTCATAAATCACAATTGCCACATAGTTTCTCCGTGCCATCAACTTGCGGTTGTTGGTGGGCTGGCCGTTAACATCATGACTGAATATCTCCATCATATCTTCTTTGGTATCAGTCGGTTGTTGCGGGGTTGACCTCTGCCCATTCGGAGGAATATAGAGTGGTTTGTTGTTATTGAGTAGTTTCATGACGTAGCTCGGTGGCGGCGTGTTGACCACAGAGGATGAAATGAGTTGATACATAGTCTTGTGGTCGGATGGATGAGATGGATCGTGGACAAGTCCTGCTCCGCATGTGTTCACCGCTCCGGAGAGGAATGTGAAGCGTATTGATCGCTGATGAGAGATCCCTTGTAGTGTTCGGATGAGATAGGTTCGTTCAAGGTCCTGCGACAGATTAATCAAGTAATTCACAAGTCCGCTTTTATAAACATACCTTTGACTCATGCGTCCATTGATCTTTCAGTTCATCAAGAACATCTATATCTCCGAATGGACTCAAGATGCCTCCCATCAGGCCGGACTTTCCGACCGCTCTCTTGACAGAATCAAATCCTGACCCGACAGCGCCTTTTGCACCAACAACCCCGGCTACAGAGCTGGTTACCTTTCCAAGAAGGTTGTATGTTCCAGTCACAGCTTTCTTGCCAGTTGCAACAGTATGTGCGATGGACTCGGCGGCATCCAATCGTGGGTAGATCAAAGGGACAGCTATCAGCAAAATACAGTGTTGGATCGTTGGAGGCAACAACGCAATCTTTGGGAAAAGGCCCTGATAAGTCGGCCCAGCCATAACTTGGTGCGGATTTCTTTCGCTCCTCGTATCTGGTCCAACAATAGCCACGGCTGGTCCAAGGTATTTGACAAAATGCCATCCGGTACCTGTAATCGTAAACAGATCTCGGTCGTCAGAGACATTTCGGAGCAGCTCCAAAGTCGTATGGTGTTGAAACAGCAGGTACATCTCAATTCCAATGCGACCAATATTCTTGAACATGTTGCTGAATTGCATATATTCAGGGTAGGAGCCAAATCCATCAAAACTACGCTCGGTTAGCACACTAGAGAATTCCAGCGGATGAAATGTACTTACATATCATGGTCGTCAATCATCAAAACGTGGGGTATCTGTGCAAAAGCTTCTCGTAGATATGGCTGATCGAAATGACTGGTATAGTAGTGGAAATAGGCGTGCGTGACGTCCTCCTCGTGTGCCGCTGTCCAGATGGCATTCTTTCGATTCTCTTTCCCACTCATGGCTAACCACTGCTTTAGTGAAGGGATTTCCTTCCATAATCTGTCGGCAGAAATCTGACCACCCAGCCCAAGTTGGCAGTGGAAGCCACCACATTCGGCGTGCTTTTGCATAATGTCCTTCCACATGAAGCCGGCTCCACCGAGCCTAGCACGCTCATTCGTACTGACGTTCAACGAAAAGTCATTTCCTGAAGTTGCAATGAATCTCCAGTTTGTTTCGTGCTTACCCGCCACCATAAATTCGTAGCGGGTGCAGCCAAGATGTGATGTGATCGCATAGGTCCATTTTGCTGGCCCGGACTCATCCATAACAAGATCTATTTCATACTTGTAAAAGGTCCAGCGTTGGTGAGTCGAGATATTGGCGGCTTTGAGCTGGCGGGGATTCGGTGATAGGTCGGTGCTTTGGTGAATGTGGATCGTTGGTGGTTGGGGTGCGTCAGTGACCAGCAGAATTGATCCGTACCAAATGCCTCGATCGATGTCCATATTACAGTACCGCAGGTATGGCCCGAAATACACTCCATTGGTGGCAACAATCTTGTACAAGTCTACACCTGCAGTTGGCGGAGGTCCAGTGAAAGCTGCCGGGTTTGACAGGCCCATCACACTTTGCTGATCAAATCCCGGCGTCATAGGTACGCCGGGAGAAGCAAGAGGCTTTTGTGAAAAAGAGAGACCTGGTGAAGCAAGAGGATTCTGGTATATACTTGCAGCCGGGGACAAAGGTGCATCGGTCAGATTTAGGGGGGTAGGGCCCTTGGGAAACTCCCACTGAGTAGATTGGGTTGGGAGGTGGATATAGTAATATTGGCCAGAGTTCGGGTCCATATGAGCGATCCAGCCTTCCGGGAGGGGCGGAGGGGAGGCCGGAGGTATCTGTGAAGGGGTCTGGGGCAACTGGTACTGCTGTGGCTGCATATGGCCATTGGCAGCGGGCTGCACCGCGTGGCTTGGTGTCCCTTGTCGGGGATCATTCGCAAAAGCTGGATGATCCGATTGATTTGGCATCTGAGTTCCAGGTGCTGCATTTATAGGTACTTGCGCAGCACCTGCCGACGGTGGTAAGGAAGCCCCGGCTGTACTCCGTCTTTGCTTGTCAGCGGAATATTGTCTACCATTTGCCGAACCAGGCACTTGCGAGTAAGCAGGTGGAGGTTCCTCGTGAGGCTGCAACCTGGAAATCTCATTCTCAGCAGGATGGGCTGGAGCTCGCCCGGGAGATTGCACCGGTGGTGCATGTTGGGACAGTGGTCGCGGAGAAGTTCTGGGAGGAGAAGACTGTGCCTCACCCATGCCTTGATATACTGTCGGCACGGGATGAGCCGTGCTTCCGGGAGCCTCTGTGGGTGTCCATGGCCGGCGAGGTGGATTTGTGTGCTGGGCTTGACTCGGAGGCGGTTGGTTGCCATATTGAGCGGCTCTGTGCTGTGATGCTAAGCTTTGAGCCTGCAGGTTGGTCAAAGTTGCGGTGCCAGCGATGCCGGAGGCGGCGTACCGTGCCTCGATGTCAGTCTGCGGCCGTGCGCCGGGAGCGACCGGGACAGGGCCAGGGCCAGCTATTGGCGTCTCGGGAGGAGGAGGGGAGCCTCTTTGCGCCCTCGTGGTTGAAGTTGAGGCGGTCGAACTTATGCGATTGATGGAAGAGGGATCTCGAATATTCAACCTGCTCAACGCGTCTGCAGTGGAGCCCGCTGACGGAGGAGGCCAATACTGGTGCTGCTGCTGACCTTGACTGTTTGGCAGCGGGCCAGTAGCAGGACCCGCGGCTCTTTGAGGAGCGCGTTGAAAGAGACCTTCCTTGTCCGGAGCCTCAGGCCCAGGGGATTCTGGTAAAGGCTTGGGAAAAGTGCCCCTCCTCTCGGCGAGTGTTTGACCGGGTTTCCCATCGCCTGATGTAGTTCTCTTTGCCTGTTGCCTTGAGCCACTTCCTGCACTCCCGGGCTGTTCTGGGGACGTCACTCTTCTAACATCTGGATAAGGATAGACATTCGGAGCCGGGTTTGGCGCAGGAGCACCGTTCGCATGGGCGTCGGGGTACGGCAGTGAAGGCATGGGGTAATGGGTGGTCTGGGTAGGCTGCTGTGGGGGAGGGCTTTGAGCGGGCAGAACACCAGAGCCCGCACTTGAAGTTCTTTTGTTGATGCGTAAGGGCTCGACAATTGTGGGAGAGTCGCGATCATTGGGACGATTTAAGAACATCTCGCCATCGGGCCTGCCCTGCGAGCGCCCTGAGAAACTCATGGCGACTGTTGAGACGCCCAGGTTTTGATGGAATGAATCAAGATGATGAGGGGTCTTGCAGTGCAATCCAGTAACTGGCAAATGTGCCGCAGTGTTGGGGAGGGTTTTTAGTTGGTGGAGCCCGGAAGGATGACGCTGAGGGCGATTCCGGGTGGGCAGGGGCCTTGGAGACTGATTTAGAACGTCAGATGCTGGTGACCTGAACAGCGACCTGGAGGCATACACACGGGGTGGAACAAGCGCTGGACAGGTCGGGAGGGGTGGATGATAAGGGATATTAGGAGTGTAACAGCGGAGGAGGAGGGAGGGAGAAGAGGAGAGACGAGGTGGGCAGGAAGAGTGAATGACTTGGTAGAATTGAATCGAGGAAGGAGGGAGAAGGCTGTAGGGCAGGAGCAATCGCTGCAGAGTAAGTACAGCAAGGCAGGTGCGACTTTGCAAGGTGATCGAGAGCTCTTTCCCACCTGGTAGGGTACAAGATGTACAATGTCTCCGTACCTTCCTCTTTGTGCATTGAACTGAGGGCCGTTACTACCTGACTTACTTACACGCGTCGACGCCCCGTTTCCTGCAGGAGAAGGAGGAGCGACTCGACTGGCACTGAGGAACCGAGATGGCTAAACGATGCTTCCAAGAATGGTGCCTCCCGAGGGTCCCAAGCAGATGCTGATGCGCCATGCTCATAATATCATTTGTGCCACACACTGCTGGCACGGTGGACTCGGGGGGATCCATCTCTCCCTGGAGCTCCTCTACCCGCCCGCGTCGCTGTTGCTGGCTTGCTCTGTAGCCGCCTAGCCAAGCGCTGATTTCGACCTTCTCCCACCTATTGCCCCACGTACCTCGCACTTGGGCGTCAATTGCCCATCTCTTGCTAGCTATTGGACAATCCCCCACCTTTCCCCTGCCAGCCAGCACGATTGTCACTTCTCGAGGGTTTGGTACAAGAACGCTCCTGGCCCGGGGGAGTATCAATTCTTGACCCACCAACTAAGTCCATCATGGACGAGTCAAACGGCTTTGCTAGGTCAAGGTCATGCCTGACCTGATCGATACAGGTTGTTTCATGCATCTGCCCACGTGAAGATAAGCCAGCTAAAGGAAGTTCTTAGAGAATTTGCTACAATTGAGATCACATAAACGATCACTACCAACAACTACATACTGGACGAGCAGCCACAGTTCATTTGATCCTTCCCAACAGTTTCAGTGTACCAGAGATGCCATTCGAAACCATATGTCCCAATAAAATTCGACGAACTCCGTGACCCGCAGCGTTGAAGGAACCGCATTGCATCCTTGCTGGATGGTGCGCGAGCGTTACACCATCCAAGCCAGGCAGGAAGCCACAACCGCAAACACAGCTGACAATGCGAACGCTGTCTTGCCAGCAGAACCCTGAAACTCGGCCACTGGCGTAATAGGTGGCGATACGGTGCCGTTGTTTTGTCCTGAACCGACACGATCGCCTGATCCAGAGCCCGATCCACTGCCTGAGCCGGAGCCTGATCCAGCACCAGCACCAGCACCAGCACCAGCACCAGCACCAGCACCAGCACCAGCACCAGCACCAGAGCCCGATCCAGCACCAGAGCCCCCCAATCCCGATCCCGAGCCGGAGCCTGCACCGGAGCCTGCACCAGAGCCTGCACCAGAGCCGGCGTTCGAGCCAGCTCCACTGCCGGAGCCTGAACCTGAACCTGCTCCAGAACCAGAGCCGGAGCCATAACCAGCATGTCCTCCAGCGTTACTATCTGCTGAGGCAGAGCCGCCGGTAATGGCTGTGACAGTCGCGTAAGGCCCAGTGGGGCAGGGTGTAGTGAGAGTAACCGTAGTAACACCACCATCGGCCGCACAGGCATTGCAGTGGACCACAGTTGTGGTGAAGCCCGCTGGCATAGCAGTTGCAGTAGGATGAGCCATGCAGGGACAAGTTTCGGTGATGATATAAGTTGCCGGCTCGAGGCAATTGCCAGCGCTGCAGATCTGGTCGTAGACCCAGGTTTGCTGTCGAAGAACAGTGACCTTTCCGTCGGCACCGGTCATCGTGTAGTCGAGAACGGGACCTATGTTTCCGTTGGGAGCGGGAGTCGTCATTGGTGGTGGGGTGATGGTAGGAGAGGCTCCATTGCAAAGGGTCGCTCCGCAGAAGGTGAGTGTGCTGGACAAGGTAGTCGTGGTTGTCAGGGCTGTTGGGCACACAGAATAAGTGACAGTGAGGACGCCTGTGTCGAGCGGATCGTTGACGATTGTGCTTGTCTGTGCACTCACACCAGCTGCAAGCAGTGCCGCAATGGGCATGAATCGTGAAGTGTGTTTCATATCGAGGAATCTGGGTAGTGACTGCCTCCGAACTTAGGAATGGATGGATCCCGAGAAGAAGACAAACAGCAAAATACAAAGGTCAAAGGAGTGACTAGGGCACAATCAAAATGCTTCAAACGAATGTACGAGAGTCAAGGCGAACTGGGAGAGAAAGGAAGTATGAGATCTTTGTAGAACGAATGATATTTACCTTGGACCGATCCCCACTCGAAGATGCACGTCCACATAACCCGAGTGAGGAATGTAAAACAGATCACAACAACCCACCCTCTTTTGGGGAGAGGAATGCAAGCACGCACCATAGCATGGTCAAGAACGCCTTCTAGATGAATATTCTGCTCGAAGAGCTCGGCTCCCAACGAGCCAATGAATAAATTGGGGCGATGACGGGATCGAAGACCAGAAACGTATGATTTTTTTCTCCAACGCCGAAGGGAGCTCAGGTCATAGGATAAAATTGCAGAGATTCAGGGGATGTCCAATGACCCATTGGATTTATAGAGCCCGCAGAAAAGATGGAACATATATAGTCATAGAATGTTTCCTATTAATCGACATTCCAAGCCCATCGCCCTCAATGAAGAGGACCCTACGGGAAAGAAACTTCCTACAAGGAATGAATTGCTCTCCAGAGCCATTGAGCTCAATGAAGAGTTCATGGCAACACGTCGCTGTGAGAAAAGACGGAACGACGGTCGTGGCTGGCTCTGTTGCTTTTTTGATGAAGAGAAGAAGAAAAAGAAGTTGACGATTGCTCGAACAGGTTTTTAGCACTAACACTGTGCCAAGCAAAGGTCACGTGCCTCATTTCGCTGTGACCTGCAAGGCTGGCATTATTCGACCTTCCCATGATCCTGGCCTCCTGAGACTCATGATTCTTATTCAGGCTAAAGAGGCTCGACGAACTTCGAGCTACTTCGAGCTACGTTTTCAATAATGGCACCTCAAACACCACCGCTCCATTTTTGGCCTTGGGTAACTTCATCCACCTCCCCAGTCTCATCTGTTTCCCCGTGCCTACCACAATGCAAAGGCCCTCAGACTCGCCCTCCTTCTTGCCTCCAAACTCGTTGACGATCTCTTTCCTTCGCTCAAACACAGCTATCGAATTAATAAAGCCATTAATCACATGTTGGCTCGCCTCACTGGTGTCGGATTTGTTGGCAGTATCGTCGGCAGTGTCTGCGGCTCCGTTCACAGATCCATTGGGGAAGTCGCTGTGACGCTCAACCTCTCCTATCGCCCCGAGAGATATGAGTGATCGTTTGTCGTCGCTTAATTTCCACACTCTCACTCTCCCATCCCAACTTCCACTAAGAATGACATCAGTGCCTGGTACTGCTGCCAAAGCCGTGATGGCTCGTGGCAAAGGCTGTCGACCGTCATTCTTTTTCAGTCGCTCAATAACGATGGGATCCATTTCAGAGGTGACTTCCTCAAGCGGCGGTGGGTCTTCCACCCCGTGCGCGGTTTGAACAGTGAAGACGGCTTTCTTTCGATGGACATTCCAGAGAGTGATTGCACCAGAGTCAGAGCCAGTGACAAAATTTGCCGGAGGGAGGGCCGCCACACAGTCGAGACTTCCTGTCTGATACGTTTCGCTTCTCGAGCTATCGCCTAGAAATTTCGTGAGTGATTCATCAACCACTTTCCACCACAAAGCCTTTCGATCCCTTGCTCCAACTGTAACACACTGATCCACAGAGACCGCCGAGACACCGACAATATGGTCTTGATGGCCGAACAGAGTCTCGACATATGCGAGACTATCCTCCCCGGCCAGATTGTAAGTCTTGAGAGATCGATCCTTGCTTGAACTGAATAGCTGTGCTCCGAAGCCAGATTGAGATGACGTAGGTGCAAAGGCCAAACCCGTAACAGCATCCCTGTGAGTGGTGAAAGTCTTCAGTGGCCGTAAGTCTTCCGCGGACCATATAATAAGTTTCTTATCCGCTCCTCCGGTAGCAACATACTTTCCATCTGGTGAAGCTGCAACAGACAATATTTCTCCGGTATGACCATGCTGTTGTGGCGCTGATGCTCTGACCTTGATGCCTCGAACATATGCGCATTGCTTAGGTTTCTTCCTCTGTGGTGCTGTAGATTTCTTACTGCTGGATGGGGCGGTGGGAGACACCAGCTCCCATTTAATCAGAGTCTTGTCTCGGCTGACGGTGTAGGCATAAGGCTGGCAAACTGCGACTCCCGTTGTGCTTTCAGTGTCTGCACGGAACATAGAGTGCGACGCATTTGGGAAATCTAGTCTCGTCGCAATAAGCCTGAATTGTCTCCCTTTTGCTTCATCCACATCTTCTTTTAATCTCTGGGCAATTAAATCTTTATCCAGGTCTTCTGCATCGAAACCAGCCTCGTCTACCTCGTGCTTGATGTTGTCAAGGTATCGTTGAGCAAGGCGTATCCGGCGGTCTGCGTTGTTCTCGTCCTCCTCAGAAGTTGCTTCTGACTCATCTCCAGACTTAGGGTCAATATCAGTCTCAGACTCGCTTCCGGAAATCGATTCGTCTCGTTCACGGTCTTGAGGTCTCGAAGGCTTGCGGCGGGCGGAATCGTCGGTGGCATCTCTTCCTCGATCGTTCTTTTCCACTCCACGCCGTTTCCTTGCCTTTCCCACAATGTCTTCCCCTCGTTTTCGCTTCCGCTGCGAAGCTGGGAGGGTGAAGAAAGACGACATGTCAAGGCCCCTCTAATATTGAGGGAAACAGGAATGCCAGGTAGGCAAGGGAAGATTTTAATGTCTGTTCGGTTTCAGTGGACCGCACCCACCTTCTCCAAAAAATTTTGTGAAATGCGGCAAGACTGCCCAAAACCCGACTGTCCAATCGGAGATGGGGGTTACAAAATCAGGTGTCTGACCGCGAGGCTACTAAATCTCCATAACCAAAACTGGCAATTCTCCATTTTCTGACGGTCATTTGTAGTCAGTGCAGTATCTCGTAGGCATCCCAGTGCTTCGCGTCTCCAATACGAAGCAGACAACAAAATACATCAGTGTTATCGCAACCCAAGGTTCCACACTGTACAGACCACCATCTGCAATCCTCGTTATTTAAAGACATCACTTTCAACACTCTTATTGACAATCCAATTCAATCCAGTTCACTATGTAAGCCGTCCTGCGTGGGAACCCTAGTACAGCGATCCTCCAACTAACATCTTGCTTCAATCCACAGGGAAGTCCTCCTTGGCCTAACAGGGCGAGACTTCACAATCATCGCAGCGTCGAAGGCCGCCATGCGAGGAGCCACGATTCTCAAGACCTCCGATGACAAGACCCGCGCCTTGAACAAGAACACCTTGCTCGCATTCTCCGGTGAGGCAGGTGACACCATTCAATTCGCCGAGTACATCCAGGCCAACATTGCTCTATATACGATGCGCAATGAGACAGATCTGGGCCCAAGTGCCGTCGCGAGCTTTGTGAGAGGAGAACTGGCCAGGTCATTGAGGAGCAGGAAACCCTACAATGTCAACCTGTTGCTAGGCGGTGTCGATCCCATCACGAAGGAGCCCAGCTTGTACTGGCTAGACTATCTTGCCAGCAGCGCGAAGGTGCCATACGCTGCCCATGGATATGCTCAGTAAGTGTTGTCATGATATATTCAGCGTTTAAAAAGTATTCACTAACCTTTGCTGCGAAATACAGATACTACTGCCTTTCCATCCTCGACAAGCACCATCATCCCGACATCTCATTCGAGCAAGGCATGAAAATTCTCCGCATGTGCACAGACGAGCTCCAACGCCGTCTTCCTATCGACTTCAAGGGCATGACTGTCAAGGTGGTCAAGAAGGACGGCATCGTGGACTTAGAGTATGACACCAGCAAACAGGTGCTGGCAGCTTAATCTCCTTTGCTTGGATCGCTTGCTTTGGGATGCCAGGGTAAAGGAGCAAAAACCGTGGGCCGGGAAGTAAATGGGAATGAAAGAAAGACCCCCCTTTTAGGGAAACTTTGTCATTACTACAAACTATTGCATAGCGATGGCGTAAAGATGTCGTTTTCGTGATTCAAAACTTCATCAGGGACTCTGTACTCGAATTGAAACTAAAAAGAGCTCATTCGATTGGGGGTATCTACTTGATGGTGCGGTCACTGGCATCTTGAAAAGCCATTTCACTTTCCTTCACTCCTCGCTTGATCCATTTGCATTGCAACCAGTCTCAAGCAAACCAAAAGTGCTTCAACATTATCCTCTGTTGAATAGACCGAGGTGTCAGGTGAAAGAAGTAGCTTCTCGCATACAAGAGAACCCCGGAGATTGAAGGTGTTGCAGCCATTCTCAAACTCAACACTTTGCTGCACTCGAAGCTGGTCACGTATCAGGTTTGATCAAACCTTCCCACCATGGATGTTGCCAACTTTCTTCATGGTTCCATTCAGCTCCCATGAAGACTCCGAGGGATGAGATTATTGCTCGCGCCGTTCCACCGCTTGGAATGGCCATATGCCGTCAATCGATGGTTATTGAAATGAAGATTTCTGTGTCTAGTATCGCTCTGTTGCTGGAATCGATCGCTGTGATTGTGAGATCGATAAACATGTTCGTTTCTTCTTGCTCGCATACTCTGTAAGTGTACTCTTCGACGTGCGAAAGATTGTGGGGTTCGTATCGCGGTATCGTCCGATTCATCCGAGTCAGAGTCTCCGCCTTCGGTTTCGCCTTGATCTGTAGCTTCTGAATGTCCCAACCCCTCTTCGTCGTCATCAGTTTCGTCCAGCCCTGAATCGTCACTACTCCCTTCGTCCTCGCCTTCCTCTGCTGAGCTGTTTGAAGTGTCTTGTCCTTCATTATCTTCATCATCGCTGATAACTATGCGTCTGGCTCTTCTTGAAGATCTTTGGCTTGGTCGAATGTCATCATCTTGATCCGATGCTTCTGTTGGCTCGTCGTAATTAGTCGCAACATCTGATTGCTCGTCATAATTCGTCGTTTGCGTGCCAGTGTCATCTGTATGATGATTGTCATTAGGGTCGTGGAGGTGGCGATGGTCGGCGGGATGACGTCCATCAGTCAAAGTGGCTTGGCTGCCATGGTCGTTCTCGTCGTCTATTCCGTCATGCTCGTCGTTGATGAAGCCGTCCATGTCATCGTCATCATCGTAATCGTCAGCATGATCTATCTCACTGTCGCTGGCTGAACTGTAGTAGTCCTCTTGAAATTCTCGAAGCATCGCACCCTCGGGAGCTATAATTATTCCATCCGAGTCGTACTCTGACTCAACCGTTCGGAAACTCGGTAAGTCTGAGTCGTCACCGGAGTCAGATTCACTATCCCCACTAGCCTCGAAGCCACACTGTAAGCATGCGCCGTCCTCCAATTCCCAGTAACACTCGGGGCAACGGACAACATTGTCATCTTCATCCAAGACTCCATGGCCGGGCCGAATAATGTGATGAGGTCGTCGGAGGAACACACCCTTGAACAAACCGGGACCCGCTCGGTCTGCTGCAAGTACGCCTGCTTCCTCTTCTTTTGCCTGCTGGTGTTCCTCCATTGTCTCGTCCTCTGGCAGCAACTCGACTCGACCGACAAACATGTGAACCAAGTCGCGGAGGAGGTAATTGGGCGATGGCTGTATTGTCACGACAGCTCTACAGTCGGGGCAATTTCGATTTTTCTTTCTGCCCTGCGCTCCGCCAAACCAGCTGGCTAGACAGGAATAACAGTATGTATGGCCACAGCCGAGAATGAAGGGTTCGTAGAAAGGTTTGATGCATATTTTGCAGAGTGACAGATTGCGCATGTCCTCAATGTGTTTCTGGAACGTCCCCAAAAGGGACTCATCGACGCCCGCCATTCTACAGAAGCGCCGGGCCCGACTAGATCGAGAAAGGAGGCAGACGCGAGATGATATAGGGTGTCGAGGTCCTGACTGGCAGGTCACCGAGTTGTAGCCTTCATTGACAGGAGGCAACTGTTTGTTGTCGTTGAGTTACTGTGGAGAAAGGTCGTAACGGGACGTTAACGGATTGGAGAAGCGTCGGGAATCGGGTTGAAGTTTGTCTTGTTGTTCTGCGAGCGCGCCTTTGAAACCGTCCGACTAGATGTTCCCGTGCCTGTCGTTGGCCACGATCGCTCCCGCTGAATATTAAATATCTTGGCACTGCTATTATCTTCATACGCTTGACCGTACCGTCAGCGGGGCTACTTGTACGGCGCAGTATCAGACGGTGGACCACATCAATCATCACAATTTTGAATGATCGCCCCTGGCTGCATACAAAGCTTTGAAGGACCAGGTTTCAGATTTATCAGTCTGCTCTCAGCAGCGATGTCGAAGCCTATCTCTTTTGGCTTCGGCAAGCCCAAGAGCTCGACATTTGCGCAGAAGATACCTACTCCAGCTCGTAGACCAGCAGCCTCCCACCGCTCATCGAAAGCGACGCTCGGTCATGATTCGGATCAGGAAGATGAGAAAGAGCCGAGACACGAGTCAGTCACCGGCTTCTCATCAAGCGGTGCCATTCTAAGCAAGCCTCTACAGGAACCAAAAGAGCGTGTCATAGAGAATGTGGGCAACGGGGATTGGCGCAAACGTGGACGCAAAAACCTCCTACCATCGGAAGTCCAGGCACAACAGGAGAATGGCAGCGCTCTCAGGGTCGAAACGGTTGAAGTAAGCAAGGCAAGTGGGCTACAATTCGCACCAGAGACGGCCGAAGAAGAAACAAACGGGTACAACGATCAATCGCACCGAGACGAAGCACAAAGCCCTCCACGAAAACTGACCGCAGACGAGGAAGCCCTGAACGCGTTGCTGGATGATGGATCAGGAAAGCTGAAATCAACTGCTGTCATCATACAGCAAGGCAACACCAGACTCAGTTCACGAGACGAGACAGAGGAGTTTAGAGATGATGTGGCGTCAAGACCTGAATCGAGCACCCTTGAAGATTACGCTGCAATGCCCGTGGAAGAATTCGGCATGGCTATGCTTAGAGGTATGGGAAAGAAGCGGCGCGCCAATGGAGAAGTGATCGACCTCAATCCCAAAGCAGAAGACTCCCGTAAGGCGCGCAAACAAGAAGGCTTTCTTGGTATTGGAGCAAAAGCTGCTCCGGGTACTGGTGTCGAGCTGGGGGCATGGGGAAAGGCTGACATGAGGAAAAATAATAAGGGCGAGGGTTTCTTCACCCCGTTGATGCGGGAAAACAAAGCCACGGGCGAGAGGATCACCGAAGTAGAATTGCAGAAGAAGATCAAAGAATCCAAAGGAGACATGAAGGAAGAGGACTGGAGGGAACGACGTGACCGAAATCTGGAAAACAGCCAGCGGGACCGAGATCGAGATCGAGAACGCCTTCCAACAAATGGTAGCAGCAGCTACCGAGATGAAATGAACTCCTTCTCTCGGACCTCGAAAAGGGATAAAGATGATCGTGATCATGAACGTTCTCGATCTACGCGAGACCGGAGTAGATCGAAGGAACGGAGGCGGCGTGACGACGATGACCATGACAGCCGTCATCGCGATCGGCGAAAAGACCGTTATCGAGACGATGAACGATATGATTCTAGTTCTTCTCGTCGCAGTCACCGCGATTATGACAGGGACAGCGATAGGAGTGGTCGACGGCATAGAGATCGAAGATGACCCGCCAACAGCCGACTGGTAAGTTGGACATTGCAGCAACTGGATAGAGCAGCGACTCTATCATCCTGGAGCATACAACCTGCCTCACTCAATCCTCCCTCTTGCCAGGAAAGTGGCAATTCCACATTTATATACTTTTATGGATTGAAAAACGAAATGTTAATGATATGCCTGGAACCCGCATCGCTGGAGGTGCAAACATAGCGTCGGAGGAAGGTTACATGCCATTGTCTGGCGCGTTGTATCGCCATACCGTTCGCCTTGATGATGTGGTCATTCAAGGCCATCCCTGCATAGGATTACTGAACAACTATAATTCACTGCAAGGCTGGGTTAACAATACCTGAAGCCCCGCCAAGGATGAAACGCCATATTTACATCGTATGCACCATAGGACGGGTCCCAACCCTTCAATAAAAGCCTAGGCGCTCCCGGCCACGGCCTTTTCGTATGACTGGCACTGCTCTTGGAAGTTCGACTAGGAGCAAACTGTTGGCCAACAAAGAGAGTTTTCACAGTGCCAAGTTTCTATCCTCCTGCAATTGCTGAGGCTTCCTAGGAGTTCCTTTCCCACAGCAACAAACTGTTGTGCCCTAGTCTCAGATACTACCTCTACTGTGCGAGTCACCCACTTATGCACGTTTACTATCTCTCATATTCTCTGTCCAAAGTTCAGTATTGATTTCGCTGTCTTGGGGTTGCATTTTGACGTTGCTTGTATTAGAGACTTTGCTTTCTTCCTCTTTGACCTTGCTCCTACAGCTACGGAGGGACAGTAACATCTCAACCTCGCTGACATCAAGATCGACCAGTTTTAAGCGAGTGGCCGTGAGCAACTCAGGCCAGGAATGGAGAAGCCGGAGATGAATGGTAAAGAAAGAGCCGATTTTGACTCCGGTCCTGCCGTGCATCTATCCTCGAGCCCTGGAGCAATGGGGTTGGGAAATGTATGTTGAAACTAGCGGCAAGGCGCACACTCGATGGGAGCCTACCCCCTGGCGGGGTACCTGGGTTGAGCAATCTCGAATATCATTGGATATGGATATTTACGAATAATATACTTCTGGTCACCAGCAGGCGACGACCAGGGTCAGAAAGTGCGCCTGTTAGCGCTGTCCACAGTGTTGCTCAGCCTCACCAGTTCTCGAAAGTGCCTGGCGAAAGGCAGTCTGCTTTTGATTTTCTCCGAGTCTTACCAAGCTATTGATTTCTCGCTCATTTCCTTGCTATGAGTGCGACACCGACATCAAAGCTTACGAAAGTATTACGTGAAGCCTAAGCACTGTCCTCGTCTCCAAAGCATTCTATTTAACAGAGATGGGTGGGCATCCACCTCTAACAGAAGTATACTCACCAAAAGATCCAGTTGCTGAGTGCGTTTCACCCTAGTTGAAGTGACTGTTCTTTGCAACACTGACCTTTGGCGAACAGCGTTGTTGCGGTGCATGGGCTTAATGGCGATGCTTTCGACACATGGACAACTAAAAAGACGAGGAAGTTCTGGCTAGGGGATCCGGACCTGCTCCCTGCTCACCTGAAGCAGGCTAGAATCCTGACCTATAGCTATCATGCAGATGTTACCTCCTGGCTAGGCAAAACTTCCTCCGATCGAATCCTCGAGCATGCGCATACTCTGGTGGCCCAGCTCGCTGCGGATCGGCAAGTAAGCTGCGTCTTGATCGCCACCTTGGGGTAAGAATATTTACTGAATCTACTGCAATCCAGCTCGCCTGTGCAAGCCGACGTCCGATATTGTTCATCTGCCACTCTCTTGGGGGTATCATTGTCAAAAGAGTACGCCTTTCACTCCCCAGTCCTATGAGAAAATGTGAGTATTGACGAGATAACCTCGAAGGCCCTGATCCTGTCTCAAAGCCGAACCAGCAAAGCCATTGAACACTTGCACTCCATATATGTCTCTACGTTTGGAGTCATCTTTCTGGGTACGCCGCACAACGGGAGTAGTTTGGCACGAATAGCAGCAGTGGGTCGTCGGGTGTTGGATTCGCTGGCCCCCTCGCGGGTCTGCAACACAGATGGCCAGCTTCTTGAAGCTCTGAGAGAAGGGTCGGAAGAGCTGAAGAACATTACGGATCTCTTCACGCCAATGATGAAAAGATTCCGGCTGTACTTTTTCTGGGAGCAGGAGAAAACCAACTTAGGCCACACCACAGACTATGTGAGTGACGCAGTCCGTCTTTGTCTCTCCAAGAGGTGAGACATGCCCAAGAAGTGTCTGCTGATGGCTGTTAGATTGTGGCGGATAGTTCTGCCGCTCCCATAATCGATGGGACCGAGCGGTGTGGCATCGCATCCGATCATTGCGGGATGTGTAGATTCGAGAGTGCGAGTTCGCCCGGGTATAGAGTCATTGCTGCGGCTCTAATGCGCTGGTCTGTTGAATGCCAAGAAGTGATATCTTTGAGATGGACGCATATGGACGACTTATTTCGACTTATGCGTGCCCGCGAGGCGGCTGAGTTGATCCAGCCCTTTGAAGGCTCCCAAGGAAGCCATGGCGCTTTCATAACCCAGCAAAGCTTATGGGGTTGAACTCGTCCCTCTCCACAGTAGCACCCACTAGTAATCTATGCATTGACTTGGATTTTGCAACCCTCTGTGATAAACATAACGAGAGTCATGGTTTGCTTTTCCACCCCAGTCAACTCGACGATCTCGTTGGAAGGTAATCTCATCTCCGGGAAGCGCTGGATGAGTCGGACAATCGTGTATGCGGCCTCCGTCTCGGCAAAGTCCACTAAATAGCAGAATAGTCAATATATATGGCCCAGAAAATCAAGTTTGGGGATTGTGGACAGTTCACACTTCCTAAGCATATTCTGGGGCCTCCATTGAAAGGAAGATATCCCCATTTCGCATTTGTTGAATTTTGGTTGAGCGGAAGCTCATCTTCCCATCGTTCCGGTCGAAATATTTCTGCATCCATTCCGTAAAGATCAGGCCGCCTGTGCATTGAGTAGACACTATACGCAACTGCAGCGCCTTTCGGTATTAACACAGGGGCACAGCGATCAGGGCCGCCTCCGGTAGGCAGCACAGTTGTCTTGATTGCAGTTCGAGTATTGACTGGGACCGAGGGATAAAGCCGAAGTGCTTTAACACATTAGACAAGCATAGACAAGCATACACAGAGCAGTGTTCCAATGAATCACTCACTTTCCTTGATGACATTTTGCAAGTAAGTCATTCTTCGTAAATCAGTGCGGTTCAGTTGAGAAGGATCTGGGCATGTCGTCTTGATTTCCGCTCGGAGCTTGTCGAAGACTTTAGGATGTCGGATTAGAGTGAAGCTGTGATAGAAGTTAAACAGTATTCATACACACGGACAATTGGTCTGAACGTACAAGGTCCACGACAGGAGACAGGCAGTGGTATCCCGGCCAGCAACCAAGACGTTGATAATCTGACTTCTCAACGCACCTCTATCAGGCATGACCGCCGCCACGGTATCTAAGAATGTTTCTCCCTCAAGCGGCGGATTACCAGTCTTGCGATTTGAGAGGTTACGCTCAATGATTCGGTCGGCAAACTTGTGGACATTGTTACAGGCCTCTCGGAATTTAGGGCCCCCAATCAACCAGTAGAGGTCCAGCAGTCTGAATCTCTTCGCGACATATTCCTGCGCGATGTTGAAGGCATTAGCGAAAGTCTCTTCTCCGGTCGAATCGGGTGCTCGGAGACTCCGCACAGATTCGCCAAATAAGAAGGCAGTCGTTGTGTCAAGTGTAAGTCGAAAGAAGAGGGGCTGCAGGTAAAGGACGTCGCCAGAAGCTGCGATAGCGTTGATGAGATCATCGACTGCGTCCCGGAAGATGGATAAGTCCTCGTAATGCTTGTGGACGAACTGTGGTCGCAAAAGTTCTCTCGAATGCTTCCAAGCTGCACCCTCCTGAGTGAAGATGCCGTCTCCAAACATGGGAAATGTGATCTCCCTTCTCGGGCCGATGCTAAAATCTGAACAACGTCAGGGACACAAGACCGAAAGCCATGCAAAGGTAAGCTCACCTTTGAAATTTGTACTCAATATCGCTTCCATATTAGCGGGCTCTATCGTTCCGAAGGCTTGGTTGGTTTCCGAGGAAGACTTGTTCCAATGTACTACCGGTCTGTCGAAAGTGGAACAGGAACAACTCCATCAGTCGTGACTCAGTATTTGCTCTGAAGATTTGCTCAAGTCGATCGACACCTAGAGGCCGTTGATTTTGAAGTCTCGGTGCTGGTAGGCAGCCATGCTGATCTGCGATCGCTCGGTCCTCCTAAGCTGGATTAGCATTCATCCAGCCCACTTGCTTGGAACCTTACTTGGTGCTGTCGATACTTAGCATACCTTTGCCGGACGTGGCCGAAAAGAAACAAAAGAACCACTCCAACCAGAACGGATATGTACATCTTACAATATGAAGTGCAGATGCAGGAAGAGAGCTTCCGTATTAGCCAGAGAGTATCCCGGCGTTATATCAGAACAATAGCCATCACAGCGCTCCCTTGCTACGTCTCAAGGGTCAAATTCTGTTCCGAAATCTCACGCTTGGGCTGTGAATGTAACCTCCTGGAAGCAGGAGTCGGTGGACAGGCTGTAAAGGTCATGCAGGGGAATGCCTCATCGCCCAGAACAAAACGAATGATGCTGAGCAAGGTGGACCGAGTCATGCCATCTAGGCGCCGGACAAGACATTTAGGCGCTCGGGACGCGACCGGAAATGGCCGGCCGCTGGCCTAACGGTGGGGTTTCGAAACTCAACCCCTGTGGGTGCCGTGTCCTTTTGATGCTATTACGCAACCTGGTTTACGCGACCTTTGACGAACTATAACATTGGCAGCTGATCCTCGTAGATTGCTTAGTTTCGCGGGAAACTCGACCTTGTTATGGACTGAGTGCTGCGGCTGATTTGGCCAGTTCAGGCAAGCCGCCGGCTTCTGCGTCTGCTGCGGTTTCTCTGTCAAATACATCAAACCAGAATGAGCCTCTCAGAGGTCTCAGTAGTTGAAGATCAGCCTCGCGATGTGAATCGCTCAGAAAACACAGTTGAGTAAGTCGGTGTGGTTGTTACTTATAGTTCATTCGTTGCGACATCCTACATTGCACACTGTTGACGGCTTGTTCGCAGTATCATTACCGTCCATGGCCTCCAAGAAGAGGCAGGCAACACCTGGAGAGAAGGAGAACGAGGGGTTGAATGGTTGCGGACGTTGCTTCCTCTTCTTTTGAAGGACATAAGAGTACTCTCCTACGAATATTCGATCAAGAACATCCTGGAAGCGAAGGACAATTTTGCAAAGAATCTCGTGTCCAATGCTATAACTCTGGTCCAACAGTTGTCCGCTGACCGCTACCATCTTGATGCATTAGAGCGACCAATAATCTTCATATGCCATGGCTTCGGGGGTTTGCTTGTCAAGAGAGCCTTGGTGCATTCCGCCGCCGTACGCGCCCATCAAACAGAACATTTGCGGTCGATTTATGTCTCAACCTTTGGTATCTTGTTTATGGGAACTCCTCACAAAGGCTTCGACAATGGTTTCCTCTCCACCCGAAGGCCATTCCTAGTCGAGACCAGCAATCAGTGCCTTCAAGACCTTTCATATGGTTCCGCGATGTTGAGGGAAATAGCTGAACAATTTGCACCTCTGGTTAAAAAGTATCGCATACACAACTTTTGGGAACAAGAGCGGTCGAGCTTTGGTGGAAAGTATACCTTTGTTGTCAACAGAGAATCAGCGAGTCTAGAGCATGACGATGTTGAAGGCTGTGGCATCCGCACAACCCATTCCGAAATGGTGAAATTTAGAACTCCTCAAGATCAGGGCTACATTGTTGTTTCTGCAGCTCTTCGGCGTGACCGAGACCAAGCAATTACCATGATAAAATCAAGATGGAGAGAGGAACATCAGCTCCGGAAATCCAGTCGAATACAGGAAGCCAGCGAGCTTGTTGACCAAAAGTTCGAGGCTCCACGACGCACCTTGACAGCGCCCAGGCTGCCACTCCAGGGCCAAGTCAAGAACGAATATTTCTTCGGCGTTCGTCGGCCAGATCCTCGGTTTACCGGCAGAACCATGCATGCAAAACTTGTAAGAGATCGATTTACTTATCTTGACCGCCAAGCCACTGATTCTTCGCCCATAATCGTGGTAATTTGCGGACTCGGCGGCTCTGGGAAGACTCAGTTTGCTCGAAAGTTTGCTCAAGACCTGCGAAGCCAGTACTGGGGAGTATTCTGGATTGATGCCAGCAGTGAGGAGAGCATAGATGGCACGTTTTCATCCCTAGCTCTCGAGGCAGGCAAAGGCGGAACCTCTCTCAGTGGGGTCCACTGGTTGTCCAGAAGCATCTTACCCTGGCTGCTCATAATGGACAACGCTGATGATCCAAGGATTGACCTCCCAAAATACCTCCCATCTACTGGCAGCGGCCATATCTTGATCACTACGCGCAATCCTGGCATCAGGGATCTCGCAAGTGGAGGGGAGAAAGGTTGTATCAAGCTTAGCGGTATGGATCCAGAAGAAGGAGTCGCCCTTCTTTTGCGATCCGCTTATCCTGAGGTGGCAGTTCAGACACACAATTCTGAGAATTTAGGACTCGCCCGAATCTTAGCAAAGCAGTTGGGCTATCTTGCTATTGCCTTAGCCTACGCTGGTGCCTCCATCCGCACTCGCTACCACACTTTAGCCGAGTACCTCCGTCGTTATGCGGAACATCGAGAAGCAATCACCAAGATTCCCAGAGCCTGTCGGGCAGGTGAAGTTGACATCATCGCAACGTGGGAACTGCCTTTTCAGAGAATCGTTGCAAGTCCTGATATCCAATCTCGAGATGCGGTAGATTTAGTGCATATCTGTGCATTCCTCCATTTCGAAACGATTCCTGAACGGATTTTCAAGCAGTCATGGCACGGTCTACCGATACCACAGTCTTCATATAGGTCTTGTCCGGATTTCCTGAAAGCCGAGAAGTCATGGACTGAGGACTACCAAGATCGGATTGCGTCAGCCCTTGAACTGCTGTACAATCGCTCCATTGTTGACCGAGACCCGGATAAGGCCATCTGCTCGTTGCACCCGGTTGTTCATAGTTGGGCACAAGACCGATTAGAGGAGGTCGAGCAAAGGAAGTGGTTGAGTTGGACCGTTTCAATTTTAGCACACAGCATCAGTCCTCATCTTGAGGCTTCCGGCCGACAACAGCGGCGAGAACTTTTACCACACCTTGATGCTTGCACTCGTCAATTGCAGCATCGATTTCCAGTGTTCCCAGACAGTCTGGGAAGAGCCACAGAGATCGAGAAATTTGCCTGGGTATATGCAGAAAACGGGATGTGGAAACAGGCCAAGAAGTTACAGAAAGCCATAGTCGATTGCAGAGTGAGGGCGCTTGGTCATTCACATGAAGCCACTTTAAAAGCTCTTAGGGCCTTGAGTCATACTCTTTGGAATCTTTTTGAAGTGGAGTCCGCAATCAAGACTCAAAGAAGGGTTTTGATGGCTAGATGGTGGTTTCGCCCGAAGCTCCAGCATTGGCTATCGTGGTCTCCGTGGAAGCCGACATATGTCCAGTACTGCCAGTCTCTTGACGATCTAACTCTTACACTTTGGCTTGCTGGTGAACGCGAATGGTCAAAATATGTCGGTGAAAGGGCAGTGCAAGGCTTGCGAAAAAGGCTGGGCTCCGAGGACCCGCTGACTCTGAACGCGATGTTCAACCTCGCTCGGACGTATCTTCATTTGGGAGAACAGTACCTTAGTCACGATACACTTGTCAGAGTGCTCAGAAAGCGGAAACGACTCTTTGGGTTGGATCACCCAGACACTCTCATGGCAAGAAATGAGCTTGGGATGAGTTTGTGTGCTCAGAAAAAGCATCTTAAGGCAGCCGAGAGATTGGTCATGAATGTTCTCCAAGCTCGAAAACGAATATTAGGTGAGGAGCATGCTTATACCTTATGGTCGGTCAACGATTTATCGAAAGTGCTTTGTGAAAGAAGGCGTGGTTTGGAAGCAGCGGAACTTCTTGAGAATATTGTCCCTGTCGTCGCCCGAACTCTTGGTGACGAGCATGTTGGCATGACCATGACGAGATCAAACCTGGCCCGTGCTTACGTGCTGTGTGAAAGGTGGACTGATGCAGACAGTCTTCTTAGAGGACTGCTCAATGTCATCCCTTCAGGCCATCCCGACCGCATTAACACCATGTCTGGACTAATCCATGTCGCAATCCGCATGGGAAAGCTGGATGAGGCCGAGCAAGATTGCAAAGCATTACTCAATTTGATCAGCACCAAAAAGATCCTTTCCCAAGATAACCCGAGGACGGTAGCGATTTATGAGCAGCTGCTGGAGATTTATGGCCTCCAGAATCGGTCTTCCGACATCGAGACACTAAAGAAACAGGTTCCGGTATTACAAACACCACAAACATCACGTCGCTTCGAGATGCAGCCCATCCGAAGAATTCTGAGAAGTGAGAGTGTACTTGACAAACTACAGCCCTAACCTCAGACAGAATGAGTCTAGGGAATTATTGCTGCCCCTTTTTGATGACTTACGAGTTTGGAGACTCACCAAGTCACTTAGGTATGAAATTGTCCATTAATATCAATTTTGAACCGAGCACGACTTCCACAAGCCGAGAAGGTTTCCCAATGACCCAAGTGGAAAGACCACGGCCATGATCTCCGTATGTGATGCTAGTGAGACTGATGTCTCCATGGACCGAATGACGAGGATGTAAGGGCTCGCCTAGAACATAGGATCAGGACGCTCCGGCCTTTGCCTCCCAGCCAATCGACGAATCTGAACTCGGCCCGAGCTCTCTCCAACCCGATGGAGTTTTCGACGTAACCACATATTATAAGCCCGCCTGATTGGCCGCCAGGGGGTGCCAGGTCAACCACAAGAGAGTTGAAAACGGAGAATTGAAGGTTGTGTTCGCTCGATCTCGCTAAAGAGCTTCTCCACCCAGCCATTGTTTCCAGAAATGGCATCCGAAGCGCTCAGTCCTTCAGAGTGAGCATGTTACAAAAAGGCTTCCTCTTCTGGGAGAGGATATCTTCCACTCAATCCTCTCACAAACACATAGTCTTTGAAGTTGAAGCGTCTCTTTAGTTGAAGCCATGGCTACAATGACAGTCACAGAGACTAAGACGCAAAGGGGACCCAGCCGGGCGTGGTGGAAGGAAGCATCCATCTACCAGATCTACCCGGCTTCGTTCAAGGATAGCAATGGAGATGGCCTCGGGGACGTCCGCGGCGTGATCCAGAAGCTCGACTACCTGCAGAGTCTAGGAGTGGATGCAGTGTGGCTATGTCCAATTTACAAGTCTCCTCAGAAAGACATGGGCTATGACATATCAGACTATAGGAATATCCACGAGCCGTACGGTACCATGCAAGACGTCGAGGAGCTGACTGGCGCTCTACACAGTCGTGGGATGAAGATGGTGATGGATTTGGTGGTCAACCACACCTCCGACCAACATGCCTGGTTCCAGGAGTCAAAAGTATCCCGCGACAATCCTAAGCATGACTTCTACATCTGGAAAGAGCCACGTTTGGAGAATGGCACACGCTCACCGCCCAACAATTGGGCCTCCGCTTTTGGCGGCAGCGCTTGGACTTACAACGAGGCCAGAGACCAATACTATCTAGGGCTCTTCTGTCCTGAACAACCCGATCTAAACTGGGAAAATCCACAGGTGGTTAGAGAGGTCCACGATGTCATGACATTCTGGCTTGAGAAGGGGATCGATGGCTTCCGCATGGATGTCATCAACATGATCAGCAAAGTCCCAGGGCTGCCTGACGCACCGATTACGCTGCCTGGCCGCAAGTACCAGCCTGGCGACATGTACTACGCATATGGCCCACGGCTGAACGAGTACCTGCAGGGCTTACGCAGCGTTCTGGATCGATATAATGCCTTCGCAGTGGGTGAAATGCCCAACGTCAAGAAAGACAGTCAAGTCGCCGCCGTGGTCGCGTCGGACCGCAAGGAGCTGAACATGATCTTTCAATTCGACATTGTGGATATGGACATCGGCGACAACGGCAAATTCTCGCCGCGTGGGTGGAGTCTCAACACGTTGAAGAACATTGTCAATCGTTGGCAGACATTCATGTACGACGTTGACGGTTGGAATGCTCTGTTCCTCGAGAACCACGATCAGGCCCGCTCGGTGTCACGCTTCACAAAACACCGGCCGGAACACCGCACGCTTGCTGCGAAGATGCTTGCAACCTTCATCGGGACACAATCCGGGACGCTGTACATCTATCAGGGCCAGGAGCTCGGGATGACCAGCCTGCCTGAGGACTGGTCTCTTGATGAGTTCAGAGATCTTGAGTCGCTCAACCACCACGCGGAAGCGGTGGAGTACTTCCACGGCAACGAGGAAGGCCTGAAAGAATTCATGCGTGATCTGAGAAAGAAGGCGCGAGATAATGCCCGCTCACCAATGCAGTGGAATGCGGAGCAAAATGCGGGCTTCAGCTCTGCAGAGGCGTGGATGCGGGTCAATGACAGCTATCCCGAGATCAACGCGAAGCAGCAGGACAATGAGGCTTCGAGTGTGCTCAACTACTGGCGCACCCTGCTGAAGGCGCGAAAAGAGCACGTCGACAGCCTTGTCTACGGCAACTTCGAACTAGTGCAGGACTCTGATGAGTCTGTTGTCTGCTTCAAGCGTGGTGGTGGACATTGCGCGGATGCTTGGACTGTACTGAACTTCACCGATGAGGAGGTGGTATGGAAGGCGCCAGATGCGCTGTTGCAGACCATTGCTTGTGGCAGACAGGTCATTGGGACTTATCAGGATGCTGTCATTCGAGACGGGAACAAGCTTCGGTTGAGACCGTTTGAGGCGAGGACTTTCATCTAGAATACTGCGTATCGGATGGAACTTATATTCTCAAAAGGGTTTCATGCGGCTGATGTATGGAGGCGTTGAGCACGGCTGTTGCTCCCCAGGCGAGGATAGATATACCACTCAAAAGTGTATACAAGAATGATCCATCACCCACCTGATTTGCAATCGCCTGACCCTGACAAGTTGCCTGAAGACCGTGCTTGAAAAGATTATCAAATATTGGCACAACGTCGAACTCTGCTATTGCTACGAAGGATGCCTGTATTATAATATTCTATGGCTTGCCTTGGCTGTGAAGCTAGTGCCTTATCATCGAAACCGTTAGCTCGGTACCCAGGCAGGTAGATGGGCCTGTATCTGCTGTGTCCGGTTCAGCTCTCTTGTGATGATTGCATCTCACCATACTCACCTGGCAATACAGGAAAGTGCAAGTGCCTCTTCAGCTGCTGAGTGTTCCTCATTCTCTGCGTTTGCTCTCAGTCAAGCAAAAGAACCTATGCCGAACCGTTTGCCATTGCTCTGGTCGGGGTGGGGACGTTGAGCACGTCTGCCAAAATCGCCGGATTGTCTTCGTGTGAAGTATGGCACGGCCGGGGTAATTTGGAAGTGAGCACCGAGCAGATCTCATTCACGGCTTTGTGTAATACATATGAGACAGCAAAGATCTGGGTTGCTGAGTGACAGAACCAGCTTCCACCAGCAATTGTGTGGAGACCAGATCGCTAAGCTGGGTTGGTACAGATGAAGGCTATGTATTGTCGGTCCTCTCAGGCACGCGTCCAAGCTTCGAGGCTTAATTGGCCACAACATCTATCGAACTTCTTTCCAACCGCGCGGACTTGGAACTCCCATGCCGTCATCCGATCAATTGGGAGGGTTGTGAGCTGGTGAGGTGACATTGGTTGAGCGACTAAATGACTTTGAGTCTAGCTATAGATATATAAGTCAGGTGGGATGGCAACCACCTGCAAGAATACCTTCGAGAGCGTTGGTTCCAACCCCGTTCGCCTGGCCTTCTCTCGTTGAGCTTCTTCTACGTCAAAATGGTTCGGCTCGCACTGTCCCTGCTATTGACCATCAGCGCTGTGAGAAGCTTTGCATATATCCAGTATTCCACCGTGGCGGGCTACTTTCTACAAGATGCCAACACGACCAACGTTACCACTTTTGATTATGTGAGGGCAAACGATCAACGATATACCATTCTCGGGGAAGCGTTACTAACCGACCATCCTCTCTGAACAGACAGCAACCAACTTTGGATTGATCAACCAAAGTTACCCGACGGATCCATCGAATGCCGCGTCGTTGACTCAATGGCAGAGATTCGCACTGGCTGTGTCCTCTCTCAACTCCAAGGCGCCCAAGAACGTGGACTACAAGGTCTTGTTCGCGGGGCGGCACGGGGAAGGATGGCACAACGCGGCAGAGTCGTACTTTGGCACCCCGGCATGGAACTGCTACTGGTCGCTCCTAGACGGCAACAAGACCGCAGCGTGGTCGGACGCGCATCTCACGCAACAGGGCATTGACCAGGCGCTGAAGGCGAACCGTTTCTGGAAATCCCGGCTGCAAACAGAGAAGATCCCGCCTCCGCAGAGCTACTACACGTCGCCGCTGTACCGGTGCCTCGCGACCGCGAACCTGACCTTCGCAGGCCTTCCATTGCCATCCCAATATCCATTCATCCCGACCGTCAAGGAAAAGCTCCGCGAAGGCATCTCGGAGCACACGTGCGACCGGCGCAGCAACGAAACGTACATCGCGTCTTCCTTCCCCAGCTACCAATTCGAGGCGGGCTTTCTCGAGGACGACGAGCTCTGGACGGGCGCCACGTCGGAGACGTCGTCCGCGCAGGATCTCCGTTCCAAGCAGCTGCTGGACGACGTCTTCACCAACGACTGCTCCGTCTACATCAGCTTCACCTCGCACTCGGGCGAGATCGCGAGCCTGCTGCGCGTGCTCGGCCACCGTGCCTTCTCGCTGAGCACCGGCGCCGTCATCCCCGTGCTCGTCAAGGCTGAGACGATCGACCCGGCGGCCGCGACCAGTACTATCTCTGCCGCTTCTTGAACCCCTAGCCCCCATTGCACTGTCCCTCCCGTGACAAGTGTCAGTGGTGGGCCAAGCGGAGGCTGTGTTTGTCCCAACAGTGCGGCGCCTGTGGTCACGCCGCTTCCGCCTTTCCCCACCAGCTGATGCTCTAGGTGAGGACGGTTCTCAGCAGTTGTTGGAGTAGGAGCTCGATGGAGATGCTGGGGCGCACGTTTGGGACATAATAGCACTAGACTTGCATCAATAATCCGTACGCTTGCCGTTAGATTGAGCGCAGCAAAACGCGCTCTGGAAAGTCTTCACAGCAGAACCAATATTATACTGCGTAGAGGGACCATTTTATTTATTTTCCCCCCTCCTGAAAGAGCGTGAGAGCCAAAATGTCCTAACTAGGCCCGACATGGTGTTCCGAGCACGATTGCCCACTGCCGATAAGTAGGCGCAGGGATGGTTCCCGGTAGGATGGAATCTCAGAGTCTAGGGGAAAAGCCCGAGAGAGCTTTGCTTTGCTTTGCTTCGATTCACGGTGTAACATACACTCACTCTACTGCAAGTCCCCGGACAGGAGGGTCTGGCATGATTTTACGGAACAGCATTCATGACATTTTCTCGTCCTGAGTGAGGAACATAGGTCGCCGACATTCAGGTGCCTCGTTGGAATGTGGAGGGAGTGCCCTGATTGAAAATCCCGATACGCTACACCGGCCACTGCGCCTAGCCTGACCACCCTTGAACTGAACTGCAGCTGAATCAGAACTTATGAAGCCCCGGCTCCAGCTTCGCCTCGCCTGTCTCGGTCGCCGCGACAGCAGCGAGGATCCGCTGCTTGATGATCTCCGGTGGTGGCGGACCGGTGGCGCCAGGTGGGGTCTTGCTCCGATCCGCGACCAAGAACGCCAACGGTTTGACTGCGTCGGCGGCCGCTTTGATCTTTTCAATGTCTTCGGGCGAGTACAAGCCGCCGATGATCACGAGAGATATGTTGGCCGAGCCCTCCTGGAGGAGGTTTGGGATCTCGGTCAAGGCTGCCTCCGTGGACGAGCAGACGTGCGTGACTGTTGGGACAGGGGTTCCAAGTTAACGTCTTTTTCGTTTTTTATTTTGTATCATGTGCTGATAGTAGAGGGTAGAAAGAGGTTTTTTCCATGCCCAAGGAGAGGAGTAATAAAGCAGAACGCTTACTTTCAATTTTGGGAGCTAAATTGGCCTTCATGAATTCCGCCAGCTTTGGCTCTCTGCCGCACAAGACGGCACCAATTGGAGCCATAGTTTCAGGGCTGGTGCTTGAGCTTCCCGAGGATGGTCGGGGTTGAGGACGTGGATGAGAAGTATATCTAAGTGTTTTCACACTTTGTTGGTCTTTTGTCGGAGCCTCCGCTGGCACAAGGCTGAGATGGATACCAATACTAACGTCACGTGTCGTCTATCTAGATATGAGGACTCAATAAAACTTATGATGATGTTTCTGCTTCGTTCGGAATGAAGGCCTTTGCTGAAGATATAGTTGAAATTGAGGTCTTCCAATGTCGTTCAATCAATGTGAAGGATTGGCGGTGTGACACGCGGAGAACTTTGAGCGTAAGCTCCGAGCACTGCAACCATGACGGATGGGTTTCTCTTGGGATACGCCATAAGCACTAACCGCTTATCACAGTTAGTCCGTCGTATAACCATTAGATTCAGTCACTTTGAGGCAGTCCAAAACATTGTGATGTGTGCAACGCGGCCGCGATTGTGGTGACGAAATTTGCACGTGGGCTCCAGATTCGGTCCTTGCGATGCGGAGTGAAGTAAGTACACGCCAGACTTCAGAGGTTATAATAACAGGGAGGGGGGCCAGTTCCTGACCAGGGGCTCCCGCCCCGGTGCAGCTGTTTGCTCAGTGGGTGAGGATTGAGTTGGGTGAGGTCCGGAGGACGCAGCACCAATGCGCCACCAAGCAGCGCGAATGCAGAGGAGCCACGAACTGCACGGCAAGAGCCGCAGCTGTGACACTCAGGGACTCCACGTCTGTGCCTCCAAGCACGGCATATGTGGCGTCCATATGCATTCGCGACGCATTAGGGCTGGCGATCGATGTTGCCTCATAGAGGAGATTTGAGCGGGTGACTCTTCGTTTATGGCCGTGCAATGCTGAACAAAAGAGGCGGAGCATTGCCCTCAAGGGTGGGAGAGGTGGGAGAGGTGGGAGAGGAGGATATATGAAGAAAGTGACTGTTGACGCAATGTGTTAGAAACGTGGATAGTCGTCATTTGAGGGAAGCAGTGTTGGGTGTCTACCTGATCAGACAAAGGACATTACAGCAGCACGTACATGGCACCTGCTTCGGGCTTGTGGATGCGATGCAGCCAAGCGACCAGCGACTGTAGGCTCGATCTCTGGGGATGATTGACGCATCTGGAGATGAGCCTTTGAGACGACAGACGGACTGGGCGGATCACCCTCACAGGCAGTGCTGCAAGGTCCCTCGAACCTACTGCACGCCAGCACGCAGGTGGAGTGAGGGCCACTGATGGAGTTTGACAGCGACGAAAGACCGGAGATCCTCATGCATGGTACTTGAAGAGCAAGTCGGGAGAAGGAGGAGTTGGTGCAGACTGCGCGTGATCTGGTCTTGATTCTTTGGGCCATGGCTGCTGGCAGCCTCCAGTGCCAGGAACCATGGGTAGGGTTCTTCCGTTGATCGCAGTAGTTCTGTACTTCCATCTCCCTTTCATGCCGTACCCAGTTACGAACTCGCGAGTTATGTACTTCGGCACTCCGTACTCCGTCCTCCCGTCCTCAAGTAAACCCGGGATGACTCAGAGAAGGCCATCAACAAGGTGGGCTTGGTGACACGACAGCCGAACCATCCTGCACAGCGCTTCATGGTTGTGGATTACTGGAAATGCCAGCTTGGGCTGCAAGCCTGCAACTCTGGGCTCTGTGCTCGGTATCCGCATGCTTCGAAATGTGTTCTGGACAGTTCGGTTAGCCCTGGCCCATGGGCTTGGACTTTGGAACTGCCGGGTCAGCTGCCAGGGGTTTGCCTGGTCAGTGGTCAGCGTCAGTGGCTACAAAAGTTCCGCCTAGATGAGCTAGGAACCCTTTTGGGTCGGAGCACTGAACGGGGCCTTGAACGGTTCTGGTGACGCGGTCTCGGGATGCAAAGTGCAGGCGAAGGTCGTGTCCCTTGACCTTCATGAGCTGCCTAAGCTGAGGTGCGGACTGTACAGTACGGAGTCCTGTACTCGTACGAGTAGATGGTCTGAGGGCCTACTCGTAAATTGCAGGAGGGCTCAGTGATACGGAAGTGGATGCCACACTGCTCTCGGGCCTCAAGCCCCTTGACTCCTTGGGAGGAGACGTCCACCCTTCCAATGCGCAGCTAACTTGGATCCAGCTAAGCCGCCGCGTTGTCCGTCACTTTGATTGGAGACGACGGCTGTGCAGATCACGGCCAGGGTGATTGACGATTGGGTGCTTCATGCGGCGATCTTACCGCATACTGCATTGGAAATGGTCCCCATGCGACGATCCAGCCTTGAAGTTTGCTTCTTGTTCCAGATGGGATGGAAAGACGGGCGTCCACCAGATATCTACACCGGTCCGGGGAGGACCAGACACCAACGGGACTCGGGATGCGTATAATTCGTTGGTGCTCGAAGGAGTACGGAGTACCGGGCGCTACAAAGCACGGTATGATGCATTTGGCACATTATCGATAGCTTCCCGATATCATAATCGATAAGTAACTAACTAACTAACGTACTAACATAGGGAGCGATAACGGTAGCTCATACAGTCAGACTTGCGTCCTTTTTCTTTTCCTTCTATTCCAGAGACTGTTGTGACAATGGCTCTTGGTCGGATAAGTAGTGACAGGCTTATAGAAGCCTGTGTTCCGTCCAGAGGAATACAAGATGCAATTCCTTCGAGGCTCACGAGACTGGGTCATGGTGGCCAGTGACAGAGTAAAACAGGCACCATCAAATAGACAAATCAAACATAAGAAATCCCCCATTCCATCTCTTCAGAGTGGTGATAGGTCCAGGTGTCAATGCAATTCCATTCCATTCAGTCGTGTCGATGTTCCGTGTCCGCTGCGACTAACAATCCAATGCAGATTCCGAATAACTCCCTCGCTTGGTATCACATATGCCCCAAATCCTTGAAATTCCCCGTAAAATGGCGTCCAGTGCGTTGGCGTTGCGTACAAGATGGGAGAGCACCAGGCTCTCTATATGATAAAGAGTGGAAGTGTGTTTACTTCCACCGGTTGTGGCTCATGCCCGAGGTTCGTACAGGGTCGTCGCGAGTGGTGGTGTTGTGGTGGATGACAACGACCTCCCGTTTTGGAGTTGGGCGAGGATCTTTGCGGTCTCGGCCTTCTCGTCGAGGGTTACTGGTATGGTATCTCTCGACGCTGCCGCTCGAGTTCGAAGAGGTGTGGTATTGGGGCATGGTGTGGATAGTTTGGAGATTTGGTAGCGTAAGGCTGAGTGGCGACGGCAAGGGTGACGGGGATGTCTTGTTGCTTGAGGTGTGACCAAAGACCCGAGTTGGAGTGATGAGTCTTTTACAAAGATCCCGAGGACGCGATGATGGGTTGAGTCAGATAGTTATACTTGGTCCTGGACCAGTTTCTTAGACTTGAAGGATGGGTTTGGGAAGTGGCCAAGTTCTAAAAGTGGTGATGTGAAGGTGGTGGGGGCGGAGTTTGAACTAGTAAATGCTAAGGGGTCGACGGATTTGGCTGCGGAAGATTGACGGATTGGAGGCGGCGGCGTGTAATTCTCTCAGGTGACGATGGGGACGGAGACGAGATTGAGAGTGTGGGAGGAAGATGGAGGTAATTATTTATACAAGAATACAGTGACTTGGGCAGCGGGCAGTGACAGTGGGAACAAGAGAGAGTCAGCCTCAATGGGTGGTGGTGGATAGTTGGCTGGTTGGTGGCATCAGGCAGCACCAGGCAACTGAATCTAAACTGGATATGGGGTGGATATGGCTGTGGATGTGGATGTGGATGGAGGGTGGTGAGTTGAGAGTTGTGACTCAAGATGACGAGGGTTGAGGATGAGCAGAGACGAGAAGCACAGGAATGTCCTCGACTGCTCGTACTGGTAGACAGGCTAGCGAGGAAGGTACGTTGGACCTGGGAGTCGCGACTCACGACAAACTACGCGGTAGAAGGGAAGGTGCAAGGTGCAAGGCGCAAGGCGGGAGGCGGAAGGGGAGGTGCCCACCAAGACCGACTCCATCTCGGTGAAGACAAGCAGAAGGCTGTGGAAACCGACAATCCCACAACCAAGCTTCAGGCAGCATCATCAATGTCCTCGGTATGGGCAGGGGTCTTGGGGGACCCTTGAGGGACCCTTGGGGATCTTAGGGGCAATTGAGACGCGAATTTAGTGACTTGTTTGCCGGAATGTGGATTATTGGGCAGAAAGGGTGCCAGTGGGAGCGTGGAAGTACGAGGAGTCGCTTGTCCCAAATTAAGACACTTTCAATGCTCGCATGTCCTGCACAAATAGCGTGCGGCATATTACCCGGTAGCAGGTGGTATGAGCGCATGAGGAGGACGGGGTCTCGCATTCTGTGATTCTTTGCCACGAAAGGGAGGGCAAGGGGAACGGGACAGAGAAACGAGGATGACGTGGATCATCCCTCAGTCACGAACTACGAGAGATACTCCGTACTCCGAACGCACTCACGGCTTCCCAAGCTCAGGTCGCTCGGGCACCCGCGGACACATCTGGGGCTGGTGTGACACCCGTTATTCTTGCTTAAAGCAGATAAATGAGGCAACGCACAGGAAGAGTTCAACGCGGCCTACCTGGGATCTTACCTAAACCTACCAGGATTTAGGTGCCGATAGAGTGCCTGGCACCCACCTGGGGTTAGGGTTATAACAGGTGAGAGTCAGACCCTATCGCAGGGCTGCCGTTCCTGCGTTGACGCCGGGAAGCCCCTCCTCGCTAGGACCTGCTAGGGGCTTGCTAGGGACGTGAGGTGGGCAACAGAGCCACGACGCACCGTCCTCCCAGCTGTCGTCCAAGCGTGTCTTTGCCACCCGCAACTCAACCAGCGCCCTGAATCATGGTTGCCCAAGCCTGGAGAAAGTACTACGAGTACGGAGTACAGTCTCCAGTAGATACTCAGGCCCAGGGACTCGGTACTGCAGCTCGTCCGCCCGTCCAACTTCCAACTTCCACCCTCCAACCCCTGCTCTCTCGCGTTCTGCTGAAGCGCTCCCAAGGACACTAAAGGGGATTGCTCAGATGACCACAGCCCAATGACTATCAAATTGCCGACCTTTCATGAAACTCGGGCGTCATTGTGAATCCGAAGCGGGCAGCGCGGTCTTGTCGGCTCAAGACTCCTATGCCCAGAAACCCAGAAACAAGTGTCACTCCTTCCACCCTTCCGAACTTCTCATTGCCATTCCTTGCCCCAACTTCCAAGTCACAGGCCCCCAAGGTGTGGCACACACACGCCACACACTCTAGGTACTGGGCAACTACGGAGTATGACTCCGTACTCAATGACCCAGCCACAGCCACAAGAAACCTGTGAGTCTGACAAGTACATAATAAGGACGTATGGGGCCGCTGACGCCTCATTTCCCGTCCTGCGCCACACCATCCTCCCTCATCCCCTTCCCAGTCCATCACCATCCATTTAATCACTCACAGTCAACACCGAGGGAGTGACTCGTACATCACACACACCCACTATCCATCTCACGCCTTCCGTCGTTCCCCGTCGTCAGGAAGCATTCATTCTGTTCTCCGCCCCAGACACCGTTGCACTCTCCACTCCAGAATTACTGGGTGGCTGCTAGATGTGAGTTGTCCTCCGACCGCCTCAATCCTGAAGCACCAATCTCGAATGAATGGACGTTCGACGCAGATTCCTGAGGAACAACACTGGGATGTCTTGCCTCAGAAACCTCGCCTCTTGCCAATCCATCAAAAGTGCAATGCAAGGCAAATTGCCGTGTCCAATGTTGGTGTGGGTGCTGCGAAATGCCATATCACGTGCTACCGATTCCTCCTCCCACTCCCACACCTACGACCAGGCGCCCTCCTGGTGGTGGAGGCTACCGTCGCTAGCCGCTTGCCTTCAAAACATCGTCCGCACTAACTAGCTATTGCACCAGACCCCTCAAGCTACGAGGGACTACTGGGTTGATAAGCCCGCGTACTTCCTGCTGGAGAGTGCGAAATGAAGTCACTTTGTGCCCAACGGGGGCGCAGATCATCCCTCGGCTCTTTGCTCGATGCCCAGGTATCATCCAATGCTCACCACGCTAATGGATACGATACGCATCAGCTTGGAGCTCCTGCGCCATTCTGATAGACCAGCTAGGTATTCTCAATCGGACCATGACGAGCACTTGAGCATGGTGAAGCTGCCCCATATCCGCATCTTCTTTCGCCTTGAATTTGTGAGCACTCTTGAATGTCCGTCCCTCGCCTAGACACCAGCGTCGAGGCGATGTTTGTTTGCCTGTCTGTTACAACAGCACAAGCGACTGGACATTGCGGAGCTGTGTAGGCCTTGACCTTCCTGCCGCTCCCAACCCGAGAAAGTGGTGCCCCTGCAGAGTCCTCTTCTCCGCGTCACTCTCAGCAATTCCCACTGCTACTGATTTCCTGGGCCGTTGAAAGCTTCCACTCATTTGTGCCCAACCTTAGCTGATACTACCGCCTGTCCGGTCCCCATTTCGGGTTTACACGAGCTTCCACTCTTCACCGCACCATTACCATGACAGGATCTGCGGCACGTTTGTAGGATTTCATTGCAAGGTCTGTACTCTCATGTCTAGTCTCTGTCGATCGAACAAGCCACGAGCGTGCTCACCCCACAGACTCAAACTATAGACGCGCTATGAAATGAAGCAGGTGCCCGACGAACAAGACATCCAAGCCTCCTAGCCACTTTACAACTGCCCTCACCGACAATCATGCACGAGATATCCCTTGCGATTCGCCCGCAGCTGTGTCAAGCGCCTCGAACGGGGCCACCACGGCGTCCTGGCACTATGACGTAGCATCCGCTTTTCATCAAAGCTTGCACGGTGCATGACGCTCTGAACTGAATGCGGGACTGCTGGGCGCGGATCTTGGGTTGCAGCTTTCGAGGCGAGGTGAGGCGGGAGGGGTCACCAGTCCAGAGAGAGAATGCTCCTTGTTCTCGGGAATGATTATGTCATTCAGCAGGAGGATGTTCACATTCTTGGGCATCAAGTCGGGAGGCATCAAGTAGGGATCGTACGGCTACCTGTTCCAGTTAGCAGGCTCCTCACCGGTGAGTATCAGATTGATGATTGATGGGCATGAGAAGCTGAATAGGTAACTTTGCATGTTGTGTATTGCAACACTGAGGCGTTTAGCACCTTGACCGGTTGGTCTTCTCCACATCTATCTCATGGTGTATCCAAATCCTGTCACTTGAGTTGCGAGTGGAACAGTTTGGGCATCCCGAGATGGTCACAATCACCTGTTACCACTTGGTCGGCTTTGCGGTGTTATGGCGTCGTAGACTGACCTGGGAGCAGAGTCGACGGTTCAGCCTTGGCTGCTGCGGTTGCGAACAATCCCAACTTCGCACCCTCCCTTTCTATATCTTGCGGGAGGTGACCTGGCCATTCTCCGCGAAGAATTGATAAGAGTGGCAGTACACTCGAGCATATTTCTCATCAGCGGATTGAGATTTATCCGATGGCACCCTTTGGCTCCCCACCAATGATACTCGACAGGATTTGGAAAGCAACTGACACCACATCTAGTAGAAGATCGTTCCAATCACGCATGTCTCGGCATAGTTATGTTTCAGAACGTGGAAATCAGGAAGACATTGACTGCATGTGGGGAATAAAATACATTGAATTCTAGGCTGAGGGTCTCGGTCTCACAACTCCGAAATCATAACTGCATCATCCAATATGTGGTAACCCCGGCATTATCTCTCCAGCTGATCCCTGCACATATTGGGAGAACCGCTCCCATCAATCTCTTCCGACCATTCTGTAACTGCGTACAAAGGATTGTGCTACAAAAGAGCGGCGGCGCCCAAGAGAAGACCACCTAGCATACCACCTGCCGGCACAGCATATGAGCCGACCGCACCATTTCCAGTGTTGGCGGCAGCTGTGCTGGTGGTGGTGCCGGTACCCAGCGATGAGGTCAAACCGCCGACAGCCGATGTAGCCGACGATAAGAATGAGGTTGCTTCAGCTTGAAGACTGCTCTCGGCGCTGCTGACTCTGGAGGACAGACTGCTGAGTTCGCTTGAAAGGCTGCTTTGGGCGTCAGGAGCTGCGGTGGCAGCGACTGAAGAAATACTCGAAGCGACAGACGCTGCTGATGCTTCTAGCGATGATACGGCGCTGGCGAGCGATGAGGTGATGGAACTGAACTCGGAAGGTATGGCGGTGGCGAGCGATGATGCCACTGACGCAATGTCTGAGCCTGCAGCTCCTACCGCAGATGTGACTTCGCTTGCAACGGAATTCACCAGTGACCCCAAGTCCTGGGCGGTGGCACTGACTGCTAGAGCGGTGAAAAGTAGAGGCTTGGTGAAATGCATCTTGAATGAATGCTGTGATCGCGGGTCTCAGTGAAATAGCCGTTTCAAATGGGGATCCTGGGGAACGAGAGGAATGAAGGTGGACTGGATGCGGACGGAATCTGGAGAGGAAGAGGCACAATCAACAACAGGAGTTTGGAAGGTCCAGCTGAAGCAGTTATATAAATCTCCTGAGCTGGAGATCTCATGTGGATTCCGGCGTAGCGGGGAGACGATCAGCCACGATGGCCACGAACGAAACCGTCGACGCGGGTTACGGCTGTACAGTCGCAGCACACAGGGCACTCGGTGCAAATGACCGACCGTGCGCGTTGTCTTGCCATGCCCCAAAAGTCAGTCGTACTGCGCTCTCGAAGAAGAGTAGTTTCGGATTGGTGGTGGCCTCGTCTTGGCGGTGTCTGACTTGCCACTATTGCCTGCGTAACTGGGGGCTGAAACAAGGTTCGGTGCAACACAGCCTCGACCATTTCGTGGCCTTTCGCGGACACCCACATGGAACATCTTTTCTCCGGGCACCCGAGTCGAGGATCCGCCTCGGGTGGGACTTGGTGCGTATTCGTGCCCCGTCTTGAGATAGAATCCACCCAAGATCGTCATACGGGGACTCCCACTTGCCCAGGGCTGAGACGTCTTGTTGTTTCAATGCGTCTTTTAGGCCACGTCCGAGGTACCTAGGTAATTTCTCCTAATATTGGAGGCTGTGGAATGATGGACTGATCAGCACCACAGACGAACGAGCTGGAGCATTCCGAATATGATTGAACCCCGTTCAAGCCCCTACAAGCATTTGGTCCCCAATTACTGTATGTACTCCGTACCGTTGATTGAATCAATGATGGTCGATCGCGTACCACATTTCACACGTGACACGTCACGGGGTAGCTTGTGGTACGGGTATCTGTACGGGTACGGAGTATCCGTCCATACTCGTGACAAATGCCCTCTGAAGCTACCCGGCGTTCAGCCATGCCGTCGCCCGCATGAAGGTTCTAAATCTCTGCATCTCTGACATCTCTGACATCTTAACGCCTATTGACTCTTAACTCTTGACGCTCAAGTCACTAGTCGCGGCATGTTCCACAAGTCCAGGCTGGTGCTGCACTTGCTAACCGTGACTAAGCCCTCCGGCTCTCGACGATCCTCCCCGGCGCAGTCTGACCGCCGAGAAGGCCTGTCTTCCTCTTATCAGTTCTCAGTTACCGTATCCCTGGCATGGCCCTGTATTCTGGCTAATTGCAGACGGTTGATCTACTCGTCTTAAGTAAGTGACAGGTACCCGGGTGCCTACGTAGGTGTGGTTACCTCTGTCCTCGGTCCTCCTACTCTATCCTCTATCATCCTACTCTGCCCTCCGCCAGGTGCGTCTTTGTCATTCTCGATGTTGAAAAGACGAGCCAAGAGAAACCACTGCTTTGGTAAGTCTGCAGGAACGGTCCACTTGGTCTGTCCTAGGCAGGTGCTCCCCCAAATCTAGAGCCGTCTAGCCCAATATCGTACAAATTGCCATTGTCAGCCCCACTAGCAACCCTCCATCTCACTCGCCTTTGGGGCCGGGGGCTCTAGCCTGAGGTAGAGCTCAAATTCGAGAACACTTCGGTGTCGAATCGAGGAACGTACCAGTGCTTTCGATGGTGGTGTTCTAAGCCTTACGCTCTACAATCCTTCAATCAAGACTTGGACTTTCCAACGTCAGTAAGCCCTCGCCAGTTGTTGTACCGAATACCCGGATTCCATCTATGGTTCCCCATATTCTTGAATCAACACCCCTGACCGGTTCCTGCTTCCAGTTAGTGTAGCTTCCCAGAGTCTGAACCGCCCCGTGTCGTCCGTTGACGGCTGTTCTTAGTAACAATGCATCACGGTCTCTGGAGCCACACCGTCTGCGAGCTGCTCATCCAGCTCTAACACTACGTTACTATTTAAGAGACTCATCCAACGTCAACTAGTGTCCCAGCCCTACAAGACACCGCCTCCTGACCGTCAATATCGCCCACACAACTGGATTACTCTGATACACCCTCATGGGTGCTCAAGAGCAGTCCCATACAGTCGACCCGCATGCATCCGAGGTCGACCTAGAGCGAGGAACTCCCCGGAGAAAGCTGTCTCTTTACGGCCAGAGCAAGCCCAATGGCATTCGCTTGTCCCCAACCGTTCTCGACTCTTTTCGTGGAGACCTTCTCTCAACACTACCATTCACAAGAAGTGCAAATGCTTTCAATAGCATTGATGAGTGTAAGCAAGGCTGGGCTTACGGTCTGCAAGGCTGACAATGTAGATATCCAAATTCATAGGGGAGAGGACCTCGTTTTGAAAATCGCTCCTGACGTGGCCCATCCTGTTATCTCGGTGGTATTTCCGTCAGCAGTGCAGGATCCATGCGTTTTCCACTGTTTTCTGGCGGCAGCTCAGAGCCTCTATGAGTTCCGTCGGTCTCCGTGGCCCCCTGAACGGTCCAGCGTCATGAGCCATCTCCAAGGGAAGGCGTTCTCTGCCTTGCAGCAACGCCTTTCAGCACCATCCGCACACCTGGATGATGGCGTTCTATACTCTATAATACACCTCATGATTGCTGCTGTAAGTCGTTCTGTTCCCATTTCTGACTATTTCTGATGATCATAGGGCGGTCAGTATGATTCAGCCGCGGTCAAATCACATTTGATCGGGATTAGGCAAATCATTGTATTGCGTGGTGGACTTGGGAATACTCCCGCCCATCAAACCATTCGTGGTATTCTCACCGTGTACGCCCCTAGAGAATGTCGTTTCGAATAGTACTGATGATGCTAGGATTGAATATTTCAACGCCTTGGATCAATATCTCGATGGCTCTCCCGACGATCTCGAGGCGATTCCGAGTAGTCAGTTGGACTACGCGCGCCATCCATTCTCGCCGCGTCTCTGTAAGTTGATTGCAACACTACCTGATGGCTTCGCCGAGGTGGCACTATCCGGCCGGATAAGCGTCCAGTGTATCCAGCTATTATCCTCGGTCGCCTCGTGGCAATCGCTCATCAACGAGTCGCCCACTACTTCATCGGGCTCGTCGGACCAGACGAGAGACAGACTGTGCCGGCTTTTCTGCGACCCTCGAGAATGTGCTCGAAACGCCGTCCTCATATTACTCTACATGAAGCGTTCAGGCAAGCCTCTTGGCCTTGAATATATCATTTGCATCGGCCTAGCCATTTGTGTTCGTCATCTCAGTCAGGAAAATCGCACGTCACTTTTTGATAACAAGCTTCTTGACTCGATGATGAAGAATATTAAAGCCATAAAATCGCCACAGCCTTCCGATTCCGAGGCCATATTATGGCTTTCGCTCATTGTGAACTGGAGAACTCAGTCCATCCATCCTGTCAAGAAGGCAGATGATGTTCTTGATTTGGTGATTACTAAGTTTCCAGGATTGCAGACTTGGAAGAAGGTATCTACCGTGTGCCAAAAATTCTGGTGGTTCGACTGTTTGAAGGATGACTTGGAGAAGTGCTGGAGAAAGAGTTTCGAAAGAGCTCGACGGCTACCATACAGAAATCGTTGATCCTTATCCCTTTTGGAATGTACAAAAGGAGTATGTTAAAGCACGTCCACAACAAGACCCAGGACGACTTAATCCTACGCAACCACTCCACAACATGGCTTGCCGATTACTTTGGGCTCAGCGCCCCCCCAGTGACAGGGCCTAGTCCTCAGCTCCTGCAAATTTGTTGCAGCACTTCTGGGCTCGCAGTCATGATGGTGAAAATACAGATCTCCGTGTCTACCTTTCGAGCCAGAATTTCGGCATCGAGGTTATCAGGAACCTCTTGGCGGTGCCTCGATTGTGATCGAAAAGTGAGAAACTCTAACTAGCTCCGTCTCTGCCAGGAATCGGGGTAGCCGTCCCTTGATGGGAACCCCTCGTGCTCTGTCCATCGTGAGGGAAACGGACCTAGATAATGCGAGGGATTTGGTCAGCAAGCGGAGTGTTATAGGCAGGGCGTAAAACGAATTTCGAGATCAAACCTTTCTGGCGCGCTGAATGCCAATTGAGAGCACTTCCATCCTGTCGATTGGATCTTGGAGGCCAGGCCAACGTCTCTACGAGCAGTGAGGTATACTGCGCCGTGGTAAGACAATTCTGAATGATTGCCGGACCGCAGGAGTTCGTGATGGGACGTTTCAAGCTCGACCTAGACGACGTGAAACTCAGGAAGATAGCCTCGGTGCAGGCAGCGGGAGGATCCTAAACTGCTCTTGTGAGCTGCTGATGCTACCGTCACAACCCGCCACCGATATAGCTGCAAGTATAATGGATCAATGTTGGCACCCGGCGCGATAGGCTGCTTTGCCAACTTAGACAAAATAATTACAGGCATGAGGCTTGAGGCTTAAAGCTTATGCCACGGTTATGAGGGCCACTCGGTCATACTCGGTATACCCAATCGACAATGCTCCTATTACCGGCACCGCCTCGGGGATTTGCTTTTTCTCTGCACCAAGTTTGGTGTTCGATGTGCTTGCAGGGTCAACGAGCCCCGGCACGTGGAAGCTCCTTCCCATGCAGGTTCCGAAGGCGCTCCTGCACCTCTCCGTCGGAACACGGTGCTTGGCATGGCTGTTCCGATATGCATTCCACTGCACTTTTCTTTTGTTGCTCTCCCCCTTGCCGCTCATGAGCTCTCACACGCCACGGCATCTTTATGATTGAATACGATTGAATTGCTACTCAAGGACCAATTGAGCGTTCATTCGAGGATTGCCTTGCCTGAGAACGAAGAAGCGACACAACTGCCTAGACCTATCACGTCCCTGCCTTGACATACGTGCGCCGGGCACTCCAGCCACAGCTGCCCGTTGATTGAAATTAGTGCGGGGCGGACGTGCTCAGATTGCTTCAGAGGTGAGAGCTGAGCTGAGCTGCCCTAGGAGCCTCAGGTGTAAGTTCAAGAGGCCTCCAAAGCTCCCTTTGCATTGCCATCGGGTGCATCTCTTTGACAACATCGCGGATACCGTTCGCTCAACTTCACATGGGATCGAAGGGGTCTAACTTCCAGTGCATTGGGCCGGTTTACTCACAACAGGCCTTGGATGGCATGATTCGGTACTGCGTCAAACGCAAACTCTAGGAATATCTCAACGGAAAGCCACAGTGTTTGCTGATCGCGTCTCCCAAGTATCATGACAGAAGCCTTGGATTTTGGGTTGTACCCCACCAGCGATGTAAAACCACTGATCACAGATTGATGATTTTTTTCAATAAGAACGTGAAAACAAGAACACCGAAGGCTAACCGCATTTGCAAGCTATCCATCCTTCTACGGTTGTTTCTCTATATATGGAGAGTGAAAACACTCTTGGCTTCAGGTGCGGAACCTGAATACTTCACCCATTGGAAGCATATCCCTGGGTTAACGACGCCTCAAGATACGTTTCTGCACGACGTCCTGAAACGGACGTTTCACCCGCACGAACAGGACTACCCTCCCTGATTCCTCGGATTCTTACTTGATGTGGTGTTCTCACAATCCTAGGGTACCCCAGTCGATTGCGTCAAGATCAAGAAGAGAAGGTACCTCCTCAGGCATGTTTCTGTCGTGCCAATTCTCCCAATAGATGCGAAGCATGTCAAACATCATGGATGCGCCCATTCTAGAGAAAATAGGAGCTGTCCGCTTCTTGTCTTCTAAGTATAGCAGTTCTTCCAGAACCTGGCAGGCTTTGCAGAAAATATCGTCGGGTGAGCTGGCAGTGGTGCTTAGTGCCTGGCGGGCTCGTTCGACGTTGTCCTCGAGAAGTTCGCGTTTCATGTGACAGTAGGGAGAACGAAGTATCTTCACGAGCACGAACCCACTATAGCAGATGGCCCGTCGGAAGTGATAGGGGCTCGCTGCAAGATTCATATCATAGCAAAGTTCGATTATTTGGCACGCCTCGTCCTCAGCGCTGTGATAGATCTTGATCAGATCTTCGGAGAATATCATATCATCCAACAGAGCAAACGACCATATCTGAAGGCGAGCGAAAAAGTACGACACCTTTACTATACCCTTCATGCCCTGAAGATATCTCTCCTGGAGCTCGGAAAGTTGCTCTCCGTACACCTTTATCATCGTCAATCGAGAATCCGGCTCTAACATGCCTGTTGGACAAGGTCCGTTTGCACCGATCGCGACGATCGCTTCGCCCACCAGATGATAGATTCGACCGAGCTGTGAAAGTGTAGGGTCAATTGCAGGATCTTCAAAGGCTCTCAGGATTTTTGGGTGAGCCAAAGTGGTTGCGGGGAGCCCCAGGTAACCAGAATGTACCCGGTTGACGATAAAACACGCTAACAACGTAGATGTTTGATCGCAAGCTTCCCCTACTCCACCACTACCATCAGGCGTCGACTTGGCTGAGGCGTGCTGACTGGAGGATGGGTGTCCAAGTTGCAGACACATCTGAGTGGCAATGCCACTGTACATCAGAGATGGGTCATCCCTCATGCCGGAAATCTTGAAGGGCCACATGCACAAAATAAGGATGGCTTGCGCGGTCTCGATTGAGCGTGGGTAAGCGTGAATGCTGTCTGCAACCATACTTTTGATTGAAGGAGAAAGTTGGAGTTGGATCCTCCAGCTCGAAGTAACAGCACAAATGACCCAGAACAGAAGAGAACTCTTCATGAAGACTTCGTCCGCAGAGGTCGTTGCCATTTCGAAAGGCAAGTGGGGATGACAGCGAGTGAAGTACGATCTGAACCGTTGCTCTATTTGACTGTCGGTGAGACAGACATTGCCCAGCATTTTGTACGATGCGGAAGGCTCGACGACGACAGCGGCTGGTTTGGTCAGGGCGTCTGTCTGAGGTAACATTTCAAGGCCATACTGCGTCGGTGGAAGGGGTTGAGTTACCCCCGGGATGTCGGAAAGTTGAGTTGCCCAGTCTTCAGAAAGTGTGGCCTCTTCTTCGTGCGCACTGGCCTGGTTAGGAATCTCCCCAGTCTGCACTGTTTCAACGAGAGTCTGCCGCAATTGTTTGATCTCCGACTCCATCTGCTGCATGCGCTTGACCTTGGACACTCGTTTGAACGAGGCGTCGAATACGCATTGTAGTTTGAGAGAGCGACATCGTGAACATCCACCAGGAGTATTACCAGAACTATCACATTTTGCTTTCCACTGTCGACATTTGGTACATGCTCTAGCCTTCATTATAGATCCTGGGACTGGTTGGTGTTGGCAAGGCCTAAGACTGAAGCGGATGGGTCATGGCCGAATACGCAGATTCAGAGGGCATGTGCTTTCCCTTGACGCCTGAGTCGTGTAAATTCTTATGCATTCAACGGGTCCTAGTAAGCTGGCCAAATTGACGGCCCTGCCAGGGCACTTGTTCACAAAACGCGGATTCTCAAGAGTGTCTGCTGAGAGATAAGAACGTCACCACCGTCGGTGGCACTGGGATGTGGACTCTACATTGGAATTTTAAGTGTCCGAAAACCGCACATATTCCGAAATGGCGGAGCCACTGGTTTAGAAGGCTCTTCTGCGCATGAGGAAGTTGATGCTGTGACTGAATTTCCAAAGGCTTGGACCGAATTGCGAGATCGCTCTAAAATCCGCACCTATCGGAGATGGTGCCCCCATGTGCACCGCTCGGTCTCGGTCACAACACACCTGGGAGTATTGACCAGGTTCTCCGAGGCGGCCTATAGAGATGGCAGTCGCGGGTAAGTTGTCGATGTACAGCAATCGTGATAGCTACTACGGCTATGGACTGGTCAGCCAGCGTATGTTTCGACCCAATGGGTTGACGAGAGTACAGGTATAGAAGGGAAGAATGTGTTGTGCTCAAATGATTTATGTACAGGAATTCTCATGTCGAAGTTTTGCTCTGTCATAACGCTCAATTGACATCAGTGGCCAAACTAAGCAAACGGCACCAGCCAGCATAATAACACCAGCAAAAATCTGGGCATGAAGAAAGTCACCAGTAGAGACATTAGCCAAGGCCCCTGCGATGGGTGCGCCAATCACAGACCCAATCGATGATCCCATCCAACTCATACCAAGCCGGGTCCCGACGACGTTCATTGATGGTGAAAGGACTGGGTGCGCAGTCGTTGACGTAGGGGCTGTGACGAGGACCCCAGCGACAAAACCCCAGAGAATGCACCAGACCACATAAGACGCCAAGCTGTGAATCGCGATCCACGAGAAGAGAAGGATCGCACCAAACACTGAGGAGAACAGAAGTGTGTATATCGGCTTGACCCGTTGTCCGAGCAGATAGGGGACGGTTCGACCGAGGACAGACCCTCCGTTGGTGACGGCGAGCATGTAGAATGCAAAGTCTTCGCTGGTGCCCAGAGCCCACCGTGAGTATGAGACGATGAAGAAGAGTGGGATGTAGTACGCGAAGAAGAGGAAGAACAATGCGAGCACCCAGCAGACGAAGGCAGATTCTCGGAGCGCCGACATGTCCAACAATGAACGTGCCTTGCGTGCCTCACCCTTGTGCCGACCCAGGATGACGCAGATCAGAACGGAGCAGGCTAACGCAATGAAACCCAAAACGCGGACCGTCCAGCCAAATCCGATCTGCGGTTGGAGCTTTCGGAACATGATTGGAAAAATGACGCCGCCGAAGCTCGACCCGACAGCGGCGATGCCAATGGCGATCGGACGCTTGGTCGTGAAGTACGTGGATATCAGGGCCAGACAGGGGATGTAAGTGATACCCTCGCCCAAGCCGACACAGATGCCCTGCGCCAGGAAGACTTGATAGAAAGAAGTCGCCAGACTGGTCATCATCATACCGAAGACGGTGAGGAAACAGCCCGTCACAATCATGACTCTGAGATACCCCATGTCGAACAGCGGGCCCGCGAAGACGCCGATGAAGACCACGAGAAATGCTTGTACGCTCCCGATCCACGATATCGCCGACGCGGACTCGTTCGACAGCAGGTCTCGAATATAAAATGCTTGGAATGCTCCGAACGTGCTCGTAATGCCCCTGGAGTTTCTTGTCAGTCCGAAAGTCCACTCGCAGACCGTCTTCGACATGGCCGGTGCCCTCGATGATTGGTGCGAGTAAGGCTGATTGCAGGAACCAATGGAGGGCCACATACCAAGTATTCGAGAAGACGAGAAAGCCAGCCAAAACTAGCAACCAAGCCTCGAGGCCTCCATTTGGAGGCACGAAAGCCTGCGAAGCTCCGTCCGACGAGGGCGCACGCTCTCTGCCATCTTCATCAGAGGTAGGACGGGCATGATCCTTTTCGGCGGCAACACGGCTGCTTCTCTCCGTCGGCGCCGCAGATTCCGCTTCACTTACTCGGTCGTCGTGGTCTTTGTACATGACGATTGCTGCAGCGCTTCGATCACCGGTTCCGGGTCCAGCTTCCAATAATACTCGGACAATCCAACCCTCCAACTCCAATAACCTCCAAAGACCAACCACTCTGGAAGCAATTTCACACAGCAGCCATGAAGATCAAAACCCCAGTAGGTTTGCCAGGAAATCTCCTTCCCAGAACAGGGTGTATCTGCTGTAAATGGAAAATCCAGGGCGATTCAGTTGAAAATGAAAGAGCGTCGTACCGATGGATGAATGGCCTAAAGTACTCGGGGGATCGAGGATCATCATTAGTTTTTCTCCCATCTGGATCTGGGGGGGGAGGGCGCGGTTGCGGAGATGCCAGCCGAGGTCGCCATGCTAGGGCCCGTAGTATATATACTGTCCGGAGTAACACATCGCCGCACTCCCCTACTACTAGTAGTACTACTCAACTTAGATATATTTGGTGGGTGTTGAGTTGACGGCAAATGCGGCATCCTCGCCTTGGTACGGGGGGTTGATTGAGCATGGGCGAGGGCGTGGGTGTGGGCGAGTTTTCGATCGCACAATAGAATCCAAGCCAAGAATGACGTTTCAAGTCCCAAGGGCGCCGGGGAACGCCTATTCTGTTACCTAATTTCAACCACGCCTCAGCTCAGGGGTGTCTTCCGTCCAGGGTTTGGCCAACCCTCCAGCTCGCCCGCGTCGGCAGTCAGATTTGGGGTCCGGCGATGTAATTACGATGGAAGGGTTTTTCTTCTTTCTGCTGCCGTGGTTCTTTGACTGCATGTACATGTACCTCGAGACCTATCTAGGTACGAAATACCTAGATAGATCATATGGCCTGCGGAGAATAGGTGGTGTTCTTTTTAGCGCTGGCATTGCTTCTAATATAAGCCTAGACAGGTGGCTGGCGAGGAGTACTGTTTACAGTAAATTTGAGCAGGCTTTGCTTAGGGACATCGATGTCTCATCGTACTGAGGTACATAGCATTCTATTCGGCCTGTCGCGTAGCGCAGTGTTTACATTTCTGCCCCTGCAATACTAATTATGTATTATCTTCGAGCCAGCAAAGTTTACATCCTCATTTGTGATGGCTCCTAAGTCCTGACGGACGGACCAAGGCGAAGCCTTTGGAACTGGTCGGTCGCCGGGAACCCAGTCCTGAAGCTTATCCCCGGACTTTTCAATCTTGGGAGATGCCTTGGTACGGAGCATACGTGACAAATTTCGATAGAACTTGTCTAATACCTACGTGGTAGAATAGTATTCGCCTAGTTTACATAGAACGCCCTTGACATGCCTCTCCATACTCAGAGTCCCAAATAACCACCTTACTTGGGTAAAAACCGATTGCACGTTCGTTACTCATTACTCCCACTGCACGAAAAGTCTGTTCTGCAGCCACCTGCCGAGAGTGACTATCTGGGTATCGACGCGGGTGAAATAGTCCGCGGCGACAAAAACAACAAAGTACATGATACTGGCAACGAGCCAGTCGGCCCAGATGGAGTCTCCGAGGGAATCTGCTTGCCACGGTTTCAGGTACGGTTCGTACAGGATCCAGTTGCACAGGATGTGGATGGCGTAGATTCCGAAGGAGATTTCGCCCAGGTACAGCGAGAAGCTCCACCGGAGCGGGACCTGGAGGGTAGGCGAGTACTCGAGCGACAGGACCAGCAGGATTGCGCCGATGCTCAGCCAGAAGTACTCCTTGACGTCCCCTCCGTAGTACGAGGGGGTCAGCATGCTAACGTACTGGAAGGGCCAAGGCCCATTTGTGCCGGTGTCTGCCGGAACGCTGAGGAAGAACAGGCCCATGATGAACATGAAGATGAGTCCACCCTTCCGGGCGAGGCCTATCCATTTTTCTCGTCGTCCGTGCAGAGCCGCGTTTGTATCCATCTGATGCTGTGGTAGTTGGAGCCAGCCTTCAGGCTGTTCGGGAGGAAAGCTGATAGACACATCCGCAATGCACATTCCGGCTAGGAAGCATGCTACATAGTGCGCCTGCCACCGGTAGCAGCAGACAATGACTATCCAGCTCAAGACCATCCTCCCTCTTGTGGTCAGCTTGCAACTTCCCAGCAAGAACAGAAAGAGCGCCATGCTTCCTCGAAACTCGAGAGGTATTGTCCACAACTGATATGCGTACTTGGTTCTGTAACCCTGGTTTATCCACCACCCAAGGACATCGTGGAAAGGGTCAGAGGCGTATATGGTGTCCGACATCCAATCCGCTAGCTGCTCGTATAGGGTAGGTTTCCATAGCTTATCGATATGGACCAACCCCACTTGTAGCGCAAGGGCTACCAAAAGCGTGGCGAAGGCTGTCGGAACGTAGAGCCTGAGGAATCTCCTGAATGTTGCGGAAGCGAGGCCGTTCAGCAATGGAGCTGCTTGCTGATTTCGAATCATTTTGAGCACGCGAACACTGAGGACATAGCCTGATATGACGAAGAAGACTTCAACGCTCCCGCGTCCAGCCTCAAACGCATGTAGGATTGGTTGATGGAAGATCTCTCGCTGGGAAAAATTGAACAGATGAAACTTGACCACCACGCAAGCAGCGTAGCCCCGTAAGGCATCAAGCCATGCCGTCGAATGATGTTTCTCTTTCCTCGATTTCAGCCCGCCTATTTGCAGGAACCGTGGAAGTGCAGAATGAAGGAAGGATATCGTGGGAAGGATATAATGGAGGGCGGTGCTTGCGCTTGACCATGCTCGTTTTGGCAGCTTCTCTAGGCCGACATACGCATGATCGACTTCATCTTCAGCACTCTGGCTCAGAAGAGGAAATGATTGCTCCATGGTGAGGATGGGGGCGTTGAGTGTGGTGAGGAAACCACAAGCTGCGTCGAGGTTTGCCAGTCAAGCATACCTAAGAATTAAGCTGGTGTAGGTAGAAGAAGTGAATTGGCCCCGCGAAAAACAAAGCACATTCCTCACTTGATGGGTTCCCAGAATGGCATTAGCCAGAATACAATCCATCAGCTTTTGAATCTGAGCATGTGGTTTGTCCTTAAGGGATATGTACGGAGCTCGCATCCGTCGGATGGACCTGAACTGACAAAGTGCATTGAGATTGATCAATGGACGCCACGGAGGAGGTTTGGGCGCAATAGGGGTTGAGACACGAAATATTCCTGCCTGGACATGCACGGTGCATGCGATGCTGTCAAGGCTGCCGCTGTCCCGACTGACCCCTTGCGTGCTGATGACAACTTGAAGGCGACATTAGCATAGAATAGACTTCAAAGGACCTCATGAAGCCTGAATGTCAATCTTGAATCGCGTAAGCAAAACCAAGCCCTGAGACCGCCCTCAACAAGTGTACTCCTCCAAGTAGTCATGAGGGAGTCGCAATCCCAGAGCCTGGGAGTAATGTGGCAATGCATCTATCAGGGGAACTCTCGGCACGCCATGCGGGAAAGATGTTGAGGTGACAGGTCTTTGACACCTCACGAACGTTACAAACCTATCTCCGTCAGCCAACAATCCTCCAGCCTGACGGTCGCCAAGTACTTCAGCTGTTGATGTTGAGTCCGAGAGGCGAGTCTTGCCATAGCTCAGTCAATCTGGCGTAGAAGCTCGCGTGCTTTGACGAGTTCGTCGCGCGGCGGGAAATATGATCGGCGTCCGACTCCAAACACTTGGTCGCGTGATGAGGTTCGCAACTTGAAGACTGTGTCGATAGTCTCTAGCTGGGGGGCTCACCATAAAGACCGTTCCTCAGCTATGGACTGGCCACTGGGCTAAGAAAGCCTCGATTTTTGGTGGAAAGAATGATCCTAAATATCCATCCTGGTTCTGGTTCAGGTGGGCAGCTTCCGATGGGCTTTTCCAATTTCGGATACGCTGACCCTTGGCCTCCTACATCTGACAACCTGAGCCCAGCGCACCCACTGCTGCTATGGAACCTCTGTCCTGTACCTCCTCACCTGGTGGAAATTTGGCTTCACATTACGACTACTGGGACTGGCGGACCTGGGCTCTCGGCTGCTCTGGAGGGGTCTTCCAGAGCCATCCGAGGCATTCACTTCGCGTTCGCCAGGACATATCGTTAGTGAAACTACAAAGACGGAAAGCAAAAGGTATACACAGTGGACGTGGTTTCTCAAGTTGGTCATATATCTCCATTGATTTCTGTCGCCAACTAGATATGCACGAGGACTCTTGTCCAGGGCTCATGAGCCCAGCGACTGATGGTGGCTGGGGCGACTGCTGTGCTCTGCAGCAGCTGTGGATCTGACATGGAAAAAGCGCGTTTGGCGCAAGGTGGATGGCGAAAGGTGGTATCTCAAAACAGTCAAACCTCAATAAAAAGTCATCTCATCCTTCCGCTAAGTAGAAGGCTGCTAGACTCCAAGCGCTATGCAAAAGTGTCAAAAGTCCCAAACTTTCTGTCTGGATCATGCTCAAATGATCGTTCGGGATCCCGTCTTTCAAAGGCTGTAAGAAAAGAAAATTGCCGCGAGGCAACATCTTGATAAGAGAGTCATGGGTCGTGGTCGTCAGGATAAACATATGGTGTCTTGTAGGTTCATCAGTGGAGCGAGGTATAGCTGTATGTTGTTGCAAGGCATAGTGTGAAGCACACCAGATTTAGATTTGAACACCCTCATTCTTCTTCATGGCTTTGGCCAGCATCAGCTTCCTCATCCACTCAACGCGCTCCTTCGAGGAGTCTACTGCAAAGTGGTGGGACTTGTTCTTGGATTCGAACAGTTTTCTGTTCTGAGCGGCCTTGTCCTCGGGAATGAGTGTAAAGGCAAACGAGTGTTCGCCTGCAGGTAGCTTGCCTTGTCCCAAGAGGCTCTTCTTGAACGCTGCAGACAGCTTGGAACTGGACGCCTGGGAGTATGCGTGGAGGGTGTACTCATCGACGTCGATGTCTTCAAGCTCATTTGCGTTGGCGTAATGGGTATCATGCATGGTGAGCTTGGTGCCAACCAAAGTACAATAGTTGTCCTGCCATTCATGGCGTAGCATCCGTGTAGTTTTGCGTTTACGGACCCAGCCTTGATGGTTGGCAAGCTCAATTTCGGTCACACGCTTTGGCGCACGGTTCAAATGAGAGACGTTCTCTTTGACGGGGGCGACAGAGGGTGTGAATGATGGCTGTCGATGGCGGCGAGGGGGCTGCGTGGAGGCTGAACGTTGAACTGGGTCGGGTGTGGAGGCCATGGGGGCACCATATCGCATCTCAGGTGGGACGGACTGAGAAGCATCACGTTCGCAAGGGTCCACAGCGATGGCGGTGACTGGAATGTCCACGGCCGACATGGGCGTGTCGAGGCGATATATATCAGCAGGTGAAGCAACGCCACCATAATGATATGGGTCGGCTTTCAGCTGGGCCCGAAGTTGGGCTTGTATCTGTGTTGGTTGCTGCAGAGCAGAGATGGGCGTTCTGGCTGGTTGCGTCTCTTCGGCGTTGACATCAACCGGAATTGTCAATTTGGGAAGGCCTTTGAGGTGTTCAGTGAGCTGAGGAGATTTGAGTGCATATGAGGCTGAGGCTGCAGGAGGTGGGGAAGGAGAGTGTGTTGTGTTGTGGATATGTTGGAAGTTTAGAAACTGCCGGACACTTTCTTGTGGATCCCGAGGCTGGACGACGCTGAGCGCCTCGTGAGTGATTTTGACCGAGCTGGGACCGAGCACATCCGATGAACCAACGACAGATGGTGCAACACCGGCCTCAGATGGGGATGCAGAAATTGGCCGGTTAGCCTCTTCTTCAAATGCACGTTGCATGCGAAGAATCTTCCGTTGCTGCTTTTGCCACTTCGGACAGTCTTCACCCTTGGAGCACTTGTGCTCTTTGGGGAGTACCTGTTCGATGCCAACAATAGAGACAGACTCGGAGGGTGTGATGGGGGTGCTCTGCCGCGGAGAACGGCGTGACCTTGACCGAGAGGGAATGACCATTTGGAACTCTGAAGCACGAGCTGGCCGTTGCATTGATCTTGGGCTTCGGGATGGCGTCCTTGAGACCGGAGAGGTCTCAATGGATATCATGCTTGAATTGCGGAGCTGTTGAATAGAACTCATGACCCTGTGACGTTTGCCAAACGAGCTGATGTCGAGTTCCTTAAGGTCTTCAAATTGGAGGTCGATGAGAACTGTGCCAGAAATATCGTGAATGAGGAACTTCTCCACAACAGCAGACTCGAAACCAGCCTCGGCCATCCAGTCAGCAACTTGTCGCGGAGTCCAGTCACGAACTTGAGATTCATCGAGCTCTGCAACAGCGCTAGTGAGAGAATCGATGGGCTTTGCAGCTGTCTTTGGTGATTCAGCAATGGCGGTTCCAGGTACAGGAGACATGCCGAGAAAGACATCATCTTCAGGTTGGGTCAAGATATCAGGGCTACTTCGGAACAGATGTGGTCCTTGGGGCCCGACAACACATTTGTCGTCGAAATGGAACTCAAACCCGCCAAGTCCTCCGGTATGCGGTGGTGTAGGGAGCTCATCGCGGCTTGATAAGGTGGATTGACTGTCGTCATCCTCTGGAGATTCAAATGGTTCATCCTCGGCGTCGGTATCGAAAATCTCGGTGGCTTCTGAGAGAGGGCGGGGAATATAGGTTCGACGAGCAAAGAAGGACAAGCTGTCAGGCTTCTGCGTCATACCAACTGCATCAAGCTTTAGCTGTTGGTACTGCTGAGACCACTCCATCATTGCAGGTGTTTCCATGAGGAGTATCAATATTTTGAAGACTGAATCATGGTGGAGTTGAAGATTTGAGCTGGGGAAGAGGTATGTATATTTGGGTGAGAAATGGTTTGGCGGTTAGAAACATCGAAAATCGTGTGATGACTGGAGGGTCAGGCCAGGGTGGATTCAATTGCATATGCATGATATGTCGATGTGCTCGTGCAGGAGGATGCGTGAGAACGATGTGAAACGCGACCATGCAGCCAGTCATTGTGGGATGTGAGCGGGGTGGGGTGGTGTTCTATGGTACAACTTGGAGTAGACTGGGCGGTAAGAGAGAAAAGCTAGAAGGGGATCCAATGGGTGGGCAGCTATGAAAAGTACGCGCTGGAGAGGATGAAGCTAGATGAAGCTATTGCGAAGGCGGCCAGGAGGTCAACCTTCCCCCCAGGAAGCCAATAAACAGTAATAGCAGGGTGATGAAAAATGGATTGTGCGGCCAAGGTACTAGTGTCATGTAGGCTCTGCATATGGCCAATCACGATACCGGACGGCGGCATTGGTGGGCCCCTTTTCCAAAAATACCATGCCACTGATCTCCCACATCCCTCTTCCATGAATAGCATCCAGCGCTTCTCAATGGATGTTCCTGAATCTTGCTCCTCATCTCCCCTGGCTCGAGCCGCCTCCCTTCCGCTTGCCTCTTCCCATTTCGTTCCTCAAAAAACAAGAAGGGCCGTACCGCTAAACTCTCCTGAGTCTCATGTCCTAGAAGCCCAACTTACTCACCCACGTCGTTGACTCTATCTCCCCTCCCAACCCCCTCAAGTGCCCTTTCCCGCTTGTCCTCCTTCACGAATTTTATGATTGGTCTAGAGCCCATAATATTCCTGCAACTAGCACCGATGTCCCTGAGGCTACCTGCCAATGCTTGTCCTTCCTAACGAATTGTCTTCTAGTGCTTCGTGACGGGAGTACAGCATGCCCTCGCGACATCACGAAATGGCGTGCAGCGACTTGGTGAGCACAAAACCACACATGAGTTGCTTGAATGGCAATAGCGCCACTCTTGCAGCGGCTTGTGGCCGATGGACACAGCTATCTGCATACAAGTGTCCTCACCATACCCGGTGCTATGAATCGAGGTGATCTTCTGTTTCGAGGCACATCTTGTAGAGGGGTTCTTGGCCCATGAACTTCGTGTGGATAACCTTATCAAAGTTAAACAGGTCGAGATCGAGACGGGGTCCTACCGACATACTCCGTCCCTCGTACTGAGTGAGGGGTTCCGAATCTTGCCGGATCTTCCCCGGCTAAAGGTGCTTCAGAGTTCGACCGGTGGAAGCGGCCCTTCCCGTGCGATGAGCTCTTAACCTTGAATGCCTCGCAGATTGGTCGACCTCGGCAAGCCTATTCGAAAGTTAGCGCAAACACGCTTGTGACGGAGAACCTTCCGCTTGAAGCTTTGCTCAGGCCAATTTGGGAGGTCACCATGAGATAATTGCTCGCTTACTGCTAGGAATGACACCATCCTCTCCACCAGTTCGGATGTGATATTGACCATTAGGTGCATATGCAAGCAACGTTCGGTAAGTTGCAGACTCCTCAGGATTCATGCTTAAGTCTGTGGAAGCCGCCAAGTTGTATGGAAGCTTGCATGATGGACTATTTGCAAGAATATAATCCCAGGGGTATTCCGAATGCCGTGACAGTCGTCAACAAAAGCGTTGAGCTGCTAGAGGGTTTGCGGCGTGGCACTCGTGGCACTCGTGGACAGCGCCATGTGCAGCCACCATAATCTTTGACAGCGGTGAGCCGACCGCCACTCGTGAACATTAAGAACACCAAGCCACGAGAGCAGCACGAGGGTTTGGCTTGGATGCCATGTTCACTTTTCACTTTCGCGATGTCGCTTTGACGAGTACACCCGTGCTCGGACTTGCAATGATACACAAACGTTGAAGTAATGTGCTCTCTTGAAGTCTCTTGCCAACCCCCCCCAGTAGTTAGACCCGTTGTCATTGATTCAAGCTGGGGTTTGACGCAGGGTCTTGGCGTGCAAGCCAATGTTCGAGATAACCTATGGAGCATTAGCCAGTGGACCTGGGAGCTTTCGCTGATGAGGGGAAGGTAATGTTCGGCTTTGGCTTTGTGCTTTACCTGCAGTAGCACGTTGCTTGTTTTTGCTGTGCACGACAAGTGAAGCCAGTGCTTTTTTCCAGGGCGTGGGACGAAAAGTCACACCACACCAGGGGTGGGGGCAGGGGCTCCATACTCGACTGTCTTCCGAGGTTGGCATCGACGGACTGATGCTAGGGTGCAAAGCTTCGGGTGATTATCACCGTGGACGAAATAGAGGAGGCTGGGGGTGCTCCTTCACGATAATGTGTGCATGGGACAACATATCAGCCTCCCTCCCATGCTACATACATTTCTTCTGTTAAGGAAAGATACCGAGTGTAATCCAGGTAACGTGGAATGGTGGGATGGCAAAGCGTTTTTACTTTTGGACTTCGATATTGTGCTTGAGTGGAGCACATAAAGAGAAGTGATGAAACTAGAGGTCACCCTCGAGCAGGAATGTGCGGCCATGGGGAGCCTTATCACTTGCTACTCTTTCTGCTTCCTAAGCACCGGCAGTGTCGACTTCGTCCTGGGCTGGCATGATGAAATTGGACTCTTCCATCTGATAGGTTCCTTTCGGTCAATCTTTGAGAATCTCATGTAGGAGGGATCAAGAACAGTCAATTTTTAGATCAAGAAAGAGCGGCCAAATTTGGCTGCAGGCTTCAGAGGCAAGTTCATTCCAAAGTACACAGGACTCGCGTCTACAATTGACGCGCTGAGTTATCAAAGCGCGAATATCTCGTTGCGACTCTCCCTTGGTGATTGGCGAAGCTGTCTACCGTTTGCTTGAAACCTCGAGGCTATCAAAATGCATCTGATCCTAAAAAAAGGTCGTGTCCAGGTGTTTGCAGGAATAGCGCGTAAACAACGAGCAGCACTGGTGCAGATGAGAAGGTCTTTTGTGGAGGGGGAAAAGTGAGGGGAGTTTTGCTTATCTCAAATGTGCAGGAACTAGCGGGTCAGTAGCGCCTGCCGTTGAATCTACACCAGGCGGTGATAGGCAGGGCAAGATCCACCCGACCCGCTTTACTAAACAGATTGCGCTAATGCACGAAGGCCCCTTGGCATCACTTTTAGTTCTCACTGGCTCCCGTCGTTCCGCAAGCTCCCTTTAGCCTGATTGAACTTCACGAGAACAGGGAACCAGCTCAACACCTTCGTCCTTTAGCACAAGGGTAGCTTCTGCACTAAGTCGACATCCTCACTTCATTCGACAACTGCTGCCCAATCGTTGCGATTTTTCCCACTTCCACCACACCCTTTCGGCGCTTTTCTTGCTCTCTCCTTCGCCCACAAAGCCTGTCCTGCTGGGCGAACCCTGGGCCCGCGAACGGCTTCGCTTCTCAGATCTGGACTCTCAGGAGAACCGACACGGAAAGAATTTGAGGCCTGGAAGAATACCAGTGATACAATCTACAGAATGGAATGGTATGTGGAGTCCAAGATGCACAATGTTGAACGTGACACAAGACGAGTCAAGCTTGATACGGAGTGCGGAGGAGGGCGATTGGGATGATCCCAACCAGACCATAACATCAGCCACATGATGGGATTTTCCTACTTTATACGGAGTACGAGTACACTGGCGTGGTCGATCGGGTACAACTGCAGACCCCGAGATGCTCTCGAACTGGCAATTTCTGAAGCAACTGGTTCACAATAGCGAGGTCTCCTCGGTCGTAAACGTCCCGACAACGGGAACATTGATGAGAGACAATCATGTGGCCGTCCGCTACGTCTGTGCGTCCTCCTTACTCATGGCTCTGGTACCTTCCTGGTCTGTGATCCCTCGTGGTTCTTTCCCAGAGGCTGGTACCGAGTACGGGAAGACGTTGTGCACGGTACCAGATACTTCTTGGGTACACGTGCACGCACCATATTCACCATCCAGCTCCGAAGTAGCTAACAAGTTCCACAACATTTCGCCATCAAGTCGTACCTCATGACTTGTCGCCAGGATCTAAGCAAGGCTAGAGCAGATCTCAGCACCAAGAGGTTAAAAGTGATTTTCCACGTTGGGCAGCTCCTGTTCTATTCGCCAGGCGGTCGACCAATAAAGTCAACCCATGGCTGCCCATGTCAAGGATTGTGCTCTAGACGAGAAAGTCACAAGACGAAGGCCGCCGTGGGATGACACCTTGTGGGAGCCCGACATTGCCAAACTTAGACAGGGATCAGGGAGATGACAGGGGAAGCTGCAGGCTTGGGGAAGTCGGCGCTAACTACCCTGCAGCTTAGCATTCGTTAAGAGCTGGCAAATGCTAATCTTAGCCTCGAACCGCCAACCCACAAATTCAACGACCCCTCTATCCAATCATGACGGAAATCTCCCACACTTGATGCTGATTCCTTCTTTGTCGAATGCAAACTATCGAGGAACCGAATTGGCCGAGAATGCTCACTGCAAGTGCATCGACCCATTCGACCAACCTGCTCATTGCTCAATCATGCATTCTCCTCTTCTTCCTCCAGCCATTGCACCAATACCAAGCCAGCGCCTCCAGACACAACCGCGATATTCATAGATACGATGTGCCGCCTTCACCTCTCATTCGTCCTCTATGCAGAACATTGTTTCCTACCGCATCTGTTCTTTGCTAAACCATCTTGGAGCCTCATGCTACTTTGCATGTTCTCTCAACAGTCTTCCAAATATAGATCTCTCCACTTGAGAAGATCCAGCTTGACACTGATCAAACTCTCATAAACAACATTCCCGGCCAATGTCGCCATGAATTCTTTCTAGGCAGACCGTTGCCCTCGCTGTTGTCCCTTCACCTCGTCGACTGTCCCTATAGACTCTGGAATACTGCTGGCCAGTGTTCGCGATCACTCCTTCGTAATACCCAACAACAGCGCGGTTCATCGCCGTCCTCATCGTCAGTGTCGTTATCATACCTGGGTCGGATACTCACTCTGCCCTTACGTCTATTGGTATCCCCGCAAAGTCCCGTAATTATCACAATCATCCATGGCTTCCTCAGCGGAAAAGAAGCCCGCGCCTACAACTAAAGACTCTCCCTCTACCAAGGCCTCTAAGATGCATAGAAGGTCTCGGTCAGGTGAGCTTCCTTCACCAGCACTACCTTTGGTTATGTATGACTGACGATGAACAGGTTGCTTCACTTGTCGCTTAAGACGCAAGAAGTGTGATGAGGGGAAGTCCAAATGCAAAGCCTGCCGTCACCTGGGGCTTGACTGCGAATACAAACGACCACACTGGTGGAGCAACAATGAAACAAGGCGGAAGCAGAAAGAACATATCAAGACCATCATTAAAAGGACCAAGACTAACGAGAAAACCCTGGGTTCCCAAAGTCAATGTACGTGACACCAGTCCTTGCCCTGTTTCAATCAACCATTGACATTACCTAGATCCTTCACACGCACAGCCTAGGGACGATGATTCACAGGAAGAGTACGATAATGTCTTCGATCAACCCTTCGTCGAGACGCCTGGCATCTACGATCCATACGGCTCTAACATTTACATGCCTCAGCCCGAATCCTATACCCATGGCTACCCATGGGAAGTCGACGTTAAAACAGAACGACACACCTACATCAATGACGAACTTACCCGTCGGGACTCGACGATCTCGACCTTTAGTACTTTTGTCCCCCCTCCCCCACATTCGATGCTACCTTCTTGTACCGGAGATGACTGGGTCCAGCCCGAGTACTACGAAAATCGACAGGACTCATTCAGTGGCGAGGAAGGCATCGACTTCAATTTCTTTGATTTCCCCCACGTCACACAGCAAGCCCAGCCACAATGCTCCATGGTTCAACTAGAAGATTGTGATCGTCCTCTCTTTGATCATTTGCTTGAGAATGTCCTTCCATTACTGTTGCCGGTCCTTGAGGCCAATCAGCACGGTTCAGTCCGAGCCGATGTGATATTGCCTGCCCTTGAGAACAACAAGGCCTACCTGCACTCCTGTCTCCTTGCTGCTGCCACACACCTCAAGAGCATCCAAGCCTTCGGGTCTACCACTGCAGATGATGACGCCATGCGCCACAAACTTGCTTTCGTGACGATTGTCGTAGAAGCTCTCAATGGCGACACACACCACAGTGAGATGCTGGATGCTTTGCTTGGAATGATCTCACTCCAAGGCTGTGTGGGGTCAGCAAGTGATCTGGAAAAGGAACTCATTCCCTGGCATCAACATTTCCAAGCTGCCGCAGACATCGTTCAAAAGCTCGACCTCCCTGCTGCCCTGGAGAACATTGGTCAGACCGGAGGCCACCCTCCGTTTAACATGACGCTCACTGCCTGGATCGACATCCTCGGTTCCACGATGCTTGGTAAGGCACCGAGATTTTCACATACCTACAGAAACATGTTCTTCACGATGTCAAACGCAGGACTTGAGAAGTTGATGGGATGCAATGATCTTGTGATGTATCTACTCTCCGAAGTTGCCTGCTTGGACTCTCTCAAGAAGGAGGCGAAGCTCGATGACATCGGAATGTGTAGTCACATCACCTCGTTGGCGCAGACACTTGATCAAATCGAGCCCAACGAGCCTCTGCAGATTCCCTACTCGAAATCAGGTGCTCTCCGTCCGAAACAGCTTTCGAAGAACATCAGTGCTATCTTCCGCAAGGCAGCCCGTGTCTATCTATGCTCACTTGTCCCCGAATACAACCGCTACCAATCGGCGACCGTCAACCTGATCTCACAAATGGCTGATCTTCTCCAATTTATTCCTTCTGGTCCAAATGGTTTCGATCGATGTCTCGTCTGGCCCATGCTCATCTGCGGTGCGAACTCCATACCCGCATCTCCCTTCCGACGAGCGCTCTCCGAGCGTTGCGAGTCACTGGGAGATGAAGCGAACCACGGCAATTTCGGAAAGATGGTTCGCCTTCTACATGAAGTCTGGAGACTGAACGATGACATTGTCATCTCTGCTGGAGTATGCGAAGCGACCCCTGTTACTGCTGGGAGCCCCGGGGGCTCGATCTCGACGCCGATTGCCACTGCCACCGCCACCGCTGTAGCCACCGCTGCAGTCGCAGCACCCTCGACAACTGTTACGAGGAACCAGAACGTCCACTGGCGGGACGTGATGCAGAAATACGGATGGGACTTTCTCCTGATATGACACACCTTATGCAACCCATTGCTGGTGATCTCTTGACGTTGCATTAGTGGTCTAGATGACTACTCTTGCCGAGACTCCTGTCCTTGGCGTTGATGAGGCCTCTCGGATCAGGACGACGACACTCTTTTCCCTATTGTCCTTTATCAAGGACGACTAGTCTTATTTTCACACTCATTAATCCCATCTAAACTTAATTCTTTCTGGAAAAAGGATTAATGCATCCTGGTCTGGAGCAGCGACTCACAAAAGTTCTTATCGGACTGCGGTCTGAACAGTCTGGCTTACCTTTCATCTGGCATGAGCGAACGGCGCAGGGCGCAGTTATTTTTAACCGGCAGACAAGATCGAAACCCACCACACGGGCGAGGATTTCGGTCACAACGACCTCAGGTAAGGGTCGCAACCCACAGTAGATACGGCCTATTCGGAAACACCCTTCGGGGATTTGGAATTTTTCACCGGCGCTTTCGCGCAGGAGAAAGAGAAGGATTTAGTTTATGATACCCTGGATGGAGGAGCGCAACACATTTGGCGCAATGATTCCTCCAAGCTGATACATCTCCTTTTTTTTACTGCAACACCTTTTTCTTTTGGGCTTTTCCATGCGCGCTGAACACATCAATGTGTTTGGGAATAGAGTGGATGTGGATTCTGGACACACGGACGTGGGGATCTACAATCCACAGTGTCCTGAAGCCTGTGGAGGACGCTATATTGGGTGATTATGGGCAGAGTCCCAGTTGATGAGAATACGAAACGACGGCCGTTGAAGAGGTCTGGAGAAGCCAGGAGACCGTAATATATACATACTCGAAGAATTTCTGGAGGAGAGAAGGACAGAGAATGCATTTTGGTAGGTATAACGCAGAGAGTACGGGCGGTAATCGCTCCCTGCGGCGAGATGGCATCTCTTCTTACCGGGTCGGGTAGTGTGCAAAGCTCTCATGCGGGACAGGAGGTATCATGACTGATGCAGTCCAGGGGCTAGGATCTCTGGACATGAATAGCAAAAAAAGTTCAAATGCTCTAGCTTCCAACGTTTTCCCCCGAGGTAAAATAGGATCGAGCGATATAGACGAGTATGTTTGTGTGGATGTGGTTACTGCATAGTAGTAGCCCAACACTTCCTAAAATTAACCTGAATACCTAGGGAATTCATAGACCAAGGGGAAAAGTTACTCCAAGCTTCCCTTGAGGACAATTACCCACCTACGTAAGGTAGGTATCGAAGTAGTTAGGCAGGCCGCAGGACTTTAACCTCGTCTTTTCCAGGAGCTTGCGTTGGACCTCCTAGTAGATGAGGAGTAGTCACGTGACCTGCACTATATTGATCGGTCATGGGGGCATCGGGAAGTGGCATGCCAGCTACACGAGCAGACAATCAGGGTCAGATGCTCGCAGTGAGGCACAGGGCTTAAACCTTGTAGCGATATTGAAGGCTGGCCCGAGTGTAGAAACACCGCCAGATAGATGGTTTAGAACAAGGCACCTTGCAAAGATTCTGTGATTCTATGAATGCGGGGGCTAAAATACTGGGGTAGACTTGCTGGCACATCCAAAGCTCAGGTGTCTGAGCGTCTGAGCTTTCTGACCGACTGCTTTGCTGATGTTGATGAAGAGTCTGCTTTAGCTCTAGAGCAGATATAAAAACCGCGAAGACCTGCCCCCAGGGAAATGAATACTCTCTCGCAGACAAGGCGGGGTCGATTTTCCTTGAATCGCGCATTTGCATACACACGATTGACATGTCAGCCGGCTGGTTTTGCTGTGGTTCATGTGAGGCCCGTCCCTGATATCATTGCTTCCATTACCTGAGCTTGACTTGATTGAACATTGAGGTTGCCAACACTGTCTTGCTCGAAGACATTCATATCAATATTAGCCCCGTCGTCTCATCTCGGGGATCTCCGGTCGCTCTTCTGTCGTAAGTCATCTTCGTAGATCACTGCCGGCCTTGGAAGGGATCTTGTGGTTGAGGCATCCTTCGGCCGAGCAAGGAACTCCATCAGTCATCACTAAGTTGCACGTATTTGGAGCCTCCAATCGGCGTCGACTCATTCCCTAGCTGCGTTTTGATTCAACACGAGGGCTGACTGTTAAATCAGGCCTGAATAATGTCGCCTCTGGACAAACATCACGTGTCAAGCGCGCAGGCGCTGCACCAGTTCCTTTATGACGACAAGAACATTGTCGATCGGCCTTACCGAAGTCTAGCAGGTCGCACCTTGCGTCAAGGGACAACACAGACACAGACAACCCATGGCCAACCAGGTGCCCCGGCGCCCAAGACTGGATCCAGGAACATCGCTTCCGCTCGTCGACTCGAAAGAGAGATGGATAAGTTGACAGATCAAGAACTGCTCCGTGATGCTCAAAAGGAGCAATCAAGCAGGACAATACCAGTGTTTGTTGTGATGATCGATGTTGATACCATCCAGATCGTGACTTGTGGCCACTTGCCTTGGACAAATATGTCAAATGATCCCTCCATAAAAAAACAAGGACACTGTTGGCGGCACACCAGCGTGTGGTAAGAGAATTTCTTTGAGAGTATTGGCACGGGGTGCTCAAGGGGGGTTTCCACTATGCCCAAGGCGTTGATAAGCTATGCTTCAGGTTGAATCATGAAGTGGTAGAGAAGAAGAGCGTGGTTTCACTTTATTGATTCACTGAAGCGAAGAGTCCAAGGGGTCTCAGCCTTGTCCCTCCACAAGGCCGGCACTCGACGATGGCAACGCCCTTGCATTGCAAATGAGATGCTTGGACTAGTCAAAAAGATCCTTACCTTTATTTAGAAGATAGATACGTTGCGTAAATCAATTAAGGTTATCATCGATGAACATGTGGTGGCTCGCCGGGGGAGGCTTTGGGCCGTGCGCTTAATTAGCGCTCGCCTCACGGTGCAGCCTGGAGAATGCGCAAAATCTAGGAAGACCGAACGACATTTCAAGTCGGGATAATTATCGTGTAGGTCGTGGCGCCTTCAGCGTGGAGGATGACTGGGGAGTGATGGACCTGCTGTGAAGAAAGCAAAATTGGGAGTCCACGCTGACTTTGGGGTGATCAAAGGATCAACGGGCGGAAATTCGTTGACCCGACCCTAGCGCTGGACTGCTTATCGCCTATCGCTCGGATCGCCCCGTTAGGACTTAAGGTTAAGATGGGGACCGGGGGGTTGACCTCCACCAAGAGATTCATCCCTGACCTACTCGTAGGCTGTGGAATATCGCCAATTCCGGCTCGGTACATTTCGGTCGGTGTATACGTAGTCAGCAATGCTGGTGGTATGGCCAACAAGAGTTGCCAGGGGGTCGAATAATGGATCCTGCACGAAATGAACTACCGCTCTGAACTTGGAGTCTGTGACTAAACCAGGAAGGACGGCTGAGAAAATGATTAAGACGGATCATTCCGAAGACGTATAACGCATTCTTGGCTCGGATATGTCTCTGCAGCCATTTCAAGCATGATCTATTGATCTGTCAAGAAGCATGTCAGAGAAGAATGGCGCTGCTTCTCTGCACGGCGGAAGATGAGATCGTTACTCGGTCTCAGTCTTCGTTGGTGACATTGAGACTAGGATACTCCGTACGGAGTACACCTGCATGCGTTTCACTAGCCATAGTTTAAACTCGCTGTTTAATGAGAGTCTTGCAGATTCGGTTGCAGCTGTCACAAGGGCAAGGGAGTTAGCCTAACATTTCCGCAGTCGATATGCCAGAATCAGCCATTGTCGATCACAACCGCATTCGTTGACAATGTTCCAGCAGCAGATGCTTCCTGTCTTATGCTAGAAGAGAAGTACTCAGGTGGAGGTCTCAGAGCACTTTTTCGGGCGAACGACTCCCAAACACTGGCCCCGAGACTCGTAATTCCATAATAAAATCCCCCTGTCGACAACATTGCTACTGTCATTTGATTCATCAAAGGGTCTAATGTAAACTGGCTGTTTAAGCAAGTCAGACATAGCCTTTGGGATGCGTTGAGACGTTCCGTCGTCGGGAATTTAGGCACTCTCCATGATCCCGGGAACGCAGTGGTCATGTCTGAAAAATATATTTGCTTCTTCCTATGCCTGCTGGGGGCTGAGAAGCGGGGTGTATTTTCGAAAACGCTAGTTGTTGTCCTTGTGGCCGACAAGTTGATGAAGGTGAAACGTCCGGACCAGATGACGTGCTCCTTAATTCAAGAATTGCGCCTGGACGGCGGGGAAAGCACGGACGTGAGACTAGCCGCTCGACCCCATCTCCACATGTCGACTAGCCCCTACTGCTAGCTAGAGGCTTCTAGGTGTTGTAGTCATTTTCCGTTTGATGTCGGAGATAGACTTTAGACAACACGACTGCTGTGGGAAAGGGTGAATAGGCCAGGCTGTGGGCTTACGTGTCGATCCTCTCCGTCTTTGTACCTTGGCAGGTTGCTGACTGACAGCGGAACTTTCGTAAAGATGTGACGGACCAGAGGAGACGTTGCTGTAGATGCCTATAATTAGAATTGGGTACACGCTCTGGTGGCAGCAACAGCAGAAGCGGGATGTGAGTGTCAAGTTTCGCTGTCAAATGTCAGCTCTCCATAGGGAAGCGTCTCCATGGAGTCCACGCCATCCGCCTGCAATTGGCCCTCTCATCTATGGAGAATATATGTGCCTTGGACATGCAAGTGATAAAGAGGACGCATACTTGACAGGTCATGAGTCTTGGATTTTGTCTTTGCTTGGGCGGGAGGCTCGGGCAGATGATCCGCCCAATTCAATTGCTTTGCTATCTCCAAGCTCCTTGTGTAGTCTGTGCGTCCTAGTGCGTCCGGGGTGCTCAAATCGACCCAGTATAAGTAGCGGATGGTAGTACCCAGCCCGTATTGCCTGCGTGTCAATGCTCTCGATGTTACCGCTCTCTGTAGGGAGACCAACAAAGTGAGAAAGACAAGTATCCGCCGAAGTAGGTTATGCAGCCTTGGTGCTGCCACAGCAACGAACTTCCAAGTCAGGAATTCGGGCGCTTCCCTGCGATTCAAGAGCAAACATATCAGGAAACCGTAAGCAGGACCCTGCTACGTCGCGAGTTCTGCATCCTGAGAGTGCTGCCCAAAATAGGAAGACTGACCCTCTACAGGCCAAAGTAAAATTGTCTCTGGTTTGTCATGACAAGGAAATGAGGCCATTATTCGTCCTTGTGCCAGGACCATTTCTTCGCCAAGAGTAAACCACCAGACATCGGAATGTTCCCACTGAGCACGGGCATGGGCATCGAAGCTTGCGAATACTTGGAACTCCAGTGGGTCTAGCTGAAACCAGATAAAGATTTCACCAGTCTGGTGGTCAGGATTGAAGCTTACCCAAGTCAAAGACGGCTGTACCGAAGAGCACCTCAACAGCCCACCAGACGTGCTGGAAACCCCAATTGTGCCCGCCTCGGCGAAGCTGCCGTGGGACTAGGGCATGATGAAGTACTTGATTTAAACATTCGTCCCTCCCTGGCCGGCATTCTCTTCAAAACGCAGATTCTAGCTCGGGAGCCACGCAGGCTTATTGTGCGATATCTTGTATGAATCACTAGCAATCCATTTTCGTGTCCATTCATCAAATTGTACCGTAAGTGGCCTCCATACTTGTCAGTCACCCTCGAGGTATTCAGCCCTTTGAGCGACATTGAGCCATCGATTCCAGGTTTGGTATTCACTGTCCGAGCTTGTATGTGATCCGGTCTGAAGTTTCAGTACATCGAAACTGATGGTCATCCTTGAAGTTTACCGATCCACGCTGGCATCACCAGAAATGACGGAGAGGTTCCGCAACAACGTCGAAACGAACCGCCACCTTCATGATGTTTGCCAAGTGGTCGACCGACTCCTCTCTCCGGAGACTCGAGCTCTTCGACGTCGGATCAACGGCGGGCCCACAGGCGACAATGCACTGCAAAATAAAAGCCCCCTCAAGGAAGAGAGGGCAAAAGCAAGGGAGGAAAGAAGAGCCCAAGCAGCTACCCAGAGACTAGAGAGGCTGATGGAGGCCATCACAGACCCGGAGCTTCTGCGAAGGGCAAGACTTGACCAGAAAGGTACTGCACCCCAGTCAAACCACATGTGCCAGCCTGTGTCCATGAGACTGACAAGAAGCAGAGTTAGCAGCTGGCAGTTGAGCTATCTTTGATCTGCCCACGAGAGGCGAGCTCGTGCTCGAGACAGCTTGGGGACTCAATGAAATAGATGAGACATGATCTGCTTGGTACAATTTCCGACGGTAGATCAAAGGGTAATTTCTGGGGTGACAAGGCTGAGATAAGAAGGGGCCATTCGCGGGTACCATCTAGTTATTGTCATCTCCACAGAACACCACGAGCTAAAAGCCGAAGATTGCTCTGTAAATCGTGGCAGCCGTAGTATTAGCCATGGAATATCTATCGGAGAGGACGATTATGCTGCAGGCGGTGTTGAGATGGCGTTGAAGGCACAGTGGATTCCATATTGATAACGCCAGATCTGCCCGGGCAGACCGGCCCATGAATCCCCGGCTCACAGACTCAACCGTTGAAGCATTCAAACAATTGCCTAGCCCAGTCGCCCGTTTCACACCGAAAGACAGAAAAAAGTGTGGCAGCGCAGTAATTGCAAAGGAGAGAGCAATTCATCTTTGTGACTGTGACGCTGACATCAATCGCACTCCACAAGAAATCAATGCCGCAGTACGGATACGGAGTTCAGAGGCAAACGGACGGGCACGCTAAGAGACGGGGACGCTAGTTGATACTGGGAGTGAGGCATTAGCCTCCTTGGGCGCCAATAGACACTCAAGGTTGATATTTGGTCTACACCCCAGTCCCAGATCCAGACTGGTTGCTCGGACAAATTGAAGGCATAGCGGTCCGGTAAGAGTCAACGGGGACAGAGCCTGAAGAGACCTACCGCTTAAGACGGATGTGATAGATAAGATGTGATCTCTCATCGTTCAAGACTTGGGGGTTGAAGCTGACATGGGCGACTTGGACCTGGAGACCAAGCTCCCCTCTGACTAGCTGAGGTCTTAATGTTGTGCCTCGTTGGGCTATGCATATCTGTTTCACGCAGGCATGCACTCGTCACATCTTGACTTGATGTTCAATTTGAGATGCTGGACGGGCACAGAGCAATGATTGGTGGTTTCAGTTCGGGGAAGCTGTTGAAGGGGACGCTTGCGTCAGATGACTGATTGTCGCTTATGCTGGGCCCGGCCCGAGCTCTCTGCGTCATTGGACACCGACCATTCAATCGCTCTTTTCCTGATCAGCATAAATTGCAAGGGTTGTTACTCCGTGCCCAAAGACAGGAGGAGACCTGCAAAAGAATACACCCTAGCTGAGGACGAGAGGTGCGAGGAGATCATGGGCGCGTACACGGTACGATGCGCTGGGCGTAATAGGCAAAAGGACTGGCTTAGCCATCGGAAGTATCCGGTTCTGGCGGCAGTAACCCCCACGCCAAGCTTTAGCAACATCCCCGGATTAACCGGATTAACCGGATTAACAATTTTGCGGGGTTGAGATCTGATGTTCTTCAAAGTCCGGAGATCCGTGAACGTCAGAATGGGCTCACCAACAGAGTGGCAGACTGATGACTGCCGTGGTGGGCTGGAGATATCCAGCAAGTAGCGAGACCCGGTGGAACGTCTACCTGTGCGAACGCTCCTATTACGGCATCGCCCATATCGTGATACAAGTCATCCGAAATTAGTATTTTGATGAGCATTGGTACCTTGCCGCGCCGGGGATCGCTTGAATTCTCCCGGTGGACGAATTTATTGGTGCCCAATATTAACTTGGGATTGTTTAGCAAATCATTTTGCGGGACCTGTACCCTTGGTGAGAGAGTAGCGAGCACCTTCGGGACCTCTGGCGAACCAAAGACTCTCCTGTTCCGTCCAAGGCGTCATCTGGGTGACAAGGCTGCTCATACCTATTCCGTACAGTACCCTGGTATTGGAACCCCTGTCTTCAAAACAAGGCTTCACGACCTGCTAGCGTGGGGGCTTGCTCAAAGAGAAGAAGCCGGAGTAACTCTCAAAGTGCTGCGTATTCGATATGTGTGGACGGCGTTGCTTCCCGCAATGCATAGGAGATCCCAGTTAAACATGTAGGCAGCTCTAATACGAGTAAGAACTGAACCTGTGTAGTCTGGGTCTGTGGTTTGACATGCAGGTATGTAGAAGCATAAATACGTCTTGATAGCCTGGGGTATGCTCCAATCTAGAAGTTGCTCCTCCAAACACTTTCAATGACACCAATCGCGCAAGGCTGGACTTGCTCACCACCCGCATCTGATAATAGTGACACGCGCCTGGCTGATCATGGCTGATCCTAGAAAGTACGTACAGAGCACCAATTGCTTTGATGTGGTTGCTGATCGTTTCCAGAATCGATAGGATCCTTCGAGAGAAGTTTCACCCCAAAAAAGAGAGTGGGATGCTCAACACCTTCCTCTACGACGGACAGAGTGTGATGGACCTCATCCATTTGGCACGCGGGCACGAGATCAGGTCTCTCGCCCTTGAAGGATGGAATAAGGTTAAACCCAAGGATTTGGGGCGCCTGAAGAAAGACCCGGACATGACCATGGACCTCGAGAAGTACATGGACCGACTGACAGATGCAAAGAACCTTCATAAAGCACGCGTGCCGTCTGGGGTAGTCGGATGATGTCGGGAAAGGAGAGAGAACCAGGGAAAAGGACGATGCAGGAACCGCTTTGGCGCATCGATCGAGATGCCATCACAAAGTACCGCCAAGCTATATCTGGTCAGGCGATGGTTTTGTGGGGCAGTCGGGAAGGATATCCGTACCAGTTGCTACCAGCCTCTATCTACAGTCATTCCATACATAGGACTATAACGAATGATGAACCAGACATTCTTCTTGGGGTGTCCTGATACACGACGTCCTATGTTTCGCCTTCTATCTACATGGTTCTGAAAAGTCTATCCAACTGTGTCTGAATGGATAAATGAGGTGTCTATGAACGCATAAGCAGCAACCCGTTGTGCTCAGCCCGTGAGCAAGTCAGTCACCTCGTTTCCAGAAGTCAAGGATGCTCATTGCTATCTGGTCCCCTTTGGTGACAGGCGCCTCGTGGCCGGCATCGTAAGTGGCAAACTCGACGTTGCCGTAGAAAACGTCGGCCGCATCTTCTTCAAGCTCTTCTCTGACGATGATCGGATCATGTTCACCAAGAACAATAAGGACTTTCTTGTGAGTCCCATTTTCTTGATTAAGTTTGCTCAACCTCCTCCCCACAATGCGCCAGCGGTCGTGCTGTTCCCTGACTGGTCCATATCGAATGCTCGAGATGAATGCTTGGACGAATCCAGGATGATGATCAACTTGGTGAGCCACTGCCTTGACAACAGTAACATGGGGGTACTTCTTCGACAGCACCGCTTGAGAGTTATACTCAATGTTCACTTCAGCTTTGACAGCGTTGGTTGCGTCGACCTTCTTGCCCTTCTCATCAGGGGGCGTCGAGAGTGGGGTCCTCAGTCGGTTCTTGATGATGCGCTGGAGCAATGGCTCCGGAATGACACCTTCCTGGTATATTATGCGGTTCGTCTTGCTGATATGGTGAGGTCGGATGAGACCGGCTGGCGCAAACAAGATTAAGCTATCAACGAGGTCCGGGAAGTAGGACGCGAAAGATGTGACGACTCCTCCACCGAAGGAATATCCAATCATGGAGAATTTCCCAGAGCCGGCACCAGTCCACGACAGCGGGGACGAGGCGAGAGCCAGAAGAATCTGAGTTGTGAAAAGTCTAATGTCGTGCTGGACATCTCCCGGAGTGTCGGAATAGCCACGACCGAACAGGTCAAAGAGGAGAACACGACACCCGCTATCCGCAAGAACGTTTGCGACAGATCCTAGGGCGATCGCAGGCGTGCTGATGCCATGCACAAGTATCACCTTTCGACCGTCCTCGGGTCCAAACTCGTAGACTCTGATCGAGCCATACGGCGTATCCACATCTCTTGCCCCAGGTAAGACGTCTGGCGGATATGGCAGCTCTGACTTCTCGGCATCCGACAGCTTTGGCAGCAGCGTTTTCTGTGGCGACGGGAACACGGCCGCCGTTCTCGGACTCCTGAACAACCCTCTTGCAATTGCTCCCGCCGAGAACAGCCCGACTCCAGCAACTAGGACCAATTTCCAGTCCAGCGGACTTGGTAGAAGATGCGACCGAGTCGCCATCACCGACCGCTTCGAATTAGAAGTGTTGGAATGAAACAGGGAACTCGAGCTTCGAATTTACGATCTTGATGGGTGGATAAGAGGTCCGCTCACTCATAAACGGGTGGAATTAGTCATGTCTCAAGCCTCGGCTCGGATGATTATTGCTACATACAGTACATGTTGATGAAAATGGCGCTATGATTCGCCCAGACGAATTCCTCTTATCTAGGCGACGTGCTCCATACGCGTACGGCCTTCATAAAGGACGCGACTTTGGATCTCCTCTCTTGGTATTAAGGTATTGTCTACGTTTATGTATTCTGCTGACAGTGAAGACAGGCCGTACCAAGTAATTTCGTCATTCCCAACCTTTACAAAGCCTTTACACGGGTAAATACTGTACAAAATAGTCCTGCCGTGTTGTCTGTGTACCCACCTGTCCTGTTCATAACGAAAATTCTAGGGCTTTTCCACCAGACTTGTCCTTTCCCCGGTTCCTCTTCCGTTTCTTCCTTTTTAAAGTCTTCTCATCGTCCTCGCTACTGTCAGCTGCATCGGAATCTTCGCTGTCATCGTCCGAGGAAAGGTCATGCTTTGCTCCTCCGCCTCGACCTCCGCCTGGGAGCCCCTTCGCTTCTGTCCATACCTTCACGACATTCCCACCGGCACTGATCATGCGTCCCCCGACGTCGAACCCCAGTCCAATAGCCCCGTCAATCTCGTCGTGCTTCAGGTCCATCTCCATCATGATCCCGTTCCGCCCGATTCTGGCGAAACGAACTCTGCCGTCGTCTAAGCCCGCTGCAACCAGCTTTTCGTTGAGCTTCAAGTTTCCATGTCCTGCTCCTGGAGGAAGTTCGACCAAGCTCTCAATGCCGGTCCCGTCTCGATCGACCACGATTCTTTCATCCAGATCTCCCCACACCCCTCTTTCCCACAAGCTGATAACGCCATCACCCTGACCGACAACCACCTTTTCGCCAACACTGGTTCCACCCTTTTTGAGACCGCGTACGAGTGCAACGCTGGTCAGCTCAACCTCTTGATCTTCGCTTATGGCAATTGTACCCTTTCGTAGATCAGTGACGGCCAGCGTTGTACCGCCCACGCTAATCCACTGCTTTGAGAACCCGCTTGTACTTGTGCCACTGGCAGGCAGAGGGATCAATGCATTAACGTGTTCCCTCCCGTGTGGTGCCCATACTTGGCTTGCTTTTGAGACCATGTCTCTTCCACCTTGTCTTAGATCTTGTAAGAACAACTTTCCCGAGTCTGTCGCCAATAGCAGTGTCTGCGGAGAAAGGGCATGCATGACAGTTGGGCCATCGTCGTCGTCTGCATCTGCACTTTGTCGTATTGCGATCTTGCTCACTACTCTCCCGGTTTCGGTGAGGAAAGCTTTGACTAGGCCGTCGGAGCCGGCCGAGTAGCATATTTCACCGTCATGATTGAATGCCAGAGTTCGACAGGACCCCTTGTGCCTTCTCGTTTTCCAAAAGGTATCAATCGAACCTCGACCGCTTTCCGAAAGACTTGTCGTAGAGGATCTTCGCAAGGAAGAGCTTAGGTGGCCGAATCCATTTGCATTTGTAGCATCGGCGATCTTGATGGGAGAGGCAGAGCCATCGTCGGAGTCACCGTCGAGAGAATCTGTGTCGGTAGGAAGTTTGTACGCATGGACATGGCCCGAAGACAAGCCGATGAGGAAGAGAGGTTCAGAAGGATGAATCACCTGAGCAAAGACATCCGATTGGAGAGGAACGGTGCAAATGGTGTCAAACATAACTGCATCTGAGGGTGTACAAGCGCGTCAATTCATGACTGTGTCAATTGTCCCTACAGGCATATGCGGGATTGATTTGGTGACCGGGAAAACGTCCGATGAAAAAGCTCATCTACAAAATTGGAGATGGTTGGCGTGCCTTTTTTGGCGATGGTTCCTCGTGAGCGGCGTGCTGTATGCCTGGGGAGCCGCCTGGGGAGCCAGCCACCTGGGGCAGCACCCACCAGATCTGCCAAGTCTCTTCCTAGCTCTCTTCTGCGGCGTTGCATGCCTAAACCTCACCTAAACCGGCGCCTGTAGAAGAAGTTAGTGGGCTAGTCAACCACCTAAGTCCGCCACGTGAGGGGCCAAGGCCAGCCCGGATGGCTAAAACTCTGCGGTGCAGCAGGCTGATACAGGGCTCGCCGCTCGTTGTACTCCGTATGAAGGCCACATTAGGCATCCGTTGAGTTGACTCGGGGAAAAGCCCCCGGGCCCCTTACAGGCTGCGGCCTCCTGGCGAAGATAGCCAAAGCTTAGCTGAAGCCAATCCACAATCACGCCTATCACGCATCAGAAGGCGTTTAGAGAAAGTGACATTGGACGAGCTGCGCCGTATTCAGTCTCCGTCCTTGGTAATATAATTTGGTCGTGGTGTTAACAGTCTGTTCTCAGACATGATTCTTCTCGCGAACTCCATAATTAAACAGGCACCCTGTACTCCGTACTCCCCCAGCAAGCAAGGCAATTGAAGATCGCTAACTAGGCCCTGTCCCGTTCGTCTCTAGTTACAGGGGATGTGCTTCGGGCTAGGAGTTCGAGGCATTTCTATTAATTACGTGCATTCTTCCTGCCTGAATCGTCTCAGGCCTCCAAGCCATTCGTGGCCCAAGTCTGTCTCATTAATATTGAGGTTATTGATTTTTTCACCCTTGGTCAAGGTCTCTTACCATCTTATCGCTGAGGCTGCATTGAGTCATGGATTCAGACGAGATCTCCAACGCGAGCACGGAGGCTGAGATTGTTGCGGATGAGACAACGGCACTGTTGGCTGGGTCAACAAAGCTTCCAGTCGCGTCAGATGTTGATATCAACGAAAATGGATCGGCGTTGCCTACGGCATCGGACGACGATGATAAGCCTTTACCCAAAGGCCAGATCTTCTTCCTATGTCTTGCCAGGGTCGTTGAGCCCATCGCTTTCTTCTGCATTTTCCCCTTCATCAACAAGATGATCTGGGATACGGGCGAAGTGGCCAAGACGGACGTGGGATTCTATAGCGGTCTGATAGTACGTTGATCAGTCTCGGAACTCGTTGAAATGTTTCCTCATCTGTTCATTCCATCAGACCCTGACCGTTTTTCATCTAGGAATCCATGTTCTCCTTGACTCAGATGCTCTTGATGATCCCCTGGGGCTGGGCAGCCGACCATTTCGGGAGGCGTCCCGTCCTCGTCTTCTCCCTTGGAGGAGTCACGATCGGCACAGCCTTGTTCGGGCTGAGCCAATCCATATGGCAGATGATCGTCCTGAGGTGTTTCTCTGGCGTGTTTGCCGGTACTATTGTGTAAGTCCCCTAGTCTTGCTCCTGCAGTACCCAAAATTATAAATTCCTCGCCCGTTTCCCAGGAACAACACTGACGAGTTTTCAGAACAATCCGTACAATGCTCTCAGAGAACTCAACCCCCAAGACCCAGGCCCGAGCCTTTAGTTTGTTTGCATTCACAGGAAACCTGGGCATCTTCATCGGGCCAGTCGTGGGAGGCGCGCTGGCCGACCCGGCGAATCAATATCCTAAGCTCCTCGGCCATACCAAGCTGTTTGAAAAGTTCCCCTACGCACTGCCCACATTTGCAACAGGATCGCTGGGTCTTATTGTCACGGTTGTTTGTGCAGTCTTCGTCAAAGAGGTTCGTGCACCCTCCAATATCCTTCCAACCAATTCTAACCCACAAGCAACAGACCCTCGTCAAAACGCACAAATCTTCCTCCGCGACGTCAAAAGAACACATGTCCATCATGCGCTTACTCGGTGCCCCTAACGTCGGCATCACACTCTACATCTACGGACATGTCATGGTCCTCGCATTCGCATTCACAGCAATCCTGCCCGTCTTCTACTTCACCCCCGTCTCACTGGGCGGCTTCGGGTTCTCCCCCGTTCAAATCTCGCTGTTCATGGCCATCGGCGGCCTCTCACAGTCCCTGTGGCTGCTGGTGGTGTTCCCCTGGCTCCAGGTCCGCATCGGCACGGCCGGCGTGATGAAGGTCTGCGGCACGGTGTATCCCATTTTCTTCACATTCCTGCCGCTCTGCAACATCTTCCTGCGCCTCGGCTGGACGACGTTGTTCTGGTCTCTCGGGCCTGTCCTCCTCGCGCTGGGCAGTGGCGTCGCCATGTCGTTCACGGCGATACAGCTGGTCGTCAACGACGTCTCGCCCAGTCCCGCCGTGCTCGGAACTCTCAACGCTGTCGCCTTGACGTTGGTCAGCGGCCTACGCGCTTTCTCGCCTGCCCTGTTTGCCAGTCTCTTTGCCATGAGTGTCAGGTCGGGTGTGTTCTACGGCCATTTGATCTGGGTACTAATGGTGCTACTCGCTGCCGGCTTCGCGGTGGTCAGTTTTTGGACCCCCGAACCAAACAAGCAGGACAAAGTGTTCCACAGTGAGGAGCAGCATTGATTTTGAATCTCTTTGCAGGAACAGAATCGGCGCTATTTTCTGGGACTCGCTGGTAGAAGACTACCTAGTTGTCTACCGGATACCTAGTGGTTCAAACGATGAGGATCACATGACCAGGTCGTCCCCCAAGCCAACCCATTTGTTTGAGCCGATACTCAACTCGGACAATGGGAAGTTTCTCTTTTACCTAACTTGGTACGAGGGCTGGTCTATCGCTCTCCAGGCCATCACCCAGGCTTGGGTCAAGTGTCTAAACCCACCACGGCAGCTCTGGCCCGAGACATCTCTCATCCAGCTGTTTATCGGATGGCAAAGTTAGATGTGGAAACTTGAGTATATCATCGAGACCTATCTGAGAACCAACTGGCTCTCTGTCAGTACGAGTGTGGCAGAGATAGACATCAACTAGCGGAACTGTATGAAGTTACCCCGGGATTTGATCAGACAATATTTTATCAATTTTGGCCTAGGTTTGGAATGAAATCAAACGAAAATGCAAGGCAGTAAGTAGTCTTCCCTCTTATAAATCTGCCCTTGCATCCTCACCAGCCCAGGCTCTCCTGATCAGCTCCCTGATAGGTTCCTTCTCGACCTTCCTGGGATTTGGATACTGATTGCTCACGGCGATCTCTGCGGCTTTATCGATGTCTTCTTCTTTCATCCCATAATCTTTCAGTGCTCTCTTCACCTTCAGCTTCCCCAGCAATATGTTCAGACCTTTGGTCGCATCCCCGTCACTTTCAGGTAGGGCAGAGGCCAACTTCGCCATTGCATCAGGGATGGCAGGGGCGTTGTATGATAGTGCATGAGGTAGGACAATAGTATGTGTTTCGGCGTGAGGGAGGTTGAAGCTCCCTCCCAGGGTGTGGCAGAGTTTGTGGTGTAAGGCCATAGAGGAACTGCCTAGGCACACCCCACATAACCAGGCTCCGTATTGTGCCTTCTCGCGTGCCGATTGGGAGGAAGGGTTCTGAATGATCTCGGGCAGAGACTCGGCGAGGGATTTTGTGCCCTCGAGTGCAAGGAGAGAGATAATGGGATTCTTGTTTTTTGCATAGAGCGCCTCAACGGCGTGGGCAATCGCGTTGACGCCTGAGGTCGCGCTAAGAGAACTCGGGAGAGTCATGGTCAAATCAACGTCGTAGATTACGACTCCTGGAAGGATTTTGGGGTCTGTTCTGGTTGTCTTGCGGCCATCTTGTGTTTCTCCCAGGATAGGTGTCATCTCACTTCCAGCGTATGTAGTGGGAATGCAAATGTGTGGAAGGCCTGTTCTGATAGATATTGCTTTCCCCAGACCAGTAGTTGAGCCTCCACCTATTGAGACGACCACATCTGCGGATTTGGAATGGACAAACGCCAGCGCTTCGTCGGTTATGTGTGAGGGAGTATGCATGGTGGCATTTGAGTAAATGCCGGCGGGCTCGATGGAAGCAGATGTCAGGATTTTGGCTAAATCTTCAACTTGGCTGACTTGCTGCGGTGTCGACAGGAGCAGAGGCGATTTGAGACCCAGACGTCTTATCTCATCTGGAAGGCTGTTTATGCGACCAGGTCCAAAGACGACACGCCCTGGGTTTGCATTGTACTCGAATGGGTCCATGGTGCTAGAAGTGCGAAGGAAGTGGTTTTCAGCTGCGCGAATGCTTGTTCAACTCGGAGGGTTGAGGATGGAAGGCAAAGTCTCGATGTGAATTGGAGTATCAAGAAATAAATCACATGGGGAACAATCTTGAAGAACTGGCGCAGACTGAGAAGCCTCCCATGGTGGTGGGTGGAAGGCACGTACCACCATCGGGAAGGGGTGACCCCAGCCGTCCTGCGTGGGGCAACTCCTCGGATAAGACACCTTGGCTGGTACCTGCCCACCAAGATCACGTCCAAGATAATCCGGATAGACCCCCCTCAGCGGAACAGTAGGGCAGCCGCTGACTAAGACCTGTAGGTGAATTATACATTCAGTCGCTCAGGGTTTGCCATGCATAGAAACAAGTTGCCAGACCCCAGCTGACCGTCAACCCTGCCAATAGCTGTCGAAGATTGTTCGATGCTCTAATACCGTCATTGTAGTCCTTGACAAAGGGCACTTTGGCCTTGTTCTGCCAGAAGCTGGTGAGGTGGTTGTAAGCCAGTGCAAGGCCCAGAGCATTAGCGGTACTGAGGACTAATGACGTCGTGCCGGCTGCCAATGATGCTGCAAGGATAAGACTGGACACCAAAGATGTGAGAGTCTAGTAAGTCCACCGTTATTAACATGTCCGAACACATGCGATGATTTATGAGATGGCAATGGCCGTACTCACCGCGACGGCACCGCTGGTCTGAGTCGTCCTTGTCTTGTGGAGTTGGTGCGCTGCTGTATCCAAGTATTTTGCGGCCTGTTTGGTCTGTTCCTCTCGCTTTTGGAGGTTGAAGATTGCTATTGCGGAAAAAGTGCCCACGTAGGCGCTGGCGATTGCCTGGCCGGCATGGAAAACTGCAAGAAGGAGGAGCATGTTTGATAAAAATCTGCTGATTGTTTGCGGAATGTGGGTATTGTTCTGATGATGGAGTTTTGAATGCTAATATTGATTTCTTGCTGCATCTAATTACGACATGGTCGACGGCCAAAGTCCAAGGAGTTGGACAATGATGGTATTTAAACTACCTGGATATGACGTAGATCTAATTAAGTCCTTGAGAACTCTCGGTCTAAGCCTAAATGAAATTACCAAAAGGGCTTAAGCAGCACGGCGGCAACGCACATAAGTGGTGAGAAATAAGCTTAAATAACTTCCTCGCTTTTAGCGCGTCACTCTAAACTCTGCCCATGAGCTTCCTTGATGATCGGATATTTCGTAATCTTGAACCCTTCCAGAGCTGTCAAGTTTGTCCGGGCGCATGCCAGGCCAATATACTTTGAATCAGGAGTACCAAGCCCGGCGGCATTGGGCGTGGCCAATCGCTAACCGTTTACCAAGTCAAAACGAGTCTCCCAGTGACTTTTCCTTCCCGGATCCGCGCTAAGGCATTGTTGGCCTCGTCTACTGGGATTGTGATTACTGGGATTGGTAGCAACTTGCCCTGCTTCGCGAGCTCAGCGACTTCTCTGAGATGACCCGGGTTACCAGTGTAGTTTGCCATAATCGTTGGAGCCTTGAATATCATGCCGACCAGCGAGAGATTGAGCTCCCCACCCATGATACCGACTTGGACCATCTTGCCTCCTTTGGCGAGAACTTCAAACGCCAGTGCTGCAGTCTGCGTGTTGCTCACAAAGTCTATCGTTCCGAGCACGGGGGCACCGGCAGCATCTTGAATCTCCTTGGCTGCATTCTCACTTGAGCTATCGACAGCGGCGGTGGCACCGGTCTCAACTGCGGTTTTTCGCTTCTCTGCAGAAATATCGGCACTGATGATCCGCCGGTGTCCTAGGGCGCGCAGAGTGGCAATTGCGGCGAGTCCCAATCCTCCCGCCCCTATCAGAAGGATTGGATCGTCAGGATCTAATGGCAGAACTTTTCGGATCGAGCTCAGCACGGTGATTCCAGAGCAGGCAAATGTGCATGCAACCGCAGGGTCCACATCGCCAGGGTCGACGAGGAATTTGGGATGGGGGACAATGACATGGCTTGCGAACCCTCCATTCGAGGCAACACCGAGAGGTCTTCCGGTTGAACACAGATTGTCTTCACCTTGTTCGCATCTGCGACATTTACCGCACCCTATCCAAGGGTAGACGATTCGTCGTGAGCCGAGTGGGATGTCTCGCGCCTCGGGTCCAGCTTTCTCAACGTTCCCTAAGATTTCATGTCCCAGAGCTCTTGGGAGCTTAACCCCACGGTCACTAATCAAGAGCCTTTTACCGAACCCCAGGTCGTAGTATCCTTCCCAAAAATGCAAATCCGAATGGCACACACCACAGTGGGTTACTTTTACCAAGACTTCTGTCCCTGTGGGTTCTGGAATAGGACCCTTCAACTTTTCCAGCGGTTGCTCGTATCCCACGACGGACCAGGATTCCATTTTGTATTTTCGAGGACGGTGCCTGGATATTCCTACTGGTGCTAGTATGCTCCTGAACTTTGCAGGATTTTGAACCTCCTTCTGCGATATTTATGCGGTTGAATGTAGTTGATCGACTTCGCTGGGCAGAAGGCTGCTTCCCCGCATAGGCGAAAGGGGCCGAGGTGTGGTGCCAACAATGCTATCAGCGAGGCTATCAGGGGCACTTGTACATGGATGCTAGAAAATTGATTCGGACCGCATGCAATGAGTGCTTCTCTGTTCTCGACGTAGACACTGCCCGAGTGTGGACGTTCTAGGAACGTCCTTCGGCTCACGTCACGCAGGAGGATCAAAGTTCAAACCTCGTTCTTGGAGAAGTATCCTGGCCAAAGAGTGACATCGCTTATTGAATTGCCGGCACTTAGTATACAGTTCACTTTACATAGCTGTCCACACGTTTGGCGTACATTCGAGTAATGCTGACATTCAATTGCACTGCCTGCCTACTCAACATCACATGACTCCCATTGCGTGACGTTGAACATCCACTGGTTTATGTTTTTGTTGGCCAGTGCTTTTAACAGTGTTCGCCAGTGATAAAGACAGTGAGAGTACCAAAGACAAAAAGAAATATATTGTGTACTGGTTATTAATCGTATAAATTTGAGATTTATTGCAATCACAGCGGATGGTAGTGCGCCACATCTCTAGAATGAATTAAGTAAGCACTCTGAGCCGTGTCTCATGCCGCTGGGGTGGCCTGGGCTATGTTCTCAGTCTGCTTCAAACGATAGTTCGTTGCGGTATGCCAATTGCGCCATTCTCCAGCATGAACCGGTTCGTATAATTTCTTTTCGCCTTCGCTGAGGGTGATGGGATCAATCATGGTCTCTGGATCAGGGTGCACGAAGAATGGAATGCTGTACCGTGCCGGCAACTTCCCACCGGAATACTTTTCGACCGAAGGGCCCACGACCCGGTGCCTTGTCGACTTGACCCTCCCATTGGTATAACGGTGTAGCAGATCCGCGATATTGACCAGTATGGTTCCCGGGATGGGAGGTGCCGGTACAAATTTGTCCTCGTGCCATGGATCGATCTCCAATCCGCCAACCTGGTCCTGAAACAACAGAGTGCAAAGGCCAAAATCCGTATGTGCCATGATCCGCGCATGCCCAAGTTCTTCGATGACCTGGCGGTCTAACTCTGGATAATGGATAAGACGGAGTTGTGGGTCCGCACGCTTAGTGATGGGCTCAAAGAAATCATCACCCAGGCCCATCACCATGGCAAGGCACTTGAGAACATTCATCGCTAGTTTGAGGCATTGATTGTAGAAGTCGTCGAGCGTGGACTTGAAGTTAGGAAGTTCGGACTGCTGTGGGCATAGCTTATTGCTAAAGCGTCGATGCTCATAGCACTCCTTGTGGTCATTAATCCCTTCCGCGCCGTCGGCCGTATATCCTTGATTGACGTGGACTTCGGCAAGTTTATATTTGAGCTTGTCTTCTAGAGGCAGAGAAAAGAAAGCTTTGCTCTGAACCTTCAGGTTAGTTTTGCCAACGAAATGATAGCGGCACGCATAGAGGACTCAGCAGACTCACCAGCTCGAAGATTTCGTCTACTCTCGTTTGCGGGATCCCATGGTCCTTGAGGTAGATGAAGCCTACCGTCGAGAAGGCGTCGTAAACCTTCTTTGCTACCTCTTTTTGGTCAATTCGGTCTCCTATGAGGAACTTCTCGAATGACACGACAGGAATTGGCGTTGCCATGTTGTATTTCCTTGCACAAGCCTCTTGCTATCAACGAGGTTAGTGTAATACCGGATCAGGATCGCTGACTCGCAACAGTGGCTCTCGGTGGCGTTCTTCCACACTCTGAGTCTTGCCTCTCGGCACTTTGCAAGGTTTGGCCTCGGTGGGATTTGATATGCTGACGGCCGCGTGGTACACGAAACGCTCAGAGGGAAACGCCAAAGGCACGTCTCAAACCACAATTTAACTATCAGGAGAACAGTTTTCTCGATTGACTACCTTGCGATTAGGAGACTTTATCTTTCTCTCAAAATCGAGCGGGGTAAGGCGCCGATTGCTGTGGTCAGGCGGTTGTAACAACGACATCCTACCAAAGATTGGCGGTCATCGCCGAAGCTGAACAAGAGGCCCCATGGTCCCAGCTTCTTGACTCTTGAGCGCCGAGGAATCCTTACTTAGTTTTGGATAAGTGCAGTCCTCTCCTTCACCCCGTAAGTACAGAGGACGAGCGATCTATTCAACATGTTTGACGTCTTCAAGCCCGCCAATTACATCTGCTGTACGCGCAGCTATTGGCATTAACTACCAAGAACTGGATGGGGATCAAGAGTTGGGTAAGACAATTCCCCAGGAGAAAGCTACTGAATATGGTTGCTGCCCAAATATGTATCCTGCATAGGCTCGCCTCGTACCATGCCTAACAGATCGATCCATTGCAAATTCTCGTATAGCTGCACATGCTTTGCATGACGAAATCGGCGGGGATCGGAGGAACCATATCACCGATCCCACTCAGACAAAGCCCGAAGCTGAACGTGAACGAAGCCTGCCGACCAAGAAGCCCAGCCATCTCAGCGGCTATTTGACTGGAAAGGCGAAAGAGGGTTTGCAGTGCTCCGTAGGCGTTGTTAGACCTGAACGACTGAACTCCGTGTTGGATGGTTCAGATTATGGAATCATCTAAACGAACAGACTGGTTTCTTACAAGTCAGTCAGCGCCGAAGTTGTTGCGGAGCTTCTGTCAGACTTCAGATATGTAAGGGCACCTGAAGTTGACTCAGAGGGCCTGACACAAAGATGGATGGGAGGCCGAGGCTCCGCTTCAACGGCGAAGGTTGCTTTGGGGGCGGAGTGCGAGCACGGCCGCAACGGGTATGAGGACTTGCCCCGTATCGACTGTCTAGTTTCTTGCCCGAACCCACGAGCTTCAAATCTGTCATCCGGTGCTGCCTGTTGTATTCTGACACATCTGTTTGCGAATCGCCTTGAACAGCAATTTCCAAGAACAGTAGTTATATGAAGACGTCCACGCGGTTTTCGCTTGTCTGAGCATACGGCGCCCGCAGCCTCAGCAACAATGCCATCGACATTGGGTGACAAGGTCACCCTGCTTCCCAAGTTTTCACTTGTGATTGCGAAGACTCTAGTGTCCGTCTTCACCAGTCCCTTCCGCGGCGATGATGGCGCTCCTACTGTCGGAGAACATGTCATGAACACTGCTGTTCGAACAATGATCACAAACTTCACTACTGGCCAGCTGCAGTAAGTGCCTCTGTCTTTCCCCATCTCTTGGCCAAAAGGCAACCGGGTTTATCTCTTTCTTTGCCCGCGCTTGTGTGACGGCCTGACCAACGGGTGCTGATCTGCTGTGCGCTATTAGAATGATCATGCCGCCGTTCGTGAGTACATATGAAAGCTATTGCAAAAAGCAAAAGCTCACGCCCAATATCGTGGACATCCCGAACACCACCAACAAAGGCTTTTGGATTGGCAATCCCGAAACTGCCACATATGTCATGGTATACTATCATGGAGGTGGTTTCGTTTTGCCAGGCCTACCTCCGCATTTAGACATGCTAGTTCTGTTCGTCAAGTGGCTGGGAGGGAATCTCGCCATATTCTGCAACGGCTACACGCTCGCTCCACAGGGACTGTATCCGCTCCAGATCAGTGAGAGTGTTGAGGCCCTGCGATATGTTTTGTCATTACCTGGCCGTGCCCCTGCGACCACACTTTTGGGAGGTGACTCCGCTGGGGGGAATCTTGTGCTAGCAGTTCTAAGCCACATATCTGGACACCCGCATCCCAATTCAAAGGTCGTGAAACCTCTAGAGCTCACCCCGAAAGGCCAGAAGCTACATGGCGCACTGATGATCGCCCCTTGGGTGTCGTCTGATGTGAAACGGTTCAGATCCATGACCGAGTTCGCGGACCGAGATACTGTCAACGGCACATGTGCAAACTACTGGATCGAGACATATAAAGGCGGCGCTTCCGAGAAGGATGACGAATATACTGTGCCGGAGCTCGCACCGGCAGGTTGGTGGTCTGGAACCGAGGATACTGTGGCCTCCACACTTGTTACAGCAGGCGAACAGGAGGTTCTTCGTGATGCGATCTTAAGTTTCACGAGCAAGTTCAAGGAAGGAACCTCGGGCGGGGCCACACTAAAGGTCGTTGTTGGAAAGAAGGAAGTCCACGACGCCCCTCTAGCTCCAAAGCCTGACGCAGAGCTCGACAGGCTTGGTGATGCCTGCCAAGAGGCTGCGATTAAGATGTGGTTGAAAGATCGGTGTGGGCAATAGTACCGAATCTTCCGGACCATGCCTGTGGCTCAACAGGTGGCTCGCACATGCTAGGGCTTACGAGTTGTGTGGATGGCGAGAACTGCCGTGGGAGGGAGTGTGCGGAAATACCGCTACCACAAATATGTTGTCGCGAGATCAACGAATATCAATCAGCATGCTGGCTCATTTCGTAAGTGCTGGTCTAGGACTGCTGCAAAGGGAGAGCTAAACCCTGGATTCGTGTCCACACTTGTACCATGGGACTCTGTCCTCATTCATTGCAGGATCGTAGATACCCGGCCCAACCTCCCAACGATTAGCCTGTAGGTATGCTTCCCATCCGCCACCAGAAAATCAATGTCGCTTGCCACTTCACAGTCCGATCTCTAGGGGAGTTGAATTTTCTCTGCATAGGAAAATGGAAACCTGATGACCGCTACCTCGTGCTTCTTGACAAAGATCAGGCAGTCGTCCCCAACACCACCAAGGACAAACAGTAGCTCACTCGTGGCGTTGCTGTAATTGCTGCTGATCCAGTCGTCGGGAATAAAGAGGTGGCGTGTGTACTCGATGCCGTGGCGACTTCTTGACGGGCTCCTCGAGAAGCTCGGTTTAGGCACATTGGAAGGCAGCCCAAGATCGTAAGAACACACCCAGAGGGTTTTGGAAAGAAATATTAGCTGCTTGCCCTGGTCACGGATGCCAATCACGTGCTCAATCACGTGGCTTATTGGCAGTAGCTGGGCATGAGCTCCTATGCCAGGTGTGCTAGTGGGTTCTGCGAGAGACTCGGCGGCGGCGGAGTTGGCTTGAGCGATGTCCAGGACCCAGCGTTTCCGAAAAGGCGCTTTGTTTGGGGTTGAGGCCGAAGGTGATAATGCTGTGTTGCTCGAGGAAACGGAGCGAAGGAGTATTTTGTGGCTGCCCCCTGATAAACTGGTCGCGCGATCGAAAGTTATAATTCTTTCTTGATGGCCTTGGGTCGATTCCTGTGGGGAGCCGCTGGTCGTCTGGCAGAACGAAATCGGCTTTCGAGATCCGACATCTCCGAGGTCCTGCCAGCTGTAATTTCGAAGCTTTTCTGGCTCCACGAGGGTGAGATATTGACTGGCAACAATTGGGTCACTCGCATCCTTAACAAAAATCCCATCCCCATCAAATGGTTTGATTATCATCTGTGTTAAAGTACACTGATCTGTCAGGTGGCACTCGGCAAACCACAGGCTGACCGTTCTTGTAGTCACCACAACCATGCGTAAACATTCTGTGGTATCTTGGAAGAGCACTTGGAGAACTGGGTCTAGAAAGGAATGCCGCAGAAGCACCGCACTGACCGACCATTCCGCGGTGAGCGCTAAGACTGTAACAGTCGATGTGCCACTGATAGAAGTCAGAACACGATTTTTCGACTTCCACACCAACTTCCCAACCCACAGTTTATCTGGGCCCGTGTAAAGCAAATCTTGCTGCGTGGGGTTAGTTGTACTGCGAATGACGATACTGCCATCTTCGCGGCCACAAAAGAATCGATCTGAGTTTGTGATCGGAAGAACAGCTGTTATCTCCCCAACACCATCTTTGAGACCGGTCCAATCACTTGTAGCGATGGTTGGAGAGAGTGTTGACTCTGAGATACTGTCAGAATCTTCCTTTACGCGGGCCACCAAAGCTGCTGGAGCCCAAAGGTTTGCCTGCCGATCACGAATGTCAACGATGCGCTGGCCGTCGCCGCTGAAGACGAGAGATCGTATATTTTCGATGGAAGAAGTGAAAAGGATGTGCAAAGGTATCAACTGCTCAAAGTCGTAGAGCGTGATGACCCCTTCGACAGTTGCAGCAGCTAGGGTCAGACCATTAGGAGATCCAGCCAAAAGACTGATCGCCCTGCTGTCTCCTCTTTTCTCAATCAGACCAAGGTCACGATCGAAGACTGCGAGAGTGCCATCTCGGTAGGCAGCAGCGAGCAGTGCAACATCAATATTTGCACAGAACGTCATTGCAGTGATTGGCTGTTCGAAAGTACTGTAGTCACCATCGTCACTCATTTCGAGCTCGACTATGCCAATGTCATACCGATCCTCGATATCCGTTATCTGAATCGGGCGTTCTCGCTGCATTGTTGCAAGCATCGCAGCCTGCGCCGAAAACTCAGCATATTGAAGCTCGCGTCGAAAAAGAGGGAGCGCTCCTTCTTTTTCCTCGGATTCAAGATTTAGCCTTCTTTCAACGACTCCTATTTCTATACCTGTGGCAGCGTCTCGCTTGGTCAATCTATGTTGTGACGAGACAGATATGATTGTACGATTGTCTTCAATGAATTCGACTGCCAACAAAGGGTCGCGCACCGCCACTTCCCACATCTGGGCCCCTCCCACTGCCATCCACATCCTGACTCGACGAAAACCAGCAGAGAGTAGCGTCAAACCTGTTTCGTCGTATTTCAGTAGTTTGACAACAGCGCCATGCCGCACAATCGTGGATATCTGCAGCGTATTGTTGTCGTAAATATGTACGGTTCCATTCTTCAAAGCAACCGCGAAATTATGGGGTCCGCTTGCAACTGCTGTGCAGGTAGATCCTTGGTAGAACATGCTACAGAGACGATCATCCCATTTCTCATTGCTGAGACCAGTCACTGAGATCTGTTTCAAACCCTTTCGGGACCGGACGTTGGAGGCAGATAGAACACTTTCCCGAGGGACAAAGGATGGCACTATTTGGTACATGGCGCCTGGAAACTCCAACAGGTGTCTGCCGAACTTTGCCACAAGCCTAACGAGATCCACAGCCAATTGTTGCATCTGTGTTGTCTTCCCAGCTAACTCACCAAGTGGTGGTGTGCTCCGAGCTCGGACTTGGAGCCAATGTCGGAGATTCTGAGACGCCTTGATAAGCGGATTCAGCGAACCAGTCGTTGCAATACCTGCTATCCAGCTCCTACCACATTCATTGAAGAATTCTGCAACTTTGAGGAATACGTCGTGATGATTTGGTGGTGTTCTACGAAGGTGTTCGCTGAAGTAGAGGAGTGCATAGTTATCAAGCCCGGCTTTCTCATGGTACCAGACCTTTAGATGATCTGCATTCCGAATATTGCGCAGGCGCAGCCGTAGGTGCTCGACAAGCAAAGTTGCAATTCTTGTATGGGCGTCCTTGGAGGATGTCACAAAATCGGATTCAATACCCGATGTCATGAGAAATGTCCTGGCAGTCTTGTGAACGGCACGTACCCTTTTGTTGTGATCAATGATGATTAAGTTCCGGGTCTTTTCGCACATCCTGTCGATGAAAGGGTGGAATCTCTCTAGTCCAAGCGCCGCTTGCAGCTCCTCTACAGTCAATGGTGGGTTAGCACAGAGAGCCCAGTTCAGAAATGCTTTCAATGCAGGGATATCCTCTTTTGGAATCTCATTCTTAAGGCCTTCAACTATGCCGGTGTAAAGCCTATCCATGCCTTTTGGAATGCTGTTAATGGCGCTCTCGATCTGCGTGGGGCCGGTTGCTTTCATGATGTCGTCTAATACCAGCTTTACCCATAAGAATGATCCATCCGCGTTGTCCAGAATGGATCTGATGATTGCGCCCCTATCTTCCTCTCTGGGCAAAATCAAATGTCTCATCCGTTGCTCGACGTAGGTACACATGCTGTCAAACGTGTCAGTCTTCGAGAGACGCAACCGCGTGACTTTTTCGACAGGTAATTTTTCCCTATAAATCTCTCCTGGACGTGTCGTCATCAAGACTCTTAGACGGACATCTGGATCGATTCTCAACACCATTTCCAGAATAGTAGCAGCCTGTTGGCATTCGTCGAGGCCATCGATAACCCAGTAATGCTGTTGATCAAGCCGGCGCTTGAATATACCGTTCGTGAAGACTTTTCGCCAAATGGATTTGTCACTATCCTCTGAGATTGTAGTTTTATCCTGATGTAGTGCAAGCACGCTTTGCCGAATGCTTGGACTAAGTAGTGCCATCTGCAATGCCAACGACCTGATAAGATAACTGGAGTTCGATGTCTGGCGGTCTTGAGAATCAAAAAAGAAGTAGCTGCATTCATAGTTCAGGCTTCGCAAGTTGTTGATGACTTGTGCAGCGAGAACCGATTTCCCGGCCCCAGGGTCGGCTTCAACCAAGGTAATGTTAGGTATAAGTGAATCAGCGTTAGCCTCATGGTTTTTTTGGTCTCGCCACGCGCGATAGGGTGCTCCGGAGGTAAACCATGTGCATGATTTGTCCGTGAGACATGACTGGTAGTGATGTTCGAACTCATCTTCAGGTGGCCCGGGAATGTCCAAGAAATCACTTAGTGATTTCAGCATTTTGTTCTGGACGGCTTCATTGCGATGGTTGTAGTCTTTCACAAACTTCTCTGTAGTAGCCAACAGAGCGTTTCGCACTGTTTTGTAGTTTAGTTCGGTGGGCTTGTCATACTTGCACATTCCCCTATGGTCTGCTTCCAACCCATACCATAACTCATTCTTGTGGTTGAGGAGAGCTGAATGTTTTGGGACGACATAATCGAGCTTTGTGAGTACCTTTGATTTCTCCATCTCGAAGAATGAACGTATTTCCACTCTATCTGCGACGCGAGGGAAGTCTTCGTTGAGTGATTCTAGAAGTCGTGATGCTGGCTCAAGGTCTGCCAGACTTTCTGTGCTTTTCAGCATGGGAAGCATATTGATAATGGCTTCAAAGGTCTTGGTGAAATCCGATCCCGCGTGTGGTGTTCCAATAAAATAGAGACTTTGCATACGGGCTGCTAAAGTGTTGAACTTTTCTGCCGTATGTGCTCGGATGAAAGCCTGGCAAAGTCAGATAGCACTTCGAGGATTTTCAAAAAAAAACCTGCCTTCTTGATCACGATCCCACCCATACTGTGTCCGATAAGTACAATGACATTCTGCGTGGATCGGATAGCAGGGTTGTCTAGCAACGTGGTCAGGAGTGACTCTGCGAATTCTGGGATACCAGCAATTGTTGAGGCAACGTTCGACTTGGCTGATTTATAGCCAAAACTATGAATGCGAACGTTCTTGAAGTCCGGGTCTCGTGGTAACCAGCTTCTTGGCCAGAAATGGTCCTCGTGCTTCGTCTTCGACCATGATTTCCGCGAACCGCCTCCCAAACCATGAACAAAGACAAGTTCAAGCAAAGGCTCAGGAGGAGAATTCAATTGGGTAAGACCTAGCGGGCCTGTTTTGATCGCATCATCATCGTCGCCGTCGTCTTTGTTAAGATCTTTCTCATCCCAAGATGATGGGGAGATGTTTGCCAACGAATTCTCGAGTGTTGAAAGATTCGTGCTGGAAGTCCGGGCAAGTGCCTTCTGCAACCGAGACTGGAATCGTCAGCGAGATCGTCTATGTTGGAGTCAATAGTCGCCATCGAGATCCGTACCGGAATGAACTTGGCTTCTTTCGAAGGCATGATCGGTCAGACTTAGCTGGCGACGGAGCCTCTAGCCACAGGGAGATGGTTCATCCCAAGGTGACTGCTGAGAGGTTTTGATGTTCCTACTAGGGCGAGGTGGGCGCGATGGGCGCGATCAAAACGAAGCAGCAAGAGCTTACCCTGGATTGGCCGCCATAATCATAGGGCTAGTAATCCGCAGCATGCCGAGATAACCAACCAGCGCTAACAGTTTACTGTTGAACCTTGGAGCAAACTGGCACAACCCGGTTTGGCGCCAGGAAGGAATTGTGCTGCGGGCGGTTATCTGCAAGAACAACTCATTAACTGCAATAGGGACCGAAGCAACCAACTCTGGCTCTAAAGTTGGAGCCTGGCAAAGCCGCCATGGACCTGGCTTTGTAGAATTGGAGGTGATTTATGACACTACCTATAGTTATGACTGATATGCCTCATGCCAGGCTGGATAGCTAACATCTGAGACAAGTAATCGGTTGGTTTCATTGCTCTATTTCTCCTGAGACTCTTGTTACTCCTCTTTGTACTCGTAGTCCGTCCTGGTTGGGATCTCTCAGACCAGCACTAGGACCCCGGGAACACGGGGATCCATGGTCCGAGCCTGTCCCGGAGCAACCTTAAGGCTAAATTGAAACTCAAATCACAAGGGCAGCATTGAAGCTGGCCGTTTCCCGCTTCGACATTGCTGGTCCTCAACAACTGTTTTGTTGTTTACTGTGCTTATGAAAAGTGGTTGTTGGCGTATGCTGGTGCCTATTGAACATCTAAACTACCTCTCTCTTTCCCTCCTCTGCGTCCGCCAGCGATGGCCCCGAGATCTTTCTACAAGACAAATTGCAGAGCAAGATGCCGCAATAGCGGCTGTGATAGAGAAAGTCGCGCCAGGACCGATACGATCGAGCAAGACCTCCAGGATCGCCAGAGCGCCGGCTGCAAGCAAACATCGATACAGATTAGATACTGCCTGCGCTGTGGCAGCACACAAGGGATCCAGATCCATGAGTAGAGTGTTCAAGGTCGTGAAGCACACTTGCAGACTCATACCAAGTAGAAGCTGGAGAAAGAGATTCACAGCAAAATGCACCTTGAAATGCAGGCACCAGCCATAAGCAACCAGAGCACAACATACGACAGCCAGGGGGATGAAAGTGCTGCGAAAACGAGCCTGCTCGATGGGAAATTCGGTAAGATCATCTCCTTTCTTGCGGTCCACGGGAAAGCCGTACTTGGTCGCGATGTGCTTGTAGTCACGATCCAGAATTCGCCCTAGAACAGTGTTCAGCCTGCAGGCAAAAGACGCAGAGATGTCGATACCTACCCGTCACGAATCCCGCAAAGCCAACGCCCACACCAAATGGAATATATATCAAGCCCGCCTGCAGGGAGTTGAAGTGATATACCCTAATGAAGATCGTAGCTAACGAGGCCTGGACACAATTCCACACCATGTAAAGAACTGCAATAGCTGACATCACAAGAGCTTTGTCTTTGTGGCCCAAGATCTTGATCAGCCCGCCAAGCCCAGATTTGGTGTGTTGTCTTGGGATTTCCGCGGCTCTATTCGCATTGGAAGGTTTCGGTCTCATCCGCCGGAGTGGGACAGTATGCCAGCTGCTTACCACAACTGTGCCGTTACCCACGATAGCTCGAAGAGTCTCAGGTAGCGAGAGGAGAATGGCTAACAGCCAGGCGCCGGAGCAGCCAACCAAGAACCAGAAAACCGATCGCCAACCCAGGCTAGCGTTGAGGGCGGCAGCAATGACTGGCCCGACGCTGGGTGCTGAATTTGTGCTCGTGCTGTTAGCTTTCTCTGGTTGCTCCATAATGATATATAGTCTTACCAGAAGGCGACGATGCCAATATAGGAACCCCTCTCCGCAGGTGTTGTAACATCGGCTAGGACTCCATATGCAATAGCAAATGTCCCTGCAATACCAGTGGCCTGTAGCATACGCAGCACGAAGAGCGCTGGAAATGAGTTCTGCAGTGCTAGCCCAATGTTTGCAGTCACGAACACTAGGAACGATGCCAAAAATGCCGGTCTTCTACCGACTCTGTCGGCTAGAGTGGCAGTGATGGTGGGCGCTATTCCTGCTACAATTAGATACGAAGTCACGGTAAGATTGATATTCTGAATGCTGGTATGAAGGCCATCGGCAAGGGATGTGATGACTGGAAAGAAGACAAATGAGGTCAGGGTTGAGAACCAGGCAGCGAAAGCAGCAATGAAGACGATCCATCGTTTTTGCCATCTGCTGAACGCTGAGTAATTGGTGGTAGGCTCCTCATCAGTATTTGTGACATGCGAGACTTGCTTCTCGTCCTCGACTGTGTCCAGTTGTGGAGCATCTCTGTTGGCCATTTCAGAGCCCAGAGACATCGAATAGGAGCATATGTATTCGGAAAGAGGACAAGAGTAAAGATGTATGTGGTACCGCAACAGCTTGATAATCCCTGGAGCAAGAATTTGGGAGGATGCGTCTGCCCCTCATTCCCATTGAATGCTCTTTTGGGGAGTAATTAGAGAAATGCTTCGTTGTACCTCATAGCTAAATCTACGACCCGCCCCCAAGCCAAGTATCCCTTCATTCTCAATCATTTCGACTACATGTCTGTGGATAAGTTTCATGGCCACACATCCTGGGGCTGTCCCGCGAGCCGCAAGCGCCGAATGCAGCAGGGTTGTTATGGGTGTGCGAGTAAATGTTGCCCTACAAGTTAACCATACCTCGCGCACTCTGCTACCGCTCTTGTTTCAACTGTCTTTCTAGGTGCTGACTGACCGCGCAACCACCTAGACACGATCGCAGCGAGCATTTCATACAAGAGATGTCGCGCTCCTCTGGCCTTTTGGTGATCTTTCACGACATTCTAGTACAGCATACAATGCTCACAGCTCTAACTGAAATTGCCATACCAATCAGTGGCTCATATTTCAATGAGCCTGCTTTCTGTCTTCAACAATGGAAAACTGCGTCGTTCCATTCCAGCGTGAGGATGAAATATGCGCTGACCTTATCATAAAAGAAGGACAGCTGGTTTCAAAATCACAGCGGCAATATCTTCCAAAGCACCCACTGATCTCCCTCGAAAATAGCGTGGTTGTACCATTCGTGGAAAAAGAGCTCCTGACTCCATTGCTTGATCAGATGTCTCCTTGGCTCTGGGTCCTCGCGGCACCGTTCAGTGCACATGTCTCCGCTCTGCACGTCCAGGGCGTTCGAGGGCGGACTATCGTTATCGCCGAGGATCCAGAGCTACATCTCGTATGGATTAGCAACAGGGTCTTTGTCAAGCCATTGCCAGCCTACCTCCTTTCTCACGCCTTCTGGTCGTACCTTGTGTTCTCAAGCAAAGCAGCGTCAGATCAGGATCGACGTCGCATCAGACAAATATTACAGGCTGCTTTGGGATACGTACGGACGTACACATTCCTCATCCAGCACGAGTCAGACCTGCGAATCGCACAACACGAGGGTCTCGTCCCACAAGGGCTTGACATTGAAACCTGGGCGGCGTTCATACAGGGCTTCAGGGCCATCGAGGACTTGCAGGTGTCCGGCAGATATCAGTATGGCGAGCTTCGACTCACACGGCTCAATTTCTGGGCCAAAATGTTGTTGAGACGCTGGTACTTCCGCAAGGTCTACTGGCAGTATACCGAATACTTTGCGAAATATTTCGCGCCGTTGCTTTTCATCTTCGGAATATGGGGTCTGATTCTAGAGAGTATGCAGGTAGGCCTGCAAGCTCGACCCAGATGGGATGCATTTGGTGACGTGAGTGCATGGTTCAGTGTTGCAACGTTGATCGGTGTGTTGGCAGTGGCGGCCTTTCTCCTGGGTGGCTTCTGTATCCTTGCAGGGCGGGAGATGCGGTACGCGTTTGGACAGCAAATTCGCAAGCGCAAGCAAAGAAAGAAAATAAAAGTGGCCAGCGCCTCGAAGGTTGGTGGGGGGTATGAAGCATGAGTTCTATTGGAAGGAAACTAAACAGACTGTGCAAATAATATTGGACATAGCTTTGAAGACTGTCAACCCGTTTTAAAGCGTAATTTTAAGCCTAAGCTTGTCCTACGCTTCCTTGGGGCTCGGATTTTCCTTAGATCTCGCAAGCCACCCCTCATAACCCTCACTATACGTGTCCACTAGCGATCTCGCATGCTGGATCAAGATATCCCGAAACTTGGAGTTGTTGGAAAACAGGGCAGAGTCATGGACCTTGGATCTCAGAATATATAACTCGCTCCTCGCCTCAAAGTCTTCCTGCGGATAAGCGGCCGGGTAATGCCTGAGGTATTCGCGCTGCCAGGTTGGGCCAAACTTGTACCTGGCGCGCTTGGTCATGGTGCGGATGTCGTACTCATTGTGGCCCCAGAACGAGCTGGCGTCGTAGGTGACCGGGTTTCCCGTGTCCACATCCGTAGACACATTGCCGTGCCAGAAGTCGCCGTGAATCAATGTTGGGGTGATTCGATGGCCGTCGGTCTCCATGGGCCGCAGAAGGCGTGGAATGACCCTGTCGAAGATCTCTTGCAGCAGCGCCTGCATTTCATCTGTCTGTGGACCCTGGGACTCGATTTCCTGTGCGAGCATGCCCTGCAGCTGCTGGACGAAAAAGTCTTCCCATTTCTCGGTCCACGCGTTGTCCTGAGCCAGGCGCCCGTTGTATGTGGTAATGTCGAAGCCGAATCTTTTGATCTTCGCTGAGTGCGACTGCAGATGCATTTCTGCTAGTGCCGAACACGTCGGGTCCATGTCCGGGACCTCTCGGTCCATTTCCCTGAACTGCTCAATCATGAAATGCAAGTTCGGATCGGATGCAAACGTGCCCCAGGCAATGGGGTGCGGTACAAAATCAAGACTGTATTTGGCAATGGCTTTCATTGATTCGTATTCACCGTGCATCATGCCTTTGCCAATCTCACCCTCGGCGACCTAATGTTCACGTCAGTGCCTCTCTTTTCACCATCGCGTGGATCGACGTGAAATCCAGGTTTCTCAACCTTCAGGAAGAACGACTGCTCTCGTTCAGGGTCATCAGGGAACACGACATCGAGACGAGCAGTTCTTGTCCAGTAACTTGCCCCAGAGCCTTGTACGCCTATTATCCTGGAACCATCGCCCAAACCTGCCATACAAAACTCGTTAGTTGCTAGGATCTAACAAGAGCCGTTAAGTAGGGGTTCGGTAGAGACATACATGCTAGTATATTCTTATCGATTTCCCCTGCGAGCTCCGGATGATCAGGGAACTCTCCTGTTTCGGCTTCGGAGTTCATAACAATAAGAAGGGGTGCTCGTGAGTGCTCTCACAAGGCTTTGGGGGTCTCAATATCGAAAAAACAAACCTGTCCTGCAAGACAGCAACTTGAGCTTTGAGCTGAAGGTTACTGGTGAAGCGAACTCTATATTTGTAGAGTTTCACGGCATTCAACCACATGCTCATCCGAGTAGCCGCCAGCTGATGAGGCTGGGTTTGGGGCCATGCTACGTTGGTATGCTGCAGCAGCCAACCACCCTGGGCGGCTATAGAGACACATACAGTGGTTAAAGAGGACACGCCCCTACAATTGGGGATTGGTGGATTGGTGGATTGGTGGATTGGCGTGCTGATAGGGCGAGTGGAGCAACTCCAGTCCACCTTCGAATAGATAGATGCACGTAGTACTCCACCGTACATAAGTTCATCCATGTCTAGCGCAACTTCGAAGTGTCAGAGCAATGTAAAATTCTACGGCAAAGGCCTTCTGCGTCGAATGCCAAAGCTAGACCAGCGGATCAAAAGAGGCGGGGAGGGAAACTACATCCTACTGTAGATGCGAGACAAGGGTTGGAGGCATGGCGCGGACCTACGACCTGTGGCGATGTAAATGGACCCATAAGGCTCTTACCAGAGCAAGCCTAGTGCAGTACCGGGTAGAGAAGATCAATGGATTCATGATAGGAGCAGGACAGGATATTCTTACGCCTATAGCTATAGACACTATAGGCTTAGCAGTCACGTAGGCCAAGGGCTATTACACTGGTAGTATTGCGGAACGCCTCGCTCAGGTGATGGGTGAAGCCGATGCTCAGGTTATGTGAATGCGAGGGCTCATCTGCCCACAAAGGATCCGGCGAAATCCAGTGCTGAACCAAGCTCGCAAACACGGTCGAGTATTCCCAGCAGCTCCGTGGTAGGTCTCGGTATTTGAAGTGATTTTATGGAACGGAAGGTGAATTAACGTGGGCAGATCGAACAGACTTTACCGTTTTGTGCCCGGAAGCTTTGTCGGGACGTGACGAGACTGTTTTATGACAGCCTTGTTTAGCATTCACACATGTGGTGGTGCACATGTGCAACTGCTGCCAGGGTTGGCCTCTTCTTCAGAGTCTATACTCGGACGAAACGCATATTCGACCGCGAACGATGAGTCAGATCCGAGACTGTGAGACACCAAAAAACCACCGCAGTCTGCCTAAAGTGAAGTAGGAGCTGCTCTGCCAGTATGTAATACACGACCAAGCCGACAGACCAGCCCTGAAGTGCAAGAAGGACTGCACGATAACACCAAAGGCCTTGCCGCTGCACTCTGTTCCTTGCTTTACTAGTATGAGTGTCGCCAAGGTATCGACTTGGACTAGGACGGCCACTGGTCAGGCGTTGTTGCTATTCCAGAGCATCAAAAATCTCTGCACCCAAACTAGTCTCGACGCGCTCTCAGCCAGAACGACTGTAGCTGATGTTATTGGAAACTGGGCATATGAGGACCACATATAGGACCACAAATCCTGCCTGGTGCTGCGAGGGAGGAGTTGCGTAAAGCACTGTCAGCGTCTGCAAAGAGCGATTGCATCCGAACCTTGCAGCTGTCTCGGGAGCTTCAAGATTTATTCTTTTGGGCGGCTTCTTCGAGCTTCAATCTTTCGACCAATTTTGCTCTCATAAAGTCGCTGAGGCCAAGAATGCCGTCATTTGTGCAGATCCTGTATGTACCACTCTCCTGATATCTTCCAGTGCCATCAACAAATTGGCCATCGCCATCGACTTCAACACTCCCAAAGATGTCTTCAGGCTCTGCTATTCGACCAAAGTCGGGTATGTGGCGGAGGTCAGAGACATGGACCCAGCCACCTCTGCCTCCACCGCCATACCCGCCTTGGTCACTGGCACCAAAGCCACCGGTCTCCTGTCTGCGTTTAGGTTGAAAGAGGTTCGTCCCAGAAGAGGAGATCATCACTGCAGCTTGAGACTGTATCATTGGGTCGGAAGAAGCATTTTCAGCAATAACAGAGTGCAGGAGAGGAAGGAAGCTGGGATTCTCGGCGAAGGAAGAAGCCGTCGGGGGGAGTTGGCTTGAGGAGCCTATTGCCAGAGAAGGTGTTGGGGGGTCAGTGGCTAGCAGCGAGAGAAGGTGCGAGGGTCCTCCGTTTGGATTCTGGAAGACATGCTAACAGCAAGGTCAATGACGGTCTAGGCCAGGAGGCTTTACAGATTCCACTTACGATATGCGGATTGTTGGTAAGTGTGGACACGCCTCGAAGGTGGAGGGCAAGCCGTGGCAGCTGACGCGACAGTCGCATGGTGTTGGATGTGAGAGACATGACAAGCTGTGTGCAGACTTGATTATACCAGACAGAGCATGCGGAATGTTGCTAGAGGTGCGTTAAGATGGTGCGCAGGCTGGGCGGGACATAGATGGCCTCCGAGTCTTTCAGTCTTTCACACGAGGTCGACTTGCGATATTTCTCCAGGCGGAGAAGCCAATGACGTATGATGTTATATCCTGGACAAGCTCAGCCTTGCGACTGAACTAGCGGGAGCACGGTTATATGTAGCTGACAGCCTACGATGAACGTATTGCCTGAAAGCTTAGCCAAGGTTCAATTTGCAATTGAAGGTACGTTATACTTTCGACTACAGTATTTCTTGCATGTCTGGCCCGAAAGCAACCGTCCAAAATTCCCAATTTCACTCACTTTCCACCACCTCCCAGCAGCGACAACGCGGTCGTCGCATCCGGGTGTGAAACTGCGGCATGTATCAAATGTAAACATGCCGCCAGTCATGCATGCATCAAGCCGAACCATAGAGTCTTCTAATGCCAACCAAGTCGTCCCGCCCAAGCCTACGTTTGGTCACATTGTCTGCCACTGTCGGCGCCATGATTGCATTGGGATCGTCCGAGTGCAACAGCCCAAGGGTATGTCCAATTTCGTGGAGGGCGACTGTTTCAATATCAAATGCATTGGGGACCGCTCCGTCCACCCATATGTGCTCCTCGTCATCAAAGTGAAGTGGTAAAGGCGGAGTGCCGTTTTCAACAATGATGGATCCACTGCCTGGGAAATCAGCGTGGGCAAGAGTGCCACCGACCATGCCATTCCCATCGGGATCGAGTGCGAGCAGGTCTGCGTCAAGTGCATCCCGCCAGTCGATAGAAATGTCTGGGGTTGCCCCAGCACTAGCCTCGATAAAGCGAAGGCCTACTCCAGCATTCTGCCAAGTATCAAATGCGCGCCGAACAGCTGCCTTGCAGACGTTTGCTGGAAGATCTTTTGACAACGGTCCGTATGCATAGGTCAGATTCTTCTTGTTCCACTTGCTGATTGTATTTGCCGCGAGTGGATTGGCACGGCTGTGTGCACAACGGGCTGCGGTCAACGCTGCCTTTGTTGGTCCATCGAAGAGTCCAGTCTCGTCAAGGGTAAACCAAGATTGGAATCTGCGCAAAGCCGTGCGGGTTGCATCGTCAAAAGTGCTATCGACCTTGAAAGACTTTGATTCGGCGTAGTCAAAATGCTTGAGGTATCTCTTAACTTCGAGCACTCCTTTATGAGTTGCACCGATCTCAAGATTATATGGGAGCTTGCAAATACTGTGGTGGTCGAAGCGGACCTTGTTCTTGAAAGATACAGAGGCCATGTTACGGTGATTGTATAAGGCAAAGAAGAAAGCCTTACAAGTTGAAAGGGAAGATGCCGCTGGGGGATGAGTAGAGTTAGAAAAGGCGGTCAACCGCTGGTTCATATAGCCTCATGTCAAGATGGCTACACAGCCTGAAGCTTCAAGCCGGATGGCTGGGCATTCTCTTTTTGTCAAGAGTTGGCTTGCGTTATTCAGCTGGATTCGTGTTCGAGACCCTTGGCAAGCTTGGTAGGGCAATCTTTCCTTTTGGAAGAGCTGGGCGAAACATTGAATCGGCCATCAGCAAGGCAGAAACCTCGAACGATGGTGGAGGCATGAAACCTGTGTGTTTTACTGGCCCACGCAGTGATTTTGGTAAACTTGGATGGCACGAGTCAGTAACTGTGGCTTGCCCGAGTCTTCTGGCACTTTGGAACCTAGAATGAAGTAGGTCCGATCATTCAGGGAGCGGCAGTGATGCTCTTTGGCACGATCCATGCATGCCCTGTCCGAGGCTGAGGACGACTCGACTCCGTCCGGGGAGTTGTGGGAAACCCTTCGAGGCAGTGAATGGAAAATTGAGCCATCTGGCAACGGCCATGCAATTCGAGACACTGCGGAGCCTTCGATGAAATCATAGCAGAGACGGTCATCGCATTTACTGGATCAGTGGGCGTTTGGAGCTGCCAACATTTCCAACATTGGCATGGATATCGCGGTCGGCTTGTTGAGAGTGACTCGGCTGAGCTTCCCAGATAGGTTAGATTCGGTTAAGTGTCTCACTAGTGCGCTGGGGTCTTTCTAATATCGATTTCTCCAGTCCATGGAATCTTCAGTCCGAATGAACATTACGAGAACAATTCCTAGGATATCAGATCTAGGTACGTGATGTATCAAGAACGTGACGTCAAGGTATAGCCATCGCTCTCTCTGACTTCCACTCCATGAAACGCGTCCGTATCCTGTTTCTGGCGCGTGGTGTCACTAACCAGCAGGCGCTCCCACCAACCACCAATCCCTAATCCTCCCTCACACAGAGCCAGTCAGATGATATCAGTTCAAAATTCGAACCATGGCAACCCCTACTCGCTCCCAGACTGTCTCCACCCCTAAACCTCATCTCTCGACACCCAACCGACCGATGGCTTCACCTCGCCCAGGCACTGCATCCACGACCAATCGTCCCTTTGCTCATAAATCGCCGGCTGTGAAGACGCCTGCTTCAATCCATGGCCATACCCATCATGTCAGTGTGTCCTCACAGCCCTCATCGACTCCGCTCACCACAACTGCCCTTCACGATGATCTCCTGAACTTGACCTCACCTGCCGCGGCCCTGATGGCAACCCTTGGCCCTACAGGTTTGACTCCATTGGGAGCGGGGGCCGATGGTTTGGGAATATCAACGAATGGCCATGACCCGCCCGGTCGGGGAGGCTTCACTCCTGTGAATCCGGAAGTTGAAAGATTCCAACGGGCCCATTGGGTTGCCAATCTACTCAAGACTCGTGTGGCAGGGCGAGGTGTCACAAGGGAAGGCGTGGAGCGCATGGCTCAACTTCAAGGGTTCAATACGCTTTGGGATGACGACAACCTCACTATTGCAGGTAATGCTGTTGACCTCGAGCTCAATTTCGAGGCCTTGAGTCGAGATGTCGTAAAAGATGTCAGCCTCAAGTTGAGTACCTCTGAAAATGACGAGCCCCAGTTGCAAGAAGGCGGCACCAAAGTTCTTAAGGAGAACTTGGCTTGGTCGCAATTTGCTGAACCATCCTTACCATGGACCAGTCTCTCCTCTTTCGAGTCCAACCTACACTATTTGCGCCAAATTGACCAGATCGAAAACGGGGCACCGTGTTTCAGTGCTGTCAATAACTTATACCATGCCTTCCAACTAATATGGAATGCTGAGAAACAGAAATTGAACTGGCATGCTACTCAAAGCCATCAGAGACGAGGTGCAATTGGCAGGCCTTTCTTAGATCGTGGTTCAAAACTAGGGCTATCCCTGGACTATTGGACTCGGAGGCATGACCCGGAATCAGACTCGAGCGATGACTCTATACAGATAGACCCTCGAGATCTATACACCGTCCAAATATCCTGCGAGTCAGACACAACACCCACTCTCTTGCCAGCCAATTGGGTTTCCGATCAAGTGCTCTCCGAACAGACCCAAGCAGCGTCGATCCTAGAAGCTGATTCTGACACTTTGATGCCCGAATGGCAGGATCCCACCTTGGATAGTGGTGAACCTAAAGACCCTTCCGGAACAACTTCAGATGATGTTGCCATGGAAAATCCAGGCAACTCTTTACCCTCCATGCTCAGCATGCACTTTATCTGCTCATTATTTCCCCAAATTTATCTGCCCCTGAACGCTGCTGCAGGCCTTAGAATGGGATTTGCTATGCTGGATCTTGATCAAGAATCGACAGTTACCTATCAACAGGCATTACAGGATTACTGCAACAGAGGCAGATCAACTGACCCGGGCGAGCATACTGGGGAAAGATGGCCACGGGACTTGCCCATAGCGAATGCAACGGATAGAAGTGGGTTTCGACGCCACTCATATGCTTTGCATTCAGCCCAAAACGGAGCCCCTCTGTGGTGTTTTCCGGTCAGGACTTTGAAGTTCAACCACCCTAGACAGCTTGCCGCTGCACTTCCTGTGCTCCGCCAATACGCTCTACTATGGAGCATCCTTCAGAGTCTTGTGGAATTTCCATCTTACCCCACCACTGCATCTGAGGATATGGTACCTCCCGCGGGCAGTGCGAAGGTATTGCAAATTCATCAACGCCCCTTAAAACGCAGCAATATCAGAAATGGAAGACATAGTTTCCAGAATTCAACGCAACAGAACGCTGACGCAATTGATAAGGAGACGCTCCCAGTGGATATAAGTCTGGACATCATTTCTGATCCTTCACGAGCAAGACTCGACATATTTATTCCATTGAGAGGCACTGTCTCTAGGAACAGGCAGAAGCCATTTGTTTTTCTTTCTTTCGAGGTATGTAGCGGAGGATCAATCGAAGTCAGGTCGCTTCAAGGTGTTCAAGCTAGTGGCTCTGATGACACTGCTTTGAAGCCAAAAGTCGCGCGGGTTTTGACGGTCACCGAGGATATTGGACTTGTGGTCGAATGGCTTGTCGAAAAGGCTTCGTCGCAGCCGTAGATGATTGTCATCAATGGTCGGCCCTTTGAAATATTGACGTCACGAAGACAATCAATAATCACACTGAAGAGAACCCCGCGCCTGACGACTAAAGTGCAACACGGAGGCGGAAATCAAGAGCCGTGTAGTTCCAACATCGAACCAGCAGAGGATACCAACCCCAGGGCTCGCCAATTCCGCGCCTAGATGTATTATCCAAGGCTGCTGCTTACTTTCGAGGGTACATCTTGCTTGTTATCGCTGTCGCGCTCGGACTTCCTATTTAGGCGGTCCCGGGAATTCGGTCGACCAATACCCGATGACGCAAGGGTCAAACGGGCAGCTGTAATGAATGAGGCCTTGGATTTTCGCATCCCTATCCCCCTTCCGACCCTCGAGATTCACAAACATCCACCCTACCTGTGGCCCGAGGTTTCAATTGCGTCTGACCAGTAAAACATCCAAATGGTACGCTAGGAGCCATTGAAAAGAGCCCTCTAGATACTGCCTTGTCGGAAATGGCATCGCTGTATTTCGAGGATCTAGAGTTAATCGATTTTGGATGACTCACCGACAATCGATCATAGATCTTAGCCTCATAACAAGACTTCCAGCCGAAGTCTTAACCGAACAACTGGTGTCTTGGTATTTACAATACTAGGTATAAGTGGATCTTGAAATCCACGTGCTTGTAGGTAGGTGATGTCTAATCAGCAATGGACGCTTGTGCATATCAGAATCTTGCCGTTGACTCCCCGCGGTATTTCTTCTGATATCCATACTCAGCGATAGACTGATGAGTAGAACATTGTCTTATGACGGGATGTGGGCATCCGGAAATAATATGGGCACACCCTGAGTGGAGTCTCATCTACCAGCTTGTGACCGCATCCACGAGGAATTTCTACTCTAGGTAACCCGCCTTTGTGCGAAAACCTTCCTGACGTTGAATCTTGAAGGGCCAGCCGCTTATATGACACACTGATCGCCCTCTCCACAAAAGCTTCTCCTCCCCGCTATTACCACTGGAGATTCGAATGTATTCCTGTGTGTAAACTAAGGCATCATGGCGTCAAGCGATCGTCTCCCTCGGCCTTTGAAAGCAATCCTTGAGCAGAATCTGCTCATTGCTCCACATTGTCCGGCAGGCCCCTAGATTTCGAACCAACCATGCTCTCGACATAGAATACATAAGTCTTTATTTCTACCCATGGACATCTCAACTTTTCACCCAGATGTCGAGCTTGGATAACAAGTGAAGTCTACTATCAGCCATGAAGCTCTTCAACCACCGATATCTGGGCCTCCGTGGCACCAATCTAAATGTTGCGGTTGGCATGATTGCCGGTATAGACTTCCTGTAAGTTGATTCTCATTCAATTCAATCCATTCAGTGGTATCTAACTAGGAGCAGGCTTTTTGGCTATGATCAAGGTGTGATGGGTGGGCTTTTAACCTTGCCCTCATTCACCAAGGTTTTTCCCGAGATTGATACCACGTCAGCTGGGACGGCAGGTCTCACACCAAGTCAAGCTGCGCATCGATCCACCATTCAGGGAATATCCGTCGCATCGTATAACGTTGGTTGCTTTTGTGGCGCTATCAGTTGCATATGGATTGGGGACTGGCTAGGTCGACGCAAAACGATCTTTACAGGATCCGCTATCATGGTTGTTGGAGCTGCCCTTCAATGTTCAGCATTCAGTCTGCCCCATTTCATTGTTGGTCGAATCATTACTGGATGGGGTAATGGGCTGAATACCTCAACCGTTCCTACCTGGCAATCTGAATGCTCAAAGTCGCATCGTAGAGGTCAACTGGTCATGGTTGAAGGTGCATTGATCACTGGAGGTTTGTGTCTCAAATTCTGCTGCTGATTCTGATTGACGCTGTATTGTGATAGCATGATTTCGTCGCGCTAACTGGTCTATACACAGGTATTATGATCAGTTACTGGATTGATTTCGGGTTTTCGTTCTTGAACTCAGAGGTTTCATGGCGTTTCCCAATTGGCTTCCAAGTTTTCTTTGCGCTGATAATTCTTCTGTTCATTCTCGAACTGCCTGAATCACCAAGGTATGTCCATTTCCTTGCGTTCGTCCCGGGGCAAATCACTGATGTCGTCATAGATGGCTTATATTCAAGGGCCATGAAGATGAGGCGTTGCAGGTCCTCGCAGCACTATCAGACAGGTCAGCTGAAGACAAAAGAGTTCTATCTGAGTTCGCGGCGATTAAGGACACCGTGCTCGAAGCGAAAGAAACAAGGTTCAAGGATCTTTTCACTATGGATGAAGATCGCCATTTTCACCGTGTTGCACTTGCCTACGTTAATCAAGTGTTCCAACAGATTTCTGGAATCAATCTCAGTAAGTCCACCAACTGTGTTCGGCCTAAGCACATGTCACTCGATTTGGCTCCCTTGTGTACAATCTGAACTAACATTTCCCTATCTACAGTCACTTATTATGCGGCTACAATTTACGAGAACGAAATTGGACTCACACCATTTATCTCTCGAATCCTGGCGGCATGCAACGGCACCGAGTATTTTTTGGCCTCGTGGATTGCCGTTTTCATTATTGAAAAGGTTGGACGTCGTAAACTTATGCTCTTCGGCGCAGCAGGCATGTCAGCGTCGATGATCATACTTGCCGTAATGACTAAAATCGGCGGAAGTGGCCCCGGTATTGTGGCTGCGGCATTTTTGTTCGTTTTCAACACATTCTTCGCTATCGGCTGGCTCGGTGAGTGTCCAAGTCATGTTGATTTCCTTGGCGCCTCTAACAGCGTCATTCAGGTATGACCTGGCTTTATCCAGCCGAGATAGTACCACTTCGAATTCGAGCAAAGGCCAACGCTTTATCGACGTCGGCAAACTGGGCCTTCAATTTCATGGTGGTCATGATAACGCCTGTGAGCTTCAGCTCCATCGGATACAAGACGTACATCATCTTCGCGGTCATTAACGCCTTCATCTTTCCGGTCGTCTATTTCTTCTACCCGGAGACAGCCTATCGCTCGCTCGAGGAAATGGATACCATTTTCCAGAAGACAAAGAACATTTTCAGTGTTGTTTGGACAGCGAAACATGAACCTCGTCGTTATGGCAAGAATGGCGAGGTGTTGATAGAGTATGAAGCTACTGGTGAGCATGAGCGTCGCGTCAGCAATGCTGTTCGTCGGGGCAGTGTTCTCAGCCACATCGATAGCCGAGACTACAGTGGCGAGAAGGGAACAACCCGGCAACTGAGTGAAGATTACAGGGGCAATCCAGGCGGACCGGTTCCTCTTGGAGGGATCTAAATACTGGCAGTTCTGAGTTCAGGGAACCAAATTGCCAACAGGTTGGAAGGAAAGGATCGATTGAGAAGTGCATCGGTCGACTAAACGGAACAATAGTTGAGCCTGATACCACACGGATCGGGTTGGATGTCGACTCATCAGCGGAAAAGCAGTTGGTTGACGAGTGGGGAGTAGTTTTGAGTCCCAACATCGGTACGACTCACCCTTACACCGCAGATCCAAAATCGTCTGCACGAATCCCCAATCACCCGAAAGGGAAGATTCTACAAAAGCCCATCACGGGGCGAGGATTGAGGAACGCCCGCCACCAAGGAGCCCAAACAGTCTCCCCGCAATTCGCTCCACAGAGCACGTCAGTCTTAGGCTGACCTTAATATGGAGTCCGTACTATATGTAATCCAAGACTTCTCTCACACTCTCTTTCCCTTCCTCATTCTGCTTCTCTGATTAGTAGCCACTTGTTGTCATTTCACGTCCGCGCCGCGACTCGGTGGCCAGGAAAACCATATCTTACTCATTACGTCGTTGTCAAGCCGCCGGTGTCCGGGCGTATAAACGCCCGCGGAGGAGGAATTTCTGACTAATTGGGCTGATATTCTGTGTAGAGTTGGTCATTCACTCGCCATCGATTCCCCGGGTGTAGAACCCAAAATCTATCTTACATCTATCCTGGCCTGGCGTAGCTAGGTACGCATTACTCTCGGAACCGAGCACTCGCGGTAGAGAACAAACAATAATCTTGGAAAGGGAAATTTGGAAGCTGGCACTGAACTGTACCACCACCCGAGGAATCTCGATCTTACCACGAAACCTTGCTCTCGGAAGATTTGGGACAGTCTCACAGCTACGAAAAATGTCCAAGTAAGAAGAACCTGCCTTTTGCTATCCCCAGTCTCTCTTCCTATGGATGTATCTTCAGCTAACCCTCGGCTCTTCTCTTCCTTCAAAGCCTCGCAGATCTCGGGTCGAAGCTCTTCCACGCGCAAGAAGAATTCCGCCCAAAGATCGTGTCGACGGACAAGCGCGTCCGCGGCCTGCTGGACGGGAAATGGATCTTCGACACAACGGGTGCGAAGCTGGTCTGGGAACACAAGTTCTTCCCTTACTATTGGATCCCGAAGGCCGACTTCCTGCCCACGGCGACGTTCACGGACGACAAGCCCATCTCAGGGATCCAGCAGTCAACCTCGGAGCTGAGCGTGGAAGGGTCTGAGAAATCGGTCTCGGCGCTGCTCGTGCCGGACTCGTTCAACTCGGAGCTGGCGGGGTTCGTCAAGATCGAGTTCAAGGCGCTGGACGCGTGGTACGAGGAGCAGGCGCCCGTGCTGTACCACCCGAAGGACCCCTTCCACCGGGTCGACATCCTCCCGTCTGGAAGAAAAGTGCGAGTCGAGATTGACGGCGTCGTCGTCGCCGACACCGGAGACGAGGGCGGTGTGCAGTCGCTCTGGGAAACCAATTTCCCCGGCCGCTGGTATCTGCCACGCACGGCCGTCAACTGGCAGTATCTGAAGCCCAGCGAGACCAAGACCGGCTGCCCTTACAAGGGCCAGGCGAGCTATTACAGCGCGGTCATCAATGGGAAGGAGCATAGTGATGTCGTCTGGTGGTATCCGAACCCCACCCATGAGAGTGTGCAGGTTGCAGGCCTGTTGTGCTTCTACCCGGACAAGGTCGATACTTTTGTCGATGAGAAGCCGATCGCGAAGATCGGCATGCGCCTGCCGACCTCGAGTAAGAAGGATAATGAGGATCTGGATAAGTTGCGCGCAAGTGCAAAGGCGAGTAGCTGCAATTGCTAGATAGCTCGAGAGTATGGACCATCTGGTCCACCCTGAACTACCAGTATCGTTTCTCAGATGCTGCCATTGTTCTTTTTCCCTGACTCCCAATCGTAGCTTTTGATTGGTGGTCTCGGCTGATTGTATGGTTTCGGCCTATTTTCTTGCCCTGTAGCCTTTCTCTTCCTCGTTAGGATATCGCTCTTCACCCTGTTGGTACGCGAGACGAATGTGGAAGCAATGCAGTGGAGCCCTGTGCTCGGGTGTTCACGTGCCCCTAACGTGCCGATTCGTTTGAGCCCTGAAATGCTTGTCGCCCATGACCTCTGGGCTCATACTGTCACCGAGAGCTTTCGTCATCAAAAACCGTCGTCCATTCAGTCAATAGCTGAATGACAGCATCAGCCGGGTCTTCCAGGGCCTCGTTGTTCTCGTCTGCTTCACGTAGGCTATCGTAAGTGTCCTGTTTGAGAGGCGGCTCGCCTGATACAGCGGAAGGAAATGAGTCTGAGACAGAGTCCAGCCTGCGACCTGGGGAGAGAGGTGATAGGAAGTCATCGAATGTCGGGGTTCTTGTAGACCGCCGAGGCACCTCTGGGTCGTGCTCTTTGGTAGGCGATTCTTTAGGTCTCGTGTTTTTGTACTCCAGGACAGTATCTACATTCTCAGTCTCCGCCTCTACACCCAAGAACAGTCCCGTGCCTTGCAGTGTTCTATGTCTTTCGTTAGTATGTTAAAATCGACATTGACGGCTGACTTACTGCCGAACGGAAGCCATTGTGGCGGCTGGCGAAGGGAGGGAATTCTGAATGGAATTGACGGCATCCTCAGTAGAGGGAAGAGAGTTCCAGGCCTTGATAAACCACGGGGTCCCTGATCTCACCCTGTTTGCACCGCGACCAAACCCTTGGGCTGATACAGCCAGATTCGCAGTTTTATCTTGTAGGTTATCCAACCTTTCACCTCTTAGCATTGCGTTGTGTATGTTGTCGCGCATCACGCCAGCAGTTTGGTCAATTTGCGCCTGCAGCGCGGCTGTTGTTTGGTAGTGTATCGAACTGTTGTTTAGAGAATTCGGGATATGTGGATCATAGACCTCTTCCAGACCACCAGGCACGAACTCAGATGATTTGCCCGCAAGCATGTCTAACACTTGAGGCGACGCTTGTTCATTCTTTCGGACTATCGACACCACTTTCCAATGATTGGGGAGCGCTTGAGAGTCTCCAAAGAGCTGTACATTGTCTTTCTGTACTTCAATGTGGACGTCGATGCGTGCATCTTCTTTGCTGATTGTACCTGATTGCTCGAATCTGAGAAGAGCGTCCTCAATGCTGGCAATGCAAGCTCTGACCGTTGACTCAATATGTGATCGTGATTTCTCGGTAGTAGCCTGTACGATGCTTGATGAAAGCAAGTCCTTGTCCAAAGCGGGCTGTTTCGCAAGGGAGATGAATGGTGCCGACCCTGGTATCTTGTCTTGATCCGTCAAGGTTGAGGCCTCGGACTCTAAAGACCGGCTTTGTCCTAAGCTGTTGCTATCGATTTGAGACCCGATGGTTTTCAAAAGAACCTCATAGTTCCTGGTTGCCTCTTGATTTGCACGCAGCAAATTTTCAAGGAGCAATTTCTGATACCCGGCATCTTCTTTTGGCGAGGTTTCCTTCCTAGATCAAGTTAACGATAGGATATAATCAGGCCTCGGGATCTTACTTGGCCCTCAAATCCCTGGCGTAGGTCAAAACGTTCAACATTAGTACGAGAGTGCTCTTTAGTCTCTCTAGATTTCCCCTTAACATTTCCATCTTCGGCTGAAGGAACGGCCATTTCAACTTTTCTATCGCCGATAAAGCTATCTTGCCCTTTTTGATGCCTCTTTTGGATGCGGTATCAATGGCCTTCCCCATGACTATATTAATATCATTGAAGACAGCCTCGCACTCCTTGACCACATCTTTCGCGGTTCGCAATGCAGATCCCGAGTACAGTTTCGCCTCGTCATCTTGGTGAAGACTGGCTCCGAGTTCTTCGAGTACGGCAGAGGTGAGAGATACATCTCGTGCGACATTTTTGATCTCCGCATGGGCTGTTGACACTGTCTCGGAGAAGGTGTACAGTGTGATGGACAGCTTGACTCCTACACTGGCTATGCCAATAATCGTCCCAATGAGGCCGACTTCCGCCATTGAATCTCGTTCGTTATCTCATGATGGATCGACGGCCATGATGAGCGATTTGGTAACTCAACCGTGGAGCGTCTATGAACGCTGGGAATCAAGCAGTAGCGGATGGGAGGAGGGGCACCCAAAGTGAAGCCTATGTGCTGGATTAGTCAGATGTTATCGGCGTCCAGCTTAAACTCGCTGGAGATCTGGGCTCAAACAGCCCTTGTTCCTACGATTTCCGTTCATCAGCCACTTACACGGGGGGAGGGACGCCGCTAATGCAGAGTACGACGCCTGGAACCACTTCCGGTTGTACTGAGCGAATCGGGGATTCTGGATATATCGACCTCACCGACATCCAAATAACGGATATTAAGCTCCGAGTCCGTGCGTGGTTATCTCTTCGTCCAAGGCCTTCTACACGGCATCGTAATCCTAAGTTGTGTTCGGGAATCAATGACTGACCCTCTCGGATGTGTGCTCACTCCACAAAATGCTTATGTTGGTGAAAGTCGTTACTAATTGAGTTAAACTCGCCATCTGAACAGCCACACAGTGACATCCTTATCTTTCGACGGTGATTATAAAAGAGATAGCTTCCCTTGCACACGTCTCTCTTGGTCGTGAACAACTTCCCATCATTGAACTTCGTCAATTCCTAGCAAAGATGGACGTCATGGAGCTACCGGCATCTCATACCGCTCTTCTCTAACGCCACGCTCCCCTCTCTCTCATATACCGTGAACTTTGCTTACTTCGGACAGCGTTCAAGCAAAAGGAAGGAAAATGCGGAAACCGCGTAGAAATGGCAAGCACGGTCGTCTTCCAGCGCATCCTCAGATGAAGGCAGAAAGCGTGGCAAATGTTTGATATCCTTCCTCATCCTTCAACTTGCTCCCGGTTGGTCTTACAATGATGACAGTTAAACGTATTGCCAAGTTTGACTGAAGTCCCTGCCGACAATAAAGAAAACATAGACCCTTTCGCCAATTTGTTTGATACGAAGACGACGTGTTCATTTGGTCCTGCAGAGACGGCTCCGGCCACCAAGACCGATGTCAGCCGTCTTCCCCACGAGCGATGTCTAGCGGATATGGCAGGCGAAGGCCATGCTCTCCATTCAAGTCCTCAAGATCAATACCTCGAAATCAAATCAACCATGGATCGTGGTCTCGCAGTGTTCGCTGTTCGCAAGATCAAAGCCGGGACTTTGATCCATTGCGAGGACCCGTTGTTCTCACTTTGTAAAGACGAGGAAGACGACCACTCTGCAATTCAACGCGAGTTCTCGAAACTGCCCCGTGCTAGTCAAAGGAGGTTTCTGAAGCTCTTTGATGCCGAGAAATCACGCATGCCCCGAGTCGTTTCCATTTACTACAGTAATTGTTACAACCTCGACAGTTTCGCTCCTGATGGGAGAGGTGGATCTGCAATCGGCGACCTCTCCAGCAGGTTTAACCACTCATGCATTCCAAATGTCCAGTTCTCGTACAACTTCGATCGCCGTCAAATGATGTTCTATGCCATCAGGGACATACCGCGTGGAAAGGAGGTATGCAGTAGTTATGACAAGAACCTCTTCGAAATCGCGACGAGAAGGAGGCAGAAGCTTCAAATGTACTATGCTTTTGTCTGCCATTGCGAGGCTTGCGAAGGAGCGAATAAAAACGAGTTTTGGGGCAGAAGTGATGAGAGGCGAACAGCTATGCGAGACGCATTCAAGCGTGTGCAGTGTTGCGAGAAGGTCTTTCTCAACGAGAACATCGAAGCCCAGGAGCCAAGGTTCGAGCACAAAGATAGGGCCATCGAAGAAGCGAGATCTGCTCTGGGAAAGTTGGAAACTCTCTTACTCAAGGAGGGCTTGACGGGTGTCGTGTTGGCAAACATATACCGCAGCTTATCGAAATGGTCTGAGCGAAAGCAGCTTCTGGTCGAAACCGTGAAATGGAAGGAGATGGAGCGACTTCACTGCGAATTGGGCCTTGGTGGTCACGCACTTAGAACGAAGGAGGCGGCAGAGAAACTAGCGGACTTGAAAGGGAGGTTTCCAGCATAGCAGTCTACATTCAAAACTCTTAGATCTCATAGAACGTACATATCGGAGCAATCCGACTCCATTTCAATATCATTCTGTATCCGTTTAAAAGATCTATGCTGTTCCTCTGTAGATTTTGTAAAGAGCATCCTCCAATTCCAAGCCCAACTTGCGACTATTCGAATCCCCAGGGGGCATGAGCTGAGTAAAGACTGTGGCAGCAATGCCGCTCTCACGATCAATCCACCACGACAAATTCGGCAAGCCACCCCAGTTCACCGTGCCCTTCTTTCTCCGCCCAGGGATGTCCTCAGTGTTGAGTGCACCAACCAGGGAATGCTGGATTTCCGGCACATTGGCGTATTCTTCATCGGAAGGAGCCCACAGTCGGGAGAAGCTGGTCTCGACGCTATCGCCAACGATGAACTTGCGGAGCCCCTGGACGCTCCCAGGACCCAGTTGGGGAGAGAAGAGTATATCAACAGATTCCTTTTTGAGCAAGGGTGCGCCGCCGCGCAAGAGCGCCGAAAGTAGTTTGATGTAGTCGTTGGGCGTGCTGTACAAACCTGCTCCACCGATGGCATCGCGCGGTTCGAATTTCCACAGCGAGTCGCCTTTCGCCAGGCCGTTCTCCGAGCAGTACGCCGTCTCCTGCATTGGAGGCGGAGCATTTGGCGCAAAGTGCTTCACGGGCCTAAAGGAGGTGTTTTTTGCCCCGAGCGGTCCCCAGATGTTCTCCTGCTCGTACTCGTCGAGGTCCTTCCCCGTGAGAATCTCAACCACTTTCCCAGCCAAGTCAAGGCCCGGGCCATATGCCCAGGACGTGCCTGGCTGGTACACAAGAGGGTGAATCGAGCCTTCGATCTTGCCGCTGAACATGTTGTCCTCTCGCTTCGCCCAGGCTGAGTATTTCAGTATCAGTGGATGGCCGATGTCATATGGCAACCCATTCGAGTGGCTGAGTAGATGTCTGTGGAGAAAATGAGAAAATTCCTTGATCAGCTCCCTTTTCAAGGCGAGCACACGGTACCAAATAATGTCGTCGATCTATCCAACCAACAACGGCTGGGCGGGTCAGACGTACCTCAGAGTAATCTTCCCTTTAACATCCTCGAAGATGGGGCTACCGATTGGCTTGGTCGAAACACCACCGGCAGCGCCTCCTTTAGCGATGGCGTCGATATCGACATTAGCATGCGGGGCGGCGTCGTCGTCGCCCTCAAAGCCAAGGAGAACCTTTTGTTTCTTCAGTTCAGGTATGATCTCTCGCACATCGTCGTCCAGCCCAACCAGGCCCTTCTCGACCAATTGCATCACCGACACCGACGCCGTCAGTTTCGTCTGACTGGCGATCCATGTCAGAGTATTGAGTGTCAGTGGATCGTCTGTAGACCGGTCCACTGTTCTGGATCCGAACGACCGCCGGTAGATATCGTTCCCTGAGTATACGTAGGTTAGTTTTTATGCTATCAGAAGGGACAGAAAAGCGCATTATTTCAGCCTAGGCTTTCGACTGTGGATGGACCTCGGCAGCAAAAATAGAACTGGGGAATCCTTACCCTTGCTATCGATAGCGACGAAACTCACGCCATGGAAACTGCCCGTTGCTGGGTCGGTGTAGCGTTTGAGAATCTCGTCGATTTCGGTCGCCATTGTCGGTGTCTTGCAGATAATAAATAGAGTGTCTAACGCTAGAGTAGAATCTCTCAGTTGGGGCGCCTTGGTGGTTTTATATGCGAGGCCTAGACGTCGAAATTGACGAGTCGACCTGCCATGCTCCGATGAGTCGCCGTGGATCCCCCACTTCCTGCTAGCATCGAATCGTGTCAATTGGGGTGTTTATTGTGTAGCCACACGGGATGAAGCTCGGTTGTCCGGCGGGTTAAGCCCGCCATTTACGAGGTGCCAGATGGCCAGAGAAGTCAGATACTCCTTGGGCATATGCCTGGTACTACCAGTGTAACAGGCGATGTTGAAATTGACCACGCGTGATCCCAGAGCAAGTGGAACAGATTGAAAAAGAATGCACGACCGTAGGTATCGAGAGGTCCATCGCATACAATCCGCTTCTAGAAAATACTACCCCAAAGTTGTGGCACATTAACACAGTAGTAAAACTCTCGGATCTATTCGACAACATCCAGGATAATCCACGGGCTTCACCGATGCAAACATCACGCCCAGCTATCTTGTTTAAGGAGGCCTCCTAAAAGGCCACTTGCTTTCTTGCCCTTACTGGCTGCCTTCTTGGCAATCCCAGCTCGCTGACTCATTTTCTCCTCCCTCATCGTTGGCCGATAGTTGACTGCATTCCTTCTCCCGCCGTTCCCTTTTCGGACGAACTCCTTTTCCTCATTAGCATTTCCTCTTTCTTTTCTGTTCGTCACTACGCCAGTGGCAGACACATTCTCGTTCTTTCCAGAAAGGCTACCAAGACTGGAGTTGGTTGTAGCTCTTCGAAGAAGACTGGGCATTTTGCCAAACGATGCGCTTGCCGAGGAGTTGGAGCCGTAGAATGCCATTTTGGCGCTTGATGAAGAGCTGGACGAAGATGAAGATTGTCGAAGCATGCTTAGACGATTGATGATGTTTGGTCGTTCCTTCGTTCGTCGTTCTGAGAAGGGCGCGCGGCTTTCACTATATGGTGCCGTTGGCTTCTTGAAAGCCATTTCCTCTGGAGACTGCTGGTCATCGTCGACAATGAAATCGCCTAAATCCCCACCTTCTTTAGCGTTCTCATCTGCTTCCGCCATCTGAAGGTGACGATCAAGATTGACGTATGCTTCTGACTCATCATCGGAATCGGACAGCCCTAGATCAATTGTTCCTGACTGAGAATCTGGCTCGTCAATGAGGATTGAGACTGACTCTCGAATTTCGGCCAATGTTGCAGGTCGCTGACTTGAAGGCTTGACAAATCGACCCAAAGAACTTCTCGCTTGGTTGAGCTTGGACGGTGCCGCAATACTCAAAGGTTCCTTGGGATCGGCTAGATGGGCTTGGCTCAATCCATCTCCAACTCCTTCGTGTACACCTGGCTCGTAGTCCGCTTGTTGTCGACTATCCTTTTCTTGAGATTCCTCTTCTAAGGGCGTGTCTGGCTGATCGAGGTCACCGTCATCATCGCTGAGATCTCGGTCCTCAATACTTCGAAGGAAGGCTTCCTTTTTCTTATCCTCTGCGATCTTGCCAACAGCTTCGTCCTTGAGGAGTTCCCGCCTCATTTTGGCAAATTCTCGTCTTTTGGCTTCCCTTCTCCTAACCGCTGCGTCTTCTTCATCCGAGATGTCAAGATCATCATGATTTCGCTTCCGTCGAAGAGCACCAGTGGTGATGTCTTTCATTAACTTTGAGACAGCGGCCTCGTCTTGTTCTCGTTCACGATCAGCGTAAAGTCTGGCGAGTTTTGCTTCGTCCCCAATCCCGACCTGAGTGTCCTCATCGATCATCTCTCGATCATGATCATTTTCTTCTTCATTGACATCCTCATCACTTGCTCCACCTAGCCCTGCGTATTCGTCCTCGGATTCTTCAGCCGCTTCATCAACGACATTTTTAGCATGTGACTTTGCTTTGTCGAAAGCTTCCACGGGTTTTCTTTTGGCAGCTTGCCGCATGAGATCGAATGCTGATTTATCCAGACCTTCATCTTCATCCTCAGAGTCATCTAAATTGGTTCGGCCTCGTCGGAGTCTGGACTTCCGTTGCAATATAGGGCTGTTTTCAACATCTGCTGGAAGAATCAGAGTATCTAGTGTTGAGTACGAAGGGGCATGTTGAGGTGTTTCTGTAGAAAATCGATTGCCAGCGAAAGGGGTCATGACGTACCCCCTGTCTTGTGTAGGTTCAAATTGTGCTTGCGACGGAGTATATTGTGTCCCAGCAAATCCGAGTGTCACTGCCGGAGATTGAGGGACAAGCTGTGACTCTGAAAATGAAAGGTCAAGGTTCAAAGGCTGTGTCTGAGAAGCGGGTTGACTATCGGTGATGATGTCAATAGAGTCCAGTCTTTGAAGGTGTGGAATCATTGTGATACTGGGCGATGGTAGATCCATTGTCATCGCAAGGCTATTTTGCCGTTGAGATTCTGCCATATCTTGACTTTGGGAATCAGCCATTGTTGCGGCAAATGCTTGAGTGAGACCAATAGGAAGGTCATCGGACATCTGTAGACCCGGAATCTGTTTCCGACCTGAGCGCAGGAGAGACTGGGGTGTCTTTGCTGGAGGAGGCAATTGTGGCGATCTGAGTGTGTCAATGAGCCCCTGATCTTCCTCATCATCGCTCAACACACGATTAACACGACTTTTCCTGTTTTGTAGGGTACTGGCCAGATCGTCGGTAGTATCCAGATCGGGGTGCTCTTGGTCTTCTGGCTCATCTTCCTGAGAGGATGGACCTTCTGAAGCGCTTTCATGCGCTTCAGCGTTCACGAGGCTGTTTCCAGCTTCTTGCACCTCTTCATCATCGTCGTCGTCGTCGTCGTCGTCATCTTGCTCTTCCTCAGAATCCCCCGACACTTCCAAATCTTCTTCATCTTCAAAGTCTGCACTTTGGACACTCTCATCGTCATCATCGTCGTCGTCTAAGTAGTCTTTGGTGTAAACGCCATCTTTCTTTGCCTGGGCTAGTTCACGCTTCTGAATATCCGTAGCTGCTTGTCGGGCTCTTTCAAGAATATCTTCAACTTCTTGCTCTTCTCGCTCGCGCTCTTCAGTTGTCTGAATCACCACTCCTTTCGCTTTGAGCTCGTCAATTCTCTGTTGCCGTTCTTGTCGTGCTTGAAGACGGGCTGCTTTGCGGAGGGAAGCTTCCATCTCTGCAGCATTCATTGAGTGTTTCCGATCTGCAGCACCCATTAAATTTGCAAGGGATCGGAGAGCAATGTGAGAAGGTGCCTCTTTCGCCTTGCGCTTAGGCAACTGTTCAAATGCCGCATATTTCCGCTTGTCACCTTTCGAGGTCACAACCTCAAGATCAGAATCAGAATCCTCTGCATCCATTGCTCTGGCAAATTTAAGCTCCAAGTGGCGCTGCTTGAGTGTTTGCTTAAGTGTGGGCTTGGATATAGGATTCGGGCCAGACAAAGAATGTACATTGAGGACAGAGACTTGTTCCTGTAGCAGCTCCTCAGAAATAGCTCGTCCTTTGCCCTTGTCAAGACTCTTGATATGTCCCCCCGTGTGTTGTCCTAGGGCCGAGGTCATTCCCAAAGCAGGCTCTTTGCTCGTGGCATCCGGCAGATCACCTTGCATCGGACTTGTCGGTGGTGTTTCATGGGTGCTATTTCTCTCAGTATCCGAACCAGTGATTGAACTGCTGGTGCTAGGCCGCTGGACTCCGAATCCTTTTGAAACTATGCTTGAATTTGGTTTCGGAAAGTTGAACCTGGCCAGGAGGCTTTCCTTAGAAATCTTCTTCTTAGTCCTTGCTTGATGTGCCAGCTGCATATTTCTGCTCATACGTTGCGTTTCTCGGTTCATCTCCTCGAGAGCTTTCTTACTAGCCTTTCTAGCAGGGCGAGCTTGAGTTGACAACTTCTTTCCCCGTTCAAGCTCAGAAGGTTCGCTGTCTTCATCTGAATCATCCGCGGGACTCGAACCGCGCTGAAGCCGACTTTTCTTTTGCACACCTTGGACTTTTTGAGCACGAGCGGCTTGCTTTGCCACTTCTTCAGCTTCCTTCTCCAGCCTCTGCTTACGGTGCTTCTGCACAAGAGCTAGAAACTTGGAGGTGCTCTGGCCTGTCCCGGGTTCTGATTGTCCAGCGTCTGAATCGTCCATGGCCCTGTTTGGTGCATCCTGGAGCGTTGCTGAGCGCGAGGGAAAGAATAATGGGGACACAGATCTGGCGTGGACTTCAGTGCTCGGAACAGGGCTGCTCTTTCGTTTGGTAAGAAGTCTCCTCCTCATGGCAGGGTTTTCGATCAACTCGTCACTCTCCGAGCTTGATGTGGCATTGCCAGCTTGCTTGACCGTTTCATCATTCCCATTCCTCAATGGGCCATGGCCATTACTGTCTATTCCTTGCAATCGGGCTGCAATTCGCGATCGAGGCACTCCCTGCAAACTATCCTCCTCTTCTGGGTCGTCGTCAACCGGCAAGATTGGAGGGTTCTGTTGCACGTGTGATGGTTTCGCATTGGTATTAGGGATATCCGGAGGAGAGAGATCAGAGTCAGAGTCGTCGAATCTTGCAAGCAGAGCTTGTACTTTTCTGCTTGGTGTGAGGACATCTGATGCTTGGCTGTGCGATGAGTTTGGCGTGGACGGGGGTGAGGGAGACGAATGCAAAGACATCTTGGATAAGTTTCAGTTCGATTTCGAACCAGAAAGTTTATTGTAGCATGAAGCTGTGATAGATACTTTGTAGAGATATATCGAGCCTGTTTACGAAGAGAGGGCATTGAGCAGTACTCGTATGGATGTCTGAAGGGTATCCCAAGTTCCCAACACGAGTGGGGGAGACACGCGACGCGTTTTGCTGCCAAGGAGGCGCGTTGGCGTCGCGCAACGTCACCCCCAGCTTATTAGAAGGCCGCCCTAGGTATTCCTAACAAAGAAACTATAAATCTATTAGTATTTTATAAATATGTTATAAATATTTGTATAGTGCCTAGTAGTATGGTACTCGAACTCTATTATACTTAACTTTTAATTAAGTAGCTTACATAATTAAAAAGTTATAATAGTTCTTGGCTTGTGGGTAGTGGAAGGTGCAAAGGTAAAAAAGTCTTACCCTGACCACGGAAGGGATGGATAATCGCGTAGTAGGACGTGTATGAGAAGCCATGATCTTCAGCCTGTTGATGATTTCGTTCTTGAAGGCCACACCTTTTCTGTTTCTCTATTGATTGGTAAGGGACATATGTGAAGCGTAGAAGCACTTGACCATGACCAGTAGCATGGACTTGGGTCAAAAGGTTACATTTAGACCTCTTTCCACACATCGAGTGCCTAATCCCATTGTTATATCAGGTACGTCCAGGTATCACTATTCGAGAAATTCAACCAATCCAGGCCATCCAACTTGTCATCGTCCTCATTTAATTGGAGATTCCACCACTCATTATCAGCTCTGTTGATATGCAACCAGGGAATGGTCCCTGTTCTTGTTCCAGGGTCCTCAAATCCACTGTTATCGGAGACTTGAAAAGCAGCTGGTTGGTATGGCTCAGATACTGAATCTCTTACAGCCTCAGTTTGCAGCCCAGAATGAAGGAAAATCTCATCTCCAAAGTTGCATCCCTCCTGGAAATGGTCCCCTTGTACCGATGTATTGAATGCGGCAAGCGTTGATGAATTGTTCGAGCTAAACTTCCCTTCGGAGGCATCGGGTCTCTCTGTTCTCATCCGGACTTTGTCTATCGATCTCCTATCAGACTCTCTAGTCCAAAAATCCCAGTGAGGGCTTGCCTGGACAGCAGCAGAAAGTTTATCAAACTTTTGGTGCCAATAGTCAGCTCTTGAATTCAAGAGTGAAATGGAAAACTTACTGGGGGCTGTAATGGTTTCCAGTATTGTCGAAGATTGTCTAGCAGGCAGATAGTGGCTTTCAGGGCCGCGATTCTCCTCCTTTTAACCTCAAACTCAATTCTTTCATAATACTCATCTCTCCGTTCAGCAAAAGTCTCAACTGCAAGAAAAACCGTGGCGGCCAGAAAAGCTCCAAATGCCAGAAGTGGGGGCAAGCATGTGGCATCACGAGTTCCATCTAAATAAGGACCCACGAGCTTTGCATACAAATCTGCATGATGAAGCATGGTCTTTGCGCTGTTCCGAAATACTTCGACTGGTATGGATGGTTCGGCTGCGAAACCGGAGAAGAACGGCACAATTTTCGAATGTAGAGTCATCTGCGATATATGGTAAAGAGCGTCAAAGAATTCCAAAGCTCGCATATCTGCTGAGTTGCCCACTTTTTCGAGGGCCAAGCGGTAGGATGAAGTTATGGACTCTTCGTATGTTAACTTTGCGCGGTCTGAGAGTGTCGACATCTCGTCAATCCTCAGTTTGGATGGGATTTTTGAGCACGACCGAGCGAATAGCTGGATCTTCGCCCTAGCCAACGCTATCAGGTTGTTTTTTTTTTTGTTTTTTTTTTGGCGATATTCAAGGACTTCGACTTACCAAATTCCAACCATTTTTATTCCCGCTGCTGCCACTGTTGTTATCGTTTCGTCGTCCCCAGAATCGAGCAGGACTGTTCGCCAGTTCTCATTCATCGCCTCGGTTGGCGTTACTTCCCATCCAGACAAGGACGGAACTATCCTAGCGGGAAGTGGAATCATGGATGCCTCCGACCACGCCGACTTGAGATAAGCCGCTGGTTCTGCGCCAACACAAACGGAGATCCAGCACGCCCAGAAGCAGCGCCGTTGCAGTTCCAAGTTAAGCGAACGAGCTGCGTCCACGCTGGTACCTATGGTATGCTGACCATAGCCAGAGATGGCGCAGAAACGGTGTGCCAGAGCTTGGCACGTAGCTGTTAGCAAGGACATCCGCACGTATTGAGCGAATGAAGGCTGGAGACGTGTGCCATGGACCAACAACCTACCAAGACAGAGATCGCCAGCTTTAGAATTGCCCACTGCGAACCAGTATATTTGTAGGACTTCGAGCGCTTGACAAGCAGCTAACGAAGAGTTTGCTACCAAGGAACACATCGCTTCATCGGTGGCAGTTCTCGCCCAGGTCAGTCCATGTTTTCGATACATCCTCAGAGCGTCTAGTTCTGGCGCTAACATCGATTCGGTGGGTTCTTCCTTCTCGGGATTGAGAAATCTGTATACAGGTAAGTGAGAAGAAACCATAGTGCGGAATCGAAAATAACATACAGTGTGGCGTTCGCAAACAATCCCTTGAGTAGATATCCAGGTATCGCGCCAGCCAAGTAGTCTTGGAAGAGAAGTGCTTTGCAGAACAGGACAGGAGCATTGCATATCCTTGCATAGTAGATCTCCAACAATGAAAGACCTAATGCGACAGGAGGCATGCTCGTGTCGATTATATCTACATCATGATCTAGTCTCGCATTTGGCATCGGATGATGGGTGTGGCGCAAGTGCGCAGGATACATCTAGGAGCGGTCAACACAAGACTGTACATGAAATCCCGCAAAAATTCCATTGCGCCTGTGCCTACAGCAGAGCAATAGCTCTTACCTCAGATGAGACATTCGCCCAATTCTCAAGACTCTGGATATCTACGAAGACATCCGGTGATTTATCACGCTGTCTTTCTGCCTGTCGAGTGGTGGACTGTGGTGTCGCTGACTCTGCCCGCTCGATGGTGTCTGAGTCGGCCGGAAATTTCTGGAACTCCATAAAATTCTGAGGAGTCGTGTCCTCATTCCCGTCTCGGCGACAGACAGTAGGGACATTGCGACTTGCTGGACTTTGATGAACGTCTTGACTTGAGGGTCGGGGCCCCAGCCTTTGTCGCCGTCGATCAAAACGTCTGGGATATACACAATTGCTCCGGAACTTTTGACACCGAAGGCAGACGGGTTGGTCACGGCTGCATTTCAACTTTGAGGTGCAGGTCAGGATAAGTCAATTTTGATAACACAGCGACAGTATATATACCTTCTGATGGCGACAACGATAGCAAGCAGTGCTTGACAGCTTGGTATCGCTAGACTTCAAGTCTCTGTTTGGAGTGTCTGTAAGGTGTTGTGGAGTCGACTCGCTCCATCGGTCCTGAGCAGCCTGTGGACTTGAAGCGATCATGAGGCCCTTCGGTCCTTTCGAATCTCTCGCATGAGACCGATCAACGCACTGAGAGCTTTTGAGAGAGGAAAATATCTCACGGTCGACGAGTACTTCTCTAGCACATCCTTAGCGCATCTTCCTCATCCCCGTATTGCTCCCCCGCATTCATGCCGTGGAACCTTGCTGTCTCCCATTGGTTTGGTATTGGTAAGCCCAGCAAGCCAAGGCCGATCGGCCCGAGTTTCGTGGAGAGTGGAGCCCGAGTATACCGGTCGCTAGAGGAGCTCAAGGCTGAGCACGCATGTTGGGATCACCTAACTTTCTCGCACAAGACAAACTGAAAGCAGATCTTCCCACACCGCTTTTTGAAGCAGTGATGTTGAGGCTCAAGATGGAGGGCACACTATTTACTCTGTATTAGCTGGAATTTCTTCGTGAATCCGGTAGGAGGCTGTCAGTTGAAGCCTTAACATCCTACGTTGAATTTTCTCTTCGAGGCTTTACTGTTGGCGCCAAAGTGACTATCGACGGAACAGGCAGACAACCTCGTAATAACGATCAATGAGTCGGTGCCACAGCCTCTGGAATGCTTTGGAATCATGGAAAACAGGCTCCAGAAGGTCATCTTGCCTAGTAATTGTCTCTATAAACCAGAACGGTGACCATAGAATAGAAGAAGACAGAAATCTCAATAACGCTGACTTGCCTGTATCGATTGGCCCATACAGTTGTACAGTCCAAATCCTCCAACATTTACGCATACAGCATATGTTCACTTGGAGATGAGTATTTCATGCCGCCATACCGCCGTGCCTTCGAACACAGTGTCCCGAACTCGCTCCGCTGTCGTCAGAACTCCCTTTGAATCTTGATGGAAGCCATCCTTACAGGAGAGCAACAAACGCGACTAATTTGTCGGTTCCGAAAACTCGCCTCGGACCGACTAGGATTCTATCTTGTCCTAACAAGCGGAGCCATATGGGCTCTCACTTATAAAGCCTCGGCCAGGGTTTTAGTTAGTCACTCCACACCTCCTTTTATCCCCCACAAACATCGTATAAGGGGTTCTTCTTCAATTGGCGGGAGAAGCGATAGCCAAGGAAGGCGAAGCCAGAGAAGTGAAAGTTCCTCACTGGAAACCTGGGTCCGAATCTGGAGAATCGGGGCTTCGGGCATGGCATCGGCTCACGAGGAGCGCTCTAGCCTCATGACAACGATTCAACGAAACTAGAGTTCACAGAAGTCTGTACAATGCCCCAGATGAACGAATATCTTCCACCGGAAGTTAATCTCACGCCTTCTGAGATACCTGGGTGGGAAGCAAGTTAGGTAGCATCTCAACTCATGCCCGGCAGGAATATAAAGCCCCTGACACTTCCGCTCCCACAAGGAGCGTTCCTCACATTCTGAACGTCCCTACCAGCTCTCCGGTCGAACCTGTGTCATCATATTGCTTTCCATCCAGCAGTTGTGACTGGTAAATTTTTCAATTTATAGACGGACACCATGGCGAAACCTGAACTACATGTCGCAGAGCCTACCGCCAATGATAACATCGGATACGAACATAAGGAAAGGCATGATACCACAATCAAGGAGAATGATGAGGAAACGACACCTGTCAAGCCTGAGCCTGGAGAGACTCTGAACGGGCAAGTCTTCTCAATGAGGGAGTTCGACCCAGCTTTGGACGAGAAAATGCGGCTGCTCAATGAGGTAGAGCTCCCATTCCACAGACCAAACCATCAGGATTTCCGATAAGAGTGATAGAGCGCCCGCTGATATCTGTGACCTGTCCCAGGCAATCGAAGAAATCGGCTGGACGGGCTTCCACCTCCGAATGTTCTTCCTTAGCGGGTTCGGCTACTTCGCAGACAGCCTGATCCTCCTGCTCATGTCGGTCACACTGGGGCCTGCCGTGAAGGAATTCCAGCCCTCATTTCCACGCGGTGTGCTCATGGCCGCCTACGCAGGCATGCTCACGGGAGCCCTGTTCTTCGGGCTGACAGGCGATATGATCGGGCGGCGCCTCGCGTTCAACTCATCCCTGTTCATCTGCTCGACCTTCGCCATCCTCGCGGGCGCTTCCCCGAACTGGATCGTCCTCGGCCTCTTCGTCTCGCTCTCCTGTTTCGGCGGCGGCGGCAACGTCGTCCTCGACGCCACCGTGTTCCTTGAATTCCTCCCCAGCAACTACCAATGGCTCTTGACCGTGATGGCGTGCTGGTGGGGGCTGGGCCCCGTCGTCGCCGCTTCGTTTGCATGGCCGTTGCTCTCCCTGCCACAGTTCATCTGCAAGGCCGGAGAAGTCTGCACGCGCTCGAAAAACATGGGCTGGCGCTACGTCTGGTTCGGGAACGGCGCGCTTGTCATGGTCCTGAGTATTGTCCGGATCACACTCGTCCACCTCCCCGAGACGCCCAAGTTCCTGATCTCGCAAGGTCGCGACGAAGAAGCCGCGGCGGCGTTGCGGAAGGTCGCTCAGCGCTACAATCGCCCGTGCAGCCTCACGGGCGAGCAGCTCCAGGCGTGTGGGAAAATCAAATCCCGCACGGGCGAGTCGCCTCGAGGCTTCGCCGCCGTAGGCACTCACTTGAAAGGCCTATTCCAGACGAGACAGTTGGCCCTCTCGACCTGTCTGATCTGGCTGTCCTGGCTCCTGATTGGCCTTGCCTATCCTTTAGTACGTCCGCCTTCATGCAACATGCTCCACAAGGTCAAGCTAAACGAAACCGCAGTTCTACGCCTTCCTCCCCGAATACCTCGCCTCGCGCGGCGCACGAACCGGCGAAGGGTCGCCCTACTACATCTGGCGCAACTACCTGATCACCAACACCTGCGGCATCTTCGGCCCTATATTCGCAGGGTACCTGTGTAACGTCAAACTATTGGGCAGACGCTACACTTTGGTAATTTCGGCTCTTGTAAATCTCCCTTTTCAAGCTGAGCTGCCCATATCATACCTACTGGAGGAGAGAGACGTCGATAAGACATTGACTGACTGTGACCATGACTGCCAAGCTCACCATGAGCCTTTTCTTCGCGTACACCAAGGTCCGCACGCCCGCGGAAAATCTCGGCTTGACGTGTGCAATCTATTTCTGCTTCAAGATGTATTATGGGACTATTTGTGAGTTGGACTTCTGCTGTGGCCTGTGTCCCCTGTCCCCTTTGCCACTACCATCACTCTCAGTCCTGTCACGGGCTCATTGTTTTCGTCCTCGACGCAATCGCCAGCTTCTCTCAGCCCTTCGCGTTTAGTAGATCCATTCGAGTGGATCCATACAATAATTCTGAATCATCCTGCTGACTTGTGACACCTCCTTCATCGCACCAGACGCATACACTCCAGAGGTACGTACATATATCTCCCTTTACAGGCATACACAAAGACGGAAATGTCACTAACAGTGTCACAGGTCCTCCCATCCGCGCACCGCACAACCGGCTACGGTATCGCTATCGGCTGCAACCGGGTCATGGGGCTCGTGTCGATCATCGTCGCTACATACGCCAACACGGCGACCGAGGTGCCCATATACCTATGTGCGTCGCTGTATATTGCCATGGTGAGCAATTAACTCTCAATTCTCTGAGGATGTTATTTGGAAGGAAAGGTTCTATTCTGACTAGTGTGTCTTTGATTTTAGGCTATCTGTGCGCTCCTCATGCCGTTCGAACCGTATGGGAAGAAGGCCATGTAATTAATGGGTTGGTTGGTTGTTTGTTCGGTCAGTTGTGGCAGCTGGTGAAGTCTTGCCGCGCAGGAATAGCTGGACCTTTGAGCATGAAGATTGCTATGCAGTACTCCGTAGCGGTTACTTTCCACCTACATACAGTACGCTGTAGCTCTAACTCGAGCATTGGGCAGATTTGCGAATACCCAGGCAGTATCTACGACACTTAAATGGACGCTGTCACAAAAGCAAGTAAGGGACCACGGAGTTTATTTTATCCGTACTACTAGTTAGTATACTTGAGGCGACCCTGATAAACCTTTGGGGCCCACCCAGGGGGCGAGCCTGGTCATGTGAAATCGAACCTTTTCCCTAGCTATCATCATGTCCAATTTCATCATGGTCTGTAAGGGATACCCAAGGCAAGGTCAAGATAGCGCTTCGATGTTCAGGCACGAGTATGTCAAATTTATTTCCAACAAGCCTAAGACTGCCATCCATCCATCCATCTATCAATTATCCCTCGGGATCCTCAGAAATCTGAACCTGTACGAAGGGTACCCTCCTCACCCGACTCTGACTACGACTCTGACTCTGAGACTGGCTCTTACTCTTGCTCTTGGGTCTCCCTCTATGCTCGCCTCTGCGGCTCGTCTCCGATTTCTTGAGGGCCTCGACATCTACATGCGGGTGCATGCGTCTCACGTGGTCGTACAGTTTGACTCCGCGGGAGAATGGAATCCGGTGTCTCTTGCAGTCGAACACGGGACAGACGATTGTGTCTCTAGATTGGCCATCGATATTGAGGAAGTCGTAGGGTTCGCCAGTGGCCGCGTAGTCTACATCCATGTTCCTGTCTGTGTCCGTCATCAGTTCGCAGCCAGAGCTTGCGCCAACCGAGGAGGTCGAGCGTCGCATCAGACTCCTATTTCTTCCGCGGCTGGCGTCGCGCCCATCAACAGCAGGAGACCTGTCTGCATGTATGGCATTCAGATGCCGCCGCAAATGATACATCTTCCGGAACGGAATATCGTGCCGTTCGCAGCTCTGGTGTGGGCAGACTCGTTCACGATTCTCCCGCACTGTGATACCAGAGCACTCGAATCCTCTCTGTGTACAGCGTTTGCACCTCACTCGCCCGGTTCCTAGTCCAGTTCGTGTCTCGGACGCCTCGACATCATTGTTGCCGTTGTTGTCTTCGTTGCCTGGGGCCATACAGCCAAATCTTCCCTCTCGACATTGCGTGCAGGGTGCAGATGTACGGATCTTGTCAACGACTGTTTGGCCTTCCCGCTCTTGTTCTTCTTCTGCAGGACTATTACAAGGAGGACTCTCATCATCCAATGCAAGCTGCTCGGTATACCACGACTGGTTGGTGCTTCCATGGTTGACCTTGTACATTGATCTGTTGCCTTCACTCTCCCGCTCGAAAAAAGTTCGAAACAACATATTCTCGCCGAATAAGCCCGCACAGCGCTCACTGGCACGCTGGACAACGTTGGGATCCCAACCAGCAAGCGCCGCCATACCGACTACGTCGCTCCAATCGCGCGGGGGGAGCTTTTTCGTTCGCTGGACTGGACGTTTGCGCTTCTGGTGGCTGTCTTGACTATTCATAAACTGTGGTGTGGATGGCGTGGAGTGGTCGATATTAGGAGAAGAAGTGCGGTGGTGGAAGTGAGACCAAGATTGGAGCGTAGATTGGAGCGCCGCATCGTCCTCATCGTCCTCACCGTCGGCGTCGTTATTTCTGGAAGAAGCATCTCGCTGCAGTGGGTTGCCTCGACTTCGCCCTCGACCTCGTATCTCTGTTGTCTGAGGAGTCCGTGGGAGACTCGCACTGCGAGCGGGATCCGCACTCAAAAGTTGACTACTACTTCTCCCGCGTGGCTTCCCAGTGCGTTTTCCTGCATATGCGGCACGCGCTTTATGCAGGCCGAGAAGCAGCGCGTCGAGCCTAGCCAGAATATGTCGTGCACTGGGTAGGAATAGTTCGCGTGCTTGACGGTCGTCTGCAAGTGGGACGGGGCGTGAATTGACCAGAAGGTCCAATGAGGATGAATTTGATAGAGGAGAATCAAGCTCCTTTTTGACGCATGATGAGGTGCCTGTTTCCGAAGCAGAGGAGATCGGTGATGCGTAAGGTTGGGATGTAAACATTGGGTAGTCTGGGTCGTCTTCTTGCTCCTCGCTTTGCTCTTCAGCGTTGTCGTCGATGGAGTTTTCTTCCCCGGGATCAGATCGATCAGGATCTAGATCTTCCTGGTGGTCATTTTCGAGTGCATCCTCAGCCCCGTTATCTTGATCAACAAAGCCACTTCCATGACGTATCAGCAGTCTGCTGTCCGCTTTCTCATCTTCAATGTCGTCCGTCTTTTGATCATCCTGCCAGTCTCTTCGACTCCATCTCTCCCTAGCCAACTTCGTCACTGTTGCAATCAAACATTCTTCCAAAGCTGCGCTTGGCCGCATGTCAGGTCTTGCCCTACACTCACCCTCAGCCCCCAGTCGTGGAAGTAATTCTTCTCTGGGAACCTGGTGCCCCAGCATTGGCCAGACCGTCCAAGTTCTCGGGAGAGCGAAATTCCCTGAGGATACCAGTGCTGCGCGATTGCGCTCGTTGTCTTCCTCGTCACCAGAGTCATCACCATGACTCTCATCTCTATCTCCGTCAACATTGTTTGCTCGCGCCTTCCCCTTTCCTTTCGCCTTGAGCGTCCCTGACCTTCGTCTCCCGCTGCTCGCGACTTCGGCTAATTCCCTCCTCAAAGCAAACGCACCGCATAGATGAAGAGTCAAATCCGTAGCTCTAGCGCGATCAATTCCCTTGGCAAGATCGCGTTCGGTCTGCGTCCAGGACTTCCAGGTAGCAGGGGCACCGAAGAATCTATTGGGACGAGTGAAATATGTCCTCGCGTCAGGGCCTTGTCCGTAGGCGTTAGTGGAGAGTATGGATGGGATATTGAGTGAGTTTGCGGATGAATACTCAATCGGAGATAGAGTATTTGGATGTTGGTTTCCCTCTGGGCGACTTATCGTGGTGGCTCGAGAAGTGATTGGCTTAGACGAAGACGGTGGATGTTGTTGGACCTGTGAAGGCGAGAGCGGCGGAGGAGAAGTCATCAAGTCTCTCGGATCCATCTCATCGTTGTCTTCTTGTTCGGATCGATCTCTCCGCCCCATCTCCGACTGTGAGGTGCTACTCTCGTCGGACTCGGCGTATTCTGATCCGAAATCCATGGTGGAGCGCCTTTAAGTGGAATTTCATGACTGAGTGTAGGAATCCTGGGACCTGTTGGTCGATGTGAGACAAGCAGATGTGCTTGGTTCTGCTGTGTCCAAAGACAGGGCACAGAAACTCATAGACCGTTTTTGTTTGCTGTGGCAGGGAGGAAGAAAAGTGAAGTCAAGATCGAGATGAATGACATTGACGGGGGGACATTTAATTGGAGGGTTTGCCCCCGCAAGTGAAGATTCGAGGTAAGAGCGACCATCGACCAATGATGTTCGCTCCTTCTGCCTGCGGTCAACAATATCACGCGACCGAGGGTACGAGTATGTTATATACCACTGGCAGTACTACATGTCAGTACGCATAGAGTCAAGCGACAAGAGGAATGGATAGTTGAGGGCATTGGTAGTAATTCATGATTCGCATCAAGCTCGAATGACCCGTATTTACAGAGGGCAAGGCTCCCGTAGAGCTACCAGACTCAGAAGCGCCGACTGTTGACGACCAACATCCAATAACCAGCCGATTTTCTCTTTTTTAACACAAAACACCTTGCTGGGGTATCTAGATGCATTGACCTATTTTGGGACTTCGATCCATCCTCCTAGTTTTATCCTGACCCTGAATGTTAGAGTCCAATATGGGTGGCTGACCTGTAAGATCTATTTAGTCCCTCAAGAACATCTTATATGTTTCATTGTTCGTACACTCCTTGAATGGGTAACCGACCTCCTTGAGGAAGCCTTCCAACTGGTGTCTCTCTGAGTCGGGACACTGAACACCACAGAGTATCCTGGCCACATCGCCCCCATAGTTCTTGTAGTGAAACAGTGACAAGCTCTGGCCGTGTCTCAGGGTTCGAAGGAATTTGAAAAGAGCGCCTGGTCGTTCGGGAAACTCGAATGTGTACAGTCTTTCATTAGCCACTCCGGATCGACCTCCGGCGAGATAGCGAAGATGTGTCTTTGCAATCTCGTCGTCTGAGATGTCTTTGGCCACCATATTCCCAGCGGCAAGTCGGGTGAAGAGAGAGCCGAGTTCTTTGTCTCGATTCGCAGCGGATGATATGGAAAGACCCATGAGGACATGAGCATAATCTGGTGAGGCATATCTGTAGGAGAACTCGGTGACTGCTTGAGGAAGGACGGCCTCAATCAAGGCGGCAAAAGTCCCTGCCCGTTCAGGTATGGTTACAGCGAGGAGGGCTTCCTTCTGTTCGCCAATATTGGCCCTTTCAGCGACAAAGCGTAGTCTATCGAAATTCATGTTGGCTCCACTGGCGACTGCTACCAGTTCCCGACTTGAATCTTCCGATGGATTCTGGGCAACCCATTTCTTCAAACCAGCCAGAGAAAGAGCGCCTGCGGGCTCCAGGATAGATCTGGTGTCCTCGAAGACGTCCTTTATAGCGGCACAAATCTCGTCCGTGCTGACTTCAATGACTTCATCAACGACCTCTTCACATAGTCGAAAGGTCTCCTCTCCCACAGTCTTGACAGCGGCCCCATCTGCAAACAAGCCCACTTCGGATAGGAGGACTCTCTTGCCCTTCTTGAGAGACTCGACTAGGGCATTGGCGTCTGAAGCTTCCACGCCGATAATCTTGACGTGAGGTGCTATCCGCTTGACGTAAACGCCTATTCCAGCGATCAAGCCGCCGCCACCCACACAACAGAAGATGGCCTTTAATTTCTGCAGGGAAGTTTGCCTCAGCAATTCCATTCCGATGGTCCCTTGGCCGGCAATAACATAGGGATCATCAAAAGGGGGGATATTGGTGAGGCCGTACTGTTTCTCGAGTAGATGGCAATGCTCTTTGGCCGAGTCAAAGTCGGTGCCATGCAACACAACACTGCCACCCATACGAGAGACATTCATATGTTTGATGGCGGGGGTTCCTTCAGGCATGACTATGGTGGCAGGGATTTTTAAATGTCTGGCCGAATAGGCAACGCCCTGAGCGTGGTTCCCAGCGGAGCAAGCAATGACACCTTTCCAGCTGGCTTTGGGCGGTAAATGGGCCATTTTGTTGTAAGCGCCTCTTAATTTGAACGAGAATACGGGTAGGAGATCTTCGCGCTTGAGCAGGACCTTGCACTCCAGGCGATTGGAGAGATTAACTGCGTGCGATAGAGGTGACTCGGTGACTACATCGTAGACTCGGGAGGTGAGGATGAGACGGAGGTAGTCTGGGTAGCCACTGGGAAGAATGAACTCGGAGGGAACATCGTAGATTGGGAGTTCTGCTCGTTCTGAGGGAGGAGTAGGCATTGCAGTGTATTCAGTCATGGCCAACGTTGACCGCCTGGGCGTTGACGGAGTCGTGCGTCCACTGGTGTTGATGCCGTTGCCATTGACGAGAGGCTCGGCGTATGCGGAGGCAGGGAAGGCGGAGGTAGAGGTTGTAGTGTCCATAATGGACTTCTAAAGGGGTTATTGGCTTTGAAGGGTGTTGTAGCGTGTGGTACCGCTGATGTTGGTGTTGGTGCTGGTGTTGGACAAATCAGTGCCACCAAAAAAAGATTGTTAAGTTTTGGCCGGAAGAGGGAAGCTCCCCCCCCCCGCACAAATAATTGACCACATCCCATCCCACCAACCACTCAAGTGACAGGCAGCCAGGTACCGCCCCCTCGGCTGCCCTTTGACAGGGCATCGCTTACCTAAAGAGGGTTAAGAACAACCCCCCTTGCCACCTCTATACGTAGTGTTTAGTTAAGAACTTCTAGGTCCCTTCGGCCCCATCCATGCCTAAACCTCCCTAATAGACTCTCGGCCACAATTACGTCTCGGTCCCTGCATTACGACGTCACGACTTGGAGCCATTCCTCTTCCAGCGACTCGCCATTCCATCTCCATATCCATCCTTCGGGAGCCACAAATGTGATCAGACCACTCCACCAACCATTGTGTGCACTCAACTCCATCCCCGAAAGAAAGGACAAAGACACAGAGAAATCAAGAATACAATACTATTTAAAAAATGTCGAACCCGGACCCCTCCCCGTCCAGCGAACCCTCACCACTGAGCAGCAGCGCCATCCCGTCGAGCTTCGACAGCTCGCCCGAATTCTTCGAAGAATCGCGGACGCAAAAGCTGTTCCGCAAGATCCGACAAGAACCCTTGATTCCCGTCGGCTGCGCGGCCACCTGCTACGCATTATACATGGCGACGAAGTCTATCCGCGCCGGCGACCACCACCAGACCAACCGCATGTTCCGGGCCCGCATCTACGCCCAGGGCTTCACCCTGCTGGCCCTCGTTGCCGGCAGTATCTTCTACAAAGACGAGCGCATGCGGAGGAAACAGTTCGAGAGCGCCATCGAAGAGAAGAAGAGCGCCGAGAAGAGGGATAAGTGGATCCGCGAGCTGGAGGCCAGAGACCAAGAGGATCGCGAGTGGAGGGAACGCATTGAGAATTCCGGCCGAGACGTCAAGGACGAGGCCAGGCAGGCCGTGGGCACGGTCGCTGAGAAGATCAAGGAGCAGCAGGAACAGGACGGCGAAGGGCAGAAGAGGTCTGGCGGTTGGTTTTCTAGTAAGAGTGTCAAGGAGGAGGTCGATCGACACGGTTGGGGACTGGGCACCTGGGCTAGGAGGTCCAGGTAGATGACATGTCAATTTATATTCTATCGGATTCCCTCCTCCACTTGGATTCTGGTGGTGTTTGTACAAAAGTGCGAAACGTCTGTGTGTCTGCTCACAAACCCAATACCGCTCAATTTCCAGCCGCCCTTGGTTCTTCCCTCACGTAGGTTGAAATGTCTTCATTGTTGTGTAGTCAAATTGGATTTCTGGAATCCTCTGACAGCAGATTATTTTCATCCTCGATGTCCTGGAGCTCTGCCAGGGCGAAGTCCGCTGCATTCGAATCAGGATGTATTCCACTGTCACTGCATGGTCTGCTTTCAGCGTCATAGACAGGGGGAAAATGGGTATGAACATCGATTCGCCTTCCAGTACCTGTTGAGCTGGTCTAAATCACCACCAACCGAGAGTCTTGTCCTCCGTGAGTGGATTCTATTTTTTGCTTCCAGTATAACCTCCCTTCTGCTATCATCTCGCAGCAAGCTCGTCAATGTACCGGCGCATGGCATCAAACTCGGTCTTTCCCGTCGAGAGCAAGTACCGAATCTGGGCGATGTCCTTTACGGATTTGTTTCTCTCAAACTCGTTTCTTGCATATGCCACCGTCTCACCCCGTCGGTCCTTGGGGATCTTGTATACACTGCGAAGAATCGACCGCCATAGTGAGATGACCCGCTGTCTCTGGACGAAGTGCTCGAGGCTAGGAGGCGACGGCTTATTCCGCAGGCGGCTGGAAATTGTCTTCGAGGCGCTGGACTCGGCGAGGAGACGGAAACCGGGTCTCATCGGTGCTGCAGGGTCAACTGGAGCGCATTGGTGATGTGGATTGTTGGTGCCGGTGGTGGGAGTTGGAAGTGCGAGTCAGAAGGGGCCCGGGCTTTTTTGCAGAGGTGCGGGTTTTTCCGGTCGGCTATGACGTAATCCAGCCTCGTCCCAGAATCGCGCTTTCAAGTATACCTCTTAGACGGTCGAGTCTCCAGGACTCCAGTATGAACTTTTGCTGCTTCTGACGCCCGGATCTGATGTCTCAACCAGATAAAGTTCAGGCAGATTTCTATTACCACTCAACATTAGCCATGAATGTTGGCACGGGCGGGACTGCCACCTACGCTTGAAATCTTCCTCCTGTTCCAGGCCAATGCTGAACCCAAATTGAAACAGCCTTGCGACTAGATACTGTCGCTCTGGATGACACTGTGCTGCCGCGGCACCGGTAAGGATTCTAAGAATTGAAAACTTCATGTTAGCTGTTGCAACATCAAGTGTTCTTGGATCTCGTGTATTGACTTACACCCAGAGATAAAGATATGGTATACCTCGCCAGTCATCCAAACTCGCGCTATTCAGAAATGCCCCCAATCTCTTGCTATCGTCCCGGTTGACCGGGTCCTCGAATGGAATCTTCTTGTGTGTTGCACGATAATATATCGTCCCTGCTACGCTGCATGACTCCGCGACAACGAACGGGATCTCTGTCCGGGGATACCGGGATTCCTTCTCTTGGAACATTTGCTGCATATTCCTGTCAGCTGGTTTTCTCGATGAGATATCTTTGGTGGCAAGATTTTTGCACGTCCCAAGAAACGCTTGCTCTAGAACGTCGACCAAAACGTCTGGGGTATCCCTGTACAGACGTCGTAAACCCTGAAAACTTTCGAATTGCATCAAAGGTGAGCTTTGGTGGAGGTCTGTGTACATATCGTTCGCGCCGGACTTCAGGCGCGGACGGCCCATTTGGACAAATACAGGATCCATACGAGACGTCGTGGCAGCAAGGGTAAGATCGCATCTGGGCAGTGAACATCAGCACCGAGTCACGGACGACATTGACACACATACGCTACAATTCCTGGCACGATTGGATATGGTGGGCCAGGGAGGGATGCGAGTCCTCCACGCATCTTGACCAGTCTAGCCAACCCAGCAAGGTGTATAGGCACAGCCGGGCCATCCCTGATGATCTTCCAGGTGTTAGCCGGCCTTCTCAAGACACAGCTTATGATTGACATACCTCAAATGATAAGAAGAACATAATGGCCCCGATGAGAGGGATCGGCGGCATCTCAGTCGTCGTCGAGACATGATGCTGTATTCGAGACAGGGCATTTGCTTTCATGTGAACGCACAGCGGCACGTTCTCAGAACGATAAGCGATGGCAGTTGTATGACCGAGATGGCTCAGCCGGATTGTGAAGAGGATCAATTCATCGAAAGCCTGGTCCTCAAAGCAATTCTGGAACAGCGTCCGTTGGGATCGGGTGAAGGGTCGTGGATGGTTACCCATCAATGCTAATGGCTCGGACAAAAAGCTCGAATCTTCAGGAGAGTGAGGAGGTCAGCAACGAAGTACGCTTCGCCGGAATGGCTGGAAATGCTTACACGTTTCCATGGTGGAAAGAAGTTTGGAGAATTCCTTTGGCGGAACAGTTGATGAGACAGAATCTCCGATTTGGGATCCAAAGAATGGCGTGGGGAGCAAGACCCTGCCATTGTCTGCGATGACTTTCGGAGTTTCAGGCTGCTCCTCGTCAATGCAATAGTCCTCTCTTGGTGCTTGTTGGTTGAGTGAAAATGGTGCAGATCTGGATCCCCGATGCGTGGCAGCGACTGGTGCAAGCCCGAAACTTTCTAATGGAACCCCTTGATTCTCAGGAGCATTGCTCACGGCCGAGGCGTGTCCTTTGCCCGAAGACCCAGGAGTCTCTAACGAGCTGCTTCTGACACTGGATGAATCCTGATCGCACGTCTCACAAGTTCTTGAAGGCGTCACTTGGATGGACTTGCCAGCCGCGGCTCGCAATGAATCCTCATATTCTGCACAGTATGTGAGCAAGGGAAGTGATAAGTGGCCAGGGAGGCAAATGACCGGGCGGGATGGGATATGGTTGCGACTGACTTCTTGTATCTTCCAAGCGCTGCCTCCTTCTCACGTTTTTCATCACATGAGACCTGACACGAGTTTGAGTATCAAGATCAGTGCCTTTCTTGCGTGGCTTTGAGCCGGACAGATTGATGAATGTAAGATCGGAGGACATGGCCGGCACAGGCTTGGAGCGAGTGTATTCTTGGATCACACTTTCAGAGTGCTGAAGAAGAAACCTCATCCTGTCCACGAAAGCATTTCAACTGTCACGATTCGATTGTGGTATCGTTGTAAGGGCTCTTCCAGAGTGTGGTTCAAGATTACATAACACAGATCCTCTCAGCGGACATTCGGCCCTTCAGCTTTCAGCCGTGAACCAGGACACCATAGGGATGCCGAACCTCTAGAACGGGGCATAGTTGTGCAGGGTTAAGGTGTACAGGTACATATTGTATCCGATCTGGTAGGGTTTATCATGAGTTGCGTTAATCAAACCTTCCGAGCAACACGAGGCTGCTGACACAGCATTTATCCAGCCCTATCTCAGATGGGTCGCCTGGGGCGCCTCATTAGTCATTACTCGGTACTGCAATGTCTGTTATTATTTACCTCTATATAGAACTGTCTTGGCCCAGGACCACTTGGCTTCTAGGTGACAATCTTCTTACCGCCGAGTCCACCTTTGTGGTTGTTTGTATACACACCCACCAGGCCAAAGAGTGCTTAAGCGAACTACCATTACCATACGGAGTACTGCTAGAGCGAAGTCAATCAAGGCAGAGTCCACCTGAGTATGAGCCGGTGCGCGAACGGATTCTGTACTCCGCGCGTGCTCTCGATGCAGCACGCGGGCCCAGTATTACCCAAGTAGTTATACAGGCACATGTCTTCGGGGGGAAGATGATCAGCCGCCAGCCCTCTGTGCTCGGGATCACCAGCACCGTACTACCAGCACTGCCTTGGTCAGCTGACCTTGTAGAGAGAAGTTTCCTTGGGATCAGGCTTGGTCCAAGAAATGGTGCCTGGCCAGACAACCAGGGGTCGAGGGGATTGTGGCAATTCATTAGTTTGTTATGGAGACTCCGGCCTCGACCCAAGTGGCGCACCGGGCCGTAAAAGGGATTGAGAGGACCATTACTCAGGCTCAATTGTTGTTGATGTCCAAAGTGTGGCCTTGGTGTGTGAACTATGATTTAACAGATGAAGTCACTGCAGCGGATAGAGGTGCCCAGCTTGCTGTGCATACCCACCATTCGAGATAGAACAGGATAGAGCAAGAGGGGACATATCCTCTCCAGGCTCCCTCCACAGGCCCTTCAACCGGGACACTGGCATCCCTCGACCCATTCTCCCCCCGAGAAAATGTCGAACCCTGCATAAGAAGCTGGAAAAGAACGGGTCAAGTGACGTTGACGGTGGCTCCCACTGCCACTCCCACTGCCACTCCCACTGACTCGCTCCAGCCCGTTTCTTTTTCTCAGCTGAAACTCGCGCAACACTGCCAAACCAGCACCGAGCCCGGAGTAAGCGCCCATCAATGATTGATTCTGACCATTTATTATTGTGGAACCCTCGAGCCTGAACCTGGAGCCCACCACCAGACAAATCCACATCTCTGGCGTAATTAGTGCTTGCAGATGATCTCAATGCCTGTCTGGTGATTCCGACCACCATCCTCCAAACCACACGCACTTTTCACTGCCCGCAGTTCAACCACCAGCCTATATATTATATCAGCCTTATTCGCCGCCGGTCTTCCTTTCTACCTTACCTGATTGTTTCTTGCAGCATACAAAGCACCCAAACACCATCATGTCCTCTCACGACGACTACGCCCCTAGATCTCGTCGGGATCCAGGCCTGACCTATCCAGACGAGGATGATTATCACAAACCTTCCAGACGTCCTCGCAATGACCCGTCCCCCCTCCCAGCTGCCGATGCGGCTCCAAGGCACAAACGAGAAATCGATCTTCGAGACCTTGAACCCAAGTCAAGAGATGCCAGCCACGACAAGCGGTCAGGCAGGGACGAGCCGCCTCCCCGCTATCGCGATCATCTAGTTGATGACCCACCAAGAAAATCAAACACAACCGCCAGACGCCGGAGTCCCTACGACGGCGACGACGACGACCACAAGCACAGCTCCCGTGACCCAGCCTACGGTCGGTCCAAGGGATACCGCGAGCCCGTTCCCGAACCAGAACCCTATGGCGACCGCGGAGACCCTCGAGCACGCACGAGCAGAAGGCATGACGACCATTCCGCCGAACTACCGCGACGCTCCAAGACCCAGCGCGACCCTGATCGTCGTCCTCGAGACGATCCATACGATGACGATCGCCGCCGCCGCCAGCGCAGCGTCGATGATAGATACGACAATCGCGACAAGGGCTACAAATCTGATCGACGAAGAGACGAGGACAGATACGATGATCGTAGACGTGGCGGCAGAGATCGACGAGACGAGGGCTACGCTTCAGACCGTGGCTACAGACGCAGTGATCGAGACCGGGATCGGGATCGGGATCGGGGAGGCGACCGTCGGAGAGATGACTATGATCGTCCGAGAGATCGAGATAGGGACAGGGATAGGGACAGAGACAGAGACAGGCGAGACCACGACGACAAGGGCAAGAAAAAGAGTGGTTTCAATATCAACGATCTTGTGGAGCTCGGCCAGAAGCATTACAAGGACGTGGTCCCCTTGCTTCAAAAGGCCGGAAAGATGTATATGGATAGCAAGGGTGGGAAGTAAAAGGCTGGGTAACTACTGGATGACTTCTTGATGACCGAACGGACCGGCATGGATGAAATGGATGAGTCGAGGATTCCCTTTCTGCAGTCACATCTCGGTTTTCGCTTTGCTCGCAATACCCACAAAACACACTTTACCTACTTCCTTACATGGACATACATATCTATCGTACCAGACGTACAATACCTGTATATGCTTGATGAACGGCGATTCGGACCGGAGCCTGGCACTGAGCTTGAGGGAAAGGATACGACTATGACCGAGACCTTATAACTATGACTAAGTTTCAGCTGGGAAAACGTTGCTTTCGCGTTTCTTGCGGGGGATGATGACGATTATGATGAAAAAGAAGCCGGGCAGGAGTATCATCCTCCACGCTCGACTCTACGATTTGCCAGCACTTCGAAATGATGGGTTTCAGATTTTCTTTTGGGATAAATGAGGGTTTGGTTTGTTGACCGGACCGCACGGTTCTGTGGACTGAAATCAGGGAACAGAGACAGCCTGTGCCGTCTTCGGCACGGTATACATGATGAGAGATCAGCAATGATGCAAAGGACCCCTTGCAAGCTAACTGTTCTCGTTCTCATGACGAGAATGCTCCTCAGTTTTGTTCATGCTGCGACGTCGTTCCTAACTTGACCTCGCATCTCTCCCGTTGGGCATATTTCCCCTTTTTGACCTGGGGACCCCGTACGTACTGTAGGGACTCATCGCTGGACTTGCTCCTGAGCGGTCTCGTATTCTCTCTCTCCTGCCCTTGTCTTCCCCATGCCCCGCTCGCCCTGACGAGTCAGCATCGTCGCCCCAAGACGAAGCTAGAGTGGCGAAAAGATGGGTAGGATCATGCACATAAGAATTAGGTGCCTGGGCGCTAGATACTGGTGACAATACCATACTGGGCAAGGTAGTGAACGAGGCACGTTCATGTCCCCTCTGTGCCCACAGCTCTACCTACACCCAGCCCGGCTGATTACATCCTCCCGATTCCTTCTCTCTGAAATTTGCCGACTGACTCAGGCTCGTCAAAAAGAAAACAAAAAGACACAAGACTTCAGCTGTACATTCATCCATGTTTCATTCACTCGTTCATTCAATAGATCTGTCAGGGTGATCTAGAGCTCATTTGACGGTTTCAAAGCCGGTGAAACCTGGCAATACCGCTCGAATCTCCTTGACGTACGCTGGAATGCCCCCTGCATAGTTGACCTGTTCAAATGCTTTCCCGGGTACACTGCCGCCCATGTATGTGCTCTTCGTCGTCGGTAGCAAGGTGATATTACTCAGGTCATTGATATGCTGCTTCCATTTCTCACTAGCTTCCTGGGTCGGGTTGATGTACTTCAGACCCTGGCGGTCGACTTGCTTGATGGCATCCCGAATCCAACGACCCTGGACCTCCACGCTCGACGGTCCATTCGAGAGCAAGGTAGGGCCGTGTGGTCCGTACAGGTGGAACATGTTGGGGTACCCGGCGATGGTAGTTCCGAGGTAGGTGTAGGCAGCTTTACGCCACTCATCCTGTAGCGTCGTGTTGTTGATCGATTTCAACCCCATATTGGTCATCCCGCCCGTGGTGATGTCGAATCCTGTTGCCAGCGCGATGATGTCAAACTCGTGCTCCTTTCCGTCCTTGGTCTTAATCCCCTTCTCCGTGAATTCGACTATCTCGTTCCCGGATTTACTGGAGATATCCACAATGCTCACGTTGTCTTGGTCAAGAACTTCGTAGTAATTCTGCTCCAGACACGGTCGCTTGACACCAAACGGGTGTGGTGGTTCCTCTGGGATGAGAATCGCACGTTTCTCCAGATTCTTAACTCTTGGGGCTTGCTTCTTCTGCCAGAAGTCGTACACACAGCGATTGGACTTTTCGTCAAAGAGATAGTCCTTATGTGAGCCCAGCCACAGGCCAAATCCGGCTTTCTTCCACAGCGCCTCGTACACAGCCTCTCGCTCCTCTGGGGAGTCTTCAAAGGTGTTACGCTCGGCAAAATCATACGTGAACCCTGCAAAGTTATGCTCACGCATACGCAGAAGTTCCGCATACGCCGGTTTAAGAGCATCTTGTTCCTCTTTGGACATATCGCGTTTGCCCATTGGAAGAGCTAGATTTGGAGTGCGTTGGAACACGGTCAAATGCTCGACCTCTGGGCCCCATTCCTGAATGATTTGCACGCCCGATGCACCGGTGCCGATGACAGCAACCTTCTTACCACGGGCATCTACCCCCTCTATAGGCCAGAAAGATGAATGATGCATGATGCCTTTGAACTTGTCCATGCTCGCGTAGTCGGGAATATATCTCTTGGCTGCAAAGCCAGCTGCAATGATCAAGAACCGGGCTTTCGCTTTGCGTCCGTCGGCGGTGCCAACATGCCACTTTCCTTCATCGGTATTGAATTCGGCCGAAGTCACCACGGTCCCAAACGCGCAGTCCTTACTCAGGTTGCAGACTTTGTCGCAATGGTCAAAGTAGGCCTGTAATTCGCGCCAGTCTGGGTAGTTGGTTGTCCAAGACCAACTTTCGTAGACTTCAGGAATCGAGAGCTGGTAGATAGGGACTTCGGAATCGACGCGAGCACCTATAGACGATGAGCTGGATTGTCAACAATCAATAGAGTCTCGTACCTGGATAGACGTTCCATCTCCAGGTACCCCCAAAGCTTTGACCGGCTTCGTATAGTACAGTCTTGAAGCCAGCTTTGCGCATCTCATATAGTAAGTAGGTTCCACCAAAACCCGCTCCTACGATCAGGACATCGATGTCAATGTTGTCGGCATAAGGACCATCGGTACGCTTGCGCTCAGCATATTCGTACAGGTGGCGCTTGAGGATGCGCTCTGGCTTCTGCTCTCCTTCAGAAGGATCACCCATATTTGTGATCTCGCTATATTATTAGACTGGGCAAAACGAAGATTAACTGTGGGCCAATTTGAGGACAGTGGTTACGGACCTTGGGGTGAGAGCAGGGTTTTAGGATCATTGAAATAGCGCGGAACCCATCTTTTCTAGTGACCGGGGAGAAGATTCGGTAAAACGGAAGTCGAAACCTACTCCTCCCTCGCTTGCACGCAGTCATGGCGAGCGATTGCATTCTAGGACTTGAAATTCTCGATAAGACGATGCGGATCCGCTGGGAAGCATGGTATAGAAATTAGTGTAGATAAGGTGTGGTGTTCCCCCGCTTCCCCCCTCAAAATAGGACGTATAGAATCCGGGGTTTGACAATAATTCTAGGTCGGCACTGGAACCCATTGGCTCTAAGTAAGATTGAAATAATCAATTCGGGCACCCGGGGGGTTGAATGGTCTGATCTTCAACGCAATACCCTCGGTTGACTCCTCTTTCCCAGAGCTCGATGAAGCTTGGGGGATCCCCCTGGCCGATCACAGCTCGTGTTTTCATGAAGTTGGAGCTCGACTGACTGCTTGAGGCAATAGGATAAATAATGACCGGGCTTGGCTGCAGCATGAGTGGACGTGAGGCATGATGAATTTGTGAAAGGTGTCCGCAATGATCTGATCAAAAGCTTCTTGTTCACGATGAGACCCAGATTAGCGGTGCTCAGGTCGAAGAGGCCCCCAGTGCACTGAGCCCTGTAAATGCAAGGTACTGTGCTTCAAGGCTTCCAGGATGACTGAATTATGCCTGCGCTGGATCCAGCGCGTTGCAGAATTGCGCATTATGCCAAATTGAGCCGATTCTTCAACACGCCAGCCAGGGTCAAAGATTGACCTTGGGACCACTCGGTTACAAGTATGATCGGGACTTCCATGCAACCAAGGACATAGCTTGTATCCAGAGACTAGGAGCCCAAACCTGATATAGTTAGATATCTCGTGAGAGGAGGGAGGGCTCAGTTTCTTATGCCTCCTGGCTGATAGTGCGAGTATTCTGGTTGTGTGCAGGTCCAAGTAATGGAAATAGAACAGTAGTATAGATCTCTCACCAGTCACACTTCATTATCAATTGATGTCAGCTGATGGACTGATTCCCACTGGCATGAGGGTGAGGTTGATGTTGATGTTGCCAAATTTCAATACACAATAGACGACAGGCTGTGATCAGCGTTGGAGGGATTGTCCCTGAGCAGCCTGATCATCATCGATCACCGATGGTACCTCCCGAGCTACCTACGAGTATTCCAGTCATATACCAGTGTATCTTTGGTAGATAAATCAGATTGTGGGTGTGGATTTTGGTACTGATAACCTCATTTCAAACCTCGGCAAGTGTGTGTAGCAATGGCTTAGCTTCATTAGCTGAAGGTCCGCGAACGGATCCTTCTAAGTTTTACCTAGGGATCAAGTGCGCCTTATTTAGCAGTGACCAGATGTAACTCCGAGGCTTTGATATTCATTCAGCGTTGACAGGAACGAATCACAGTCCATTCCTTCTGTCTATGATGGAGAATAGGGCGTGCCACCCATAAATCCCTTAGTTTTGGGATCCTGAAGGAGTGAGTGATTGAAACGGGTGCTCGACGAAGCAGGCCAAACTGTGTCGAGGGATCAGGTGTCTGTGATGAAGAATGCAGAATTATCACCTGGGATCGATATTGCTAAGATCCAGGCGGGATACTGCGCAATCAATGGTATGCCTTATCAGAACTTCATTGAAGAGGTAGGCCGTTAGGTAGTTGGCTGTATAGGCCGGAGCACGTATATGAGAAGTGGTAAGTTTAATCCAAGGCAGAGAGCCACGATTGATTAATTACTGTGGGCTCCGTATTACTAGTATGTAATTTATACAGTAGTCGGTACTTCTGAAAGGATGCGTCATCAACAAACACCAACAAAAGCCACGACGACGACGACGACGACGACGGCCACCACCACCACCACCACGACGGTTACCACCACCCATCCCAACCTTCATCCCCATTTCCCTCCGGTCCTAATCTCGGTGTCAATCTCAGTGTCAATCTCGATGCCCAGCTGCACCATATTGGACCATCCCAAAACGGGGCCTTTGGGCAACCGGAGACTTTCCAAGGGCCAGAACCAAATTTGAACTTTTTCATCATCCTCTAGTTATTATTATTCTCTCCAACCTCAGGTTTCGGTCTTCGTAACACCCTGCCTCGCTGCCTCGCTGCCTCGCTGCCGCCCTACCGATTACACGCTACCCAAGCTACACACGCGCGGGTGCCTTCTCATGTCTAGGTCGCAGTCGCACCTGCCATGACACGTCGAAAGCGGACACCCTCCTCGTCTCCTTCCCCCTCCCCCTCTCCGTCCGCCTCTTCCAAACGCGTGGCCTTCGACTTCGAAATCCCCGCCTCGCTCCGCCAATTCTCGTCTATCTCGCGCTCTCTTGCAACCCATACAACTATCCCCTCTGCGCCTGCCACCGCCTCACCGCAGACTCAAACCGAGCCTCAGCATCGACCGGTTTCTCAGTCATCCTCTCAGTCCTCCCCTCGTTTCACCATCCCTCGCCCTACTAGCCAGGTTCCGGTCAACGCCCAGTCCCAGAGGTCTTCTGCTTCAGTTCACAACAGTCAGCCCTGGGCAACTCCGCTCCCAAAAGGGGTTCAGGCCACTTCCGCAGCAAAATCCTCGTCTCCTGCGTTTCCCAAACCCACGCCTACGCAGCCTCCTAATGGCGCTCCTGCGCATTCACATTCACGAACGACTAGCAACCCCAACTCCAAAGCCCGTCCCCAACCAGAACCTATCCTTCGCCCAGGCGAAACCCCGGTCTTGAAGACGCATCCTAATCTAATCGCCTCCTTGATTGCTAAGAAAAGGGCCGCGAATGAGGCTGCAGGTCATCGAGCAAGATGGCAAAGACAACAAGCAGAATATCAAGCTGGGAAGTCTCCAGGAAGTCAACTTATGACTGAACTCAAGGCGGAAGCAAGTCGCGCTTCTCCGGTGCAATCTCAATCTATATCGGTTTCCAATCCTCTGCCAGCACGCCCAGTCTCACTGCCCGCAACCAATTCTAAAACTGGACCTCCCAGAGTTGAAACCGCAGGGCGAACCACAGACACTGTGAGCACACCTAATACTGAACAGTCAACACATGAGACGGAAACCTCGAAAGGTGTCCAGCAAGATAGAAGGGATTCCGTATACGCGTCGCCATTCTCTTCGCCAATAGCAGACTTTCTCGAACAGGCGACTGATGAAGTTGAACTCCAAAAGAATATCACTGATACCACTCAACAACCTGCTCATTCCTCTGAACCATTCAAGGATCAAACACCTTCGTCCACTGCGCATGGCCAAGACTCTGTGGTTTGGCCTCTTCAGAATGGAAATATGGTGTCTTCAACCCAGGTTGGCATTCCACCTCTCTTCTCCGAGCTTCCTCAATTACATCAGCAAAAGCAAAGTCCCTTGCTTCGAACACCATTTCCGCAAAATCACCCCCGCTCCTCCCGCTCCTCGCAACAACAAGCCTCGCCATACCAATCGCCTCACTTTTCAACCGGTCAACTTCAGTCTGGAAATGTAATGTCAAACTCGGCTGCACTTGCCCAGCAACAATATCAATACATGAATTCCCAATTTCCTGATGGCCAGCAGAACTTCTACAAAATGAATTACCCGCAACAATACCCAACCACCAATAGTCCTGAAGAAACCAACATGACAGTCCCTATCACCATGAGGCAGCAGAGCTTCGCCCAGCAGAGCCTCAGCAATGCACCCAGTTTCAATCCTCTGTTAACCTATCCAACACAACCTATCAGTGGCCTGGGGAACATGAACATGCCCCTCGTCTACCCTCCGTCCGCACCAATGCCAACCTTCGGGACATCTGCTCCCAAGTCCCGTACAGAATTGAACCCTGGCCTTATGACCGCTGCCGATATGGTCGCTGGCACCAACACCATGTTCACGGTTGCTACTCAAACGGATTTTAGCGTACCCAAGAGGTACTAAGATCCAGTTGGCTTTCTGATCCAAACCATGTGTTTCAACTTACTAGACCAGAGTGATGATGATAACGACCAAAGTCAAGATGATTCACGGCCGTTTAATCGCAACCAGTTTCATATTTGCGTGTTTTGAGCAAAGGTTTTTCCACTGATAGCCTACTGTACTTTCTTTGTTTTTGACTAGCGATGGCGCTTGGGTTGGAATTGTGTTTTCTGCTTCTGTTCCACTGTTGGGGTAGATGAGGTAGTGCTGAGGTTTGCACGAGTCCAAGCGAAGGAGTAAAAGTTGGAACATACAGACTAGATATCTGAAGTAAATATTACACCGGTGATCTTGCTGGGCAATGGCATCACAGTACAATAGCTCGCTCAGTCGAAGGCCATATTTTTTATATTGGACCATTGGGCCCTGGATCTTCAATTTGACATGGTACCTGGTGCAGCCTTTGGATCCATCGATTTTCGTTGCGGTAGGCCACGATAGAGCGAGAACGACCCCTTGATCAATGGCTGTCTCCAGTCTCGCCATGTAGATATGAATTGCGACGCATGTATTTCTGTCGTTTAGAACCGTATCAAGTGCGGGTCGTTTGACAGGTGGTTCCATTTCCATTCACTAATCCTCATAAGAACGGAACCGGCCGCTTTGCCAGGCCCTCGACCAGATCCCCGATCAGCGCTCTCTTGCGCTTCCTCCTCTCGGCCTCACCATCTTCTTCCACCTCTTTGTTCTCCACCTCCCTCGATGGTTCTTCCAGCATGCCTCGTTGCGGAGGAGACTGTCCATAACGGGTATCCGCGCTGTCGCTTGCGCCTTCGTTTTCGGCATCACCATCAATTTCCGAGCTGGGAAGCCACACGCCGATCCGTCCATCGCCGTGCGCCGTGTACATCTCGACGAGCGCACCGGCACGGCCGATTGGTTGCACGCGCCACACCATCGCGTTGATCCGTCCGCTACCCGTCACCCTCGACGCGACGACGCTACTGCTACTGGTGTGGCTGTGATTGCTGGTACCTGCACCACCGCGACCGCCGCGACCGCCGCGACCGCCAACGCCACTCCCACGGCGCGGGACCGAAGCGGAAGCAGCCTGCACCTGAGCCAGTTTCACACCCTCAGTACGCAGAACCTTCAGCATATGGCCCTCCCGCAGATGGTGCTGGAAGATGAAACCACGGGGTTCGTCGTTCGCCCAGAACAAGGATTCACGGCCGGGCATATGGGTGGCCGCCGGCGAGATCAAAGGCTTGAGCTCCCCGGGGCGCTCATTCCTGATCCGCGGGCCAAAGTGCACGAGGTCGTTTCGCCCTGTCGCGGCGTCCCACACGCGAATGCGCTGGTCATGACCAGACGTCACGATCTTGTCGCCACTGGGCGTCCACTGCACGCCCGTCACGGGTCCGTTATGCGCGACCGCGTTGAAGTCTAGGAGTTGCTCGCGGCGCGCGTCGTGGTCTAGGTAGGCGGGGATGCCGACTACCCCGACGGCATCGTCGAGGTCCAGTGATGCGAAGGCCGCGTTCGCGCGCCGGACGTCGAAGAACAGCACGCGTCCGTCGCTGGAGCCTGAGGCTAATATGTGCGATGCCCGTGGCGACCATGCTACGCTGTACACGGCGCCGTTGGGCCCGGTCATTGAGTGTGTCGCCAGGCCGGTCCGGAGGTCGAGGAGTCGGATTGCTGGGTGTGCCGTTCCGACTGCGATAAGCGGATGGGAGTCTACGAGTGGAGACAGCGAGTGCGTGTAGGGCGTGAAGCTTAGCTCGAAAGTATGCAGTGGTGTCAGGCCGCTTGGAGTGATGGATGTCACTTTGAGGGTTTTGTCGTACGATGTGGTCAACAGTGTTGATGGGATGGGGTCGAACGGATAAATTGAGATGGACGTCAGCGCGTGCGTATGAGAGGACGGCGAGCTGCGGCTCAATGTTGCCTTCGGGTGGTAGAGTGTGGGTCTTGTTGACGACTGGCCATCGCGATGATGCAATTGGAAAGGCTCATGGCTCAGATCCCAAAGCCGGACGGTCGAATCCGCACCACCAGAGAAGAGAAACTGTCCCTCGTTTCTGTCGATTGCCAGGCAATTCACGCCAGCCTGATGTGCGATCCCGGCCGATGTTGGCGGTGCGGCCGAAGCGTCGTCTGTAGAAGCAGAGCCTTCTTGCTTGATATAGCTAAATGAGATCCTTTTCTGATGTGCAAGGTCGTCGATGACTGATTCATAGTGGCGCCTTCGCAGAGTCTCCGGCGCGAGAGTGCCCAGGCTCTGTCGAAGGTGCAGCTGATTCATGCATCGGCGGAACTATAATGTAGCTCGATTGAGCTCTGGACTAACCTTTGGTATATTTTGGAGGATGATTGAGTTAGATTTATCTGGCCATGCGCCGACTGCAGTACAGTAGTATCGTCGGCTGAGACTCGAGGGTGAAGTCTGTGTGAAGTCTAAGTTGGCGTCTGGTCGTGACTCGTGACTCGCCGGATGGAGATGGAGTCCGTGACGTCATTATACACATCAAGGGCGAAGGGAGGGATCCCCAGGTAGGTTTGACCTTCAGGAGTGAGGAAGGCTGAGCATGAGAAGAATGAACGAGTGCAGCTGCGGGCTCTGGTATTCTGCTAGCTAATCTCACAATGTCTCATGTCTATGTCTCATATCTCTTCTCACATCCATTCTCAATGTTAGATTGGTGTAGGAGTAAACATAAAATTCCATTTATTGCGGAAGCCTGGTGCGTTTTCAGCCAGCAAAGTTGTCCAGTGGTGCCTCGTGTTTGATCTCCTCCCAAATCTCATCGATTCCTTGAACAGCTTTGTCACTCAACTTTCCCTTCTCAATCCCGGACAATGTCTGCTCAATTTGCTCGTGACTGCTTGCACCGACAATGATAGCATCGCCATTTTCTTTCTTCAGAGGACTGTTGTAAGCGACCCAGCGGTATGCTAGCTCTGCCTTTGTGGCACCCTCCTCCTCAGCAATTGCAGCCCATTTTTCTAGTGCGTTCAAGAGTGCTGGTTTGGCATACATCCTCCTGTACATGCCACCTAAAGCGTCCTCGCTGAAGCGGCCGGCCCCATCTTTAATCTGCTGTGCGGTCTTGGTTAAGAATCCACCGGCCAGAGGACTATATGCGTAGAAGGCAATACCCAGCCTGCGGAGAGTTGGGAACAGTACTGCTTCTTGTTTGCGAGCAGCTGGAGAGTAGTTTCCCTGGTAGACGGTGGGCAAAACGTAGCCTTGCTCCTTGGCATGATCGTAGACTTTCTGCACGTCCTCGGCAGTGTAGTTACTCAAGCCAAAACGCTTGAACAGTCCAAGTTGATAAATCTCCTGAACACCGGCGAGTGTTTCTTTGATATCAGTCGCCGCGTCGGGGCTGTGGAGGTAGAAGATGTCGACTTGCTTGACGCCCAATTTCTCGAGGCTGTCTTTACCAGTCTTGACGATATTCTCACGAGTTGACCAGCCGGGTTGGGAGAATCCACCAACCCACTTGGTATCGATGGTGAATTTCTCACCGGCCTTGGTAGCGCCCAAAGTGGCCTGAGAGTTGCCGTAAAGTTGAGCGGTGTCGAGGGTCTTTACGCCGTGCTTGAGGATGATGGAATACACGTTTTCAAGATCCTCAGGCTTGGAAAATGGGTCGCGATTGCCCACTGAGGCAGTGCCAAATACTACTTTTATGGACTGGGAAGACATGTTGTCTGGACAGTGGAAGTCTTTGCCGAGGTGAGAATAGAATAAGTATTGGCTGGTCCGAATGTATGAGAACGCGGGTTTCTTTTCTGGCACGCTGGATGGTCGTTTTCTGAAGTGAGTGATTGATTTGTGGTACCCGGATGGGTCTCACAATGGCTTTAAAAGTTCAAACGTTCGTGAACCAAACTATCGCATCAGCCCTCGTTCCTACTTCCCGGGTGGATTGAGTGTGGGGTTATATCTGTCGCAAGGATTTCCTACTACGCTCAATTGCCGCGGACTTGGGTGTGGTGAATTAAAAGGAGGGAGGTGATCACCGCCCATTTGTCATCGACCCACCTCGACAGACAGAATAATCATTAATGCACCTCTATTTTCATGCGATTTCGGTCGAATCTTTATGCAAGGCATGACCCGTCAACCGAAAGCACCAACAATATTTCGGCTATTGAGAATTGGTCAAGGGGAATAGTTTGATGCGTGCTCGGAGTACCTAGTGAAACCTGGATACGAAACTCCGTCCTGAAACTTGAAGATACATCGTCATGAACATGTTCATCTAAGCTTCGCGTTTGGGTCCCTTGCTGGGTGCCTCGCCCCTCGCAGGTGCCTGATGGATTACTAAGGCGACGCCACACTTCCCCGCACTAGTGCAAAATTAGCAAAGCGCCACAGTGGCTTGCGCATCAGCCCCTCACGAGTCACGAGTCACGACAACCGACCACGACACGACAAGGCTTAAGAGCTGGCATCATCAGCGATCTAAGTCGTGTAAACCTGTCCTGCTGAGGAAAATCTATGTATCTGGCAGATCAATACCATTCGCTGCAAGATTCAAGACTCTGGACAGTTTGCTGTTACCAGTGCGCTGACTCTACTCGATCTCGAAACCAACCTAGCGCTGACCTGAGAAGCCTTGGTCGGTCTTTGTCCCCAAAAGGAAAGCTTACCGGTTACGCGTTCAAGCCACGTCGAATTCCCTGTTCCTGGGTGCCAGTGCCATGGAGCGCGTTCCTTCCGCAATTCCAGTTCACATTACTCGGTGATATTCTTGGAATACCACCGGCACTTGGATCAGAAGCTGAGGGCCATCAAGAGGCCAGAAATGGTGCTGGAACTTCACATATGGGGTCCAGCATTTGGCTTGCCGTCACTGGACGCTCAATGTCTCGCTGCAGTTTATTATTTTCAAAAGTCTCTTCCTGCGGGGGCCTGGTCACTCATTCCCTCGAGTAACCCTCATGTCAGTCCCCTCGGTGAGCTGCCCGCACTAAGAGATGGCAATACGTGGATCGCTGGCTTCAGCAACATCGTTGAATATCTTCGAAATACCTCCAATGGCGACCATGACCTCGACCGAAGCCTGGATGAATCTCAACGGGCCGATGCCATCGCATTCACCTCTTTCCTCGAATCTCGTGGCCAGCCTCTCCTCGATCTTAGCCTCTACGTGAGCAGCGACAACTACTTCGCCTCCACCCGACCGGCTCTGGCTGAAATATTGCTTTGGCCAGATAGTTGGTTCCTACCTCATCTGTTACGAGATAAAGCTAAGAAGAGATCGGAACATCTTGGGTTGAGTAGCCTGGACGTTGATACAGCACAAGACCATCAGAGCGAGGATGTTGGGCTTACTGCACACATTCCCAAGTCTTTACGAAAACCCCGGCAAACCGTGAGCAGTCTAATCGGCCGCAATATGCAGAAGAATCGGTTCAGACTCGATGCTGTGACGGCAGACTTTTTAGATCCTCTTCTGGAAAAACTCGGGGAAAAGAATTGGTTGCTTGCTGACACCGTTAGCAGTGTAGATTGTCTAACAATCGGCTATATTTCGCTTCTCCAAGTCCCTCAGTTGCCCCAAGAGTGGGTGAAGGAGGCTCTGCAAAAGAAGTACGCCAAGTTGGGTCAATGGGCATCGGCACAAACGTCCCGAGTGCTTGGTTCTTCCCACGATGCAGCTTCGCTAGTGAAGCAGAAGATAGGCGAGAGGAACACAAGCTTGGAGTTGCCGTGGCAGAGTCCACCGGACAGATCGTCGCAACAAGTCCTGCATTCAGTCCTGGAAAGCTGCATTAGCTCTGTGCCAGTCATCGGAAATGCATATAAAGCCTCCCAAATCAGCCATCTCCAGGGCACTGGTGACTTGCACCAGAAGAAGCAGTCGCAATTGATGATGATCCAACGACGACGGGAAATCTACGTCCAGGCCCTGGTCACAACTCTTACCACAGTCGGTGTAGTTGGCGTGATGTTCTACAGAGGGTTACTGCACCTGCCTCGACCATTTCCCAACCAACGAGGCCGAACCTTTGGGGAAGCTGGTTCTTTTCTTGGACTGGCCTAATGGAGATTTGGTCACGTTGGTGCCAGTTACTAGTTCAATTACTAGTTGGACACTCCGCACCGTGTCCACATGGCCGAAGGTTCACCAGGACGTTCATGCTGGAGAACATTTTCCGACTGCGTGGAGACTGAAAACACATGGCACTAGGCCACTTGCGGAACACATGCTTATGTTGTTGCTGACGACTGAGCGCTGACTGTCAAGCACACGAAGTCCGCGCGTGTCCTAAGCAGGGCCAGGATTGACACGACAAGCGACTAGTGACGGGATTTGATAGGAGCATGGGTCAAAATGAGGACCTTAAAGACGCCAAGGTGACGCAGCCTTGTGGGTGAGATAAGGCGAAGTTGGAATTCCGACTGCCTGTACCACAAGGATATATTGTAAAATACGGTTATTGATCGATGATCGATCTGGTCTGGATGTGCCTCTGGTGAAATCAACGCCGAATTCGAATGATATAGATGTTCTTTCCACGGGTTTCGAGAAGCGTCTACAGGACAAAAACAAGTATACAATCAGTGACAGAAGGTGATCGGCGTATGCACCAATCAGAAGTCCGATGTTAAGGCCAGCCTCGGACCCATGCACTTCCTCTGATTGGCCCCTCGCCCATCCGAAGATCCTATCATCATTTTTAAGGTCCTCACATTTGACCTCCACCACTTGGTCGTTGACTACCTCGTACTCACGGCTACTCGGACATGACTTGCTGCTTCTAGGTCGCTGACTCCATCCGAATCACAAACACCTCCTCTTCGTTCCGAGTACACCACTCACCCCTACGGTTTAGTTTAACTTCCACCCACATGCACCTCGCTACTCAATTGTGATCCTATCCTGGTAATAGGCTCTGGTATGCTACTCTGACCCATGTACACTCGTATCGGCCCTGACCAGTGACCACACGCGGTGCTCTGTTACCGACTCTTCCTTTAAAAAGTCTGTCAACCGGCCCACAGTTCCACAATTCATGTCTCCTAGTGAAATCCAAGTTTCTCTAAGAATAAGGTCCTCGATCTCAAGCATTTGAACAAGCACTTTTCACATGAAGCTTGCTCTTTCTTGCTTCTATAAATCAACCAGAAGTCGAATTCTTTATCAAGAGATCGCTCCCTTCACTCTGCAAACATCCGGCCCTTGCAACATCGTACCCTCTTGCCGGTAGCCGCTGCTTTCCAGTCGATTCGTATGACAATGGCCAACTTAGAAGGCCTCGGGCAGCTGATTGCTCGACAAGAGGCTGATGCCCCCCCATCCTGTGCGACTGGTAACGACTACGATGGTCGCATCGGCCTGCGGGTTGCCGCACTCTTCATCATCTGGGTCACCTCGTCGATTGGTGCCGTCTTTCCGGTCTTCGCAAACAGGCACAAAGGTCTAAAGATCCCCGAATGGGTCTTCTTCATCTGCAAGTATTTCGGCTCTGGTGTCATCGTTGCCACGGCTTTCATCCACCTCTTAGGCCCAGCAGAAGAAGCCTTGACCAACGAATGTCTCACCGGCCCCATCACCGAGTACTCATGGGTCGAGGGTATCATCTTGATGACCATATTTGTCCTGTTTTTCGTTGAGTTGATGGTCACGAGGTACGGCAGTTTCGGCGATGGACACAACCATCCTGCCCACGGCCACAACACTGCGATCAATGGGTCCAAAGAGACAGAATTGAGTAAGGTGGCGGACCCGGCACCGTACAAAGACAGCCCGTCCGAGAGTACGGCAGCCGCTGTCTTCTCACCAACGCAAGAAGATCGACGACAAAGCACTCATATCCCTGGTCAAGACCACCTTGGCCATAGACACGAACACAATGAAATCGATGAAGCCGCCAACCCATTCAGCTTTGAAGACTACAAGGCTCAAATGACCGCGATCTTTGTTCTCGAGTTCGGAATCATTTTTCACAGCGTCTTCATCGGTCTCACCTTGGCCGTTGCAGGGTCGGAATTCGATACCCTCTTCGTGGTGCTCATCTTCCACCAGACGTTCGAAGGCCTAGGCCTCGGATCACGACTGGCCGTTACGCCTTGGCCCAAGAATCGCCGCTGGACTCCTTATATCCTTGCACTGGCGTACGGCCTCAGCACTCCGATTGCCATCGCCATCGGCCTCGGCGTTCGAAAGTCCTACCCACCTGAATCCCAAACCACACTCATCGTCAACGGTATTTTCGACTCGATATCTGCCGGCATTCTCATCTATACCGGTCTTGTGGAGCTGATGGCCCACGAGTTCATGTTCAGTCGGTCCATGCAAAGAGCTAAGATTCAGACAGTCCTGTTTGCGTTCGTAACCATGTGTCTCGGTGCTGGTTTGATGGCCTTGCTCGGCAAATGGGCTTAGATAGCCGAGCCCCAGATTGGGATCACCGGCTTGCTGAATGCATGATTTTGGGGTTTGGCACCGGACGTGCGCACAGCTTCAGGGCACTTCTTACACGCCTTGCAGAATCAGCAACTCCCCTACTCGGTGTTGTAAAAACGTGCCACCTTTGTCGTACTCCTAAGACACGTCAAGATCGAAATCAAACGAGGCCTACGTTCGCCTCTCGGCCACACCAAATGGTAATATGTTATGAGGAACCAGGTAGACGTTGTACACCCGAAATTGCATCGGTGTCCCCGGGATTGAGGCTCGAATTGCCTTTCGATCTTGCTCGGACCTACTCAGCAGAAGTCCACGGGTGGTTCTGCATATGCTGCAGCGTTCTTACTTTCCTCTCTGTCTTGTGTGGAATGTAATTGATACCCCCGAAATCACGAGAACAGACTTTCACTCCCGTGACTCGTTCGTCCTCCTAGTCATAGTCATAGATAGAAGGGCGTCGCTTGGAATTAAACATTGAATAGAAGGTTTTAATTTCCAGACTGAAGGCTCATGGTTTCTGGGATTTCCTTTCCCACCATCCTCTAGGCTTGATTTCATTCGCGTCGCGTTCTGTGTGTAGGGGAAATTCTGGAAAACCTTTTTCTGACCCTTCGCTGTTGGCAATGACAATCCCATCCGCCGGACTCCATTCGGTTTCCCGCCTCTCGATACTTTCCTCGTTTTCCATCATCTCTCCAACCCACACGCGCACCTCTGGTATCTCGTCATCTTCCCTGGTCTCGACACCCAATATAATCGCCGTCCTTTTCATCATGCCCCGCGCGACCCTCACCCGCGATCAGCGTCCATGATCCCAAACAGCCGCGCGTTGTCCACGGTGCAAGAGCGGGAAGTGTCCGCATTGTGGCAGCCCAACTCAGGGAGAATGTCGGCTGTAGGGTCGGCGTTGGACGTCGCGATGCCGCGCATGCTCGCGATGATTAACGCCGCCTCCTCGCATGGTGTCGTGTTGGCGGGCAGCGTTCTGAGTGGGGGTCTGCTTGGTTGTGAGAATAATTCACCTTGCCTTCGTCCTTGTCCTTGTCCTTGTCCTTGGACCCATTCGTTAGAGAAGGGGTGGTAGGTCAGATGGGAGATATCATCGTCGAGGGTACTTTGTAGCGCATCATCGTCTGTGTCGATGTCATGGTAAGTATCAAAAGATGCTATACTCGCGTGAGTGAATTCAGGTTCGTCGGGTGATTTGACAGAATGCACAGCCTTTGTAGGTCTGTGTAGGTGCCGGTGCGGCGAGCCCTTCCCTTCCCTGCTCTCCCCTGGTGGTGAGGGATATTGACTCTCCACGACATCAGCTGGTATTTCGGTATCGACAGCTAGTAACGTCGAGTCCGAGCTCTGGTCCTGCCACTCATGATCCCGGTACTGGTGTTGTTGGTCCTGCTGCCGCTGTTGCTGCTGTCCCCAACCGCGTAAGCGATCCTCATGTTGAAGTCTTCTCCAGGCAGCATCCAATGCGGCATCTCTGTCCCCAAGCCCATTGTCCCTCTCATCACCCTCACCATTCCCTGAAGGACGAATCTCTCTCCGGCTCAAAACCTCCTCCAAACATCTGACCTGCTCCCTCAACATCCTCATCTCCTCCTTGAGCACCCGGTTCTCCTCCGCGACATGGCGCGCCGCATTCTGAACCTGCTCCGTTGCCTGCACACCCCTCGCTTCGTACTCGCGCACCTTAAGCTCCAGTGACGCGACGTAGTCCTTCCGCCGCGCCCGTGATGCCCGCTGGTTCAAGGTGTTGCGGTTGAGACTCTCCTGTCTACTGGCAAGGCTGTAACTATGGCTGTGGCTGTGGCTGTGGCTGCTATTTTCTCTGTTTGAGGTAGTTGCCGTCATGGTTTTTCCCACTTTCTCGGAGAAATTTACTAGTTTATTGGACTAGTTGAAAGGTTTGTTGGATTGCGGAACTGTCAAAGTCCTTTTCTGGACCCAGAGGACTAGTGGTGTGCTGGATTATTTCATTTATTTCGCTGCTGGTAACCTGGTTGTTCACAGCACTGACAAATCAAGGGCACAGCATAGATGGTGTTGTCCAATGCCAACTACCATTACTAGGGGAAACGTAGTTTAATGAAAGACCTGAAATCAAATTAGAGGCGAAGATGCGAGGAAGTTACTGTGCAGAACAAGTTGAGGGCTCTCAGAAACAGTGAAGCTGTATGAGGGGAAAAAAACTCGGATTGAGATTTCGAGGCGGAAAAAGAATTTGCTGCGCCATTATTGGCTAGTCGATGTGTCACCGCTCCTTCCCCACTTGTTGCCTCAGCCTTGCAATAATCCCGCAAGGCTGAGTCTGCCCCCAGAGGCTGGCCTGGCTTTCCAATGGACTCAAAGTTACCTAGGTGGCTTTAAGAGACAGAAAGTGCTTGTTCATTACTTTCTTGGTGCTACTCTGCCATGGTTAGGCAGACGGTGAAAGGGGGTTCATGCAATGCCAGCATGCTGATGCCTCTGCTGCGGGGCTGTGCCAAAATGTGAGGCCGAAGTGCTCATTTGAGGAGGAATGGCTCTGAGTTCTAAGGCTTGGCCCCATGGATACATCATTACTATGAGAAGTTGTCAATACACCGGTAATGAGGACAGGTCGTCTATGCTTATAGTGCATGTTTCGCCCTGGGTGGAGCCTGAGTGCGGTACCAGGCATATCCTTCATCAAACGAGATATCATGACTGGTAAATACGCCACCACCTAAAGTAGGAAGTCACCATCACGGCTTAAAGCGCCATTCTACGGTCAGTGCGTGTGCTCTAGTAGGGGGCATTGAACGGGAGGGGGCTCCTCTAGGATCCCGTTACTCAGTCCACATTCACCAACATTCAGATTTGCGCTTGGTTATTGAGAAGTTGCCAACCGAGCGTATTTGACATTCACCTCTTCCGACCTTGGCGATGCGCATTCGCTTACCTAGGAGCGGAAGGCCTTGCAAGATTGTGTCTGTCACTGACGTTGGTGTGTTACCCAAGCCTAACTCCAACATGGTATGTGGAGCCTTGACTTGTCTTCCAAAATACTCAAAAATTGAGTCCCGGGCTTGTCCAAACCATATCCAAGATATTGACAATGTAGTCTGCAGCGCGTTTGTACTTGGTTCTCCAATAGAGCACGCATTTGAATAAGCCCAAGCTTGTGGCGTCGATGGAAATGTCTGAACCATGGTACGGGTCATGCGCCATCCTATTGACCCGAACGACATGTTCTTTAGAGTTCGGTCCAACATTTAAATGATGCAGCCTCACCAAGTGGAACGCAGATACTCACTGCATACTCGTAGGTACCTAATGACATTAGACTTGCCTTGAATTTGGAATTCGAAAATTCGCTTTCTTAAGCCACACCACCGCCTGCGGCGAGTACACATGTCTGCTCGGACCTCTTCAGCCACAACCTTGGATCTTCGAAAGGTCAAGCTACCCAGAACTTCCGAAATGAGCCAGCTTAGCGTCTGCCCAGCTGAATAAGAGACACCGCAGCTGGCCGATATGTCTTCTGATGGACTCGCTCTCGGCGTGATGAGTTGCAAACCGTGAAATGAAATCTGCAAAAGGCGGAGGAATTTTCGCCGGTCTTAAACACCCGAGATGTCACTGCTTTAATGTCCGACATCACGTGGTGACTTCTGAACGGTCTTCTATCCGGTGCTCAGTATTCATCTTACCAACATCTTCACCAGTGGATAGTAATCTAATCGTTTGTTCGCATTCTGCAAGAAGAGGCCTGAGTTCCATTGGCAAGGGGTCCAGAACATTGTTTGTCGCGGCAAGGTCTCGTTGGGCATGTCAAGATGCCGCTCTACGATGTTGAGCATTTCATCCCCTTGACAGAGGAGCAGCAATCATCATTGGCCATAGCATTCACAAAGCTTCACGCAACGCGCTTCAAGACACCCAAGTTCTTTGTCAATGTTCGGTATTCGAATGTCAGTTCCCAGGCAGTATATCGAGGCGGGAGGAAAGTAGAATACAATCGTGTGATTCTCAGAACTCGGGTAGGCGAGCAGCGTGCTAAAGATCTCTACGATGAGCACTGCCGAGACATTGTCGCGATATGGGAAAAGAATATTGGTAGAGGCGGCGTAGAAGGCCTCAGGGCCGTTTGGGTGCTTGGCGCCTTGACGACAGCAGTGGAAAATGGTATTGCGCGACCCAGGGTATGTTCGTTCCTGGTTGGGTGGAGGGAAATCCCCCCTGAAACCTGCTAATAATAACACAGGTTGGCGAGGAAGAGCAGTGGTTGAAGATCAACATGGAACAGTTTCGAAGATTGGCCCATGAAGGAGACGAGGACTTTATCGAGTTGGTTCAGGAGCTTGACGACACTACCTCTTCATAAAGCCCCTCACAACTATACCACATCTCCAGGGTCCAATTTCCCTATGAAGGCTCCTGTGCTTCTGGCGCGACACCACACTCCTGAATGTGCAAGTTCTGCGTTATTCCTGAAAAGAACCGTCGCTCTTGAAAGGCTGGACATCCAAAACAGCTACAGCCTTCCAGTGCCTTCACAAGTGCTAACCCTCCAACACAAATTTTCCCCTCGCATTTCCAGTTTGCTTATGGACCGCATACAAATAGAGAATCGAAAAAAATGGCTCGGCCAGCCAAGCTCAGTTGCTCTTGTTGCTAAGTGAAATTCACATCTGGGGAGGTTTGGTATCCAACTCCTCATCCCACTACATCTTTGCTTTTGGATCAGGGTAGTGTTTGTTTCGCTGCTTAGTATTTGAGTTGTCATGATGGTCATGGCATCGTACAAACGTGAGACGTCGCTTCGTGAATTCTTGCGAGCTTTGTACAATAACGAGCGTAAGGTCTGTAGCTTTAGTAGCTCCTCCCATACATACCACCTGGCGCAGCGGCGTGCGGATTCATGAACGGGCTCATTCCTCCTTGTGACGGTGGTGGTTGTCGGGGAGCATTAGAGCTTGCTGCGGGCATTTGAGGACGATGGAACAAGCTAACAAGTCTACGTCCAATGTTGGGTTCGATCTCGGTGCCATCTCGAGCTATCTTCACCTCTCGATTGGCGTTCCAAGGGTTGCGCAATCCTCTTGTTCGGTAGAAAGGAAGTCGATCGGTTGAGATCCACTTGATCTTAAATGGATTTCCGAATGTTTGCGGTGTCCCAGGGCTTGGATTTGAGAAATCTTCACCTTCTGCAGACAAATCTACTGCTTCATCCTCTGCAGCTTGGTCTTCTTGGATCTTATTCTCAGACCCCGCTTCCCAAAAGATTGTGCCTCTGGCAGAGTCATCTATAATGCGCCCTCTAGGCGCCGTGGAAGTCGCCGGGGTTAGGATCGTTAGAGGGAGGTCTGCGGCCGTCGGAGGTGGAGCTTCGGGACTTGGCTGGTATTCAAGATCTGCAACCGTATCGCCATCAATAGTAGATTCCATCCTGGCGTATCCAAAATATTCGCCTGATTTGTTTGCAGAAAAGATCAGATATACATTTTCAGCGGCCTGAATCCCTGTTAGCCCTTCCACATGTCACAGTCGACTGGCTACTTACTTGGAATGCTTTGTTTAGCGCAGTCTCATTGTGAGCTTGCGTTGCCCAAACGCCGCTATGGACGCTTCGCTCCAAATCGTCAACAGTCAAGCTCTTGACGACGAAAAACTTCTCTTTCACTTTCTCGACGACCTCTGCTTCTGTGTCAGACCCAACTTTGGCCTCTCCATCTGTAAGAGCGCCGTCCTCTGCAGTGGGCGAAGTATCGCTCTCTCCTGCTGATTCATGTGCATTTTTTGCGACGGTTTGTGGCGCGCTCGTCGATATACTTCCTCGACGCAGCCTGCAGACCAGCCTAACTCCTTGGAAGCGAGAATCGTGAAAGCGAGACATAGCCGTTGCACAGCTTGTTTCTGTTTTGTAATTGACAAAGGCACAGTTGCTCTTTGAAATCAGAAAGACGCTTTCGATCGAATCTGTCGCGTCCCGAGAGAAATGGTCCTTGAGATCTATGATGTGGGTAGCAGGTGGAAGATTGCCAACCCATAGTGCATGACCAGATTGCTTTGGCTTCCGTGGAGGACCTCTCAGGACCGATTTCTGCAAAGATGAGTTTGAGCTTGATCGGCGAACTGTTTCTTTTGTCAGCCAGAACGGACGAACTAGAAAGAGTCACAGTACCTGTCGGCTGAGTTTGCGGATAAAGGCCGGTCGCTTGAGGATGCGCAAGCGTACTGTCAAGTCGCAACTGTGGCAAGGGATATCCGCCGACCATTCTAGAATCATACGAGTCTGCATACACAGCATTCGCTTGTCGCGTGAATTGAGTAGCTTGCAATTGATGTTGCTGCATGGGACCATTGGAATTGTGAATTAATGGTTGTTGAAGCATAAAACTTTGGTTTTGTAAATGCCGCGCGTTGTTGGGACCGGTCGGGCCGCCCACGAATTGAGGATAAATAGCATGCTGCTGTTGCTGCTGATGCTGCCGTTGCGGATGACTCTGAACATATTGATTGGGAAATTGTGGACTGTAAGGATGACTATAATTTGGAGCAGCCTGTCCAGCAAATTGTGTGCTTTGTTGATATTGATACATCAGAGACTGATTAGTCGTCCCTGGGGATTGGAAATGTTGAGGGAAAGGTTGCTGCTGGTAATACCGCGTCTGATAATCAGGTAGTGCAGCTACCATACTCGACATATTGTGCATGCCTGGGCCAGGATAGCCATTCATCCCAAAATGTTGTTGAGAGTATGGCTCAAATTCCATGCTGGGTGGATGGCTAGTCGCAGGATGTACACCTGGTAACGAATGTTGTGTGGATTGATCTGAAAGTTGTTAGCGAAGGTCTCAATGGGCAACAAAAGAAACACCAACCTCTTGACTGATTTGCTTCGCCATCAATCATGGGAAGACCAGGTCTGGGCAAAGATTCGTCGCCCATCCCTATATTCTCAAATATGACGGGCAAAGTATAGTAGTGCTGCACCCAAAAGACAGCCATCAGTTAACCATCCATCATGCTGGCTGCTTGCAGATAAAACATTAAGAGCTAAGGCAAACTGTACCTCAAATAGCTACACCCTGACTCAGGAGAACTCTGGTGATCGCCCTCAAATGAACTGTAGGCTGAGCACGGAAGAGAATGGATCCGAATGGCCCCTTTGACCGTGATGAGAAAGGATTGATGGATAGGAATTCCAGCAGGATATACTCTCGATTTTCCAGAAGCGAAATGAAACAATCGACCAGGCGCCAAATTTGGAAGTGAACGTAGTTCGCAGGGGTAGACTCTTTTTCTCAAAGCACTAGAAGGGTACCGCACTTGATCATTGCTGTGCTAACAAACAACCATGGACTGGTAATTGGCCTGTCCCATATGCATGAAGAGAACGAGTATGAGAAGAGAATCCGCAGAAAGTAGTACTTGAATTCTGGTCTATCGGGACCGGAAGATTATGACTGGTGGTGATAGCGACAACCAACGGACTAGGGCCCGGTGGGACACAGCAAGTAAAATTCGAGACTGGACCGAGGGCCCACAAGAACCCAGCGGTCAAATACACGACAGGGTAGTGAATGGGAACTACAAGGGGAAAGGAGGCTTGTGGGAAGGAATTGGCCGGGGTTCATCAGCGAGCAACCTGCTCGGGGGAAACTGGAGAAAAGCTAAAGGCTGCTGGGAATTAGAGACAGCACGGTAGAAGTCTAAGACCCTTTTGGTGCGCCATGATTTATTTTTTCTAAAGAGGAGCCTGCGGTTTGTAAGGGGAATGGTGTGCGCGTGGGTGTTCAGATTACCAGCGAAGCTGGAAAGGGCTTTATTGGACGGAATAATTATGCGATGTTGGAAATCGGATGGGGTAAGCGCAAGTCTAAGAACTGGGCGCATACTCCATTCAATAGGTGGCATTACCGGCAATCGATCTACCCCTAGTGGCTGGTGTATAAAGTGGAGGACAGAGGATGCCGTGCGAAGTACAGACAACCATGTGAGCAGAACCACGCTCCTAGCCTGTGGGTCACGCCAGATAGTGGCGGTGTTTGTGATCCTTTCCGGATGTTTAGGCCGGTTGGCATAGACGTGAGTTAGAGCTTGAAAAGGAATGATCGGGACTCGGCCTTGTGGATGCGGCAGGACTCGATATAGCATGTCAATGCTAGAAAGTCCAGGTTCGCCACTGCATAGCGTGTATCCCCACTCATACATTGCAGAACACACGCCATGAGAAACGGAAGCGATCGCTGAGCTTGCCTGTACCGAGCAGGTAGCCCTACTTAGCGACAAACTCAAAGTGTGGCGACTCAAGGACAGCATTGAAGAGGTTTGGGGGCGTTTGGACTCTTCCTGCTGACATCGGCAGAATTGATCGTCGCTTACAACGTTGACAGAGCTTGCTAGCTGACTGAGTGGATTTTGAGTTGGTTTCTAGGTAGAGCACTACCCACCGCTTTTGGAGTGCGCGGCAATGCAGCATCGAGCGATATGGGGAGGCCGTGGGGGCCTCAGAGTGTGACATCAAAGTCGGACCACTGTCCATGCTTCAGGGATCTGCTTTCAATGCATAGGCTTTTTGCGATCCAAGCTGATAATCGGGAGTAGCAATTTGTGGATGGCTTAGTGGATGCGCAGCGGAAAAGGCTTGACGTTCTGGACTACGCTGATCCCTGACTATAACAGTTAGAATGAGGCGCATACTGCCAAGCGGAAGGGCAAAGCATGGACCAGGGCAAGCCACACACCCACATTTTGCATCATCTAGAGATCATTTCGCTCCCGCCACCCCTCGGCATCTGCGAAGTTCTGGACTGTCCTGGGCCCCAGGTCTTTGGGACGAGGTTCTTCGTGTTGGAAGTGACATCTGGGGATCCACCTGTGTCCCAGAGGTTGTGCAGTCGTGACTCGCATTGGCTGTATCGGGTGCTCATTCTGCACGGTTACCTGATCCTTGAATACCGGTATCCGCAGACTTGGGTCTATCTCCATGGGCAAGGTGGTACGCCACACTCATTCCTTTCGTACGCTGACCCTTTCACCAAGACCCAAAATCGGTTCTTTTGTGATGAGATTCTTCTGCTAAAAGTACCATTAGATCCGACGGCAACGCAATACGTGTTAAGGAAACGCCATTGCGATGACCACTCCTCAAGTCATGCTGCTTGAACCCTACCAAACCGAGAGATGAGTGGAAATGTGGAACAGTAAAAGTCTCGGATTATATATCCCTGCAACTCCCACTGGTCTCTCGCGCTTGCGACAAAATCAGAGCTTTGAAGGGAGAATGCATCGACATGCCCTTCCCATATTGCGAATTTGGTGCTTGCTTAGACCAAGCGACCTTCCATATTGCCCGCAATGTAGGTACAATGCAGAGGCTCGAAGCCCTCTTCGAGATACAGCATGAACCCTTGAGCTGCGGTCCAAAGCGCATTATCGCGTCTTAATCACAATGATGAAAATCTGTTGCAGATCACTATTACGCGGCCATGGTCTTGATGAAACGATGCACGGGAGTCCTATTTTTGGTGAATGCATCTGGGATCACGGTTAGAGGATCACCAGACCATTCGAATCATGTTTGTTCAGGTGAATCATTCAAGTCGGGGATGTACCGTGGCTGGAATTTCCTGTGGCTGAGCATGTCTGGGATGATGGGAAAATGCAAAGAGGCAGGAGCGACCGGATGGGAATTGTTCACAAGCCCATCCACGGCAGCCACGCCCGGGGAGTAGGGCCGCGGAGAAACATTTTTGCGTGGTCCGGTCCCGAACTCTTACGTCATGAACCTTGTTCTTAACCCAACCTCACTTCTGTGTTTCCTCTTTTGCAAAACATTTGCCTCTTGATCATCGCTCTCCATCGCGACACGTACCCAAATGGCCCAACGATGCTGGGAGCTCCGAATTTTGCATGACGAATGACCTCCGCTCGGATCACTAGATTTCTTCCCGGAATAGAACGTCCTTCCAGGCTTCTGGTCGGGCACTGTCTCCACTGTGAGATCTTCAAAACGTCTCGTCTTGGTATCAAAGGCCTAATTCGCCGGATACTCCAGTCAAAAACCCTCTGATCGCTAACTTCCCCGTACTGAACGCCTCGTGCTCTATCGTTCGAAATTTGCCACCATGCGACTTTGTCTCGGAGCTGAACCTGCCCTAGACAGGCTCTTTTCAACCGAGACTAACGGTGGCAAACCTACCTCAATTCCCTATTCTCAGCTCTTTTTCATCAAGGCCTTCTTAAATTCCGAAGTTTTCAATACAAACACTTTCACTCCACTCACATGACCATTAGAAGAGTACTCCCATTTTTGCAAAGATCGACGGTCATTCACACGGAGTCTCCGAAGCAGAAAACCCTGGTAGTTACATCTCCTCTTGGTCTCATCCACTCGCTATGCAGACAGTTCAGGGCTCCTGAGGGAGGTCTCCCATTGGTTTCAGATTCGAGCTTATCTTAGAGCCACGAACCGAGTCAAGCGGATTACATTCCACAAAGGCTCATAATGAAGGTCATGCCACGGCAGCAGTCAGAAGCGGCCCGAAGCGATGAACATTCCAATCTCCTGGCTGTCATAAATCCTCCAAGTTTTGTGGCCATGTGGCCAGGCATCATGATCCTGTTGTGGCGATGCAATTGAGACACTTGATTGCTCGCGAATGTGCCGAAAGGTATGTCCTACAGGCTATGTCTCTGATACCGGGTTGGCGGTGCCAACCAATCGCTGACCCAAATTTCAAGTGGCTCGTCTTGAATTTGAGCCGCTCGCGAACGGAAAGTGCATTCTTAATATGGTCCGATTCGACACCTCAACCCCCTAATATAGCCACATTCTCAGATTTGAATCAAAAGTACCATGGTTGGTGCAGGTTCATCCAATCCTTGGTGCGTATCTAGCGTCGCCAAACGAACGGGCCCACCTCGGAAGCGATGCAGTTGCACGGTAGTGGAATTAAATCTCGGAGGACCTGGCCAACGATATTCAGCTTCTGCACCTCGCGAGCATGCAGGTCCGTCCCTGTTTGATTTCCCCCTACATGAGACTTTCCTTTAGCTGTAAACCGGTTCCTCTAGCCCAAGAGTTGGTTCCTAGCTGATCTCAAACTTTCATCCAATTGAATGCCTGGGGGCCTCCCACCACTTTTTTTTAAAAGAGAAAGGCAGCGTTGTCAGTGAGCGAGCATAAGAGCTTGAGAATCCACTTTTGCCTTGTCAGACGGCGTGCTCGACGTCCTGCTCCACCCGCCTCGCCTGCGGGCTGGTCTACTGGTAGATTCGGTGAAACCTGGTCACACTATCAACGTGCTTAAACTAAGGGTGGCCCTAGTTCTCTGGACTCAGCATGGTCCTTTGGTTGCTATCGAACATGCAAGGGCACGCAAGAACGAGTACTTCACAGGGATCGGCAGTCGAAGCCATAGAGTTTGTTTACTTTGCTCACTCGCCGTGCCCCTTCCCGGTCAGAGACTTCCCTAGCGAAGTGATTGCTCATCAATATGGACAATAGTACCCAAGGCCAATCGCAATGCAAGATTACCTTGCAAATTGTGAGAGAGGCTCAAGGATGTCCACCCCCGGAAAGTGCGTGCTCGCCCCCCTGCAGATGGCAGTTTGCCCAATCATTCGGGTTATCAGACCTCTCCTTATTCTTACCCGCTTTATCTTGCTCTCTTGTTGTTTTGTCCGGCAGATGGCTTTTTTCTGTTGCGGTTCACTTTTTGCGCAGGCTTGTTCTAAAAACACGGCGCAAATCTCTCTCTATCCTCGCAGATTGTTTGAGCACTGGACACCAGGTATGCCATGCTTGAGAAGAACGATCAATTGCACTATACGCTATGTCCCTTCCCCCTCGCACTTTCTTCTGCGGTAGTCTCCACGTCAGGACGATATGTCAAGAACCCAACAGTATCTTCTACTTTGCAATTCTTGATATACTTATATGTTATTACTATTAAGCCCTCGACTCTTCGGTCAGTCAAGAGGGGTAAGGAGGCGCAAAGTTAGTAGGGCGCAGAGCGCGCGTGTACGCATATGCAACTGTTTTCCAAGCCGCGCCGGCACTATTGCTTCCTTTCCTTCCTTCTTTCCTTGCTACGATGCTTGTGCAAGTCGTCCATCCACATCCTCCACCAAGGCAACCAACAGTGCCATTTGCGTTATATAATCGGGAACAAAAGAGAACGCATCCAAGCATACAAGTATGTAAGTATGCAGAGCAGCAATACATTAACTCTGTACTTGCAAACACACAAACGGTTCCCTGCATGTTCGTTTCCTTCCGCAACGGGTGTGCGTAATCTCCGCAATTCAAGTATACCATACCACCTTGCCTTGTTGGAAGATGCATATGTAACATCGCTCGTATCCAGAAGCGACAAGCGACAAGCGACAGCCATTCCATTTGAAGGCACTGTACGTAGAAGGTCTGAGTTGTGGCCTTGTCAAATCACGGAGTCGTCGCAATTTCGCAAATCTCCTCCTGTTTGTAGGGTGTAGTATGTCCAAGATGTCCTCATTCCTTGTTCCTCGTCATGACCAGCATCATCAATCAATCATTCGTTTCATCATAATATCCAACGACAGTATCACAAAGCACAATGGGCGTCACAACTTCGATATCAAGTCTAGCCTTATAACGGTGCTATCGTTCGCCAAGCCCCGTCACCTTGCCAGCGAACCTGGCACCTGCGCTGCCTCGTTTCTGTAACTTGCTGGTAATGCTGTTATCCGAGGGCAGCAACGGAGCAGCCTTCATCATCATCGGGAGCGGGCCCAACGTATCGCTGACACCGCCGGGACCCGCCCCTGCTCTAGACGTGCGCTGTTCAATGTACAACTGAGCGGCCGTCGAGAGGGGAATGGCCGGTGGCTCAGTAGGGATCTCGGCTCCATTCTGGACAAGTAGTTCTGCCATGGCGAAGGCCTTGACTGTCGAGGCCTGCTGTGGGCTTGTCGCGTGAGATGAGACCGGCCGCGCAGGATCAGCGGCTGCCAATGCCAGAAAGACCGCGTGAGTGTTCCTCGACCGGTCGTGCGCATTGACATTTCCTCGTCGTGCGATGTTGAGCAGCACGCTTTGAATGTCGTGTTTCTTGATCGATGTCAGTAATGCATCGTCAGCAGTCCCATACTGTCCAACAGGTTCGACATAGACCCGCTCAACATATTTTGCCGTGATGAATTTTAACCGTTGATCACGAGTTGCTGTTGGAGCGGGTTTGAGATTTCGATCGAGCAGACTCTCCCACACCATATTACTGATTCGGTTTCCGATGAGCATCATGAGCTCCACAATGTCATTCGTGAAGGAATGAACGTCCAGGGTGAGTGATCTAATCTTCGACACATGAGTTCCGAGAGACCGATGTATGCCACCACACTCAATGCAGAGTATTATTCCGAGGTTTAGAGAAACCCACTCGACTTTCGAAGTGGAGTTGCAATCGGCGCAGAACTGGTTGCCATGATCGTTGTTCCTAATCTGATCGAGCAACTTCGATGGATTTTCATCGTAGCTGTTGCTACTTGTGCGTGTGTAGGTCGGTCTAGCACCCACAGTGATTCTTCGTCCAACTCCCACCCCCAATGAATCGGTTTTCTGGGAGTACCCGTGTGGACCGGACTGCGAAGAACTTTTCCCTGTGAGAACGTGACCAAACTCCCGACCAACAGGCTCCTTTCGCGTTGGTTGAGAAGTCTGGCCACCTAATTCCATTGCGCTTTGTAAAGCGTTGTTGATGGAATTGATCCAATTGTTCATCTCGTCTTCCGTGGTTGCCTGGTAAATGCGTTTGTATTGTGGTGTTATGACCTCGAAGCAGAATCTCCTTTCAGCATCACGTGCTGTCCTTACTGATGCCATCCGCAAATCGATAGGCTCTCGGTGTAAGTCTAATTTGTCTTTCCAGTTGCTATACTCAGACAGTTTGCCCTGATCAAGTACAATCCAGAATCTGTAAATGTCAGTATCTGTTATAGTTTAACTACCAATCGAAGATGACTTACTTGTGCCATGCCTGCTTATTAATGCCCTTGGGGTCAATATGCGAGCCGGGTCTGCTCAAAGCCCACAGCAAGCCTTCTTTCCGATACTGACCACCTGTGGATTTCTCGCTTGCAGAGACTGAAGTCTCGTCAAGATCACGAATTCCTTTGAACTTGCTCGGTGTTGGTATAATGGATGAGGCCCCCGGCGAAGTTGACATCGTTGTGGTTGGGATGCCATTGAAGTTGTTTGAGTTGGATGTTGGTGATAATGTCTTGATGGATACGGTTCCAAATTGCGAGCTTACACTGTCCGCCCTAGACAAATCTGTATCAGAAGTATAACCAGTCGAGCCATTTTGCGCCGGGATTTGACTAGGAGTAGCTGTTGATTGATAAACGGTTTCTGTCTCGACAATAGAAGGGCCATTCTTCTCTAGATTTCGACGCTTCTCTTCCCTTTCCGTTCTTTGAAGATTGTATTCTTTGTCAGCTTCCATGACCTCTTTTACAAGTGCGTCCAGCCTAGGAGTTAGACTTTCCACCCGTTTGGCCGCTGTAAGGAATGACTTCGATTGTCCGTCTGCATATTTCGTGAGCTGGGAGAGGAGTTCTTGTTCCTTGCGACCTCCATGAAGGTCTTGCATGAAGCTCGAGTAGTCGAAACGCTTGAGCTCGAAGTTTTTCTTCTTAGTCTGATACTTAGAATCACTCTCTGCACGCTTCTTGTCCTTGAGAGAATCTTGCCGTTGGCCTAAATAGCGGCTGACGTAAGCATAATAGTCGCGGCTTTCCTCCTCGAAATCCTTTTTCTTAGATTCTGCTTGTTTGATGTCTAGGTTGTAGAGTTTAGTGATGGGATCGATGATCTGCTTCTGAAGCAAAACCCCATTTTCTTTCTCGTATTTTAGTATGCGCTGAGCAATATTCGTGAAATAATGCTCAATTGCCGGCTTGAACGCGGTGGCATTGGATGCTGAAGCTTCTTGTAGCGCAGCAAGAAATGCCGACATCGCCTGATTGTACTCGCTTTGCGCTTGCTGAGCTGCCTCTGCACGTTTCAGAACCTTCTTTATTTGTATTCTCATGTTGCCGGTCTTTTGCTCTAAAGACTTCATGGTCGCTCTGAAAACCGGCCCGTCCTCAACGGCACTCACGTCTTCACCAGGTCGTGTACACTGAACATCAATGACTGGAAGGGGCGGCGTAACGGTCGAGGCAGTTGAACTGAACTCTGTTGACTGAACATGAGGAGAGGGCGGGCTTGCATACTCGACCGGAGCAGGCCCCTCAGTATCACTGACTGCCGATTGAAATGATTGTGAGGACGGCAAGCGCGCCCTTTGCGATGGGACTATAAGCTCCAGGCCCGGCGAAGCGAGTGGTGTCATGGCGATGGACACATTGTTATTCACCCAGAAAGAGAAGGATGCTAGCGTATTCAATCTATGCGCCCGAGAATCGTACTCAAGAAAACTGCAAGAGTTGCGCCAACCGCCGCCTTTGTCCTCGAACGATTTTGGAGGCTTCCACTGCCAGTGCCATTCATATGTTACAGCCGGACTTCCGTTCGTACCGAAATCGCCAATGAATTGGACATTTGAATTCTTGTGTAAGTTGGGATCTGCATGGAATTCCCGGGTGATTAATTTGTCCAAATCTTTTGTATTCTGAGCGTAAGCAAAGGTCAAACCGCTGATATTGGTATCAACAGCGGCTGTGGCAGTCGAAGGCGTAGGAGGCAGTGGGGCCGAGTTTTGTCGGCTCACAAATGTGAAATGTAGTTCAAGTTCATCTTCGAGATCTAATCTCGGCAGGAAGGAGAGATTGATGGACTCGGGATCCTGAGAGAATCAGTCAGAGCAAGCGCCAAGTTCGCGGATTGCGGAATTATACCTGTACATAGGATATCGGTTTGTAGTCGGCCGCGTCGGGTTTTCCAACAAGTCGGGCGGCAGGGTATGCATTAGGCGTGACTGTTATCAGTGATCTGCGGCGGGCGTTTGTAACAACGATTGAACTGATCGAGACTGAGGAGGATCAGCATGGTTCTCCGCGGGAAACGGTTAGCATACAACGGGATTGATCTTTGAGGTACAGTACTGAGCCATCTTCGGGCCTACTGCTGATATTTCCCATGACGGGTAGTCGCCTGAAATTCAGGCGGGACGGTGGAGATACGCCAGTTTGAGAGATAGATGTCGAGAATGCCCAGGGTCGGAGGGGTAAGATGCAGGCGGCAGAAGGAGGGTCAGCGTTTGAAAGAAGGTCTTCAAAAAGGGTCTTCCTGAACGAGTAAGCGATGCTGCTGGAGGAGATGAAAAGGTATAATGCAATGCGTGAGGTTCACGGACTACTAGGGGAATTGTTGTTGGTCCAAGGGTGACAGGAACATAGATCAGTGGGGGATTGAAGAATGACTGCGCCTCCAAATCTGAAACCAAAATGTGCCCCCTGCCTGCTTGATGAGCGCCTTGCGCGCTAGTAGTATTTAGTGCCCACTAGTACCACATAGTGAATCTTAGTCCCCCTAGTTCAGTGCCAAGTCTCGCCATTTTAAGCTTAAGAAACCTTGACCATCAAAGCTCGATCGCCCGCTAACGTATGTATGGGTACGGAGTTGCATGAGGTGCAGACGACGCTCAGACCGGGCCACCATGTACTCGTACTCATCCTCATGCGTCGGTGAAGAGAGAAGTTTCTGTTGAACTTCGCGAGCTATAGATCGTTCCCATCGCATGACTGAGGGTATCACATGATTCATCGTAAAGTCGTTTCATCCACTGACAAAATAATACACTCCGCCACAATTACAATGGTAGTGACTGGCCTGGTCACTGGTACCAAGTCCCTAAAAGCTTGCCATTTCCAACCACGTACCGACAAACGCCAGTCTCCCCAGCTCTGCGCTACTTTCCCACGTTTCTTGCTCGCCATCTCTCTTGTCCTTGATCCCAAGTGCTTTCTCTACCTCATCATTGGGGACCATCTTCTTGCAGAACTCATCAAAGCTCAGCTTTCCAAACCCGCCACGCTGCTCAGCCTCGTCGTCAATCTCATCGTGTCGCGTCCAGAGTTCGTAGATCTGCTTCGCTTGGTCCCCTACAAATGGATTCGGAGCATCCTCTGATGTAGGGGTAGAGACTCGACTCAAATTGCTGTTAGAACCCTCATCATCACCTTCATCGGGTCTAAATTGTGGTAGGGTTGGGTCATGATATGAACCACTTGATCGTGTTTTTGAATTCGTGGCGACTGGAGGCGTCGAGCCAAACATCAGTTCAATGTGGTCGTCGGGGTCAGCTGGCGGTATAGCTACTGGTTCAAAACTGGTCACATCCACTATTTCCATGTTAGGGTTTGAAGTGAGGACTTCGGGCTTGCCTTCGATTTCAGCTTTGGGTTGTGTACCCAAAAGTAGTTCTTCTGTCCGTAGTCTGTCTGCCTCCTCCAGTGCCGCTGCCTGCTTGTCTTCTGACTGCTCAAGAGATCGTTTGTACTCATCCTGTTCTGCACGGAATCTGAGTCGTAGATGGCGGGTTTTGTGTGAGGCGAGCCAATCGTCCTCCTTGTCCTTGAAGAGAAGATCAAGTAATTCGTTGAAACCTTGCTGAACAGCTTGATACAAGATGTCTTTACCAATGTCGGCTTCCGCTTGACCTAGCTCATGGCCGCCCCACCTTTCATTGGCAGGTACACTTCTTGACGATGCGTTGGAACGAGTCTCGTAATCCGTGTCGATGGCACTGTCGTCGAAGCGTACTTTAGACGAAGATCTCGACTGCATAGATTGTCGTCGTGGGCTTGCCTTCGTCCTCTTGCTTTCCTTTGCTTCGGGAAGGCTTGCCTCGTCATCGGAGCTATCAGGCTCGGTATAGCCGGGAGGTTTGCTCAGGCCCTCTTCCTGATCGAGGTAGAACTGTCTTCTTTCCCACCTGTCTTCCACGGCAGTTTTCCTGGTATTTTCAGCGCTCTGATCGAATGCCGTGTCCAGACGTTGCGACTGAGCGTACAAAACCCGGGATCTATCAACAGGGTCCGTGATGTCGTCAAGTGACACCTCCTGACCAAGTGCGTCAATGATGTCCCTTGGTTCGGGCGATAATGGTGGAGGCCAGCCGTAAGTTTGTAGAGGCGGGTCCGGCCCAGACATCTCCGCCTCAGTGGCTTCGTCATAATCTTGGAACCCAGATCCAATGAAATTACTATTTGTTGGCAAAAGGAGTAACGACTCATCTTCTGGCGATTCTTGTCTGAAGGATCGAAACGGATGATTCCTAGTGCGATCGCCGAGCGCAGCATTGCCGATCGCTTGAGCAGGATCTCCTTGCATGGTCGAATCGTGTTCCAGGACCCCATCATGACCGTTGACTGGCAGCAGATCGCCATTGGGTTGACGCATCTTGCTCTGTCCAGTCCTGGACTCATGGCTGTAGAGATTACCCGCAGTAAATGCAGCACTGAGGGGTTGACTGCTTTGGACAATTTCTCGGATTTCTTCTTCTACGTATTCGAAACCAAAATCGTCGTGTACATTGACCATTTCGCGGCTGAGCTCCTTGCTTAACGCATAATATGCACGAAACATGCGGAGAAAATCTTTGCGATCCACATACCCATCGGCATCCAAGTCGTAGCCCTGAAATATACGTTTGAGTCTGGAGGCGCGGGATTTGTCCTGTAGGCGCGCAAGACCGCGAATGAATTCGTGAAATCCAATCAGTCCGTCATGGTTCGTGTCATAGAATGCAAATATACGGTCGTAAATCAAATTTGCTGGAGAGGGCTTGTCGAATGTTGTGGGAATAAAATAGGCGTCAAAACCTTTACGGTCAATGGCAAACCCAAGGTTTGCTGGGTCGGCATTCCAGTAATGTCCTGCAAGGCACGTGAATTGTTCGTAAAGTGCATCGATTTCCGTCCGGTCATAGGTTGTCTCTTCGAGAAGTGGCCCTGATATCTCCTTCGGCAAGGTGTTCAAGAACGCAGTGGGCCTTCCTGGATACCATTTTGGGATGACTTGCTTTATGTTACCCCTCGAGGGAGCAGGGATACGAATCTTGTAAAAGACGTGGCTCTTGGTATGTGCAGAGCTCGCCTCACAACTCTCGCAGAGATCGAAGTCGAAGCAATTGGCACAGTGGTAACGAATACCTTGTATTGGATGTACCCCACAGCTGTTGCATTCGACCCCTCGGTGAACTGATCCTTCTCTCCGGGCTTGTTCACCGGCGATATGATAGAGCAGGTCAAGCATGTTCTGACTGCCCTCGGCGTCATCGTCGTTGTTGACATACAACTCACTTTCTTCATCCTCATCTCTCGAGTGATCCGCTAGGGCGTGGAGAGCATCATGAGGGTCTAGATCTTCAGCTATCCCATCGGAGTGTCCAGGAGGAATTGTTGGACCTGGGACAGCAAGGGTAAAAGGATCCCATGCCTCAGTATAAAGAACTCTGCCCTCATCGAAGGCTTTCACTACCTCATATACTGTTTCCTCTGCAACTCCGAGGACGGCTAACCCGGCTGCCAGATTATAGGTATCATCCCCAATAATGTAGCCTTCAGGAAACTCTTCAAGGAGGAAATTCTGAATGAATAACCCATGTATATGGAGGCGGAGACAGTCTCGGAGGTGAGGGGAGAGCTCGCCAGATTGAAGCACCAAGAATTCGTAGATCGACTGGAGATTTAGGGGATAAAGTCCCAAATTGAGCTCAGTTCCTTGCGTTGCCTCGGAAATGAAGTAGGTATTGCGATAGTCTCCATAACCTTCACAGGAACTGTTACGCACTAGAAGATGAGCTAAAGCTCGTTCAGTAGGATTGAAATCGAGGTGAGTGGCTTGGTATCCAGGCCGCCAGCAGCGTCTGGTCCTAGGCCGTCGAATGGCATTGCTGCGATGAAGAGATCCAGACTGTACTACCACTGGTTTATTTTGACTGGCGGCATATTTGATGTAGGCATAGTAGGTCGCTGCAAGTGCTACCGTGCTCGCGAGGGCCAGGAACAAAGGCTTCCGATAGGTTTGGTAGGACATGGCGAGGGCATCTTGTAGGTCAAGGCTAGGAGATATGAAGTCGGAGGGACTCAACCATGGTTCTGAGCAGACAGTATGCTTCAAGTGAAAGGCGAGGCGAAGACGAATTCACCCAGCTGCGCTGCGGTGGTATTTGCTACGGTGGATTGCTGCGTCCCAAGTCTTTATACATCATGACTCACGAGTTGGGGCCATGACTCGCGACTGAGATTTCTATGATTCGTGATTGATATCTCATGACTCGCAACCATAACAGACTTTTCAAATAAGTATTGCTCTCTTCCCTCTTCCCCAGCCTGATTGCTGCTCCTCAAGCTAGGTTGATGTTTGCTATATGTATAGTTTTATATCTCATTTAATTATTTGCATTCACTCCCTATGATCAACTCTGTTATCCCTCACTCTCCACCATCCTTCTGTTATCACCCCACTTTCTACAACCCTAGAAGAACCTCTGCCTTCAACTTGCTTTACTGGTGCCAACGATTTGCCCTATCCTACTGCAAATCTACTACGTGCTCTCGTGCTGCAACATAAAAGTAGTCCAGAAAAATCCCTCCAATGCATATGATTGTGAGTCCACGGAGCATGCTAACTCCACCAGGCACCGTAAGAGGCAGGAACATTGGGCGAGAGAATAAGATTGCTCCAGCGGCAAAACTCCTACGTGCAAGGTTGTTTGCTGCAAACAGAGACGCAGAGTATTTTGAATATGTAAATGGCAGGTACAGAAACATACGCTGCATCACTGTGTACGTGCCACACATGTTCAGCCCCATTCCAGTCACACTCGCGATCCAGTGGACAGACTGCTTCGTTGTCCACGCTGTGAGACAAATATTTGGTTAGCATGGGAAGCTAAGTTCAGACTGAGCCTCCTTCAGAGTAATGTCACTTACCGAACATGAAACAAGCAACCGGAACAAGGAACGAAGCATATAGGCCTGGGACCAGACGCGCTTCGGGTGATCCAAAGCCTGTCTGACTCTGCATGATAGGCTCCGCATGGTAATAGAAGAAAGCGATATACCCAGTAATGGATATCACTAGCGCCACCAAGACAATGAGAAATGGTAATCCAGTTTGCCCGAGGTTAAAGCCATAGAGCTCTGGATATACCAGTGGGAATGATTCAAAGAATGAGTAGAATATTACATATACCAACGCGGTGTATATTGTGGTGAAGAGTACCGCCGCGCCGGGTCGAGGACGTTGATCTGCCATGGTTTGACCAAAGCGTCCTGTGCAATTTCAAGTACCGTGAAGCTAGCCATATCAACCTCGGGCTGAGATTTCAACTCGTTGCGGGAAGTACGCTGCCGGAGGCGTTGTGCTCGCCTCAGCAGGATCGTATCGTGTGATGTTTCAGGCAGAAATGCGATCAAAATCAGCAGTATGGGTGCTGAGAGCCAGAGAAGTTCCCACGAGCTCCACCTCCAACCTTCAGCCGATACCGCAAACCCAGAGATGACTGGCTCTAGCGCCGGCCCAAGCGTGGCAGCGCCTGCCCAGAATGCGATGACATAGCGCATCTTGATAGGCGCGTACATGTCGCCAAAGCTTGCACCACCTGTTGCAAGGCATGGGGAGCCAAAGAAACCGAGAAGAAAACGCAAAGCAAAGAGTCCCGGGAAGTTATCGACCGGGGAAATCGCAACACAGAGTGCCACGAAGAGTATGTAGGTGACAATGTATGTAATGTTACGTCCGATCAAAGCAATTTCGCTCAAGGGAGAGAAGAGCGCTGGCCCTATACCCTATGGAAGGACATGCAACGCGAGGCCGAGTGCTGCGGTCACCTCGCCGACGTTGAACAACGCCATCACATCCGGAACACTTGCCACATAAAGCGACGATCCAATGTATACAGAGAAGGTATAGATACAGATTTGAGCTGTGATAAACACCTTCTTGCTAGATGACCAATTTGTGGGTTGGCTGGATCGTTTGGACAATACCAAGTCACTAGAATCAAGCCATCTCTGGTGCGCATGGGAACAATCTCTTTGGCCTCAAGACCATCTGCGCTAGCAGTGGTGTGTGTTCTGTTGCAATACTGTGTTCTCGACTGGTGAAAAGGTGAAGGACTGTCGGTGCCACTTCCATACCCGTGAATTCCTCATCATCGGATATCTGGCTCATCGGGCTTTTCGGCTTGACGATCTGAATTGTTTGAAGATCTTTGTCCACGATCAAATGCTGAGTGGCAAGTCGATGGAAGTTCAGAAATCCTGATGCTCTTCGGGATAAGTCAGGACGCCTCGCACTGAGAGGAGCCGCAAAAAGTGCCCTGCGGCAGATTCTCTCATAATGACCCACATGTTGTTGATAGGCAGATTGGGACGAACAAGGAAAATAAAAACGATACTATGCATACGAAATAACTTCCGCGGATGGTTCGAAGTCATCTGCCTAAGTATCGAGGCTCTGGTGCAACCTCAAACAGGGGAGTGTTATTTTATATGTTGAGTCTGTCTCCACTACTTTGTTTCTACGATCTTTGTTGGCGCCAAAGTGACTAGCGCAGGCAACCTCATGACGACGAGCAATGAGTCAGTGCTACAGCCTCTGGAATGCTTTGGAATCATGGAAAATAGGCTCCAGGAGGTCATTTGCCTAGTAATTTTCTATATAAACCAGAACGTTGACCATAGAGTAGAAGAAGACAAGAAATCTCAACTACGCTGACTTGCCTGTATCGATTGGCCCGTACAGTTGTACAGTCCAAATCCTCCAACAATCTTCTTCTCGAGCTGTCGTATTTGCTGACATACAGAGTACTGCGCCAACTTCCAATCCGCCCGAAGGGACTACTCACGTAACCGACTCTATTCAATTCTTTAAAGATGCAAAATTGAAACCCGTAGACAAAGCCAGAAAACATATCCGAAATATATCGGTGGAGGGAGCCATATCATTAGAGGCCCGCAAATTCCTCTATCCGGACACCAGTACCTAGCTTCAAGCTCCACAGTGCGCCCCCCCCCGTCCCCCCCGTGCACGCTCGGACTTATGCAGAGGCTTGCTGAAAATATCACGGCTGGACCCTCAGGTGGCGCAAGTCCTGCTCGATTTTTTCAACTTTGCGGTATTGTCCATCTTTGCCTACCTATGTCAGTCCCGAAGATCGATGTGTAAGCAACGTACATAGGCCGTCAATCCCTGAAAATTGAATATACCTTGCCCTCTGGATCAACTGACAAAATATGATTGATCTCTGTAATCTGGTGCAAGTGCTGTCCTCCGGTGAATCTTGCACTACTTAACAATCAAGGCAAAAATACGATATCTGATCTCTGGACATCGCTACAGCCAGGCAGGTGTTAGGAGTATCGAATTGGGAGCACTCACTAGAGTCGACGTCTCTAATCGAGTAAACTCTGAACCCTGCCTTGCGACAGAGGACAGAATTAAGCGATAAGGATGCGACGGGGCTCCAACGGCTTTGGCTCTGCAAAGGAGGGTAGTAGGAACATGACTACAGCCAACGTGTAATCTATACTATTTGATTCGCAGAATCTGGGATGGCTGATTTGGTTCCAATATTGAGGGAGGCATGCACGGACTGAAGGAAGCTTCAAAGTGACGGTTCTTTATTCGTACCTTTCTATCTGCGCCACAGGTGACTCTTGCATTAATATACAGCTCTTTCAGCTTACGGTGGTTGTCTGCGATTATCTCTTGTCGACTGGATCCCCAGAATCCTTTGCTAAAGCCACCTATGGTTATCAAAAGGAGATCTTTCTCAATGATTTCGGCTTTCTTCGCTTCGAGTTCTGCTATGTCCCATTCCGCCCAATGAAATCGGTCTCTCACAAATTCTGCTTCGTCGGTTGCAGCCCACGCAAAGAATTGACCTGATAAGGCACCATCTGTCATCCCGCCCGGAGGTTCGGAAGCTCCAGATCTGGTAAATCTGTCGGATTCAACGCTTCCCGGGTGGATTCTCATGAGCCGGACCTCAGGGTACTCGAATCGAAGAGTTTCAAAAATTCGAGCGGCTCCCAACTTGCTGCTATTATAGCCTGACCAAACATGCAGGGGGAAGCGCATATGGGCAGCCATTGTACAACAGTCGAAGACGACTCCCGCTGCCGTAGGCCCTTTCGCCTGAAGTTACTTTTGAGTGACGACTGCTGTACCCAAGACATTCGTTTCAAACCCCAACCACCATCGCTTCAAATCTTGAGAAATGAACGGCCCATCATCTGGGAATACGCCAGCATTGCTGGTTAGGACGTCAGGAACGCTAAAGTCCTTGAGCATGATGGCAATAGCAGTCTCGTCAATAATGTCTGCGGAATATCCTAGGAACTGCGTGAAGGGATGTTCTTTGGTGAACTTTTCTCTGGCGCTTTGCACACGCTTCTCATCCCGACCTAGAATACCAATCTTAGCAGCTCCAGCTGCGGCAATGGCGCGGGTAATATGCTCTCCAACTCCACGACTCGCACCAGTAATGAAGACGGATTTACCTTTCAGGGGGCTGTGAAGAGAGTCTTGAGGTCAGGGCCTCGTAGGGTTTCAAATGATTTGTGACGAAGGTTGTCATTTTGGTCCTGATCTTGGGCGCTCTTATAGTTATTTTGCTGAACTTGATTTGAACGATTCTAGTCTTGGGGTACCAGTAGAATAATTTCGTCGGGTTCTTTCATTACTTAAGTACTGGGTCCCCTCAGTTTCGGTGGCCCTGTGAGTCATTTCGCCGATGTTGTATCGTTACTCATCTCTTTCGAATGATGAATCAGAAAGCCTTTACAAGGCATCAACCCAAGTAATCATAGTGCGCATGCTGCTGGCACTGGAGTGATCTTGCCCAATTCGTGATCATGGCCGTTGAGCAGACCAATGAAACATGCTCCAGACAATCTATCGAGCGAAAACCAGTACTAAGGGGTTCCCCAAGCCACAATGCTGCAGAATAACTTGGGTAACCTTTTGCCAAGAAATGAATTACTTGATTAAGACATCAGTCTTTTTCTCGAGGTTGAAGATGTGATGTTCAACATCCATCAAAAGATGTTTTGCTTGAATCTTGCAGACTTTTGGCCATGGTCATTGCAAACGAATGGCGATGTAGCAGGTACTGATTACTCTTGAAGTATTCATGATGACCAACGAATACCCGAGAATATCATTTCAAATCAAGGGAAGCAAAGTTCTCAATCAGTTCTGGCGAGCTTAAGGCACAGCGAGTTCAAGGACAGAAATGATAAGACCAAGATTTCGAGAACATACAATGACAAGCAACGAAAACAGAAGTGGAGCCAAATACATCTTCGTCACAGCTACGCCCCAAGGGAAGTCCAAGAATGATGCGCTACGAAGAGCTCACGTTATGCACAACCAGGTCAAGACGCGAGCACAGACGAGTAGCTCTCATAACCCTTCCTGCCTCATATGTTACCATCCCCGGCTGCAGGAAAACGAAGCTTTCGACTAGCTCGCCACGAAATAAAACTTAGCCCCAGTCCGAGGACGGTCATCCCTGCTTCAGCCGTTGCAAATCACCCAAAGGAGGACTCGTGGCAAACTTCATTGGCCCCCAATTATATCAAGAGAGTCAACTTACCGGAGAGTGTAGCAGCCAAAGTAGAAGGCCTTAGCACGAACGATATGCGAACCCTGCTGCAGCTTGCAACACCTCCACTGCTTTTGTTTGGTATTTCACGTATAGACCCCTTTGGTGTTCTTCCAATGAAACTTAGTCCTGGGATGAAGTCTTGGTCGATCGCTTCTGTCATTACGAAAAGAGGCCTTGGTGTCCAGTCAGTGGACAGACACTATGGTCGCCCTTCGCTCTTTCCGACGAGCTGGCATTTTCTGCCACCATGTGTTCTTGGAGTATGGGTGTCGGTAGTTGACTTCTAGGCAAGGATGCCTCCACCTGGCTCGAAGGCAATCCGAACATCATGCGACATAGATTCTCGACAATATCACTTGTCATGCTAGGATATCGAGTCCAGAAGACACAGTAAAAGACCAGACCGTCGCTTCTGTCACGATGGTGGCACATCTAGAGCTACTTCATGGCACCAGGGCAGCCGCAACCCTGCACATGAATGGCTTGAGAGCACTTATCGAAATGCGAGGGGGCTTCACATCTTTTACCACACCTTTGCAGTTATTATTACAAAGGTTAATCCGCTGGGTAGACATCTTCTATTCCGAAACCTTTGGAACAGTACCTATGTTTCCACCAGCAGAGATCTGGGATTTATCGTGGCATTCTCGTGATCCACTGGCTCTACCAGGTTCGCCTATTGGGCTTTTACCCCAGAATCTAGAGTCAACAGTCTCCGGCGCCATGAAGTGGTCGAAGCACTTCAAGACGTTTATGAGCTTTGTGGGATTCAAAGATCGAGGCCCATGTCGATCTTGCAAGACCACAAAAGAATGTTGAGGTGTGACATGTCCTTGAAGGTCGAAAGCCGGCTGAGCATCATTGGGCAGTCAATTCACAATATCTCTTGGAGAGTAACTGCCCTCGCCTCCTTGATACTTGTGCACCATTTCCTCCGTGGCAATCCACTCAGGCATCCACAATTCCGAGTGCTGGCACCCATGTTGCAGGAAACCTTGTCTTTGATGAGCCATGATTTTAGAGAACTCACGTTTGCTCATTCGCTGCTCTTCTGGATATTGAGTGTTGGCTCCGTGGCCAGCTACGGATTGACCTGCCATGATTGGTTCGTTCAGAAGGTGATTGCCACCGGTGCTTCATACCTCGTGGGATGGCCGGAACTCAGATCGGTGCTCATGGGCTTTCTGTGGACAGGCATCGAAGACAAAGATAAGTATATTGGTATCTGGAGGATGCTTGACCAGTACCAACGCACACCAAGATGACATATTTCAATATTGCTCACAGGCCGCCTTCTTGTGGAATAGGCTTCGACAAAGTTGAGTGGAGAGAATGAGAATCACCTTCTACCGGACTAGGCCTCAGTTCTGAGCGACTAGCTCACGCTAGCAACATATGTTCTATTCGCGTAGTATGCTGAACTATTTGACATATGTATGTTGCTTCGAAACCAAGATAATGTCCTCTGTACGGGTGATCCCTGGCACAAAGAGCGGCCTGATGAATTTAATCGGCGGAAAAGGTGAAGAAAGCTGGCTGCAATTCAATACCACCACAGGAAGCCAACATCGAGCCAGAACGGATGATTTCAAAGGCGTTCAGGCACTTTAAAAGAGGCTCTCAGAGTCTAAGTGGGAGAAGGAGGAAACGTACATGATCAGGCTGGCAGCATTTTTAAGTCAAATCAGTCTCGTTTGCCGCCGACGCCCAGTCATATAGACTGTCCTTCTTTCCGTTACTGTTTGAAATATGAAAGGTGGGTCAGATAGACTCATCTCAAGTGGCACTCCTATCCTTGTTATCCAAGAGGGCGCTTTTAAATTGTCTCAACCTGTCTCTACGTCGAAACCACCCATCAGCACTAGCTCCACGGACAAGCAGTTTCACTTGAGGTTCCTCAAAGCGCAAAGGATTTTACGAGTCTTTCCTTTTGGAGAGCGTCCATTGCCTTGATCGCCACCAGCAACTGCTGCACTTACGTGAGGCATACCAAGGAATTTCAACTTTCAAGTCTCTAGTCTCGTCATGCACATGGTTTAATGTCTGTCTAGGGATTGGTCAAACTCACCTCAGCGTAAGGCAACAGAAACATTATCAGACTGAACAATTTTGAACTTAGGATTGTAGACTCCTGCTTGAACATTTCATTTGCCAAACGGATAAGGGTTGCAGATCCCGGTCCGAGTTAGACCCGCCAAAACTTAGCCAATTACCCCATAAGAGCTTCGGCCGCTCTGACCCAAGACAGGGTATTGGTTTTAGCCCACTTGCGGGTGGATGCAAGGAAGAAGCGACCTGCAGGGCTCGGCTGAGGGTATTTATACACGACGTTTCCCTCGATGTCAGTGCGTGAGAGCCAGATACCATCCAACATGAGTCCCAACGAATCGAATAGCCCAAGTATTGTGCTTAACCCACAGAAATTCAAGGATCAAGTTGCCGTTGTCACTGGCTCGGCTCAGGGTATAGGACAGGTAGTTGCTACTCTCTTCGCGGAGCAAGGTGCAAGCGTCGTTCTGGTGGATCTCAGCAAAGAGAGGCTTCAACAGGTCGAACAAGGATTGGTCTCGAAAGGGTTTATTGCATCCCATCGAAGATGTGACCTTACGGATGAGAGCCAGGTACACGGGACCATCAATGACATTGTACAGACACTCGGCAAGATCGATATTCTCGCCCACATAGCAGGCATTTACCCGGCCAAGCCATTACTAGATGTCACAGCGGCAGAGTATCGAAAGATTTTCCAAGTCAACATGGACAGTTGTTTCTTCCTCACTCAAGCAACCTTGCCACACATGCAAAACCGGCGATACGGACGCATCATCAATACTTCGAGTCAAACAATCGTCAAGCCCGAGCCAGGACTGGCAGTTTATGCAGCGTCCAAGAGCGCAGTCGCAGGATTCACAAAAGCCACAGCGACAGAAGCAGGTCCTGGTGTGACGGCTAATTTCGTGTCACCGACATTAATTGCAACCGAGACAACGCTGGCCGCTCCACATGCCAAACCACTGTTTGCAAAGATTTTGAATCAGCAGTATGTGAAAAGGACTGGGCTACCGGAGGATGTGGCACATGCTATCATGTACATCGCCAGTCCTGAAGCAGAGTTCATCACCGGCCAGATGTTTGACATCGGGGGAGGGTCTTTCTTTCATTGAAAATTACCCAGAGAGAGACGAGGGCTTTAATTATATAGCGCTTCCGAAGAAGTTCTGGAACCCTAAGAGCCAGAATAGTTTGATGCGTAAGATGCTGTAAGCCTGCCAAGAAATATGACATTACACTGGCATGTCTTGAGCTTTCGACGTTGAGGAGAAGTTTCTTAGTTTCGATCTTCTCTTCCCCGCGTCTTCCTCCTTGCCTCTCAGAAAAGTAATAATTCGTTGACCGACATAGTAGGCATGAATAGGTACAGTAATCTGACCTCGCAATCCGCACAAATGTCAACCTCACGTGGGCCGAGGCCCTGAGGAAGGAGGTGGCGTTCTCCGGAACCGCAACCTATGACCAATGGACACAACGTCAATATCGCCACCTTCAAAGTACCGTCATTGTTGCGAGTCCCTCATCTGCGATTTGAGCGACGGCACTAACTCCCAACAAGTTTCATTTTTGAAAGATGGCAGAAGCGAAAACCGAAGGGAGAAACCTCCCTGTGGAAGAAGCTCGCGCAGAACTAAGGCGTCATTTCTCGGAATATCAAGGCTCTGAATACACCCAGGGCTGGGCAAAGCTCTGGTCGAACGGCAATTTCTTACCCTGGGACCGTCTGGCTCCATCACCTGCTTTGGCAGATACTCTGAAGAATCATGTTGATCTGGTTGGTCGTGCCCTGGTGGAGGATGATGGCCAGAAGCGTCGAAAGCGAGCGTTGGTACCTGGCTGTGGCAGAGGCGTTGACGTTCTGTTGCTCGAGAGCTTTGGTTACGATGTAGTTGGATTGGAGTATCCTGAGGGCGCCTTGAACGCATGTCAGAAATTTGCGGAAGAGCATGCAAACGACTATCCTGTCAAGGACGAGGCGGCCGGGAGGGGGAGTCGAAAGTTTGTACGAGGTGATTTCTACAAGGATGATTGGCTTGTCGATGCAGGTCTTGACAAGGACACAAAGTTCGATTTGATCTACGATTACACTGTAAGTACAGCATTATCGACGCACTGCCCGCGGATACCTTGGTTGATACAAGACGTGGTGTAGTTCTTCTGTGCCATGCAGATCTCCATGCGACCGGCTTGGTCGAAAAGGATGACAGAGCTGCTTCGCCCTTCTCCTCTTGCTAATCTGATATGTCTGGAATTCCCGACACAAAAACCAGGGACATCTGGTGGCCCTCCTTGGGCTTCTCCTCCAAGTGCCTACGTAAGTTAAACGTCATTGTACCCATTACGTCGATGGCCTTGTCCAGTCTCTTGCTAGTATCTTCATCTCCGAGCGACGGCTGCTGACTGAATATTTGCAGATGGAGCATTTGAGTCATCCGGGTGAAGAGGTCAAATACAACGAGGCTGGAAGTGTCATGATGAACCCCTTTGCACCAGACAGCTCCAATGCCCTGGAACGAGTTGGCCATTGGCATCCTGCAGATACCCACCAAGTCGGGAAGGACGCAAATGGCAATGTTGAGGACTACATTGCCATTTGGAGACATCACTGAGGCATGGAGGTCAGAGACACGCATGCTTATACCGTGTCAGCGAACATCAGTCATGTCACATCTCGGCCTTGTTCAACCTCGGTCAGAGCATTGTAGTGTTCACCTAAGCCGAAACTATGTCGATAGTAGGCCAGCCAAATGACGTTTTTGTTGTCCGAGGCACCTGAGCGGATTCTCTCAATCCGGCCATCTGCTTGAAGCACATTGATATCAATGTTGTAGGACCGTGCAATGGCCTGTAACTCCAACTGCCCTCCCCACTCCGCCGTGTCTCTGATCTTCGTGATGTAAGTATCTAGAGGCTCCTCGAGGAATGGAGCAAAGTCGTCTGGATGTGATGACATGAAGTCTGCCGCAGATGTTCTTACTGTCTGATAAGGCTCTTTATTCCGAGTAGATTTGGGAAGAGTGTCTGAAGGCATGCTGTGTGCGCATGCAGAAAATAGGCAATGTCCATCGGGTCGGATCGAAGTCTCTCGCAACTTGAGGGATTCCATTTGCTTCTTCATTGACGACTGTTCCTGCTCCCGGCGGTCGGGTTGGTCTTTTGCTTCCTGCTCGGCGGCGCTTACCGCAGCATCTTGTTCGGCAGCCCGCCGAGCAAGGCGTGCCTTTTGGCGATTTGGCTTCTTGCTACGTTGGTGAAAGTCAGACCCGGCCTCAGATGGTGTTGGAGAGTCGACCGCACTGGCAGCCAAATCCTTTGGCGTAGAATGACGTGCCTCTTGGTGCTGAGCAGCAAGGTCCACGATAGAAAGTCCTTCAACAGCCCTGTCTAGCTGTTCGGGATCCTGGGGTTTCAACTCCGCAATCTCTGCTGCCTGTTGCTCGGCCAGCAGTCTTTCTAGTCTCTCACACTCGTCGGTTACGCCTTTTCGTGTCTTCTTAGTAGCATTCTTCTTTTTCTGGGCGATTCTTGACGATAGGTCTCGTTTTTCTTTGAGATGTTTTGTGAGTAGCTCGTCCATTTGGCTGAATTGAACGAGATCAATGCCACTCTGGGCAGCGAATGGGGAGTCTACTTAGAAACAAAGCCCTCTACATCTGGTTCCAACCTAACAAAATTGTGGGGTCTCCTTAAATTGGTTGTTTTAAACTCGCCGTGTCGGAAAAAGGCCTCGCTGACTGTGGCGGGGAGGGTTCTATGGTCCGCCCGAGATAATGCACATATGTTCAGACACTTCCCTGTATTAACTCGTGACTCGTGACTTGGACGTGCACGTGTTTCAGGCTTTGTCTTGGCGCTTGCCCCTCTTTTCCCCCACCTGCGAAGTTCACATTGTGCCTGCCTGTGTGCCTATTTGCGCGCGCGGCTGCTATGGTGAACTGTGAACTGCACCTGCAGGTGCGACTCGGCCTGCGATCGCAAGCCTGAGCCTGAGCCGGCGCCTGCCACTTTGCACATCGAACCGACCGCTCGCTGCAAGCGCCCGACAATCTCAAGTCTCGCCTCAGCCTTCATCCCAGTTGCAATCCGAATCCCAACTTCAAATAAGAAGGGCAAAGGTACTGGGAATCGGCCCCTTTTCTCGCCCTCTCTCTCTACCTCTCCTCCTCTCATTATCCCTCTTGCATCATCCCGTTCTACGTGGTACCAACTAGTTCTTACGCAAGTGGCTCGTTGCAACATTTCAGTGGTTCCCCACCTCCGAGCCCTATTGATCTCGCTGGCCGCAGCCCTGTCAGCACCAGTTCAACTCTATCTCTCAGCCGCACTACCATTTGTCTGCCTCTAATATCTTCAGCTTGGCTCGGCAAGCCTTTAAAAGCCTTGACCATCGTCGTCCAAGTCCTCCTCTTCATCCCTATTGCTCCCTGTTAGAGATAGAAAAGGCCGAAGCCAAAGTCAACAGCAACAATGGGTGATCTCGCAGGCCGCAAGGTCTTCAAAGTCTTTAACCAGGACTTCGTCGTTGATGACAGATATACTGTCACAAAGGAGCTCGGGCAAGGTGCATATGGTATCGTCTGGTATGACCTCGATCGCGTTGGGCGCTCAAAAACAGTAGCTGACCTGGTTGAAGCGCAGCTACCAATGCCCAGACTGGCGAAGGCGTAGCCATCAAGAAGGTCACGAATGTTTTCAGCAAGAAGATTCTCGCAAAGAGAGCTTTGCGTGAGATCAAGCTCCTCCAACACTTCCGAGGTCATCGAAACGTAAGTGCCCTATTCTTACCTTGCCATTGCCAGGAACGCGGAAACCTAAATTGTGCAGATCGCCTGTCTCTATGACATGGACATTCCCCGCCCGGACAATTTCAACGAAACTTATCTATACGAGGGTAAATTACCCTTAGTTTGGCCTTGGAATATTCATTGACATTGGAGCAGAATTGATGGAATGTGATCTTGCTGCCATTATTCGATCTGGCCAGCCTTTGACTGATGCTCATTTTCAATCCTTCATCTATCAAATCCTGTGCGGTCTCAAGTACATCCATTCCGCCAATGTGCTGCATAGAGACTTGAAACCGGGAAATCTGCTCGTCAACGCCGATTGCGAGCTCAAGATCTGTGACTTTGGTCTTGCCAGAGGGTTTTCACAGGACCCCGAGGAAAATGCCGGGTATATGACTGAGTATGTCGCGACTCGGTGGTATCGTGCGCCGGAGATCATGTTAAGCTTCCAAAGCTATACTAAAGCCAGTACGTGTGCAATGCTTCTCACGTGAAACGACCACTAATGCTTGATAGTCGATGTTTGGTCAGTTGGTTGTATCCTGGCAGAGTTACTGGGTGGCAGACCATTCTTTAAGGGTCGTGACTATGTGGATCAGCTCAATCAGATTCTGCACTACCTGGGAACCCCTAACGAGGAAACCCTGTCCAGGATTGGTTCGCCGCGCGCTCAGGAATACGTTCGCAATCTTCCATTTATGCCAAAGATATTGTTCCAGAGACTCTTCCCTCAAGCAAACCCCGACGCCTTGGACCTCCTGGATCGAATGCTGGCATTTGATCCCTCGTCGCGTATCAATGTCGAAGATGCTTTGGAACATAAATATTTGCATATCTGGCACGATGCCTCTGACGAGCCAGCATGCCCCAAAACATTTGACTTCGCCTTTGAGGTTGTTGATGAGGTACAAGAAATGAGAAAAATGATCTTGGACGAAGTCCTCCGGTTCCGCCACCATGTCCGCCACCAACCCAGTCAGACTCCTTCGACCAATATCAACGTACCAATCCCCGATAATCCAAATCAATGGAAGCAGGAAGATCCCCGACCCCAAGAAGCCAGTACGGCCTACGGAAATGATCTCGAACATGAACTACAGGCAGGTTCAGACTTACTGAGGCGATAGAAACAAAGTGTTTATCCTCCTGGATATGGAATTGCTGGAGTTCCGATGACCCAAAAAAATTTAATCAACTTGGTACTGTCTTTTCATTGTTCGTTTTCTTTGCTTGAATTGCAATGCTATTCCGGCCCATACAGCATTTGCATGCTTCGTAGATCTGGGCCCCAGGCGAACGGACTTTATTATGCAATGGCTACATAACGCTAGAACAATCTTATGCATATATGACACCCGGTACCGTTCGTTCAAGTGCGTATGTTTTTGCGCCAATCAGCTCACGACTAACTACTGCGCTTGAAACCATGTCCCCCACGTCCGGAATGCTTTGGCTGACTCCCATAGCCTCTCCGACTCTGCTTCTTGTCTCGCTGGTGCATGCTAGCTCCGAGCTGAATATCAACGCGCGGTGGTGTTGCGAACCCGAAGCTCTTGGCCACCTTCACCAGATCTAATTTGTTCACGTCGAATACAGACCGTAGGCTGTGGCTTGCATATGCCTGCAGGTACGAACGGTAGCCGTCCTTGGCAGACTGGAGGGACTCAGCGTTGTTCAAAGGATGGAAGGGGTCAAGGAAAAGCATGTACGGGGTGGACATGAACGCACCTTATTTAAATAGTAGTTCTGGGTGATCAACTTCTCCAGCTGACTCTGGATGTTGACGAGCTTCTTAGCCGGGAAATCGAACTCGACCACTGGCACGCGAGCTTCTTTCAGGTGACTGAGAAATCCCACCTCGTTTGGTTGCAGGAACATCAAGCTTCTTCCTTTCCCGTTGGAGCCTCGCGCCGTCCGCCCCACTCGGTGAATGTAGTCTCTCGGGTCGTCCGGTGGGTCGAACTGCACGATCCAGTCCACGGAGGGGATATCGAGCCCCCTGGCCGCTACATCTGTACAGACAAGCGTGCCGTGCGTCGCGTTGCAGAATTCGAAGAAGGTGTTCGTGCGTTTCTGCTGTTTGAGATTTCCGTGCAGTTCGAGGACGGGCAGGTCGATGTAGTTGAGGAGTTCGGAGTGGTATTTCACGCAGTTGCAGCTCGACATAAACACGATGACTTTCTTCTTCAGGTTGCGCTTCAAGAAGGAGAAGAGCAGCAGGAACCGCTTGTCGCTCTCGCAGATCACGTACCCCTGCTCTAGGCCCTCGACCGTGCTGTGCTCTTTCTTGTGGTCGACGTTGATGTAGAGCGGGCCAGGTCTCAGAGAGATGCGGGCGAGGTCTTCGACCTTGGTGGTCTGCGTTGCGGAGAAGAGCATCGTTTGACGATCTTCCTTGGGCAGGATCTTGACGATCTGCCGCATTTCGTCCTCGAAGCCGACTTCGAGGATTCGATCCGCCTCGTCGATGACCAGCGCTTTCGTGTTCTTGAAGACGAATCCTTTCGTGTTTTGCAGGTGGTCGAGGAGACGGCCCGGTGTCGCGATGAGAAGATTTACGCCTTTGGTTAGCTTCTCTGCCTCGGCGCTTCGGTTCGCTCCCCCAATGACGATCCCAAAAGTTTGGCTGTGGAATTGCATGAGGTCCCTTGCCACACCAAATATCTGGAGAGCAAGCTCTCTGGTAGGCGAGACAACGACGACACCAGTCCCGTTGCGAGGTTTAAACCGCAGAGCTGAGAGCATTTCAACCGCCGGGATCAAAAATGCGAGTGTCTTTCCAGACCCCGTTTTTGCTGCGCCCAGAACATCTCGGCCTGCTAGTAGTGGCGGGATTCCTCGTTGCTGTATCTCAGTCATGGTCTCGAATTTCATCTCTTGGATTGCCTTCATGGTCTTCTCCGAGATGTTGAGCTCGGAGAACTGCTGTGGTGTTGCATCTGCGCCTGGTAGCGAGGGCACAGAATCAGTCGGTAGACCATCAGTGGTCGTCTCTGTTGTTCCATTTGTTGTGTTTACCGTCTTTTCCAGTTCATCTCCTCCGTCGTGGTCCTCGTCCACCTCGGGTGAGCGGTCTGCTGGCTCGATGGGCTGACCGTTCGCAAGGGGTGTATCAACCTCAGCTTCTTCTTCTTCTTCTTGGGTTTTGTCAGCCTCTCGGTCTTGGTCTTGACCTTCATCTTCGCTAGAGTGCGCCGTCTTTCTCCTCTTTTTGCTTTTCTCTCGTGGCTCCTTTATGGCTTTGGAACGGGGCACCTTCGTTCTTGATGGTGCATCTACGACTTCAGGCTCCACATCTGCAGGGACTGCTTTGGCATGCTTTCTTTTTCGTTTGTGAGATTTCTCTGTTTGAGGATCCATGATAGAAAGCGACGCTATTTCAGTAGTCAAGAGCAGTATTAAGAGTGCTGGTCCCCGTGTAAAGCGGGCAGAGAAATTCAAGCATGGGTCATTATTCAAACATTTTTTTCGCAGTTGGACAACAATTTATCTCCACGTGACGATAAGGAGGTTCGCCTAAAAGCGGCTAGCGGGGCGCAGCTTTAATGGGAAAGTTAGCCGGGATCTGGCTTTACTAGCAATACCGGCACCCGTCGCTCCGGCCTTCCTCCCTTGAATCAGCCTTGAAAGGTTTTCTCCTTCTCGTTGGGCTAATTAGTCGTGAAATGTGCTCACCATCTTGGATCAGATCGCTTACAAGTTCGAACAGAGATTTCTAGATGGTAGAATACGGTAAATGGCTTGCTGTCTTGCGACTGAGATAAGGCCTACAGCACTGATGCGCTTCCGATTCATATCCCCTCGTCCAAACGCCCTGCTCTCCCATCATGGGCCCTGCACTTTTCTGAAGTGCATTATATCCCCTTGACGGCAATGCCCACATCCTTGCGGTCTTGCTCTTCAATGTCCTTGATCATACTGTCACGACCGACACTTCCATCGTCGGAGTTGCGAGCTTCTTCACCAGTCATCACCTCTCCATGGCGATGGGCTTCATTGTAGGCATCTCGCTTTGGTTTCAAATATCTCACATCAATGAATCTCAGTGTGCACGTCATGGCAATGATCAACACCCAAAGCGCAATGCTGGTTTGCCAACCGTACTTATAGTAAGGAGCTTGTTTCGCCGGCCATACTAGGACTTGTGACCACGCGCTGATGGCATAATACCCTGCAACAGACATCCCAACAATAAGTGATCTAGCTTCCGGATCCTGTGGAAGGAGATCCGACAGCCATGAGAAGATGAGAGGCGCTGTGCCAAGACATAAATATGAAATGAAGTATCCAGCATAGGCGGTCGTGAGCGTTGTTGAACGGGGGTGTGAGGTCCAGACCGACATTGCAATCGCGGGTATTAAGCCGATCAAAGCCTGGGTAATAATCAAGGTCCATCGAGTACGGAGGAAATCTGACAGCAAAGCCCAGATCCATACAAACACCACGTTGATGGCACCTCCGCCGATAGGAATGACATTGACAGCTTCCACAGACCAGACCCTGGTGCCATCCGGATTCTTTAATGACTTGAGGAACAGCGAGAAGTAGTTGTACCCATAGCTTGCCAGGACAGTGGCGATGTACAAGGTGGCAATGAAATAAACTGTCCAGCCAGAAAAGGTTCTCTTCGCACCCGCCCAAGTAACATGCGTTGGCTCAGCACGATTGTGTCTTGCTAGTCTCTCCATTGCGACCTCCTGGTGGACTCGCTTGAACCAGAAGGCGCGTGGATTGGTTCGGTTGGGATAGTCCGGCAACATAAAGAAGCCCATCATTCCCCAGACCACGGTGATGATGGCATTAACAATGAATAGCCATCTCCATCCAGCAAGACCGTGCGTTCCGTTCATTGTCCGCATGATCGCAGCTTGGAGTGCGCCGCTCATCATATACCCAATTGCTTGACAGGAATGATAGAAACCCATCCGTTTGGCCAATTCAGCCGGCGTGTACCAGTGCATGAGCAATGTCATCATTCCCGGCCAGGCACTGCTTTCACACAGCCCCAGAAAGACGCGAAGAATGTAGACCTGGTATGCGTGCTTGGACAGGGCCATGAGCCCGGTGATGATGCCCCAGGTTATTTCTAACCCGGACAACCAAAAGGATGGGCGAACATAGGTCAAGATGACCTGAGACGGAATGAGCATGAGGCAGTATGCGACGTTGAAATATGTCGTGAAATAGTTCAATTCATTGCCACGAAGGTCAAGGTCTTCTTGCATTCCTGAGACGTAGGCATTGTTGATGTTCTGCTGGTCAAGATATTTGATGACCTGGGAGAGACAGCCAAATGTCATGAAAAACAGATCCAGCCTGAAGACTAGACTTCTCTCGTCTGCCGAGCGGTGCTCCAGTTTGATATTAGGAATTGTTTTGGTCGACTGCCGGAAGCCATTGAAGATTCCCATTGTGGCGTGCTGCTTGTGCCTGACGAACTTTGGGATGGTGCTGGGCTTGCTCTATTCGTACCAGGGCATGGATTCTTGTTAGGTACAGATCTATTCCTTTATGAACGGGGTATTATTGTACCGCTTCTTCCACCAGATGAACTGTTGATAAAGCATCCGGGAAAAAGGAAAAAGATCACAAGTCGCCTGATGGCTCAGAAGATATATTTCACAGATCATCGCGTGGCTGGAGTGTCCAGGTAATCATCGGTTTGCAGATTGACTGCCACTAACCTACCTCACCAGGTTGCATCAGTAACGGAGACCCTTGTCGAGAGCATACGAAGAAGTTCGAGACGAGAACCCAAATGCCGGTGATCAGCGCCCTGGTACTCCAAGGGTCTCCCTGACTGGCTCCCTCATCCCGATTTTGCTTGGAAATGCCGAAATGAGTAAGTCGCCTGAAGGATCGAATCCATAATTACTATGTGGGGATGCATTGCGTTGAGCACCTGAGGGGAATGTCTTATCAACGGAGCTCAGCATTCCAAAGTGATATAACTAGCCGAGGTGTTGTGGTATGGAAAGGCGAGTACATAGATTAAAGCATTCTCGCCCCCTAGCTTGAGATAAGGAAGCATTCAGGCTTGGATATCTTGACTTCCTTGGCTGGCGAAGAAACAGGAAAATGGCACCCCATAGTGTCAGTCCACCACCCCGGTCGGTAGAGAGCGGTGCTACTGCTATGGCCCACGTCGGGACTTCATTGCCAGGACTTTCTCCTTGTCTTTCGTATTGGCATCGGACCTCAAGGGCGTTCAAGCATCTCAACGCCAATGCTGAAGCTAAGGTCCCAACCTCGTCACCGTTTGTGATTGTCGGATCTGGCATATCAGGCGCCTTGACTGCATTTTCTCTCATTGAGGCTGGTGTCAATGGTGCTGATATCGTCATACTGGAAGCTCGTGAAGCAGTCGCAGGAGCATCTGGGCGCAATGCCGGACATGTGAGGCCCGATGCATTTCGAGGTTTCCAAGGATATGCGTCCTTGCATGGCACGGAACAAGCCATCAAAATCATTGAGAATGAGAAGGTGGTCTTTGAACGAGTTGATGAGTTCGTCAAGAAACACCAGGTTCAGTGCGATTTCAACCCAACTACCACTTTCGACGTGTGCCTCACACCCGAATTTGCGACCTACGAAGCCGATAGTTTCGAGGCATTCAAAAAGGCCGGTGGAAATGTCAGCCACGTCAAATTCTATCAAGGGGAAGAGGCTCAGAAACGGACTCGTGTGCCCAGCGCGGTCGCAGCATATGAATGGCCTGCCGGGAGCAGTCATCCTGCGAAGCTCGCACACTGGCTTCTGAGCAGTGCGATGGCTCAAGGAGCCCGATTATGGACACACTGCCCAGCTACGCAGGTGAAAAAAGGATCAAACGAGCAGTGGGAAGTACAAACACCTCGCGGCACCATTCTAGCGAGGAAAGTGATTCATTGCACAAACGCCTACGCTGCTGCGCTTCTTCCACAGTTAGATACGTTCGTTACACCAAACAAGGCTCAGGCGCATTCGGTAGTCCCCAGCCAGGCATTCTCGGGAGAGGGATTGCTCGAAAGCACCATGTCGCTGCGGTATAGCATGCATCACTTCTACTCCTTGATCCAACGGCAAGGTGATGGCACAGTTATACTGGGTGTTTCAAGAGCAAATCCAGAGCTGAGTGCAGCGACAAAGGCTCAAATCGTGAGCTTCGACGATTCTTCCTTCAACCCAGAGATTGTTGAAGATGCCATGACAAGATTCAAGGTCATGTTTCCCGAGTCTAACACCAAGTTGCGGCATGGCGAAGGTCTCGATCATGCGTGGACAGGAATCATCGCAATGACACCAGACTCGGTTCCCTTGGTCGGACCCATTGACGAGTTGCGCGGACAGTATATCTGTGCAGGATTCAACGGACATGGAATGGCCAGGATCTTCACATGTGCGCCGGGTCTGGTCAAGATGATCACGGGGGGGACGTGGGCAGACACCGGGTTGCCAGAGTGCTTTCAGTACAGTGCCGATAGATTATCGAAAGCAGCTCAGAAGATGAAAAAGGAAAGTGTGTGGTGAAGTGTTCGAATGCCTTGTGAGATGTTGGTAAAATGAGAATTGAACATGTTCATCTTCCAAACAAAAAGGCTGGACCCGTTGGCTTATTTGCACTGTCCACCATTTCACCCCTCTCAGACTGTTTTCGTGAGGTCGCATTGGTATCATAGAAATATCACTTGTTATTCGGACGGCACCCGCCATTCAAGAGGCAGTGCATCACATTATTCCCAATTATCATTGTTAGTTCGGTCATATGTGAATGATCTCCTCAGGAATGGAGACTGAAGGTGACCGCTTCCAAGTCATCTTCGTGCAAAGCAACCCATAGACAGAGGCCCAACAACCACAACTTCGACATCAGGGATCAATCATCAAGGATCAATGATCCTCCCATTTCGGGATCCCGAAATCCACTAGGCTCTTACTCAACTCAATTCCCCTGTCGTCTCAAAACTTGGCATTGGTCAAAGCACAGAAGCTCAACATTTATGACAGAGTTGCCAACTCTTCAACTCTACACGCGAGTCCTCGACAGAGTGTTCCAGCGATTGCTGCTGCCCCGCCATATAAACAGGCCAGAGTCGGCAAGGGACCGAGATGACTTAGAAGCCACCAGACTGTTTCGAAGATCCGAGAGCACTCTTCATTTTTAGAGCACAATATCTTGAACGACAAACAACGGAGAGAAATTATCAAAACTAGGGTGCTGTCCTTTATCAGAGACCGCAGGGCGATCAAAGGTCAGCGTGAAGATGGATGGCAAAGGCTTCGGGCAGTTGAGTTGCTAGTGGCATACCATAGTCTTTGGGGGACCGAGGATGAAATGATAGCCAAATCCAGGAAATTCGACCACCTGGCAAGGCGCTTTTTACAGCTTCAACCCTTATCGGAGAGACTAAGAATTGCGATCATCGTGACTGCTCCTAATGAACAACCGCCAACTGAATAGCATCTTCTCCACAGCCCGCGCACAGGGAAGGATGAGGAAGACATCAGTGACAAGACGGTGAGGGTAGCTGCAGAGATGTACAACATCAGGATAACGTTGCCCCCTTCTTTGGGACTATCCCTTGGATTTCCTTGAACAATTACTTTGGCTTTGTTTGCTGCTGACATCCCTGTGTTACTCGCCAAGTTCGAACAGGTTGTCCGTGACACTCACCTTATGATGTCTTCTGCCTGCCCAGACTTACTGTCAACTGATCGTGGTGGTTTTGAAGAAGGGGAAGAGAAAGAAGCGCAGATACATCTCATCCATCACGTTGGACACCCTCAAAACACGTTGTCAGCATGCAATGGGAATGGTCCGATAACGACGAGTGGCTGTATGGGCGAAGGTGGCAACCTATCCGGAGCGGCTGGGGTTGCTTCTCGAGAACTCACTGGGTACCAATGAACGAATACTACCGAGCTCGAAATAGTCGAAGAATCCGAATCACCTTCCAAATGCTGGCAATAGCCCCTGTTGTTTGGGAACCTCAGATCCACTATGTTCTCTTGAACCCATTGAATCACTTGCACTTCGGTGGAGGTTGGCACCTCCCACCGTTTGTATTTCCACACACTGGCGGCGACGGTGACGGGGACGACTGGAGACTTGCAAGACACCGTGAACACATTGCTCGACTTGATGGCGAGATCAGCGAAATTGCCAACCGGCCTCAAGGTTACTTGGACGAGTTGGCGCGAGGCTGGCAAGTGGGTGGAGCTGCTCTTGATGACAATCCTGATCGAATGAGATTAGGGCAGCTTTGGAGAGAGGTTGATGAGCTCCGACACGAGAGAGACAGGCTTCAGAGACATGATATAGACCAGTGGCGACAGATAGGTCAAGACCGAGACTGCCGTCGGCAACATGAACGTCCCCACCGATATCGCAGCCGTCACGACGATAGCTACTTCTATGATTGGTACAGGTGAACACGGGGCAGGAATTGACTAAGTTTGTAAGCAGAGCTTCAGAAATTTGGTATCGAGTTTATGCGGCACGAACCACGGACTGCTCAGAGAACCATGATAAAGTTGATACCGACAATAACCGCTCTATCCATGGAACAGGCGGATATGTCCGATGATTATGTCTTTTCTTGGTACCCACCATAGGGCGTGCTGAAGCGAGAAATGATATTACATACCAATTCCTACATTTCTAACCCTGGCTATACATCTTCCATATTAATCCTCGGATGTGTTGAAGCTGCCCTCATCAAACCCATCGGTCAACTCAGGGCATAATAACGCCGGCATTCAAATCAGTGCCGTCAAGAGAAAGGTTCCCAGGCGTGTCACGGATCACATATCACAATGGCCCCCAAACAAGTAGTCTTCTCGGAGAAAGGCTTGAAGTCCAACCTCCTTTCTCAGGCTATTGTTCATAATGGTACCATTTATGTGAGCGGCCACATTGGTCTTGACACATCCACCATGCAGGTGGTCGAAGGATCTGTTGCCGATCGAACCAAAAAGGCGCTTGAGAACATCCAAGTTGTGCTTGAAGAAGCTGGAAGCAGCCTTCAGAATATCCTCAAGGTAATTTGCCCGCTTTTATGGATGCGCATACCGTCGACTCACTGCTGGGTGAAGATGAATATATATATTACAAGCATGGAGGACTACGCCGCAATGAACACGGCCTGTGCGTAATTCCCTACCCCATTCACATTCCAACGAACTCACCGGAAACAGTCCTCGAGATGATCCCGGAACCAAGACCTGCACGGACATGTGTTGCTGTGAAGGAATTGCCATTCAAGACTGATGCAAGTCTTCAATGGTCGATCTAGCCTAAGGAATCAAGAACTAATGTGTATAGGTCGAGATTGAATGCACTGCTGCATTGTGAGGCATGAGATATGGCAAAATTGTAACAATCTCGAATTACATGATGCTGACTTTGATCAGGACTGACGGCTCACGGTCCAAGCTTTGATTATTAGGATGAACGACTGAGGGCTCAGGCAAATGAATACCTTTGTCCTAAGCTTTGGTGCCTCAAAAGCCTGGGTGAATTACCATTTAGAACAAAGCCTACTTCATGAGCTGAATGAGACCAGCCTATTGTGCTTCTAAACAAACATACATCGGTGAATGCCGTGAGTTCTTGTCAGCCGCAAACAGTGAAGGCCTTTGTGTGCATCAGAGAGGTACAACCGTTTGCATACGCCTTGTGCCTCCCGATAAATGTCGTCTTCGTCTTTACCATAACTCCCTTCCCAATTCAAACCCCTTGTCTTGTAACTATCTGCTATATCTATAGATACTTACCTGTTTCGTTCTGTCCTTGCTGACCTGAACCTTGCTTTGGCGAAGACTCTTGATCATGGCTCCCCCCGAGAGAAGAAAGACTCGGAGCGCCGTTTCTGAGGGAGCAGCGCAGCTGATGTCTCCAGATCCGAACATAGAGGAACGAATGCGGCGAAGAAAGACTCCTAAGAAAAGTGTCCCGCCACCCAAAACGCCTTCGCCACCTAGAAGATCGCCAGCTCCGAAGACCCCGACCAGATCGCCCACAGGACCCAAAGCTACCCAAACCCCAAAGACTCCAGTCGCTACACAAGACCCAATCAAAACACGAAAATCAACCTCTGGAAAGGGGAAGCAGAAAGCGAGACTTTCCCCTTCTGACAGGAGTGACGAGGAATATGTCCCGGACCCGGACCCTGAACCTCGCAAGAAGAAAAGATCACCAAACACAGACTTATCGTATATACTGCCAGTGGATGCTCCAGAGCACGAAGATTCGGATCACTGCATGTCCCCTGAAAAGGGCCCAGTAAATCGGAGCCGGTCGGCTTCTTCAAAGAGGTCCCCACGGCCAAAGGCAAGACAGACGAAGTGTGACAGTGTCAGTGAGAGCGGTTCGGATGTTGGCTCTCACGATACGAATAAAGAAAATGCAACGCCGGGCCCTCAAGACCAGATTGAAGACCAAGACGGCGATCAAGGCGCTGACCAGCCCGAAGATGACACCCACAATACTACCGACACAGCAAGTACCGATACAGATGGCAGAAGTGGTGCAAATCAACAAGAAGAACAGCACTCCGACGTAGATTCTCAAATTTCGGCGTCTGATGGGTTTTCTGCAGGGACAGCTGACACTGGAAATCAAACACCGATCGGCGGGGAATTCTATCTCAGTGGTCGGAAGATGCCCAGCGACCTGCTTAGAAAGCGTGCACTGTTCCAGAATCTCGAGACTCCATATCCGGGATACACAACAGCCGAGCTGAAGAGCGCGATGAAACGACATTTACAAGAGGGCGACGAAGATGCAGCCAGTACGAGCAGGCCGCCCAAAAGAGCCCATTTCGCCAATGGTAATGATGGTGATGATGATGATGATGAATATCGACCGTCATCATATTTGGAGGATCCACTCAAGGGCATCTTCGATCGTATCCTGCTCATCCCCGAAGATCTAAATCTTGCAGAGATCGGCGCATGTTTCACGGAACTTCAGGACTTGTCACAGGCGTTTGCCAAAAAGTTCTTTAGCTTCCAGTTGAACGATGAGCAGGTTGAAGCTTGGCCTCTGCATCTGCTGAAATGGGACTATTTCGGTCTCAAGACCATGGCACAATGGCTCGCCGATAGCGATGCCTATAGCTGGCGAGACTTTTTCACCAACCCTGAAAGTCGCGTTGCTTTGGTCCATGCGATTGTTGGAGAGTATCTCGAAGAACATGTCTTCAAGCAGACTGCTTTCTCATTTACGGGGCCCAAACTCGAAAAACTCAAGGAGCTCGACGAGAAATACCTCAAGTATGATGCCTTCGTCCGCAACAAGAAGCGGGCTGCTCTGCTTACTAAAATCATTCACGAAACGCATGGCTTCTGGTTGGCTCATCGTCAGGACATGCTCAACGCTTCAGATTCCCTGGCGCGACTGATCCTGGAGCTCGTTGAACCATTAATGCCGCCTCGCCTATTCGATCCACTGATTTCCTCTCGTTGCTTGCTGGAACCGAAATCACGCCACCCATTCCGTGGTGACAAGATCACAGAGGCAGAAAAGCAAGCTGCCAAAAATTTGTGGGATTACATGATGCATGATCTCCGCGTGCTCATCTACAAGGCCGCGTCCGTCCATCTCTCCATCCGCCTCAGCGGCAAAGATGGCACCAATGTCCGTATTCTCCGGCCCATTGCAAAGGGCACTGCATTCACCCAGTCCGAGACCATGGAGTGCATCAACGAGGCCGACTATGACATCGAGAAACCAGATCCACCTTCGGAGCATGATGAGTGGCAAATCAAGATGACCTGCTGGGGCCAAGTTGAAGCCGTGGTGCCTCACAACGTGGACCTGGAACAATACGAGCAGATCGAGGCTCAGTTCAACGCGCAGACTGGACAAGATGGCCCTCGGTCATTTGACGGGCTCGAGGAATACTTCAAACAACACCTTCCCGTCCTGCACGCCGAGATCCAGGAGGACGAGGATGTGGATAAGCTCAGCGATGGACACCGTCATCCCGGCACAGAATGGGACCACGACATGGCCCAGGACGAAGCACAGCAGCGTCGACCACAAAACGGTCGCGGGCAAACTCGCTGTCACGGAACCCCAAGCCAAGAAGACGTCAACCCCTTCCACCTCCCAGACCGTGGCAGCTTCGTGACGTACTACAAATGCATTGCCCGCAGCCAGGTCTACTGCGAATGGGCCACGAAGGGCCACATGAACCACGCCCTGCAGCCCTTGGACGCCGCGGTTGAGGAAGCCCGTCTCGCGTCCGGCCTTTACTACAAGCTGGAAGACGGCTTCATCAACACCACCAGTGCAGTGCTCCGACTTATTGAGCGCAACGGCCTCCACGAGTACTGGTACGAGGCGCTAATATTCGCGATCACTCTCGCTGGCCTTCCTCCGATCTTCATACTGGGTAGGAGTGATTACTGGGCCCCGGTCAGGTTGGCTATGCACCGTGCGGCAGACACTGTTGCTCACGCAATGTCGTCACCAGAAAATGCCAGAGAGGTGTTGCTGAATCTCAGAGCTCGGGTGCTCGGGACGTTACTGGCGTTGCAGCCAACTACTAGGATGCTGCGGCCAACTACCAGGATGCTGCGGCCAACTGTTTCGCAACCATATGTGTTGCAGGCAACTACATTATAAGCCTAGATCTGTGCAAGGGTTACATGGAATGGGAGGGGAGGGAGGAGCTACATGAACATGAATCATTGGTGATTGGTGATATTTGATCACTTGAATGTCTGCTGGGACATCAATTGGAACTAGCTTAGAAGCGTAGGAGCTCGTACAGTAGAGTTGAGATTCAATTTGAATCAACGGTCTCCTTGAAAGAGATCCGCTTCCATTTCATCCTCCATTTTCTGGGTATTTGGTCCCCCTGACTCCTCATAGCACCATTGTGCATACCATGACAGAGTTTGCTTCCTTCGCTTGTCCGAGGTACCCTTTGGGTCGATGTTGACTCATACATCATTGAACGGCTCTGATTGTTGGTCACAGCTGAAATTCCCGTCTTGTCGTCATTTTCGGAGCGAGACATCCTCCCATGTGGTTTTCATCGTACTCCCGACAATTTTTTTTGATTTGGTTTTTAGGTGTTTTCGGCTCTTGTGGGTCTTTTTTTCCTTCTTTGGAAAGGTTTTCGCTTTTGTCAGGAGCATTGAACACGGAAGGGCTGGGAATGTCGCCATTGCTGAAGATCCAATGTGACTATGTCGGATGAATATCGCCAATACCCTGTGAAGGCAAAATACTCAGCATCACCTTTGATTCATCTCGCACCTGCTTGTCCAATGAAATCTTGAGTTCGAGCGGTTCGTAAAGCCGGCCAAGATAAACTTGGGAGCGTTTTACTTTGTTGGACCTGAGAGCATGTTGCGGAGAACCCCTTCGAGATGATCCATATCCTGTTGAATTTTGAGCCAAGTCATCTCTGCCTTCGCAGCTTCTATCTTGGCCTGTTCCAGTGCCTTTGCTCCATCCCGAGCCTTGTTGACAATTGCAACCATGCATTTAGACAGCTCGATGAATTGAACCTTACGCTCCCCGTCAGGTTCGGCAAGTGCACGATTCAAAAGTGTGTGCACCAGCTCTGTAGCACTATCGAGTGATGCAGGAGGTGTAGGCGTGGGTGTTTCGCTCAAGGCCGGAGTTGACGATCTGTGGGGAATGAGGGATGCAGACGCGGGGATGATTGGAGATGCAGAGTCGGGATTGACTTGAGATTCTGAAGTCGAGGTGGTTGAGGAGTCCATGATGCCAGCAGTGAACGGTGTGACCGGGTCAGCAAAAGGATCCGAAATCACAAATTCCTGAGTGTTATTATCGCTGCTCGAAGACTCACGTACTGCTGAACCAGGGTTCAACAGTGTGTTGGGAAACTTGGCCGACTGTTGGACTCGATTGTGGCGAACAGAGTCAAAGTTGCGCACACCAAGCTTACTGGGTATCTTCCTCAGAGAAGAAGTGACACTGCCATCTCCACGTTGAAAGTCAGTCGAACGCTTGGCGAAGAGGCCACGCATTTGAGAGAGGACTTTCTTGCTGGATGAAGGACCTTGATGTGACTCGCTTGCAGCTTCTGGGCCAGGACTGACACTCTGCGAGAATGTCTTCACAAGTCTGGGCAGTCGCATTCCGCGCAATTTGGGAGCCTGTGCTTTGGAGGCTTGTTCTAGGAAACGATTTCCGGTCTCAATTCCCTTTGTAGACGAGATATCGATCGGGGCAGGATTGGCCTTAGGCTTTCGAGAAGATGTACGAGTCGGATAGCTTGTGGCAGCTGGGGTAAATGCACCAGGTTCCATGCCGTGAATACGAGATGGCAAATCATCGATGGACTGCTCCTGGCTGAGGTCTTCTTCATCTACGCCCTGGAACCACAACTGAGCATTCTGCTTGCTTGGGTCCACACGCTGGGTCACCTGCGAAGGTCTACCAATAGTTGACGGACGAGTGCGTAGACGTTGAATCGGCCCAGGGTCAGGTCCTTCTGGGGAGGAATCCTGGGAAACTGCAATCACATGGTTGGATGGCAATGCAAAGCGCTCCAAGTTCGTTTGATCATGGCCAGATGGAAGGCAGCTAGAGCTACTCTCAACAGCGATTGAATGATGGACAGATGTGTAAGGCGGGCCTTGGTCCCAGTCATGTTGCTCATCGTCATTGTCATGCATGAGACCGTCGTTATCGAGATCAGTGTCTGGAAGCAATCTCTGCATGTCATCTTCGCTACTATCGCCTCTACGCGTGGCGAAGGAGCGGTTGGTAATAGTTTCAATTGCCAAACCGCGAAGACCACGTTGAGTGCGTCTCAGTCTCAAACCGGCTGTAGAATTAGATTGAGTCGCAGGCGCATCTTCTACGCCAAGTAGAAGATCGCTAGCTTCATCCCGAACAATCAAGGTGGGCCCACTTGCATCGGCGGCTCGGAGCCGACGAATGTGGAAGGCACCATCTTTGTCGTAGCCATGGACAGGATTGTCGGAACCATCATGCACATTATCGTCAGAATTTTCGACAGAACCATCCGGGGTATCATCCTCCTAGGCTGATACCTCGACGTATGGGACTTGCATTGGTGACGTCTGTTCCACAGCCAGAAAGTCTTCGTCTGACATGGCAGCTGGAAGCTCATAGCCAGCAAACTGATCACCCGAGCCTTGGGGGTCTGCGGTAGGTAAGAATCCTGGTGTGCATTTTCGGAGGTCGTTCTGGTCAGCTTCTATGACACCAGCAGCGTTCTGATAAATGAAAGAGGTCTTTGGATCTGGATCGATATATTCGGGTGATTGACGAGAAGAACGGATTGGCAAAGGAATCGAACTCTTATAGCGACTGGGATCGTATCCGTCGGAGGCTTTCTTCTCCGTGGAAGGTAAGCCAACAGATTCTTGCGGAATGTATCGTCGAAATTCATCTAGGGGTGCCTTGCCCTTGCCCTGTCCCGAGTTGGAACGAGCAGGGAAGGAATAGGGAGAGCCTGTTTCAGTAACACCATGTCGAGCTAGAGGGGAGCTCTGAGATCTCTTTTCGAGTGAGTTCTGCAGTCTCATAGCCGAAGTCTTGGTCTGTCGGATCGACGGTCCTGCTTCCACGTGACGCGACAGCGACTCCATCATTGAATCTCTCGGCTTTGGCACCTGGCTAGAGGAGAGACGGCCAGCACCAGTGGCAGATCGTCTGAGGATGTTCGCGGGCGCGGCACTGCGATGAGATCCGTGACCATAGTTGAATGTTGATGTTGCGGTCTGATGGATATGGGAGGTATCATGCTTCTCAGGATTTCCAGTCAAGGTCAAGTTGTTCATGCCTTCAATCACACTCTCGCCCAAGCTCGGCTTGATTTTTGGTTGTTGACCCTGGCCGACATCGTTGTCAGTGACTTTTGTAAGTTAAACGGGGGACCAGTGCACTCCCTGAGGCTCCCAATGATCAGGAGACACGAAGTGGTCGCTCTCTGCAGTCAATCAAGGTATAACTTACATGCGAACTATGTATGGCACCAAGGGGTGGAAGACTGGGCAATGGTTTGTCATGGGGACTTGCGTGGCCAATAGGGGGGCGAGTACGAGAACCTTCGAGAGAACGAACTCGCTGACTGATGATCTCGTCACAAATCTAGAGCTTATTAGAGGGTTTCAAGGCAATTGATATTGTGAAACGTACAGTAGGCTTTTGCAGAGACTGGCCAGTCACGGAAGAGTCTGGTTTGTTGTCCATGGTGTCAATGTGGCGACGTGAAATCTTAGCAGCTCCTTTGGAGAATCCAAGCCTTCTCGTCGCACTGGCAACCCACGGCTTTGACTTCTTGGAAGGATCTGTCGAGGGTGTAGCTTTAGATGCTGGTGCGAGTGTAGATGACGATGAAGAAGACTTAAACCAGAGGGGAGTTTTGTTTCGTGATCTCTGTGTGAATGTCGCGGTCTCGGCGGACTTTTGAGCTGGGGCTGAAAAGGGGGGCGATGGAGAGGACGGTTGTCGAATGCCTTTGGCTCTAGCACTGACGCCAGTTGCTTTGCGCAGACCTCTGTTGGCCGGTGAGCCTGAGCTCTCACGGTCTCCTCTGCTAGAGGACATGCTTGACCAAACGAAGTAAGAGCGGCAATGCTTCAAGAACGCAAGAGGGAAAAGGTTAAAAGAATTGACTTCCGACCTTTTGTTTGTTGGGCCAAGAGCGCGTAAGGAGAGAGACTACATTGGTACTGGGGAGCGCAGCAAGCTGACTCCCTCAAAATGACTCTCTTTGAGCATCGCTTAATGCGCTCATGCGCTCCCCTGTACCGTGATCTCTGTCTTCACGCGCACCAATAAAGTGCGAAGCCCACACATACTCAGACCATTCCCGGCGCAAAGCAGGCTGTTTGTCAGCCGCCAACGATGATGTCTTGCACTCGCTGACAGAGAACGTCACAACAAGCATTGTGCAGAGCCCAGTCATTCGTTCTCGTCGTCTTCTTTGGTCGCACTCTGGGAGTCACCGGTCGATTTCTTTTGTTTACTCGATTCATACGCTGCCATATTCGGCTGGACCCATTGAGGACCGCCATAATCGTCATCTCTCATGCGAGTGGAGTCGTCAATGGGAATACCTTGGGCATCAGCCAAAGCTTCCAGTCTTCTTTGCTCCTGAAGCATGTCTCTTAGGAAATCAGTGGTTTTCCCTAACATGACCTGCTCGCTCCGTTCCTGTCCTTGTGCGCCGGGCACCATTTGCGAGAGCTCCGTGAAGCGTTCACGAATGGCAGTCCGCCGTTTGTTCTCGGCATCTTTGTGGTTGAAGTTCTTCTGAGACGCTGTCAGTCTAGGCTTGCTGGCCTTCGATTTCTTTGAAGAGCCTGCTGGAGTGGTGGACGGTTTTTTCGCCTCAGAGGTAGTTGACGATGCCGGAGAGGAGCCGTTGGACTCCGTGGCTCTGTCTTCTTCATTCGACATTTTGAGGGACTCTAGTTGGAGAAGTCACAAACAGCTGTAGCCGGCAGAAGGCTGGCTGGCCTGTCGTGGGCTATTTCAATGAGTGGCCTGAGACTGGGGTGGCCCGGATCAAGAGGGACGTCGAGCTGTGGCGAGAAGGCATAGGATTCCTTCAGTGAACAGACCGATTCTTCAAGCTTTTCTCTAAGCAGAGGTAGACTTGAGCTTGAATGGCCCTACCTATAGAGGTTTCATTGAGGGTTGTTTTCTTCAGATTTGAGCTATTCAGTTGTCAACAAGTTCACGTTCAGGTTCAAACATTGAAAGGAAGCTGACGTTCCTCAAACAAGCTTTCAGTGGACGGCGCTAACACTACTAGCGCCGGAAACAACCGAGACGTGCATGTGCTTAACTCCGACACCAGAACCCTCCATCTCGTGCTGGATCATTCGAATCAACGAAACATTCCTCCACTGATTCCGTTGGATATCAAACAGTTAAAGCATTTGCTGATCACGCCATTACGTCGATCTGCGTTGCCGATATATCGCCTACACCTACACCTACACCTATTTGAGCGAGCTACGATGAGCCAACTCCGGCCGATCCACGGCGCTTGTAATTGTGGACGCAACCTCTACTCAATCACAGTCCCCGAGGGTGCGGTGGAACGAGCCGAAGTATACTTTGACGACAGCAGCGAGAGCAGTAAACCCTGCCCCCTTGAAAATGCCCAGCTTCAGTTGTGTTTTCCAACTAACAGTCTCATTGCAGGACGAAGTCAAGCGACTCCGCTGACAGCATGGCTGCGGGTGCCATTGCCATGGTTCGCATCCGCCACACAAGCCCATTTCCCCGATGAAACTCACTCCTCCATACGGAAGATATTCACCCCTCTACACACCCCTCATTGTCAGCGGGTATTCTGTGGTTATTGTGGAACACATCTCTCGTACTGGACTGAACAACCAGCGTCGGAAGCGGAGTACCTGAGTGTCACACTAGGAAGTCTCCTCACCGAAGACCTAAGAGCTCTACAGGAATTAGACTTATTGCCGGGCGACATTGACTCCGAAGCTCTAGAGTGGCATCCAAGCCAGCAACAGCGACGAGACACAAGCTCAAGTTCAGCTGTGCCCACACACCGGCCCCAGGAGCCTCAAGAAGAATCCGCAGCAGTCACACAGGGCCAGCGGAATGGGAAGACAGGAGGTCTCTCCTGGTTTGAAGAGCTGCTCGAAGGGAGCCGCCTTGGACGCAGGCACAAGACTCGACGGGGCCATGGCATTGGCGCTGATGGCTCAACAATAGTGGAGTGGGAGGTGTCTGAAGATTTCGACGACGGGACACAGCTGCACGATCCAGGCCAGCCAGCGTCGGATTCAACAAGCTCGAAACGCAAGATCGATGACGTGACCCAGGGCGAAAGGGGCGATGATGTTACGATGAATGGATAACCCGGGTGTGCGCCGGCTGTGAAATGCGTTGGGGGGAAACATAATTAATGAATGGGGCTGGAAGGGACTCCAATGGACTTTTTACGACTACGTATGATGACACCATTTACACACCTGAAATTCACATACATAGACATAGCACACTGGCAGCCCCCGCATTGCACAGTTCCAGAGTTGGCAGTGGGGAAGAGAAGATGGCTGTACAGTAAATGGGATGGGATATCACACTAGCACCAGAGTAGCATGGATGTACAAAGCACTTGTTCATTCATTTCCACAACACTCGAAAGATCGGATAGTCATCCCCTGGCACAAGCGGCACAATGTTCATCGTGGCGAAACTGTCCACACCCTCAGGTTCGAGTGCTATGAAGGCCAGAGCGGCCATTTTTTGCACCGTGCTAACCTGAAAGCTTCCAACCGGTAATTGAATGACCTTCCTCAGCAGCTTTGTTTTCACCTTTGCGCGGACAGCGCCTTCGTGATACTCGTTCTCGAATTCAACGGAAGTGATCTGTAATACCTCGACCTCGTCGCGAAATGCCTGCTCCAGTGTTGTTACATCGATACCATTCACTAACAGGCGGGGGATCAGTTCAGACCATGCCTTTGGTATCAGGTACGCCCGTGGTCTGGCCCGTGTCAACTTCGGGCTCAGTGGCGTGCTGCTCTTCACAATAGAGGGCACTTCGACCAGCCTACCTCCGTGAAGATCGACGAATGGCCAGCTGCATTTGATAATCTTCGGAGCGTCAGTAACGACAATATCTTCGCGACTGTCGATGAAAGCTTGTCTCGCAAGATGCACCTTCGACCAGACCTCATCAGCGCGTTGCGCAGCGGTTGAGACTACGGCGTCTAACATTGTCAATCCTGTGAATGTCCTTCGCGCAAAATGTTGGTCCGCGATGCCTATCCCCCGGGTCTCACAGAGGATGGCGACGGCTTGAGTCAGCCCCCACGCATTGCGAGCTATGCATCCCTCGCCACCAGCTTCACTGAAACTCAAACGTCCATCGTCGGTAGCATTTCTCCGGCCCGTCGAATAAGGTGCGCAGCGCAGGCCTACAGCCTCCAACGCGGCTCCGATGCTGTGTGCAAAGATATCCTCCGACAGACGGCGGATATCCGGGTGGATGTTGAGGTTCTTCCCCACGGCAAACTGACCATCTAGAACGCGAACATACCGTTCCGCATACCGCGCCTTTGCGCTGAATTCGTGCATGTCAACTGCGACGTGGGGAGCAAATGCATTGAAAAGCGACTTCGTATGCCGTGTCTGCTCCGACCGCAACTTGATGTGGTCTCGTGCTGGGTCGAAATTGGTGGCGAAGCGGCGTTGGAAGTACGCGACGCCGTCGGGATTGTATCGTGGCAGTATCAGAATGTCCAACTTCTGCAGGAGTGACAGTGCCCGACTGTGGTTCGCATCGAGGCTTCCGAGAAACGCTAGAATCGATTGCTCGCTTGCAGGCTCATCTCCATGAGTTGACCCTTGGATCCAGACGCGGAGCTTATTGGGGTCTCTGGGCAAGGTCTGAGATGACGTAGATGTAGACAATACCACATATGGTATATTTCTGCCTTCTTCGGATGGGAAGTCTGCGGTCTCGTGTCTCATCCACTCATTGCGGCTTGCTAGGTCACCGAGAGAACGGACTACTTTGTTCGTTAGCTTTCAGGTGCGATTTTCAAGTGCAGAGATAATCACCAAGAACAGAGTCGTCGGTGGGCCCAGATGTCCCATTCGCAAATGTCACGGGGACCGTTTCAGGAGATGTAAAGGCCGGGGACAACAGGGTCACATCTGGGTCAGGAAAATTTACTGCAACAATTCCGGGGTCTCTGATGACATACGGTGAATTGTGGCCGTATGCTTTTGGCTGATCAAGCTGTCAGCGCCACGATCTCATGAAGGGCTAGAAATTCAGTGGCATGCTCTATGAATGCCACTTTGTAGCAAGGGCTAGCTTATAGCTTTGAAAGTTCATGCAGGCATTTGTTAAGCAGCCTTGCATGGCGAAGGGCGTGGATACACCAATATGTAGCATCAAAACTAGCAATATCATTGAGACGCCAATCCTTGTGAAGGTACATTGGGTTGATTCTAACCAAGACGAGACACCATATTCCAGTAGCACAAAGAAAGGAACGAGGACTTTAAACTTGCCTTCCGTTGCATTCTAAGTCCCTCAGTTTCTTGCCGCTCTTGCAAGACCAGAATAATCGAGTTGTTGCCCACAGAGTAATTACCATACTCATTCCTCCCCGTGTCACGTAGCGGAGCCTCGTTCTCTATCGGCTAACTTCCCCTATAGGAGTGGGTAACTTTTCTTTATGGCGACTCTTCAGTCTTGACTGAAGTGGCCTGCTAGTTGGTACTACTTCTAAATCCACAATATTGAACGCTCAAATACACAGGCTATGAAGTTATAATTAGTAAGGTTTTGAGTGGACTTTCTAAAGAGCGTCTTGTTGACAGCCCGACATTCTGGGTCTAACGGTGGATAAATAATGTTGCTACAAATGCTAGCACTACCTCGAGGTTCGTCCATGAGCAGTAGCTGCAGATGGTCGGCTTTTATCCACATGAGCATCATCTTCTCATACATGGGCTTACCAAGCACATCAAACACACCGTCAACCACCACATCGCAGACCTCACCAGCAGTGTGAACGCCGACAACATGTGAACCTGTGGGAGAAACGCATTGTAATAGTACTCTCCCTTGGCTCATACCATTTGAATGATTTATGGCGATCTCGTGTTCTCATTTATTGTCATCGGTGCTGTCCCGGTCCTCTACCCCGACGTTCAACTTATACACTCTGGAGCAAGTAGCTTTCTCCGGAGTGACAATTACCAGGGTGGGATCTACTGGACGCAGGATGCTCCACCTCGGATGAGAAGCCGATTTATTGGCAACCCTGGCCCCCTGAACCCGCTATCGGGATGGCGACCACATAACGGTCATCATTGCAGCAACTTCTGGAGAGGGCGGTACCATACCCGTGCCAAATATGATGGTTAAGAAAACGGGTCACTTAATCTCTTCGATGCCTGTAACCAGTCTTTGAGCAACCATGCCTGAACTCATTGTCCTTAGCGACGCGGTGGTCAGTGACATCAAGATCAATGTGGACCGAAATGACATTTGTCGCATTTTGAGACAGTATCTCTAAGGCACTGGTTGAATTCTCAGCAACTAATGAACGGAAATGTGAGCCCTAGCCCAGCGTAGTCACTCGCTCGGACGGCCGCAAGACCTTAAGATCGTTCACGTCAAGCAACGGTTCAGGCTGAACTGGAGCAGCTGGGCAATACTTTGAATACCCTCAAAGAGCACAGCTTTAGTATGCCCATGCAGGCTCAGCCTCTTGGGGACACAAAATTTGCCAATGAGGCTATACCAGATGACGGCCTGCAACGGCCAATCGGCAATGCCATGGTATAGCGTACAGGCAATGATGATTGATCTGGGAGCATTTGGACAGCCATCCGAATATTGAACATGGAAGAATGCCTCGAGGTCCGTGCAGTTGATGAGTGCTGCAGACCTTCTGGATGGTGATCAATGATATATCGGCTCTAGCGAGTTTTTCACATTTCAACTTGATGCCATCTTGCTACAGGATCTGGTTGCAGCTATTCATATATGAATTTATATTGCAAGAGTTCAGTTCACAGTCAAGGGAATCATTTTCTGCTGGTTCAAGTAAAAGGTGTGCATACTGGTAAATATCAGGAGGAAGGGGTCAGCATTACGATTTCTTCTAGATCTGTGTAGGTGAAGGGAATACTCAAAATCAGGGAGCCTTAAACATTGTGAGCTTACAAACGTGCTCCCATTACCCTAGCCTGCTCTTTGGTAACCTCTCTGATTTCTTCTGTCGTTCCGATTCTCCAACTCACGTCGTCGCCCCATTCATTGGCGCCTTTCCCTTGAATTTGTCTCCATTGCCACCTAGTCAGGCTTTGTTTTCCATCTTTCAAGAGTTGGACAACCCACTCTCCGACAATTGGCATCATTTTGAATCCGTGTCCGGAGTCTCCAGATAGCACGATCAAGGAGTTACTCGTATTTGGAACAAAATCAACTGTGTATTCCGAGTCACCAGTGTCCGCGAACCAGCACATTTTTTTATCTACAAAGGGGCGGCCTGCCAACCACGGCAATGTCTCCCGTAATAGTGTTCGCAATTTTTTTTCATCGATCGCCGGGATATAATCTTTCGTTGCTTGTAGAGTCTCTCCAGGAGGTAAAGAAATGCCCGTATTCTTATCAGTGTTGATATAACCTGCACCCAGAGGACACAGCTTCAAGAGCCGGGTGGCCGGATCAGGCTCAAAGAAAAAGCCTAGATCTCGAACATTAAGGACAGGGATACCACGGAGGTAATCACATTCCCGCTCTGTGAGTTGAACGTGGGCAACGGACCAAGATTTTGCCTTGACGTACGAGCCGATATCAGGGATGAGCATCGCGGCCCACGCGCCGAGACAGGCGATGGTGATTGTAGCTCTGTGGACCTTTCCACTAGCCACCTGGAATCCAGTACATCGCCGCCCGGGCCCATCACGATCGTCGCTGTAAAGAAGTTTTACTGCCTTGCCCTCTACGGAACCAAGGACAAATTTAACTCCTCTACCAGCCAGATGCTGATACATATCAGCCATTACGTTGGATGAGTGAGCGTAACCCGCAAGCCGATTATGATAGCCTCGGAAGCCATTTAGTGGACCGCTAAATTGCCAAAACACGTCCTTGAATGCCTGAGATGTATCCAAAGACGTAATCCCACCAGAGAATACAGGATGATCCTTCACCGAACCAAGTGCTTTCTGTAGGTGTTTGACTGCTTTATCAGGCGCTGCACCTGTCACGGCAACCACGTAACCCACCTGGTGAAAATTTCTCCCCCAAAGGGGAGTCTTCCAGGTATTTATCGCTTTCTAGAACCTAGCATCAGCACCCATAGCCAAATCCATAATATCACCCCATTTCTGGGTCGACCTACCAGCGCTAGTTCAGTGTAAAATTCATCTTCATATTCAGCTCGAACGATCTTGTTCAAGTCGTAGGCACCAGAGTACGGTGATGGTATCTGAGATGCTTGATCGTAGACCGTGATATTTGTATGTCCTGTGTTGAGGAGATGGAGAGCGGTCGACAAGCCCCAGGCGCCAGCTCCTAGGATGGCCACAGGCTCTGCTGTATTAATAGTCATGCTTCGATTGTGAGTTGCAATACAATGCGGATTGTCCTAATGCCGGGGGCAAATTGTTGTGATAATTTATCACTCGCAGAATCGTGTAACGAGTTATCAAGGGGTTGATTAAGCCGCAACAGCGAGGATCAGTCAATTGGAGTCAGTCAAATGCTGGCCATCATCTAGAAGGGCCAACATTTTGTTCTTTCAAAATGAAGGGTAGGAATGGACGCCTCGGGAGGCCTTCCCGGTCGAGCCTTTAGAAGCGGAAGGCCATCCGTTCTGTTCTCTACCCCTCGGCTTTTTCCTACCCAAATATGTTCCCTAGTTTATGGGAATAGCATCAGGCCAGGACACCCGAACTAATCCACAAAGCAAGAATCATCAATCATGTGCACGCATGGGGTATCTAGAGAAGTAAGCAGCTAGGAATGCTACTCGCCCCTTGTGGTCAATTCAAAGAAGTCTTTTGATTTTGAATCTGCGGCGACGAACAGTTGAATAGTGCCACAATATGTGGAGATTCGGATGCAATTCCGAACCCCTGGTCGCACTGGGTAGCTTCCCAACCTGCGTCGAATCAGGTCAGCCGCGGATGTGACAATTGGAATTATATAGTAAGGGAGTCTCTTTACAGAGCGGCTTACTTCCTCGATTGGAGGCTTCTGCGATCCCTCGGATCCAAGCAAATCTGATGTCTTGGGACCATAGAGAGCTAACTTCCCACCTTTTCTGCGATGTCGTTGCTGCGGCATCCGCATCATTAGCTGTGTCACCGCTTGTGGCTGTGGTAGATAGGTGAGGCTTACTACCAGAAACTGGAATTTCTCGATGGCTTCCGAGAGGAGCTTCGTGGGTCTTGTCCTAATTTTCTTGCAGCTCCATTATCCAAGTCGCTTCCTCAAGCCGCCGAAGACGTATATTACCGCTGCTATGGAAGAGTTGCAAGCCATTACTCTTGTCTCCTCATAGGTATATTGTCTCAAGGGCTTCACGACTGCTTTTCATGGTGTACTCTGGCACGTATACAACTGCCAACAGCATAGATTCTCTCCAACACTGCTTCAAGGGCAGGCTCAGCTCCCCAGTTTCTCCCACGGCAGTCAAGCTTATAGGTGTTTCGACTGTCAGTACCAGTTTGACGGTCTACAAAGACTCCTGCTTGACTCAGATGTTTGGTGCCGCTGCTAAGCCGAAGCCTGTGCCGCCGATAAGCTACATCCTCTTCATTCTCCGCGACGTCCTCACCATCTATGGCTGCTTTGTCTGCCCACCTATTCTCGCCGCGCGTCTCGAAAGCCTTCCTGCCAGCTTTAAGCATCAACTTCTGCTGAGCACACCTGAGGCCCGCTTACGAGTATCCCAGTTTATGCTACCGGTAATGATACAGGTCGTCAGTACGCCAATACACCTGTCGGCCCTTGACTTGTACAACCGGCCACACCGAGGTTTGAGTGCCTCGGATCGTTTGGCAAGGGTGGCAAGGGACCTTTCTGCGGCGATTCCGACAAGAATGCTGCGGATATTACCTGCCTTTGGCGTGGGAGGCGTGCTGAACACAGAAATCAGAGAAGCGATGAAGAGAAAATTAGACCATCTTAGTGCCCATTTGGCCCGTGTGTAGATTACCCACTATCATTGGGATCGAAGTCATATCAAGTGTAGCGTCGTTCAAAATGCTAAAGCTAGCTTCACTAACCATTAAAAATCTAAGGCTATGTTCTAAAGCAACATCGGCCTCTTCAAGAGTTCCTTCAATACAGCCATTAGTGTCCCACGGCTCCTCGTTACAGCGTCGCTGTTCTCTTCTGCTCGTCGGAGCATGTACAACAAACAATCAGACAAGGTGCCCCAAACGGTATATTTATAGACACTCAATTCTGGATAGTTAGAAACTGGAGCTTTAGGGTCTCGCACTCGGGCAAAGGTCAAGTTCTGATGTGCATGAGTTGTGAGGATTGAATCTTGCCCGTAGTCGAGTGTAGTTTCGGTAGTAATTTGCCCCAAATGCGCCGCGAGCGACAACGACAGCTCGTCCGCCATGCCCATGAGCTGTGCAAAGGCGAGACCTTGAACCCTGTCTTTGAATTTGGTAATGGACATGTACTGTTTCAAGGCTTCTTGAACGCTCCGTGTGTTGTGCGTGGCAAGCATGATATCAGTAGTCCACTTCTCGGCATGAGTCGACCCCTCCTCAAGTCCATTTGCCCGATCATCGAGCAAAAACTTCACCGCGGCATCATATGCTTCATCCGTGTTCTGTTTACTATCGTGAATGATCTCCCGGTCAGGTTCAACGGACATATACGCACCCCTTACGAGCTTGAGCCCCAAGGTGTAGTTATGATCAACCGAATGTTGGAGATGCCGCTTGATCTTGTCGATATTGTTCTTGAGGTAGAGCTGGTAGGTGTTCAGAATTGTGGCTCTGCCATTCTCGTTACGACTACTGTTGCTGTGCTGGTTGAACTCGGCCATTAAATTCAGTGATATCTCGTCTATGGCACGCTGGTAGCGTGAGCCTTCGGCGTCGACCAGGATACGGACTCGTCTTGACTGGGCTTTCGTGCATATTTGTCGCATCGCGTCTTGGAGGATTTGATGCTCTTGCTTGAGATTCGTCTCCATTTCATTGGTGGAGGCTGGCGAACCTGATTCCCATGTACAGGCCGAAGTATACCGCTTCAGAAAGTCGACTGAGGCTGGTCCTGCTCCTGTGACCCTCAACGCGACGTAGTCCCCTGGAAACAGCATTTCTATGGTCTGAAGATTGGATTGAACCCAGTTGTTCAGATCTTGGTCAGTCCTCGTCAGCGTCACCGCTTGTGTCGAAGTCTGTCGTACTGCTGCCTCTTTTGCGTAAGTCAAGATTACACCATCAACGCTCCTCTTTCGAATGGCAGCGGTGTTGGATATGATCTCGCTCATATTGGAACCAATGCAAAAGTGCTTGTAGAAGGTGTTCCTGATCATCCAGCTTAGCAACCTGCTGCGACTCAGAAGACTCGCGCGATCTTTGGCCATTTGTATGAGAGCGAGGAGCAGGGGTCGAGGCAACGCCGCGACCGACAGAACAAGAAGTGACCGTAGAAGGTCTGCGACCGGCATTTTTCTAAATGGTCTTCCTTGGAATGCATTGATACTGCCGGGTTGCACCTCACACTGGGTTGTTGACAATAACTGGGAGCCTTTATCATGGCCCAAGGTGGCTGCGTATGCTTTTGAATGCCTTGCTGTGTTGCTAAACCTTGAAATTGCAATTTTACCTATAGAGGGCGAGTGCAGGTAGCGGGAGAAGGGTGAGAGTACCACTTTTGGAGCTCGCGACAGGGCCATGGTCTGTAGTTAATCTGGGCTTCGATCACAGTCTTTCTATAGAAGTCACCTTTGCTACTTGGGGTACTGTTTGAATGTGATGGCCGTAAGACAACAGGCGGCCATCCGAGGCCACATTCTGTAGGCCAAAGGTTGTCCTCCGCCACCCGCTCGGGCTCCTCTCCCGGGAGATCGGCTCAGGAGCCGAGTGCGATCGTTGTTGGCTATTTCGGTTCGCGAGATACCGAGGAAATCTTGTTGCTATAATAGCCGTCTCTATGGTCTTGGGCCTTAACGCTAATGTTCAAGACTTGTTAATATAGTGCTGAGCCTACTGAAGCCCTGAGTTATGTAACTAAAAGAGAAGAATATAGAAGCATGAACCGTTTGTCGTAAGCTGCATGACTAGCTTCGTACCTGCATGATTGTCCAACCATAAATATAATGATACCGATGTTTGGAAAAGGTAACGCGGGATTGATAGTCGCTGTGGCATCGTGGATATTGAAGGGTGGGGAGATGAGCAATTGAGCATGAAGGCTCGTGTACCATTACATTGCCACAGTTGAGTCGCAAGTTACCAGATATCTCCAGGGCAGGATCATCATACAAGAAAGAAAGAGGCAACAAGCTCAATCAATCTCACAAGTCCTTGTTATATCACCTTGGAAGCCACTTTTGTGGCCGTCGCACTTTGTAGTCCCGCTCTCACTGTCAGGGCCAGCCAATCCGGAAACCCTCTCATAAGGGATCCCGCCAGCTGTTTCTCAGGAACAAACACACTTCCACTCTCTCCGCGCAGAACCTGCTTCACAACTTGCTCGGCCACATCTGTGGCGGTCAACACGGGCTGCCCGGACTTTTGAAGCTCTGGCGCCCAGCTGCCCACCAATGGAGTATTCGCCCACATGGGATGCACGATGCTCGCTTGAATAGTATGCCCACCTTGGTCCTCGTAGCGGTGCTTCAACTCCAGAACAAGAGATTCGTGCATACCCAGGACGGCGGCCTTCGTGGCGCAGTAATCTCCCAGCGACGCTTGTCCAGTGTAACTGGCCATGCTCGCGATGGAGACGATGTGGCCCTTCCGTTGTTTCATCATGGTTGGCAGAATCAAACGGATAAGCGTGAAGTGTGACATGACGTTGATGCGGAAGATTTTCTCCAGGAATGCATCCGATGTGTCGAGAATCGTGTGGGCCTGAGCTATCCCGGCATTGTTGATCAGCACCGTTGGTGGGGATTGCGAGAGGACTTGGGAGATGACGTTGTGAATGTCTTCGTTGGACGTAAGGTCGACTTTGTGGTAAGTCAAACGGGATACTAGGTAGAGAAATCAGCACTGTTGGATGTGGTGGTAATTCTGATGGACGAAAACAAAAGAATAGATCAGCTTTAGGGTGAGCATACCATCCTGGAGATCTGCAGGTAGATCTTGGACGTCGAGAACCAAGATCTTGCTCTTCGTCTGTCGCGAGAAGATCTTGACCATCTCCTTGCCAAACCCGCTACATCCTCCTGTGATCAAGATCGTCTCCTTCCCTTCCGTGTGGAAGTCCCATGGGACGCCCTGTTTCTTCAAATGGCCATAATTCAGCGCGAGACGGTTGAAGAACCGGTTGAGATGAATGATAACGCCCAGGGCAAAAATATATCTCAAGGTCTTCAGCAGTGGGGTTGCTCTGAGGGTCACATCGTTGCGAAGATTGAAAGGGAGGGAGAAGGGGAGTGCAAGGGTCAGATCCCTGAACCACGGGATCTTCTCCACAGCAGAGGGGTTGATTTTGGTAAGATACAAGAGAAGGGGTCCTGAGACATATGGGGAAAGGAGAATTTGTTTCGGAGATGGGAATGTGGACAACAAGGATTGAACTGCCATGGTCAAGAATATCGCTCTGTTGTGAAATGTGAGTTCTGATCAATAGGTTTGGTCGCCTAGATTGCTTGCTTGGAACACTGTAGTCACAAGACGATCGATGTTCGCCGTGGGCAACGAAAGAGCCGCTGCTATCACCGTGAAAGATGTTTTCCCATGGGCTTACACAAGACAGAAGATAATCACCCAGCATGGTGTAGGGTACATATATTATATGACTCTGGAGGACGTATGAGCCAGGGCTTCACCAACCCGGCAACCCCGCTTCAAGTCGATACGAGAGCACAGAGAAACGAAATACGAGGCCATGTCAGCTACAAGTTGGAAAGGAAGGGGGCGAAGGAACGTGAGAAGTACCCTTTTTTGGGAGCGGAAAGGGAGAGGAGAAGCTCCCGAGAGGTGGGATGCAGACGTCAAGACCTCGGCATATCGCCACAGACACAACAGACGCGGAAGAGGGGCAAGCTGAAGCAATCAGAAGACCTCCAGGCATCAGGATAGCTGGTACCGGAAGAGCTTTAGTGGTGTTTCCAGAGCCCGGGTTCCCTGCAGTTGAGTAATTAATCAAAGTGCAATTTCATTCGATTAGGCTCTTTGAAGTATCATAATTCAGTTCAAGCCAACAAAACCTTGGGGAAGAGGCAGTTGGTGGTATCTAGAGGTTACACCTAGCACTCTCACGTAGCAATGAGAAAGAGAGAAGTGCGCGCGCCTGTGTCCAAAGTCAGAAGACGAATCATCTAGCCAAACAAGTTCGTTCAAGACTCCCGCTATAGAGATTTATGCCAGTCATCACTACCGCTTTATCCCAATCATGATGTGCGCCAGCGTAGATCATGTGCATTCGTGTCCTGGGGAATGATTGCGATAGTCCCAGATTCCAAATCCAATGCGGTACCTCTTACCGGAAAGGTCGTTCATACGTGCCATCGTCGTTCCCAATGGCGCTGACAGGGGGGCTTCGGAAATGACTGAGATCTCCACTGCCAGTCTTCCGTAATGCCTGCCTCATGGTTTCCACATTGATCTCACTGCCGAGTGCCAGAGGCGAGCTTTGGCCGGGCAATGGGCTTCCTGTGCCTCTCGGAGCACGGTGCGGTGATGTTTCAAAGCCCTTGACTGATGCAGTAACACTGGTGGGCGGGGACGTCCCAAACGCTGCCGAAGAGGTAGGGGATCGAATGGGTGAAGGTGATCGAGGGACCACAATGCTGTGATGGCCTGAGAGGTGAGCTGAATCACGGCGGCCCTCTACCAGCTCTTGCTCGCCGTGAACCACGTCGGCGAAGGAGATAAAGCTCAAACGGCGGACATCAGTTTGATCCACCGAACCATAATTCGAGGTCTCGTCAGGTTCCTGTCGCGAAGTGGGTGGGAAATCCTCGGTGACTGAAGACGCCAAAGAATGCTCGGCGCCGACGCCGGTGATGGTCACGGCAGCAGACTGATGGGTTGCATGGGTTACAATTTCCACGGTATCTGGGTCTAGTTTCTCATTGGTAATTGCAGCAGCTGAGGCGTCCAGAGCGGGTGCGATGTGGTTCTCCATGATAACATGTGAGGGAAGATGAGGGGACGTCTCTGGGAGAACAACATCTTCCTGGACATTTCGCTCGAAGATCATGGATGAGGCGGGTGATTGTGGTCTGGAAGATGGACTGTGAATTCCAATGCTGGGGGACGCTGGAAGTGCATATGGAAGGGTGCGACCAGGCGAAACAGGCCCGGCGGATGCATCTTGTGACTTGATGGGAGATGCCGGGCTCAGCCCAAGTCGTGGGCTGATGTCGACGACGGGTTTGCCCTTTGGCTGCTGTTTCTCTTCGTCTGGCTTTTTGAATTTCCAAAAATCTCTCTTTCGATGCTTTGTGGTTGGATCGCTGTCGGAATGTGCTGTAGACGGCCCATGTGGAGTTGGGTGGGAGGAGTTCTTTAACAAGGGAGCAGCTGAATCCTTGGACTCGGTGGAGGGAGTGTTTGTTTTGGGGTGGATGGCATTGATGGAAGGGTCTCTTGAAGACATGGTGGATGATCCGGCGCAGAGCATGAGCTCGTGTCTTGGTTTGTCAGGAAACAAGAAGAGATGGCCAAAATTCACATGTCTCTGGAGGTTTAGTGATTGAGAAGTTTGTGGAAGTGTCCCGAGGACTGGTATACGGGCAATAGGGGGTTGGGTCGGAAGCGGCAGGCAACGTAATGGGGGCGGCGGAGGCAGAGAGGAAAGTGGGATGGGAAATTGGCGAAGAGGGCCTTGGTAGGCTGGGTCCTCGGTGGAGGAGGGTGTATTAAGGAGGATATGGGAGACGGATGGGGTCTGGAGTAACGGTGGTTGTTTGTGCTTGGCCCAACAGAGAAATGGGCGAGATCGAGGGCGAGGTATGTAAACAAGATGGAGGGAGGTGGTCAAGGGAATGATGGATGGTGTTGAGGAACTGAAGACGGAGACGGAGATGGAGATGGGGATGGAGATAGAGGGGGACAACAGTAGACTACCCTATACGAGTACTACTCGTTACTGTTAGGCTTTCGTAGTCCAGCCTAAATTTACCTACCACATCCTAGCCTACCCACTCGTACACATATACGAGTGAAGGAGAGCTACTCGTACGGAGTACGGAGTACCTGGGGAACACTCGTAAGTACTGGGTAATTAACTGGTATCATTAAAGGCTCAGGGCTGAAGGTCCAGGGCCCAAGATCCAGGAGGGGCCGACCAGCAGGTGATCCCACTCAGTCCGGCTCAATCCAGCTCAGTCTTGGTCTTGTGACATGCCAACCCATTTGATGATTTGTGTATCCCCCAATCAAACCTGAGGCTGCAAACAATAAGGGCGCACCCTCGGCTGCGATCCCTTCGTCATTCCTGAATCCTGAGGCTGCAACGAAACTCGAACCCGTGATCTCCATTCGCTGTTCCGAGCCCACGCGGTCGTATCTATATTTATGTATGACCCTACAAGGCAACTCTTCCGGGCTCTAACTGCCCTTAGTCGCGGCTAGTGCACTTGTCCATTAGCCGATGCCAAGCCAGCTAGCCTCACCTGAAGCGCGCTCGTTGCATTGAGCTATTACATACTGCGTTCTACCAGGTTGTCCTCGTCGCTGCCATTTCCTCTCAAAATCTTCACCCTCGTCGCCGACCTCCCCTCGACCTTCTTCCCTCCAATCTGCAGTCTCTAGAGGCAGAAGGTAAATGCAGCCCTTGCTTTGCTATCGGGACTCAAGCCTGGCCATCTAGATCCCTCTCCTCACCCTAGCCACCCAAAGAAGAACTTCTCCGGCTGCTTCACATGCTTCCGCTCTCTGTCGCCCACCGCCGAGTACCCTCCATCCACGCGACGATTCCGGCACTATGCAACCTTTAATCCCGTCGACCACTCCTTTAACCGCGTCCTCGCGCTTTTACAAACTATGTGCTCAGATCCTAGTCCCGTCATTCCGGCGCCATCAATCGTCTGCTCGAAGAACACGATCAAAACTCAATATCAAACCTGATCCTGCTTTCCTACCCTCCAAGACTGAGCAGCATGACCACATCATCCATAACCCACCTCCGAGCATGCCAAATGTCCTCCATACTCCGAATGTCTTCCTACCAAAAACCGACCCCAGAAAGATCCCAAGCCCGCCTCCTTCAAGTCAGGCACCTTCACTGTTCAAGTCTACCGAAAAGCGCTATCATGTAACAGAGGCCCAAGCGGATGAAATGAGGACCTTGCGGGCACAGGATCCTACCACATGGAGCATCAACAAACTGGCAAAGAAGTACGACTGTTCACACCTGTTTGTCCAGTTTGTCGTGGGGAAACTCGCCCCAGAAGCCAAGAAAATGCAACAGGATGTGACAGCTGCCGTCAAGTCTAACTGGAGCAAGTCCAAGAGGATTGCACGAGAAGACCGAGAGATCAGAAGGGAGCTCTGGCAAAGGGATGCATGAGCTGGCCCTTCGGTCGTTGTGTCCGCCTACGATATTCCATGCCTGTAGGAATAAGGTAGAAGAAACGGGGAACTAGAAGTAGATAGGGCTAGAATATTCGAAGCAATACCCCAGATGGTGCACAAGCTATTTGGACCTCTTTCAACCTCTGTTCGGAGATGGAATGTAGTTAATGGGGAACAGATAGGGGACGTGTTGTGTTCGTACAGCCCAATCTTCGGACATGGGAAGCTCGCCATGCTCCAACTCCATGATTTTTGGACGCCACTGCCCCCCAAATGAGCAGTACACCATCCATCCGTACATAACCGCTCCTCGTACTCATTATTCGCTGCCTCGTACTCACATATGTGGTCCAGATATCCCCTCCAGACTTTACACCGCAGTCGGGTTAATCTTTCGATCTCTCAATCCACTTGCCTGGCTCCGTCTAAATACACTCAACTACGCTCATTGTCTACCACACCGTGCCGGGCAAAACACTACTACGGCCACATCTCAGATCACAAGATGGCCCCTCAATTGGAGCCCTATTTCAAGAAGTCAGGACTACGCTTTACTCTACCAATGCCCTGCTAATTAATCTCAGGGTTGATGAGTTGGCCGACACCTTCATTGAACGTGAGCAACCCTTCCCACCTAATCTCGTGCGCATCGCGGGGTATTTGACTCATTCGCCCTCACAGGCCTGCGCAAAGCCGTTGCCATTCCTTCAGTCTCGGCCGATGAAGATAAGAGACCAGAAGTGGTTCGGGTACGTTTGACGCCCTGCCACTGGTAGCAGCATTCAGGCTGACAAGATGATTCACCCTCACAGATGGGCAAGTTCCTTGCCGGAGAACTAAGAGCACTCGGCGCCGAAGTCGAGTTGCGAGAACTGGGAAAACAACCGCACAAAGAACACCTCGATCTGCCTCCCGTGGTCATCGCTCGATATGGAAATGACAAGAAGAAGCGTACGATACTGGTCTACGGCCACTACGATGTCCAACCCGCTTTGCTGGAGGATGGATGGGCCACAGAGCCTTTCACCCTGACCATTGATGACAAGAATCGGATGTACGGCCGTGGCAGCACAGATGATAAGGGCCCCGTGTTAGGATGGCTGAATGCAATCGAAGCACACCAAAAGGCCGGTGTCGACTTCCCCGTCAATCTTCTCTGCTGCTTCGAGGGCATGGAGGAATACGGCTCCGAGGGTCTGGACGAGTTCATCAATGCTGAGGCCAAGAACTACTTTAAGGACACCGACGCTGTGTGCATCTCCGATAACTACTGGCTAGGCACCGAGAAACCATGCCTGACGTACGGGCTTCGTGGAGTCATGTACTACTCGCTTTCCGTCTCCGGGCCCGGCCAGGACTTGCACTCTGGTGTTTTTGGGGGCACGGCCCAGGAACCAATGACTGATCTGGTCCGCCTGATGAGCACCCTCGTCGATGGTCATGGCAAAATCCTGATTCCTGGAATCAACGAACAGGTCGCCCCCCTCACCGACGACGAGAAGGAGCTCTACGGCCCTATCGCATACACCATGGACAATCTGTACGAATCCTTAGGCTCGACAACCAGCATTTTTGAAGACAAGGAACGGACCCTGATGGCCCGCTGGCGGTATCCGTCTCTTTCTCTACACGGTATCGAGGGTGCCTTCTCCGCCCCCGGTGCAAAGACCGTCATCCCCGCCAAGGTCATTGGCAAATTCTCCATCCGCACTGTCCCCGACATGGAAGGCTCCAAAGTCACGGAGCAGGTCATCAAGCATGTAAAGAGCGAGTTCGCCAAGCTCAACTCCAAAAACACCATTGACATCGTCGAGCAGCATGGCGGCAAATGGTGGGTCGCCAGTCCTAAGCATTGGAATTTTGCCGCCGCGGCGAAGGCCGTGAAGGAAGTATTTGGTGTAGATCCAGATTATACTCGTGAGGGCGGCAGTATCCCTGTCACCATTACCTTTGAACAGGCCACGGGAAAGAATGTCTTGCTCCTCCCCATGGGCTCGAGCACAGACGCCGCGCACAGCATCAACGAGAAGCTCGACCGAAGGAACTACATCGAGGGAATCAAACTACTGGGCGCATACTTGCATTATGTTGCCGAAGAGCCCATCAAGGTGGGCTAACTACGTCTTCGAGATGGGGCAGAAGAACCGGATTTGATCCACAAGGACTGGCGTGAAGCATGATAGCTACTTGTTCTGCCCAGGGCATTGTTCGATCGGTATCCGATCAAATCAGAAGTATGCTACAATAAAGCATGCTTAAACTTGTATAGCAAATACTTGAAGTCTCCCTTTGTGCTTCACTGCCCAAAATCTGCCCCACCCATTCGTCATCTTCCAACAGCCAAAGCCTGTCGTTTCTCTCCGTTTCATCTCCCTCCCGGACTACGTAGGCTAGACTGTCCGGGTATGCAGCCGCCACCACATACCCCTTGCTGACCGCCAACTGAGAGCACCATCTTCCACCTCGAAGCACCCTCTATAGGTCTGCGATGTCGTTGGGACCCAGCTTGTTGTGGCTCTGACATCCTTCGATAAACGCCATGGTCCCTCTATCAGCTCCTGTTGTATGTTGTGTTATGAGTAGTCGTGTCGTTGGTTATGTGTTGTTGTAATTATTGGGGTCTCTCAATCTCGCACCCCTGCTTCCGAAAGGCAGGATGCAGGTACTCCGTACTTCAGTTCCGCCCACAGAGTCCGGCTCGGGCTCTTTTGTAAGCTCCAGATGTGGCGGTGTCATTTCGTCCACAACGCGAGCGAATCATTGTCCAAACAGCCTTTCCCACCAGTGTCCATCACTACCGCCCCGTCCACTTCTTTTGATGGTCACTTAGGCGCGTCCGTCAGCGGGACGTACCTGACGCCGATATCCCTCGTCCGGGTGACCTTCCCGTCCTTGTCCTTATCCACGACCCAGATCCATTGGCCGCCCCAACCATCTTCATCGTCCACCGGTATGAACATCCGACCGGGTGATTTCAACTGCTCCATCAGATCCGGATGCATCTCCTTCGCAGCCGCGCCCACATGAATTGCATCGTAGGGGCCTCCGGCCTTATATCCTTTGCGCCCATCCCCAAGAATCAACTCCACCTTGCCCGTGCTCAACAGCCGCCTGCCCTCCTCGCTCCGCCGCATATTACTATCAGCCAAGTCCACCAAGCCCTGGATATGGTCTATCCCCACAACCTTGCCATCTCCCTTCCCGTCTGCGCCACAGACCAGGTTCGCAAGAACATGCGTCAAGTATCCGCTGCCCGAGCCGATGTCCAGCACCCGCGCGCCCTGGTTTTCCGGCAAATGGTTCAGTAGCGATTCGCAGGCGGACGCATGCATGTGTGGAGCGGAGATGGTGGCCCGGAACCCGATCGCCTGCGGCGAGTCTTCATACGCGGCGGAGGGCGACGACGGGCAGTAGTGCGCGCGGTCGACGGAGGACATGGCGTCGCGAACGCGCGGTGCCTTGATTAGCCCTTTCGCGAAGAGATTCGCGATCAGCTCGCTGTTGCTGTGGCCGCTGCAGCGCCATGCCATTGTGGTCGGGGTTTGCGTGATGTGGAAGAGGTCGAATAGTAATTCTGGGTTGTATGAGTGCTTGCAGAAGAGTGTGATCGCAAGGATTGAGATGCTGGTGAAAATGAGGATGAGGATGGGTCGAAGATATGAGGAGGAAAGGTTCATGCAATGTAGTATGGCCCGTTTTATATCCCAATCAATGTTGTGTCATTCGGGTGAGGTGAGGGGTATATAATATTGCGATGACTGTGTAGTAGTGGCTATAAGTCATCCCGCACAGCCTGCGACACGAGGAAGTCATGAATCTCTCACCCACGTGGAATGCAAAAGTGTCAAGATGACGTACTCCGTACTGGTGAGTGACAACTTGAAGTTGGGCGAGGGGCGGAGTCAAGGACATTCATGGCATCATGCGGGGAAGCTGGTCGAAGGGGCGGGGCGGGGCGGAAAATCGAACGCACGACCACTTTGGCTCTTGCAGCATGACCAGTGGGAGATTCGCTTGTTCCCATAGTCGGCAATTTACAAGAGAGGGGCAAAGGCTCGTAATATGAAAATATTCAATTCTTATATCTCCTCCATGACGGAAATTTGAGGCGTTCTTCTTCCTCTGCCTGGCTCCTTGGCTCTCTTCACCTCTCTTCCGGCCACGAGCGGGCTTTTATGCCACGAGTACTTGAAAACTGTATCATCTAGCTGTCCTTTTCTTCTGTCAGGATTACATATATCGAGACAATGGGTATGGGCTGAGTTGAACAGCACTACTCCAGTCTCATTTAGGTCGTCTCTCAGAGCCGTCGTAGCCCCAGATCGAGAAGAATCCGTTTCTTGATTGTACGCCGCCCCTATGCGCTTATGCACTGGCTTTTCCAGCCGGAGTTGCGGCCTCTGCTGCATTCAGTGCGCGTTCGAACCGTTTGGTGAGATCATCCGCTTCCTCTAAACCAACACTTATCCGGACCAAATCAGGCTCAACTCCCCAGCTGCTCGTCCAAGCAAGCTCCAGGTAGTGTGCGAGGATCGTATAAGGGCATGCAAGAGTGAAATTCGTCCCCAAGCTGGGTCCCTTCTGGCACTCAAGCTGATCGAAGAAAGTGACAGCCTGCTCGGGATGTTGGAACGAGACAGATAAGAGGCCGCCGTACCCACCATCACGGTTGCGGCATGCCTCGTAGTTGGGACGTGATGGGCTGTTTTTGGGATAGTATACTGCCTTGACGATTGGCCAAGCTTGCAGTCTCTCCACAATGGCCTCGGCATTGGCGTTGATCCGTGCGATCCGTGCACGGAAATCGCGTGAGTTCCGTTCCATGAAGACCGCGTCCTCCGCCCAGTAATTGTCTTCATACTCCCTTTGCAGGGTTTCCTTGAGCTCCGGGTACATTCTAGACTGTGGATTGAGTACCGCACTGCCGCCCATGACGTTGCTATCCCCGCTGAAAACCTTTGTGAGCGAGCTGACCACGATATCCGCGTGAGTCAGTACATCTATGTTGATGAAGTTGCCCACCGTTTCGTCGACAACAATCGCGAAGTTGTACTTGTTGGCCAGCTGGCGAATACGGACAAGGTCTGGTGAATTGAGCAAGGGGTTGCTTGGGAATTCGCAAAATAGCGCAAGGTAGCGCTCTCCCGACTCGAGGTTCTTCTCCAGGTCATCCAGACATGCAGAACTGCCAAAGCCATAGAATTTACATCCATGGCCCCATTTCTCTAGAATCTTCAGGGTGTCAATGTAAGGGAAACCGAAACAGATCGATTTCCGTGGTTCCATGCCCTTGGCGGCGGCATTGGCCAAAAGGATTCGATGTGTGTTAAAGATGGCCGACATGCCGCAAGGATATAGGTAGACATCATGGTCTCTGAGTCCTATCTGGCGACCATCGCAGTTGGTCGTGGAGTTGGCCAGTGCCTGATCAAGATCGGAATCGTCGGTGAGACAGCCACTGATGCGTCGCTGAATGGCGAGCTTTGCCTGTGAGGCGAGCTTCGCATCGAGATTTCGCCCAAAGCGTTCCTCCACAAAATGAAAGTAATCTTTGCCTTCTATTTCCGAGTTTCCATCTTTCGTTGGTGTCGGTTCAGGATTGGTTGTGAAAGCGGGAATTATGCCGTTTTGAGAGGCCGGGCGCTGGTACCTACGCGGACCTTTGGTGTAGACTTCTTCTGTCGTGGGGTTTACCGGCGCCGATACGGCTCTCAGAAATCCATCTCGTAGAGCTTTAAGACAGAATTCTCCCCTTCGACTGGAAATGCCATCGCCCGAATGTTGCCAGACCTGCTTGGCGACACTGAAGTGCTCCTTGGGGAAGAAGACACAGGCAAGCCCAGACGAGACGGTCTCATGACTCTTGTTCTTGCTAATGACTGGAACAAGCTGAAGAACGCGTGCCAATCCGGGGGCGAGGCCTTCGACCTTATCATAGAAGAACTTCTCGCATCGACTGGCGACAAGTATGGTCGGGAATAGCATGACAGCCTCTCCGACTCGGCCATGCAGTCTCAAAATCTCCTTCTGGAGCTCCTGAATCGTCAGATGAATGAAAAATCTTGGATAGCCAGTCTTCATCTTGGACATCACCCATTCCTCTCCTTCTTCGTAGCCCACGGTCGCTTTCCATGACGGTAAGGAGACGCTGACTGCATGCTCCGTGTTTGGCACAGGTTGCCCGACGGCCGCGAGCATGATAAATAATTTTCAAATAGTTCCAATAAAATATACAAGGCTGTAATCTATTGTTCAATTTGGCCGTAAAGTCGTCTTTTTGCAATACGTATCATCTGATTAGTGGCGTGCTGCCTTTGACTCACTTCCCTGGGAAAAATTTGTGCCGATCGCGGAGAAACTGGGAGTGTTTTCCGGATCAGGCAATATGTTGTATGTATCAACTAATTATGCAGTTTCACAGCTAGAACTATCAGGCCGAACAACAAGCCCGAATTATCAGAATTTTTGTCTACATTATCATCATTTACTGCTTGCCAGTGCTTGGACTAATCATTAATTTTGAGCGACAAGAAATGGTGCCTCTAAGGCACATCAAAACTCCAGAGCGTGTGAGCCAAACCTCGCACAATTGTATATTTTGAGTTACGGCAATGATGCCATGGCGCATGGCAGATTGACAGAGAAGTTCACGTCACCTAGCGTTTGGGTTACCGGAAGGGTGGGCAAATAAACGGAGTTATGCATTAACTGGACACCTGGGTACCACCTTCAACACCAGAACCAAAGCTGTTCGTTCAGTCAACACAGCGGTCTGTTTGCCTTGATTGTGCCTCGCGATAATTACTTTGCCCCGAGCAGGATTTTAATCTCGGAGTCTTGCTTGAGAATGCCAACTGTGACAATACCTCCGTTAACAAGCTTCGGTCGTTATGTCCCGATCCTGGTACCGATGCCGTCCCTGTCGTTGAACGATGTGCCTTTGAAAGATCCATAATGCAAGAGACAGATATCGTTCGGATCCTGTGGATGAGAATTGCCAGCTGGACGGTCGATTATGGCCTCATGGGTCTTGACAAGCTCCTCGAGGACTGTCCGAAAGGAGAGTGATGGGTGACAAGTGCTCTGAGTGATTCTGTCGTCCTACAACATGTTGGACACCTAGATGTCTGTGACACGTCTCCTAAAAACGAAGATGCAACTCAACGGTAGGCTGAATTATAGGTCTTGATAAGCTTGAATGAGCTGAAATTGTGAGTCTTGTCGTACGAGTAGGTGTTGCCCATATTTGAAGCATACTAGGACAAATTAGGACTTGTTCGTGCCACGGGATCGATAGCAGACATGCTAGTCCCACATAGGAACGGTACCCGGCGAACTCTTGACAAATTATAAAGGATATGATCTGCACCCACGTGCGCTCACCTTTCATTTGAATGTCAGGGTAGGCGTAGCCAGGGGGAAACGAGTGGGAAGAGAAAAGTACAGTTTATTAGCATGAGATAAACCTTCGACGTATCACAGTCGGTGAAAGCGGCGAGGGGACAATGAGTGCTAAGTACAGGGCAGCGTCACCTGATTCCCGAATAGGCTGGTTGAAGACGTGCTAGGCCAAGATAGGATGTGTATCCGTAGAGCTCTTGGCATCAAAAAAGTTTCGAAACTGTAGTCTCGAGTGGGATTTTGTTCAGTAAGATGTAAAGCCTGGAGGTCTGAGCATGCGTGCAACTCCCAACTTGGCTGTGACTATCAGTACGCAATCTCGAGATGCTTCTGTAGTTTGAAAACTATACCCTTTATGCACGGAAACACGACGCCAGCTCTAAATCTGCGACCATTATGACTATGAGAGCCAAACATCCGGAACATCGTGCCCTGAAAAGGCGCAAACTCGCCCATAAGGATCCTGACGGCGATTCTAATACTTCTGAAGAAGCATCCAGTTCTGATGAAGGCCCCCAACTTGTTAATCAAAATGCCAAACCTAGACCATCAAGTCATTCAGATTTCAAGCCTAAATTAAATGGAACAACGTCCAAAAACCTGAACATCATGCCTACCGGAGGAATCAACAAGTCTTCTGTGCTTAGCTTGCAAGTAACTGAACTAAGCCAGGAGACAAAACCAAATTATGAGAAGCTACAGAGTAAATGGCTAGTTGTGGTCAACAAGCTGGAATCCATCATCAGACAAACACCGCAACGCCCTCCTGTCACCGCTATTGAAGCTCTAAAGTCGTTCAGAAAGAAAGGCATCAACATACCATTTCCCAGACCTCATCCCACTAAGGAAACAAACTACAAATTTGAATTTATACCTCCAAGTCAGATCCTGGTTGGCGGTGCACTAGCGAAGGGCCTCAGCATCAAAGCCGAAAACTTCATCGACTTGAAGGTGCTGTTGCCAGATACCGTTCTTCAGGATAAGGACTATCTGAACAACAGGGCATTCCATAAAGCGGCATTCCACCTTGCTTGCGTTGCCCTCGAGATAAAGAATACCGCAGGCGAGGATTTCGATCTCTCATTCATAAATGCTGACGGTGTCGACCTCCGGCCGATCCTCCTCGTAACTCCGAAGGAAACGCAGCTTTCGAAATTTGAATTCCGGATCTCATTTGAATTGCCTAGCAGCGCAATTCCCTTGGACAGAACTTCCCCAACTAAGAATTGTTTGCGGCAGCCGTCAGCAAATGAGGAGGGGGGCGGTTGTGGTCAACAACCTACACCATTCTACAATAGCTGTCTTCGATCTGCCGCGTCTGTCGTGGAAAATGACAATACACTGGAGAGTGTTAGAAGTTCGGCATTCGACGATGCGTGTCGCATTGGTCAAATATGGCTGCATCAAAGGGGATTCTCAAGTCCTACAACGGCTGGGGGCTTCGGATACTCGGAATGGGCCCTCATGTGCGCTCTTCTGCTTCGTGGGGGTGGGATTCGGGGCCACCCACTATTCTCCAAGCAGTATAGCAGCTTGCAGTTCTTCAAAGCAATGCTTCAGGTATTGGCTGGCCGTGATTTGAGAGATCCTTTGGTAGTAGGTAGCGTTGGTGTTGAAATTCCCCGTTCGAACCTACCAGTCCTGTTCGATGCTGCAACAGGTGTCAACGTTCTGTTCAAAATGGGTTCATGGTCCTACCAATCTTTACGGCGTCATGCGCAAATATCCTTGGCAGCCGTGAACGGAAAGCATCCCGACAACTTTGAGTCAGTCTTCGTGTTGCGTGTTGTGGAGCCTTCATTACAATATGATGAAATACTCTCGGTCAGATTGCCTTCGGAAAACCTGCACACGACGTCAGAGCAGCGACGTTATCTCGAAAAATTGCACGGTGCATTAGTCCGAGGCCTCGGTGATCGAGTTTCATTCATCGACTTCAAGTTGCCTGAAGAACAGCGTTGGGCAGCGAAGCAAGATTCGTCATCTGGCGAGGATTGCCTACTGGAGATTGGTCTCCTCACGAATCCCGAGAACGTTGCACGTCTCGTCGATCGTGGCCCTTCTGCAGAGGAACCTGACGAGGCTGCAGAGTTCCAGGAGTTTTGGGGTGAGAAGGCCGAGCGCCGCCGCTTCAAGGATGGAAGCATCACCGAGAGTCTTGTCTGGACCTCTGGAACTCCAGTAACATTGCAAATCGTTAGACACCTGTGTTCGCATCATTTCAAATTACTCCCAAGCTCAGTCTCGTTGACCAGTCGAGACCTCGAGCCCAGCATTTTAACCTACGATCCATCCCTGGGTGCGAAGGATGCGTACAGACTCATTAACAATGCCTACCAAGCCCTGGCATCGACCTTGCACGGCCTCGAAGATTTACCGTTGCCTATTCGCTCAATCTCACCGTCGGGTGCTGCTCTTCGGTCCTCCACAACCAATCATCCGCTATTGCCATCAGCAGCAGAGCCAATCGACATCCTTATCCAATTTGACTCCTCGACGAGATGGCCGGACTCACTCTCGGCCATCCAGCACACGAAAATCGCTTTCCTCCTGAAACTTGCAGAGCTCCTCTCTGCCTCCGACCCCAACATCACTACGCGTGTCGGTCTCGAAAACACAGAGTCAGCAGCGAGCGGCCACTTCAACACATCATTCCTCGATATCATCACTCCATCCCCCGCCCCCGGCCTCTCACCAATATGCTTCCGCACCCGCATCTACCACGACCGCGAGGAACATCTTCTGCAGACTGCTCTGCAAGAAAAGTCATTGCACGGCTCTGTCCGCGATTCCCTCACATCTGCCCTTGTAGCGTACAAACGGACATTCATCGCCGCACCGATCCACACGACGGCAATCCGCAATCTGTGCACCCGGTTCCCGCCCCTCTCGAGCACGATCCGCCTGCTCAAGAAATGGGTCTCGTCTCACCTCCTCCTGCACCATCTCTCCGAAGAAATTCTCGAGGTCATCGCCGCGCAAGTTTTCCTGCATCCCGCCCCGTGGGTAACGCCAGGATCCTCCACGACCGCCTTTTTCCGATGTCTCCATCTGCTATCACGGTTCGACTTCGCGTTAGCGCCGTTGGTCGCTGATCTGAGTCTCTCGCAGGATATGCCCGCGGCGCAGACGGATGAGATGATGACGCGGTTCCAGGCGTGGCGGAAGCTCGATCCAGGGCTGAATAACGTGGTTTGGTTCGTGGGCACAAGCCTCGACCCGACGGGGACGGTGTGGACGCAGGGCTCCCGGCCAGAACGGGTTGTTGCAGTTCGAGTGCGAGCATTGGCTAGTGCGGCGGTGGAGATGTTAAAGTCAGGGGGGACGAGGATGAGTGATGAAGACTGGGCTGCGCTGTTCCTCAGTCCGCTGGACGATTTTGATTTCAGGATCTATCTCAAGCCGTCGGTCGTGAAACATCACGCTGATGCGCGGTTGAAATCAGGGCGTCGGGAAGACCGTGTAGTCTACAAGAATCTTCAACTCGAGCAGGCGCTTGACGTCGAGGCGATTGGTCACGACGCTGTGAGACTGTTCGTGGAGGACTTGGAGGCCGCTTTTGGATCGACTGCTTTGTTCTTTCACGACAGCTATGGTGGAGATGTTATTGCTGGGATGTGGAAGCCAGTGGTGTTGGGTCGGAAGGAGTGGCGAGTCCGGCTGGGATGGTCAAGTGTACCTGTCCCGGTCGCAGAGGGGCAAGAAGATGGGAAACAACAGTGTTTGTTCAACGAACGGGCCGTTCTGGCAGAAATAAGTACTTTAGGAGAAGGGCTCATCAAGCATATCAAGATCAAAGGTCAATAGCGGTAGAATTTGGACCTCACATCACAATAAGAAATGGTATTGGGTATCATGAATGGTGTCCGAAAGGCCTCTTGCCTTAATCAGTCGGCCAATCCTGTCACTGTTCGTCTTTTGCGAGCTTCTCTACATCCACATCGTATCTAAAGCTTTCTGGGCATCCGATGCTGCCTGTTCCCTTCCCTGCAGGCGAGCTACATTTACAGATCGACTCTAGCGTAATCTCTTAAACATGTGCACTCATATCCATCTTACCAACAATTGCTCAAACATAGTATGTGCAGTGATGGGCCGCCAATGTTACGTCAAGGTCAGATAAAGCCGAGATTCCTCAAACGTATTTCTTCTGTGGGTCCACCAAGTCCAATAACTCGATGGTCTTCTCGTACCTGAATGTCAAGTCAATAAGGGCGGCGGCATTTGCGATAAGTGGCTTACATCGTGAAGACGATCCCACCGCTCATGGTGAGACGGCCAAGGCGTGGTAAGGCGCCAGACCAAAAAGTCAGAATTCCTTCATTCTTGAAGATGCTGGCGGCACAATCGAAACTGTTTTTGTAGTTCTTGCTGGCCTCCAAACTCTGCATTCGTGTCTTGATAGTATCCAGGGGCATGGTGGTGTAGACTGTAACAACGCCGGCGGCCGCTCCGAGGCCAAAAGTTGTGAGGGAACCCAATTTCTCTCCGGGAGCAACATAACCTTCGGCAAACTGCTTCAGGCTGGTATACGTGCTGAAGCGCACAGCACTATTTGCGGCTTGTCTTGCAGTGGTCGGGACAAAGCCTTGAAAGAAACCTTTTATGCCTTTTTCTCTTGCAATAAGAGCTGAACCATGGATGAAACCTCGCATCCTGGGTTGTAGCCTCTTTCGATCATCTATAAGTTGTGTCTTGACCGACTCTGACGGCGTCACAGCGAGTAGAGATTCGGTAATACCAGCACCGAAGCCAGCGAGGACTGTCCTAGGACCAGATATTTGTCCATCTGCATCCGATAGAAGGTGTTTGTAGGAGTCGAAAGCGAGAAAGCGCACACCTGCTTTGGCAGAGTTTCCTATGACGGCGGTGGTGCATCCTGTATACCAGGCTTTGGAGGGAAATGGAGGGAGAGGTACTTTCTTGGAGTCGGGAAGTCGTAAGTTGAGCTGGTTCCTTGTTTTAAGGAAATCGAAAGGGAAAGTTATCGCTACAGAGGAAGAACATGAGCATGTGAACGTTGATCAATGTGGGAATGAGAGCAAGAATTCTCCACAGCAGTAGATGGAGGCTGATATTGCTCGCGAGACTTACCGATTTCGACAGCTCCAGCCGTAGACCCAGCGATGATGGAGCGCAAGGCGCTGGGCTAGAGAACTCATCAGTTGGATTGGCATTTGAAGACAGCGAGAATAGGTAAATACCTTCGTCTTGTGATGGTCGCCAATATTGGCCATGGCCGGGGCCATTTCTGAAAGGAAGGACTTCAGCTGGAGGCAAGGCTGTGCCTAGTTTCAAATGTTGCCTAGATTTCTGAGCAGTAGAAGAACAGACCTATACAGCGTGCGTCAGTCTTTCGCATATACTGCGAGCAATAGAATTGCTGGAGGCTGCGGAGAGAATGAGTCCGCTAGAGCGGTAAGCAAGTAATAAGTTACGAGTAATAATTAATATTCAACGGTAGGCAGTAGCCCCCGATGAGGAAAGCGCGAATGTGGGGAGCAAAAAGGCAGTGACGCGTGCAATCACGTCAAACCCCAAAGCACGTGTTAGCCTAACACGCGCTTGCCACTATCGACCATCCACCACCAGGCTGCGACCCAGACCGAATCGTTTATATCATCCCACCTGCTCCGTACCTTTTTATAGAGGAGCCAGGATCTGCATTCTCTACATCGTTGTGGCAAGTCATCGATTCCCCCGTCCCACTATGCGCCATGGCGCCGCAGAAGCGTCCAGCTCCCCCGCAGTCGGATTCTGAGAACGATGACGATCCAGAACAAAGTACCAGAGGCACTTCCTCTCCAGCCTCAGCTTCGGTAAGTTCTCGCTCACTCAGATCAGACAGTTATCTAACAAGCGTCGCAGAACAAGCGCCCGAGGATAAGCGACGAGTCGTCTCTGCAGCGAACCCCCCAAACTGACCCTGACGAGCCACCTACTGCCAGCACTCCGCCATCTGACTTCGACACTGACGACGAGCAAGCAGATGTTGCCGCGACACAAGCTTTGCGGGCCAAGGCTATTGAGAACAGAAGAAGAGGAAATGAACCTGCTGACTATGGTATCTTGGAAGGCGTGGAGCTGAAAAACTTCATGTGCCACGAATCTATGACCTTCAAACTTGGGCCTTTAATCAACTTTATTTGCGGTAAAAATGGTAGCGGAAAGAGCGCAATCCTGACTGCCATTACATTGTGCCTGGGTGGCAAGGCATCTGCTACCAATCGGGGTGCCCGCCTGCAAGATTTCATCAAGGAGGGTCAAGATCATGCTTCTATTACTTGCCACATCAAGAACCAAGGGGAAAATGCCTACAAACCTGAGGACTATGGGAATTCGATTCGAGTGGAACGCCATTTCACCCGCACCGGCGGCAGTGGCTTTAAATTGAAATCAGATAAAGGACGCATTATTTCCACCCGCAAATTGGACCTTGAGGACATCCTCGATCACATGATGATGCAGTTTGACAACCCTATGTCGGTGCTCTCTCAGGATCAAGCAAGACAATTTCTAGCAAACTCGGGCGCTTCGGAAAAATACAAACTATTCATGAAAGGCGTCCAGCTTGAACAGCTAGATCAGGATTATCGGTTGATCGAAGAACAATCCGAGAATATCAAAGCCAAGGTTGAGATCAAGGCCCCCGACCTGGAAGATCTCAGAAAGGCCATGGAAAGTGCAAACACGAAATTAGAGCTGTCCCAGAAGCATGACAGCACTCTAGCAAAGATGCGTGAATACCGCCGCTTGCTCGCATGGATTCAGGTCGAGGAACAAGAGAAGATACGAGACAACTACATGCAGGCAATCGTGGAAGCAGATGGTAGGATAGCAGACGCAGAACATAAGGCTGAGCAATTGGATGAGATATACCAAGCAGCAGACCAGGATGCAACCAACACAAACAACACCTACGAACTTATGAAAGCCGAAGTTCTCGCGGTTGAAGAAGAAAAACGGGAAGAGAAAGCCCGCCATGATGAGGTAAAGAAAGCTACTGTAGAAGCTCATACAGAGCAGCGAGACATTCGCACAAATCTAAAGGTGGTAGAGGGCATCATCACCACGAAAAAGCAGGCTATTGAAGAAGAAATGAACAGGTTAGCAGAGCTGGACGGTGGCGGTGCTGCCGCTCGTGTGCACGCTCTTCAAGAGGCCGAGGAAACACTCAACGTCGCGAGGAGAGTTGAGAGAGAACATGCTGACAAAAGACATATATTGCAAGCCGAGATCAAAACTACCGGGCAGCTTCTCGAAGAAGCTGAACAAGCGAAGAACTCCCAGACAGAACGTGTGAGGCAACAGGGACAAATACTCGATCAGATGAACCGTAATCGCAATTCGCAGGATTTGGCATTCCACCAAAACATGCCTTCCTTGTTGAAAGCAATTCAACAGGAGAGTAAATTCCAGCACCGTCCGATTGGCCCGCTGGGAAAGCATGTCAAGTTACTCAAGCCTGAATGGTCTTCAATCCTGGAGAAGTCATTCGGCAGCACCATGAACGCGTTCCTAGTGAGCAACAAGCGCGACGAAAAGCTACTCAGCGACATTATGAGACGTGCGAAATGCCCAGTTCCTATCTACATTGGTAATAATCAGCCAATTGATGTTAGCAGTCATGAACCGGACGCTCAATTTGACACCATTCTCAGGGTACTGGAAATCGACAACGAAGCAGTGAAGAAACAGTTGGTGATTGCACACAACATTGAACAGGCTATACTGATCCCGGATATGGCAGAGGCTTCGGAAAGATTGTACTCAACAGGTCAACCGTTACGGAATGTCAAGAGATGCTTCTGTTTCAGCGCCAATACTCGCCTAAGAGGTGCCGTTTTGTTCTATCGAGGTGGGCAACCTGCCCAGGACCCTGTCCATCAGTTTCAGGGCAGCCCTCGCATGCGCGCCGACGTTGATGAGAGTATTCGAAGACAAGGTGAAGCTGTCGAGGAGTCGAAAGCGCAGCTTCATCAACTCGAAAATGAGTTTCTCAATGCTCGAGACCGACATTTAAAAGCGCAGCAGGCTCTTACAAAGCATGGTCGAGACAGTGGTGAACTACGAATCACAGTCCAATCGGCCCAGCACGAAGCAGAAAAGCTGAGAGATGCGATCAATGAAGACAATGTCGAAGGTGGAAAGCTGGAGGCGCTGAGAGAGGCGCTGAATGATGCAGAGGAACAAAAGGCCGTCCACGCCAGCTCGTATCAAGATTCCGTGACTGCCCTAGACGAGAAAAAGCAACTGCTTCGGACCGCAACCCAGAAACTCAGTGATCTAGACGAGCGGATGGCTAACCTGCAGGCAACTGCGAATGATGCCCAAGTTGTCGCACAAAAGGCCGGAAAGAAACGTGCATACACCCTTGGTGAGAAGAACGCGGCGATCGCCCGAATCGATGATGCCAAGAGCGACCGAGGAACCATGGAACGCAAGCTTGAAGAAATAAACAGCGATATTGACAATTGGACCGAACAAGCACGGGCGGTGTCTGAGCGAGTTAACATCCCTACAGGTACAACTTACGATGCCCTCGAAAAGAAGTATAAGCGACTCGGGAAAGACTATGCAGCATTCGAGAAGAACCTGGGCGGGAGCAAAGAGCAGATTGCTGCAAGGGCAGCGGAATGCTCTGAAGCATACAATAGAGCCCGGCAAGAGATGGAGGATATGGAAAAGCTGCTGGACAAGTTGTTGGAATCCCTCGGTGAACGAAAAACCCGCTGGAAACTGTTTAGAAGCTTGATTTCACATCGGATCAAGATCCAGTTCATGTACATGCTCAGCGAGAGAGGCTTTCGAGGGCAGGCGGTTATGGATCATAAGAAGAAGTTGATGGAGATCCAGGTGGAGCCCGATATCACCACGCGTGATGGAAGTGGGCGAGGTGTCAAAACTTTGTCTGGTGGGGAGAAATCGTTCACGCAAATCTGCCTCCTCCTTGCCATATGGGAAGCGATGGGTTCACCAGTGAGATGTTTGGACGAATTCGACGTCTTCATGGATGCCGTGAATCGATCAATCAGTGTCAACTTATTGATTGAGGGGGCAAGACAAAGTATTGGGAAACAATTTGTCCTCATCAGTCCAGGCACCAAGTCCGATATCAAACGAGCTCCCGATGTCAACGCTATTGAGTAAGTTCCCAGCATTCTTGGACGATTGCGAACTAACAAAGTGCTAGGGTTGCTGCACCAGAAAGAGGACAAACTCGGCTCGCGATTGCAGCGGCATCATAAGTGAGGCTCCTAATACAGATCTCAGATTTGATGCTATTTGATGGAGAGTGAGCCTGGTACTACAGCACCGAAGTTCGCATCTGTCGGGACACGAGCCTGAAAATTTCCGAATCCATCGAGAAAGTGTATGTCTGGCTAAATGTCCGGCCTTCGTGATTGGGTAACTCTTGCGATATAGAGTCGGAGAACCTGGCTCCGACGATGCTTCCACACTCCCACCTTTTCTATTCTTTGGGCAGAAATCCCATGTAAGAAACAACAGTATCAGGCACAAATGCAGTCGTCTATCATTAGCCAAGCCAGCGTCCCCATCCTATCGGCTGATCGTAAGGCCGTGTGACGCTGCCCAATTTTGAAGTTGTTCGCACAAGGTTGGCAAACAGAACTGACGGCTTCCAGCTCTCTGAACGCAATTATTCCACCTACCACCTATCTGGAGGTACCAAGCCCTTGGGTTGCCATGATGAGGGTGCCTGCACCTGGGCGCTTTCGATCAAGTGAATCTATATCACTAGCATTCCAATACTTTCGGCAATATGGCTTCACGTATTTAGCAAGCAGAACAGATTTCTCAGCCCCCCACCGTTGAAGCACCAGGGCACCACCAGGCAAGGGAAGACACTTTCAGTGATGACAATTTTCCTGCCCTTGGGCAAAACCATAGCCCTGTTACCAGCATAAAAGTCAAAACCGCAGCAAGTCGCATATTGAAGATATAGAAGGTTCGGAATTGTAGATGTGTGCCACAGTGTGTCCGTTGCAGGCTTGATGTTTCCGTGCTCCATTGCGACCACGGTCACTGTTAATCCCCCCCCCCAGTCTCCAGCTGTGCTTGCAAGCACACACAGGGGCGAGGGCGATGTCCCAGCAGCGCTGTGTGTCAGTGTAAATGAAGACACCGATAATCGTTGGTCGTGAACTCTTTGTCAGTGGTGTGGGGTGCTCGGACTGGAAGGAGACAACAATCAGAATCCAACACAGTGAGCCTAATCCTGGCCTGCACTGAGGATCAAGGTCGATGCCTTGAGAGCGAGGCTAGGACATTTCGAGTTCAAGTCCAAATCTGAGGACAGAGGGAGGGTGTAGGCAGAAACATGGCCCATCAAGGCAGAAGCAGTGATCAGATCACATGACTAAACCACGTGATATGTCTCTTGGCATTGTTCTTTCCGTTTCCATGGATATAGATTCCCATTGGCTGAATGCGCCGACCACCAACATTCTCGCCGCACTCGCTTCTTCCGCTCCCAGTTCCTCTTCATTCCAATTGTCCCTTGATCGAGCAAACAGCCTCGCTCCCATATTACTTCCACAGACTCACAAGTGATCTAATTGACTTCTTCCACGTCCCACTCCAAGCACACATTCACCTCCAACTTCACTGCCGCACTGTTTCTGTCGAGAACGAAACTACAACCTCACCTACTACTGGATTTGACTCAGGACGATTCCCCACAACCGTTCTGCTCCAGCCTCAAGCCACACCAGAATCCTCTCACGCTCAGTGCCTGGCTCAAGAACTCCCCTGTTGTTGCCTGTTAATATCAGCCTCTACCCACTACTTGAGGGCCCCCATTCAGTCACCTTTCACTATCTCGGACTTTCTGCGCACCTCCACTCCCACCAGCGCCCTGGGCCTTTCTCACCAAACACAAACCCGTGAAAATGACGGACGCTTTAGCATCTCAGCTCAATAAAACCTCTCTCAGCGACGGACACGATGAAACAAATTGGAAGAACTCTCTCAAACTCCCAGCCAAGGACCAGAGACAACAAACCGAGGATGTCCTGGCCACCAAAGGCCTCGAGTTCGAAGATTTCTATATTAAGCGTGAACTCATGATGGGTATTTTTGAAGCTGGTTTCGAAAAGCCATCTCCCATTCAAGAAGAGACCATTCCAGTCGCCCTTACAGGCAGAGATATATTAGCAAGAGCAAAGAACGGAACCGGCAAGACCGCCGCCTTTGTCATTCCCACACTTGAACGGATCAATCCGAAGAATCCCAAGACACAAGCTCTTCTCCTCGTTCCAACTCGAGAACTCGCCCTGCAAACATCTCAAGTCTGCAAGTTACTTGGGAAACATCTGGGCATCAATGTCATGGTCACCACTGGTGGCACAGGTCTGAAAGACGACATTATAAGATTGGGGGAACCAGTCCACATTATCGTCGGCACACCCGGTAGAGTCCTCGATCTCGCTAGTAAAGGTGTCGCCGATCTTTCTGAATGTCCCATATTTGTCATGGATGAAGCCGACAAGCTTCTATCTCCAGAGTTCACTGTTGTCGTCGAGCAGTTACTCTCCTTCCATCCCAAAGATCGCCAGGTTATGCTCTTCAGTGCGACCTTTCCGATGATTGTCAAGTCATTCAAGGACAAACACATGCGGAACCCTTACGAAATAAACCTGATGGACGAGTTGACCCTGCGTGGTATCACTCAGTATTATGCTTTTGTCGAAGAGAAACAAAAGGTCCACTGTCTCAACACTCTGTTCTCTAAGCTCCAAATTAATCAATCCATTATTTTCTGCAATTCAACCAATCGTGTCGAGCTTTTGGCTAAAAAGATTACCGAGCTTGGTTACTCTTGCTTTTACTCTCACGCAAAGATGCTGCAACAAAATCGAAACAAGGTCTTCCACGATTTCAGGGCTGGTGTTTCTCGCAATTTGGTCTGTTCCGATCTTCTTACCCGTGGTATTGATATTCAGGCGGTAAACGTTGTCATCAACTTCGATTTCCCCAAAAATGCTGAGACATATCTTCATCGTATCGGTCGCTCCGGTCGATTCGGTCACCTCGGTCTAGCTATCAACCTGATCAATTGGGATGACCGTTTCAACCTCTACAAGATCGAGCAGGAATTAGGAACCGAAATTCAACCTATTCCACCGTCCATTGACAAGAGTCTCTACGTTTACGACAACCCTGAGAACATTCCTCGATCAATGCCCCCTCCATCTCAGCCCTCCAGGCCACTCCCACCCAACGCTTCTGGACCATTCCAATCGGCAGGAGCACCAGCAGGAGCAGGACAGAATGGGCAAGTCCAAGGCCAAACCCGCAGACCACAAACCTATTCCAATGGATATGGACAGCAGTACAACAATCAGGGCCGAGGCGGGTACAGAGCAAGGGGTCGTGGACAAGGCCCACGTGGTCGAGGCGGTCATCCCCAGCAGGCAGGAGCACCTGTTCAAGCCGCTCAGTAGCTCCCAGGCCTGGTTGCTTCGAAGCTCGCTTGAGATCTGCTCTGGATCTAGCAAATCTTTTTTCTTTCCGTACGGCGTTTTTTGTCTTCCACGCTCACGAAGGTCAATGACATGCGACATGCGACAGCTCGGAGTTGAAATGATGGCTAGTTGTTAGGTCTGTACAACAGTGTCGTACAGCTTCAATTTCTTGCTTTCTCTCGTTGGGGGACTTTCTGGATCGATGAAAGACTGGGATGGACTTCGTGGGACAGACTTTTTTTCCCCTCTTTTTAACATCCGCATTTTACGGCAGGACGGCGCTGGATGCCTTGAGGATCCCCCTCTTGTTGCTGGTATGGCTGGGGTTTGAACTGGCGGGCTTTCTATCATACGTCCTAAAAGTTCAGGCAGAGCATCTACAGGAGGGCTGTAGATTTGCATGGCGTTACTTGGGTTATATCACCTCACATTGACCACGACTCAACCTATCGCAGGGCGACTTTATCTCTCGTCATCCATCACAGAACACATGACCACTTGACTCTCACGACCTACCTACAGTTTGCCGTTTCCACCTCGTTCAGGCCACTTAAGTGTCGCCGTGCCGACACCATTGTTAAGGCTCGTCTACAATAATCATAACATTCTTCACGAACATCTTCTCGACTATCAGCCTTCTTCGCTGAGATGGCGAGGATTCCGTATCATGAGGCGCAGGAACTTCCCACTTGGCTTACAGTTCTTTCGGACGTATCCAAATACAACATTCATTCCTGAACATACCCTCTCGGCCGTGATGTCATTATGCAGAACATTTCCCCGAGCTTAATATTCATCATCCAAACGATTGCACGGAACCCACTAAAACATCAAGAGCCCGTCTGTTACCATTCTCACCAATTGCCACTCAGCGACTGGGATTGAACAGAAAGTGGCTAGATTCTAGCACCGCGAACTTATATCCCCAATACCCTCAACTAACAACCACAAAAGCCACAAAAAAAGAATAGGAGGAAGGCCGAGAGTCAACACACAGACTTGCTTATCTCGAAGCAAAACGCTACCGATCCGATTCAATTCCCACAGCACATCAACACAGCTACACATTCGACTAGACTGATCGATGCAGATTAATTCTTCTATTCCCAAGAAAAAAAGAGTGAAAGCAATGGCAAGCAATGAGTTGTGCAGGATGACGCAATCCCGAGATGGCGTGTATGACTAGACAAGGACCAAGAAGCGGTTTCAATTAGAGAGCCCATAAAGCCCACCGTTGGTTATCGACTGATATGCCTCATAGTCAGTGGCTCTCTCCTATGTCTATGTCTGGACTCCTCTCAGGAGATCGAGATCGACACCTCGAATCAAGTAGAAAATATGATTACCTTCCTCTGATAAAAGTTGATTCCATTCCAGTTCAAGTTATCTTGCGCTTTTCTTAGTCTCCTTCCTTTCGTTCCTTTCTTCCTCTCTCTTTCGACAAAGCTACTACGTCGGCGCCGGGAAAATTGAACCACAGTCAGTCAATTTCGCGGCAGAGTCGCCGTCAAGTGCGGGAAACAGGCTTAGTTTCTACTTGAACCATGAATCATGAATCGTGCCGAATTCCATCGTGCCGCAGTGTTGCCACCATCGAGGCAAGCTTACTTATAGAGAACAGACATGCATCCAGGGCATGGTGGCCTATCCTGCCATGTCCTGCGGAGGAAACATCGAGAGACAATGCATCGGCCAGCGGATACCATCCGGACCTGGTCAGTCCTTGGCCGGTCAGCTTTGGCCGCGACGGTGAAAGACTGTTGGCTTTTAGGCGAGAAATTGGCGCACCGTGGTTTGCAACTAGATAGTATCAAGGTCAACTTTATATTTTGCTGCGCACGGGGGGTACTATGGCTACCTCGTCAAGAGAATATATTTCCTGCTATGAGTAAGCGGTGATGGAACGGTGTCAAAGCATCTCTCATACGACAGGGTTTTTACAGTACTCCTGATTGTGAGGACAAGCAACAAGCCCAGGAAAGAATGCCACTCCCCAGGTCAACCTAGGTACCTACTCCTGGCTAGCATTTCGCGCTGCTTGCTCAACTTTCAATTCTAATTCCATCCAGAAAAGGGGCCCAAGTAATAATTGCAATTCCCGTTGCATCAAGCTGCTCCTCTGCTAGCCCATAAAACTCCTCATTCCAAGTTTGACACAACGGAAAACTCTATGTAGAAGAAGACATTCTCTCCAGTCTCAGTTAATCTACCATTTCAATTGCTTTTGGCCCTCCTTACGGGCATTGGTATTCTTGTGATGTGGCTTCGTGTACGAGCAGTATCGATCTTTGATGGAGACGACTTCGTACACACCCTCATCACTGGCGCGGATCACTTTGCTGAACTCGGTCGAGGTGTCGTGCCGCGTCTCTAGGATCTTTGCGTGTTTCCGTCCTTTCACGTCTTCAGATCGAGTGTACCTATAAGACAAGAGTCAGTATCAGAACACAAGATGATGACTGGAAGGGGCCTTGAGGGCAGCTTACGTAAATTCAAAGGGCGGGGTGCCAGTAAAGCTGAACAGGATTTCAACTTCGCCGCCTTCATGGATGTCACTGATGAGGGTCTTGCCCCGGCCAAGTTCGACCGTCGGATAGGGGCGGATCATCTTCTTGATCTCTTTCCTAGCACGGCATTTGCCATTACGCATCACACTATCACTAATTCCGGTGATCACGAATTCGCCAGGGCGATCGGTAAGTCGCTTGAACTCATTGGTCGACTCTGTTACCGTTTTCACTTTACCATTGAACGTATAGGATACTTCAAACGGTGGTTGACCACTGAGCGAGAAGGATACATGCTCACCAACGCAGAAGTCATCTTGCGACTGAAGTGGATTGATAATTGGGGGAGGAGAAACTTGGACTCGAACCGAGGATGGGTCGGATTCAATGCCGCTCTCGCATCCACGACTGTCTTTGACAGAGCGAATAGCGATGCTGTGTGTACCAAGGTCCAGATTTGTTCGTGAAAGAGGCCATAAGTAGCTGTTCGATGGAATATCCTTCTGGCGAAGTATCTCAGGTCGAGGCGACTGTCCATGATGAGTGATTGCAATTTCCAGGTTGAAAGGAGGATCTCCCGTGAGAGCAATAGGGATATATTCCGTCTCTGCTCCCTGACTCGTGAAGCTAAGGTCATCTTGGCAATAACTGTACGTCTTTCCCGGCTGAGTAAATTTGGCCGACGGTGGGGCGAAGACTTGCTGCTTCACAACAATGGGTGAGAATCTCTTTTTGTCATGGGCATAGCGTTCATCACCTATTTCAGAGAACAGGTAGGTATATTCGCCGGATTTCGTTGTGTCGAGGTTGATAAAGGCATTTGGACCGGCGAAATTGCTTTCTTTATTGCTGATGGAAGCAGGACCTTTGGCTGGTTCATATTTCTGTTGATATTTGACGCTAAACGGGGGAGTGCCTTTCAGAGCGAGCACCAAAGCAGAATCGTCACCTTGACAGACGGGCACTTTACGAAGGCTGGATCCGTCTTGTGTCAATGTTGGATCTTCGATTTGAAGCGAAGGCCGAGGGATCCAGTTGACCTGAAATTGGTTCGCTTTAGGGTCAACAAGACCTGCACATTGATCATGAACGGCTACTATTTCATAGGTGCCTGGTTTGTTCACCGTGAAGAATGAGTTTGCTTGCCGAAAGTGTTGCTCTGTGAAACTTAACGGATCATCTGACATCTGAAATCTTACCGCCCAGGGGGCATTTCCTTTGAGGCGCAGGGGGATTTTGACTTCTTTTCCGTCCAAAGCGAGAATGGATCGCCTCCCTTGAATATCGCCAAACCCGGCTGTGGGCTGATCTGGTCTGACGTCGATGTGCCGCTCCTCTCTGAGCGCAGTTTTGCATCGAGACTTGTCTTGGACATTTGTCAACATCAAAGTGTATCGACCGCCATCCCTTTGACCAGGAAACTCAATGCTGACGAGATCTGTTTCAGATTGAGCAGAATTCTTTTTCCTCTTCCCACCGTGAATAACCTCATATTCCAAGTTCCATGGGCCTTCGCCGAATAATTTTACCGTCTCGGAGACGGACTGGCCCAAGCAAGCCTTAACGACGGCCTGGGGACTCTGGAAAATTGCAGAAGCAGGCGGTCTGATATTTTGTTCAAACACTAAGTCCCGGTCCTTTAGAGAAGTTGGTTCATACACAGAGTCCGCGATCTCGTTGATTGTGTAAATGTAAGTTCCTGCAGACTGCTCTAGCAATTCAATTTGACCACGCATGGTCGAGAACTCTTTCATTTGAGGTCGAGCCTTGCCTGCGCGCGTAACGGCATACATGATTTTGAACGGCGGGGTTCCAGTCAAGTCGAAGTTTAGGATCATTCCTATGGGGTTGCCGGCACACTTGTCAAATATGTCTTCCCGAGTGACCGAGATATCTGGCCTCGGCGGATTGAAAAGGCTGCACGATGAAGGTTCCAGCACCTCTCCAGGACAGAATTGGCCTGAAATTGAGTCAATATTGTAGCGGCCAGCTTGGCCGATTTTTGGTCCAGTATGATCATCTGTCATCTCATATGTGAATTCCTGGGTTTGTGGAGTAGCCTGGTCTGTCTCTGAAACAAAGCTGTACTTCAATGTCAATGGCCAATCCGAGGGATGGAGTTTAGCGGAGTCCTGAACCCGTACAGGAAGCGGAGTCGACTTGCCAGTTGGTAACGGAATTAACCGATCCGGACTGCAATCATGGAGCCGCACTTGTGGTCGATTGTGGACGACTAGACTTTGGATTCGAGGTGCATACAAATCCTTCAAGTTGGGGGAGTCGTAGGACACTGTATTCCCCAAACCATCCTCAACCGCCTCAATTGTGTAGGAATGAGTTCCATTTTGATGCAGTGACTCGTTAATGTCAAATGATTCAACGGTAGATTTCGTCCATTCCAGATGGGGCTTTCGAGGGTCAAGAACCACTTTCGATGCGTCCTCAATATTGATATAGCCATCCGGTGGGGGTTGGATATTCTGCGAATTGGAGCTGAATTGCTTCCCATTCACAGTCTTGCGGTACTTGACTTTGAACGGAGGCACTCCCTCCACCTGCATAAAGACACTGCTGAGCTCTCCGATACATCTATCCACAGATCTTGAGGATATCGAGGCCTTTGGACATGGGACGACTGCTACATCAAAACTTTGGCGTCGTACTTCGAGGTTCGTAGTATCAATAACGCGATCCAATTGGTAAAGTCCAGTTTTCTTGACTGCATAACGCAGGATTCGTGGGGTGGCAAGGCCGAGCCCAGAGGATTCTGAATCGGCTTTCTTCTTCAAGCTTTTAGTCTCACGGCCGGTAATGGTAATGAGCTCTGTCTCGTTGGTGTCAAGATCATATCTCTTCAACTCAATCAGAATAGGGGTAGTCTGGTTGATCTGGATTGGCAGCTCAATAGTGGTGCTGAATGCATCCAAGCAGAATGCTTTCTTCTCCGGGTTAAGTATTGCCGAGCCCTCGGGTAGAATGTGAACAATCTGCTTCCCAAGGATTATGGATGAATTTTGAAGAATGTTTGCGGGATTCACCGTTCCTCCTGAAAGAGCATTTTCAGTGTCAGAAAACAATTTAGGAAATGCCCAAACCCAAGTCAACACCGGGGGCATGATCTTGTACATGAACATAACATTTAGCACGACATGCAGCAGCCATACTGTCACAAGAGTAACAAAAGACAGCTGCAGCCATGGTATTCTGAACATTGGTAGTGCAGTCAGAAAACACAGATCTATGGCAGTCCACTTCAAGAAAAGCCAGGTAGAGTCCAGATCATCCACGTTAAAGAACGCATCGCAACCTCTCCATACCCACAAAGCAACGTAGAAAGATAGGACGTAGGCGCGCTGGGCGGGGACATCGATGGCTTCAGCAGGTATTAAGGGCGATTGTGTAGATTGAGAGGCAGCATTCTCCGTACTGCGCATAGGTTTTGTTATCGGCGACGACCTTTGGGATTGCTGTGACTGAGGGGAGCCAAACAGTGGTCTTCCATTGCCGTTGAAAGTCCGTTGTCGCAGCTCGGTTCTTGGGGTGGTGGGGAAGGCCGACCGAAGTCGCGGGGTTTCGTTCATTGCACCATGCGGCGGGGGGTTTCCTTTTGCTCCTCCAGACAGAAGCAGGGTGGGTGTGGGAAGTCAGTGGGGTGGGGTGTAGTGTTCAGTCGAAGGACCGAGCAGAGCCGATGTGACTTGTTGCTGGATGTTTGTTGTAGAAGAGATCTGCGCGAGGGAGTTTTGGAGAGTTGTAAAGGTGTGGTAAGCAAGTTGCCGTCGACTGTTGTCGGCAAATGTTGGCGTCGGCGTTGGTGTCGACGGTGAGGATGTCAAGCGCGTGTTTTCAGGGACAAAAGAGGCAGGCACGCGTTGGAGGTGTTAGTCCAAACCCGATACGAAGTGAGGCGGTCGCAGTTTCCGAGAAATACGGCTTGGCATAAGTGACGTCATGCCTCTAGCCATTTTAAGACGGATTCTCGGCCAACGCTCCCATGCACAGGAATTACTGTCGGCTTTACTATGTGGTCGCCACAAATTCGGTGAGCCTGGCAATCATGTCAGGCCGGTCTCATACATTCGCCAACGAAGAACGATGCCTGAACCAAAGCCGAGATGATTTCGAGTTTGTGGTGGAGGCGAATGTCTGAGAAGCCGTTGGAGGGGCCCCAACCAAATGACATGCATTGAGATGCCGCTTTTACAAAGACGTCGCCGCTTGGTCTTGGCATTAAATGTTGCCCGCCATTGCTGCTTTGGGGACAGACTCGGCCCACACACAGCCTTGCCCTCGTTTGTATGAACGCCATATCTTCACGTTGGACCCAGGACACCTCCACCAGGCTTCAACTTCATGTTCGATCAGACTGACATACGTTCCCAAAGGCGGTGAGGGCTGTCCAAATGGAGGTTCCAACCTTCACGCATCATCAACGCTTCTTTCAGATCGACGAGTTAACCCCCATGTTGCTCTACGACTAATCTTGCTTCATTGTCGATAGTGACCTCTCCCTGACTATCAAGCTCTTTCTCTCTGAACTAGTTAAACTGCACAGTGGTGCTGTTGCCAGGAAGGTTAATCCGCTTCCAGACCTGTCCACCTACCGTTCCACAACCATTAGGTTCTCCTAATCAACTTTCTCCCACGTCAAATATGTCCAGCAGAAACAGTACTCCCGCTAAAAGTCTCGCCGCCGATCTCGCGAAGTTGACTGCGACCGAACATGGTAGCTCTGTTGCAGCGTCGTCAAATACTGGGGACGACCTCTCCACCCCTGGCACCGGAGATCAACCAGGAACAGACAGCCTGATGCCCACTTGGACTGGCTGGGCAGAATTGGAGAATGACCCTCTCATTTTTGCTACCCTACTAAAGGAGTGGGGTGTTACCAATGTCCAGGTCAACGAAGTCGTTCCCCTCGAGAGTGTCTTTAACCAGCCGTCGTAAGTGGAGAATCTACTAACTGCCTTTAATGTGCATTGACTCGTCCCGCAGTGAGGAGACCTACGGATTGATATTTCTGTCTCCCTGGGCTGCTGCAGAAACCGAAAATAGTGTCACAGAAGTCCCACGGGGTGTATGGTTCGCTAATCAGGTGATGGAGTCTCATATGTCCCTATTGCACCTTTTTCTAACAAATTGTCAGGTCTCTTCTTTCTCTTGCGCTACTGTGTCGCTCATGAACATCATCAACAATCGCGACGATCTGGATCTGGGCGAGCAGTTAAATGCTTTCCGCTCCCAAACAGCAGATTTGAGTCCAATGGCTCGTGGTGTTGCCCTAGATGGTTTCAGCCACGTCCGAATGGTCCACAACTCATTCTCGACTGAATTCGACCGCATGATTGTTGACCTTCGCCTAAAGGAAGACCTGAAAAACTCGGAGAAAGCGAAGAAGAAAGCCGCCGCTGCTGCAACGGCAAAGCGACCACGCAAGAAGGCCAAGATTGAGGAAGGATACGATGAAGAAGAAGGTACTGGATTTCACTTCGTGGCATATGTACCTGCAGGCGGCTTTGTGTGGCGCATGGATGGAATGGAACCTTTCCCGAGGAAGCTTGGGGAACTGTGTGATGGCACTGACTGGATTATGATGGTCTTGCCTGAGCTTCAAGCCACATGGGAGTCGGCGTCGAGCGTCACTTTAGAGTTCTCTTTGCTGTCTTTGACTGCTATGACCGATTCTTCACAACTAGCGGCGGATGAAGAGAAAATGGCGCGAACCAGGGAGGACTGGGGCCCGTTCATCGCCCAGATGGTGAGACTGCATGCCGAAAAGGGCGATATCAAGGAAAAGTTGACCCAGTAGAAATGAACAGAGGCCAATCCAGAATTCAGCTCTACTCTTACGGAGACATGCATATAAGACTCACTTCTGGCGGCCGCTCTGCCCAATCATGAGTTGCATTCTATCATGTTGTTACGGCTGGATTCTTCATTAACTTAGACCGAGTTTATAGCTCAAGCACGAATGCCATCTCCGGTATGAGTGTTTCTGACTTCATATCCCAGCACGGAACAGCCCTTTCCTTGTCTCGACATAATCCCTACTTGTCCACGGTATACCCCTCCTCAGTGTGAAACCCTGGAATAGCCGAAGCTGTACGGAATAGTCGATGGGGGTTTGCCGACGAGGCTGAAGTCACTATAATTCGTGGCATAACGGTGACGTGTTTATCCCGAGGTTTAACCCCACTAACGTCGGTCCCATTTTATCATCAATAATCATTTGCCATCCGCGTCACCCTTCGACACCATGATCGTTCGCTTGGAGGCCATATTGTCATTTCTTCTGCCCGAATTTCATCTTAGATGGCGATCACCTTGGACTCTCTACCCGACGAGGTCATACAGTTAATTCTGACGCACTTACCACCAACCACAACAGTCGCGGTTCAGCGCACCAGTAAGCGATTTATGAACATTGTCAACGAGCCTCTTTTGTGGAAATCCTTCTGTCGAAACTCGTTCAGGTGGTGGGATCGACACTGGAATTTTCATATAAATCTAGCAGATCCATCATTCCTCAACTGGAAGGTTCTTTTTGGCAATCGCTACGAGTCATATCTTCAAACTAGACGGCGTCTTGACAATATTGTCACTAATGAAATTGGGCGTCTTCGTGAAATCCAGAACATTCTGAGCACAGGCTATGATGCCAAAGATGCACTGTTGGACCTGTACTGGAATTCCTCGTCCTCGCCAAATCACCTGGCCCAAAGGTAAGCCTTGGATCAAAGCCAACATCCAGATTTTCCTGACCGTAGCAGATATTGGAGCCATGCTGTTCTCGGCTGCCTACACCGCCTTATCGCTGTCGAGGAATGGCTAGCCATCAAGCAGGCGAGTATGCCGTACGTTCGAGAAAGCTCGCTCCCCTACGAAAGACCTCTTGCGGCACTTGACATGTTCATTCTAGAGGAACACAGAGAGGGGGATGTTGACGATGTGAGTGAGCCACCCAAATCGCACCAGCAATCGCGCTCACTCATATAGATCTTTGCTCGCCTAAACTCCTACGTCGACTCAGTGCGCTGCGGTTGCCCACTGATTGACGAGTTGACACCACGACAAAAAGCGGTTGCCATTGCCGATCATCTACTTGAGAAGAAGTGGATAGGCATTCACGATAATCGCCACTATCACAGCCTAGACCACATGTTCTTGGGGGTTTCGCTATTCAGCTCGAACAGAAACTCTGTCCCGTTGATCTCATGCATTATATTTTGCTACGTCGCACGCGCATTCGACCTTCGCGCCGCCCCGTGCAGCTACCCTTTCCATGTCCACGCTCTCATCCAGCCACCCCAGGGAATCGATCTGGATGGTAACCCGCTTCCAGAAGGCGAGAACCAGGAGCCATCGAGTCAAACACATCTCTACATGGACCCTTTCAACAACTCCAACCCAATCTCTCGGTCTACCCTCGAAAACCGTATTCGATTCATCGGCCCCACAACCACAGCGTCACAGACCGAATCATATCTCTCAGCCGCTTCTCCTCGCGATCTCACAATGCGGACAGCCCATAATATCCTCTCTTCACCATCCCACTACGCCGGCCCACCCGTACACCCGGTCAACCCCAATCTTGCGACCTATGCAGCTCTCTTCTCCCTGGTGCTCCTTCCATCGCTTCCAACCGCCCATCCGGCTCAATTGCGCCAACATCTCGCCGTCTTGACGCAACATTTTCTGGAGTTCTTCGAGCTCGACGTCCATCTCTTCGAAACGCGGATTCTGCCACTGACAAACTCGTTGCCAGACGCTCGTTCGTATCGAAATCTGATTCACTCACTCAGAGATTCGGACAATGACTCCCGGGTACCAAAGTACCGCACGACTGATCCACGCAATGAAAATGTCCAGTTCACGGTTGGCCAGGTCTTCCGTCACCGGCGCCGTGGGTACCTCGCCATAATCTACGGCTGGGATCCATATTGCAAAATGCAGGAGCAATGGATCACCATGAATCAAGTGGACACCTTACCGAATGGTCGTCATCAGCCGTTTTACAATGTCATAGTTGAGGATGAATCGACACGCTATGTCGCCGAGGAGAATGTCGTGCTGCTCCAGCCTGGTGAGATCTCAAAGGAGGAATTGATCGGTTCGTTTCCCATCGAGATTGGAAAGTGGTTCAAACGCTATGATGAAGCGTCGGGCATTTTCGTGAGTAACGTCAGGCAGGAGTATCCAGAAGACTGAGACCAATCTTGATGGTCTGTACCGTAGAATTTCTCGATAATTACAAGCTGTACTCATAGGGTGGAAATAGGCTAGCTTGACCCTTTTGTTCAAGCTAGATCTCGAAGTGGTCATAGACACTGAGTGTAGCGCATTGCTACCACAGTGGACCGCCGAGTGGCTTTGCACGTTATTGAACCATCAACGAAGCCCGCAGTCTCTTGACGCTTCCGTCTAAAGCCTCCGAGCTCTGACGCTACAATTTTGGTCCACATGTCATCTGGGCCCAGAAGTCGCTCACAGCCAGCTAGTGCCTCAATGGGGAGGGTCTTCCGGCCACCGACCAGCGCTCGTTCTTTGTAGTCAGAACACAAATTCGCAAAGTTGGGGAGCGGGTCGTGATCAAAATACCGCCGTTGATTTTATGGGAAAATACTCTCGAGTATCGAACAATGCAGAAGTTGCAGTGGGGGCGACCATTGGTTGCTTAGGATGGTCATATGTAATTGTCAAATATGAGGATGATTTCCTTGACAAGGCTGAGTCTAGCCATCTCCAGACAAGTGCACCGACTTCATTCTCAGGTACGTCGATCTCTCGAGACTCTGTGACAAGATGCCGAGGGTTCGAGCTCTTTACAGCGCCCCAGCATATCAGGTTTGGTCTTGCGAGCGGAAGCCATTCCTAGAATTCAATGATGACGGTCGTGATGATCGATCCTGAATTGGTATCGCCATGTCATTTGAGGTGGGTGTTTGCAGAACCTCGGAGTTGTATCACACTGGTAGCACCAGTGTCAAGTGTTGTGCATCAGGTATTCTACCAAATTCTTGGGGCGTCAGTATACTCGTAGAGAAATAAAAAGTAGTATAGCTCCCTGGCTCCAGTAAGATGCATGCGGTTTGTAATAAGCCCTGCACAAAAGATTTGACGCAAAAGGCATCACTTGACGAGTGTGTCGCGAATTTATTTCAATATTGTTTTTGAGTTCCACCTCAGCGGTGTCCTCAAGTTCGGCGTCTTTTTTTACCTTCGCTGTGTTCCCGACCATCATATTTGCAACCCTGATGATTCTCATTCAGGCCATATAGAACACATTGCGGGCGTGTTAGGTGTCACGAGTTTCTGCATCTAAAAACAACCACCCTTTCCAGCCAATGTGGCTGGTGCATCTGGTCGAAAATAGGTTGATGGAACCACCGGACATGTAACAACGATATCGTCAAGATGCACCAGGACTCATCCAATTCGACAGCCATCATCAATGGCATCTCCTATAATGCAACAGCCCTGCAGTACTGGAACTACACAATCTATGACAATGGCACACTATCCAATGGCAGTGAGTGCTATCTGACTTTTGGCAATTACCGTCCCGTCCTCGTCTCTGTGGCCAACGGCACTTTCATCAACTCGACCTCCTGCTACAACCCCGTCAATCCGATCGGCACTCGGGGCATCATTGGGCTGATCTTTGGCTCTTTGTTCGCTGTCTCGATCGTCATCTCAACGATCAATCTTAGAAAGCATGGCCGGGCCTATCTACCACGCGAGAAACGCTGGAAGCCTGTTGGAAGGCGCTGGCTGTGGTACTGGACCATCTTCGTTGCTGCCTGCGGGATTCTAAGCTGTTTTACAGCCGTGGATGTCGACAGGGACTACATTGTTAACATGCCAATGGTGTTACAGAGTTTCTTCCTGACGCTGGCAATACCGACCGTCCTGGCGTGCGTGTGGGAGGCGGTCAGAAGCTGGTAAGCCTTGATATTAATTCACCATGTTACATGCTATGCCGTATCTAATTCTTTAGGGCCTCCTTCGAGCATCGTCAGATCCATGATGCCGATCCTTTTGCCTTCCGGCCCACTGGAGCCCACGCAAAACTCGAGTTCTATCTCCCACTGGCCTTCTACGCATTTGACTGGATGGTCTTCTTCTTGGTAGTTCCTCGCGGATGGACATTTGTCCAGAAGCAAAGATCCGAGGTGCAGACATTGTTATCGGCTAGGCCAGCAGCCCTAGATTCCCGGTTCAAAGCTGGAGCAATTCTGGCCATTATTTGTTTAGGTATCTCTGCGTTCCGATTAGCCTACAGCAGCCGGGTTTACCACGTTCGAGTCCCCTGGGCGTTGCTGCAGGTTGTGGTTCTGGTGGCCATCAGACTGGCGTATATGCTTGCTGCTTCGTGGGTTTGGCAGATCTCCCCGTACAGGTTGGACGTCAACATCGGTTGGTTGTATGGATTAGGATATGCCCCAGTCCTCCTCGTCTTATGCCTGTTGAATGCCCGAGGGTATATGAACGAGAATGAAGAGAAGATCTTGATCGCTCGGCGAGCTTCGAGGGGTGAAGAGGACGGACTGCGTCTGGAGTCAAGACGTCAACCTCCACCAAACCGGCTGCAGCAAGCCTCGTCGCCAGCGTGGTGGTCGAGGTCTCGTGCCGCTATGTCACACGGTGGCCAGGCGTTCAAGACGCCGACCTCTCCAACTCCCGAGACTGTCAAAGCTGGGACTTTCCCGTCCGCCTTAGAAGCGAATGGGGACGAAAGTGGACACTCCTGGTGGCAGAGCCGCAAGCGAGAGGAACCCGACACCAGACGAAGGAAATTCACAGCAGCTCCATTTGATTCGGGTTCGTCACACGCCGGTGGTGGACGTATTCGGGATACTTCGGTGACTCAGACTCAATGCAGATGGACCGAGGAGGACGACTCGAGGATACGCGTAGTGAGTCGGACCAGGTCGAGCAGCGAAAGCGGCGACGACCGCTCGTCGACGATTTCGTTGCAGTCGCGACCCCAAGTAGTCAGAAGTATGTTGGATGTGTAACGTGCTTGGCACATTGTGGACTGCTTCAAACTTTGATACTGTGATCGTACCTCAAGTTGACTGCGCCTCATGCTGTCTTGGACTTGCTATGAGCCGCGGTATCCGGCTGTTGATCGATTCTGATATTTTCCAATCTCTGAATGATCGTGTGTAGGTCATCTAGTTTGTCTCGTGCGAGCTGGACTTTGTTTCTCAGATCTTGCAACGCCTCCTCCTCCTTCATCGCAATAAACCTTTCCATGTGTCGCTCAGAGCGAAGGTCCATCGGCCAATCGCGGGTGGAGTCTTTGGAGGAATACGATCTCTGGACGGTCGGGAACGAACGGAGAAACAGAGGGGAAGGGCGGCATACTTTGACGAGCTCGACACGTATCATGATGGCGATGATATGTGTGTGTGTGTGTGTGCCACATCACCTAGGTATATTTCTGTGGGTTGGGAAACTGGAGACGATGCGTTCCCGGCTCTGTGTTTCACTCACGAGGCTGAAGCCAAGCCTGGATAGACAAGGCTGACCAATGGCGAGTCGCAACGATCATTCAGCTTCAACTGCGCCCTACTCACAGCCAACCTAGACACGATCCTAAACGCACACAATTCTGGCAGACTTTGTAATTATACGACTCCGTGATGCTATGGCGTTCGACCATATCGAAACGGCCCTTACTTAGTTTCAAATCATTTCGGCCAACGGGCGGCGTCCACGGTAATACTGGGACATGTGCGCCTCGCACTCGTTTGCCCGGGAGCTCGAAACCAACATTGGCGCTGCATGCCAAACAGTCGACGCTGACACTGGATTCAAGGGCGCCGAATGCAGTTCGAGACGAGGAAGCCTTCGCTGTTGAGTCAGAGCGGCCAGGCCCTGAAGAAACTTTCACATGCTCGGCCCAGAAATATCGGCATGTTCAGCTGCTGAGAGGTGAAGGAATGGACACAGTACAGCGACCAAATGGCCCCATTGTGATTGATGGCCTGGTGCGTAGTGTCAGGAAGCAGAAGAGAATTGCGTTTGCACATATTGCCGACGGCTCAACGCTTGCTCCTGTACAGGCCGTATTAAGTGACCCTCAGCTTGCAGAGAAGTACATCTGATCAACTACAACATAAGAGAATGGACGAATTGACTGATATTGCCACAAGTATCTCCAATGGAGCATTTGTATCATTGTTGGGCCAGTGGGTGCCCTCTCACGGAGGTCAACAACGCAGCGAACTGCAGGTTGCGAAGGTCCTCATGGTTGGCGAAGGGAATACACCTGTAGGCCGATTATTCTCATTCTCCAGCCTCCCCTTCCTCTCTGACCATTATCATCAAGGAAAACCCAATCCAGAAAAAGGCCATGACCAAAGCATTCCTTCGAGCAATCCCTCATCTTCGCATACGGACCGACTTCCAATCTCTCCTCTTGCGCACTCGAAGCATGTTGATTTCTAGCATCCATACTCATTTCTCCGAGACCCATCAGTCCAATCTTCCTGTTTATTTGGTCCATCCGCCTCTGATCACTTCGTCCGATTGCGAAGGTGCCGGAGAGGTTTTCACGGTTGAACCCCAAAACAGAAAGCCAATATCCCCTGCTTCAATCGAAAGCGGTGGAGCGGACGAGCTGTACTTTCGTGACCCGAAGTATCTTACTGTATCATCGCAACTTCATCTTGAAGCCTTTTGTGCTGAATTAGGCGCCGTTTATGCCTTCTCGCCTACCTTTCGTGCTGAGGAGAGTGATACCCCCCGGCACTTGGCAGAGTTTTACATGGTGGAAGCCGAATTTCGAAATACGCCTCTACAGCAGATCATGGGCAGTGTAAAAACGCTAATCAAGAGCGTTACAGCACACATCGCAGGCCACGCAAATGGCCAGGAGCTGCTTGAATACTACGTAGACAAGAAGCACGGCATCGCGACTGAGGGTGCGGTCGATCTCCAACTACGATGGGCTAAATTGCTCGGTGAGTGGGAGTCTATAGATTATACCACGGCGATCCGGTTGCTTCAAGAAGCCAACGATGCTAGAGGTGGGAAGCTCTTCGACCACCGTCCAGTATGGGCGCATGGTCTTCACCTGGAACACGAGCGCTGGCTCACCGACACTCTCGCTAACAATCGACCCGTGTTTGTTACAGATTATCCCAAGGTGGTCAAGCCCTTCTACATGCTTCCGTCCACGTTAAGCACGGAGAATGGTAATGCAGAGCTGTCAGATGTTCCCCAAGAAACCATGGCTTGTTTTGACCTCTTACTACCCTTTGGCTACTGCGAAGTGGTTGGCGGAAGCTTGAGAGAGCATCGCCTACCAGATCTTATCGCGAATATGCGAGAGAAAGGGCTGCTGAAGAAAGTTGAGCCTGGGACGGAAGAGCGGTATCCATTCCTGCAGCCCGACGAAAGCTTGGGGTCATTGAAGTGGTACGGCGATCTGAGGCGATTTGGTAGCAGTCCTCATGGGGGTTATGGGCTTGGCTTTGATCGATTACTCGCTTACTTGACTGGTGTGGCAAATGTGAGGGATGTGGTTTCTTTTCCTCGCGTCTGGGGAAAGGCAGATTGTTGAGATTGTATCAGTGAGATGTATTCTGAGACTATCTATACCTCGACTCCAGCTGTGTCAATAGATGTACATTACAAAATAACGCCAGCGCCATCCATTACAGTATCTATGTACGACTAATTATTGGTAGGGTGAGATAGACGCCAAAAAGGGTTAGCTGCAGCCTGGCGGTGGCGAGGCTGCCGTACCAAATTATCGACGTCTTTTCCCCTCTCTCTTTTTATCGTCTCTGGTTGACCACGCATCCACCATTCACCTTGTTGATGGCAACATCTGTGCCTGAGGATGCGCCAACTGCTTCCCCCATAGAGCCAGCAGACTCTCCCTCACCCTCTGCAACAACTCGTTCTATTTCCGGAGGACATTGTGTCATTTGCCTCGACGTGCTAGTCGAGAAGGCAATCGCCTTACCTTGCCGCCATGAACAGTTTGATTTCTCTTGCCTAGGCCAGTGGCTGCAGCGCCGACAGATATGCCCGCTGTGCAAGGGTGAGGTCAGGGCGATCAGGTACGACGTTGATAAGGAAGCGAACGGAGCGAGTAAGATATTCCATCTGCCACCACCTGCGGAGGAGGTGGGGCAGCCGCGACGCAGAAACATCGAAGCCCTCGCGGCACGTCACAGACTGAGGTGGGCGAGACAAGACCGACGCTTCTCGCAACACCAGGAGAACTCACATTGTGCTGTCCAATCGCAAGCCACAGGCCTTGCGTTTCGCAGGGCCGTCTACCGTAGCAATCTTTTCTCTCTTTACGTCGGCTCAAATCGCATATCATGCTACCGCGGGATTACACCTGTTTCTTTCCAACGCGATGAACGTCTTGTCTCGCGTGCGAGAGCGTTCCTCCGTCGGGAACTCTCCGTCTTCGATTTCCTTCGTCCAGAACCCTCTTCCTCCACCACCTCGTCGTCGGTGGTCTCATCAGCAGCAGCAGCGACAGAGAGCCGTCGCGGAAGCACTGCCGACTTCCTGCTCGAATATGTCATCTCGATCTTGAAATCCATCGATCTCAAGGGAAGTTCCGGGCAAGCAGAAGAGTTATTGACAGACTTCCTGGGCAGAGACAACGCTCGGCTTTTCATCCACGAGCTGCAGGCGTGGCTGAGGAGCCCGTATGAGCGGCTCGAGGATTGGGATCGCAATGTGCAATATTCCATTCCCGCTATTGCCCTGATGGATGGTGGCCATGTGAATAGTCAGCAGCGTGAAAATGGCAAATCTCGTGGGGCGCATCGCCATGCAACCGGAGCCCTAAGTACTGTCCCGAGATGGTTCTCGGACCGCTTTGTCCTGGGAGGAGATGAGCGGGGGACACCAACGCCTCTCCATTGAGCGCTCTTGATATGGGTTCCCGGCTATTCTTCAACTCCTCCGAGAAACCAGTCCCTGAGTGTGCCAGTAGACATTGTCCGGGCCACTCACACTGTCTGACTCCTTCGCTTTTCTTGGACAGGTATCCTTCGGCTGCCATGCGGGTGACAGATGAAATTGAATGCATCAAGTGCGTACGATGTGGCAGGCATTACTCCCTGTAGCAGGGGTGCTGCGACACATTTATAAGTACTGCAAATGGAACATTTTCGCATATTTCGTCCGTAAGGTCGAACAGAAGATCTCGGGCCGCAACTCCTCACCCAGTGGCTAGAGCCACAGCAATGCACCCAACGACCTCAACGACCTCAACGACCTCAACGACCTCAACCTCTTCCGAGGGGCGATGAGATGCAAATAAGGCTGGGATATGAGGGATAGAACAATGATTGTATACAACAATACGAATGTAACTATGCATGTCGTTGCTCCTGGGGCGAGTAGTGGAGGGGACTGATGACTGGTAGCGCTGAAGTACCTCCAGTGCGCTGGCGTCATAGGCTGAGGTTCTGCTGTGAATGATAAATATTATTATACATACTCCATCCCCAACTGTCGATCCATGGCATTAGCTACTAGTTACCTTGGGTACCCGAGTACTTACAAGTTATGTACAACGGCGAGAGAGCAGCAGCTCCTACAGGAGTGCCATATATGGCGCCCCAATCAGAGACCTGCTGCCCCGGCTCCCTGGAGTGGGCGATCTCGCAGTGCTCCTTCCCTACGGCGGCTGTGGGGAGAATCCCGCTCCTGCGCCTTCCGCCTGCCGGGTGCACCTGCCCGCTAATTGGCAACAGCTCGTCCTAGCCTAAACCCCATAAAGTTTCTATCGGCGGGCTAATCAATCTCGAACTGCGACTCATACATATTCTATTCTAGCATCTTATCAAGAAGCAAGTAGCAACTTGGTTACCAGGCCTCCGCAGCAATTGTTTTCCTGTCTCCCTCCACCTACGCCTACGCCCTCGCTCACCCCCACTGCGCTGCAGTGGCCTCTTGCAAGCTTCTCCAGTTCGCACCAGAGAGGGACAATCCCAGCATGTCGAAGCGGAGTTGGCAAGAAGCCAACCTCCCCTCTCCCCGGTCGATACCCGGAGTCAAGCAGACTGGTTCTTCGGTCTCGCCGCATTCCTACCACTCTCCAATTCAACAGACATCGCCTAAGAAAAGTCGCAACTCGTTCGACGAACCCCAACCAATTGCAAAAGCTCCGCCGAAGCCACAGCGGACCAATTCTACTCCAAATGGGATCTCGGCGGAGACAAGTAAGCTGCCTGGTATCTCGAGGAAGGTCAAGGCTTGTGCTGCGTGTCGCAAACAAAAGGTTGGATCCCATTGAGGACCGAAATGCTCGATAGACTGACATGTCGTTCTGACAGATCAAATGTATCATGGTTGGAGACCCACCCTGTCAAAGATGCAAGGAGCGAGGGTTATCATGTCGCCTGAACAAGAGCTTGCAGACACTCATGTCTGAAGATTCAAAATGGAAGGCCGCCGTCACCAAAGACGTCACATCTTTGTATGCCACTGTGGAGGAGATTGTCCGAACCTTGCAACTGCCCTCCTTGCCACAAATGCTTACCTCAACTCAAGACCCCGCTATCTTTTTTGACCAAGAAGATGACAAGGATGATGACGAGGATCAATCACTGGATAATTCCCCTAAGGTGACCCCAGTTGCCGATAATTTGTCGCACGTCCCCATTGAATCTTTGTATCAAATTACGGGTATGCGATCATTGCGCGCCACCGAGAATATTACCGAGGACCAGTCGCGGATATGTAAACAGTTGCGCGATACCGACTTCATTGCAAGAGGGATCATGAAACAAGAGGACGCGGAGCATCTTGCCAACTACTACCTCAGCAAACTCGATCCTTACATTTGGCACATCTGCCCAGATTACAAAGATCTCGAATCATTCCGTCGCCGGTCACCTACCTTGACGGCCTGTGTCTTGACTGTTGCCGCACTTCATGATACAAAACTCGGCCATCTTTATCCCATTTGCAGCAAAGAATACCGAAGATTGGTCGCAAATGCCATGTTCGAGAGAAAGATCGACATGGAGTACCTACGAGCATTGGTCCTCGGGTCCTACTGGTTAAGCGACATTTCGTGGACGCTCTCAGGATATGCAATCAGACGCGCCAGTGAATTCCATCTGAGACAATACTACCTCCAAATCCAGGAATCGGTCAATTCTCCAGAGAAAGTCCCACAGGCCAAGCTACAAGAGGCCATCGACGGCATCAGAGTTTTGTATCTTCTTTACATCTGTGATCACCATCTTTCAATCCTATATGGTAGGTCTTCAATCATGCGAGACAACGAAAGCTACATTACGGGGTGGGAATCGTATCTTGCCTGTTCGTTGTCGACAGATGCCGATCGCAGGATTGCCGGCCAAATTTGCCTGATGTACCTGATGAACCAGATACGCGAAACACTGGGGCCTGAGGACACCAACTCAGTTCTTCCAGTATCTGCCTTGGCAAAGATTGCTGGGTTTGAGCGAGATCTGGACGACTGGATTGCAAGATTTTCGAGACATAGTAAGCAACGCCTCTTGTTTGAGATGATAAGGAGTACTAAGCGATGTGTAGATCCCAGTCAATTCGTAGGCAATTGGCCTAACAAAGGAGCGGTCATGCATTATCATTGGGCCAAACTATATCTACAATCCTACGTGCTGCGTGGTCTTCCAGAATCAGGTGCAGTCATCCCAGAGCATTTCCTGGAAAATGCTTCAGCGGCAGTAGCAGCCGCGACTGCAATTATCAACCTTCTGCTCGAGGATAAGGACGCCCAAATCGCAATTGCGTATGTTCCTCACCACATACATGGTATGATTGCCTTCGCTTGCATGTTTCTGTTGAAAATTGCGACCAAGTACAGCGAGCAACTATTCCTCGACACAGTCCGTTTCCAGCGGCTGATCAATGCACTGGCGCAACACTTCAAATCCACCGATGTTGGCAAGGACCATCTTATTCATCGGATGGCAGATGGGTTGGAGAAAATGGCCGAGAGTTTAGGCGGACCAGCTCGGATCAAGAGCCGACGGATCAATGGGGGAAGACCAAGCCAGCCCCTGCCATCCCCAAGCCAGCCAGTGGCTGCCATGACTCCAGGGAAGGTGGCGAACGGTACAACAGATATACCAGACTACAGCTCCCTCGACCCTGCAGCGTTTGATTTTGGAGATCCAGCACTGGGCCTGGGAATGCCCTTCTTTGACTTTGAGGGGACGACGCTGGGAGCGGGAGACAATATGTGGAATTTCACATAGTCAAGCAGTGGAGCCTTTAGTAACTCGGCATCGTCGCGTGTAGCATGAATGATGATTGATGGTCACACAGAATACTGTTTGCGAAGGTCATGTGATTGCTGAATCTGTGATCGATGGACTAAGGGCGATGGGAGCTCTCAGCCAATCATAATCGAGGAATAGCAAAACCGCGGCTTGGCGGATGTTCGGGGACTAGCGGCTTTTCTGAGCAGCAGTTTGCAGCAGAGCAACCGCAGCCAGTTGAGTTACTCGTAAAGTTCATCTTGCTGAGGGAGCTCTCGAAAGTACCTCTTCTTCCTGTTCTTCTTCTTTCTGCCCTTTCAAACCCCCTTCTCTCCCTTTCGACTTCCAACAATGGCAACGCAGCGGCTAGCGCTGAATCTCCAGCGCTCCCTTCGAAACCGTAAAGCTCTCAATTCCATCCAATCTCCCCTAAGACGTTATGCCAACCCAATCACTCCCTCAAGAACCGAGAGCACCACTCTTTCCAATGGCCTAACGGTACGGTCAATCTCGCGGGAGGGAACTGTGCCTTACTGATCTTGCCTCAGATCGCCACCGAGCACTCACCTTGGGCTCAAATCTCGACTGTTGGAATTTGGATCGATGCAGGTAGCAGAGCCGAGACCGACAAGACCAATGGAACTGCTCACTTCCTCGAGCATCTGGCTTTCAAGGTAGCCTATGTCAACCTGCTGCAGCTTCAGACCATAGCAATTGACACATCCAGGGAACCGGCCGACGCGACCAACACCAGCTGGAGCTTGAAATCGAGAACATGGGCGGCCATCTCAACGCATATACCTCAGTACGACACTCTTCCGGTGGCAATTCAAGCTTTGCTAACACTCTGGCCAGCGTGAAAATACGGTGTATTATGCCAAATCTTTCAACTCCGACGTCCCCAAGACGGTCGACATCCTTGCCGATATTCTCCAGAATTCCAAGCTTGATTCCAAAGCCGTCGAAAGAGAACGAGATGTTATCTTAAGGGAACAAGAGGAGGTTGACAAGCAGTTGGAAGAGGTTGTTTTCGATCACCTGCACGCCACCGCCTACCAAAACCAGCCCCTAGGCCGCACCATTCTCGGGCCACGAGAGAACATTCTCAGCATTACTCGGCAAGATTTGGTTGACTACATTAGCACGAATTATACCGCCGATCGTATGGTCCTCGTTGGAGCTGGTGGTGTCCCCCATGAGGAGCTTGTCAAACTCGCCGAGAAACATCTCGGTGGATTGAGATCAGCACCGCCTACGTCCCTCGCCGCCGAAATTGCTGCTGAGCAGAAGCGAAAGCCTGACTTTGTTGGCTCGGAAGTCAGAATTCGAGACGACACTATCCCCACAGCAAACATTGCCATCGCCGTTGAAGGTGTCAGCTGGAAGGATCCCGACTTCTTCACTGCCCTCGTTACCCAAGCCATTGTTGGCAACTGGGACCGTGCCATGGGCAACTCCCCGTATCTCGGAAGCAAACTGAGCACATTTGTCAATTCCAACAACCTTGCCAACAGTTTCATGAGCTTTTCCACCAGCTACAGCGACACCGGGTGAGTCCAGCCGTCGTTCGTTGCTGAATCATCGCTAATCATTCACTAGCCTTTGGGGTATCTATCTGGTAACCGAGAACAAGACTCAAATTGATGATCTGGTTCATTTCACACTCCGCGAATGGTCCAGATTGTCATTTAATGTCAGCGAAGCAGAGACAGAGCGCGCCAAGGCCCAACTCAAGGCTTCCATCCTCTTATCCCTCGACGGTACCACTGCTGTCGCCGAAGATATTGGACGACAAATTGTGACTACTGGACGAAGAGCAGACCCCGCCGAGATCGAGAGGGTTGTTGGTGCAATCACAGAGAAAGATGTCATGGCATTTGCCCACAAGAAACTGTGGGATCAAGACATAGCCATCTCTGCCGTAGGTTCGATTGAGGGCCTCCTAGATTACAACAGGATAAGGGCAGATATGAGCAGAAACGCAGCATAGAGAAGAGGGTGAGCTGGGGAGTGGCGAAAGGCTCCGGGTTAAGCAGAGACTTGGTCTGTAGAGGAGACGATTTGTATTGTACAGTGCATACTTCGAAAAGAGAGAAAGTACAGAGAAACTAATTTGTGTCTGACGTATGCCGAACGACTCGTCGGTCAAGTGCTCAGGCATGGAATACCACAAATGTCTGGCGTCTGCGCTTGACTTGGTGCCGTGGGCGATTTTTGTCTTGAAGTCCTCCGTCCTAATTACAGTATGGGAACATACCAGAGGAACTGTGGGTCGGTCGGACGTACTGCGGACAAGCAATGCGCCTGCCCTTTGGACGACGGCCAGCTGGTGACTTAAGCAAGGCCTGATCACGTGTATATACACCTGATATCTGTTCGATTACCTTGATTTCGACCTTCCTTCGTCCTCGTGAGCCAATGCACTAAGCATTCTTCCATGGATGACCGGTGTCAGAGCATTGAAGGTGGACCCGTGCTTGATATCTGCCTTGGATTCACCAATACTCTTCCATCCAATTTTGTGCCGTACGCTTCGACTCTTTGGCAATGAGAACGTTTCTGAAGTGGACATTGCGGTCTCATTTCATCATCACCTTTGCCTGACTACCACTGATGTCCGCAGAGTTGAGAAGAGATCAGAGTATTATCGGCCCCGTAAGATCGAATGCCTCTATTTACGGACGTAGGAGTCCCTCGTCGTTAACGGTGGGTACACAAGCGCAATGAATCGACTGGCTTGAAACAATATGGAGGAACAACAAAGTTCGCTGGAGCACGGCGGAAATCTTGAAGCGTCCCAATCAAGGCATAAACCGTCTCGAGAGGGACTCGGTCTCTAGAAGAGGCAGTACTCGTCCGTCCATCACACTATTCTCTAGTGATCAAGAAATTTTTTGAGCTGTTGACCTCGGCATTGCAAAGCCAGTTGTAATTATGACGCAACATCTCCCGAACTCTATCCAGGCCTCCCTAACTAGTCAGTTGGTCACGACATGATACTCGGTAAACATGATTGATCCTTCCATTCCACTCCAAAAGTGTCGACCAAGTAACGGAGGAAACCATTCTTAGTGGCTAGGTATGCCCGCCACACGCACGATGGGTCTGGGGATAGTGCTCTTTGCTTGCCTCTTGCTCGTCCACAGCTTACAAATTGGACTCTGCTTGGTGTACTTATATGCAGACTTTTAGCTGGGCCAGGAGTGTATTCCAACTACCGCCCTTGCTCAAAGCGCCTTTCTTTTGGGTTCCAACGTTGAAAGGTATCTGGTCAACTACCATACTTCAAATCCACTCTGAGTTTCTTCTTATCTTGCCTGGTTTGATATATAGCTTGACTAGGTTGAGAAATCTATCTTGCAAACATGCCTACCAAAAATCAAGCCCTGGTCTTCAGCAAGATCCCCAAGGATTTCCCCGTGCCTGGTGAGCATCTGACGATCAAAGACGTCGGGTTCGATCTCGACCAAGAGTTACCGCCGCACAGTCTAATCCTGGAGACTCAATATGTCTCCTTTGACCCATACTTACGAGGCCTGTTGCGCGACCCCAGTGTCCAATCCTACTCGCCAGCATTCCCGCTTGGCTCGGTCATTGTGGCCGCCTCGCTGGCCAAAGTCCTCAAGTCGAGCCTCGACGGCTACAAAGAAGGCGACATCGTCCGCCACGGCCTTCCGGTCCAGGAGTACAATCTCTTCACGCGAACAAATGACTCAAATCCCACGCCCACCAAAATCGACCTGACCACCGCCCCAGATGACATCCGCCATTTCCTAGGCGCACTGGGCATGCCAGGCCTGACAGCATACTCTTCGCTCTACGAAATTGGCAAGCCGAAGAAAGGAGAAATCATCTTCGTAAGCAGCGCCGCCGGCGCTGTCGGCCAACTAGTCGGCCAATTGGCTAAGCATGAAGGCCTCACCGTTCTCGGCAGCGTCGGCTCCGACGAGAAGCTCGACTTCATCATCAGCGAGCTCGGCTTCGACGGCGGCTGGAACTACAAGACCGAAAAGGGCTCGACCAAGGAAATCCTCGACCGCCTAACCAACGGTAATGGCATCGACATCTTCTACGACAATGTAGGCGGCGAGCAGCTCCAGGGCGCCCTTGATAGCTTGAATGTGTTTGGCCGCATCGTCGCTTGCGGCCAGATATCCCAGTATAATCTGCCACCTGAGAAGCGGTATCCAATCACCAACACCTTCTTGACTGTCGTCCGCCGGCTCACCTGGACCGGGTTTCTGGTCGGCGATGCGAACATGGGCCCTGCATATGCTAAGGCGCATCTAGAGAACGTCTCCAGGTGGTTGAAGGACGGTACATTCAAGGCAAAAATTCACGAGACCGTCGGGATCGAAAATGCCGCCGAGGCATTTGTCGGAATGCTCAAGGGTGATAATTTCGGGAAGGCTGTACTGAAGGTCAAGGCTTGATCTGAAAGATAAGGTATGGCAGAAAATGGTGATGGATGAGCAGCTGGTAGAATGGAGATAGGCCACGCTACCAGCGCAAGGAGACACCAAAGGAAAACGACGTTGGGAAGATACCAACTCACGAATATGTAAGGACGATCTTCAGGCTTCGATCTCATTCCAAAGTGAGCAAATGTACTCTTCGGCATAGTATGATTTTATAAGATAATGTCCCTGGCTGTGCTTTCACCATCTTCCATTCCCCAAGTCCTCTTTCTTTACGACCAGTGCGTACACGCGAAACTCGGATGGGGGGCGTGCTACTGTCACCAATGTATTATCCGGTGCTATGGTGCGACCAACTAAGTCAAGCATTCAGCCAATTCGCCTACTAAGAGGATTGGTCTTTGCATTGCTCATGCCCTCCCAACAACATCCGACGACCCCCTCGATCTTCTGGCGCGCGTATGACCTAGAACCAAGAAGAACCTGATCAGCCCCTTTCCTCTGGCCTTTACAGATGTATATTCCTTTTATGGGCCGTCTTGTCTCCTGCTCCTTATGGTGGATGCGTGCTGGACGGTTAATGAATTTACGACAGTATAACTTATCATAACATTGGGAAGGGAGTTTACTATATTCTATATCATATAGCATATCATGTGGACTGTAATTCAAATGAAAGAACAAGTCGCGGTAGACGTGCCACCACGCTTGGGCATCTTATGCTCCTCTCAGAGTCGGACAAATGGATCATCAAAGTACCAGACTGGATCACCGTCACCCACCTCAGTCTGGGTGAAGCCATTGCCCATAAAGGCATATCTATTCTCGGAACAATATGTGATATTGTAGTCCTCCCATCTCACATTTTTCATGATCTCGAAGAAATGGAGCCGACTTCCAGGGTATATCGCAGTCACGGGACCATGTGTTTTGCCGTTCTTGAACCACGATCTGCAGGCCGACGACCAGACCAGTCGTTTCATGAGCTCGTGTGTATGGTTGTACAGCTCCTTGATGGCTTCTTTCTTGGGCTCAACCGCTTTGATCCGCTCGGTCTGGAGCTTTTCAATCACCTGGAACACGTACCGAGTATACCACTCCAATACAGGCAAGAGGCTGGAATGCGATGCTGGTCCATTCGGCCCGATGAATAAGAACAGATTGGGATAATTCTCAGCAGCAATGCCCATGTATCCTATGGGAAAGTCGCCAAATTGCTCATGGATTTCCCTGCCGTTGCGCCCATGTACCTGGAAATGGGGAGTAAATGTCGTGTCGAAGCCTGTCGCGCAAATAACAACATCGACCTTGTGTTCCACACCTGACTCATCCACAATTCCCGTTTCGGTCAAGCGTGAGGCCGATCGTGGCACAACTTCGACATTTTCGGCCGTGAGAGATTGAAGGTAGCCAGACCCAGGCGTCATGCGTCTGCATCCGAGGGCGAACGGTGGGATCATGTGTTTGGTGAGACTTTCATCGTGCCCCAATTGTTCTGCCATGATAGTTGCAACAAGGTCACGGGAAGACTTTTGATCCTTTGCCTTCAAGTGCATCTAGAGGGCAAGTTGAGCGAATTTTGGATAATCTGATCGTGGATACGTACCAGAGTAAATCGTTTATTCAATTCTCCCTCAACGTCTCGACTGTATTGTGCATACTTATCTGGATCATCTCGCCACTCTTGCTTCTGTTCTTCAGAGTCTGGAAGAATCAGAAAATTGTAGAACGGTCGCTATTAGGGTACTCACACGCGAAATTTGTTCCACCAGGCCCTGCATATTTGGCTCCGAAGCCAGTGGTCACCCAAACAGGCGAGCGAAGGAAAGCGAACAGTTTTGAGACAACTATGAAGGGTAAGGATGCTTGCCAAGACACTCATCGATCTGACGGGCCGATAGCTTACCTGGTTGTATGGAGGGTACTATCTGAACAGCTGAGGAGCCACCGCCTATGACTGCGACAGTTTTTCCCTTCAGGTCATATTCGGCGTCCCACCTTGCACTGTGCATAAGTTTGCCTTTGAAGATATCGATTCCAGGAATGTTTGGCCACTTCCACGAGCTTTTATACATCATCAGCCAAGGCTTGTTTGTGCTTGGGAAAAGCAGCAGGCGGGACATACTTCAATACACCTGAGCCATTGACTAGGACGTTGCAGGTGTCCTCAAAACGCGAACCATCAGGCCCAACGACCTGCAAGCGCCAGAGACCTGCGTCCTCGTCCCAGGTAGCTGATTCTATCATGGTGTTGAACTTGACGTATTTATCAATCCCATGCCTGACAGCAACATCCTTCATGTATCTCCAGATTTCCTCGGAGCCGGAATAGAAATGGGACCAATTGGGGTTCTTGTCCCAGGTGAATTGACTGCGGCACCTGTCAGCTCCTTGACTCTGCTCCTGTACATCCTGCAGATGACCATACTTACTAGGAGTGGGAAGGGATATCGCAAGTACAGCCAGGATAACGGTTCTCAAGCCAGGTGCCTCCGAAGTCATGGTTCCGGTCATATATCTGCAGTTCGACATCTTTGAATGCCCGCTCGGCCTTATAGGCGAACTGTATGCCTGTGGCGCCCGCTCCGACGCAGATCACTCGTAGCTTGCGCCTCTGATACAGGACTTGTTCAGTGACACGGTAGCCATCGAAATCTCGTCCATTATACCAACCATTCTCATGAGGAGCATCTGAAGGCACTGATACGTCTTCATCAGGGGCTGCTGATGTTAGGACGACCCGATCTGCAGACATCATGAACAAAGGAACAGGACAAGGCTAACAGCTGAACGAGGGTACGTGACGATCTTTGGGGAACCGAGTAGAGGAAAGGGACTGAAGAGATCAATGAGGGCATAAACCGGAATAGGAAGTTGCAGGGGTCCCTTTCAGACACGCATCAGGCGCCGCCCAGTGGCCATAAGCGATAGTCGAACGATAGCAAAGTAAACCGCTCCGACAACGAACGAGATCCTATTTGAACCAAGGTCGGCACGGGAGAACCCCGCAGCATTGATGACGCCGCCAACGGCCGATCCAAGGCGTGTCCGAGGCTTATCAGGTTCTGGTCAAACGAGCCTCGTGGGTGCCAGTTCCTTGAGCAAGATGCAGGCGACACTCTACCACGCTCGAGGGAAAGGTCAACATCAACCATGGAGATGGTGGATACATCACGATGGAGCCATCCAGCTCGCTTTGGCGGAGACTTTCCAGTAAGCGTGGTTTGCTAAGCAGGAAGCAGATAGCCCCCCAGCAGTAATCAAAAGCAGCAGAAGTCTATTATACCAGCGAAAATGGCGTGTCTGAGAAACAAAGATGTTTGTGCATATGGTAGGGCGCCTATCCTGCACAAGTCTGACAAGAGTAGATTGCTTGGCGGCCGCGCCACGTGACTAAGCTTGTTGTGCATGGTACAGATGTGAGGCTCAACAAGTGAGAACATGGAGGACAGCGTGCAAAATGACAGAATAGGTCCTCTGGGAGTCGTCTTGGAATGAGATGCACTGGTATGTACTGAGTACGTATGTACAGTATGGCTTTGGGAGCGGGTCAGCCATCTCGAGAGCGCCAGTGATGCCCTGCTCGGCAACGGCAGAGCACGAATGACAATAGCGACCCTCTGATTGGGGGCCGCCTTCCGAAAGCAGCCCTTGGCACCCGGCAGCGGGCATCCTGCATTTCGCATCTCAATTGCTTCACAGCTTCACCTCGTTGACTCCAACCTGCGCTCCATGCAACACACGACCTAGACAATCTCGACTCTCTCCCTGGCTGAATATGGCGGCGCCATCGAGGACTTTGGTGCTGCGACACGCCCAACTGCTCTCCTCCTCTTCGGCACGGCTGTTTCCCAGCACAGCTCAATCACTACGCCTCCTCCGACCTGCTCCGTCCACATCCTCGAGAGCTTTACTGCCAGCATCGTGGGCAGCTACCACTCGATTCGCGCCTTTCTCGACATCTCTCACGCGGAAGATTCTACCACCCGGCCCTCAAGTCATCCAAGGCGGAGTCAATGATCCAGCCCCCGTCCCCAAGCCCAATCCTCTCCACGGAAGCTATCACTGGACATTTGAGAGAGCGTTGTCGGTCGCGCTGATTCCCCTGACCATCACGCCTTTTGCTGCGGGAGCCGTCAATCCGGCGCTCGATGCAGCTTTGATCTTCACCATCATCGTGCACTCGCACATGGGCTTTCAGTAAGTCTAGGCAAGCATTCATCGGAAGAAAGTCACCCCGGTTAACCAAGTAAAGATCCGTGGTCATTGACTATATCCCCGTTCACCAACATCCCACTGCTCGGAAAGTATTCGGCTGGCTCTTGAATCTGGCTACAGTGGTTGTGGCCATTGGGTTTTACGAGTTTGAGACCAACGATGTGGGTGTGACCGAGGCAATTAAAAGAATCTGGCACGCGGGCGCGAACGATGCCACCATTGGAAAGGCCGATATTTCGGGGCTTGGACACGATGGAAAACTCAAACATTTGAAATAGGTGATGACCGAGGCGAAGGAACCTTGATGCCACCAAAGAATATGTATATGACTGCCGCGTTAAGGCACAAGGATGTCCCAATTGAGATCGAATTGTACGACGCACAGCCTTGATTCTATGCCACGACCGCCTTTGTACCGGGCCTTCTATGCCAACATACAGTTTTTGGTTCCCGATATTCTAAATCCGTAGCGCCTTCAAATGCTGCTGATATTGTGCACCAAGACAGTAACTGATCAATCCTCCAGGAAATCGTCATCCGGGAGAATGTCGTCGTCATCGGATCTTGCCAGGACACTGCCTATTAACTTCAAAGTGGTTCTCAGCGGCAAGCCGACGACATTGTCAAAGCTGCCTTCTATCTTCTCCACCAGGATTGCTCCCGTGCCTTGTATGCCATAGCCACCGGCCTTATCTGCACCCTCCCTGGTGCGGACATAGGCAAGCAGAAGCTCGTCGGTAATCTCGGAATCAAACTTGACCACAGTCTCCTCCGTGGTCGACTCAAGCGCATAGCCGGGGTCTCTGGCGCTCGCAAGCGGAGTGACCACTACGACGGCAGTGTAGACCCGATGTATACCGGAATCCCGCAGGCCCTTCAGCATCGCGATGTGGTGTGCTTCGCTCCGTGGCTTCTCTAATATCTCACCCATGGTATTCACGACAACAGTATCCGCAGCGAGGATGAGTCCAGGCTCGCCCTTGTCCTCATTGTCGACCTCTTCTCTATAGACGGCCAGCGCCTTCTGGGTCGCGGTCGCAAGGACATATTCAAACGGGGAAAGCGTCTTGGGCAGATTCTCTTCAAACTTGGACGGGATGACCTCGACATTTGTAAGGCCGATCTGTGCCAGTAGAGCCTTCCGCCGGGGAGATGCTGAGGCAAGAATGACTCGCTTTCCTCGTAGTAAATTCAACGCAGGCAAATCAAGAGGTGGAGGAGGTCTTAATTGGCGGGGCGGAGCATTGGGGCGTGATTGTGGTTCTCTGGAGGGCGCTGAGACGTCCTCATATGATGGAGGCGCATCTGTAGGGACCCTTGATTTCTCAGATGTTGCCATCTTCGTGCGAGAAGCAATGTGGTGACGGGATCGAGGCAGGACTCAGGACACGTTGAGCATTGACCGACGTCTTGGTACTGGATCCTGAGTTTGAAGAACGAGGGAGTGCCCGCGTCATCTGGCGCAGAACGCGGGCGGTGACGACGACTCTGGCAGAAACCGGAGTGGGGCACAAGCAGAACAGCCCCGGGTATTCGTCTATTCCCTCGAACTAACCAGTGTAATATATATATAGATATAGATTCCCTGAACTGCACTTTTTCACGATATTTTCGCTGACTCATCCGTCGCCGCTTTGCTCCCGCGCTAGTGACTATTTAACCTCCTTGCTCCCCTTTCTCTTCCCTTCTGCTCTCTTCCACTCTCTCTCGCTCTCCTCCGATTCTCCTCTGCTCCCCTTCGCCTCTCCCTCGCTCCCTCTCTGCTCCTTAACGCTCTTACCGGCTGCCGTTTCGGCTCTAGCCTCTAGCGTGGCCGCATTCGTCTAGACGACGTCGAAGTAACTTGATACGATGGTATCTTGGATAGGCCGTTTCGGGCCCTCACTAGAGCTAGGATCTTAAAGAGGTTTCTGAGAGATCCCTCGTAGTAGGTAGCCTTAATAGGGTTAACTAGATGCCCCCGCTCTACAGCGGTCCTCTTCTCAATTTTCCTTCCCTTTTCTACCCTCGCGGTCCTGATGCTTCTCCGTGTGTCCCTCTCGCACATCCCTTTCACTTTATATCTCGTACGTTCACTCTCTCCCTCAGTTTCTCTTCTCATAGCCTAAAGCGTACTTTACTAGTGTTTCGTTCTACTTTTTACCCTCCCTCCCCTAGCGTACTCTTCTCCTTTCCCTCCATCGTTCGGCTTTCCTTAGTTTCTTAGCGCCTTTACCATATACTGTTCTATCCACTGTCCCCGATGTTAAGCAGGAAGAGAACGGCCGAGGAATTCTTTGATGACGCGGAGGAGAACGGGTGGTAATTAAGTGCGATCGCCGATGTGAATGGCGACCGAGTCGGCAAACCAATTAAACCTGGAACTAAGTTGAACTATAACTAAATAACTAACCTCTAGGATGAGTAAGTTCCTCGTCCGTCTAGAGGCTATGCTAGTCATTACTGAGGCGATTAGGTATATAGGTATACGAAGCGAAATCCTAGTGTTAGCCCCTACGATTTATAGACCGCGAAACATTTCATGGAAGGTATTATAAGAGTCTATAAAGTACGTTGTCCTAATCTACGACTGTCCTCTATAAAGTAGTAGTAGACGGACTTTAGTACTAGTTAGAAACGGTGACCGGATAATTATTAGATCCCCTCTAAGGTCTCGGAGTCGGTATACTATATTTACACCCTATCTCTTTCCCTTCTCCGCCTACCTTCCTTTAGTGAAACTAAGAGTAATACTAGTATATATCGAAATAGAGTTAATAAAAAAGTTTAAACTTTTAACTAAACGACGCTAATCGTATTTTATAATAGAAGCCTATTTTAATATTCTAATTAAGTATAAGTAGTAAAAAGATTAGTACTAGTATAAGTATTCTAGGACTCTAGTATAGGATTACGCGGCGTATATACTCTTTATATATACGCCGTCGAGAGTAGGAGAGATCTTCGAATCTAATATACGCCGTAGCTCGGGGCGAGGATTATTATACCGGGTAAGAATATAATAGGATTAATCTAGGATAGAGCTGTCCTTACGATTCGGATATAGGATATCGTCTTCGTCGTCTTTAAGAAGGAGAAAGGAGAAGCGGAATTAGCTATACGAGCTACGCGGGACGCGAAGGGCTTTACTAGTAAGCTCCATAAGAGGTTAGTCGTCCTTAAACGTCTCTTTCTCTACGAACGATACTATAAATAGGTTTCCTACTAATATTAAAGACTGCTAGACCGTAGTATAGAATATATAAGGATATATAGCCGCTATTCGCGAACTCGGTCCTACCTCTACTAGTAATTACCCTAGCCGATAGTGTCTTTCAAGACTACTTGTCAGGCAATAGGTCCGTAAGCCCTTAAGGATCGCTCAAAAAGACTAGAATCTCGCACGAAGTACGAGGTATTCTCGGACCTATTAGTTATATGCTTGCTAGGAAACCTCTTAGGGTATTCCTAATACTACTACACCTTCGAGGAGATCGAGGCGATCCCGCCCCCCGTAGATAAGTCTCTATACTATCTTCGAATCCGGAAAGAGCTACATTACATCCGACGCCTTTTTTCTAGATTATGTCCTCTAATGGCCCTACTAGAAAGATCTAAGGCGTAGTATCGTTTAGTAGTAGACTCGTTAGTCTAGGCTATCGAGCGAGATATAAAGAAAATATTCGGGTCTATAATTTTAGAAGGGAGGTACTAGTTAAGGCTAATAGTAGGTTTTACTAAACGAAAGGTTTATAGTAAAGGCGTTAATATCGCTAAAGATAACGGCTATATAATCACTAAGAGGATAAAGTTTATAGGCCACGAAAATTCCGATACCTTCTTCGGCTCGTAGATACCGTAAATTAGTACTATCGATAGGTAGGATAGCTTCTAGGGGAGTAAACGGCCCACCGTCTATCTTAAGGGCTTCTAAGGCTTATCGCTCTAATACTACCTATAGATATTTGTTAGGCAATAGGTTCGTAAGCCCTTAAGGGTTGCTCAAAAAGACTAGAATCTCGTACGAAGTACGAGGTATTCTCGGACCTATTAGTTATATACTTACTAGGAAGCCGCCTAGGGTATTCCTAATAATATTATAGTCGCTACCGGCTAAAGTAGGTTAATCTAGAGGAGCGCCCCGACTTTATCGCCCTTAATAAGGAGATCGAATCCCTAGGAGAAAAGATTCGATAGCCGCTAGCTAAACGCGAGTCTCAGCGAGACCAAGGCCGTAGGGAGGAGTTATACTAGTAGAAACGCCGAATAGTATCGGAAGAGCTAAGTAGGTAGTAGGAGGTGTAATCGCGGAAGGTCACTACGTATATAGAAACGGAGGCCTCGCCCGTCGCCTCGTTACCTAGCTTCTTTAATCGCGTTCGGAGGCTAGATCCGACGCGTAATCGTCTCGCCTCCTCGCTTTTCCTCGACGTTCCTCTCCGGAGCCCTTAGGGTCAGGCGGTTCTTCAGGATATAATTACACTATGTGAAGAGAACCCTAAGGTCGCTTAGCGCCTAAGCCTACGGCTAGAGCACGGCCATTACCCCGTACCAACGTACGTAATAAAGATAGAAAGGTTGGTCGCCCCGTGGAACCTCGCGAGGTTCCTTCCGTGTCCGCTCCACGAAAGTTCCCCCGGTGACGATATTCATTTTTAACAGCCTCCATGTCGACGGTAGATGGGACCACATCCATCGATGCTACAAAGCCGATCTCAAAGCCAAACACGGCTTTGCCGAGCTGTGCTTCTAATGCGATAAGTGGGTCATCGGCAAGGCGAGTTGGCATGTGCATTGCCAGAGCCACCTGGACGATCTCGAGTCACTCCCAGTCTAATGCGATCCCCTTACCTTCCGTCGGACCCTGGCCGCCGCCGGTCACTGTCTTTTCTGCCTATTCAATCGGCATCTCTCGCCTACCAAGCGGTTTCGTCAATGCCCCAAAAAGTCGAGCTGGAAGCAGCACCTAGACGAGCATTTTGGCGAGCTCGAGAAGAAAGACGAGCTCGCTCAGACGTCGGACGAGAGAAAGGCGACACCGTGTCCAGACCCGCGATGTGGCCTCTCCTTCGACGCCGTCGCAGATCTCCAATACCACGCCCAAGATATCCATTGTTGTGAGCGAACTAAGGCCTGTCCGAGTAAGCGGCTTTACCATCCCGGCTGGCCACGTTCGAAAATCGACGACGGCTTCATCGCCTTTGGCGAGCCTGACCGCCTTCGCGATCCCTCAGAGGTGAAATATCGATCCAACTCTATCGACGGGTATACCGTGACGTTCAACTCTGAGAAGATCGATCCCGCTGTTTCACCCGGAGTATGCTACAACAATCCACCTTTCACGGTTGACCAACACTTGATTGGGGCCGCTCCTCCTTTCGACTCGTCCAAATCCACGAGCGGTCCGGACCTAGCGCTGCTGATCGACCCACGATTTTCCGACCCGGAGTTGCTGGACTTCGACTCTTCAATGGGACTGGACCCCCTTTCCTCTCCTTCCGACTGTTCTCCTGGCTCGAACAGTGACAGCCCGACAGAGTTTGACCCTCTCACGCCAGACCTGGGAGAGGTGACCTACGCAAACGGACCACCGATTCGAGTGGAGTCGTTTGATCATGACTCCAACCCCTTCCGTCCTCAGTTCGGGGTTGTGGAGGAGGAGAATTCGCTTACCGCCATACGCTCTCAGGTCCTGCAGGCCGTCGAACGTCGCGGAAAGCGAAGCTCCAAAGGGGCCACACACTCCCGTAACAGGCCAGTGACCAGGTCGCAGAGCAAGCAGTCTTCCACTCACCGAAGGAGATGAGAAGAGGACCAGTCAGGGGAAGATGCTCGGTGCATCCCTTGTTTAGCAGAGTCACGCCGAGGTCGTTGGAATTCGGTCAGAATCCCCACGCATCATTGACGCGGGATACGGCGCCGGCAGATGGCAAGAGGAACCCGCACCCTCTACGGGCTCTCGAAAAGGGGATGTGCCACCACTCGGTCATTCCGAGATAGAGTTGGTAACGGCAACCAGCTTGACGTTATATGACAATGCGTTGGAAACGTGAAGGTTGCGATCTACCCTTGGAACCGGATGTTCGCAGGTGGACAGGCTAAACTTCCCATAGCTCGTTTCAATAGCAGCCAATTTGAGATTGAATCTGGCTCAATTATTACGCGTGTACCGCTGTTATCTTCACCGTGGATTAAACTGAGAACGCGAATGGGTTGTCAAGGTGCGAAATCCAAGCGATGTGGGAGCAGGGTTGGAATGAAGTCACTAAGCCACTCGCTAGTAAGCTCGTCTAAAGTTCAAGGAAGTATCCTGTGTAAAAATGAAACCATGGAGTTCAGAAAATTCCACTTAGTCAAGTACCTCGCCACCCAGTCCCTGCGATCGCACCCTGGACCAAATGTGAATTCTTCATCCGGCAATCTATGGACGTCAATGAGTCGTAAATCGTGGTGGACGGCAAGTATTGAGGCAAGTAGGGGTTCCAAGCCATTTCGACTGATTTGTCGAGAGTTCTCAAAATCTGTGATCTCGAAATATCAAATCTTGGTATTTATGAACAAGAGTGGCAAAAACTGTAGAATAATGGATTTCAAATATAGAAAGAGCCTTAGACGGTTGATCACATAAATGGTGGTGTGCCAGTCGTGGTGGCAATCGAAGTACCATGAGCATATTTCACTACGCAGGGTGTTTCACCATGCCGGGATGTCGATTGCTGTAACAAAATTTTGGTCACAGTCTCCGTTGCCAGTCAGAAATCAATATCATATGCAGCACAAAGATCAACTGAACAACTGTGTACTCCACATGTTTGTGCGGATCTCTCCTAAGTGAAGGTTTTGAAACGTGAATGACTATCTCAAACATCATCTTTGTTGGCCCGATGAGCTAGCTGCTTCTGCTTGTTCATGGCTGTCACTGTGGAAGGAAGTTCCGACCCTAATGACCCTCGGAACACCTGTTGAGGCCCGCTGCTACACCTGTTCCACCTTGACGAGCTTGCTTTGGTCAGCATACAGGTTTCCGAGATAGTTGATAGTGTTTAGGGTTGACGCGTGGTTACTCTAATTAGGTCCCTTCAGTGACTCGACCAGCAGGCTATCTGCGAAGCGGATTTGATGACACTTAGGTCAGCCACGAATCGACAGAAGCCCATCCTTGAGTTGCGCGGCAGGCTCAAGACGTTCTCTGCTAAGATTTGCAATTGCATTTGCATTGACCTTGAACCGGCAAATGACAGTTTCCAAAAACGATTTCTGCCACTTTCCAGCGATCTTTCCTCCACATGTACCGTTGGTACTTTTTCTGAGCCATTGCGGTGGGATACTGAAGAGCACTAGTACCTGAGATGTCGCGTAGATCAAGGTTAAGATGCAGGCGTCCATCGAGATGGTGCAACAATTTGATGCTCACGGATCCTGAAATGGCTGCTTGATGGAGAATACTTCTACCTTGTGCGTCAATGGCGAGGATATCCACACCTGCCTCTTGAAGTCGCAACAAGGTATCAAGATCAAGTTCCCATAAAGTATCCACAGCCAAGTGGGCTAAGTTCCTTCCCTTCTTGTCCACATAGTCCAGGTCTGCACCGCTCTCGATCAGCCTCTTTACGATTTCTGGTTGTGGCTTTCCCCACTTGTCCTCGATGTAATAAGCAAGAGAGTCTCTTCCTTTCAGATCCTTGTGCTGGGAATTAACCCCAAGTAAAACCAATTTGTCAATGATTGCATCGTTTGGGATACCCCGAAGTGCGTGGTGTAGCGCATTCATCCCTTGATAATCCAAGGATGTTTCTATCTTCAAGGATGTTTCTATCTTCAAGGATGTTTCTATCTTCAAGGATGTTTCTATCTTCAAGGATGTTTCTATCTTCAAGGAGGTTGAGCTTTCAATAATAAATTCCACTGAACGCTCGCAGCCGCTCTGGGCTGCATAATGTAAAGCATTCCAACCTATTTTGTCTTGAACAAGGAGATCGTTTGGATCATTCAGCAGAACCTCAAGGGATTGAATATCACCAGCGAGGGCAGCGAAATGGATAGGTGTTCTACCTTCGTTATCTTGTAGCGATCGCTCAAGACCTTGCTCCAACAGATACAGTGTTGTTCTTCTTGCCGATTCCTTGTTGTTATACGGGACACGGTGTAGAGCCGTTCTGCCGTAAACATCTTGTTGATGAAGAGACATTCTTGCACCTGTACAGAGGCTTTCTAAAATCTAGTGTCGTGATTTTCACACGCAATTCATAAACCTGGCCTCTGCTTCTTCCTTTTGTTCTTCATCATCAATGTCCTACATATATTCAGGTATCTCTTCGAGCATATACATGTGGTCAGGCCACAAATCTTCCCTGCTCTTGTACCCAAGTGACCTGCTAAGCACCAGATGCAAAGCCATGTTACCATTGATATCTTGAGCTTGAGCATCCGCACCAGCATTGAGCAGTAGTTCTACCATATCAGGTCTTCCAAAGTATGCAGCTGCATGCAAAGCTGTGAGTCCTCCATGTCCCATGCCTTTTCTGTCATGACTCTCGTGTACTGCGCCAGGATTTCTACGCCTGACCGCCACATTAATATCAAATCCAGCCTCCAAGAGCATTTCGACTAGCCCTCTATCGCTTCGTAATGTTGCATAATGCAGACAAGTCATGTTATCGCGGTCTGCTGCGGTTTGTACCAATTTCCCTTGGTTGAGAATCCCGCGCACAATTTCGCGATTGACGTCAGAAACATATATATCGACAGCTCGGTGCAGGAGACTCTTGTCATCATTATCAAGCATCTGCAAGTTAAGTCCATAGCCAATCATCGTCTCAATATAAGAAATAGGACGGCGACAATGGGCAGACCGAAGAGTCTGGGAGAGATGTACACCCCAATAGTGACGAGCGTACTCCCTGAATCCTGACTGCTCACCCCAAAGAGCTGCTTTAACGCCGAGAATCCTCGTGCATGCCAATGGCAGCCTCGCTTCACCTTCATCGACATTGATCATGTGCTTCCAGGGATTGGCTTTTCGTCTTCTTTTCGATTCATTGACCGTTGGCTTCGGATTGAGGAGGAACATTTTCAATGTGTTATGGATCAAGTACACCTTTCCGCCGACTACATGCACTAGCATTCCGCATGTGTCTCTAATGATATCCCTCGTACGGTCAGAAGTTGTAAGGCCCTGAAAACCTGGCTGCAGCATAAGAATGATAGCGATATCATCCACACTCAAAGGCCTCCGCGCCGCAAAAAGGACGGAGAATGTAGCCTTGGCCTTCTTATAATCCGTGCAATAAGTTAGCGTCCGCTTATAGTGGTCTTCGAGACCTAGTGGGAGATAATCCAGTGTGTCCAACATAGCTTGGACAGTTGAGGGAGGATTCTTGGAAAGCCGTTGCGTTAGAAAATATGCGCAGAGGAAATTATGTTGCTGGCAAGCCTTCAACTTGAAATCTACCATCTGGACCTCTTCTTCTGACAGTGCTAGGACGATACGCAATTCTCTGAGCTCCTGGCTGATAAAAGTTTTGACATCTTGGGTAGAATTCTCGTGCTCCTTTGCTCCGTCAATGGAAAAGAGTTCCACTTGTCGCTGAAGTCGACGAGAAATAGTGTAGGTAGGGAAGTACGGACGACTGCTAATGGCCAATTTGAATGTTTTGCCCATCTGCTTAGAGTATTTGACCAAGTCCGTCAAACCATCCACAAAATCGAGGAGTTTGACAATGAGGAAGACTACGACCGATATATGTATCAGAAGTTTCGAGACGAGGAGGACGAGCAGTGGCAAGAGGAATATCACAGGAGAAGGAATGATCCTTATTGGAAGAACGATTCAGACTACGATTAAAAGGGTTTGAAGTTGACCAGAATCGAGTCTACCGTATCGTATACGCGTATTCAACGGACCACAGCATACTGCAGTTGATTTTAAAACTTTACGAGTGACCAGAAATCATCTTCACTACCGTGTTCTTCACTTTGGTTTTCTGCAATTGACCGACACTGTACCGAAAACTAGCAGATTGATCAGTTGATGAAAATGAGGGAAATAAGGTTTCCCGAACCGGTGCGCCACGAGGCGTGTCAGGACGAAGTCGTGGCAAGTCACATTCTCAACACCAATGGTTTAGCCAGACGATGTTACAGTGCAGCGAGGGGCCTATCTCGGATCTGTCTGAACAGGATGAAACGACAATGAAGCTTAATCAAAGTCTAGACAGGCGATGCATGAAAGTCACAAACGTGATGTCAGCTCGACTCACACTCCACGACATGGCGAGATACAAAATAATCGAAGCATTCCTCCGCGGAGGCCTTCACACTCTACAGAAAGAGTAAAATACCTCGAGAATCCAGACTGCTCGCGTTTTCTATAACTTAGCATTGTGTCTCCAGTTTCAACGTCGATACAATGAAGCGGAACAATATCAATGACAATCTGCGATCTATCGTCTTCGCGAGCTCGGCGGGTATGACCCGGATACAATACTCAGCATGCCAAACCTTGTAGCCGTCTTATATCGACTGACGAAGCACAAGACTGCAAAGGATCTTGCTCAAGGTGTGGTGGAAAATTGTCATTACATTTACGGGCCTAGTCATTGGACGACTCGGGTAGCGCATCACAATCTGGCGGTGATCTATGCCTCAATGGATGCACTGGACGAGGCACATCATCGCATCACGCTAGCAGGTTGTTGTGGTATTCATGGGAAACGAGGTCGGCAGATCGAATTAGCCATCATTCTCTGCACCGCATGGATAGAGTCCCTTCATGGATGCCAAGTTGAAGCCTCACGACTCTACCGCAGGGCGCTCAGGATTCTGGAGGAAATCCCAGGGACGACCAGCGCCTTGCATACAACATGTCAGAACCTAGCATCTGAGGCTGACATATGTGCGAAACCCAGGGAATGACTCAAAATGTCTTTGGTGCGTTGTATAAGTATCTAGGTACTGGAACCATAGGTCGAGTCAAGAGGAGCGGAGTTTCCGTATCGGGTATCACCGCGAGTTCGCCATATTTGGTTTTCCACACGATTTGGTTGGCAGGCTCAAGACGATGCGAGAATTAATGATCCATTCAACCCCCTTGTCGGAAAAGATCACGGAGAAACTTTGATAATTTTGGCGGCGATTGCTTCAACAAAAACCCGCGCGACTTTTAATTTTACAATAACAGCCTTTGGCGTACAATGAATCCAAGCTTGTAGGTCGATGCCGAGAATTCGCACAACATGGCTCTGTCAGGTTTCAACACACCAATATCCAGGTCTGAGACTCCTCTCCTTAGCGAAGTCCGTTTTAGGAGGCAAACATGCAAGATCACCGTCTCGGGCATCCTTTCGGATATGGACGGCACTCTGATAGACTCCACCAATGCGATTGTTAAGCATTGGGAAAGGTAAGCCTCATACCTCGTATTATTTCTACCTATGACTAAACTATTCCGTAGAATTGGTCAAACGTACGGTATTGATCCCAAAGTTATACTCGCGACATCACATGGCCGTCGATCCATCGATGTCTTTCAGACTATTGATCCAGCCAATGCAAACTGGGACTTCGTCCGTCAGATGGAAGGAGAGATACCAACTCTCTTTGGGAACGACGCAGAAGAGATCCTTGGCGCCAGACAACTTTTTTCAACTCTGGAATTGCTTGACTTGAAGTGGGCCATTGTTACGTCGGGGACGCGACCACTGGTGGAGGGCTGGCTGAAAGTGCTGAAGCTCCTGGAACCAGAGTACATGATCACTGCCGAGGATGAGACCAACGGCAAGCCAGATCCGGAACCATATTAACAGGGTCTACGCAAACTCAGGCTTGAGGCATTAGCTAGTTCCGTTCTAGTGCTCGAGGACGCACCTGCTGGTGTGAAGGCTGGAAAAGCCGCGGGCTGCAAAGTTCTTGGTCTGGCAACTACGCATCGAACACAGGATTTGCTGGACGCTGGGGCGGACTGGGTCGTGCCAGATCTGCGGTCTGTCAGTTTTGCCAACAGTGTCTCGACAGATTCCCCTTTCGAGGTGAACATAAACAATGCTGTTCGTTCCTGAAATATTGATCCTCGGAGTTCCGGTGATATTTAGCCTATATCCAGCATATACGATAGCAAGGATTTGTTTTCAGCCATGGTGCCTGTAATAATGATACGGCTTGATACAGGGGAGTTGATTGACTTTATATGATCGCTCGAAATAGCATCGAAATTGGATATTGAGAAGATCGGGCGAGAAAATGAGCGAACCACCTTGGCTTTCTTCGAACTCGTGCACTGAGCAGAGAGCTTGTTCGTCCAGATTGATGACATGGTGAGTCCGAATTATTCCTTGGACCTATTAGAAGGACTTCGAGGAATTTTCAGGCAAGTGGAGGCAATCGCATGAGATAAAATATGCGAAATTCGTAGCATAGATCAATATTGTTGACGACGATACCGCAGACAAAGCACTACGAGACATATCAAGAAAAGAGAATTAGTAGTACTCCATCATGACCATAGACGCCTTAACAGTTCAACCCCAATCTCAAATTCGGGCTCTTACTGGCCGTTTTATTCTCAGTTGTCCTGGAAGACACATTGCTTTTTCGAGGGTGGAGGTAAACCATGGCCAGGAGGGCGTACCGGCCCTGGCTCCTTTGGCCTATCCTCATACCAAAACACAAAATCGACAAACTTGAATGATGAGCTAAGTACGGTTGCAATGCCCATCACTGCAAGCGCTACTGCCGTCACTGGCTCATTAATCTCATCGTTCAAGGCTGCAACACCAAAAGCCCAGTTTTTAATAAGGGTAGCAGTCTCCTCTATGACATGTCTGGTTGTCAGCGCATCATCCTTGTCAGGATCGCCATCGGGTAGGTCAAACTCGTGGACGTCAATAATAATATCAACGATGTATATTGGGAAGCTAGTGACGACCTCCCAGATACCGACGGATCGCTTGGTCTCGACCCGTGGGAAGCCGAATTTCCAGCCGACGATACGACTGCAGGCGAGAAATATAGCATTGCTCAGCTCAAGTCCCCATACCTGAAATCTTTGTCAGCTTTGAAGTTGTGCTCCTTGATAAGAGTGACTCACTGTCCAGTAAAGGTTCTGGTCATATTTGTACTTTAGAGGCCAGGAGGTGATCAAGGTAAATGTATCCAAGAATATTGTGGCTGCGTCCATCGCATTTCCAGCTGCAGTTGGCAGCTCCGGATGGCCATTTGGTTGGAAACCCTGGTTGTTCGCAAGCAGCTTATTACTCTTGACGGTGGATACGCTCAGATGATCTGTAACAAAAGTCAATGCCATCACAATGACAGCAAGTCCGCCAGAGGTGACGGCGACACATTCGGTCACTGCTTTGATATCGCTGGCGAGTGTGGGATCAAGTTTAGGGTCGCCAGTAACGTACATCCCAAATGTTTTTTCGGTAAGGCGCCCCTCAAGAGCTGGTGGAGCTTTGCCTGCGGCAAGCTTAAAGAGGATGGCACTTGGAATAGCAAGGATCAATGAGAGGCAGTTGAAGACCGTAAATTTCCGTCCGTCAGATATCAAGTCCCATAACGCGCTGAAAATTGGGACTTGAATTTCCGCATTTCCCAAGTCCTGGAACTCTGAAATGCACAGGCTGACAGCCTCGAGTAAAGCATCAGCGACATTCTGTATGGTGTCGATTGCCGCGTTCACAAGCTCATCCTTCAGCCTGGCGAATATCTCATTTGTGTCCGTCCCAGGCGTGAAAATGTCCTTAATGTCCTGGGAAATGTCTTCAACAAGATATTTCACCACATCAACTTCTTTGGAGATGCTGTCCCAGATTGCTTTGAGTTCTTGACCACTGTCTTGGGAACTGTTGGAAGGGATCTTGGGGATGATAGTACTATCAGTGGCATACCCGCTATGTTGCATATGATACGCAGCAAAATTATAAGCCACTCCGTTCTGGGCGGCTTTTGTCGGGTCTGTCGACTGAGGATCCTGCTCATTACTCGCAGTCAATACGTTCGATGGCTTAAGCTTTCCCCTGGTTGCGGAGACTCTCAATGTTTGGAGGTATGTGTCAATTTGGGATTTCAGCTCTCCAATTTGGGTGTTGCCGTAGGACAAGCCTGCATTGATGTATGTGCTGATCGTGTCGGATGTTTGTAGGATGTCATCCCACGAGAACAGGAAGCCAACATAGTCGATAAGCTTGTCAACGGCAACTGTGATCTTTTTGAATACCCAGCTGATTGCCTTTCCGACGGCTTGAAAACTATCAAGAACAAAGCGAAATTCTTGATCCAACCAATGAAGTACAAGATGATAGACGTCGTCTATATAACGTCAGAATCCAATATGCAGTTTTTTACACTTATTCTTACCTAATTTTTGAAGAGACCAGCCAAGGACCTCTTCAGCTTCTTCATAGAGGTCGTAGAAGAAATCCCAGAAAGAGCTCCAGTCTCCTAATGCAAACATTCTAGCTCGGGCCTCCGGGTCTTCTGGTAGGACACCAGCTATATGGATGGGACGTTGAGCTTTGGTTTCCTCTGAGAATTTCACCCGCCTCCTTTGCCTTTGGAAACGTCCCGGTGATGGAGCCTGCACCAGTGGGTTTGTTCTTGTCAACTCAGAGATTATCGTTGCCGCGCTATCAGCATCCTCTGGGCTTACTGACCCTGGTTTGAGCAAGGGTTCTCCAGTTTGGGTCTTCGCATTAAGAAGATCCGCACCGCTTGTAATGGGAAGCAAGTTTGGTAACAATTTCTCCGTAGGATTAATGATAAACGAAGGTATTGTTTCAATGAATCCTGTCTCAGACTTGAACTGATCAACCTGGATTGTGACACAGGCCAAATCTGCAGTTGCGACGATGAGTGTAAGGACACTGTTAGAGTCGCATGACATCCAGACACCATCCGGTGATATACTTGTGCTTGCACCATTTGACGTAACTTGAATGAGACTAGAACTGACGAGGTGAAGCTGGCAATTTGGAGTTTTTTCGTTTACGTTGTTGCTACCATCCGAAGTCGCCATCACTCTAATGGTAAAGCTAGGGACCTCCATATTATTGGTCTTTGATGGAGCATAGAATGGGATCTTTTCCCACATGCCACTGTCCGTGGCTTGCTGTAACATCGTTATGAACCCTGAATGATTAACACTGAGAAGAGTGTTGACAAGGACTTCGCTGTGGGTGGATGCGGCAGACAATAATCCAGATATCTGTCCACCAGATCCTGATGGCAACAAGGGTACCAAAAGCCCGTCATTCAGATCGTCCAGGTTTGCCGCATAGTAATGAACGGCATCACTCGATGTCGTATACCACATGGTTAGTTCAGTTTCGGTTCGGGATAGGTGGAGGTCTTTAATACCCAGATCTGTGTCTTTTGTCGTAATAATTGTTCCTTTATTATCTGGGATAACATACTGGTGTGAAGTATACATCGTGATCTGGTCTCCACCGACCAGTAAAACGGTATAACCAGTACCCAGGTCGATATAAGAGTTCAAGCAAGTAGCACCTGTCACTGTCAACATATGTCGGGAATAATGGCGTGCTTAGGAATGCATCACCTGATGGAACAGCCACTTCAACACTGAAGTCATGCCCTTCAAAAACTCGAAATTGGATGTTTAAGCCTTCGGTGCTCTCATATAGTACAAATGCACCTTTACCAACCACAGCTGACCCAAAAGTCACGTCGATGATCTTCAATGGATCTGTTGCGAGTTTCCATTTGTTATTCATTAGAATCGTGAGCTGCCCTTGTGAATTTGCAGTCATGTTGAGATAGCCTAGTTGGTCTTCGGATGTAATTTTGCCCAATGGTTGGAATGCCACGAAAATTTGAGGCAGCTGATATGGACCTACAGTTTGGACGAAGTTGCTCTGTAAAGGTGTTAGTCGCCAAGGATCCAAGCAGTAGAAGTAGGTATACGTGCCATGTAGATGCCATGGATTGTGTTGAATACGAGGCCGCTTTCGATGATGGAATCCTGAGATGGTTCCAGAATGCTGCTGGCTGGGATGTTTACCAGCAGATAAAGATTACTTTGGTTATTGCCGGCATCCGTAGCAATCACGAACCACAAATTCAGATATATATCTTGATATACGTCGAAAGCCAGAACATTTCCCTGTAACCCACAGAGTTTTCCATAATCTACGAGGACTGGAACGCCATTCTTTTGGATGATCAAGTTAAGTTCTTGATCTTGACCGATAGCCACGACGGCCGGATTAGACTGAGCGTCTTTGATCGCCACGAATCGATTTCCAGCTGGGACGGGGTTCGCCGGCAATAGATTAGTCATAAACTCTGAGTCTTCTGTTATGCTAATCATTGTGGTTGAGTTCCTGGAGTGGGTTGGAGAAACCACAATTTTAAGAGTCTTGATGAAGGAGATTGAAGAAGAAGATGATGATGATGATGATGATGTTATGAAAACAGTACCTTGACCGAATTAGCGGCTACTTGCCTTCAGATCAGACAACGGAGCAAGAAGTCCCTTCTTATACTGTGACGGTGCTCAATGACAGAAATTTTGACTTCTCTATGCTCATTCTGTCGTTTCTAGGCAGATTTAGCTCTTGTTTATGAGATTATTTTCGACTTTTTCAGAGCTCTATCGAGCTGAAAGCTGTTGAACGAACCATGGAACAACCATCTCTGAAGACGCATTTAGACGGATATTGATGCATTGAAAAGCTCAGACTGAATATTCACAACACAAAGGGAGGCGCTGAGGCGAAGTAACTTGGTCTAAGCTCTGGGATATTGATATTTAGCACTAGCTGAACACCCATCCACAGTCGCGAACCTATGAATAACGCGCGTGATCACGCCGTTATTGGTATCTGCATCGCAAGGAAAAGAAGACGCGAAGGCGCAAATATACGCAGAGCTCCATGATGAGTGGCTGTAGAAGTCAGCACACCATTTACGAGCTGTGGACAACATTGAAGAGACTACAGTATTGAACGGCAAGCGTGGAGATTGGCCAGGAGCCAAATATTTCGCAACTTATGCAGATCTTTGCTAAATGGATAAACACATCCGGATAACTAACATCTGCCGAAATCGTATTGCAGCCAGCAAAGTAGTCCGTGTATCATCAATGTTCTTTTGTCCCTAATAATGGGGCTGAAAGCACGAGCCATCTTGTTGGGGACGTGCACAGATCGAACCCTATGCTCCATGATCGACATAATCCCGGGAGCTTGAGGCCAGGAAACCGTTACAGCAAACCATGATCAATACCTATCTCTAGAAACCTAGCGGAACCGTACAACCAAACCATTATTACTCTACGTGGAGACATCTGTCCATGACTTGTTGCGGCTTGATTACTACGAGAAGGCATTGCCCCTTTTCCTCCCTCAAAAATATTTAAATGAAGGCCATGTAATTGCAACCCTCTGAGGGGGAGGTCCCGGTCCCAAAATTTCTGATGCTGCTGATTAGTGAGTGGCATGTGCTGGAGATTTCTAAGTGCTGTTATTTCTTGAGCTCTGACTCACCTCCAGCTCAGGTGCAGCGCTGGTGCCAGTATAGAAGGGGTGAGAGGCGGCGAATGACGACAAGATTAGTAACAACCAGTGTCTTCAACACGAAGATTTATTGAATTATTTAGTGCATTGACAGACCGAAAACAACGAAAGTGAAATGAAAGTGGGAAACGCTTGATTTTAGAGGAGTTGAGGCCGTTCAAGGATCTTGTCGACAGAGCGCATATCATCAGACTTTTGATGTCAAGAGGTTTGATCGAATCAGATACCACACTCCATTTATTTGAAACTCAAAGCCCAGACCAACAAAATGAGTGAATTTGATGAATTTGCATGTGAAACAAATTTATGATGGAGGGAATCATTCTTCGTTCCTTAATTGTTGTGATTCAGCTATAAATGCACCTGGTCCCGCCCGTGGAAGACGAGTGTCCGCACACTCAAAAACGATAGTTCTGCCCAAAGAGGACAGCCTTACAACATGGCAGACCCTTTTACAAATAGTTTGGTGTACAAGACAAGTCCAAAACCATGGCATCAATTGCTTGTTCTCAGCCAATCTCTGATTGACGATGCTTTTTGGAACATGTGGGCCATCTCAGATCCCACCTCTCCAATCAAAACCTTCAACATGACCGTACGAGGCGGAGGATCCATGGCAGGGCAACTAGATGCACCTCAAATATCACTGAACGTGACTTCTCTCATCCCGCAGTTGTACTATTTACTTAAGTTCCAATCCGGAACACTCACCCTTTACACAAGTGATGATCCGAACGACCCAACAGAGAAGGAATGGGATGTTTCCGGCTGGGTCCTGGCATTTCCAGTAACCATCGGTGAATTGAACTTCGTATGGTTTGATGCCGAGCTAACTTCACTTGCCAGGCTCCAAAAATCTTGACCCCAACGATCCAGCGAATAAGGGGTACTTGCAAGAAATGGGTAACCCACAAGGAGTATTCTCTTTAGCACAACTGTTTATCGATGCCTCGGGTTAGAGCTATAACCTCTATAACCTCTGTGGTTATCGCTGGCTAACGTATGCACTTAGAGGCATATAACTACGATCCTGCAATGAGCCACTTTGGCGGGGAAGATTGGTCCAAGGAAAATTATGTCGTACGAAGCAGCTTTGCTACCCTTGTCAATCGCTGGTTGTCACTCATGGCGGCCTCAGACAAAACGCTGCTGGGTATTTCCCTTCAAACCAGTGAACCATCGACAGGTCAGTGTCAAAATCTGTTGCAGGTTCGTGGAAATCTTTAACGTTGTCGTTACAGTTAACCCTGATGCTCCATCATTTCCGCCAACTTCTCTGAACTATTATATGTACCCTTGGTTGGATCCATCAGTGCCTAATTCTACACCACAAAACATGCTAGATCAAAACGCGCTCTGCTACATGATGATGACCAATCGAACCCCTCCACCAAGTCCACCAGTCCTCGACTATTCGGGAACCTGGGTCGATGGTTCCACGAGCAATGGAGGTTTATTGGTGATGAATGCGGATCAATTCTGGTTCGATTGGTTTTGCCCCCTTCTCAAATTCTTGAACTTTGCCACAGAGATAGAATGCACAGAGCCTGTCGCAGTGGCTCATGGTGATGGGTCAATTGAAGTTGCGCCGAGATACATTATGTCTTGGAATTCCCGTCATCCCGACCCAAATGACAGCTACTATGACTTCAAACGCGCAGATGACGGCAGCTTCTATTGGAACGGGGACGTGTCAACTTCAGAGAATTCAGATACGGCTGGCGGGTCTGCCTGGAACAAGATTGAAGTTAACGAAAACGGTAATTCTAACCATGAGAGTGAAGATTTTTGAAATGTCCATTCCTAGCTGACCACGCTTGAAGCCCAAGCTAGTTCACAGATTATCTTCACGCCAGGTGGCCAATTGATTAAAATCACTGGGTCCAATACATTCAACTTCAAATGCGACCAGACTGGGTTCATCTCTGGCCCGTTCACAACAGGAGCAACGTAGGTTGGAAGTATCTACAGAAAGTCTAGCTTGCTAACTTATTGCACACAGTTTCGCAATTACTCTGAATTGGCATGTCAATGTGGCTCTGGGTGTAGTTAGCGACGGCGGACTCCAGATATCGCGCGTGGCCGACCCGCAGGGAGTTGATGCCATTACCGTTGTGGGCGTGAGCTCCAGCTCGGGAATTGACTGGGAAACGCCGTGGGATAACTATGAAGATGCGATTCGGAATCGCATGAATAACTACTTCCAGTCACAGCTTAGCAATGCCGAAAACAATCTCATTTACGGGCTGGCAAACCAGAACAAGCTGTTTCTTCCAGGTAGTGGCACATTCTTGATGAATGGAGCAGAGATGAATGCTCGCGGCGACTTGATTGCTGGGATACACTACAATGGGTATGTCACTCCAAGTTTTGAAATACCCCTATGCAACTTACTTAACAACATGCACGCCTCCCTTTCAACAAACTAATATATCGATCACAGTGCTCAGCCACCCGGGCAAAAGCAGCAGCTCCCAGCCTACTTGAAGGAGCTCCCGCCGCGCAAGCCACGAAATCCTCATAGGCCGATTCCTTCCACGAGTGGCGTCAAGGTCGAATTTCCTGCGGCAAAAATCTCACCGAAGCATCCCTCAACGTTAATCGTCAACGGAAACCAGAGGCCCAAAATGGGTCACATAAAGCTGAACGGCCATTAGGGTGGCTTAAACGCAAGAAAAAAAGTCCTTGCATGAAGGCATCCAAATGACCGAGATGGGGACTTGAGGTTGTGTCATCGAACAGGAGGTGTTAACGTTAGTTTTGGCGGTCCGACCTACGCACTTACGCATTGTGATTATAAGAGGGTTTCGAGTCCTTCCCTCAAGCCCCGGACAGGGTGTTAAGCTAAATAGCTAGCTAAGTACTCATATAAAACCCTACCTATTCTATGTACATACCACAATACTCAGCGGCAAATCGTTGACCTCTCCAAAATCCGTTTCCGCTTCTTGTCCTGAGCAAACCGCCACATAACCTGAATCATGACTAAGCCGTTCCGAGCTGTGGCTACCCTGAGGGCGTCTTAGCAGTGCGAGCACAGCCGTGAAGTATGTGCCGGAACTTATAATATGCCCCCCAGGGTTCCCAGTTTCCGGCGTTTCACATGCTCGTGAGGGCCAAGTTCCGTGCTCATGAAGGTGATAAGGAGCACTCTTCTCTTCCACAGGTTTCTGGCCACTTCGTGCGTTCGAACTGGGTTTGCCAGAACCTGCATCCGAACGTTTTCGGCGAAACGAGTTTGTGGATTTCTTTCTGGCCAATTAATGACTCTTGGAGGTTCAGGACGAGATGTTACGCGGTCGCTTTCGAGAGGGCGGGTTCTGTTGTTCGGTTTTCCGCTCCCGCTTCGGAGCCTTCGATTGTAAAACGGTCTAGGAGATAGTTATGCACGCTAGATCGGATCAGCACTCGATCACAGGGGTACTAGGATACCTTAACTCAATACTTTTGACGTCGCTTACAGGAGATGGGAAAGGATGTTGGCTTACCCTTCTTAGAGTCCATCAACCTTAATCGACCGACCCGAACATGCCCTTTCGCCGAGGAGGATGTTGCGGTTGTTTCTTCTTGATCCCTAGGGTATGTTTCGTTGCGTGCGTTAGTGCTTTGTATTGATCGCGGAGAGGAATGCGTTCCCTTTATCTGGCAGACCAAGGGCGTGCGGCGTGAATCTTTAAGCGGCTATACGGTCCTAACTACGTGCCATGGTCACTCGAAAGGAGGGAGAAGGGGATATTTCATATAATAGCAAGAAGGAAGCTATTTTTGCAGATAATCGTCAGTCATTAGAGCTCTAGACCGGATGATATACTACTACATGTAGATGCCTAGTCTAGGGGCCTTCTCGGTGGACCTTCCTAATATAGCACAGGCTATTTCTAAGTTTCTAGGGGTACTAGTTATCTATACAATAAGACTCTAACTTAATCTTCTCAATATTATCTTGATCTTGCTATCTCCGAAATGGACACCTTCAAGTTCAACGGCCAATCTCTAGATAATGTGCTTGTTGCCATGATTGCATAGCTCCTTAACAACGCCCGCATTCCTAATGTTTTATGGGGCAATTATTTATTAACAATCTACGGAGTCCCTTCCGTCATCGATGTTAGTTTAATAGAAACTTCCTTCATTTTGCCTGATGAATTAATATATACTAGCTTCGAAGCCCTATTCTCAGCAGGGTTTTGGACTGCAAACAAATCTCGGAATGTAGGCTCAGAGGCGACTTTCATCCTTTCCCGCCTCCAGCACGGCACCTATATGTTAATTAAGACCTAATCATTTCTTTACTGAAGGAGTCGGAACTCCTTTACAGCTTATCAAGTCTAGACTTTCAGTCATTAAATGGAGATATCATCCTGGCCTCGGACCCTTAGCTACCTCGTGCGTAACCTAGGCGGGGATAAGAGGCCTTTTCCTCTCACCTCTACCCTGTACGAATACTAACGGCCCCTCGCTATATAGAGGCTATTATCCGACTATCTATACGCGATTGATCTCACTACTATTACTATGCCTGGATGGCTCTACTGACGTATATATTAAAATACGTAGACGGATTAGAAATACTCCGAGAAGATTACCTTAAGTTATAATTTAGGCACTTTTTCTATTCTCTCAAGAGTGGAGACGTAAACTAGAAGGTAATTCTAGATGAGCTTAAAGTATTAGAATTATTAGGTACTAAGTTAACCTCTATAACTTTAAAGTAAGATTAGAAGAAGATCGTATAGAGCCAGTACTTATAATATTATAATTATATAGTAAGAATCTTTTGCGAATTAAAACTAGCTACCTAAGTAAAATAGTAACCACGCTAGTTCGAGACAACTCTTTTTCTATTTTTTACATCTTAAAAGTTATAGTTGAAATGTGTGTACCTAAGGCCTAAACTACAATATTTTAATTCGTCTAGTAGGCTTCACTTGATAGATCGGTGGCGAATCCCGGAAGAGATTGCACTTCCTCTATGCTTGGGACCGATTGCTTCCTCGCTCGTACAAGGGCTATAATGTGTAAGGATAATGAGTTTCCGTAACGGTTCAAGATGTGAGATTAGTTCCGCTTGTTCATTGAGCCAATTTAAGTCCGTATGATGGGCGTGGTGATGTAAATCGACCGACCAATCTTCGATCTGGTAGAAGTCATTGAGACCGTAGCTGACACTGTGCACTTCAGTCAAGCACCCTCGATCCTTCTCCTCTTCACGTCGATCTGCTTACTGTCTTCAACTCCATCTCGATACGCATCCCTGTTCCTGACTTTGTATTCTCTGGGTCTACCTTTATGAAGCTTCAAGTTCTGCGTCTTCAAGTACTCTGTTGCAACCTTCTCGGCAGACTGACGGAATCGCACTAGAGCCTGGCTTGAATTCCAGGGATTTAAAGTGAGCTGGCCTTCGCTGTCATGGTCAACCACGGTCGTAGAGGTTTCAGGAACCATGACGGGGAGCCATCCGGTGAAGTTGTTCTTTAAAGTCAGCGTCTAGGTTAAGTGGCTCCTCTTCCTACTCCTTAAAAGTTACTTTAGCCTTAGCTTCATCCTCGTCACTGACACTTGCTTGTTCTTGGATGTCGCCATCGTCAGTAATGTTTCCCTGTTCTCTTGCCGTATTAAAGGAGTTACTGTCACTATCATCTAGCTTGATTGCCGGCTTGTCGTCGTTCTCAAGGTATGGTGAGACCCTAGCTTTTAGCAATGGGCATGAGGTCGCATTCTAATCAGGGTGGGAGACCTCTGCAGCATAGGGAATGTGTTTCTCTTGCTGACTTTACTCACCTCGTCCTCCCGCCCCTTCCGAAAGTTTCGCCTCCTCACTCTTCTCCTTTCGAGCAATCTTCAGCAGGCCTCTACTAACGCCTAGGCAATAGCTATGTTTTGCGTTTTTGCCAGTTTTGCCTCTAGCCCATTCAAGCGTCAGATTATGGGCTATTTCGAAGGCCATTGCTGCGCCGACCGTATTCGCAGAAATCCCATAAAATGTCCATTCAACGGAGGTCAGACGACGGGTGGAGTAACTCCGGTAGTCGAAGAAGATAGTCATCGCGGAGGCAACCTTGTGAACCCAAATTTGGGAGATAACTTTTACTTCACTACCTTTAGTGCTCGTGATATCCACGACCGAATGCCCTCCTAGCGCTGCGTAGTCGTCCTCGTTAGTAGTCCGATCTAGAAGATCGGCCTGCGTAACGTTGTACTGAGCCATTATGCGACTTGCCATACGCCATGCGCCTTAGGCTTCCGACTCTGGAGTGTTTGGATGTTCAGCCCGTTGGAGACATTTCTTGATACGGCCAAGTATTCGCTGCTCATATTTCGAGTTTTCGTCACTAACCGCTTGCCCCTGAATAGCCAGCACTTGCACTTTCGCAGTTTGTGAGGGAGGCGGGTTGGGCTTGTTTCTTGTGCTGTGTGCGCTAGGCATGTTGCGCTTGTCGTTGAGCTCGGAAGAAATGTTGAAATTGACTAGATTTTCGGCAGGTCTACTGAGTGCACAGCCCTTTTCGCCCATTGAGGACATGCAATGTGGCACTAAGGTGCTACCGCGAGTGCACAAAAGCCGACATACCGAGGGTACGACATAGTCTCGTGCATAATTGTGCTCGTCCAGCAATTATACGGGTGTACTGTTTTGGGCTCCTGTGGTCCACTTTAGGTTCCTGAAAGAGGGTCTGCTTATGGCGCTTGAGGAGTGTACTTCGGGTTTCTTAAGCATTATCCGTGACCCCACTTTAGGTTTAGACAGCAGCGTTTCAGATGAGGTTTGGCTCGCAAGAACAGGGAAATTATTGCCGGCGTTAGGGATCCCAACAGCATTCTCACGGCTGTGTCCTCCTTTGGCTCGCTCACTTGCTGCTCCCCCTACAACTCCCTTGTACTCAACTGACGCTCTCCTTTGCTCCCTGTCCGCCCCCTCACCCTCTTCCGATGCTCTCCCGATGCTCTCCCTTGCTCCGTCACGTGCCCGATTAAAGCGGCCATGCTCCCTTTCCCAAACGAATGTGGTAATCGGGGCGGGTCAGTTCGGGGCATATATAATATATATATATATAAAATTTAACACTAGGATACCTGATGTAGCGGGTATTGATGATGGGAAGGTGTGATCTAGAGGAGAATGTCAATTGCACTGCTTCTTTTCAACGGATAGTTAATTGCTGCTTCTCCACCTCCTGCTTCCTTCTCCCCCTCCTCTAACCAAGTCATTCCATTTACGCCCTGGATCAGATGATTGTTAACCAGTTTTACAGAGGAGCCACTTATTCGCCATACTAGCTAGCACACTACTGGCAGTAGTGCTACGCTCTAAGACGGTTCAGTCTTCAGGATCCCCAATGTACATAACAAGGCTGAGACCTCAAGGGGTGGGGCTAATGCTTGACAATGGGTAGTTGGCTGAATCTCTGGCGGGCTTCTGAGTGTTTTGGCATGTCCACTGTCCCCCATGTCATAGAGATGGACACAAATCCAACTCAGGTCTGCACTGGAAGTTCCTCAGACATAGCTGTTCAGGGCGCGCGGACAGCAAAATGCTTTTTGGGTCACAAATCTAGCTAGCTCGCTGACGGACTGTGATCATCTTTACCAAGCATACTCCAGCTGCAATGTTTTGAGTGGGAGTGCAATTGACAGCTATTCAAAAGACCTGCGCCGCCCTTGATCTTTCGTCCAGTCCATATATCGGATGCGACTATCAATTTCTCAATATGTTAAACATAGCAACCTTCATTCTAGCAGATATTCCTCTACAGCTGAAGGTACAAACAATATGGAGTCCCACTTACACAGTTCAAAGCAGCTTTAGAATCTGGATCCGTCCGAATAAACTCTCCCACCTTATAAACGAAGAGAGAAGGACCGCCATGGAGGGCGCCGCAAGAGCTAATAAAATGCTCACCTTCTGCTCCAAGCATGCTGAGCCGTCTCCAAACGAAATCATAATCTTAAGGACCTAGATGCTATCTTACATCAGTTCACTTGATGGAGGGGCAGAAGGATAATTAGACAAAGAAGAGTAATATCAAAAAAAGTAGAATATGTTCATACAGAGGTATTAGACTCTATCTTTTAGAAGAAAGTCTAAGTCATTATGATATCAATAATTACTGTAGTAGTAAGATAATAGTAGAACGCGCAGTAGGATAAGAGCTGTCGATAATCTCCTTGCTATTGCCCGTAGGCTTTTCCATCTGAGCTTAAACAGAGTCTGCTGTATTGGGGGGGAGGTACTAGTATTGAATCTTTGATGCTCTGCAGCACGACAAAAGGAAATATCCGGAGCGTCTTAAATTCTGGGAGAACAGAAGCCCCTTATCAGACGCCTTCGAGACCGTAAGGTTGTTCTACTAATATCACTTCAGTATCTAAGGTTAAAAGACTCGGAGACGAAATAGTGGTTATGTGTGATGGGTGGAAGGAAGAACAAATAATTAACATTAAGAGCCTTTCGACCTGGCTTCTGCGCAGAACACGCCGAAAGAGAAGGGATCGAGAGCTGGGTTCAAGAGTCACATTGGTGCACAAGCCCAGCAACTAGTCTCGTTGCTTGTTGACTTCGTCTTCACGGTGCATTACTCTCTCTGACGTTAAAAGGTATAATGAGACTCCACTAGCATTAGTTGTGTTAGGCGGGTGACCGCCCAGGTTATCGCCTGGCACTGAGTAAGGATACCTGGTTTGTTACGATGCGCCAGCAAGACACCACGAACTGTCCCAAGCCCAATCGGCTTTTGGCCTTTACAACACGTTACCCTTGGTCTGCGTCATCTTCTTGACATTTATATCCCTGATCATAGCCACCCATATGAAACCCAAAGCCATGATGGAGCAAGCCGCAGCGAGCATGCGTACCTGAGCATAACCGTACGAAAGCTGGATCGCAAGGCGCTCTGGAGTTCCCGGCGGGTAGCTGAGTTGAACTGTCAGGCTGCCGTATATAGAGTTCAGGTTCGGCAACTCGGATCTAGGCAGGTTGCGCTCGAGTGCCTTCTTGAACGTGTTGGTCCATATGGTTCCCGAAACCGTATCCCCAATTGCGCCACCGGCGGTACCGCATACAAACAACAGTGACAAAATCGCTGCAACGTACTGATGATCAACAGTAGCGAGGACGGCGAGCTGGCAGAGAAGGATGAAGACACAACCAGCGACAGAGAAGAAGATCTCGCACATAACTATGTAGCCAATATATCCGTTGGGTTCTCGGAAGTGGATCATCAGGCCAACGGCGAAGATGTACAGCGGTACGCAGAACCAGAGGATGAATTTGAATTTGCCGGTAACTCGGACGATGTAGCCGGTGATGAAAAGAAAGACAAATGCGACCGCGCTGAACGTGTTGGCGACATATCCGGCCTCAGACAGAGTCAAATTGTAAACCACCATGAGAAAAGACGTGAGGTAGCTAGCGTAGCAATAGTAGGAAATTTGATAGGTCATGTTCAGTAGACACGCCCCCAAGACGGTCCGGTCCAGTAGGAAGCGAGACTTGAGGAATGGTTTGGGCGCCAGGTAAATTTGGTACACGACGAACATGACCAGTATGACAAACCCTGTGATGATCATTGCAATAATGTAGTCGGTATTCCAACCATTGCGTGCATGAGAGGCCAGCGTGAATGGCAAGAGGAACACCGTCAGACCACTGGCGAACAGGACCACACCTGGCACTGTTTATTCCGAGACATGTCAGTGGTGCAACAAACAGAAATGACAGAAGCGTATCTGAATACTCACAGTCAAATTCTTTCAAGACATACAAGGCCTGCTCTGACCAGGTCCGGCCGCTTTTCTCCCGGACGATGAGCCCCCTTTTCTCGGCCTTGTGCAGATTTTGCCTCAAAATCAAGTACAATGGCACGCCGACGCAGGGGAAAATTATGGCCCAGCAGCCAATACCCCATTGCCAACTGACATTGTTGTAGAAGCCCTCGGCAGCTTTTGACCCAGCAAATGCTGTGATCACTGCGGGAGAGGATGTGAATGCGAATGCCAACCCTCGATTCCTGAGGTTCGTCACGTCCGTGGCGAGCACACTCCAACTGTAGGCGAGTCCTCCAAAGCCGACGGAGTAAAAGACCTGTTCACCCATTCTTAGTAAGTATCTGCAGAGCGTATCGCAGGTCGAATGAATGGATTGGCTTGCAGCCTACCTGAGCAGCGCAGTAGGTCGAAAGATTTTCCGACGCAGCCATAAGAACCACCCCAAGAGTACACAGGCAGAGCATGAGAAGGAATCCTTCAGCACGGCCCCAGACATCCAACATCTTTGCCATCGGGATATAGACCGCTGCTGTCATGGTATTGGAGACAATGCCGATCACCGTTAGGAGGGAGTGTGTCGACCAATCACTTGTGGCAAAGGGAGTTAAGCTCAGAACAATAGTGGATTTGAAATTGTTGACCAGGGTCAGGAGCCAGATGCTGAATGAAAGAGCCACATTAGCCACGACGGCACCAAGTATCTAAGATCGTTGCAACATACAGGATCAGGATCGTTGCCAGCGCTTTCTTTGACCAGGCCAAAGTCACGGCCTCAATCTTTTTGACCCCCATTTGAGCATCCTCAGCTGGGATGTCTTCATTGCTTTTGCCTGTAGCTGATGCATCAACTGTACCTGTTTCGGCTTCCTTATTATCTCTGGGGCTTGTGTTGGAACAGTCTCCCATAGGATCCTCCTGCATAGCGCGAGGCCCTTTGTCGCCAACAAGATGACGGAGTCTGTCCAAGATCGCCATTGATATTGATCTTTCGAATTCAGGTTGTAGTATGTCGACGAAAGAGGGCTTAGGTCACATACATAGTCGATGCAAGATAGATGTTCTCGAGACAGATGCAAAATTTCCACGTGGGTCCTCTCGCATGACTTAGCCTGGCCAGGTATGAGTACTCCGTACATCTGGTGACAATTGATCTAGCCCTGCTACTTTGTCCTCCGCCGAAACCGGCTTCTGAACAAGGTGGGACGGTGATGCACTTATTCTTATTGGAGGGGCAAGGGGCGGGCATGGACGACAGGATGGGAAATGATCTGATTTCATTAGCTGGATGAATTATTGATTAGATTAGATACAGGACTCCTTCGTACCTTGGCGAGCTCCTCTGAACCCTGAGCACATATGCAAGGACGAGGCTCTGTGGGGGTGATGATGGTGGATCAACACTTAACTAAAGTGGCATATGGCTGGTAGTATCCATGTTAACCTGATGATCGCCGCGAGTGGGCGTCAGTCGTCACTGTGGGCCGACTGTGCGAGCATAGCAATGAGGATGGAACCTTCGGATAAGGGTCGTCAGAGTTTTCCGAGTCATGCCTAGATAATGCACGATCATCCATCGATATGAGTTGCTTTAGCTCGATGTAATCCGAAGGAAAAGCTAACAGAGACACTCGGTTCGAGCCAGGGTGTGATCAGACGGCGTAGGTACCAGCGAGGGCAAGTTCTCATTCTTAATGCCAGAAAGCTACGGAGTACGGAGTACTGGAAGCTGGATATACGATTCGGACCAGCCTTGGCATTACCGTTACGGTGGCGCCAAGGTATTTTATCAGCGGTCCTCCGTAGTACGCCGAGGCTAGGCGTCATTAGAAAAGAAAGACGTAACAGCTGACAAGGGGCTAGATATGGTCACATGGCACATGGACGTGGGCTCGGAAAAGCAGCATCATTTATCCACCATGGGCTAACCTTCTAGAGATAAGCTTGGATTCGATGAAGTTACTTGTGCTACTCCGTAATGTCCAAGGGACATCCATCCCACTCCCACTCCCCTTCCCCTGCACGAAGAACGCGTTCTACCTGTTCCCATACTCCATACTATCGCAGCGGCGAGCAACAAATTACAATCTGACGATGGTAGTTCTGACCCATTTACTCCCGCTGTTCCCACAAGTCGTCGGTGTCAATAGTCGACCTGGTTGCTAGCGCTGCCAGGGCTGATGCTGCCGCACCCATTCATCCCTGGTGATTCTGTATTCCACCTCACCTTCTTCAATGCCAGGAATATACACGTCGTCATACTGGTTATGGAAGGTCCGAACATGTTGCAATCCGCAAGAGGCCATTGTGGCTCGAGAGGCCACGTTGATAGTCATGGTGTCTCCAGCCACTTCTCTCAGCCCCAAGTCCTCGAAGGCGTACCTCAGCAGCTCGCGCGATCCTTCTTTTGCATAACCCTTTCTCCAAAACTTAGGCAAGAGTCTCCAACCGAATTCAGTTCTGTCGTGGTAGTATTGCGCCGGTCCGTCTTCTCCCACGTTTTTCTGAGAAGGAGCAAGGACCCACCATCCGACAAAGTCGTCACCGACAAAGCCGACCCAACACCCGACGCCGGGAAGCGGCTTTGCTGCGTTGAGTAGCCATTGGTGTACCTCGACGGCCTGCTCGGGTGTCAATGGTTTGCCAGTCAGGACATATCTCATAACATCTGGATCAAAGTCGAGTTGTTTGGTGAATTCGAAGTGCTCTGATCCGAGTGGCCGGAGTTCCAGGCGTTCAGTGCGCAGAATGGGTTGATGTTGACTCATGGTTGTGGTGACGGTCACTACGGCTGCAACCCCTCGTGATATAGTTGCTTTGGGGCGTACTCTACGAGACGGGTTTGTTATCGATGATCAGATCATTCGAGACCGGAGCTGTAGTCAAGGCCACTTTCTTATACCCTGCGGACTCGACGCGGACTCATGCTATCGGCCAGGGCACTGCACAAGTCGTCTCATTGAAAGGCAAGCTCGTCGCAGGCTTCCTTGTCCCAGCGGAGTCAATCCTTGGTAAGTGAATGACTGATTGAGAAGATGATCATCGTCTTGCAGGCTCAGCACACGCGGCAACGTACCATATTGTTCGAAGCATATAGGTCCTTGATACTCCGCACATCCATGGTCAAGACCAGGCAATATCCGTCTTGCCTGTGGGATCGCTTTCATCGATGAGAATCGACCAGAACAAGTGGTCCCAAATTGCGCGAGACTTGGCTTTTTGGGAGCTGGCTGACTTGGCTTCATTTGCGAGTCGAACAAGTACGCCGAGAGTTGATTGTGAAGGCACACGGGTCGATCGCAGTCATCTAACTAGATCCTATTGTCTATCACTCTCACTATTGTGACATCGGTATGACCTGTGCCCGAATATTCCTGCTGCGACATCGAAGCGCCTAAGCAGATCTTGTCATTGCCCACTGCAGCTTAGACGCAGAATTTGAACTTGCTCATCGGGCAACCATACCATGTTGGCAGGGCATCCCCGAAGACCCCCCCAAATGCTCAGTGGATGGCTCAATGCCTAGCATTGAAAAAGGCCTTCCTTTGCCGTGATCTCCAGCATTCCTTGCTATGAACTCTATCTCGGTCAACAACTTTATGCTAGTGTACTGTGAGTGATAAAAGTGCGGCCGGGACACATGTGTAGTAAGAAGAGGTGATGGCGCGGCCGAGCAAGGGGCGGAATGGCGAGCTCCTACGCATACCGGGTCTCAGAATTAGCCAGATCCCTACCAGATCACTCCAAGATTGCTCGGCACATCCATCAACAAGCCTTAGTGTCTAGGCCTATGCACAGCCCTTGCTCCAACGATTATCTACCACTCCGTCAAGCCATTCGCATGCATAATGCAACGTTAAGAAAATGTCTCACGATAATTTCAATCAAATCTAATCAATCAAATCTTATCATCGGATCCATTCTGCCTTCTCCTGACTCGTAGACTCCATTGCTGCCACCGCTTCTCTAGGCACCTTCAATGTACATCCTTTGCCCATCCACCAGAAGAACATGCGAGGACATGCCAGCCATGTAAGCTGTGATGATATGGCCCATCGATGTCGAGACATGGGTACATACACCGATGTCGGCCTCATGGGGAATCTTCCTCGACCCAGGGTTCATTCAGAGAACGACAGAAGCACCAGGAAATTCCTGAGGCCCTAGCTGATCCACAACTAGATCGCTGGCACTCGTCAAGGTGAGCGACCTGTTGAGATTGCGCGCAGACATGGAGTTCCCTATTCTTTCAAAACGGCCACCTTGAACAACTCACTATATCTAATGACTGTGGGAGATAAGTATCAATTTTACTGCTGTGCGTTACGTTTGAGCCAAACGCTTTCCCACAATCATGGCAGAGACATCCCAAGAGGAACAGACTCCGCGTCCAGGGTATTTGGCAAAGGTTGGAAATTCTTTCATACATCAATGTCAAGGTCTGACCCGTGCTAATGAGGGGGTACCAACCGTTACAGTTTAAGGCAGCGTTCAACTATTTCTCGGTCTTTGTCCAAGCAAACCCGTCACCTCTCGATATATTCCTGCTTGTCACTGGAGTAGCCTTTGCTATTGCTGCAGGTGTTCCGTTTCCACTACTAGCAATTATTTATGGCCAGCTCCTCGATGATTTCAACGGCCAGATCTGCGCCGCCGACACCCAGGCCTCGGTCAATAACAACTACTATCAAAATAGGGTCAACGACAAAATTCTGTACATGGTGTACCTGGGCATCGCTCACTTCTGCCTCGTGTACATCCATCTCGTATGTTGGTCTCTAGGTGGCGCTAGACTGGCGCAACGCCTTCGCGAGCACTATCTACGCAGCCTCCTACGGAAAGAACCCGCATTCTTTGATACCCGCCTTAGCGGTGAAGTGTCATCACGACTCAATGGCGACATCTCTATGATACGCATGGGAACTTCAGAGAAAGTCGGCATCTGTCTGTCCAGTATTTCCTTCTTTGTCACAGCGTATATCGTCTCCTTCATCAAGATCGCGAAACTCGCTGGGGTTCTCGTTGCGCTTGTGCCGGCATTCTTTTCGATGTCACTTATCGGAGGATACTTTGTCAAGAAATCCTCTTCCGAAGTATCCGACCACTTTGCCGCAGCCTCGTCTGTTGCATCAGAAGCGTTGACAAATGTTGCCGTTGTGCACGCCTTCAATGCAAACAACAAGCTGGAATCCAATTTCTCATCGCACCTACGCTTGGCTAGAAAAGCTGGCATCGACAAGGCGTTGGCTAACGGCATTCAGTCTGGCTTGGTGTATTTTATCGCCTATTCAGCTGATGCACTGGCATTTTGGCAGGGTAGCCATATGATAGCGGATGCGGTTGCTGGCCAAGGAAAGGAAACGACGATAGGAGCGGTCTTCACCGTCGTTTTTCTCCTAGTCGATGGTGAGTTACTCCTGGTGGTGTGACGACCGCCCATGGAAGCTAACACCTCTCTTGACAGCCACGTTGATACTTAGCCAGATGACTCCATTCCTGGCCATCTTTGCGGGGGCTGCAGCTGCCTTTGGTAAGTTGAAGGAAGACATCGATGCGCCCTCGGTGATCGATGGCATCGTGGACACGGGACTGAGGTTGCCTGCCGATGCTGCGGGTGAATTCAAACTTCGGAACGTCTCCTTTACCTACCCATCCAGGCCAGAGCAGAAGGTGCTCCAGAATGTGTCTCTGAGCTTTCCGGCTGGCAAAAAGACAGCCATAGTTGGGTTTTCAGGTAGCGGCAAGTCGACTATAGCCAGCCTATTGCTTCGACTCTACGATCCTATCGAGGGCTCAGTGACCTTGGACGGACAGGAACTCCACGAGCTGAACACACGCCAGGTGCGCGGTATGGTTGGTCTCGTACAACAGGAAGCCACTTTGCTGGACCGATCAGTCCTTGAAAATGTTGCCCACGGTTTAGTGAACTCGGCTACGCCCGGACACGAACGGTTCCAAGATGTGCTGCTCGGACCTCAACTCAATGCTGTAGCAGCCGCCATGAGAGCGGGTACTGAAGCAAAAGAGGCTGCTCGCGAGCAGGGCCCGATAGTGGAAGAGATCATTGACATGGTCCAACACGCAATGGATATCTCAGACGCTGCACGGTTCATCAAGAACATGCCAGAAGGCCTCGGCACCATGGTAGGGGCTAGTGGAACACGGCTCAGTGGAGGACAGAGGCAACGTATCGCCATTGCGCGAAGTATCATCAAGAATCCCAAGATCCTCATCCTCGACGAAGCCACCGCATCACTCGATTCGCAGAGTGAGAGGGAGATTCTCGAAGCTCTCGAACGCTGCTCAGAAGGCCGGACAGTGATATCAGTGGCTCATCGTCTCAGTACGATTCACAAGGCCGACAACATCGTCGTTATGGGAAGCGGCCGGGTTCTGGAACAAGGAACCCACCCAGAGCTCATGAGCAAACATGGCGCATACGCAAGACTTGTCAGCCTGCAGAACTTGGATTCCACCTCTGCTGCACGGCAATCGAACGAAGACGTCTCGCTCAGCGGTGTGCCCGAGATGGAAAAGGTGGAACATGATCTGGAGAAGACCGAAAACCCCGAAATCTCAATCGCAGTCACCAAAGGCGGCGACATTTTGTCACCAGCAGCTACCAAAGAAGACCAAGTCCATCAGAGTCTCACATCTGTGACCAAAGCCATGTCACGCTTCATACGCCCTCACGCTCTCGTAGCACTCTTCGCACTCGCAGGAGCCAGCATTGTTGGTGGAGCATACTGTGCTGACGCCGTGATCTTCGGCCACACTGTTGGCGGACTGAGCCCCTGTCGCTCACCCTCTCAGATTCGAGACAGTGGCCGTTTCTACGCACTCATGTTCTTCGTGTTGGCTATCATAGAGTTTTTTGCCAATATCGCCAGTTGGGTTGGTTTTGGCTGGGTCTCTGAAAAGACCATCTACACGATTCGCGTGTCCCTCTTCCGCGCCCTCTTCGATCAGGATGTTCAATGGCATCAATCCAAGGGCCGTACGGCAGCCAGTTTGCTCGGCCTGATCACCAACGACGGCAACCAGATCGCTGGCCTCAGTGGGTCAATCATCGGCACCATCTTGTCGATTTGTATCAACCTTTTTGCCGCTGTCATTATGACGATGATCATTGCCTGGAAGCTCGCCATTGTATGTATGAGCATCGTCCCACTTCTCCTCAGTGTGGGATTCACGCAGCTACGCGCCCTGGCCCGATTCGCTGACAAACATGAGCACGCCTTCAACAAGTCAGTTGGGGTCGGTGTAGAAGCCGTCAGTTCTATGAAGACTGTTGCTACGCTGTCACTTGAACACGAGATCCTGGGCGTGTACCAACGCACACTGGAAGGGCCGACACGAGAGGTTACCGCCATTAGCTTCTATGCCAACGTCTGGCTCGCGCTGCAATACTTGATCGGCAATCTAGCGTTTGCGCTGGGTTTCTGGTGGGGATCTAAACAAGTCTTCAACGGCACGTATAGCCAGACACAATTCATCATGGTCGTCTTCTCGTTGCTGGTTAGCGCGCAGCTCTGGACTCAGATGTTCGCCCTTGCTCCTGAGATCACCAACGCCCGAAGTGCTATTGCAAGAGTTACCAACGTGATAGCCCTAGGGTCATCAAGCACCATCGGGAGATCTTCGCTTGCCAGCAAGGAACGAGACATCGAAGCCATCGCGGAAATCAGGAACATTGTACTGCCACAAGGGTCAACGGGCATGGACGTAAAACTACAGAACGTCTACTTCTCCTATCCCGCTCGTCAAAGCGCCACTGCTTTACACGACCTCAGCCTGCACATCCGCCCCGGCCAGTTCTGTGGACTCGTCGGACCCTCAGGGGCAGGAAAATCAACCATTACATCTCTGATTGAGCGGATGTACGTCTCACGCTCCGGTGAGATCCTGATTGACGGGAAAGACATCACGAAACAAGACGATCTATCTTTCCGCGACGACATCGCCCTCGTACCACAAGACGGGGTGCTCTTCGACGGTACGATACGATTCAATCTCTCACTAGGCGCACGACCCGGGACGACAGTGTCAGATGAAGAGATGATCGAGGCCTGTAAACTGGCTAGCATTTACGAAACCATCCTCCAGCTACCCCAGGGGTTCGACACGCCCTGTGGCACCAATGGGAGCAAACTCTCCGGTGGGCAGAAGCATCGACTGGCCATTGCTCGTGCGCTGGTGCGAAAACCGAGACTATTAATTCTGGACGAACCCACGAGTGCCTTGGACGCAGAGACGGAACGCACCCTCCAAGAGAACTTGAGAGTGGCGACGCGTGGCATCTCCGTCCTGGTCATTGCTCATAGATTATCTACCATACGGCACGCGGACGCTATCTTCTTGATCGAAGCGGGACGATGCGTGGATGCTGGTACTCATGACGAGCTGTTCGAGAGATCCGAGTCGTATCGTGCAAACGTGCTTAGCCAGATGATTGCAGCGTGAGGAGAGAAATGCAGATATAACCCGGTCCCTTCCCTCAAAGTCTCGTCCCAAGCACCAAGGATATTGAACATTCATAGCCAGCGGTTCTGCTTCTATCCGGTTCTAGCACTGCACTGCTATTCCATCGAAGGTCCAGATGAGCGATCCTCGATCGAGAGTCTTCGTCAATATCTCCCCTGGCCAGCCGCCTATCTGCCACATCAAAACTCTGCCGAATAATTTCTTCCTCTGTCTCCTGGTCTCCCACCCGAACACCCTTATTATCGCCAAGGAACCGCAGCCTTGTATGACATCTTCCCCACCAGAAGCCACGAAGAGCTTCAAAGAGCCATCACCAACTTCTCCGCACATCGAGATGCTTGTGAACGGTGCCGAAAAGGAGACTGCCCTGGCTTGCTATCCCTGGATGTGTAGCTGCTGCTGGATCTGGTAGGGTCACGGGCCACGCTTCATCTTAATGATCAAGTTATCGTCTCCGCCAACGACATGAACTCTCTTCACTTCGCCTCACGGCCTGTGGAAGCCCAGGGACCCTCGGGATTGCTGGTACAGTTTGCGATTCCCTCCAATGTTAGATCCATTGAGATTCCGTGAGAGGGCCTTTAGCAGATCGATTTGGTCGGAATTTGTTTGAGTGTATCTACCAACATTACAACATATCCTCCCAGCGTGGCCCGCCAAGGAACAGTAGAGAGTGATAGCCTACAAAAGCCACGTATTTGTGCAGCTCTACACGCCGGTAGGGTCAACGGGTTCGCAGTCGAATCAACGAGGGATTCAGGGATACGGGCTCTTCCGACCACGCCGTCAGCGTTGGATGACCCTGTGCGAAGATAGTAGAGAACACACACACACAGAGAACGAGAGAGATTGGTGTGGCGCAGTGGTATAGCAGTGGGTATGAGGTAAAGAGTGTGAGACTCGCCCATCTACAATACATAGCATCTATGTACCTGGCTGACTAATGGCCTGGGCGCTAAGGCCCAACCGGATCTTGGCCCAGGCTCGCACGTGATCGCTCATCCAGGCGGGCGAAGAGCAAGGGCGGCATTACCCTCTTTCCAGATTTGGCGGGAGCCGCGAGCACCGCAGTTATGTGATTATCGATGCCAAGGCCTCGCCCGTCGACTCCCTTTTAGATCTGGCTGAATGCCGCCCTATTTACGCTTGGATTGCCGCTTCAGTAGGAAACGTTTCGTTCATCAACTACCACGACACTGTGATTGATTAGACAAGATGGTAGCATGACGGTAACTCAAATCGCACATGGAGTTATCATTAGGTGACGAGGTAATGTGACTGGGATTGAATAGAAAGCAACTACATCGACTGTCTTCTATCAAATTGATTTTCTCCCAGGAATATCAGTTCACCGTCGCCTGTGCCAGACTTTGAATAATGTTCGCTCCATCAAACAAGCCACCTCCTGGAGCTTTCGCTCGGCAAAGAGTGTTTCCTCGCTCAATCACGTTGGCATCACATTCGAGGTTTGCCGTTGCAACACAGCTTAGTCTTCCTCCGCCTGCAAAGTGATTCACATGTTAGTCATCCATCGGTGCGAGAATTGAGGGGCGAGTGGTTTATAGTGGCAGTCCTTACAGTCGTTTCCTCCTGGCACACATCTTCCAGCTGCCCCATTGGCGGCGGTGCATGCGTCTTGTTTCAGAGACGTGTTGGCAACACAACAAGCTCCACTAGGCACGGGTCGATTTCCGTTCTGGGGTGCTCGTCCGAGGACAGCTCCAGCCGAGACAGGTGAGAGCGCGGCGAGCCCGAAGAGGGCAGTAAAGAGTGTTGCGGTGAATGGGATATGCATCTTGAAGTTCGATTGGATATGTTTGTGTATTGAGATGTGTATGTCGTGTGAAAATAGCAAGAAGTTCGACCAGCGAAACGAAGTGAAGTGGCTGTTTTTTGAAAGATGGGTAGCGAGGAAAGACTGGTGAGCACTGCTGAAGAGCCAGATCAACAAGATGAGGGAGCCAGACGAGGTTTAAATAATACCTCAAGACATTGAGCTATCGCATATTCCTTCTAGTATAACGGCTCCCCACAAAACTAGAGTCAGGTCGAGCTGGGCTGGCGACGCCGACACGTAAACTATCGCATCACAATATGATGACGATGAGGAGGAAATCACTTACTAGGCGACCCAGCCTCCTATTGAAGCTATGCACCTTTCCTAGTCTATATATGGGTCCTAGGGATTCGGTGATGCTTTCCGAAGAATCTCAGCATTGGCCTAGGACAGTGTCGATGTACAGATACCTTATCCATACCAACACATAGCTGCTCACCGTTCTTGAAGCGTATGTAGGCGATCAGTTTCCCGGAATCACCTCTCTCCACTGCTTCCACTTTGACTCCTTGCGGGTCCCAGTCTTCCTTCATCGGCACCCACGCCAATTCTTCCCAGATGGTGGATGAAGCAGGAGCGGAGGTCTTCTTTTTCCTCGTTTCACAGCCGGAGCCGGGTGCCCCTTCGCCTCAGATCTGAAACGTCTCAATTGTTTCGACTTTGTCTCTGTCACGGGACTGGAGTCCATGAAGTGCCAAGCCCCCAGTCACGTGACTTACGTGTAGAGTTGTACCAGCGCTCTCTCTCCTCTTGATAGTCCTTCGTACTAAATTCGATCATTCTTGCGCTCAAGCAGTGTCAGTCTTTTCGAGTGCATTTTCTCCAGATACATGATACTGGTATGATACTGTTGTAAATTTTCGGAAGCGTAGCTTGGAGCACAGTCGGTTCGGGACGTATTTGAAGGAGAAATCTCTTCAGCGGCAGGCTTAGCGCTCGCTCTTCCGTGTTTTCTTTATCTGGACATCCTTGCCATTTAGTCTCATAGTAGACCTTATCACGGACACACCGGTGACCATGGATTGCTTCGACACCGAAAACTCCTTCTAAATCTTGGTCATGGTCTTCTTGTGCTCGTCATGCTAGAATCTCCTTCTCAGAAATCGCACAGAACCCGCGAAATGAGTTTTGCTTGTCCCCGCCCGCTAGCGCGTCCCCGCTAGCGCTGCTCCCTACGAAACCGCCATGCTCGTCATGGCCGTTAAGCCCCACATGTGTACGCCACGTCAATCTCCAAACTGTCGACCGGCTCGAGCATGAGACATCTTCGGATCGACACGGAGAGCGATTATGGTATGAAAGCAATAATTTGAAGTTCATATTAGCTATCCAGAGGTGAGAAGTGGGGACTGGCCATTTCAAAGAACGTCGCTACTAAACACTTTGGAGCAGGAAACGGCTGCTCTGAGCCTGGCGTGAGTAGACGGATCCGACAAGGAACAATGGCATCGTCTAAGAAGAGATTGATCACTGCGGCAGAGGTTGAAAGCCATGGGAGACTAGACGACCTCTGGATAGTAGTCGAAGAGAAAGTGTACGATATGACCAGATTCGGCCCAGAGCACCCTGGAGGACAGGCCAGTACGCAGACATCCTTTTGTGTAGCTAGGGGAACGTCAAATTGACGATGTGCAGTCATTCAGCTTTACGCTGGCCGGGATGCCACTGAGGCATACAAGGAAATCCACGAGCCCAGTCTTATTATGACCAATCTACGGCCAGAGGAGAAAATCGGTGACCTTGACCCAAGAACAAGCTTCAGGGACCCACCGCCGAGAAAGGGTGAAAAGATAGAAAGGAATTCAGCAGAAAAGCCACCTCTCCAAACGCTCATCAACTTGTTCGACTTCGAAGAAGCAGCAAGGCACTCCCTTTCGCATAAGAACTTTGCTTTCATATCAGGAGCCTCCAACGACAACATAACGAGGGATGCCAACCGCAATCTTTTCGATAAGATCTGGTTCCGGCCTCGGGTTATGAGAAATGTGGCAAAGGTGTCGACAAAAAGCAGGTTGATGGGCCATGATGTGGCCCTTCCACTATGGATTTCCCCGGCTGGTATCGGAAAGGCCGGTGGACCCGAAGGTGAGCTCGCTCTGAGCAGGGGAGCAGCAGCCAGTGGCATCATTCAAACGGTACAGCGCTAGATCTTGCTATCTCTCGTTGCGTGTTCACAAAGATTGACGTCGCGCAGATATCGACTACAGCCTCGTACCCACTCCTCGAGATTCTTGACGCTGCGCCACCAGAGCAACCCTTCTTTTTTCAGCTCTATATTAACAAAGACCGCTGCAAGACTGAGGAGCTTATAAGCATTATCAACAATTGTACGCAGATAAAAGCCTTGTGGGTCACGGTGGACCTCCCCGTCGTTTCGAAACGCGAAGCTGATGAGCGCCTTAAACTCGAAGCCATATACTCCAGTGGCATCACCGACACCAGGAGCTCATTCAGCGACGGCAAAGGTACCGGCCTTGCCCGTACTGCTGGATCGTATATCGACCCATCTTTCTGCTGGGAGGACCTGCAGTGGCTGCGAAAACTGACCAAACTTCCTATTGTGCTCAAAGGGATCCAATCTGCCATGGATGCAAGGATCGCAATGCGCATGGGTTGCCAAGGTATTGTGGTCAGCAACCACGGGGGCAGAGCATTGGATACTGCGCCCGCTTCGATTCTCATCCTTCTCGAATTGCACAGAGAATGCCCTGAAGTCTTTGACCACATGGAAGTATTTTTGGATGGAGGAATACGGCGGGGCTCCGACGTTCTGAAAGCGATCTGCTTGGGTGCAAGCGGTGTAGGCTTAGGTCGACCATTCATGTATGCCATCAACTACGGGAAAGAGGGTGTGGAGCACCTAGTTAATGGTGAGTTAGATTATTTCGCCCCAGTATAGCACAGCTCATATTCTATGGTATTAATCTGGGCTAACCCGGCTACTGAACTCCCAGTCCTCAAAGATGAGGTAGAGACAGCTATGCGTCTCGTGGGGCTGAGGTCCCTGGCCAATGCGGACGCTTCGATGGTCAACACGGCAGAGCTCGATGCTCTTGTTCCTCGCGGCTCTCGGCATCCGTATGCTCGCAATCGACCCCGGAAACCAAATAACTTCCATTTATGAGTCTCGGCTAACTTAAGGAAGATGGAACAGTGCGTAGTACGGAATAAGGGTCAAAGTGAGGTTGTCAAGCTGGAAGGTATTGGCAGGCTCTGGTCTGGCTGTCGGTTCCCGTTACATTCATGTATTGAACAAGCATAAGTATTGACACCTGAGACCCAGGTACAGGTCTGCTAGATTACTGGCATAGCTGCAATGACAGCTGAGGCACTGTAATAACATCTCGCCTTCCTTAAGTTCCACCTAGTAATTAGTAATTAGTAAGAGAGTCTTTCTATTCCGGAGACTAGCGCTACCCTCAGCCACCCCTGTTTACTCATCTCATCATCGAAATCGTAATTGGATATGTTTATCTGTAATCTTCCAGGAAGAAATTGCCTTGGCTAGACCAAAGATGGACGGAGTATCATCGTATGACGACAATGAAGGAGGAAAACTCGCGACTTCTAACAGCTTGCATGGCGTCTGAACTTACCTGTGTACAGCTATTTACCCCTGCTCCGTTGATACTCTACCATGCTTGGATTGCAACAAAACTCAACCCCAACATGGTACAAAGATGAGTTATGTGAGTGAAGTGCCATCTTATTGGCCTTTCTATGGACTTGAAACCTCAAATTCTTGACTCTGTAGCCTTTCGTCGGAGATGACAACTTTGAACACATGCTTCCCATCCTTGGCTTTGACATTGTGCACCGTTTCAAACGCCTCTAAACCCTCCTCAAATGGAAAAACGTGGCTTATCAAGGACCTGACATCAACCCTCCCGCTTTCAATAAGAGAGATGGCATCCTCGAAACAATTCGTGGTATACCTCCATGTGCCTGTTTTGAGGTGGGAAATTAGTTAGTATTGTGGACAATTGCTGCAGAAAACGACCTTTGGAGAATTGAGGCAACGACAATGATACTCTGTAATGACACACCTCGCACATTGATTTGTTTGGAGCAAACGTCCATCATCGGTATTCTGGGCCATTGGCCATTATACACTCCAACCTGGACATCTTTCCTGGTCTTAGTATTGGGGATCAAATTTTCTAGGACGCAGGGTTCTCACAAGTTCCTCCCGGTCTGACAACCTGGAGACCGATTTGCATGCACTCCTCCGCACCAGCAGCTTCGACTACAACGTCAAAGCCACGATAGAGCCCGTCCACTGAGCTGAGAATGTGTTGGGACACACGTTGGGAATATTCTTCGGTCGTTTCGCTCTCACCTGCGCGTGACGGGTTGACGAAGACATAGTCGGCGCAGTACGACTTCGCAAATTCGGCACGATGTGGCTGAATTTCGAGGATGGCAACCTTCTTGGCAGAGTACCTGAACGACATAGGACGATGTTAAAACTCAGACATCGACGTGGCGCGAGTTTTGAGGTGATCTGAAGTCTTGGGATTATGATACGTACGCTTTGCTGATTGCACCAAGCAAGAGCCCAATGCACCCACCTCCTAAAATCATGACATTCTGGTTCGCTGTAAGACCTGCCTGTCTCGCCATCTGCAGAGCGATTGCAAATGGTTGGATTGTGCCGGCTTCGACCCATGATATCTTGGGCGAAATTCTTGCCAGTTGCACAACCGGCACGATCTTGTAGGTGCATAACGCACCATCTTGAGGCCCGGTTCCAGGAGCACCGTTGTAGCCCATTGTCGAGCAAATATTGGATTGCCCGGTCGTACAGTCGTCACATCTGTTGCAAATGGTGACGTGTTAGTATGCCATAATGCGAACACCTTCTTGCGGAGCAGGCATGCTTAGCTAGGCCCAACTTACGCCAGGCACGGTAGTCCTGGTTTGATCACTGTACGATCACCTGGAGCCCATCCGAGCACGTCGTCGGCCACCCGTACAACCTCCCCCGCGGCCTCATGCCCGACTACAAACGGCTCTTTAATGATGTCAGGACCCGCCCGCCCTTCCTTCCAGAAATGTATCTGTTTTCGACAATTCAAAATTAGCCAGTTCCTGCATCTCACTCGAGCTGTGTTGCATCACGAGTTCAAGCAGCCCTCCCTGCCAGAGCGTCGAAAGGAACGAAATGTCTTCGGGGGCGGCGAAACCTATACCGCAAATGTATGAACTCACATCCGAACCGCAAATCCCCCCAGCACGAATACGAAGAAGCGCAGTTCCAAGAGGAAGTGGTTCCCCTGGCTTGTAGGGAGGACTGTCAGCGTAGGAACCGACTTTAACAGGCCAATCTCTGATCGCAATGTCATTTATTTTGGAGATGACGATGGCCCTATTCTGCTCGAGTTTGAGATCGAGGTCGCTTGAACCCTTGCTTTCCATCGCTGCGGATTTTCGACGTGGAGGCCTACGAGATTAGTTTAATATTGCCGAATGAAGAAATCCCGAATACCCTCTGACGATCAAGGGGGTGGAAGCAGCCCCGAATTTGCGGAATAAAAACGCGATTCTGTCACTCGCAGAAATGGCCAGGCCTTTATCCATGCAGGTTGTAGTTCGTCCATCCGAGTGTCTGCCTCAGTCACGCTGGTCATATCCACTTTGAGCGATTCTGGTCTTTCCAAGGTAAGCCCACAACGACTCAGCTGCTAGTGTAAACGGCGATCCGGGATGCAAACATCGATGGTGAAAAAGAGAGGGCCACCAACGTGGAATTTACCCCGCTAGCGTGCGGGTCCGGCATTGTTTTTCAGTCCAATGTTCAGATGATCGATCAAATGTGCAGCCATGCACTTTAGAAGATTCGTGAAGCGGCGCGCGGCAAATCTGGTGCCTGATAGATTGTGCTCATTGTCTTGTCGTTGATGCCCTAGGTGTTTTGAGCATCCATTGTTGTGCAACGCGATCACACAAACGAAATCGTATATATGCATCCAACGTGAAAGCCTGGTTTAACGCAGCGGTAGACAATGGGTGCAGTCAACAAATTTCTGGCATCATGCCAAAGGGGTGTGGCTGCTTGCACGACTGCTTGGGACTACCCCAGCGCTTTACTGTGTGAAAGAGCTGGCGTTGACCTCGTCCTGATTGGGGACAGTCTGGCCATTGTGGCGCTGGGGCAAGACAGCACGAATTATGTGACTCTCGATGAGATGATTTATCATTGCAAGGCCGTCACTCGAGGTGCAAAGTCACCACTACTGCTTGGGGATATGCCAATGGGGTCATACGAGGTTTCGAATGAACAGGGTAAGTCTGTGTACCTGTTCATCCAGATGTTGATAAATCAAAGGATCGATTTAGGCTGACTAGAGAACTGCTCAGCCATCGCAAGTGCACTGAGGTTGATCAAAGAAGGCCGTTGCGATGCTGTTAAGCTTGAAGGAGGGGTAACCATGGCTGCGAAGGTCCGGGCCATCGTCGACGCAGGCGTGCCGGTCATAGGACATATTGGGCTCACCCCTCAAACCAACATGGGAGGAGCGGACGCAGGAGTTGCAACAGCAACTCAGGCAGAAGATACATTGAAAGATGCGCTTGCGTTGCAAGACGCAGGAGCCTTTGCTATCGTGCTCGAAGCAGTCGCGGGACCGGTTGCTGGCTGGATCACATCGAAGCTGCGCGTTCCAACTATTGGTATAGGGTAAGTGGACAACACTTGTTCAACCCTGGATGGAGCAAGGAGGTATACCTCATCTTATGGCACTCTTCCTGATTTGTATTAGCTGTGGGCCAAACACATCGGCTCAGATCACTCTCCAGTCAGAACTCTGCGGATATCTAAACACGACCTTTGCAGCTGTGTAAGGATCTCCAAATCTGCTCATCCCGCGGCATGGTCCCTAATTTCATCCCACAGTTGGCACAAGAAATATACCACGGTGGGGGAGTCGTCGTTGAAAGCTCTTTCGCAGTACAGAGAAGAAGTGGCAAATGGATCGTTCCCAGCATCAGAGAATGTAAGTTCAGTCAGTCTTCTGGTCGTCAAAACCAAGAAGCCCTGATATTGACAATATTGCGCTTAAGGACTCGGTGTTCTCATCGGAAGAGTTTCAGAAGTTCGAAGCATTAAAGGGTAGGTATTAGCGCCTGTTCTGCTTCGCCGCGAGAGCACAAGACGACAACTGCCAACAGGGCACGAATTTATCAGCCGGGATCATCTTAGAAAATTGTACCAGATATTCGTGTTCCCCTTTCCCGGTGCTAGACTAGCACATATATACTGCGGACGCCGTATAGAGACTTGCATCAAAAGTGGTTTGCCAGGTTAATTGTGCTCACAAGGGTATGCAAATGCCGAGCGACGTCTCATTGAGTCCTGTACCCTCATAGGCCCTAAGTTTAAGCCACTTAAGGAAGCCCGTAAGGAAAGTCACCTTTCGGCATTCCGCCCCTATGGTTATGGCGGCCTACAGGGATAATATAACTAGGTAGTTTCCGGAAGGATCCTGCTAGTCCAGGGCGCTCCGCTTCTAACCGAGCGTCAGGTGACCCATGGGGACCCCGAGCTTTTGAGCACTCCCCCGGTCGGACCTGTGGCCATCATGCGCACTCTCGACTCCTCAAACGTTATCCTTTCCTAGTTTCATCGACCAGGTTCTCCACCACCATGCAGACCACCATATCGTGATGATGATGGTGATAATGTCATCAACACCATTCCATTCTTTGTCAATAGAACGGTCCACGCTACAGCAAAAGGTAACGTGTAGATGTCCATCTATCTAATAGGATAGAACCTGAACTCAGGGACAATCTTTGACGCAAGTGATGCTGACAGAATGGACCACCAACCGATACGCAAGCATCAGTGTGCAAAATGCGGACAAGTGTTCGCACGTGCAGCTCATTTGCACCGCCATCAAGCAACTCATAAAGAGTGAGTTGAACATCTCTCCCATCGGCAATATCAACCAGTTGCTGAGGGAAAAAACTCAGAGCTTGGGAAACCGAACCGATTCTTTGCACGCAATGCAACAAGGCCTTCTCGAGAAAGGACGTTCTCATGCGACACCAACGAAATGGCCAGTGCAGGTTCTCGGGGGATAATAGCTTACCACCGCCAACCATGATGCCAGTCGAACATGGATTGGATCTCACATTGTCGGAAACACAGTCTCAACCCGGTGCATTCCTGTCGGCAACAAACATAGCTGATGTTGGGAATGTCCCCATTTTGTTGAGCTCCTCTGACGCCGTACAAGCAGAGCCTGCCATGAGGTCTGTTAACGCAGATAATCCCTCTGCATCGTCGGCGACTGGAGGAGACCACGCAGAGGTATTACTTCCACGAGAGATCGCGAGCTCCGTAGGATACTCACAACTGATAGGGCCTTTATCACGACGATCCTCCCTTGCCCGCATTCGGCCCAATGTTCGGCGCCTCCGCAGAAGAACAGCTAACCCCAGAGTTCCTGGGTGACTCGATGCAGACACGCCATGAACTGGGTTTAGCAAGCTCCGAGGATACTCTCATGCTGGAATGGGAGGCGAACGCTCGATTCGATCTCGCGTACCTTGATTGGTTTGATTTGACCCTTGATTCTGCCGAGGAACCAGCAATTATTGAAACATCCGGACTGGCCGTTCCCTCGGAAATCCAGAAAAGCGCATGCGATTTGGCAGTCCCAGTATCGAGCACCCGCCAGCCCGAACTGTACAGCAACCTGAACTATCCCAACACCTACTCGAATGCCGCACTTCTACCAGACGACCAGACACAGCATCATCATCAAGACGCTGTGGCAGGAGGTAACACGTCTCTGACTCAATATCCAGGACTTGTTGGGTCCAGTAACCCACGTCAATCGCTGCTGCGACAATTCCAAACCAGCGAACAGCTGCGGAAGTTGATGGTGAATGGTAGGGATATTAGTGCCGTCCTCGAAGGGTTCATGTATATTCTCTCTGGGGACACCCTGCCATCACTCAGGACGTTGAACTCGCAATTCTTCCTATCATACAATCTTTTGGAGCAGTTCTTGGATCTTTACAAAACCCAGTTCCAGCCGATCTTGCCGATCATACATCTACCATCCTGGGATCGATCGATCGCTCCTAGTGTTTTAGTATCTGCAATGGCCTGCATTGGCGCGAAATATTCGACCATAGAGAACGTATCGGCCCTCTCAAAGGGGCTAGGGCTGATATGCTCGATAGGATTGATGTCAGTGGTATGCGTGAAAAAATCACTCCTGATGTACTTTCTTCAACCTTCGTGTTCTGACAAAACAGGGTAGGCTGGACCAGACATGCGCGGCCTTAGCCATCACTCACACTTTGCAGCAGCTTGCTTACATCAAATTCACGCATTGGGATCCGGTGACCGTCAAATATACGACAATGCTGAAGCCGGAAGAGGAGCACTGTTGTCGCTCTTTAGAAGAGCGGGCCTTTTTAAACCACATACACAACTGAGGCCTGAAGATCAGAACAACGCTTACTCAGAAGCCGGCGATGATCACAGAGCACAAGACTCACCCTTTTCATGGCAACGATGGCGCGACTCTGAGTGCGACTTACGGCTAGCATGGGCAATTTTCGAGTACGACTGTACGCTATCAACCCTCACAAATCGAAGGGGCACCATAGATGTGCACGAAGCGCCGGATCGCCTACCTTGCGCAGAAACTCTGTGGGAAGCTCATTCTTCTCAGATGTGGAGAGCACTGGCTTCTGTCAAATCAATGCAGCTTACTGGCCCTCGCTTGCCTCTTGTCCTCCAACAACTTGTTTCACAAAAAAACCTCACACGTGACGTGACCTCTTGGTCGAGAAGACTATGCTCCCAGGTATTGACTCGACAAATGTGGGATCTTAAACGGATAGAAACCGCTTACACACCTGATTTTTTGAACCTGCCACAATTGTTTCACATGCACCAGCCCGCAAACACGATTTTGTTGCGAGCCCTGACCTTCTTAAGAAACTCGATGAAAAACCCGATTTCAGCCTCCGATCTTGTTCATACCCAGTAAGTAGGGAGTCCACCCACATAACGGAAGCCCGATCCAGAGCGCATATTACTTCTGGCAGCTGACCTTCCCTACTGCTCCAGTGTTACCTATTTACTCTGCCATCATGCGCATTTATTCACATCCAACAGCGGCCTCCACCTCATTGTCCACCTTTTCAGCAATTTCTTTCAAGAAGCCCATGAAGTCCAGAGGAAGCAAACTCATGCGCTTCAGCAACGTCTGCGTAACCTGCTGCAGCGAGATCCTATTCGAACGAGGAGGCTGACATGGCATGCTGCACAGATTGTCGGGATTGCCCATGAGAACGCTGTACATGCTCTCTGCAAGACGACACTGGTCTTCACTGGCTACCTGTACCTCCTTACATCTGTCAGGTATGGCAATCTACAGAGTAATTGCGACTTTGACCCGCCCGTCCAGCTCGACCGACTTCCCTGGTGCCAAGACTCCGAGGAGGGCGCGGAAGTGGAGACTTGGATCGAAATGGGCGGACCTGCGGCCGTCGGATCTGTGTCGAACCTTTGCGACAAAGACTGCTTTCAAACATTGAAGGCGAATGCGATACAGACTATCCAGGATCTGAAAACTTGGCAGCTAAACCAGAAGTTCTGCAAGATTATCGATGCTTTCCCCTGGTAGCGTTTTATCTTTTGAAGCATTACTGAATTGTATTCTATACAACAAGGTTGAAAATTGATTGACCGATCTCTCATAGAGGGGAGTGCGGGTGTTCTTTATACTTCCAAGAATGCTATGATACCAAACTCTTTAGCATATCTAAGATATGATCGACGAGTCACATCATCTAATTCCACTATTTCAGAGGCATGGTTGAGGCAATGACTATCAACTTATGATCCCAAGACCCCCTACATTGGCAAACGAATTAGTCTTCCCGTCATGAACTTGTAATTTTGATCTCTTCACTTACTCCATCCACATATAATGTTGTTCCACAAACGAACTGACTTGCCTTGCTTGCAAGGAACACCGCTGGTCCTGCAAAGTCCTTGGGTAGACCCCACCGCCGAGCAGGGGCTCGGGCGACTCGTTCAGCCTTGATGGTAGGGTTCTGTCTAATATCGGCGTTGCTGACGAGTCTCAAGTTAGGCGGATATCGTCCTGAATGCATAGAGTGAGGGGGGCATACATATCGGTCTCTGTGAAACCCGGAGCAATTGCATTAACCTGCACATTATATCTGCTCCACTCATTGCTTAGGGCTTTGGTCAGTTGTCGGACACCTCCCTTGGAGGCTGAATAGGCGATGATGCCTTCTCCCCCTATTGTATCCATGATGGACGAAACGTTGATGATCTTGCCACGTCGGAGAGGGATCATGTGCTTGCCCGCACTTTGGCAGAGAAGGAAAAGGCTCTTAATGTTGGTATCCGTGACCTTTTCAGAAGGGAGCCGTGTCAGTCAACGGAAAATTTCTGTGCTTAAAGGGAGCTGATTATGTGAAGGCGGACTCACTCGGTCCCACTCCTTCTCCGTCAGACTTAGGGAAGGCTCTCTTGTGATGACACCGGCGCAGTTGACCAAGACATGGATTTCGCCGCCCATGACAGTGAGTGCCCTCTCAAAGACCGTCTTCACCTGCTCCATGTCGATCAGATTGCAATGCACGATATGGGCCTCACCGCCTTTGGCCCGGACCGTGTCCGCTGCTGATGTGTCTGCGATGTCTCGCTGGACGAAGCATATCGCTGCTCCTGCTTCTGCGAGAGCTATACCAATAGCAAGACCTATCCCGCGATTCCCCCCAGTGATCAAAACATTTTGGCCTTGAAGGTCAAACAATTGAGGGGAAGGAAGCTCTGGTGTTGGCGCACCAATTGCTTCTGGCAATGCAATCATCCTGTTCTGGCTGCCGAGCAGTAGAACAATGTTGTGTGCTTTGAGTTCTTGTCCGGAAGAAGAGTCAGGACGCTGGCACGATTCCACAACCAGCCTCCCACGTTTAAAGTACCGTGCCCTTACCAAGCATTATTCTTTTTTAAATGATTGACATTTAGACAACTTTTTGGTTATGCATTGTCGAGGCGGCTCGAATCAACGCTACCGTATGGTCGCCGTGAGACTGCAGGGAATAGTCATCGCATGAGCTGGATCGAGACGAACCAATATGGGGCCATCGTAACCGTGACTGTCACAAGATAGGTCCTGGATCTCAATCTTTCTGCCTTGCCCTGGCCTCCTTGTCCGGCGGGCGTTGGGCAGATTGACAGGCAATACGCTAGCGGGGACACATTGCGGGTTGCGGCGGTTCTCCGTCCCCAGCGCGGGGAAGCAGGGGGGCGGGGAAGGGTGGGGAAGGGCGGCATTCGGAATCGTCTATCCCAGGGTTGCGCAACAATGCCAATACAGTCTAACGACTCGTGTGATCGCTACAGGTGTATACCTACAGGACCTGATGCGTTGGCTGTATGCCTGAGATTCGGTGACGCAGAACCAATTGCGATGTTGAGACTATAGCGTCGACCTGTTTGCCCTTGGATCGGGTGGCAGTATGTATATACATATATATGTCTTGATAAAAGGAATTGCGCTCTGGCCTTGCGTGCCTCCTTATCACTGTATGTAATAATTGCACTACCACCACTTGTATTATCCCAAGAGCGAACCATTTCGCAGTCATGGAAAAGGCTTTCCTCTCTGGACAAAGCAACTCTGAGGCAAAACCCCAGGAGGTTGCTGATTCCACATGGGCAGAAGAGGCTCCTGGGAATGGGTCCCAGAGCTTTAACGAAACTGTCCCTGACGATACGAAGCTTGAGAAAAGAGTCAAATGGAAGCAGGACGTGCGCATCATACCCTTCGGCGCTGCTATCTTTCTGCTTGCCTACTTCGACAGGGCCAACATTGGTAAGTCAACATATCGGGGAGCCGATGACACTATTGTCGCAGCATATGCTGATGGATCGTCACAGGAAATGCGAAGACACTCAACGCGAATACCAAAAATGATATGGCCACCGAGACTGGTATGACAAATTATCAATTTACGTATGTACCGAACCCTACTTATCCACCTTCGACCCCCTATCTCTCTCGGAACCGTATGTTAATTAGCAAGCTTTGCAGAATTGCCCTCATGGTCTTCTATGCGGGCTATGGAGCATTTGAAGTGCCCTCAAACTACTTTTTGAAGAAACTTAGGCCTAGTAGATGGATAGCTATCCTGATGTTCCTCTGGGGAGCAACCAGTAGCTGTCTTGCCGCCGTGAACAATTACCCTCAGGTCACAGGCGTGCGTTTTGTCCTGGGGGCTGCTGAGGCAGGTACGTGGGAGCCTCCATTCGATGTTGGATGCTTTGAAGCTAAGTCATCGTCACCAGGGTTGTTTCCTGGGCTAGTGTACTATTTGACTTTCTGGTACAAGACCAGCGAACGTTCAATTCGTGTCGCGCTCATCTATGCTTCCGCCATTCTCTCAGGCGCTTTCGGTGGTGCGCTCGCATACGCGATCGGACATATGCAAGGGGTGAGGAAGATCTCTGCTTGGAGATGGCTATTTATTCTCGAAGGTCTCCCTAGCGTGGTTCTGTCTGCGGCTGTCTGGTATTGGCTCCCAGACTTCCCAGAAACAGTATCATGGCTCACGCCAGAGGAGAAGAAGCTCGCAGTGGCGCGGCTGACCACTGATGGCTCCAAAGCGCACGAGAGCAACTTCACTTGGAAGAGTGCCAAAAGCACATTGATGGAATTAAGGTTATGGGCTCATTACGTGGTGAGTCCTATCCTATCTGCCAGGCAGTATCAGTGGGAGTGCTGACACACCTTTCAATAAAAGGTCTACTTCGGTCCTTGCGTGGCGTTTGTTGCGCTGTCTTTATTTACTCCCAGCATTGTCTTAAATCTGGGCTACAAAGGCTTAGACAGCCAGCTTATGACTGTGCCCCCGTATGCAGTGGGATGTGAGTATCACTCCAATCAAGGTGAATATTGCGTAGAGAGACCTGCTGACATTCTTGGTCTGTTCCGAAAGATTGCTTAACGCTCCTTGTGTCATGGTCTGCTGACCGATACAATGCTCGAGCGCTCCATTCAGCCTGTTGTGCCTTGCTATCTGCGTCTGGGTATGGAGCCTCGGCCGCTTTGCCAGCTAATGCGTATAAGGTATGTCCAGATCTTCCCAGTCTATCTTCTAATTGAATGAGAAGCTTTGCCCTCTGAGAAGTCGACGAACAGCCTGATGCTAACACTCCTTCAAGTCTCGCTATGGCTGTCTCATCATCGCTGCATCAGGTACATTCGCCTGTATACCACCTCTCTTGGGCTGGCTGTCCTCAAATCTGTTCACCACTGGCAGCGCTGGATTGGCGATCGCTCTCAATATCACTTTCAGCGTGCCAGGCCAAATCTTGGGCGTGTGGATCTACACGGCGAAGGAGGCCCCAAAAGGATATCCTACCGGTCATTGGACAAACTTTGGGATGATGCTGACATGTGCAGCTGGTTGCTTTGGGCTGCGTTGGTACTACATCAGGCAAAACGCAAAACTTTTGAGGGAGGCTCCGGCGGGGGAAAGCGTGAGAATCTTTGCATACTGAATGCTACATCCTAGGCCAGGCCGTCTTTAGGGAAGGGAAGAGGCATTCTGGGACAGGTCGGGTGACAAGCCTTTGTCGGCTCCATTGCCGGCACTATGTATGACGCATTATATACATGACCATTGCTATAGTGTTATCAATCTTACCTAAAACTGCACCCAAGTGGAGTTACTTCGCGGAAAGGTGCTGGCTCCATGCTTGGATTGCTGCCCGAGCTTTACGATTGAGATGAAATGTATCCCTGAGCAAGAGGGGTTTGATGAACCAGAACTCTGTCCTTTTTGTCAAGCTACGCTAGGAGTAGGCATTAAACATGGCAACACAGGACTTATCCAAATTCTTACGTTTTTGCTAGTCTATATACATACATACGTGATTGCAAACCCCAGGTTTTCAAAAGATTGCGACACAGTTCGGCGGGCTACTGACACCCCCAGGCATATTGAAAGGAGCACTTGCGACGAAGAAATCCCACCTTCGATGCCTCTTACACATCTCACTCAATCCCTCTAGGTCAAACAGCTCCCCAATAGGCATGCCCCAACCCGCAAGTAAATACTCATGCATGAAGAGACCAGGGAAATCGCTCTGATCTTCCCCACGGGGATAGGACTTTTTCGGCGGATAAATTTCGAATGAGAGACTATCCGAAGCAACAGCAGCGAAGCCGGAGTTCCAAATCCAACGAAGCATAGCTTCAGTCCCTTCAACTCCAGCATGTAGTGGTGTCTTTGTGGTGGCGTACTCGTTCTTACTCTCAATGCTCATCTTAGTGTCCCATTCCTTGGTGAGACCAGTCCGTACAAAGAGAATGTCACCACGCTTGAAGGAAAGGTTCGATTCCTTTGCAATCTCCAAGAGTGCGCTGAGGGGAATGAAGTGGTCGCTAAAGTTCGAATACTGAATACCTCTTTTCTCCGCATACGCAGCATAATCGAGCAAGATGCCTCGGCCACAAATACCTTCTTTAGCCCAACATTGCATTCCAATACGAGCATTCTTTGGTTCCAAGATCTCTTCCTTTGTAACTCCGCCATAGAATACTCTCCTGCTGGGGTTTTCTTTGGTCGGGTCTGTTTGGGAAAAGTGTCGCAGACCATCCCACTGACTACTTTGCTGAGGATTAAAAGTATAGATATCGTCGAAGGCAACGCCATCCAGTATACTTATAAGCTCGTGCTTGCATGGTTGACGTCCGAAGTTAGCAATTTCGAGTTTGTTCAGTTCCCAACCGAGGTTTACGCGGTCCCCAGTACGGATGAGGTCTGCAGCGGCGGAAGCTACCACATCAGGTGTCAAGAGTACAAGACGGCCCAGACCCTCTTCCCGGGAATTCTTAGGATAAGGCCAAACTTGCCGCTTATTCGGAAGTTCGTCGAAGGGAGTAAGATGAAGAGGATGGATTTGAGGATGTGACATTTTTGCTATAAAGTCGGGCGGCTAAAAGATGGTTCTAGTACACGATTGACAGTACCAGACTTCTGGCCAGTAAACAAATGATAAGTGAAATCAGATGGAAGACTCTTAGCCGGTCGACTCAACCATCTGTCAGAGTCAGGACAATGTGATCAGTGAATACCAATTCTCGTCGAGCACCTTTCATGAACCCCCGGGCTTTCGCATGCGGGGCTGAGCCCTGCTGAAGCTGGGAGAGGAGAGTACATTTTTGACAGCAGCCCAGCTGTTGACATGCCTGCCCCACCCGAAACGCGAAAGGACTGTAAGCGGTGGTCCGCTGTAGTCTTATTCCCCGCTAGGCAGCCACGTTGATGCAGGTCCACAACGGCCCGGGTAATTGGCATCAGCGAAGACTGTGAGTCTGATGAAGCCCCCCCCCCCCCCCGCAGGCGGAGCAGAGGAGTGAGCTTGTGGACGAAAGAGCGGACTTCTTGTGAAGTATGGAGACTTCGCATTAGAGTTTCTGCGGGAACAGTTGCCCTTGCCCTTGAAAGATACTCTGTACACCGTACTTGGGCTTGAGCAATTACCACGGTTCCCAACATACGAGCTTCAATCTAGGCTGATCTAGCCAACAATGAGCTGCTAGAGACAAAGTCTAATCTGATGGTCATATCCATCGCCTCATGGGAGCCAGGTCAAGGCTGGTCTCCACTGACCGGAGAACAATTGGGGCGCACCCCGCAGAAATCTTGGAAACCCCTTTTAAAGTAGCATCATCCCCGTGGTCAAGTCCAGCGCCATGTACCGAATTTTTGCATAGCATTCGAGAAGGCTTCTCTTTCACTCGCGACAATAGCAGACATGAAAGCCAAATCCTCCCACTCAAGCACGTACAACAGGCTTGTCACGGTGGCTGTTGCCTTTGGATCTCTAGTAGGCTGACTGGAATTCCAGTCTGAAAAATGACTATGTGCTAATTATCATACAGACATATGGATTCTCATCTTCAGTCATCGGAGGCACCATCGGTCAACCCGGCTGGTATGAATACTTTGACCTCCCTATGCAGGGGGAGGAAGGCTATGGTGGAAAGACGACAAACGCGATTGCAACAGCGAATGGGCTTTACAGTGCCGGTGGCGCTCTTGGGTCTCTCTTCGTGATGTGGTCGGCAACTGCAATGGGCCGCAAACGCAGTATTCAACTTGGGGCTCTTTTCGCTATCATCGGGGGTGCCTTCCAAGGCGGCGCAGCCGCCCTGGCGTAAGTCCAAGCCAAAGATCTGAATTCAAATGAGTCACACTCATCCTCTCCAATCCAGTATGTTTCATGTTGGTCGAATCATCAGTGGTATCGGTATTGGCATCTTGGTCACCGCTTGTCCAATGTATCTCTCGGAACTAGCGCCGTAAGTACTTCCTCCATAACTCTCAAGCTTGTCTGCTTGTCGATGACAAGGTGTTAATCGCGGTTGTTCTGAGAACTAGTCCTGAGAATCGCGGCTGGCTTGTTGGCCATCACGCTATTTTTCTGGTGTTCGGCTACACTCTCGCTGGGTGGCTCGCATTTGCTTGTTACTACGCCACTGGCCAGAGCCCTTCATTTGCCTGGCGCTTCCCACTATGCATGCAAGTTTTTCCGCCTTTGATGCTTGGCATCTTTTCGATCTGGATTCCTCGCTCGCCTCGATGGTTGCTTCAGCAGGGCAAGGTTGAAGAAGCGTGGAAGATAATCATAGCTCTGCGTCGCTCGCCCGATGACCCAGATGACCTCGTCGCGAAAGAAGAACTCTACCAAACAAAGCAGCAGATCGCGCTAGACAGAGCAAAACTACAGGCTGTGGGTTACGGGCCGTGGATGGCCTGTCTGAAGAAGAAAAGCTACCGAAAGAGAATGATTATCGGTTTTCTCACCCAGTGGGGAGCTGAATTTAGCGGGCCGCTTGTGATCGTAAGTCTTCGTGATCTGATAGTGATCTTGGTCAATTGCTTCTGCATGACAAAACTAACCCAGATTTACCAGAACAACTATCTTGTGATTTTGTTCACCAATCTTGGACAAACAGGGTCTATGCCTCTTCTCTTGTCAGCGGTGTGGGTGACTACAGCAGGTACACAGTGCCGAGACACATGGCGGAACAAACGATCACTGACTTTTCACTTGCAGGCCTCATCTACAACCCCCTCGGTGCTTGGCTTCATGACAAAGTGAACTCTCGCCGTTTTATGTACATGTTCGGGACCGCTGGCTGCCTTGTTACAACTGCGATCCTCTGTGCGCTCCTGGCGACCTATGCAGGAACTACTAATACCGGCGGTAATGCTGGAGGCGTTCTCATGACATTCTTGTATTTGACTTTCCAGGGCACATTTTGCGACACAACGATGTACCTTTACGTTAGCGAAATCTTTCCAACAGAAATTCGACCTATTGGGATGGGGTTTTCGCTTTTTGGGCAATTTGCTGCTACGATTATCCTATTGCAGACTGCCCCGATCGGGTTTGTCCATGTAAGTTTCTGTATTTTTTCTTGGTTATCTCTTGCGAAAGACGAAGGTACTGATCACCTTTTGCCCCTAGGTTGGCTGGAAATACTACCTTGTTATCGTTTGTTGGTGCATTATTTACATACCCATGATTTACTTCTTCTGGCCGGAGACCGCGCGCCTCTCTCTGGAAGAGATCTCGAAACAGTTCGGTGACGACGTGGCAGTACATGTCAACGACATCAGTGCAGAGCAGAGACGAGAACTGGATGAATTCCTGAGGGCGAGAAATGTGCAATCCCTCGACTCCGGCGATGTTGTTGCTGGCGTTGATGGCCATGAAAAGATGAATTCAACGACCGTACCTTCAATTGAGGTGGAGGATAAGACCAGGGAGAAGGTGTGAAAATAAGTTGAGAATTCATAGACTATGCACGGTGCGTAATGCTGAGTCTATACGAGAGCTTTGGTGAGCGTTCCACTGTAGTCGGCATTATACTACTCGGCTGCAAACATGTTTGCATTCCCAATTGTGGGCACAATATCCCATACAAGGCCAGGGGTATATAGGATGGATATGTAGGAACGATTGAGGTAGCACATCATTCGAGATCTGAATTAGTAAAAGTATAGCGTTCCTGGACCCTGTCTATTGCCTGGATTTCAGTCATGTCATCAGACCCAAAAACAAGGAGCCTACCGCTGCGAGTTTTGAGTAGGTTAGGAGCCTTCAGCGTGGATTGAGAAGATTAGCCTAGAGTGTTTAGAATGACGACATTCGCTATTGCTTTAGATGGTGTAAGAAATAGACTCTTCGACATGCGTAAAAGTCATCACTTTCTCTTTCCGCCGACCAAATACAACGAGAACTATCTATTTTTGCAATGACGTTCTTCGCATGAAATTCAAGAACGTCTAGGCAGACCCCGCCCAAGAGCATTCCTAGCAACAGTTGAGAGCTAGATCCGAGAACGAGCCCAGTACACAGATGTCGTGATAAGGGGTTCTGGAATGAAAAGCATGGAAACCATACTAAAAGATCCCATAATGGAAGCGTTTTGCGATCACATGGACGCAAAGTCGCCGGGATGTAATGGTTCGCTTTCCACCAGTGAAAGATCTGCATGCGAATGTAGGACTGGGATAAGCAATAAGGGCGTGTCCCCGCCTGAGTTTCGAGGCGGTCCGTCAAAATGAGGCTCCCAGGAAACCCGAGTCGGTTTTATCCCTTCGGGCTATCATTCGGCGCCGCTAGCTTCTAATTTGCCAAAGGTTCAAGTGGTGTACAAGTAAGGGACCACACTGAGCTTGCCCGCTCTTGTCCCAGGAGGAAGTTTTATCCAAAGCCGCCGAGTCCAGCCATTTCGACATGTCTCTGAATGACAAGGTCATCGCTATTACTGGGGCAGCTTCTGGCATTGGACTCGCGGTTGCAGAAATGGTGGCTACACTTGGGGGGAAATTGGCCCTCGCAGACATTGACGAAATGGCATTACACAAAACAGTCACGAGCTTGAAGAGTCAAGGCTACACAGTCATTGGTGACGTGGTGGATGTGGCTTCGAGTAATGCTGTTGATGCCTGGATTGGCGGAGTCCTGCAGCAATTTGGGCGGCTGGACGGTGCGGCCAATATCGCCGGCGTCCAGTCAAGCTTCCAAAATGTCGAAGATTTTTCAAATGATGCATGGGATAGAGTAATCGCAGTCAATCTTACAGGAGTCATGTACTGTGTGAGGGCTCAGATTCGAGCGATGAAGAATGGCGGAAGCATTGTCAACGCAGCTTCGTTGGCTGGCGTTATAGGCCGACCAGGAATATCTGCCTACTCTTCTTCAAAGCATGGTGTTGTGGGACTGACCAAAACAGCCGCTAAAGAGGTTGGAGTGAAAGGTATTCGTGTCAATGCGGTTGCTCCGTACGCATCGTCCTTCCCATCATTGATCTACCGCTAATCGGCTGACAGAGGGCCTATTGCAACTCCTATGTTGGATCAAATGCTCAAGGGCCCTTCCTCGTCGTCATCCAGTGCTACTACCAGCACATATTCATCCCTACCATTGAAAAGGATTGGCACAGCGGAGGAAGTTGCCAAATTAGTCGCTTTTTTGTTGAGCGACGATTCTTCCTACATCACTGGAACGGTTGTCAACGTAGACGGGGGTGCTGCCGCATGATGAAGTGAAACCTATCGATTTTCTATTGTCGCATATGATGTTCGTCAATTCTCTCAATGGTCGGATACGAGTTTGACGGGAGCGACACCTTGAATGTTTGATTAATGAGTAAGGAAGACCTCTTTGTAGACGTTGCTTTACCAGACCCGACTACAGTAATGAACTTTGCCTGTCTCTTCGCGATGTCGGGGGAGGGAAGCTGTTCAAGCTCTTTACTTCACGTCTAGTTTCGGCGAACCCTGCGCCTAAGAAAGTAACCACAGACTCGACGAACACCTTTAGAAAATGATTCTTTGCAAAGCTCAGTATCGGTTGGCTGCCCAGCAGACTAAGAGTCGAAATAAGCTGAAGGAGGAAACGTAGTTTCTCTCGAAAGCCGCGGTCTTAACCTTTGTCTTTAGCTCTATAGTGAATGTTCCTTATCACATTAGACGCTGCAGACTTGTGACATGATGAGGACGTCTCACGATGGCAGATACATAGGTAACTAGCCGAGATGTAGCCGTGGGAGTAGGAGTCTTTAAGCCTCTTGTAATTCGGGTACGGGTATTAAACTGAGGACAATAGCGTAAGTAATTATAATCTTAGTAGTAAGTCGAAAATAGGAGTCAGGATAAACCACCGATAAATGTGTATAGGGAAAATATCTTCATTATATAATAATTCGATGTACGATGAGATCTGCGGTAAACGACTAATCGATTCTTAAATCAGCTCAAGATTAAGCGAGGAGACGTCCGAGTCAACGAAAAGATGCTCTCCATGGCCCTTATGATTGCCGGATCACAACGCGGATGCTCTATAGCAGACGGTGTTTCAGGTATTTCGAACGAATCTATGGTTTCTAAAGTCGGCGGCGGTATGGGCTTGAACGTTAATCTTCCTGAGATAGCGCTTCCGGAATTTGCATCGGTGGTGGAGGGAGAGGTTTCGCATGAAGAAGGTCCCGCGTCACCATAACTATTAGATCTTTGCACCGGATGTTCGTACACATCTCTATCCACCAAGAGCCCAGCGTCTTTCGTTTACTTCTATATCGATTTATAGTGAGTCGCCTACGGCGGCGGTGGTTTCGTCCAGAGGCACCTTCCTCGTCCTAGGACTGCGCAAGGAATAGGTAGAGGTGAAGTTGTGGACGAGGATAGGGGTCGCACCGGCGTCCGGGACCCAGCCAGAGTCATGGAAGATGGTGTTGGAGATGTTTGAGATGCTGGCTCGGGTATTTCGGGGCGTGTGAGTAAAGAAGACGCTAATTCTAGCCCCTGTGTGAGTTAGATGTAGATTCAGGTTCTAATGGCCACGACGCTAAAGGCCCAACCTATACTATCGTCGGCTGAGGCGAGATTAATCACTTCGGCATCATAGATATTCTCGTTAGGGAGAGTAGTACGGGAATCCCTATACGTCTCGGGGATTGCGGCTTCTAGAGAAGAATTGGAAGTAAGTTTATCGGGTAGCGGCCTAGAGGCTTCGTTGCTACAGTATCTTAAAAATCCAAAGGAGTAAAGATCGAATAGATTAGCTTATTTCTCTATAAAGCGCTCGAATATACAAGTCCTACGGTCAAACGAACCGTGATTCCGACTCCCGTGCAGTTCTAAGAAGCCGGAAAAGTAAATGATAACGGAGGATAAAGTGGGAAACTAAAGTCCTTAAATAGTCCCCTTTAAGACTAAATCCCGTGACTATTACATTATTCGCCCTCGAGCTCTAGGCAGTGTATCGAAGCCCGGCACTTGGTCCCTTATCTTCCTCCCACTTCTATATTCAGCCCCTCTCCCCTTACCTGGCGGGGTTGGAGTCATTACGCTATATGCTCGATTCTTAGCCCTCGAGATTCGTGTCGAGTCGATTAAATACGGCTTCTTGTGTCCCGTCCGGAGCTGATTTCAGTTTTCGATTCGGCGTGCTCAAGGACGCCGAGTTCCATTGTAGTCGTGTCGTTATAGAGAAGTACTAATTCCCGCGGCCGCATTACACGTAGATCGTATTTATTCCCTTAAAATCCCCCTTTAATGCGTGCGCGTCGTGGTTTTGGAGTAGATTTGCAGGGTATAGGGTCCATGCGCGACCCCTTGCTTTTCTCGCTCTGAATTCAGCTACCATCCAAGCTGCTGCGAGCGGCTTCCAACTCACTTCCATATATTGACTCCCTAATAGGCAGAATTCCACCTTGGCAACCATCTAGTCGCCAATAGCGTAGACCTCTGCCGAACTCCGTTCTTCAAAGTCGCGCAACCACGCCATCCCACTATCTTACATGCCTGTAAGCCTGTTCGTGAGTCATTTCTACCATTAGTCGACCGAGCCAGGCATGTTTCTTAGCTCGTAGTAACCGGTGTGATCTCAAATGTTTCGTAGCGTTACATGTGTAATCCCATCAAGCAGATGGTTGATGCCAGCTCTGAGAAGAATGGGACCAACGCTGGCACCGTGCCGGAATCTTCTGGCGTCACAGCTATATTCCCACGATGCAACCTAGAAGGAGACAGGTGCCCCACGGCGAGAGTATCACCACTATGCGCTCACGGAAAGAGGCGTGCCGTAGTCAAAGCCTCTAGCGAAAGGCGCAGTTCGCGGTAGGAGGGCGGCCGTAAGTCAATTCAAGCGCTCAGTGAGGCCATTGTCCACCCCGAAAGTTGAAGAGTAGATAAGGTTCGTCAGAGGTCCTCGTTCGATGCGCAGGACTCGCAGAGAGGAGGAAAATCATAGCTCCCAGCGGTCAAGTGGGACGGACCTAGAAGGGAATGGGAGGTGGTGTTACGTAAGCCTGGATGGAAGAATGGACAAAATACGAAAGCAGCGAAAGCAGTAGAAGCGAGCGCGAGTGAGAGAGAGAGAGGGAGGTGTTTGTCGATATAGCTTCTGCCCTCTTCGTACTTTTAGCAGGAGTCATTTCAATTTGAATGTGCAGTTGGTCCTACCGGCATCAGCCTCAAAGCGTCAAATCCGCGACGCTGCTTTTAAGCCGCTCCTCCAGCTTGATTGGACAAGCGCTTGGCCGCAGTGGCCCTCACGTACCTCGCCCTGAGAGGCCTAATTGCAGGGTCCGCCCGAGACCGCCAGCGCGCCCACGGCCGCCAAGGCGCGATGTGTCGCGGCCACCACGACCGGTGAGACACGGGCGATCGCTCACCCTGAATCGCGCGTGTCCTGCGTGAGCACAGGGCGGCATCACCCTCGTCCCCAAACGGGGTGAGCCGCGAGCAGATTTCCCAAACCTTGGCAGCGTATTTCGCAGCATTGACCTGAGAAGGTAAGAGTCATATATTAGTTATTAGCGGTGCTCTGTACGGATACCACAGTCCTTGTACCGGCGGTTGCGGTCTTTGAATAGTTTCTACACTTCAATTTTATTCTGTCTCGCTCCATCTGTCTCTGAGCTGTCACCCTGAACAATTATGACGACCACTCTCCACCTTCGATCAGAATCCAAGCCACTCGAGCACCGATCTGCGTGTATGTGACAGCCCTGCTCGACCCCGGGCGAGCTTCCAGTTGACCTTCCTCCATAGTAACCCCCACGACGACCAAGGCTCTTCTCAATGCCGGATACACAGTGAATGTTGAGCGGAGTCCCGAAAGGATATTTGATGACTCCGAGTTCGAAGAAGTTGGCGCCACACTGGTCCCCGAGGGTTCATGGGTCGATGCTCCTACCGATCACATTATTGTCGGCCTCAAGGAGCTACCTGAGGATAAGTGTCTGTTCTCCTGCACTTGCTACAATGCGGAAGTCGTGCTGAACCGGCCCAGTTGCGCTTAAACACACCCATGTCCAATTCGCACACTGCTACAAAGGCCAGGGCGGTTGGCAAGAAGTCCTCTCTCGTTTCCCTCAGGGCGGTGGCACCCTCCTCGACCTGGAGTTTCTCACAGATGATGTCGGCCGTCGAGTCGCCGCCTTTGGCTATCACGCCGGTTATGCCGGCGCTGCCCTTGCCCTCGAGACTTGGGCATATCAGCTGCAGAATCCCTCCGCGAAGGAAGGGCTTGCCGCAGTCTCCAGCTACGCCAACCAAGACCTCCTCCTTGCTGATGTGCGTTCATGCCTTCAAGAGGGCGCCAAGATTGCTGGCCGTCAACCCCGTGTCCTTGTCATTGGCGCCCTAGGCCGTTGTGGTCGTGGCGCCGTTGACCTGTGCACGCAGGCTGGAATCCCCGATGAGAACATTCTGAAGTGGGATATGGCCGAGACGGCCAAAGGTGGCCCGTTTTCCGAAATCGTCGAATCCGATATCTTTGTAAACTGCATCTACCTCTCTGACCCTATTCCACCATTTCTCAACGAAGAGTCTCTTTCCTCGGACAAACGAAATCTCTCAGTCGTATGTGACGTTTCCTGCGACACCACCAACCCGCACAACCCCGTTCCCATTTACACCGAGAACAGCACATTCTCGAACCCAACGTTACCGGTCAAGGGATACAAAAATCCGCCCCTGTCGGTCATCTCAATTGATCACCTCCCTAGCCTGCTCCCTCGCGAGGCCAGCGAAGCCTTCAGCGAGGCACTACTTCCCAGCCTGCTCACGCTGAATGACCGCAAGACTTCGCGTGTGTGGCAGCAGGCCGAGGAGTTATTTGATAGCAAAGTTGGCACTCTACCTGAAGCAATGAGAGGCTGAAGCAATGAGAGGAGCGTGGAAGAAAGTCACAGGCGGCTCGTAGGGCGAGGCCTTGGGTTTTCATTTTACTGATGGCGTCCCTGCACCAGGATTGGATGGAGAAGGAAAAGTTGTTGATTCAAAGATATGAAACTTGATACCGTTACGATCATGGCTGGTCACCTCAGCAAATTGGAGCATAGCAAAACAGACATGTAGAATAGACGGAGAGCGGCCTGGGAAATGCAAACGGTTCATGAATCCCGTCATGTGGGCCCTGCGTCTTGTAGATGCCGGTTGCTGTTCCTGGAAGACTCGTATCCACTCTCCCCTTCAAGCTTCATCTGATCGAAGGTTGTGGGCGCGAACCCTTCGGGTAAAGAATGAACGAGCTGCAGCCAACTAGATCTGAACGAGCAAAACATCGGCACCCCACATCCCAGAAGCCTCGCTCTCGATGCGAATCCCGGAGAGTAACCGCGTCCTAGGACCCAATGGGCTGCTCAAGGATGCCATTACCGAGAGAGAGACACTGGTGGGCGGCCAGTGACCACTGACCACTGACCAGCCATGGGAATCTTGCCTACACAGGTCAAGGATGGATGAATGGAGACGCTACACTCCTCTCCAAGTGCACCCCGCAAACTGCTGTATGATTACAGTCCATGCTTCACGTCATGAGCATATCCCCCCAGTTGACATTTGGGCTGCCTCTGCATACCGAGTACAGCCAAAGACAAGCGTACAAGGGGGTGAGAGTGTATTTAAGTAGGTCGGGGCCGGGAGCCCCGTGTCTACGGTTGGCGATTTCCGCTTCATCACTATCAGCAGCCCTACTTGCTTGAGCCTGAGAACCAGCTGAGCAAAAACCTATTCCGGGCCTTTACACACTCCCAGCCCCAACGAGAACCGCTTGCTATGGCAGCCGAAGTTGCCTCCCCGGGCCCCACCGTGGACCGAACAGCAACGCAAGGCTGGGGCTCCACCCCGGCTCAAAGACACTATGTCAATCAAACACAAGCCTTGACGGCTCTCGACGCTGGCATTAGACGATCAACTGAGATAGGGTAGACTTCGTTGAATCCTTACGTACCAGACAGGCCATACTGACCCACCCTCCCGCTTTCTAGTGTTCAGCAGAACATCGCCATCCTCGACCCTTCTGCCTTTCTCATCGGCTTCATACACATGGACAACGCGTTCCTAGGTAGTATCGACATCAGCCAGAAGAAGGCGAAGACGGTCGTTCTCTACAACGGCATCCCAAATAATGCGTTGATCACCCGTTCTCAGCCCGGGGGTGACCTTTACGGAATTCAAGAGACCAACGGCGGCACTGTGGTGTTTGGTGGTGGACAGCCAATCTTTGACCCTGAGGGATATTTCATTGGAGCCGTCGGCGTCAGCGGCGGCACGGTTGAGGAAGATATTGATGTGGCGACCGCCGCGGCAAACAGTATTGGAAGCACAGCGACACAATGACTTCCCTGACCTTGGGTTTCTATCAGTGAGTGTCATAAGTCCTACAACATCGGCATATACATATGAAAATAGTGATAGCAGAACTTAAAGCGAACGTGTCAGAACTTTCAAGAGTCCTGCCAGATCCTTCGTGCCTCAGAAGGGCGTCTGGCCCCCGAACTGTCCAGGTCGAAGAGTTGTACAACAACACCGCCGCTGCTACGAAGCTCCTCCTCCCACAGACCCAGGGATGCTCCCATGCAACAAGCCGCCGCTAGTCTTTGACCGCCTGGATCGTGTACGAACACGGCATTCTGTCACGTCCATGCGCGAGACGATACTCCGCCAACTCCATCTTGACCATTCGGCCTGGGAGCGCATTCCAGGTCACCGAGTCATGTTCCTCGACCATGCTGATCCGCAAGCCGGCCTGGATCAATGCTTGAATGATCTCCCCCAGTCCGTGATTGAACTCCTTTGTCGCAGTTATCGTAGGTGCTTCCCCTGAGATTTCGTTCTCCTTCTTGGATGTGTTGGAAGCTCCTCCTTCTGCTGGAACCCCCGAATCACCCACGTAGCTCAGCCCATCGTTGTTGATGATCGGCCTTCCACTCTCATAGTACGGATACGCGATGCACAGCTGTTCCGCTGGATAAGCCTCACTGACGGCAGAGTCGTCCGCAGCCCACAAGATCGGATGGCCTTCACGGATGAAGAAGCGCCCTCTAGGCTTGAGCAGCCCCGCGACGACTCCCGCCCAGCGAGAGATGCTCGGGAGCCAGCATAGCGAGCCAATACCGGTAAAGACGAGGTCGAACGACTCCCGTCCAAGCAACTCCACCGCGTCGTAAACATCACCCTGCACGTAGCTGACCTTCTCACCACCAGAACCCGCGGTAGCGCCGGCGAGACCACGAGCCTGTTTCAGCGACTCGCCTGAGAAATCCAGCCCCACGACCGACGCGGCGCCCAGGCGCGCGAGCGAGAGCGTGTCGGTCCCGATGTGGCACTGCAGATGCGCGATTTGCAAACCGTCTACAGCTGGCAGGCGCGGGAGATCGAACTGCACGATGTCAGAGATGTACAATGGATCTGACTTATATGCGGACAGATTGTACATCTCGCTCTGCGCGTGCTTTGTGTCTCAGTGTCAGTTAGAAAACCCAACCAACAGAGGTCCCTTGGAAGGGAAGGGCTTTGTCAGATGCGGTGGCTTACCGACGCAGCTCGAGCATCCCATGACGCCTGGTTGACTTGTAGGTAGTCTTGTGCATCTGCTTCGGTGCCGAGGGTCACGGACATAGCTTCGTTTCTAAGAAATATAGGAACGTTGAGTAGAGACGAGAAGGACAGCAACTGAAGTTCCTCTGCGTGGAAACCAAGAATCTTCAGGTCGTAGCCCATGGCATGGGTTCCACAGAGCGTTTTCGACCTTTCTATATGTTTCCCTGCCTGTCGCCCACCTCATCTAATGCATTGATCCAGTCGATCTATTGCGATGAGTCACCGTTCATGAATAGCCTAAGGACATGTAGAAGGCAATCAACTTAAGTTAATCGATTTACTACCATGGTGGGCAACGTCGGCACGATCTCTAGGGATTCAGGGCACGACCATGACGGTTCCATACCAGCGAAACACATTCAATGACCAAGACTGCGATGCTACATGTAAGACAAGAGTATTAGTGATGCTAGTGTGGTATTGCTGGTTTTCTGTTGGAGCGATTGATTATACATTATTTAATTGGAATGTCAACGTCGTGAGGAGCCCTAGAATTACAGTCCTCGCTATCCATGTTGCGTCTCTTGAACCAGCGCTGCTTATTTATGGATATTTAACAAAAGTTGATAGTTAGCCAGTGCGTTCTATGAGCACAAGTTGGTGCCTTTTGCACACCCAAAGTATTGGAATCAGAAGACGCAGAAGCCGTCTGGAACGTTGCATAGGACGGAGCACACTTGGAAGCATATTCTCAGATTACCATCAAACGAATGTATCGATATCAGATGGTGGTTCTCTCGCCATGATATATACGGCAATGTCCATGACTCCAACTCTAAAGCAGTCCTATCCAATATTCCAAGAGAACCAGTCTCATGAAAACAATCCCACCATAACTAAGCTCAGGCACACGTCCGTGCAGCCTCCTCTGAATCTGTGAGTGTATCCTTGTTTCCCTGACCTTGATGAAAATATTGAGCCGAGATTTCTCGATTGCCATGAACTCCATCCGTTGATGCGCCCAAACCGAGAATAAGAAATTGACAGAACAAGAAAAGGAGGGGACAAGGAGAGACTGCAACCACTTGGTGTTTCCTCATCGCATGGATGGGATTAGCTATCCAATGGTGCGTTGCTGATATTTAACCATTCGGCGGATGTTTCCTCACCACCGATTCCTTGGGACGCCGTATTGATTGACCTGGATTCTGACCCTTTAGGTTCCCATTCCTGTTGAAAATTCACACGACGCCGTTCCGTTTCAACCCAGGCCGCAATTCTGGAGCCGTCTGTACCATAGTCTCATATGAAAAAGTAATCGCTTAGTAGTAAATCGTTGCCAATCTCCTGGGTGTTGTTTACCTCTTTCACTCAGGGCATCATGGCCTCAGCTTCCTCATCAGTGACGAAGATCTCTGCCACGGGGCAATGGTCATCATCGCCAAAGTCCCCGTCATATTGCTTCTTTCGTCCGCGCTCCCCGTAGCGGCCCAGGAGGTAGGAAGGTAGGAACAACTCATCGTTCCAAGTAAAGCCTTGGCTGTGCTTAGTATAGGTGATAAGACGGGGGGGCTCGTCCGGGTCGTCATGATGGGAATTTAGGTTGATCGACTTGTAGGAGCTTGAGGCTAGCATCGAGGGTCCGAGAGGAGAGGTCGACGGATTGAACAGGGCGGGCATGGCGGAAGGCGGTGACGAGCTCGTAGTGTCGACGGTGGATTTCTGTTTATCTTTCCTTTTCGAGGACGTCTCGGTCGGAGTCGTCGAATGGCTATAGAGAAATCGGGTGTTGCTTTGAGGGGAGGCTACTGTCTGGAGAGCGTTCTGTGGCCGGCCCGGAAGAGGGCTGTAGGACCAGGATGAATCGTGATCGGAACCAAGAGAGGACGGGCCGGCGTCCGAGTCTGCTCGTTCGCTTTGTTTGGCATACCGCTCGCTGCGGCGTGGTCGGTTGGAAGTGGTGAACTCTCTGGTGCTTTTGGCATAGATTGGGATCTTGATGGCTCGGGAGCCCGGCGGAGGATTAGATAAGTTGGACATGATGCTGAGCAGTCAGATATTGAAAGGAAGTCAAGAACGCCGACACCTGTCTCGTAGGCCGAAGGAAAGGACAATCGTGGAAGAGTTGGGAAACCGTAAACGTTGCGAGATACCCGAGACTTGATTAAACAGTACGAGTATGTAAGGAACAGACGAGGGAGCACGTTTCGAGTTAGTCGAGCTTGTCAGGATTCACAACTCGGAATCTCAACGTACGTACAGTAGGGACGGAGTGCTGCAGAAGGAGTAGCAGTGCATGGGTTTCAGTTGGAGTCACGCATGATGAAATGGAGTCACGATAGAGTCACAATTGCCCCGCAGCCGTTGTCGTGTAGCACTGAGATAGGCTGAGAAATAAGCTGTCTGACGGATCCAGAGCCCACCTCAATGCGAGGGAAAACTAGAGACACGTGACTGAGGGTTTTTGTCAAACTCGGAGTCTGACGGTATAATACTCCAGGGTCCTCACTTGGTGCTTGGAACTGCGCTCCACCCTCCACTGTTCGGGCGTCGCCTGACGACCGCCCAGGCAACGTAGCCAAAAACTACCATTCTACAGGGCCCACGGCAGGTCATATAGTACAAGTACGACTATCTAAGCATAATACCATGGCTCATCAAAGACATGATATCGATGGCCGCGTACACCCTCTCCACGGAACAACGCTGGAAATCTTCGTGCTGGATGAACCTGCTCCTCTGGAATCCTCTCGTCTGTATATGACACTTCCTCTCCTACCACGAACTTGCCCACCTACAGACTGTTAGTATCAAGGGTCATGTCAATGGTTCAACACAACTCACCTGGATCTCCGTGTCTGTAATCGTACCACGACTCACTCTGGCATACCCCACACGTTTGATGTCCTTATAAAGAATGTATTCACACCAGCGATCCCAGTCCCGACTATCAATGTCATGCATGCCACTCTTCTCACCCACGTACGTGTGGTAGTTGCCTTCCTTGGGCTTGGTTACCAAATAGCTCAGGAGAATCGCGGGCCGCGGGCTGGCTTTCATGACCTTTGCAAGGTATTCTGATTGAAGGCGACGGTCTTCAGGGTCTTCCTCTTGCCCAGAGTGGAAGACAAACACATCAACGTGCGTTCCATAGACGTCCAAAGTCGCCTCGATTGCTGGAGCAAGCTCACCCACTGGTGACGGTAGGAGGTGATGAGTTGAGTTGAGGATAGGGAATTTTGATAATAATGCTGATCCCCATGTATGCTTGTTTGGCCCCGGGCCATAGTCCACATACATCCCAAGGTCCTCTGCAAGATATTGTGTGGTATCTCGGTTGCCCATAATAATCCGCTGGTTGTCGGATTCTAAAAGTCCAACCACATCAAGTTCCAGCTCCTTGATTGCATCTCTCATCCGTCGTTCAGATGACCACATGTCGTTATCTAGTGAAAAATGAACAGTCCAGATACCAGCTGTCATTAGCCTCTCCTCCCTGTGGTACGCCTGATAATCGTTGGTGGGAAACCGTAGATAAGCGACCGATGCTGTTAGCAACTGAAGGGCGATAAGAATATGAAGATAGTACGCGGATTGCTTGCGGCCTCTAGCGCTGGCGTTGCTCCTCTGCTGGCGACCAGAATTGGTGACTAAAGCTGAAAAGACACCGGCACCAATCAGCAGCATGGTTGTCATCATAACCCAGTCCGTATGCTCCCGGACAAGCGGTCCACCAGGGACAAATGCATATGCCACCACCCAGACATGGAATAGCAACATGATATTGTACACAAATAGTCCGAAGCCAAAGGTGATAGCAAGATTGTGCTGGATGGCCGAGGTGATCAGTACCGGCGCAACTCCCAACAGATAGACTGTCAAGACTAGTGCGCCATAATAACCAGTCCAATTGCTGTAGTAGGTAAGGAAGGTGGCACCTACAGCACCCAGCCCAAATGCAGTCCAAGATCCAAAGAAACCTGGCAACGCGACGCCGAGAAAGAGGCCGACGCTCATGGCCAGGATGGTCACTGCACCGTGTGGTGCTGCTATCGGGCCTTGGACGGGAAAGCCTTCCCAGACCCACAGAATCATGGTGCTAGAATCCGAAAGGAGGGACTGGAGCGCAAATACGAGACCCGCTATGCCGAGCCCTGCCAAAACACTCGAGCCCTTTCTGGCGTGGGGAGGTTCATAGTCTCCACCGCTGGTATTGACTTGTCGAGTTGACGTCCAGACTGCAGCCACTGCGAGGAGGAAACCAGTCTTATTCCACCCGCCGTTGCCGGGATTCATGATGGGCCACACGGGATTGTTGGTGCCATTGGCAAATTTGGATATGCTTGAGAGGATCAAGCCAATACCCCAGGCCAGTATTTTGGCCTGCAGCCGTGAAGAGTTCTTTCTCTCCGCATACCACGTAGTAGTCCATGCCAAGCATCCCATGAAGTTGGCGAAGCCGACGGTGAACAGCCGATTTGCAGGGTCTTTGACATTCCAAGCAAGAAGCCCCGCTAAGGACAACATATGCACCCATCGAATATTCTTGATGACCAGGGAGCGAACGAGAGGGATGCCGAGAAAGACAGGCGAGACGGACACCATGATCATGACCTCGTACCCAGAGATGCCCATGTGCCACAGGGGAAAGTACCAGACGAGCAGTCCGATAGAAGTAAGGTTGGACCAAAATACAAAGCCGGTATAGATGTCGGCAGCTGCATCAAGCACGGCGGGCCAATAGTTCGGACCTTCGAAGGTGGACGTTTGTATGAAGGGTGATGCCCGTCTAGACGAGGATTAGTTTTGTTTGGACTAGACGAATTCCACGTACCCCTTTTCTTTGACTGAATCTTTGAGCAGTTTGGCATCACTAGCAGAGTATCAGTTCTTGACTCGGTGAATCACTCGGCTGAGTCGTACTTTTGAGAATCTTGGGAGCATATGCACATACCCTCTGCTGAGACCTTTCACGTCTTTGACAACTACTTCAAATGTCTCGAAATCGAGGGCAGTAACAGCGTCGAAACCAACATCGAAGAGAATTAATGCCCATTCAAAGAAAGCATAAGTTGTGTAAGCTAGCACAGTTAGATGTGGGATCACCGAAAAGACGGGCTGCACCTACCGCCAGGGATTCTATGGACCTTATGCTGAATAAAGAAGTATACCAACGGTACCAGGGTGCCGAAGAAGGAGCCGGCGAGTATTTTTCGATACTTGATCGCTTGAGGATTGGGAGGACTTAGTGCAAGACAGCCTAGAGTCCAGGGCAGCGTTGCAACGATATAGGAGATCATGAAGATGTCATGCCAACCATGATCGTCGGTGGATGTGACATATGTCCAGCCTCCACAAGTCAACGTTCTGAAGATTCCTGTGGCTGCGACAATTCCCGGCAGACTTGAATTCGGTTTTCGCGTGAGCAGATAGAAAAGGGTAACGAGAGCGAATCTTGGACCGGATGTTATGGCAATGAATAGCATGAAGAAGGAACGTTCGGGATATCGGTCGCCAATGGTGGAGGAGACGGAGGGAAACCATTCATCGGGATATCCAAACCACTCATTTTGTACAATTTTGTGATAATGGAGCGAGCATCCAACAATCAGCGCACTGAAGAACGCAGTATATGCAACGAGAGTATGGCCCCAAGAGATGTATTTTGCATTAAACTGGACATGAATCAGTCCGAAAGTCCAAAAGTTCAGCCGAGGCCGACTTACAGAGAAAACAACGTCGCCATCTTTACGGGGCGCCATTGGAGAAGATTGAGTAACAAAAGATTAAAAGACGACCAGCGGCATCACAGGGGAATGGTGAGAGCAGCAAAAGCGGCAGGAGCAATGACGAGAATTAATGAGATGGCCTCGGGAGCACGACCTGTTCCTTGGAAAGGCGAAAGGAGGGAGGAAGAGCGAGAAACTTGAAGAATAATAAACAATAAGAAACGGAGATGGAGATGGCAGTTGGGAAGGAACGAGAAGAGGTAGGCTGCAGCTTGCACCTGCTCTAAGAAACTGCTCACTACTCCGTACAGTTAAAAACAGTAAGGGTAACTATTATTACCCCTGCGTGCCCCTGATCGTCCGGAGCCTGAATCTTGAAGCATCGCAGGTGCGGAGATTCGGAGAACCACCAATATTTGATGAGAAAAATTGTTGCAACCTTCAACTTGGTCCCTCACCAAACCTCCCACATCCACATCCACACCCACACCCACGACCATGGCAGCTGCCAGTGACAAGGCCAGGTATTTCCTCGAACAGTCCGTCCCTGAGCTAAAGGAATACGAGAGAAAGGGCATCTTCAGTCCCGAGGAGATCACCAGCATCGCCCGCAAACGATCCGACTTCGAACACAAAATCAACGCCCGAGGCGCCTCTCCTACCGATTATGTCCGATATGCCGAGTTCGAGATCAACGTCGATACTCTAAGGCGTAAGAGGGTGAAGAGACTGGGCATCAAGGCCACCGCTCACAATGGCAAGCGCCGCATCTTCTTCGTCTTTGATCGTGGAACTCGAAAGCATCCTGGCGACGTGGCATTGTGGATGCAGACCATTGCATTCGCCAGGAAACAAAAGGCGTACAAGAAACTCCAGGAGATCTTCACCAACGTCCTGCGATTACACCCTACAAAGTCCGAACTATGGATTTACGCCGCCCAGTTTGCGGTGGACGACAATGGCGACATGACTGAAGCCAGGAGTTACATGCAACGTGGACTGAGGTTTTGCAAGAATGCGAGGGCCATGTGGCTGGAATACGGCAGACTTGAAATGACTTACGTTGCCAAGATTCATGCTCGCCGGGAGATTTTGGGGATCGGGGCAAATCGACCAGAGGAAGGGGCAGAGCTGGAGGACGACGAGGATCTCATGAAATTACCCAAGCTGACGTCGCTCGATATAGACCCTAACCTTGAAGGGGACGAAATCGATACCACTGGCTTGCAAAACCTCGAGTCTACACCTGCCATGAGTGGTGCCATCCCCGTGGCTATATTCGACGCTGCGATGACTCAATTCGAAGATCCGGAATTCGCGTTAGACTTCTTCCAGATGGTCATCAGCTACGATCAAATTGCAACTTGTCATAATATCGCGACTCACATCACAGAGAGGCTATCGAGAACCCATTCCGGCAGTTGGCAAAGTTTCGCATGCTCCATTCACACTCCATTGGTTTCCGTGGCTGTGGCCAACCCAGACTATCCTCAGGCCTTCAGACAATCACTGTCCATATTGAGAGAGGCACAGAACAAGACTGAGAAGAGCAAGATCAACACTTGGGCTCGATCGTGGCTACATCGCCTGGTCGAGGAGGAGGATCTTGATCCAGGAATCAAAACCGTGGGAGAATCAGTCCTGCGATCCCTGCAGTGAGGAATCAGTCGAATCTAGGTTTCCCCCTCGACTCCTTCTTACTTGAATGCAGTTTCTTGGCCTTTAACCTTGCCTCTTTCTCCTTCTTTTGCAGTCGTTCCACCTTTTGCTTCTGTTCCTCTGATGTCTCCCCGGGCACCGAATGGCTGTACACCTCAGCAATCAACTCGTTCAGCTTTCGAAAGCAGGTTTCTTTGTTGGCCTGCTGCTTTCTACTGTCGTCTGCTTGAATGAGGATAGACGAGGACTTTCCCGCACAGTATCGCGAGGAGAGAACGCCTTTGTGCAACACCGTTGGTATCAATGGAAAGAGTTGGTCTAGAGGTACCCGCAGCTGAGCTTTGGAGTTCAATCTGCAGTCTGGATCAGTTGAGACAGCGAGCGTCGTGATGTGTCTCACTTGTTCACATTCTGTCCTCCAGGCCCGCTGGAGCGACTGTAGGTCACTTCTCCAATCTTGCTCAAGGTGTCTGGGGAATATTGATTTCTGAACCAATCTCTGGCTGCATCATAGTTGTATTCTGGATGTTCCGATCTTGTAGAAGACCAACGCTGAATGCTTGACAACCAGACTGTATTCTCAAGCTGAACACTTGTACTCCGGGCAGTCCTTTGCCATGCCAGCATTGTAAAGGACATTTGCGGAAGAGAGTATCGTGGATAGGACATGCGATGAGAGAATGGCTGGTGTCATGCAGCGAGATAATGGGCTTGTCTGACCGCCGACTTGCACATAATGCGGAGTGATGACTGTTTGTCAGACAGCCTAATCCCTGAGCCCCCTTCCCACCCCCCCTAAACGACCTGCGCCTCTTTTCAGGAAACTCCGCCGAGCTATATGATTACAAAACGAAGGCAGGCCGAAAGCCGCTAATGCTGCTAACTCCTGCTAGCGCGTCTGTGGTGCCTGATCCGCTCCTTCCTCCTTCTTCCCTGTTTGCTCTCTGCTCTTCTCCCCTCTAGCTCTTCCATTTCCTCTCGCGTACATCCATCCCACTGCGCTACGACTCCCACTCTATCAATCAGCCACAGAACAATCAATCGATCAGCCAAATTTCGTTCCGTTTATCGCCTTACTACAAGATCAAGATTCTCCCTTTCTCTTCACACTCATGTACACTGCCTACCCACTCTGCCCTTGACATTTTCTCATTCTTTCCTTCCGCCTCGTTTTCCCCGCCATCGCCAGCTTTACCAACCAATGCGCCATGAATAGTACTACATCATGACTAACACAAGCCCTCCTCCAGAGGCTCAGCGCTTTGGTAGATCCCAGACGCCTGAAAGCCCACGGCCTGTCCATCTCCCCGAGCCATCCACCATCCCAGTTCTTCTAAATCAAATGGACCCGGTCTTTAATGATACTGAAACCTATAACATCCCACATAACCAGACTTTTTCTCCTTATTCCGAGTCTGCCCGCGCAGTGATTGATTCCACTTCTGATGAACAAGACGCTGTTCAAAATTTCTTGAGGGGTGCCGAACAAGAAAATCCTCGTTTTGACCCGGTACCAAACGCAAACAGAGAGCCTGCACCCACCCAAAATGATTCACTCTTCCAGACCGTTGCCAATGTTGCTGCATACGCGGAAAATTCAACTGCAAATGCAAATGCCGCTCCATCCCAAGACCTAGCCAGTGGGCTTCAACATTCGCCCGAGCCGGAGAATCCCTCCTCCAACCTTGATGTCCTACAAACCATTACCGAAAGCATCTCAGATTCAGACTCAAATGTAAAATCCAACCCACAAGACTATACCGGAATTGATTATCAGTCTCTTCTCGACACCATCTCTCAGTCCGCTTCTACTGCTCCTGCCGCAGACTCTGTCTCTGCCCCAACTACTGCATCTGCCCAAGAACCGGCTACCCCTGTGTTACCTGCTGTGCCCGGCTTGCCTCCCAAGCCTCCTGCGCAAGAAAATGGCCCAGAAAATACCTTTCCTACCTATTCTCACAATGTTAATGATAGTCAAGCCATCCAAAATCTCTACCAGCCACCGGACGCACCACATATGCCCGTTTTTGACACACAACAAGCACCTGTCCCAAACTATCTTGGTCAAGCACCAGGCTTGAACATTGCCCAGGCGTCGCCAACTATCTCTACCACTGGCTCGGGCTCGTTTCGACCCCCCGAGCCTGCGCGATCCACTGATTTGATAGAGCGGAAAATGTCACCCGAAACGCAAGCCAAGTATGACCAATTTCTTGAAGACGAACGACGCTATGTAACCGAAGGCATTTGGGACAAATTTCCCTTAGGGTCCCGCCTCTTTGTCGGCAACCTACCTAGCGAAAAAGTGACCAAGCGTGATTTATTTTTCACGTTTCACAAGCATGGCCGCTTGGCTCAGATATCAATCAAGCAAGCTTATGGGTTTGTACAGTACCTTGAAGCATCGTCATGCGCAGCCGCCTTGGCCTCCGAGCAGGGAGTCGAGATCAGGGGAAGAAAAGTCCACCTGGAAGTATCTAAGCCACAAAAGAACTCTCGAAATTCAAATAACCAGGGCAACAGAAGACGTCGATCACGGTCGCCCGACCGCCGGGCGAGACAAAATGACCGATACGGTCGTGCCAGCTTGGACAGCTATCGGGATGACCGAAAGAGAAGTGAGGACTATCGAGCTGCAAGGTCGCCGTCACCTAGACGCTATCGGTCGGGGGATGATTATAGACCGGCCGCCGAGAGTCCAAGGTTCGGCGTGGAAGCTAGACCAAGGTCGCCATATGGAACTATTTATCCTCCCCCTTTACCTGTGGCGTACGATGAAGAAGCATCCTTGCCCTTACCACGTCGCGATCCACGCGACGTACCTGACGTCCAACTCCTCGTTCTTGAACCATCAATCGCCCAAAGTTTCATAAACTGGATTGAGCAGGGATTTCGCTCCAGGGGTCTCAGAGCTTCAACCATCTGGTTGAGCTCAAGGCTTCCCTTGAACGGTGTAGTCAAAAGACAGATCATTGAAGGCGTCCAAGCAATTGTCAAGCTAACACAGTCAGCCCAGTACAATAGCAAGATTCCTCTACAAGTCTTCGACCGAACTGCAGCGGCGTCGAATGTGAATTTCAATGAATATGTCGATCTCGACGTTCCTGTGGCAGCAGATATTGTCTCTCACGCCCGACAGAAGGAGCGCGGAATGGCACAAACAAGGGACATCCCATCTCAAGCTTACAACCAGGGTTCCGCGCAATATGGGCATCAGCAGCCTACACCTTTTCCACAACAGCTGTCCTCCAGCTTTCCTCCACAACATCAAGTTCCATATCAACCATTCAATCAACCGGGACAATACGACAGCCGTACAATGCCACAGAGTCCAGTTAACATGACACCTAACTCAGCTGGAGCCCCGAATCTTCAGCAACTACTGGCCAATCTGCGACAGCCAGGAGACGGGCAGAAGAATTTGTCCCCAAATGACCGGTCTGCACCTGACCTCGCTGGTCTTCTCAGCAATGCAGTCCGTCATCAAAGTCAAGGGGGGCAGTTTATACTACCGCCACCACCACAACAACAGGCACATTATGGGGGAGGAGCAGCCTTCGGGGTTGGTCCACAACAACAACCTCAGCAAAATGTACAGAATATCATGGAAACGCTGGCAAGGTATAATCGGTGAGTGGTGGTGGAGATTGATGACGAGAGATTAGCACAACAATGTGATCAGCATGCTCAAGGAGAATCATGTGTCAAGCAGACGAGGGTTTTTGGCTGCTCTCTGGGTGTTCATTTGAAAGGAGCATAGCACAGCGAGAGGTAATTTAGGGCCAAAAATGATACGAAAGGACATGAATTGCATAGCCAACAGGGTTGTATGACGCATGCGAATGCACGGGCCCTGGTGGTCATCCACCTACGAGTAAGCTCAACATGTCAGGGTTTGCATAAAGAGGACTCGACCCTACAATAGATAGTGCGCCTAGACCATTTGAATGCGAGAGCCATTCTCACTGATGTCATATCTTACTGTCACCAACCTTTCCATGCTGTTGGAAGACACCAACAGTGGATCCCAAGGAGAAGTGAGATTCAGTGCTAGTAGTGTCTAGAGTCTCATTGACAAACTTGACCATCTGGGCCACCATGGTTCCTGGGACCTCGTGCCCAATGCCCTCATACACATAATCTTCCAGATGTAGACCCCCACCCGCGAACCAGCCACCTTCGGCGGCGGAGCCCTTCAACCAGTCCAGAAAGGGCTTGCTATGCGCGTACGAGACCAATTTGTCTGCACCGCCGGAAAGCACCAATATGCGCTTATTCCCGAAACACCGCGCCATCAGCGGCGCAAGAGCCGCCTTGTCGCCGTCAGTGTCCTCTAATACAGACCACGCCTGCTCACGCGGTGTATCTCGTAAACAACTGGCCACCAGGCTCGCGGGGTCCGTCCGTCTAAGAATCTCCAGCAGACTCGGCGGGAAATCGGGGCTCCCCAGGAAATGCCTCCCCTGTGTTTCGAGCCAGTGTTTCCGCTTGCTCAGTCGCGCGCGGTCGGCCATCAGCCGTGCATAGTCCGGACAACCGATGACGGGGATTGCGGCGCTGAATCGCGGGTCTTGCATAATCACATGCCAGGCCGCGTGCCCGCCGAGAGATATCCCCAGCACAATGTTGTGGTCAATTGTGCGCTCCGAATGCGGGAAGATGTAGCCTGGTAGATAGTCGAGGAGTAAGGAGGTGTCGGCCGCAGTTCCCGCGTAGCTGCTATACATGTCCAGGGCGTGTTTGTCATTACCACTGCGCCATGCTTCATTTGCGAGGGGAGACACAAGGCGGGACCCGTGATTCCGTTGGTCGAATGAAATGGCTATCAGGCCTCGTTGTCTTGACTTCTTCTTGCGGTGGGTGTTCCACTCTGTGATCAAATGTGCGCCGAACGGGGCCATGCAAGCTTTCGTTTGAAGCCGAGGGTGGAGCAGCCATAGCGCAGAGACGCAGGTGGTTTCGCTGGGAGGAGGAAGTTCTGATAGCCCGAACACAGTGACCAGCAGGCCTGCTATGTGCACGGTGATGGCGGAGATGGGTTCGGGGTGGGGGATTGAATGAGCCGTTGAGCCCGTGTTCCGTGCGCCATAGGTGTATTCGACAGGATTAGGGGTAGCTTTGGTCATTGCGAAATTTGGATACTTAGGTGTTGGGTGCACGATGAAACAATGAAAGAGGAGTATTGTAATAGTGCCAAAAGGAACTGACCGAAGTGCTGCGATGTCTGACAATCCAAGAGCCCGGGGAAATTTCGTTGGTTCAAACAGATGGAAATGCCGCGGTAAAAATAAAGGGGCCTGAATGCGGGGAAGTCCTTCCCGCCCACGTGACCCCCCTAATCTCAGATATTTCTACGGAAGCCGAGTAAAGCGAACTGGTTGAGGAGTAGAAAGGAAACTCTGTTGGATATAGATGGTAGTATATACTTACGTAATATACCTCAAAAATAGAATACGCACGATGGATATGCACAAATGTCTTTGCTGAAAAGCTACAATTTCCACTGCCCAGAAGGGGAGAAGGCTTCTGAAGGGCGAGTCATTTAAGAGTACCGTCGTGAGCAAACGGACCTGCGATGGCGGGGTACGTGCGCGTAGGCGGTAGCGACAGATGACGGCTGATCGTTCTTCTTACTGCCACGAGCCGAGCGAGCTCCTTCCTGGCCGCCGGAAAGGTCCGCAGCATAAATCATGGCACCCTGACGACCCATCGGCTGACGCGGGCAGACCATAGGACAACGCCTGGTCACGTAGAGCGGGGAATAAGAAGCTGTTTCGACCGATGTCTAGATGCTCCAGTATAGCGAGTAGCCATCTAACATGATGCTGCTTGGAAGCGGCGTGTTGGTGAGGCGTCTCGCTCATGCATACCAATAGGCCAATTGGTAAACAAGCCCATACAAAAGCCGCTGCTGGCCATAGTTTACGTTCCAAGAGATGATGACCTGACCCCGTCTATCCTTCTCTTTCGACATGGTTCTTCACGAAAATCGTAGAGCGCCCTTGAGTCTCTTCACGAAAGAAGCAGCCCATGTCCGATCTGGCGCTTCATCGAGCTCCTTGATGAGATCGTTGTAATGGTTTGGACTACTTTGAGGATAGCGAACAGCTTGGGGGATGGGGTATGTGTTTGCATATTTGTTTGTCAAAAGAGCATCAAGGGCTTGGATCTGCCGCAGTTCTTTCTCTTCGTCGAGAATGGGTGGTCGTGCAGGTGAGACAATAGCATCGTTGGCCTTGACAGTGGGGGCGGTGCTCGCATTTGTATTTGCAGGAGGGGTGATTTTATCGACACGAGATTGCATGACTGTTTGAAACAAGACATGGTTGGGACGAACTCGGTCGACAGGCCATTGCTGGATGATGCGAGCCCAGTGCTTGAGAGCAGTCTTGGGGTGATGGGTGAGTGAGGTAGTTCTAGGTGTACATGGAGAGGAGAAGACTTACCGATTGATTGGTAGCCATTGAGTGGTGGGTAGGTAGTGCGAGAGGTCGACAATCGAGAAGTGGTAGTAATCTGGGCTGCCTTGAATATTACATTACCAGTATTTGATTGAAGCCCCGAGTACTCCATACAGCACGAGTGCTTCATGCATGACGCGACGATCAAAAGTGTTTGCTACTAGCAGGCTCGATTCGCAGCTCGTGGAGAATGGATATTCCGGAGCCGGTCCCGAGGTAGCACGTGACTTGGATTTGGGGCTGTGCAGGTTGCTGAATGCTCGGATGTGTGCCTGCCTGCGCAGCGCCACTCATCCATGGCTGTCCCTGTCCATCTGGAGTCTGCATCTGTCAAAGCCCTACTCCTCCTCCTCGTCTAGCCAACCACTAACACTGCCCACCGACCACCTTGCGCACTCTCCCTCCTCAACTCCGAGCATCCTCCTGCTTCAACCACTATTCTACTCGATTCTCGTTTCATTGAACTCCCTCTTGTGTATTCATTCAGACTGCCGGGTTCATACCTAAAGCCCGGCCGCATTATGGCCCCTCAGAGATACGCAGCGGTAAGTCACTCATCTCATTGCATGCTGATCAATCCATCGCCATCGCCATCGCCAGCGTCATTGTCATTGCCAACATCAACATGACGGCCGTCGATTCTGACTCCATCGCAGGTTAATTCCCATGATGACGACGACTTCCAATCTCCTATATCTCCAGATTTGCGTCGCCAAATTCCCTATTCTCCTCCGCCTTCCTTCCGATCCCGAACTTCGTCTCCTTCTTCACGACGACTATTAGCACAGGATCCATTAGCGCACGATCCCGACCATGACCTTCAGGACGCTTTCGATGATGGAGAGGCTTCCGATGCAGAAAATGATGGCGATGACCGACAACGATTGATGAGGGCCGAACCAGCAACCCCTCTGCCCCCGACCACTGTGGAAAGAAGAGTCACCGAACTTCCTGCATTCAGACCCATGCCATCATCTGCTTCAAGACCTACTGATGGCGTATTTGCAAACCTCTCCGCCAAACCTGAACGCGGCGAACAACTGGAAGAGAAGCCTCCGGTAAGTTCTTCGGACTTTGCCACCTCTGCCTGTGATCGCTAACACGTATCTTCAGACATATGAACAAGCTGCCGCCGATGCTACTCCCCCGTATTGGGAAACCACCATTCTCGCTCCTGGGATGTCCTCTGATGAAGTCTACGTTGATGGACTTCCGGTTGGCTCCGTCTTCTCCTTTGTCTGGAACGGCATGATATCAATGTCCTTTCAACTTGTTGGTTTCCTCCTCACATATCTTCTCCACACAACACACGCCGCCAAACACGGCAGTCGAGCCGGTCTTGGTCTGACACTGGTGCAATACGGTTTTTACATGAGCGGTTCAGATAGCGCGAACACAGACACTGGAAATCCTGGCCAATTCTCAAACTCTTCGCCTCCCGATCCAAACAGCCACGATTTCGACCCTAATAACGTCGACTCTTCCGGTTCTTCCTCCGGGAACAACGGAATTGGTGGCTTCACAAGCGCCGATTGGATTTCTTATGCCTTGATGATTATCGGTTGGTTTATCCTGATCCGTGCTGTTTCAGATTTCTTCCGGGCTAGGCGTCACGAGGCTCTGGTCCTGCAAAGTCCCAGTCGTGGCCTGCCTGTGGCTGTCATTGCTGAGGGCGAGACTCCCGAGCAGGCGGCCTGATGTGGAAATCTGCGAGGCACCCACCGAGAAAGACGCTGTTAGATTTTAGCGATCCGGAACAACTCAAATGACTCATTCAATTGTTTCTTTCCCCCTCCATCCATCCAACCATTCCTTCCTCACAAGTATTTTTTCCTTGACGCAAGCCTCATTTCTCTGATACCCCTCCGAGGAGTAGCCATCCTATTGTCCAAAAGTGCGGCTTGTTGGCGCATAGGTGACGGTGAACACGGAACGACCATAATTCAATATTGGGAGCTCGAAGACGAAGGCCAAAAAAAGATTCTCATCTACAAAATTTAGAGTGGGCTGACGAACCCATCGCTCTTGTTCTTTTACGCTTTGCTTGACATCGGTGCTCATCATCACTCTATCATTTATACATTCTTGGTTTTCTCAAATACACCTGCTCTGACCGGCTTGTGTCCCCCATTTGTCCCCTCCCCTAAAAACGGTAACTGGTATTGTTTTGTTCCATTCATGGCCGTTTCAGGATACGCTGCCAGTTGTTTCACTCATGCATGTCGATCTTGCTCTCCAGGCGGCGTTGGTCTCGTAGTTCCATCAGACGCGTCAACGCTGCTTGCAGGGGAATCAGCTCGCCCATTTTCTGTGTCGCAGGGTCATCACGGTTGCGGATGTTGACGGTGCGCGTCTCTTGTTCCTTCGCACCAACCACTAATTAGAAAAGGACAAGTTAGTAATGTGACCTCGCCATTTTGGGACTCTGCAGCATCAAGAGATCAACTCACCAAAGATAAAGTTATATTGAGCCAATTGTCCGCTTCGAATCTTCTTTTGCAAGGTGTTCCCGCTGACGTCAATATCCACGTACATCCGTGCCTTGTGGAAAATGCTCTGGATCTCACGAACATAATCCTCCGCCCCTTTCATGACCGGGATAACAAGAACTTGTCGAGGCGACAGCCAAAATGGCCACTTGCCTGCAAAGTGCTCACAGAGAATTGCGATAAACCGCTCAAAGGAACCGATAATGGCTCGGTGGATCATCACTGGGCGAGCCATTCCGGGCCCCGGCGCCTTGGGATCACGAGCCTCGTTCTCTTGCTTGGAGACGTCTTCGCCAGACTCACTGGTGCGGTATTCGAGCTTGAAGTTCTGCGGACCCTGGAAATCGAGCTGAATCGTCGCACACTGGTACTCGCGCATCAGAGCGTCTTGGATGGTGATGTCGATCTTCGGTCCGTAGAATGCACCATCTCCCTCGTTGAGTTCCCAGTCATCCCCACGGAAGTTCTGCAGCGCCTGTTTCAGCCGGGTCTCCGCGGAGTCCCATTCTTCTATCGTGCCCATGTAACCCTCTGGACGTGTGCTGAGCTTGAACTTGAAGGGGAAGCCGAACAACCCATACACATGTTTCATGAAATCAAACAAAGCCTCGATCTCGTGTTGGACTTGCTCATTCGTACAGAAAATATGCGTATCGTCCTGTTGGAACTTCCGCACACGAGTGAGGCCAGAAAGGGCGCCGGAGGCCTCGTTGCGGTGCAACACACCGAAGTCTGCCACTCGCCATGGAAGCTCGCGGTAGGAGCGTTCCTCGTCGCGGAACATCAGGCAATGTCCTGGGCAGTTCATTGGTTTTAAGGCGAACACTCCCTTGTCTTTGTCCTTTGGTTCACCGGGAGTAAGGGGCTTGCCGTCAGGGGTCTTGTCTGCCAGAGGGATCGGGTCCGACGCATCTTCTTTAATTTGCACTCGGAACATGTCGTCCTGGTAGTGCTGCCAGTGGCCAGATGTCTTCCACAGCTCGACATCGTACATGTTGGGCGTCTGCACCTCTTGGTAGCCTCGCTCCCAATACTGGTCGCGGAGCATGGCTTGGAGGGCGTTGAAGATGCGTGTTCCATGAGGAAGGAGGAAAGGCGATCCGGGAGATAGCTTGCTGAACATGAACAGCTTCTGTTGCTGGCCAATAGCCTGGTGGTCGCGCTTTTTGGCTTCCTCCAGAAAGTGCTCCCAGTCCTTCAGCTGCTGCTTGCTGGGGAATGCGACTCCGTGGATACGTTGTAGACTGTCATTGTTCTGGTCGCCCAGGAAATACGCCGAGCTGTTCTTCATGATCTTGAATGCTTCGATCTTTCGTGTGTTCTGGATGTGAGGGCCCTGGCACAAATCGACGAGGGTGCCGTTACGGTAGACTGTGGAAAACTCGCCGTCCGGGACGAATTTCTCGATGTAGTGCATCTTGTACTTGCTGTAGCCGAAGAGTTTCCGTAGGTTTTCCTTCGACACTTCGAGGCGTTCGAATGCCTGTTTCTCCTTCGTGAATTTCTTGGCGCGGTTCTCGATGGATGGCCACTCTGCTTCGCGTACAGCCTGCCCAGGTGGAAGTGCCATATCGTAGAAGAAACCCATCGCAGTTGGCGGGCCGTGCGACAGGCGACAGCCGTATTCATGCTCCGCACATTCCCCTAGGACGTGGGCGGACGAATGCCAGAATACGTCTCGACCTTCAGGGTCGTCGAAGGTGAGATATGCGACTTTGCTGTCCTTCTCAAGCGGCCGGTCAAGGTCCCACACTTGGCCATCAACCTTGGCAACGACAATCAGACCTGCTCGGTCCTTGGGGACATTTCTCAGTAGATGGCCCGGTGTTGTTTCCCATGCCTTGCCTTTGACGGTAGTCTGTTGGCCAGGGGTTGGGGTGAGAGTGATTTGAATGTCAGGTTTATCCCTGCTGGCCAGTTCCTGGTCATGTGATTTCTTCAGCTGGTCGAAGAGGGCATTTCTCTGCTGGATGAAATCTGGCAGCTCTTTTGGCGCCTGGTGCTTTGGTGCAGCTGCTTGAGTAGACATGTCTTTTGGGCGGTTGGCGACTTTCTTACTCTGCTGAGGGTTGGCTGGTCTTTTTGATACATTGCTCTCAGGGGTGGATGACTCAGAGGTCTGGGGACCGTTGTGACTCATCTTGGGACCGTTCAAGACTCCCCAAAGATCATGCGGGTTGAGACTGACTTTCTTCTGGTGGCTCATGGCAAAAGATCGAGAGAATAAACGGGGAGCGTGGAGGGAGACTATGGCAGAGCCGACCGCACGAAGATCCTGGGGGAAACGTCGATTTGGTGTGTGGTTGTGGATAGGGTGAATCACGTGCTTTGCAAACCTGCATCGACCTGCAACTCGCCCATGAAATAATTTCATCCCCTCAAATAGTTATTACCTGCCACCCATTCGCTTCTCCACACTCAACAACAATGGCGTATCGCGGCGATTCACGAGGTCGTGGTGGTTTCCGAGGTGGTGATCGAGGAAGAGGTTCGTTTGGAGGACGAGGTGGAGGTAAATTAATTTCCAGCACCAGCCCAAAGTCTCCGGGGCGAGCGAGCCCTGCACACAAGAAATTGCGGCAAAAAACGAACGAGGGACTGACTGCAGAGAACAGGTCGAGGAGGATTCCAACAACAGAGCTACGGCCCGCCAGATCAAGTGTTCGGTGAGTCTCACATAGTCCCGGCGACTATGTCTAGAGCTGATTTCTGGTATAGAAATGGGCAAGTTCCTGCACGCCTGCGAAGGAGAACTCATCTGCGAATCCGTCAACCCCAAAGTGCCATTCTTCAATGCCCCGATATACCTCGAGAATAAGGTCCGATGATCTCCCCAGATGCACATGAATACCGGTTGACACAGTGAAGACGTCGATAGGAAAAGTCGATGAAATTCTCGGGCCGATCAACCAAGTCTACTTCACAATCAAACCCCAGGAGGGCATCCAAGCTACGTCTTTCAAGACTGGCGACAAATTCTACATTGGAGGAGACAAGCTTCTACCGCTAGAAAAGTGCGTGCGATGCCGCCAAACCAATTGAGTGCAGTGTGATGCTAAGAATTGACAGGTTTCTTCCAAAGCCCAAAGCCCCCCCAGGTATGAACCTATCGCTGCAAGAGACAATGCACCCAACTCACACATATTCAGGCACGAGGGTCAAGCGGCCTGTAGGTGCTCGCGGAGCTTTCTCTGGTGCACGAGGTGGTCGAGGCGCTCCCAGAGGCCGAGGATCCTTTGGTGCAGGTGGACGAGGCGCTCCCAGAGGTAGAGGATCATTTGGATCGTTCGGTGGAGGTCGGGGTGCTCCCAGAGGCGGTGCTCGCGGTTTCTCTGGTGGCCGGGGAGGATCAAGAGGCGCCCCTCGCGGCCGCGGCAGATTCTAGTTGGCCGTGGGCATCACCGTGGCATTTCCCTTTGGCCCTTGTTCTGCCAGCATGATTCAGGCGTTGGGTGGTATGGTGTGGTGGTCAAATACCCGGCAAAAAAAGCACAGCCCGTATGGATGAGAGAACTAGCTGTGTACTACGATGCTTGAGAATCCCTAGAAACTATACTAGATATGGCCTTTCGCGAACCATGTATCAGTGTTCAATTGAGACGACCGTGCTCGCCTCAATGTGCCGTCACGTGGCTTTGACACGTGACCTGTGGCTGTGTGGCCGTGCGGCACTCCGACTGTGGCACGCCTCGTAATTGTGGGATTCTGGTGGCTGAAAATAGACGTGAGGGATTCCGACTGAAATCACTGATGACGTTTGACTCGAGATTGACACTCGCACCCACCAACATCAATCGTTGACTCGCTTGGTACCCTTTGCCCGCGCCTTGATTCCTCCACAAAACCACCCTTTACGACCGCAGTAACTCTTCCCTACCCTCTACCTACACTGTTGTTCTTTTCCTTCCTCCTCGCACGGCCCCTCAGAGGTATAGTCCTCGTTCTTCGCTTCTCTGATATTCACCCTCTACATCTTTGCTCCAAGATGTCCCGCCGAAGCGGTGCAACCACTGTTGGTCAGGAAGAAACCTCGGTACGACCATCCAACAATGCACAAGCGAAGCAAGCCATGTTGCTATCCCAGGACACAGGTCACTTTAGCTTGGTCAAGTATGGTTGAACCCTATGCAGTTGAGGAAAGGCGCTGACTACAACAGAGCTCTCCATCTGGCCGATTTGATCACTGAACTGAATGGTGAGTACATGTCCACTCTGGGCGCTTTATAGGACAGAAGACTAATTCAGCTCCAGGCTTTTGTGGATGTACGACGATCGACCGCTGACCCGTTGGTCGAACTTATGCTAACAAGATCCCCGCAGTCATGTCGGTCCTCTCGTCGATGCGCTACTGCCTCTCGGACCCAAAAGACTTGACAAACCTGTGGTTCGCCTTGGCCTTTATGCCATTCGGCCTCTTCTTCGATTTCTTCGATGGCAAAGTTGCAAGATGGAGGAAGAAGTCTTCTCTTATGGGGCAAGAATTGGATTCTCTGGCTGACCTGGTATGCAATCATGCTGTGTTCAAGCTCGAGCCGAACATTGACGACCCCACAGATCTCCTTTGGAGTCGCTCCCGCTGCTGTGGCGTTCGCAATCGGATTCCGTACCAACGTTGATCAGCTTTTCCTCAGCTTCTACGTTCTGTGCGGGTTGACCCGACTCGCCAGATTCAACGTTACTGTCGCCATGCTCCCAAAAGACAAGACGGGAAAATCGCAGTATTTTGAGGGCACTCCCATCCCTTTCGCATGCTTGACAAGCTCTGCCATCATGGCGATCTGGACCTCTCTCGGATGGATTCACGACTCTTTACCAATTGGCTCTGTCCTCTCTGGAACCCCGTTCGAATTTCACCCAACAGTCTTGCTGTTTTTGTTGAACGGCTCATTGATGATCAGCAAGACTTTACATGTGCCCAAGCCTTAAAACCTACCAACCAGATAAGATCGCGCTGCTAGGAACTATGCTACTTTGTTGCGGTGAGTCGATATCGCAAACTCAGAACATGATAGCAAGGGCCGGAACTGGATAGCAATAGAGCAGAGACATATCGGTGTGGTTGAATGAAATCAGAAGGCTGATCACAACTAATGATATCCATCTCATGGCAGGCTTTGTCTTTTCCTGGTGTTTGGGCAATTCAAATCGTTTATCCGTCAACTCTCGTTGATCAAGTGATATCAAAGTGGTGTCTGCTTTACTCCAACAATTTCGTTCTCTTCTAGAACTCTTTCCGGCCGCTGTGTAGTTCCCGCCGGCTCAATTCATGTCCCGGTCGCCAGGAGCGCGAGGGTTGTGCCCAGGCAACGATCTTCACTGGCCCTACCACAACGGCCCGCTCTCCCTTGCGTAAAATGAGTATCTACAAGATGCAGGAAGCCTTTGCTGTCGAATATTTTCCCATTAGTCCATCGCCGATCCAACTTCAAAATGAGCCAACAATTAAACCAAGGTGATTGATTCACGGCCCTCTCACGCCCTCTCACTCGGATACTGAGGGGTTATTGGTGTCATCATCATATATGGTTTCCTCCAATATTCGTTGAACCATGAATTGGGCGAGGTAACCTGTTACACATTTATCCACACCGGATGTGTATACTGCTCAACCGTTCTACGGATTAATGATTGAGGGCTTTAATCGTAATCGATAAGCGCGGTTATACAATAGCAGTCAGCGAGGCGGCCGGTTATTGTCCCACCAATCAGCAACGGCTTCATCGGAAATCAGTCCTTCCCGTCGCCCAACTTCACAGGTCAGCATGCAGCATCCATTCCATCTGCGAGAACAAAGGTCAAGTCGATGGCAATTACCATAGTCTGTAAGGGCTAGTATCCACCGCGTCACCGTGACGGAAGTGCCGTGATATACTATCCTCTATGCTCTGGCTGCCTAGTCAATTATGGCGCGGAGTTTGGGGCTGACGAATGCAGCTCGATCCAGGGCCCCGCGAATAAATAACGAGTCCTTCGCAAAGCTGATCTAAAGTCTGAGCCAATCTCTTGAAACGAACATTGCTTTTACACCGTCGTGCGACGTTCGCATTGTACAGTCTTCTCAAAATTAGCGCAGTGACCTCAACCTGTTCGTCAAGTACCCTATTTTCTCGACGGCTGTCTCATCGAGCAACATGGCAATCGAGAATGCTGCCTTGGCCCAGGACTCGAAGATCCTCATCACAGGTGTGAATGGCCTTGTCGGTTCGCATGTAGCAGACCAAGTGCTTTTGCATGGCTACAAAGTACGTGGGGCTGTCAGAAATGCGACCAAGAACAACTGGTTAGTAGATTTCTTCACACTGCGGTACGGCAAGGGCAAATTCGAGCTCGTCGAGATACCCGATCTTACGAAAGATGGAGCATTCTCCGAGGCAGTGAAAGGTACGCTCTAGGTTGACGTATTATGTATTTGACTGGCACTGCAGCAGGACTAACTTGCTGCAACATGAACAGGGGTTGCAGGAGTTATCCACGTCGCTTCGCCCGTAGACATGAACCCAAACCCTGACATTGTTATCCCAACGGTCGTCAACAGCACACTGAATGCACTGAGGGCGGCCGCCAATGAAAGCAGTGTCAAGCGCTTCGTGCTCACATCGTCTGGATCAGCAGTCGTCTTTCCCAAGCCAAATAACAAAGTTGACATCACGCCCGAGACTTGGAACGAAGAAAGCGTGCAGATTGTGCAGAATTTCCCCGAGGACCTGTCTGATATCCAAAAAGGCTTTATCGTTTACATGGCAAGCAAGGTTAAGGGAGAGCAGGCTTTGTGGAACTGGGTTAAGGAGAATCCATCTTCCCGCTTGGTCGTCAACTCTGGTGGGTGCCACAGCTGCCAGTGCTGACAGGAGTGGAAGGAATGCTGACTTGTCGATCGTAGTTCTACCCGGTGGAGCTTTTGGCCAAGTCCTTAGCCCTGAGCATCAAGGGTTCCCCTCGACGACGGGTCTCATTGCAGCGCTTTTTACCAACAACACCGAGTACATTGACTTCTTTATTCGCGATTATGCTCCTGGTAGGTTGACTTCCCTCGCAGCCGGGGTTGGAGAAGCCTGGATCACTAACCTACGATAAAAGAGTACTTCGTCGATATCCAAGACGTTGGACGGCTCCATGTGGCAGCCCTAGTACACCCAAGCACAACTGGAGAACGCATTTTCGCCTACAACACCCCATTCAACTGGAACAACATACTAGCAGCCTTGCGAAAATTATTCCCTAACAAAACATTCAGAGATGACGAACCGGGATTGTGGGATGACCTCTCCACGGTAGAGCCGGCCAAACGTGCGGAAAAGTTGTTGCAGGAGATGGGGCGACCTGGGTTCACGGGCCTGGAGGAAAGTCTTAGGCGAAATGTTGAAAGCCTTGTCGAGCCGAAGACTTGATGGGAGGGAAGGGTGACTTTCATCAAGTGAGGATGAACACTAGCTTCAAGAATGAGAATATCGCACCAAAACGAGCACGTTTGTCGCTCATCTTGATATCATTGCTGGGAGTTCACGTGTTGAGTTATCGTCGTCTTGCAATCCAAGCGACTCAATATAGACGGCGGGCATTGCAATGACTACCGAGATATGGAGATTTTTCTTTGCGGGGATTGTTCGAACTTTAATTGGATTTCTTGCATGCTTGCAATAGCTATCTGTCGCAATACTGCTCTCCAAAGGCCTTCCTACATATTGATCCAAGATCCATGGAATCAATGGACATGGAGAGTAGTACGAGGCGAATCAGTCAGCTGGTCATGACATTTAAATTTTGTTCTACCTCCTCACAATCATCAAAAACTCCTCGACCGGAAGTGGAGAAAGGCGTAATAATCTACTCTGCGTCTGGCATCTTGAGAACATATCGTCCAGCGATCTGTCCAGCGTGCATCAACTCGTACACCTTCGGTAGATCCTTCAGGTCCACAGTCTTGAAGGGCACCTTGATCAATCCTCGGGCGAAGAAGTCCAAAGCCTCTTCACTGTCCTGTCGGTTGCCGACGTAGGAGGCTTGGATTCTGATCATCTTGAGGACGGACTCGAAGACCGGGGCTCGGATATAGGCCTTGGCTGGGAGACCGATGACGATGACGGTACCTCTTGGGCGGACGTATTCGGCAGCTTGCTGGAATGGCTTCTCGTTGACAGCCACGAGAATGACGGCGTGAGGGCCTAGGCCATCTTTAGTAGCAGCCTTGACATCCTTGACAATGTCGCTGGATGTTGCGAAATCGATAAAGGACTAGAGGAGACGAGTCAGTGGGGAATGGTTTCGAGACCGAGGACAGTACTCACTGAGGCGCCCAACTTGGTGGCGAGGGCCTTCTTCTCCTCACCAGAATCGATACCAATGGAGTGAAGACCCATGGCCTTTGCATATTGGACAGCAAGCGAGCCCAGCCCGCCACCGGCACCAACAATGGCGACGGTTTGACCAGGTTTAGCCCCTGACTCCTTCAATCCTTTGTAAACTGTGATACCGGCGCAAAGAACAGGGGAAACCTCATCGAGAGGGACACCCTCGGGAATGTGTGCGACATGTCGTGCAGAGGCAATGCAATATTGTTGGAAAGAACCATCGACGGTGTAGCCTGAAAGCTTGGGGGTCAAGCAAAGCGGCTCATCGGCCTGTTGGCAGAAGGTGCAGGACAGGCAGGAGTCGTTCAACCATTTGACACCGACAGCCTCGCCAATTTTGCAGATGTCGTCGGTGACGAGCTCACCTCGTGCTACGACAATACCAGCGCCTTCGTGTCCACCAACGAGAGGGAGTTTGGTGGGGATGGGCCAGTCGCCGTTGACGGCATGGAGGTCAGTGTGGCACACACCAGAGTATTTGATGTTGACGAGAACTTCTTCTGGGCCAGGCTTTGCAACCGGGATCTTCTTGTACTGAAGAGGTCCTCCGACCTTGTCAATGACCTGAGCCCATTGCTCGGTGGGGATCTTGGGGCCAGACATTCTGAATTGAGAGAAAGTATGTGGAAGGGCTTGCTTGGATTGAAGTCGAGCTTTAATGCACACAAGAGATGATGATTGTGAGTCTGGAGAATGGCCTGGGATGATCTGGGACAGAAAGCGACTTATGTAGAGCTGATGAGGAATCCTGAGCCCCTCTCATGATCGAAGTGATCCATGGTGATCCGCAGTGAAGAGACCGAAGCCTCCAGGATGAGCGGAAACCCCTCAACGCATGGAACATTGCAGTGAAGGTCAGGAAGGGGCCCAAGATTTGTATCCTGTGGGCCGCGGTCACGGTCGACCAATCGCCCAGAGAAGGCCAGTATTCGATTGTCACATCTCATGACGGTCATACGGAGACCATGCTTAAAGTGGATACATTTCTCACCCGGATTGAGAAGCTTCTGAGTGAATATGAGGTGTGGACGAACGGCTTATATGAGATCTGGGCGAATGGTAGGCTTTGAATGCCGTTCTCTAGGTCATGTTCTAGCTATGGACAGGGATGGAGCTGAAGGACAGCTGGAGAAAAGGGACGGAGGAACGACGAAGCAGAGGGGCACGATGTATTCGTGTTGCGGACGCGTCTGCGGATCATCAATGGGCCAAACACGGCCAGGATGCATGGCACTGGTGGGCCGATAAAAGTCCATGGGATGGCGGCCGTCCACCAAGCGGTCGAGTCAGGACTGACGGTGTACGGTATAGGCCTGTTCGGAACAGATGTCAGAGCTCGCCGAAGAGTTAGAAGATCCCGGTAGCAGGAGTGTGTACTTGGAACTACCATCAATGCTGATATCTGATTTGAGGACGGCCGGAATAAGAATTCACAAGAGGACCAGAGGAAGGAGCTGGCCAAAGGGAAGGAGGCAGAGCCCTATCGCTGCAATGGAGGAGTGGTAGGAGCGATGCGGGGAAAACACCGCCCCCAGGGTCACAGCTTCCGTGCAGGCACCGACATCCCTGTCCCTCGCCTTGACCCCGCGCCTGCCAGCACGAAAAGTGGGCACAAGGTTTGGTTTGTTTACAAAGTGGCATGATGGTGAGGGGTTGGTAAGAAAAAAAAGAAGTCGAGGGTCCAGTCCAGCATTTCGGCAGCATGATGCGTGTCTCAGGTGATGATAGATATGCTTCATCATCGGCAGGCAACACCCTCCCTCTGATATAGTCCTGCGTCCTGACAGGCAGGTGCAGGTGTTTCTCGGTGACTCTTCGGCTGGCGGAAGAGGCACGAGCGTCTAATGTCTTATCTACAAATCTTCAACGCGTCGCCCCTGCATCAATCAAGAACCCCAAGGCCCCAAAATTCATACGCTGACTACCGGTTTGCTCACATACGGTTGACATGAATGAGATGCAGTCTGGTGCCCGTTGCCACCATGCTTCTACAAGTAGCATCCGCTCCAGCCGAGCGCAGCAATTGCAAACCAGATTGGCAAGAGATTGCCATGTGCGCTTATGGGAGCATTTTCGAGATGCGAATGTGGTCTGATGGTGGATTACATGGATTGCGATGTTTTCGATCCCATTTCGCGGACTGGCGATGACCGACGATGATCTGCGAGTTTGGAAGAAACTCCGAAATGAGCTATCATTCTTATCAAGAGGATTGCGCACATGATGGGTTGGAGGATGCTCGTCTTTGCACTCCAGGCTCAACATGAGGAAAAGAGAGAGTTGGGTGGGGGGGCAAAGAGAAGAAAGACAAGACGGTTCTTCACGTGCGAGACCTACCTTCCCACTAGATTGGACTCTGGAGTCTCGGGTCTCGAGTCTCAACGAGTGCTGACTGGGCAAACAGAGCAAACACAGCAAACAGAGCACACAGAGCAAACTCTTGTTCCTGAAGCACCCCCTGCTTCTTTCCTTTTGCCGGGCGATGACCGTGCGCCCACTGCCAGAGAGAAATTGCAGGTTGCAGGTAAAAACAATGGCAATCACATTCGGGGTGAGAGACTGCGTTCACTTTCGAGGTTTTAGAATTGAGAGCAAGCGACACACTACACCTTTACCTAGGTGAACATCTCCACAAACCACCCATTTACCCAGCACGCACCTTTCGATGCGCGTACTCCATGCATCGCTCGTGGTTGACCCGTGGCAAGTCTCCTGGTAAGAATGACTATGTTTAGTCCCATGACCACCGCTATCGCAGAACCAGATGACCACGGGTATGGTGGCAGAGCTCGTGGCCCAGTCAAATGTTCCTCAAGGCTGCGCCAGCAGGCAGTGTTGAAGGGCGGCCGCAGGATGGATGGCGTGTGGCGCAGGACGGGTTTGGGAGCAACACCCGAACACAAATGCCATGGACGTGACAAAGGCTTCTAGGTCAATTGACAAATCTTCGACGGGATATATCGGTGTTGTGTACACGCCAGGACAACAATCCTCCACCCCGAGCGCATGAGCCTCCGGGGCAAGGTCGGTCCGGAACTTCGCTGTTTAGATTATCCGACCCGCGACCTCCGTCATCCATCCCACTTTTCCTACCTCATACGAAATAAGCACTGTAAACAGGGTCCGGATGGTCCCTGGTGTCCCTCGATAGCCCCGCACTGGTTCCGCGCAGTCACGTAACTTAAAACTGGGACACCTCCGGATCCTGCACCACGGCTCAATACTCGGTACGTTGTGAGGAGACGGCTTACCCGTTCAACTATATTATACTAACCTCGCGACTCTCAGCATCGCAGGTCCCATCGTTTCCTAGGTTCGATCTTATCGGATTCTGCAAAATGGCTATGAATGGCACAAGTTCGTCCTCCTCCGCCTTCAATGCGTCTTCGACCATTCCTCTATGGCTTGATGGCAAAGAAGTGACCTCTTCTTCTACCTTCGACGTCGTATCTCCCGTCGACCAAAAAACTCTGTACAAGGCCACCTCAGCCTCCGAAGAAGACACACTCAAGGCAATTGCATCTGCGGAAAAGGCAGCTCGGCAATGGGGAAAGACAAAGCCCGCAGAGAGACGAGACATATTCCTTCGTGCCGCCGAACAATTCAAGAAGCGGAAAGATGAATTATACGAATACAGCCGTACCGAGACAGGCGCAGCCGAGTCCATGTTTGCCTTCGAGCACAACCTCGCATACCAAGCCTGCCTAAGTGTCGCTGGCTTAATTCAAGTCGCAAGCACCGCCACCTCTCCAGTAGTTGCGGAAGAAGGATCAAGTGCATTGATTGTCAAGGAGCCATATGGTGTTGTTCTGGGAATTGCTCCTTGGAACGCCCCCTACGTCCTCGGCCTTCGTGCCTGCCTGCAACCACTAGCTATGTATGTACACGCAGACGGGGAAGGCTCGGATTGGGAGATTTACTAATGCTTGTGCAGGGGCAATGCCGTCATCTTGAAAGGCCCGGAAGCCGCACCAGCAACTTACTGGGCACTGGCATCCATTCTTCATGCTGCAGGTCTCCCTGCGGGTGCTTTAAACACAATTTACCATCGTCCTTCCGATGCCGCCCTCATCACAAACACCTTGATATCACACCCAGCAATCAAGAAAATAAACTTCACCGGCTCCACCAATGTCGGATCCATCATCGCAGGTCTCGCAGGGAAGAATCTGAAGCCAACTGTCATGGAGCTCGGTGGGAAAGCACCTTCCATCGTCTGTGAGGATGCCAACATCCAGATGGCGGCCTTGCAGGTAACTCTCGGATCGTTCCTCCATGCAGGTCAGATTTGTATGGCAACGGAACGGATTTTGGTACATGCCAAGATTGCGGATGAATTCCGCTCTGCATTAAAAACGACCATGGACCAAGTTTTCACTGAAGGGCCCCAGGGCCTGGGTGTTCCCCAGCTCGTAACCGCTGCCCCTGTTGAGAAGAACAAGAAATTGCTGGCAGATGCACTGTCCAAAGGCGCGAAGACACTCTATGGTGATGCTTCACACAACGAAGAATCCAAGACAAAGATGCGACCCGTGGTCATTGAGAACATCAAACCCGGGATGGACATTTACCATACCGAGTCTTTTGGCCCCACGGCGTCACTCTATGTTGTGAATTCAGACGAAGAAGCAATCGAGATCGCCAATGACACCGATTACGGTCTTTCAAGCGCGGTGTTCACGGAGGACCTGAGACGAGGACTGAAGATTGCCAAGCAGATTGAAACAGGAGCTGTGCACATCAACAGCATGAGTATCCATGACGAGACTGCGCTCCCACACGGTGGAGCGAAGAAGAGCGGGTTTGGAAGGTTCAATGGTCTTCCAGGATTGGAGGAATGGGCAAGGAGCAAGGTGATCACTTGGAAGGATTAGAATGATGCAAGCGGTGGGATCGTTCACACAGTAATACCATCCCCTCCCTCTGTAAAGGCCTACATTGTCTTTTCTAGAAATCATTACGCAGATATTTCAATGCTCGAGAGGCTCTAGTCCGAAACAAGATCGATTCTGCGAGACCATTGACATAACCGGACTGGGGGAGCATCTGCTATAGTTTTGGTGTATCGGTCAGATTCTCATATCCATTTTCGGTGATATGCACATCATCCTCAATTCGAACGCCTCCAACAGCCCAATATCTCTCCAGCACCTGCTTGTCAATGTATTTCCCTAACTCCGGATCTTCCAGGACTGGGTCGAGAATGAAATTACAGAAGTAGATCTGGCTCAGCAGATTAGTAACCACATCTTGCCCGTGGGGCTATTTCGGACCGGAGTGGGAAACTCACACCAGGCTCTACGGTTATTACCGCACCAGCAGGCACATTTCCTCGTACTCGTAGGTACTTGAACATGGTATCTTCGTCATCATACTGAGCATGGCCGCCGGTGTCATGTGTATCCATGCCTAGGTAATGGCCCAGCCCATGCGGCATGAAGGCGACGCTGATCCGTTTGTCGAAGATCTCTTGCTCATCGCCTACGAGGATACCTGCACTTTTCAGGCCTCGAATTGCGACCCAGTGAGCATTTTCATGCACGTCCTCCCATCGCACATTCGCCTTGAGCATCTTGAAACAGGACGACTGCATTTCATCGACAATGTTGTAGATTGTCTGGGATTCCGCAGTGAATGACCCATTGACAGGAAACGTACGCGTGATATCAGCACAGTAACATTCATATTCCGCGCCGGCATCGAGGAGGATGTTCAGCCTCTGGCGGAGAGGTTGGTCATTGCGGATGTAATGCAAAGTCGAGCAGCTGGTGCCACTAGCACAGATGGAATGGTATGCTTGTTCGTGAGCGCCATTTGAGATGCATGTTCCGATGAAGGCGCCATAGATCTCTTGCTCATTGCTGGCGGTCAGAGTCACCTTCGCCGCCTCGATATGCGCCAAAGTTGAAATCTCGTTTGCTTTTCTGATCAATGCCACCTCATAGCTGTCTTTGACCACGCGACATTCGTCAATGGCAGTCTTCAAAGAGGCAAATTCGGTTTGTGCAAAAGGGAGAAACGTGATGTGTTCTGAGATCTGCTCTGGGATTGCGTACACAGTCGTCGAAGCTGATGGGCCATAAGCAGCCAAAGCTGCATTGACCTCGTTGCTATAAAGCACATTATCGACATCATACCTTTGCAGTGCTTCGTCCTTCGATTCGGGAAGCCCAGCCCAGATAACGCTCTCGGGATCGATCGGGGGGATGAACAGCGTCAAAATGTCCTGGGGAATGTTGTACGTGACATAAGCATCTGGTAGTTTGCAGCCAGAGAGGTAGAAGAAGTACCGCCGTTGGCGAAAGTGCATCGCCTGGTCGTCGTCCTCGACCATGACGGTTTTCTGGGCCTCAAGATATATGACTCCATCACGAGGAAGCCCTCGATCAGTCAGATATTTTGCCACTCGCCGGGCGTGGGCTTTGGCAGGATATTTTTGCTTGAGAGTTGTATCTGTCAATGACATGATCCTTCGTTGTCCTGAAGAAAGAGAAAGGGAGTTGGCGGAGATGATGAATTGGAATGCCGACTGGCGGGGAACTCCTGGTTCATGTTCATATGATTAACGAATTAATCCTACGTATCGATAAGCTCTGGCTGGACTCAAGAGAGTTGCACTCGGATGTTCTGACTTGAGGGGAGTGGCACCTATGCGGTTATTGATGGCTGTTTACGTAATCTGCTCAATCTCAAGCTTCCCTCCTCTTTACCAAGTCGCCATTTACTTGGGCGTCGTGCGCTCTCACACCGCACTAATCAATCTATATATATTAGAAAATATTGACACTTTCTTGAATCAGTCTCTACTGTTATTTCTGTCACTCATCTCACGCAAGCAACTACCTTGCCAAACAACAAAAGAGACCAAAGAAAAGTCTCTCAACCTACTCCACCTTGTACCGGCGTACAAGATAGTAGCATCGACAAGCCTTACCCTCGTGCAGATCGATATCGTCTCTACACGTATTTCCATCTAGTCCCTTTCAGCCTTGTCATGGGATCACTGGTTGACGCCCTGCATCCAGATTACTTGCTCAATGCGAGTTGAGTAGGCGGACATGCCCAGAATGCGCTGCATCTGCTTGTTGCTGACCTTCAGGACCTTGTCTGCCACGAGGAATCGGATGCCCTCGGAGCATGGAGGGACGGTCAATCCACCCATGTAGGTCCAGAAATTATCGAAATGGTTAACTTCAGTCAGAGCCTGATCGAGCTTTTGTCTGACGTGGGTCATTTGCTTGGTCTCGTTGAAGCCGATGTACCACGGCCATTGAGAGACAAAAGTGGATTCTGTGTCCCCAGAAGGATCCATGCGCATGGCCAGGACACCAACGTAATTCCCTTGCTCATCGGCGTGCACGAAATGGATTCCAGCCATGCTGCGTTTCCCATGGACTAGGTGCTCGGCAGGGGTGTGGATGTGCCATCCAACCATATAGGCAGTGTTCCCGTCGAAGGTGATGTTAGGAAGACTTGTCACTGTGGGTTTGTCATACTGAGGTGTGAAAGCCGGACCGTATCCCCAATTGAAGTAATTGCCGGAGATGTTCTGAGCATAGTTGCCGAACGCTGGCACATCCACCTTGGAGAAACCCTGAGCGGAGGTTAAGCCGATGGGGGCTTGCTGAGTGCCGTTCTGGCAAAGAAAATATTCTATTTCGTATGGTCAGTAAAAGACACCGTCTTCGCAGGCAAGCCTGTCTTTCGCTGGGATACCAGGGTGACTTACTAGGATTTTTGAACCCCCAGTCGGAAGAAACCTCGTAAGTCCAGTCAGTTGGATCTCTGCCAGGGTCGGCCTCTGAGACTGGGATGTCTCGTCGCACATGAGGACGGCCGAAGTGGTTGGAGTGATCTGCACAGCCCAGAACACTCGTGGTCAACACATAGGCAAGGAAGATATTGGACAGCATTCTTGAGATATGCTCGATAGGATAGTAGGACAGCCATCTGATAGCGCGGACATGTATGCAATGCTGTCGGGTTGCCTGTTGATCGGTGCGTTACTAGCTCCCGCTGAACTACAATAGAATTCTCTTGATTGGAACGGGTGGCCGGTGCATATGAATAGAATTTCTAGAACCATGCCGTAACCTCACTCTGGTAATAACAAATTGTATTTTTAACGCTTATAGTATCCAATAAAGCGGGGAGTCCAATGGGCACGTCGCACCATTATTTCCCTCCTTTAGGTATAAAGTTAGATAGAATACGACTCTATTTTAGGATAGGAAGGGTTTCCCCAAGCTTGAACTGTAAACTCCATTTTATTACTGTTTATTAACGAGACACCCTGCATAATGCACGCGCCCTGTATACGTTACACTTCCATCAATCTACCAGAAGTAGCAAGACTAATATTGAGCACCAATACCAGGCCACGGCCCACTTTAACGAAAGGACTAAGGTGCAGACCTTCTTTGCTCAACAGTTGTGCAAGAGAGCCGGCTGATTCTCCTGTCAACTCATTATGCTGAGAGAAAGCGGGACCTGCGCGAGTTGCCGTATTGATTGTCTCGTAGGAGACTTTCCAGATCGTCATATGCGGCTTGAATGGCGAGCCAGTCTGTTTGTCATACGTCTTTTGTCCTCAACTTTCAGCCGATACAACTAGAGACACCAAGTCAAGCTTCTTCGCGTCCAGATTCTTGTTGACAGCGCTAGACTCAAACTGCCTAACGGATGAATGCGCAATCCTTTGTACACCAAGATCTGCGGGGGTTAGACCAGACGACTAGGTTGATCCGATGATAAAATGGATCTCACGATCTGAAACAGGTTGAGGCGAAGAGAGGATAAAGCGCTACGAAAAGGAAGTCAGAGTCCTGATGATGGCCGGGATGAACATAAACCGGTGGTCGGTTCCAGCTCTTTCAGCCTTTGCAAAGTCTTCGATTCATGTATCTCTGAGCCATGGATTTTGGTTTCGCAAACATCAATCATCATGCACTTCAATACTCTCTACGCGGCCGCCCTGGCCGGCCTAATGTCTAAGAAACGCTTCGCACCGCCTGTGTCCCGCCACTAACTCTAATGTCATCCGGCCGAGATCTCAGGACTACTGCCGAGGAACATGGGACCGTCACTAGTTTCACAACGCTGCCAAACCGTTGCTACTGGCCAGGGATTGCTCGTCAATCTCGTTCCTGAGATGAGTAGTCGTTGTTTGCTGCTTCATATCAAAGTTCCTGCCACGTGCGAGGGTGAATGCAACGCTGGTGAGACGTACTGCGGTGGAAATTGATGTGGCGATGGTAGATGTTGCGAGAAGTGGGTTGACGAAAACGAGAATACCATCTGCGCCTACCATACTTACAGAAACTGAGCCGAGTACATACATCGGACATGACAGACGTGAATTGGCGACCTGATGCAAATCAGGAACGGTGGCGGGGCTAGTTTCTGGTGGAATATGAGCGTCCCTCGGAGCAGATTGTATTAGTGCCAGTGTATCAAAAAATCGCCTTTGAAGGTTGTCCATCTTGCATCATCATAAGCGCAAGCGAGGGCCTCGTATGCTACAACTATCGATCGCTGTCTGGTTTTCCGCCGGCTTCGGAGCGTGAGCCCGAGTATGAGAGACGATCTGGTGCACACGAAGTTTAGACTTTTGGCTAGCATGGTGGGAAATCGAAGCAAGCTAAGATCTCTATTGTGATAGAGCCAATTAGTCATATCCAAAAGACATTTTGCTTTCTCCCAAGCTCAGAAATTGCCGGCATCAATCAATGCGCAAAATTCGGTGGTAGAATAAAGAGTCGACTTCCGAGACGCTGGCTCCTTTTGAAGGAAAAGTAGGCATTGAACCATAACTGCCCATTGATATGTTCTTTGTGAAGAATTCGTACGGCGTTAGCAAACAAGATGCACGCGGATTGCAACGCATTTATAACCCCTAACAGAAAATGCTGTCGTCGACAACGCTCTGGGCGATAGTTTTCCAAGCATATCTTTTTTTGGGGTTGATTTCCTTCCACGTTCCCGGACTTTCTCAAAACCTTCGTGCGTACGGTCGCCCATGAGGCCGCTAATTAGACCTTAGTCCACGAGGGGTTGCTGTGGTGGAACAAATGGCCGGTGTTTATGTTTCGATAGCACTCGTGCATACCACACGCTGTAGAAGCAAGAAGGGCCTTCGAGTCAGGTAGAGCTCTTTTCTGTGGTATGCATGGCATCTGAAATCATGATAGATCTCTGCTGCGAATTTCCGACCACCCAAAAGTCTTCCTGGACGTTGTTCACGTCGATTTCACCTCCCATGCCCCGAATAGCCTTGCGCAATGCAATCGATTGCTCATAATCTGGACATGCTAGGCCTTCCAGATGCTTGGAAGCTAGAGTCAGCGGGTATAGTAGCCGCCCAATAGCAGTAAGACGGTGTTGCATGATTAGGCGCGCATCGTCAACAATCTCCACGGCGAGCCGAATTCTCTGGCTGCGGGCTGCGAGCACGTTTTCAATCTCACTAAGCTCGTTGTGGTCGTTGTCGATATGTCCCCTGCCAAGGCAAGAGTCTAATTGCAAGCACATCCCTTTTACTCTTCGGGCAGTGTCGAAAGCAGCGTCACACAAACCCAGCTCAATCATGGTCGCGGTGATTTTAAGCATAATCCGGTTCGCATCTTGTATACGATCCTCCTGTGAAACTTTGGGACCTAGCAGGTGCATTGCGTCAAGCTCCTGTCTTAGGCCTTGCAGGAGTGAGATGGAAGAATGGCATTCGTGGATTAGTGCTCGAGGTTGATCCATGTTTTCAAACCACCCAACGCTCGCCTGCGTCTTTTCTAACAGGGAAGCCAGCTTGAATCCGTGATCCATTATCTTCTGGTCGATTCTTTTTTCAAGGCCCAGCCACGGCTGAGATAGCCAGGCATGGGATGCGAAGCAAGAGGCTGTGCGTTTGAGGATGCAGTGCATCATCTCCCAGTCCTCTTTAGCCGCTGTCCAACAAGTGGTCGGGGTAGTCAAAACTCACAAGATTGTATCGGCAATTCTCAAAGGACGCTCTGGCTAGCATTCCATGCTGTCTATAGGGTCCCCGGGCTTGCAAGAGTGTTGCTATGCCCGCCATGTGCTTCAGCCATGCATCAGGGTCTGTTTGCTCTGGGTCGGTCCACTACTGTTTATTAGACTCTGTTCGAGCTATACGAATTGTACATATGGCTTACCTCGTAAAGTGCCATCAGACACGACGCCGCTAGTGTTTCGTCTTTCATAGCTCCTTCTGTGGATTTAAGATTGTGTTGAAGGGCTCCCAAGGCGTTGGCATATAATTGCCTTGCTTTTGGAAGTAACCTCACTTCACCATGAAATAAAGCGCACATTCGTATTGCTATCGCTAGCTTGGCAGGATTCAGAGCTGCATCTGGTGAAGCATCGGCTAAGAGGGCATGAATGAAATTTGCCACTGGCATGTGTGTGTACTGATTCCTTCCATCTGGCGTGTTCAGATACGATTCATACGCAAAATTGATGTATCGTGTACTCTCGATGCTACTGCTGTGTATGGATTGAACAGGGGATGTGAGCTTGAGAACTTGGTGATTCTGGATATTGGGGTTTCCGCTTGATTCGTGCTGAAAATCCGAGGCCTTCTCAGCCGTCAACCACTGAAAATCTGGAATATGAGCTTCCTCCAGCGGTTTTCGCTTCTCGATTCCTTCTGTAGTACGCACAATCTGAAAACTGTCAGAAAGTTCGTTATCGATAGTTGCAAGTCCTCGGAAGAGGATGATGTAGGTATTCGGGTTAACTGACAAAGACTGGAAACCGCCTGTAGCCTTCACATCGGCGTTCCGACTTCTCACATTGCCTGCATATCGGTCGTCCCAGGTCACACTATTAGTACCATGTAAGCAGAGATTATCCACGCCTTGAAGCAGGCGCGGTCTTCAGACTTACTTTGATCTTGCGCCGGCGACATGTAGTACAGCCCTGAGATTTCCCGGCCACGCCAACCATGGCAGATGACTTTCCAGAAGCCGTTTCTCACCTCCTCACAACTAAGCACATGAGGATTCGTATGGACTCATTTACTCATTGTTCTCAGTCACAAGCTGCTCGGTGTTGCTGTATGGGCTTCTGAATACAAATAAGATTTGGCGTAAGAGGTGACAGCGCCCGACGCCAAATTTCAGTATATTTACTCGCCTACTAGAAACCTAATCATCGCCTCAATAATAGCATAATATGAAGCTTTGTGCGGAGAAATCATAGCTGAGGTGCTGTGGGCGCCTTACCAACGTCCCCTAAGACGCTAAGGGTAAAGCCTCCACTCTACTTGGAGCAGTCCGTAAGCGGCACTGCCTTTTGCGGATCATCTTCTCACCGAAGCCGGTTCCGTTCACCGCTCGAACAGCGCTTGAGGCTCCTGCGATACTGGATTGGGGTGGATTATTCGTGCAATTCTGTGGCACTGAGATGGATTATCGTGAAAAGCAACGATCCATGTTGAGCTACATTGCTTACATGAGCATGTTATTGCCAGAGACTGTATGAACATTCAAAGTCCTTGCCTATGACCAGATGGCCAGGTTTCGGATGGTATCCCTGAATGAATCCTGCATACAGATGCCGCATGTGCTGGCCTAACTTCTCCAGCTGTTCCTGTGACTCTGGGCCCATGAGCATGGGAGCACCCCGCCAAGCACATGGTCGGCCTAAGATGAATGGAATATCAATGCAGTGGTTCGCCTGCATCTCATTTCCGTCAGGATGCCACTTGAATTCGTAACTAGTCGCTCTGCCGCCGGCATCGTCTTCTACCTGCTTGCGAAATGCTTGCGCCGGCCAAGCAAAGTAGCTCCTGGTCACCCACCAGGTACCTAGTGACTCCAGGATCCGACCGATACCAGGAAATGGGTACAAGGACCGTAAAGGACCCATCCAGCGCGCAAATGGACGTCCATCCTGCTCAGTCCACCCAATCATAACCGGCACGTCCCTAAGCCGGCTACTGAGTCGACGGTCTAGCGCTGCTTCGAGTGGTAAAGGGTAGTGGCCTAACGCAGGCCCAAAAAGCATGATCTGTGGCTTGACAGGGTCCATCAGAAGAGATTTTTGAAGATCCAACAGCTGGGAAGTGGACATCTCGCGTGGATCAACAGTTAGCAGGCTCGCGGCTTTGCGCGCGAGTAAGGCGATGGTCGGAATTCGATCGCGGATCTCTCGCAGCGGTGGACTCATTAGAATGGCTCGATGGAAGAGACCTTCAGTGTCGTCTGAGGCTAGCAAGCAGACAATAGAGTCTGCGCCTGCAGATTGCCCCACGACAGTGACCCTGCTTGGATCTCCCCCAAAGCTCGAGATGTTCGCTTGAATCCATTGTAAGGCTGCTCGCTGATCAAGTAAGCCTAGGTTGGCTGGTGCGATGCCTGGGATCATTAGATACCCGAACACGCCGAGACGATATGACACATTGACGCAGACAACCCCATGGTCTCGGGCGAGGCTGATCGGCGCATAGCAGTCGAGGTCCCCGCTCCCACTGATGAATGCACCCCCATGCAGCCAGACCATTACGGGAGCATGGCTGGCGTTTTCAGGAGAAATTATGGTAAGGTGCAGGCAATCTTCGTCCATAGATCTGTTTGCAGTAATCGGTCCCAGAGCAACGGACTCGAGGCGAGATGGGAGCTGAGGGCAGATTGTCGCGAGCTCTCTGCAATCCTTTGAGTTTGTCCACGGCGGTAAGCGCCCTGGCTGCTCAAAGCGAGATGCATGAGCGTACGGAATCCCGTGGGCGAGAATGAGGTTGTCATCTTTTTTGACAAGGCATGGTCCAGCAGGAGCTCTGATAGTTGTTGTATCAGAAGAGGCCATGTGAGCTCACTTTCACCTTTTGTCTCCAAGAACGGCACTCACAGTTCTGTAATTATGGACGCAGAAGTCCGAGTGGGAGAACAGTATAATCCACAGGGAACCAGTGGATATATAGGGAGGTGCATCGGAACTCTATGGCGCAATGCCTACAGGAAGTCGGCGTTTTGGCAGCCAAAAAGTGGCCATAAGGCACAAATCTTATCTCGGTTATCGCATCATTTTGCTCCTATCGTGTTTTCTAATTGCTATCATCTCGGACTGCCAGTGGAACTGGTTTATAGCCTTGTTGCTCCACAAGTAATTAACTATCTCTGCGGTATATGTAGGGCCGAGCTACAGCTTTGGTCATGCTAAAACCTCCGCTGGCACCAGCGCAGATTCTGGACTTAAATCAAACACCGCTCGTTCTTCCTTGACCCTGGCATTGAAACCTGAGACTTGAAAGACTTGGCTATCATCTCGGAGGCTGTCAAGATCATGGCACTCTAGACAAGCGCATCTACTCAGAAGTACTGCTTCGTGCGTCCGCTCAATGACTTCGGTCTGGAAATCCTGAAGAGCTTCCTGGCGGGATTTGAGTCCCTTCCGCCACTGATTGAGCTGGTGTACGAGCGCGGCCGCATCGTACATTCCGTGATTGGCCGCTTCACCGCGATCTACGTAATTCATATCAGTGGGCTTGTTTGCCGCAAAGGCAGCTGAGGCGAGAAGACTTACACATGGTCATTGTATGTGCTGCATCTCCGAGAAGTGTCACTCTGCCGCAACTTGATGGCCACTTCTGGGTAGGCCAGTCTTCAAGCACGATCTCGAGAGCATGAGTGTCTTCTGGAATGTCAAGAATAGCCTGCTTGAGAGGTAGGAACATGCCACTTGATGCAAGAGCGGCCTCCTTCGCCCTAGCTAACTGTTCAATTTGTGTTTTGGGTGTTTGTCCATGTCTCTCAGTCAGCCAACTCATGTTGAACTGACCTTCATAGTAGGGATTCTCAGAGCTGGCGCTGCCATTGCTCTCTGGTGTTGACAGCATGGAGAAGAACACGAAATATCCCGAACCTGGATGACAACCCTGCCATATTACCGGATGAATATCTCTAAAAGGTTGCATTTTGATCGGTGGGAGTTGTAAAGTGAAGCCCATAAACGCAACAGGTAACGGATACAGTCTTGATTTCTCCTCTCCTAACAACTGGAGTTTTATCCTACTGTTCTTGCCATCAACGCCGAGCAGCATCGAGCCGCCCACACGGTGGCCGTCGGCAAAGTGGACAACTACTCCATCCTCGGTCAGCTCGAGAGATTCGAATGATTTTCCCCAATGCACCGGGATATCAGTGCATAACAGCTGGCGTAACCTCTGACGGTTGAGCCTGTAGTGTTGGCCTGAAGGCATGGCATACTTGTCTTTGCCAGTCTCCAGATCCAGGAATCGGTAGCAGTCATGTGCTGGCAGGTCCGTTGTCAGATTATCTTTCCACCCAGTATAGCAGGATTGACTCACCTCGATCACCTGCAGCGGGGTCAACCTGGATAGAAGGGATTTTCTTGTACAACTCTGGAGGCAGGCATGCCTGCAGTGATGGCAAGCTCCAATGAACTGTTATTCCCCAACCGGCAGGTCTCGCATTGAGTGATGCGTCTCTGTCGTATATCTCGAATGCAAAGCCGGCTTTCTTCAACCCCTGAGCCAGAGTCAGCCCGACAAGACCTGCGCCAATCACAATTATAGGTTTTGAGGGAGTGGTAGCCATCGTGTCAACTGAGAAGCATACAGGCTAAGAGACGTGAACAGAGCACCATTGAAACAGAGAGAGGCTCATCTAAACATGTAAGTATTTATTGGCTTGCGATCGGCTCAAAATCATTGACACAGGGTCTCCCGTCCACTACGGAAAATCAAGCAGTGGAGGGATGCATAGCTGAGACTGAAGCCGACACTGAAAATGACCAAGTCGCCGACTTGAGGCGAAGGTTCAGGGGCAGATGCCGACTAAACTCTAATTTGCCGTGGCCCTTGGTTGATCTTCAACCTTCGCTATGCCTCCTCACAATCACAATCACCGGTCCGGCACCAACAGGAGTTTCAATTTCAAAATCAATACATATTGTTGAGCTTGATCGTCTGTGTCAAGTAAGATAGTAAGTACACTCCTCTTGCCTTATCAACACCACGTAGTCAAAACAATGTTTACCAAAACGATCAACGGCGTCGAGATAGCCTATGATGAATCAGGCTATGCCATAGGACCACCAATCGTTCTACTCACAGGATGGGCACACGACATTGGACTCTATGACAACATGTTGCCGCTGCTCGTTCCACGATATCGCGTAATTCGAATGTGCTGGCGAGGACATGGCCCAAATCGCAACGATACCCCAGAATTCGGCGTCGAGGAGCAGGTGCGAGATGTCATTGGCCTCCTCTCAACCTTGGACATTGATCAGTTCTACCTTGTCTCACACTCGCACGGTGGCTGGCCAGCTCTTGAACTTGCAGATCGGCTGGGCAGATCCAAAGTATTGTGCCTCCTGATGATCGACCAAATCATGACACCGCCTCCACCGGCATTTTCAAAAGGTCTTCAGGCCATGCAGGGCATAGAAACCTGGATCAGTGCTCGCCAGGAGCTATTTGAACACTGGCTCGCTGGTAGCAACAATAAAGCGGTGCAAGACCACTTCTACTACAACATGGGCAGCTTTGGGCACCTCATGTGGTCGCTTTCTTGTCGGATTATCGCCGAAGCGTACAAGACGCATGGGAGCCCAATGAATAGGATGAGCAAGATCAGGGTCTCACCGCCAATCCGGCATGTCTTCTCCCATCCGCGCCAGAGTCTAGAGTACCGACAGCTACATCAAGATTTTGAGTCGAAACATGCTTTCTTCTCGTATGCGGATTTAGAGGGCGAGACACATTTTCCGGACCTGGAGATTCCGGAGAAGGTTGTTGAGCAAATTGAGGATTTGATTCATAGCAGTCCGGGGTCAAGCACGTTAGCCAAAGGTCCAGTCAAGGAAAATGGAGTCAGCTAGTTGCGGGTAATCATAAACAGCACATTAGTTGTATAGTGCATGCCAGCCATAGATTATGTCTCTTTTCACAGGGCGAATTTGCTGGTTGCAGCAAGAAAGTTGCTCATTGAAACTTACCCTGTGCAGTTTACGCTCATACTTCTTTAATTGCCCTTTATTATGTTGTCGAATATGTTTACCAGCCTGAAGTCGTCAGCCGACGCAGCCTTGTTTCTTACGAGAGCCGCAGTACGCGGCCCGCGTCCCCATTTAATACGAGGCTTCACGATGCTGGATAGTAGTAGATATTGTTAATTGAAGCCACTAGGAGCCTCTCTAGGCCTTGGATCTTCAGAGTCGGCATAATCGAACCCAACTTTATCGCCCATCTCCACCATAATCAACGACCAAGTAAAAACGCGGGGTGCGTTTGATCTGTCAAAGATAACGGTACACTAACCACTCAATATTATCTAGCTAGTATCACGCTTGACTATCACAGCTGCCCAAATCCAAGTAATCAGCTTGTCCTTGGAGATTAGCGACCCACATCGCCTTGATCCGCTGGATCTTTGTGTACAGGCTTAGCTATCTAGGCGGCGGCGCGGTTAGGGGTTTCGTCCAATCTATGTGTGAAATGGGATGTAGACAGTCGAAGGATGGTTATCAGTACTCTGCACGGAAACTTCGCGTGGCTACCGGTTTAACTCCCTATTCGAGATTAGAAAAGTCAAAATCTCAAGTCGCCGATATACTGTTTTCAGCTCCGTAGCGAAATACCAACTTACCCAACCTACTCTTTGCCTCTGATATGTAGATATAATAAACCGATGGCCTAACACTATTATCACGTCTCACTACAGGCACTACATGGTATAGCTACGGTTGGCCCCTGCTTGCCTGACGGATGCCATTGGAATACCTAGTTAACTCCTTAATCATTTCCATCCACCCTGCCACCACTGATCCACAAAAGATGGCCAACTACGATGTTGAATCTACCACTACGCCAGAGTCGAAAGTCAAGCTTGAGGGGGACGAGAACGCAATCCTTGGGATGCCAGAAGAAGGCACTATCATAGACAGCTACGTCGCGCCTCAATCCTTGAAAGGCTTTCTCAAGAGCTTGGCCACTGCCGGTGTTGAGCTGCGTGGGCTTGAGCCGGTGCCGCTTCAAGAGAGAACGCATACTAAGTACTATAATATCTTCACGCTGTTCGGTGGAAGTTTTATTTCGTTGCTGCCGTAAGTCGTGGCATTCTGTGTACTAGAAGTTTCTAACATGGAACTGCGCTAACACAATTGTGCTACAGAATCTCGATCGGCACAACGCCGACATTGGTGTTTGGCCTCTCGTTCCGTCATGCTGCAGCTATGATCGTGACAATGCAGTTTATTTTCATTCTGCCTACGCTTTACATCCTAACCCTTGGTCCGCTGCTGGGCATGAGACAGTCTGTCCAGTTTCGATATGTCTTCGGGTTCGTCGACCTCTACCCTGACAGGTTGGTTGTGGATATACTGACATGAAAATCAGGAAGTACCCAAATATATTCTTCTGTTTGATAGTCATCATTGAGATTGGCATCTTTGGTATTCTAGCCGCCGTTGGAGGGGCTGAATGCTTGTCCGCAATCAGACAAAACACTCTCCCGATAGAAGGGGCTATCAGCCTTATCATGGCCGCGGCAATCGTGATCGGCTTCTTTGGATACAGATGCCTTCACCTCGTCTGTCAATACATCTGGATTCCAAATACGATTTGCATCTTGGTCCTAGTCGGATGCGCCAGTAAAGGTCTGCACAACCAAGTAGTTCCAGAGTCAACAGGTAGTGCGGGTCCATATTTGTCAACCCTGGCGATCTGTGCTGCAAATATGGCTACTTGGGGGACGATCGTCGGCGATTACTCGTGCTACATGCCTCCCACCGCCCCAAGGATGCGGTTGGCGCTGTACTGCTTCTTAGGCTTGTACGTTCCCTTCACTTGTATGATGTTGTTTGGCGCTGCCATTGGTGGTGCGATACCCGCGAATGAGACGTGGCTGGTGGCGTATGGAAAAGGAAGTTTCGGTGCAGTTTGTGCCGAAATCCTGATCTCGCGGGTGGGAAACTTCGGCCGCTTCCTCTTGGTCCTTCTGGGTTTCTCGATCGTCACTACCTCAGCACGAGATATGTACAGCATCTCGATCTTCGTTGTTGGAGTGGTTCCTTGGTTGCACAGGGTTCCACGCATTTTCTTGCTGTTGCTGGTTGCCGGGGCCATGATCGGAGTTGGAATTGCAGCTTCTCGCTCCTTCCTGCCCAGTCTGAGCGCCCTGGTCAGCATTGCAGGCTACATCACTGGCCCAACGATCAGCGTATTCTTGGTGGAGTGGTTCTTGTTCCGCAAAACCAATCCTGCAAGCATGGATCCGGTAATTTGGAATAACAGCAAAGCCCTGCCATCTGGACTCTCGGCACTGATTGCATGTACCGTCCCATGGGTGCTAATCGTTCTCTCGATGGCAACAACATGGTATGTGGGGCCTATAGCCAGGAAAGTTGGAGATCTGGCATATGAACTCAGCGCGGCATCGTCGGTTCTGTTGTATATTCCGTTGCGGGCAGCGGAGATCAAGTATAGAGGCCGATTGTAATATATCGAGACTGTAGCAGGCGATATGCTTTTAATTGAGAAAAATTATCAAACAACAATGACTGAGTTCCTCACAGCATCTCATAGAAGCCATTGATCAAAGTCTGTAGCATCCTCAAGCAAGCTATTCCAGGGGAGCATAAAAGGGATCGGAGAGAAAGCCCCATGCATGCCAGTGTTGAACCCGAGGTGGTCGCGGGGGCTGGAATGTGCATTGTGCAGGTCTGGAGTTGGATCCGTGCTCCTGGAAGAGCTGACAACATGCTGAGGATCAGGAGACAGCGAGGCGGGTCCTGGTATATCGTCCTCCGTCCATGGACGATTAGCACGCTCTGATGATCGACGGTATTGGTTAAGTGTAGCATACTGTGGGGATGATACAGCCGGAGGCTCCGTGTTCTTCAAAAGAGTGTCAAGCAGATAGCGTGTCCATACAACCAAAGGCCACCGATCCTGTAGCTGATCTAAAACTACCATTGCCAGTCGAGCTCGATTTTCGGCTACCAGACGAATACTGCCAGGCTCCTTTCGCAGATAGATGATATGGATGAGTATTGAACAGAATATTGCCGGAAACGCGACATACGGCAGCCGAGCCACCAAGGCTGAAGGGCTTGACAAAAGGTCCTCCAGTATTCGGCAGATGGAACCCGCAGACTTGAAGTATGATTGCACCCCACTGGTAGCCGGGACATGGATGTCGGACGAGAACATTCGCCCGACCACGACTGAGTAGTCGAGGTGGATCAGGCTAAGTACGGCAGGATAGAAGCCTCTTTCGGTCGTCAGGGAGCTGGCTGAGTCGATACCATTATTGAGTAGTGTTGAAGAGAAAGTCGTGAGCGCAAGCCATGCTTTATCTTTCATCTGCGGGCTTGAAGCTGCAGAGTACTTTTCGAGTAGGCATCTGTCGACCAGGGTTGCAAGCCGGCAATATTCAACCAGAAAGATATTGGACTCTTCAGCATTTGCGTGCGTGAAATCAGAGGCTGTCATGTCACTCGGTGTCAGAGGATTGACATCTGTGTACTGTGAATGAATATGTGGTGGGCGACCAAAGACAGCAGCATGATGGATGTCATTGATAAACAGTACCCACCAAATTCTTCGCCAGAGCTTCTGTCTCTCGTCACCAAGAATTCGGTAGGATTTCCTAGAAGACTGTATGAGCGGATGCTCGTTATATCATCCACTGACACTTACGCTCTGTGCATACCAAGAGACTGAGCCAGATTCGAGCCCACTCCCAGCCAGTACCACGTGTCCTTCTGCTCCATTGGTCCCTGCCACCAGTTCATCAGCAAGATGCATGCTTGTATAATAGCGACGCCATCAGTCTCATAGTCATTATCATGAAGAGCCTTGGCACGGTGATAGAAGGTCGAGCAAGCAAGGTAGCGAGAATCGTAATCCAGTCTCCTGATCAGGTCTTCGGAACAGTGGATGGCGGATACACAAAACAGCGCATTCAGAACCAATGGTGATATTCGGTTCCGTCCGTACGCAGAAAAGAACTCTGTTCTGTGGAATATCGGAAAGAAAGGATACCCTTGATTGAAAAAGGCTTCAATAAGCTCTCCACTGAGCGCGGGGTCGGGAAAGTCAAAAGCGCCAATCCTCCGCAGGTGCTCTTCGTCAACCGTACGAAGAGCTGTAAGCTTCGACCGACTTGATGGAGAGATTCGATCCATGAGGCTCTGCTGCAAATTATCGCCCCACAGTCTGCTCCGTCCAAAGTTCTTGAAAGGATCGCCAACTTCATGAATGAGGTACTTCATGTTGCCAGAGTCTCCCATGTAGACAACGCGACTGCCATTACCAGAACTCCGGTCAAACACGAGATCTGGGAGAGATGGACTAGCATAGCGATGCAGTCCCGTTCCTTGAACAGATGACGGTTCATGAGTTCTTGGATCTGGCGGAATTGATGAGCCCGGGTTTAGAGACTGACCGTCATGAGTCGCGTCTCGGTTCTGCAGCGTCCCCGTGGATCTTCTTTTGTATCTGAACCATCAGGATTCAGCTCCTGTATGAAGAGCCAAAGGCATAAGGGAAGGGTCAATCGTACTTCCCGCGCTTTGACTTGATTAACTCGCACTCCAGATTGAGAAGTTGGCAATTAACACATGGCTGCCCCGCTGTTGGTCGATTACATCTCACGCGCCTTGCATTGCAGCCTTTGCAAGCGACTTTGGTCCGAGAACCCTGCTGGACTTCACTTACAATGCGATCCGTGGACATGACTGCTTGCCACTGAGGACTGCACGTGGATAGATTGTTGGGCAGCGGCTAGAAAGAACGCACGGGAAGCTGGGAGCGAAGGGCATTCAATATTTCGAGGGAGATTCTTGGCAGCGATTATGCCAATTTCACAATTGGATGCCAAGCAATGGAAATCTCACTAGATATTAGTGCAAAATCAAGCGGATGTTGTATTGTATTATTGAATATTATACGGAGGACTGTAGCGGCCTGTTGCATGGATAAGCTAAAGCCATTAACTTGTCCAGTAGGCAGCATTTTGATCAAGCAGCCGATGTTGGGGTCGTTCAGTTATCTAGATCCGCTACGTTGGCAAGTGTTATGGCAAACGATCCATTATGTCAATAATCTTGTAGACATATTGCTATTATCTTGCCTTTAAGAGGAGTTCTGTAGCTGTCGATATATTTATCACCCCAACTAATGTGGAATCATAGTCGACCTGCCACCCATCATATTAACCCATTCCGGCTTCTGCATCGCCCAGTGAGTGTAGTCTCGCAGCTTTTCCGGGATCAACTGCTCGCGACCCACATCCATCATACGCGCGATGAAGACAACTAGATGGGCATCGATGGCGGTGGGTTTTTCGCCATAGATCCAGCTCTCTGGACCACGTAATTTATCCGATAGTTCTGAAAGCAATGATTTCGCGTTCTTCTCATTCTCGGCTGTCACTGCAGGCACAAGACCACCGGATTTGTCGCGCTTAGTTCTGGTGCAAAGGTTAGAGCCCCAACGGGGGATTCTTTGAACTAGATTGACCTCTGTGCTGGACTTACACGCCCAACTTAAATTCGAGCGCCTTTCTGTATCGGTCCGAAATGCTCGAGTCCTGTAATCTACGCTGGACATTGGCCTCTAACTGTTGAGCAATCTGTGGTCGCCCAGGGAAAGACAGCGAGAAATAGTTCAGCGCATGAAGGTCGTTTAATTTTTGACGAATCTCCGCTTCATGCTCGGTAGGCATCAAGTCGGGATATTTCGTCGCCAGCCAATTTGTGATTTTGAGACTGTCAGTGATCGGCGCATCTACTTTGCTCGAGTGTGCCAGGACTGGAACCTATCCAGTCTCTACCTTCAGCGACTCCATACGCTACATGCAAATGGGGTTGGGCGAATAGACTTACCTGGCCATGGTTATTGATGTTGCAGAGGAAATCTTCGCTGAGTTGTTCTTCATGGAAGATATCGACCTCTCTAAACTGCACAGCGATCTCGTCTTCGCGCCGTTTCGCCGATCCTTTCCACACGAGCGTGTTCAAGACCATCAGTGAGCACACTGAGTATGGGTGGTAGTACAAAACATACTCAGAGGAAGAGGTGCTGTTGATCGCCATGACGAAACTAATGGAATTTCAAATTCCCTAAGGTAGCGTTAGACTTAACAACGGTGGGGACGTGATTATAAATGTCTGCATCGGCCAAGTTTCCAAGATGTGGTATACCCCACCCGGAACGCTCGCGGGGTGTTCGGATCCTCACACAAATTCCGTCCCAACAGGAAGACATAGGCGGAAACCCTGTTGGTCTTCTTTTCGGAGTGAGTACTGGTAGTTGGTAGTCCGGTTAGGACTTTAAGAACCTATAACCCGAAAATGTGGGCTGACTAACGCGAAAACCTAACCTGACCCGAACTATACCAAGTCGACTCCAGACTCCGGGTATAATTATTTCTTTTACCTTCACATTCCCCGATCCCGAAATCCATTAGAAGCCCCAAACTCCGTCAGTGGCTATAATAATTTCGTAAGTATATTGTATTTCGGTGAGGTTGCCAACAATTCTGTCTTTAGGAGTATCGTTTCTTTACAGCCAGGCAGTATGTCCACGATCATAGCTTCTCAGTTGCGCACAGCACTAGTTAAGGCTGATAGCTTTTCTATTGCTTTAGCATGCGGCGCGCTTGCCCTTGGATATCTGGGGTCATTGATCATCTATCGGCTATATTTCCACCCTCTAGCATCATATCCCGGTCCAATTTTGGCGAAGCTAAGTGACCTTTATGCGCTATCTATCGCGTTCAACCGATCACGGACATTCAAACAGTATGAGCTTATCAAGAAGTATGGTAGCCCGTTGAGGATTAGTCCCAACGAGCTACTATTTGCAGACTTGGAAGCTTGGTCGGACATCTACGGTCAGTCTTCGAATCCCTGTACCAAGGAGCCCGCCTTTTATAACTCGTTCACTGTCACTGGAGCAACAAATCTCTTGAATGCCACCAACAAAAAGCAGCATGCGCGTATGCGCCGACTTGTCTCCCACAACTTCTCTCTCAAAGGAATCCTTGCCTCTGAATCACTTTTGGCGTCAAAGGTGGAATCGTTCGTGCAACATACATTCGGAAAAGCTCCTCAGGATGCATCCGTGGAAATCTACCAGAACACCCATCAACATTACTTCGATATAATTGGCCAGCTGAGCTTCGGGAAGCCTTTTGACTCGCTGACAACTAATACTGGGACTTCTTACCATGATGTTAATTACTTCCTTGACGTGGTCCCCATTAGCTCTCTCTTTCCCTTCCTGAAGAATATGCCACTAAAGTTCATCCGGGAAGGGTACCAAGGAGTCGCTAAACTCGAGAATTTTAGCAGGCAGTCACTGACAGAGTTTATAAGTGATGTTGAGAAGCAAGATCCAGACAATGCGCAAGGACGATTTCTCAGAAATCTTACAACCGCAAAGGATGCAGAGACTGGAAGTACTTTCACATTGGACGAACTTGTCGAAAATGTGATTATTTTTCTAGTCGCAGGGAGTGGAACAACTGCAGTGGCTACCACTTATTTCATTTGGGAGCTTGGGAGACGTCTCGAAATCCACAGGAAGGTAGCAGATGAAGTTAGGAGGGCATTTCCGGATCCCCAAACCTTGCCAACCTATGAGGAAGCTTCGAAATTGGTATGTTGATCCTGATCACTCGATGGAGCATTATGATGGATACGATTAACTCAATGATTTAGCCATCCCTTAACGCCACGATTGAGGAGACATTGCGACTATGGTCACCTCTCAACGTAGAAATGCCTAGAGTCTCACCAGGGCGCGTCCTAGGCAGTCACTATATTCCTAAAGGAGCTACAGTGTCGATTAGCTCATATTCAACTGCCCGCCATCCTCATGCTTTCCCAGACCCCGAAGCCTTTATCCCAGAGCGATGGTTGCAGGCGACGCCAGAAATGAGAGGAATGTCTAGACCATTCAGCACTGGGTCTAGGAACTGTGTTGGGAAGCATCTTGCCGTGGTTAATTTGGCTTTAACGTTGTGCCGTATCTTTCAACTCTATGACTTGACAGTCGATCCCATAACAACCGAAGAGATGATGAAGCAGTCAGACCGTGGCACAATGGACCCCAAGGGAGGAAAACTCTATGTCCGAGCGAGAAAAGTCCATTCTTGATGTAGCGTAAGTGAGGAATGACTTAGGACAGCAGGTTGTGAAGAACTTATACGATGGCAGATTGGTGGAAGCAAATCTTGAGTTCACTTTCTGGGACTGTCTCTTGAACCCCCTATGACAATAGCCAGTTTGAATGTATAAGACGGTAGATATTGCTGTGAATAGAGCCGTCTGTGGCTCGTAACGTTTAAACTTAATTACTAAACTCGACCAGTACTCTAAAACCACTTCAAACCACTTTTGCATCTTATCCTGCTTTCGCTCGGAAGCCCTGGCTCCTATGTGCGGAGATGTGGCAACTAGGTTCGTGGCAGACTTTTATCGTAGCACTTATTGTATAGAATTGGTGCGTATCTTTGGGCCGAATCTATCAACGATTTCGGGAATATTGATAATTATGAACTAAATTACTTAAGACGTCACTGATGATAAGCTACCTACACCCTAAGAGGGGGTTTTGATAATAGCGGAGATCCCTGTGAAACGCTTGTCCTGAGCAGCACATATCGTGAAATCGCAGACTGTCTGCGAATTCACAGCCATCGCAAAGATGGCGACGAGTCGACTGCCTTTCATTTCAAATATCTGCTTTGGCGGGACATATTGGTAGCAGGGAGTCACCGAACACTTATGAACGAACGCCAGAGATTCCTGGGCTTGAATGGTGCCATACTTTCTTCCCTCAACCTGTACGCTTTTTACAAACTCATGCCGGGACTCAGCCTCTTCATCTTCTCCTACGATGATCTTGCTTACTCCTCCTGTGTCCCCTCCAACACGATGACCTGCTCCCTCTGTGTAAAAGTCTTTCGAGGATTTGGGGTTGTAATCCTTGTTAACTTGAACCCCATGTCTGTCGGAACAATATACCTCTGAAAATCTCTGTATGTTCCTCAAGAGTTCTCCCGTGAGTCTCTACAGCAAAAAGGTAGATGACGATGGGGATCAGGGCATCCCGAATGATATAGAGGAGGTAGAATTTCCAATCTGTACCAAGTCAGTAAGTACGTGATTCTAAGAGAATCTAGATCAACTGACGAGCACGTCTGGGACCGATCGGAGTTATATAGGTGCTAAAGAATCTGGGAATACTATCCATAATGGGATAGAACCCTGTTCTCTTTACTCGAGTTTCAAACGAGAAGCACTCCACCGGATATATGGGGTGCAGAGGAGTAAATGTTAACGAATACGGTAGACCGAACAAGAAGATGAATACCACGGTGGCTTTCGAGGCATTGATTTTCGGATGGTCGAAATACTGTGATTTCGAACAATTCACCGTCAGCACTGTGATGATGATGAACTCGAGGCAGAAGAGAAGCGATGCCGTTATGAAGATCATCCTTCGGTCAATGCGTCCAGCGATGAATAACGCTGCAATGGTCGCACACAAATATGACAGCGTATTGAGAATAGCATTGTAGAGGATCTGTTCCCTAGATGACTTGATTCCCGCTTGTTCCAACATGACTGTTTCTATTAGCGCGACAACAGCCGTGGACAGATATCGCTTACCCGGGAGGTAGTAAATCACCATTGCTCAATGAAGGCCATTCCAATGACTATCGCGATCCTCCACCATGCTTCATGGCTATTGAAAAGTGGACGACAGTCCCACCACCCCTTATCCTTCCCTCACGATTGATGTCAGCAATCATCTCCTGCATTTCGAGTCTGACGAGTGGTGACTCTGGACCTCTGTCACCATGATATTTGTTAAGTATCGCCCGAGCATTATCTTGTCGGTCATGGGCAAGTAGCCAACGGGGAGATTCCAATAAAGGGAGCTGCAACGAGGATAAGAGCGGGATCTACAGCTTGAATGTAGATCGGTACTCTCCATGCATAATCTGAATCAATTGCAAGCGTACCGTACGTAACCCAACCTACGATCATTGCACCGACAAAGTAGAATGTGTTGTACATTGCTCATGGCCCGTTAGCTCATTCAAGATCTTCTCCGAGAGTACCTACAAGTGAATGCGCTCCTCCAGGCAGGATGCGCAATCTCCGCTGCATAGGTTATATCACTGCCTTAACCTAAAGCGATGCCAAAACCATATAAGAACTTGCCTCCCATAAAGCCGTAAACTTCCATCGACTAGCTTCCCAGTACAGGTTTGCTAGCCTTACTTACTGTTCGTGGAAGACCCTTGCACGCACGCTCCGGTAACGACCAAGAAACATCCTAGCCACATGCCCCATCGTCGACCGAGATCTGAAGGATCCGTAAAGTTAATGTCGTGATTCAGGACCTGAATCATCTATTGATGGCGTACCAGGATTCTATTTAAGGCATCCAGAGGATTTAAGGGCATTGATTAAACGGAGAGCGTACTTACGATCGCTAACTGGTCCGGTAAAGGGAGAAGCCGCTATGAATGCAATGTTGTAAACGGCAAAAATCATTCCCGTCGAGCCACCCGTCACCGAAGCACCAAAATATTTCTGTCAGCGTCTTACCGACAATCTACTCGTGACATGCTGTACGCACCTGATACTGAGGCATGGCATTGATACCAGACATCAAACTCCCATCACAGCCATTAGCCCACGCTCTATCGTCCAACATCAGCTGTGTAATATTGGTACTAGTATCGTTCAACCTACACCATCATAGATACGAGCATCATATACTGCAACTGCATCATCTTCTGAGTGAAGACCTTGGGCTTCGCCTTCGCAATGACCTCGTCCAACGGTACGCTCAGCACCGATTTGACATGTTTTTGTTGATGTCTCTGAGCATCTTACATGTAGATCTATTCTAGTTACTCTAATTAAATTAAACGTAAAGCTAAATAAAGCGTCGCTTAAGAATCGAATCTAATTTAGATAACCTTTAATAGACTTTTCGTACTTAATAGGAACGACTAACCCTTACAACTTAGGAGTACGAGACTAAGTGAGAGCTAGTATATTAGGTAATATAGGGGAATATTTAGGATAATTAAAAAGCGATAATATTCGAGATAAATTTAAGGTATCTTATTTCTCGAGGACTATAGTAATTACTAATTATATAAGAGTTTAAGTTTAATCTTATTTCTCTATTCTTTCTCGCGACTCTATATACGTATTTAATAGGTGAATTACACTTCGGATACTTAGTTAGATAACGCTATTTCTACCGGACTCTAAGATTTGAAAAAGGTATATACTAAGGCTTTTCCGGATATCTATACGATTATTGCCTAGAACGTAGATAGAGCCTTATATATGAACTCACTAGGCCACTTAATAGATATCGTAGATAATCTAGTAATAGCGTTTTAGGTAATACTCAATAGAGATTACGATAAAGGGCCAACTTTCTTCTATAACCTTATTGACGGAGCGGAGTCGATATTTTAAAAACCCAATTTAACTATCTTACACCTTTTCGTGCTATAAATGAATAAAGCCTATAGTTCTATATAAATAACCCGACTTCTGTAGGAGGTCTAAATGCCTACTACCTTATCTTATCTATATAGATGGTGCTCGCCGCTAATTAAAATTGCGATAGTGATAGGATCTACCGTTTTAGCACCGGTGTCCCTAATAAATCAGACTAATGTCTGGGAGTCCTGCGCATCACGAATTCGGATATTCAATATTTGAGAGATCAACTTAGTCATTGAAACTGAATGGCAACAGCACGACCGGGGTCACAAAGTAACTTTTAAAATTACTTCTTGCACGAATCCTTGTATCGTTCCACGAGACAACGAGGGCGTTCGGCAGCGCCACTATTCACATGGCGAGTATTTAAATTTGGTATAGATCTTGCCAGAGAACTTGCCGACTAAGTGAGACGAGCAATTTCAATGACTCGATAGAGGAGTTGAGGAAGAGTAGGAGTCTTCCCAAGACTAAACACAATAGCTGAGACGTAAGTCCTCATTGAGGTTCCTTGCCGGGCCACAATCTCGATGAATTATAGGTGTGATTTTACCGGTTAACGCTGGGGCCAATGGTGACAGCAGAACAGGTATCTCCAAGTCGGCCAGTGTTAACGGGTAGGACGGAGATCAGTTCTACGTGACCAGGCGTATAACAGGGTTTACCGCGAATCATGCTTTGAAAATACGATTTAACTGCATGCTTATGCTGTCCAACCTCCATCCGCGGTGTATACAGCGCCAGTGACGAACGAAGCTTGATCACTGAGCAAGAATGCCACAATATTGGCAACTTCCATAGGGTCTGCGATCCTCTTGATTATTTGTCCGCTTATCTCGGCAGCCCTGATATTCTCGTCGGCGGGCATCATGGCCGTCTCGATCGCCCCTGGCACGCATCTCGTCAGCGGAACAGTACAAGATTGACCCAGTGTGAATATGGAGCTGTACCTGGAGCCACACAGTTGAATCTGATATGCGGATTTTCCTTTGCGGCGCACCTGGTGATACCAATAACCGCATGTTTGCTGGCCACGTACGGTCCCAGAGTGGGAAAGCCAATGAGGCCTGCGGCGCTGGCAGCGTTCACCTATTTGACAAGGAGTTAGCGCGAAAAGTATATTGGCAAGCCCGCTCTCACAATGCTTCCCCCGGCTGTCATGTGTCGGACCTGGGCGCCCGTGGACAGAAAGACGCCTTTCGCATTGACATTCATGTGGAAGTCCCAGTTGACTTCCGTCTCATCCTGGATTTTATTTCGATGTTCCCAAGACAGGACTCCGGCAAAATTGGCTGCACCGTCCAGCCGGCCCAACTCTTTGACGGTGCGTTGAATCCACTCTTCGATGGCAACCGCATTGCGCACGTCGACTAAGGTGTAGATGTGTCTCTTGCCGGGTAGAGACTTGAGCGTGTTTTGAAGGCCGTGTTCATTTACGTCCGAAAGCGACACAATGGCACCCCGACTCGCAACTAATTGGGCAATACAAGCTCCCATTCCCGAAGCGGCACCTGAGATTGCAATCTTCAACTGGTGTCAGTTATCCTTCATTGCACCACCGGATCCGCAAGGATGCAGACGTTGGTGTTGAAACAACTTACCACTTTATCTTGTAGCGAACCCACCACGCGGTCCAAGCGTGCTTCGTCCTGGAAGGAACCCATTGCCACCGCTAGATGAGGTCTTGAGAACGAGAAAACGAGATGAAAGGCAAAGGTTTTCGACTGGTAGATAGATAGGTTGAGGACGGTAGGGAGCCCGTATATCTGATCAACCAAAACGCCATGGTTGTCATGTAGAGACTAATATGCTATAACCACCACAGTCGTTCTCGCTAGAGAATCAGGCTCCCCCTCTACAAGACAACTCTGGGTTGTGGATTGCTACCGACTATAGCAGCTTTCAGAGGTCTGAGGGTGGGGAGTCTCGCTAAGTGAAAGCTTGTAACATGTTCGCCAGTATCAAAGCCTTTGACGGGCAGCTGAAGCTCTGACATGATGTGGTTCTGTGATGGAGAGTGTATGTGGAAGCTAGGACGCCACAGCATTGCATAATTGCGAGACTAAAGTGTTCTAAACAGGGATGGGCCCAGAAACAACGGCATTAGTTGGTTACAACCTCCGGGTCACGAGATTCTGATCCGTTCAACATCCTAATCGGGCAGGAATTCGAGAATTGCGCTAGGCCGAGGGTGCCGAGTTACCTAAGTTAATTCATGGAAATTCTGTGGGGTGCTCTGGGCTGAATGTCTTAACCCCTTCCGATGCAGCCCGCCTTCAGAGCGCCCATATTAGTTGGATTTTGTCAGCCCTGAGCAGGGCTCGTATTGTGCCTAGATCTGGTAGGAATTTTAACTTTCTGATGAAGTCCTCTGCGACAGAGGCCAGATCCAGACTCTAACACACAAGACTTCGTTTTAGTCCCAAGAAGGGCAGGTATTTTATCATCTTGGCCACTATCCACCTTAGTCTCCAGACCTAGCTACTCTCCACTGATGTTGGTAGGACTGCGATCAAGCTTCTATGAATGCGACAAAGTAGAAAGGGCATAGTGATTCTTGTCCCCGTCCTCGTGTGCATATTGATCTCTACGCATAAAGATCTCGCTCAACCCCCAACGGACCTCGGCATACCTTGTGTTTTGCCTAAATCTTTCTTTCTACTTGTCGATATGTCTGAAGAAGAGAAACAGAAGGCCGATGGTATGTCGCGCCAACAACAGGTCGACAAGGAATTTGGCCTTGGTGATCTCTTGACGACACCGACTCAGAGTCGTCACGTCACGCCCAAGAAACCGTTCACATTGTGGTCGGCCCTTTCGCTGGGCTTCAATATCACCAACACTGGCATTTCGATAATATTGGTGGTGGGAAACACTGCATTTGGCGCAGGACCTCTGTTTTTCTACTCAACGCTCCTCATGGCTGCCGTCACCTTTTGCGTCGCCATCACTTTAGGGGAGCTGACTTCCGCCTATCCTCATGCTGGCGGCCAGTACTTTTGGGCCGCGCAGCTCTCTCCTGCGAAGCATCGACGGTTTTTCTCCTACATGACAGCCATCTTGTCTTGGGCGGCCGTTATTTGTATCTGCGCCTCGAGCGCGCAAGCATCTGCCAACATCGTATTCCAGATGGTCACTCTAAGCCGGCCGGATTTTGCATATCAACGATGGATGGGATTTCTAGCTATGGAAACCTTCAACATCCTAGCCGCTTCCCTCACTATCTACGAATTCGTCCTCCCTCAATTAGCTAAGGGCTTTCTGATCTACGTTATCGTGGTCACCATGGCTATCTTTATCTGCCTACTGGCACCATCCTCTCCAAAACAGTCCGCGGCTGAAGTGTTTGGTGCCGGCAAGTACTTTAACCTTTCTGGATGGCCCAATGGTATGGCCTTCCTCATTGGGATGAATGGTGTGAATTGGAGTTTCTCCTGTCTAGATGCCGCTACCCACCTGTCTGAAGAAATCCAGCAGCCTCGGAAAAATATCCCAAAAGCTCTTATGTGCATTACAGGCATGGGTTGCTTAGTTGGAGTTATGATCTCTCTAGGCATCTATTTCGCGGCATTCGACCTTGACAAGACGACCGACATTATTGCGCTTCTCAACATGGTTTACCGTGGTAACCCTACCTGCGCCTATGTGTTTGGAGTGGCCCTGCTCGGTTGCCTCATTAACGCGCTATCTAGCGCTCACGCATGGCAGGCGCGCATCACGTGGTCACTAAGTCGCGACAAGGGCACCCCGTTTCACTCCTTCATGAGCAGATTGGCACCCGCCCCCTATTACACGCCCTTATGGGCCACCCTTTGGGGAGTCTGCTGGGTCGCTCTTTGCGGACTTCTCTATTTGGCGTCTCTGACTGCCTTCAACGCGTTTATCTCTGGGGGCGTCCTCCTCCAGTACATCACATATGCTACTCCGGCGGCACTGTTGCTCGCTCGGGGCCGCAAAAGTTTTCACGACCGGGGCCCTTTTTTCTGGCCTCGGTTCGGATTGGTGGCTAACGTGATTGTGATCTTGTGGACAGTCTTGACATTGGTGGTTTACAGCTTCCCCTATTTCCTGCCTGTCGCCGCAGACAGTATGAATTATGTGTCAGTCGTGATGGTCTTCGCCCTCGTCTATGCCACAGCATTTTGGATCGTGTATGGACGTAAACATTATGAATTGGCAGATATTCATTTGGCCTTAGATTGAAGGATTGAACAGGATTGGGACCTCTAATATGATTTTTGTGTCACCACAATTAGGGGCTCTGATACCATGACTTTGTCTAATTTCCCACCTCGATCAGTCAATGACTGAAATTCGTTATTAGGACGATGGCGAGGGCGCTGTACTCGTAGTTTACTCTGCACTCTGCAGCGAGTCTTCCAAGATCTTGAAAGCCATACATATATAACCTAATTACCACACTAAAGTCTTGATGCTATGGCTGTATATGACACGATAATGAGAGCAATCTGCGCTTCGGGACTGCGGGAGGGTTGCGCGTAACCTGTGTGAAATCATTCACAATTCACTGTCCTTCCTCCCTAAAGCATAATATCCCAAGCAGATGCAGTGAACTCTGAGAATTGCCACTCACTCACAATTCACAGTCTTTTCTCAATATCGCGTATTTAGGGAGGTTGATTTGCTACAGCCCGGTCCACTATCGGTCTGATCCAATGTTAGAAAAGAATTCCTTGGTAGCTACGTTGTCTCATCCGTACGCTTTCCTCTCTGGCGGATACGCACCCGAAAGAGCAAGTATTTATAGTGTGTTCAGCCATGCATAGGAGCTGTTCGTTTCTGAAAGCGTGGGATCTTGTGGCGAGAGCCTGTCAAGTTGCCACTGCGCGCTCCGAATGGAGCTTCCGTGACTCTTGACTCGGTTATTTGATACCCACCACGGTAGCCCAGCATTGCATCATTATGCTCAGATAGGCAACTATCAGGTTTGGCATTTTTTACAGGCAACAAAGTGCATTCACTCGAGCCGGCGACCTAGCTTCGAGGTTTTCGGTTCTGTCATATCTATTTGCTCCCGGCCACATTTAGTACGGGCAGTGTGAATTCACGGAAAATCTGAATCGCAGCACAACTCGAAAGATAGGAAACAAGGACCATGCAGGATAGGAATGCCGAACATCTCGAAACCCGACTCGACGCTCTGGTCGTAGGCTGCGGGTTTGGCGGCATCTACGCGTCCTATTCATTGCGCAAGCTGGGTTTAAATTTTGCCTGTGTGGACAATGCCGGTGATGTCGGCGGAACATGGTATTGGAATCGATATCCGGGGGCGATGAGCGATACTCACAGCCATCTATACCGGTTTTCTTTCGACGAGGAGGACTACAAGGAGTATCCATTCAGCCATAATTACGTCTATCAGGCGGAGATCCTCGGTTACCTGCAGCATGTCGTGGCTCGGCACGACCTCCGGAGACACATGCAATTCAACACGGAAATGCGTTCGGCCGTCTTTGACGAAAAGCTCAACATATGGCGTGTGACCATGAGCACTGGTCAGATCTTCGTCGTGCGATATCTTATCTCAGCTATGGGTCTATTGTCACAGCCTATATATCCCGATATTCCTGGGCTACACGACTTCAAAGGTACAATTGTCCATACCGCCACATGGCAGGAGGATCTTGATCTTCGGGGTAAACGAGTAGCCCTGATTGGCACGGGATCGACAGGTGTTCAGATTACCACGAGTATCGCACCGCACGTGAGTTCCCTAACGTGCTTCGTCCGACACCCCCAGTACGTCGTGCCCGCCGGATATCGAGAGTTCGAGGCTGAGAAACGGCGAGATATTAATACTCACTTCTCCGAGTTCTGGGACAAAGTTCGTAAGTCTGTCGTTGCTTTTGGTTTTCAGGAGAGCACGCGATCCTTCGCATCCGCAACTCCGGAGGAGCGGGAAACAGTCTTCGAGGAGCTCTGGGCCGAGGGCAACGGATTTTGGTTCATGCTAGGCGGCTTTAATGACCTCACGACAAACCTCGAGGCTAACGAGTTTGCGGCCGACTTTGTACGACGTAAGATCCGTATGATCGTCCAAGATCCGGACAAGGCCCGCATTCTCTCACCTTATGACCACTACGCACGGAGGCCTATTTGCGGCAACTTTTACTACGAGCAGTTTAGTCGAGATAATGTGCACTTAGTCGACGTCAAGGAGGACCCAATTACTGCCGTCACGAGCCGAGGTATCACTACAAGCGACGATATCGAGCGTGAGTTTGACGTTATTATTCTCGCCACTGGCTTTGATGCCCTTGACGGAAACTATACGCGCCTACATATCGTAGGACGCTGCGGCGAGTCGATTCAGGAACACTGGTCCGAGGCTATCACTAGCTACTGCGGCGTCATGCTATCCGGGTTCCCTAATATGTTTATGATTCTTGGTCCGCAATCGCCTTTCGCCAACAACCCACCCGTTATCGAGAGCCAAGTGGATCTAATTATAGCCGCGATACAAAGATCCGAAGCTCTACGTAGTAATTCCGGACACGCCGGTGTTGTCGAAGTCACCCCAGAAGCCGAGTCCAGTTGGGCTCGACGCTGTGAAGACGTAGCCGAAGGCAGCCTTTTCAAGAAGACATCGTCCTGGATCTTTGGCGGGAACGTGCCGGGTAAGGTCTTTGCCACACGCTTCTTTTTCCCCGGTCTAGGCCCCTTTCGCGAGTTTGTTGAATCCTCAATTTGGCAGGACTGGCAGGGGATTTCATTTTTATAGCTCCCGAGGAGGAAGATCCGGAATTCCGCTCGTGGAAAGTGCAAACTTTGATATGCGTTCAAGATAGTGGTCGGATGGGACAAAAGAATGGATATAAAACAGAAACAGAGGCAGAGTGGGCTCGGAGTAGATAGCAGACATTTCAAACTCAAACCAGTGAAAAGTTCCATCCTTTCAGTAGCATCAATTCCAAATAGGATAATTCAATGCCGCTGTCCCGGAGCAGCCAGATCTCCTCCAGAAGATTCTTAGCACGTTCCAGTGTATTGGTCTGACACTGGGAGCAGACAGATGAAAACGCGCCTCTTACGCGGTTCCTCAGCGCCTCGTCGTCAGAAGTCAATTCGGCGCCAGCCGTCAAGAGTGGCGGAATCAAAGAATTCCAGAAAGCAGTCCCCATTTTGTGAGGCAAAACCATGGAGATGATCTCGGTGGCATAGTTATGCACCAGGAGCGCCCAGAGCCCGTCCGGATTTTCCACAAGGGTAAAGCAACCCATACGGCAGACGCGGTAGAGGATGATGAGTCCATGTTTCTGAAAAACCTCCGCGAAGAGCATATCCTCATCTCGGTCGCTGTTCGGGTGCCAGCCAGTCAATACCCGTTCCAGCGTCGCTTCGTGCTCTGGATCACGTACGCCTCCCCGAAGAAGCTGCATGCAGTATCGGAGTAAGAGTCCCAGCACATGGTACATCTCGACCATACAGCCCGCAAACCGTGGTTTGGCCCGCTGAGTTGCACGACTGACGGTAGATAGCACCTCAACGGTGCTTAAGGGCGGTAGTTCCAAAGGGTCTATGGAAAAGGCGCAGGCCATATCCCACCAAGTGTAGTAAGTGAGTAATTGTTCGATTCTCGGGCTGTGGTTCACCTTGTCCTGTTGCAGGAGGATGGCCAGGATTGCGCGTGCGCCAATGAGGTGCTCCTTGCCATAGTTGTCGACGTTCTCCATGAATGGCGTCGAGATGCCGAGGAGTAGGACGGTGAAGAAGGTTGTCTCTAGAGGAACATGTCGGGCAATCAGTTCGGAACGGCAAAGAGCCAGTGCCAGGCTACGCTTCTCGAGGAACTGCACCCGCGAGCTCAGAGACCAATGACCTTTATGGCCGGCGCTAAAACTCTCCAGGGCGAAACACAGCGCTTTGGAGATGGCAAGGTGCTCAATGAGTGGGAAGGAGAGCGGGTTCGATTGGGAATCTAACACTAATAGCTCGCACCCGTAGTCGAGCCACCATTGAAGCAACTTCGCGTCGATGGGCAGGGCTGATGTTGGTGGCAACTTCAGACGTACTGGACGGCCCCCCGGACATTCCTCACGCCAGCGTGACGGTCTGGTTGTGATGATGCACTTGATATTCCGTTGTTGACACCGTGAACAGCTTGGTAAGGTTTCATCGCATTTCGTTCTTTTTCTTCTACACTCCTCACACCCATGGCGGCTCTTTCGATGGGCTCGTACGGCCCCCGGATCCGACGCTGCATCCTTGTGGACTGTAGGATCGACAGATTGGCTCTTCTTAGAAAATCGTACACGGAATGCTCGTGGCATGATGTGTTCGATGAATCTATACTCCAAATTGTTGAGACCAGCCAGCATGTCGGGGACGGTGACAGCGTAGGCGACGGCGAGGAATACCCAGGTTGTCAAGTTCTCGGCCGAGCCTATCAAGCATCCTTATCACCTAAAGTGCTGTTCAACGAGCTGGCACTCCCGGACACAAACCTTCACCTTCCCCACCCTTAGCCCCTCCCCGCAAGATGTCAACTAGGCTAGATATGGTACCTAACTGTAGGTAGTCTGCAAACCTCGTCACCAGGGTCTCGTGGGTTTTCCCGTAGACTTCTAGACAAGGCGTGTCTGGCGTCTTCTGGGGCCAGCCAGTGTGCAGCCCAGAAATTGATGGCCTTCCGAAGGCCGCGAGGGTCCATTTAGGTAGACCGATATGATCATTCGCTCAAAGCCACTCTAATTCTAATCACAATCTACGTACACCGGAAGACCGAATACGGAGAAACTTTCAGGGTGGCGGATTGAGCTCCAGACCCTGGACCGTAAGCTTGAATGCGTCCGACCTTGAATAATGACCTACAGCATCAAAGTCGAGCCGCCCTCGTTGACAATCCTCAAAGTCCACCTCGATGTACAATAGGTCATTGTCTCGTCCCCAACTCGGTCCAGCGAGCGTCCTTCCCTGGGGACCGACAATACAAGAGCCGCCCAGAGATACGAAGTGGTCATCGCAGCCGACTAGGCAAGAACCTTTCGAATGGTGTAACTCATCAATCGATGTTTCCTCATGACCTTCAGCGTCTGTCCTTGAGGGGACAATCCAGCTGGGAAGATCTTTCTTCTTGACACACTGGTTAGCACTGAGCACGAAACAACGACCTTCGCAAGCTATAGTACGCATCAACGGCTCCCAAGTGTCGCGTGCGTCAGCCGTTGGTGCCAACCACAGATTCACGCCCTGACTGTAAAGACTGTACCGCAACAAGGGCATATAATTCTCCCAGCAGACAGCGCAGCCCATGACTACCTTAACATCTTTAATCGTCGTGGCAACGACTCTCAACGTCGATGAGGAACCCTGGGCCCAGACAAGACGCTCTGACCCTGTTGGCATCATCTTCCGCCTCTTGCCAATGACACCACGTCGCGGATCGACGTAAACCGCTGTGCAGTATAAGCTTCCGCCGGCCTTTTCCACGACACCGGTGACAACAAAGACACCGGTTTCACGAGCGACCTTCTCGAGAAATTCGCGCGTGCCATCGCCACGTCGGTCGGTGTCCTTGTTGGTAGGGAGCTTATTCTCGATCCAATCGTCGCCTGCGCCCTCAGGTGTGTCGCCGAGGTCAACGGCAGATTTGAAATATGCGAGGAATTGTTCACGACCGCTGTCGGAGCGTGAGCCCACAGAAGTCCCAAACGAGCAGGTTCGTGGGTAGCCACCTAGGTATGCCTCCGGGAAAAGAAGAATTGACACCCCTTTTTCTGCCGCGTGCTTCGTGGTCTCCTCGAGCGCCGAAAGTGTCGAGCTCAACGAGGAGAGAGTATGCGACTGTGAGAGACCGATGGTCAGATGTTGAACCATGTTGGTCTTGGAGCAATATAAGCGTCAATGGTCTGAGCTGGTATGTGGAAGGAACGCAAGGTTGTCAAATTCACGAGAATGGCCTCAGTTTCGCAACCTTCCCGAGCTGAATCCTCTGCGATTTATACTGAAAAACCGCTGTGCAGTGTTTACAGGTCCGGGAGTCAACGAGTCGTAAGAAATCTGAACCTATAGTACGGAGATCTCGCCGCGGTCTTATGCGCAGTGCGTCGCCAACGCGTGGATAGTGAGATATCTAGGAACTTCCCTGTTGGTGATTTAACTTTCGCAAAGTCGGCTAGCTTCTGCTGGGCTGGATTATCTCCCGATCCGGCAAGAATCTAAGAAGTGCGAACTGTACTCGTGATGCAGGTTATCTTATTGGTCCAACAGAAGGTGAGTACAACGCGTAGACAACAAGCCTACACCAGGGTATAGCTGCCAGGTGGGTCCAGGCAGAGGTTCATCCTGTTATGCTCGGCCGCGTTCTTCAGGGAAACTATTTCTCAAAACACAGGAGCTTGGCAATGATCAGGACTACCGTGATAAGAACGGGACAGTCTCAACAGGTAGCGAAATTAAGCTTGAGGACGCTTCCAGACGACTGCGAAGATGCTTTGGTAGCGGTGGTGGACATCAGCAAAGGCATGGCTGGATAAGTAGGAAATAAATTGTGCAACTGCTATTAGCGAGCTGGAGAGGGGTCGAGGAGTCTCTTCATCGCTAGACCTCCCCGATTAGGAAGACAGCCACAACATTCGCATAACGAATGGCTGCGACATGTCTAACCTTCGGCTCATCAGCACCAAACGTTGCTAAAGAGAGTGTTCAACTTTTTCCACTGCCTCCGTCGTTGGGCTCTGAGCAATTACAACGTGCAATTCGCACTTGCACCTCCGTGATCGACCGTGCGAACCCTTTCAAAGTCGCGAGCCATACAAGCGGGTTACCCTCATTCGACCAGCCTACGAGTATGAACCCCCGAGACGCCACGAGACAACTTTCTTCGGTTCTTCTCCGGACACGCACAGATTCGAGTCACTGCCTGTTAGAGTGAATCGATCTCTACCACTAAGCGATGGTGCTTGCGCAGACTTGAAGTCAAAGCTTCATGCGTAGGCGTATTTTAACAAGGAGACACCAAAGAAGTAGCGATTAAATTACAATAATATGCTGAGTAGACGTGGAAAACCCTCCCTTGTCCAACCTTTTTTAAAGGTCGGATCGCCTGCGTCGCCAAGCTTATCCTGCGCGTACTGCCCCGTTTTCGCTTCAAAGCACGTGGACGCCGGATACCTGACGCGATTGAACTAAAGGTAGCGCAGGGACCCGAAATGGGTAGGCGGGAAGCCTATGGCCTTCTCGTCCTCAGGCAGCATCCGACGCCTCCTGGTCAAATCTACAACATACGATCGATTTGCAGATGGCGATGGAACATTGGATTGGAAAATTTCCTCGAGACTTGGCCATCCACGGCCGTATATGTGTGGGTGCTCACGGGTCAGGACTGAGTTGTCAATGTACTACCACAGCATGCAAATGATCTTGCATCGACCCTGCCTATGCACGTGCAGTGCCGGGGCTGTATTTAATGAATGACAAGAACTCGGCCGTCGTTTAGCTCAAGCATGTGCGTATTTCGCCCTGTCAATCATGGCCTTGTTGACTAACGATCCGACGACAGAGATCTATCGAAGGTTGCCTTTGTGGTCACTGCTCCATTCTGTAGCTCAAACAAATGCCACATTACTTCTGGAGTTAGCTATTGACGGGCAACATTTCGAAGGTGAGGTAGACCTACTTGTAGAGTCCGTTCGGAAGGCGATGCAATATTTGCATTGCATAGCAGTAGCGTTGCTGTCCGCATACCGTGCTTGGTGGATTTTTGGAGTAGTGTGGACTAAGGTAGCTAGCCGTTACTAAAATACTGATCTCACCAAGCTGTCGAAGGACACGCCACGGTTTTAAGCATTGATCTCCACTCAAGAAGGATTCCCTTTCTTTGTCTTTGCGACACAACAAACTTCAGCTCACGAATCCAACGACTCTTGCGCACCACCGCAGTAGTATGAGTTCGAGGCGAATCGGACAGCGCCACTGTAGGATGAACACCTGGCGGCAATATTGAGCGAGTACTGACACCTAGAACAGCGCACGATATCCTCGGCTTTAGTTGATGTGGTTGTGGAAGAGTCGTTTGAGGAGATTTGGCCCATACTTTTGCTGCCCGAGTTCTCATAGCATGAGCTCTGATCTGGCGTATTCAATTCAGGATTGCAAGATTTCACGATTAGCTCTTCCACCACGCACAGTACTGATGGCTGAGAACATGTTCACAATTCGATCGACCTGCTAGTCATCAAGAGCGTTAACCTATATCATGGTCAAGAATGCTGGGTATATTGCAGCAGACAGGCGACCGTCATAGAAAAGCAATACGTAGAGGAACACTAAGTCATAATTGGTCCATTGTGAAGATCGTTCTGTCTTCACTCGAAGGAGGCGTTTCGCCCAAGATCCGATTGGCGATTACTTGTCCGCATATGTCTGTCACCGGTGATGTGATCAGTTTGGGGCAACTCTGAGCAACTCGGACGAGTGAGCCGCGTACAGCCGTTCTTATCAGGTCACGGAGAGCAACATCCATCAAAAAAGATGGCGCTCTTTGAGTAGTAAGGGAATAAGGCGTTTTCACAGGTTATCACGGCGACGCTTGCTGTCTAAAGCTTCGACGCAACCACCACGTATCTGACAGTCTCTGCCATCATACCTTCCCACTGCTGACGTCGTTATTGTCCGCTAGTTGACAGTAATGCTGACAACGAGCTTTAGCAAGGTTGCACCTAATCATCGTACTACCCGCGGCTGTATCTTGGCAGGCTACTCTTTCGCGCGACATGCCACTTAATAACCCAAGTGTGTCACGTGAACATTTAGCGAGGACGTTTTAGTGATACCAACGAATGATAACCTGCTTGGCAGGCATCAATTCCTGTGCAGGGTTCGAAACTGCGTTGAGACGACACCACCAACAAGAACAAGGACGTTGATATTTTGCAGCATTCCCCCCTCCGTTCTGAGATCGGGAATGGAACCCGGAAAGGGCCAAAAGATTGGACGAGAGATACACTATCTCAAGGCCACCTAGCCTGGTCCATCAACCGGTTCATTAGATGGCAAACCACGCTGACGCCCAGCGGCGATTGTTCCTTCGTTGCAGCCCAGCTTCTCACAAATTCGTCCTTTGCAACCAGAGTCAGGGGAACGAACATAATTAAGACACGATTTCGGCGGCCATAGCCCTTCCTCTATTCCTAACCCTCTTTTCAGAAACTACACAGGCTGCCGAACCCCCAACCCAAAATGAAAGCCGACGACATCCTCAATCCTGTCCTAGCATTGAGCCATAGAACGCCCCTAGCAGGTCGAATCGACTAGGCTGAAAATAATGCTCATACATATAAATCCGGGATGAGAGACCAGACGAACAACCTAGGACTTCGGCCCTTAGATGAACCTAGACTGGATCGTCCACCCTACTACCACCGAGTTGAGGATCTTGACAAGCAGAATATTCGCTATCCGATGTCGAGGTATCCACATAACAGTATTACTCAAGCCACGGAAGTTTCCTCCAGTGCTTATCCAGTGCCAAATCACTCGAGATCTACGGTCCACTCTGCAATGCCAATGTCAGACAAGGTCGCTCACCCGCCGACCATGCGAGCGGAACATCATTCCGTAATAAACTCACCACCTCCCCCAAGTAGGATAGGGTAGAACGTACGGTGCACACTTTCCTGGATGAGGAGGGACATCACAAACAATACTATATCGCGTGCCATGCTCCATCTTGTCCATACGTTGGATTCAGAACGGTAGCGGAGATCTTGAGTCACCTTGCGAGGGTCTATCGTGAATTATTCGTCGATTATGTCGAGAGGCTCAATGCCGGAAGTTTCGTCCTTGCTATTCCAGAACCTCAGGTTCAAGGTCATGAGCAGGAATATGGACTGGGTTCTGCTGGTCTTCTGACCCTGCGGTGTCTGTCCGATGAATGTCAAAAGCGGAAATACTCATCTATTGGACCTCTTTGAAGTCACCTAACTAGGGTGCATCGAAAAAATCCTCGGTCTGCCTGCTGGAACGCGAGTCAAATGGATGGCTTGGCAGCCTCAACTAAATATCCATCAAGAAATCGGCCTGCCTCAAGATCTTGGGGCCGGTTCCACTGCTTCACTATCGGTGAAGACAGCTAACTAAGCGGTGCTTTTTGGACATTGACTCCTGTGGACTGCGCTCTGGGGCAATGCTAGCAGACATCACGAAGACGCAGAGAAGGAAATGGGAACCCATCATCGAAATTAGCAGCTTAACTACTTCATCTTAGAAGCTAATACCGCGAATAGAGATAGCTAATAAGTACCGAAGGACACGAAGATAAACCGGTATAAATAGTACTAATAAAGTCGTTCGTTAATAACGAGATACTAATTACTTAATATCTTACAGTATAATGTCTAAAAGTCTAGAGACGTCGTCCTCGCTAGTCTCTTCTAGGATCGATAGATTTTCGAATTCGAAGTAATCGCGATTTAAGAGCTATAGCGTAATCTACTTATCTATAAGAGTATAAGTAACTTAACGAGAACACTAAGATAATCGATTAATTGCTATATAGTCCTTAGAACATCGACTATAAGAACTTAAGGAGTCTAAAAACCTCGCATACGATCCGTATAGCCCCTAAGGTCTTATATACTAGGCCCCTTAGTGTTTTAGGACTAGTCTTAGTATAGAATAGATACTTCTAGGGTCTACCGTAGTCCTATCCCGTAATAATTACCCTCCTTTCCCGAAGTATACTCGTCCTCGAGTATAGGAGTAGTAGGTAAGAAGTAGCGTTCTAGTATAGCGCTGTATACGTTCTATATTAATATTAGAAAAAACGTAATACGTTTCCTTAATCTTAGGGTCGCTCTTAATCCTAATTTATTCTA